TATATATTTTAGAGTATTTATAGCGTCGGAAGAGTTAGAAGTCGAGCGTTAAAGGGATATAGACTAGTTCTAGGACCGATTATATTCGATAATAGACTCGATTATAAGCTAGAGTCTTTCTACGGGAAATATATCGAAATATTCGGCTAGAATTCGTACTAAGATTGATCCCGTAACCTTAATTTTATATATATTTCGGTCAGAATTCACCGGAATATAGTAGCTAGGTACTAAGAGATAATCGAGTTTGAAATTTATTAGTACCTATTATATAAATTCTGATGGAATCTATCGATAGGTACTATTAAGTATAGTAGTAGTTTCTACACCCCGCGAATATTGAATGGCTCGACTAACTTCATTACCGTTTGTGACTATTTCAGCATATGTTTTGCGACCGGTATGTATATTGATCTTGTGATCGCTACTCGAAGTCGGACCGAAGCACCATGACTCTGGATTTACGCCCGGCTCCTGTTCCGCAAAGTCAACTTCAAGAGTGTGCCTCCTTTTGTGCTGCCGAGTCTGATTAGCGCCCTCTACGCCTCGCCCGCTTGGATTGTTGTCTCTTGCACTGGAATTGCGTCGTCCTCTCCAAGTCCTTCTGTTATCCTCCGAACGCACGTCAATGGCGCTATCGGTGGGATTGCCTAGCCAAGTGGAATCTTGCAGCCCGCTACCGTGGCCTTGGACTCCAGGTGTGGACTCTTTTGCCGTCTTGCTTGAGTGTTCTTGTTGCTGTTTTCCTGCGCTGCTTCCGTGCGATTGGTCGAACCGTGGTAGTGGTGAAATCTCATGACCTCCGCCGCCCGATGTTTCGTCGCTGCCGGTGCCATTCGAGAGTTTCCGGGAGTAAAGGCGCTGCAGTGTACGTAACAATTCCCATTCCTTCTCTGGTAGCTTCATCTCAGGCGCACCGGTCACAACGAAGCCTCTGTTTATGGCGGCCATTGGTGCACCATGCCATCGCTTTGGGCCTCCAGGAAAGCTACCAGGAACTGTCATCCCTAGTTGTTTCAATGCTGACATCATGATTGGTGCAAACATGTCCTCAAGGATGTAGCTCTGATATAATCCACCACGACACATCCCGTCATCGGGATCAGATAGTTTTCCGATCGCTCGTAGGTGTTTTTCAAAGTCTTCCTCGGTAGGGTATGTTCTCTCCATTTCTCTCCCGGTCTGGTCAAAGATCTGTTTTCTTCTCGCAAAATCTTCCATTTCCCACTCGGCGAACCATTCCAGGTTGGTCGGTAAAAACACCCACCCCGTATTCGAGGTCCGATCGTAGTGGTTGTGACAGCCACCACATAGCACGACGGCACTCCGGTAGTCACCGAGAGCGCCGAAAGTAATCATGCCTTTCTTCATCATAGCCGGGTACTTCTTTCATTAGCTGAAGTCGCGGGCGGAGGGGTACAAACTTGCCGCTGGATCAGCTCTAGCTACGACGTGACAAAATTCTGTGTGCGGTGCCTCACAATTCCAACATCTGGTGATATTCGCTCTCTGGGCTACCAAGTTCCTCGCTGTTTGTAGGAATGCAGACGATTGTGTTGGGCTTCCATCACGTTTTCATTTCTAACCCGATGATGCCGATGAATCTCGATCAACATCCGACCTAGTCGTCGATGGAGGCAAGTTCGGAATCTGCCCCAGACCGGCCATTTCCACGGTCACTTGAGCAAGATTGGATATTTTGGGTTGATGGATCTAGTACGAAGTCAGTCGCGATCGCAATCACAAGACTACTAACATGTTGCGCGTTTTGAACCAGTTGTTATTCATTTGGTCGCGCGGGGTAACTATGGCTATTCTTCGGCGAAACAGTTGCTATCTCCGGACTCCCCAAGGACGACCAACATCTCCATATTCCAGTAGAGAGTACTAGCGCACCAGCACTGTTGACACCGAAAAGCGCTCCGCCTACGATGAATTAGGCGTTGTGCGTTGAGTGCAGGATATGTCCGGTAGGGAAATCCAATATGCACGGTCAGATTCATTTCTCGCCTAAGAAGCGACGAGCTGAGCCAGTCACTATGGTTGCCTCGCGGCTCCCCTCATATGCGTCCTTGCGACGAAGCGCTTTGAAATCGTTCCCGTGGTTATGAATCGTAGCTGTGGCCGCCGAGATGTGCACCAAAGTCGGAAATTCCACCATGCGAAGTAGGAGGCAATCGGGTTCCTTATGTCCTAGGGGAAAGGCAGGGTTTCTCCTGTCCGTGGGTACTCGAGGTGTCCAGTCAAGTGTTGGGTCATTCGAAATTCACTTGGATCTAACGCAAATCAACAGAAATTTGAGTTTCGGGCTGTTCTTCGCCAGAAGAGGTCGAATTCCTCACTAGAATTAAGAAAAAGTCAGAGGTCACATTTTGTAAAGACAATCCTTTTATCAGTACATGAGATCTTGGCAAGAAAGACAAAGATCCACTTGTAAATACACGTAGAGCTTGGTCTTGTTTTGTCGGTATCCAGAAGTTGTGATCTAATAATGCTTAGGTACCCTTCGGTAGGTCTTCATAGCCTCTCATCTCGACAGGGAATAGATCGACTTCATCCTTGATCTCCTCTGTACTTTACACAAGCCCAAGCCCCAAATTGAGTCGGCCCGTCCTCGCCGTTCTCCTCTTGCATTGAATCGACTGGAGGCCGATCTCGCATTTTCCGAGGTCCGCAAAGTATAACCCCACATCTCGTTGCGATGCATGGAGTTGCTTTGACAAACATAAGAAGCAAGCTAGGATACAGCAACAGGATGTGTACAGAAGATTACTTTCATGAGGAAAGCATCGTAAAGTTTCCTCGACTTATTTGACCGTTTGATTGCCACGATCTTCTGCCAAACCCAATAAAATGCCGCCCACTATCATCAAACCCGATATTGAACATTTTGTCCCGGTTAAACCGACGTCTGAGCCTTTGGAATACGCTGAGTTAGTCACATTAGACCTAGCCACGTACGCCCATGGACCCGACGCCCGTAAAAAGCTTGCTGACCAGCTGAATCATGCCATGCGAACACAAGGCTTCTTCATGGTGGTCAACCACGGGATCTCAATCCAGCAGATCGATCGACAAGTAGATATCGGCTATCATGTTCTCACCAAGACCCCATTGGAGGAGAAGCAGCGCCTAGAGGGGAGGATGAAACAGGAGGGCAGCTACCAGGGCTTCAAACTCCGCAACTATTGGCAGATTGATCAGGGCGTCAAGGATCAGATTGAGCAGTATAATTGGAATCGCGATCTCACGCTGCGTGAACACCCTTCCACCTTTGTCCCCTTCTTGGACGAGGTACAGGAGTTGAACGAATTCGTTCACAAGGAGATCCTATTTCGACTGCTGACCCTTTTCGCCATCTCTCTCGATCTGCCGGAGGATTTCTTCATCAACCTTCATAAGTACGAGATCCATGACGACTCTTGGTTCCGATACATGATGTACTTCCACAGCCACAAGCCAGAGGAGATGGAGAAGACGGGCGGGGTGTGGCTTAAGGGCCACGGAGACTTTGGCTCCGTCACCATGCTGTTCAGCCAGCCAATGGCCTCGCTCCAGCTCATGGACCATTTCACCGGCAAGTGGCGGTGGGTGCCCTACGTGCCCGGTGCCATCATCGTTAATGCTGGCGAAATGATGGAGTGGTGGACTGGTGGGTACTTCAAGGCCACGATTCACCGCGTGTGCCAGCCACCTCCCGATCAACGCAATCAGGACCGGTGCGGACTGTTTTACTTTGTCGTTCCCAACGACGAGGTCAAGATAAACACCCTTCTGGAGGAGTCGAGTGTGCTTCGGGAGGCCGGCGTGCCGAGAAAATTCGAACCTGGTATGGAGCCAACCTCAAAGCTGTACAGGTCTGCTCGCATCGGCGCCTATGGGCAGACAGCTGTTTTCAAGGGGAAAGGCACGGGCATACAGGAGGAGACCATTGCGGGTATCAAATTGAAGCACTACAATTGAGGGTGTGGATACGGTCACTAGGAGGATATGTTGCGGTGGAGGGCGAGTCAGCCGCGTCACGCCATTGATACCTGACTTCCGCATGTAGCTCTGACTCCGATAGTTATGATGCCATGTATTTTGTATTTCAGATTCACACTTTTTATATAATATTCCTTTACCGGACACAGGTTCTGGAGTATTATCAAAGGCCACTTACAATTTGCCAGTCGAGACCTAAGTACGGCTCTTCGTTCAGCTCCAGGAACTCGGTTGGCGGCTTGAGACTTTCTACGTGGACCCGACACGGGGCTGTCACCCAGCACCTTGTCGTTCCACGGCTGACTACCGTAACCATGGCGCTGGTCCAACCAATATGTGAAAAACCATCTTGTTTCAGTGATCGAATTGTAATGGGGAGTTCCCTATCGAGAAAATGAAATAGAGTGAGGTGGGAGTGTGAAAGTGATAGGTATCTCAATGAGGCGGCCTTTGGCAATAAATTCTGCGCTCGTAATATACTCAATGCTTAGCCTGAGGATGTCGACTCGGGCTGCTTACTTTTTAGCTCGATACTAAATCGGTGGGATCTCGTACAAACACGCCATAAAATGATCACTAGTGCCGGTGTCCGCAAGCTGTATAAAGATGAGGCAGAGCTTCAGAAGTAAATATCGATAAGAGCCTGGCTTTGTCATTGCTTTGATACGCCTATATCTAAATCCAGACTCGGCCAATTTTCGATGAAAAACTTATCGAAGACAGGCCACTGTAGGTCTGGAATGGGCGTCAAATCCAGGTTGACCAGGTCTAATTGGTCGCTGGCCAGGTCAGGAGCGAATTCGTCAGGAGCAAGATTAGTATTTTCATCCACTATAGGACCAGTTAGCAAGATGAAGGGCCTCAAGGGACGCAGTTCAGGAGGGACCAGCCATACCATGGTTGTCTCCATATACGTTACTTTGTCCTCCAAATTCTTGTCGCCACCACCAGAAGCAGTCGTAGACCATACTCATTCCAAGTCTGGCTTTGCTTCTCACTCTCAGGCTATCTACGAGGCCATTCGAGTATTGGAAGATTTTCCTGCTGGTCCATAATTGGGTCAGAATGATGCTGAACCGAGCAAAGGCGTCATCCGGGCGCACAGCGTGTCTCTTGTGGTAATTGATTACTGCGAAATACGCCCGTTGCCCGCGCTCTAGATCCAGATGCCGTGAAAGGGCGGCTCTTCCCACGCGCAAAATGGTGATCGCCGCGCTATGCAGGAACTTTGTTATGTATATTGGCGCGAACTCCGCCATGCTCAGCTCTGAATCCAGCGCCATCGCAAGCTCAATGATCCTGCAAGCAAGTTCGTACATTACCAACAGCGTTGCATCATCAATTTTAGATCGGTGCTTGAATAAGTGGAAGCTTAGGAGGTGAAGCTGGGCAGACAAGGCATAAAATCGATCTGATCGCGTTAGAGGATCATGAGGACGAGAACCATCGATGGCATTAATATTGACGTACCTAAGCGCTCAGGTGAATCACTTTCTAATTGGACTAGTCGATCAACAGCGGTTCGAATGATTGGGTCGAGTGCCACTGCGAATTCGTCTGCGGGCTTGTACAGAGCGTGATTCTGGATGTACAGGATGGTCACGCTGAGAAATTCGCTGACTTTCTTCTGGAAACGGAAACTCGGTGTCAGGAAAGAGTTTAGTTCCTCTGAATCTTCGCCATATGTGTCGGGAATAACAAGCGGGGGTGTCCCATTCACGGTTATGATCCTACCCAAGTTAGGAGACCGCAGCATATGTAGCAGATGGGTACCATTCACCTTTGAGAGACAATTACACACGCAGTCCACAGCCTACCACGTGCACTACAGTAGCTCAGATCCTGATCGACTCTGGCTCGTGCAAACTCTTGCCCTACACCCAAGACGTGTAGTCCGATAGTCGTGGCTAGTTGTAAGGCTGCTCCTGCTAAAACTGGGGTGATATCATTACTCAGTGCTTCGAAGGGCATCGGCCACGAGCACAACAGGAGGAAAGCTTGTATGGTGAGAAGCACAGGTTCCTGCGCGAACAGGGCCAGCCTGGCCAGCTTGGAGACTTTCGGACCAAGCAAGAAAATCAGGGTTGGGTTGTCACTGTATTTTCGCGAGCCCACCGCCACGATTGTCCAAAACAACAGCGGTGATTGTTCGTGACATGAATTGGGATCCATGAGGGTCTCATCCATGAAGACGTAGGTCATGCAATGGTCTCTGAATCTGCCGAAGGCTCAGCCTCCGTCTTTTATGTGTAGCAAGTTTCTAGGCTCACAAGGCGAAACAGTTGTCGATATCCCGAACGGCGACATGGAGCTCGTCTAGACGATGAGATAGTGTCGGTGTGTAAGTCAATGCGAGAACAGGGGCGGGCTCATGGTCGACAGGTATCGAGCCTAACGTCGCGTGAGAGTCTTGGGCGACAAGTTTGGTGGAGTCCTGTTGCTGGGCTGGTGAAAGGCATGTCTGCGATGCAGCGCTTATCGGGCGCGAAATGCCGGCTGGAGGGATCAATACTTCCTGTTCTTGGATTGAGGGAGTACCATTGCTGGAAGAGCAACACAACTGCTTTTGCAAAGAGTCTAGCTGGCTCTGCAGCTCCGATTTTCTTGGGCATGGTCCTTTAGTATGGTCTTGAGTAGTAACAGGAAGAAACTGACGTGGGACGCCGCTGTCGTTTGAATTCCTTCGAGTATACACACGGAACGCCGACCCGACGGCAGCGGGAGCACGGATCCGGAAATGCATCGAATCGGTCACAACGGACCTTCTTCAAGTCAAGGAATGATCGAATAGCAGGGCCGCCGGGGGCAGGAAGCCACACACCTTCTGCTGCCGACACTCTGTACACGCCATAGCTCAGGACAACGCGTGAGATGTATCTAGAGACAAGGCAGCACAGGCAGCGCAAGCTTCACGCCGGGTGTAGAAGGAGGAATACGTGGAGTTCGCTTTAGTTTTTGGTGCGGAGTACGCAGAATCTCTTACCCTGGCACCCCGCACCGGCTCCTGCCCCCGCGCCACTTTCGATATTGCTACCGAGCCCGGCATTTGCGAAGTTCGGACTACCAATAATATCTGTTAGCACGCAAATTGGATTTCACATCAGCAGAAATTCCCCATCTGGGGATAGAAAAGAATTGGATGAAACGATCTTATCAACCCTTCAGGGCAGTGCTTCTGGTGAGAATTACGGGATAGAAAGCAAGATGTCGAGTACGGTGCAAGACTTCTACCACCATCCAAGCAAAGTGTCCACATCAGGGGGAGCCACAATCAATTTCCATGCGAGAGGGTTGAGCGGTGTTTCGCGGGAAGATCCCGTTCTCCTCCTCCTTCATGGATATCCACAATCGTGAGTCGTGGGCATAACCTCGCGATATATATGTCCGAATACTAACTACCATAGGAGCTACATGTCTGTCCATCATTCCTGCCACGAGCGTATTGACTGACGACTGGTACCATACAGGTTTCGTTGGGTATAGCCTAGATCCCCGAGCCTCACCGGGCAACAAATTTACTGATGGTCTGGCTCTAGTTGATACCTCTACTGCCCGCCCACCTGCCGCTTTTTGTTCCAGATGTAGGTTTCTAGGGGTTTTGTTATAGACAGCATACACTAACCTCCGCCCTTGGCTTCACTTGCAGCTTCCCGGCTATGGCGACAGCACAGCCAATGGGTTGCGACATGATAAAAGAACGGTCGGTACTACGGTACTGGAGTCCCTGGAAAAGAGCCTCCCGAGCAAGGGGGGTGAGCGCCAGAAGATAATCATTGCAGGGCACGATCGAGGCGCACGGGTCTGTCATCGTCTCGCCGTCGATGCTCCAGATATCCCCTCCTTTGAGATAGTCTCTGTCATCATTCTTGACATTGTTCCCACAGCAGCCCAGTGGGACACGTTTGACAGCGCCAAGAGTGCGGCCTCCAAGTTCCACTGGCCACTTCTCGCAAATGTGGAGATCGCCACCAAGCTCATCACTAGCCACGGTGGAGGCTCTTGGTGCTCAGAGCTGATTCATCGTTGGGCGGGCCACAACGACCGAAGGAGGGCTAGAGTCTTGAATGCAGAGGCCCTGGATGTCTATTGCCGTCACTTTGACAATGAATCTGTCGTGAGAGCCTCATGCGAGGATTACCGTGCGGGTGCCTTTGAAGATGATGACCTCCAGAGAGAAGATCAAAAGGTCGGCAACAAAATCAGAATTCCGACGTTGGTGGTTTACTCGGAGTCTTATATCGGAGCCTCATACGATGTTGAATCCATCTGGAAAGACTGGTGCGCGAGCGGGATCCAGCTGGAGACTAAAGCCATCGGAGACGGCACAGGACATTTTCTCCCAGAGGAAGCTCCAGAAGAGACTGCCGAGATCATGACTACTTGGATCAAGCAATGGATAAAATAACAGTTTGTCTCTGACATTATCCTTGGATCCAGGAAGCTCCGACGTTATCTACTCAGATTCTCCGAAATAACGCCCTGGCCTATTAGCTACCTTTCATCTCCTTTCCCCATTACCGACAAAGAAAGCAGGAAACATAACTGGTGATCATGGATTTTATTGAGAATATAACGAACAAATGCGCCGTTGGGACTGTGAAGTAACAGCTCGAAAATGTCTTGCTTTTAGCTATCCCCCTGATCATAACTATGTGGCCAGCCTCATCGCCTGAGACGGAGACATGTTGGGTAGTGGTATATGATCGCACTCAACTAAGTGAATTTTGTTGGTGCCCTGCCCAAAGGCCCATTTTCTTCATTTCGATATACCTGAGGCTCTCTGGGAGGGATGGCAACATATCATGCCCAGAGTCTCTGTAAATTTACCCCCTCGATCCTGCTTCACAAAGATCAAGGTGACCAATCCTGGAAGACTTTGCAGGGAGGACGTTCCCCTCGTGACAGGTAATTTAATTACGCATCAAATATCTCCTTAGCAACCATTCAGGATTCTCAGTTCACTCACCTCCATAGTGACAAGGGCTGATTTGTCACTTGAGGGGCTCGGATCCAATATATTCCCCACTCTTCTGGATACCTCTTTCGGCTCAATGCTCAATCCTTGAATCCCTTGCACCACCGAGCTGTTGTAACACATGAAGTTCCAGACTTCATTCTGAAGCTCCGTAGCTCTTCACATCCACTTCGCAAAGATTACCTGGGTTTTCTACCTCCGTGATTGTCGGAGAGTGGCGTCCGATCACGGCTAGATCAAGCCCGAGCATCGGTGTTGATGACCAGCCAACAAGCAATACGCGTCCGGACCGCAACCGGCGCCGATACTGATTGAGCCAATCATGACTAATAAACAGCCAAGTCCATGTCATCTCAGGCCTACTCCCCTGCCACACGCTTACATTCAGTCATCTATGGGTATGCGAGAGCCGGCCTTGGGGTCTGCCCTTGCAAAGATGGAAATATTACTGCGCCTTCTGGATGTTCTGGGGTAAGGATGAGTCTAACAGAAGTTTGGCTGATTAGACGGCGCGAAAATCATAATTTCACCACTGAATGGTTTATTTATTACTGTCCTGCATTTGTGTCATCGACCCCATCATCTCCTCCCATGAGGCCAAATCCTTCTTGAGCCCATTTCTTACTCCGAAGAAAATCTTTGAGAAAGCTTCTGAGTCGCCGCAGAGGTGGGCCCATCTAACAAGTTAAAACAAGACGTTTCATCTTTCCAGTCTTGCTCGTTAATTGGGCTAGACCAATCCAGCAAGCATCAACACCACCAAATCAGAACTATGTCTCAAAGCACTGGAGGAGCGCCAGTCTGTTATGCCATGCCTTTTTGGTAAGCCTGAAGGTACCACGGGCCAGCTCTGCACCTGGATCACGAGTGCCAAACTGTCCGATATCCCCAACCATATCATCTAGCGCGCCAAATGCCTGATACTGGACGGCGTTGCCTGTGGTCTGGTCGCAGCGCACCTCTCGTGGTCAGAAACCGCTGTCAAAGGCGTGTGCGCCTTGGTCCCCTCGAAGGTTGGCCAATGCACCCTTATTAGCTGAGGGAGGGAGAAGAAATTGCCCCCTGTGGCGGCGGCCACCTTGAACAGTACATTTATCCAGGGTTTTTAGCTCGATGATTATCATTCAACAGCGCCTTTACACTCGAATGTCTTACTGATACCTGCTTTGCTGGCTTCAGGGGAGGCTACGCCCTCGGCCTTTGACACCACTAGCACTACGGAAGCGTGTTTCTCATCGGGTGCCGGTTTTCTGCTTGCCTACATCGTCGGGTGCGAAGTTGCCTTCGGATTGGACTGGCACAACATGTGAAGGGTAGTTGAAGATGTTCTTCCCAATTCGCGCATAATCGTCAGTCCGGTTTGCGGCATTACATCTGATTGGCTCCTCGCACCTCCAAAACCTTGGCCGGCGGGTGAATCTCCGCTCTCCGCACCAGCCGTCCACACACTCTCCTTTCTGCAGCTGCTCTTACTTTCATTTTTCCCTCCTGCTTCTCATTAACCGAGAATTGTATTGGACTTTCAGTTACGTGCTGCTTTATCCTCTAGTCATAATCCATTGGGGCACTTCCCGGACTCTATGGCTAGAGTCGGGACACAACAGTACACTGACTGAACGAGACATTCCACCTTATCCCAATCTTCAGCTTCTTCCGCCGCCACCAGAGGAAGATTGTGTAATGAGCATCTGAGAATGGTCACCCAACTGGGTAAATCAGATTCAGCCTTTGCGACTAGCGCTCGCCCGCTAGTGCCCCTAGCATCACGTGGAAACAATGAGCCAGCCCCTGCCCAAGTGTGTTCTGCAACTGGAAAACGCAAACGAGTTGCTTGTATAGAATATCGCCAGGGGAAAGTAAGTGGCTCCGTCTGGCCTTTCTAGAGATTCGCAATACTCTTGGAAGCTTCATTGGCCTGTTCGCCAGTTACGATGTGAGAGAACAAGTTTGCAACAAGTTTGCATACGAGGCCAAGATCTCGGGTTGTCGTGTGTCTATGACGATGATTATAAGAGACATAATAAAAGAGTGTGAGTCAAGATTGCTTCTTGATGATGCCCGCCACGGAATTTCTACCGAGAATAGAAAGCTACGAGAACTCGCTGAAGAAGTCGGACGACTCTGAGCAGCGCAACCTCGGGTTTTTAAATATATCCCCACGGACCCTAGATGGTTCCTACTCGCCACCGGACCGTGATCGTATAGAATGCCCAGTTCCAGCTGTCGATGAATCTCGAAGTGTCTTGGTTGCTTCGAACCCTTCGTCCGTCTTAACAGACTCACAACTTCGCAACCCACATGTTGCTGCTAAGATTCAACCCGTTCCAGCACTCAATCCACACTCTCAGCAACGTGACTGTTACACCTTCTCAGATAGACAGGCTATTCCAGACGTGAGTGCTTCCTGTATAGATATAGCAGTCGCTCATTTGGTGAATATAGGTTCTTTCCCCAGTATCAACCATTTATACTATTCATCGAGGGAGGTGGATTGCCTGATGAATATTATGCAAAGTCGCCACTGCTTTTCTGGACTATCATTGCTATCGCTTCCAGAAGAGATGAATAGGAGCCTACTATGCTCACCAGTCTTTCAGAAGTTGTGCAAGGCCTGCTGTGGCAGACGGTACCAAAAGTTCCGCATTCTCGACTCGAGCTGAAGGCTATGACCTTGCTTTGTCTCTGGCCATTCCCAACCTCCTCTATGAGTACACACCCGTCGTTTATATTGGCTTCAGTTGCAAAGATCAGTGCAATACACATTGGTCTCCACAAGCCATACTTTGTCCAAGACTCTTTCACGAGTCAAATTTCGTTTTATCCCCGAGGCGTTCAGGGACGCACTGCTGGTGTGGTCAGCATGCTTCATCGCGGAGGAAAATTACTGATCTCCCCTTGTTCCCCATCTATCATTTATCCAACAGTGTCCCTAGCATAACATCCTACATTAGACAGTTTTCGTTATTTGTCACTGATGCCACACTCGATATGATCTGCACTTCCGAAAACCACGGCAATCTCCCTTTGGAGATCTACCATATGGTTCCTATAACTCAATTCTGTGATCGCTTTCACAGGGTGATGGCGAGCGGAGAAAGACGAATGGCTAGTCTTGAGGAGAATGATGGCGGAGTTCTGCTACCACTGTACGAGTCCGAATTAGAAGATCTCCGGTGGATGCTCGGACCAGACTTGTTCAGTGCACTACACACCCACCAGGGTTTGCTTCTGTCCAGATTTTAACCTAAGCGCAGAATTCAATGAAATCCTATATCTCTATGCCACACTTTAGCGCCGAAGTTAGTATTTCCTAGAGCGATCTCACCAAGCCTCACAGCAGAAAGAATATATTCTCAAAGCATATCGTGCAGCACTCAATGTCATTTGGAAGTGCCAAAGGAGGGAAGAACATTCTAAGCTGTTAACGAGCGGTCCCAAAATATTCACCCGTGGGCTGTCTGTTGCTTGTAATTTTGCCTTAAAAGTCCTTCGGAACGGTCGCTATTCGCGGTTCATTGACCTAGACGAAGGTCGCAAAGCATTCAACCTCGGCGTAAGCATGATCAAGAAGTGTTCCATCGAAGACAACGATCTACCGGGAAGATATTCCAAGATTCTTGCACAGCTTTGGGGGCCTATATCGGAAGCTATTGCCTCACAACCAGAGCTCAAGGTGAGAAGGCGTCTGGGGCCAACCTGCTCCATGACAACTTTGAAAATGGAGACGAAATTTTGGAGGGCTGCCTTGTGGTAGAACCATCGCAGCCTTACAGGCCGAGAATGGGAGTTCTTCCTCGTCTGCTGTATTGGACGTCAATGCAGGTGGAAACACACATGCCACTGACACTGAAAGAGCCAGGGAACAGAAAGTCAACCCTGACTCTTCCATGGCTCAGCTTGATACCGGTTCCAAAGGCGCCTATGCCCCGATTCTGTCCCGTTCTACGTCAACGTGGCTCGAAGAACTCGGAGAGATGGATATGGGATTATTTGATGAGAACAACAGTCATTGGTTTTGGAATCAAAACGGTATTTCGACTTTGATGGCCACAGATTTGGATGGCATTAAATTACACTCGGATTAAATCTTCAACAACTAGCGTGGAGAACATCTTTCTGAATGACAGCACCCACCCGACTCTGTGCCTCGCCTTGAAGGGGACGTGTCTCTTTGAAGGAAGATCCACAAACATTTCCAGCCACTGCAAGCATAAACCAGGAGGTGGATCATATGCCAGCAGGCATTGTGCTTTCAGGGTATAGGTTATACTGGAATTGATGCTTTGGACTAGCTACATGTATCCCTGACTGATAATTTAGTTCTGAGTGGCAAGTTAATACGAATATATATCCATTTGGTATCCCGGAGAAATGAAAGCAGTGTTTAAAATGCAATACCAAGCAGGTCGGACTCTCTTGGTTCAGCCACATCTGTTAGCAAGAACCCTTTTCCGTTCAGTATCCAGGACACCTCCTCCCTACAGTTGCCGGTAACGGACCTAATCACGGCCACCAATGCTGTGCAGTCGCCCCTTTGAACCCAGGCCGTAAGTCGGCCGGAGCATCATGAGCTCCATCATCATCAGACATCGTACTCCGCATCAACACCCCGCTCACTGGTCTGCCCGGTTCAGATACGGGAAGAGTGCTGAGGAACGGGGGTCAATGCGCGAGTCAAGGCCAGAACTTCAGCTAGTCGGTGCATTCATACTTTGGAGCAGTGCGCTAATAATCCTTGCTGGCCGGTATTGTTGCCCCCTTGCTATCGCTTCCACCTTGAGGGGTCGCACGTGCAGCTCAGCACTTCTTTCGAAGGCAGAACGGAGCGGATAGCATTGTGACGAGCCGTATACCAAACTGAGAAACAGGTGATATGGCTGATTTCCATGGACAAACCCAAGTTTTCTTTTGAAAGTCGAGCAGCGTAACCGGACAAGTTTCAGAAACTTGGAGTCGCTACAAAAGTGAACCATTGACACAACCTACCTGGGCAGACTAGTGTTTTGACATCACCATGGGAAGCTTGACACCTGGCACCACTCAAGGTACCGCTCAGACCTTCGATGTCATCGTCGTGGGTGGCGGGAATGCTACCCTTGCCCCAGCAATCTCAGCACAAGACTGTGGCGCTCGGGTGCTCGTTCCAGAAGCTGCGCTAAAGGAAGACCGTGCCTGCGAAGCGACTGTTGCCGGCACGGTCTTTTGGGCTTCGCATGAGGGCACGGACCATGTCAAGAGCTTGCTTTGAGAGGAGGCCATGGACGACACCACATACTGCACCATGGGCCCTTACACGGACGAGATGTTCTACAACGATCTTTCCAAAACATCCCATCGCCGTCTTGACAAGGGCATTGCAGAAGTTTTGATCAAGGAGGGCTGGGAGACAACGGAGTGGATGAAGTCCAAAGGCCACAAATGGAAGTTGATGATTAAAAAGTCTCACGACGTCGAGAACCTGGCTTCCAGAGGGGAGGTGATAAATATAAGCTCTGGCGCATGGCGGTGGGCGGCGGTGTCTGTCTCACCGATACATGGTGGGCGGCAGCCGAAAGTCTCGTGCCGATTGGGAGAATGACTCTCCGGTTCGACAGCCCAGCTCACAATCACATCGCTGCCGGAGACACAGTGCACGGCGTCAAGATCTGCACCGCGATGGCTTCACAGACGTCCATGGGAAGGTGGTGTTCGCCAGCGGTGGCCTTTCATCCAATCCAGCCATGCGCCGCCAGTACCTCGGAGAAGGCTGGGAACCTGATATTTGTGCGCGGAGCTAAATACAACATGGGCACGATGCTCAACCGTGCCATCGTCGCGGGTGGCCGTCCTGTTGGCCACTGGGATGCTGCCCACGCCTCACCCCAGGACGCCAACGGTCCCTTAACAGGCGACATCAATGTCTCGATGCATATGCCGCGATACGCGTACCCATACGGCATCACCATCAACAAGGGCGAGCGCTTTTTCGACGAAGGGAAGGACGATTTTGACAAGACATACGCAAAGACTGGCAAGAAGATCGGCGATAAGCCCGGAGCCAGGGCGTTCCAGATCTTTGACCAGCAGAACATCCACCTCCTACCCAAGCGGTACCAAACGGCGACGCCTATCTACGCCGACACCATCCAAGAGCTCGCGGAGAGGATGGGCGTAAATGCCGCGGGCCTGCTCAAGACCGTCGAGACGTTCAACGCTGCATGCTCCGGTGACGCCACCAAGTTCAACCCCACCAGACTGGACGGGCTGCGCACGTCGCCCGAGGCGAAGCTACCATTTCCCAAGACGAATTGGACTACGAGGGATCGACAGGGGCCTTTCTGTAGCCTACGCCGTGGCATGTGGCATCACCTTCACATATGGCGGCATCGCCACAAATACGGAGGCCCGTGTACTGAATAATGAAGGATAACCCATACCTGGACTGTGGGCCTCGGGTGAGATTACCGGCGGTCTCTTCTACCACAATTACCCTGGAGGAGAGGGCCTGACCAAAGGCGCTGTCTTCGGCCGGGTCGCTTGCGACTTCTATGGCAGCGAAGTAAAATGGCGTGTGATGTACAAGAAGATATGAAAACCAGGAAGTGGGTAGTTCTCCTGCCTTTGACGCATTGTAATGATCATTAGCAGCGAATTCTAAGACTTGATCGATTTCGTCTTCCGCGCGACAGGCCGTCCCTCTCGGAGTGGTAAGGCAGCAAGTGGGGATAACGTCTCTCCCCATTGGCTGCGCGGTGGAATAAAGCGGCATGTGCTTTATACCTAGATGGTGTGAGTTCGGTGCCTGCAGCGGCACATGTCACCGATATGAATGACCGCTCTTTATGTTGAGCCGTCGTGTAAGTCACCACCACTGTATTTCATTCCTCCCGTCCGTATTCAGGCTTTTCGTCTATGGCGAGATCGTCTTGAGGCCTAGACCAGATGGCCCTGCCTCTCCCAGGCTCCCCTTCGTCATCCTGGGCCATCTTCCTTGAACGCCTTAAGCAAAGCTTCAGCGGCGCTGACCCTCGAGTCTGCGTCGCCTTCTGGCTCTTTGGTAAGTCTCTGCTGAACCTGGCGGTATTTCTGTCGCATTTGCTCCCTTGCCCTGAGGAAAGGAGCTGGAATGTTATTTTCAGAGACTAAAAGGTGCGCAGGCTTGATCAACAATGTCCTCTATGTGATCATTCTTTCGGCTGCCCTTGACCTCGTCGGTCCCAACATCCCCAAAGGAGTCGTCCTGCTCGCCGATGTGATCCCTTCGTTCGGCGTCAAGCTGTGCGCCCCATACTTCATTCATGTCGTTCCCTACTCGATTCGGATCCTGGTCTTCGTGGTGCTGTCCGTGGGCGGCATGCTGTTGATCGCCCTCACACCTCCTTACACAGATGGTGGAACAATTACCACCAAACTCGCAGGAGTGATTCTGGCATCGCTGAGCAGCGGTGGAGGAGAGTTGAGCTTTCTCGGTCTGGTTCATTACTACGGTCCTTTCAGTCTCGCTGCCTGGGGGAGTGGCACGGGGGGCGCTGGTTTAATAGGAGCCGGAGCATACGCACTCGCGACCACAACACTGGGCCTCAGTGTCGGCACAACATTGCTGGCATCTGCCTGCCTGCCGGTTATTATGCTGATCAGCTTCTTCCTTGTGCTACCCTTGGGGCCTCTGCGATCACATTCTAAGAGACATCACGACGGCAATTCGCCACTCCGGAATGACGACATCCTCAACCAAGAGCAAAGAGAGGGACTTCTTTCTTCTCCAGATGCCGCCAAGCCGACCAAGTCCAGGATGTCTGCTTGGTCGTTGTTCAGGTACAACTTGACTCGAGCTAAGGCGCTGTTCTTCCCATACATGCTACCACTACTCATGGTATACGTGGCCGAATATACCATCAACCAAGGCGTCGCGCCGACCCTGCTATTTCCGCTTGAGAGGAGTCCTTTCAAACATTTCCGAGCCTTTTACCCAACCTATAATGCGATATACCAGATAGGGGTATTCATATCCCGGTCCTCGACGCCGTTTCTCCGCGTCCACAATTTGTACCTGCCATCAATTTTGCAGGTGATCAATCTGGCGATCTTGACGCTTCATGCACTCTTCGACTTTATCCCCAGTGTGTACATTGTCTTTGCAATTATCTTGTGGGAGGGTTTACTGGGCGGTCTTGTTTATGTCAACACATTTGCCGAGATCAGCGAAGCAGTTCCTAAAGAGGATCGCGAGTTTTCCCTATCAGCGACCACGGTAAGCGACTCGGGCGGGATTTGTATTGCAGGTTTTATGGGCATGGCGTTTGAAGTGTGGTTATGCAATTGGCAGGTTAGGCATGGCAAAGACTATTGTAAGAAGTTGTGACGCAAGGAGGATATAGGATCTCAAGACAACCTTCACCTTTTCGAGGAGGACGAGCATGCTGATGGCGCTCCTGGATGGGATCTATGGATATGAGTCCCGGGCTTTGACAGTTATACTGCACCCCGCAGGAGAGGTAGACCGGAAATGTAAAATGCAAGAACCAGCCATCCTGCCAGGTCAAGTCCATAAGGAAGTCTTTGTGATTCGGAAGTCAGAAATACGCCATGTCTGCATCCAATCGATAGCGCAGTGAGTCACTCGAGGAGCATGTTCCGTGCCGGAAACATGGTCGAACCGCACGTCGGTAGCCGGAAACCTAGATTCAAACTGGGTATGAGGAAAAGGAGCAAACAATGTGTAACGGCCCGCACGAGAGGGCCGGAGATGGGGGGAAGAGATCGAGACAATGGAGAAGGCCGTACGATCCTTGGGATATTGAGCATCTTCAAATTGTTCTTTAGATTGAGGCAACCAGAGCCGCTCGAAGGTTCCTGTCGACATCAATGTTATCTCGATTTAGCAGACAGTTGAAACAGCGCCACGACTTGCTCCGGACTCCATGCGCCACGTAAGGTTCAACAAACTCTACGAGCTTGTCGCATGCCGAGCCGCAGAAGTGGAAAAAGGAACGAAGCTTCGTCTCCAGACTCTGCTCAAAGTCTTTTCTCTTGCTTCATATTAGCATTGACTGCTCCTTTGTCCATCGTCTATTGCTCTTCTTGACTCTACTTACAGGAGCGGTGAGGACGAGGCCTGCGCTCCATTTAGTAGAGCCGTACACTTCCCAACAGTGGCTTCCTTCACCGCCCGCACACCGGACCCAATTATCGTCAGCAGCGTTGCTTAGACCCGAGGCCCTGGCTAGAGAGGCACGTATACAGGACAAAATCAATCATCGGGAGCTTGCAGGCTCAAAGGAGAGTATTGCTTCTAGGTAGCATGCATGCGCGAAACAAACATCGTCAGGCTTGGGATCTACATTGCAGGACGGCGCCATATTGAACGAATCAAAATCTGGCAATCTTCGCCTAGTTTACGCCCTGAGAGTCGGCCGCCCTGGTGTATTGGAACCAGATGGATTCTAGCCAAGGTCAACGAGACATATCCTCGAGCATATCACGGCATGGTCGAACGAATACTGAAGATGGACGAAGAGCCCCCTTCTATGGCCGAAAAACTATGCCTCCGACAACAGACGACTGGAGACTCGATGACAGTCGACTATTGCAACCACAACCTTTGCGTCAGCGACACGGGCAAACGAAAGCAGCATGGTTCGGAGGAAAGGAACTGTCAACAGAACGCCGCCGATTCGGCGGTCAGGCTGATTATGACAACGATGATACAGGATCAGGTACGTGCGTCTGATTGAATATTCAAATTGCTGTGCTTTGTGAGGTCGTCAGCGAGCAAGGCGTCGAATTTGCACCAGTGAGGGAGGAGATATACTTACTCCGGGGGGTTCGTCCAACCCAATACGGGCCATTCCATGCACGCTCCCGCAGGGCCCCTCTTCGTTTTGTCAGCGTGCAGACGCTAGACATGTCATGCAACGGACAGCAACTGCCACGAAAAGAGGCCAAAGCTGGCCAAAAACAGGAGAAGCAGCGGCAGCAAGGGACCAGACGATCAGCACGGCAGCATCATGGTGATGTCTAGAGAGACGCATCCCGGTGATCCAACACAATTTGGATCATAAATCCCCAAGGATCCCTGCCTACACCGTCTTCCGACGCGAGGATGTCGCCTGCGCCCGTGTACCGCATCGGCCACCGCTTTGTCAGGGATCCAGGACAAGCCGCCCACCCCCAAAGGAGCCGGGGCCCTGGTCGGGGCCCAGACCCCTTGAGAAGCAAGCGACGTCATTGGCAAGATAGACTTTGTGTGGCCTGTCTTGGGTTGGGCAGGCGTCCTTTTAGCTAACGAGGAGGCGCATCCACCCCCCGGCACGCCCCTTGGGCCCTTGGAGACGCCAAACGATCACGCCTCTTCCAAAGGCGGGCTACCTGCAGACTGCACCTGAGCCTTTTCTGATCTGGCGCCCTGGCATCCCTGTCTTGGGTGGGTGAATCGGCTTCTCGAGAGAAAACACCCTTATTTGACTGGTCCGAGGGGGCGAGGGGGTTTGCATGACACCCCCGTCACTTGTCGCCCGGCCCCACCCACTACTGACGAGCTGGGTACCTACGTGACCTTCCCTACCAGGTACCTTGCTTACCCTGGAGCCCAACCATCAGGATCAGCTCTTGAAAGAGCGGGTAGATGTGTCAGGGTTTGGGTATGGCACCACTCCTCAAATGGGTATACCTAAGCTAGCTTGCTCAGGGTCTGGTGCTGGTTCCTTGCTTGCTCCCTCTCTGCCCGATGCCTACTGCTTGAAGCTGGCTGCTGGTGCTTGCCCCGGAAAGCGGTCGGAGGCGCGTTCTTCTGGTTCCTTTCCCGGATGCTGGGCGTTCCACCTTTGCACCCAGATCCACCCCAAACTCGCAGGCGACACCGCATCCACACCATCACATTTGCGCATGATTGATTCTTCCCATCCTCATCCTCCATCTCTCATTCTCATCTTTCACCCTCACACTCTTCACCACACGATGCATGATCGTCCACTATTCTTGTCACCTTCTGCATCCACATAGATCCCAGCCCATTATTGTGCTATGCTTCTCACTGCCGCCATAGGCATCCTCTTCATGCGTCGCTAACGTCTTGTTCCTTTTTCTCCGGCTCCAGTCGCGGCAGTCTCCACATCGAATTCTGCGCAGCCTCCGCATCATTATTTGCTACACCAGCATCTCCTCCCTGTTGATCGCCGTCCAGCATTCTACCATCCTTCACCTCTACTAGGACAATCTCACTTTCACCATCCGGCCAAAATGGCAATGCCAGGCCATTCACCCGCATTCAATGGACCTTCGAGTCCTCCTCGTTCGTTCACCGGTATGATTTTGACTCCTACCGCATAACATTTTCCTACTATCATCAGGACGCGTTGTGTTATGGGGATCATGCGACGACGCTTACCGCCATGCATTATGTACTTTCCCACACTTCACTTCCTCATCGCACACAGGCCTCGACGCTGCTCCTTTTTCTGACTTCTCTGTCCAGGCTACTCCGAACCTCCGCAGGCCCCAGCAATGTACGGACTTCCTCGCACCATGCTGCCGCCGTCTCCACAGCATTACCCTGCTCCCCGATATTCTCAACCACCTCTACCAGCAAATTCTGCTACCGTGGCCGTGAACAACGGAGCGCCACTTCCTCACAAGAGACCAGGAAGTAGCATGTCGATATCCTCGATGCTGGGCTCAGAACCAGAAAAGCCGGCTCACGAGCAATATCACGCCCATAACCAGCCGTCCAGACCACCTTCGGCGCAGCTCTCGCATCCAGGACCCTCCATGTCCCTGGGTGCAGTCATGTCGCCACCCCAATATCCCACCAAACAGGGGCCGGGAGAATACTCGTACAAGCCAAGATCCAAAACTCCTGATAGGATGGCAGGGACAGCGCTGGGGCCGAGACCGCATCGCTCGAGCTCGGGAACCATGACCCAGCGACCAGGGCCATTCTATGAACCTCCACGATCCGGGCCAAGCCAGGTGAATATGAACCTATATTCGGAACCGAGATATACACCTCCTTTCGGACCTACCGTAATGCCCAAAGATGAATTCGAGGACCGCGCCCGTCGCACCAGTCTTGGTGGTATCTTGCAGCGGCCGGAAAGTCAACCCCAGCCGACCAATATCTCACCACCATTCCCGCCCACGTCACATCCACCGGCTCGGCCAGAGAGCATACCTCCCTCTCTTCCACCGATCGACCGGACTGGTGGTCAACCAATGGGCGCTCACGATCCTCCACGTTCAAATGGGCTCGCTGGACCCTACGACACTCGACCACCCAGCCTGCCGACTTTGTCTCGTCTTCCACAGACGGGACATCCACCACAGCCTGTGTCGGCTCCGCATGAACGGTCTGCAACCCAATCTCTTTCCCCGGAAATCAGACGCACTCATCTAAATAGCGGCGAAGGTCGTCTGGCAGGCATCCTCAATCAACAGGGCGAACCGATATACTCGGCGCCAAACATGATGCGGCAAGACTCTGTGCAGTCGCTCAGCGACCGCTCCGTCCTTGGCGACCGCTTGCGCACTAACCGAGCCTATTCTCCTTTTGCAGGATCAGTCGCATCAGGGCCTTTGGAAGAACAAGTCCGCAAGGGCAGCGAGGAACTATCACAACACAGAGCCATTCTCGGTCTAGCAAACGAATCGAAACGTGGAAGATACTCACCAGTGCCTCAGGCAGTGCAAGGCGCCCAGGCACATACTCCAGTGCCCGACGCCGGGATCAAAACAGAACACGGTCGAGTCTTTGCTGGTATTGGGAGTGGGCTGGGCTCTACATCTGCTGGGCCTACCCCCGCGCCGCAGAATTTACCTGCCAGCCCGTTCAAGCGTGACGAAGGCGGTGTTCGCCTGAGTGAAGAGAATCTGATGAAGATGTCCCGGAGTAGTTCCGGAATTAGCAAACGCAACCGAAAGGTGCTGGATGAAGATGTCCGAGCCGAGAGTGACGTGGGCGACGTAAAGAAGTCGGGTTCTGGGCGAGGCAAGAGAAGCAAGTATTCCCATACGTACAAGTTGGATCTCGAAGACACTCCACCGGGACAACGAAAGAATGGGACGTTCCCAACCTCAAACCCAGTTCGACGGGCAGGCACCCCAACATCGAACCCGACGCAATTGCTTCACAATCCACAGATTCCGCGTCCATCTTCGGCGTCTGGACGATCTTCGGCTTTCAAACCCAAGAAGGTCATCAGAATATCCTCAGTTGTGGCACAAGCTCGACGTAACCCGCGTCGCCATCTTGGGTTCTTCAAATATGAACCTGTGGTCGGTGTAACCGACTTCGAACGGCCTCAGCCGCAGAAATTCGACGTTTCAATCCGGCCCAATCTCCTGCCGTCCTTCAAGGACCCAGATCAGATTAATTGTACTTATACTGTCAAGGTGTCCAGCATGTGGCTTCAACAGAAAGAAAGGAACCTTATCGGCTGCGAACAATACTTGTGGGGATCAGGTATATATACGGATGACTCTGACCCGGTGGCAGCTGCAATGCATTCCGGCTTCATTCAATCTGCACACATTGAGGATCCTCTTCTAAATAGGCTCATTGACGAGCAGAATCCCCGAATCGAAGGTCTATCAGCGCCGGATACGCCAGCCCCCGTGCCAGAGGGAAAGGATCTGCATATCACTCTGATTGTCCTGCCACAATTGGAAAATTACGCCGACAGTGTCCGCTTTGGAATCAAGAGTCGCAGTTGGCCTGAACCTAGTTCAGAGAACTCCACAGAACACCTGGCACCACATGATGGTGTGAGTTTCATGGTTCTCAAGACCCAATTCCTTGATGATGGCGTGTCGAATCGGCGGCTGGGACGAACCGGCGAAGAGAAACGAAAGAGATTGCGAGAGGAATTGGCGGATCGCAAACGTGGGCTCGACCTGATGAAGGAAAAGATCGCCCTAGCTCGAGCGAAGGAGAAGGAGAGATTAGTAAAATCGAGTCGCCGCAGAAAAGAGCCTCACTCCCGTGGTGAGAAGGATATTACGAGGACGGAGGAGAGAATCGTGGGCAACAAGAACATTCCTGATCGTTTGCATGAAGGGGGAGCCGGAAAGGAGAACCATTTACCTACCAAAGCCGTCGCAGGTCAGCACTCTGAAGATGGGGAAAACGAAGATCGGAGCACTGCATCCGACGAGATGATGAAGCTTGATGGGGTAGGACAAAGTCCCGACTCGTGGATCAAACAGCTAAACGACGTCGCCGCCACTGCTTAGAATGCTCGCGGGCCTCCACAGCAAAATCAGCTGGACTACGCTTTTTCTCATAATCCTGCTATGGCCACAGCGTCCTCGTACACCCGGGGGCAGCACGTCCAGGAGCAAAATTACAGATCCCGTATGGTCCCAGATGTGGCCGTGCGGTCAATCGAAAAAGTCGGTTTTCCTGGTGTCAATCAAAAGAACGCCGATCCTGCTCGTCCACTGCGGGTCAAGCAGGAAGTTGAGGACGATGTTGAAAAAGATGATTTCGATGGCGAAAATTGGCTTGACGCCGACGAAGACGTTCTTCGTGCTCGACTTCGCGCGCGAGGCCTGAAGCTGGACGATATCCCCTTGTTTTGAACATATGGAGTGACTGTGGCTGTCCTTGATCAGTGGTTGCTCTTTCGGATGTCTTTTCCCAGCCCAGACACGACCAGAACTTGGCTTCGTGCGTTTTGACATTTGATGTGATTGTATGGCCCCAAAGGGAGGGCTTAAATGAGGAGAAAAAATGATGACGATTTGGCTATGAGCATATATTATGGGATGAGATAGAGTGCTTGGACTTTGAATTCGAACTGCATGTCGGACTTGGCTGGACCAGCCGGGCCACAGGCTGTATTCGTTGTTATTCTGAGACGACGATGGCGGGTTGTACCCTATGGCGGCACAAGAGAATGATGCTGTTAGTACATAGATCGTATTGATTATGTGTTGTCATCTCCCATGTTGAGGAGTATATTCATATTAATATATACATGAAACGTCTTCATCGTCATCCTGATATGCCACATATTCCTCATTTTCTGTATGAACAGAGCATATTAACATGTATCCCTCCTCACTCAAGCAGCGTTGCGCCTCTCCCTCCCCCTCGCGCTTGTGCTCGGCTTCTGGGCCTTGTCTCCGCCAAACAAGTCACGCCAGAACTGCTTGAAGCCGTAGCTCTTATCACCGCTCTCGTCGCGGATCGTGCCCTCATGTCCTGTCCATTCATCCCCACCGAAGCGCTCAAGCACGCCACCGGCTGTGTCCCTGTGGCGGACGACACGGATCTTGGGAGGTGGACGCGTGCTGCGCTCCCGGATCTCGTCGGCCAGCTGCGGCGCGACGTCGGCAAAACATCGCCGCATCTCACGCTCCAGCGTGAAGTACGGCTTCTGTGCAATCTTGGGCGCCATCAGGTTGTACGAGCGAGTCAGAGCGTTAAGGTTTGCGACAGCTAAAGTGTGGTATGCCAGCTCGGCTTGCTCCCATGTTGGGTCGCGGAAGGGGTGTGGCATGGGCAGGACGTGTGCAGAGGGTGATGGTTGCGATGGTGGAGAAGAAGTCGTGGGCGCTTGCTCGGACGACGTAGATATGATATCTTGAGGTGCTACTGTTGGCAGCGCATCGGTGCTGGGGTCGGTGACGGGAGTATTCTCTGCGGGCTGCTCGGTGACTTTGATTTCGGTCTGTTCATCTTGCGCCTCTGTTGAGTCGGGACGTTCGACAGCCACTCCGACGGCAATCCTCTCCTCGACACTCACGGTTGTCAAACTGCCGTCGCTCGAAATGCTGCTTAGATTCTCCACCCTCCGCACCGGGCGAGGGTTCACCCTCTCCTCGGCCAGCGCATACCCATAGGCCCGGCGCACCTGGTCCTCGACCGTGCCGCCTCGACTGGAGATCATGCGGGCCGCGTGCCTCCGCCAGTCGTTCCGCAGACGGCCTCGGAAAGTCGCGACGGCCTTGACCAGTTCCTGCTGCTTTTCGATCCAGGGTGGGACGATCTCCTGCTTCTGGATGATCTTGTTCATGAAGTACTCGGTCGTGTCGAGGAAGGGCGAGTTAGCGTTGTAGTCGCGTTCAACGTTGATGCCCTTGCCGCGACTGATGTTCTTAAATTGTCCCCGCGCGATGGCATCCTCGATCCGTTCATTCGCCAGGCTTGTCAGCCCTGCAATGCTCGCTGGCATCGGCCGCGCTCCCGGCGAGAACCTATCCTTCAACTCCCTGCGCCACTTTTCGCGCTCTTGCTCCGTCATATCGCTCTGCTGGCTGATAGCGTAAATTGACGTCTTATCCCGCGCGCGGGCCAGCCGGTCGGCTGCTGAGATGTTCTTCTTGGGCGTTGGGCGCAGGTTGACTTTCGGAGGAATTGACGGCGGACGCGCCGGAGACCGCAGTTTCTTGTGGCTGTCGTCGAGCATGCGGAGCACCGAGTCGTGGACCGTCTCCGTGCCGCGCCAGGGTTCTGCGCCTGCGATATCGCGCGTACCTTTTCCTGCGGCGTTCTGTCAAGTGCATATAATCTATTAGTCCCAATGTTCTTTTGTTGCAGTATTTACCATTGCTGAGCCAAACCAGAGGGCAAGGGGTTTTGGATTTCGTACAGGCATCGTGACTTGGCTCACAGCCTGTTGATTCTGTGCCGCAAAGCCTGTCTGTGCAATCCTCTCTTCCAACTGCTTCTTCAACTCTTCCGAGAACCCGGCATCCTGCATCAACTTGTGGTCACTCTTGGTACCCGTATCCATCGTCTCCTCCGCCATCTCGGCCAGCCTGCGCGACATGGCCCCTTGCGGCTCTCCGTGATCCTGGCCACCGAGAGTTTCTTCGGTAGCGTGCGGGCTTCCGATCTTTGAATCGGCAGGTCCTTCATCGTGTCGGAATGCTGTGTTGCTGAAAGGGTGGCAGCGTCGGCGACGCCGGCGAGGGATCGCGGTGCCGCCGCCGTCGAGCAAGGGACCCCGCAGCCTCGTGGCCCTAAGACAACGGGTACAGGTCCAGAGCTGGGAGCTGGAGCTGCTCATCTTGGAGAGTGAGACAAACGCAGACATACAACACAGATTCTATAAGAGTAGCGAAAAAGAATTATGATGGAAGTTTGCCGCCAGCTTCTTTTCTCCGCACATTCCGTCCAATCACGACATGCATCGGGGGGTATCGAGTAGATACAATTCTAATAAACCGAACGAACAAAGCATGCTTTTCCATCACCAGCTGTGCATCGTACGTGGCGGCAGGACCCGAGAGAATATATTTACCCCGGTTGGCAAGATTGCTCCATCATCTGAAGGAAACTCGACCGGCCTCAACTTCTGAAGATCTGTGCTGCTAATTGACCCTTGCGGCTATCTTCGTGGCAGGCTGGCAGGTGGCTGGTGTCCTCGGCGGATCAGCACTCGATCAACGGGTTTTGAAGTCGGTGCTGAGAGCGATAGCATCGTCCATGTCTCCTCTCTTCATTCTCTAATCCATTCCCATCCTTTCACACCTTTTCTGACTTAGCATCCTTCGTTCTCACGTCCGCTTCTGCTGAATAGAGACACGATTTCTTCCTCCTTGAGCTTGTTCTATTTCTGTCTCTTTCATTGCCCTGGAGGAGCAAGAAGAAAATAATGCCATAGAGCACTTGAAGAAAGAGACAATCAGGGACAAATACAATAGGAGGTGTCCGATGGCCCACACCAGAAGTGCCAGGAGAGCCGGGCACTGGTCCCACAGTTTCTATACATATAGCTCGCTGGCCCCATGCTCAATATATCGCATCGACTCCGCTGATTTGGTGGTTTTCAAAACAAGTTGCAGCTCGCGGGATAGGAACGGTCCTCTGGTCGGTTTCAAGGCCCGAATCAAGTTGAAAGGCGATCTCGTGCAGAGACTTCTGAGCTCGATGTGTTTATCTTCTGGCAAAGCATTTGCGTCGAGATGGATCTTGAGATCGGCAAGTGCATGCTTCGAAGAGGGGATGATGGGTGCGCGCCGCGCAGTATTCACATGAATAGGGACGATGGGGTATGGGTGATCTGAGTTTTGATCCGATGCTCACTAGTCTGACGGTCTGGAATTAAGAGATGTTTGGCTGACTGGTGTCACATCCCACGTCGGAAAATGTTGGCAAGTATCGTGAGGAGCCTTCAGGTGAGGGTGTAGACAGAGGACTGTCAGTATTCAATTAGACGAGGGTTTGTGGAGCAATGGCAGGAAATATTGCAGCCCTCTGCCGGTCTGGCCAAGAAGTGCCAAAAACAACAGGCCCTCCACGATCTTGTCCTCCCTCAGAAGTCAGGCTGGCTGAGGGGATGGGCAGTATGCGAAGGTCAAGGAGGTACCAGTCAGTGCATAGGATTGCATACGACGCTTTTTATTTGCATGCTGTCAGGACCTTGCAGAACGGAGTGCATGTGTAATGGGAATGCCTGGCGGGGGACGCAGGATCGCCTGAGACAGGCGATGGCCCTGAGAAAGTCCCAAAGGCAGAGTTACGGGTGTCTGGGGCCTTGTCTGGTACTGGCGTCTTGAGCCACGGTCCGGTTGAAATTCGACCTTAATGCCCGTGTAATCAGCTTTGTGAGATGTAGCTCGTGCCTTTGGATGAGGACCCCATAACTGTCCATGACACTGAGCTTTGAGTGGTTCTCGCAGACCATGTCCTTCGAGTGTAGGGAAGTCATCGTTTCCTGCTGGTTACCTTTCACCAGGATTGACTGGTCCTTCTACGTTGAAGAATCTGCCCATCCGGTATGTCAAGCGCATCCAGCAGATCCGGATTATTCTTGAACTCTGCGCTGTTGATGACGTCCTGTGCCTTTGACATATTTCTCTCGATGATGATTCCGGGCACCTCGCCGGCGTATCCTGCGTATTCGGGGACAGCAGTCAGGTCATTTCCCGGGTTGCCCAAGACTTTGGCCAGGTACCTCATAAGGGATGTGAGAGCCCGGCGCTTAGTTTCCTCATCCGAGTCCTTTGTGTTTTCCAGGGTGGTGGATATGATCGCGGGCATGTAGTAGGGCAGGACTGCCGTCTCATTATTGCCGTCGACATTCAGGCCTGTCACAAGTTGATCCTTGTTTCGCTTGTCTAGAGCGTTGAACGCTTTCGAGAATAGCTCGGCTTGCTCTTTATTTGTAGTCCGGCCCATAGTTAACAAGCGAAGGAGTGCACGGTCCTCCTGATCGCTCACACTCAGTCTGCGAAATCCCTTGATGTAGAGCATATTTCCACGTTTTGTGAGGACCTTATCATACCCTTGTCGAGGGTTAGATCTGCCGGCAATGATATCGAGAGACACCTCATGAACAGTTTTGAAAGCCTGGAAAACTGGTTCAATAAAGCTCTTGGAGCCACGAGGGTCAAGATGGCCCAGAGCGCCGGCGACGTCGAGGATTTGTTCCATGAACTTGAGTTCGAAGGCATGTTCATGGCCGCGCATGGTCAGGAGCCCCTCTAGATTGACAGGTACACTTTCGGCTTGAGCCAGTTGCCCTGCATTCAGCTCCGATCCGAGTTCTAGACCTAGCATCACTTCCTGCCTTTTCTCCGGCGTGAGATAGCGCAAAGCGGTGATCATCCCAGCTTTGGCTGCTGCCAGCAGTACAGAATCATGGTTCTGATCCTCCAAGCGATGGCGAGTCTTGAAATAGTAGTCTTCTTCCAAATTCGCATCTTTTCCCAAATCATTGATGACCATCGACACCACTAGGGCAAGAAGGTCATCTGAATCCTCAATACCTTTTTCGAAGAGATTGTGAAGCCACTCAAACGATTCCTTTGTCAAGCGCGACTCGGGAACTTGAGGTCGAATGAAGCGCTCATAGTCACGGTTGTGGACCCAACGAAGGGCAAGAATGCCCACAAGCGTCCGATTGACCTCGTCATAATTGATTCCGTAGAGAGCCTGTGAGGGGCTCAGTGCATCCGTCTTTCCATTGGCTGTAGCGCGTTGCTCGTCGGTGCCCTCGACGGCTCTTACGCACTTCAGTCGTTCAAGTTCGGGGGAGAAAGCGTCCTTGATCTGGTGAAGGAATGTATTTTCGTCCAAGGAATAAAAATTCCCGGTACGGATGGTCTCTTGGAGAGAGCACATTGGCCGAGAGTCGGTCGTCATCTGAGTTGTCGCATAAATCTCGAAAGATGAAGATCCTTTCTATCGCCACCAGGTCTTGCAATTAATGTCATGTTCAAGAGCGAGTAGGTCTGCTGACAGGGACCACACGATGATGACTCGTCCGTAAAGTCAGATCCAGAAGATAGTCACCGCCTTCTCGTGAATAGCGCACGGAGGAAGACGATGGCCATCAGGATGTGGCTGTGCAGGTGCAATTTCCTCCCCTCGTGATCCCCTAGGGAGCGGCGCAAGCCCCTCGGAGACTGTGAATCCGCTATCTAGAGAGCTTGAAAACAACCAAAGTGAAAAGGGACGTGGGAGGAGAGGAGGGAATGCATTATCTGAAGAACAAAATGCAGTGAGGCTGAATATCTGCTCTGGCAGAAGCAAGGCGTACTTGTTGAACACTGGGCGAAGCAACAAGCAACATGGGCCAGAAGCAGGCAATTGGGAAGTCGGGAGTTGGAAGGTGACTGGCCAAAACAGCCAGCAATGCCCCACTACGCTGATTGGCCAGATTGCCGACACCGCTTTGAGAGGTCCTGTCGTTTCTGCCATCGACCTGAGTCTTCAGGCGTCGACCTTAATACAATCCACCAGTCTATGTCGGAAAATGCACAACCACCATATCAAAGCGAATTCACGCTCCATGAATTCCTCTACGCTTTCTCACTAAATCAACGTCAGAAACCTGCCTATGCCATCCACTTCGGGTTACTGCCCTGACCTGCGACACAACACTCACAGAGGAAGGGGCTTGGAAAGGCGGAGCTGGAGCTAGAGCTGGGTGCCTTTCTGGGCAAAGAAGCCAGAGGAAAAAGATACACGACTCATAACAAGATGCATGTGCATGAGCACATACAGGCAGTGCAGGTTGGCTTTGCTCCACACTAGGATGTGACATCTCAAACGTCGAGGCCAGAAGCATAGAGGCAACCATGTTCCCGTGCTATCCTGAAGACATATGCTCTGCAAGCCTCCATTCTCCTCCATATAGGGAAAGTCCACAACACAACTCAGTCGGAGACTGTGCTCAAGGAGTCGACCAGTCGCTCTTCCATTGTCTGAAAACTAAACCACCAAACTGAAGGAGTGGATGGTGGCTTCTATGCAGACAGTGACATTGTTATGGGTTTGAAAGGGAACGGCATGTCATTTACATGGGTGCACTACCTAGGTATGGAGAAGGCGGGTGACTGGATGCCTTCAATAGCGCGAAACTGAACCATCATTATTTGTACCATGACCCGCTGGCAGCTCAACCTCTTCACTGCGATGGGCAGGCCCTCATTGTGACGTGGTTGAATCCGCGTTTAAGTGATTAGGCGCTCATTCCTTTTCTGTTTATGTATATCTGCTGTTCGCATCCCCCCTGTTGCGTGTCGGACGCGACGCTTCCATTTCTCATTCTACGCAGCGCCTTTCCTAGCTCCATCAGCTCAACATCTTATCATGTCGTCGCACCCACCGGGAGGTCAGCCGCCACCTAATCGCTTTATGAGGAGTCTTCACTCTACAAGAGCCATGCCAAGTAGCAGAAAACCGCAAATCATCAACACCAATATCCCTTCTCTCAACCAGAATTTGCAGCCTCTGTCTTCAGGAACTGACTGTGTCCGGAGTGCCAACTCTTCGCTCTACAACTTGCGCCTGATGCCACCGGCGCCTCCACCACGAATCCGCACCGAAGAAAACAGTCCGCCTCCAGACCTCGCAACTCTCGTAAAGTCTGCCATGGGTCGCCCACGTGCTGTTGTCTCCAAACCGGGCGTGAAGAAAGCAGCACCAGAGGATAGGGAGGAGCAGGAGGAGACCAGTCCCAAGACAGCGGCGAGCCGGGGAAAAGGAAAGGCAAAACGAAAGAGAAAGAGAAGATCCAGTTCGAGCGAGCGTGAACCTGATTTCACCAAGTATGTCCAGCGCATGAAGGCTCTCGCGAACAACCCTCCCACTTTCATTGGGCCTCTAAGGTTTCCGGGTGAGCCACTTCCTCAAACACTTACCGGTGCAGCTGAATGGGATAAGATGCTCTGGTCATGGAAGCTCAACCGTGTGGCGCACAAGTATATTCACCAGGAATACGAAAAGCTGGCAGGACGGAACATTAATAGGAAAAGCTTGCTGATTCGGTTTTGCAAGCTGAAGGAGCAATTTGCCCTGAGTGGAGAAATCAACGTATGTCCGGTCCTTCTTCCCTCTTCTGTTGTCTCGGTATGTTAATACGTTGCCCAGTTCCCCGACGGCTGGCTCGAACAATATCCCGGGGACATCAAATACCAGATTATTTCGGAACGAACGAAAGATGAGAGAGAAAAGAAGACCAAGTTGATTTCCGCCAGGACGAAGGCTATGGAAGAGATCGATTCGCTGTTGTGGGAGACTGTCCAGAGGATTTACCGGGAGGACTACGGACAGAACGTCTCCTGCGGCACGTTGAAGGCACAATGGAAAAAAGTTGAAAAGCAAACGCAGTCCAACGCTACCAAAGACAATGATGACAATTAGAAGGCCTAGAGAGAGCACAGAGAGACAGAGAGGGCGAAGAAGTAGAGGCGGGTGGCAGAGGCAAAGACAATCATAAACAGAGGAGCGAGACAGGATGGTTCGTCTTCGGCCAGGCAGTGAGCCTCAGACTGAAAATTAGGACGTTACCAAAAGGTATCCTCAACGAAAGCAGTCATGGATTGAAAGCATCGTGAGTCACAAAGAAACACGGCACCAATGGCACGTCTGAATCTGAAGATGATCCCGGGATCGTCGCAGCAAAGTGACCTGCGGTTAGAGGGATTCCACTTTCCACTTCCGAATTTCTCCTTGTGGTTACATCAGCGAGCCATCGGATATTGGACGTATAGACCGTTAAGGAGCCGCTGCGCCCTTCAGTTCTCCAGTTCTCCGCATTTTCTCGTTTCTAGACTCCTTTGTTCTCCCGTTCCTCTTTCTTGCCTATGTTTGTCGCGCCCAACGCGGCAGCTCAATGATACATCATGAATGGAAGAACCGCTTATAGACCAACCACTGCAACCACGGGGCTCGAACTGCAGCAATCTATTCAACTGCGTGCAGCGGATGATGAGTCTGGCTATGAACGGATAGTCGTCCCAGCTAATGCTCAACCCGCCTTGCGACCAGTTTCCCGAAAACGCCAGACAGCAATCCTCTTCTGTGCCTTCTTCGACGTCTTCATTACCATCGGTTTAAATCAGGCCTACGGCGTCTTCCTCAATTATTATCTGTCCGATGGGAGCAGTTCAAAAGATCCATTTCTTCCACCAAGCGAGGTGTCAAGCAAAGCAATGTTGGCTTTTGTGGGCACGCTGGCTGCTGGCTTGACCTGGGGCGGGAGTATTGTGGTCAACCCGCTTATGGCGAGATCAAAGGATCCAAGGTGGCTCACCGGTGCCGGGGCAGTCCTTATTGGAACTGGCTACGTGCTTGCAAGCTTCTGTCACAAGGTTGGCACACTCTGGTACCAATTGCCTGGCCAAATTGACCTTTGCTCATCCTGCTGTCTAGGTGTGGCAACTTCTCCTCACACAGGGTTTGATTTACGGTATCGGCACTTCACTGATGTACTTTCCTATCCTCGCTGTGGCTCCAGAGTACTTTGATGCACACCGTGGCTCTGCTATGGGATTCATTCTGTCAGCAGCCGGAGTTGGAGGCCTTGTCTACGCACCAGCAGCTCGTGCACTGCTCTCAAAGATGGGTGCCGCGTGGACTTTACGTATCTTTGGCCTGGTTAATTTCGCCTTGTGCATTCCCATTGTGTTGGGGACGCCACTCTCACGCAGTCTCTCCAAGCGACCGACGTTGGTTGATATCAGGCTGGCGAAAAGACCCATCTTCATTCTACAAGCAACCGCAGCGATGGCTCAAGCGGCAGGGAATCTGGTCCCATTGACGTTTCTCCCCGAGTTCAGTACGAGGTTGGGATATACGGCGGCCTTGTAAGTATCCGCATTTTCATGCGGGCAGAAACTCATAACCCTCTGTATTAGTGGCGCGGCGCTCCTCTCTATCAACAATGCAGTCAACACAATGAGTCGGATCGCGATGGGCTTCATCGCCGATGTTGCAGGCAGACAAAACACTCTGGTCCTTAGCGTGCTCGGGAGCGCCATAACGGTGGTGGCATTTTGGCTCTCCAGCGCCTATGGAAACGACATGGGGTTGTGGATAGCGTTTGTGGTGACTTACGGCCTGTTTGCCGGAGGTACGTTTCAATTACCAAATTATCGCACGAGCGAGGAAGTTACTCACTAGATGTTTCTAGGATACAACTCGCTCTTCCCTACCACGGTGATCGAAGTCTTTGGTGCTCAGGCGTACGCGTCGGTAAATGGCTTCATTTATTTCATTCGTGGTCTAGGCGCCTTTTGGGGCTCGCCAGTGGGTGGTGCTTTAGTTGCAGATGAGAAACATCCACAGGCATTCATTACGCTCATATGGTATGACTTTGGACTGTTGATGCTGTCGAGTGTCTGTGTGATCGCCGTCCGCGGGCTGGACGCATCGGAGAAAGGCCAATTCAAACTGAAGGCTTGAATGGGGTTTGGTTCGAGGGTATGGTGTACGAGGTCCTCGAGCATACAGAGAAATCCCTACTCACATTGTTACTTCCGATATCGGCTTGCTCAGCCTTGTCCTCGGTAAGGCTTCCCCGCACCTTACCGCATTTAGCCGGCAGCAGCTTCGGCATACTAGTTCTCCGCAACCACCATCACAGTAGTTCCCTCGCTGGACACCGGCACCTTTGACTGTTCTCAGGCACATAAAACTACTTCATCTGTCAAACCCTAGAGTAGTCTTGCCTCTAGTGATCGAACCAAGCCTTTCGCGCCGAACCTCACAATGAAGAGACTCATCAGTAGCCTCCCACGAACCCGCACGAGACCGTTGTTTCGCGGCTTCAGCACCTCAAGACAATGCCTCGCCGACCACGTCAGAATAGTTGAAGTTGGGCCTAGAGACGGCTTGCAGAATGAGAAGAGCTCAATATCCTTGGAGACGAAACTCGAACTTATCAGACGACTGGCGCAAACTGGCGTCACACATATGGAGGCAGGCTCTTTTGTGCCTGCAAAATGGGTGCCGCAGGTGTGTGAACACAGGTGATCGCGCCGTAGGTGGACAGAATCAACTGACATTATGTTCAACAGATGGCATCAACGGCGGAAATACTCGAGTCGATACTGACTCGACCGCCTCCTGCACTCCACGGCATCGCATACAATTATCTCGTGCCTAACATTCGCGGACTGGAGAACCTCCTTAAGACCTTCCGAGCCATAGGCGCCCAAAATCCTTCTGGCTACCCTACACCACCGCCATCCCCTGGACCTGCACAAGCTCAGGGTCAAAGTCCCTCCACACCAATTTCAAACTCAATCGAGTCATCTTCAGAGTCCTCGGCCGCAGTCCATTCGGGGAACTCGACGGAGATTTCATTATTCGCCGCCGCAACTGAGACATTCTCGCAGAAAAACACAAACTGCAGTATCGCAGAGAGCCTGGAACGGTCTAAACCAATAATGGAGCTTGCGAAGCAGCACAACATCCGGGTGCGCGGCTATGTTTCCGTGGCATTGGGTTGTCCATATGAAGGACCGGATGTCAACCCCCACAAGGTTGCTGAAATCACTGCTACACTGTTGGAGATTGGTTGCGACGAGGTCTCTGTTGCCGACACAACTGGGATGGGGACAGCGCCCCGGACGCGAAAATTGCTTCAGACCTTGAGGGAAGCTGGGATTCTGGACGAAGATCTTGCTCTCCATTTTCACGACACGTATGGTATGGCGCTTGTGAACACTGTCGTTGGGCTGGAGCATGGTATCAGGATATTCGATAGTTCTGTTGGAGGACTGGGTGGGTGCCCCTACAGCAAGGGTGCCACGGGGAATGTTGCCACCGAAGATCTGCTGCACCTGCTGCACAGTCTGGGCTGTGAGACTGGTGTCGATATGGTCAAGATGGCAGAGATTGGGCAATGGATCACTGCCCAGCTTGGGAGAGCCAATGATTCAAGGGCCGGGAAGGCAACTCTTGCAAGAGTAAAGGACTCGTAGCTGATATTAATAAGGGAGACATGATGGAACGTAACTACCCGTGTTCAAAGCAATGATGTGCACATGCTCGTAGTTGCGGTATATCCAAGCGTCAACGCGAGCTAGTCACATGAACGTCCATGCACTCGCTCCTTTCTCTCCTCTGTTCGTATGCCTTCGCGGAACTCAAGCCCGTGACCCATACGAATTCGACTATGCGGCCCAGACCTCTCGAACACCTAAACTCGAATAATTTGGCCCCAGTCAGCACCGCGAAGCCAAAGGCATGGGGTCAGTTGATACGGCGTCCAATCATAAGCACCATCCGATTCCTTCCTGCCTACGAGAGCGCTGCGATGCGCCAAGGACTCGCGGAAAGGGGGCCCTTCAGGCTGAACGTCATGAACCGCACGGCAAACTGATGTTGCCGGCTGGCCCTGTAGTTACGCCAATGATCAGGGATTAGCCTGTCAGATGAACCTGCAAGCATAAGAGATGGATGAATTTTGCTCTTCATTTATTTGATAAGACCATCACAGTGTTTCCCAGTTGGAATCAGCCGTTCTTCGAGATTGATGGGGAGAGAAAGAGCTTTGTCTCGGCGTACCGAGGACGAGAAATTGGCCATCCGGCGGGAGAAGGTCAGATTGAATGTTCAAGCCCACAGAGAGCGCCAGAGGTTGAAGAAGCGGCTCGAAGTTCTCAATGAACCATGCCAACCCAAGCTCCGTTGGATTCAGGAAACGAAGTGGCAGTTGCAAAGGAAAGCAGACACTCACGACCAGGATCAAGTGGCGAAGTCTGCAGGACCACGCCGAGAAGGTTCCCCCAAGTTGGATTGCTGTATTGCGATCCATCCGAGCCCTGGGAAGCAGTACACGCTTGCCCTGCTGGCCATGTTGCGAACACGCCTTTTGCCAGACCGTGTGATACTACGAAGTCCAGGAATTCCAGAACAGCGACTGACGACACCGTGTGCCCCTTGGGTGGTGAGAGGATATGAACTAGCAGCTGATAAGGAAGACCCTCTCCTGATGGGTATGCTGCGTTCCCTGGGGCTCGCTCTACTTGGGGCCGACCACCAGCGCAAGGACATCCAGACGTTTGCACAACGCACCTACCAGACTGCTCTCAGAGCAGTTAGTCGGCAACTGGGACTTCTGATGAGTGGTCACAAGCACTCCTCCAACGACCACCCGACATTGATTTTGTCCTGCCACGCGGCTGCAATGTTCGAACTGAACGTGGGTGGGTCGCTATCTGACATGTCTCGCCTTGTCCGTGGTCTAGGATCCTTGTTGGTCCATCACTTTCTTGAGTCGAATTCGATGCAGGAAGACATATTTGATCTAATGGAGGAATATAGACTTTTCGAAATGGTGTTCTGCCTCGTAAATCGACAAAAATCGGTGCTATCTGGAACAATCCTGGGCAGAGAGGAGAAGTGCCTCGATAACCCAGACCCAGATCTTGGAAATTGCCGCATGAGCCTGCTCACTAAATTGGTTCATATTGGCGCTTGTATTCCCCCGATTATGGTCTATGCCGACAGATTGAAGAGTACCACTGTGACCAGCGACAAGGAACATGGCCCGATGGGCAAATTCCTTAAGACGTTGTCCTCCGCTGCAACTGAATTACAACTGTGGCGTCAAGACTTCCTCGCAAATGAAACCCCACCAGTCATGGGGTCACTGACATACACTTCTGAGTACAACAATCCCGAATTCCAAAACCTCGAAATAGTCACGGCCTGGACTTACTACCTTTCAATCAAAATACACACTCTCGAGACTTACGCCTTTATGCTCGAACATGCCACTTTGATCCAGCCAAGCTCAACAAATATCGAGGCCGCCGAGGAGGGATATGGCATGATTGACGTTCAGCTTAGCAGTCCGGACGAGAAGATAATCCTGTTACGGTCAGAACTGCTCGATACCACGAGGCTTCTTCTTCGGTCTATGCCGTACTTCTCAGACGCCAGCTTAGGCCATATCGGCCGTTCGTTGATTGCATTCCCCTTGGAGACCGTGAAACGTGCTCTCCTTGGTGAACTTGAACGGCGATCGAGTCTGGCGTGCGTGGAAAGTGAAATTGCTTCCTTAAAGTTCTCAGGTCACCAGGCACAGGACATTATACAGGATCTCGTGGTCTGGCGGGAAATTGCCACAAACGCAAAAGCATCAGGATGCGCGTTGTTCTCTCATTGACAGGGTCGACATTATGAGCGGACTTTAGTGGTATCCTCACCTTAGCAATCGCCTAGAAACCTTCGATCAGACAGTTCCCCATACGTAAGGTCCGAGCGATGTACTCTTTCAGCATATATCGCGTTTCCAACATTCCTCAAACATTCCAGGGGAATTCATGGGATTTGCGCGTTCCTCGAGGGTGGTGTTTGCTTGTTCTTATCACTGTCTACCACCAAGCATGGCGGTGGAAAGCGACCTGATTGAAACGGAAGTGGTGACTTGGGCCATCATCCGCATCTTCAGAGGGAGGGAAGTGACCGCTAATATCGTGGTTTGTGTGCAGGATCAGAAGTGGTTTTCAGATTTTAACGAGGAGAGACGATATCACTCATCGAGTTCCAAAACAATTGGATACCGAGTAGTGACATGCTGGCCATGACTGGGTATAATTTTCATCCCAGGCTTTTGGTCCCGCGCATTTCTCCATTCCTCTTCCTCCCAAGATTCGTCTGCAGCTGCATTCAAGGATGAATCCCGAAGGCCGCACGATCAGTTCATTCTATACTCCCCTGGTAAACGGTGGTACTCTACCAGATGGTCCTTTTCATACCCAACATGTTATCGTAGCCTTCCTAACGGAGCACTTCTCCAACAGCATGGGTTTCTACAAGAGTCTTCGACGATGCCCAGGCGTCGTGGAGTTCGCACCACATCTCGGCAACGAGCACGGTCAAGGGCGAGTCGAACCGGAATTGGCAGCGAATGTGCGGTTTGTTCTGGACGACGTCGTCTGCGTGCCTCGACTTCCACGGGTGCCAGTGGCGTACGATCGATTGTTTCTTGGTCTGAACAAACTCTTGGACAGCGGCTGCACGCTGGAGGTTGATCCTTGGGACCACTGGATCACAAGACGTAACGGGAATTTGCTGGTCTTTGGAGTCAGGTCCCCGTCTCTCCCGGACCCAGAAATGCGCTTTGCGCTAGATCCACTGGCGCGAGCCGTCCAACCTTTGGGCGTTCCTCAGCTCTTGCAGAATGCCGACCCGACAGAAAGTGCGCATCCTGAACGACTACCACCTCGAGAATTGCAAGCTGCGATCCTAAGGGTAACCAGACGAGGTGGGGAAAAGGCATCGGTACCATTGCCGAGCACATTTAGAAGATCGACTGCCCTTGGTATATACAGTCAACAAGGCAAGTAACAAAGCTGGGAAGGACTTCTTTCGCCCTCCTCAGGCCAGCGCGTTAATGAAACCGAAGGAGGCTGCGCGATAGCACTGGGGGAATTTAGCGTATCGAGCTCTCCACCAGCGGGTAAAGAGACGAAGTGAACGCGTTGTGTGCAAGGCTAAGGATATTGCAAAGCACAGGACTTCAAAAGGCGATTTGCATAAGTAGCATCTTACTAGTTAGATAGCTACTACACTTGCGCTCGGAATAGTGTTAAAGCTGCACCAACGGGATTTTGACCTGCAGAAGTATATATGGATATTAAATTGTCTTGATTGTCTTGAATGTCTTGTGCAGTATGAAGCGACTCTCGTATGACGGTCAGCGTCTGTCAGCGTCTCGCGTAACGATACCATGTCAGGTGGCGAATGTTAGTCATCGTCAATCTTCAACCTTCAACTTCTTCCTAGCAACAACAGAATCATCGACTGCAGCTGTTCTTGCTTTATTTCAATTTGCAGTGCGAACCCCGTCGTCATCCTTATTCACCGTGTATATGTGGATATTCCTAGGCCCCTTCGCCAGCCATATCTCTTGCTGGCGCTCTGCAACCTGACGGCGGGTGCGGCAATTGTGCACTTTGCTAGGCTTCTCTATGGCCTCGTTAGTCTGTGCTTCGAACAATGCATTCTCTTAAAAGTGATGGTAGCGGCGATAACGAGGATGTGCTACCATTTGAACGGAATGCCGGGCTCATCATGGCTGTATGTTAAACAGATCCCGTCGAAGTTGACAAGGATATCGGAACGCTCACGGAATGTGGCAAGACCAACAATGCAACGACAGCCTACAAAGCCAGCACTGAGCGGCTCTACCTGTCGAAGCCGCATTTCCACAAGTTCTTCTCGAAGAAGGTTAAACGTGCGTCACCGGCCGTCCATCGTGGCTACTGGCTTCGGATGCGCGCGATCAAGTGGGTGATACAGCAGTTCCTTGACAGACCGTCAGACCAGAAGAAAGTTATCATCAACTTCGGTGCTGGATAGTGAGTCCAAGTTCCAGCCCGCAATTATTCATAGCTAAGAGCGGCTCCCGCGCGTTCAGTGACCCTCAACCATTCCGATGGCTGTCGCAAGAGGGTGGGCTTTGTTCCGGCTTCAAATTTGTCGACATCGACTATGACTTAGTGATGGAAACCAAACGAGACATTATCATGAGCACACCGGAGTTGAGAAAGTTGCTGCATTTCTCCAGCTCATCTTGCACCAGCAGCGAGCCTTCTGTGTTGCTCGACAGCGAAGAATATGCTGCAATTGGGTGCGATATGCGTAACCTACGCAGGTTGGAAAGACTGCTCAAGTCAATAGTCAACCTTGATGAGTGCTCGTTTCTTTGTATAGCTGAGGACTCCACCTCGTTCATGCCTGTGAGTGCTGCTGACTCACTCATTGCTTGGTGTTCAAGACTATCAAAAGGTGAGGAGATACAAGATTCCTCTGGAAACGGCTGCACCATCTTCTTTTCTGACAACGATTAACCGTTAGATGTTACTTTCTGCCTCCTGGAACCTTGCAGCCCCGATCAGCCAGACAACCCTTTTACAAGGAAAATGACCGATCACTACATTGGTCTCGGCACACCCTTGAAATCTATCTTCCAGTATCCGGATGATCGATCTCAGATTCAGCGCTTCAGCAACGCAAATTTCAGCCAAATTGATTACCAGTCGTTATGGGAGCTCTGGGCTGACCCTCGTTTTCTGTCTCCCTCGCAACGCATGGAGCTGGATCACGTTGAGCCTTTTGATGAGTGGGAAGAATTTGCTCTTTGGGCAAGTCACTACTGCCTGGTGATTGCACAAAACGGCGCTCATCCCACCCTTCCGGGAAAACTTATCAGGGTTCGCGCCGACTCGGTTTCTAGTGAAACTTCTGACATCTCAGCGAGGACATCCTCCCCATGCAACCCTGACTCTGAGCATTTCGCTTACCGCTATTACGATGACCCTGGTGAACTTTGCCAGCGCCATCACGGATCCGCGTACCCTATACCCGACCAGGACGCCGTTGCCATCTTTGGGGGTGCAGGATCCAAATCATGCCTTTCGACAAGTGCCGTCTGCCGACCACGTCATTTGAACGACGAGACACCCATAGTTCTGCCGCCCGAAGTCGGTGCTCGATGTTGTCATGTCAACACTGCACTGAACAACGGAGACAATATTTTAGTTGGTGGCCGCCTCTCACCGACTCAACCTCTAAAGGACTGCTGGCTACAAAAAGGGAATATCTGGTATCGCATCCACGATCTACCCGAAGGACGATATCGACACCGAATAGCGCCCGTGACTTTGCCTGACAATGTTTTTGGTGCCCTCTGCTTCGGAGGTAAAGTGGGGCCGACCAGAGTGGCCACCGACGTGCTGCTGTGGGAGCCGCACAAGGGTTGGCGTGAGCTGCGGATTTTCGGCAAGGACCCTAAACCTAGGTTTGCGCCAAATTTTGTGTGTCTTGGTTTCAACCATGGCTTACTGTTTGGCGGCATGAGACAAGACGGTGTCATATGCCAGGGCTTCTGGCGCTGGCGCCTTGTGATACGCGATAATGCCGTACAAGCGCTGAGGTTTCGTCCTTCACAAGGGTTGGATACCAGCATTGGGTCATATCAATACTTTGCTCGATTTGGTGCTTCCTATGGCTTTGTACAAGACTACCTTCTGATCATCGGCGGCATAGGCAGATTGGGATGCATTCCAAAAACATACGAGATCTTGTCTCTGACCGGGACTTTTTCAACCTGGCATGACGAGAGCAAGGAACCGAGTTTCCGCGTGGCTGCTGTCGAGGCAATGTGCTTGCAAGACTGTCCGCGCCCATTCCTTATCGGTCACTCCACGCTTCGAACGCGAACAGGAATGTATGTTATCCTGGGTGGAGGTGCCGACTGCTTCAACTACGGCGAATACTTTAACAAAGGGATCTGGGTTCTATATGAGAAAGAAGCCGGGCTTGCCGCGGATTGGGTTACTGTGCCTAGCAAGGCCTCGAAATATCCTCCAGCGAATTCCGACTCGAGTTTCACTGCAGTTGACAGGTGTCCTGAGGGTGTTCTCATTGCCCCAGCCTTGATGGCCGACCCTGAAGATTTCCATGCTGCAGTGCGTGTCTCGAGGCCTCTGCTTATGAGAGGGCTTGATTTGGGGCCATGTCAAATGCATTCGGTCGACTTTCTAAAAACAGCAATTCTCCAGAACACCATGAGCGAGGAAATGGGCAATCTATTGAAAAGCTCAGCACATGTGAATATGTCGCTGGGGCAAATCTTGGACGCGCTTGGGCTATCCTCAACATCTTTTGACATCCACAGTCCGGCCGCCACCCTGGAAAACAGCAATCCAGCATGCACCCAGAAACCCCAGCCGGATAATGGTGATCTATTCGTGGTTCCCAATCAACTCAGCAGCGTCGGACCCCTTACGCACTCGCTCCGGCTAGACATATCCAAGGAGATCTCCACCAAGCTGCGGTACAGCGCAATGGCAAATATTATGTTCCAGCTTCGTGGTACCAGAAAATTACTCCTGTTTCCGCCCAGCGACCAAAGCAAACTGGAGTTCCTCCCCGGGGCAACCACGAGCAATCTTGATATATTCTGTGACAAAACACCATTACAAGAGCACATATTCTATGCACCATCTGGCACAAGTCCGCACATCGCCATACAAAAGCCCGGAGATGCTCTGTTCATTCCACCTTTCTGGTCTGTTGCCAGTGTGATATATTTCAATAGCAGCAATGATAGGGGTCGTCTGTACAATGGAGTGTTTTCATCGAGTTCTACCAGCGAGAAGCTATCTGGTCTCAGCAGCAATGGCTCAATCTCTGGAAGCGAGCCTGTGTACGAGGTCAAAGAAGCGCCACACATCCGGGATGATTGGATCGACGTAACAGTCAATCTCTCATTCCGTAACCTACCGCCAGCTGTATTTACTGCCAGCCCCCGTCACAATTCACCGCCTGATCTGGCAGCCTATGAAGAGGGGCGGCGAGACCTCGAGAACATTGTTAAGAGATTCACCTCGAATGTTCACCATTCCGGGTCAATGGTGAATGGACAAACCGCTCTGACAAATTCAGCTATGAGCTTGGATCTCATGCTTGCAAGCATTCCAAAGGACATAGCTAAAGCGTATCTGCAAAGATTGGGCAAAGAGTTACTCATGAAGGCTGACGAGTTATAAGGTCCGCATTCTTGGATGCCCACTTCACACGTGAGTGTGCAACCGGATTTTTAGGTCCGCTTTCAGCCTCGTATCCAAACTTTGAAAGTCGGAGAGGACGCGATGACTGTCCAGTGATGGCTGGCTTGTTTCACAATCTCGTATCCTGAGCCAAAGATGACTGAATATAAAGGCTCCAGGTGGACCCAATCTGGTTAAATGGCTGTAGTGTGTTGTGCACTCCATCCTGCAGATCATGAGTCTAGGCGAAACGCCGACGAGCGCCGTCAGTTTGTTGCTACATGACTGTGTTGGCGTTCGACCTGGAGGACTGGTTCTGTTGCAGGGCAAAAGTGACTTGAATGTGCTTGACAACAGGTCAAACGCAATGCTTGTGCCAATCTCAGGAAGCCAGACCCTTGTGTGCCAACAGCCAGGCTTGTCACCGTCCTCACGAGGCTGCTGAGGTACCATGAGTCACCTACTTCCGATCCTTCACTTGAACATCATATACTAATCGACTCGCATGGCTGGTATAGGTTGTTTACCAGGTTCTTTCCATCCCAAACAACACCCAAAGGATCTCTACGGATAACCCGCACTTTTCTACATCTGACAACCCCTACTCACTCAAAGCCAACACCCACAAATGCCTCCGCAGCAGGAAAGATGGATGATCTGGAACGACAGCCCGCACCACTATTGTTATGAACGATCCCTGTTCTTCAACCTCGACGAAGACCCCTCTGCTGATAGCACGAAGGATTTCGTGGTGTTGGGGAAGGGTGACGTCGTAATCCCCATCATAGGAAGCGCAAAACTCACCGCCATCCGCCTCCGAGATGTTTTCTACTACAAGACCGACAACCCACGAAACATCATCAACCTTAAAGCCCTGCAGCAAGACTATCCTAAGTTGGTCCTGAGTCAGACTGTCAAGATTGGGACCCACGGCACTGCCATTGAGCATGTCGATGAGCCTGGAAAGGCGCTGTTTATTGTGGACGAGTACGATGCCGAGCGTTAGCTACTGGGATTTCGGAGCGCATTCCACCGAAACTATGCTATTAACCTCTTTGCTCGTGGGAGACTATCAAGATACACAGGCCAAAAAATGAATGTATCAAGTGATCTTGAAGGTGAGATTGATACTGCACAGGTGAATTCCGTTGACGATTTCTCAGGCACTACCGAATAATTTCAACATCTGTCATCTTGGATCATCGTTCATGTTAAACAGGACCGGTGACGGTAAACAGAGTACCTCGAGATGGCACGGCCGGCACTATGTCGTCGTTGCTTGTTTGTCACTCTCCTTTAACGGACGCACGTTTGACGATGGGAACGTTGTCCAAAGTCATGAAGTGCACCATTTGAGACATGTCTACATCCTTTCCTCGGTCCATCTATGCTTCGATTTCTCGTTTCATTTTCTTGACGCGTCGAAGCCCCACCATCCTCTCTGTTTCCTAGAACCTTTTGACGATTGCACTTTACATCGTCTCTAGGTCGAATCCGATTCTAAAGCCCGAATCCCGACCGACATCGAATCCAGGGAGAAGTATCCAAATACATCTACCACCGGCAAATGTCTCGACTGGGCGGTCGCGATCTCATCCCCCTGCATCCCTCAGGTTTAGTATACGGTGGTGGCGGAGGCGTCATCTATGGAGACGACGACGATGTCTACCCACCCCCAACGCCACACCCTCCGGGCGTGTTGATCCGGCAACCGACCGTTGTCCGCCGCACTTCGCGAGACATTCCCTTGCCCGACTCGTGGCCGTATCCTCCCACCCCCTACTCCCTACAGACCCGGTTCCCCGAACCGCCTCGAGGATCAGTTCCGCACAAGCAGACCATGAAGTTCACGCCGTGGATCCTGAACTTGACTTCCGAAACGCACAAATGCGCCGATCTGAACCTTTTTCGGCTGCCGCGGCCGGTGGCCAGGGGATCACTGCTGGGCGGAAGCGGTGGTTCCAGTGCTCGGAATGATCGTGGTGCCATCCGGCTGGGCCATCGTCAACAAGGTCACCAAGATCCCGAGGGGAGGCGGAGGGGTACGGTCGTGCTGCCCATCCAGCCCGGCCCTAAGCGCCGGATCGAATTCGACATCAGCGTCATGACGCTCTCGGATGTACTGTACACGCCGGGAGCGCAGTACTCGGAGCTGAGCTGGAAGGTACTGGCGCGGCAAGGCTTCACTCGACACGTCCTGCACCACGACCACATGCACGACGTGACAGAGCAGTACGTAGCGCGCCACTCTCCCCCGACGTCCGTGGAGATCGGATGGCAGGGGATTCGGCGGGTCGAGCCACTGCCACTACCGTTACTCACAGCAGCAGCACCACCAGGATTCCCATTCCCATTTCCATCCCCCAGCTCAAACTTCCATCCACCACGCCCACCACTAACACCAACACATCGACCTCCGCCGCGAAGCCGCTATCCGGACCCACGCGGACCCGGACCCGGCCCCATCAACCGCTGCGGCCGTCTAGACAAGGAATCCAGCGTGATCCGCCATCGCGGGGTGCCAGACGTCGACATTCTGTGGGTCGGGTACGACAAGTTCATAGACCCGTGCCACCTACATGTGCACATGACCGCCGCGGCCATGGTCGACGTGCGTCTCTGGAGCTGGGGCGTCGAGATGGGAGTCGTGGGTAAAAGTGCAGGATTCCGTGGGTGGGTCGATTGGATCGAGGGGTCTGACCCTGATGGCAACGGAAGGGGAACTAGCGCGGACAACAGGGAGGCGAACGACGAGGAAGACCTGTTTCGCAAGATTGTCCAGGGTGGGTTGAGGGCTGGCGAGGAGCTGGGCATCATCTAGTGCCATATAGCGAAGCATTTCATTCCATCTCATTTCACTCCCTCACAATCTCCCCTGTTTTTGGCCTCACGCTACAGCGAGATGTATCCGTGGCTGAGTGCATAAACAAGAAAGCGAGCAGCATAAGCAGCAGGAGTAGTGAACACCCAAATGAAAAAGGCCGATTCGAGGCATCATTATATGGATGATAAGAACAATAGTTGTGATTAGTTGAATCTCCAAGACTACTTGACCAAGTGGACCGCTCTGCCACCCCAGATATGTTTGCCGCTCAAGATAATACCCGCCATGCAATCCGCCAGCAGGTGAGTCTTATCCCACACGGCCTGCTCTGCAGCCATTTTCCGTCCTCGACACCATCACCTTCCTCGAGCAAGGGATTCGAGCCACAGCCACCTGTGAGCATGGGTCAGGTCTTGAGAACCTGATCTCCCGATTTGGAGGGGCCGCACTATTGTTTTCGTCAATGAAGCCGAGCATAGGTAGACTGCTTCCGCGGACAGGATCTAATCCCACAGTGTTGCCCTTTCCAGATGATAGGAATTCCAGTCAATACTGCCGGCTCGGTCTGGACGAGGCTGGAGATTGTGTTATCGGACCAGGAGCACAGCCTTGGTGATCTTCTGGCGCTGGTGGCTGCTCCGCGTTTCTGCATTGCTGTGAAAACCGTGTCTCTCGTGTTATTAACGGGTTTCCGACCGCTCGTCGGTGGAAATCTTCCCACTCTCGACGGTAGCGGGGCGTATGGTGCCTAGAGATGGCGGTAGGGGCGGGAGAACCGTTGGCGCGGGAATGGTGCCGAGCACGAGGAGGGGCCGTTGTAGCATTATGCGTATGTAAGTGGCTCTCTGTGGCTCGATTAGATCTGGGCCCGGCATTGTTCTCTGTTGAAGCGTCGCGCAGAGACTGCCGGAGGTAGTTACCTTTACCGCGTTGGCGAGCAGGACGATGAGGATGTCGTCCTCGCGATTGGCCATTGCGAAGTCGGCCAGGCTGAAAGGCTTCAGATTCAACTGTGTTTTGACGACCATGGAGTCTAACGATAATGGCCTCGTCATCGAAATAGAGGTCTCGGCCATCGATCACCACATTAATTCCACTTGGATGAGGTCTCCGTCGGCGCTCAGGCCTCCGTAAACGTGCGCCGAGATTGGAGTGTCCTGAGGGAAGCACCCAGTCTTGATATTCATCAGTGACAGAGTGGTTGCTATTTAAAGGTCCAAAGTCGCGATCGCTGGGATAGGAAAGAAAGACATCTCGGTCACCACAGTCGATCCTATCAAGCGCATGGAGGTATGAGCGGCACAATATGGCGAGTGCTGTCGCCTCATCACCCCAGCATACCATACTTATTAAGTCAAGAATCTGGTGGACCTGATATCTGATTTATCCTCTTCGAATTCGCCGTGCTCGCTCTGCTGCTTTTTGACTGAATGCCGGGATAGGTTGCCCCGGAGCAGCCTCAGAGGTGGATTCAGCGCCAGACCGAAGGGGAATTGAACTGCAAGGCTTCTGTCGAGGGGCATGCCCAGGACGTTCATGGTCGCGACTGGAAAGAGATGCCGTTTGTGAGGATGGAGGACTTCCATCAAGGAGTTGAGGCGAGTCAGAGGTTGCATGGAGATCTGGCTTGCTGCTGGGGCCAGCCTCTTCCAGGGGTGCTCGCAGTTGTTTTGAGTCCTTGCGAACCATACTGTACCTAACAGAAAATTCGATCTTCTGAGCAAAGCAGACAATAGCGGCAGGAGTATAAGAATCGAGAAAAGCTCATGCTGGAAGCTGCTGGTGAGAAAATGCAAACACGTCTGTGGCTCGCAGGTGACAGGGACAAGCATTTGGAGACTGACTCACAGGCCGACAGCCGTGAGCAAGCAGGTTTCAGGTCATGTCAACTTCACGGATCGCCGTCACACGGCAGTTTGAAGTCCTTTACCAACAAGTGCGTTACCATCACCTGCAGATTGCGCCAGACAGGTGTGATCCTGTAAAGATCAGCAGTATTAGAGAGCACGAGGAGCAACATGGCAGACATATCGATCTGGAGAACCAATTGATCAAACCGTGGTTAGCTCCATTGAATCACGTCCTGCCCAATAGAATCGTGTACAGTGTGTCGGTTAATGTACATATTTCTTGGAAAAGATACGCCGGGCATCATGCCTCGTTGGCCATTCTCTCGGCGGCTTCCCTTGCTCTTTTCAGATCCTCTTTTTGTTTCCTGATTGCATCCATGCCAGCTTTAACGCGCTGCCTGTCTTCTTCTGCCTTCGCAAAGAATTCCTTTAGTCTTTCCATCTGCTCATTTTCTTCGGGATTTTCTGGGAAATCTTCGCATTTGGTGGTGTTCTGGAACCATTTCCATATGTTCCCGGGTTGGTGTGGCCCTAAACGCAGTTCCACGCTCCGGGTGAAAATCGATGTCGCATCAGTGGTTGGTGACGAGGATAGAGATGCGGCTGCAGGTGTATCATTGGAGGATTGGGATTTCGCTTCTATTTCGGTCCACATCTCTCTATATTCACCGTCGCTGCTGCTTTCTAGGGATGTAATTTCCAACTCTCTTAATGCTTGCTGGTTGGCACTCTCAAAAGTCAAATGCAACCGGCTGGGCCCTTGTTCTACCCTGATTGGCAGGCCTGGATTGTGGTATTTCAGGCGTGGAAGGTGATCTTTCTGAAATATTCTCGCAGGTCTCGTGCTTTTGTTCCATTGTTTTCGGTCGTATTGTAGGCTCAATCGCGTTAATTGGGGGGAAGGCTGGGGAGGCAGAATAGCTGCGCCTTCGCCATGGCGGATCTTGAATAACTGCAAGGGTGAGCAGACACTCCCATTATCGGATCTTTCAAATACTTACTTTCTAGAAGTCGTCAGCAGCTTTCCCACAGGACAGAGAAGAGAAGACTCACTGGTTGAAGACCGCGCATGCGCTTCAGAACATTTACCATCTTGATGCCCCGGCCGTAGCTCTCTTGAAACCCCCTGAGACAGACTGAGCAGGGTAAGAATGGACGGGAACAAAGAGAGGAAGCTCAGGGCTTGCTCCGGATGTCCCACGGCTAGCTGGCCTGCAATACACGCACCATCTGCATGTTGCATCCAACGTGGAACCAAAAGTTGTCAATCCTTCAAGCCTACGACAAACACGCCCAGACAAGGATATGGCTCGGCATGTTTGCTGTCTGGCAAGATCCGCCGCGGGACATCTGAACTCTAATTACAGGGCGAGGCTCTCCCCTCAAGGGGTGGCTGCACCCCGGCGAGGTTCCTAACAGGAAGAAGTGTGAAAAAGGAGTCTGGTCAAAGCCATTAGGATGATGACCGACGACTCTGCGTCGAGAAGCTTCCTTGAGCACGCAACTAGGCAGCATGATCGACATGTAACTTGTTAGTTGTCAGACCAACCATACGTCACCCGAGCTCTTAGGCTTGCATACAGTTTCCAATACTTGGTCCTTCGTATCACGAAGTACGACGTCGAATTTTGTTAGCCAAAAAGGCGGTCAACTATATTGTTGGCCACTTTCTGAGTTGGCAAATACGCATGATGATCCCATATGGTTAAGGATACTCCAGTCTGTGCCGCTCTGCAACGACCCTTTCAAGTTCAATATCCCAATGCGTGAATCTGTCTGGCCCTAGCCCGCAGGGGCCGAGTTTTTACTACGTCGCGACGAAAACGCTATTCCCAACTCCTGCCTGAAAGAAAAATTGTTTTGCTTCATCGTGAGTTGGATATCAAGCTGCAAAGCTCCCTCTTTCCTTTGAATGTAGAACAGTTAGCCATGATACAATAGGCTTGTGCATCCAGCGTAGAATTTGTGCCTGTGGTTTCGAGGTGCCAGCTTAAAGGGGTGTCTTCAGACGGCGGTGGTGGCGCTTGGAATACAAGTAAATGGAGCGAGGATATTTTACCCAAACGCGGCCGGCTTAGATTGGGAGGCTCTATATACGACATCTCTTCCGACCTTGCGGCAAACTCGACCCGGCTTGTCATGCGAGCGACCGTGCTCGGCTATGCTTGGCGCTACCGAGGGATCCTACAGCAAGTACCGAGTACATATGGTAGTTCTGGTGATGTACTCCGCTTTTACACTTGGCGGGCTTTCTGTGGCCGTCCTCCAGAACTCTTCGAAGTACAGGCAACAGCCATGATATGATTATTTATCGTGATTATTCCTCGAAGAGGTAGTTGGTTGGTGCTTAGCAGCCTCTCGCCTATGGGTGGGCTCACGCATTCAAGTCCTCTCCGTGAAACTTCTCACGCATTTGATGTCGGTAGGAGAGCACGGGACTGCATTCTCGACCCCAGGCAAGATTACCGAGTAATTCCTCTGTCTAACTCTCTTCTACCTTAGTCATGACTGATTGTATTCCAAACATATGGATCCAATGTCGTGTTCAACTCTAGCCGCAGCACCCGGTAATATCCGCCGGTTCGCGCTTTCCTCTATCTCGGACAGTGTTCGAGTCAGTCACCGAGGTATGCAAAAGAGATGGACAACATTAGACAGACAAAGGAGACAGAGAGCAGACAACGCAGAGGTACTGACTTTGTTTCAGCCGAGAGCTGGTCCCAGCTAAAGATGAAGGAGCCAAGAAACGCGCCTATGATGATGCAGATGATGATGTATCCTTCGAGGGCAACAAAGAACGGTCAGTGTCTGTTAGCCCCAAGAGCTGAAGGATGGAATGCGGAAGGGAGTGGAATGGACAGAGGACCGATTACCATTGTAATACATGGCCAACAGCATGATGAAGTATGCTACTCCGAACTGCACCATGTGGATGAGAGAACGCATGAACTGACGCTGGAAGAGGGTCATTCGATCAATGGACCGATGCTGAAGAACCAGAGGTCTTTCAGGAAGTGGTGGACTCGTTATCACCGCTGTTTTCTTGCCGGGATCCGTATCTTGCTCATAGGAGGCAGAAGCCCCGTCCTCGGAGTGTTGAACAGCCGCAGCCATCGCTGAAGTCTTCTGGTCTTTGCGGCGGATCCAGGCATCGTACTCACGCTGGATTCGGCGCAGGAATTCGAGAGATATGACGAGCAAGACCACGCCGATACAGGAGAGGGCAAAGATGCCGCTCGAGCTGACTTGCCATGACTTGGAGATGAAGCCTTGGGAAAGGAGTGGTCAGCCTGGGATGAAGGAGGAAGTCTTGCTAGACTTACATGCTCCCACTGTGTACCAGTTCCAGGTCATGGAGATCTTGCACGAGTTGCCGCCCATGCTCATTGCGGTGGCTGGTGCCGTGGATGTCGTCGCCATCGACATGGTGGAGGTCATGGACGTCGCACCCGATGTCGGACTGGGCATTGACATGGACATGGAAGACATCTGCACGCTGTGTGGCGAGTGGTTATATTGGTAAAGTAATGCTTCGAGCGTGAAACACTCAATGTGAATTTTCGGGAGAATCAATATCGCATTATAGTCTTGCAACTACTCTGTTGAATTTAAGGAAAAGCTGTTCTTGAGAACAGGTGACAACTTCCCATGCAAGCGGTATGGTGCATGGTTTGGTCTTCACTTGTGAGCAAGTTTCCATTGTAGGTGATTGGCCTGCGACCAGGCTCTACATTCTGAGCATATATCGTGGGGCCGCCTACAGGACCGAAAAACATGCTCGCCGAAACAAGTCGCATGGCTAGCTTGCCCAGGGGAGCTGAGCAGACAGAAACCGACACACATTTCGAGGATAGCACCTTGTCAGGCTCAATGCAGATGCCATTTCTTGTCCCCCTCAACCCTCACTTTCGGGAGGTTCAATGCCTTGGCAAGCTCATGCAAACCTGCTCGCTTCTGCTCGTGCCCCTGGTGACCGGGTCCAGGTCCTAGGTGCAGAGAGTGTTCCGCTCCCGAGCGACGAGGCTCGTGCGAGAACAGCCTCCTCTCCGACTTGTCGTCGTGCTGCTCGATGTGGTACAGCCGGCCGTACCCGACGAGCAGGAAAGCCAGTAGCACCAGCACCGGTCGCGTGACGAGGATCATGCCACCCATCAGCGCGATTGCCAGGTACACGCAGTTCTCCTGCGGTATCTGCGTCCGTGATTCTTTTCGAGACAGTGCCAGGTGAGTGTGATGAGTCCGGGGTTGGGTCTGGGTGAGCATGTCGTTTAGATCGGACTGGTTTTCTGCTTTCTTTTCTCGCAGAGACCACTTTGGCGCGTAAGATTCCTTTGATATTCTGGCTTTTGGATAATAGCTGTCGTGATTGCGACGTCGGGAAAAATCTGGGTTCTTTGTCCAGGGGGGAGGCCGAGATTTGGTTATTTCGAAAAGTCCGGAACTACCGGCAGGACGATGCATGAAGAGGCTTTCCCTTTACATACAATGGTCGAGCCGGGGCAATGCCGTCCGATGCTCAGCCCATCCGGGGGTCATGCTGGTAGGATTATGTCCGGCAACATTTCAGATGGTTTTGGTGTGCTGATAGAGCTTCGGCGTGGTTCGGACTCTCCCGAACATGTATCTCACGGTTCCAAGTTCCTGGTATGATTAAATGGTGGATTGTACGCACTGTCCCCACTGCCCGGGCCATTATCAAGGGTCCTGCTTTAGTAAACGAGAACTCGAACTCTGTCGCTTACAAGGAGCCGCAGGCCTTTACCTCCGCCGATCGATGTGTATCCCAACCGCATTGTTCACCTCCAAGGCTATTGTCTTCGCATCTTCCTCGTGTTCTAGCTTTGTCTGCAAGACCCTTCGCGCCCAGGCTCCATGCTATTTCCAAAATGCGGTGACTGCAACCACTAGGTCGGTCGGCTCGTAAACTAGGGCTTTGCCCATCGCTACTGCGCGTCTGCTCGGTGGGTAGTGCTGTGTCCAAGATGGGGCCAGATGTCTGTCTCGGTGGGATATAAAAGGCATCAAAGATCGATATGCTGGTTTTACAAAGTAGGCCCATCTTTGCCAGAGGTTTATCGTTCGTCCAGGAAATCACACACAGCCATGTCGAAACAACCCTACTGCTCACAGGCGCAAGCGGAGCACTAGGGGCCGCGACTCTAGCCCCCTGGTGTCCAAACCCAACGTCCAGGCGATTGCTGTGCTCCGTTCTCTCGCTCGGTCAGAGACCTCTTTGCGCTCTCGATACGCCTCACAGGTCTCAGAAGGCCGTCTGTCCTTCGCAGAGATCCCAGACATGACCTGCCCGGCACCCTCGACGAAGCAGCCGAGAAAGCCGACGCGATCATCCACATCGCCACACCCTTGACGTACGAAGATCTCATGGAAACGACCATCAAACCCGGTTGGGCCATTGTACGCAATGTCCTGGGCGCAGCCGACAAATCCGGCCAGGTGACCCGGGTGGTCATGACAGGGAGTTTGGTCTCGACCATGCGAGTAGACGGCTTGTTCTCTGGAAAGACCATATCCGAAGATAGCTGGAACCCCATCCGTCTTGAAGCAGCGGAGACGAGCCCCCTCAACGCGTACTGCTACTCGAAGGTCTCAGCAGAGAAGAAGGCCAAGGGGTTCATGAAGGAGAAGCCCGGCAATTTTGACCAGATCGTTTTGCTGGCGCCGTCCATTACGGCAAAGAGTCTGCAGACCGGCTTCAAACCTGACAAGGGGAACCCCGGTGGTCAGCCGGGCCTTCACAGAGGTTTGTTTGATTTTGACAGGCCTGGAACCTTGTATCCATACGTCATGTAGGTATTCCGTCAGTCAGTCAGTCAGAAAGTCGGTCAGTCTTCCCTGGCTTGCCCTTCGCTGACTTGGTTTCTCCTTTTTCAGGGACGTCGAGGTTGTCTCCCGTGTGCATGTCCAGGCTCTTTCACCCGGCATCCCGGGCAACGAACGATACATTTTCCACTCTCCCGGGTTGATGGTAGGTAGCGACATTGCGCGCGCGGTCCGGGAGGATTTCCCTCGGCTGAGGAATCGGGTTCCTGCTGCTGAAGAGGGCGCAACAGATAGCATACTGTCACCCGACCTGTTAAAGACGGACATGTCAAAATCTGAGAAGGCGTTCGGCAGGCAGCGATGGAAGTAGCCAGGGATTCAGCCCGAGAGACCGTCGAGGACATCGTGGCGTATGAGGAGAGGCAAAAGCAAGCCGCACGATAAAGTAAACATTCACATTTTTGAGCTGTCGGGGGACACTGCTGTGAGGCGTCAATGGCTATGGCGATGCTGGTGACGAACGACTCAAACAAAGAGGGGGTTGTGGACGGCAACAATACCAGGGACGCCGCTGATTATAACGAGATGGACATAGTATTTTGTAGAAAGTCTCGAGCAAGAATCATACCACGACAGTAGACGCCATTTTTATACCGCTAAACGCTGAGACGACGCAGCAAGATGCCAGCAAGCACAAGCACAAGCACCATGAACATCATGCAACACAATGATTATTAGTTTTCTACGTACAATCCAAATTCAACTTAGGCTTTGACAAAGCATGCCTCTTCCAGTTTCTTGACGGCCTTGACGCAGCGGCTCTCGACCTCCCTCGTCCAGACGTCAGCCGCCCACAGGGACAGTGCCAGGCTGATTGCCCATCCAATGAGCATGACAACCGTCCACACCAGATCAGTCGTCTCAATCCCCTGCACGCCCATCGACCACCAGACTCGGTGGGGGATCATGTACCCCACCGCGTGCAGGATGGGCCCGTGCACCAAGTAGAGGCCAAAACTGATTTTGCCCAGGTATTGCGCCAGGCTGCTGTTGAGTAGGCGTCGCCAGATGGACGCGTCCGGGTTGGCGCGTGCGAGCAGGAGCAGCAACATGCCCGTGCCGATGTTTGGATAGAACTTGTCCTTGCGGTCCATCCATTCCGGAATCAACTTGTTCAGGGTCATGTACCCGGGGGCGTAGTCTCTAGAGCCGTCGATCGGATACGATAGAAAATAGAAGGCCAGTAAGAACCCGAAGACGCGCAAGCCGCGCAGCCATCCCTTGGGGGGAGTTGAGACGTAATCGGACCACGAGGGAGGTGGCTTGTAGTCTGGTTTCGGGGAGTGAGGTGGCGACGGAGGTAGTCGAGTGGGGACTAATGTCAATTTCTGTTCCTGTTCGCGTTCGGTGAGCAGCAGGTCAATTTGTGCCACCACCGCGCCGATAATGTAGACCCATATCTCCCAGTGGTTCCACAGGAAGAACATGAATGTCATGATGCACAGGCCCGCCAGCCGGATGTATTTCTGGCATTGTGCGGTGCCCATCAAAATCATGTAGAGGAAGATTGAACCCTTCAGCTCGGCCAGAATGGACCACAAATGCTGGTCGTGGTAGGGATACACGGCGCCTGGGGTAAAGATATTGGTGAGGTCGAACATTTCGCGCGCCCAGTAGCTGAGCTGTCGATAGTAGGTCGGAAACATTTCGGGTTTAGGTTCGTTCCAGTCGCCGGGGAAGAGCTTTTCGTGGTCCGTGATGTAGACGCGATTCCCTTCGTAAAAGCCGAAATGGATGTAGTGAGCCGTGATGAGAGTGATGATGAGGACGGGGAGGTAGAGTCGGAACGCTCGACGGAAGAGGGCCCCCGAGACGTTCAACAAGACCTTCGACTGCGATGTTTGATCGCGTTTATCGAGAAGTTGGAACAACCGCAACGAGGTCAGGTATCCAGCAATGCCGAAGAAGACATGGGCGGTGAAGCCGGAATAGAAATATCGGATGATGGGGAGCTCGAGCAGGTACCGGTGGCGATCGTTGGTCCCCCAGGGCTGGAAGCCAATGTCACTGAATGCCATGATGAAGTGGAAGGTAAAGACCTTGATCGAGGTAATGCCTCGTAGGCCATTGAGATAGCTGGTGGGAAATTGCTTGAGTTTGGGAGGCTGGTCGTTCCAGTATCGAGACCGTGCCAATTGAGGGGCGAAGCAGTAGGCAAATCGTTTACTGAGCTTGTAGAGGGACGCCGGTCGAACGTGCGCAAGGGCCGTGGAAAGCATTCGTTGGGGCACATCTCGAAGAGACTCGGTGTGGAAGCCATCGCTGGGAGGGGTATCGGTGTCCAAGAAGACATCCCTCTCATCTTTTACGAGAGGCTGTCGGACGGTCTGGAGCTCGTGTTGGTTCATGGTGTTATCATGGTCAGCGACCCTCGCTGGCCTCTATTCCAGGAAAGGGCGTCGATGGCGTGTCCAAGACTGTTCTGAAGACTTGATATTGGGTGATTGCGAAATGAACTGCAAAGTGGCGTCAAAGGAGAGAATAAAGGCGCGCCCGCGCCCCTGAAGGTCCGCCTTGCCCTGGAGAGTAGGGGCTCCTAACAAGAATGAGAATGAGCGATCAAAGGAGAGTTCGTGAAAGACAGCAAGGAAAGAAGAGTGTGGAACAATCAGTCAACGAGCGTGGAGAGAGAATGGGTGGGATGAGACTGATGAGTGCAATCGACGCTTGAAATCACGACATTGGGGTCTGATGAATCTCTCTACGGGCCATAAAGGTTTCTTGGACACCTGGGCGCCCCTGGTACTCGGCTTCCTATTTGCTCGCGTGCTCGTTGGCGCCTCACACCAGCCTGATGAGGCTGAACCTCAGCACTTCTAGACATGCTTGGCCCCTTGAAATGGCGTCCGTCCGGATCCAGAGGCTTCCGTGGATGGCTCATCCCTGCATTAGCCTCCACTTGCCGAGACTGCCAAACCTGCCAATGCCACCTGGTTCGTATAAGATAGACTAAACAGTATCAAGGGAAATTGTGCGATCGACCCATTTCCGGGCGTGTGGGGCGCCAGCGTGTTAGATTTTGCCTCCAGCCGCCCCCTGAACACCTGGCTACGCCGTTTTGGTACGAGTCCGGGTAGAAGGTACAGAGTATATAGACTGGGACTACGGAGTATTCAGGAGATGTTTCTGCTCCGCCATGTCTGGCCTGTCCACCATCTCGTGTACTGCATATCTAGTATATCTACCTGTACACAATGGGATGCTTATGCACTGCCCAACAACAAAAGGACCATGATCGTTATGTCAGCAAGGCCACCAAGACCAGCACAGTCACGTGCAAGAACCAGCGTCGTGGAATCCGGAAAATCCTTTTTCCTGGCCCCTCCATCACGTGCGCTCTGTGAAGGTGATAAGCGGATTCATTGACCGTTTTGGCGTCTTTACCACAGAGCAAGAAGAAAAATTCTCAACCCCCACTCTTTCTGCAGTCTTTCTATGCGCTTGCGGTGCCCTCTGCCATAGTGGACCAGTTGGGTGCCTCGATCTGGTGCCTCTTCCGCTAACTCATCCAACCCAGCGCACATCGTTTCGGTCACCACCGATCACCAGATGCAACATGCAAAAAAGGACCCTACAAAATGTCCTTCCCTGCTTTTTCCTTTCTGCTCTTCTCCCCCCTCTCCCATCGCCCTTCACAAGGCATCTTCAAACTTGTCTTCCACAGTGAGCGACTTCGGGAGTTTTGCGCTCACTTCTCGACATAAAGCTCCAACTTGACCGTTTTTCAAGTACAGAGACCCTTTGACGATTCTGATTGCCACCGAGAGCTCCTCGCCATGAGCGACTCCAAGGATATCAAAGTTATCCGTGCCACCAGCGTCGACCTTGGCCGTGACTATGGCACCGGCTCCAGCTCTCGTTCTCCCGTCGAGCATGGACACCCCGAGATCATTGAAGCAAGCCCCGAGCGCGGTCCCATCGCCCTCAGTGACGAAACAGGCGCCCCTACCAAGCCGTCATGGCGCTCCAAGTTTGCATTTTTCAAGACGAAGGATTTTTGGCTTATTCTGTGTCTGGGCCAGATACTGGCTATCTGCATTACCGGCACAAACACGTTGACAAGCTTGTTGGTAGAGGAAGGGACCAGCATCCCCGCCTTTCAGACCCTGTTCAATTACGTATTGCTCAATTTCGTCTATACGGGTTACACTCTCTACAAATATGGCTTTAAAAAGTGGCTGCAGATGGTTATCAAGGACGGTTGGAAATGTAATGCTCCTTGAGGCTCTGTCATATCGAAATGCTCAGGAACTAACGACTGACAACAGATATTATTCTTGCGTTCTTCGATGTTGAGGGCAACTACTTCACTGTCCTCGCCTACCGCTACACTACGATCCTCTCGGCTCAACTCATCAATTTCTGGGCTATTGTCGTCGTCGTGGTTATCTCTTTCCTCTTCCTCCGCGTGCGATACCACTGGGCTCAAGTCCTCGGAATCTTCGTATGCATCGGTGGAATGGGTCTCTTGCTGGCCTCAGACCACATCACCGGCGCCAATGGCGGGGACGTTTCTTCCGGTAACCAACTCAAAGGCGACCTGTTTGCTTTGTTAGGTGCGACCTTTTATGGTCTGGACAACGTCTATGAGGAGTGGTTTGTGTCTGGCCGCCCCCTCTATGAGGTGATCGGCCAGCTTGGCTTTTGGGCGACCATCATCAACGGCGCACAGGCCGGCATCTTTGACCGCCACTCCTTCCACACCGCGACCTGGAACGGCAAAGTCGGCGGCTATTTGGTCGGCTACACCCTCATTCTGTTCATTTTCTACACGCTCGTTCCAATCCTGTATCGCTTCGCTAGCGCGGCATTCCAAAACATCTCCCTCTTGACCGGAAACTTCTGGGGTGTTATTATTGGATTACAGGTGTTCCATTTACACGTGCATTGGATGTATCCCATTGCATTCACACTCATTATGATTGGCCACTTTGTTTATTACTTCGGAAAGGGTGTGATGGGCGAGGCAGCCAAGGCCTGGTTGGGTGAGAACCAGGAGAAAGGAATCGACGGATTTGGGAGTGCGAAGAGGAAGATTCGGCTGATGCAGGAGAACGCGGCCGGCACCCGAGGTGGTGAAGGGACAGAAAGTATGGGTGTGGTGTAAGGGAGGTCGAAGAGGTGGAAAGTGGAAGGGAAGGGGAGGATTAGCCAGTTTCGGAGTATACAGAACCAGTCTCAGCAATTGCCCGAGAATCGACGTCTGGTCAGACCAACCATTGTCTATGCATACTCGGGCCACCAACTGCCCCTCTGGGATGGGGACGACTTACGAGATGACGGCTATGACCATAATCCACGCTCGTTGCTGCAGCGTTTTACAGACGTTCAGCCCTTGTTTCCCATGACTTGGTGACCACAGATGGGAGTTGCAGAAATCCAGTATCAGAGGCCATACTCCGGCCAGACATACATTAGAATCCCAGAATACAAGATTATGAAGCATTTGAAAGAGACCCGGTGTCGAACTCTCGTCAGTGAGGAAGTCTGTAGGAATTGCTGGGGCAGGAAAATGGAGACAGACGGGGAAAAGAAGAACTCAAATCAGTTGGGTAAAGTATCAATTTTGGGGGAAAAGGCACTTTCTCTCTCTAAGGAAGAGAGATCGTTGAATGTTTCAGTGCTTGTTGAATTGTGATTTCCATTTTCCCCAATGAATTTTTTTTGGTCCCTTTTATCATGCTCTCCCAGATCCCGTGCCTTCGCTTGCGTGCTGTGCCGTGCTGTACCGTGCCATGTAACGCAGAGCAAAATAACAGCAGCAGAGAAAAGTCGCGCGCATAGTAGTATCAGCAAGGTATCTGAATTCTTCAACCAGACATTCTCGCATCACCCACACACACAGTTGCCACATTGGCCCCTCTCCACCTGCGTTTCTTCCTGCCGGTTTCCTACCAACTGTAACGCGTCGAAGAATTGACAAGAAAGGTGGCGAGCAAGGAGCGGCATCAGTGTCTCTCGAGTCCCCCTTCGTTTACTGCTCGGTCTGGAAATAGTTCAAGAGGACATTGCGCTCCTGGCTCTCCTCGCCCCAGTCCCTAACCACGACGCAGCTGCAGTTGACAACCTTGCGGGCGTTGCCCTCTCGGTCCAAGACGCACAGGCCGGCCCACTCGCCCAGCATCTTGCCGTCGGGGACCTTAATCAGCGGGATCTTGTGCTCCGAGCACAGGGCGACGACAAGCTTCTTGTAGGCTTCCTCTTCGCAGGCTTCGTTGAGCACGCACATGTGCGCCTGGCGGCGGTCGAGGGCCTTGGAAGCCTCGCGCAGGCCGCGGGCGAGGCCGTCGTGGATGAGGGCGAGTTTGAGAACACCTGTTTGTAGTTTGACAGACACGTTATTAGCGCTTCCAGTCCAGAATCATCTTTCTTTCTCCTTGTTGTCAACATCTTTTCTCTTCTTCCTTTCCTCCTCGAAGTCCCTGGAGAAAGGACAAAGTGGTTTATATTCCCTCCAGCATGTTCTTCTTGTTCCTCTGCAAAAGACGCGAGTGTAAAGAAATTGCGCGCACACACCTTTCAGAGCGTCAAGGACGGACATGGAACCAGAGGCGCCGGCATCGGGAGAGACGTCGACCTCATCGGCCGCGGCGACTTCTTCGACGGGGGAGGTGGGCTCTTCTCCTTCCGACTGGGAAGGCACAAAAACACTGGTCAGTAATTGTGGCTTTCATCGAGACGTATCAAGCAGGCAAAAATAAAGACAAATAAGAAAAGCAAAGTTGTCCGTCGTGGTCGTGTCGGCTCCTCCATATCCGACTCCCTTCATGAACGTAACACCTCTTCTCCTTCGCAAACCCGCGAGGCGTTTCCTGGCACATATGCATCGGAACTCCAAACTTTGGCTCGCAAAAAAGGGTTGGCATAGACGGGAGGAGAATACATACCATATTGGCGATTCGTTACTTGTGTGCAAGTACTTGCCTATCAACAATTTGTCGGATGATCCTCAAAGAGTCAACTCAAGAAAGGAATGAATAGTATCATGCAAAAGGAAAGATCGGAACTTTTTGCAGGTGGAAAATGCGAAATTACGGTGCGTGTCCCTCCAAGACTTTGCCAAGACTCGGTAATGTCACGTGACAAGAAATTTAAAGACGGCTGGCTTGTCACTACAACACTAGGTGCATGAACCACCTGCATCCAGAAAGCAGAAACATCAGAAATAAACGAGAGCACTAGCAGGAATCGCCAGAGGATAGCATCAAAGATTTGCGGTCTTCATTTGGAGCAGAAACCCTCCCGTCATGCACATTGTCTTGTGCTCGTGGCCCACAATTCAACGATTGCTATCTACAGTACAAACCCCAAGCACGGTAGATTCAGACCGTCATATCTTCTTCCGTGCCAAAGGGTAGATTGCGAAAGCCGCATTGCTCTGCATCACAAAATCGAACGACACCATAAACATCCGAGTCCGGTCCTTGAAAAAATTCTGTAAAGGGGCAAAACAAGGTCATGGTTCTGGCCGTCATCAATCATTAACCCTTTCAACGAGTGTACCCGGATCCGTTGCCGTTAACAAGGGGCGACATATGGGGAGTCAAGCCATTCATCATTTCGCTCGATTTCACGTTATTGGCGAAGTCTGGGAGTGCAGCAGGGCTTTGCGGTGACGATGCATCTGTGGTATGCTCCTGCATGGAAAGGACTCTGAGTGAGATGGGCTGTTTCCTGATCTTCAAGTTCGCCAGGTGCGGATGTCGGAAGATTTGATCTTCAAAGCCAGAGAGCTGCCTTCAAGTTAACTTCCAGTTACACGTTTGAAAACACGAGGAACCACATACCTTTACCCAGAAAAGTTCCTCCATGGCAAGGAACTTTGGATACTCCTCACGCTCGCGCCGGATCGCCATCTCGATCGTCGTATTGTACTGGTTTGTTTGGAATTCGTATGATAGGCTATTCCTCGATACTCTCCAAAGACGTTGTCTTTCATGTGGTGTGACAGGCCGTCTCTCTAAGGAGGTATAACTTCTTAGGTTCAGATCCTTAGTCGCAAGGAGTCCAGCGACTTGAAAATTCGGAATCCAGAGGTCGTTCCGAGTAGCATCCGGAGTATTGGGGTCCAGCTGTGTGGTCTTGACAGTATACAGCGGCAAGAAAAGCTTCAACCAGGGTTCACTTCTGACCTTGGGATCATTGTTGTCAAGAAGGAGGGCGCAGTGCCTGAGCAACGCGGGTAATGCTTCACGACGTCGCTGCTCGGCCTCGAGCTTTTCCCGGCGTTGCTGCTCTCTGAGCTGCTCTTCCTGCCTGCGTTGTCTTTCTTCAAGCTCGCGTTTGATGCGCTCCCTGCGCTCTTCCTCTTCTTTCCTCCTAAGGGCAGCTTCCTCTTCGGCCTTTTTACGTTGTTCGGCCTCTTCCGCGAGTCTTCGCTCTGCCGCTGCTTTCTCAGCTGCAATCCTTTCTTCTTCCATCCGGATGGCCTCTGCGAGTCGTCTGGCCTCTTCGAGCCGTTTTGCCTCTTCAATTCGCTGTGCTTCTTCGGCTTGTCTAACCTCTTCACGTCGTCTAAACTCTTCGAGGCGTTGGGCCTCTTCGGCTCGTCTCATTGCTTCCAATCGTTGGACCTCCTCAGCTCGTCTGTTCTCTTCCTGCCGTCGAGCCTCTTCGATTCGCGTAAGCTCTTCCAATCGCCGAGCCTCCTCAGCTTGTCGGATTTCTTCCAGTCGTCGTATTTCCTGGGCTCTTCTGGTTTCTTCTAGCTGTCGTTCTTCTTCGGCTCTTCGGATCTCTTCTGATCGCTTTAATTCTTCGAGTCTCCTTGCCTCTTCTGATCGCTTCGTTTCTTCAAGGCGTCTCGCGTCTTCAAGTCGCCGTGCATCTTCCAGCCGCTTAGCCTCTTCAAAGCGTCGAAGCTCTTCGAGTCGTTTAGCCTCGAGTCGTTTGGATTCTTCAAGTCGTCTACTCTCCTCGAGCTGGTTAGCCTCTTCGCCTTTACGTGCTTTTTCTTCTCTCTGCAGCTGAAGATCAGCCTCAGAAACACTCGTCTTGATTGGCTCCACTTTCAAGGACGCGGCCGTCGCTGTTCGTTCAAGTCCTACGCCATGGCGAGAACTCGTCGAAGCTCCAATTTCAGTAGTATTATCCAGTGTTTCTGGTTCAGTATCGTCAATAATGATGAAATTCTTCACATCTCCAAATCCAGTTGATTCAGATTCGACTTTTTCGCGCTTCAAGCCAGCTTTCTCTTCCGATTTGCGGTCAAGGGTGAGAAATGACGGGCTACGGCTCGACTTGTTTGGACCAGGGCGTGTTTCTTCCGGACTGCTTTCTATAACGGTCCTCCGCTTCTTGGCTGTGCTGCGACCATTATTACCCTCCTCGGTCACTGCCGGCCCAGGTGAAACACTTTCTCGAGTTCGTTTGAGCGCTGTACTCGGTCTGCTACTCGGTCTGCTACTCGACTTCGCCGCCGCTATGAGCTCTTCATCTGAAGAAGCATCCAAATTGCTCTTGCGGCTGCGATGTTCTTTGCCGGTAACGAGACGTCTTCGTCGATGTGTAACCTCGGATTCCAGATTGGGCGGTGGTGGCAGGTCGCTTTGACTTCGTCGTTTGATATGGCCTTTTCGAGAAGCATGAACGGTCTGATCCTGATCAGAAGAAACTGCAACAGGTGAGTCTGCGACATCTCGCCTGGAAACATGATGCTTGCGCGTGTCCTGCCCATCCACAGAGCCAAGGTCTCGATCTTTTTCTTTCTCCGGAAAATATGGGGACTTGCCCACTAACTGTCTCTGCCTCAATATTGGGCTAGAAGAATTTTGCGATCTGTTAGAGACTGGAGATTGAGAACGACGATTGGCACGAACTTTCGCCTTGTCCACATCTCTAGTAATTCGCGGAGAACTTAGTCGTCGATTCTTGGCCAGGTGTTTATCGAAGGCAGCCTTCAAAATCTCGTACTCCTGCTCCCATCGCTCACCTTTCCGCTCGGCAGCGATGTCAAAGTATGTCTTCCCCTTGAGAACCCTCCGCGTAGGATTGAAACCTAACTGCTCAACAAGAAGTTCGACAACCTCCGGGTGTCCCTTTCCAATAGCTGCGAGCATCGGGGTATTATACCCTTGTCTGAGACTTCGGATCGGCTCAGGGTCAGGTTCGGGATCACCCATAGCCAGAATAAGCTGCAAAACCTCTTCATGCCCTGCTTTGGCGGCTGCTATCAAAGCTTCTGTTTCCGCTTTTTGCAAGACGTTGAGGATGCTGGCCACACCCTGGACATCACCTTTTCCAGCCAACTTTTTCAAGTTTTCCTGAGTGTTTGCTTGCCAGAGAAGATCGTTTCGAGTCGATTCGCTACGACCGGTCCTCCGCCTCCCGTAACCAGTAGGGGGGCTTCGGGGGCCTATCAAGGGTGGTGAGTCGCGGGGACTAGCCGCAGAAGCCGCTCTCGACGAATTCCCGTCTCGAGCGATGTCGTTATGCTCAGAAGAGACGCGCCTGTTGCTCGGTTTTTCTTTTGCATCAGCAAGCAGCCTTCGGATCTGTTCATAGTTTTCGTCATCCTGAGGAACAAGTTCGTATGGCTCATCGCCCTTAGCGTTGCCCAAACGTGGATTCGCTCCATATTCCAGGAGCAGTCTGATAACTTCAACATGACCATTCTCAACAGCATCAATAAGCGCCGTGTCTTTGTCGATATTCCGGGTATCGACTTCACACCCGTTTTCCAACAAGAATCTCACAATATCGACGTAACCCTGTAACGCGGCGATTTGAAGCGGGGTGTTTCCTGCATTGTCTGGTTGGTTGAGATCTTCTGGTCGTTCGGCGAATTTGATTTTCGCAGCTGCAAGGTCATTATTACTGCAGGCCCGAGACAAGAAGGTTCTACCGTTCTTGTCGCGCCACTTGCGGGGGCCAGGAGGCTTGACTGGCGACATGGTATCATGCTCTGCAGACGAGAACTTGTGCAGCAGGATAGGCCGCGGCTGTCGAGGGGAGTCTGAGACGTCCGAAGAGACCGATCGGTCACGGGTGTTATCTGCCGAACCACTTCGTCTCGTGTGAATTGACGGAGGTCGACCGCGCTTTTTCCTCTCAAAATCGCCAAGCGTCAACTGGGTTGATATACCTCGCCTGTGTTCCCGTCTTTGTGGCCTTGGCGAAGGAGAGCGGTCTGGGGAAGCATGACGAGGATAAGTAGCTGATCTAGTTTCGCGACGTTCTGACGAGATCGGATCCACTCCGCCACCACTATTCTTTGTGCGATGTTTGCTTATCGGAGGCAGGACATCGCGAATATCGCTTGGACGACGCTTGCGACCTTGATTATTGACCGGCTTCCCTTCGGCGTCACGCAAATCAGCGATATCGTCGTCACGACTCTCCTCCGCTGGGCTCGGCTTTGGGGACGCGATATGGTCCAATGTGTCTGAGGCGCTATCGGGGGTTTGGGGCTGCATTCGGAGCGATGATAAAGATGAACTGCGGCGACTGGAGGTGGAGATGGCGCGACCGTCGTGCGCATCATCATCAACACTACGTTTGCGCTTTCGGGTATTGTCTTCACTTTCGGTCACGACGACTGCGACAGCCAAAGTTCCGTCTTTGGGCCTGGTAACACTTGCCGATCCTGTTACAGATGTACTGTCTGTGGCGGTCCTCTGCTTCTCTGGTGACTGGATCAACGTTTCTGCCTCCGAATCGCTATTGGTATCTGCCTCCGCAGCAGGATCAGCCATGACATGGTCATTGCCTAGTCCAGCAGGCGTGGAGTTCGAGGCCATTTCTCTGGGCTTTGAAACCGTGGCAGGTGCACCACTCGATCCGCTTGTGGTGACCTGGTCGGTAGGCTTTGGGAGGCTCGCATTTTGAGACTCCTTGGAGCCGACCACATCAGTCATAACGATGTCCGCCTCCTCTTCATTATTACCCTGGAAGATATCGCTTGCCGTTTTGGGGAGGAGTTTGGGCGTGGCGGATCGAGTGGGAGGCTGGAGGCTGGAGCAGGAAGTGTTGACGGGCACCGGCGGTGAAGGGCGAGAGATGGGGTTTCCGGCGTGCGATAGCGTCTTAGAGCCCTGTATGAATGCTGAGATTTAGAGAGAGAGTGCTGACCCGGCGCAGGGAGATGAAGGGTCTTTGTCTGCGTGGTCGTTTTGATGGGTTCACCACATTGTCGATGCACAGAAACACAAGCCTAAAGAGACGGGGAGATGAAACTCGATTTCGACTCCAGTCCTAGTGGCTCCCAGATCTTGTTCACGTGAGAGGAAATGCCCCAGGCACATGTGGGCTCAAATTGGAATTGGTGGCTCCCCACCCATACCTAATTCCAGGCTGTACATCTTGCTGCCTAGGTAGGAAGCGCCCCTAATGCCCTCTTGACTAGAAACAAGCCCAGCTTCCTCGCAACCAGTCGGAGGCAGCCCTGGCAGAACCTTCCGGCTCTCAACGGATCTTTGATCAGGAGCCCAATTTCCATCTCTTCTCGAACCAGATTTCGATACTGCTGGGGCCACCATCCACCCACCGCCACAAGAATCTCAGCCCTTCCCTGCATCCGCCTTCGTGCTCTCCCTCGTATTGTTTGCTTTGGCTTCCCCGAGCGGGCCGGTACTCCCAAACTCGCCTCTTTCGGCGCCTTGGTGCGACCGTCATTCAGATCAGCAAAAGCCAGCAAGCGCGAGAAGCAGATGGCAAAGTCAACAGTGGCGTAATTTTGAACCCTCCTGCCTGGGTGCCGAACTCTGGGGCACACAAAATTTGGCTGTTGTACAGCTGGATTTCGAAAACCCAGACACCATGCTGCTATCTCCATTGGTTTGGGCCACCAGAGCCTTCTACCTCCTCAGCAGTCTAGCCATCCTCACCGTGCGTCTGATTCCTGCCCTCGGTGTCCGATTCCTCCCATACGGAGCGCGTGCAGGGGACCAAGCTCGCAGTAGTGACAAGAGCCAATCCACAAAGCAGACTGAGCCTTCGGTAGGCGGCAAATTCCTCGACTACGTTGCTACTCTTACTGTCCCGCATGCATGGTTCACTCATTTCTATGTCTTATCCGTCGCATGCTCATTGGTTTGCCTGTTCGCTTCCCATCACTATGCAGGCACGATCAGGGGCCAGAACATGGACATCCCAGTTTTTTGCTCGATGTTGATGCTCCTTCAAGGTTGTCGACGGCTGGTGGAATGTCTAGTCCTTGACCAACAGAGCCATTCTCGAATGTGGATAGGCCACTATGCCATCGGCCTGGCATTTTACCTGGTCACGAACATCGGCATCTGGGTCGAAAATCTCGATGCCAACCTCGATCGAGCGCAGAGGACCAATCCAGAAAGGGATCAAGGAACTGTTTTGTGGACGACCAAGACGATGATCTGCACTTTGCTCTTCTTCTGGGCCAGCGACCGGCAGAACCTTTATCACCGCTACTTGTCAAGCCTGAAGAAGTACACTTTGCCAGAGAAACATGCCTTCCGATGGATAATAGCGCCACACTATACTGCCGAATGCCTTATTTACCTCAGCCTCTCCTTCCTAGATGTCCCTCATCCACGAGATCACCATCAACATCGCCAGTACAACCAGAAACCATCCAAGACATCCATAAACTGGACACTATTCTGTGCTGTGGTCTTCGTAATAGTGAACCTTGGTGTAACGGCTGACGGGACGAAGGAATGGCTTCGGGCGAAGTTTCCTGACAGGGCGTGGGAGGTTATCAAGAGATGGAGAATGATTCCCTTTATTTACTAATGTTAGGAGAACTGAGCGAGATACAATGTCACCGGTACGACGAACTACAGTGAGAAAGGAAGAAAGGGATTTTTGGCACAAGCAACTGCTGGAAAAAAACGGCCCAATGAGTCAACTTGTCCAGCCATAATGCTCTTACCAAGACCGAGGAGTGTTCACTATTTATCACCAGGCAAAAGATGCAAAAATCCGCAGCGTTCTCCATTTGGCGTCAATAGCAAGAGCCACGAGGCATCCGGCCACCCTCATTAGCGCTTCTCATTTTGCTGTATGTATCAAGTCTTCTAGAAACCACATTGTCGACAGTAGTATGTCTCTCGCAAGAGACTCCAGCCACCACTCTAATTCAGCGCCAGCTTGCCTAGTCAGGTTCGTGGTCCATGCTAATACTGTTCACGAGTGGCCGGGGGGAGTGAAGGACACAACCGGCATCCCTCGAAACCTAAGCCAGAGCCAATGAGTGTATCTGTAAACACATTCGCTTCTAATACCCCCGCGCTGCATTCTCTCAATCACTTGATTCGAGTCCAGAGAATGGCGAGGCGATCCCACGGCATTCCATTGCATTTTTGTATCGAATCGAATCCGATAAAGCTCGTGATCCGGAAGAGGTAGACTGGGGGGGATCTGGAGGCACGTTGGATCGAACGGCAAGACAATCATGTGGGGATCGCCGGTGGATGTGTCTATGTGTGCTGCGCGCGGATGTCTTTGTGTCGTTTCTTTCCTCAGTCTGGGCATTGTCGCCCGTTCATTTCTGGCCAGATTTGTAGCCATTGGCACCGATGGATTTGTCCTTGGCCTTCTTCTCATGGCCATCACCACCAGATCCATCTCTTTCCGCTTCTTCGTCCTTCTTCTCATCTTCCTCGTCCTTCCTCCCGACTGTGTGATCAGCGTCAGCGCCGTCGTCTTCATCGTCGTCCCCTTTTACGCCCTTCACAGCTCTCTTAACCTCCTCCCTAAACCTCCTCCTTTCCTCCCTATCCTTCTCCCTCTTTACTTCTCTCTCTTCTTCCTTCTCCTCCTCCTTCTTTTCTCTTTCTTCGTATATCCTTTCCATGAACTTAGGCAACTCAGCGAGCGCCTTTTCGGGGTCCTTTTTGTGGATGAGAAGATAGTCTTGAAGATCCGCGGGTGAAAAGTCGCCTTCGGGGATGAGGGAGGCGAACTTCTGCGCGAGACTGCGGAGGTGCCCGGTTGCCGTATCGTTAGGCAAGTCGAAACCCCTCTTCTCAGTCTCGTCACAAGATGAAAGCGCTTGAGCGGTGGTCGTACTTCCGGGTGCTCCTTCTGCTTCCTCCACCCCTCTCAAACTTGCAGCTTGTGGTAGATCCAGATACATTCTCAAAAATATCTCCTCTGCTTGCCTTGTGCTCGCATTGCCGAACCCTACCCTTACGCTGATCCGGCCAGCCCGCACAAGTGCGTCGTCAAGTTCGTTCGGTTTGTTCGTTGTCCTTCAGAATCACGGTTAGTATAGTTCTCACATCCGCGAATGTACCGGTGGGTCAGTGAGCTGAAAAGCAAACGGTCCTTAAGCAGAATGAAGCTGCTTGCTCCTGCTGACCCAAGACGGGAAAAGGGGAAGGCATAGACTTACATGATCAAAACATGGCCCTCCGGCGCGGCGACGCCATCGATCGCATTCAGCAACCCACTCAGCGTAACGCGTGAGGCAGAGCCGCCTTCTTCGTCGGTATCGATACGGTAATCATCAGGATGGCGCGGAGGCAATCTCGAGTTCCATCTATTCCAGCCTCGGGTTGATGTGGCGGACTTTCCTCCTTTTCTATTCAAACCTGCGGTGTCAATGTCTTCCAGGAGCAACAGAGACCGGCCGGGGAGCTGATTGAGAAGCGAGATGAGATCCGAGTCTGTCAGGTCGTTGTCAAGAAGTGACAGGTTGTATACATCGAGGTTGAACTTGGACGCGAGCGCAAGTGCGAATGATGTCTTACCGACTCCGGGTGGGCCATGGAAAAGATAGCCACGCCGGTAGGGGATACCGTGGCTGGCGTAGAAGTTCATCGTTGCTTCATCCATGTACTCGGCCACATCTGCGATGACCTGTTCCTTTTTCTCCGCCTCCAAGATGACCGTGTCGAGTGCTCGCCGGGGCTTGGAGGTGACTCGGCTCCACGTCTGACCTCCTCTGTACGGTCGACGAATAATGGTCAATGAGCGTTCTTTGGCTTTGTTCAGGTAGAAAACATGTTCAAGAAGGTCCTTGATGGGTTGCGTCGAGCGACCCAGGCATGACAGAGAGATGATTTCCATCCTCTTATAGCGATTGCCATAGTAGGTGTGGCCCTCTCCGTATTTGCGGCTACAGAAGAAGAGCTTACCCTTGTAGATGAACAACTGAATGCCCTGGCCCTGCTCGTACTTGATTTTGGGAGGTTCGTTGGATCGTCTCGTCTCTTCCACATCTGGATCATGACGCCGAGTTCTCCGTGGACCCGTGTCCTGGGAGCCACTAGACACGGCATTCAAGACCTGGTCTGTGCGGAGTGTTTTGCGCTCTGACAGATAAGAAGTCAAGTACCCGAAGAGGTCTTCTTCAGACGAGATATTGATGGTGGCGACGATGACGGAAGAGAACTGAGACCAGAAGGATTTCAGCCGAGCGAGAGGACCAAAGTAATAGAAGGCCAGGAGGACGCCAAAGAAGCGGAAGAAGGAGGGGTGTTTGTCTAGCAATGGTCGCGCTCCTGGAAAGAAGGAAGTGATGAGGTATTCGGGGAGGTCGATAAGGCTGCTGCCACCCGAAACCACAGTTTTCCTTACGCGTTGGAGGTCCATTTTGGAATGGAAGATGGGAGATCGTCTTTCACAAACTTCCAAACGAGAGATGATCGAAGAACCTGACGGAGTCCAACAGTTGATATGCAGTTTCAGAAGTCTCACAAAATATATGCAAAATGCAGGCAACCGGGCGGTGAAGCCGTCCACCAGATTTGTAAAGGCGACAAAGGCGGGTAAGCACGAGTTTGTATGTATCAGACGCACTTGCTTTCTGCCTGCTGCAGACTGGCGACGATCAACGGCGGGCGACACGTTTTCCTACACGACGGTGGATTCGGACCCTCGATTTAAAGAGACTACTCGGCCCTATCCTATATGACACTGCCTCCTGCATCGGATACAAGGGCATTTGGGACTTGCCACCGGTTGTGCGAACCAGCTACCTGCAGGTTAATCTGCAGGCCCCCAGTCCCCCGGCACTATCTCGACACAAGACCGGGCGCAGGCAGCAAGAGTATCAGGGATGATTCTTCCAACCGCTGATTGGATGCATGGATAGGGACCATGTCGTCCGGTGGAGCTGGTAAGAAGTCAGGCACAATCACAACAGCTACGCGGAATACTAATGGCATCAATGCCTACTGTGTATGGCTTCATAAGGAGTGGCAAGAGCTACGGCTGGACTCTGTAAGAGTCACTATTATGTACGAATTACTCGTATGGAGAGTAGTCTTTTCAGTCTTGTCAATGCCTTACGCCACCAGTGCCACAGTTTGGCTTGCCTGGAGGGGACCATTTGAGGCCTCGCATTTGCAGATCTGTTTCTGCTAGACAAGTAGCCAGAGCAAAGAGGAAGAAGGGGCAGGTCATCTGCGAGCTTGCAACCCTGGTCTATGCTTTAGCAGCAATTGACGTCGAACCCATGCAAGCGTGTCGACACTTCCATCGTGCAAATTTCCTGTGAGCTGAAAGGCATTGCTCTTCATTACAGTGCCGTCCCGATGCATGAAGCGTCTTTCGCAGTGAAAGAGCGTTTTCCTAGAGTCCTTGATTCCTTCTGTTAGCCTCCCACCCAGATAGTCTCAGTTTCACACCGTGTGTGGCTCCATCTCCTCTTCATCTCGTGCCACCTGGCTCGGAGCTCTAGCTCGGTTTCGTAGGGGGAGACCTCGACAGGGTGGACACTGGTAGAGCGTCCGGCGAACACAGAAGCGCTAGGCATATACATACAAACTCGTGAGTTGGACGTAATCTCCACGGAAAAAGGGAAGAGAGGGAGACAAAAGATGCTGGTCATGGTTCTATCTCGACAAACAACTGCAGGTGGCCTTTGCAGAAGATTGACGTCATTTGGCACAAACAGCTTCGGGCCTTTAATTCTTTTCCATCTGCACCCGTCATCGCCTCTCCTGCCACCGTCCTTAACTTGCGGTGCCTGGTACCTCTCTTCGTTCCCGAAACTGTCGGAAAAGGCCATGCTGCATTTCTGCTGACATTACCCTCCTCCGGCTCATAATCCACTCCCTTCCCTCCCTACCATGCCCGTAGTCCAACGCACCGGCCGGACGATTGCAACTCGAGAAAAGCAACAAGCACATACGCAGCCAACTACGACTATCTCGATGCCTTCCACGCACCAAAGACCGTCCTCCTCCCTCCTCCTTGTCTATCCCGTTGTTCTCGCTGTGGGGTCCCTCTTCGCTTCCCTCTCTCCAGTTGCCAGTCCTCCACCAGCCGAATCACTCGCTCCAGGAATCACATCCGACCTCAATGTCCCGCACTTCCATTCGACAAATTACTTTGCTGGCAAGCGCAACATAATCAACGTATACTTTGTCAAAATTGGCTGGTTTTGGACAAGTTTAGCCTTCTTGCTGCTTCAAAGCACCATTCGGCCACCACCAGCCAGCGTGCTCAAACACTACGTCCAATCGATTCTACGCTATAGCCTTGTTACCATCTCTTGGTTCTTAACCACACAGTGGTGTTTTGGTCCCGCGCTTGTCGATCGAAGCTTCACGATTACCGGCGGCCACTGCGAGCCTCAATTGATCAACACCACCGGACTGAAAGACGCCATTGACATGACCATGATTGCGTCGGGCCCTGCGTGTAAGGCTGCGGGCGGAGAATGGCGCGGCGGACACGACATCTCGGGTCATGTATTCATGCTCGCTCTCTCCTCAGCCTTTCTCCTGTACGAACTCTACATCGCCGATCGGGACTCTGCCCACCCGTCTGTTTCACCTCGAGCCGCTGCAGCAGTGGCCCATGACATGACCGACGAAGAACGCAAGGCAGTGGGAGGCTGGGAATCAGAATCTGTGGCGATGGTGCGGATATGGTCGAGGTATTTTCTGTATGGGGTAGTTGTGCTGGACTTTTGGATGCTCATGATGACCGCCATTTGGTTTCATACATGGACGGAGAAACTGAGTGGGCTCCTCATCGCTGCCACAACGATATGGATTACGTACTTTTTAAGTGATTTCGTACCTCAGTGGAGGGAGCTTGTGGGAGGATTATGACGGGAGACGCCACGAATGCACGTACAAGTTACGCCTGAAACGAAGAAAACGACCGTGTCTGTGGTCAGAAGATTGAACAGGCACTCTGATTCTGCTATACAGTTGCTGTGCTTGCTTTGGAGCGTGGGGAGTCCACGATAGAGCTGCTCCCGCTGTCTTTTTTTATACAGAAGTATTCCTCACATAATTACCCGTTCTCCCAGATGCCGTCCGTTTTATAGGCTGCCTATCTATCTTCCAGATTCGAAGGGCCTCCCTTAGCCTTTGGCGTGGAAACATTCGAGGAATAGATCGACAACATCACATGACGATCATTCCTCACATATGTAGAAACATATGCCCTCCCTTCCTGCCTTCTCCCCCCCTTTCCCCGGCATAGTGCTTCAAACATTGACTGAGTCCTTAAACCCGCTTCCTATCTCTCTCTGGAAATATATAAATTCTCCTCACTTTCTCTGAAATACTACCAACCGAAGCCCCCGTACTCGTCGAAATTACACACATCCAAAAAAAGAGAAAGAAAATGAGGAGAATTTCCCATGTCCTGTCATATATCCCATGCATGTCCATCATACCTACACACGATCCAACTTGGCCAATTTCTTCCGTTGCTCCTCGCGCTCCGCTTCCTTTCTGGCACGCTCCTCGGCATTTAGTCTCCCTGTCTCCTCATCCTGGTCGTCGTCGCTGAACTCATCGTCATCATCGCCGGCGAGTTGGAAGTACTCCTCGGCTTCGTCGGCTGTCGGAGCCGTGGAGCCCTTCTGCATGGCGCCGGGCCGCCTCTTCCTCGCCTGGCCCACCACGAGGGTCAAGACAACCACCTCGACCACGGCCAGTGCAACGCAGAGCGAGATAATCGGCCAACCATAGTGTCGCAGCATGAGACCCGAGACGACATTGATGATGCCGATAGGAAAGACGACTCGGCCCAAAATGACGTGTGCGGTGCTCATCCAGGTCCTGCGGCCAGCGGTCGCGACAAACACGACGTGGTGTCTCCAGCCCAAGACGAGCTGGACAGCCAGGGCGCAGAGAATGAGGATGCCGATGTACTGGTGAGGGATGGATATGGAGCGGGAGTTCCAAAAGCCGATCAGCGCGCCAATGGAGACGAAGATGGAGGACAGAGCGTTGACGGTCCAGTGGTAGTTGAATGCTGTTCCCGCCGCGCTTGTGCGAGGAGAACGGAGGAGGTAGATTGCCAAGGGGTAGCCGACGAGGAAAGGTATGGTCATCAGGAAACCGTGAAGGTGCCTGTCAATGAGCGGTGAATGGTTAGCAGTGGTCGGGAAGGGAGAAAGGACTGTAGTTAGAGCGCCCGGGGCATAACGGGAAGACAAGACGAGGGGATTTACGTACCACATCATCGACCTGATGTTCCACTGCTTGACCGACTTTACGGGCTGTTCGACCTTGCTGCCATCGTCCGCTTCCGCTGCAGGAGTATCGCTATCTGGTTTCGCGTCTGTGGATTCTGGAGTTGAATCGTCGGCTTTATCCGCCGGCTCTTCTGGAACCACTTCCTTCGAGTCGCTGTCACCACTTCCACTGCCGCTTTCATTCGTGCTGTCACCGCCAAGCTGGGCTGCGATAATTTCATCGCCTTTCTTCAGCTCTTCCTCTGTTGGTGGCTTGGGTTCCGCTGTCTCACTGATTCCGGTATGATCATTCAATTCGTTGATGCCGCCGAAAAATGGCACGTCGCTCTTCGCGTTCAGAAGATCCACCCACAAAAACCCGAAGCCCAGACCAAACTGGTGCATATCGATGGCCCTGTCAACGGAAAAGTCGCCTTCAAAGTCTTGTCTAAAATTGGAGCTCCAGATCATGGCTTGCTTCGTAGTGTCGTTCTTGACCCCAAGTTCCGCGGCGGTCCATCGGTCGTATCCACGAACAATGAAATCCGCAATGCCCAGATGCGAGGGTTTCGCTTGCAGTTGATCAGAGTACCAATCACCGGTATAGTCCTCGAAATGGGCCGTCACCACCTCGACCTCGGGAACATCACCGCTGTAGAAGTCCTTCATCTCGTCGATAGGTCGGGGAGGGTGATGTCCGTCCACAGTCCTCACCGTCAAGGTCACACCTTTATCCTCGGCATTAGGATCACCATAGATGATAAACATCAAGGCCCCTTTCATCCGCGGACCCAGTCCCAAAGAAGCCCAGCCCTTGTTAGAAGACTTGTACCGGAACATCCACATGCGGACATAGAGGTCAGATTGTTGCGTGGTTTCGTTAAAGTAGTTGACCATACTGAAGGCTTGATCCGCACGGCCGGATTGGCCTGTGTGTTTGACGAATTGGAGGGGTCGGTAAGCAATGGCGAACGTGCTGAGGAGTAAGATAGCCAGCGTGGCCGATAGCGACAGAAAAGACCCGTGCATCTTGACAATCTGGACCCGGTGTCGTGGAAAAAGAGTGAATGTGAATTCAGCAACCAGGTTATACAAAATACTGAACAATGGCTGAGAACTCCAATGTGAAATAATCTTACAACCCCTGCTCGCGTGCCGCTTGGGGTTGGCGTAAATAGGGGGATTCTTTGGGTTGGCCCGCTGTCAGGATACCTCCGAGTTCTCCGGTTAGGCAGGACCGTTCAGGGTTGGTCCGGGCCTTTCCCCTTTTCCTTTCGTGGACCGACTCGCTTGAAGAAGACGGGAGGGCGAAGTAAGAATCTCTAATGCTGATACGGGGGGAATCACGCAACAGATTTGATGGGATCTAACGAGTGGTGGTGAGGGGAAAGGAAAAGAGAGCGATCTTTTGATAAGGGGAAGGGGAAGAGGAAGAGGAAGTTGAAGATTGGACGTTGGACGATGGACGTTGAGTGGAGTGAGACGGTTGGCTAAGAAAAGACGCACTATGCCAGGTTGGGATCTTGGCGCCTAGCGGGAAATAATGCTGCCATTCCGCTCCATCCAGGGGCCGGCCATTGATAATCACGCCGAGTCACGATTCACGACAGCCAACGCGGTCTTCTAACAGGTCGGTGGTATGATCGTTTTCTCTATGCCCCGGTCTCGCTTAAGTTCGGAAGTCTAAGTAAGTGCAGAGTCTCTGGAGTAAACATTTTTATCGTATTTAGCGCCTCAAGTTCAACGCGTCAAGATGAATGTCTACTTTGTAATGCTACCGATCGCGTCTATCTCGATGCGCCAACTTGTCTGTTGATGTGATTTGCAATGATCCCTCTAGTTTCGATGCAACGAGAGAACCCTAACTAGCGACACGCGCGTGGAATGCAAGACATACATCAAAGTCGTAGCGGGTATTGAGATCTTTGAACGCCTGTTTATCCGCCACCATCCTACGACTTCACGATGACTCGCTTCTCAATCGGCTCAAATGTCTTCTCCTGCGGTCCACCCGTGGGCTTGCCGAACACCAATTGGGCCTTGAGTTTCCACGCCTCAGGGATGTCAAAGGTTGACTTGACTTCCGCGGTGATGCCTGGGTGGAAGTTGAAATGTTGGAGGTTGGCACCCAAGCCCTCAGCTTCGAGGGCGGTCCAGACTGCCAGAAGAAATGAAAGGTCAGTAGGTGGCCAGCGCGACTATGGACACCGAATGCTGGGATCCAGACTCGACTTACCGATGAACTGATGGATACCGGTGGAATGATCAGACCCTATGAGAAACATTGCTTTGGTTAGCACACATCCTTCACCCGAACCATTTCGCCTTAACCGTCGCGCGTGCTCTCTCACATTCTGTCAGCATGGGCTTGACCATGGGGTTCTTCTCGCCCAACCCGTCCAACGCCGTCTGGTCCTCAAACCACATGACTGTCCCGTAACTGCCTTTCCATCCCGCAATGCGGCTGTTCAAGTACCCGCGCGTTCCCTCGTCCAGGGGCACCTGGTCAATGTGCTTCTGGACAATCTCCCACAACTTGGTGTGGTTCTCCTTGAACAGGACCACTGCACGGGCCGACTGCACGTTGTACGTGGAGGGCGCCCACGTGACGGCGAACTTGACAATCTCTTCGATCCTAGAGTCCGGGATGGTCGACTCCTTGGAGAGGGTGTAAATGGAGCGGCGGCCCTTGATGAGGTCGAAGAAGGTGTCGACTTGGCCCATGGTTGCTGAAGACGCGTGTGTACTGTGGTTGGATGTGGTGTATGAATGGGTAACTGGTCAGTGAGGACAAGTAAATGTTGGAGAGAAGGACGACCTGCCAAGTGGAAGCAGGTTCGGGCGGCCTTTTATCTTTACGGAGCCTTGCCGTGAGGACGTGCCAACCCAGAATCAGATCGCAAGATCACGCAACAACGAAGGTACGGATCGAATTAACAATCAAAAACACCATTTCAACGCTCGGTCCGCTGCCGGCCATCTTGCCTATCCATGCAACTTAATAGGACCCCTGTCCGTCTGCAGGAGGCAGATGTCCTGTTGTCAGAGAAGCCCCGCAGGGCATGGTCGAAAACGAAAAAACCCCCGGTCACCCTCAAAGCCTGCTAGCTCCAACAAGAAAAAGACTCAAAGGAGTTCTGGTTTTCCTGTCTCAGCACCGCCCCGCCTCTCTGCCCATTGGCTTCTTCTGATCCGTAGTTACCTGGACCGAGTCACGCAGCACTAACGCAAGGGCATACGAGCAGGTAGACGCCAATAAAGGTGCGGGAACCGGGCAGTGGGTATCGGTGACTCGGCCGACAAAAGACAAAGGCTCGCCGAAGGGGAGTTTGAGTTTACAGGCGCGGACGCGAGACCCATCTTGCCACCTACCTGCATACTTACTTGTAAGTATGTCTGATTGTATGCATGTATGGATGGATGGATGGATGGGTGTGACCTTGAACACCCTCGTATACGGGCGTTGGCTGTGCTGAGATGCTGATAACGAGTTCGTTCGTGGAAATTACCAGGGATCCAGGGAGTGTATGTCACAAAACCCCATACAGGTCGGGTTTGGGGAGGGGATCCAGCAGCTGCAAAATTCGCCCAACGCCAGCATTTCGCAGCCTGCGTAGTTGAGACGGAAACGTTCTGGTTGATCTGAACTGTACATACAATCGAGAGAAGATGTCTGGGTAAGCAGAGCCGGGGTGGGGAGGGGGCGAGTGATGGCCTGTTGTCAGCCTGATTGGAGGGTTCATCGCTGTGGTCCAGCATTACGAACTTATACGAACCCATACCCATACAGAGATACAAGTCCTACTTCCCCAACTCACCCAAAGCACGTGGGACATTAGTTTGTTTTCTTCGTCGACACCTCGACTCGATACAAGCAAGACAAGAACCACTCGATCTCAGCTTTCTGCATATGGCGACATTGGACTGGGTCTCGGCTATGCATAGATCACAAAATTCCAGACGGATTACACGTATGCTGGGCCTGGATAGCCGCTTATCCCAAACTCTGGCGATGCATGAAGGCAGCATCAGTGTCTATCGGCCGAGACACTCGGCCGGCACGTGACTAGAGATAGCGTCGACATCATGCGGGCAGTTCAAACTCGTCTGACCAACGCTCGATGTAGAGGAGGATTGTCTTGGTCAGCTAGTGGAGTCAAAGCGGGATATAAGGCCCTGTGACAAGAACAGGTGAAGAGGGCACAGAAATTGGTTTGTGATAGCTGGACTGCTTAACTTAGTGGGACGGTAATGTATGTACAAAGTCCAACCCAAAACATCAGAATCCTCTTGACTAATCAGCCTCAATTTCACATAAAGGAACTCCATCATCTTGACTTCGTTCGGTCGTAAGTTGCTGGCGTGGAGGACTGTTCTCCGACAGTATCTCAGAAATGACGTCCAATCTCTCTCGTGGAGATATATTTCTTTCACCGCATCTTTCGTGACTTGAAGCGGCAGTAGAAGTCGTGCTCTTTAACAAACCAAGCTATTCTGAAGTCAGCACCAATCGTGCGAGGCTGGATCTTGAGAAGACTCACCATTGTGTAGTTTCCATTCCCGGTTGGGATTGTCGAAACGTACCTGAAGTGGAGACCATGTCAGCTTCTGCTCCAGCAACTGTGTCAAGTCAACCTTTGGCAGCTATACTCACCTCGAAGCGACGCAGGAAAGCCGGAATCAACTTGTACATCTCCAGCAGACTGATGTTCTTTCCGATGCAGGTTCTGGAGCCAGCCCCGAACTGGAATAGAGTGCCGTTCATTTCCTTGAGCTGCTCCTTTCCCACGTCGAGCCACCTCTCGGGAATATAGCTGTCGACCTGAGACCCAAAGACCTCTTCGCGTTTGTGGATAACCCACGCATTGCAACCGACAATCGTACCCCCGGGAACGAAGTGGCCGTCGATCTCAATCCCTTGTGGTGGTGTGACTCTCTCCAGAGGCAAGCCTGCAGCCGGGTGCATCCTGAATGCTTCTTTGATACACGCGTCGAGGTAAGGGAGCTGTTGGGATTCGGCCCACGTGATTGTCCCTGTAGGCGTATCTGCAATCCTCCCTTCCTCGACAGCTTCGTCCAATTCCTGCATCAGTTTCTGGTAGCACCGGGGGTTACGAAGGAGATAATAAAACACCGCGGCTAAACTGATAGCTGTAGTCTCGGACCCTGCGAATGCCATCGACACTGCCATGGTGAGAACTCTCTGGTCGGTCATGAACTCTGGGCGGTCGCGTTGCGCCTTGAGAAACATGGACAAGAGATCTGGCTTCTCCGTCCCTTTCTCGATACCCTGCGCCTCCATTTCTGCGAGTCTCTCCTGCATTCGCTGAACCGCAAACGTTGCAACCGGAAACGCAAAGAGTTTGACTCCGAGTCGATCAAGTAAAAGGACCACTGGATTTTTCAAAAAGAGCAGGTCTAGCCAGGGTATTTGTCCAATCTGCTGACGGATTAGCTTGGAGGGCTCGACATCGGATGTGTTGGACACTCACCGGTGCTACGTAAGAGAATAAGCGCCCGAGATATGCAATCATGCCGTCGACATCCTCATTTCTCTCTATGAAGCCATGTCGCTTGCTGTATGTGATGTACCCAATGACCTGGAGGACGGTTAGAACTGACCGCTCTGTGTTGGCCTCTAGGAACTTACGTCGAATGCAAAATACTGAAGCCATTCTGCAAAATCGCAGACCTTGTCGGTCTTGGCATAGAGTTTCTCTGTCTGGTCCAGAAAGACCTCAATGCATTCAGTGACGCCAGGCTCATACTGGACCAATTGACTCATCGAGAATGCATTGTTAACAGATCTGCGAAGATTTGCATGGTACGACTCGTCTGTGGTGGAGAAAAGCGAAGGCAGTCGCTTGCCCTTGCTGACGCCCATCTGTACCGGATAGAATCCAGACTGTAAACCTGTTTAGTAAATTACCCCATTCAGATTGAAAGCGACCATACCTTAGTAAAGCCCTTGTTCAGGCCATAGATGGTCTTCAACGCCTTCGGGTTTGCAAATGAGAGTGCATTCGGTCCGAGCCTGACAACATCTCCATGCTGGCGGTGCAATTTAAGGTGTGTAATATCTGGTCGTCGTCCGTAGACATCGAAAAACCTCCACCAGTCCGTAAACCTAGCCAACACTGGCCCAGGATACTTGTTGAGGCCGTGGTTGAAATAATTGCTGAGGAGATAGCCCACAACAACAACGACCAGCGCTATAGGCCAGTTGTTGACAATAGCCGGCAAGATAGATTCAATCATGGTCACGTAGTATGACTGGGCAAAGAGTCACGATGCGGCTGATTCGGTTCGAAGGGTTCACGACACTGGTTTTTCTACCTTAATCGGAGAGGAATAGGACAAGTCGAGGCGATCTAGCGAGGACATGTAGGTTCTTTCAACGGCAGGGACGTCGAACGGCATCCCCGAGCCCGAGACCTGGTGCCGTCACACTCAGAACCAAGATCCATCTGATCTCAACAGCCATGGCTGATACTGGAAAGAGTCAAGTGGCTAATTGAGCTTCGGCAGTTCAACTTCTGCACGAAGGGGCCATCAAGCGGGCCCTACACCAAGTGCAGCACCCCATGGACGCAAGGCCAGCGAATCGCCTGCTCGAAAGAAGTGGTGATCTAAACAGGGTTTGTCGACCAGTCCTGTCCAGAAGCAGCCATGAGGGTTACGGCACATGCTTCCAGGGAAGGTCCAGGACATCGGAAAGCCAGTAAGGGGAGTCTGGGGTCCAAGTGGAAAGTTCGGGTCAGGGCGGCATTGGCTGTGGGGTGTGGCGCGGATCCCAGAGTCTGAGATTCGGTGTGTGGAAAGAGGAAAATGGACTTTGTCGAGGGCTTGGAATAGTAACTAGCTACCTGAAGCCCATGGTAAGCAGCGCGGGAGAGTCGAGGACGGAGCCTTGGGCCTTGGGAAATGATGGATTTGGGTGGCTGCCGCCGCACGCGACATTCGGCAGATGCTCTGGAGGTGCAACTGCCGACTGCGTCCCGTCCATTTTCGCACCATTCCTGCTGCACTCCTCGACTTCTGGACCAAGCTGACAGGGCTGCCTGCCTCTAATCGATTCATCCTGATGCCGAAATTGTCAACTGCCGAGATGGAGCCGAGACGACTTGAAGCGGCATATTTTTGATCGTCGGACCGCCGTTGATGTTATGAATGAGGAAGAGGATGGGGACACAGAGAGATACAGGGGCCATGTACCTCCCAAACATCGACAGGTGAAACGGTCGGCTGGTCAGACAACATCAAGAGACGATACAGACATTCTCACGTCGTGCTTACCTCTCTCCCCCACGGCAGTTGCGCGGTCAGCCTCCCGTTGGGAAACAGACAGCCCTGTACAAACTCAAGAGACGGACAGCAGTGGCTTGGAAAATACATCAGATCACGGCACGACCACGATTAAGGATCAAGTGAAATCCCATTCTGAATGCAACGACATTTGGAGGAACAAGGAAGGATAATTCCTATCTTACACGAATTCCAAGCTAGCCAGATGGAATTGCTCGAGATGGGTAGAACAAAATCCCTCCTTCTCCATGCATCCGTCTGCTGCTCAAATGCTCTTTTTGGTGTGGATTCATTGCCATTTGGTCAAAACAAAACCCGATCTTTCTCCCTGCAAATGCTTTGCTCTCTGCCTCCGAAGTCGCCAGTACAGTAGTTTTGACGCGATCGAGTCAACGAGTGTTGCCTTTCACATAGTACAAAAGTCGGTGGGGGGGTTTTCCTGTCGAAGAGAATGGTAGGTGGTGACCTTGCGCGCTTGTTGCTTCGGAGGTTGGGCGACAGTGACGACCAACTTTACTTTCCACCCAGACTAGGGAAAGCAGACTCGTCGTCGACCGCCACTGGGGGAGCATCGCCACGGCTACCACGGCCACGGCCACGGTACTCGCCACGGAACTCACCACGGTCACCACGGTCACCACGGTCGCCACGTCCTCGTCCACGGCCGCCGCGGAATTCGCCACGGTCTCCTCCTCGTCCTCGTCCAGCGCCACGGCCGCCGCGACCACGGGACTCACGTGGCTGTTCCTTGAAACTGTAGTCGATGTCGAGGAATTCTTTCTTCTGCGCACGTTCGCGTTCACGCCTGCCCTTCTCTTCCCCCTTGAAGTAGTCCTCATCCTCGGCCCTAGTGAGCTCTTTCGCGGCAGTCCATTTCTTGTTCTCTTTCGCGCCTTCATTGGGTTTGCGGGCCTCCTTGAGACCAAGACCTTCCAACCTCTTGGCAGCTTGTTCGGCCAGGTAGTCGGCATACGACTTGTGGTGATCCTGAGGCTCTTCCGCCTCGCCTTCCGCCGGGTTAGCGTCTTGAACAGCCTCACCACCTTCAGGGATAGTGGCCGGTTCGGCATTTTCGTTCCACGCTGGGTTCTGGGCGCCAGCATCCAATCCCGCCTGCTTTTCTTCTTCCTTTGCCAAAGCTTCTCCCGCCTTTTCGTCGGCCCACTCGCCATCGCCGGTGTTTTCACCCCATCCATGGCCCTCTTGTTTTGGGTGGTTGCTGGTTTGGGTCAGCCTGAGAAAAGTAGGCATGCTCAATTGTACTTACGCTATGCCAGTGCGGCTGTGGCGATCACCACCACGGCGAGGGCCACGGGCGCCGCGACCATAGCGTTGCACGCCAGGGCCTCGATCACGGCCAGGACGGTTGCCATAGCCGTCCTCGCCACCACCCTCGGTAGGTTGGTCACGGTTGTAGTTCCTGCCTGTGGCTCTGTTGCGGAAAGCTTAATCAACAGTTAGCATCGTGTAATTTTTGTCTTTTGAGCTCCAATCGAATGGTTGTGTATACCTGCTTCATTGTCATTGAAGCCACCCCCACGGTTACCACCCCGACCGCGGGACGCTACGTTCGCACGTTCAGTCGTAGCAGCAGGGGCCTCTTTGGGCGCATCGCGTTTACCATGACGAGCGACTGGCTTGTCAATGGCCTTTGTGGGTGGATCAGGCTCGCGGTCAGAATCCTGGTCCGAAGTATTCCCTGAATCATCAAAATCAATCGTGGTGAATCCAATGGCGCAGGTGGAGAACCATACCCAACAGCTCGTAGAGGTTCTATAGAGATTGCGGTCAGCGATTGAACGACAATGGTGATGAATAAGAGGCGGTGGGAGGTCCACGTTCAGCTGATGCTCACCTTGCTCTTGACGTCCGCCATGACGTTTCCCCTCGAGCGCCTTCCGTGAAGGCTTCCTGTTAATGAAACTCCAACTTGGGATGAAGGAGGGTGAGACGCCCGACCAAGACAATGTCCTCGACTACCACGTAGTAGGACCTTGTCGAGTCGAGATGAAGTTGAGTCTGATTGAGCGGTGATGAAATTCAAGCCAGAACCTCGGACGCAGAGCGAAATCATCATGCGCAGATTTCAGCAACGGGGCAATTTGGCGCGCTAACCACATGTGGCGAGATCTTGGCATTTCTTAGGGCTAGGGCACGGAGCCAGCTGGCTGCTGGCTGCCCATGGGGTAACTGCAAGAAGCAGGCCAGTAGAGAACGCATTATGTATATTTTCATATTCATGCAAGAAGTATCTACAAGGAAACAGCATAGTCGCCGTAGTCATAAATTTGCGTGGTGAATCGGAACAAAATTGGATATCCACGCAGAAAACCCATGTCACTTCAGCCTCAAGGGCCCCCGGCTGGCAAGCAAATGCACCGTCGCTAAATGCCCATCGTGCGAATGCTCATGAAAGATGATACTCGTTTGCTGATAGCCATAAAAAAAATACTATCCGTGGTGTCTCGCCACGTCTTCACCTCCTGGTGTGTGTAGGCGGATAGGGATAAGGATTGGGGAAATGCATGCTGGCAGTCAGGCCGAAAGGGTCGGCATCCAGCATAGGGTCGTATGGATCGATGACAAGGCCGCCGCCGCTTCCGCCGCCGTCACTAGCCGCACTGGTAGTCGTCGGGGGCGAGGCTTGCATGGCCATCGACATGCTCGCTGTCGTTGTTGTCGGAGGTAGGCGAAAGTTGGGAATGAAGCTATCGGTATCGACGTCGTCGCCGTCCATGTCGTCCATGATACTGGCTTGCGCATCGTACTCCTGCTCTGTACTCACGGAATCAGTCTAGGACGAACAAAGCTCCACATGCGGAAGAAGGGGACAAAGGAACGGGTCAGCTTGCCGAGTTGAGTGTAGTGTTTCTGGAAAGAGGCTGGATAGTAGCTCTCTTGTTGGGTTCGTGGGGGATAAACTTGCGACGTGCTCTGCCCAGACATGGGATGTCCTTGTTGCCTAGGCTGCGCAAGAAACGAGCTGCGATGCGGGGGAGGTAAAATTCGGCCCTGCAGCTGCTGTTGAGGTTGCTGAGTTGCCATCTCCATCGCGGGTGAGGTCATCCCACCTTGCAAAGCAAAACCAGGAGATCTTGCTGTGGAAGGCGAGGAGTGCTGTGAAGGAGGAGTGGGCTGTGCTGTGGGTGAGCCTGCGAAATTCCGCGCGCCTCCGATATGGGGAGGATGATTTACAGTCTGAATTGGCGGTGCCATCGACGTCCGAGGTCTCGCTTGCTGTCTGCTGAGCATGGCCTTCTGCATTGGCGAAGCCTGCCCTGTCATGGGAGGCGCACGATGTGGTCGCAGGGTGGGACTCCCTTTGAGCGCGAGCTCTGCTTGGACATCGATACCTGGCAGGAATGAGTTAAGGATTGGATTGCCTCACGAAAGGGCAGAGCAGGATGTACCTTTTTCAAGCAGGATCCGTTCCAGAAGTGAGTTCTTGTACCGTAGCATCAGACACTCGTCGGCCGCCGCACGATGGCTCTGCTGGAGATTCTGGAGAGTCTCCTCATGGTGCTGAATGGTAGTCTCGAGTTGTTTGATGTACTCGGTTCGTCGTTCGCGAAAAGCCGCTTGCGCCTGACGATTACGTTGTTTGCGTTCCTCTGAGGTCGCATAAATCTGTGCCATGGGATAAGTCCATCTGCCCAGTCCATTCGCGCCATGCTTCGCAAGGACTTACCGGCTTTCTACCTCCTTTGCGCTTCGGCGCAGGAGCTGGCTCCTTTGACAGGTGGCCGTCGTCACCTCCTGCGTCGTCCGTCGGCTCCGGGGTCGAGGCTGACGAGGAAGAATATCGTTCAACACTCGACTCCCGTTTGGGCACCACAGCGTCGGGTAGCGTGACGTCGGTGTTTGCAAGAGAGCCCATTCCTTCTCCACGCAAACCGAGTCTAATGCAATGTTCCTGGCATAAGCGCCGATAAGGGGGTCGATTGTCGAGATACGCGACCAGGGGCAAAACAACGATACGCGCGCCGCGTGAGGTGAGATGATATCCAACACGTAAAACAGAGAGATAGTTGACAACAGGAAACAGAGATAAGAGACGAAGGTGCAATGAACAGCCTGGGGATGAAACGGGGGTGAGGTAATCAAATGAGCTAACAGAATTTTTACGGGAGGAGGAAGAGCACGGGATGGTGTGGGAGGCAAAAGCAAGGCTTATGAAAACTGATGCAAGAACGACCCAAAGAGCGGTGGCTCCGGCCCTGTTTTCCCGTGGGTCGCGCCCTTGTGCACCCCAGCTCGACTTATCCAAGACGTGATGTGAGCTTTAGGCTGGGGACAAATGGAAAAAAGCTGGGGGGGACCACATCCGAGATGGCATAGAGAATGCTGAAAGAGGCAAGTTGGATGGAACTAGAAGGTGAGGAGAACCAGACGATCGTTGCGCCATCCAGTTCTAAATGAGGCGGTCAGTCTGGGCAGGTGGATGGTACGGAACGCATTCCAGCGCCATAGGTGGCCCCCAAGCCCGACAACGCAAGGGAGGGGAGGACAGCACGTCGAACATTAGGCCCAGGCTCATCCACGAGGGTAAGAAAAGTTTTCATTTCTCGAAACCCCGGAGGAGCATGGGAAGGACACCATGCACCAATGGGTGGGATTGAAGGGAAGCCGGCAATGCGCCACGTGGGAAAAAATTTTCTCGCCGCGGTTTCCATGTGCGGGAGCCAATGGCAGCAGAGGTTGCCGCAAACTGTGCCTTGAAGCGGCTTAGCGGAAGTCCCTAGCGGCCAAACAGGAAAAGTGAAAACAAGGCTGATCCAACGTCAGGCGAGCGCCGGGCTGCGTCAGATGAGCCTAATTCAACCAACAGCAGCGCTGCTGGAGGGCTAGGCTAGCCTAGTGAGCCTAACCTTACACCTTCGGGGGTCTTAGGGGTCCCTGAGCACCTGCCCTAGGTAACTTCCCCGCTCTTCCAGCGTCGTCTTTCTCCGTGGACCTAAACAAGGCGAGGGCAGATCCGATTGATGACGCTTTTTTGTGAATCCCTAGGCCCCCGTGTTATTTGAGGGCGGAAGTGAGGAATGTCCTCAATGACCGTCACTTCCAGACCTTTTACTCGAGTCTTGATTCTTCTTGCCCGCGAACAAGGGTTCGTCGGTCCGAAATTCGCTCATCTCGCTCCCAAGCATCGTTCACCGCCAACTGCAACACATGACTTGATGAAGGGGGGAAAACCGAGTAGACCAAGGTTAAGGCAGTTTCAGAAGGAGATCACCTGGACTATGCATGGCCAACCCGAAGCTTTCGGAAGCTCGAGTATCGCTTGTCCACTGCTTCCTCCAGAGTAGCTGCTAAAGCTAGTCTTAAGAGGCAAGAGGTTGTGTTGAATCTGCGGGGTGTGAATGGAGCCTGCGTGCGTGTACCTCGTACTTCGCGAGAAGATGAGAAAGCCCAATGAATCCAGACGGTGAGTGCTTGCTGAATGCACGATGATTGGAATTCGGAAGTCGGAAGTCGGAACCAGGAGCTTGGAAACCGGAATCTGAAAATGCTTCCTGCTTTTGTTCCAGCACGGGCAGGCGCATTTCTGATCGCTTTCTCAGACACAGTTGTAGAAGGTGCAACTGATGGGTGCCTTTTCTGTCACAGTCTTCCCTTTCCGTGAGACTTCGTGGCCTGTCACCCCTCGAAAAACAGGCAGGCAATCTCGTAGCTCAACACTCTTTTCTTTGTTTTGTGAAACAAGACTGCTACTTGACGGATACTAGAAACCTCTTTAGCTGCATGCCTAGCACAAGACCCGATCAACCGAGCCCTGATGGAGCAACGGTCGGCGAAGGGTGAGTAAAGAGATGTCTCTCACAGACTTCGCTCACGAAGACTCAGATTCCTTGAAACATTTCCATCTACCTAAACGGATGTCCGTGGATGATGGAAAGCTGTCCCGGTTTCCGCTCGCTTCAATGGAGGCCTTCACCCGTCCCATTTCTGCTCTAGCCCGACATCGAGTCCATCAGCTTTCAGACATACGAGAAGTTTCCGGATCCTCAAAAATAGTGACACATGGCTATGCAGTACCAGAGTGGAATGACGGATGCATGGACAGACCCACAACCCCCGCCCCCCAGGCGGACGCACTCTCCCATACTACTTCATCCGAGTATCTTACGCCAACCGCATTTCATTCTGGCACCAACAATTATACAGCCGGCCTGGGAAGTCGTGCCGCAAGCGCAGTCAGCCTGCCCCATAGATCCGTGCCCGAACGGACGTCGTCGGCCAGCATTCTGTCACGGAGCTTTGGGGATCCTGTTCAGGCCTCGATGCGCGAATTGCCCACATGGAAGATCTCGGAGCTGGACGGTACTGAGACACTGGTCCGCGATAAAGTTCGAGCTGAGTCTCCCGTTCGACGATCAATAGGTCGTGCAGCTCAGTCATCTGAGGTCCTCCGCCCTGTCCTTTCACGCACCTTCGTCCGCACCTCGCCTCCTCATGAGGTCCTAGACCATGGCAGCATTCGTCACCCCCGAGTAGAGCTTTCGGTCAGCCTTCCCTCACCACTTTTTGTGGGAGGTGGCACCGTGGAAGGACAGCTGACCATTCAAGTGGATGGCGGAATGGCAAGAAAGCCGAAGACGAAGCCCATCTACATATCCAAAGCTTGCGTCGATGTCATCGGTGTGGAAGAAGTCAACGACGGCCGACGCTGGGTATTTCTGTCGCTTGCGACGGACTTGTTTGATGTCGAGAATCCCCCTCCACCATCTCTGGTCACGTCGCAGGACCCGGCGCCTGGTGCGGATCTATGGTGGGAGATGAGGTCTGCGACTTCGGTTGTTCCGTTCTGCATTAACCTGCCTCTGAAGCTTGGTCCCCCTCCGTACTCTTCGAGACAAGCGGCCATCCGATATCTGCTGTGTCCTTCAATTGTGGTCAAGACCGGAGACAAAAGAACTGTGATCAGACAGACATAGAATGTTCAGATGCTCACCGTTCACGACCCAGAGAAAGCATTGGCCAGTCTGGCGAGTCCCCTTCTGGCGGCAGATACACTCTACTTGGCGAGAGAGCCTGATATTCAAACAGTGAAACTGACCGCTGGCCTCCATCGTCAGACCTGGGTCAACGGCGCCTTGATCTTTATTGACGTCCACATTGCGAACAACACGGCAAGATCGGTCAAGAAAATCGAGGTTCAATTGGAGAAGACGACGCTCTGGTATACACACGCACCAGCGGGCACGGCAGAGAAGAGCGCAAACTATCTCCGTCTCCCGAAGCGAACAGACGCCGAGGTGGTGAGCGGAACCACGCTGAAGAAATCAAGCACATGGAAGGGAGTGCCGTCTCACTCATCAGATGTTCGCACGATTGAACTGGAAGCACCGCGTGGACACGTTACGATCAGCACTGGGAGGTATTTCGAAGTCCGTTATTTCGTCAACGTCGTTGTGACAGTAAAAATGTTCAAGACGGTGGCGGTCCAGCTTCCCGTCACAATCATACCGATCAACTCGTTGGATATTTTGCCGAATTCGCTGGCACAGGTCGCCGCTTCGATTGAAGCCAAGAGGTCCAAAACGGTCCCTGCACCACCTCCTGGTCCTAGTTATGCAGCCCATCACCAAGGGCAAGCCTTCACAGCTCCCGTTCGACGTTCCGCCGAGCGTGCCAGACAAGAGCGACTGGCGCCACAAGATGACTTGGATAGCCTAGCAAATGACATTGACACGTCTCCTCGTCGACTAGCGCATACCCACACCCATCGCAGGGGAGGTCTTTCTGGCACGACGACAGACGAGAATATTGCTCCGGGGCGTCCAAGTATGGCGTCGTCGTCACATCACCATCTCCAGAGGCATCCGAGCTGTTACCACTGCCAAATCTCGCCCGAAAACAATTCACCTCTAAAGCCAGTAGGCCCCCGCTTGCCTAGACTCCAGGTTTCGACGTCTGGATTGGGATTTTCAGAATCCGAGTTCGAGATACCTCCTGATTCGCCACCTCGAAAGGTGATGTTGAGTGAGCAAGAGCGGAACATGATCCACCGGCAGAGAGAGCTCCAGAATCGACAACAGCGGAGCCAGTGGGCACAGAAAAGATCGAGTGGGGAGAACAAAAGAAGCGACGACCTATGCACATCGAAGGACCATCCCAGCTACGCCAATGTTGTGGCGGATCCAAAAGCCGGTCCAAAGCAAAATGATTTCGGAAATCTCAGTCCTGGCGTTAGGAGGAAGGGAGATGGCCCAGCAGTTCCAAGATCGTTGGTCGCTTCCAAGGGGCCTTCTGTTGTCAGGTCAAGGTCGAAGACGAACCCTGAGGGACCGAGATATCGACCCAGCATCAGCAAACCTCGACGAAGATCGAGCGCAGACAGGCACGACCGTATTCGAGCGTCGGTTGATGGATCAGGATTTCCAATTATGCCTCGCAGATTTAGCAAGGACCTGCCGCAGAGAGGAAGCTTGGATCGATTGTTCTGACACTGCGGAGAGCAATTAATGGGTTGTTGTCGCAGGAACTTGCCCCTTCCAGTATCGCTCGACGGCAAACGTGATGGCATTAGGCTTGAATTAGGGTTTAGAGACTGACGATATCATACGAAACATCAGTCGACAGCTTGTATCGTGGCTATAGTATCATAGCAATATGAACATAGCAATATGACGGCTTTCGCAGCCTTGACGGATGGGCCCAGTACATATGATTGGCCAAACTCCGACCGAGGTTGCTTTCGGGCCATTGCTCAGCCTCGTCAACTTCCCCATCTTGCAAGCGAGTCAGAGTGCATCGTGTCAAGGCGATTGTATTGGACAGGCTGCTGGAAAGTCATTGAGCTGCATATTGTTGAGGATACCCTCGGTACTGCTCGAGCCTGAGTGAACAGCGTTGTACACGCCGACCCACGCACGATAGTCGATATCGAGCCAACAGTCAAGTTCCCCCTTCGCATCAAAATCCATATATCAATCGAGCCAGCCAAAAGGAGTATCTCCACCAACAGTTCTCCTCGCGAGCTAGTCACTACGCCGTAGCCAACAGGAGTATCAAGGGAGGCACCTTAAACTGACTTGAGGAAGAACTCCCACGGAGAGAGCTAAAGTTGTAGGATCCTCAGGAGAGGCAAGAGGGGGAAAGCTAGTGCTTGCGCAATGGCGGCCATCAAGGACTTCGACAGCCTCTTCAGGCTGGATGGGAAGATTGCCGTCGTTACTGGTGGTACGTTGCCAGACTCTTTCGTCCTCTACCACAACAGCAATTTTTGCGTTATGCACCCCAAACACCGCCCTGCTTCGATGGACTGTGGTCTCCTGAGAGATAGACATGTCCGTTTTATCAATCAATCAATCCCGACGCCACTGACCCCTATCCCGTTCTTCACATTCTCCCCTTCCCACAAACTGAACAAAAGCAAATAAACAAGTGCAAAACCAGGCTCCCGCGGCATCGGCCTCTACTGCGCCACGGCCTTCCTGCAGGCTGGCTGCTCCAAGGTGATCATCACAGCGCGCAACGCCGAGAACCTCGCGCAGGCGGCGGCCCAACTCAACGCGCTGCCCAACATCCGCGGCAAGGCCGTGAGCATCCCGGCCAACGTGGGCCACACGGACCAGATCGAGCAGTTCGTCCGGGACGTGCAGACCGAGATCGAGAAGGACGAGCGGCCCGGCAGGGGATTGGACATCCTGGTCGCCAACGCGGCAGCCAGCTGGGGGGGCCCATTCGAGACCTTCGAGGACTGGAAGAGCATCAAGACGCTGGAGCTCAACGTAAGGGGCGTGTTCAATCTGTGTAGGCTGTATGTTTTCCTCCGTTTCCCTCTCGTTCTTCCTCTCTCCTCTGTCTAACCAGCTGTTGGGCGGTTATCGACTCATTCTGTTTTATTTTGGTTTCCCTTCAGCTTCCAACACCGTCACCTTGACCTTGATGTGGATGGTGGAAGGACAGACATGATGCTAACAGGTGGAATACCACAATGTAGAATGGTCCCATTGCTCGCAAGTGCCGCGACGCCCGCAGATCCGGCGCGGATCCTAATCACATCGTCGGTGGGGGGAATCATCGTACCGCACGTGGGAGACCGCGGGGCGATCATGTACTCGGTGTCCAAGGCGGCGGCGCATCACTTGGGGCGCAACCTGGCGTTGGAGCTGGTGCCCAAGAACATCACAACCAACATCATCGCGCCGGGCTTCTTCCCGAGCCGCCTGGCCAACCCGCAGATCGACTACCTGGGCGGCGAGGACGTTGTCGGCAAGCAGAACCCCATGGGCCGTCTCGGCCGCCCCGAGGACATTGCCGGCCTCGTCGTTTACCTGTGCAGCCGTGCCGGCAGCTACATCAACGGCGAGGACATCTCGGTCGACGGCGGCGCTAGGTTGAGGGTCGGCACGCACCCGGGAAGCCTGGACGAGAGAGGCAAGACGAGCAGTAAACTGTAAAGCGTACAGAAAATGCAGGTAGAAAAAGAAAAAGGGACCAGGGGCTGAAGTCAGATGAAGGCAAGCAGGATCAGGCTGCGTGATGAATTGGATGGCTCATCAAAGTAGAGACAAATGCTTCCCATGGTCTTTCTTGGTTATATTGCTGGACTGGAACCAGCCTCCCTTAACTAGCCTGGCTAAGTCAAGCAAGGACATCCAGCATCTTGCTTGTTTTCTTGCTTTCTTGCTCGCTCGTTGGTCGGCCACCAGGTCTTCGGCGTGTCTCGATCAATCCTCTGAGGGTCGACACTGACCTTGCAGAATAATCACATAAACGGTCCTTCTCTCTCTCCTTCTTGCTCGACTAGCTACCCTCTTCCCAGAATCCGGCAGGCTCTTTCACCAGCACTAGACTCGCTCCAATCCCCTCACTGTCCAGCGCCATCTCGTCAACTTCGTCCTCACTCTTTGCTTCGGCGAAAAGCCTCACTTCTCTTATTCCCACACCCCTCTCTTTCAACCACGCTTCATCGTCTTGATCTCTCGGCGCCCGAATCACCACACCGACCCTTCCTTTCAAGCGCTTCATAGCCTCCTCGTCAGGATTAGGTGTGCTGAGCAGGAAGCTTACACTGGTGTTCGGTCTGTACCTGTACCCGCCCTGGACTTTCGGTTTCACGCCCAGAACGGAGGTGTAAAGGCGTATGTAACTTTCGATCTTCTCCTCAGGAACCAAAACCTCGACGGAGACGATCCCCCTCGCCCCACAAGGGTGCGTGTCGGATATCTCTTTCTCGGTGTACGGCACTCTCAAGTTCCGATCAGTTACATCGTGGCAGAAGAACGGCGTGTCGAGTCGCCCAGTTGGGAAGTACTTTTCAAGGGGCTTAGGCACATTTTCCGCGGAATCATCCAGGAGCGGCTTCGTGACATGCCATTTGACGTCTTGACCGTCTTTTCGCTTGCGACCGCCAGCGAGGGGAGGTCTAAAACGTACTCCCAGCCCACCGTCACCAGCATCGGCACCGGCCTCTGAGAGGTCATCCGATGTCGAGGATTCAGACTGACGAGACTGCGGTTTAGATTCTAGGCGCCTCATAACTTCATCAACGGTGTCATGTGCAGAGGACGGGGTTGTAAGAGCAAAGTCGATCAGTCCTGGTGATTTTTGCGCCCAGTCGAAGAATTCTTTTGGTTCGGTGATCCAGTTTATCAGTTCGATATAAGTGCCATCAGGGAAGATGATCAGTTTATTCCGGGAGGAGCCACCTTCACAAAACGGTTATTAGATGCTTATTGGATTGGCAAAATACAGAACGAAGAGCGCAGTAAAGACGAGGTACAATCCCCTGGTTTGAGGCTGCACCGCTCTGGGGCTCTTAAATTCGTCCTCCTCCCCTGTCGAGAAACATACCGGCATGCGTCCCACCCTCGATTATGGTAAAATTATCAGTCAACCACGACGGTGGGTTCTCGAAGTCCGGTGTATCCAGCAACAGGATCACATGGTCGAAGCTGTATGGAGAGATTGTTTCGCCCGCCATGCCGCCTGTAACAGTGATTGGCAAGATGCGACACAAGAAGCAGTAGAAAGCGAGCCTATCAACAGTATGTCTAATGGAAAACGAGCTCGAGAAGGCTTTCCGGAATCGGAGTGCTTGGTCGTCCGAGAGTATGATCGTGGGATGCTGGTCGGAGAACAAAGAGACAAGAGTATCTAAACAGCTGCAGGCCTGTAACTCCGTCAGGCATTGTATCCGAAAACGATGAGGTTCGCGAACGTACCAGGCCAGATCACGGGTTGATCGACAGAGGTCCCAGCTGAAAATCCAACGGACAAAGTTAAGCACGTGTTGCAGATCCGGGACTTGGATATTCATCCGGACGACTTACCCTAGGGAAAGATCCCTTGAGAGCACAGGTTGTAGATGAGATTTCGCAGTGTCATGGAGGATCAGGATGAGTCATGCTTTGCCCCGATCCGTCAACTGTCGATTAATTGTGGAATGCGTATTACGATAGAAATACGAAGATGCGACGTGGGCAAATGTGACAAACATGCCAAAGTCTCGGGCCGTGTTTGGCCGGTTTAGAGGCAAAGGCGGGCATCGCGCCTCGAGCATGGACAACACATGCAGTGGGAGTGAAGAGCGTGAGAGCAGCGATATGAAATTATACCATCAAATTCATCTTTTTCATTTGCACAAGGCCACCCATCGTGGACTACTGCGATGGAGGGTAGAGAGCCCGGTCAGATCAGACGAGGTTCTCTCTCCATTGAGTGGTTTGTTCTACCCGTCACAAGTTGTTTGTGAAGAGCTACTCGACTTGCATCTTGTCTTGTGTCTTCATCCCCCATTTCTCCCAACACCCTCACGGCTTCCCACAATCAAGCCCCACAGCAGCCGGTTGCCAGATCACAGAGCATCCAACTCTCTGCAACTGATACCATTTGGTGCTGCCAGAGATGCGGCTTGATGCGCAACATCATCATGCATGCGTGCAGATCGGAGGCATCGACGTCGAATTCCGATTCTGCCCTCGTCCCTCTACTGGTCTGAATCAACCGGATCTCGCCTTCTACCTCATAACCTCCAAGATATTGGTCGTATTGTACAGTAGTGGTTCGTCGACTCCATCAAACACCATCGCCAAAAAGAGAAGCAATCTGCTCGCATATAACAGCAGCTTTCTATCCATTTCCTACTCCTTAGTCGCCACTGACTGTTGTTTATTCTGGAGCTTGACTTCCGTTGTCGTGGGAGGTGTATCGTCAGATTTGTTCGTCACATTGGAGAGACTGATCGCGATTTTGCGAGGTTTTCGGCCCTCGACGTAATTTCCGATCTCCGGGGTACTTGTCGGTATGGGGGAAATCTCACCGCCTGCCTGCTTCGATCTCAAAAAGCCCCTTTTCCGACGTAATGAGCCTTGTGAGGGAAGGCTGGAAGTGCTAGATGCCGAGTTTCTGCGCTTTGGACCGCCAGAAAGCTTGCCGAGCTCGTCGTCGTCGTCGTCTTCTTGCCGTCGGCGTTTCTCCGTCATCCTTTCAGGCGGTTGCTGCAATTCGCTTTCGGCAATGGACTTGATCTCCGGCGATGGTTGTAACGTCTTTTCGGGTGTTGCTCTTGGTTCGGGGGAAGAGGCATCCTTACTGCTGTCTGGAGTTAGTGGAGTGTTGGGTGTTGCATCAGCTTTGGCGTCCATCGCTTCGTCGTCGTCATCATCAGGGTAATCCACAAGCGGTTTGCTGATAGGGCTGGCGCTCCCATTCATGATTTCAGCTTTCATCCTTCTGCGGTGCCACTGGTTTACCCTTTCAGACACGTCCTTTATATTGTCACGGTCAGAATCCTCATCTACTTCGTCCTCATCCTCATCGGAGCCGTTGAAATAGTCCTCCTCGCTTGCATCCATTTCTGGCAAGCCCTGCCACCGACCATTGATATGTGCCCGATTCATAGGCGGTGTCGCATCGTCTTGACTGAACAAGGTGTGTTCGGGCTCCGGATGGTCGGTCGTCAACTGCTCATACCTAAGAATAAGATTCTCGAATGTGTCGACGTAGGTAATGTGCTGGATCTTTTGCCGGTAGTGCTCCCCAAGGTGGATGACGATCGGCTTTATCGTCTCCTTTCGGATAAATTCGAACAGTTCCAAACACGCCGAATTCAGGAGATTATCACGCGGCATAGTGTCAATGACAATTCCCAGAATGGTGTCGAAGGCCCCGCTTTTGATGACCTGCGCGGCATAGAACTGATCTTGTAACGAGATTGCCGTCCTGAAAAATTTCAACGCAGTCAGTTTCAGCGGCTTCTGCGGCACCTGCAACAGCTGGGCGACCCGGGGTGCCAGATTCTCGGAGAGGACAAAGGGTCGACTTCTCATGGAATGTTGGCGGACAAAGAACGTCAATATCTCGACCAAATATGAGAACAACGACACCTCTTGATAGCCGAAGTTCTGCATCGAGTCCCTAGATTCTAGGTCTTTCAATGGTTGGAACAACTTTCGACATGATCGGTCAAAGTTATCCTGCGCGAACTGCTCGTTCGCTTGCTGAGTCGGAGTCATCTGCGGCCTTGAAAGCTTCGTCATGAATTCCGAGTTCTGTCGGTTCCCCATGGGGTCATTGGTCGGGGGTTGCGGATCCAGCAGGATTTTGATGGCGTCTGCCAGCTGATTTTTCACACCCAAATCAGTCTCGGCATGCAGCAAATCGATCAGCGTATCCGTCAACGGCACCTTCCTTTCGGAAACAGCCTTGAGCATATAGCCTCGCATCATATTAGGATCATGGTCGAGAAGTGCCACAAGGATGTCAATGCCAGTAGTTCTCATTGATGGCTCCGGGTGCTTGACCGCAAAAGTAATGACTGAAAAGAGACCGTGTGCGATGAAATTGTTCAGGAGGTTTGCTCTCGATTGCATTTGGAGTGTCTTCGCGATCGCAGCACACTGCTGCAAGAAGTGCACCGCCTGTTCCTTCCGCTTGATATCCATATTCTCGTTGCTGAAGATGGCGAAAAGTTCCTTCAGGAAGGCAGTGTTGCCCTGGAGATGTTGTACAATGTCGACCTGATTAAAAAAAATGAGAGAATTCAACACGCCAAAGGTGGGGTCGTCCAGAATGCGCGCCAGCACCACGTCCTTCAGGTACTGCAGCCGCCAAGTCTGTCGGATTTTCCGCTTGATATTTTGGTCTTTGATCTCGACCACCTCTTTATATCTCGATTCATCTGAGAGATACTGTCTGTGGTTTGCCTTGTGCGTGGGAAAGTCGGGATCATACTCGAGTGCTCCGACAACACCAATGATAATCTCGTCTGTAACCAAGTGCTCAATGATGGTGTTATCATTCATCAGAATCAACGCCTTCATGATGTTGCACAGCCGATGCAGATCCGGCAGACTCTCCAGATCCTCGGCCATTTCCACCAGCGGTATTAGTTTGAGCAGATATTCTTCGCGGATCAAGAACTTGGCCAGAGCTTCGCGCCCACCCTGGGTTATGCTCGCATGTCGTATACTTTGCTCGATCTCGTCCAAATTATTCAACTCGGGGGGGTTGAGGGTGAAAGAGCTTGAGATATTTTCCAAAGCATCGTCTGAGAGGCCATCATCTGTGATATCAAGTCAGCCAAATGACTTGTAGAAAGTCGCATAAGACGCTTACCCGGCAGGGCCAACAACTGCTGCTGGACTTGGTGTACAAATTCCCTACAATGCCATTAGACCATGGCGCAGACTCAAAATGAACGGGTTCGCGTACCATATGACTGCACAACCTTCGGCCTCCTGGAAACTGAGGGCCATATCGGTGCCATTGGTCTCGGTCCACACAATGAGCGTTTCTAGGAGCGCGTCAGCGGACCAACAATCCTCAATCTCGTTTCCGAGTAATGTACCTTGTTGTTTCTGGTATCCATCGTCTTTGACAATACGGGTTTCTAAGAGCATGCGATCGGGCTGATCTTCGGACTCGACGTAGATGCGCGGTTCATCCTGCGGTCCCCAGATGTTAGCGCGTGTATTCTTTTCCTCGTCGCCGACGCTGCCAGCCCCGGAATCTACGAGGCAGTAGAAGGTTTGAGGCGTACATTGATGACCTGGCCCGTGCAGAAGCCAGTCCCTCTGTCAAACCAGTCATTGTCGCGCAGCTCATAAACTTTTACTCTCTTCTTGTCGTTGGCAAGCGGCGTCTGCATTGCCATGACTGAAGGAGAGAGAACAACGAATGAACATCAGCGGGCAGCGACCCTGTTACTGACTGCCGACTTTCTGTTTGAAGGGTGGCGAGATGCGCAAAGTTGAGGGAGTTTCGGGTGTTGGTGATACAGAACAGGTGGCGCGGGGTGGATCTGCGGTCGAGGCAAAGGCTGCGGTCGATAGGAAGACACAAGCGCGCAAAGCTCCAGGCCGGGCTCGAAAGGTCGGATCAATGGTTGGACAAACGGCGTCTATTGCGGTGAGCGGAGAAGAGGTGATGTTGAGGAAGGTGAGATGGAATGGAATACGTAGAGAATGACGTGCATCCAACGAGTTGGGATGCCTTGTCGCGACGATAATTTTGTGACGAGAGATGGGAAGTCCGCGAGGGAGCAAAGCCTGAGCCTGGGCCCGGGGCACTGAAGCAGGGCTCTTCTTTGACTACTCGTACTGGACTGCACCCGATGCAGCTGGTGGAGCGGCGGCGTGCCGAGACTGACTGCTGCCCACCGGGAAGTTTACGTGGACTAGCGTGATAGTGTGGGAAGATTGTGTGAGGAGAAGCTGATTAGGTAGAGAGACAGTAAGAGTCAGTAAGAGTCAGTGTCAGAACCAGATCCAGAATCGGATAGTCGTCTCGACGGATTTCTCTGGTGATTCTCTCTATTCACTTGTGTTGGATTCTTTCGTTTTAACATAAAAGGGCAGCGTACCAATGCAACGATCAAATGCAGCATAGACGATGAGGGACAAAAAAATCGCAGGTGACGGGGAAGGGGTGGACAGGTGGGAGGGCGGGAGGCGTGGGTAATGCAGGAGGGAGGATGGCGAAATGCCAGGAACCCGACGCTCGCCTTGGTGCAGGGCGATGGGTGCTCGATGGGCGCCCCGATGGCCCCCCAGATGCTATTCGATGGGTTCATCTTGCAGCATCGGGCACCCTTCTGTCCATGTGACATCATGCAGCGGATGCCCCAACTAGTACCAGCTAGATACATATTTAGCTGCGTCGCCATTATTATTAGCAGCGGTGGCAGGTTGGTGGCACATACATATGTATATCAAGTGACGTGGGGACCGCCCACATCCACCAACTCCCTCTCCATCCTGCGATTTGTCGCTCCGTCGTCCAAATATATTTCTGGCTTCCCTATGTCAACGTTACAAGTCTCACAGCCTTTCGGGCTCTCTTGTGCACCCCCTTGAGAGAACTAATATATCGCCATCGCTCTCTCCCACCAGCGGTCACCGATCCACCATCCGATCGATCGTGAGCCTTCTTGATTCCACGCCCACCACCCTTCATACTTTCCGCCTGGACCCAACCCTAATCCACGGAAAAGACTGATTGGAATGGGCTCGAAGAGCCAAATCCCAGAGGTTGCAAAGTCGTTGGCCAACAATGGTCCTGTGAAGTAAAGATACAACACCACAACCAGCACGTTCACAGTTTGGCCTACAGCCGACGGGAGTTTCTTGACCCCCGAAGCGCGTTTGTGTAAGACCTTGACTATAAAAGATTGTAAGAGAATGCCGATACCTTGGAGGAAGAAGAACAACAAGGGCCCTGAGAACGGACGAGAGCCATTCAGAGAGAATGTCGTGTAGCTAGCACTCGCATGGATTGATCCTGACAACGTGAACGCGACCAGAAGTTGGACGATTCGGGCAACCTGTCCACGAGGATCTAAATTCAATCTCTTAATAGCCACTCTGGAAGGCTCTGAGATGCCAAATCGAAACATCTGGTGCCAGCATTTGCCCCATAACCCTGCCAACCCAGAGTACAGGACCGAGGTCGGGGATGATTGCCAATAGGCCGGATATATCCATGGTTCCAAAAGAGGCGCCTTCGTAATCTTGGTGACATCGAGAAGAGCGGGAAGGATGCAGGCGAAGAACAAGGGACTCAAGCTGAAGACTAACGTCAATGCAGATACCACCCCAAACATCGTAATTCCAAGCCGAACAAAGCGTGTTGCCATTGGAACAGTATTGTTGATATAAGCAAGCCAATGCCAGGGTGTAGGCGATTCCAGTGGTGCGACGCCCAGAAAGTACGGGTCTGTGATCATGGTTGTCTTCAGGAAATCAAGAAAGAGGTAGCTGGTAATAAAACCTCGTAATGCTCTCAGTTGAGGAGACCGCAGGTATTGTGAAACAGTCGAAGATGCCCGTCCTTCGTTGCTGCTGACTGCTGTGGCGGTATTTCGTTCTGATGTGTCGTGTGGCATCGATACATCAAATGACCCTACTGTTGGGATTCGATGTTCCCAGCCCACGGCTCGAAAACTCGTCATCAGGTCGAGCGTCCAGTCAAGGACATGGAACCAGCCTGAGTTGTAAGGAAACCCCTGCCAGACTAGTTCGTATTCCTCTAGACAGGGTTGCTCACGACGAGGGAAGATTTGTTTTGTACCAGAAAATGGATATGCACTAGCCACCCTCCGGTTTATCGTGTCAATATCTTGAGTCGGTTTGGACTGCGAAGGCGTTGCTCTGAATTTGTCCCTGTCGGAATCTGCACTCTTTGTTTTGATTGCTCTTCTTTCAAGCCTTCTGAAATCTCGCCCCACGTCGTTGCATAATAGAAGGGCTCCCGTCATGATGACGCCCCAGGCGACCATCAAACCAATACCATAGCCAGCCGCGAGCCAGAGCGTCCGGCGATAGCATGCCACATAGGCTCCATGGAAGAGGACCAACCCGAAAGCGATATATCGGGCGGATCTGGCCAGCCTTGGGGGAAGTCTGGGTCCCACCGCAATAGCAAGGAGCAGATACAAGGCTGGTAGTGAATCCCATGCATAGAGAAATGGAGTGTACTCGCTCGTCGCTAATGCAAGGTCATATTGAAGTTGCCGCTTTGCTAGAGTTTCGCGGTAGAGTGAAATCTGTTCGTGGGCCATAGCTGGCCATGTCGAAGAGGATAGAGCATGTTCGCGAGAGACAAATGACAGTACTCAAGAAGAGCGGCAGAAGTCAATTCAGTGTCTTTCAAGTCATGACGTCTTGCGGAGGGATTGATTATCGTCCGCAAGGAGCTGGACCATTCGATTAACCAGGATCTGTGCTGAGAACGCAGGCTGCTGTCCTTCAGACCAGCAGGACCTTACTGTCAGTTTTGCTGTACAGTTACTCTACAATTACTCTGCAGAGAGTTAGCTATGTTGAGCAGCGCCCTGTCCAGCCCAGCATACGCGGTATGGTCCGGATCGGGTTTGGTCTTGAGAGTCTCAAGAGATGTCAAACCTATTTCCGCGACTTTTCAACCTCACGGAATTGTCACATGGCACCAAACCATGCTTCTTACAATTCGCCGGTACATGTTCTTGGACTACGGTGTACGCGATTGTAAGTGCAGTGCATCGTCTTTCCGCTATGATTCCAATCGAAGGGTTGCCGCCTTCGTGTTACTACCTCCCTAGTTTCATTACTCAGTCCGAGGAGCAGCAGATCCTCAACGACATCCACAAATTGCCGGAGTCCCGCTGGACTGTCCTCACCCACCGGCGGCTATTGTCTCTGCCCTCGACCCTAACCGGTTCTGCCCGTGACACTCTCCTTGCTGCGCCCTTGCCAGCCTATCTCGATGCGACCGTCGCTCGTCTTCAACAAGCTGGATGCTTTGAGAATTCCACACACAAAGCTCCGAATCATGTCTTGATCAACGAATACAAGCCAGGAGAAGGAATCATGCCCCATGAAGATGGTCCTGCGTATGACCCAATCACGGCCACAGTGAGCTTGGGCAGTCACACTGTACTCGACATCTACAAGAAGAACGAAGCTGGTGAACGAGAGGCGAATCCTACCTGGCGAATTTTGCAAGAGCCTCGGAGTTTGCTGGTCACCACGGGCGAAATGTACATCAACACACTGCACGGTATCTCAGAGATACAGACGGATGAGAATCTGAACGGCGAACATATCATCAACTGGGATCTTCTTGGCGACCAGCGACCCTATGAGGTAGGACACGCTCAGCGGCAAGCGCGCATTAGCCTTACCCTACGTGACGTGATCAAGGTTTCCAAACTGGGGGGTGCCCTGAAGTTTATGAACAAAAGGCCATAACACTGTCTCGCCTACTTCTCGTTCTTGGATAGAATCTCTCCCGGCGGTGCTGGCATCATGGCCCCTTCGGCAGGTTGATGTGTACTCTTAAAATGATCGACCATCTCTGCCATTGTCACCCATTCGACACCCTCGTGTTTGTTAATGTGCTCGATCAGTCTTTCATGCATGAGCAAGGCATGCGGCCTGCCCGACACATCTGGGTGGATGGTCATGGGGAAATAAAATCCCTCTTTCTCTTCCCTGTAAAAGTAGTCGAAATGGTCCTGGAAACGCTCAAATTACGGATCGAGATGGAGGAATGGTTCCTACTTACCCGCCACAAGTCTTCAACATCTCTCGGATTGACCCAGCCATGGCTGTTTGGGACTTTTTTCTGCACAAGTCCGTCAGCTTGTGTGAAGCGCATATGGACAGGAGCCATTCCTCAATCGACTCGCGCAACTTACCATGAACATCATTGGTGGCAAGTCATCCAGGTACCAGTTTGCTGGAATCTCTACGAGCCCAGTTTCCTGACCCTTGGTGAAAGGCTTCATCCACTCTGCAGCTGTTTTGCCGTAATCGATCTTTGTCCAGTTGTCTCCCGTCCGGAGGTAGTATGCTTGACAGTCGTGGTGACTCATGCTGTGGTCATACTCAATGCCGTATTGGAGCAATAGTTCTGTCGCTTCTCTGCTAACCTCCCACCAAGGAGCCACTATTCCTCGAGGCGTCTTTCCATGACAGAAGTCTGTAAGCATTCGGTACGTATAGTCAAGCACATCGCGTTGCTGTTCGAATGTCATGTCAACGGGGTTCTCATGGGTGTATCCGTGCAACCCTATTTCATGTCCAGCATCCCGAACCATAGCACATTCTTCCGGAAACGTTCTGTTTACGCGGCAAAGTCAGCTTGCAAAACAGTTGAAGCACGAGCTTCCCCTTGAACCGTCGACTCTGAGGACACTCAGCCACTTACTCTAAACTGTGACCAGGAATGAACCAAGAAGCCTTGATGTTGTATTTATCAAACAGCTTCAACAGCCTTTTCACACCTTCTGTGCCGGCGAAGTAGCCTGCTCAAATCGAGTATGAAGGAGGTTCTCTCAGCTCTCCGCAATAGAAGTCTCTCGCACCATCGATTGAAAGTGGATTTGTGTCATGCCAACCAAGGTTGCCTGGTTTTAACGTACCTCGAGAGATGTCACTGGTCGAGTCTTCGCCCTTGTATGAGCCCAACCATCCAGCTATTGCATCTATATCAACGCCATATGATACTAGGATTCGCCTCTTGGGCTTGGAAGTGTCGCCAGACATTATGCCAATTGAGACCACAAATCTTCCCTGTCGAGAGAAACAAACCTGGGAGTTTCTCAAAGTCTATACAGCCAATGCACAACAGGACTGGGTAGAGAGCGAGAATATCGGTCTCAGAGAGAAGACGAGTAGAGGACCGATAACGGCCATATCCCCTCCGTGCCAGGAGATCTCCGACATATTGTTCTCCATGACGCTTAGAGATTATCCGAATACCTATTACTGCATACTATCCACTGCCGGAGCTGGACCGAAGATGTGGAGATGCATGATCCAGAGTCGTTGGGGGTAGCAATTCCACAGCTCTCTCGTCTGCTTACTGACATCTTGGATGTCGACATTAGGTATCTCAGGATGCCAGAGGTCAGCAGGATTGTTATTTAATCTTTCAGCCGTGGACTAGGCACACACTTCCCAGAAGGAAGAAAATTGGCTTCCATTGCTCGAGAATAGCATGATTGATGCCTTTCTCATTCTATATGGAAATAAGCCGGCATGAACCACACACCAACCCCTTCGCCTTGTCCGCAGATCAATTATGGCAGTCCTCCCAGTTGAACCCATTTCATGAGAAGCGTGTATTGATTGCCGAGATCTCCTCGGGATCGAATCCGATCCGCACGTCTGCAATCTTCGCTCGACATCGAGCGCTGCAGAGAGCCAGGAGAAATGCCTCGCAGTGATGACCACCGATAAGGAGAAACTGCAAGAGAAGAAGCTTGAGGCAACCAGAGCATATATTATGGTGCACGGCGAAGTTTCGACTTGCCCAACTAACACTGCCTTCCTCTGGAATGCTTCACAATCAATTGCCTCAAAGCCCGTGGATGAACCCAACGGCGTGACTGCTGAAACCCTCGAAACTTTCCTCCGCGTAGTCGTCCTGCCACTTGCTCATCTCAATGGGCAACCCTCCCGGCCAATTATCGATGAAGTCGTCGCATCTTCCCGAACAGCAATTTCGACTCACCAGCAGTTTCGAGGTGAGTTATTGACCATGGCCAAGGGGGCCAAGTGGAGTTGTCGCTGACCGTTACTCGCGTCAATCGACGTGAGGTTTAACAACGGGTCCGCTAGCCACGCCGTCGTCGATTGCACGCTTCAGAAAGGAGTAGTCCGTCCAGGAACGCCGGTAAGTGCTTACTTGAAGAGATGGCAGACCGGGACCTTCTGTTGTTCCGTCGAGTCGGTTCCCGGATAGGTTTCGTATTGTGTGTGAGTGCCAATTATATGTACCGAGTACCGAGTACTCGAACACGGGGCACTTACTTGCTCCACTCTCCGCCTCAGGGAGCATGAGGTAAGTAAGTGGCTCCCTTTGCGCGTCCATCTGCGCCAGCTGTATTCAGTGTTCTGTTTATACCCTCGATTTCTGGGAGACATGCCGATATCACAGATATCTATCAATCTCGCTTTTTTAGGAATTGTGTGTGCAGTGATGGGCACATACTTCCTCGTACTCAAGACTCGCTAAAACAAGAGCATCACTTCCTGAGAGTGCCGGAGATATTCGCCCCGTGGGGAGATGGAGACCAGGATCAACAGACGTTTGGGCGACCACACCCCTGTCACATTCCCCAGCTTGATGGCCTCCCACATCGCTCGCTGCTGGGTCCAGTCTGGGGCCTAGGCCCTTGATCATTCATTGTTGTTGTCTATGACCTGTTGGGTTGGTGTCACAGGTCGAAAGCGTCCCTATTCTCGTGTTCTTTCTTCCACCAAGCCATGTCCCCTTGCCGGCGACCCGAACGATCTGATTGATGCGATTATTTAATCAATCCTCTTGCTCACTACAGGCACCAATACGGGCATGGCGCTTTCGCGGCTTCCTGCCATAATCATGCTGGGGCCACATTGGCAGCATGCCACCGTGTCGGTTTTGCCGGGCTTGCCCTTCACTGTCCAGTCAAGCCCGGTCTATGCTCCCGGCTGTTGAATTCTGTCGATCGCCGCCGATTTCCTCCAACTTGCCAGTCCCTGTTCCTTTCTCCGGCCCCGCCGGTAGGAAGTGGTTCCCTACTCGTCTTCCCCTCGCGTTTTATCAGCTGAACCGACTTCAGTGACCGAAAAATTACGCCTGTTCTGATACCGTCTCACTGTAACCCTCATTTCTCAGTTGCTTCACTGGCTTTTATGACTTCTCGGGAGCACGGAGAACGAGGCCCAAAAACTGCCGCGTTCAACACAGCAACGGCGCTGGGGCACGCAAGGCGAAAGGGTAGACGACCCATGTCTGTGATCTCGCGCTTACCTGATTGCTCCCGACCTTGCCATTCAGTCGCCTGAGCGAAAACTCGATGGCTTAAGCCGCGTGGTCGACAATGTCGAAAGGATCATGTCTGAATACAACCAGGGTTTCTCCGCTGATCAGCTACGAGCCATCGACATCGCCGCCCGGATATCATCATGTCTGTCCATTTCAGGCTCGTCCTTCACGATAATCAGCTTCCTCAGTTACCCGCCGCTCCGGAAACCTGTCAACCGTCTTGCGTTTTCCATTGCCGTCGCCAATGTCTTTGCATGTTCGGCGTATAGTTGGGGTATTCATCCGATCAAGGCTGGGAGGAATTCTGCATGGTGTCAAACGCAGGGCTTTTTTATCAATTGGTTTGTTATGACCGATCCGTTACTTGTGCGCCTGTCCCACGTCGCTAGACATGTCCCTACTCGATCTAATAGTGTTTCTTCAGGTTATGATTATGGCGTTCAATGTTCTTCTCACCGTCCGGACGAAAAGAAATGCTACCGAGCTGAAAAGAGTCGACGTGTATGCGATATTACTGGCCTTTGTTCTGCCGTTTATCCCGGCTTTGGTTTTTCTGTGCTGGAGGCCCGATGGGAAGTCCGTCTACGGGCCGGCGACCATGTGGTGCTGGATAGCCAAAGAATCGCAGATTTTGCGACTGGTGGCCTTTTATGTGCCGATCTGGTAGGTTTGAGAGCAGAGGATTGGGTCGAGACAATCGCATATTATATGTTTGAGCACTGACTTTTTTGCATAGGTGCTTTATCCTGATCGCCATCTTCCTCTTTGCTCTGAGCGGCAAACAAATCCTGCTCGTCCGCCACAAGGTCAAATCTGCCAAAGCCGAATGCGCTCTGCACCGGGACGAGCCAGACCCTGAGGGCAACGCACCTCAACGGGACAGGCGGTTTTCATCCTTCGCGCGAGGCTTCATGTCTGCTGCAGCGACAAGGAGGAATTCAATCCGGACAGACGTTTCCGGCGCCGCCGCGAACACTCACCACAGCCGCTTGAGTGACCCGGATCCAGAGCCGTCGTTGCCGGAGTTCAACGGCTTCGAACCGCTGGCGCCCGTCCACTCACGCGAAGTGCTGGACCTGGAGTCCCAGAACGCGTCGTCGCACGAGTTCTCCATCTTTGCGACGCCGGGCTCTCCGACCATGACCCTCGGCAGGTCCGGCTCCGACCAGACGATGCTGCGCGGGCCGGACCAATTCTCGCCACGAAAGTCGTCGTCGCGGTTCGACAGGATCCATTGGAAGTACGCGAAGTTCGCGTTTTTGTGTACTATTGTTCTATTCATTACGTGGGTACGTATGTCTTCAAAGTCCTGGTGTATGAGGTCGTCTCCCCATGACGCCACCATTGACCATTTTATGCCCTCTTTCGGATACACTGTACAGAGATACACACGCACAAAGCACCATCTAGTCCCCCTCCTGTCCTCCCCTATTTCCCTTCCCCTTCGCTCTCTCCCCCAACAAGAGGATCATAATGACAACATCATCCATCCCAATCACAATCCGAATCCAAGCATCAAGCGCTAATGTGAGTGTGTGGGCAAACAGGTCCCCATAAGCGTCAACAGGGTGTACAACAACTTCATCTCGCCCGACCGCCAGATCTACGGTCTATATCTGACGTCGGCGGCGTGCATCCCGCTGCACGGCTTCGGGAACTTTGTCATCTACATCACCACCAGCTGGGCTGAGTGCAAGGACTTCCTGACCTGCTCGGCCCACCGCACTTCGCGGCGGCCGTCGTCCATTGCCGTGACCGCCGTGACCGCCGTGACTGCTGCAGCGGCAGCCGTGACTGTCGCCGGGGCGGAAGTAGGAGAGAACCAGAGCGCGAAGAAGAAGAAAAAGGTCGGATTTATACGGAACCCGACACCGACGACGATGCTTAGAGCGTGGGCAGCGCGCGGGAGGGAGATGTGGGCGAGACGCCGGTTCCGGCTCGCAGTGCTGAACGACACATAACGAAACAGACTTTCCCCAACATACATTGGTGGCCCACCACACTCGCCCACGAAGTATTGACATGAATTGTGTTGAACAAAAGGGCACAATCCAGCTCCATGGATGATATGAGTGATTACAGATTCGGAGAGGGACCAAAAAAAAATGAGGGAAAGGGAGGTCAGTTCAGCTTTGATCTTGTTCTTGGACGTAAACGTGTGAAATGCGGCGCAATCGGCATTGCTTGCAATGACTTAAAGTTGATTCAACCGGCTGATAATATCACTACGCACGGTTCGCGACGATGATGAGGGGCTCGGGAGAAACCACATAAACATTGCCGAGACATGAATCAAGGACTAAAGGAAAGGGGACCAGGAGCAGTGGTCGAAGGTATTGTTGATTAGTGCAGTCCTAGAGCGATGCGTCTGCACTATCCTCAAACATCCACGAGTGTTTGTGTCTCGATCAAAGGCCCAGAAAGAGACATCCTTTCTCGTCTAGAACACGTACAATTCCGATCCCGGTGCGTTGTTTTTAGTGTTGTCGGACCAATGCCCCAGCCAACTAGTTATCCGACGGGGATCCAGCTGAAATGAAAACAAATCACCATCAGGCCGTGTGTTCACTATCCCCATGCTGATCGGGATGATGATGATGATGCTTCTTCGCGTGCAGATCCTCCACCGGCGCATCAACAACATAGTTCATCGTCCTGCGCAAATCACCTAGGAACAGGCACGCGATGCAGGCCAGCGCCCCAAACGGAGCAGCGATAATGTACACCACCCGTATGGAATCCGCAAATGCTTGCTTCAGGGCCGCAACACCAACGGCGATGATGGCCGGAGTCACCCCTGGGATGCTGCTGAGAGCGTCCGTCTTGCCTGCGGCCAGAGCCTCAACGAAGGTCGGGATGGAACTCGCAGGGAGCCCGGCTTTCGCGACCGCTCCTCCGACGCCGTTAGGGAGGTTAGTGCCAAGTCGAGTATTTAGTGCTGCAGCGTATATGGCAGTGAAGACCGTTGCTGCTACTGCTCGAGACGAAGTCGTCACCGCAGTTGCCGTTGCGATGAGACTGTGTGGCGTGGAGAGCTGGACACCCGCAATAATCAGGATCAGTGGAGCCCCGAACCCAAATCCTGCGAGACCACCCATCACGACCGCCGTGGTGCTGTCCTGTGGTTGAATCGTAGTCCAGCCGATGATTGCGCCAGTGAAGATCAAGTAACCCAGGAAGAGCGGCTCGCGGATGGTCCGGAACCGAGTACTTGCGTACCCCCAGATCACCGTCGAAATTCCGCCTGCAATCCAAAAGGCTATTTCTCGAGTCACGAGCAGCAACGGATCCGTTTCGAAGAGCGATGTGGTCCTAAAGGCATGGAATTAGTGCCAGACTTCGACAGAGCCAGTCGGGAGAGACTTACAAGACAGGATAGAAGACGATATATGAGAAAAGCAAGGTGCCTTCGATGAAAATCAAGCCCACACAGATGGCAAATGTGCGGCCTGCCGCCTTTCCACCACGGAAGAGGGTGTGGTTCATGATTCCGGTCTTGGTACCTTTCCACTCGTAGACGCCGAACGCGATGAGGATGACAATTCCCACGACGAGGGTCACGAGTGTCCGCGAGTTAGTCCACGCGTACAGATTTCCTCCGAGGTTCAGACCAGTCAGAAACAAAGACAAGCCAACAGTAAGGAGACAGCAGCCAGGAATATCGATATGGCCCAGCTTCTGCCAGAAAGAGAGGTGGTCGAGCTTGGTGTGTCTCTTGGGTGGTCTATACCCCACAAAGATGCCTGCAGCCGTCGCTCCCCAGAGGCCAACTTGGATCCACTGCTACCGATTAGCATTTATTTCGACGGTTTGGACGCATTGGAATCTTGTAACGTACGTAGAACTTACGCCAGCCGTCCACTGGATTGTGTTTTGTCAGGGAGCCAATAGCCATAGGCCCGAGAATGGCACCCAAGGAAGCGGCAACGTTCATGAATGCTTGTGCCACTACAAATATTTCTTAGTCGACGCACTAGGAAGTGTGCATGACACTTACTCGGCCGCCATTTCCTCGGCAAGATCTCACTAGGAACGCAATATGCGAGCGGGACTGCTGCAAAACCAACACCAATCAAGGTTTGAGCAACGATCAGTCTGTAGATGTTGCCTGAGCCGGGAGCGATGGCAGCTCCAATGAGCGAGATGAGAGATGAGCCAACGAGGATGCTCTTTCGAGCTTGGAAGGTATCCGAGGTGAGAGAAATGACAGGGCCTAGAACTGCCTGTACAAGCGAGAGAGAATTCGGGACCCATGTTTGGGTTTTGGAGTTGTTGAGGCTATCGCCAATGAAGTTGAGCTGTCACACAGAGAATGAGCACCATTGCGACACGAACCGATCATGGAACCATACTTACCACCGCGGGAGGCCCCTGCAAAGCCACAACTTGGACCATATTCAAGAGGAACATGGAAAACAGGGCCACGTAGGTTCTCGCGTGAAGCTCGGGCTCTTCGTCGACTTCATCGTAGTGGAGATTTTGATCATCCGTATCAACATCCTCGATCTGTTTCTCCTTCGAGAGTTCTCTCTTATCCTCGACAGAAACCAGCTCGGCTGCATTAGGCTGAGCAGCCTTGCCTACACTGGCCTCGAAAGCGGCGTGAGAAGTCATTTATGTTGTGAAGCAGGTGTTCGGTAGGTAGTGTAGATCACAACAACCATGTCACCCGACAGGAAGGGACGAGTAGCGACTTTGTAGTCGAAAGGCGATTGCTTGACCGACATTACCGCGTGCTATATGCAGCCTACGGCGATTGCGCCTGATAGGCTCGGGATATCCATCTGGGGTGTGGGGAGCAGGCATGAGGGCGGACACTTGCGGATGATGATGAAGTTGTGGTGGGAAGTTGCAAGACGATGGACATAGTACGGAGTGGTTTGTGGGACGTGAAGTGTTGCCGGCGCAGAGGCGAAGCCACACTTCGCCCAATTTGGCCGACTGGCTGGTACATATTAGCCAGTTCTCGCCTGCGCCCTTCTTATCTGCGCCCTCCGTACCACCGTGATGTGTTGGCAGGTCTGTCAAAGTTGCAATATATTGAAACATCAGCACGACGACAGGACCTGAACAGATCATCATTTCCAATACCAAAGGTGTGTTACTACCTCCCTCCCTCGATCAGCTCCGTGCGGCCTTCTCACTAACAGACCACCACAGATGTAATTGGCCCACTTGGCTAGACTTCTTCCCACAAGCCGAGACAGCGCCTCTCCTATCTCCTATCGGGCCTCACCCTCTCCCTATCCTGCAAACTGGAATGCGGGGATATACGAGCAACTCCCAGACCCCACAAATTGTTCTTGACGAAGGTCGTGATTCATCAGCGCCCACCTTCTTGCGGGGATGTATCGGTCTTGGAGCGAAAAGCAATGCTGGGGTCACACTAAGAGGCTCTCTAGGCTCCGGCAAGCTTACTGCTCAGGTCCCGTGGAGTAAGTCAGGAACAGCAACACTAACTGGGACCTGCCTCGAGCATATTCACCAGGCGATCAACGTCAACCTCCGGATGCATCCAGAGTGCTATGCGAAAATAAAATTCCGTTACAAGATATCACTGCCTTCCATCAGAAATCTCTGGGAAATAGTCTCAAATCTAGAAAAGGTGCTCCAGCTCAAAATACCGCCATGCCCTGCGCCTGCTTGTCCACGCCCATCGAAGCCAGTTGGAAGTGTTGGACCTGCTTTGCCGACCCTGGCCCTCCAGAGACATCCAAAACAGTCACCGCTGGAGGCGTAGTTCCGTTGCCCGGAGCAAGAGCATAGATGAAGTTGCCGGCGGCTTTCATGTCGATAAGCCCCGGGTCCCCATTCGCGGATAGGTCTAGGATTGAGATGATGCTGGCGTCTGATAAGCTCATCTCCACCAGACGGTTCACGCCAACGTCCGCCACGAACGCAGTCCCAGTCACGGGTGAAATCGTCGCCCAGCAGGTGGCACTTTGACCCGCGATGACCTGCTTCGCCACAGTTGATGCTGTGTTGGTTGTGAGGTCCACCGATATGACGGCACCACCAAAAGATGCGTCTGTCACGAAGACCTTCGACGTTCCAGCAATGACTTCGGAGCCGAACAGGACGGCGGTTCCTGCCGGGGAGCTGCGAGTGTCCGTCGTTGAGAGTGATGGCTTCCCATGCCAACCTCCTCCCTGAACGGGAAACACGGAGAAGAACCCGGTGGTGTTGATTGCGGGATTGCCCTTGACCGTCGCGAACAAGCGAGACTCGTCCTCGGAGAAGAATACTTGGGAGACCGAGTTCGTCGGACCCATGGGAGGAGTAGTCTGAACAAGGTCAAAGGAGCGCAAGCCGTCCATTGGGCCGAGACCTTTCTCGGAGAAAGACGAGCAGGAGACGCCATTGGTCACACCGGTTGTCCCGACACAGACCAGTCGGTTGCTGGCCGACGCAGCGACAGTGTTGGGGAATTGGCCTGGGAGACTGACAGGAGCACCAATCAAGGTGAGTTTCGTCGGGTCCTGCGGGTCAATTGACAGCATTGACAAGGTATTGCTGCCCGCATTGACGGCGAAGATGTTCTGGCGCGGCTGTCAGCAACTTCCCAGGTATCATAATCTTCCACACTGCAAAGGTCCCTTACATTTCCAGCGATGGTCACAGAAGACTGCGAGATCAAAGGGTCAGGAAGGAGAGGATTGCCCGTGGCTCCATTAATGCTAACGCCCCCATCGCCTCCCGTGGGAGTCAGACTGCCTTCAGATAGCAGGCCATTCGGGGAAACGGGCACTGCTGCAACAGAGCTACTGGCATCGTTGGTGATGAAGTATATCGCTCGGGCGCCTGCTGATTGAGAATGTCCTTTCCCCCACTTGCCATGGTGTGGTGGTGCGGCTCTGACGGAGGCGGTTAAGGCCGCCAACAGCAGGACGGATTGGGATAAATTCTTCAGCATCTTTGCTACCACAACCGGTCGATGTCTTTCGGACTCAAGGTAAGATGATGAATTGGAATTGGCAATACTTCTATCTGCACGAAGCTGAACAGCGTTTTCCATTCCATGCTGGTGCATCTGCTCCGGCTTTATACTGCGTGACACGGCTAAATACATCCATTGGAACAATCCTTGGAACCACTTTGGAGTCACTCTCTCCGGCACTTGAGCTCCTTTGCAATCTCAACAGGCTGTATAAGGGTTTTAGAACCCCGGGTCCTTTGTCTGGATTACCCAATACTTTATTTCCTGTTCGGACATTGGCCCCGTGTGGCTTCGACTGCGTAGTGGCGTGGCTAATCTCAAACAGGAAGAATCTGATTATCCATCAGCGCAAAGAACCAAACGAGGCTCCACTCGCGAGGCGTCGAATCCAGGGGGCTAGTCAGGCTCACGGTTGCGGGGCCGAGACGTAGGCGAAACGGCAAATGGCAGACAAGTCGCTTTCATCTTTGAATGTTTCTGGACGGGAGCGCTGCTCCATCGCTCCATCGCTCCAGGTCCTTGTCTGTGTTTCTCGTTGGCATGTTCATCCAGCTTCTCCTCTATCAGCGGGCACGACATCTGTATTCGCTTTGAGATGCAGCAATGTCGGACATATTCCGACCATTTTTTCGATCCGTGGAGGGTACGTACCTGCATATCTCCCCAAGAACACGTTTTCCCAGGAAACCTAGCCCTGACTCGGGATGCTATCTAGACAAGGTCGCGAACAGGCGCGAACAGCTGCGCAAGGCCCAGAAGTCAGTGATCTTACATCTCACGAATCGGACAGCTGCGATCTTGAGATCTTTGATGCAGTCGGGATTGGATGAGTGACTGATCGGTACACCAGGACCTTCCGTGAACGACGAGACCAATATCTTCGCGTCCTGGAGAAGTCCGTCCGGCGCCTGCAAGTCACCGAAGTGAGGCTACAGAGTGAAGTTGACCGGCTTGAGCGAGATCTGGCCGTGACGAGGAGCAAACTGGCCCAGTGCGAGGCCGAGCTGCACAAGTCGACATCATGGACAGAATACGATTACGCCTACCTAAACAAGAGCGGCTTTGTACCTGGCTCCGGAGAATTCAATCTCGCCCCTGAGATAGGTGGCGCATTGAGACCGGCTTACCTCTCACCACCCCCCAATGGATGGAGTGAGAGTGGGACCAGTGCATCCTTCAGCCGCAACGCCTCCTCCAGTACAACTCTTGTCTGGATCGAAACAGAGGACGGTCAGCCGATTCAAATGCATGTCCATCAAAGGCAAGGTATTGGTTTTCTGCCACCCAGTACGGGTAAAAATGCGCGTAGCCGTGCTCTATCCCTAGCTCCAGCCTCTCTAGGCCCTGAGAGAGGCGCGACGACGGTCCTGGTGGCCCAGCTGGACGCCGTGGGCATTGCGATGGAATTTGTGCTCAAGTACGTAAGAGATATCAAGTCCACTTCGCACTCGATAGCCTCCTTCCCATGCTCCTGACGAAGCCCCATCTCAAAACCTGACCCTCCAAACAAGACACTGAGAGATGGAATGAACTTCAGGCTCGAATCTCCATGTCTCCCTCACCTCCGCCAGAACGATGAGGAAGAAAATAGCCCTTCCATATCGACCAGCTCACCCCACGGCCACGTCCACACAGCCTCAGCGGCCCTTCTGTGCTGTTATCCGTCTCCTTCATCCTCTTCCTCGGCCTCACCTCCGACATCGACACCATATGCACCCACAAACACATACACCTCGCCACTCTCACCAGCGACGACGTCATATTCCCTTTCACCCTCTTCCTCCCTGACCTGGCCTGCCCCGAAAGCGACGCTCGAACGCCTTCTTGCCATCTCCGATGACCTGCCCATCGACCAGGCCTCGGAGTTGACTCCAGTCCAAGTATGGCACTATGTCCGGCAGTCGCCGAGCTTCCCATCGATGAAAATCCAGGGTTTGAACGAAATGACTGAGAGGCTGGTCGCACAAGTCAAGTGTTATGGGTAAGTGACGGATTCAACCAACCCTGCCCGCCCGTCCCAGACAATGCTTTTTCTGCCTTTTTGTCCAACCCCAACGATCATCGATACGGCAGGTCTGGTTCTAGTCCTCCCTCCATCTACGACAAGGAGCTTTCTTAGACCGTGATATGGGGCCCTCAGTGCTAATATATATCTTTTCACTATCATTGCAGATTCGGCGCCGTCATCAGACGAGACTTCCTGATAAAGTTATTGTCGGAGATTTGAAAGGGTGATCTGGCTGTGGCAGCTTGGCGATGCGGAAACTGGAGGTGGGAAAACAGGACAGGGACAAGAGAAAAGAAACAGAATGATCGATATGGGATGTGAGATATGGAAACTTGGAACGTAGGTTGCACACAGCACTGGCCGTCTTGAGTATATGTAAATAATCGCCTATGAGTTTTCCAATGCCTTTTTTAAACCGGTTCGCCAAGTTTTCTTACAGAAACACTTATTCAATTGTTACTCTGGCTGGTGTATCTGACTCCGGTTGTCGTCGTGGTCAGGATTTTCTGTTTCGAAGGTGTTTCGTTCGCTCGCGGCCCATAACCCTCCATCATGCGCCGCACGTCCCCCCTCCGTCCCTACGTCTACATCTCGTCCATGTGCTCGTCCATATTTCTGCATCTCGACTTCTGTTTTCCTCACCCTTACTCTCCCGCGATTCCTTACGGGGGCAGTGGTGCGACCTGCGCACTTCGGGACGGATCCCCGTTGGTGTTGTCGCAACTCCACGGTCAATGCGAAGGAGATTTGCTGCGGCGCCTCAAAGAAGTCTGTGTATGTGTCTGTGTGAGCGCGGGCTCGCGAAGAACAATCATTCCAAGCATCAATTGGCTCCTTGTACGTATATGTGTGCAGCCAATGTTACCCAGTCTCTTGCTTTTCTGTGTATTGGGATGTTGGTGGATGGATTTGTCTCCCGAGGGAAACATGAGCTGGTTCTCGGAATCTGTCGGAATTGGTGGGCAGACCAGATGCAAGTGGACGCGTTCCCCTTCTGCATGTATATATAGATGGTCGATCTTCCCCTCCCCATCAAAGCATCCTTGCGTTCTATTTTGCTGTCCTTGTCTCCTATCACGGCTCGAGGATGCTTAGTCCTTTGTTCCCTGACACTCTTTGTTGCCAAGATCGGTCCAGAACGCCGCGGTGTTGAACTCGGAGTACACGGTGTCAATCTTCATGGCGGCCACGTCAACGTCCAACGCGATCATGCCCTGGACGCGCATCTGCTGGTTCCCGATCCCGCTGGCGTTCCAGCGCCAGAAAATCTGGTGGCAGGTATGCGACGTCGACAGTGTCTGGACGGTCGGCAGGGGTGGGGTCACCGCTTGCGAGGCGATGAAAGCCTGCAGGGAGGGATACGCCGGTGTCCCGAGCTGTGCAATCGGAGCTGGGTTAGTAGAGCAAAGGGACATTCAGTGATGGGCTAAAAAGTGGAGATGGGAAGAGGATATGGAAAAGATGAAAATACATGCAAGGAATCGGACAATGCGGTTGACAAAACTTACAGCGCGGTTCCCCAAGGTGTTGATGGAGTCGCTCCAGACGGTGAACTGATCAGAGAGGACACTGTTGGCTGTGTCGTTGAACACTGGCCCACCAGGGTATTGGAGTAAGTAAGTGTACCCCTTGACCAAGTAGTCGACATCAGTACTGTTGAGACAGCACTTGCTTATTCCTTGGCCGTGGGCGCCAGGGCCATGTGTGTTCTGTTCTTCGCCACGAGGATGGTTGCGGTGTCCATCAGAATCGATGTCATGGGTATGGTTCTGGGACCAGCCTGACCAGTCTCCCTGAGCGAGAGCGGCAACCGCCATGGCGAGCCCTGTCAGGAGCGTCGATCGCATGCTGATCGATGTTGAGGGAGTGTCTGGGATTTCTTTTCAGCTGGTTTCAATAAGAGCTTGCCAGCCAGCGTTGCTTTAGTTGCTCTTGTGTAGACACAGGAAGGAAGGAGTGAACCCACGCAGCTCTCGCTGTGGAGGAGAAAGCCGAATCCTGCCCTTGCAAAGAAATCGAACAAAGCAGGCCTAGTTTTCACACCTAATTGTGGCATTCAAGGCAAAGAGAAAAGCAAGGGCAGGAATAACTTTGCTGTTGCCAAAGGGACAAAGACTAAAGAATGAATAGATTGAAACTCCTTCCACCAGAGCACAGTAACGCAGTGAGAGACAGAATGAGGGCGGGGCATCTTGGAGGGTGAGCACTCTTAATATAACCAGATTCTCATCTGAGCAGCAGACAACGGCTTTCTTGATCCAGAAATGACGGTGTGGGTAGAATTATTTTCTTCTCCAGCACTACATTTTTTTGTAGACGGGCTCTGTGAGTGTGAAACACATCTCTCCATGTCCGTTGCCGGCATATATGACACAGCGTGCCATTTTCGACCTCCCACAAGGCTGCCTGCGGCGAGGGTGCCTGCATCGTTGCCTGGATACCGACTGTATGGAGACGAGGGAACGTTGGCATAAGGAGAATCCTTTTGATATTCTTTCTCGTCGAACAAATTTGAGGAAAGGCTTCCATGCCCAAATCTCCTCTTCTGGGCTGATCTTCCTGAGGTTGCTTGAAGGGTAAACGACCAACCTGGGGACATAATGGAGAAATGCTGATCATAGAATTGCCAGCACTGATCTCAGGGTTGTTGGCACCGTGATGGGGGAAACGTAGGTGTATGTAAGATGGAAAAGGAAGCTTGAAATATGCAAAGTTGTGATCCAAATATGCCTGCAGCCTTGCGACAAGCGACGAGACCACGATCAGACCTATCGCAAGCAAAGCAGAATCAATGATAGACAACTCGCCTTGAAATACGATCATAGTTATCCACAGGATGTGGATATCTCAGCCTGCGTGCAGTGCCTCATGTTTGCAATGGAACCGACCTGTTTGTTTCAGCACATTCTGGCTGCTGGACAGGACATACCGACGGTTTCTTCACCAACCCAATAGTCATGATGGAAATGGAAGCTCGTAATGTGTCTCTATGATGCAACAAGACAAATAGTGCGTCTTTAGCTCTTCGTGATACCGGCACAGCCGGTAGGCTGAGCCTAGTGACCCTGGACTTCTTGCTTGCACATACTCTGGCCGGCTAGGGAGGTGATCCATGAGTCCAATTATTATGTGCCAATATCAGTAGCTCGGATGCCCACGCATCTCATGTGCTTTGTAATGCTTTCCACCACGCAATGCTCCGATGGCGGCCGAGAAACCATCTCTATCATTCACATCGTTGCTCTTGGCCGCACACCGATACAGAGTCCGCGCCGTCACAAGTAAAATTTGATGCTCAATCATACAGAGTAAGAGTGAAAAGACAATTCTTTCAACCAGTAGTAACATTTCCTGCGCCTGAGCGATGCCACATTAACGAACCAATTCGTTGTTCCTTTATCCTTTAGCCACGGCGTCTATTTTCTTCATTGTCTCCTGGACCTCGTTCAAAAGGCCTTTCCGGAAACCTCGTGCATCGGTGGAATCCACGTCGATCGCATCCGCCTTGAGAATGATGTGGGTCATCACACTCTCGCTCAACTTTCGGTGTTCTTTCTCACGTTCTTGAGCTGAGGAAGGAGGGTTGGAGATGAACTTGCGGCACAGGGGAAGCCATTTCTCGTGATAGACATCTGATAGAGTTTGTAACTTTCCCAATGGGGTGTTCGGATCTGCTGCTGGTAGGGACTGCGGAACTGGGGTCGAAGTCGGCGAGGGGTGGGGGGACGTTCCTCTGGTGCGAGACGGCTCGCGGCGCAGGGGACGGTCTTCGGGCTCTGGTCTCAGAGTGGTGCGAGACTGTCGTTCGGATGCTGTGCCAGAAGAAAGATGGCCATTGGGATGGAGGAAGTTGGAGGGTGCCGAAGGTCTCTGCTGTGGGAGATTTTCGTCGCTGCGGTGTCGGACTGAAGACGCTGCGCGCGGCCGGCGTCGAGGATTTTGCTCGGGGACATCCTCACCACCCGAGGAATGACTATCTCTATCATTGTAGTCCAGTATAGCCTCGGTCTTGATGGCTGCCACCTCGCTGTTCTGCTTCATGTTATATTTTCGCAAGGGCCACCCATCGTGTTTGAGGTCGCGTTTCTTGTACACCAGTCTGACTCTTCGGGGATCCGTCTGGAGGTATCGGGCGACGGCTTCTCTCAGCTGACCGACATAGGCCGTCTCTTCGCTGATGGAATATGGAGGAAACTCGACGGGAAACAGAGACGCCATATATCGCACGAGGATGACATCGGGGGCATCGGGGTCTTCTATCGGGACATTCTCATGTAGTCTGGACACGGAATGACGATGCGGCTCTTGAAGCATGCCATGATCGGCATCAATGTACTCGAAGTGATTAGACAGGTTCCGAGCATAAGGATCGACGACGGAGCTGGTGTAAGGCGAGCCCCCACTACGACCACCGTAGGCGACGTAGCTACCGTAGCTGCTCATGAGATAGCGGACAAGGAGGTAGATGAGGGAGAGGAGGACGGCGGCAAGGGTGGTGTAGGAGGCGGTGGAGTAGTCTGTCAGAAGAAGGTTGAGGTCGTTGTGGAAGTCAGCAGGCAAATGTCGGAGGACTGGTTGGGCAAGGCTGTAGAGATTTCGCAGGAGATCGGAAGGCCAAGTCTGAAGACTTGAGGACGCCACGGTGAAGGACTTGGAAAGACCGGGAGGATGAAGAGTGTGTGAATTACCCTGATGAGTTGATTCACTGGGTTTTTTGGCAAAGGGAGAAAAAAGGTGGTGTTTCTGTGCTTGGGTACGCGCGAGGGTAGATGTTCGACGTCGTCACTGAGCAGGAGTGTAGGTAATATTGTGGATCGGCGAGACAGGGGGATGGAACAATGAAGGCGAAAACACCTGTGTTGGAGAGAACACCAGATGGCAAGGCAGTCGCCGCAGTTGGTGGATTTGTGGTGGCCTGGGCGCAGGGAAGAATTGGCTCCTCTGAAAAGGCGCAGTTTTGTCGGTGCGAGCACGTTAGTCTGCTTTAGACTCGGCTGGAGCGGGCAATGGAGATGAAGAAATCGAGGTGGATGACGCAGACACCTACAGATAGCGGTGCGTAAAATAGGATCTTTCCTTTGACCTTCTCAGGGGGGGCTTTTCTTCGGAGAGGGGAATCACAAGGTGGGATGATTTTCTCCTGAAGAACCGCCGGGAACGGAAAAATAGTTTTGCCTTGCCGATGCGACATGAGAGCTGAACAAGGTCGAAAAGAACGCACTCCTTACTGCGCACGTGCGCTCCCGACCAAGTCGACTTTCGAAGCAATAATTGCATCCTTTCTCCTTATGTTATTACGAGGTAATGAGGGTCGAGATCCCGTGTAAGAGTAGACAGAAGCTGGTTACCTTACAAATAAAAATGAATCTGGGTCACTTCTTGCTTTGCCGTTACGGTTCTCTCTTCTCGCCGGATTGTGCCACTTCTTTTTCTGCGGTGAAGTATCTTTCAGCCTCAATGCCACGCTTTGGCACCACGACCGACAGCCTCAAGCTCCTTCAGGGCTTCTATTCATTGCGAGAAACTCCCATGAAACAAACGCCACAACCTAATTCTGGATCAGGCTTCACCATCAGCCGATTTACCCCAGACTCCGATAGTTGGATTTTTTTCCGAGGCCGACTCTTCGTATTCTACCTCGTACTCCGTACTGCACCAGGCAATCGGTCATCGTGGGGCACAGGCAGGCAATTGTTTCTCGTGGCATTCTGGTTTTAACCTAGTGGCAGTAACACTATCAGCTTCTCGCACGTCGCGTGAACGTTGACCTCTGATTGATCCTGGGGCAAAGAACAGCTCACCAAGGTTTCACAAATGGCTTTGATGCCTTAAACTATCTGTCCCGTCTTCTTGGACGCAAAACCACACAAAATTACGCAGATCCATCTCCAGTACACCCGTCGCGAACCTGATAGGCGGAGAGAGACCACAACAAACTCGGAGGAATATGCAGCGAAAAAGAGGAGGTGCAGGTCGCCAACCATCCCCGGTTGATGTCATGGCATGCTCTCGTCTGGTGCCTCTGGACAAAATCCCGCGTGACTGTTTAGCTGCAGAATGGGTGTGCTCGTTCAGCGTCCCCCGTGGTGCCTGGCAAGGCCAGTCCCGGTTTTTCCGGAATAGGTGCAGCTAACTAAATCTCCAGGCGTGCGTCTCTGCACAACCCACGCTCCCACCACGCTCGAGGTGACCACCCCCCCACGTCCCTGCCACTGTTCCCGCAAACCCTGAACCTGTTGATTTTTTTTTTCCTTGAAGAGGAACATCGTGTAAATGCACCTCCTCCTCCGACCACGTTCCCTGACGTCCTACCTATCGAAATATGGTCGGCTATCGCCCCTCAGTTATAGGCTATTCCCTCGAGGAAGCCAGGCCAGGAACTCACTCCACGTCTTGCGGAGAAGTCGAACTACGGAGCCGGCTGATGGATAGCTGCACGTCTCGAAAGAGGATGATACGAGAAATTCGTGGGTGTCCAAGTGACCTCACGCATATTCTGAGGCTGCCCTGCGTCACTGGGCATCAGTCAATCCTCCCGAGAGACAAATGAGGGTCCACACTCAGGTCCAGCTACATCAGATCATGTTGCCTCGTCATTCCTCTTGCTTTCCTCCCAATGGACCGCCCTTCCTTTCCTCCTGCTACTGTGTGAGACTGACCGTCCGTTGGCTTTTTAGTTTGGCGGTAGGTCTTCCGATACGTGCTATGTCCCCGAAATCTATGTGCTCCTTCCTTCTCTTTTCGAGACCTCACATGCATTTCAACAACGCAGCCAGGAAACCAGAGCCCGTCGGCGTTCAACTGGCCCTCGAGTCGTCCATAATCACACCGCCCTCTTCAACTCACTTTTCGCACATAAAACTGCCGGTCGAATACCAATATTTGCTTCCTCCTTTCCTTCCCTCCCAACCCTCCCATCTGCCCTGACAATCCCAACCATGGATGTTTATAACCTTCCCAACGTCACCGATCCTCATCCACCCGCTGCTCTTGCCCTCCAGCGGGTAACTCCAGTCCTCTCCTACGTCGCCCTCGCTTTTTCTCTGGCCAGTTTCATCTGGTGGTGCATACAAGACTACCGCTTCTTCAAATCGTTGGGAGTCGGAGGTCCCTCTCATGACATATTCGGCTGGTTCAAAGTCCATATTCTGGTCAGACCTTTCACGCTCGCCCCTCGGGATACCACGTGGACGGGAGACTATCCCGAACATGGGGCTCACAAGGAGATTCTGGCGCTGCCAGATCGAATGGGTCGGCGGCCAGTCATCCTTGGCATCGCTCCTCAAAGACAATTCAGTCAGTGTCCAGACCAAGAAATGAATTCAGTGAGTGGGCATAAGGTAGCTGGAGTCCGTGACACCAGACTACCGTGATGTAATTCAGCTGTGGCGCCTTCGAAACTGACCTCTGGACAGCGCGTACTTGCCTTGTTCTCTTCTTATGTCCAAAACAACCCGAGCCTGTTGCAACAAAGACTCTCGGTTGTCGAGAAACATCACTATGCACTCTTTGTGCATCCAAGCATACTTGCCAAGCCAGACAACATTCCGGAAATTGCACGCATCGCCAATGGCGAACTGGGGCATATCCATGGAGACACTTCGCTGCACCTCTACTTCTCACCAGCAGACGCCAAAATCCTCATCGAACGAGGTTGGGCTCAACGGCATCGATGTGCCAGGACTCAACCGTGGTGGTTTGGTGGCCTGAGGAACATGTGGGGCATAGGAGATACCTTTCTGATAGTGTACGCTCCCAGGCACCAGGATGAACTCGACGTGTTGAGTGTCTTGATCAAGGCGAGCATCATGTTCATGACAGGCGAGCAGGATGTCGTCAAGCCGTAACAAGGCCAAAGGCAGGTACCGACCGACTCGAGCGTAATCACAATACGTACCCTGCAGGAATAATCACTGATCATCTTGCTGGTGGGGCAAGCTCCAGTATTCTTCCGTGCATGACGTGACGGGTGGGCGGGTGGCCAGCATGAGGTTCAGCAGGGAGGAGATGCACGTATGAGCTGAGGATGGTTGAGGGAGGTTGTGGTGGTTATGAGATGGAATGGTTCAAATCGCTTATTTTCCATATGTAAACAAAATCGCAAGATTGGCCGGACTCGGCTTTGCTGCCGGCATGAGAAATGAGAGGTAGGGCTGTAAAAGCGGCACTCGCCGGTTCTAGCCGCTCAATCGGACTCAATATGTCAACGACTTTGTGATTCCGCCACATCCCAACCGACACCATTCTCATCATCTCTGTAAAGCCCTCAAGGCTCTCTAATATGGCTGCTACAATCCCTCGCTCCCGCTGTCTGAACGGCCATCCATGGTCATCTCCATTCAAGGTCTTTCTTCCTTCGACCTCGACGTCAGCGTCAACCACCTCACGGACGTTGGCCACCACGACCGATGACCTCCCCACCAGTCAACGTCGAGTGCGTGCGACCACCTTCGCCGACAAGCTCAATGCTGGCCCGTCCTTCTCAGATTTTGTGTCGGGGAAAGAACCGCCCTTGGAACCTTCGGAAGCTTACGCCTTGAAGACTGCGCTTGTGGGACCCAAGGGCAAGCAGAAACAAATCACCCGGTTGCCTTCATGGCTGAAGACGCCGATTCCCGACAGCTCCTCCTACAAGAAGATTAAAAATGACCTGCGCGGGTTGAATCTACACACGGTGTGCGAAGAGGCTCGATGTCCCAATATCTCAGACTGCTGGGGCGGAAGCAGCAAGTCCGCGGCCACTGCGACGATCATGCTGATGGGGGACACCTGTACCAGGGGTTGTCGCTTCTGCAGCGTCAAGACCTCCAAGGCCCCTCCTCCGTTGGATCCGCACGAACCTGAACACACGGCAGAAGCGCTCTCGCGATGGGGCCTCGGCTACGTTGTCCTGACCAGTGTCGACCGAGACGATCTGGCGGATGGAGGAGCCCACCACTTCGCGGAGACGGTGCGCAAGATCAAATCCAAAGCACCAGCTATTTTGGTTGAATGTCTCACCGGAGATTACGCGGGGGACTTGGAGATGGTCAAACTCGTTGCGACATCAGGACTGGACGTATACGCGCACAATGTTGAGACCGTCGAGGCATTGACACCCCAAGTGCGGGACCGCCGCGCGACGTTCCGGCAATCGCTCAGCGTTTTGAAAGCCGCCAAAGCAGCACAGCCTGGCCTGATTACGAAGACATCGATCATGCTGGGCCTTGGCGAGACCGAGGACCAACTCTGGGATGCGTTGAAAGAACTGCGTGCCATCAACGTCGACGTCGTCACTTTTGGCCAGTACATGCGTCCCACCAAGAGACACATGCCTGTGCACGAGTATGTTACGCCGGATGTTTTTGAGCAGTGGCGCGTTAGGGCGCTGGAAATGGGATTTTTATACGTGGCGAGTGGACCATTGGTGAGGAGCAGTTATAAAGCGGGTGAAGCATTTATCGAGAATGTCTTGAAGAAGAGGAGAGCCGGCAGGGGAGACACAGCGAATGCGGACTTGGCAGGAGCCATAGCTGTGAAGGATGTGTCGGTTGGAAAGATTTGACTTGGTTATGGTTCTGATATCAAGGCGAGGGGCTGACACATTGAGGTCTGTGTCTATCACCGACCTCGTGATCGAATACGTCTCAGCAGGAGAAGGAAAGAAAGGGCAAATGTGGAGACTTTGTCGATTCCCATAGGCGTTCTCTGATCTATAGTAGATTGAGGACCCGGATGCATTCATGCTCTTGACGGCAAGATGAATGGCCTTGTATGCCTGACACTTCTGCGCCCGGTCTGAGAAGCCTGCCAATGTATGAAATATGCCCAGCCCATACGTGGGAGCAGTTTTGCTGCTCGAGCACTCAAGACGCCATCCGACGCCCACGCAATAACAATGATAACGGTCCCCTTCACCGACTGTTCAAGTACCGTCCCAGCCTGGAGTTGAAATGCTTTGCTCCGAGCACAGCGTTTGGTTGTCGTTATAGGGTGAGTGAGTGAGTGAGCGAGAGACCGTGAGATAGTGAGCCATCGAGCCCCGAGACGCACGTCCTGCGGTCAATCTGCAGCAGCCAGAGTGAGCCCGGGCATATGCGTCGTCGGAGGACAAGACACCTCTTACTCTCTGCTTCCTTGCTTGTAGGTAGGTAGGTATCTCGGTAGGTAGGTCGATAAGGAGTCTCGGTCACGGTCGTCTTGGGGCTCCTTCTGTTCTCTGTGTCTCTCTTTTCTCCCCTTGCACCTCTCTGAGACATCCACAGAGACTACAATCACTTGAGACGGACCTCAGCCACAGCTTCCACACTCCGGGGCGCGCACATCGTCAATACCGCCCATCCTCCTCGCCGGTCCAGCACCTCCAGCTCCACTGCCACCTCTTCCCCAAGAACTGCTCCCTGATCCTGTGGCGCCGCCGAGACGATTCGTCCCGCCACCGCTCCAGCGCGGACGCTCCTGGTACGCGTTGGGGCGGCCACGGGTGTTGAACTGGCTGTTCTGGGCCGCGGTGTAGGGGTCGAGCGAGAACAGGGACACCAAGTACAGGCCCAGGAAGTTGTAGATGTCGTCGGAGAGGCGGGAGATGCGGGCGGAGAGGGGGGGTCTGAAACGACAGTTCGTTAGTTCTTGGGACGCCGAAGCACAGATAGACGGGGTATATGAGATCATGAGGACTTACGTCTCCAAGATGTGCCCTGACGAAGAGATGTAGTTTGCGGTTCCGTGCGAGGGGGATTTATTCTTGTTCGAGGATGAGGGTGATGCCGATGAAGGGGGTTTGTCCATGGTTCGTAATTGTAATTTGTGCGCAGGACTGGCTCTGGCTAGGGTTGGAACTTGGAAATAGGGTGTCAGGAAGGCGTCGTTGTTGGTAGTATTAAGTGAGGAGATACTGGTCTAGGGCTTCTCGAGCCTTGAGAGTGATGGAGAGGAATAGAATGAAATGATTAACACGGTGGTGGAAAGGGAGCAGGCGAGAGGCGAGGCCGGTGGGGGAATCTGGGTGGCTGAGAGCCTACATACATGTTCACATAATACTGTAATTAGATGCCACCATACACGTCTGAACACCGACGACATACATATCAAGAGTGCTTCAAGATGCAACTCGCTACCTACTGTGCACGTTTCTGCACTGTTTGTTTGGAAATGCCTTCTTTTTCCATTTCCATGTCCACATCTATATCCACAAGCTTGTTCGTCACCGGGCAAACGATCGACTAACTGAGCCGCGTTGAGCAACGTATGTAACACTCCTGACCAGGGAATAATCTTGTTGAAAGATGGGCAAGCAAGCATGAACTTTTGGCCAGCTCCCGGGTGCTTTATGTACATTTCCTTTCTCCTCCTCAAATATATTCGTCTCTCCCGTCATATAAGCCCACAGCTACACACTGAGATTCCTCCTTCTCAGTCGAACCACTAGCCATTCACAACCCCAACCGCTCGCTCGCCATCCTCGCGCCCTCAATGCGGGCGGCAATCTTCTGGAAGGCAACCTCGCGCGCATAGTCCGGGTTGTTCTTGTGCTTGGGCTTGACGTCGATGCTGAAGGGGCTGAAGCCGCAGTCGTCCGTGGCGCCGAGCTGGTCGGTGGGGATGTACTGGGCGGCCTCGACGAGAGCGTCACAGACCTGCTGCGGCGACTCGACCACCGGGTTGAGTGGGTTGATGACGCCGACAAAGGCGACCTGCTTGACACCCTGGGCGTCTTTGCGGATCGTACGCCCGATCTCCTCGTACACCCGCGTCTTGTTCTTCTCCGACGCCAGCTGGATCAGAAAGTAGCCCGCGTTCATCTGGAACAGCGACGGCAGCAGCTCGTGGTAGTCGACGTCGGCCGAGTGCACCGAGTCGCAGTCGCCGCCGGGGCAGGTGTGGATGCCAATGTTCTTGCGTTCTTCGGGCGTGAAGCGGTCTAGAAATCACCAGGCCGAGAGAAGGGGGTCCAGGTCAATATTTCAAACTGATGAGGAAAAGAAAACAGAACACACTCGCCCCGCCTTTCCTCCCCGACCACAACGTCTTGGGATGGTTCACTTACCGAGGACACGGTTGTTCATGTCGATGAACTTCTGCAGCAGGTGGGCGCCCGTCCAGGGATTCCTCGCGTCATTCTTTGCCGCCAGTCTCCCCTCGGTGAAGTCAATCGACACACGCTTCGCCCCGGCCGCGAAACAGCCGCGGATGTCCTTCTCGCACTCGTCCACGACGTCGCGTTCAAAGTCCTCGCGGGAGTATCCCTCGACGGTGCCGTTGAGCGGGTACAGCAGGTACATCATGGACGGCGCGATGACGGCCTGCTTCATCGGGTGCCCGCCGGCCAGCGGCATCGACCGCTTCAGGTTCTCGTAGGCGTAGGTCTTGTACTTGAATGGGCCCCTGACCAGGCGGGGCAATTGCCTGTGGTGCCCATCGTCAAAGATGGCAAAGTACTGGCCGTCCGCGGCGAGGTTGTCCGACAGACCGGTGCCCCCGAGCGTGTCGGTGATGGGATACGTGGCGAACGAACTCGCCCGCTGTTCGCCGTCCGTGATTAACAGTTCACCGGTCCGGGCCAGGTTCTTCAACGAGTCCTCGACAGCTCGGTCTTGGGCCTGGATGAGCTCGTCACGGGAGATCTTGCCGGCGTCGTAGTCGGCAAAGGCCTGTTGGAGGTACACTGGCCGGGGAAGACTGCCGACCAGTTCGGTGGGGATAGGCATATTTTTGTTTGTGGGGCACGATACACCCACTGATCAAAGAGGATATATACCGGAGGCAAGAGGTAAAATGTAGGTTAGTGAGTGGAAGAGCGAGAGCGAGAGGGAGAGAGAATGAGCTCAAAAAAAGGAGTTTCTAAGAATGGATATACCTTTTTTTCTCTGTTTTTTTCACTTCCTTTTTGTTTTCTTTCCCTCTTCGTTCCCCGCCCTTTCTTGACATGCATGACGCCGTCGATCGTCTTTTTCTTGGGTACGTACCGTACCTCTTGGAAGAGTTCTAATTGGAGGATGGAGCAGAGAGTCAGCCCGCGGCGAACAGAACTCGTTATTATTGACGGGAAGTTTGACGAACCCTGCTGGGCCCAGAGGGCCATTGGCGTTCGAAGGATGTATATCTCCGGGTGTGTCAAGTCCCTGTCTATTTGGCATGTAATTAATTACAACGCTGAACTACCTTGAAGTCCTTCTGTAGGTGGATTGTTATTGACACGGCAAGTTCGAATACAGTGTCAGAGAATTAACGAAGTCATATTATACAAGTCCATGAAAGTCCTCTGAAAACATCAGAGGCGGCTTCCTTGGATGCGTATGACAAGTATTGTCTAGCCCCTTGAATACTTCTAGTCAAGGCTGACCTTGACGGTGTTTATGAACTTGTTGACCCAACTCACGTTTCTCTTGATGATCAGCAGCGACAACAGCAATCGGCTATTGCTGTTCACCGCTTCTATAATTTTGTTCTTGCGTGTGCTCAGCAAGAGGTCGAATAACACTTCGTTTACAGCCTCCTTCGACGACCAACCACACCAACTTTGGATCTTCCAAGTTTCTCTGGTCGTCGGAGCTGTCGCTTAGATGGGATCCTTTCTTCGGGATCTTGCTTCCTTTTCTTGAACTCCAGCTTGATGATGGGCAGATCCGGATTCTCCCCTACCAGCCAGAGCAACTCTCGGCCAGCGCGACTGCTCGCACCAACACCAAGATATATATCTCAAAGAATCCTGTCATGATACCAGGAGCTTTCGAATGATGGCCTGTCGTTCGGGATCTCTTCCAGTAGCGATATAATACCTGTGACGTCGTCCTTCAATATCTCGAGACGAGGACCAGAGGCCCGGACCCGGCGTTGGGCTTCCTCGAAAGTAGCACACTCAAGATCTTGTAGGAATTTCCAGAGACAGGCAGTCTTGAAGCTGGAGAAATTTTCTCTCTCCCCCCTGTTGTTGGTGATCCATCTCGAAGGTTTAAGTTCGCAAGTACATAACTCTGGCGACCCGGTATTGTCGACGGCGTAGATCATCCATAGCTCCTGATTGTGGCTCACGAAAATCGCATTTCCTCCTCATAAAGAGCGGTCGTCGATATTAACAAAGGGCTTGTCGAAAGGAACGAGAATCTCCGGGTAACATACCATCTCTATCTTGCCGGATTTTGGAAGATGGACAAGGCTATAAGCCTAGCGGTCGATTTCGCGCAGGGCTATGGTCCCTGCGGTGGGAAGTCCAGTCAACCAGGTGTAGGAGAAGTATATCTGAAAATGCGCTTACGTGCTTTTATCTGTAAATAGAGGAATCACTCTTACATGCAATATGCGTGGCCGGGAACCGACCCGCGCTCGCGCCTCATCGGATACGAGAGACGTCATTTTCTTGACTTTTCCGAAAAGCTGTCTGAGCTCTTCTTTGGTCTTGTGGGTGAATGCGATATCATAGTTGTATAGGTCCGAATCAAGACCGCATTCATCTTCAACTTCATCCGGCTGCAGATCACCAGATGAAGCCATGGTGGCGGCAATAGTCCTTCCACAGAAGTCGGAGCCGGAGCTGGGAGCAGCAGCAGCAGCAGCAGCAGGAGAGATTCTCACAAATAAGTCAAAGAGGGTATTGTTGTAGGGTTCAATCTGGATTTACTGAGCTGTAGATGTATCTCAAGGGGACACGGCGAATTAGCGTTGGGCTAGTGGGCATAGAAATGAATCATACTGGTTACTAAAGCCACTAGAGCCTTGATAACCCTCGACCATACCTAAAGCGCTATCAACCTCTCTGAATTTAATAACCTGGGGTGGTAGTGGAGAACATCTGGTAGAAGCAGATGGATAGATCTACCTGGGTAGAACCGTAGACTCGAACCCTCCTCAACACGTTGAAAAAAGCGGCTGCCTCTCGTTCTTCTGGCCTGGCGGCGCCGCCCTCGTTATGGTTTGGAGGATGTCCTGACCTTCGCCCAGTTGTAGCACGTTAAATTCTGTGTGAATTAAAGGGTCTATTCATTCCAGACACCAAAGAATGTGGGTATCCTAGTGGGACAAATCGAAGTGCATATGGATCACCCTTTGCTTAAGCTAGTCAGTATCACCCGAACTGTCAATACCAGATCTCTCTCTCTATTCAGTGGTGGTGGTGGTGGTGGTGGTGGGACATGTGGGCCGTGGGGATGAAGTACGAATTCACAACACCATGTCCCTACCGGTAACCTTAGCAGAGCAAGAACATGAGAATTGTGAGTCCGACAGATTCAAAGGATTGGACATCTCGGAATAAAGGCCCTGCTCTCAAATGAACTCATTTATTGTACAAAACATAGTAGACTTCTTTTCCACCTGCATTTCCACCCCAAAGCTGAAATCTCAAGCCCTTTTCCTTTTTTTAGTCAGTTGTCAGAGAACCAGCCCACGAATGCCGTCACCGTTAACATGTAATACACCTTCATCCGTATATTCTCGAACCCTAGCAGTAGAGAAGCTGACCATTCAGATGCCCTATTGCGCCGTAGCCCCTTCGCCGCGGATTCTCTTCCCTTGCCCGCCGCCTTCTGCGACCTCGCCGTCTTCACGAGATCTCTTGTTTCCACCACCAGGAGTAAATTGAGCCGCCTGAGGATTCAACGCACCTCGACTTGGGCTGTTGGCACCTCCACCTCCACCTCTGCCTTGCTGTTGGCTCCCACCGGTGTGTACACCCGGGCCACCGCCACGACCGCCTCTGGGTGCTCCACGGCCTCTGGGAATACCGCTTCCTCGACCACGGTTTGATCCACCGCGGGGAATTCCAGATTGGAGTTGCTGCATCAAGGCCGCGCCTGCTTGAGGTTGCTTTGCAGTTTCAGGATGAACGGCCGGAGCGGGCTGAGCAGCCTGAGGAGGTTGAGCGGGCTGGGCAGGTTGAGCCGCCTGAGAGGGACTTGGCTGAGAGGCAGGTGGATTGAATGGATTCGGCTTAGGTTGCTGCGCAGCAGGTTCGGCAACCGCTGCTTGCTCGGGAGCCACACTTTGAGACTGAGGTGGCTCTTCGGCTTTCACAGGGATGTTTGGCTTCACTGTGACTTGTGCAGGTGTAGTAGCAGCTGCTGCAGGAGCAGATGGTTTTGGTGCTGCTGGATTGCTTGCGGCAGTGGGTTTCGCATCTTTGGCGACTTGCCACACCTCTGCAACCGGCTTCTCAGGAGTCTCCTCTGCTGCTTTCTTCACCACCTCTACTTTCGCAGTTGCCAGGGCTGCTCTGTTCTGAGACATGTTAAGTTTGACAGTACCTCGCTTCTCCGCCAACTGCTCGGCATTCTTGACTTGTTCTTCGATTTTCTTCGCCGATTCTTCGTCGAGTTGAAGCTTTTGAGCCTTGAGCTCCTCTTCGTGCTTGCTGGCCATGTCTTGCCTTTCCTGGGCGAGCTTCTCTTCATACTGTCTGATCAAAGCTTCTTTCTCCGTCTCGAACTCGGCCTCCTTTTGTTGGATGATGGCTTCTTTTTCGGACTTAAGCCTCTCTTCCAATTGCTCAGACAGTGCTGTAGAAGTCCCTTCGTTCTGCAAGCTTTGTGTTTCTGCCATTTCTTTGCGGATATTTTCCTTTTCTTTTTCTAGGCCCTTGCTGATGTTGGCCCTGACTATCCGTCGTACAGTTTCGTTCTTGTTCACGAGGAATCTAGCTTTCTCTTCGGGCAGAGACAGCAATACCTCGTCAGGGATCTCGCCATTGACCACGGGAGTAGCGGGACTAGTCGATTCTGTGACGGGCTTCTGTAGCTCGCTTGCAACAGGCACCGACTGAGCCCTAAGTGCCTCCATTTCCTGTTGATGCTGGGCATTGAGCTTCGCGGTCAACTCTTCAAGAGCAGTCACTTTCGCTTGCTGGGCTTGTTGCTTAAACTCAGCCAATCGTTTGTTCAGAATCGCTTCATTGGCAGCCACTCTCGACTTGAACCTCTCTTCCTGCGCAGATTTCAGCTGGTCGAGCTCCTTGGTCTTCTCTGCCAACATCTCCTCCAATTCCTTTATCCTGGCTGCCAGCTCGGCCGTGTCGGCGCCAGCTGTGCCGTTAGTGGTTGAAGAGTCGGCACTTGCTGGATGTTCGCCATTGGTTTGAACCGATGCGGCCGGAGGAGGATGTGCTTCGGTCGCAGCCAGTTGTTCCTTCAGTGAATCAAGCTCCGTATGTAGAGCATCTCGTTCGGCTACAAGTGCATCAAACTCGACTTTTCGCTCGCGTAGAGTATTGTTTTTCTCTTTGATGACCCCCTTAAACTGCGTTTCCAGTCTCGTCTTCAACTCGCCTTTAGCAGAGTCGACTGCGGCCTGTGTGCTCTCGATTTGCGCTTGAAGAGCTGTACGAGCTTCGTCGCGCTCGGCAATGGCATTATCGAGCTCTCCGCGGACAGAGTCACGTTCTTGCTCAAGAGTGGTCATCTTCTCTCTGAGTGCCTCCATCTCCGCTGGGTCGACTCGGTCGTACTTCGAGAGGATGTTCTGGGTGCGTTGTTGCCAGTGGTCTCGGTCTTCTTGACTCAGTTTCAACTCCCCTTCTTTCAATTCCAAAAGGTTCTCCAGCTCGGCAACACGGGCGTGTAAAGACTGTACTTCGCCTTCCAGTTCCTCCACGCGCCGGGTCTTTTCGGCCAAAGCTTGGGTAGCTTGTCTCGCCTCTGCTCGCAGGGTGACACTGCTTTCGCGGAACAGATTCAACTCATTGAGAGTTTCGATGAGCTTGTTGTGGCTGAGGGCGTTGCGTTCCGCATCTGCCTCCGACCGACGTTGCTGATCGAGCCTCAACCGTGTCTCGTCTAATTGTGATTGGGTAAACTCTAGCTGCTGTCGTAGCCTCTTTGCTTCTTGAACTGAGAGTTGATATTGGACATCGACGATGTCCTTCTCCCGACGTAGGTAGGTGATCACCTCTTGCAGCTTGTCGAGCTCCGCAGAAGACTGGGCAGATGCTTCTCCGTTCACGCCTTCCGTAAGAGCTGCGCGATCGCGTTGCAGAGCCGTAATCTGCTGAGTAACACTTTCGAGTTGACTGTGCAACAGGTTGTTCTGCTGGGCGAGCTCTTCGCGGCGCTTCCTTAGATCTGCTAGCTCTCTCTCATACCTCTCTTTCATTTCCTCCCAACTGGCTTGTTTCCTCTCCAGATCTGCCTTGGACGTTTCAGCTTGCGTTCGCAGGTCGACTATCTCTAATTTAAGTTCATTGGCTTCGGCTCTGACTGTGTGCAAGGTCTTCGCTGCTTCGGCATGCCTCAACAGCTCAGTCTCATAGTTTTGTTGAGCTTCCGTAGCAATTTGAGCTTGGATTTTGGACGCCTCCAGGTTGAATTGTGCTTGCTCGGCACTCTTTTCGGCCTCTTCCTTCAGCCGCTCAATCTCAGACTCGAACCCGGCCTTCTGTTCATCGAGTTTCCGACCAAACTCTGCTTGCTCATCCCGCAGCCGTGACAGCTCTTGATTGGTGGTATTGAGTTCAGCGGAAATATCTTCAATTTGTTGCTCGAGATCCTTGATTTTGGCGTCCTTCTCAGCAAGGGCGGCCTCTGTTTCTTCGCGATACTGGTCGTTGGTCTCGCTGAGTTCTTGGAGGCGCTCTTCGCTTGACTGACTGATATTCTTGTAAACCTCCACTTGTTCGTTGGCGCGTTCGAGTTCCGCCGTCTTGAGTTCAAGGTCACGTTTAAGTTCTGAAACTTCCACGGCCAGTTCTTGTTCTTTGCTCAAAGCGGTGTCCTCGGAAGAGCTTGTCTCCATCGTAGGTTCCGCCGGCCTGCTAAGAACTTCCAACCGTTCTTCGGCAGACCTGAGCTCTACCGTGAGCTCATCAACCCTGGCTTGCAAATGGTCCCTAGCCGTCTTCGCTGAGGCAAGCTCCTCTTTCGTGGCGCTCAAGCTTGTGACGAGATCGTCGATTCGCTTTTGAGCTTGTTCATGCTCATATTCTCGGCGTAAAGCAGCCTTCTTACTTTCTTCGATTTCGTCATTGAGCTTTCTCTTGGTCGATTGAAGTTCAGATTCCAATGACTCCACCTGGGATTGTAGTCGGCGTCGCGTTTCAGCATCTGTCTGCTCCCGCTCGTTGATCATAGTTTGGAGGCTTGCATTGAGCTGGTCTAGTCGGCTTCGCTCGCTCCGCAGAGACTCATTGTCGTCGATTAAGCGTCGTTCGACGCTCTTCCACAAATCTTTCTCCGCCTTCAAATTCGCCGAATCCCTGCGCAGGCTATCAAGCAGGTTGCGAGCCTCGACGAGCTCCTCTGCCACTTGCTGCGTCTTCAGTTCGTTTTTGGTCGCATTCTCCATAGCAGCGTATGAACGCTTTTGGATCTCACCGTTTTCGTTCTTGAGGGAGTTGTAGTTGGCTTGCAGCATCTCATATCGTTGATTTGCAGCTGTCAATTGCCCCACAGTCCGACTAATTTCGGTCTGCAACTGCGAGTTTTTCCTGCTCAACTCGGCAACCTGGTTCTTCAACGCGGTGTGATCAGTCGAAGCTTCTTGTCTGTACGAATCAAAATGTTGTTGAAGATCTTTGAGAAGCTTGGCGTAGTCAGAGTCGCCGCCGGCTACAAGTCCTGCTGGTGACTCTCCACTGGGGACTGGTAGCGACCGGGAGAAGTCATTAGGTTGGACTTGACTCGGTAGGTGACCGCGTCTGGTCAGCATGTTCCGGAACATGTCTCTTTCTTTGACAAAACTCTTGGTCTGAGCGACCATCGTCCTCAGCTCATCCTGGTACGAGGCAATTTGTGCACGAGCTTGCTCTAGTTCGCGGCTGAGAGCATAGTTTTGTTGCTCTCGGTCCTTTGCTTCGTTGCTCTCTAGCTCGCTGACTAGGTTTCGGATCGTCTTTAGCTGGTTCTCATTCTGTTGTTGTAGTTCGGTGATGTTCCTGAAAACAATGAGTCGCTGATTAATTAATTGTTGATTTTCGGAGAGGTTTGCAATGTCTTGTGACATTGCAGCTTCGTGCTGTCTCTCCAATTCCTGGAAATCTTCGCGGGTGAAGGTCTCGCCTCGCTCGCGAACATATTGGTCGGCCAGGAGGTACCGAACTTCAGAACCCAAATCTCGAAGTTGTTGAGACAGAACCTCAACCTCCCTCGACTTGCTCTCAAGTTGGCCTTGGCACTTTCTCAACTCTTTCACTGTGGCGTCCCGATCAGCGTTTGTCTTGTCGACAATCGCGGACATTTCGACGACTTCGCTTTGCAGTCGGGCGTGGTCGGCACGCAGCTCTTCAATCTCAGGCTTGTTGTTTTCTAGTTCGTCGACCATGGCGTCAAGACTTTCTTGTAATTGCTCTCTAGCGCGCTTCTCGCTGGCCAATTCTCCTTCGAGCTTCTTGTACTCCGAGAAAAGTTGGGTCATGGTCATTTGAGATTTCCCTCTAGATACGGAAGCCGGAGAGAAGATGCCACTCGGGGTTCCTGGTCGAAGCGGTGTCGTGATGCCTGAACCATTGGTTGTACGCTGAGGGGTACTGTGTCTTGCCCGAGCCAGTTCCAGTTCGCTTGACATCTGCTGTAGAGATTCCTCGAGTTCGGCAACACGCTGCTCAGCACTGACTCGATCATTATGTTCGGTTTCGATCTCAGCGCGCATGGTGCCAATCTCTTCAGCAGCCTCCTCGCGGGCTTCTTCCAGGGCAGCAGAAAGCTCTTGAACGCGCTGTTTAGCTGTTTCAGCAGACGCTGCTTGAAGCTCAGCTAGACGGTTTACGCTCTCGAGTTCCACTCTGAATGCATCCTCCGCAGACATCTTCTCTTCCCGCACCTTCTGCATCTCCTCCAATGTTTCTTCAAACCTAGCCGTTTGCTCCTCGAGGCGTTGCTTGAGAGAAGTCTCGGAACGCCTCAGAGTCTCAGCTTCGGAGATGTATTGCTCATTCAGCCTTGAAAGTTCCGAAATCCTCGCGTTTTTCTCCTTTCGAAAAGTGGTGTGCTCTTCGGCCTTGATCTTCCGCTCTGTCTCGAGCCACTCGTTGTTTTTCTTGAGCATTTCGACTTCTTGCTGAAGGGACTGCTCCCTGAATCGCGCACTTGCAACGGTTGCATTTGCAGACTGTACCGACTGCTCCAGGGTATTGATTTGCTTTCTCAGTTCGGCAGTCTTTTGATGCTGCGTCGCGAGGTCCTGGGATAGACTTTCGTAGGCAGCATTTTTGGATTCCAACAGAGCTAGGGTATCTCGGTTGGAGGCTTCGAGGGACGAAATACGAGATTTCAGAGTATTGACCTCGGAGCTCTCATTTGCTGTGGCGGAACGGAACTGTTCGAGTTCGGTCTCCAACCTTGATCGTGCATTTTCTATGATATACACGTTAGCTACTTCTAAGAAAGACTGTAATGAATTATCTCATACCGGACGTTTGCAACTCAACGCGAAGTTTGCTTGACTCGGCAAGGGCTTTGTCGCGCGAGTTCTGTAGAACTTTTGATTTGGATTCACTTGTCCGTACAACCGTTTCGAGCTCGATCTCGAGTTTGACCTTTTGGGACTTGGTGTGCTCAAACTCTTTCACTTTGGCTTCGATCGCGCGCAGGAAAGCAATAACAAGCTCGGACGTTGGCTGACTGACGAGTGAAGTGACGGAACTCTCAGGGAGGGAGGAAAAGGCCGAGATGGCGCGAACATCCACTTCGGCCGCCATCGTGAAGGGGCGCTGCTGAATTGTGATTATTGTCTTCACCAGCGGAGGAAGGAGAGCGACTGCCGAGTGAAGAATGCGCCCACCACGGAAACGCAACTTCAGGGTCGGGGTGAAATGAAAGATACCTCAGCCCGCCTTACCATGGCGCAAGAAGCTGCCTGCGCGAGCGACGATAGGAAGGAGTGAATGGTGACAGGTGGAATGTTGAAGGCAGGGTGGAATTGGAGATGTTCGAGAATGAATCTCTAAACAGACAGAAGCGGGCGGCGCGGGCAACTGAAAGAACGTGACTTTGGGGCCCTCCCACGACGATCGGTTAGGCTGCAGGCGCCTAGTTATGTAAGCCTAACCTTAACTTGTTTGGCGCTGTCACACCCATCGCGGTATTGACTGGGGCGGCATCACTAGGCCTCGCTTCACCTGCCTCCTCTGCCTTTTAACCCATGCCTCTGCTGGCATCACTCAATCGCCACACCAGAGAACCTCATATGGTTGTTGTCAAGTCTTTTTCACTTCATTCCTCATTCATATGCTCAGTCTCCCCGGACAGACTCTCTTGCTGTCGTCTCACTTCGACATGAGATAGAGTCTCAGCCGCAAGCGGAAGCGGAACCTTTGACTAGGCCTCCCCTTCCATCCTCCCCCCTCACCCACCCACACTCTCGCTTCGCCGCAACCAGAAGGAACTGCGAACAAGGAACACACTCTCGCGCTTTGAATAGATTTTGCAACCGAACATGACATCTTTCTACGCGCCGCCGGTGACAGATCCGGCAGGGACAGACGTCCGCACTAATGCCGTCTACGCTGTGGGACGGCTTCGCGAGAAGTTTCCCGAACGCATCTCTGCCTCCGATCTGATCACCTTCGTTCTCCCCGTCCAGAGACGCGACGACACGACGATCCAGCATTTCCTGGCCGTGCTCAACGCCAACTCCAAAGTCACGTATGACCAGGAGACAGACAGCTTCCTATTCAAACCGGAGCACAACATCACCGATGCTGACTCCCTGCTCAAGTTCCTGCAGCAGCAAGAGACGGCCATGGGGATTCAGGTGTCGAAATTAAAGGACGGCTGGGCCGACGTCGAAGACGCCGTCGACAAACTCGAGGCCGAGCACCGCTTGCTGGTGACGCGCAACAAGAAGGACGCTCACCCGCGCATGGTCTGGCTCGACGACCCCACGCTCCATGCGCCGCTCGACCAAGAATTCAAGGACCTCTGGAACCAGATCCCGTTGCCGAGCGTCGAGGACACAATCAAAGAGCTTCGTAAGATGAACCACAAGTCTACGGGTGAACCGGCGCGGACGGATCTGGCTGTGAAACCTAAGAAGGAGAAGCGGAAAGTCCGCAGAGGACAGAAGATCACGAACGTGCACATGCAGGGTCTGTTTAGGGATTACTCGGAAAAGAAGCCGGAGGTCAAGAAGTAAGGGCGCTGGCCATATGCTTCTTCAAATGCAGGTCTTTTTTCCCTTCTCAAAGTCAAGCCCTTCCAACCCGGCGTCAGGCGTCTCGGGAATGCGGAAGGCAATCGGACACGGAAATGGACTACCCAAAAAAGAGAATCCAAAATTCAAGACAAAATGATACCCCAGATATATCACCCGCCGTTTATCGCTGCTTATAGAGGACAAAACGAAGAGTATTCTTCAGCCATGGAAAATTGTAACCATCCAAGCCACGTGAGCATATATTTCCATCGCACACACGTGTACGTACGTACATACATACATCCCACGCATACATACATCAAAGGTATCATATCCAGCAAGCGCTGTTCCCCCGGAACTCCGTACAAGGAGGTGCATTTGCAATGAGATATACTGCATCGAACACCGTGATTTACAAAAATAAAAGAAAGGCGGCCAAGAATAATACCCAGAATAGGAGGGAAATCGAGAAATCAAGAAATCAAGATACAGATCAATCAACTTTTCGCATCGACGTTGACGTCCACCATGCCCTCCTCTCTGAACCGCGAAAAGCTCCGTCTCCGATCTCCGTTGACGCTTCGTTGGTCCACGCTCAGCGCGCGGGGTCTCGATCCCTCGCCGTCCCGGGTGAGGCTGCGCCCGCGTTCCTGGCCTGTGGGTGCCGCCGCGGTGTTGTAATAGCTCGCCGCCTCGCCTTGTGGTCGGAGTCCTCCCGCGCCGCCGCCGCCGGTGCTCGTAGCTTCCTCGTACCGGGGTGGCGGGGCGGAAAAGCTGGCGACGCTGGCGGGCCGCTGGACCAGGTTCAGGTTGTTGTCGTAGCCGAACCCATCCTGCGTGGAACCGACGCCGCCGTGCGCTCCAGGTTCCCACATCACGATGGCGGGGGCCTCTGCGTTGCCCAGGAGTGACTGGCTCTGGTCGGCCGTGGCGGTGTAACCCGTGTTGGTGCTGGCGCCATATTTTGACGGGTCGGCAGCGGATGGGGTCGTCGACGAGGGTTTGTTGGATGTTGGGGGTTGCAGGTTTATGGCGGGGATTGCAGCTCTCCTCCGGCGACGTTGAATGCGTCTGAAGATGAAGAAGGCAACAATAAGACCGATAATGGCGATGGCAATCACGATACCAAGGATGGCCCACGTCGAGACTCCCTTACCATCGCCTGGACCCCTGTGGTCGCCGAAACCGCCTGGGCCGCCGTCACCACCGAAGCCTTGTCGAGGAAAGAGAGTGGATGAGGTGGGAGCCATCGAGGCGGCTGATCAATCCAGTGAGGGAGTGCTTGGTCTCTGGGCTCGGGTTACCTGGAACAAACTCTTGTGTTGTAGACTGCTGTGGGATGAACTTTTGGCTCTGCTGAATCAAGAATGATACGTAACGCTTTTGGCCGTGTGGGCTGAAGAGCTGGACACCCAAGTCGAGGTTGGCGTGATGTCGTGTGTGTAATGCAATAAGTGCTCAAGGGGAATACAAACAGCCAAGACAATGCAACCAAAGCAAAGACAGGAACTGCTGCAGGCGCAAAGGCAGGGTAATCCAGACTCCTTCTGTGTATGTACGTGTATATGGGTAGGTAGCCAATCGAGAGAAAAGCGAAAGAGAGGGGAACAGAAGGAGAGGGAGTGATGACAGTCGAACAACTGGCTCCTTATTTGGTATTATCGTGGCCAGACAAGCCACAGAAGATGTGTCCGATTTTCCCGCGTCAAGCTCCGCCGAGCTCCAGTAGAAGCCACAAAAAAGGAGCAAAATAAGTCAAAGCAAGAGCGAGGAAGTAGTAATAATGGAAAGAGGAACAAGGTACTCGTACGGCGGGCGAGGAAAAGGTTCCTAGGATCCCAAGCCCAAGCAGATCTCGGGCTCGCGTATGCTCTGGGGCCCAGCATCATGTCCGGCTTAGTGTGAGGCTGAGACTGGGGGCGGAGCGGTTCGGCGATAATAGTGGCTGCTGGACCTCGTCAAGGGCGTTCCTTTGGGGGCCCGAACCGGTTTGCTTGTGCTTTTCTGAAAAGGCCTCCCTGCTGTCTCGGAGAATTAGCCAGGGGTGCTGGCTTCACTGATTGTCTTGTGGCCATGGGGGGCGACGTGGATTGCTGAACACGAGATTGACCCCGGGAGAAGCAGGCACCAAATTTGGCGAAATCCAACACGACACTCCATCCCTCCCGGAGCCTGCGCCTTGCAGAAGGGGATCGGAAGACGCAGTCAGAGTGGTCCTATGCCTGTTGGGGAAGAAGTGAGCGAGATTGAGTCTTGGACAGTTCGGTTCGATGCATAAAGTCACAACTTGTGGCCTGTGTTAGTGTATTGCAGAGAAGCGTTTACTCCGAGAAGCATTTGACGAGGTGCAGATGGATACCGACACCGTTGCTCGAGCACTCCATCCCAAAGCATGGGAAAGTCTGCGTTTGAATTGACATTGCTGGGGTTGTAGGTCTGTGGTGGCTGCGACAACGTAATAAGTGCTTAGGTGAGAAGGGGAAGAGGGCGTCGTTGTTGACGTCATCCACAGTCTGGGCTTGCCATCGAGTGTAGCCTCATCGCTCTAGTTGTCGTTGCAGCAGAACATAATGCGGACTACTATAGTCCAACCATGGAAATTCAGTTCATCAATCAATACATATTCGTTGCAGCTATATGCGTTCTTCCATCGTTGTCTGGCAAATACGCTTGACTTCTCACCCAAACCAGCTGGTTGGTCAGTGGTACCCGTTCACCCCGTTCGTCACATGCCCACTGCCATTCTGCACCATCTTCTCCTTCTGCACATAGTCGACGAGGTCTTCAATGGTACAAACCTTCAGTCCCCACTTCCGGCCAAACTCCAGACATGCATCGCGTCTCATCATGCCGGGTTCGCGCATAGCAGTCTGTCCCGGGACCGGCGCGCCATCGTCGACCATCTCGCAGATGACGCCAACCTGGGCCTTGCCCGCCAGGCGACAGAATTCCACCGCTGCTTCGGTGTGGCCCGTTCTCTCCAACACCCCTCCATCCCTGGCGCGGAGCGGGAAGACGTGGCCGGGTCGGCGGAAGCTGTCGACGGTGGCTTTCTTGCTGGCGAGAGTGCGACAGGTCAGAGCACGGTCATGGGCTGAGATGCCAGTGCTGACGCTCTCGTGATTCGCGTCGATCGAGATGGTGTACGCGGTGCGATTGGGATCTTCATTGTCCACGACCATCTGCGGTAGTGCCAATCTAGCGGCGAGTTGAGAGGTGAGGGGCGCACAGATGAGGCCACTGGTGTAGCGGACCATGAACGCCATCTTCTCGGTGGTGACATCCTCGGCGGCGATGATTAGGTCGCCTTCATTCTCACGATCTTGAGAGTCGAGCACCACAATGAACTCGCCATTGCGGAAGGCTTCGATGGTGGATTCGATAGAATCGAACCCTTTGGGCAGATTGCTTGGGGGCTGCATAGTTGATGGAACTTGGTCGAGGGCGACCGATGACTGGAGGAGTATTGTGGTGGTGAGCTTATGTCTTGTAAGCGGTTCGTATCCTTCCCGGGGTGTCTATCCAGGCAAAGATTCGTGTCTTGACACGTCCTCCGACTGTTCCGGAGCGATCAACAGCCAGCAAAATGTACTCGGGACTGCAGTAAGTACCGCAAGCGATTAAAACCAGACCTCGTTGTAAATCAGTTGTACTTCTCCTCCAGACTCCTCGCAGCCTCTTTAAAACGCTTGACCTCCGAGCCGCCGAACTTTTTCTTTTTTGCGTTCTCCAGCAACCAGAAACAGGCTTGTAGACCGAAAACCCCGCAATGAATAGTTTTCCGAGACGAATCAAACTCCGTGCACTTGTGATCGGATTGGCAGGCCGACGTCCTGTAGATAGTTAGAATAAAAGCACAGGGTATCCTTCTGGAAAGGTTGAGGTTTGTTCACGGGGGCGGCATCGAGGAGGAAGATATCAGATCGAGAAAGAGAGGGAGGGGGGGAGGCGAGTGGGAAGTCTCGGAATGATATAGTGAGTCGAGGTCGAGGCCTTCGGGCTCACGGGTCATGCAAAACCCATGGCGGACTGCTATACCGCGGTTCATTTGTCATGTGCGCTTAAAAATTGGTCAGAAATGAACAAGCGTTGCTCACAAGCAGCACGAAGAAAACTCCTTGTCCCTCGGCCGGAAACACTCGGGCGAGATGCGCCTGGTGGAAAAGCCAAAAGCCAAACGTGAAAAGTGAGAAAAAGCAACAGCAACACCGGCACCAGCCACTGACCGCATTTCTCACACGATTCACCAGTGTCTAATCCAGATTAACGCTACGGGAGACCCGTTTCCCCCATCTATTTGAATGTTCTGCCAAAAGTCGTACAATCATAGCCTCGTCTTGTATCAGACCGGCATGGGTGGCCATGCGTCTCTCATGCTTGTTGATACGCCCATTCCATCACTCCCCGTGCAACACCAAATCAGTCGGCGAAGATGTCGACTTTCCGGCCTCGTGGACCTCTAGATGGTGTCTCGACCTCGGCAATATCCACGTCAACCGGATTCCGTCCATGAGAGAACAAGCGTCCATCTCTCACTCGCTGCCAGACCTGTGCCATGAACTTGGACTCCCTCGATTCCGCCGCCAGGGCACTGGCCTTCTTTGATCTCACCACTCTTGTGGTGCCCTCTTGCGACGGGGACTCTCTCTGTAAGTCTTGGACAGGAGGACTGCTGGGCAAGGTTTGGCTTTCCACATCCTCCTCCTCCTCCTCCTCATCATCATCATCATCTATAATCACCACTGTCTTTAGCTTACTTCCCGGGTGGACAACTGGCGTAATGGGCGAGAAAGCAGGTCGCTTCGGTGTACCGCGCGGAAGATGTCGCGGTGTGAAGGGAGAAATTGGAGGGCGGCTTGGCGTCTCTCGTTTGGCGGGATTTGATACGCCAGCCTCATCCTCCGTACGGATCGGACTTGTGAAAGGCGAAATCGGTGGCCTTTTCGCTTGTGCCAGTGGGGATAGTATTCCTCGCCCCGGATAGTCGGCGGGAAGCTTGGTCATCTTCAAAATGAGCCTGTTCTTCTGAGAGCTGCTGTCTGAGCTTTGTCGGGCTTTTGCAGGACGAGGGATTTCCACGGTCATCTTGGCCTTCTTCTGGGGTCTGTTCTCCTTGCCTGTACATTCTTCCATTTTCTTCCGTTTTCTCTTGGGCTGCTGCGGCTTTGTCACTGTGAGATCAATCTCGCCTTGACGGAGCCAAAGGTCATGCCGGCGTCCCTTCAGGTCGTTTACCCAGTCATCGCAGTCCATGGCGACAAAATCATCGATGATGCCGTCCCATACACTCTCTGAGGGACGGGTACGATTCACAAAGACAACCCGTCCCTTGCCATTCTTGTGTGAATGGACAGCTTTGGCAAACTCTCGGACAATTTTTTGAAGCCCGAACACTTTCAGCGACGTTCCCATAATGACCAGGACGTCTGGCTGACAGCTGGCGTCGAAGGGGATCAGTGGTGTCAGCAACGTATTGGAAGGGTGGTCTTCTCCATAGAGGACGATGTTCGGCCGCAGCGCACCGACCGCCAGACCTCGTTTCCCGCTCGCTTGTCGCTCGTCGCTCTTGTCTCTGCAATTGGGGCAGTCCGCCGCAGCTCCGTCCAGATAGACTTCCGTCTGCTCATCAGTCCAGGGATATTGGGTCGAGCACATGGTGCAGCGCAGCTTCTCCAAGTCCCCATGGAGCTGCACGACTTCGCATCCGCCGTCAAAGTCGGTGCCCGCTGTATGCGTTGGGCGCGGCGCCTCGAAGTGCTTCTTCATGAACCTGCGCTTGTTTCCTTTGCCCCGTGCCAGATCCGTCACCAGTCCTTCTCTTATCTCGAGACCGTCGATGTTCTGAGTATAGCACCTCATCAATCGACCTCCGTCGCGTAACACCCTGACGAATTTGTGGACCGAGCTCGTAGACCGCACCTCGTCGCGGATTTTCTGCCGAAGAGACGCGATAAACTGGTAAAAGATGGTGGTAGATTCGGCATGGTGAAATACTCGGGAGTCAAACAAGTCCTGGCCTCGTAGTCGCGACGACGGACTCGACGATACCCTTCGGTTTCGCGTTTGGGTTGATGAAGTCTCCTCGTCGGCAGTGAGGTCTATAAACCTCGCATGCGTGGGTGTCGAAGGCTCTGACGGTGGCGGTGTCGGGAGCATGGTCTGCCCGGGAATCATGTTGTAGAGTCCGTCTTTGGAGCGGAAGTCCTTTGCACAAGTTAATACAGCTCCTGACACGAGGAACAATGACACGCACGGGAATCCCACAGCTGGTACTGATGCCCGCGCCGGTTATAAGCAAGATCTTGTGCGAGCCCGCCAGACAGTCTGCGATCTCTTGCAGTGCTCGCTCGTCCTCACGCGTCACTTCTCGAAGGCCCATGTTTATGAGTGGTCGGTCGTTGATATCGTTCGTGACTGGTGATCCCTCTCGCCGGGATTTAAATCGAGGAAGCAGAGAGGTAGGATGGGAACATGGGAAGAGCAAAGCATAGGCTAGAGAACAGTCTTCAAGACCAGTTGCGAGAAATGGAGCTCAGATCACGAAACTACCGTCTGGCCCAATCTCCCGTGCACTTCGCGTCACCGCCCGACGCGTTAGTTGCGTGCTTTGGGCGAGAATAACGCGTGTTGGCTGGGGAAAAGAAGGGCTCAAATTCTCGCAGAAGTCTTCCTTCATCGGTATGAACCGCAATGGATGTTAAAGAACAGATATTGAGAACGAAGGGAAGTCAGTTGGGTGTTCAATGGGGGAGCAATGGGAGCTCCAAGTTGTTTACACATGGACTCGGTAGTAGACGCCGAGTACAGACCGGAAGCTCGACGATCGGCGCTAAAAGATTAAGCTTGGTTTCAATTCCCCGGCCGCCGATATCATCTTCTGCCTCGGCCAAACATGGATCCTTTAATTATGCCTCCCACAATAATACATCTCCCTCCCTCTGACATACCGAGGACGACTCTCCAGATCTGGATTGCTGCGTGAGAAAAAGATGATAGGGCCTTCCTTTCAACCACCGTCGCTTTCAGGCTCCAGTTTTCGCCTTTTTGGTGCAGGATCAGCGAGCGATGGGCTTCCGAGAAGCAGCATTCTCTCATGTCGCTCCCACTCAGCCTCGTATTTGACAGCCCATCCCAAACAATCCTCAACAGACTTTCTCACCACCCGCGGTCTGACACCCAGCTCTTCGATGGCTTCCTCCTGAACATCCTTCTCCTCTTGGGTATCTTGAGGACCGAGCAGGGACAACAGCCGTGATTCTTCCCGCCTCCGTGACTCTCGATCCATCCTCTCCAGGTACTGGTGTTGCTCTTCTTCAAGATATTGTATTCGCTTCTCCCTTGACACTCGCGAAAGTGGAGGCTCTTCGGACGAGGAGCCATGATGTTCCCCGCTTGGATCCTCTGCTTCTGTCCCCTCGCTGTCCGCATCTGAATAACCAGTGTCAACGGAAGATTGCTCGTCAATATCGGAACAAACAGGTTCATCATTGTTGTTCGCAAGATCCTCTGTGGCGGAAGTCTCATCCAGAGGCGATTGGCTCCTCGTTGATCTTGTTGACATTCTCGAACTTGACCTAGTTCTGAGGCGACTTGACAAGATTTTCTCCACTTTCTCGTACGACATGACAGCCTTCCCGTCCACTCCTTTTCGGTGTGCGTCATCCACCACTCTCAAGCCATTTCTTTTTGCCAGCCCAATCCAGAATGGGTCAGAGCTCTTTTTGACGCCCAACACATCTAGAGCCGCGAGCACGTCATCAGATCTGATTAGTCCTCCGGGTTGGTAGTCTCTCGACGTGGCAGCACGAAGCCGAGACTTGGCAATGAAGAGGGTTGATTGTATCAACCGACGTGCGAAGTTGACGATCAGGTCGTAGAAAAGAGTTACGCAACCCAATGTCAGCGCTGGATGTTGACCCTCCTCTGCTATTGTCTGCCACGACTCCGGGCTGTCAGCGTCTCGATTCATGAAGAACCGCTCGCTCAGCTCGAGAAATGTCGAGAGATGGAAAGCCTGGACTGCTCTTTCAGAAATCGGGGCGAGTACGTCGCCAGACTCTTGGTCACGGGTGTTGCCAGATGCTTCCAACTCGTCGCCTCTCTGATCCAGCTCAGCTGCCACGTTATGATCGATGAACCATATATTATTTCCATTTTGCCCAATCGTAGCGTCGTACTGTTCTTGAAATGCTGATAGGGCAGCAGCAGCGGTGTCAAGAACAAGTTCACATTCAGGCCCGATCTCGATAGCAGCGCGAATGTCGGCGTGGGATATGTTCTTCGGTTGTGCCTCGAAACGTTGACGGTCGGTCTCCTGTTCTCGCAGGTTGTCCAGGTACGCTTTGATCTCTACCTCGGACTTTGTGCCCACCAACATCGACAAAGACTTCAATTCGTGTCGGCCCTTGCGGCACAGCGCATCATACAGCCGTGCTTTTTCGTCAGATAGCCAAAGAACAGCGCCCAGCTGAGTTGGACGCAAGTTGTCAGCGAGCCTGTCGTGATCCTCTGTCTCAAACGTCTCTTTGAATATTTCGAGATACTGGTCCCGGTAGTGTTTGCGGAGACGATCCCATTTTCGATAGTGGAACACATTCGCCTCAAGGGCGTCTTTTTTGACTTCGAATGGTACGGCATGTGCATTTTCAGAGTCATGGATATCCACGTCACTGGCTTCTGGTGAGGCCTTGTGGACGTCTACGATGGCACTCGCATCGCCAGGTTCATCCAGGCTGTCGTCGAGATCCATGTTTGACTCGCTCCTTCCAGGCCATATGGCGTGACACCGACCGTATCCGAAACTGAGACCTGCCAGTTGACATGTTAGTCCAAAGGAAGTGATGCCTGTAACATCTCTGCGATGATCCAGATGTGGATGGAAAAGTTCGGCATGGATTTGTTCATGCAATCTCAGTTTAGAGAGAAATTTCACTAAATCACTAGCGCATGTTATTATTGGCTCTATGTCTCACCAGAGATGCCACTATAGAATAGTAAATTAATCCTTCCCAACTTACCAACTCTTCAACTCTTCAACCGCTGTTTGAATGGGAGGTACAGTATCACCGTTGAAGTTATACTAGTAGATATAATGCTCAGTCCATGTTGGACAGATTCTGCTATGGATGCCATCACAATGCAAGGCAGACATTTCACAACCTTACCAAAACCAAGTGCATCCGCGGGGTCACCCTGTTCTGGTAATGAGTTTACCGTCTTCCTCTACTCACCTTCAGCGATCGCCTTCTCTTTGCTCGATGTAAGCCGAGAGCTTGCCGCTTGGGCATATCCGGAGCCTTTCGCTGAGCCGTGGAGACTCGAACGAGAATATATATTGATCACCCTCATCCGCTATACCTTAGGGTCGTGACCATTCACTGCTGCACCTGTCGCGAAATTCTTAGAAGTGTGCCCGTCCCAAATAAAGCCTTCGATTTCTTCTCCTTTATCCCCGTCTTCCAATGGTATTTGTCCTGCTCGAGCCTTTAACGGCCCATGCCTTCAATCACGAGACACAAGATCACCCAGGACGACACGTCGGACCTCAGCACGACGCTCAAATCCTGCGACACGATCACACGCATGCATTCGAGTGAGGCAACTGTGAACTTCGTCGTTGAACGTCTTGACTGCTAGCGAAAGCGCTTGGATCATCAAATTCGGATGCTGGACGGAATGTTTAGCCAAGTCTCCAAAAATAGGCTGATGGAGTATAGAATCAGCTGAACCTACCGGCTGAGCAGCGAGATCTCGAATGTGAGCTTTGAAGACAGTCCTCCCCTGGAATCCTGGACTCGAAAGTTCCTGGCTATTGGCAGCCAGAAACGATATTCGGTTGGCACTGGTACGCCGGTTCTCCTCACGATGGGCAGCGGATGCTTGGAGCGCCACTAGCAGCTGTCGTCTTGCCAGTGTTGAAGACTGCTGCTATTTTGGATCAGTCTCCAATTCGGGAACAACTTCACAAAGACGCAGAAGGGCGAGATCGCCATCGTTCGAGCAAAACACACGCTCCGTCGCAAAATCAGCCCACAGCGCTGAAAGCTCAACGACGTGTTTATGTCGAATCTGCCGAAGGCTGATCTCCATGCGCCAACGAGGGTGCAGACGGAAGCATATTACCGTTCTGATCTCCTCGCCCTCGGCGTCCTCCTCAACGTTCTGGGCTGTCACAGTCAGGAGAGCCAGCGACTTCCACAGCATGACGACGATAGAGACGGAATCCTGGATAGCGCACAGCACCACTGTTTCCTCGATATTCTAGCGTCAAAGCATTGTGACATCTGTCCTCTCCTTTGTGCTGTTTGCCTCGCGAGAGCATAAACTTCTCGCTCATTTCGGGCCATCCCCTAGGTGGCGTGGATGATGTGTCCTAGCGCTGCGGGTGTCATTGGAGCTTCATCGAACACGTTAGCCCCATAGAGGTTATGCATATTTGAGCTAACCTGTCCACGAGAATGGACGATCGCCACCCAACTGACAATGTTTTTTAAGCGATGCAACGATAGCGATCAATTTCAAAACCCATACCTCACCTTGGGGAGGTAAAGCTGAGCCCGGGTTGTCTTTCCGTTTACCCCCACTCATGCCTAGTTGTAATTTCGAGCGATGAGGCTGGAGGAAAAGTAAGCGTGCCTAAGCACAAAGCGACCGAAGACGTCTAATGCCTTCGGATTGAGCGTAAGCGACGTCCTTCACGCTGTTGGTATCTGCGAGAGTGGGAAGTAGAAGACAGCCGAACAGGGGGAGAAGAGGTGTGGCGCAGACGAGGCTGTCTCCCACACACCTGGAGCCGTCTGTCAGCAATTCTTGATCCAGGACTGAGCCTCGCCAACTTGGTCAAACCCCCAAAGTTGCTGTTGTTAGAGGACCTCAAGTATGCATGGGGGAGGCAGTCCCTCATGGGCATCCCTCAGATGTCGACGCAGAGGCTAAATTGCTGTGTGCACGTCTGTTCCACGGTGGTTTGTCTTGTCGGGTCCGATCCCTGGGCAGGTATAGTGATGAGACGTTTGACAAGAGTCGGGTTTATTCAACGCTCGTTCCGTTCTGACTTGTCAAATCCAGAAATGCGTAGGGCTATTCAAGCACAATTGGGCTCGTGCCGACTGGATTTCATGTTTGCCGACCGACTGGCAGGACACTCTCGGCCACGCTGAAGAGACTGAAGTGGATAGCAGCGGCTTCCATTGAACTCCAAGATCAATCAACCCCTGCCTATGCTTCGCACCCTCGGTCATAGCGGTGGAGGAAGGCGTGGCCATAATGTGAAGTAGAAATGCGCTATACTTTAATGTCCATATGCTCGGACTCTGAGTGTTGTATTTCTACCTCCCAAGAGGCGGACACACCTATATAGCGCAGTCGAAACCACAGGCTCAAGCAAATCTGCATAGGATCAGGCCCGACAGTTTTTCTTGTAATCTGTTTCGGATCAGGCGTCTGCCATTTAGTCTGTCCGATGCAGATCCATTTGTACTCGAGATCGCTGAGGTGACAAGGCTGAGGAAAGGTTTTCTACAGTATCTGAAACGACTTGCACTCGGACTCGGAGCTCTACACTTCCGGACGCACCCAGTCAATGGCTCTGCAATACGAGTTGCGGTTAGCGGCCCAGTATGACGCCCCAAGTGGTGAGTGGTGGAGATGGACTGCCACTACCGTCAGAATAATACTCCACCTCCAACATGTCGTTGATCGACTACCAAGACATCGTACGAGGTACAGACAGTCTGTTCGGACTTAGAAAGACACATGCCCGTGATGGACTGCTATTGAGACCAAGACGAGCCTTCTAAATCCGAGCCCTGCATATTCAGTGCGCCCCTGCTGCTCACGAACGGCACCAGAGATGATGTATAAATGAGGCGAGGTCCAGAGCGAACATCCAGTCTTGTAGTCCCTTTCCATCAACCCTCTAGATCTCCTCTCCATTGAAAGACCCCTTGGCCAGAACACTCTGATTCGATCTCAAAGTTCAACAACAATGCTCGTCTTTCTTACAGGCGCGCCTGGCTTTATAGGTCGTGTGACCATCGAAGAACTCCTTAACCACGGCCATGAAGTGCTGGGACTCGCCCGAAGCGATGCCTCGGCGGAAACAATCTCCAAACTCGGCGCACAGGTTCACCGGGGCGACCTGGAAGATCTGGAGAGCCTGAAGAGTGGTGCGAAGAAAGCTGACGGCGTCATTCACCTTGCATTTGTCAGAAGCTGCCTCAGCACATGCTTAGCACTGGCTAACCGCAAGCTGTAGATTCACGACTTTAGCGACTATGCGAAAGCCGCAGCGGTCGACCAGGCGGCAATTGAGGCTATGGCTTCCACCATGGCCGGCACGGGAAAGCCACTGGTCATCGCTTCGGGCACAATGCTCGTTCGGAAAGGAAAACTTGCTACTGAAGACGATGAGCCCGAGCGTGGGACCCCGTTTCAAGTGAGACAGGACTCCGCCGATCTTGTTGTGAAGTTGTCAAAGGAAAAGGGAATTCGAGGGTCGATCGTCCGTCTCCCACCCACAGTCCACGGCAAAGGTGATAAAGGTCTCATTCCCCGCTTCATCGATGCCGCGCGACAGCATAATGCCGTCAGCATTGTCGGTGATGGATCTAATCGCTGGTGCGCTGTTCATCGCCTGGACGCGGCTGTTCTCTTCCGCTTGGCGCTAGAGAAGGGAGCATCAGGTGCATATTACCACGCCGTCGCCGAGCAAGGCGTCCCCATGAAGGATATCGCGCGTGTCGTTGGCAAGAAGCTGCAGGTTCCAGTGGAAAACAAGCCCGCCGATGAGGTCATGAAGACACTCGGGTTTCTGGCTTTGGTGTTCGCAGCCGACAATCCTACATCAAGCGAGAAGACGCAGAGAGAGCTGGGATGGGATCCCAGGGCCTCTGGACAGCCTGATTTGCTGGCGGACATGGAGGCGCATTACTTTTTGAGATCACATGTATAACATCAGCCTAGATAGGGAGAGAGATCACAAATTACTTCAGTCTTGAAATGTCACTCCCATGACTGTCTTAAGCCATCTAGCTGGCTTTCCTTGAACATATGCTTTTGATTTTGAAGAATGCATGCTCACCGCAGAGACATTCGTTGCCGAAACACGTAAAGGGGCAGGTCAGCCTTGTGTCCTGCAAGATCTACTTGAGGATCGACTCGTGTCTCTGAATGAAGCTGGCAAGATCCAATCGCCGTGAGCCCATGTACATGACCTGCAACAGTGCTTTTGCTCCAAGGAAAAGAGGGTTCTTAGCTTGCGGGAAACAATCTCACAATTCTCATGTTCCTTGCTCTTTCCTCGCTTCCTTCCAATCCATGAATTCATAATGCATGACTTAACGTACGTACTAGAGCTATAAAAGGGAGCCGCTAGCCAAATACACAGCGTTTCTCCTGTCCTTGCAAGACGTCACGGACCTTCCCCGAGTCCATGTACATGGTACGGGTGAACAGGGAATAGGCTGCTCTGAGGCTTGAGGATGTCGAAGCCTCTGCCCAACCGTGTTCTTGCTCCTCCCTTCCACAAAATGGGCAATAAGAACACCGGGTAAACGGGTAGACAAGGGAGCTATTTCCTAGAAGATTGGAGTTGACGTACTTGCCGATATATTCAGTATGCTTTCCAGATAGTTCTGCCCGTCCGAGACCATCCCTGCGTGCGTCTCGTTACTCGTCACCACCCACAGGAATCTCTATCCACCACCGCACTGCTGGCTTGCAATGTCCCAGAGCGTGCTCGCTACTTTCTTCTTCCTGTATCTGTTATTCTGGCTTGTTTCTGTCCCTCTTCCTCAAAAAGTGTACCATGGCCTCACCCTGTGCAGTTTAGAGGTTGTACCACGCCAACCACGCCAGTCTCCGTGCAGTGGCTGCCTTTCAAGGCTGGTAAGCAAGATATCAGCTCGAATCGTGACTGCTCCCCTGACTTGGCTCACAGTTATGCACGACCACCTTAGAGCCACCGGTCGTCGTTGTTCACCCCCATCTGTCATTGATCACCCTGACAATGTGGCTCAAAGTCAGAATCTAGAACTGTGCACTGAGCCGTCATAATAAAACAAGCTGTGTACGAATTTGGGGCGATGGCTCCATCGTTAGCTCACGCGCAGTCTCAGTAAACATGTTCTTCGCAAAGACGTTGGCCAGATCCAACCAGGAGGAGACGCCCTGAGTGATGGGGGAGCTGGATAGACACATGAGAGGGAAATGTTGACATCTGCTCTGCATCATGCCATGTGTGTCGGGATGGGTTGACTTGATAGTATTGATACATAAATTCATAGAGTTGGAGAACGTAAGAAGTCATCGAGCATGAATTTTGATTGGTTCAGGAGGATGGAGTAATTATTGGTCACTACAATCCCCGACCATCTTCTTCCACCGCATGAATCGTTCACGATGCATCGTGCTAGATTATGATAACATCCTCCAGATGGCTGTTCGCACTCGGCCGCCCAGCAAGACCTTTGCTGAGTCCACAACTCACCTCCCGGTCGCTGGCGACTGTCACCAGCCGGACACCAACAGCAGTACGTGACGAAGGGATCCGACTGCGAGCATATCAGGAAGAATGCATTCAGTCGGTCTTGTCGTATCTGGGGAAGGGTCACAGACGCCTGGGAATCTCACTGGCCACTGGAAGTGGGAAGACGGTACGTTTCGTAGTGGGAAGAAGGACTGTATGTATCAGAGTTATGCTGACGTTGCTCCCGAGGTGATATTCACGCGATTGATCGATCGAATCGAGCCGCCGACCCCTATTGCTCGACAGACCCTCATCCTAGCTCACCGGCGGGAACTGGTTGAGCAGGCAGCACGGCACTGTGAAAGAGCGTACCCTGGAAAGAGCATAGACATTGAGATGGGAGACATTCATGCGACAGGTGCTGCAGACATTACGGTGGCATCTGTCCGGAGCATGGTCTCCGGCGAGCGACTGAGCAAATACAATCCCGAAATGTTCAAGTTGGTCCTAGTCGATGAAGCACATCACATCGTGGCTCCGGGATATTTACAAGTCCTCCAACATTTCGGGTTGGAAAAGCAAACAAGGACTGGTCCGGCTCTGGTTGGTGTTTCAGCCACTTTCTCTCGATTTGATGGCCTCAAGTTGGGGGCAGCAATCGATCACATTGTCTATCATAAGGATTACGTCGACATGATCGGCGAAAAGTGGCTCTCAGATGTCATGTTCACGACGGTGCGCTCCAAGGCCGATCTATCAAGAGTTCGAAGTGGCAAAGATGGAGATTTCCAGACAGGCCAACTCTCTGCAGCGGTGAACACAGACATTACCAACGAGATCACGGTTCGTGCATGGATGGAAGAAGCCAGAGAGCGTAAATCGACCTTGGTCTTCTGCGTCGATCTGAAGCACGTGGCGAGTCTGACTGCCACGTTTCGCAAACACGGCATCAATGCGCAATCTATCACCGGCAATACGAAGAAGGCCGTCCGTGGTGATCGACTCGACGCATTCAAGAACCGCGAATTCCCCGTGTTGTTGAATTGTGGTGTCTTTACTGAGGGAACCGACGTCCCCAACATAGACTGCGTACTACTTGCGCGACCGACCAAATCCCGCAATCTGCTCGTCCAGATGATCGGGCGCGGCATGCGATTGTACCCGGGCAAGAAGGACTGCCATGTTATCGATATGGTTGCCTCGCTTGAGACGGGCATCGTGACCGTACCGACTCTTTTTGGCCTCGATCCGTCTGAGATGGTCAGGTCAGCCAAAGTCGACGACTTGAGAGCGTTGAAGGACAGCCGAATAAAGGCAGAAGAAGATTCTACCGGTAATTCAGGACACCCTGTTGACTACGATGAGGTGACCGGCAACCACCATCTCGACTTTACGCACTATGACTCTGTGCACGACCTCATCGAAGATACCTCGGGCGAACGACACCTGCGCGCCATATCCCCCAATGCCTGGGTCCAAATCGACTCCTACAAGTATGTTCTTGCGGCGAAAGGCGGAATCCTCACCCTCGAACGCCGCCTTCCTCCTGAGTCTCCCCAGACATCAACCGACTCTGATTCTCAGGCTCTCGACGACGCCTCCTTTGTGGTCATATGGAAACACTCTCTTCCCCCGACCGAGACGTCCAAATCACCCTGGTCTCGCCCTCGCACTGTGGCGACCGCCGCCACTCTCAATGATGCGCTCCATGCTGCCGACACGTTCGCCGCTCAGAAATTCGAACGCATATTTATCACTACGTCGTCCGCCTGGCGCAAATCCCCCGCTTCACAGGGACAACTCGACTTCCTCAACCGGCTCCGTGAGGTTTCTGAGGAGGAGCTCTTGACGGAACAGGATCTGACCAAGGGCCAAGCCGGCGACATGATCACCAAGGTCAAATTTGGCGCGCGGGGCCGATTCGACAAGTTAATGAGACAGAAACGAGGCGTGGAGAAGGGTCTGGAGCGCCAACGACGAGTCAAGGAGATGAGGAGCCGCGAGGTTGTCAGGGTCGGGCCTGTCGAGGCTTGATCTATCTGGGTTTTGACGCTTTGTCCGAAAATGGAAAACATGGAGACGGAATCGAGGAAACAAATCCAGACCGCTTACGCCCACAGCCTTCCTTGCCTTGGAGCCTGTGTCGTGGACTTTCTCTTCTCAGCTTTATTTGGCGTGTCAGAAGCAATTGTTTGCCCGGGCACTTCCGGTCCTTCCTTCCTCCGGCCCACCCACATACAGATGGCGCCTTTTTAAATGCCTCATCCAAGTTTATGTACCACCAATGGACCAGCTGGCCAGCAATGCTGTCCCTCTACCCACAGTACTTGTAGCGTACCCGTCGCAAGAAGGCTTCTACATACTGTACAAGAAGTTGTTGTCGAGGCAGAGGTGGTGGAAAATTCGCATCATGTTCTTGTTCAATCAATACATGTTATTTGCATGACCCGGATCGCTCTAGAGTGATACTTGTAGATCATACATCAACCGGCCCAGACCAAATCAAAGTACGGGTAAAAAAAGTAGTGACTGCTTGCTTCCACGTGCCCCGTCCCTTCCTTTCACATCCCACATTCGCATTCGCAGGGTTTGCTGAAGGCGGCAATAAACAACACGTGTATCGACTGGATCGCCCAGCTCAGCCTTGTGGTGCAAAGAACGGTGTGAATGTGCAACCAATTGTGTCCATCCCTGTCATAACGGAGACCGTTCGCATCTCCTCAAGCTCGTGGTTACAAGTGGCTGATAATGGCGGCGGCATATTCGTGTGTCTTGGCCTTTCCGCCCAAATCACCCGTCAAGGTCTTACCCTCCTTCAACGTGGCGAAAATTGCATTCTCGATCTTGACTGCATGCTCGTTCAACCCCATGTGCCGGAGCATCATGATGCTGCTCAGTAACAGAGCGGTCGGGTTCGCAAGGGCTTTTCCTGCGATATCCGGAGCGGAACCATGCACAGCTTCAAAGATGGAGCATTCGTCGCCGATGTTGCCCGACGGAGTGAGACCCAACCCGCCGATCAAGCCAGCGCACATGTCGGACAGAATATCACCGTAGAGGTTGGGCATGACCAGAACCTTATCGGAATATGGGCCCGGGTCGGTCGTAATCTTCAAGCAAGCGTTGTCGAGGAGTTCGGCATCGAACTCAATATCAGGAAAATCTCTCGAGACGTCCCTTGCGGTGCTGAGGAAGAGGCCATCAGACATCTTCATGATGGTCGCTTTGTGCACCACGCGGACCTTCTTCTTGTTCACATCCCGAGCGTATTGGAATGCGTATCTCAAGACCCGCTCGGAGGCAGCACGAGTGATCAGCTTGATGGACTGCACGACACCGTCCACCACGACATGTTCAATACCTGAATATTCTCCTTCGGTGTTCTCTCGAATAAGCACCGTATCCACGTTGTCGTAGGGGGTCTTGTAGCCCTCTATACTGCGGCACGGCCGGACATTGGCAAACAGGTTGAAGGTTCGTCGGAGGGTAAGGTTGAGAGAGACGTGGCCCTTGCCCACGGGGGTAGCAAGGGGCCCCTTCAGCGCGACGTAGTTCTTTTTCACGGACTCGATGGCTTCATCGGGAATGACCGTCCGGCCATCCTTCAAGCGAGGCGTGACATCGACGGGCTCCCACACAATCGGCACCTTTGCAGCTTTGTAGATGTCCTTAACGGATTGCGAGATCTCGGGCCCAATGCCATCTCCTTCTATTAATGTCACGGTGTAGTTTCCGTCTGATCCTTTCGTGCCCTTGAATTTTGCGACCTTGTCCGCTTCCGCGGTCGAAGCATAGCGTCTAGGTTGAGTCTGGAAGACCGGAATCAGTCAATCATGCACGATGAAGCTTCTCGCAGCACCCGACAGTTACCTGGAAGTATGCCGGAGCCCAGGTGGGCTGGGTGCAAGCTTTTCGCAAGCACTGGCGAGCTGGAGCAGCGAATACTCGAGAAGCAATCATGTTGGGCAGATAGTCGGAGTAATTGCTGAGGGAAGGGAGCAGAACAGCTTCAGCAAAGGGGTCCTGTTCACCACATGGAGTGAGGACTGGAAGTTGAGAAATTGGCGCAGTCCCTTACTTTGCAAAGATAGTGCCAGAGCTCAAGTGGTGGAGCTTCCTTCTGAAATGTTTTATCGACCAGGAACGTACCAGTTACATCACAGTCCGCAGGGGGTGGGCGAGTGGGCAGCTCGAACCCAGTTATGTAAGCGCCCACGTGATGCCGAGAAATCTCCCGAATCTCCTGGCTTTGGGGGTCTTACAGCAACAACAATCAATACTCTGTGGCTCCAGGACATCGACGAACGGACCAGGTTCGACTTGTTCGCCATGGCCCAGGCACGAGACGTGCTCAATCACTACAATATAACCAACCCTTTCCCCACAGAATGGCCGAAGGAGCTAGACAGCGATGACGAGGACGCGGATGTCGCCGGCGTCAGGCGGTCCCGCTCCCGTTACTCAGCCTTGGAGAGGACCGCCAGTGAGAGGAAGAGTCTTCTTCCTGGATCCCAGAGGACGGTCGAGGGAAGAGCAAATCTGGTCCAGAAAGATGAACTAGATCCGTTGGGTGCTCCTTCAAGCGTCGTGACCACGTTGACGAACCTGGGCCACTTGGTGGAAAATGATGCCCGGACCAGAAACAAATTCATGCTCTCCTCGACCACGTTCTCTCCCGAGTTATTTCTGGCAACAACTCATTCCAATGATACCACAGAAGACCTAGTACAAGGCTCCAGGTATCTGGCCAAATCCATTGAGCAGCAGTCGGCTCCCCTCAAGGCATTGGTGGAGACCAACTTCGAGCGCTTCGTCCGAGCCAAAGCCACGATTGACAATGTCTATACGGAAATGCGGAACCAGGGAATTGATTCACACGCTCACACTCCTCCGTCTCCCCGTCACTCTCGTCGCGTCAGTGGCATCCACTTTCGGAACGTGAGCGGTGGCAGTGCCACTGGAATGGCATCCTCTCAACGTCCGAGCAAAAATGCACTACGCAAAGAGACGGACTATGGCGTGCAAGGGATGAAAGTCTCGCTTGCAGAGGTTAGTCAAAAGGCCGAGGACGTCTGGGGACCAGCATTGGGAGGAAAGGAGCGGGAAGCGAAACTAAAAGTCGTTTTGAATGCGTTGGAGAAAGACAAGGCCATCTTTGAGCTGGGATCGAATCTGAGCGAAGCTATAAACCAGAGGGATTATGATCGGATTGTAGAGTTATACCATTCTGCTCGTCGGTATGCCGCCGACGCCCAAGCCCTGGGCGAGGAGGTGAAGCAAACTGGTCGCGGTCTCTCCGATGATGAGGTCTATCGGGTCGTCATCGTCGGGAAAATGTGGTCTAACGTGGATGAACAAATCAAGGCCCTGAAACGGGACATTTGGCGCAGACTTTCCAGCAATCCGGCCGCTTTACCGTTCCCGGGGATCTCCCAGTCAGAGGAGCACATGGAGCTCATCACGGTTCTATTACAGCTGGGTGTGGAAGAGAGCCCCATCTGGGTGTATCTTCTGAGCAGGTACGACTTCTTGAAGAACAAGATTGCTGCGGTTGTGGAGAGATCCAAGATTGAAATAGAGATCTTACGCCGCCGTCTGGCAGCCGGAGACCGTCGATCCTCTGAGACTGTTGCAATCTTCTTACGGCAAGCCTCCAAAGAGCGGCCTGAAGTTCTTGACACCGAGGATGTCATCGATTTCTGGAACTGCATCCTGACCTATTTCACGAAGCTGCTATCCTTGTCGAGCGGACTACTGGGGGAGGTTGTCGACTTTTGGGAAACAGCCCAGTCGTTTATCGATGGCAACAAACAGAAGAACTTACCAACTGGCTTTGATGGTGAGAGCGCCAAACACCTCCAGATGTCAGAATCGGAGGCCAGCGGGTTGCGGAGCGGTATTACCGAACTGGTCAGCCAGCTTAGGGATGCTGTATTTTCTCTTTTTGCCGATCCGCCCGCTGAAGACATCTCGTCGCTGTTCTCGCCAGCACCAGGATCCGCTGGTACACCTACTACCCCTCACATGGGGTCTGCGTTTTCGCCTACCGATGGGCGAATAGGTAAACTCGATCCCAACGACTTCCCTGCAGCAGCAGCCAAGAAAGGCGAGCCATGGGAGGATTATGCGTTCTGGCCACCTCACTCTAACGCGCTGAGCGCTGTACACTATCTTCAGAAAATTCTCGCTCTCGTGGGAGTCGGTGCCAGTGAAATGGTGGCTCTGGGCCCCGTAAGCAACAACAACGCAATGTATGAAAAAATCAAGACCATGATCGCTGGAGCCCGGGAACGGTGTATGAGAGCTGTCTGCGAAGCCTGGAGCAAAGATGCCGAAAGCTGCAAGTCAATGGAGGACTGGGTGCGGTCGCCCGAAAAACGCGATCAAACTCGCATGCCGACGTATATTGAAGCCTTTGAGAGGAAAGTGTTGCAGGGGATGCAACAAGTGTTATATCTGCCCGATACGACCACCAAGCCAAGAGGTCGCGACATTATCACGCCCCCGTCCTCAAAGCTATTGCAAATGGTCCGTACTCAGTTCGTCAGCAGTATTTACAAAGCAATCAGTGGCATGCTGGAAAACACGGAGGCTTCGAACCAAGGAGATGAGGATGACTGGGTCTTGGTGACGAGCCTCAGCTCAATTGCCGTCGGTGCAGGCCCAAGTGAAACACTGATACACGATGCCGTGAACGCTTCAAGCCGTAATGTGCGTATGCTGTTGACCATGTCGAACCTCAAAGCCTTGCGGAACGAGTATATCCCCGCGCTCATTCAACTGTTTGAATCTTCATTCTCGGTGAAGCTGGCGGAAGAGTCCAAGACCATCAAAGACGTCTTCGGTCAAATTGACGCGAAATTGTTCCACGCATACACCCGACCCATGGTTACGAATTTGACTCAAATCGTCAAAGACGGCATCAACTCTCCAAGTTGGATACCTACCACTCCGAAACCGGATCAAGTCAGACCTTACGTCTATGCCGCGTTAATGAGGCTTGTGATGGTCCATACGGAAGTGTCCACGACGGTCCCCACCGCGACAGGCTCGAACAGCCCTCTGCTGGGCGAGATCTTGTCCTATATGCTCGAAAACATCTCGCAAGCCCTGCTTGACGGGTTCAAAGAGCGCAAGCCGAACACCTACAGCCTTCCCGCACTGATGCAAGCGACCCTGGACACCGAGTTCATTGCACAGACCATGGCGCATTACGCGACACCCAAGGCCGGGGAGATCCAAGGCCAGATATACACCGAGTTGGACAAGCGGACGACGAACGAGGCCAGGACGAGGTTGCAGCAGGAACTGGGCGACATGCGGATTGTGTTGAAGAAACTCAGGGAAGGCAGTCGCAATAGCTTCGGCTGTTTCAAAAAACAGAGGAGCAATGATAAAGACAAAGGACGACAACAGCAGGTAACAGCGGCAGCTTAGAGAGTACTGTTGAGACCAGCCTAGGGAATGAGGACTGGAGTAGGTACGGGCGTTGGTAACATTGCATGGGTTGGAACTTGTTTAGTGCGCCTGGAGCGCCATCAAAATTGATATGTGGTCGGGGAGCGTCCCCTATTTTCCCCCTCTCCCAATTGTTCAAGACGCGACGTGGAGTCGCTGTGGACATTCTTGCCATATCTCTTGCCGCCTGCCCACGTAGAAGACCAGGCTCATCTTCGCCGTTTCCTCCCTCTCCCCCCTCTACCTCGTCCACCCCGTCCTCGCTTCACGGGCCCGCTCCTCTTCTGCTCGGCTTCCTCTTCCTCGTGATCCCCGCTCTCGGCCTCCTCGTCGTCCTCCCCGGGCGCACTCTCCTCGTGCTCCTCGTCGCCATCCTCGTCTGCCGCGTCCTCCATCACGCGGTCTTCGTCCGGTTCCACCACACTCGGCGCCTTGCTCGTCCGTCTGCTCGCGGCCCGCTCGCTTCTCTCCGTCTCCAGTTGGTTCTGCAGCCGTGATAGCCTGCCGCCACCACCCGCGCGGGCTCCACGTCCTCTGCCTCTTCCTGAACCCCGACCTGAGACGCTCACCGGCGAGCTGCGCGGCTCGTCTGTTTCGGCGACGGTGCTCTCCCGTCTGGTGGCGGCGGACATGACGTCCGGGCTGGACGGCTGCGTCAGGGGACTGCTCTCCTCGCTGGACTGAGTATTCCGTCGTCTCTCCCACATCAACGTCTCGAACTCATCCCCGACCAACTCGAAGTCCCGCCAGTACTCGGCGGCGGCGCGGGAGCTGCTGACACTTCGTGACTCGTCGCCGCCAGCGGCACCACCATCGTTCTCGACGCTGGCGGCGCCCACGCCCGACCCGTCGAAGATAATCGAGTCTTCCCGCTCGTCCAGTTTTTCCAGGTCGTACAGGCTCGCCAGCTTACGCCAGATCCCCGCCGTGGATGTGTGAATGTCCTCCGGGTGGATGGCCCCGCTGGACAAGAGGTGGTCGCGGATGGCGATCATCCGGAAATGCTTGTGCATCCCCACTGGTTTCCAGCGCACGATGGCTTGTAGCAGCGCCGACTCCTGCGCCGGCGTCCACATGTGAATGTCGTCTGGGGGAGAAAGTGTGTTCGCGGTGGGAAGGCTGGATGATGATGTCTCCATTGCGGGCGAGCAACTGTGGTGGTGGTGATGGTCGTCGTCGTCGTCGTCGTGAACGAGCTCGCTTCAACGTTATTTGCGAAATTGCATGGGAATCGTATGCTGTAATTTTTTTTCTTCAGGACGAAGGAGAAAGGAGGGGACGGTATGATCGTCCGTCTCCCTTCTCTTACTCAAAGTTGTGCCTGTGACCTACCGCTCCAGAGGTGGTCGACCAGCGTGTGCCGAAACAAACAGACAGGGATTGCGACCTTTGTTCTTGTAATTTTCCGAGGCAAACCTTCTCTTGAAGCTCAGTGTGTAAGTCGTAATCGAGCTCTCTTAGTATCCTCTCTCTTTTTCCCTCTATGTTGTCTTGTGAGGCTCAAAGTCGCGTTTGGTTGTTGAGAGTTTTGACAACGCCGGATTTTGATTCGTTAAAAGGCGATGCGGCTTAGTTTCCTTTTTGAGGCGGGGTCTGGCCGAAAGGGGAAAGGCTCCATCCCATGCCCGCCCGCCTATTTCCGACTCTATAAACTACACAAATTATGACCCCCCTTTTTCGACTGAGCTTTACAACTTCGGCATCAGGTAGTCGTCTGCGGTGGCTGTATATGACCGTATATAAACAAGCGGATCAACCTGGTGGTCCAATCTGATATCCAAATCGACTCTGGCGATGTTGATGTGGATAGCATAAGATGGGAAAATGCACATCAATTCATTCATTAATCTCCTATCCTAGAGATATAGCGTAGTCTGCTTGAATTCAAGGAGATAACCCTTCCATGTGCCACTTGTCGACGGGAGGAAACCAGCCAGAAGAGAATTTCACTCTCTCTCCATCGACCTCACAACAAGAGTTCCCCATATTGAATTGAGGTCAACGAGTATTTCCCAACATAACGCCCAAGCAAGTCACTCCCATTTCAACCCTCACCGCGGTCCTCGCTCCCCAGAGGTTGCTCTCGTTTAGCTTCCGAGATGACGCTCTAAGAACTGTGGGAGCATTCACCCAATCCCCTAAACTCTTCCCTTTCGTGTCTATCGTGATCAGTGACCCGCACGAGTCTCAATTCCGTCAGAAGAAGTCGTGCCAATATTGGATAAATGGCGGATCAACACCATAGTAAGGGTCGTCTCTGGCTGTGTTGAGTCGAGAGGCGTCCCTGACGCGTAGTCCTTGGTTTTGGAGAGGTCGAGCTCGGACTCTAAACGCCCTCAAATCATGCACATGAGGCTTTGACTGAATTCCGATTATTGATGGATCGCCTGGCTATCACAACGACGAGTCCGAAGGCATGCCTGTCACCACGCTAAATCGCCAGCTCATTCGGTCCGATGGCATGCCCGTGGACGTTGTGCGGATGGAATGTTGGGAAGGGCTGGCGAGGCTATAACGTGCGGCTGACCGAAACCGCGCAAATGAACGCGACGATGACCCCAAAGATCTGGCAAGCGTGGGACCTTGTGAAGAGTCTCTAGAAAGAGAGCTCTCAAGCTCCTGGTGAGGAGGATCGAGGCTTAGTGCGAAGAGGCCTGTATCCATCACCGATGGGTTAATTGTCTGCTCATCTCGCCTGACAAGGGATTCCAAGGGGGGTTTTCTGTTCAGACTTGCGCCTGCCATTGTTGCAGCGCAAATATCGAATGTCCAAGAGTCAAAGTCATCAAGAAATCGTGTTTTATCCCTTTCTGAACCGGCTCGCAGATACTCATCGATAAACTGTTTGTAATTTCTGCTGCCTGGGTTTGCGTTCAAATCTTTTTTAAGACGTAATAATTCAAGCTTAAGCGAGTCGACGGATCCAGTGTAAGAGCCCGGACTAGCTTCGACGACGTGGAATTGATGCCTCGCGCGTGAAAGAAGAACGAAGGTCAACGTCAGAACAGCTTGTCCCAAGAGTCGGTCGTCGGAATCTGGGTTGCCTCGTGACGGTTGTAAGAGACGAAGCATGTGAGATGTCTCTAAGCTCCACCTGGCAGAATATTTCAAGGTCAGAGTGCTTATGATATGTACCTGTACCAGATCAATCCATCTATTGTCTCCGTGGTCCTGAAACCAAGCACTTGAAAGGAAATATTTGAATTCTGGTTGCGGCAGTAAGTCTTCTATAATGGATAGAGCATGGAGCATTGTTCTTCTGACGGCTGCAGAAACGTAGAAATACTCAAGGGCGGTTGATGGGGAGTTCATGATTGTTTGAAAATCCGTGGGAGGCATGCCATGCCATATCCAAGATAGTGAAGATCCAGCCGTCCAATAGGCCGTCTCGGCAAGCGTATCGGTCTCTTCTCTATACACTCTGCTTTCAAGAACGCTCCGCACGTAGCGTACAAAGTCACAATCATCATGCCGCTGGATCTTTTCCATCCAACCTTGTAGTCGCTTGACCAGGAGTTGTGATGCTGTCTTCTGGTCTAGAGTCCAGGCAGAGCGGACACAGCTCATGGCGGAGAAGAGAAAGTAACGACTGGTCCAGACATACATTCCCATGACGTCGTTCAGGGCCGAAGTACTAATGAAGAAGATCTCGAAGGCTTTCGCATAGCTTCTCATGGTGAAAAGTAAGCTGGCCATGTGATTGAGCCTGTCGAGAAAAGAGCAGCCTTCTGGCGTGGAGAGAGATATCACTCTAAGCCGTTGTTGAAGATCCAGATTCGTGCCGGTCACTTCGTATGAAGGCATTTCAAGTGAAGGGAAATTAATTCCTTCATATTTCAAGCCAGATGCCTGAATTTTGCCTGCGGATGTGATGCCGGGTGAAAGCGTAGTGGAGGGAGGGTAGGCCGGCATTGAGCGCCCAACCTCACCAGCCATTGGCGCGTCCACAACGGTATCTGGAACTGGTTCGCCCAAGGGATTTCCTGAACATCCACAAAGAAATCGAGGTACTTCCGTATCCTCAGGAATATCAATTGAGTCCATCCCGAGTTCCAGAGATTCCATTTGTTTTAGAGTGGAGGCCTCGAAATCAGTGAGAGCGCTGTCAACGGGCACTTGGTTGTCGGTCAACAGAACGTCTGTGTCCGGACTCGGAGCTTGCGTCCGGGCATGTTCTTGGTCCGTGGGTTGAGGAAGAACCGTAGCGTCCGGACGAAGCTGCACGTTGTCTTTGTTGAGACCCCATTTCTTCATCTGGGTGTTGAGCTGACTCCTCGTCACATGGATGTGGCGGAGCTCAAGTTGTCGTAGAATGTCCGCGATGGATACTGCTTTGCCAAGGAGATCCAAGATCATTGGCTTCAGCTCTTCCCATTGTTCCTTGGGAAGGCTTGGATTCTTTGCTGGAATATTTGGGTCCCGTTGAATGAAACGAAAATCCGATGAATCAACCATGGCTATGCTCACACCTTTCTAAGGGCTATATTGACGATGCACCAAGTAGAAACCTCTGCAGAGCTCGAGCGAAAGCCAGTGTCCTTGAGGAGACTCCTGATTTATGAAGATGAAGAGATATGGCATCAGGCTGAATGACTACCCCGTGGCTTATTGAGAATCACCAAAAGCGGCCTAGCTTGTGTACAAAGGTGGAGACCAGGACTGAGACAGCCAATGGCCGTTAGTGATGCCAGTCTCTTATCCTGGCCACTTTTCCTGCAACGTCTCTAGATGTGCGATCTTGCTGTGCTCGATAGGATACGGGCTCGGCAGGCACGAGGAAGCCATGCTGGTGATTGGAGAAACAAGGGTTTCCAAATATGGTCATTGTCAATTCATGTGCTGTCGAGTCACGCGGCAGCAGTACAGTCTCCGTACGGCAAATCTGGTTTTCCCTTCCGCACGCACGATGAACCTCGGCCACCGGCTTTCACCTTAACCCCAGTGTCAAGGTCAGCTCTCCCATTCCACTTCCTCCTCCTTTACTCTTGTATGATATAATGGCCGGATGGTGCGAGTATCATATTAGCCCCACATACGGCACGAAGTGCGTTGTTTTGACTTTGACGCTACTAAGCTCGCGAAGAGCTGGTGAATGCAGCCTCGTTCCGCACCCGTTGTTAATCTCTGACTGCACTAAACCTCTCTGGCTAGACACCTGTCTATCAAAGATGCCTCTGTTTTTGATCTCCGCGATGTTCCAATTCATTGGTCAGGAGCGCCGGCAAGCTTGCCGACGCCCTTGAAACCCCACAACTGACTGTGACAGATCCGGCAATTGCGCGCGTGCCCTCTGGCGATGCTACTGATTTTCTCATCACCCTCTTGCACGAGTATAGATTGAGTCAACCTCCGTCTTTGCTGGTCGACTCTAGATGATTTGAATCAGAGAGTCAATGTCTGGAAATCTTGCTTTTATTTCGGTTGGACCAGGGCTGACTTCATTTGCGCTCGTTTTGGCCCTATTCCGCTTTTCATGAACAGTCAAATTATCGTCACTCCTCTGTTCGATTACCGGCGGAGTATAGAACATTCAAGCCTACATTGAATTGACATATTTCATCCGTGGTCGGATCAGCCCCCATGCTGTCACCGCCGGACACCGCTGTTGTAGAAGGGCCTGACGAGCATCCAGCTCAAGTCGCCCAGAACGTTAACGACACGAAATGCCATAACCACGAGACAAGGGCCACCGAGGAGAAATCCACGTTAGGCTCATGTACAGAGAATGTGTCTCCAAGGTCGCCGGCTGGGGCGACAAACATCTCGCCTGCGGACCTACAATCCAGCCAGGAATCCCAGAAGCAGCCCACAGTCACTTCTCGGTTGGCAAAGAGAGGTCTTTTCGCCTCATTGACGCTGATTGCTGAGGTTGATGACCCATATCTCTATCCCAAAGGCAGGAAATGGTTCATCACGTTCGTGGTGGCTTTTGCCGCTGCGGCCACCTCGCTCGGGAGTGCCATCATTTACCGTAAGCGATTTGATCTGACCAGTGTATCTCACAGTCAACGGGCTGACCTCCTCATTAGCGGCTCTGGCGGACACAGGTCGTGACCTCCATGCCAGTCCCACCGTCACCAACCTCTCCGTCGCCCTCTACATGCTCAGCATATCATTCTGTCCTCTCTGGTGGTCAGCACTGAGCGAAACCGCCGGCCGTCGCACGACCTACCTCGTTTCCCTATCTCTTTTTGTTCTCTTCGCCATTCTCTCGGCGACAGCCAAGTCAATAGGTGTCTTCGTGGCTATGCGCATGCTTTCTGGGGGTGCCGGCGCATCAGTCCAAGCCGTCGGAGCCGGTACGTTGGCCGATATCTGGGAGCCCTTTGAAAGAGGTAAAGCCATGGGTCGTTTCTATATGGGGCCTTTGTGTGGACCGCTATTCGCTCCCATCATTGGCGGGTAAGTCTCACGGGATTGCAAGATCCCACATATCCTTGAGGGCCATACGTGCTGATAAGCTCGACAAGCTTTCTGGCCGCTCGTTGGGGCTGGAGAAGCACCCAGTGGTTCCTCGTCATCTATGGAGGAATTTGCCTCGTATTTCTTCTCTTCGCCCTACCTGAGACTGTCAGGAGGCACGAGGACTCGAACGAGGGCGGTCCTCAAGAAGCAGATACGATGTCCCTCGCCTCCACGACTCGCGTTCGTACGAAGCGATTTCTCCACCTAACCATGCGGGTACTTCTAGATCCATTGAAGATGGTCCTGCTTCTGCGTCATCTTCCCATTCTCTTTACAGCGTACTGGGCGTCGCTTGCATTCGGCACTCTATACATTGTCAACATCTCTGTCCAGAACGTCTTCGCGCAATCTCCCTACAACTTCTCCGTGTCTAAGGTTGGCCTTACGTACATACCTGCCGGCTTTGGGTTTTTGATCTCAGCCCTGTTCAGCGGCAGATGGGCTGACCATGTCATGGCAAGAGAAGCAAAGCGGAAGAACAGATATGATGAGAATGGCAAGTTGATACTGCGACCTGAAGATCGTATGATGGAAAATGCTTGGGTAGCTGCCATCGCCTTTCCCATCTCCATGCTTTGGTATGGCTGGAGCGCCGGTAAAGGGGTGTTCTGGGTCGTGCCGGTACGGAACAGTCTTCTCCCATGCTCTCTTTCGCCCTGTTTCTGCTTTGAATAAGTTGTGATCCTCTTGAAGTGTCTCTAACCCAGAACTCCTATAGCTACTGGCCACTCTGGTCTTCGGATTGTCCGCAATGCTCATCTTCGGGCTAGCCGTTACAATGCTGACAGAGTTTGTCCCTCGCAAACCCAGCAGCGGCGTCGCAGTGGCCAACTTCCTCCGCAATATATTTTCCTGTATTGGCACTATCCTGGGAGAGCCGCTTATTCGCGCTGAAGGGACTGGGTGGATGTTCACGGGATTGGGGATCCTCGTCAGTACGGGTGCTCTTGTTATCTGGTGGATGAGAGCGAGGGGTGCTGCCTGGAGGGAAACCAACGGGGGGAAGATTGGCTGACCAGAAGTCGTCTGTGGAAACATCCTCAAGTCGAAAGGCATTGACCGGATCCTAAACTTAAAGAAACCCTTAAGGACGGCAGGTTCATCACCAACAGGATTGTCCTTCGTGCCCGTCTCCAACTGAGACTGCCACCAACGCGAAGAGTTGTCGGTGTCTTTTGAAATTCCGAGGAGGTTGCCAGCGGGACAAGATGAATCAATGTCCTGCTCTACTGAACCCGGACGGATTTCACCACACCAATGAATTCTCGAGTTTCGGGATAGCCTAGACGAAAGGCTATCCCTGTCGAAGCAACTTGAATCGAGGCGAAGCTCGCCGTCAGCGGCTAAGTTGAGCGTCTGCCGGGATCTCAGTCTTGTCATCGACGCCAAAAGTCCTCTGAAAACAGTCGCACTAACCTTCAGGTCCAGCGGGAGACTTTCCTGCGACCTGCCGAGTAACCAAAGGTCTAAAAGGTGGTCACTTCCACTTTGATCTCGATGTAATCAGACCTGTGGCGCTCTCTACAGAGCATGATAGAAGTAGACACAACTCCGAAGCTATTCTGGACTTCTTGCGTCGTCATCTTTCATACTTTATACTTCACACCACTGAGGGGACGTGGTCGATTTCTTGCTGCTTTAATTTTCATCCAACATGATTGGAATGTGTGGGGAGTGTTAAAGCGGCAAAGTTCTGGAACGCGTTCACTTCATCCGCTACGCGTTGGCTAGAGCCGCAGTTTGTCGTCCACTAGAGCGAGACCAGAATATCTCACAATGCCCTCAAGCATGTCACCATGTCCCCTTCAGAACCACTGGACCCATTTTCCCCGGAACACATCAATCGCCCCAGCCTTGCCCCTCTACCGCCCGAAAAGATCTGGGATGGGTTTCAGTTCCATCGACATCTGGAAAGCCAACTCTTGCGGCTAGAAGAGTCCGCACTAGGACCTCTACCTGATCTCAAAACAGACATCTTCCAGTTGAAGTTGGAAGATGTGTCCCTACAGGACCTGTCGCAGCCCTCGTCGACGGCCACGTCCGATTCTGAGAGCGATCACTTCGAGAGTCTTGACGGCGACAGTGTGCAAGAAGTATGGGATAATGTTTGGACCTTGCCAGAGATTCGGGAGAGGAAGAGGAAGGGAAGACTGCTGAATTGGGACAAGTTTCTTGATGAAGCTCATCAGGAACCGGCATCGGCATATCTCAGCGAGACGGATCCGGGCGTATTCAACTCCATCCTCGAACCAAACAATCGGAGTTTCCAAAAATATGTCAAACCAGACATTCTATTGAACGCCTTTTTCGAATTGTGCATGGGGCAAGACTCTATCTTGTTCAGTTGGGAGGAGAAGGACGCTACATTCGTTCCTCAGTGGCAAGCGCTTTCGGCTCGTGGATACAGTTCGACACTGGTGCGGAATTGCTTCGACGTCTTTTCGACAATTGGAAGAGACACTAGGCACCTCAAAAGCTCTTTTCATGTGTTGGATCACAACCCTTCGCATCTATCATCCGCTAGAGTAACTTTCCTGTCCGCCTCCAGGTCCGTGCTGAATTCTGTTCACAAGTACCTCGTTGAACTGAGACCAAATATTGCGTCGCTGCTCCAGCTGAAAGGCATAGTGGGAAAGGTCGAGATGGTCATTGCAATGCTGAAACAATGTGTCGACGCCGTACAACCCGATCAAAGGGAAGACTCGGTCATCCTCAACGTGATGCAAATAGTCGCTGGGCCGACTCTCGATCATCCTGGTCTATCTGGACTGTTACAAATGCTGCTCTCACGGACATGCCGGCCAATGCTAGCTCTTCTGAGCGAACAAATAGGACTTAGCTCAACGCAACGAGGAAATCCCAAAAGCGCTCTCACAGGAGGTTTGCCCCTCGAAGAAGCAACATGGGAATTACTGGTTGAATCGAAGCTCTCCCGTACGATATCAGAGGCAAAGAAGTGCCTCCAGATATTGAGCAGTCACTCCCCGGACAGTTCCATCTTTTCCGCCACTGTACTCGAATCTTCGCCATTGAAGGAACTCGAGGCTGGGTTCCATCTATCGGTTATTTCAGAACTTCAGGCGCGAGCTGTTGCCTATGAGGATGCAATGAGGTCGTTGATCGTGTCTGCGGACTCCTCTACGTCTACAAGCTCCCTTGACACCCCTGCCTCTGAAAGCTTTGATCTGGAAGACACACCTAGCATGTCAGCGGACACGGCGTGTGCCTTTCGATTACAAATGGATATTTTCAATGATAGCGTACACCATCTGGACGAGAGAAAGTACGACGAACTCCAAGATCAAGTCATCATGTATCTTGAAGGACACGAGTTCGAAGATTCACCACTTCAGCTGGATCTGCTGGCCTCACTCAATCTATCCGTCACTCCTCTCGTCTCTGCCCAGCACAGGTTGCTCTCCTACTCCGTGTTGCGGCTGCTCTTCGAGCAACACAATCTGCTCGGTCATCTCAATCTGCAGAAGGATCTCCACTTGCTTGGGAACGCCTTCTTCTCCTCTCGTCTCAGAACAGCTCTGTTTGACCCCGATCAGAGCAGTGGTGAGGGCAACAGGAGGACGAGCGCCGCTACTGGCCTCCGTTTGCACGTTCGAGACACGTGGCCTCCTGCAGGCTCAGAGTTGAGATTAGTGCTCATGAGCATCCTGTCAGACAGCCTCAGCCCAGCAGCCCGTGCACTAGACGACTCGATGTCCTTTGCAATCCGGGATTTGCCTCTCGAGGAGCTCGAAAAGTGTCGAGACGTTGATTCCATATACGCGCTTGACTTCCTTCGACTTCAATATGCAGCGCCCAATGAAATACTGGGGGCGGTCATACCACCAGAAATACTGCATAAATACGATCGGACTTTTCAGCACCTTTTGCGTACATTGCGAATGCAAGCGGTCACACAAAGCATGTTGAGAAACGCCTTCAGTCGCCAGTCACAGAAGACGTCTAACAGCGATCTCTCGGATCACAAATTGATTGTCACGATGCATCATTTCATCTCGAGTATTGCAGATTACTACCACAACACTGCGATTGAACTGAACTGGAGAAAGTTACAGACAGTGCTCCACACGGCCAAGACACACCTCGACAGTCGAGACTATAGTCAAACATTACTTGTCGTCAGGAGTCTGGACCACCTCCGTGTATTGCACGAGAGGACATTAAACAAGATCCTCGGTGCCCTCCTATTGAAACAAAACCAAGCGGGGTTGAGGCAAGTACTGGAAGATGTATACAGCGTGATACTTCGATTCGCCGCTGAACGGCGCAAGAGCGCCGATCAGGACGCCGGATCAGAAGATGCTCGAAGTCATACTGGAAGTTCTACCACCAACGAGACCACGACGAAACGACTGCATAAGGAGTTCAGAAGCAAAGTTGTACTCTTCATTGATGTTTTACGCGTTCAAGCACAATCGATCGAAAAAGTTCCGGGAAGGAAACAACATGCTCATGAACGGGATGCTGCTGACCATGATGATGATGATGACGACGACGACCCGGGCGTCAATATGTTCGAGTATCTGCTGTTGAAATTGGACATGTTCGGTTACTGGACGCTGTAGAAGATGGGGTATGGCACATGGGATATAGAGACGTGGCATGTTGGATGTTGGATCAGGAATTTAATGATTCATGAAGGTGAGCGGACAAAAGTGATTGACAGTGGCAACAAGAGTCTTCTTGTCTGGCTTCTCATTTTCCTGTTAATGATGAGCATAAGACACCCACCCGATGTCGAGATCACCATACATCTGGCCTTATTTGAGCGAAGATGTTGTTGTTGAGTCTCACCAAATTTCGCCGCAGAAATGGCGCCACAAACATATTGCTTGCTTACTCGCTTCGTCGTTACCTACCATATGCAAGTGGATCTCTTCTAGTTCATTTCTCTCAGACGCTCCGTCCCATGCCAGCCCATCTCTTCTTCATAAGATCGATCCAAATATCAAAATCTCACAAGATCCGGCCTAACAGCGCCGAGGACGCCTTGACGCCCAACCACGCGGCGCAAACCAGCACACCCGTCGCGACGAGCAGGGTATTCAAGTTCCTGCGCTCAATGCCGACCTCGCCGGCCTGGTGCTTCTTCTCCTCGTCCTCGCCCTTCGCGGTCCCGATGACGCCCAGCTCCGGAATGTACTTGAACTCGAAGACGGTCGGCTCGCCGCCCAGGCCGTACTTGCCCTCGACGATCATGGCCCAGAACACGGCGCGCAGGGCCCGGATCTTCCGCCGGTCCAGGGCCGGGATGGACCGGTAGGTGTAGCACAGGCACGCGAAGAAGATGCACTGCCCGGCCATCAGGGCCCAGTACCACGGGCCCGGGCGGCCCAGGCCCAGAGCGTCAGCGAGGTCGTTGCCGTTGAGCCACCGCGCGTTGACCTCGAGAAAGCTGCGGCTCGCGAACGTGGGCGGCTGGTTCTCTAGGCAGCGGATGATGTTGTTCGCCAGCACCTGGCTCGTGTTGGACGGGTTGATCTCGTGCAGCAGCAGACTCTCCATCATGCACTTGGCCCGCTCGGGCGTGTCGAAGTACTCCGTCGGCGTGCCCACGTAGTGCGCGATCAGCCGCCACAGCGCGATGTAGTCCTCGATCTCCTGCCGGCGGAGGAAGATGCCCTGGCGCGGCAGCGAGAGATAGATGATGGTGGCGGAAAAGGTGCCGATGGTGGCGATGCAATCGAGGTCGTTGATGGGGATCCCGTACTGCTCGACGCTATAGTAGCTCGGCCGGGTCTTGGAGAGTTGCATGATCCGTCGCCGCACCGCTGCGTGCAGGAGGCGCACACGCACGGAGCTGGCGAAGCCCGCGCCGCCGGGCTGGATGCTCTCGAGAGACCGCGTGCACTCGAGGATGTGCTGCGTCGTCTCGAACAGTCGGTGGCGCGCGACTTTCACCGAGAAACCCCCCGTGCGGGCAAGCACTTCGACCACGCGGTTGGCGCCCATGCCCCCGAGGAGCGACTGGTACGCGAGCCCCGTGAGTGTGGCCGCGCCATAGCGGTAGAAGACGTCCTGTCCACGACAAATTTGCGCCCAATCTACCCAACTGGGAACCGTGGTGACCTCGTCCCAGAGCTCTTGAAGCTTAGGGTGTGAGGAATGGTGGTCCCGGAGAAGCAAGTAGAGATCACGTTTCTTTTTTGAAGTCGGTGCCATAGGCCGATTCGTATCAATTGAGCCATTCGCGGGCACAGTGGACTGCTGTGTTGGGTTTGCCACCAACTTCGAACGAACATCGTCGTCGGCCATAGGTTGCTCTGGTTCTTCGTCCGTGAGGCTGCTGCTCATCTGGTTCAAAATCTCGTAGCACTCTTCTCCGAGAACATCATACGTATGTTTTAACGGATGAGCTCGTTCGGGAGAAAGATGGTCAGGAGTTAATTGGAAGGTATATCCCCAGGCTGTTCGCGTGTTCTCGTCCCGCCGCCGAAATGGATTCGGCCAGGACATCTTGCTAACAGGTGAGTTGATTAAGGCCTTTAGCAGGTGGCATAAAGCAGGGAGAAGACAGATGAGAGGCTTGAGAGCACGATATGAGTATGTTGTCTGTTCTTCGACGCGGTCTAGAATTGTATGTATGAATCTTAATGATCCGATGATCATTCGCGAGTCAAGATCCCGCTTAATCTTCGGCATCTTTAGTCATGCAGTTTGATGGATTTTGGGAAATTTATTGGAATTCTGGCCTAGGCTTTCATCGTTGCAGGGGGGAAAACGTCCTTGAACTTGATCTCAAACCACCCATCCCCGTCAACTTCAGAGCCTGAGGACGAAGACCTGAGATACAGTAGCTATTAGGTTGCGATGATGTCTCTCAATATGCACACTAGCACCAGGGTTCTGGAAACCGTCAAGATCGTCTCAAGACAGACTCCTCGAGGCGCATTATCTCGCCGTGCACATTCCACAGCAGTGTCCTCTCCACCAGCGAAATCACATGAACCATTCACACTACTGTTGAAGCCTGCCACACGATCGACGCCCATGGCTCTGACGAATTCTGCGTGCCGAAATTGCAACCTCCACAAGAGGCGGAGATATTCCTCCCAAGCCCACGCGGCCGCGCCAGATGCCGGTAGACTCTGGGACACACATACACCAACGAAAGGGGAGGGCGTACGACAATACAATGAGACAAGACCCGTTGGAGGATACGATCGTAGAAGTGACAGGGCGGGACAATACGAGGACGAAGGGATGGTCGTAATCTCGTCCAAGGCTCATTTTCGAGACAGGTCCGGTCGACCGTGGTCAAAATCTTCCGACGAGGAGAATCCAGGTACAAATGCGGGTGTAGGTGCTGCCTCAAAAACCAGAAGGAAACCGCGTCTAGAGCTGCGAGACTTGACCATCAGGCCGCGGAAGAATCTGGAGCCATGGCAGGCCCAAAAGGTTACACTTTCCAAGAAATTCGGCGATGAAGGATGGAATCCGCGAAAAAAACTCTCACCCGATGCCATGGAAGGGATCCGTACTCTGCACGAAGAAGATCCAGACCGGTGGTCCACCCCGCTTCTCGCAGAACATTTCAAGGTGTCTCCCGAGGCAATTCGGAGAATATTGAAGAGCAAATGGCGGCCAAAGGACGAGGAGGAGCTGCAGAAGAGGAGGGAAAGATGGGCGAAGCGACACGATCGGATATGGGACCATCAGGCAGAACTTGGCTTGAGGCCAAAGAGGATGAAGGACAGGGAAGTGGAAGACCCCGAAGCCTTCGATGAGGAGCTGAGGGCAAAGGAGATGCTGGAGATTGCACGGAAAGCTTGATTTCAGCATTCTGGATTCAACTTGATTCTATCTGATGCTAGAAGCTAAGGATATTGGCTGTATTTGGATATGTGCCTGAAGAGGTCTATGGACATGATGCAGTTCTGGCCGTCCTGGGCTCCTGTGGCTAATGATGATACCGAAGGGCAGGGAGAAAGCGAAAAGGGAAGAGTGACGCGAAGCTCTCCGTCTGTCGTCTGTGTCGATGTACCCCTAGCAGATTTTACTTTCAACATCACGGTGTCCGATGCTCAAGTGGTAACAAACAGGACAATCCTTGAACTTCTGTGTTATACCCCGTGTGTGATTCATGCTCGGTTTCAATCCTTTGCTGATCCAGTCGCAGTCCGACGTGGGTTGATACTGATAGCTATTCGTTCCGTTCTGTAAGGCACGGTCAGCAGAGGCCTACGATACCAAGCATTTATACCAGACTGACCGAGATTCCCTTCTGCTCCTCGGCTTCAATTTCCCAGAAAACTCTTCCATCCAGGACCCTATCAGCCTTCGAGCAGGTATTATTTCACATCCGCCACATAACGACGAGGACGGTGGCCATCCAGGCAACACTGAGGATGTGAGGTACAGCTAGCCACTAACTAGCAGCAGTCCATTTGATGCCCGTGTACTTTTGCATTGGCTTCCACAGGCCGATTTTGTTGTCATACACCATGCTGTCACGACGCTCAGGCATAGTCGGTGGGCCGATGGCATAAATGATAGGTGTGAGGTACAGAGGTATAGTCTCAACGAGAGAAAGCCCCGGGAAGCCGACTGAAGCGATGAAACGAAGCCAAAAGACTTTATCAGCGATGAAGTCGCCGTCAACAGTCGATGCGTTGATCTCAGCCAGGACCCTAAAGAGGACCACGCTAGACATGACAAAGAAGAGGACAAGATGCCACAAAATACCTTCACGGCGATGTAGGGTCCAAAGTCTCTGAAGAAGAGGTGGACGGTTGATAGGATCTCGCTCTTTGACCGAGGCACCACCGACACCGCTCACCTTAAACCTCAACCGAAGGCCACCTAGGCTCTTTGGAAGCAAGCTCTGGAGAACATCGCGAGAGAAGTGGTGGCCCATCCAGACTCCAGTTGCAGTACGGCGACGGACGTTTAGGTAGTACTTGCCAAAGAGAGACTCGATATCTGCAAGGAGTCCCAACATGCGAACGATGCCGAGGAGCATCACAGTCCAATACAGAGTATTCTGAGATGGTGTGGCAATGACAGACCCGCGACGATAAAGGCAGAAAAAGGCGATGACAGAGTTAGCAAGCTTGGGCAGCGTCATCAAATAAGGCCGACAGCTATGGTGGAGCATTGCAAGGCGTTGAAGCCGTGACGCTTCCTTAAGGCGGGAATCAGACAAGGTGAAGTTCATACTGAGAGCATCACGAATATGCCCAGTCCACTGTCATTGTGTCAACCATCGAGTTTGCCAGGGTTATCAAGTCCATGCTTACCCAGCGTCGGCGCTGCTTCAGATGGGTCAGGATACAATCTGGCTGTAATCCCCACTGCAATACCTCATGGATCAAGATAATCTTCCAGCCTTTCCCGTGAAGAAACCAGCTCGTGATGAGATCTTCTGTGATGGAGAACTCTGGGAAGCCACCAATTTCAGTCCAAGCGATCTTGCGCATGACAAATCCACTACCTGGGCACCAGGCGACGTTAACCGAGTCTCGAAGGCCATCATCGGCAGCAGTGCCAGTCATGTTGGATTGATACAACGGGTCATCATTCGGGATGTTATAGTGGTGCTATCACTGTTAGTACGGAAGCAAAATGAAGGTACAATTTCGTACTTGAGCGGCAGTGACCATTCCGATCTTTACATCTCGAAGGGCGTGTGGGACAAGGGCTCGCAAGAATTGAGGCTCCGGCATCATGTCGGCATCGAATACAGCCAGGAACTCATTCTGCCCGCCGGGAAGGTCGACGACAAACTCGCGTATGGTCTGGTTGAGATTGCCAGCTTTGTTTCCGTGGTTATCCTTAGGTTTCTTGCGAGCGTAGTAGTAGAGGTTAGGATGTATATCCTGTAGTTTCTCGACTTGGAGGCGAAGGCTTTCCATGTTCCCATCATCGGCGACCACAACTCTGAATTTGTCCTCGGGCCAGTCGAGTTTGCAGACAGCTTTGACGGTATCTAAGACGACATCGTCTGGTTCACCGCAGCAAACGACAAAGACATCGATCCCTGGAACGTTAGGACCAAGAATGCGAAGAGTCGGTCGTGGTTTGGAATCTCGCGCCAGGCCGACCACGATCCGCCAGGATCCGTCCAGAATTGTTGACACTTTGAAAGTGTCAGTCAATCGAAATTAATCGGAAGAGAAGAGGGAGAGAGCGAGTATACTTACCGCTGTCATAGAACTGCCCAAGGGCGAAGAGGTAAGGAACCTTGGGAAACCCTTGACCTTCCCACCATGTCTGCATTATGTTGAGGAAGAGTACACCTAGGTATGCGGAGATGCTGATGATATTTATCCCTGTAAGAGCCAGAGAGAAGAGGGAGGTTGGATGTGGTTCTTTCTTCTCGACCTCCACAATGCGGTATGCTGGCACTGGGACGTCGACATTGCCTGGGTTTGCATCAGCATTGTTGGCATGTATAGTGACGGTTCGGTGGCGGACGCCCGAGTCTTCGGTGATGGAAACAAGTTGGTCCACAGTCATTGTGAAGACTTTTCAAAGTTTAGCAGAGTATCTCAAATTGAATTGTGGTAAAGAAGGTTTGTAAAAGGGGCAAGATGGACGATGTGGTGTGCAAGAAGAACGAATGTGAAGTGTCTACGGCACGGTCCACCGCAGTCAGCGGCGCAGCTGCCTCCGGAGACAGCTGTTAGCGGATGGACGATACAGGGAGGAGAAGACACGCAGTGCTTGCAATGGTGGGGATCTGATGAAAGACGGATGAAGAATGATCAAACAAGGGAGAGTGATGATGAAGGAGATAAGGGAGGGAAGAGACGGAAGAGAAGAGAGGAGAGAAGAGAAAGAGTCTTCACTGCCAGTGCCAGATCTGCCAGTCCCAAGTTGGAAGGGGTGCCGGACTGCCTGCGCTCTGTTCTCTGTTCTCTGTTCTCTGTGTCGTGCCTTCTCTTCCCCTCGTACCACTGGACAGGTTGATTGTGAGCTGGTTTAGAAGACCTGGGGCCTGGTGTTAGCCTTCTACTTTGTCGGTAAGTCCACTGATGAGGTTGTCTGGTACAACAGCCCTGACTTACCAATAACAGGGAGAGCAGAGCCTCTTCTCACCTGGGGCTCTGTCATTGGGTTTCTCCTACGAATTTCTGCCCAGCCCTTCGTCCAAGCGACAAGTAATCTTATACTACCAGACTGCATCATCCTTGCTGCCGGTGGCTTCCAATCGCTGGGCAAGGTCGAGCACCTTCAACACCCGTTCTTTAGCTGCGAATGTGTTGAAAGGATATGTTCCGTTGGAGGTGAGTTATCGTGCGTGCTCGAACATCATGTTGATTATCAGCAGACACTTCATTCCTGACCTAAGAACGTCGCCGTCGTGGTCGTGGGTTGTGACAAGGCCGGTGCATTCGGCGAATATAACAAGCGATGAAACAACGTCTACAGACCGAGGTGAAGACATGTTCCCTTTTGGACGGGGATTGGAAGCTTTGATTATACCACGGAAGAAGACGGATCAGTAATGATGTCGAGTCTGTCCTACCGTATGTAACCTGTTGATACTCACTCGACTGGTGGCTCGAGGGGTATTGATAGCAAGCAGTGGTCGAGGACATGATGGTATACACCAGCATCTCGGCAGCCATTCCGACTGTGGACCAGTCGTTGTGGGCACAGCAGGGCATGAGTCACGCTCTGATTCACCGTCGTCGACTGGCACGAGGCTGAGCCCCTTGTCCATGGAGGCTGTTCCAGCAATAACAACGATGTCTGAACAATCTCAGAGTCGGTCGGCCGTGGGTCGGTTTGCTGTTTGTTTAGAGATGCAGGCCCTTTTTAGGTGTGTACTTCTTTCCCCCAGCGTTCTTCATTGTCAAGTGGTGGGCTAGTACGTAGTCCTGCCGCGTAAAGGTTGTGTGGCTCTAGCCGGCAGGGTTTCGGTGCCCTTTTGGCCGCTGCTCTACCAATACCAGTCATAAAGTTCTGCAATCCTGCATCTGACAGCCAGTCGAGGGGAATCAGGAGACAGGTCGAACCATTCTGTTGACTACGAATGCTGGTGTCAGGCATTGATACAATACATAATGCCTCGGCAGTTGGCGCGTCATTGCCGGCGTCGGCGTTTCGACTTCGGCTCGGTGTTTGGGCATGTTTAATAACCTTGGGAGACGACGACACGTCGATTGTGTTTTGTCTTGGAAACTTGATCACCGAGAAGAAACGCCAATGTGCCATCGATAACTCGAGTTGAAGGGACAGAGCCGAAAAGACCCGGAACACAATGACTGCCACGCCCAGTACCACTCCGCTAGCCAATTTCCTCTGGGGAGAGGAACGGCTCCAGCGCCGCTGCGAAATCCTTGAGGCTATCACCCAGAACCCAGTCTTCACTCAGCAGGGGAACCCACATGCATTGTCAAGGAAGGATTTGTGGGCGCTGCGGCTCAAGCAGGGCGTGGAGTTGCTTGAGCTGAAGTTCAAGCTCGGCTGGTCGAATCAGCAGTTCGTTGATGCCACCAAGATCGCCGGGGATCTTCTCTCCATAGGAGTGAATTATCGAAGTAAGTTGGGATCATGCTCAATTCATCAATAGAGCTCCTTTGCAAGCACAGAGAAGGAAGGGGAGAGAGAAAAGACCACTGACAAGTGGGCAAAATGGCAGTCTTCATTCGCAACCTCGAAGCCCAGATGAGCCCCGAGCAGAAGGCATATTGGGTTCCCAAGGCCGAGCGGTTCGAGATCAGCGGCAGCTACGCCCAGACGGAGCTGGGCCACGGGAGCAACGTCCGAGGCATCGAGACGACGGCGACGTTCGACCCGACCACGGACGAAATCGTCGTCCACTCGCCAACGCTATCGAGCCACAAGTATTGGATCGGGTCCTTGGGCGTTATGGCCACGCATGCACTCGTTATCGCGAGGCTAATCGTCCGCGGACAGGACCTGGGCAACCACGTATTCCTCATCCAGGTGCGCGACCTCGCCACCCACGACCTCATGCCCAATGTGCGCATCTACGAGCAGGGCGAGAAGGGCATGGGCACCTTCGCGTCCATGGACAACGGCGTCATGGCCTTCACACATTGCCGCATCCCCCGCACCAACATGCTGGCCGGCATGGTCTCCCTGGACGCCGACGGCACGTACCACGCCGCGAAGAACACCAAGCACGCCTACACCTCGATGGTCATCATCCGTGGCCTGATGTCCGAGGAGTTGGGGATCGAGGTGGCCAAGGCGGCCATCATTGCCCTGAACTACGTCAAGTTCCGCAGGCAGTTTAACGCCCGGGACGGCCTGGAGAGGAAAGTGATAGAGTACGCCAGCGTGCAGAACCGGTTGTTCCCTGCACTGGGACGGGTGAGTCTGAACATCCATTCTCTGTGCCTGCCTACAACATAACCCCAATGATCCGCCTGTTGCTGACCCTTGTCATCCTCCAGGCGGTGGCCATGATGCTGCTTGGGCGGGAAATGCGGGCCCGTATCGACAACATCGTCAACGAGAGCATTGAAGATCTGCACCTGCAGACCGTCGGGGCCAAGATCTGGGCCAGTGAACACGGCGTGCGGGACGTCGAAGTAGCCCGTCTCAGCTGCGGTGGACACGGTGAGTTAGCATTGTCTCCCTTAATCGGCCTGCCTGCGGAAGCTCCAGACCAAAAGTGTGATCGAGAATGCTGAGACAGGGGCGTCATGATACAGGAAACATGGCCAGCACGGGCCTCGGATCCCTGTACGCCCAGCTCTCTCCGTCACGGACATACGAAGGAGAGACATACGTCCTCTCGCAGCAGATCGGCAATGCCGTCGTAAAGCACTGGAAAAAGTGTGTGCCCATGCATCTGTGTTCTGACCCTGCTTGTACTTCTTTTCCGTGACATTGACTGACTCCCCACGTAGCAAATCCGAAAAGTCGATCAGCGCCCTGTCGTATCTCGGCAGACTGAGAGACGGTGGCAGAATGGCGCAAGGCGTACAGCAGATTCGCGGTGTGGACGACTGGTTCAGCGCGCAAATCCAAGAAGACTTCCTCGAGCACCGAGCGGCGGTCCTTGCCCGTCGGCACATTGGCGACGTCGCCGGCGGAAAAGACACCAGCTACGACGTCTTCGAGCTGACCATGGCACACGCGGACCTCACATATTGGCGAGGCCTGCATACTCAGGTGAAGCAGACGGGGAAGGACGACAGGGAAGCTATGGAGGCGTTGGCGAATGTGGTAAGTGTGTGTGCTTGAGCTTTAAAAGCTCGAAAAATGACATACAAACAACGCCATCTACATACTACGTGGCTCAGTGTGCATCGGCTAACGGTGTTAAATAGTTCGCCCTCAACGCCATGGTCGACGGCCTCGCCGCCTTCGCTGGCGAAGCGTACCTCTCGGCAGACCACGTTGCGAGTTTGCGTGCGGCGAATCAGCTCGCCATCGCCACGTTCGCCAAACACGCCGATACCGTGGTCCACGCGTTCGGCTTCACCGAGTTCGAGCTCAACAGCGTCTTCGCTCGCTCGAGCCAGACGCCGTACGAGGGATTACTGGAGGTCGCCCAGCAGAGCGAGTTGACGGACAACGTCTTTGTGCGGCCGACGCTGCTGAGGGCGCGCAGTTTGTGGAAGAAGTATGGCCGGGCGAAGATTTAGGCAGCATCACGATGATGATGGATAGGGGATGCATGGGCAAGGTTAGAAAACAAAACAGTATATATCGATGTAAGAAGATCCTCCATTTGATGTAGCCAATCTTCTCGGACAGCAGTTCAGGTCAGCACAGATTCACCAACCTACTCCTACTCTCCTTCGCCATCCACCGACCACTCGCCAGAACAGGATCGACGTACGCGTGGCCCACCAGCCTGTAGATGTCTTGACCATATCGTCCGGACAGCTCTGGTGATTTCCGTAGGATGGCTTGGAGCGTACAGCCTTCCAGATGCCAGACGGTGTCATCGGGCTCTGCGTCGCGGTGCGCCCATCCCAGGAGGGCTTGATCCTGGATGAACATGAGGCGGAGGTGTTCGTCAAGAATGGACGAGATTGACTGCAGCATCGAGTAGAGGGGATGCTCGCCGCGCCGGCTGATGGTGTGGTCCTCGCTCATGCTGAAGAACTCTCTCCACTCGGGCAACACCTTGGATGCGGGACTGAGGCCGCCGCTGCCGCCCCGGCGGGAAACAAAGGCGTAGTCGTCGGAGCTGGGCGCTAGCTTCACTTCGAATCTTTCTAGGAGGTCCTTCTGTCGCTCTAGCCACTGTTTGACCCCTAGGTAGCCTCTGGCCTGAAAGACGTGGTCTGGTAGCGAGAAGAGCAGCGAGAAGAACGCCGAGGACGGTTGCAGGCCGAAGGTCTGGTTGTGGCAGATCAGCAGCAGCCGCCGGAAGGTCTTCCCAATGTCGGGATCCGTAATGTCTGACGTGGAAAAGCGGGTGCTGACTCTGGAAGCCAGGACATCTTCGTCCACCAGAGTGCCCAATGCCGAGATTCGGCCAATACAGCTGCCTTTCAGGGTGAGTTTGCTACCGTTGACGCGAAAGGTGTCGGGGATGACTTCGTTCATATTGGGAGATTCTTGGCCAAACACCCTCCTCCTCTCCCATCCTAGATTGACATCTCGACCGCATATGTATGGGATCAGATTCCTGTCGAATTGATGCGCTCGAAAGTGGAAATAGTCTGGACACCACGAAGGCAGTTCCCTCTGGTGGTCATCCACACTCCGGAGGAATATAATGTCTGCAGAGCTGTACCAATTGATGTGATTGGACGTCATCTCAACGCAAAGCTCGTTCTCTGATACCGCTTGAGAGTAGTTGGGCTCTTGGACGAAATCAGCCCAATCTGATGCAAGACCCAGAAGTCCATAGACTTTGTCCCTCAAGACGCTCGTTTCGGACATGCTCGTCATGGCCAGGATGTCCATCAGCCGTGGCTTCTGCTGTGCTCGGCAGGCAGCCCGGACAGACACCACTTTCTGGGCGAGGCCACGAGGGTCTTCGTCTCTGTCGAGTGAGCGACCCCTTTCTCGCAGAAGTATTTCTAGTGATCGCAACTCCAAGATGTAGGAGCCCCAGAATATCTGCGCCCTTTTTGCTGCTGCCACCTCTTGTATAATCCACACACGATGCCAATATGTCTGTGAAAGCAGCCGCTCAAGGGCTTTCAAGTTTGAGTCCAGGTTGCCGTTATGATGTTGTTTATTGACCGGTTTCTCCAGATCAGCTGTTGCCCTCAGAAGGTCTCGGATATCTTCTTCTGGCCCGGTATTAGCACCGAGCCAAATGACCACCAATTTTGCCATCCTGTAGATCGCGAACATTCTGACTATTTCTCGACTTTTCTCAATAGTGTCTCGCTGATTGATGCAGATGGCATCAACCCAGACGGTGGAAATTTTGTTTTCTTTCAGCTTGCGAAGCGCGTCTGCAAGATTTTGAGAGACTTCGTACCTTTTGTTGCTCACCAGAATACTTACTCTGCCGTGAGCAGCATCCTGTCCCCAAGAGTATGATAAAGCCACATAGTCCGGTCTCTGGCTCAGTTTCGCGTGGAAGAGCTCGAACCGGAGAGTTCCGCCGTCAGAGCTTTCGTCATTCGTGAACCTGAGCAACCGGATTTGACCTTCCGCCAAAGGCTCGTAAGGCAAGGCTGCACCAGGCGTTTGGGAAATTGTGCCAGTATCTTGCCTCGATTGGTCGGCGGACGCGAGGGTCCTAGGCTTCGTTGGCAACCTGGAAGGATAGAGCGAGTTCATGATGCTTGATTGGTGGATGGGAAAGAAGAAGCCGCTCGATAGCAAAGCAAGAAGAAAGAAGGAGCTCAAGATTGTGACTGGACAAATCTGAAAAAAGAGGATACTCGAAAGGATGACCGCGAGATACAGACCGATCCTTTCGCCTCCACTGATGGATCTCCGAGATCCATATGTCCACAATAGGAAGAATTGTGTGATTACCAAGGCTACCGAGCTACCGACAGCCAGTGATTGAGAAATCATCCCATTCCGTTTGCGCTGACAGTGGGCGCGAATGGGGCGGGAAAGTTGATCGGACGCCACCCAGGTCTCCCCAAGTCAGATTGTGCCACCAACTTGCCATCGACGGCTTCTGAGACGAGGGTCCTGGCAAGTTACTCTGAAACTAAGAAAGCCGATACAGCCCTGTCCGCAATTGACTGGAGAGGCGTGAGTGGTGATGGTGTCAACCATGGAAGCGAGAAAGCGACATGAACATGCGAGCGAACAAATTTAGGTAGCGGCATGGGGGTAGAATGCTCCACCAAAGAGATGATACGGCGGAGCATACACATGTTAGCACCGGCCACTGCATCTTCTTTCTGCTTGGATCAGCTTCCTCACCACATCGTCCTTCGCCCTTCAAGATATTGAAAACGTGCCTGTTGCTCCTGTCCAGAAGGAGAAACTGTTTCCTTAGCCACAATGTCCTATCCACTGTTAGGAACAAAAGGTGTCCGACTTCTCCGCGTTCCATAGACTTGGGTACGTTGCAACAACGCCCGGAGCCAATCTCTGCTCTACAACATCACACGTGATGGGCCAGTCCGGCTTTCTACCGACCTTCCTAGTGCCTTTCGCTCGAGAACTTTCGAGAGAAGATTCCATGCATGGGCAACGTGCGTTCCAAGGAGCAGGCCAGGGCACTGATCTGCAGCTACAAAACCCAGCCCACGGAACATCCAGGGACCAGATCGTAATGCCAGCTCAAGCTCGTAGTCCTCAAAAGATCAGGTCGAAAACACATTAACCTCAGATATGTTGTCTTTGAAGAGGACGTCTTTGTCACTGGTCTCTGGCGCTTGCCTAGTAGCTACAGCACTGGCGGCCAACCTGACCGTCTACCAGTCCAATGTCTCTTTTGTCCCAGTCCCGCTCCCTATGCCAGGTGCTGCTGCCAACTTCGAGGCAATTATCGAACAGTTCACCACTCTGGGCCGCAGCACTGTTTGGCGCTCGGTCAAAAACATCACCTTCCAGGGCGACACTGGCGAGCCTGAGGGTATGGTGGTCATTAATGAGGAGAGATTCATCACTGCCCGTGGAGACTGGACCGCCCCGACCACTTCGTACAATGGCACTATCATCAACGGCACAGATCGCGCCGCGGGAGCAGGTTATGCCCACCTTGAGATCTACGATGGCGAGGGGAAACGAGTGGTCGACGCGACACTGACGCCCCCCGGGGATATTGAATACCACATTGGTGGTCTTGACTACGACGGCCAATACATCTGGGCCACTCTCGCCCAGTATCGCCCCAACACCACCGCCACCATCATCGCCGTCAATCCTCTCACTCTGGAATACCAATCACTAATCCACTACGCCGACCACTTGGGTGGCATTGTCCACGACACCAAACTTCAAAGACTCAACACGTTGAACTGGGGATCACGCAACGCGTCGATCTGGAACCTCAACGCGACCACCAACAACCCGTTTCCCACATTCTCTCAACCGGTGTCCGTGGCCCGCAATCCCTCGTTCTACGTCGACTACCAGGACTGCAAATTCCTGGGCCATTCTAGACACTACGACAACCGCGCCGTCATCATCTGCTCGGGCGTCGCCACTCTGGCCGGCAACATCACGATCGGGGGCCTGGCGCTCGTCGACTTCGAAACCATGATTCCGCTCTATGAGGTGCCGCTGACCATGACATCGGCCCGGGGCACGCCCATCACGGAGAACCCCTTTGACGTGGCGTACGTGAATGAGACCTTGCGGGTGTACTTCTTGCCCGACCAGCACAACTCGACGCTGTACATCTACGAGCCGGTCCGGAACAGTCCGTATGAGTACTGAGGAGGATGTTCGCGCAGTGCCGAAAGACGGACGGGACAAGCACCACTGCAGTGTGAAAATGATGATGACAACGACGAAGACAGACCACCATCGGAGAGAAGTAGAGAAATGGAAAGATGTGTGTGGAGCATACGGCAGTCAAAGATGAAGTGTCGAACATGCTTTAACGGCACGGGCATCTGCTGTAGCATTCGCATTTGTCCGTATAGAGTATATAGATTTTGACGCAGTCGAGCTGCATATATGTATATATGACAATACATACAGACATACCTGCCGTCAAGCTTCAACCCGTCTACATTAAGACCGGGTGACATAGGTACAGGACATTGATTAGTTGCCAACGTAACTTGTACTGGCAACAACGTCCTTGATCGCAGTCAAAATCTCCTGCCTATATACATCCTGCTTCATCTTTGAACATATCTGGTGGGTATCACATCGAAAAATCAATCTTGGGACACCCAAGGCGAGCTTAATACTCGAGACTGCCACGACAATGGCGCCGGGCACAAAAATGTCCAACAATCCACGCTAAACTCCTCGCTAGTAAACAAGAAGAATTCTTTCAAAACATTGTTGCCGGAGATGGGGATTGATCGGAACCATTTGTCAGATTATCAGGTCACATGTTTTCCGTAAATCTTCCAGCACTGCGTCCGCTGCTCCTGCTCACTCGGCTTCCATCTTGACTGGCAAGGCTGCGCCCGACGCCGTCCCGGAGCATCGGCGGCAACGGGGGAGCGTCTTCATCCATGGTGGGTGGTTGCTGGATAGGTAGCCGGATAGAGCTGGCGGCAGGACTTAGAGTGACCGGAGTCCGAGCGGGACTGGGCCGCATGATTGCAAACCCTTCGGGGCGGCTAGGTGTGTTCAAGGAAAGTTGGCTGCTGTTGAGTACTGATGGCGCCCGCGGCGGCTCTGCAAAGTCCCTCGCGCTTGATGCAGTTCCAACAGCCGTTGACGAGTCTGCCGTTTTAGCAGGCGTGGTGGCTGTCGTTGGCGAAGAAGGTATCTGTGGGGGGGTCGGCGTCGGCGTCCCCTTTCCTCCATAGAAGCCACGGTTGTCTTGATAGAAGGAGGCCCCCGAAAGACCACTTTCCGGAATTCGTGGCATGTCCGAGGGTCCCACGCCAGCATCCTTTTCGAAAGCACCAAAGTTTCCTCCATATGGATCACCACCGCTGCTCAGCACCGGGGCGATCTTGCGGCCAGCGATACGTTGAAAGCCCCGCTCCGATTCTGGCACGCTGCTATCGGTGGTCCCAGTGGCGTTAGTGCCGAGAGTCTGACTGCTACGTGGTCGAAGGCGTTTTAGGCCGTGAGCCACAGCAACGGTGAGAGGCGTTGTTGAAGATCGCTGAGACATGGGGTATGCCTCACCCCCACCGCCTGTCAGCTCGCGAGCGGCAATTTGTTCAGGAAGTTGGCCTCGCGCCTTCAGTCGACGGCGATACCAGCGGAGAACAAAGAGGATAATGACGAGCGTGAGCGCAACGCCAGCCACACCACCAACAACACCCCCCACCACTTGTTGTTGAGTTGGTGTCAAACCAGGACCTCCTCCCCCTCCGCCATTACTTGAACCCGATCCGGCACTCGAGGTAGCTGCCGGGTCGGTGGTAGCTGTAGGAGAACCAGCAGCACCACCGCCGGGACTGCTGGTGAAGTAGCTTGAGGATGCGCCAGATTCAGAGGGGTCGAATGATGTAGGGCTTTCAGACGAAGGTGTAGCTGTCGAGGTGAGGTCGCCGAAGACAAAAGTCCTCGAAATACTACTGCTGCTGGTTCCAGTGATTCCTGAATCAGTCCTGGTTGTTGGGCTGGTATCGACGTCTGTGACCGTGGTGATAATCGTGCCATTGATCACCGACAGCTCGAAGGTCGAGGTGGCCGTGACTGTGACCGTCCGTTCTCCGGTAGCCGTTGCGTCAGAGGAAGTTGTGGTGCCATTTATACTTTCGGAACCGATCAACGAACTCGATATGCTTGTTGAGGAGAAGGTTGTTGATGTTAATGGAGGAGTTGTGATCGTTATCTGGGACGAATCTATAGCGCTTCCCTTGGTGCTGGTGCTGTTCGACAGCCCAGGGATAGTTAAAGAGACCGCGGTGGTCAGGGTGCCGACTTCTGAGAGAGAAACAACAGTACCCGTCGTGGCCACAGTCACTTCTGTAATTTTGGAGGTACTTGTGCCGTCGTTCACATTGACTTGCACGACGCTGGCTGTAACAGTGGCGTCGGGAGCCCTGGGGAGCAGGTAAATCCCAGCATTTCTGCGAGGTAGAACAGGTCGCGGGGCATGCTGATAGCTGCCGAACACGTTTTGTCGTTGAAAATCTGACAAACTGATAGTCCGAGTGGGCTGAACCTGGTAGTCTGTATCATCCCCCTGCATGCCTAGTTCTGAGGTAAATAGTCCTTCTGTCATTCTTGAGCCCGTATCCCGCGGGTTTCGCACGTCTGGGTTCGTGATTTTCAACCGCTTCGCAGGCCTCTCCATCGCCGATATGATTATAGGAGATACATGAAATGTAATGAGTCGGATACCTGTTGTGGAGGCGCAAGGAAAGTGGTCGCAGTTTGACCCTCGTCACGAATCGCGTCTCTCGTTCTGTCCTTAGGATTGTAGGTCGTGAGTAGCGACGGTACCGAAGCCTATGCAAGCACGTCTTTATTGTGGGCAAGCAAGGGCGCGTTTAGGTACGTGGAGTTGGTGGTCTGAGATGTCCAAACGAATGAATGTAATGAGCGGCAGCTGGCAAAGAGCGCAGCGAGAGCGAAAGATAGCAGACTCAGGGTGTCTGTCGAAGAGCGGGAGGTGTCAGAGAATGTGAGACATGGGGATGGGGAGGCGGAGAGAGCCATGCACCTCAACCAGCTATTCCATGTCGAAGACGGTATAACGCCCGATATATTCTCACAATGGCGCTCGGTCGATTCGATGGGAGGAGATGCAATTGAGAGGAAGCTGCTGTAACGTGGTCTGAATCGATATGGAATGAATGGTCCCTGGTTGCGTTGCCAACGCAGTGGAAGCGAGGGCAGCTCCTTTTTTTTGTGCCGTGATCCCAACCCGGAGGAGCAAACAAGAATTATGGCTATGGTCAATGGCGATGCGATAGGGGCTGTCGATGTGTGTGAGCGAGTGTGAGGACAGACAAACAACACGACGATATTATGGAAAGACTGCAGAAACAATGAGCGAGCGAGTGATCGACTGAACTGAGGAGAAAGAGAGAGTGCGATGATGGAACGGTGGTGAAGCAAGGGAGAAAGGCGAGGGCAGGGGGGAGCTGGTGAGCTGGAGCGCAGTGTGGCAGCCAAAAAGTCATGCAAGTCTCAAAAGGGTCGAGGAATTGCTCCGTAGGGTCGACGCCCCAAAGTCCGTAGTGGAGACCTTAATTGGGGCCTGGAAGACATATCCAGGCACCGCAGGCCAGCTCCCAGCCGCTCACTGGGCTGGGATGCCTATTAGCCTCGCCTAGCGGGGGTCTGGCTGGGTGATTAGCACCGGCCGGGGTGGTCTTAAGCGCATCGGTTCCTGCGTCTGGCGTAAACCTTGGCCCTGGGGCGCTTCTAGTGGGTGTCTAGTGCCCGCCCCGGAGATGAAGAGTCCGCGTTACGGCAAATCATCAGCCCACTCGTTGAAATTTGGTCGTCAAAATTCCCCATCCACCACCACGGTGGTCGTCTACCAGCAATCTTTCTCCAGAGCAATGACATTGCCCACACGACCTCCGATCTTGCAGTGCCTTTGTCCGACTAACGAAGTCCTGTCGAATCAACCCTCGAGCGGCCGTAGTCGACCGTTATTTGCTTGGGTGTGTTCTCTTTCCAGTCCGCGTGGGTGCTGCTCGTGCTCAGAGCCTCATCTCCAGATCTCCGTGTCCTTCTGGTTTGCTAGTGGTATTTCTGGCCAGGATGACCTGGTCTCCTGCTGGGCTTAATTGCGGCTACCGTTACGCTACGCAGGGCATCAAGATCACCAACTTCGGGCGCATCCCGTGAAGATGCTCGTCGCGAATGGGGAAACTGGACACCAGCCACCTGAAACGGCATCCCACCCATTACGAGGGTGCCCTTGATGCGGACTTTTCTAGGCGAGTAACTCAAGAGGTTGGCGAAATGGTCACACGAATAAACAAGCACTGGGCACACAACACAGAGCTTTCTCCATGCGCTAAACGTGTGACTCTACGATGCTGCCCGGGGATTAGCACCGATACGCTCTTGAGAGAGGAGAATGCTGGGTCGCTTATGTCTTTACGAAGCTTGAAGAAGAATAGACAGTCCGAAATGTATGTCCGGGAACTCACCGCCTGGAACACCGTTTATAGTCATCATGTGCGGTGACCTCAAGCCCATGGTATGAAGCTTGCTTCATGGACTAACCCAACAGTTGGTCGACAGAGAGCCGCCTGCCTACGCGCATGAGTAGGTTGAGCACCTCGGCACCTCCGCCGCCTCTTCCGCTGCTGCTGGCTCCGCGCGGAGCTTGGCAATCAATTTCTCATTGCGAACATGGGTCAATCCTGATACTTGATGCTATCTGGCGAATCAGTCAGAGACATGCAGGATGCGGAACTCATCCCCAAGCCACTTATTCTTGCTTGATGATTGTGGGCTTCGATTTCACAAAGATGTCAACGCTCATGGCAGCCTTATCACATTGCTTGGATGGCGGCGTTCTCGAGTTTTCGCCTATTCTAAACCAAGGCGAAATTGCTTCACTTCCCGAAGAGCTACTGCCCAGCTTGTACCAAGCATTTGGCTGCGAGTAGGTGACCTGCAGCACTGACCTGACCTCATCCGCCTAAGGTTCTAGGACAGAGTTTACCACCATGACGCAGGATACCTCTAGCACCCCATCTGGGTTGCTGCCGACCCTGCTGAAAATACCCGTCATGCGCCTTTGCTATTGGCCAACTGAGAGTCCTCCTGTGCCATCTTCGTTGTGAAGGGAACGAATCCTGACGCAAATCATTACTTCATCGGCAGTTTTTCAAATCAGGCCTTGACTTTTGGACGAAGGACGGTTCCATGAACCAACATTTGTCTCCGGCTCAGGAAATCCCTTCCCAAACCCGGCTTCTTTGTATGTGGGCGATGATGTACTCAATTTTGTCATTGATGATAGTGACTGCGAGAGGCTCCATGGCAACACTATGATCTGACTGGTTTCAGAGTCCGAGACGCTCCTCGTATTCTTTCAGTGGACTCCGGACAGCCCAATGCATCGGTTTGCAGTAGTGTCTTGCACGCACTTAGAAAGTCAGGATGCCGTGGCGAATCCTTGTACAGTGGGCGAGGAAACCACGGAATGATCTTCCCACAGAGCGGTTGGTCGCTCATTCCGCTGGGCCAACGTGCAGACCCACCAGATTCAGTGCATTGCCCATATTGGCCTCTTCAGATCGTTATGGGAACCTTCCCAGGTAACCCGTGCGAGTTGCTTCCGGTAGGAAAGCGAACAGGGAGACGCATACAGACACCCAGAGGTGAAGTACCCCCCGCTGCGACTTACCTGTGTGAGGAAACAAAGAATCAGAATGAGATCACTCTTCTCACCGTTGGCGATCAGCAACACAGGAATTGGGTGGTCATACAACCATGCTTTCCTCGAGCGTTTCGCTCAGCTTACGCAATCTCAGGAAGCCCTTCCTCTCTTCCATTGGAGACATCGCCCTGGGGGTCCCAAAAAAAAGGAGTTCTTCCCGCGGACCATCTTGTATATCCTCTTACTATATGAATCTTGTCAACTAAATTTTTATACAAGAGCCATCGTGGATCAAGTCGAAGCCCCTCGAGGAGGTCCAGATAGATTATCTTCCAGTCCGTCTGTCATCAAAGTTACAAGCGGAGGTACATGAATCAAAGGTAAGCGAAGACGTTGATGCTCGTATAACTTAGCCACAGAAGCTGTGTATTCTTCCACCCGGCGGAAGAAAAGCAGGCTGGCCAATCAAGGATAGAGCGGCAAATCCCTTTACGCCAGTGCTCGATGGCCAAATCTCCGCTATGTTGCAAAAGTGCTTAAGGTCTTGGGGATGTAAACCGCCGCAACTTCTCTTTCGCGACACGTTGATAATGGTCGTTGGAGAAGGGGAGGTTACGGGACAAATTCCCGACCCCTGATTCGCGATATCAATTACCCTGGCGCCCAAAACCGGAGAGACAAGGGGAGAAGCCGATGCCTTGTTCACCCTCGCATGGGAAGGCGACAGGAGTGCCAATTGAACTGCCGGCCTTTGAGCTCTAAGAGCACATATAAATGGGGGAATCCTGATCAACATTCCTCCCGGCTGTGAACCTCGGGTCGATTGACTTCGTGCGGGGATGTCGAATCCTACTGGCATACGACATTGATTTAGAAGAGCCTGTGCTCTTGACGATCTTGACGATGTTATATTGTTCTTGAACGAGCGTTGGCAGCGAGATTCAGCCGGAGAGCCAAGTACCGCAGTGTTGCGAACATGGCAGCAGCAGCTGGAGAGTTTTTCTCTTCCATCAACAGGACCAAACTGGGCAACATCGAGGCAGAGATCAATGGAGACCCTGAATTCAAGGCATCTGCAGCCAAAGTCGACAATGTTTGCTTTGGAGTCAGTGCAACAAACTCCGGCGAGACGCTTCTCTTCAGCATCAAGCAGGCAACGGTGACAGTCCAAGATGGTTCAGCCGCTGACTTGACGTCTCAGTTCGAGCTCAATGCGCAATCAGAACACTGGCAAGAAGTTTTCAAAGCCGTGCCCAAGCGGCCCTTTCAATCATACTGGGGAATGCTCCGGCTGCTGGGCCAGAGTTCTGGGGTTGAAGTAACGGGCGACAAGGAAGCCTTCACCAAGTATGCTCGGCTATGGAGGATCGTGTTAGACCGGGTCCGTGACGCACTACACCCTCCCCCGGCTGCGTCGACGGTGGCAGAGTATACTTCGGATGATGAGCGTGACGACGACTCCATCGTGGGCCACTACACCTGGCTGACTCTCGCACCGGTGGGGAAGTGCAAGATCTTCTACGAAACCTCAGGCCAGGGCGAACAAGACGTCCTCTTCCTCCACACCGCTGGGGCCGACTCGCGGCAATATCACTCCCTCATGCTCAACAAAGCCCTCCAAAGCAGATGTACCATGTACGCCTTCGACCTGCCGGGTCATGGCCGCTCGTTTCCCGGCACGCACCAATACCCCCAGTCATACGCGAACAGCGAGGACTTCTACATTTCGACCATCCACCAGATGATCGTGAAACTCAAGCTCAAACGCGTCATCGTCACCGGCGCCAGTATGGGCGGCCAGGTGTGTCTGGCGGTCGCGCTGCGGGCCAAGGAGATGGACGTCCGGGGCGTGATCCCCTGCGAAGCGTGCGACTACCTGCCCGCACAGCAGGCATCGGCCATCTACTCGTTGCAAGGGGACGAGGCGATCCTCAACGCCGAGCGGGTGTGCGGCATGATCTCGCCGACGTCGCCTGCCATTTACAAACGGCTGAACTGGTGGCTGTACTCGGCGCAGGCCTCGCAGATCTTCCCGGGCGACCTGAAGTTCTACTTCGAGGGCTGGGACGGCCGCGACCGCATGGGCCAAATCGACACCGCCGCGTGCCCCGTGTACATGCTGACGGGGGAGTACGACTACAGCTGCTCGCCCGAGACGAGCCGGCACACGGCCGACAAAATCCCCGGAGCCGTGTTCGAGGAGATGAAGGGGCTGGGCCATTTCCCCTTCAGCGAGGACCCGGAGCGCTTCTTGCCCTATTTCACCCGGGCGCTGGATCATATTATATCGCGCAAGGGGGTGTGAAAAGGGAAATGAATGGCTTTTCCACGTCAACGAACGCCGCAGGCCTAGGCTAGGATATGTACACGTGTGTGTATGACAGCGTTTGTTTGTTGTCCAGTTGGTTGGTTGGTCGACAGACAAACGAACGTGAGATATATATATATATAGTCCACCACGTCCACCGCGAGATGCTGCAGTCCAATCTTGAACAATATAGATGACATTTTCGTCTAGATAGATGGAGGGCTCTGAATGAAACAGATGAGTCAAAAACTTTCCAAGCCCCATTGGGGCATTCATTCATTGATTCATTTATTCATGCGATAGATATCCATCCGTGCCCACACGCGCCCATCCCTTTGTCATCCAGATAGATACATAGATACATAGATACATATACACATACACCGGCGCCGGAAAGTCGGGAGAGCCGAAGCCAGGCTGGAAATAATGGATTCTGTCAGAGAAAATGGCACAGATCATTGTTGTAGTTCTGTCCTCGTTCGCATCGTAGGGAGTGTTTTTCCTTCCCAGCCTTGCTCTGGTGTCACACTCTCGCACATATGCTCATGTCTGTTTGTTATGTAGACCTGACCTCTGTCTCTGTCTCTCTCTCTCTCTCTCTCTCTCTCTCTCACACACACACACACACACACACAAAATATATCACGACGGAATCGCGGCCTGCGCGGCCCTCAAGCCTCCGACGACGGTAAAGCTCAGGACCGGGGAGATGAGGTAGGAAATCTATCGCACAGTAGGACCGTCAGCCGTATTTCTTTTTCTTTTTCTTTTTCGACGGTTTGAATTTTTGCCGGAAGCCATTCCATCCCCTACTCTGAGGAATTAAGAAAAAAAAGGGAAGAGAGGAAGGTAGCCTTCTAGAACCATGAAAACACACGTCCCGTGCTGGCTTGTAGTGGGAGGGTGGTGGGTTCTCAATCAATGCATGCACTTACCGTCAACAGCTTTGCGATGGTGCGCTCGTCTTCGTCCTCGGCGTCGCTGACCTGGACGAGCGTGATCAACTTCATCGCGGGGGGCCCGGTGGGCTATATATATAAGGAGAGCAGTCAGCACATTTCGGTTTAATTGTTTTATTTCAAGGAACTCGGTTATCAAATTAGGGAAAGGAAAGAAAAAAGCGAGAAAAAGAAAAGAAGAGTTCTGTCAAGCAGGGACTTATTAGATTCCAAACTCACCATCAGCATCATGGCAAACCACAGCATCGGGTCCGGGCCCAGCAGGGTCGACTTGGACGCGACCACGAAGATGAAGTAGATGGACGCGGCGGGCCACAACACGAAGCGGACGACCATGATGAAGGCCACGGTCAGCCACGGCATGGGCGGGGGCTTCTGTCCTCCCTCTCCGGCGGACGCCTGCCGGGCCTCTTTCATGGCGGTGTAGAGGCTCACGCCGGCGACGACCACGGGCAGCGGCACGAACAGGCCGCCGATGTTCTTCAGCGAGGCGGTCAGCCAGGCCGTGAAGATGCCGCCCTCGTACGTGTCGTTGAAGAAGGCGCGGTGCAGCGCCGGGATCAGCCCGATGATGGCGCCCACGATGGCGCCCAGCAGCGGCGCGTTAAAGAAGTCCGACACGAATAGCAGCCACCACTTGGCACGCGGGCCCAGCTTGTACCAGTGCTTCTTGGGCACGATGGACGCCCGGCGGTGCAGGGGCATTGACACCGAGGCTCGCCGGGACGGTTGGCGGGACGGCTGGGACGGCCGCCCGCTGACGGACGAGCGGCGCGTCGACGGAAAGAACGAGTTTTCGGCGTAGCCGGCGATATTGGCGAAGGAGATGGTCGACGGGCGGTGCGGGAAGGTGTACGTTCCGGGACTCTGGAGCAGGCCGGTCTCCTCGCCAGGCTGCTCGGCGTCGTCGGGATGATCGCGATAGTAGGCCCGGTCGACGGCGTCAAAGCGCTCATCATCTCGCTCAGACGGAGGGTCGCCGTCGTCACCCTTCGACTCCTCTTCGTCCTCGGGCGCGTGCTCGGTGTCGATCAAGCGGGGGCCAACGGCAAAGGTCAGACAGCTGCTGACGGTCGCAAAGACCAGGAAGTAGCTCTTGGCGCGCTCGACGGCGGCGTCGGTGGTCTCGTCGGTGACGACCAGCGCCCGCAGGATGCCGGTCTCGTCCAGGGCCTCGATCAGGAGCAGCGGGTAAGAAGTGGTGTTGTTGAACATGAGCGCCACGGTGGTCCAATCGGGCATGCCCAGCCACAGGTGGGCGACGATGCCGATGACGAAGGAGATGAGGTGGCAGACGATGGCCCAGACGAAGACGATGAGGTAGCGCTGGGCCGACCCGGCGTGCAGCTCGGAGCCAATCTTGACCACCAACAGGGCGGGCAGGAACATACGCACGCAGATCTTGGAGATGGCCTTGGTGTTGGCCGAGTTGAGCAGCTTGAGATGGGCCGCCACACCGCCGTAGAAGATGACCAGCAAGACGGAGAGGGAGGCTTGGATGGCGGCCAGGAAGGAGTTGAGGAGGCCGGTGGGCGCCATGGTGAAGGGGTGAAGGGGTGAAGGGGTGACGTGCTCGACTGGTTAGCTGATCAGTACATAAGAGTGAGTAGGTAGGTAGTCGACGTGATGCTGTGGGCTGTGGTACACATACCTCGTTACTCTTGATCGCTTCACTGCTATTTAACTAATTACACTACTGCTTCACAACCGTGGAGGATTCAGAGAAAAGTGGAGAGAGAGATAGAGAGAGAGACACGGAAGACATCATCAGCTCCCAAAGCTTGACCGACCAGCATCCAACCAATAAAACTACCGAGTATGAATACGAATTACTTTAGTTTGATTTAGTTCTAGTTGATAATGAACGAAAAAAGCAATAACAATGTCACTAGACTCGATCCGACGCTCGGGCATCAAGCACGTCATAGCTACGGTACTGGCTCACTAGGCTAGTCGCTTGAACCTTTTACGGGTTTACCTCAGCATTGTGGGCTTTCACTCCTTCTATCCGGAGAGGACGAGGACGAGGACGAGGACGAGGACGAGGACGAGGACATACCCGGTAGAGGAATTCAATTTCATATAGCCTGAACGTGCATACGGCGCCCCTTTTGGAAACTTAAGCCCAAGCCGACGCTCCAGCTTGCCCATGTCATTTGTGGCGTCGTAAACCATAACGAACTCCTTGAAAATTCACCGAACCTCAACGGCCGGAAACCATTTCTTGACCCCGACCGGCTCTCGACAATCCTGCTCTCCACAGCCACAAGCCTGGGCTCGTGCCACCCGGGTGCCCTCTGGTACCATCTTGATCGTCTGGAAGGGCTGCGATCCCGGGTCATAGTACAGACCGTCGATTTCCCCGGTCAGACGGTTCAGGGCGATGTAGTAATAGCCCGCAATCGTCAGTCCCCATGAGGTGGATGCATTGCTGTGGCCACCACCAGGTCCACGCCCGGTGGTTCGTCCGGTCCTTGAGGCAGTCGTGGTGAAGATGGTCCTCGTCGCATTGGCATTCATCGGCCTTGAATTGGTAGAGCTTCCGGGAGGTGTCACAAAACATCGTTCCTTCCAGCGCATGAGAATCCACTCTTTGCCCAACTTTTCTTCGATCCACTTGGCACTACCCAAGCAGCGAGCCATAACCTCGTCGTCGTCGGCTTCTTTGTCCTCGGGAGTCTCGAAAGCCTTCGTGTTGCCCGTCGAAGGGGAGGTCGCGTTCGAGGGACTTTGCGTATCCTTATTTTCGCCTTCCCCGCCGCCAGCCGCTTTTCGAAACGCCTCCCAAAGGGCGCTGCTCTGCTGGTACTCGCTTCTTTTCTTCCCCCGTAAATGTCGAACTCGCTCAATTTCTTTTCTGAAAGGTCCCAGTCGTTGCCAGTACCGCGCGTCCACGCTGAGGCCACCCACTTCGTAGTCTCGACCTGGTTGCTCCGTCTCCAAAGGCTGTCGTCGGAAGTCGATAATCTCTCCCACGAAGAAACTGGACATGCTGGTTGTTGCTGCTGTTGTTGTGCCGGTAGCCGGGACAAGCGGTGGTGCATCGGATTGATGCAGGGACGGGAGCTTTTCCGGCATCTGGCTGGCGGACATTATGCCAGTCAGGGTCATGGCTTCCCAGTCCACCGAATGGATCATCACCTTGACAGGCCAGTGGTCAGGCTCGGCATACTGAGAAGGAGTCTGGGTGGTGTTAGATGATAGCAATCGGAGCGAACGTGGTAACGAAAAGGACCATCGACCAGCGCTGTCTTGACCAATGCCCTGTTGCCTCTCCAAGTCGGAGAGGTATGTCTCCACGGTAACCAGCGCCTGGCTGTTAACCTCTGACTCTGCAGTCTCGTTGATGCCTCCACGAGGCGCATCCCTTCGTCGATCCCTGATTCGCTGGAGCAGCTGGCGTTCTATTTCGCGCCGTGGATTTGTCGTTGCCATGGGATCGCCCTCAAAAGCTTCGTGGCGGAGTCCGCGGAGTGGTTCGCGTTCCGTAGACTGCAGCCCATGCCAGGCCATTCCAGCTTGCAACCAAGAACTGTACTGCGGGACAGGAAGACTGTTAATGTGCATGGGAAGGTCGCTGGGCGCATTAGAGTCATCCAACGCGTACAGTGAGTCGAGCCCTAGTTTCCGCGCTGCCTCGAGGCCACCTTCGATACCAGTACGTCGTAGCTGGGAGAGATAGCGAATCAGTCTCCGAACCCGCCTGAAAGCGTCGGATCGTCTCAGCATGGCTGGCGGCCCATGTCGAGACCCGTTAGGCTGTCGGCCGTTTTGGAAATGTCTTGGGCTAAGCTCTCTTCGATGGCCTGTGACGTACCCCGGTGTGACAGTTATCTCGTCGTCAGCTTCTCCGTTGTTCCAGGCTCGGATGAGTGCCCCTCCGTCCGCGTTGTTTCTCCTGTCACGACGACTTGACCTAACGCGCTGCAGAGCAGCTTCAAAGAGCAGATATAGGGTCCTTGTATCGGTATCGGTGCTACGAGCCGCTGCCCTCCTTAGAGATGCCATGTCCGCATCGCTGTCGTCAGGATCTTGGGTGTTTGTCGAGTCAGGCGGTTGCCGTCTGGTGAACATAGGGTTCTCCTCGGTGGAACCAGTCGACATGCGCCTTGAGCGGTCGTTCACTCGTTCGTCCTGAGCCTCCATGGTAGCCGAGTCCTGATGGTCCTGACGCGCATTGAGCCAATGGTCAACCCCGTGTGTGCCGATCACGTCATGGTCTGCTAGAAATCCCTCGAGCTGGCTAGCTTGAGTCCGCGGGCGATTTGGCCTTTGCTCGTTCTGTGAATCTGAATCGCTCGAGTTGAGATTCAAGGTAGAGGCAAGGTCGGGGACAGGAGTGGCAATGGCTTCCTCGAGCTGACGCAGGTAGGTATTAGGAGGAGTCGAGGGGCGGGTGTCCTGCTCGTGAGCACAGTAAGTCAGAGTGCATACCCAAAGGAACGCAGTTGGTTCGCAATACGAGAAGAGGGGAGACAACAACAAAGTGCTTTGACCGTAGCAGTCCTTCGAGACCAAGTCTTCGCTTCAAACACTCAACTCCCGGTGTAGATATGAGTGGGTGCAGCGGACGAGAACTTACAGAGGGCGAGTTTGCAGGCGGCATCTGGCTGCGCTGGGAGAGATGAGGTCGTGGTAAAGCCGAGTTGGAGCGGCAACTCGGCAGGCTGCTGGCAGGATCACAATCGTCCTGCAGCAGAGACACGTGAAAGAGTAATTGGGAAGAAGACGGGAAGAAGTGATGAATTCATGGATACCCGAGAGCAGAAAAGAGAATCATGTTGAGACCTCAATTAATAAAGGAGTGAAGAAGCACATGGGCAACCCAAGGGCGCTGTTGGCGTTCCATTTACTCTCTCGATCCCAAGATTGCCGAATGACGTTGTTGCCCGCCCCAGGAACTAGTCACGCCTATATTAATATAGTTCATGTCACTATCAAATCAACGGTAATTAATTATTCTTGTTACCTCGTGTCGTTTTGCTGGGCCTCGATTCCTTGGCTTCATCTGCCAGACTGGCAGCTGTTACGGGCGTAGTTGGTAAGGAGACCACTGCGACAGATCACCCTGCGAGACAGGTACAGCCTGCTGCAGCTCTTCTGTCCACATGTCGTGGATGAATTCGTTGCTTTTGATGCTGAAAAGTCACCCACCCTTTATCAAGATTATGCCGAATTGGTTCACAAACAAACGAGAATGCCCACAAGGTAAACAGTATGTTGTATTCCGGGCAAAAGGCCATGCTATCCCTGAAGCCCTCGAATGAATTCAAGCATCTCTCCAACACACTCGGCAGCTTTGTCCACGTATATCTCGTGTCCTCTTCCTTCAACGACAACGAGTTTGCTACCTCGGATCTGCCGCTGGATTGCTCCCTGCTCCTCCAACGTCGTCGCAGCACTGTTTGCAGGCGCCAGGATGAGGACGGGAATTTGGATCTGAGAGAGGAACGGTCGCGCATCAAGCGTGCTGAGGAACTCCGCGTAGCTGGCCAGTCCTTCACCAGAATTGACGGATATCTGTTCCAGCCACCAACGATGATACCCCGGATCCGGATGTGCCATGGTCCCTGGGTAGGATTTCAACCTACTCGCCCATCCTTGAGAACCCAGATTCCGACAGGCCATGGGGAAGCTTTCTTCCCCAAATGCGAGAAATACCTGGGTTCCCTCTCGGAGGTAGGCAGGAGAAGAGCAGATGGTGAGACTATGAAACCGTTCCGGATACTTTGCCGCGAGAATCTCCCCTAACATACCGCTCGTACTCTCGCCGAAGAAATGCACTTTTTCAATCCCAAGCTGATCGAGCATGTCGATGATATCACCGAGAATGGCGTCGAGGGTGTACGCGTCCGGTTTCTTCAAGATGGACGGAGCACTGGAGTATCCATGTCCACGCAAGTCCCGACGGATCACGTTGTAATGCCGCGAGAGAGCAGGAACCCAGTGGTAGAAGAAGGCTGCATGGCGAGCAAAGCCGCCTTGAAGCAGAATTGTTTGCCGATCTGGATTCCAGGGGTCGGTAAAGTCGTCGGCGATGTAGTGCGTTGTCTCGCCCGAGGCGTGGACGATGAATTGACTACCTTTGGGCATTGCTCATGTCGCAAGATCAAGGGATGACCATGCCATTCGCCTCTTATGCGAGAAGGACGGAGCAGTCAATGTGGGGGAACATGTGGAGAGAACAAGCTGCCAGAGTTGGTAACAACAGAAACAGACTATTTATTACTCCTCCATACAACTGTTGTAACAGACGGTATGTCCAGTACTTGTCCTGGCGATGCTGTTGTGGCTAGCTCTTACCAAGGCCATCGGGATTGTGCCTATTCTCCTCGTGTAGGAAAGCTTTTGATGTTTGTCTGTCTGTAGAATATCTCCCCACAGTATGCAAGGAGGAACTCTGGCGTCCCTACGAGGTGTTCTTATGTCAACAGATGTTAGTCCCGCTTTTCACGCTTTCGCTTTGGACAAAGCTGGCTTCGATGTTAGAAGAGAGAACAGAACAGAAGAAACAACTGAAGAGTAGGTGGTCGAACGAGGTTAATAGATGCCTCCGTCGTCTGGGCGAACTTGTAGGACTCATGCAGTCTGTGATAGCATCCAATCTTCTCTGTGACGCACATCACAATGTGCACAATGGGGAAACGACAGTGATATATCTGATACTCGAAAAGTGTGTGAGTGTAAGAGAATTGAGGGTTTGCTGGGTGCGGTATTGTAGTGAACGCTGATTGGCCACAAAGGGCGTTCATCGCGTGCCTGCATCTCAGCATCTGCGGGCGCGTTTCCAGCCTACGAGGATCCCATTTTGCCTATTCCACCACCGCAACCTTTCCCGCGTCGCTTTGCAATTTTATTGATTCCAAGGGACTCAAAAGGTTCAACTCTTTGCTGGACAGCCTAAAATCGACCTCCTATGGACACATTTGATTCCCTGACCACCTCTTCCCGTCAGCGACCAGCAGAGTTGGCTGTGAGCCCAGCTTGACTGCCACCCCACAGACGCCCATCAGGGCAAAGCGCTTGTTCTCTCACCCTGGCTCATCAGTCACCAGCGTCCATGGCTTTCGCACTCTCCGAACTTCTCAACCCCGAACCCACGTCCATCGCGACTCCGGCAGATGGTGCCCACTCTAATATCGAGTCGCATGGGTGAGATCGATCTACTCCGACTGCTTCTTAGGATTCTTGACTAATTCCTCCTCCAGAATGGACACCGCGGAGCCGCCTCCCGCGTATTTTGCGCCCGAACTTTTCCAACCCAGTGACGATGCGCCGCCCCATCTAGACACCGTTCCTTCAAGTGTGCAAAACGAGGATACTCCGATGGATGATGTCTCCATGTTCAAGGAGAGCGAGCATCTGGCTGGTCTCGACGGGTCAAACGATGAAGATCACATTAAGCAGGAGAACATGGACATGGGCTACCCTCCTTTGGACGAGGAGCCGGACCCGGCGGTCAATTCTTCCCTCATGGAAATGGTAGAGGAATCCCTCTACGCTGAAGATGCTCTGCCGAAAGACGCTCGAGAGAAGACCCCGAAACAACGAAAACATCCTGGCAAGTCGAGGAAGGCCGATCCGGATGCTCCGCCTCGATCGTCGATTCACTCATCCAAGAACGAAGGCCAGCACACGGATCGCAGGTATTTATGTTACTTGTGCAACAAACTCTTCACCAGACGTCGCTCTGTCCGAGATCACATCTCCAAAATCCACAACACGAAAACTTGGGAACCGGTGCGCAGCTTGGAAATCATCGTCGAACCTTCGACGGGGGAGCCTCTTGAACCTCTCGAGCATATCATCGCCAGAGGACCCCCTCCCCCCCCTCCTAAGCTAAGCAAGGCGGAAAAGGCTTTGCGAGCAGCAAAACGGGCAGAAGACGAGGATGAGGATGATGAGGAGCCACAGCCTAGAGACAATCGCGAAGAAGACGAAGAGAAACAAGAGGCTCAGGAGGATATTTTGTTCGCCGCGCAACCCGTCGCTGACTGGTCGCTACCACCCACCGGTACTGCTGGAACTTTGAAGAAAGTCCCATCGATCGCAGAGTCAAGGGCATCGTCCACGGAACCGTTTGCTACCCCAGCACCTCTCGCAGGCAAAAAGCGCCCGGCTCCTGATGACCCGGCGAGACTTCTTTCCGCAGCTGCACGAAAGAAGGGTACAGCCAAGGTTAGGAGCATCTCGAACAAGAAAGCGAAACTGAGCGAGTCCGAACAAAGTCCACCTGCGGCGAGATCGAGTTTCCGCTCCCCAAGCGCCACTCCCAGCACGAACCAGCTCAAGCTGGGGCCCTCGAAACTGAAAACGCAGACATCGGCTGCCAGCGTCAAGTCATCACCGGACCCCGCTTCTTCTCGCGCCGCATCACGAGAGATTGGCTCTCCTTCGCCCTCGATTGCCGACACGTCATCGAGCTCCAATGATGACGGGGAGGTCTTCTGTATCTGCCGGAAAGGAGACAATCACACATGGATGATTGCATGTGATGGCGGCTGCGACGAGTGGTTCCACGGGAATTGTGTGAACATTAAGGAACGAGATGGCGAGCTGATCGACAAGTACATTTGCCCGTCTTGTACCAAACCCGGCTTGCAGACCACGTGGAAACGAATGTGCCGGCGCAAAGATTGTCGGAAACCTGCCCGTGTTACCCAGGTCCCTCCTAGCAAGTACTGCTCCGATGCCTGCGGGCGAATGTTTTTTGTGGATCTGGTGCAAAGAGGTGACCCTCAGGCTCAGACCAGTAAGGATGGTCAGTATATCATCGAGGGACCGCCACTCAAGAAGCATCGGAAGAAACAAAGGAGACGAGAGAAACCTTCGAAACCGCTCCTCACCCTGGTCAATGGCGTGGACCCCGACAGTCGACTTGCCACCCCCGCATACAGCGATGAGGAAAAGACCGAGTATGAGACCGACAGCAGTCTCGACGATGACATGCTCCCCAATCGAGGCTCGGCACTGCGAGCTGGCGAAATCAAAGCCCTGATCGAGAAATGTAAGGACATTGAGCAACTGAAAGCACTGGGCCGGAAACCTGACACCCCGCCTCGTGACATTGACATGGCCGATGTCGACTCGAAGCCACCAGCGCCATTGGATCTGGAATATGATGAATTGGAAACGACAAAAATGGCCAATATTGTAGAGGAGAAAAAACGACTCAACGTGCGATATGAGATGCTCATCGCCCGAGAAAAGTTCTTGGAACTGATCAAGGCTCGGTCGTCGACAATTGTCGAGGAAATTCGAAAGACACACCCGAAAATGAAAGACCTGTGTGGATTTGATCCCAGGATGGCGTGGTCCGATGAAGAGTTTTCGACATGGTACAATCACAACGGTGGGCGGGCCATTATCGATGCTGGAGCGGATGCGAGGATAGGACCACCCGAAGAGGCGCTAAACGATGAAGAAAGTACAAAACTCTCTAACGGCGTCGCACAACACTCCCAAAGCCCAGGCGTGGATGCGGAAGGGGAGGAATACGACAACATGCCTAAAAAAGGAGGTGTCTGTATCAAGAATCGTTGTCCGCGACATCGAAACTGGGCCAAGGGACAGCTTGCCGAGGTACGGTTTGAACAGGATCTAGTCAGGAGGGCTGTCCAGAGGTGCGAGGCACAAGAAGGGGAAATCAGAGACCGGGCTGTTATTCGAGCTTGGGAGAAGAGAGGCTGAAGCTCTTCTGTATAACGCACCGATGGCGGGCTCGGAGAAACGGCATGATCACACTCCGAACGCAAAGTGCTCCTTGTTCGCTGACAGTCTTGGGCTTACACCCCCCTCAAACGGGAGAGATGAGCATGATCCGGGATAGCATGAGAGGATACTAACATCATTGGGAGCCGTATTGGTGTAGGATCAATACCAGAGGCCGTCAACAGGCCAGTTCTGCAACAGGGAAACTGACACTGCAGTCACTTTGATATTCGCGCTTTTTTTGTTCTCTGCAGCCCCGAGTGACTTTGATATGAGCTCACATCGCTCGCCACACATCTGACGAATACAAAATTCATCACTGGCCCCCAATTCTCCGCAGTGACGTGGGTGACGAGAGGAAACCATCCGTCCTATCTCGTTGGAAAGAAGAAGTGATTGATGAATGATGCACGTCGGACTCGAGGCCCTTTTTGTTCTTGATGGGAGTACGTGAGTAATTCTATTACCGAACCGTATTCGTCTTCATAATACAATCAAGGCTCCATGCCGACTCGACTGAGGAAGTTTGTTCAAGAATTGAAGAAACGTACATGGTTCGCCACTCTTACTCTCAGAGGTTCTCCATTCGACCAGGAACTACTCAGCCAGCACTGTCGGCTTGGGCAAAGCTTAGAAATCTTCCTGCTCCGTAGGGCGAGCATTCTTCTCAGTGAGAAGATAGTAAACCCGAGATGGGTGGAAATACGGCGAGTTACATAAGTAGAATTGGGCACAGGACAAAGCCCACAGAGACTGACTGGGACTATTGCTGTGAAAAACACTCGAGATCATCGCCCAGCATTTTCCTCGTCCTAGATATTCAGAGAAGCATCCTCATTCGTTCAGCCAGAAACGCGGAAAAAAGGTTCCGACAGAAGCGCGCTATTAATGCGGGACTATCGAGAAGCCTAAAAAGGCTTAGCGAATTCCCCACCAACTTAATATACATGAACCCCTTGCATACACAACGTCCAGACCAGATTTTGATCCCATATATAGGCTGGACCACCTCACGGTCTGCGTGTGAATCAATCATGCAGCCTACAAGCTGGCTGGCTGGCGTCCCCTTCCCAACAAAAGCTGCTCCTCTCTACGCTCCCCTTCCTGAAGATACTCCCATCCTGGTCTCATTCCCACCACCAAGGCAGAAATGGAGTGGCCTAGCCGGATCATTTGCAAGTTGCTCCTCGCAGTAGTACTGGTGGGAATTGTTCTGATGTGCCTGTTCGATGCACGCCGACGACGTCAGGTAATGAAGGTTAGTCCAAGCAATGGCCCACATATATTGACGTTGTACAGGAGGAAAGAGCATTCGCCAAATCACACGGCTGTCTCCCACCTCAAAGCGAATTCAGGCACCGCTGGCCATGGGCTCTCGATCTCATCAAGAAGCATGTGGCAACTGTGCTGACTGATCACGCGCTGATGCTACAAGTCGAGTTCACGGAGAGCATGGGCATCACTTTTGCTGCGTACATGTTTGGTCTTGTTGGCTACTTCACCTCGGATCCCTGCAATATCAAAGCCATCACCGAGACTCATTTTCAAGGTCCGTCACGGCCATCGATTCCAAGCCCGTGGAGCTAATGGTGGCGAACAGATATGGGTCTGGGAGTGAGACGGCCCGCTTGTTACCCGTTCTTTGGCGAGGGGATCTTCACCCAAGATGGTCCGGCCTGGAAGCATTCGCGAGAGATGCTCCGACGACAGTTCGCGCGAGTCCAAGCCCGAGATTTGGAGACCTTCACGGCCCAGGTCGAAACTCTGGTCTCGACTTTTCGGGACTCCAAGGCCGCCGTGGTGGACCTTCAGCCTGCATTCTTCCGGTTTACCCTGGCGACCACGACCGCGCTTCTCTTTGGCGAATCGATCGAAACATTGTCTGCGGCAGAACAGCGCGAGTTTGCGGAACATTTCGACAGTGCCACATGGGCGACCGCGGTACGACTGCCTTTGGCACATCTCAGCTTCCTGTACAATACCCCGAGCTATCGCAAGTCCTGCCGCATCGTCCGGCGCTATGCGGACCACTTCATCGAGAGAGCATTCCAGTACGAGCGCGAGCACGGCCGAGAAAAGGCCACCGCGAAGTATCCCTTCATTTTCGATCTCTACACCGAGTACCAGGACCGATCGTTGGTGCGGGACCAGCTCGTCAACGTGTTGCTCGCGGGACGAGACACCACCGCGTGCACGATGTCCTGGGCAGTCTTCCATTTGGTTCGTCACCCTGAGATGCTTCAGAGGCTACGTGACGAGATCAACGAGGTGGCCGACTCCGAGACGGTGATTACGAGGTCGCACACGAGGAACATGCCCTATCTCAAGGCTGTGCTGAACGAAAGTGAGTCTTTCGTGACATTCACTCCTGAAGCTCTTCGTCCTGGGGGGAATAACAGCTAACCAATGGTTATACAATAGCTCTGAGACTCTATCCACAGGTCCCGATGAACACCAGATGCACCGTCAGGACCACATTTCTCCCCAAAGGTGGTGGCCCGGACGGGGAGTCTCCGGTGCTCGTGCCCAGAAACGCCGGGATCACGTTCAGCCCGTACCACATGCACCGGCGCAAGGAGCTCTTCGGCGAGGACGCGCACGACTACAAGCCCGAGCGGTGGCTGGACGGCAAGCTCTCTGCCACCATCGGCTGCGCGTACATTCCGTTCCTGCACGGGTTCCGGACGTGCCTGGGGAAGGACTTTGCCCTGTCGGAAGCGAGCTACGCCTTGGTCCGCCTCCTCCAGGCCTATCCCGCCCTGCGACTGCCGCCGGGCACCGTAGTCGTCCCGACCGGCCGGGAAAAGCAGTCCCTGACGCTCGTGGTTTCCAGCTTGGAGGGATGTAAGGTCGTGCTGGACTGACTGTTTGAAAACAACGCTGGTCTCACGCGCCGCCTCTTCGTCCACGACCTCCCTCCTCCCGGCTAACTCACTCACTGCGCATGTGCAAGGCAGTCGGGCGCCTGAGGCAGTCCAGGAGCGCCACAGCTCTCTGACTGGAGGTAACATTTTCAAGTAACGGTGGATCGCTTTTCTACGGACAAAATGGTGCTTTGATGGGAGCCAGGGCCTAGCTACATGAATTTTGGCACCTCGGTTTCTGCCATTTGTGATGGTATCTAGGGTTATTTTCGCACAAGACAAGAGGGAGGGTCCTCAATGGTGATCGTTGGAAATGTATGCAAGGAGGAACAGAAATAGCTCAATTGATCTGTTGCATTTTGTTGCTTCAGGCTGTTCGACTACACACAAAGCAGCCAGGTAGGCTAGACAGAAGCTGGAGCCGATGTTAGCAGCCCGACAAGATTTTGCAAATGTTGGGCATACGGGCAGCTATACTGGCACAAGGGCCCCTAAATCATTCACATTGGTACGACGTCCAATCGTTCTGGTTGGAGCCCACCAACTTTGCGGTATGCGGCCACGGGCACAGTTTCCTCGTGATGTTGGCTTTGCTGGGCGGATTTGAGCTCTGCATGGCCGTAGGCGCAACCCCCTTTTCTACCCAGGGCATCAAGACGTCCAAAACGTGGTAGGTCGCGGGGACGTTGGGGTAGGCAGGGGAAGCACCACAGTGGCCGGCACCGGGCACCATGAAGAGGCGGTAGAAGTCGGAGGCGTTTCCGGTGACGCCCGTCTGGCCGCTGAGGAACGTGTTGATCTGGTTCAAGTGGTCGATCGGCCAGGTCGCCGCGTTGTACTGGTCGGCCCAGCCCTGTGTGGTGATCATCTTGGCCCCACGCCGGCGAAAGCCCAGCAGATCTGGGGAAATTTCGTCAATGTACGGAGAGGCGTTGGAGTTGACGTGGTCCACGTCCGTGCTGTTGAAGGAGAACGATTGGTAGTCGTACGTCAGATTCTTGAATACCAAATTCTGTAAGATGGGGATGGCGTAGGCCAGGGCCAGCGACGTCTCCTGGGCCAACCACCCGCTCTCAGACCCGAGGTCGAATCCGGGGTAGATTTGCAAGCCGGTGTCGGGTTCTTTGGGACCCTGGCGGAAAGCGTTGTATGTGGCGACCTGTTGCGGCGTGACACACTGCACAGTCCCATTTTTGGCCTTCGGCGCCTGACCGTGGCCACACTGCAAAGACGTGATGTTGAAGCTGCACTTGAGCGGGTTCTCGATGACCCCGTCTCGCACGCCATCGATGGCATCACACTGACGTATCGTCGCATTGGTAATGAGATTCAGGGTTTCCGCGTCTATGAACGAGCTGTTCTGCGCCTGGGCGTGGACGTAATTCCAGAGAAAACTGAGAATCAAGTGGCTGTACCAGTTTCCGGGGCTGCCGGCGTAGATTCCGTCAAACAGCTCGGGGTGGTACTGGGCGAGTGCAAATCCCTGCGCGCCGCCTGTGGAGCAGCCGTAGTAGTAGTTATACGAGGGCGATTTCCCGTAGTAGAGCGCCGTCAGCTGCTGGGTGGGAGGCGTCAAGGTTGCCATCGAATTGTGAATCCACTCCGTCGTTTGTTGGATGCTGTTCAAGAAGGGCACGTACGAGCCTGGCGAGGCCACAGCTGGTCCATCCTCTGCGTAGGTATGGCCAGAATCACCCGCTGCCACGGCAAAGCCGGCTTCGAGCTGGGCCAACATCGTCACATAGTCAATCGTTCCCGCGAGTCCACCATTCCCTAGTCACCGTCTTTAGCAATACAGTCCAAAGCGAGTTACGCATGTTGAACGCACCGACGGCGATGTATCTGCCATTCCATTGCTTGGGGGACGGGAGCCAGAGCTCGACACTGATGGTGTCGTTGAGATTATATGCCACTTCGGCTTGAACACGGCATACCCCCGTTAGGGTTGTGGTCGGCACATCGCTGATGTTCAGTGACTGTGTGATGACTTGGGCAATTTCCTGGCTATTGACCAAGCTGGCATTGACAATACTCAAGCTTGAATATTGACCCAGTTGTCCGGAAAGGTCGCCACAAGATGTCGATTGAGCCGTGGACGAGCCGAGCAGGAGAAACTGCAATGTCAAGCCCACGATTTGAGAGAAGAGCATGGTTGGCGACTTGTGTATTGTTCGGCAGGATTTTCCTTTCCCCCTTCTCCTCTTTCTTGTTTCCCTTCTCCTTTTTATTTCCCCAGACCCTGTGCAATACAACCCGGCCACTCCATGTTTACCTCCAGCTATGGCGATTTCTCCGATTCCAAGTCGCTACACACCGTCTTTTCGGCCTCTACTGACCGAGAAAGATCTGTCCCGACCTGCACTCGCCGGCGGCGAGCTACCAAAACACGGATTCCAAGTCACGGCAAATCCAATGTTCAGTGATCAAGTTCGAGCAAGGCACGGACAAACGCCGGAGTAGTAGTAAATTAGTGGGAACCTTCTCGTCACGAAGTCGTTCGGCGCCGATAACCGACCACTTATGGGGTTCGGGCTCCATGTCCGATGGACACTGCGTAGGTCAACGCCCCAGATATCCAGGAAATCCTTGGGGCCCCCTTTTAGGTCTTGCGATCAACCTGCGAGGAGGTTGTGGGGTAGGGAGTGAGAGCTGTGGGATGGTGCCCTGCAGGGATGCTGGATATCCCGGCCAAGGATGCTCAAGGAATGGACAAATAGTTCGGTTGTTACGGGTGGGAAGAACATGATGACTTCCAAAGGGGTCAGCTCTGGGATGTGCTGTATCCTGTACTCAGTTTCTCGAGCAGGATGGAAGGGAGAAGTTTGTATAACATGGTCATAAATGACAAGGATCGACGGTCTTTACATGGCTTGGCAGTCATTCATGCATTGCCAGTCTCAATGTCTTCCGCACTCGCACCTTCGACCTTCGACCAACACTACCACGAACTCTCTGTCTTTCTTGAATACACCAGGATTGATGCAGGTGAACATCTCAAGACGATGAAAGCTCATCTTGTCCTGCCTACTCGCTGTGAACATTGCCACTCTTCTCACTCTCAACCACAGTGGTCTGTCCCGGTCCTTTGCCTTCCTCAACCGCCAGAGGCACCGGCTCAGGCCGTCGCTGTTGCATGTTCTTCGCCACTCGGACCGGGTCAAAAATGCTGTGGCTCTGTATAAAGATATCGTCCACTTCCTCCAACGACTTGCCCGCCGTCTCCGGCCAGAAAAAATAGACAGCTACACCGGTCTGTTAGGAATTGACGGTTGTCAACGTCGGACGGGAAATACTTACATGGCAATATCAGCACCAAGTTAATACAGGCGTAGATGATGAAGTAGCGGTAGTTGAGAGTTGCGAATCCCACCGGGGTGATCTCGGCGACAAGGAAGTTGAAAGCCCACGCTGTACCCGTCGAGATACTGGTGATTGGCACGCGAACGCTGAGAGGAGCAATCTCGCTTGCATATAGGAAGGTGAGACCCAAGAAGCCTGCAAAGCATCAGCCATGGAACCCCCTCGGATGTGAAGAGAGAAATTACCTGTTGGGAAAAACAGCCCGAATAAAAAGATCATCAGTGCCGCCACAATTTGTGACCCCCGGTTTGTTGGATCGGACACGGTGCCGGTCATGATGACCAGACAGCATCCCATGCCAATCGCCGCAAATATCATCAGTTTGCGTCGGCCAAATCGGTCGACCGTCAGAACGCCGATGGGCGAACAAAGAGTTTGGAAGGAGAAGACAGACGCAGCGAGAATCTGCGAGTCTTTTGCTGGAAGCTTCAGGTACTGACTGTACAGCGTCGGCAGATAAAATGCCAGGGCGTTGATGCCGCACATTTGCTGAAATACCTGGCCCGCAGCTGCGAGGCACGCCCGATGAAACAGACGTTCTTCGCCGTTTCTGAAGATGTCTCGGAAGCGACCTTGGCCCGTGACACGCAGGGACTCCTCGATGCGCATCACATCGGTTTCGATCTTGTTCGAATCCGTAGGGAGATCTTCCAAGGCGGCAAGAACCTGTTTCGCCTCCTCAAGTCTTCCTTTTTTGACGAGCCACCGTGGCGATTCAGGCATTTGCGACATCGTTCCAACGACAATGATGGAGAACAGGCCTGTCAGCGCCAGCGGAAAGCGCCACGCAACGCTTCCAGAGGCATGAGAAATGCCATACCCGATCCATCCCTGGAGAGCAAGGCCAAAGCTGATGAAGACGGATTCGAGTAAGACGACGGAACCACGGTGCTCCGCGCTGGAACATTCGCTCTGCCAGTTGGGTGCCGTGGCAGTCAACGCTCCGAATCCGAGACCCGAGACGAGCCGCCCGACAATCAATTGACCAAGGGAGTAGGACGAAGACTGTATAATGGCGCCAGCCGTGTGGACCAGCGCCCCCAGCATGATGGTTCTCTTACGTCCGAGCTTGTCGCCCAGGACAATGCAAGAAAGAGCGCCAAAGAGGGCTCCGAGAGTGTACAAGGCTATGACCGTGCCCTGAACTCGACTGTTCTCGGTCTTCTTGGAGCCGGTGGTGTTGACGGTGTCGATGCGAGGGAACACTGAGACCCAGCTGGGCAAGTCCACGAGACTCCCACCGACGCCGTTGTTGAAGCCAAATCTGGGAGCATCAGTCAGCGTGATTCGATTGTGCCAAGTGCATCGTCTCAACAACTCACAGTATGTACGCAGGCATAATCACAGCCCAGATCAAGGCGGCATTCAGCCGTGAGCCACGCAATCCGAAGTATTTTGCCATCTTGGTATCGACCTACTATCTTATAGCAACGACAAGAATGCCCTATTCCCACACAATGAAGACGAAGAGTCTAAATACTATCACGCAGAGCATTCATTTTCGAAAGCCGAAATTTCCCTGGCTACTACTCTCTGCGTCGCGTGGCAGATCGTCATCGGCCTTCGGTCCGCAGGCCGACGCTCCCATGGTGAGCGATGAGAAGCCATGTGGGCTTCTTCTCCACGTTCGACTCAATGGCTTCTCTGCTGATCAGCCACTCCCCTCATTCAAGCTGCCTCAAGTCATGGGTCCGGCTAACTTTCGAGGAGAGACGGGGCAGATACTGCGGACGTTGTAGAGTTTACAGCTGACGGTAATGAACAAGATGATATGTATCTTTTGCTTTTGCTCCCTCGTATCTAACCGACGAATTATCATCACTCCCAAGACACTTAGTGTGCGCCACAATGCTTCATTCGACAGCCCTCCCAAAAGGACAAAATAAGTTGAGGGTTTCTTACCGAGGCGTCCTCCGAAGTCGCCCTGACATTTCCCACCCCAACACGCAGTACTCGTTCTGGTAATAGTGGATGACGATCCGGAAGACCGGCGGCGCCACAGGGCCACGTCTATGTAGGACAGGGCGCATCCATATCGCGGCAGGGGGATTTGTCGCTCAATCGTGCAGCTCGTGAGTCTTGACCCTCCACTCGATCTGAGTGTTGACTTCCTGCTGGTATCGAGACGACTCTAGCCTCAGGCCGAAAGTCGGTGTTGTTCAAAGCAGGACCACATTTCCAGATCAACCTGGTTTGGGGCAATGTCTCCGGAATCTTCCAATCGACCCGGAGCGTGCGAACGTTGTCACCGCCGAAAAGCACGGTGCGACAAAACCCGTCCGTCCTGCTCCTCTTGCATCAAGGCCAACAAAGCATGTGTTTACACCGCAAAGGAGGGAGCTGTCCGCCGACAGGATCTAGAACGAGTCCAGCAGCGGGTTCGTCAGTTGGAAGCGAGGAACAAAGATCTCGTCAATCAACTCAGTCGAAGCCAGAACCAACCATCTCCACAGACGCCTCCTGTATACCTCATACCTGAATTGAACAATTCTGAGACCAGCGACGAAGTGGTCAACCAGGTGTCGTATTTGTCCTTGAGTGCAGGAGGCGACCGGCAGTTTCTGGGTTCAACGAGCGGTCTCCTCCTCGCCAACCTCTTACAGAAGAATCTGCAATCATCCTTTCCCCCGGTCCCCAACGCTGAGGCACACGCTCAAGAGCAAAGGCCAGCGCTCAGTAAACGTGCCGCGCCGGCATCCCATGCCTCCTCCACTCGGCCACCCCAAGACGTGGCTCGGGGACTCTTGGTTGCATATTGCAACCATGACCATATCTGCTATCCCTTTCTCGATCCCAAAGTATTACATGCTGCTCTCGACGCCATATACAGTGAAGAGTCGTCCTCAACCTACCATCCCGTTGAGTCCTTCTTTGTCGACATGATTCTCGCCATCGCCACGGCTCAAGTCTACAAGTTCGACTGGCTTGTTTTACCCGATGCAGAAACTCACTACAACCGCGCCATCACTTACCTGCCGGTGGTTCTTGGTGCTGGTGGGATCTTGTCACTGCAGGCTATCTTGCTCATCGCCCAGTATCGCATGGGCAGCTCCCTTTATGATACGTCGGCGAGTTTGTGGCATCTGATTGGAGTCGCAGCACGAATGTGCTTTGAACTCGGACTGCACAAAAAGTCGACCTATGCCCTTTCTCAGAGCGGAAACATGGCTGTTGATCAAGCTCACAAAGAAAAGATGGAAATGATGCGACGGTGCTTTTGGTGTGTGGTCGCCATGGACCGCATCGTCAGTTTCACCCTGGGACGGCCCCTCGCGATCCAGCTCGACGACGTCGACGCTGAACTTCCGCCCGTCGATGTGACTGATGCCGCAGATATGGCAGATCGTCCTTCATCGGAAGACTCGATGGAGGCTCCTCTGAGCGATCAACGTATTGCTCTGTTCAATCACATTGTCCGCTACCGCCTCATTTGCGGCAAGATTTTGATCTCTCTCCACCGGGACATGCGGCTCCCAGGCGTCACCTTCGATTACTTCAAAGTTCGAGAAGATTTGGCCCACGAGCTGAGGGCGTGGCATTGTGAAACGAGTGCTTTGCCGTTCTTAGCTCTGGATGCGATGCTGGATTCGCCCAATCCCTCGAGCTTTCGATCACGTGAATGGTACGATCTTCTCTATCACAATGGTATCCTGATGCTGTTTCGTCCGTCACCGACTCTCTCCGACGCCTTCAACAACAGTGTTACCCTACAGCACATCTTTGAATCTTCGCAGGCGGCTATTAATCTCTACGCCGAGCTCCACCGAACGCGCAAAATCAACTATTCTTGGGTCACTTTGCATGCCGTATTCATGGCGGGTATCTCGTACATTTATGCCCTCCGATGTCACTTCCAGAATATCTGGCGCCCACCGCCTCCCACCAACTACCCTCGGGCAAAGTTACTCAGCAATCCGACCATCCAGAAGGTGGTCAACGACACCCGTGCCTGTTCCAATGTCCTCGTCGCCGTCTCTGAACGCTGGAGCACGGCCCGAAGCTGTTCGCGCGTGTTTGACCGTCTGAGTGACGCCGTCCTCGCGGACATTATCGAGACACAGACTCGCAAGCCGGTGACCCCTGCGGTTGAGGCTGTTCACCCGCAGCGAATGGGGAATGTTTCCATGATGGATTCGGCGATCCCAATTGACCTTTCCGCACCGGACAATGATCACACATGGGCGTCGAATTTCAATCACATGGCAGTCGACAGCACTCTGCAGGACTGCTTTGATGACCTGCAAAGTTGGTGTAATGACCAGTACGGCGGCGATGCCATTGCTCAACTTTCGCAAAACTGGCTCTTCGGCATTCAGGATCCTAGTAGCGCAGATTTTTAAAGTCAAGAGTCCGCTCCTGCGATGAGAGATCGACAAGAGAAATGTGCCGGGTCTCGTTCAAGCAAATGTAATCATATCCAGCCTCGCTGGAGGAAGCGAGCCGGGATCTCGGCGTACCGGCTTCTCAGGTACTCTGCAACGCCCTTTCCGAGTCCATCGATACGGTCCGAAGACGCAATGCCGCCGTTGAGGTTGTCGAGAACTCGGCTATCAACTCTGTTAGCACGCCCAGAGAGGTCCCAACAGAAAAAGAACGGGGGTGCACTAACAAATGTACGGCGTTGATCCCGGGAAATTCAACTCGCTCCACCCTCCGATTCGGATCTCCTTTTTGCCAGTCGTCGCCGAACAACTCCTTCAAGCGTGAGACGGTCAAGTAGGTCCGCAGCCAGGGGTATTCGTCGTCGTGGCGGACAAAAAAGCCAATGTTGGAGTTGTCGGCCTTGTCACCGGACCGCGCATGGACAATGCTCCCCAGAGGCACCATTTCAGTCGGGCCAAGGGATTGTAAATCTATCGGATTCTCCGTGTCAGAAGAAGGGCGCTCGACCGGGTACTCGGCCGTTTTCGGTGACGGGTCAACCTTGATGTTCTGGCCCGTGCTGAGGACGACTCGGTGGTCGATCATGGACAGCGGCATGAGGGCGGGAAATATCTCCATGAACGGCTTGGGATCCATGGTGCGGAAGTCCAGGTTCATGTGGTAGCCCGGGTAGCTCTGCATGCGGAGGGCATAGATGGGGACCTTGAACTTCGGGGCCTCGATGTCGACCCGGCTTCGGGCCTGAGCAAACACGCGCAGTTGCACGGTGCCTGCTTGCTGTGAGCGGGGATTGTCGGCTTGGAGTCCGTACTGCTCGACACTGAATCGACTGAACTTGTGCCCCTGCAAGATGTTATCCAACTGTTGCCGCATCATGGCTACTTTGGCGTCCACGTCCAGTCCGTTGATATAGAAAGTCGCCTCGGCCTGGTATCCTCCGGGCGCGGCGACCATGACTTTCGTCGTAGCTGGCGGCGGAAGGCCTGTGACGCCGTGCACCATGACCCGGTCGTCGTAGCCCGGCTGGGCCTCGACCTGGACCCGCGACAGATCCGCCACGACGTCCGGGTTGAGGTACAGATGACCCTGCAACTCGTAGAGCAGCTGCGCCTTGACGGTCTCGGGGGTGACGTGTCCTCCCCCTTCGGCCGACTTGGTGATGACACAGCCACCGGCGGCGTCGATCTCAGCGATAGGAAACGCCAAATCGACCAGTTCGGGCAGGAAGTCCTTGAAGCCCGAGAAATTGGCGCCGACGACGTACGGGCCGCACTCGATCAGGTGCGCCGCGAGCAGCGCGCCGGCCATTTCCGAGTACTGATCCTCGCGCCACCCGAAGTACCACGCCGCGGCGCCCATGACGGGCGACGCGTCCGTGCACCGTCCGCAGATGACGATGCTGGCGCCGGCCTCCAGCGCCTGCACGATGCCCCGGCAGCCGATGTACGCGTTGGCGCAGATGGGGTCTAGATCCCAGTCGCCCAGCCGACGGTTGGGGTGGTCAAGGTGCGGGAAGTTCAGTGCATGTCTGGTACTCGGGTCCGCGACCAGGTCCGAGACATCATCGCCCAACACCGCGGCGACCACGGTGTCCCTGTACCCGCGGGCGACACAGAGGTCCTGGACCTTGCGGAACAAGCTGAGCGTGTTGAGGGCGCCGGCGTTTGTGGCAACTTTGATGTCACGCGCCATGATGTCGTCGAGACACTCCTCCAGCTGGGTGTAGAAGCCGTGCTCGTAGCCCAGGTCCGGGTCGACGTCGCGCTTGGCCATGGCGTTCCACGCCATGTTCATCTCCGACAGCCAGTCGCCCGTGACGACGTGCACGTCCCCCGACGTGACCATGCGCTTCATCGCGTGCGGGTGGTCGCCCGTCGCGCCCGAGACGTTGCCGACGCGGATGGGTGGTTTGGTGAGCATATTTCTTTTGATGAATGTATAGAGTTACCCTGCTCGCTGGTAGAGGGATTTAATGCTTTTTCGTCTCTCTATCTCTTGGACCTTTTCCTTTTCTTTTTCTCTGAGACGTGCTCGTTTTTGGTGTAACGAGGATCCCGAAATGGTACCTAGGCTAAATTTACGAGGAGATGTGCAGAGGAAACTGTGTACGGACAGAAAGGAAGGGGGAAAGGGAGGATGTAAAAGGGAGAAGAAGAGAGCAAGAGAGAGAGAGAGAGAGAGAGAGAGAGAGAGAGAGAGAGAGAGAGAAGGAGGATGACTGAGAGAGTAGAATGCCACAAACACGAACTGCTCCTCGCAGCAACAGGAACAGGATCTACTACTGTCCTCTAGCTAGGCCCACCCCCGAGCTTGGTCTGGTCACTGATTAGCATGTGCATCGGAGAGAAAGAAAACACGACATACCTAGCTAGGCACTTGCCCTGAAGCTTCACCTAGGAAATCCAGTAAGTTAAGTGGGTGATTCACACGTATGAGGCATTGTGGGTTTGGCCATCGACATCTTCCGACACGAAAATCAGCATATTCTTCTTTTCCCCGTCATTATGACCGGCCCTGACTGAAAGAAAAGACATGTTTGACCTAGGCGTACGTACCATACCATGTACCCCCCGACTCCTTCATTGCGAGTCGTCTGTCGAATGTTACATGTCCGAGTTTGTCATTTTGTCGTTGTTGGAGAAGAGGGGGCCGTAGGGGGGCCGGTCCCGAAAAGCCCACAATGGTCTGATTTTCGGCGTGGCTGGCCGAGAGAGGGGCGGAGGGGAGGCCGAAAAATAGAACAGAGAAAAGGAGATGACGACAAGCCAAGATATAGATGTACATATGTATTATATATACATACTCGAAGGCGAGGAAAGAAAGTATGAGAGAAACTCTCTCGGAGCGCCGGCGAGAGGCCGGTCGGTGACTCACGAAAGATAAGAGAAGAGAAGACGAGAGAAGAACAGAATAGGATCCTAGGTAGGTAGGGAGGGAGGGAGGGAGGGAGGGAGGCGCCCAGGAGGGAGGAGGGTTGAAGACATGATAGATGGATAGATAGATAAGATACATCTCTATGTGTCTGCCATTTGTCGTCGACAGAGGGTTGGACATTTTTGCACATGAATAGAAAACAAGGTCAAGATCAAGATCGAGAACATCAACATCACCATCAACATCATGCTGCCGCCATACCGGCCACGGCGCCATCCGTCGCCTGGATAACCGTCCCGTCTGCTACGTCCTTGAGTGAAGAAGCCTTGCTGGTCCCCTCCTTCTCCTCCGAGGTCCTTGTCTTCAATGCGTCTTGTTGTTGTTGTTGACCTTGTTTCTTCCCCTGCTCAACCATAAACCCACTAAAGAACTTGTCCATGCTGTCGTAGTCGTCCATGTCGCCCACCCAGCTGACATACTGGTCCGGGCGGAGGATGACGGCGCAGCCGCGGGCGCGGTCGACACCGTAGTGCGTGTAGGCGTCGCCGAAGCCCTCGTGGTAGCTGACGTCGTCGGCGTGGATCTTCCAGTAGTCCCAGCCGTCGCGCGCGTCCCAGGGCCGGAACACCTCGGGGAAGTCGAAGATGGTCACGTCCGGCCGCTTGGACGCGTGCACCGTCAGCACCTCGATGACCGAGTCGTAGCGCGCCCCCGGCGGCGTGAATCGCTTCAGGAACGACGTCGGGGCCCCCAGCTGATCTCCCAGCCGGTCCAGCCGCGCCCGCTGGCCCGGGTCGGCCACGATGTCCCCCGCAAACACCACCACGCGCCACGTGCCGTTGCTCTTCAGCAGCTCCTGGAAGTGCCACGGCCGTGCGTCGGCCTGGTTGAGCACCTTGAACGACGGCATGCGCATGCCGACCTTGATCTCCACGGCCCGGTCCTGCGTGCTGATGACGCGCAGCCGCTCCTCGCCGAGCACCTCGGTGCCGTCGCCCTGCTCGGTGCTGTCGCCGGACTTGGCCACGATGACGCTCGCGCCGTAGTCGACGGCCACGCCGCTGGCGAACAGGTTGCCCTTGACGAACGCGTTCTTGAACTCGTCCATCGAGATGCCCTCCTCGTCCAGCACGTCCTTGGCCGGCCGCCCCGAGAACAGCCGCGAGAACCGGTGGTCGAAGTCGATCAGGTCCTGTGCGATTCGTCGCCGCTCCGACTGGTACGTCTTGAGGATCGACCGGTTGCTGGTGCCCTTGACGACGCTGGCGACCTTCCATCCGAGGTTGAAGGCTGGGGGCCGTCCGTTAGTGAAACAACTCATTGTCGAGATCGAGAGCGGGCTGTACTCACCATCTTGCATACTGACATTCATGCCTTGACCGGCCTGTCTGCGGTGTTAGTGGAGGCCTCTCACTTCCGTTGCGAGGATACAGACCTTGGGACTGTGAGTGTGCACGGCGTCACCCGCCAAAAAGACCCTCTCCTTCAGACTGAAGCTGTCCCCGACACGCTGTCCGATCTGGTAGGCCGTCCACCAGTCGCAGTAGCGATAGTCGATCTTGTACGGCTTCATGATCCTCTGGGCACTGGCCAGGATGGTGTCGGGATTGATCTTGCTGCGGTCCGCCCTCTGGCCACCCCCCGCGTTCTCCATCGTCGTCAGCTGGATGTAGAGTCTGACCAGCTTGTTCTCTCGCGGGATCACCATGACACTGCCGCTGCTCTCGCTGTGAATGGCACACCTCATGCGGATGTCGGGGAAGTCGGTGATGGGGATGATGTCCAGCACGCCCCAGATGTAGTCGGTGGACTCGCCCTGGAGTTTGAAGCCGAGTTGGTTGCGGACCCAGCTGTGGGCGCCATCGGCCCCAAGCATGTATTTGGCCTTGACCGTCTCTTCTCGGCCCTCCTTCTCGCGCAGCACCTTGGACCTCTCCAGCAGCTCTTGCGTGTCGTCCGGCGACAGGTTGCTGCGGAACAGCCCGTCCTGCAGCCCGGAGCCGTTGACGCTGGTGGCGGCCTGCTTGGGGGTCGCTTCTTGCTCGCTCAGATGGCGGAGCTTCACGGTGATGGGGTAGGCGTCGTTATCTTCGGCGAGGCTTTCGTCAAACTCAAACGACACGGGCATGACGCCGTGCTCGACCTTGATACCTTCCTCCCAGCCCGGCACGTCCCGGAGTGTCCTCTTGCTGTGCTCGGCAATGGAGTCGAGGAAGAACCGTTCGATGCGTCCTTGGTGGAGGACCACCTGCTGGAAGCGCGAGATGTTCGGGATGGTGTCCGGGATGCGGTCAGAGCGGTGGATGACACCCGTCTGCGGGTCGGGATTCCACAGACAGATTTCAATCATGTGGTTTGCCTCGATCCAAGCCCGGTGTGCAAAGTCGAAGCTGTCAAAGATCTCGAGCGTCCGGCATTGCAGTCCGTCTGCTTGGCCGTTGAAAATCTGGGCTCGTTAGTTCTGTCAGGGCCCATGAGTGTGTCTGGGTCGAAGCAGTATTGACGGGTCGCTCGCTCGCTCGCTCACCTTGGTGCCTCGTTTGTCCACTATTCTCGTCCGGATCCCACACCGACTCATCCAGTTCGCCATCATCAGGCCTGCCGGGCCTGCACCGATGATGAGGACATCGACCTCAGATTGGGGACTTGCCGCCCTTGGTCCTTGGGCCATGGTGGTGGTGTGGTGGTGGAGTTTCGATGCTTAATTTCAAAGATGGCGCACTGATTGATCAGCTGTGACCATCAATTAGTTCTTCGTGTGGGAGGATGTTGGCAATGACACTGATCACGAAGGCTTTCTCATGCCTATATAAACTCGACAGAGATAGCTGGTGGTACGAGTATTCAGCATTGATCGTCATCTACCCAATGCAACGCCCGTGTGGAACTCGAACACCCAATGAGAGCAACTTGTGGGGTGGATGAACTCTCGGTTGCGGCACCGGATCAGGGATAAGGATTGACCCGCGAATCCGGGGTTCGGGGCCAAGGACAGGCTGTGGGATGAGATCTCTTGGTCCGGTGTGTGGGTAGATGATTCCTATACTGACTGCACCTCGTGTAGGATAATGACCTAGGGGGTTGTGGCCGGATACCGTACAGCATGAAGCAGGAATGAAGCCATGATCCCCCGCGGCTGCTGCTTGTAGATCTCTTTCGCCTTCGCATCCATGGCGTTTGACGGTGCGACTCTGATACCCAGGATATCGGAAAAGGGTACAAGTGTTCCGGGATGCCTCGTGTGATGTTTCTGTTCCCGTCCGCCTTGTTCGCTGAGCTGACAGACTGAAATGGGAATCATCATGATCGTTAGACAAACTCTAAGCCGACGCTTACTCGGCTGCTAGATCGGGTGGTACCCAGTCATCATGTCTTCAATGTTTGTAATAAGAGTGCTCGGCCATCTCTCTCCTGTGTCACCCATGTCGGTAGCAACATCGAGGATGTCCACCTTCTGTTTCAGACTTCGTCTTGCTGCCTCAGCTGACCTCGTTGGTGGACAGAGATAATAATAGTAAAAAACTAGTCTGTATTTGTTCTCGCTTAGCAGGCTGCAGAGAAGACCAAATATATGCGTGAGTGAGGCTGAGCGACAACGTTGCATGCGTTTCTCCCTTCCTTGCAGCATCCCGTCGATGCTCAGGCAGCTTTTGAGTGCTGCTTGTCTTCCAACTCCTAAGGGCACTGAGTCCTGTTGGGCGACGTCATTGTCAGCATGTCGGTGATCCACACCGACTTTGGCCGGCAATACCCAGACAGATTCAGGAGAAATAAGGGGTCGAGGACGTTCCTAAGAGGGCGAATCCCGAATTGCGAGTGTACACGAATATTAGGCCGGGCGAAGCTCAGAGAATGACACGACTCTGTCTTGCTGACCATATGCACAACCACCGGATACAGCCCTGCAACATTTGTGAGGCACTCGAGGAGCCAAAGGACGATGTTTCCGAAAGCGCCCTACGGAGTGGCCGTGCAACGCTAGATTTTGGAACCGACATTGTTGAGAGCCCGGATTCGTAATCAACGAGCATTGGGTATCTCACCAGATGGAGACGGTATGACACCTGCAGCTATTCAAGATGCCAGAGGGCTGGCCATACACAATGGTCGAACAGGCCTCTAGCAACACCTTTAAGAAGAGTGGTGTAGATCGAGAACGCATCACGGCTGAGGAGGAAGTCATCGGTTTGAGATGGAGAGTGCAGGCATATGGGATTGTCGCCCCATCATTGCCATTAAGGGGTTGTGCAGCTATCCAGACAGGCCGTACGAATACACTGTGGCAAAGATATGCCGTGGCAACGGCCACTGCTTGCACCAAGGCCATGCTGGAAGCAGAAGATGCTGATCCATACAGGGCCAAGTCTGATGGCAATGCAAGAACATTGGACCCTTGGCTCGCTCGGCCGATATTTCTTCCTCCGCCTTTGAGAGCATCATGCACGAGGCTACCAGTCATTCACCACCTCTCAAACAGCCTAGGATTGTTTTATCTCCGGCTTGGGTTGTTAGGGGTAGGAGTGAGAAAGGTTTGATGTCAGCACCAGGCATTCGGCAGAAAACGAATTCTTGGGCATGGCATGGCAAACCGGCTAGGGTGGGTAATAAGCCTGGACAACCTCTGGGTGGGACTTTCTCAAGTAGACCTTGTAGATGGGCTGGCCTGTATCAGCGTCACTCAGCTCGTCTGTCTCCTGGACTCCTTTTTTTTGGGCCGTTTGTATCGCTCGACTTGCCCGGGAGTAGATAGGCTAGGTAAATCAAAGCCAGTCATCAGCGATCTTCCGTTACACATACGAGGTGACTAATATGTAGATGGCGAGGATGTATACCGACGGAGACGGAGGGACTAGACCGGAAAGAGACATACGTCCAATAAGCAATGCGGGGAAGGGCAGCACGTGACTCTCCTAGCGGGGGAACATTTCCGGGGCCCCCGCTTAGCCGCCCCCAAAATCCGGCGGTGGGTCTTGGCGACAAATCCTGAGCCGGAGTCCTAGTCTTCCGCTCTCCTCCTCATCGCCACTGCTCAGTTTGTTTTGTGTACAGACGATTCTAGTTTGGAGTTGAGCACTATCAAAAGAACCGACAGAAGCCAACGACTGACGTCGTGCAGGCCAGGACCTGCACCCAGTACTCGGCCAAAGCGCACATCTTCTCAACCACTAGAAGAACCAGCCCAAACACACAGCGTTGAACCGCTCGGATCACCAGCACTTCTCTCGGCAAAATGCCTGGGCAATGGGTTCTGGACGACTCTCAAAGTCTGTACTACAGTGACAGCGGTGAACGGCCAGAGGAAGTCTCCACCAAGCGACTACCACGGCGTCTTTCGGGACAGGAAAATGCCCCGTTTCGACGTCGTCCGGACAGACCCTCAAATACCTACAGACAGCACATGCCCATTCGACACCAGACACCAACGCTGGATCGGAAATCAACCACCACAGTTTCATCCACGGCACCGCCTTCATTCAAGCGCCCTAGATTGTCCTCCGAGGGCGACTTGCTGGGACATCCGCTGGTCTTGGGACAGGCTCCGGATGCTGCGCCGCCCGTGGACCTCGATCTCGATCTCTATCAGGATGTCCAGACCACACCGACCACCACGGCGTCAGCCATGGCAGCCAGTAGCGTTTTCGCACCCACACTGCCGCCCGTCCTGGAAGTTTCACGACACCGCCGCGACGAGTGCGACAAGTCCCAGAAGGAGGCCGGGCATGCCATCACGCGGGTCCTGGCGCGCCTGGACCGGGCGCTGCTGCTCGACCACACGTTCACACACCCTCTCTCCAGCCTGAACCTGGTCATGGGCTTCAACACCAGCCTGCCGCGGTCGCGGCTCGACACATACATTACGGCGCTAAGGCAACTGCTACGGTGTTCGTCCGAGCAGTGTTTCTTGAGGTGAGGCCGCCACACGTCATGTATGACAGAGAGCGGGGGGAAATGAAAGCAAAAGCAAACGCACTCTCTGTCGCGGTTGGTTCTGCCCAAGGAGATCACTAACACTCTCAGCAGCAACGAACTACAACGCGCCATCACTGCCGAAGGCGTCCTGTGGGTGGTCCGTGAGGCGTGGCCCGCGGCCGAAGGATACTGGAACTTGACGGTACGTCCTGTCGGGGCCCAAGCAAGGCTCGACAAGCATAACAGCGAACTCCCAGCTATATTTGCTGTCCACCCGCAATGAAGTTGACCGCTGATGATGGTCCTCATTTTTCCCATCCTCGTGTACTGGCTGACACACTTCGCCCCCTCCTCAAAAATATAGGCCACTTTTCGAGGCTTCCTCCACGCTGAGCTCTGGCGCAATTTCCCCAGCCAGCGCTCCTACAGCCAACTCCCGCCCGCGTACCGACCGACGCGGGCGCAGCTGTCGGTGCCGCACTCGCCCATGATCGACTGGATGCCGTGGCCCGACGTGCGGGACATGGCCATCAAATATCAGGATCAGATCGACGTGGACGCGCTGTTCCGCATGGCGATCCACAACGTGGTCGCGCATCGGAAGAGGCGCGGAGGCCGGGGCCGGGGAAGAAATCTGTCCCTGCCAACGACGGCGTCGTCGTTGTCGTCGTCTGCATTCGCTAAGGAAGCTTACCACGATGACTACGCCGGCCCCGACCTCCTAGAGACAACCACCTCCACTCCTCCCCTCACACACGTCAATCAAGCCCAAGGTGGCGATGACGACGATGCGAGCGACAAAACCTCCTTCCGCGTATGGGACCTCGTCTGCCTCGAAAAGGCGCACGAGACCCCTCCCACGCCAACACCAACGCCCACGCTCACGCCCGCGTCCACGCTCCAGGCCGAACCGGGCCTGTCGAAGAAACCGGTCCTGCGGTCCCCGGGGGTGCGGGCGCTGCTGCGCGCCTACGACCTCGAGTACGACGAGTTCGACACGCAGAAGCTGGACGACCGCTTCTTCGAGGCGTACCCGTGTCTGTACGCCGACTCGGCCGCGTCAACGTGGACGGTCAAGAGTTTCCCCAACTTGCCGCGCGAGGACGTCGGGCGGCCCGTGGCACTCACGCGTCCGGCGGTGGCGCGCCTCAAGGACCGGTTGGAGAATATGATTGGGGCGCGGATTGAGATTTAAACATAACAAAACAGAGAAAGTGAGGATATGTTGTCACGGAAAATAGGATGGGAAGTGACTAGTGAAGGGGTAAGGAGGGATTTGGAGATGGAAGATGGAAGATGGAAGATGGAATAAGGGATATAGGGGATCTTGCTCTGTCCTTCTCCCTCTGTTATATTTAGTGATGCTCCATCCCCCTATTTTCTTTCCTTTCCTTTCTTTTCTTTTTTCCCTTCTTTGTTGTGGATGGCAAGGAAAATTGGTGTACCCAGGACAGGATGGTCGGTTAGTTAGCTGAGTGTCTGGGGTGCAAACCAGCCAGCTTTCTTGGAACTACATTGGATTTTGGCTTTGAAAACGAGGTAGGTCCAATGGCAAATAATACACTTCATCATTTGTTATTATTTTCTTCACATTCCCTTCCCTCTACGGAAACGAGCCCATTGTCAGTCACGAGGAAAATCACCCTCCTCCTGCGCAAAAGTCCCTCAACCACGTCCTCGCATGCAGGTCCACCGCACTGCTGAACAGCTCGGCCGGCAACTCGAAGGGGTGTTGTTGCTGCTGCTGTGGCTGCTGATCACGCCGCGCCTTGGAGCCGGAGCCGGAGGCGTGAGGCGGGTACCGATCCAGGACGGGCGAGGCACTGCTTCGTGTCAAATTGCTGGTCTGCATTGTCAGAGGGGGGCTGCTGCCGTCACCTCCCCAAAAGCGAGAGATGTCCGAGGAGTCGAGATCGAGGTCAAGGTCGATGTCATGATCGTTGTCGTCGTCGTCGTTAAGCTCTATGACACGGCCAGGACCGGGCCCCGACGGTACCATCCCTGGCGGCGTGCCGAACATGGCGGTGTAGATCTCAGACAGCTCCGGGGGTACGTCGATGGCTTGGGACTGGGACTGGGATTGGGATTGAGAGGGGGCGGATGGTGGGAATTTCATCTGCTGCTCGGGCAGGAGGATGCTGGTGCAAGTCGACGAGTCTGGATCCCGGTCGTCTGTGTACTGGGGGCGGGATGTCGTGGTACGGGGAAGAGATAGAGGCTCATGGGTCGATGCACCGGGCTCCTCGTATGGCCTTTTCGTCGAGGACGGGGCAGTAGAAAAGGAAACACTGTTCCTCGCTGCCGGCGGCTTCGCGTGCGACGACATGTGGCGCAGGAGGGTATCCCTACTCAGCGCAACAACGTCAATGGGTTAGTAAGGTAGTTCTTTTCCCCAGTTCTGTCCACCCCAGATACTTGGCTAGGAAAAGTCCGTCCATCTCTATTACTCACTGTCTCGTGAACGACCTCAGGCACAACGGACACGTAAACGGCCGGTCGGAGTAGTGGCTCCTCTTGTGCCGGCTCAGGTGCTCGTTCCGCTTGAACGGCTTGGAACAGACGGGGCAGCGGTACACGGCCATCGTCTGGGCATGTCCTTGTGGATATTATGGGCGGATCAATCAGGCGGGAGGTGAGGAGTCCTGTCAAGAGTCGCGGCTTTGGACTGTAGGAAGGACAGAAATTTGCAACACGGTCAATGTGATAGGCAATAGGCAATGAGGGTTGGTTGTTGGTTGTTGCTATTGAGCGGCGGCGCCGGTTCGGAGACTTGCGGGGGGCCGGCGACGTTGCGGGGATGCGGATTGCGGGGTGCACGATCCGATCCGATACATACAGTATGGGAAAAGCATCGGATGGATGCACACCATTTCAGGTCGAACGAGACTCGGCTCGCGTCTTTGTGTATTCAATCCGACTTAATACCGGCGACCTTGAGGCTGATGTATCAATCATAGTACATTGCTGCTTCATCGTACTCAGTCCCATCACATCTCATCTCGGAGCTTCCATTGAGCATTGCCAGTCTCCGGGTCTTAAGAGATTGCCTCAGCCTGTAAGACGAGCACGTTGTCTTTGTCGATGATTTCAGACGGAGTATATAGGGGCAGTGAACAGAATCATTTTTTGCTGGGAGTTGGGCGACGTCTGTCTTATGACCCACTCACCACTCGCTTAATCCCAGGGGATTTGCTGGCAATATCCGGAGCCCACCAGAATTCCCAATATGTCGATCATCCATCGGGTGTAATCAAAAACCCGATGCCAGAATCTGGGGACAAGATAAGAAAATCATGGGGAGCTCGTTACCCGTGAACAGCCACCGGGTTGAGCCTGGTATGCCTCCCTGAAAAGAAGAGAAATGGAACATGGCCGCTATGATGATACCATGCAGCAATATATGGATGTTCTGGAACTAAGTATTGATATTCGGAATTCGAACAGACGCCGGCCAAAATATAGATTATGCCGAAGAAACGGGAATATAATCACTACCAAAGATCCGCCCTCCCCAGTAGCTGTTTCGTACGCAATATCCCTTTGATCTGACTGTCCACGTATGAGTAAACTTGTCCAGGGCGCCTCGTATCAGTGCTCCGTCTGTCCGGCAGTAACCGAGGGCTGTAATGGCATGATATGAAACTTGCATCCGGTGAGTCCCGACGTGCAGCATCTGTGTTGCACATTGTTCAAAAACATCTGGTCTTTCGCTTGAAAATACTTCAGCAGCAGCTATTGTAATTGTGACTGTGTAATTGTAATAGAATCTCACTTGTGCCTCTGCTGTTGGTGGTGGCGGTAGTAGTAGTGGTGTTGGGGGATCATGCACAAGGCTGCACCTCCAAGGAGGTTGGTTCCCCATACAAACCAGGCACTATATCTAATTCAAAGCACGTAAGTCAAGTCACCATCACAACCGCTCTCGTATCTCCAACAGGCCAAGACTACAAGCACACTCTTTCACAAAAACAAACCTCTCGAATTGAATTGCCTGCCATGCAACCTGCAGAAAAGGGTACATTGGCACGTGTGCAACATGTGATGCTGCAACAGCATACGACCTCCCAAGACCCGCCAATTATGCCCAGGCTCACGCCACCAACAGACCACCTTGTGTTATGCAGTTGGTTTTTCTCTCCTCGGTTTCAGGCGACAGTCCATGTTATAAAACCCACTTGTGGACGACTCGTGGAGAAAAGAATAAATGAAGTAAGGCATGAGACTGACTGAGACTCCATACTCCCCCTAGAACGAACAAAAAGAGCCACCAACCACCAACCACCAACTAACTAATTAACTGACCAACGATATGACTGCTCGGATCGCCATCGTCGGAGCCGGCGAGGTCGGTGCCGCCACCGCGTTTGCCCTGCTGCGTGGCTCCCTGTACAGCGAGCTGCTGCTGGTCGACGTCAAGCCCGAGAAGAGGGACGGCCAGGTGCGTGATCTGTCTGACGCGTGCGGCGCCGAAGACAGTACCACACGTGTCCGGGCGGGAACGCTCAGGGAGGCCGGCGAGTGTGACGTGGTGGTGATTACGGCAGGATCCAAGAGGACGAGAGGTAAGCTGAGAGAGAGAAGACCGGAGAGGAGAGGACAGGGGAGCCTATTCATCTTCTCCGTCTGATCTATATCTGTGCTCTAAGAAACACAGTTGACTTACTTTGCCCCCCGGGAAATCCAGGCGAGACCTCGATCCAATTGGTACAGCGCAACACAGCCATACTCCAGCGGATCATCGACTCGATGAGACCACTCCGCCCGGACCTCGTCCTGCTGGTCGTGTCACACCCGGTCGACGTGCTTACGACGCTGGCGCAGCAGCTCTCGGGCCTGCCCAAGTCCCAGGTGATCGGCTCCGGCACGTTCGTCGACACGGTGCGTCTCCGGAGAATGCTGGCAGATCGGTTCGAGGTACGTATCTCATCATCATCAGCACCACCATCACCACACCTACCTCCTCATTCGTCGGGGATACATAGATGACATGCCCCCCTTATCTAAAAGCACATCTGACATTTCTTTCCTTCCCTCCCCTCCTATAGATCGCACCCAGCTCCATCAACGCATACGTGCTCGGCGAGCACGGCGACTCGCAGTTCGTGGCGTGGTCACACGCGTCGATCGACGGCGTCCCCATCACCGAGGCCGAGACCGTCGCCGCCCAGGGCTCCTCGTTCGACCGCGCGGCGCTGGCGGACGAGTGCAAGCGCGAGGGCCAGCGCATCGTCGAGACCAAGGGCGCCATCGCGTTCGGCATCGCGTCCGTCGTGGCCAGCCTGTGCGCGTCTATCCTGTTCGACCGCCGTGACGTGCGGCCCGTCAGCCACTTCCAGCCGGACCCGGAGCTCGGCTGCTGCGTCAGCACGCCTGTCGTGCTGGGGAAGGGGGGCGTCGTCAAGACCCTGCCCCTGCCGCTGTCCGCCGACGAGAAGGCTAAGTTGGCCCAGTCGGCCAAGGTCGTGCGTGATGCCGCGCAGCATTTGCTCGGGCCATAAGGGAGGGGGTGTCTGTCTGTCTGTCTGTTTCTTAGTGGATGAGACGATATACTTATATCAAGTGGAATGAATGGATGAATAGTCACGGGGCCTGTATGTGAGAACGACTCAAAAGGCCAGCTACATGGTCAGGAGAAAGGGGGGATCATATGTGTATAGGTTTGCAAAGGGATCAGGGGTAAAGGGACAATTTGGGCCAAAGGACAGGGTTGTTGGTTGGTTGGAAGGGCGATTCAAGGGACCGAACCAAGGGAGCTATGTGTATGTGCCTCTTCGCACCTCGTGTATATGTATATCCATATGTATACATGTGTATATATAGACACATAGGAGGTATGTGGATGTAATGGACACACTCTTACTCGCTGATACCGAATACCATCCTAGTAGCTATAGCACAACGTATGTATATACATATACATGATAGATCATTTTGTTACACATTTCCGTAACACTTTTTCCTCTTGTCTTTTTTTGTTCACTTTCCCTCCTTCGTCAGCCCTCAAATCGCCAACCAAGCCATCTCTGGACCCTACTCACACAGAGCGTGAGAGTACACTTTCATTCGTAACCGAATCACGACACTGCACTCCCATTCCCACTGACCACCACACCAATTGCCTTAGTTCGCCTTCTCACTGGCAATGACGTGCCTCTTGACCTCGAGAAAACTGTCCGGGCTGACCGAGACGGAACTGATGCCACACTTGACCAGGAAGTCCGCAAACTCGGGGTGATTGCTGGGCGCCTGGCCGCAGAGGCCGATCTTGCGTCCCGCCTGGCGCGCGACCGCGATGACCCGCTCGATCATCCACTTGACGGCGGCGTCCTGCTCGTCGAACAGGTCGGCCAGCTCGGCTGAGTCGCGGTCCACCCCCAGCGTCAGCTGCGTCAGGTCGTTGGACCCGATGGAGAAGCCGTCGAACTGGCGCGTGAACTCCTCAGCCAGGATCACGTTGGACGGGATCTCACACATCACGTACACCTGCAGCCCGTGCTCGCCGCGCCGCAGGCCGTTCTCCGCCATCACCTCCATCACTTTGGCGGCTTCGCCCACCGTCCGGCAGAAGGGGATCATCACGATCGCGTTGGTGAAGCCCATCTCCTCCCGGATCCGTTTGATCGCGCGGCATTCAAGCGCGAATCCCTCCTTGTACCGCGGCGAGTAGTACCGCGACGCCCCCCGGAACCCTAACATGGGATTCTCTTCGTGTGGCTCAAAGTCCTTTCCGCCGATGAGGTTGGCGTACTCATTCGTTTTGAAGTCGCTCATCCGGATGATGGCCGGCTTGGGGTAGACGGCCGCGCACAGGCAGGCCAGCCCCCGGGAGAGCTTGTCTACGAAGTACTCGGGCTTGTCCTTGTACCCGGCGGTGAGTCTGGTGATTTCGGCCTGGGCCTTTTCATCCTTCAACTTCTCGAAGTGGACCAGGGCCATCGGGTGGACTTGGATGCTGCTGACGACGAATTCCATCCGTGCGAGTCCGATGCCGTCGGCGGGGAGACGCCACCAGCGATAGGCGGATGCTGGGTTGGCCAGATTGAGCATGACGTTGGTGCGTGTCGGGGGTAGCCCGGTCACGTCGACCTCTTTCGTGGTGATGTCGGAGATGCCTTCGTAGACGAACGCGGTGTCGCCCTCGGCGCACGATACGGTGACATCCTGTCCCGTGTGGAGGATGTACGTGGCATTGCCCGTCCCGACGACGGCCGGAACACCCAGCTCACGGCTGACGATAGCTGCGTGCGACGTTCGGCCGCCATGGTCGGTGATGATGGCGGCAGCTCGTTTCATGATGGGCACCCAGTCCGGATCCGTCGTCTCCGTCACCAGAATCGACCCATCCACGAATTTGCCAATGTCTTTGGCGGTCTCGATAAGACACAAACGACCTGACACGGCAGCCTCGCCCACCGAAAGACCGGTCGCCAGAACGCGGCCCTTTTTGCCAATCTTGTAGGTTTTGAAGACGCCCGCTTCACGCCGTGCCTGCACCGTCTCCGGCCGCGCCTGGACGATGAACATCTCGCCTGTGATACCGTCCTTGGCCCACTCTATGTCCATGGGGCATTTGTAGTGGTTCTCGATGATGCACGCCCAGCGCGCCAGGTTAAGGATTTCAAGGTCACTGAGCACGAAGCTGTTCCTCTCGGCCTTCGAGGTGGGCACGTTGCGGGTGGGCATATGCTCGTTTCCGTAGACCATCTTCATGGCTTTCTCACCCCGTTTCTTCTCGATGATGGGGACGAGGTCGGGGTTGGTGAGAAGAGGCTTGAACACTTGATATTCGTCGGGATTGACCGTGCCCTGGACGACGTTCTCGCCTAAACCCCAGGCGGCGTTGATGAGCACGACCTTGTTAAACCCGCTCTCGGTGTCGAGCGTGAACATAACCCCAGAACCGGCAGCATCCGAACGAACCATGCGTTGCACACCGATAGAGAGGGCGACTTTGAGGTGATCAAAATGTGCCGTCTGACGGTAGCTGATGGCCCGGTCGGTGAAGAGCGAGGCATAGCAACGTCGGCAGGCGTTGAGCAGCGCAGCTGGACCCGAGATGTTCAGAAAGGTTTCTTGCTGGCCAGCAAAGCTGGCGTCGGGCAAGTCCTCGGCGGTGGCACTGGAGCGCACGGCAACCGACAGATCGTTGATACCTGCCTGCGCCGAAAGCTGCTGGTAGGCGTTGGTGATGGCGGTCGACACATCCGCGGGCCAGTCACCACGCAAGAACAGATTTCGTACCGCATGGCCTGTCTCTGGGAGAGTCGCTTTGCCAGATTGCCATTCCCCGATCAGCCTGGTCATCTTTCCCCGGATGTCGTTGGCATCGACATAGCGCCAGTAGGCGTCGGCGGTTGTGGCAAAGCCCGGTGGGACTACGATGCCCTCTGCCTTGAGGCCACCGATCATCTCTCCCAAGGAGGCATTCTTACCTCCCACGGACGCAACATCGCCTCGCACCACGTTCTCAAAGTTGCGTACCAAGACCTTGTGGTTGGATCCGTTCATGGTCTGTGTGTTTCTGTTTCCTCTTTCCAAACAGGAGAACTGGGTATATCGAAAGGGAGGATAGTTAATATTGCATCCTGTATCCAAATGCTTACCTGGATTCGCCATGTAGCGATGACGCCCATTAAATGAAATTGCCAAGTCATGAGATATTGCGCTGCCCGAGACATTGATGCCCGGGTTGGACATGGGACCAGAGTACGCGTGTTCTTCTTGAGATCTCTAACCAATCTCTCCACGCCATTGCCGCCATGTTGAGGAGGACGGTGCCTGGATCTCCAAAACAGGTGATGATGGAAAGTCCATCAGGAGAGGTCAAAAGGTACCACTTACCGAGCTTATTCGTGGATTGCAGAGAAGTCCGGCCAGAATCACCTGATTCGTGAAGCATCTTTGCAGGGCACTTCTCTTGCCATAACGTAATTAGTGCACCACGAGAACATGGTCTGGTACAAGGAGACTGAGGTCAGTGAGGAGATGGCCAGGAGATGGCCAGCTGCCCAGGGAATCTGCAGGTGTGAAGCGAACAGGGTTAATGGGGGTTGAGGCTTAGCAGAGAAACTCATGATCAAGAGCTTGATTGTACAACGGGCGGCATCATGCACAGTTCCGAATCCCGAGGGTGGGAGATGGAGAGATGTAATGTACTGGTACAAGTGTGTGGTGGTGAAATTCTGCGCGTAGAAAACCTTTTGAATCCCGTGACAAAGACGTAATCGTAGTCGGAGAACACATGGACGATTACCTACCTACAAGATGAGAAAAGATGAACGAGTGACATGCCCCCCCATTCCTTCAACTCTGCTGTCAACGTCTGGGATCGTATTTCGGTGTCATATTCATTCATACAGTCTGCCCTCATTCCCCCCCAACTGCAAAACAATAGGTGTAACGAATAAAATCCATCAACGATTCGTGTCCGGCCCATCCAACGCCCTCCACCTCCCTTCCTCGTGGCTTTCGTGGAAGCCACATTTGAACCCTTTGTCCCGTCAATGTCCGAGTAGAAACCCGACATTCCCGTCTCCCCCGAGTATGGTACACCCTTACACGGCTTCTTCCACATGCCGCAGCACAGGGTAGAGTTGCTCTTCCTCGGATTTTTCTTTGTGGTCGTCCGTGCCCGTCATCTCGGCGTCTGGGTGCTCGCCAGAATCCTTCGCCGAATCCTTGCCCGCCCCGTTGCCGTCGTCAAAGTCGCCACTCTGGAGCTTCTTCTTGATGAACTCACGCATCCACTCAATGAGACGCATATTTTGAACCCACATCTCGGTCTGGTCAGGGGTGTCTTTGGATTCGCCGCTCCGGGGCGTCTCAACGCCTTCGACACTCGCCAGGGCAGGATCAATAACATTATCTTGCGGCGAAGCTTTCTTTTTGCCCTTGGGGGACTCTTGCTTGAGACCAGAGGCCGGGGGGGTGATGGAGCCGTCACTAGCGATGTCCATCTCGTCCTTGACCTTCCCAGGAGCCGCACGCTGAAGTCGACCGCCGTCCCAGCGGCGGCGGTCATCACTCTCGTAGAGACCGCTGAGAGTTGCGGCATTAGCAGCCGCGTATGCCATGTCGCTCGCACTTGCTGGCAGTGTCGGATACATGGCGCTGCCGGTGGGGGCGGCGTGGCCAGGCAGGGGGCTTTGGCCAGACGTGTAGCTTTGGGCAGACGACGGAGGCGTAAGACCCGGCGTGCTGGCATCCGTGGCGCTGGCAATGCTGTCTTGGTGACCGTGCTGAAGCAACGAGACCGAGTTCGCCTGAGCAGCAGCTGATGATAGGTGGGACGAGGTTGGCGGACTGTTGCTCGAGCGGGCGTAAGTGACGTAGCCGGAGCCCGTGGGTGCGACGCCCGCCGTCAGATGTGCGTCGTTCTCGTAGATGGTGGCTTGCATCTGCTCCAGAATCTGATCGATCGACGTCAAATCCTCCCTCGTCTTCGCGTTACCCATCGGCGGCAAGCTGTAGGCCTGAATCGGATCTTCTTGTCCGTAGCCACCACCGACCGACACCGGTTGGTAGGCGGGAGTCGGGATCGCGGCCGGGATGATCTGTGGCAGCTGGAGTCCTTGGAGCTCAAACAGACGGCGGCTGACATTTTGGAAGTTGATGGGGTCGACCTCCCTGCGCTTGACCTGGCCAAAGAAGTGGTCGAGGGCATCATAGCCGCGTTTACGAGCTTCGTAGTCGTAGGTGGTCTGAGGTGCAGTGCTATAGTACGTCACGGGGCCATAACCCGGGTGTTGTCCAGTCTGGAGATTTTTGCGGTTAGCATCTTCACGCCAGCCATATGCCCACACGCCAGGGGGAGGAGTACTTACCTGGACGGGAGGGTGAGGCTGGTAATACTGATTGGGGTGATGCTGGCCTGTGTAATCTTGCGGACCTGGCATGGCCGGGGCATAGTAGTTTGGAGGCACTTGTCCCGTCAGACTGCGACCATAGTATGAGGCGCCGTAAAGCCCACCTTGTCCCATGCCATTTTGAGATTGCCGCTGGCCGCCACCCGCCTCCATGTTGGGAGAGCGCATGATGACGCTGTCGTCTGCGTGCGTCTTGACATGCTTTTTGAGGTCCTGCGGACGCTTGAAGGCCTTGCCGCAGAACTCGCACTTGTGAGGTTTCAAGGGCACATGGACGCGGATGTGGGAGGTGATGTGGTCGCGCTTGACCGTGGTGGTCCGGCACTGGCCCCAGGCGCAGGTCAAGTTGAGGTTATTAGTCGACTTGCGACCGACATGGCGCTCGCAGACGTGCTCCTAGGACACTCATGTTAGATGGCGTTCGACATCATCAGGGTGGTGGAATGGGGCTTACGTAGAGCGATTCAGCTGAAGAGCAGCGCTCGCCGCATCCTTGCCACTGACACTGCAGGTTTTCACCGGCGGCGTTGACGTTGGGCGCCGGCTGGTTGGAGGCCAGCGGCTGCTGCTGGAGTTGACCTTGTTGCTGAAGCACGTCCTGAGGGGCCGAAGGATTGGGAGTGGGCGTGTTGCTCTCGCCCAGGTCAGCCATTGTTTGCTTGGCTCGAAAGTGACGCCAAGAGCGATGTCGATACTTGGCGGCGGCGGAATAGAACAGCTACCAACTGGGAACGCAGTCCGAGTCCGCGATGCGAGTTGCGATCACACGAACGGGAATCACGCCAAGGAAGGTGACGAGGGTGATGGAGAAGTGAAAGTTGAGGATGAAGAAAATCAAGGTGTGCAGGCTCCCAAATTTCCGGGTGAGGGAAAAGGTGGTGAAGGTTTTTTTGCCTGAGCAGTTAGCCGGCCGCGGGCGACTGGGCCAGTATTAAGTATACCGTCCCTCTGACTCGGCTTTTTAAGACGACGATAGGGGATTGGAGAGGTCCAAATCGTTCTGAAGGGTAAGAAGAAGAAGACGAAGAAGATACGTTAATTTACGGGAAGAGAAAGGACTACTACTAGTATTTTGATTCCGGGGAGAGGAGGGGGCAGCAATAATGGGTTGAGTTGACGGGGGGGGAAGGAACCATTCAGGGAACGCCGAAGAGGGGGGGGGGGGAAGGATGAGGCAGGAAAAGGGTAGGGGAGCAGCGTTTGGGGCCTTCTGGGGCTCGAGAAAGTGGACAGACAAGGGAGAAGATTGATTTCACGGACGAGAGGGCGCGAAAGGGCGGGAGAGCCAAAGGGTGAGGACGAGCCAGAAGTCAGACTCAGAGCCTGAGCCAGAGCGAGAGCGAGAGCCAGAGCCTAGAAGGCGAAACGCATCTGCAAGAGGGAGAGAGTGACAGAGAGAGACAAAGAAGGGAGAGCGAGAGAGAGAGTTGAACGGGCAGCAGCAACTGGAGCAGCGCCCACTAGCGTCTTGGCCTGAGCCTGCGCCAAGCCACTAGACAATCCCGCCAGTCCCAGCCAGCCAGTGGCCTGCGACGTGGTGGGGCAGAGCCAGCAGCCAGCAACCACGCACGCAGCGTCTGAGCAACATCCTCTCCTAAGCCCTTGAGTCCATCGGCTGTCAGCGTGATACGATACGAGTCGAGTCGAGTCGAGTCTGGGTCCTCCTCCTCCTCCTCCTCCTTCACTCCCCCGCGATTATCCATCTCAGATAACAACCTGTGACTTTCGCTGGGAGATGGTAACGAACTGTACCAATCTTACCCGGGATTGATTGTTGGGCTGATTTCACCAGCTGAGCAACGCCAGCAATGACACGTCCCAAGAAGTTGACGGCGGAATAATGGAGGGGCCCCCCCCTGATGAAACCCTGACAAGTCTTGGTGTTTCTTGGAAGGTCGGAAATCCTTGGAACACCACCCAGCGGGACGAGAAGTTGGCCAAGGGAGGAACACAGCTGCCCAGACCTGCTCAGCGAGGCGCAGCACTCAACTCACCCACTCTACCCATATGTAACAACAGACTGGTGGCAACCCTTTTTGTCCGAATTATTGGCGCCTCCTCAGGGAAACTCAAAACGCCTTTGCCCCCGAGATTGCTTCCAAGACCGGAATCTCTTGGTTCTGTTTCTTTTGCCATGGCTCCTCCGTCCGTCCTTAGCTCGGCACGGTTGTTCACAGGTTGCGCGATCATCCCCCCGACGCCGTCACATCGACGATAAGCGGAGGGAGTATCGGTGTAGGTAGGCATTATTACGAACGAACATGTCCCCATGTGTCATCGCGACCACTCCTGACTGGTCTGTCGGAGAGAGTGTCTTCATTTCGGGAAGTCTGGACGCCGTAACACGCGAGGGGAACCAGAGCCCACCGAACACGAGATGCCCGGACCTGAATTCGAGATCGGTGGTTCCGTGTTTGAAACGGGTAAGGAGTTCTCCAGCTCACATGGCGGAATACGAGCAATAGGTATGTACAGCAGTCAGCCGTCCTGCAATGTATGTCGTACATGCGCCAAACAGGGCATAAAGTGGCATGACGGCGTATTGTTCTGGGGGATGGGTTGTCATTATTCATCCGTCCGCGGCGGCATATTAGTCCTGCATTCTGGTTGTGTACGCACCAAGATCAGGCGTCTTCCCAACGAGGCAAACCTTGCGACCCCGCCGATCACATTATCCTTTCATCTTGCCCATCACCTCCCGCCATTGTCGTCGTCGTCATCATCACCATCATCATCAACAGCAGATCACGAGACTAAACAACCTTCTGAACCTCCTTCTTGGGAAGTGGCGGATGGAAGGAGGGGGGTTGAGAGGTACCGTATATACATAGTGAGAAGAAGGAAAAGAGGGCTAATAGTGAGGCAATGCAGGCCCCTAAAGCCGCCCTCCTCACCAGCCTATCAAGCCTACAAGGTATAGTTAACTCAATTATTATTAGGTGCACCGCCAACAAATGCCGCCCCTCGGCTCTCCCTCTCTGGGTTCTGCCCTATGTACTCGGTACTCTTGGGTACTACTTACTGTATGCACCCCATCCTACGCTTTGCTATGACCCATTATATCGAGTACAGAGGTTCGGTTATGCATATCAGACACAGTAGTCTACATACATACCTAGGTACACGGGCACCAGGTACTCCGGACGTTATACCCGCTCCGTACGTACTCGTAGATACATGCATATTCCAGTACCTAATATGTACCCAGGTAAGAAGGAAGGAACAATGAAGCAAACTCTCGTTTTCCCATCTTCTTTTGGTTTCCCTCCCTCCATCATCACCCCTGGCTGTGTTCCCCGGTGGACTCGTCATGTGGGCCTAACCCCTGCCCATTCTGGGGCGGAAGTCTTGGGTGTCTTGGGAGTTCTTGGTATCTTGGTATCTTGGTATCTTGGGAGGAGGAAGGAGGAAGGAGGAAGGAGGAAGAAGAGGCACAGAGCGGAAATTCTTGGGTCGCTTTTTTTTCTTCTCTCCTTGGGCCCGGTGGTCAAGAGGGATAACAGGAGGAATGAAGGAAATACGGTACGTGTTGTGGTCTTTTTTCCCCCTACCCTACCCTACCCTACCTTACGCGGGACATCTCTATGTACTGTAGGTATTGTACCTGGGTAGGTAGGTAGATAGATAATGGTAGTGGCGACGACGGTCGTGAGCGATGGAGGTGGCGAAAAAAGACATTTCTTGGAACGACGTGGACGATATCATCAACCATGACAATGACGGTGACGGGAATGCGGAATGAAGAAGGGGAGGAATGGCTGGCTGGCTAGCTGTTCCATCCACCTATGAGCATGCATGATATGATACATTCATCTATCCATCAATCCATTCCTACGAGGACTCAAGGGGGACGCACTCTCAAGAGACAGCCAGCAAACATCATCCTGCCTATTCCTCTTTACCACACAATGCCTGCCACAGAAGATTGGTCTATCTGTCTCTCTGTCTGTCTGGTCTGTTCCTTCCGAGCAAGCCCTCTGGGTTGTTTATAAGGATTTCTCTAAAGATGGCATTGGAGCTTGGGTTTACTTTATTCTACTCCTTGCAAGACTGGCGGCGGGCAAACTACTATACCGACCTACCCACACATACGTACCACATACATAGCTAGTCTGTATAAATGGATGGGTAGGTAGTTTCTTCCCTGTGCTCATTTCTCCTCCGCTGAAGCTCATTCATTCATCGTTGCGTCCACGTATAACATCACATCTCTCCATTCGTCATCAGCCAGCCAGCTGCTCCAACCATAACATGTTTTGGAACAAAAGAGCACTCAGATCCAGGACGCCGTCTGTTCACACAAAACCACCATCATGACAAATGCGATTGGCCCCCCCCCCACCCCATACCCGATCGATCAATCTGTGGTATCATCATAATAACGAACATTCGCAGAAAGCTGAAGCCTCCCTCACGCCCCAAATGCCTGAATTCATGTCGAGCTTCTCCGAGTAGACCAAAAAACTCCTCGTACGCCACAGAGATCCTGGTACACTGATCGTCACTGCTGGGTGTTGCCGTAATGCTGCTCGGCCCACGCTGAGTTCCAACCCTCGCTGCCAAAGTAGTCCATACCCGCCTGCACTCCCTGTGGCAGCCCGGGGCCCATGCCCATCTGCCCTCCGTTGATCTGTTTCCAGTACTCGTCTGGATTCGTCGAGGCGCCTGCGTCGCCTCCCATGTTCATCGATTCTGTCGTGTTGGGGACGCCACCCAGATGATTCATGTCCGTCCCAAGGGCGTTGTGCATAAGAATATCTGTGAATGGCGCGTTAAAGTCACGCCCGGTCTGGGGGCCGAATTGTGGTGCTAAGCTGGTGTTTTCACCCAAGGTGTGCTGGAAAGGGTAGTCGTAATTGCCAAAGTGATGTGTCGGTATGGGCATCTGATGGCTGCCGCTGCTCGGCGTGCCGAAAAGATTCGCCTCGTTGGGTGTCATGCTGGCCTCGGAGAACGAGTAGTGCCCATCCACCGACTCGAGCGCACTCATCGGCTGATTAGGGTAGGCAAACGGGTTGTCGCTGGGGAACATGACGTTCTTAAGATCCGGGATTTGCGCATTGCCGATTTGCGGCGTGTACTGATAGTTGGGCGACATGGGCGAGGACGCCGACGGGCTCTGGAATCCTATCAGCTGAGCACTTTGCATTTGCTCCGAGAAACTCGACATGACCGGATCAGGCAGTGAGTTCCTTTTCGCCAGTTTGGCCAGATAATCCGAAGGCAACGTTCTTGTCCTGCTGGGCGTTGCCGAGTGTTCCCGAGAGCTCATCTGGTTGCTGAGGTCGGGCGCAGTTTGTCTCTCCTGCGATGCTGCTGCTTCGGGACCCGGTGGAGGGCGCTTGCGATTGCTCGTGGGTGGGAAATTGAGGGAGCTTCGCCGTTCCTTCAGCTTCTCTGGGAGCACATCAAAAAGACCCTGTTCAAATACAGCAGTCAGCATGGCATGTCGCAATACCTGTCATTGGATTCATCTTACCGTCAAGCTGACAGTACACCTATCAGCAGCTGCGCTTCGTCTCGCTAGGCTTGCCAGTGTATCCCGTCCTTCCTTTGCATCTTTCAAGATCTCCGTGCTTGTGGGATTGTTTGGATTCTCGATGACGAAGAAGACGAGCGATAGGATGGCAAAGTAGGTCGTATACATGACGAACCAGTAGGATCCAACCAAAAGGCCTCGTCGCTTCATCTCACTGGTTATGTGGACAATGTTCCTTGCAACACTGATACATGCCGCCGCGCAAGCGAAGCTCCTCTTATCCACGTTTCGCGCCTGACATGCTTGAGATACGTAGTGTATAAATGGTCGATAGACCATCATTTGAACGTGAGCGTAGCTTATGCGCAGATGTTGTTGGACCCTGTCCGCCGTCAGCTCCACGTGGCGACGCACCGAGTTTCAGAAACCTACCTTGAAAGCTCCCGTCCAGCATTGTCCGAGGGTCGCAACTCGCTCGGCAATTGATCCATCCAGTTCTGCAGATCTCTCTCAAGCTCACGGATTTTTTTGTGGCTGATGGTGTAGACCGCTTCGCCCTGGGAGTTTCCGGGGGTTTTGAGAGGGTATATATACCGAACGACTTTTCTGAGAAGCATCGTCAACCTCGTGTGGGCGTTGGTCGCTCGTAGTAGAGGAAAGGTGCCAGCCGGCATGGGCAAGATACCCTGCTCGGTGATGTACTCGTCGTTGACCTCAGCCGGAAATTCTTGATCGATGTCATCGTCACTCAACATCTGGGGGAGTCCGAGGACAGCTCCCACGTAACAGTCGAGCTTCCGCACTAGCCAGAATATTCGCTTCCGTTCCTCCGACTCGATGGGGTTAAAATTGATAGGCAGATTGCGATGCAGGCCCAGCCGACAACACGCCCGCAGTGCAATGCCGATGTATGCGTAACAGGTGGGTAATTTGGCCGAAGACTGCAAGAAGAGTATCATGAAGACGATGGCTTGGATAGTCACTAGATCCCTGCAATCCGTAATGTCGAGCAATTGCTTGGCCGTACTGAAATATTGATATCTGATTGCCGTGTTAGCGAAGCGATCGTTATCAGATCGGGTTCGATAGTACTCACCCTTGTTCGATAGCCTCTTTGTAGCCTTTCAGGTCCAGCATGGTGTTCTCGTTCTCGGTCTTGGAGAACAGACATCCCACGGCCATGACCACGTAAAGTTGAGGCAAGAATTGAACATGACGATTGTTATATTGCTCGGGATCAGTATCGTATACCGCGTGGAGTCGCTTGAAAAAGGTCGGTCGGTGGAGGGGGCGCATAAGAGCGCAGCAGTCGTCCAGGGTGTTTCGACACAATTCAATGGCCACCTCCCTCGGCGGCAGATCGATGTGGTGAGGGAGGCTGAAGTCAATCGGTGATGAGTTGGCCGACTTTGGTGATTCGAGGATCTGGGCTATGGTGCGATTCTTGCTGGGGTGACGGTATTCTGCCAGGAACTGGTCACCAAACTGCGCGCGGAATTTTCTCATGAAGACATAACCAGAGGAATGGCCATGAAAATCCCAATTGCCATGATCATCCAGGTCCAGCGAGCCGGTTCGGTCAACCATCGACTGAAGTTGAGCGTCATCTTCCGGTTTGGGAGGGTCGGCCGCCGGTCTCGCAGTTGCATTTCCGTTGCCATTGCCGTTGACATTGACGTTGACATTTGCGCTGGCGTTGGCATTGGCGTTGACGTTGCTGGTAGTGGAGGCGCTTGTGCTTGCACGACTTGCCTCAATCAGTTGTTCAACACTTCGTGCATCAAATTTGGGATCGTCGAGGTCGAGTCCCGGTAACACCGAGCGCAGGATTGATTCAGCTTTCTGCAGCCTCTGCTCCAAAGCTTCGATATACTGCGGGGCGGGATTTCGCCTTCGATTCGAGGGTTGATCATATGTGCACTCTACAAGGCCGTCGTCAGTGAGTTGGGGGTTGGGTGGACTGGGGATCAGTAACGTTCACGCACCGTAGCTGTAGACGGTACAGTGCGTACAGGGCTGTTTGCCATCACACTTGATCTTTTTGCGACGACACTCGTCACAGGCACGGGTCACCCGTCGTCGCTTCTGCATAGGGACCGTCGGCTTTGTCCCAGAGTCACTAGGCGGCGTCTCAGCTGAAGGAGACCCAGGCCGGGATTCCGATACATTTTCGTCATGTTGATTTGTGGTGGCAACGGCCGCAGTGGTCGAAGGTTCATCTCTCAGAGCCTCGTCGGAAGGGCGACCCATAGACTGGGGCGTTATCAGTTCTTGGTCGCCCATCCGTCGTCCAGCCTCAGGCAGCCAGCCAAGCGAGGAAACAACTAGCAAAGGTGAGAGAGTGTTGTTGCGCTCATTCGCTCACAAGTCGGAGGGGCGTCGATGCTGGGGAGCACTGTCGTGTGGTGACGCATACAGAAAAAAGCAAAAGAAATTCCACAAAGGTCTGAGAAGACAGTTTGTCAGGGCCGGTCGACGGTGCCGGATTCGGAGCCAGGTACCCCGCAGCTCCGAAAGGTGCTTTTGAAGAAGACAGCGATATCGCTGAGAAGGAGCGACAGGAAAAGCAAAGAAGAAGAAAAAATTGATATCGTGTGCACGACGCAGAGGTTTGGGAATTGATCAACCTCCTTCAGTGGTACGAGCCGTACGAGAAAACCCGCCCGCCCAACGACAAGGGAAGGTGAAAGGGCACGGGCAGGAGCATGGGCAGCATGGGAGGCAAGGGAAACGAGGGAAGGGCAAAAGGGTTGTGGACATAGACACCCATTCCACCACCCATTCCCACCCACCAGGCTGGCTTGGTGCCCTTTAGGCACTCGTCACCCCCCACTTGAAGCCGTGACATTATCACCAAAGCACCGTCGTTGACGGGGAAGGATGCGTCATTGGACATGGACATGGGGTCTGGTCGTGCGGGTGGAAGCTGGAATTGCTGGCTGAAAGGCTTGATGGCTTGCTGGGCCCTCGAAGCGGATACCTGTGCGATGGACCCCTCGCTCCCCCCCTCCTCCTCCTTTGTATTCCCCTCTTGGGGCCCTGCTAGGCTTGCCTGTTTCTCCGTTTTTAGGTCTTTCAATAGCGGCAGCTGGGTTGCCAGGCCCATCGAATGCACGCAAACAGTGGAGGCTCGATCCCGGAGCTGCGTGGTGACTGGTGGGCAAATGCCGATCGCATGCTGGTTTTGACTGAATTCTTTGGGTCCTCAAGGCCTTTTGTAGCAACCGCCATGCTCGTCGGCGGGTGCTGTCAGTAGTATGGAGTAGTGATGGGGTTGCTGGCAAAGGTTGCACGGGCATCACAGGTAGGACAGGGCTGTCGCTAGGTGCCACCCTTGTTTTGGCGAAGAGGACAAGATGCATGGCTAGGCTAGAGACTTCCCATGTCTCTCTTTTTTCCCTAGCTTAGCAGCTGGTGGCTGCCGTCTTTGCCCCGAAACAAACAGCCAACAACGCTTGCAAGACCGAAAACCAGGACGTCATGGTGGCTCTTTTGTAGTTATATATAGCTCCTGGTATGTCCCGCCGCAAGCTCGTCTCCATGGTATATCTCGAGCTTGACTCTGCTCAATCTCGTCAATGTCGGTCTTCCATGCTCGATCAGTAAGGCGTCCCCAATTTCGTCCTACCACAACCTCCCAAAAACTTGACCTTCGCGTGGCATTTGGGGACCCGTCACCCTATCGCGTGGCTGGTCTTGCCCACCATTGCTTAACTCCGGCCTAATGCGCCTGGGGGGTCCGCCGATCGCGCACGGTTCCAGGGCCAGTCGGATACCTTCATTGCGTGTCTGAGGTGGGTATGGTGATGATAAGTGTCGCTCAGGTCACGGCACAAATGCAGCCCCAGGGGCCTTATATCGCCCATGCGCCAACAAGCGGTGAATCGCGGCTGAGACACGGGCTCCTCGGGGCAGGAGAACATGGCCATAGTATAATCTATCGGAACATCCAAATACGTCCGGCGGATGAATCCTCAGCTCGAGGTTGCGAGCAAGCTCGACTAATTCGCTGTACCTGGCGTCCCACCAATTGCACAATTGTTGCTTCTGCAGGATGGTGATCAGGAGCACAGCATCGTTATGGGGCATGATTTCAATGTCATATATAAATATGTCACTCCGTGAGGCTGCACACGAAGCGAAACGAAGCAGATGGATGCATTACGGGACACGCAGTCGCATCTCAGTTACCTCCTACCCACCGCCGTTCGAAGGGTCACAAGTTGACTTGTAATGAGGACCAACGATAATGCAATTTGGTGTGTCTGGGGAGGCAGCCTCCAATGTCGTCTAAACCGCATTCACCAACGTAGAAGGCAGACCCGGTCTAGTGGCGCCTGTTTGTGCTTCCACGATGACCTTCTCCTCATTCGCAGCCGTGAGGACGACGTTCTCGGCCGGGTCAGCGGAAGTTTGAATCTGTAGATCACCAAACAGTTCATTCACACTTTCCAAAGTGTGCCCTTGGGTCTCAGGGTAGAAGAAATAAACCACGGCGGCAGCCACCCAGTTGAAGGCGGTGAAGATATAAAAGTATCGATAACCCATCCTCGACAGTGCAAGTGGCGAGCACTGTGCAAAAATCAGGTTTACGGCCCAGTTGGTGAACGTAGACAACGAGGTGCCCTTGGCCCGGATTGCGGTCGGGAAGATCTCGCTGCTGAAGATCCAGGAAATGCACCCGAGGCTGGTGAAAAACACCGAGAAGACAAAGTACATGGCCACACAGGCTCGCAGGGCATTTTCATTGCGGCTGGGGTCTTGTTTTCCGTCGATGTAGAAATGCGAAAGCGTTGCATTGACGCAGAGCGCTGCTCCCATACCAATCATGGATGGAATGAGCAGTTTTCTTCGTCCCACCCGGTCCACAAACGCGATGCAGATGGTATTGTAGACCTGAGCAAGGGCACCGTATATTCCAATGATCATCAGAGATCTATATCGCATCAGCACGTGATCAGATCCAGATATGTCGATGGTGAGCACCAACCTGGTCGTGCTGAAATGAAGATAACTGTAGATACGGGGTCCGTAACTAGTCTCTGATCAGTATATAGCAGGCGCATCATCGACGATGGACCTTCCAGACAACTTACTAATTTATGACGTTGATCCCAGATGTTATGGTGAAAAGCTGTATCCCGCATGCCAACAGCACCCGCCGTCTGAGGCGCGGCTCTCGAACCAGGTCGATCCATCCCATCCGAGACTTCCGCTCCGCTTCAAGATTGTCCTGAATGCGTTTATACTCGGCCTCGACAAGTTCGTGACTTCGGTGGAGCCTTCCTAGGACCGCATGAGCACGGGCCGTGTCTCCGCGCTCGGCGAGGAATCGAGGACTCTCAGGCAAGAACCAAATTCCCGCCGCAAGGACCAAGGCCGGTAGCACTTGGAACGAGAGTGGAAACCGCCAGCTGAAAGGGCCGTGGACCAACGAGCTTCCATAGCCGATCCACTGAGCACAAACGAACCTGGCTTCCCATTAGCTATCGGAGCCAGGGACGATTACCCGAGTGTGACTCCCACCCAAGTCCGATATTCCATTGTTGTAACCCAGCAAGCAAGGCCCGATACTTCGGGTGTGCGACCTCTGAACAATAGTTTGGAATGGTGGCGGATAGCAGCCCGATGGCTAGACCAGCGATTACTCGGCCAACGATGACAGTTGCGACGGTATTTGCACCACCTTGCAGTGCGCCTCCTAAGCAGGCTAACAAGGCTCCGAGGAAGACGGCGGCACGTCGGCCGTACTTGTCAGAGAGTACATTGAGAAAGAGCGATGAAACTATGGCGCCTCCTGTGAAGGATGATACAATTCCGCCTGCTGTGTTGTCCGCTAATGTTCCGTTGCCGAAGCGGTTGATGAAGTCTGTTTGGGCGATCGAAGAGGAGATGATGCCGGAATCTGCTCATATCACCAGTCCCATGTTAGCGCCTTATCAAAGGCTGAAGTATCTACATAAGAAAAGAGAAGTCCGTGCTGGTTTGTTCCAGGCAGTGGGAGCTCTGTACCTAGATGTGGGTGGATAATATGGCAGTTGCAGTGTCACAGATATCAATGGAAGCATTGTTGGGAGAGAAGCTCGATGAAACTTACCGTAACCAAAAAGAAAAGCCCCCAAGCAGGCAAAAGTACAACAGAAGACTACTAAAAGCATTTGCAGTCATTGGAAGCTGCCGAAGGCAGCATTACCTTGGAGGAGTGGTTTATCTTGCTGATCAGATATTGCTGTGTCGAAAATGCAAAGGGTGAAGCAATTGAACTGCTGAAAAAGTCTCCGAGCTGACCGATTAAGAGACGAGGTGTTCCCTGCACTATTCTATTCAACAAGGTGTCGAGAGCGCAGGGGCGATTCGGTAACAGTAGGAAGAGATGGCGCCCTTCCCCGGATCGCTGTGGCCACTTAAAAGGCTCAAGCGGGCGACCAAGAAACTGCACTTCGTATTCTGAGGCCGTGGGCGCGGAAAAGCCGCACATGTGAAGCCGTCTTTCCCAGCGTAGTGCCACCAATTTCTGCGTTACCCTGGAAGTTTTGGTTTCGTATTCGAAAACCCTCTGCTTAGGAGGGTTCATTGACACTTGAGCAGCAAAGCCACCTGTGGTTCAAGACCCCCAGTGCCATGCAAGGCTGCTAGAAGGTATCAGGTTAGAACAAATAGGAGAGGCAGCTCATCCTACCATTCGCTGGTCCTCAGGCAAGAGTGTATCAGGGTTTCCGCCGGGGGGTGCCGATCTTCTGTGTTTTGAAATCCTCGGCTCAGCCTGCTAAAGTCTGGGATTGCTTGTGCCATACAACCTTTGGACATCGTGGGCGCCGGTGCTGCAAGCCCCGCAGATGGGTAAGCAAACCAAGCTGGGGGATTATTTTCGGCTGGTCTGGGCCACCAAAAAATTGAAGATTCATGGTGGTTCCAACATGAACCGGGACTGGTAGCTGACCAAAGGGGCCTGCAGAATCTCTGCGCGTAATTCGCTTTCCCAACCCAACACAACGGGTGCGAGCCCCGGCCCCAGCGACAAGAAGTTTAGGAGTAAGTCGTTCAGCTTTTCAAAGGTTGGCCGTGACAAGCGCTTGGACACTTTCAGCATTCTCCCCACGAACCACGGTCTTTCGGTATGCAGCAAGGCAGGATTGTTGCTTTCGCTCAACAAAATCTGTATCAGAGCTTCCACAGAAATGTGTCGGTCCAGTTCGTTGTGCATGATATTGTCCATAAGTTCAGCAAAGAATGCTTCGCTGTACTCAATCGAGTGCCGATATTCCCAAATGGCGGTGTTGATCGTCATCAAAGCAGCTAACCTGGATATGATCTGCTTGAACTGTCCCGTATCCGTATAGCGTGGGCCATTCGGGCTTGCCAGGAGACTGTGAAGAGGCTGTCCAGGTGAAAAGACCGAGTATCGCAAGGGTTGCTGGTTCCTTGAGATTGGGTTGGTCTGCAAGCCCGCTTGCACGAGGGCAAGATGTTCGGCGCACTTGAGGAAAGTGATGAATTCTTCACACTGCTCGGCGATCTCAGCACGGGCAATAGCCTCCGCTTCCTGGTCGGTTGAGTGGCTCGGTGACGATGGGTGGTCAAAGTAGAAGGTAGCACCATGACCTTTATATCCCGAGAAGATGTAATCGGACCAGTTGATCAACATCTGCAGTCTGTTGTTTTGCACAAGAGCAGCGGGCCCACCTCGGTCCCTGATCTTTTGCACCACGGCCTCCCAGTGCATCCACGCGTATATACGGCGCTCTATGCGCGGGTCAAAGTCCTCCAGTGCCGCGGCAGAAATTGTGGCGGATATCGTGGCATCTGAGGTGTCGTGTGGGTGTTGCTGATAGTGGTGAAGGAGCAGTTGCGATGCTTTAGCCCGATGCTCGATGGCAAGACGTGTCTCTGGTACACCTTGGACCCAAGCCTGCGTGTTGGCGGCGTGGACAAGAATGGTATTCTGGAAACACACGGCGCCCTTCATGGCTTCGGGAATGAAGACAGTCAGATACCAATTGTGTGCAAGTGGACTCCGTCGTTCAAATCCATACGAGCAAGCTGGCATGACGTTCGCATAGAAATCAAATAGTTCCTGGTCTTGAGGGCTTAGTTCCATTGGCAGAGCGTCGAACGGGTCAGTTCGGGCAGCACTCAGATATGACTTTGGTTCAGGGCTGTGAGACAGAGAACCGCTTGATAACCAACGCATGTTCTGAGGCGAGGACGGATCGCTGGACTTGATAGAGGATGGCGGAGTGAATGGAGCATCGGGGACCATATCTGCCAATTTGGCAAAGGCCGTCGACCCTATACGGAAGGCAGTCGAAGGCTTCGCCCGAACCACCACGAGATGACGATCGATCTCTTCGATGGAGCTATCCCGACGGCTCTTTCCGCCGGCATTTTCTGTAGCAACTGACCGTTCGGTCGGCGGACGTCGCTGTCGCGATTGTGTTTGCGACCTTGGCTTGTCGGGCTTTTTTCGAGCCGGTGCTTCGGCTCCCTCGACAGGATTGGACTGAGTGCGAGCTTCCCATCGCTTCTCTCTCATGTACTCCTGCATGACATGGCGCCGGACTTGGGTGGAATTGGATCCCATGGTGGTGACATCACTGTTGTCAATGAATTGAAACCGACGCTGTGGTTTCTTTGAGACAGGGGTAGCCATGGTGGAGGTTACTTCTCACTCCCCAGATCCCCAAACCGCAAAGAACCTAGGTGGTACAAGTAGGGAACGAGAGGCCTATAGCGATGACAGGCCCCCAAGCCGCATTCAAGTCCTCGTGGACGGAGACAGGACAACTCCACAAACATTTAGAGGGAAAGGATCAGGGGCGCCCAGCTACCATAAAGGTACACGCTGGTTGAAGAGGTCGACACCTTTGTCATGACGTCCCGGTAGTTCTGCGGGAGCGTTGCTCGTCCGCTCAGGATAGTCCTCGATGGCAGCTTCTAAAAGGAGAAGTCGGCCACCAAGGAGGGATGTCAGACTTTTGAAGACCGGAGAATTGCCTTTCTGCAAGCCTGGCCGTCTGAGAGTTCAGGGAGCAATATACAAATCCGTCTTCGAGCTCTCGGCGGTCGCCGGGGCGCTATACCATGGCCAACCGAAAGGGTAATTGGTGTTGTTTGCAAAGTTCGTGAGAGGAAGGTCGCCAGGCAGTCGTTGTTTTGCAACGGCACCAACAGGGTGTGGGTGATGATGTCTAGCAGGAATAGGCGTGCCCACTAGCTCTCTCAGGCGGCTCGGGTGTCTGATTTCAGTGGCCATGACGGGCAGGGTGGGAGACTCCCTCACAAATCGGCGGCACTATGGGTCCCATGGCACCCATGAGCTTCTGCTTGACTGTTAGTCAGCCCCCGTGCACCTTTGCTTGTCGGCCATCATTGTCTGTTTTGGGGGCTTACCAAAGGCTTAGGAACCACCATACCGACAGCTCGTCTCTCCTAGGGCCTATCCGCTCCGGGGTAAGCCCTGCAAGAGGTTCAGCGTTGACATCCCTTCTGGGCCAAAGCCCCGTGACAAGGCCTTGCTTTGCACGTCGCTGGTCAGATCTTGGTTCAGAGAACGGGCTAGATCTTGGGCAACCAGAATCGACGTGCCGCCCATGGCTCCGGCCGATCGATACTGGTAAAGCTAATAATCAAGACATGACTCTACCTAAAGAGAAGAGCTGCATGACAGGTATACGAAGAGCATGACAAGCTGAGCAGGAGAACTAAAGCGTGGACAACCAATTGATGGTCAGCCGACTCCTCCTCGTATCAATGTATGTACTTTGGTACTGGGGAGGTGCGGCCATGCATGAATGGTACTTTTGTCATTGGTAGATGGTTTGTGCCCCGTGGTTTGTCTAAACAGGACTGAGATGAGGTTCTCAGGTTGTGCAGACAGACACTGACTGGGCGGCTCGGAGAAGCAGAGGTAGATATACGATACGCCATGAACATCGGCTACCTTCTGTAGCAACTTCTTATAAGTGCAGTCAGTGTTCCTTCTGCCAGCGAGAAAGAAGAAGAGCCTGGCTTAGTTCTCTCACATCTGGCCAAAGTCATTCGGATATTCATGTTGTCTCTACCACATGTGTTGGCTGTTTCCTCTCCATCTCCTCCCATTGAAGCCTTTTTCAGGCCATATTTTGTCTTGTTTATCTAGGATGTGCCTCAAGGGAATCATCCAGGACCAACATGATTAGAGGTGAAGGTCTTCGAAACCAGCTCATGTTTGGAGAGGTGACGGATACCTTGGTAATAGCAGCGGGTAAGGCGACATTGAGATATCCATGGCTGGGCTATTACTGTCACGGTGAGGTCAACACGGTCACCCACAGCTGGCTATAGCATTCTCCCAAAGAGATGAAGCGATAGGAGCTTGGTGGAAACTGTGATGGGCACAACGGGCAAATGGCGCGAAACTGGGAGGCTTTTGCTTTCCTGACTGGCCTCGAAATGCTTCCTTGTTAGCCCTCACCCGACCTCCACCACCGGCCATTGGCTCCTTTGTCGCAGATTTCTCTCCAGCGAGTCTCCAACCCTCCAGCGTCTCAGAAACTGCCTCAGCCAGTGGTCATACTCCTTGGCTGGCTTCTTTGACTCGTCGACTATTCCAATCTGAATCCCAAGTCTAAAACCATCTCCCCCTCCCCCCGGGCGACGTCGACCGCGGACTGTGCCGACTGGTAATAGTGGTGTGGTCCCTCGCAGAACCACCTGCCACCCCCCCCCCCCCCCCTGGACCCTGAACTTTGCTCGTCTTGCTCTTCCTTGGGCCAGAGTCCTGCGTCTCTGCTGCAACCTACTGTGCACTTTCTTTACACTGCATCAAGCGGTGTCTCTTTACCAGTCTCTGCCAGCTGTCAGCCAACTCGATCCTTTCACCAAACTGCAGGTCCCCTCAACCTCAGTGTGACTTTTACACTGCGGGCTCGACGAAAACCTTCAACAAACGCGCTTAACCGCTGGACACGGTTCGCGTTTGCTAATCCGCCGCTCATTCTGTCAAACCTGCGCCGAACAAAGACGGACACTTTGCCCGCCGCTGCAAGTGGGAAATTGTCAACACGACGATAATTGCTCAACCTCAAGCTCGCCCAGTTCGCTTTTGCTGGTCTGGACAGTCCATTCAATCGAAAAAACCATGGCGCAACCGACGCAATCCATAAAATGTGTGGTAACCGGTGACGGTGCCGTGGGAAAGACTTGTTTGCTGATATCCTACACCACCAATGCATTTCCTGGCGAATACATTCCCACGGTCTTTGACAATTACTCGGCCAGCGTCATGGTAGACGGGAAACCGGTTTCGCTGGGATTGTGGGATACAGCCGGTCAAGAAGATTACGACAGATTACGCCCACTATCATATCCTCAGACGGACGTCTTCCTCATATGCTTTTCCATCGTATCACCCCCGAGCTTCGACAACGTCAAGGCAAAGGTAGGAACCCGCCTCCTGAAATTTGATGATTTGACGATTTTGGAAATTCGGAACTGATGGCTTTGTTGTAGTGGTACCCCGAAATTGAACACCACGCCCCGAATGTCCCTATTATCCTTGTTGGCACGAAGCTAGATTTGAGGGAAGACAAAGCGACCGCGGACAATCTCAGGAACAAGAAGATGGAACCCGTGTCCTACGAACAGGCACTGGCGGTGGCCAAGGAAATCAAAGCGGTTAAATATCTGGAATGTTCTGCACTGACGCAGCGAAATCTGAAGAGCGTCTTCGACGAAGCCATCAGGTGAGAGAAATCTCTTTATGCGCAAACCGTGCACTGTACTCACTTTGAACACAGAGCCGTGCTCAACCCTCGACCCGCGACAACCAAAAAGAAGTCGAGGTGTACCATCCTCTAGTAGTCTCCTGGGCACGCCTGTTCTGGATTGGGATCTTTTGGGAGTTTGCGTTGTTTTTGACTCGAGGTGCATCGCAAGAGGTGGGTATAGACAGTGTCTGCGTTGCCGCTTTCCCATCCCTTTACAATTTTTCTTGTCGTGGGCTAGCCAGCTTCTGAGCGCACACCGGAAAGTTTGGCCGGGGGATGATCTTGCGCATACGAATAATACAGCGGCAATCTAGTCGGGAAAGAAGGCGTTGATATAGGGAAGGGATTCACATCCAATATCTTGAGCGGCGGCGGCCGCAGCAGGCCCCTTTCATGACAAGTTTGCATTTTTGTAGCCATCCACGGCGAGATCCTGGTCGCTCAATGCGCCACACGAGACAGTCGACTGGGATGGATGTCTCCACGGCTATCCTTGACCTCAGTGCCCGCCACAGCGGTGGCATTTGCACCAGTCTCCGGCGGCCCTTTTGTCTTTGGTCCAGCCTTTTCGCGCTCAGCTTTCTCCTTGAGTCTTCTTCTCTCCCTCTCCTCCTTGAGCTTCTCATTTTTTGTCTTGATCTTGGCCTGCCGGTCTTTGCTCTTCCCACCACCGCCCGCCGTGAGTTCGACATTGATCCTTCGTCCTTTGCTTTTCTTTTCTCGTTTTTGCGATCGCTGGTCTCCAGAATCTTTCTCGTCATCTGCCCCATTGTCCTTGCCGGCGGGATCAAACATCGAGTGATGGTACAGCTTCAAACACGTCTTCATTTTGTCGTAGCTGTCGAATTCGACAAACGCATAGCCCTTGCTCTTCCCCGTTTTCTTGTCCGTCGAGTGGCGCACCGAGGTCGGTGAGAGCTTCGAGAAGTGCTCCTTTATTTGCTCCGAGGTGGTTTCATAAGGTAGGTTGCCAACGAAGACAATGAACCGAGTAGGAGTCGTCGTTTTCGTATCGCCGTCATCCCCTGGAGTTGTTGAGCCTCGCCTTTCCTTGCGTGTCTTTGCGACTTTCTCTTTTTTCTTCGCATCGCCTGGACTTGGCTCTGTCTCTGTCGACGTTGGCTTGGGTACAGGAAGGACCGTGTCCACACCCGCAGACGGTTCTTGTCCCTTCTCTCGCTCCCTCGACTTTCTCTGCTTCTTTGCTCTCCTCTCTGATTTCTCTTGTTTCAACTGTCCTTTCGACTTTGCAGGGGGGTTCGGAGTCGCTGTCTGGGATTTTTGGTCCACCGGTTCTTGAGTAATGCCCGAGTCATCTTGGACCTGATCTATCTTTCTCTTTTTGGACATTCTCGGATACTGTTGGTAAGATAGGGATAATATCTTAGTAAGAAGACAGCAGTCAATAGTTTGGCAACAAAAATTGGTTATTCAAGGAACCATTGTAAGGTTGTGGAGAGTGGAAAAAAATTGGTCTGCGGACCGAGTCGGCTGAAGTAAGGGTAAGTCACCAGGGAAGATCGGAGGGCACGTCATGCCCCCCGAGGCAGCCGACAATGTACCACCCAACGGGTCCCGTGGTCGCTAAACCTTATAGGCCCATTGAGCACGCATTGCCCCATGCATCAACTCCAAGTTCCGCCTAAAGTGCCTACCTGATACAGCGCAACCTGTCCGGAGTACACCTGGGGGCACAAAGTCACAATCTTTCCTTTCTTTTCGAGGTTGCCTTGAGGTTCGCGTTCGATAAAGGACTGTCCGCATCCCTCCGCCTTCATCCGTCAACCTCTGGTGGCCTCGTTCCCTCTGCTCCCCTCCTTACCTCTCCGCTATGATTGACAGATAAACGAGAGAGCGGTCATCGTGTCCTATCCCAAGCCTCAGAAGCTCCCCCTCCAGACCTCAACTCCCAGCTCCACCATGGCAGTTTACGCCTCTCAGCTCGGGTCTAAGGTACCCTTCACGAACAATGCCCCCGTCCTGCCAACCCATGCGCCTCCAGCTGGCACGTTCTTGCCAGGCACGAAAGTCCAGGTGGGAGATCACCGGGTTATCATCGAGCGCTATCTTTCCGAGGGTGGCTTTGCCCATGTCTATGTTGTTCTGCTCCCTCGGCCCGTCGATGGGAATCAGAAAGCCGTGCTCAAGCGAGTGGCCGTGCCTGACAAGGAGCACCTGGCCAACATGCGGACAGAAGTTGAGACCATGAAAAGACTGCGGGGCAAAAAGCATATCGTCAAGTATATTGATTCGCACGCTTCCCAGCTGAAAGGCGGTGGATACGAGGTGTTTCTGCTCATGGAATTTTGTCAGGGGGGAGGGCTCATTGACTTCATGAACACTCGGCTACAGAACAGGTTGACCGAGCCCGAAATCCTGAAGATCTTTACGGATGTGGCCGAAGGAGTTGCGTGCATGCACTACCTGAAACCCCCGTTGCTGCACCGGGACCTCAAAGTCGAAAATGTTCTCATTTCCACGAATGGCTCATCTAGGATATATAAACTGTGTGATTTTGGCTCGGCTGCTCCTGCCCGACCGGCCGCTACGAGCGCTGCAGAAGGACGTCTCATTGAAGACGATATCAACCGCCATACGACCTTACAGTATCGCAGTCCGGAAATGATTGATGTCTACCGAAAACAACCCATTGACGAGAAAGCGGATATTTGGGCCCTTGGGGTATTTCTGTATAAGCTGTGCTATTACACGACGCCATTTGAAGAAGCAGGGCAGATGGCGATACTGAACGCAAAGTTCAAGTTTCCCGGCTATCCACGATTCTCCGACCAATTGAAACTGCTCATTGCTTCGATGCTTCGGGAACGACCGACAGACCGGCCCAATATCTATCAGGTGCTCCAAAAGGCGTGTCAATTGGACGGCCGGGAATTGGCCTTTGAAAACATATATGCCCGTCGGACGCAGTCAGAGAGTCGCAAAGACCAAGTGCTTCCACAGCCGTCCAGTTCACAGTCTAGGGCCGGGGCCACCTTGTCTCCTCCCAAGCCGACAGCTCCTCCAACTGTTCCTGATATCGAGCCAATGCGACGGGGACGGCCTACCAAACCTGTATCTCACCATGGCTCCGCAAAACCAAGCCCCTCGCCTCTCCGAATGATGGACGATTCACACCCTGATCCCTTTGCAGCGCTGGACGGAAACAAGGCTTCTGTCGAAGATGAGCTTTCCTTAAGGTTCCCAACATTGGATCAGTTCTCGTTAATGACGGACAAGGGCCAAAAGTTTGCGTTCGAATCTCAATCGGAGAAAAAGAGAGAACCTGTCGAGGCGGACTTGGCTCAACGAGTTACTAATGCTCTCGCCGACGAGGCATTTGCCAGGCCTCCCAGCCCACCGAAGCCGAAACCAACCACAGAAAAGCCGGCGCCCATTAGCAAATCGCAGACCGTGTTGCTGCATAAAAAGTCCCTAGAAAGCAAAGAGTCGCAAGCACGAGCGAACCTCGTTAATCCACCACCGGTCACAGCCCCCAAACCCTCTATGGTGTCCACTGGCACCATGACGACTCCTTCACAACCTCCTACGACGGATGCCAAACCATTTCCAAATCGTCCAATACAGCGCTTCCTCCCTCACGAACAGCCGCCGAAAGTGGCAGTGGCGGTGACGCAGAAATACGAGACCATGGAATTACCTCCTCGGGAGCCCCGACCCTCTCGCAACAAAGACGTATCAAGGCTTGCAAATCTACTTCGAGAAGATGGGTACAGGTCACAACTTGCTGGGGATCTGGAGCAAAGGTCGCCCACGTCATCACGCCCATCTCTGGAGGGTGGTCGTCCGACTATGCGAGAACTCAATTCTGGAGTGAGCAGGTCAAGGTCACTCAATTTCCGAAACCGACCCGCCAGCGTTAACATCGGGGCGAGACCGACTCACATCAAAGACACGGAAATCAAAAGCCTTGACTACGACGCCACGTTCAAGAGTGCAGAGCCTGAAATGGCGCCCTTGACGCATGTCGAATCCGCCACAAACATTGCCTCAGACGTGGATTTCCTTAGGGCCAAAGAAGAGGAAGAGAAGTCGCGCCGGCACCATAGGAGATTGGGCAGTGGCTCAAGACATCTCAAACGAGCCAGTTTGCCATCAATCGTCCCTAATATCGCGGGCACGACCAAATTGTTGGCAGGCAAGTTTGGAGACGCTTTCAAGATGTTTGAGAGCAACATCGACCCTACTCATCACCGACAGCGAAGTGACTCACCCTCCCGCGACCCTATCAACATTCTCACCCCAATTGCAGGCTCTGAGGCGACGGATCTCAGCGATGACCGTCAGCCGTGGGATGACATGGAGGATTTGTCCCCCGAAATGAGACGGGAGATGGAAAAGCGCAAACTCGAGGCGGAAGAAAGAAGAGTAGCTCAGGCAGCCGCAGAGTATAGACAGCGACTAGCAGCAAGAGGAGGCGGAGCTGTGGGCAGCAGTGGAGGTGTAGGACGGTCAGCAACCATTCAGAACCGAGTGAAGTCGCTACTGAGCGAAAATGATCGGCCTGCGCAAAAGACAGCCACCGGCTATGGCCATTACACGGAATCTCCAGCCCCTCAGCAGCACGGTCACTCGGACGATAGACGGCCACATCAACCGTCCCGGGCACCCCAAGCTCATCAATTAACCGGCAAACTGGAACGACACGGCATCCCGGAAGTGGTGGCGTCTGCACCAGCCTCGTTGACAGATCTTTCCCGAGTTGACCCCCGAGGACAGAAGCCCACTGCGCCGCCGAAACCAAAGGTGTTGCGGACAGGCGGCGTAGGGGAGTCGGCGGCGGTGAGTACGAGTGAAGTCAATGCCCCAGCGGCGACCGAGGTGGATGAAGACTGGGAGACCAACTTCAGCAAGCGGTATCCCAGTCTGGCCGGCATTGAAATGGTGGAGACCTCGATAGACGGGCCGAAGAACACCAGCTCCGTGCGCACCAAAGAAGTATAACGGTGAGGGTAGAGTACATGTAGAATCTAGGGCAGGCACCGACACGCGTAAGATGTGGTCAGAAGTGAATGAAAGTGATGTGAAAGTTGGTGGTGAATGAAGGCAGCAATGGACAAACTGCACGCTTTGTTTCTCTTCCTTCCCAGATTCTCTCTTCAACTGCCCCTTCATCTCATTTCCATTCCCCTAGACAAACCCCTTCAAATCCACAGAATCCTCCCCGTTCCATCGGCACCCCCTTACATGGTCGTCCATTGCAAGGTTAAGGCATGGCTCCATACAAGGCGTTGACCCCTCAGCGCGGGGTGGCACCGGCGGTTCGTGCTTCAAGCCACGCCAATCCACCGTCGACCCCCTCAGGGCGCGACCAGGATCACCGAGCTGGAACCCCACAAGGCACGGGCACCGCGAGTGGCAGTGGCGCCGGAACACCCACCGGCAGGGCTGGAAGAGCTGGCAATCGCTTTCAAAATGATGCCACACAACGTGTTGTCCGTCACAAGAAGACCCCGTACGTCTACAGAATCGGGATACGTCTCCCCCGGGAGAAACTGCGACAGTTCCCACGGTACAACGGCAAGGTCGGCAAGTTTTTGTCTGAGGGTGCGGGTGCTGGATCTTTTGTGACGCTCAAAGTTCCTGGGTTGCATACCATCCTCAACAGCCGGCCAAGGCAATTTCCTTCGACCTCTGCTCTAGAATCAGCAGATACCGTGGCAACAGCAGTCTCAGCGGCTGCTTTTGCTCCGTCTCCAGGGACAATCCCGTCTGGGGCGCCATCTATCTTCTCCGAGGTCGAGCCCTTGTCCGATTCCAGAACTCCTGTCACCAACGCGTCTTCACCTCAGGAAACTTGTTTGGACTACGGGCTGCGTGACCTGTGGAGGGGTGCTGAGGAGGAACTTCCGGCTGCTACCAGTGGATCTAGCATTGCACACGATCAATACAGACCGGTTCCTGAAGAGAGCAAGCATTCGACTACTCCTGGGACACTCGACCAGTCTTACGTCTTCCCCGATCGCACGGGGCCCGACTTTGAGGATCGACCTGTTGCCGAGCGGCTCTTGCGCAACCCCGACACCGACGACGACGCAATGGCACCTGTCAAGGACACCAGCAATGTACACAATACCATCAAAGACATCATTCAGCATCTCACCGACATCCAGATTCAGACCCACGGTTACATCCCCGACACTCAAGATTTGCTGGTAGACAAGCTAACCGATCTAACCAACTCTCTCTCCCAGTTGAAACACCTGACTTCGCCCACCGAATCCCCCAACAACTACATCCACCAAGTCGCGATCGCTCCGGAGATCGTGGACTACGTCGACGACGGCCGCAACCCGGATATTTTCACCCGAGATTTCGTGGAGAACGTGCAAAGAGGTAACGCGGTGATCAACGGCAAACAGCAGGCATTCAGGGAGTTTACGGAGATTTTCGCAGAGAAGTTGAAGGAAGGGATCCCAGGCGTGAGCAAGGAAGTGGACAGGGTATTGAGGAATGCTGGGTTCGATGAACAGCACGATTCAACGGCGAATGGAGACGAGCAGGCGGCGTCGCAGGCTGGAGACTCAAATCCGAATGGCCCTGCCAATGGATGAGGGCTGGCAATGAGTCAACAGATATTCCATGCCTATGAGAAGGCCCACGCCTTTCAAAGGACTGCACCATGCCGATGAGCACGAGACCACTGAAGGTTTGCAGGGATCACGGCAAGTTTGGATATCAGTGTGCTGGAGCAACATGTCACAGAGGACGAACAACAACGTCTGGATGCTGTTTGAAAGTGAGCCAAAGGGCTGCCAGCAAAGACTGTTCCGCTGTTCAGCTAGATGATCACTCGGTGCGCGTTGAGGTGCAAAGAAATGCCTGTTGGAAGGACGAACGTGGTCGAAACTGGTGCTCGGCCGGGAAATCTTCGCCGAAGTTGATCGTGCACTAACTACGGAGTAATTAATTATTACTGGCACTGCTGGCGTCATAAAATGTGCCATTGTCACCACTAAGAATTACTGAGTGGCTTTCCCATACATACTATTTCCCTGTAGGCTTCACAACCACCAAGCTCTGTGTTCTTCTCTCCAGCGTTCCTCACAGTGGCTATCTCACGATGAGCGCCTCGTCAGCTCGTACCCTCCTCTCTAGGCGGGTGTGTCGCTGCACATCCCTGTACCCGCCCAAGTCAAGCCCTCACCTCACCCGACTCCTCTCGAGCAGCACCCAACGCTGTGAGGCTACAAGCTCCCCATCCTCTTTCCCCTCCCCAATCCCGACCTACGGCTCCTCCGAGACGCTCCGTCGGAAATACCAGAACAGGAACCGGGAGACGGACATCAGGAAGGATGCAGCCGAGCGAGCCAGGACGGTGAAACGAATGCGCTGGGCCGGCTATGGGATTGCAGCTTGTACCTTGGCTATCTTTGGTACGATATCACTATACCCGGATCCCAGAAAAGAGGCGCAGGTTGGAGCATCATCATCAAAGACGGAAGAGAAATCCCCCTCCAGCGTCGTCCGGCTCGACGCACCGCCTTCCATCCCTGGCACCATCGTCGACCCGTCCTCCAAGCCTCAAGACGTCGAACAGATACCCACTGGCACCAGCACGATCCCCTTCTTCCCTCGAATCATCCACATTGCATCCGACGCACCTCCCTCTACACCGGCATCTGCCAATGAAGGCAGCCAGTCCGACGTCGAGTACCAGCTCGTCGGGCTGGGGATCCGCACGGTCTCGATCCTCAGCATCCAGGTCTACGTGGTCGGCTTCTACGTTGCAATCCCCGACATCGCCGCCCTACAACAGCGGCTCGTCCAAGCCGCCGTCCCGCCGAGCGAGAGCGTGGCGACGACGCTGGTGCCCAGCGAGAAGTCGCAGCTGAAGGAGCTCCTGCTCGACCCGGAGCGCGGCGAGCAGATCTGGAACGACATAGTCAAGGACGGGCAGCTGCGCACGGCGTTCCGCATCGTGCCGACGAGGAACACCGACTTCATGCACCTCCGCGACGGCTTTGTGCGCGGCATCACGGCCCGCTCAGCGCACTTTGCGTCCGACCGGCACGACGACTCGTTCCAGGACGAGTCCTTCGGCGCCGCGCTCAACGACTTCAAGTCCGCGTTCGGCGGCTTGGCGCGGCGGAAGCTGCCCAAGGGCGACGTCCTCCTGCTCGTGCGGGACGCGCAGGGCAAGATGACCGTGTGGAACGAGGACAACAAGCGGGGCGACCGCATCCAGATGGGCGTGGTCGCCGACGAGAGGGTCGGCCGGCTGTTGTGGCTGGGTTACCTGGCGGGGAAGAACGTCAGCAGCGAGGACGCGCGGCGCAGCGTCGTCGAGGGCTGTATGGAATTTGTGGAGCGGCCGGTCGGCACTGTCGCGACGCAGGTTGTATGAGCGAGCAAGCTCAGAGGCTAGAGCGAGGACGTCCGGAAGAGAAGGATGGGGGGCAATGACGTGGGCTGTCATCCTGTTTCTGTGTCGTTGTCTCTCATCTGAGGCAATCAGACATGGTGGTCGGTTGCAACCCCTCCCGCTGAGGAGAGATGCCGCTGGGGTCAAGGAGGAGAGGAGAGGACCAGCCGCATGATGAGTGAAAGACATTGCTGCAAACATGGCACTGCATTGAGGGAGTGACTCTCCTCTCTCGAATCCAAAAACACAAAACACAGGGCTTTACTTACTTATTTGCTATGTAGTTGTAGCAAACATGAGGGACCAAAAAGAAGAAGAACCAGATAGGTTGTCGTGTACCATTACATATATATAAATAACATATCACACCATAAATTGCGTATTGCATATCGCGTATTGTGTGTATATTGATGGCATGATAATGTTTCTCAGGAAAGGACAAGACTCCCTGGATCTTTGAAAAGCCCATCATCTCACTCACGACTTGTGACTTGGTGGACTTTTTGCAATTTCACTTCACTTCAATCCCATTCAATTCAACTCGATTTGCTGTGCTGTGCTGCGCTCACCCTCGTGTGCTGGAATGACTTGGTTTCTCCTCTCGTTTCCTCCCTCCCGTGTCTTTAACCCCCAGGCCAGGCCAGCGGGGAAAAAACAAGGGTGGTGTCTGTATTTTTCGTCTCCAGCTTCCATTCCAGTTCCCGTTCCAGTACCTATCTCTCACAGCGCCGTACGAGATACATACATATATGGTATGAGCACAGCGAGCGAGCGGGATTCCAACTCCAGCGCCGTGCCTGCTGCGTGTCAGTTAGACAGTCAGACAGTCACTTATTCACTCACTCACTCTTCTCATACCTCGTTGTCAGAATATCAGGGACGGGTAACAGACTCGGAGAATCCGGCTGAGTTGAGCTGGACTGGACTGCGCTGGATATCTCTATCTTGCAAGACTCGCCGCTTTCTTTGGCACGACAGATCTGTATAGATCTGACAGAGAAGAATACCCACCCCTCCGAAAAAGGAAAATAGATTTCTTGCGTTGGAAGTGTATGGCATTCTTCATCTATCACTCTTGCTTGCTTATAACACCCATCCATCCGTCGAGAGGCAAGGCAACCTTGTTTTTATGTTGTCGATGATTTCAACCACCCACTTCGGTCAACTTTCTAAAGCACATCGGACGAGGAGACGGTTGGATACCATCGAGACTGAGCCCGCGCTCTCTCTCTATTTCTCTGTGTGTGTGTGTGTCTTGGGAAGCAAATTTCAATTGTCCTGCCAAACAACATCGATGGGTTGCGAAACAGAATCTAGCTGAGGCAGGTGCTGCCGCTGAAGCCATTGTATAGGTTTTTATATAGTTCGCATCTCCGCTTAAAGAGCACCTGCGGCGCTCAAGAGGTTGTTGAGTTGAGCCCTCTTGGCCTGGAGGTCCGAGTTGCCTCCGATGTGCTTGTGGTCGATGAAGATGTTGGGGACGCTGCGCTGGCCGGTGATTTCTTCGAGGGCGTCCTGGAGGGCGGCACCATCGTCTGAAAGAAAAAAACATGTCAGTAACTGCTGGCAAGAAATACGAAAGCTGAGCCCGCATTGAGCTGCGGACAGATAGAGACGCCACGTACTAATCTCATCCAACTCGAGCAAGTAGTACTTGGCGTGCAGATCGTTCAGCAGCGCCTTGGAGGCGCGGCAGTACGGACAGTAGCTCTTGGAGAAGACCACGACGGGGTTCTCGTCGATGATCTGCTGAGCCTTTTGTTTGGCGGCGGACATGGCGGCGGGCGACACGGACGGTGAGGTGAAAAACGTGCGGACGAGGCTGCGGAACGGGGAGAGGATTGAGGAAGCTATTGTGGCGGTTTGCTGGACTGTTCGTTTGTATTGCTGGTGGTGTTCTGATCTGATGGGAAGAGGGGGAAGGGCACTGTTTTATATGATTGTGATATGATAGCCTCAGAGCAAAGCCCGGCTGTGCAGTAAGAGGTAAGGTCTGGAATTCTCGGTTTCTGGTGGTGTTTCGGGCAGGATTACCAATTGCAGGGAAAGGACAGCGATGGCGGAATCAGCGCAGGATGGTCAATGTGTGGAAAGAGAGGGTTTTTCGGGGGAGATGCAGATTGACAAATCTTGGACGCCGATGACGACGCTGGCAGGAGGAGAAGAAGTAGTGTAGCAGCGTGGGGAGGAGGAGGAGGAGGGAGGGGGGGCCAGTTTAGTGGTATTCGGTGCCGCGGACTTGCGATAATAGTGAGTAGGAGATCAGTCATCACGGATACAATTGGCCGGAGAAATCCAAATACCGGGAGGCCAAATATGGTTAGATCACACTGCCTCTAAAACTGGCGGCGGCCATTATTATGTCATCATCGTCCGAAGCCTTTCGCACCTTTCGGGTCTTCGTCGTCGCTACGTCGCCGCTATGTCGCTACGAGGGCTGTGCCAGAGTGCAAATAAGATAATGAATGTGCTCTCGGGATTTGGGATTTCGACTTTTTCCATGCCGCTTGCACACGGGGTATCTACCTTCAACCCCCCTTTTTGTTTTGGGACACTTTCAAACCGAGACAGGTAGGTCGCGCCAGCATCACCACTGCCAGAGATACGCGGCGGGCAGGACTCTCGATTCAGTACCACCGCCGCCCATTTGGCTATCAAAAAAAAAAAAAGGATTGGAAATAGTCAAAAAAGGCTTTCGTTCGCCCTCTTTCAGCTCTCCACCATCTCTCTCCCTCACCCAACAATGCCCTAGCGAAGACCTGAAAACGGTAGGAAAAGAAATGGATCACTCCCGCTAAAATTGCAATCATGGAAAACAGCAAGCATAGGGGACACACACACGCACATACACACACACAACCCCCCTGGCACAAATGAAAATCAAGCCCACGTCTTGGTAAATGTGTACAGAAGAAAGCTGTAGTGCCCGGTTCTGAGGTCTTTACCTCACATGACAATACAGCACCCACAGCCCTTCTCCGTCACCTTCTCCTCCACATCATCTTGCTGCACCCGCTGTACCTGCATCCTGGTGTTCGGTTGAGTGGGCACCGACGTGATATTGCCCATCCCCGTATTTTGCGCGGGATTGGTCACTCGGGGCATCGTACTGTATCCGCCATTCATGCTTCCTCCAGTACTGGGTCTCATGCTACCAGCCCCCGAATTCCTGACATTCGGCCCAGGTTTAAGAGGCCAGGCACTTCCCCCGTCTGTGGCCCCGGTCTCCTTTTCGCCCGGCTGCGCCGACTGAGGAATGACTGGTGAAGGCGACTTCACCTGTCCATTACCCGTGTGAATCGCCAGAGGGGAGAAGTTCCGATCATACGTGCTCGGGACCGCACCTTGATCCTCCCACTGTGCTTGTTGCTGCCGGCGGGCGTGTGTTGGGATGATTTGCTCCTCAGGAGGGAGTCTGGGATCGGGTTTGTACATGGTCGCGAGCCACGGTGGATCTCCTTCGGGACGGTTCACCGCGGTCCGAGGCCGATCCAGTTCTCCAGATCTCGTCCCCGGCCGTTGGTTTGTGGAGGGTGCGGCGCCGGGTTTGGCGTTGGTCGAAGGTTTTCTTGCCGTGGTAGATGTCTTGCGTCCGGCTGACGTCCCAGGGGGTGAGCCTTGGGCGGTCTTGGGTCGATTTTTGGTCGGTGTTGATGTTTTGGAGGTTAACTGCTTGTGGAGAACAGGTGTCGTGAGAAACATAGAGTCGCCTTCGTCCTGGCTCCCTATGCTCCCCTTTCTGGTTCTCATCTTGAGGACAGGGAGACCGTCCTCGGGACTCATACTATTACTAATAGTACGCTTCCTGACCAGCGGCGTGTCTCGCTCAATTCTCTCTTGCGGTATGGGGAGAGGGCTCGACGTCAACACGGGGATTTTCGAGCCTGATTTCCTCAGCGTCGGACTTAGGTATAGTTGAGACGACGCGTTATCGGCCGCGATCTCCTCTGGAGTGCGGAAATCCCAGTTCGCCCTCTCATCCTCTTCGGCTTCCGCTAGAGGTTCAGGTAATCGTGCTTTCGTCTCCTCAGACTCGACTCTGCGGAATTCGGACGGATTGCGGTCTTCGCTGCGTCGACCACGACTGGCATCTCTTTGCACGCCACCCTTGCTCACATTCCTCCGTGCCTTGGCCAGGTTAATCCCGGCCGCTTGTAATTCCTCGCTTTCGATCTTGGCCAACTTGTCCCGGTGGATCCAGCCCTCGGGATCATCCTCGTTGGGACGGTACATGTTCTCGGGGATATCATTGTCGGCGTGGCTTTGGCTCACGTTACCGCTGCTCGGGTTGCTTTTGTAGAGATCAAGCAAGCTGTCAGATTCACTGCCACTCCGCACCAGACTTGTGTCTCGCTGGCCCAACTCTTCCACTCTACTGTGAGGGGCCGGCCGTCCATTGACGCCAGTGCTGTCTTTGCGGTTCGCCGCCACGGCGGATAACGGTGTACGCGTCGATCCTGAGGAGTTCTGGCGCAGGCCTCCCGGGCGAGTTTTGTTTGCGGTCGTGTTCTGGTGTGTCATTTGTGTCAGGATTGTCAAAAAGGCCATGCAGGGAGCGTGTAACCCAGCCCTCACGACGCGAACTCACCTCTTGACTGGCGGATCCCACGGCATCGTATGGTGGCCTGGTCCCATTAACGACCATAGTTGAAGGTCCTGCAGTTGTTGTGCCCGCCATCAGCAGTATTGACCACTATTGAGGCGCGCAAGCTGGGCCTCCCCTCCTCTCAGTGTAAATGCGCCATGTACAACCGCGAGACCCTAGTGCCCATACGAACAAATCCTCTCCTCGGACAGGCTCGACAGGCGCAACGTGGACGACGCCGGAGAATAAAGGCTCAACGGGCCCTAACGTGAACGGAAGTGGGCTGCGCGGTTCGTAGGCAGGAATGCTTCGTATCGAGGGGCTTGCAGAATGGCGGTCTGCAAAGGGGGCGAGAATGCGGGATTTCAGGGTGGAAGGTCGAAGGGCGTGTGCTGGACGGTGATGTGAGATCAATGCTGTAATATCATGGGGGAGGGAAACGATGCTTTGCCGGACAAAAGAGAATAAACAGCACAATTGCTAGGATATGAGGGCAGAATTGCAGGGTTGCTGTTTGCTTGTTGCTTGGAATCGTGATGGACGCACGTCGGGGGCGTTTATTCTCGCTTAATTCGACCTCAATGCTCCATCAGCGTCGCATGTCAACAACAAATCCACTGAAAGGGCCCAAGCAAATCTCATAACAGAACACGATGTATCCAATTCCAACAGCAAAACAGGGCCATGCATCCGTGTTCTCTGTGATCAATTTGATTCATCATTTCGTCAATTCCCACTGGGGAATTATTTGTCATTTACGAAGCTATACAATCCGGTTGTCCCTCTCTAAAACCAGACAAATTCCTTTCCTTTTGTTCAAGGCGGGCGCTACACGTGTCATGGTGTAGGCTCTGGTAAGTCCTGTCGACCTGGAATATATGTCTGTTGGAACCCCTCTTCCTTCAAGATGCATATCATTCGGATGCTGCTCCATATGTCTCTTGATATTCATCCAACCACGCCCGTGCCCCCTTCCGTCCCATCCGCGCCCAACCATCGCCCAGAAAGCTAGTGTTTAGACAAAGACAGCGAGTCCAAAGGTGACCTGGGGTGGGACCCGTTCCTGATATATATGTGAGAGAAGGTCTGCAACTGAAATCATGTCGAGCCGAAGAATGTGTTGGTCATTGACTGAGCTCGCTAGTAGGCGTTCACCGACGGCCGCCGGGGTGTCATCCGGGGAGCAGCGTCACGGAACCGGTTTCGTTCATCGGGCTCGCGATACTCGTACTGCGAATATTGCGGTTCTCGGCGAGGGGTGATGTGGACTTTGTCCGCGGGATATGGTCGGGCATACCGTGAGGGCTCTCGCTCTTCGGTGGGCTCGCCAAATGACTTCTCCCGGCCGCTGTTGTTGCGCGAAATGGGTGGCGTGTCGCGGGGAGAACGTGGGGATGCTCGGTCCTCGTATCGTGCCGACTCGTTTCGTCGCAAGGTAGGAGAGGGTGGGATAAAGTCCTGCATCATAGCAGCGCCGCGAGACGATTTCTTGGTGTCAACTCGAGGACGGTCCGGTCTCTCCTTTCGGCGATCGGAGTCCCGGATTGGTTCCACCACAATGGGCTCGGGGCTGCGGTGATATCTCCTGTGGGAGCGGTCATCGTAGTCACCATAAACCTCGCGCACCCTGGGTGTACGTCCATATTCGTCGGCATCAATGTCTGGGTCGACAATTTGATACTTGGTTGATGTGGTCGACGGGTATCGAGACTTACCCGACCTGGGCGGGCTCTCTTCTCGCATCTCGGGGGTGTGCGGACTCGAGCTGCTGCCATACCCAGAGTCGTGCATGGTTGTCTCGCCATGCTTCAAGTTGGAGCCCTTGGCCGGTGTATTGTCCTTTCTCGTTGACGATGATTTAGGTATCGGTGTAGTCTGGGAACGATGGAGGCCTGGAGGGGGTGGTCTTCGGTGGTCACCACGATCTCGGTCCCGTTCCCGCTCCCGTTCGCGGTCATGATCTCGTTCGCGCTCTCTCTCACGCTCCCTTTCACGCTCCCGCGTCGTAGGTCTGGGTGGGACACGCTCTTCCGCATGAGCCCGAAGGTTGGACGGAGACGAGGTAGATTTAGTAAAGGGTGGTGCAAAGTAGTCTTCCGGAAGTGTTCGTCGGCCCTTGGATGATGTAGGTCTCTTTTCGTTGTCCGAGCCACTCTTGCGGCCGCTGCCCCTCGACTCTCCGATCCAGTACTGATAAGCATCTGATCCATTGCGATCCAGGCTGGGCCGATTTGTCGCTTTGGCCATGTAGGCCTTGCTCTCCTCGTGATGCCGTTCCCATTTCTCATCAAAGCTCTCCTCCTCCAAGTCACGAGCCCGGTCGGCCCGTGGGGTCGGGCGTGGTCTCTCCGACGGACGATCGGAGGCTGAGGTAGTCTTGGAACGAGAGGATTTCATCGAGGGGCGAATTTCAGTGTAATCGGAATCGCTGTCGGTGCCTTCGAAGTTGGCGGGTTTTCTCGTCTGTGCTTTGTCTGTTCTTTCCCGCTTCTTCTCCTTGTCAGTTCGCTTTTCGTCTGCCTTGCTGCTCCGAATCTTCTCTGCTTGAGCCTTGAATTTGCCTGCGGCCATTGCTGCAGGCATGCCAGGCCAAACACCCGTGGGTTTCCTGGATTTTTCGGCCGTCTTGGGAGGTGGCGCGGAGCGTTTTTCAAACTCGGCGTACTTTCGCGAGGTTCCTCGTGGAGGTTGTTCCTCATATGAGTCTCTGTATTCGTAGGCATCGCGAGGTTGGCGGACCTCTTCAAAGTAATTGCCTTGGTCGTTGTAATCGCGAGGTGTTGATGTGGTAGCTTGCGGTGCAGGTCTCATGGGATAGGTACGAGTGTTGGTGCTCGTCGGTGGCGGCTCTCTCATCATGGCCTCCTTTCGAAGCTCCGCTAAGCGCACCTGATCATCATACCGTTGTCTGCGAGCAGGGTCGCTCAGAATCTCATAGGCCTCCTGAATCTTCGTAAATTCGTCTTTGCCCTTTTCTCGTAGAGCTTCGTCCTTTATTCGATCGGGGTGGTATTTGAGTGCCAACTTTCGGTGAGCGGCGCGGATGGCAGAGAGCTCAGCGTCTTTGGAGACTCCCAAGGCCACATAGGGGTCTGAGGGGATGGGTGAAGCCATGGTTGTGTTGAATTCTAGAACAGGTGATTTGAGAGAGCAGGAGGCAACCACAGAGTGGAATGAAGGCGGTGTTGTTGTTGTTTTTGTACAGGGCGGTCAACAGCGGGTCGTGGCGTGCATTGTGTTGTTGGCCTCGGTCGGTGGTCGGAGGATTTTCGAGGTGAGGTGGTTGGTAAAAATGACAGTTTGAGGAACAGAGAAGAGGTGTGTCGGATTTATTACAATAATAAGAACAATAACAATGGGAATATGGTGGAAGAGGGATCAATCGACCGTCCTTTGAGGACAAAGATTCCAGTTCCCAGTCGAGGTATTTGGCGGATGCGCAGTGTGTTAAAGCCGCTGACGTTTGGGGACAAAAAGCGACGGGGGGAGGTCAAGACTGAAGATCCAGTTAAGCCCGACAAGAAAACAACGGCACCGAGACGGGAACCAAGGGGGGCGCCGAGTCACGGACTACGGGGCAGTCCCGATGCGGTGGTCTGTGAGAGCGTGGTGTGTTTCCCTGTTGTTCTTCTGGTCCTGATGGCTTGACTTCTCGGGATGGACACTGCGCCAGGTGCCCCTTAGCCGATCGTCGATGGATTTGCCAGCGTTCCCGATCCGCGTGGATGATTATGTAAAGGGGGCCGTGCTCAATGCGGCACTTCTACTGGCACAGACGGCACCTGTCAACGTGTCGAAAGAGTGAGAAATTTGAAGGCGTGGCAGGTTGGGTTGAGATACAGGGAAATGGATGGATGAAAAGCAAACGAAGAGAAGGGGTAGAAGGTTTGACCAAGGAGAGAGAGAGGGTCTGGGGTTGTGACGGTCTGAGGGTGACAAGAGGCAAATAATGGATGGATGGCTACGGAGAGGGTCTTCCTGGTGGTGTATGTATGGCTACCGTCTTGCCTACAAGCACAACCATCCGCCGCCTTCTTTTTTCTGCTCTTGCATCTTCCAATCCAATTGCTATTGCCGTGGGCTCGGACTTCTGATGTGAGCGGAAAGGGGAAAAAACTCAAACAGCCACCCGTTTGGCAAATTCTCCGGAGAGCCGTTGGAAGGGATCAGAAGATTTGGCGGTGCACAGGTAGAGGAAAGAGAGCGAGCGAGCGACCAGCAGCCCAGCAGTAGCCTAAGCATCTAAGCAGCTAAGCAGTGCTGAATACTACGGAGGGCGGAGAAGAGAGCCTAGGGAGTAGTGAGCCAAAAGCAACCAGGCCCAGTGGAGCCCATGTCAGAAAAGAGGCACGGGCTTGGTGTGTCGTCATTCGCCATTTGGCCCTCTCGCCCTCTCGGCTTCCCACCCACCCATCCATCATCGCCCTCCCCCCCCTCCTCGCTCTGTTCGGGCCCGGCCCTTGTTTGCCTCAGAAGCAAGTTCGAACATCTTTGCACCTTGTAGGCCCCCCGAACGATTCCGCTCCCCCAGGGTTGATGCATGTTTGGCGGCCATCGACTGCCTGTTCCTACCGAGCCTGCGGAAAATCTCTGTTTGCCGTCTTCCTAAAACGTGGCGTGGTGGCCTGTCGATCTCACTTCAGGGGAGGAGGCCACCAGGAGGGGGAATGGAGGGGACATACTGTATGTATGGGTAACGTGAACCATGTGGTGCCACCACTGCCACTTGTGTTTCAACACCTCGAGTCCTCGTACATCGCAAATAATAGCTATCATGACACAATCTACAGACTTTGGATACTAGGGTATTCGGGAGGAAAGCGATATACGGTCAGCCCCCGCCCCCCCTTTGATCCATGTACGAGTGCCCCGTACAGCCAGTTGGCGGCTGGGAAGAGGCATAAAGATAGAACAGTGGGCGAGTGAGTCTGGGTATCGACAATCGAGTCACTGCCTTCCAGCTGACCGTGTCGCACTCACTCTTACTGCCTCGTCTTCTTCTTTTCACCTCTTTGTAGATCAGAGTCTGAATGCAGCATCAACCCAACTAGCCATTACCTTCGTGACGCCAGGCAACAAGCCACCTCTTCTCCAATGACTTTCATTTGACCTGGGGTCGCCAAAACTCGCCCGCTTGCACCAGTGTGTAATGTGTCACGCTTTCACATCAGCAACACGGACTCTACTGGACGCCCACTGGCTTGGTGGTCGCATTCTTCCCCACGAAGCTCCATCTTTCTGATCCATGCACGTCGCTGGCCATCGTGTGCCGAGTACTAGGAAAGCGAGGAAACGTCGACACGCTTGTGACCCTGTTCTTACTCGCCCACGTCGTGCCACAAGTCACGTCTGGCCCTCGAATTCAAGTCATTTTTCTGGTGAGTGAGCGTGCATGAGACTCCATCCCTCCACTTCAGGACCTGGGCAGTATTGCATTGGACAAATCCATCATTTTGCCCATGGTGTTTGACCCCAATCAATCTAGCTTACGAGGCGCAGCCCATACAGATCCTCACTCGTCCCGTGTCGCCCTCGAGAGCGGTGTCGAGCGATGCTCAGGCAACTATACAGAGGGTTGATGTCCACTTGACCGAGTCTGCAGTTCAGGTGGTCTCCGTTCAACCCGCCCGGTCTCAAAGCGCCCAAAAATCACAGCAGCCAATCCGTGGCGCTGAGGAGCTCTCTTCCTGAGGCTCACTAGGCCCTCCCTGGCCCTTGCACTCTACCCATAAGCCAACCGAGCGGCCCTCCATGCGGACCGCACCCCAGACCCGGCAGAAGCCTAACAAAGTAAAGAGAAGACGTGATCCAGAAAATGTGACGGCTGGTGATTGGTGGAACTCTTCCTCCCAGCTTCCAACTTTACACGGTATCCCATTGATCGACCAATGTGAAAATTTGGGGAAACAAGGCAAGGCAGTGAGTACACCAGGGAAGTTCTGTGTGAGACTGGGTAGAGAGCAACTCATCGATCTGAGGCTCTATGAGCCCAAGCTGGGCGACATCTTCGTGTCGCCCAGCCCCCACAACCATCTCATACGCCATATCCCAGACTACTGCCTGAGTATTCGAGGCAATCATTTAGAGACGCAGCCTAACTGGGAAGGAGTGTCCTCGCGCCACCAAAAGACTGTGCTTCCGATCAGTCGCCCCGAGACACCTTCTCGAAGCTTTGCGGACATGTCATAAAAGCGCTTCCCTCACCAATCAGAAACACGCCAATGAAGCCATTGCCGCTTCCTTCCTTGCGTGTCACACGTTCAGGTCGATCACATGTAAGTGGCCTGGTCTGCACATCTGACAGAGTTTAGATCACGAATTGCCATGGGTATTGTGCTTATTCTGACACTCATTGCGGCCCTCGCTAGGAATCCCGGCCTGTTTCCAAAAATCGTGTTCGTATATGCCCAACCTGGGATGATTGAGCAGAGGCCCAGAACGTAGCCCAGGCCAGGATACAGCCTATGATTGATTATCGTTTGTCTTCACAGAGCACCGAATCATTTTCCGAGGGTGACCTAACAGAAGACGTTGTTTCGAGTCCTCCAAGACAATACCACAACTAGGCGGCGGACATGCATCGAGTGTGACACGGCGTCCTTCTGCGTGTTCCACGCTACTCGATCCTTCTCAGCCTCACTCCATCCCCAGCAGCGCCTTCGAGACCCAAGCTGGCAAACCTTTGCTCAGTGTAAACTCAGCCCAGCCCAAAGCCTAAACCTTGGAAGCCATTATCGATCAGGAGAAATCCGTAACTTGTGCAAGTCTTGCGAAGTACTCGCCACGTCTGTGGCTGGTGCCTGTTCCTTCGGAGTCTGAAGCGCTCCCCGCACTTACCTGCGAGGCCGCTTAGCCGCTCCCTGATGCCATCACAGGCGTTTGTATGTACCGTGGTTGAGTTGTGGCTGAGAACACGGTTGACGTGTCGCATCCATCACAAGCAACTCACAAGGCCATTGGCGGAGGGTGGACAGCCTACGGTGCGTTCTCTCGAACCGAGTCCGTCGGTGGCGCCCATTGATCAGTTCGAGCCCAAAGGACGATGCGTGCTTTTTTTTGGCCTGAGTTGGGTCTCTCGCTCACGCCTGGTATGAGCGCCTGGCCTGTTTGGGACCTTCACATCTTCGAGCTCCGTGGACGGCATTGTCCAAAGCCGCCCTCGCCATGTTCCTTGTGCTCAGGGTATATTGAGTCACGACCAGGAATACTCTGCCACTTGCTAGTGGCAAACACGTGGAAAGGTTCCAAGATGTGCCAATGGCAAAAAAGACTGGTGGAGGCAAAGGAGCACCTGTAACCTGGTGTGCCTGATGTAACAGTGCAGGTTGTGACTGTTCAAACGCCCTTCATCTGCTTCTGAAGCGACGGGCTTGAAACTTCTCAACGGTCGCGCCGGACTAAGATCTTCGAGTCTCCCAGTATGGAAAGAAATGAGAGCAATCACGACGAAACTCCCGATCGTGCATCGGCCGTACTCGTACTGCATTCCATGTGGAATATTCAGATGTCACGCCCGCCGAACCTTATCCTGTTTCTTTGGATTCCTGTTCCGTGTTGGTGCCTGTCAGCCTCGAGGTGAAGTGTCGTTGGCCATTTCCCCTCAACGATCAACTGATTGCCATGTTCAACAATACAAACGTTCCTTGCAACTCGCCACCACAACCATCGATCAGGCGTCCATTCTTTCCTTCCCCGCCCATTATCAGCCACACTGCGAGCACTTCAACGCGTACACCATATCCACATCGGTTTCGGCGTGCAAGGCATACTTTGCGAACCATTTGCGGGGAAACTGGGCGGGATAGGCAACAGTCCCAGCACCTTGACTGCCATTTGTCGCGGATTGCCCGGGGCCCAGAAGCGAATGTAAAAGGATTGCCTAGGCCGAGAAAGCGCAACGCGTATTCTTATCTCGACCTGGCCTCGGCCATACATCAATGACGCCCACCCGCACGCCAGTGAAAGAGACGGAGTCAATGACTCGTGGATGCAATGTCTCTGAAGCAGACGCGACAACTTGTCTGCCTCGAGACATCCAAAGTCATGGAAGAGAGGCTCTGAGCTGCCGCTTCTGCTACTATGGTATCCTCTAAGCTGCAGGGGCTAGATCGTCCGCCCCAAAAACAGGCGTGAACAAAGATTCCCCCTTAATGAACCGTAGCAGTGCGACATCAAATCCCTCATATCACGATAAGGTTCCACCCTCCATCATGCCATTGATGCTGTTGTCGAACGCAGAGCTTAAGACGGAAAGCTGGAAATCTCGAAGCTGTCTCAACGAATCATTGGGTTATGACTTTTCCTGACCTTGAGCTGTGCCACCGCTACCTTCTTTCCCACCACGGTGGGGGTCATCAAGAGCTCTCCTTGCCTGTTGCAGCCACACGTTTCCACCTCAATGCTCGTCCGCCTTTCTGGTGGGCATCCCCGTTCTGCCATTGGGTCGATCTCGTCTGTCCTGCCTTTCATGCCATCAGGTCAAACGAGTGGAGTCTTCCGGATCACTAAGATTTCACGCCTGCGCATCCTGCCGATCACCTTCGTGAGAGATCAAACGTAAAGGACATCGGACAGAAATTGCCAGGCAGTGGCCTTGCAAATGGTGACTTTAGCTCTGAAAGAGCGAAGAAAACGTTGATCACCAGGTGTCATCTTTTACGCAAATGAAAGCATACCTGGCCACCGTGTGTCGACCCTTCCAGCTCAACTTTCATTGGGCCACCATCTCAAATGGTATAAGGCCCAGAAACTGCTCTGGGCTACCGGTGCGAAGGGCTGTTGACAGGCTTTTTCGTTGACTTGCTCTCTGGCTTGGTTTATCCTCTCATATGTATTGCTGGCTATCAACGAAGGAGATTATCAAACAGAACCAACCCATCAACCTGATTCGAGTGGCCCTTCTCAGGACAAGTACCTTGTACCACTGGTTTATGCCCACTTGCACCTCTGGTGTTTGGTGTTTGCTCAAAGGGGCTACTGTATATGGACTTTCATGGACTGACAAACCAGGTGAGTGACGTAGGTTGAGATTTTTCATATTATTTAGTCGATCTGTCTCTCCTCAGGCTGAAATCATCCTGCCAACATCCCTTGCGTGAAGAGGCTCACCACTATAGCCAGCATGGGTTCGTCTAGTTTGCCGAACTTCGGGATCGTAGGTCACCGTCCTCTGTATCTCTTCATGAACCGACGATAGTAGTGATGGGCGACAGGGTCTTCACTGTCACTATCTTGGGTCCTTCGTCCTCCCCCTGATGGAGTCCTCTGTGATCCGAGGATGGAAGTGACGGACAACAGGATCTTCACCTTAACTCGGTATGCATCCAAAAGGCGCATTATACGAGTTTAACGATAGAGATAACGTTGATAAACTTCCACTCTTTACTTCATCTAGTGTATACACCAGTACGCCTGTGGAGGACACAAAAAGGAAGACTCTCTGAATGCTTGATAGATCTACCCACGGTGGTGGTGGCTCTCAGCTATCTCAATATATATCCATACGGAGAGACAAGAGCGCATCACACCGACCCAAACATGATCCGCGAGGTCGATGGAATGGACGGTCGACAGTGTCTCATCTCACCTTTGCTCTGCCAAGTCCATCCCGGTGCTGTCCACCATCAGACATAAACGTTCATTCAACATTGTGCGTCCTCCTCCTCGCCACTCTCATCCATCCTTGACACCAACGTTCGTTGACGCCGTCGTTAGCCTCAATTACTTAGCCAGCATCGAGACGCTCCTGGAAAAGACCTATTCTGTCTGCATCGAGAACAGTCAGAGTTTAAGCCTTTGTTACCCCAGAGGAGCTGTCTGCAAAGGACACCGGTGCACGCCCCCAAAGGCGTAGAATTCTATGATGAAAGTGACTATCAACGATAGTGTTTCTGTTCCGTAGCCACTTGGGGAGGTGTGTACCACAAGGGGGACGTTCCATCGACCGACAACAGTGGTGGCGGGCGACCTTCTTCACTTTGAACTGACACCCCCTGATTAGGTGTCTTCCTAAAAGAGGACTTTGTGAACCAGTGATACAAATGGCGGTCGACCACTGCCTTCACTTCAACAGGCTATTCTTGATAAAGGTAGCTGGACACACAAGAGTAGTGTTCCAAGATTTGACGATAAAAGTGACGGTCACCATGCTTCACTCTAGGAATCAGTCCCTTTGTCCAGGTTGACGCCCAAATACAGTACTTTGTGAACCGATGGTGGGAGTGACGTCGTTCGACTTTTTCACTGTACTTCCCTTCCCAACGGATAACTTGCTTTCTTTGAATTATGGCCAGTCATTAATATGTGAATGAATCAATATAAACTTGGGCTTTGTTTCGCCTCAGCTCAACCCAGCCCAGATCAACTCAACCCTATCAACTCTCTTGCCCAATATATGGTAAAGTATTCTCGCTCAGAGTCCTGCAAACTTTGATAGAAAATGGCAAACGCACTATCCCCAGCAGAGATCATTCCTGCCATGCCCCAGCCACACGAGTACACAGCGTAAACATGTGACCTGCGTACCAGCCACCCAGCCAGCCGGCCGGTCAAAACAGGTTGAAAGCGTCACTGATATGATCCGTCAAATCACTCAGCCCACTAGCCAGATCCCCGATGGAGCTCGGGTCCGGGGCCAAGGTCGCGATGCCGGTCAAAGTATCGACATGGTCAGAGAGATCCGGGGCGCCGAACAGAGTCCCGAACCCATGATCCAAGCCGCCCACGGTGGCGATCTCGACCAACGTGGTGAAGAAAGCGACATCCTCGGTGAGGTTGTCAATTTTCACATAAGACTTGCCCAGATTTCCGATCAACGTCGTCAGGCCGAGGGGATCGAGGTCGTGGTGACCTTTGGGGAGGCACACGTCTCGCTGCTGCTTGCGGGTCGCTCGAAGAAGCTCGTAGCATTTGATGCGGTAGGGGCGGGTGAAGGGTGCCCAGGGAGCGAGGTAGAAGTGCGTGAAGCGGTTGACCTCGAAGCGGTGGCTGAACGGCTGGGCGCGGTGGATGCCGCCGAGTTTGAGACGGTCATATTGTGGCTCGGGGCATTTCATGAACCATGCCGACGCAGACAGCAATGCCGGCGTCCTCGACATGGCGACCGCTCCCTTGATCAGAGCATCCTGTGCCAGCAGGAGTGTGGTGCGATTGTCCATCCATTCTTGGTCCGTCAATCGAGCATATCCACGTTCCGAGGAAGGGCAGTACCAGTGACGACCCTTCTGCAGATGCAGATGGATCATTGACCATGAGTCGAATGGGAAGGCCCACACATGCTTGGAAATGTCGCACGTACCGCAGGTCGTCGGGTCTTTGCGATATGCCTCCGTACAGTCCCACGGGAAGAGGTCCTGGAAGCGGTACAGGTGTTGACCAAAAGCCCCCCAGTCGTACCAATACTCCTGGAGGGTGTCAATGATGTCGGCGTCATCATGGCGGCCACTCCGAAACCCAAAGAGGTATTCTTCGGTCAGACCGTTCGGGACGTCGTGCTTTGACTCGACCAACGCATAGTCGTATCCTTCTTTGCGGACCACAAAGCTCAGCAGGTACGGACACGCACCTTCAGGCGTGCCAAACAAGCTCCCAAAGTCTCCGTGGCGCAGGATGGAGTCACAGAAGCTCTGACAGCTGTTTTTTGTGGCGTGCCATTCAATATCGACCTCGACATCGAAGAGGTGCGTGACTATCTTCTCTAGGTACAGGATAATCCGTCCTTCCAATATAGGTTTGATCTTCTCCTTCAGTCGCGTGGTGGCGGCGTGGATGTGTCTCAATCTGCGCATGGTGGATCCATTCGGGAACAGGCTTTCGGAGACAAGGCATTGGATGATTTCATCTTCTTGCTCCTCGTTCGTCCAGCGAGAGAAAGCGCCTCCGACCACCTGTTTCATACACGCTTTAAGTCTTCTATCAGGCACAGGGAAGTCTTTCTGCGTGTAAATCTTCCTGTCACGGCTGAAGGTGAGGCAATCTGAAAGATCCTCGTCGCGTTCGGGCGGTACCAAGTAGTTGAGAGGATGTCTGCTGCTGATGAAGACTCCACCCTTGGTACTTCGTAAAGCAGGGTGACAGGTTAGCCATCTCAGTTGGGTATCGAAATCACCATGCAGACTTACTGCTCGACCCCATTCTCGATAATCAGCGGACCAACCATCAGCGCGACATGGGTATTTCCAAAAGGAAATTTCGAGTTGACAGTCTTTGAGACAAAGGGGATATCGGCATCTGGCTGTTCTTCGAGCCTCTGCTCGGCTGCGTGTCTCAAGGGCCTTCTCGGGGATGACTTCGTTCTGATTGTGGCCAAGGCATCTTTGGTCAGACTCTGGAGTTGCTTTTTGTTCTCGAGAGGTGTCTCTAGGCCTTGACGTTTGGCATCAACAACCAGGGCAGAGAGCTGGAAAAGTCTGCATTTCGGCACCTTCTGTGCCTTGTCCCAGCGATGCTTTGCATTCGGGTCGATCGGGTACAGGGCGGTGTATGAGCCGTTGGCATCAAAGGGGGCAACATCACTACAGCGACATAGCTTGCGGCTGACGTGCGGCAACATGATTGCATCAAGGATATGGTGCTTGTACACTTTGACAAGATGATCCTGGGGATGTGTGCGCTGACGGAAGCATTTCTCACAGATGTAGTCGTCGCGAGTGAGACGAGGCACCTCCTGGCAGTCTTGTCGCCGACATTGAAACAAAACACCGCGCAGGATGTTCCTACATTTGGGAATTGCGCACCTTGCCGCTGTCAAGGAGGGGCTGAAATCCTCGTTCCAGCGCTCCAAGCGAACTGAAGCAGACGTCAGCCGATATTATCTGTCAGGAGTGATGCTACCATCGAGAATGCACTTGCGTTGCGGCGTCTGGCCTTTCCGCCAGATGTGAAACCCATGCGTTTCCACGGGTTCCCGATGGCCGATTAGCTTGTCGATATCGAGGAATCCTAGACGGTTTGAGCTCGAATTCCAAGGTTAGCACGGGTCATTCCTCACCTGCTGCTTGTAGGAGAAGCCTTGCTTGGAGGTGCAAGTAGTCTTCTTGTGTCTGAGCCATTTCTGTATCCATGGTCAGAGGGCAAGTTATGTTACTTGAGCCACAGGGCACCGACTCTGCAGCTCAGCCGCAACAGCATCTTTCATTTCTTGATTGTCGCTCGGCTCTGGCTTGCGAAAAGGATGCCACGGTTCGTGAGGATCCCCACGAGCCCAGCCAGACTGGCCTACCTTGGCTGTATAACGCCATTAGCAAATTTCCTCCAAGTTGCAGCAGAGCGAACCATGGGTCTTGACGAGATTGCTTTCGCAAATCTGGTCGATAAAGGTGTTGTAGCCTGTGATATCTCCAGCACCGGCGTTGATGACTTCAGTCTTGACGAGCCCAACATCTCGGATTTCTGCTAGTGATAGAAGAATATGTTTGATTTCACGGGCAACTCCCTGCCAGTATTTCTCGAGCAGTAGCTCCAAGAGGCGCTCTTTCGTCGCAGGTTGTTCAGGTCGGTCTTGCAGCCATCCATCCTCAACACGTCGCCTTTGTCTGGCCGATCCCGGCAGAGAATTGGGAGGCACGCTGACCGAAGGAACGCTGGACATGGCTGAAGCTCTCGGGTATGATGCAGAGGATGATTGCGTATTTGACGTGAGCTGGCTAACACATGTGATATATATGTATGCAATTGGGCTGAGCAGGACTCATGGAAGCGAGGCGAGGCGAGGCGAGGCGAGACATGGCGGCGTCTACGGCGGGGCTGGTGGCTGTCTAGACTTGAGAGTCCAGGCTGGACGCCTCTGGACTTCTTTCCCCTTCCCGCAACATGGGCACTGCCTCGATTCTTCCTGTTTGTGTCCTGGAGCAGCGAGTTCCTGCTGCGGCAGCATGAAATCGATCTCCAAAATCCTCGCAGGCAAACAGAGCAGACAGGTTGCTGCAGCCAGCCTGCGTGCCTCTAGCAACACCCCGACATCAGGATTCGCCTCTGTCGACAACTCTACGGGCGCTTCATTGGCGAGCAGCGAGATCCTGCCGTACCTAGACAGTTGCTTTGATGATCTCGACGCCGACGAGGGTACGAGCAGCTACTTCCTGTATACCTCTATCGTTCCACCCTGACCAGGTGATCCGACAGGAGACTTCAAGCTCCAGATTAGAGCGGTTGAGCAAGTCCTCTGCTCCAAAGCCAGCAGATATTCCAATGCACGGCTTCCTGAAGGTGTTGGGGATATTTGGGCGACGTACGCCACTCGCCATTTCATCAATGTGATGGACCCTTTTTGACGCTGAGCAGCAACCACAGAGTTCTGGACCAAGTGCTGGTGGCAGTCGAATGCGCCGTGAGCGTTTACGACGATGATTTCCCCTACATGAACGCAGACAGCTTCTCCTACAAGACCACGCGCTTGATTTCTCCGTCACCCTCAGGCGTGGTCAAGGCCACCAAATTCATCGAGGTCAGTGACGATACAGGACAAAATCCCGACTTCCCTGCTCTCGTCGTGGCGGTCAGAGGCACTCGCATGCATGTTATTGTAGACTGGCTCGTCAACTTTAACCATGAGCTTCGAGATACCGTGGACTTCTTGGTATATATGCCGTCCGCCGTGTCGGCGGTTCTTGTTGACTAATTGTTGCAGGACTTGAAAAGCCTGGTGGGAGGGCTACCAGAATTTGACCTGAAAGTGCACTCGGGCTTCTTACATGGGGCTCGTGCTTTGCAGGCGGATGTCGAAATAGAGATCTTGAAGTGTCTGGAGTCTACCAACATACGACACGTCATATTCACTGGCCATTCGGCTGGCGGTGCCGTGGCATCTCTTGCATATCTTCAGGCTCTAGGAGCAGCCGCCATCAAATGTATGAGTGTGAGCACGGCAATCGTAAAACAAGACTGACAAGACCTAGATCCCGGAATGCGATTTTCACTCATCACTTTCGGTGCCCCTCCAATCAGTACACCATCCCTAGCCCCAATTCTTGATGCGTTCAATATGAGGCAAGGGACGTCGGGCATGGCCCTAGCCATTGTAAACGAAGACGACTTGGTTGCTCGGGCAGATCGCAGCTATATCATGTCTCTCCTGAAGCTTTATGACATTACAAAAACATCAAGCAACCTGCATGCCAGCGAGATACCTTGGGTTTTCCCCGAGCCGGACGTTCATACAATTGGAGATATAGTGGTGCTCAGGGAGGACCACGAAGATGGGCCGGCCAGCAAGGTGGAGGCTTTTCGTTTGACTGCAGGGAAGTTTGAACAGCTGATCTTCTGCGACCGGATGATGCACCAAAAGGAAATGTACCGCAAGCTTCTGTGGCAGCTGAGATCTCGATATGACCCCAATTGATACCGCAGCCTACGGCGTCGATGCCTTACTTCTCGTATTCACAGCGGCAGTAAATGAGTCAATATTCGAGCCATGTTTCAGCTTTGTGACGAGGGGGAGCTGCATAGTTGGGCTGTCTCAGCCTCATTCGTCATCATGCAGGTCAAAGGCCACTATCTTTCATTCTTGACTATTTGGTGCCTCTGTCGCGCAAGCCACGAAAAGGTCAGCAGACTCCACGATTGACCCTGGTGGCAGCCTGACCTGAAATACCAACCTGCCCTTCGCCTGACTCGTAACACCACAACATGAGAGTTTGACCACTGAGAACATGTCCCAGTCCGATAAAGGACAAAAGGCGCGAGAAGGGTTCCAGCTTTTCAAATTGTGAGCAGCATCGTCTTTGCTTAGCGCCGTATGCGCATCAGACTGACCTTGGTACCGTAGGATCATCCGATTTCTGCCACTGTTGCTGCTTGGATTAATTGTCGTCTTAATTGTGCTTCTCCTCCTGGGATGGCTCATCATTCTGGTCGTCGCCGGCTTGGCTAGTCTGGGAATCCTTTCGGTTGCCACTGCTCATACAGTGACGAGGGTCATTCTGGCGCCGGTGGTGTTCTTGTACAAACTAGGCTGCAAGATATGTCGGCGACGGCCGGCGCTCGACCCCGTCAAGCGGGCACGCATCACGCCTCTCAGCGACGCAGAAGTGGCGATCTTTCACACCTCGAACAATCCTGGTCTGAAGGTGCTCCTGCTGCAGCAGCAGCAGAAAGAGGGCGGTCCCTACCTGATGCTGGTGTATAGCCACTACGCAGATTACATGCGACTTTTCGGCTTGTCAAAGTACGTTCGACAGGCTCTGCAGTCAAGTGTCGATCATGGCGTCGAAAACATCCGGAAGATGACGTGCAATGATGGCGAGAAGAGTGAATGCTGGGCATGCCGGGGACAAATCTGTTCGGTGAGTCCAGACCAAGGAGAAACTCTCCCTCCTTGACTTGATGTTCTTACCTTTTTCCAGGCATGCACGACGCATCGTGAGCTCGCCAGTCCCAGCACGTCGCACCATCTGGACGAATGCGAGACCATCTGCTCACGGTGCTATCTGGACCACCTGTGCCGCAAGTCGAAGCGATTTAGACCCTCCAAGGACCAGCAATGTTCGCATCGAGCAGTGGCAAAGGAATTATCCACGACGCCGCCTGAGCGAGGAATCTGCTCCTCCTGTGCGCTGGACGGAGATGAACATGTTGTGGCCCGGAGATGGCGGAAAGAACTCATGGAGCTGATCAACATCGAGGCGGCAAGTGTCGCGTGCTGGATGTGCCACAAGCATATGCGCCCTGGTGCGCCGCGCTGGTGGATCTGTTCGACCTGCGGCGAGGACTGTAAGAGTTCTCTGCACGCCTCTTGGGTCCAGGCCAAGCCGCGGACGCCGACACTTGAAGGGATCCGAGAACCGACCGACTGGTGATGAGACGTTTGAACTGTGCCCAAAGGGAAGAATTGATGGTGTATAATATTTATTACACATGAATGATGAAATATCCGTGACTGCTAAGACTTTTAGTGTTGAAAGCTTGACATTCTTGGCCCTGCAGGCTTAGGCAATCAATATCTAAGTAAGGACTTGGTATGGTGTAGATGAGAGGAAGAAAGACTCTTGCCCTTCCTATCCACGAGGGAATGCTCCGGGAGTCTAGCAAAGATAGCGTTTGATGAATCGACGAGAGGAGTGACCATCTTTTCCATCATTCACTTTTCATAGCCATCGAGATGTCTCTTCGTCGAACTCAGTCATTCACGGGGGCAGTATCGCTTCAGCTCGTCTCTACGTGTTGCCAGTCGATTGATAGAGTATGTGAAGGCCATGAGTTTGCGACCGGAGAAGGATCGTTACGTTTGGTGCTACATACGTAGGCCCAATTGAGGAGATGGGCGAGGGTTTGAACAATCGACGGAAATGACATATGCAGATACACAACTGACCAGAATATCTTTTGTTGACCAGTGAACAATATCCAGCTTCTGAAATAGAGTCCGACAACATACACAATAGTGCGTGGTAGAACCCGTCACCTTTTGTACATCAAGAGTACATTCGTGGCCAGTGACTTGCAAAACCGTTTGCTTCTCCACTCCCTCGTTTGTCTATTCTATCGTAGAAGTGAGGACTGTCAACAGGCACCCTTTTTACAGAGGAGCAAGGTTGCCGGATTAGAGTGAATATTGGTCGCCCACCACTCTTTCGTTCGCGGGAGAGTGTCCCGCCACTTTGCTCTCCCACCAACGGCTATCTTCACTTCATCTCATCTCACCTTGCCTCACTTCATGTTGCCTTACTTGGCTTTATCCTTGGCTATATTTTACCACTTCTTTGAGCCGGTGTCTAAGCCATGACGCCTACCTCAACTGATCGCCTCATCAATAGGAGTCTACTCCTCCTACTGAAACAGCAGCAAGAAATGTTTTCGGAAGACTATTTTCTTTCGCCTGAAACGCAGCAGACCGCCATTCGACGACTTCGGAGAGGTCAAGATTCGCCGCTGAGTATATTGGTATAGGTGTTGCTTCAAGGGTGGCCCTTGTATGCCTGACATCTTCTATTCCTCGCACGTCAATCAGCCAAGTACTGCATCGCCGAGAACTTGATCGGCACCAGGACCATGAGATTCTCGAATTCGGCCTGCAAATTTGGCGACCTACCATGCTCTCCCTGATTGAAATGGCTTTTGAGAGAGGGCACCTCTCTCACTCAAAGTCCTATTACCCAGGTAGCTACGAACCAGGTAAGTTCGGCGAGAAGGCATCGGAATGAAAGGAGCCCGTGCATTCGGGATACAGGCGGAGACAGATTAGAGAGGCATCGAAAAGAAATGCGTCGTCAGTGTCTGTCATTGGCAGCGATAAAAGCACCTCTTGAGAAATCAGGACTGCGGCTGGCATCATTCTGGGCAACTTTGGATGCGGTATCTCCATTCCACCTGCTATTTCAGCCAGAATAGTCCGCAGTGCGCTGCCCGATGAGATGTCCCAATGGGCTCGGTGATTTGCACTACCACACCTTTCGCTGACGGGACCAGTCCCTCCCGCGACACAACCAGTCGACGGACAACTGGCACGCTTCATGGATGCATTATTGCTCCATTCTTTCTGTGTTGTCCCTATTATCTCAGACGCATGCATTAGTGCCACGTTGCGAAGACTTTGAGTACCGGAAAGGCGAACGACGCAAGCTCCGCTGAGGACATCGGTTGCCAGCATCTGATGGCATCAGTGAACCTCCTTAGCCTTGGCGACCTGGAGGCAGGACACGATTCACTTCCCCGACCACTACTCAACCTCGAAGCCTCTATTGGCGCCAAATCAGCTTAGCCATCTAGCATACAGGACCACTATCAAACGTGACGAGGTTGCAGTGGTTTTGAGTTCAATGGATCTGTTTAGCTATTAGAGGAGCTAAATGTCCAACTCCAGGTCGCAAAGAGAAGGATAGTTTCCGGCAGTAAAAGGCCACTACGCCCACCCGAAACAAGATTTGCCCGAGCTCTCTGTCGAAGTTGGAGTAGCTTGACAATATATACCGACGCTCCAGCCTTCCCGGTTCTGGCAGGTGATTGTACCTCAATCACGATGTCGCCGAATTCTCTCTTGCAATTTATTTTCTCTCCCATCAGTCAACTCCACTTATCAAATAGCCATCTCCCGCCTGCCTTGGCCCTCATTCAAAATGACTGGGGAGAGATAAGTACACTGGGATGCTGCCGTGCGAATATCCAGCCTTTCCGGACTAGGTTCCGTGAACTTCGACCTCGCTTGCCGTCACGATCGAGTCTTCACCTTCGTGGATGCTTTGGGTATATCCTCGTCTTATCCGGCCATCATGGATATAATACAATAGATCATGAAGCCACTGCCAGTTGAATGCAACAGCTACGTCCAGCAAAGCATTTATTTCAAGCATTTTTTCTCATGGCTGTAGCTCCATTGGCATTCAAATCGATCAGAGCATGATGAAGCCTTGACGAGCACGGGCACGAGCAAAGCACGGTCCGTGAACGCAACAGAGATATAGCACGACTTGGACCCACGAGTATTCCCGCCCCGGAGCTCCTCACCGATAGAGCACACGCCCATTGCTGTGGACGTGTGTGGTGCTCAGTGCAACCCTTCGATCCACTTTTGACCACATGGCAAGATGGGTGCAGTATTTAGTAGGCACGGGGAGTTGACTTCCGGAAGAGCCGTGGCGAGGCACGAGGTTAATGCAGCTAAAAATACGGACCTAATGCAGTGGGTCGCAGAAGCCATCACAATTTCGCCAGAGGTTATTCGCCCATCAGTCGCTATCGGATGGCTGTGCGTTGGACGGGCATGGGAGCTGCGAATGTGGTGCCACCTGCTACCAGTCGGCTCTCTTGTCAGAAATCCTTCGTGCGAAGAATCATCTTAGGCCATTGCACCACCGGGAGCAGGTCGCACAATCCCCGGACGCGCGAGTTCCCTTGCCCCGCCCGTTAGCATTACTTGGAGCTCCCGGCCGGCATCTCGTGTCGGTCAAAACTATGTTCTCCGACCGCGCCTACGTCAGGATGAGACTGTGAACGATTCTTTCTCCATGGCGACTGAAGCAGGAGAATCAACGATTCGACCTGTAAGGGAGATTGGCAAGGACCATGGTCCATTTGCACAAGAAAAGCTGATGATGCTTAGGAAACGGATCATCGGCAAGCTGAAGAGGACCTAGACTCAGCCTACGGCGATGAAATGTACGAGTTCCATCTGGCCTCTGTCGAAAATCAAGAGAACAGCGGAGGAGGAGACTGACCACAAAACTTGGACAGTGCAAGCGAGACTGTGTCGTTGACGTCTTCCATCACCAGATACCGGTTTGAGAATGGACGGCGGTATCACGCATACAACGATGGCGCATACTGGGGTCCCAATGATGAGACGCAGAATGAGCAACTCGACATCGCACATCACGTCTTCTACCTCCTCTTCGATGGCAAGCTCTTTCTGGCCCCCATCGGCTCCAGTCCGCAGGAAGTGCTCGACGTGGGCACCGGCACTGGGATCTGGGCCATCGACTTCGCCGACCAATTCCCCTCCGCAATAGTGACCGGGACGGATCTATCGCCCATTCAACCAACCTGGGTTCCCCCGAATTGCCGCTTTGAGATCGAAGATTGCATGGACGAGTGGAGTTTTGATCCGGATCGTTTCGACTATATCCACGTGCGCTGCCTTTTCGGTTCGGTCGCAGAATGGCCCGCCTTCTACCAACAAGTGTATGCCCACCTGAGGCCGGGAGGCTGGTTCGAGCAGGTGGAGTACAGTGTCGATTGGATTGCGGACGACGATTCCATTCCTGAAGGGCACATCTTCCGTAAATCCTCCGAGCTGTACGTCGAAGCCGGGGAAAGGAATGGGAAGACATTCCGGATTCTCGACCTCCAGAAGGATTATGTCCAACAGGCAGGGCTGATCAACGTGACCGAGAGGCGATATAAAATGGCCCTTGGGCCGTGGCCGAAAGATGAGAAACAGAAGGAGATAGGACGATGGCATCTCTTCGAGGCTGATCGAGGGCTCGAGGGATGGACATTGGCACTCTTCACGCGCGTTTTAGGCTGGACTCTTGAAGAGGTGCAAGTATTCCTCGCACAGGTGCGACAGGGATTCAGAGACAGGAGCGTTCATGCATATACGAGAGTCTCGGTCGTCTACGGGCAGAAGCCGCTCGGATAGTTGTACATTGTTCCCTCATATCTGTCCGTGCTACTGGATTGCGATACAAGGGTTCCCGATCTGGGCTGACTGACTATCTTCCCTTGGGATTAGGGGGCTTCGTTCTCTCACAGTCCCCCACCGTGCCCCGCCGTCGTTCTACAGCATGCATGCGTTGTCCAGTCACGCCAACGAACAACAACACGGGAGAAATGGGATTCAGGCGACCTCCACTCGCACTGTCAGATTAAAGATACATTTCCCCCCGCCCAATTTGTGCGATCCCTCGTGCCACCTTTTCCCTGAGTAAACTTTGAGCCTCGACTCTGTGGATCGAACTCCGATACCATACCATGTCACATATATCTCCCTTAATTTGGCTGTTCTGGATTTTCCTGCGAGCTCTAGGCATCGCATTTGGCGTTTCGGCCGTCTACCTTGTCTGTCTAGCTGTCTATCGTTTATATCTTAGTCCTCTGTCCAAATTTCCCGGGCCACCGCTCGCCGCGCTGACGCTATGGTACGAATTCTATTACGATGTAATCAAAGGAGGGCAATACACGTTCAAGATACGTGAACTGCATTCGAAATATGGTCGATGGCCAACGCGTTCTTGGGGCATTCATCGCACTGGCTAACCCATCCAAGGCCCGATCGTGCGGATCAATCCATACGAACTGCACATTGACGACCCGGAGTACTATGATGAAGTCTATACGGGTCCGACAAAGCCCCGTGACAAATGGGCCTGGTCCGCATCCATGTTTGGGAATTCGTCGTCCCATTTTAGTAGTGTGCCGTACAATTTGCATCGGATGCGACGTGCACCTTTGAATCCTTTCTTCTCGAAGAAAGCCGTGGCTCAGCTCGAGCCTACAATCCAGCCACTCGTCGAAAAGCTCTGTGCGCGATTGGCGGGCTTTCAACGAACCCAGGAGCCGGTTCAACTCCGCTATGCCTTTGCTGGATTGACCATGGACATCATCACTGAATATTCATTTGCAAACTGCTACAACTGCCTTGACGAGCCGGACTTTGCCCCTGTGTGGGTGCAAGCGATCGATTCACTTTCAGTGCAGAGCCATGTCAACAAGCAATTCCCGTGGATGCTGCCTGTCATGAGGCTGGTACCGTTATGGCTGGTGGAACGGATGAACCCGCACATCATGCGCATGATCAACTTTCAAATTGTTCGTTCAAATCTCCGCTTCCTCAGCTGCTTGGAGGGAGTGAAAGGACAACTACTAATGAATTCATCTATAGAGCTTGACCCAGCAAGTTTCGCAAATCATGGCGGATGAAGGCGCGGCCTCTAAGAGTCAAAGTCACCCGACCATCTTCCACGAGCTCTATCACACAACTGAGCTGCCTCCGGAGGAGAAGACGCTCCAGCACCTGGTGGAAGAGGGCCAGTCCGTTGTGGGAGCAGGCATAGTGACAACCAGCCATTACCTGAATACGACGGCCTACCATATCCTCGCAAACCCGGACGTTCTCAATAAGCTGAAGACCGAGCTGAACGAGGCCATGCCCGACGGGAAATTGCTCTCGTGGCAGAAACTCGAGAGGCTTCCGTATCTCACCGCGGTGATCTTCGAGGGCTACAGGATCTCCTACGGAGTCTCCCACCGGCTCCAGCGCGTTTCTCCCAACGAACCTCTCATCTACCACGACTATGTGATCCCGGCAGGCACACCGGTGAGTATGACGGCGATATTCATGCACGAAAACACAAAGTACTTTCCCGAGCCGAAGGTGTTCAAACCGGAACGATGGCTGAACCCTGGCTCGCGAGACCGATTGGAGAAATACCTGGTAAACTTTAGCAAGGGCACCAGGGGCTGTCTGGGGCGACATCTCGCCGAGGCCGAGATCTACCTCACCTTGGCGGCGATATTTCGCCGCTTCAACTTCGAGCTCTACCAGACGACCAGAGACGACATTGACGTCGCGCACGACTTCTTCAATCCGCAGCCAAGGCAAGGTTCGAAGGGAACGCAGGTGCTGGTGAAGTAGTGTGGTTTCAGATAGCGCAGCAGCTGTGGACCGCGACCAATCTGTTTTCCTTTCGACGGAGCTCTGTACATAGGCATCGGAATGTGGCGCCATGGTCTGACCACGGGGCGTCTTTCCGACTCGGACCCACATCCGCTCTCCTGTGCAGCGACGGTCACCCAATGGCGGTTCATGTGGTCGAATTGTATCGTCGAAATAATCTCCTACATAGGCTTTCCTCTAATATGGGTTGCATCTGTTAAGGTTTCGCCCACAAACATCACTGTCCAGACCCACTTCCCCAGACGTCTTAAGCATGAATACCGATCCCCTGTTAATTCTTCCTTGCTTGGTCCATGCTCGTCATGGCAAAATCGCCTGGAGGATGGATTTCACCCGAGACCAGTAGCTGGATCCCAGTGAAGGTGGCGTGGTCGCGGAGGGCAGCAGACTGAGCAGCGGATTGAAACGGTACCACTACCAGTTGCACAGATCTCGAGCACAGGAGACTCGGCATCGAGTCTACAATTAACGGGAACTGAGAGGGACACCACCTTGAACCGTCCGTCCTACGGAGACGTCATCAACTTCCCATCAGACGTTTCAGATCGCGACGTCGCAGACCAGGGTAACGATTCACTTACACGTACAGCATCCAGGGATGACTGGAAAATTAACCCTTCTCAGCCCTTAAAGGTGGCATATTGACTTGACGCCCAAGCTCCAGAAGGATCGGGTCCTCGCTTTGTTGGAGATCATACGCGTCAGAGCCAGACACTAAGGCTAAGCAACTGTCATCGTTCTCACGATCCAGTCCTTGCCATGGTAGGAGGTTCCTTGGATGAAGATGGCAACAGGGAAAGACTCTTCGGTAATTCAAGTACCGAGAACTTCATACGACATGTGAAGGCAATGGTTCAACGATCGATCCAGGATCAAACGCCTCAGAAATTTGAGGTTCGAACATCTGTTTTGTGACGGGTTTGATTGCGTGCATTTGGTCAACCATCCCTTAGAGCCTGAAAGGCTGTTACGGGATGGGCATCCAAGCGGCCTGGACCGCCCCAGACAAAAAAAGTCAGGCGATGGAGGAAGGCAACAGCTGCCTACCTTCCACTTGGCTGCATGAGAGGTCAACCTGTAACATTGGATTAATGATCATAACTCATAGTCTGTGGCGCGCATTCCCTCTCACTAAATGTGTTTGCCGAAAATGGTTGTAACTGTAGAAGTATTGGCTAGGGATTGTCTGATATCCTGAAACAAGCAGAGACCATTTCAGGCAGGGAGCTCAGTGTGAAAGTTTGGACATGGGTTTGACGCGCGGCTAGGATACCCTGCTCACCATGGAAGATTGAGAATGTGAAACTGGTGCTGTTGAGATATGGACGTGCGGTTGCCTAGGTCGGAGACCAAAGCCGAGGCTGGAATTGACAGTCAAACTGTATTTACGTCAACATGTCGAATCTTTCCCAGCTGCGGTGCGAGTGAGCCCATCCAGCAGACATGAGAAGAAGCTCGCCGCACGGTGTGGGACTACTTGGTTGTATTCTCAGTTTTCTGTGTGACCAGAAAAGATCTACCTAGTGGTCGCGCGCTAGCGCGTCCTGCGGCAGGCAGTGGCGCAGTGTCACTCAGTCGGCTAACCTTCCCAATAGGGTTAGGGCAACACACGGAATCTAGATTATCAACGCGATGATGCTTATCTAACCCCCCAAAAAGACTCCTAGACTATCTGCGGTTGCTAAGCTTCTCTACTCGATCATCCATGGATCACCTCAAGAGGCTGATCAGTGGTCTTGCCATTGAAATCCCAATCCTCGATTCAAGTGACTACAATGGCAAAACATTCCAAACATTTCCGGAGGAACAAAATTGGGGTCCTTGCACACCTTGTGAATGGAGCAAGCTCTTTAAGAGACCGACACCAACTTTTTCAGCATTTTTCCAAAAATGGCTGTTCTTCGGGCTTCTAAATGAGTTGGTAGGGATCAAGGTCGCCACGTCGCAATTCCTGCGCAACGAACATGGGAGGAAAATTCTTACCACCGAGTCCTTACCAAACCTCGCACATACCCTTGTACACCGCCTAGAGAATGGAACTGATGATGCTGGTCGGATATTTATTTTTATTACGTCTATCAATGACATGTTACACCAGGCGCTGATTAAGGGGCCGTGCAATACTCAGGCCCTCGACAAGCTTTCCAGAACCGACCCTTTCTGCAGACTTACTCTGATGGATTGTCTAACACAGTTTCTAATACCCTGTCCACTGGATCCGGATATTGTCATGTCTATACACCTTGTGTCGGAGTTCTTCATGGCTATTGTCTCGGTTCCATACAGTCAGGGGAGAGCTCTGTGGCAACCGGCTGCTTTCCAGGGGTTTTCACATTTTTACAAGAGCCTACCTTGGACCCTCCTTGAGCGTGACTGGTGTTTATCAGAGCTACCTGTACTTTTCGGCCAGTTCAATACCTCAAGTCTCCTTTCACTGATTGCACTCGATCCCCCAACATTTTCAGCTATGACTCCAGAAGGTCGGAAGCATCTGTTATGCCAAAAATCGTGTGGCAGATTCGAATGTTTGTCTCGGAAATTGGACGACCGTTTATACAAGACGATACACACTGAAGACTGTTCTGGCTGCAATCACATCAGTGCTATACCGGAGAAGATCCTGCTCAAAAACCCTACTGGGAAATTCAGCACATTTCCTCTTGCACATATCATTGAAGAGCAAAATTCAAGCAACGTCGCTAGTTTGGTTCCTGCGATGCCAAACTCTCGTTACGTAGCTATTTCCCATGTTTGGTCTGATGGGTTAGGAAATGTTGGCCAGAACGATCTTCCTCGTTGCCAAATGGAGCGGCTCAGCACATTCATTCACAAATTGCCTGGAAAGCTCTCAGGTATCTCCTATTTCTGGATCGATACTCTCTGCATTCCGGCATATGGGAAGAATCAACCGGAATTGAGACGTGTTGCGATTTCAAAATTGAGGGACACTTACGCAAATGCCACGGCCATTCTCGTGTTGGATTCTTGGCTTCTTTCGAGCAAAATTGCTTCGAGGCATGATGTGGACATTCTCACCCAAATATTTGCTTCACACTGGAATCGCAGACTATGGACATTCCAAGAAGGGGCTCTTGCGAAGTCACTCTACGTTCAATTCGCTGATGGGGCGTATGATGTCGACCGAGGTGTGAAACGCCTCGAACTCATGCAAGATCTAACCCTGGAATATACCTTGAAGCCTCCAGTATTTGCACGCTACTTCTCGCTCCGTGGCTTCAAAAGATCTGCCAGAGGATGCTCTATGGCCGTAAAACTTTCGGCACTGTTTGCTGCATTCCGACATCGACAAACAAGCAATCCCTCCGACGAGGCCATCTGTCTTGCTACACTTCTTGAACTTCCAATTGAAGAGATTCTATTAGCTCCAAAGGAGGAAAAAATGGAACTTATGTGGAGACTGGTCACCAGAGTTCCACGAGACTTTGTCTTCTATACCGGAGATACCTTCGAACAAAAAGGGCTTCGTTGGGCACCCCGTACCCTTTTACGATCGGAATCCAACTACAGAGGTTTTGAGGAAGCTTTTGCCATGACTGACATGGACTGGGGAGATCGTATGCCTTGGGCGGAGCCTACTCAAAATGGCCTAAAAGCTTGGTTGCCTGGACTAATATTTGTTTCGATAAAAATTTCGATGGCAGCTTCCATTTACTTGGAAGACGAATCTGGAATTGTGTATCGCTTTGTTCCGACAGGTTCACAGAGAGAAATTTCTGGCCCCAGATCGAAACCAGAGAGTGGCGGATTCTGTTCACATTTCTATCCCTCCTACGGTCTGGTCGCATTCATTCTAAATTCTGAGGAGCCGAATATGTTAGAAGCTGGTCTCTGTCACCAAGGCCTTTTGGTTGCAATACAGAAAAGCAAGCCCGAGTTCATATCGGCGAGGAAACTATGCAATGGATATTGTGTAAGGACGAGCTCAGATGGCGGCAGTGGTGAACTCGGGATGTTGAGCAAGATCGAACCCAGTAGCCGAAACCTTGCCGGGCTCAAAAACCCCAACAAGATCTCTTCAGCTGTTGCTGCGAGATGGACCAAGCGAAACACATGCTGGGTAGTGGACTAGACCTAGTTCCAAAGTAGCGTGGTCCGTGTGCCTACACGTGCGGGCGAGTAGTTCTGTGTTACAAAATGGTCACAAGATTGGCTAGTTACTGGGGTCAGTTTGGGAGGAGAATCTGAATTAGGAGTGCAGTAAGATACTGTAGCACTGTCAAGAAAATGGGTGAGGTAGTGTGTGAAAGTGAGGGTGAGCCACTTGCGGGTGACCGTCAAAGCGGTACAGTTTGGATGATTGATTCGTGAGTTTGGAGCGCGGCGGGATTGCGTTGCTCTTTACTTCCATGAGTTCGACCTGGTCCTGCTGCTCTGGAGCCAATGTGGTGTGTCTAAATTCCTATCGAACCGCCATAAAGCACCTCTAAAAACTAAGGTATTTGATTTTGGCTCGGAGCGGAAAAAGTGATAGTCTGTACTCTCACACGCTCTCGATTCCCTACAGTAAAGTCGGGCTCTGGAGGGACCACCTTCCAGGCCCACTAGCTAAGGCCATAGTTACTTAATAGCCGTAACCCCTGATTCGTTTTAACTAAGCAGGCGTGCCACTGCTTTTAGTCCTTGTGTCTGTTTAGTGACTCGTCTCATTCCGGTGCTTCGCTACGCAAGGTCATTGATAGTCAATGGACAAAGCTGATACAGTGCTTCCTAAACCGGCCCTCCCCTTTGAAGACACATTGTAACTTTCTCACTCAGAAGCTAATCGATATCCCAGCGTGGTGAAATGCCCATTCGTGATGAAATGAGCTTCTAGTACATCGAGTGTCAACCGGCTCTGCAAACCACACGGGGCGTTTATACACAATCTTAAGGTGCTCCTCATATACTGTGTCCAATATTCTCCTAGATTTCTCTCCGTTAATTTTCAACACAATGGACCCTCATTAGGGTACCAGACTCCTTGTTGGCGGCCTTGTGAGGCTCGTCCGCTGCTAACATAAGTACACTATCTGTTTCCTTTTGGATCCCCGATCCCAGTGTTCCGCTTCTATACTGTATAAGCCCAAGCGGCGCGATATATTAGTCTTGGGATTTTTTTCCACCAAAAGAACCGCAATCTGAGCGACCAGATGATTCTGCCAATTGGATTTCACGAAATGAAGCTTGTCTGTATCAGTCGGCTCTATGAGGTGCTTAGGATCATCTCCGAAAGCTTTAGCCTCTGCAAAGGCTACAAACTCGAGACGCACATCCTCCATTTTTGTCCAGGATTTCTCCTCCAGGTCCAAAAACCGGAGGCCGAGTTTTGGCGACAATATTCTGTGTCGTAGTATCTTCGGATCCTGGGAGACTGGCTCACCCGGGTTTTCAATCTTAGCCTCAACCTGCATTGTTTCTGCAAGAAATACAAGCATGTTGTGGGCCTCTCGCTCCCAATCTGCTTTCTTCCCTGCGTCAACATTGTCATCGATTTTGATTTGACCTGTCTTCTTGTTTCGAGTATCGATGGCACTGAAGTAATAGATTCGGCCGATGTTGTTGTCGTTGTGGTAGTTCTGTGAAGATGCGAATCGATACAGGTCAACCTTTGGCTTGAACCAGTATTCGAAACAATCCTCTACAAACTTCAAAGCGGATTTGTTGGGGTCATCGGTCATACTAATATTCTGCCACCCACACCAGCTCCAGCTTGGAAAGTTTGGCCGACGAATGTTGTCATGGGCCCTTGTCACATGAAACAGTAGACTGCGAAATGCGTCTTCAGTCGGAATGCCTTTGTAAAAGCTCTGCTTTGTCCGTTCTGCCATAATTGTCAGGATACCCTGGACAGCCTTCAGGACGTCTGACGGTTCTGTCAGTTTCCGATGTAAATATCCGCTGACAAGGCCCCGATAGATGTTGCGAATCCAATCTTTCCGCTGGCCATCCTCGACTTCTTTCTCGATAATCGAAATAAGCCTAAATTGGCATTCTGCGCCCACGATAGAAAAGCCTGCTGACAGCAACTGTGGGTGCTCCAAGAACACGCTTTCCCGCCATGCTATACCAGAGGCGCACTGGTAGAAGACTTCTTTTTCCGTAAAAATTAGAAGTCGTTTAGACAAAAGCATTTCCTGAAATGTCCAGGCCCTTTTGTACCAATTAGAATCCTGAATCATATTTTGCGCGGAATCGGAGTATAGCCCAACAGACATGTTGTCAATATTCCAGGTGTCCGGTTTAGGACGCTTTGATTTCGAATTCAAGCTAAACCCACAGATCCCAGCGTTCGAGTGCTCACCGCTAGCGGCGATAATGGTGACACTGGCGCCCTGGTATAACTTGCCCATTGAGTTGAGAATGTCATCCGTGATGTTGTCCTGGTCGAGGCAGATCGCATCCACCCAGAGGTACGGAATTCCGATCTGTCTACATAGCTCAATAGCGTCTTTGATCGTCTTTGGGATTTTGAGCTTCGAGGATTGAGTGAGGCTGCCAGGTGATTTGAGTTTGTCGGCCATGCCATCAGTGGCAGTATGCTTTAATTGCTCGCCGCCTTCGCCCCATACGTAGCTGAGTGCGGCATAACTCACAGATGTGCCTCCTTCGTCCCCTGGCACTAGCATGCCTTTATGCACATCGATCAGCCAAGTTGACCGCCAATGACTGTGTTCATCCATACCAATCGGCTTACACTTCTTACCGTGATGGGAATCGCAGCAATGTATCCAGGACTTGATAAGGCTAGTGTCGATCACTTCGTCCACTAGTCGGCCCTTCAAGTATCCGTAAGTTTCACCGAGAAGCGCTAATTTGTTTCTCGCCTCGTCTCTGCGCCCGCGGAGAATCAAGGATAGAGCAGGGAGAAGGCCGTGCTCATTCACGCTGAGGGAGTTCTTGGAAGGCGATGACGAGTTGACGTTAAGACTGATATTTGCCACAGCTTCTACTCTTTCGATGGCACCACCGCGAGTATCCACAGCGTATAACAGACATTTTTCGTCTTGCATGGAAACTTCCAGTAAAAGCATACTGGCCCTTACGTGGCCTTCACCGTCAAAGCCGCTATCGGGATTTCGGTCCAAAATGTCCGGCCATATATAGCGATATGAGATTCTTGTGTTCGGATCGAGCCCATCGCTGTTTAACAGTGTCGAGAATCTCTCCGAAATAAGCCGGCACAGTGGACAATTCCCTCGTGAGCGCAATGATTGTACAGTCTGATTGTTCCTAGGATAGGAACTGTCTTGCTGTTCTTCGTCCCAGACTTGAGCATTTCCTAGGAACGAAGCGATATGAAGTTCGCTGCAGATTTCACAGAGCTGATCTGTATTTCGGCTGTCGTGGCTGTCATCCATATACTCCGGGTTTCTGGATTCAGGCGTTGTTGACTCTTGTATTTCTTCATCATCCGCTTCTCCTGATTGGCAGCTGACCGAATGCGCGCAATCGACATCTTCCATAACATCTGCACTCTCGGCTGGCTCGTCACCCAGAATAGACGATATGTCGGAATACTTGAGGTGCTCCATCCGAGACCGGAGAGCTTTTCGTGCAGAAATCGTGTCTCGATGGTCCTCCCCGAGTGTCTCCCTTCGCCCATCGTAGACTTTCTGGGATAACATCAGAGCACCTTCCTGCTCCATCGAGGACTCTGTTGTGTGCCATACAAGATCCGCAAGCTCCTCCAGAGCCAAAAGGGTATCCTTATGGCTTACACCTAGGATTTCCTTCATCGCGTTCCACCGGTTTCTCAGTATCAGAGCTCCAGATGGAACCGAAGCCTTCACCCTTCCATAGGCCATCTCCCGTATCGAATAAAACGCAGTCTCTGCCATTTTGACAGTTTCTGGGTGTTGGAGTCCAAATAAGTCTGCTTGTCGCCACAAAACCTCTTGCACGAAATCTTGTCCTGGTTTGTAGCGTCGCTGCTGGATTAGAACATACCCAATCTTGAGCAGCTCCATTTTCACCTCATAACTGTCACTGTCATCAAGAGTCTCGATTACTTGAGAGCAGTCTTCCAATAGGCGTGTTGCTTCCTTAGCTCGCCTGGATTCCAATAGAGATTGCAAGTAATATTTAGTAATCTCCACTGTATCGAGATCTTTCTCCCCAAGGGCCTGTTTCTGGTCGTTCAGGACGTCCTTAAATATACGACATGCCTCCTTCAACTTTTTGGTTTTCATCAGGCAGAACGCCAGGGCATATCTAGCCCAACGCGTAAACTTATTGTATTCGGCCATACCATCTGTAGATCCGTCAATGTCCTCTGTGGATTCGTCACTGTCCTCTGTAGATCCGTCAATGTCCTCTGTGGATTCGTCACTGTCCTCTGTAGATCCGTCAATGTCCTCTGTGGATTCGTCACTGTCCTCTGTGGATTCGTCAATGTCCTCTGTGGATAGATTGGAGTATCCTGTGGTCTTCTCGAGAATCTCTCTCAGGAAAGGTTCTGATTCGGTGAACTTTTCGTTCTGTCCAAGTAGGATTGCACAGTTTCTCAAGGCCCAAATTGACTCAAAGCCTTCCGAGCCATATTTGTCCTTCATGTACTTCGAATAATCTCTTAAGATTGCGACTGCTTTGTTGGACTCGTCTTGTTTCAGGTACCCCTCCGCGAGAGCCATGTAGTTAGATAATCGTTCCTTCTCCTCCACATGGCCTTCGATTTCCTTCTGGTTGTCATCCATCTCCATGAATAGTCTTGTCCGCGCTTTAGGTTTGTAGAGATTGCAAGCTATAGGCTCGAAGTCTAGAGAGGACGTTGCTGTGAGCTGTGGAAGGCGACAACGAGGTTGTATGTTGGGGAATGCCGTGTGAAGATTGCAGCTTATATAGCTTGAAATAGCCAAAGTGCAGGGCCAGTCCTTTGCTCCTATGTAGGGCTCTGGTCTGCTGCGCCACGGCTCCAACTCCTCCTCGCCCAATCTTGACAACGCATCAAGGGAGACTAACGAGGTCTTTCGACATCATTCGACAGCGGATTCGACAGTGCACCCAAGCGAAGCTGTGCTTCAAGCCTATGATTTCTCTCGCAATACAAGAGATTTTCTCCTCACTGCCAGTTCATGTCTCGAGATACGTGTTGGCAGCACTGCGCCACCGAGTAAAGCGTCCATCTCAGCTGACATCGCTTTTGCTTCAGCATCTCGAAGCAATTGCCTGCTCCGCCCGGGTCTATTGTCTGGTTCTGGAATACAGCCACATGAGAGCTAAGCCTCACGTCTCCTTGCACGGGGACTGGGATTCCCCCTCGTCCCCAAAACCTATGTGTCTTGATCGTGGACTTTTCGGTCGTGGGCTTTTCGGTCATGGACTTTTCGGTCATGGACTTTTCTGCCCTGGACCTTTCGTAATCATGCAAGGCGCCGATCGGCATTGGAGCGACAGGGAGAACTGCCACAGACTCGAAGCTATTCATTCAAAGTGAGTTACTGCATTTCCTCGTCACCATCTTATTCAGACTTGAGGATGGAATAACAGTGTCACAGTTCGCATAAGATTTCAACGCTCCCCGCATGGGGGTGCGATGACACAAGCCGACCCGTGTCAGTTGTTAGCGCGGGCACTAAATAAAGGCTCGGGGTACTCAGCGCTATACACATAGTGAACTGGGGCGAGGTTTCATAGCCAAGGGCGATGCCTCTCTGCGGCGGCAGGAACAGGTACAACTCACTCACCACACCACTCAAAATAGATGAATGGAAAATGCTTAATTGTCTATGTTGTCTCTCTGCACCACTGCCTATGTAAAATACCATTGAAAGAAAAGAAAAGGTTCTCCACTTCATCCGACCAATCAGGAGCCACCATTGCACCCCTGTACAATGTACAGGCACGCGACTTGACTCTTCCCATTACAATAGGAGTGTGAAGGTCGACGTCTATGAGGAGGGTAAGGAGAAAGACGTCGGGACTTGCGCGAGTGGAGCCCGAATCGACCAAGGAAACTCTTATCAGGTCGCCAGTTCGCGGCTAAAGGAGGACTCGCCGCTATACAAAGGCTGCGTGCCCACCGTCAGCTCGACCTGGTGACGGCGCTCCGGGAGCGATGGAGTTTGCAGAAAGCAGAACGATGTAACCGAGAAATATCAGCAAGTCCGAATGATGGATCAAATCTACCAGAATGCCACTGTTGTCTCGGTCTGTCCCATTTAGCAGACTGGCTCAACGATTCGGGACCAATTGTCACTCTCGAAATCGGTGGCTCCGACTGGGTAGAGTCGATAGAGGACCTAGTAAATTGACTATATTGGACGAGAAGCTGGAAAATTTAGGAGTATATACCAGTCCCACGTGAAGAGCAATTTTTCCCCTTGTAGAGTTTTCCAAATTATAGTCTGAGTATTCAGCAAGTAAACGATGTAACGCTTTCGCATATGCAATTTTTCACTATACGTCAGCTCCTCGAGCCGATTCCAGAGCGCTATGCATCCCCGGAGGTAAATATATGAGGCGGCTATTGCAAATTCTGGGGAGGATGGACTGACTACATAGGTGCGGACGATCCGGCTGAAGAGGTCGCCTTTATATCGGCTTATTTGCTTTCATACATGGACGAGAATCCGGATGCTACGGTCGAGGAATATTCGCTTGGTAGCGCTGTCACACATATGATGTGGCACGAGGTTGGAATATAAGCGGGATCATGATATCTGTTGGAGTTATTGGGGGCATTACTATGCTCTGTGTAGTGGCGATTCGCCTGTGGCGATAAACTACTCAACAAAGGCTCTGAGAGCGTGCTCAATCCACGGGCCGCATCTCGCATATCTGGCTCGACGTTACAGTACATGTATGAATCAGAACGATGTTGAGGAACGCAGTTATCAAATCTCGATGATGGGAGACATCCACCGCTTGGCGCAGAAAGTACTGAATCTCGTCCTTCGGTCCCTGCTCAAACCCTCTCAAGCACTTATCGAGAAGGAAGGTCTTTGGCCTTAGAAAGAGTGACTAGAGGGCCACCACGAGACTTCCTCGTCACACCGGTGTCGATACCCTTACTCAAAAGCTATTCCCAGCCAGGCTACGGCCTGGTTCAAGGCACACTTCATCCATCCAACCCATAGACAGTTAGGTGCAGATAACGCTGTCTGGTCGTAGGTAGAGAGTGTGCGAAGGCCGCGTTACCCTGAGCGTTTCTTGAGCCAATAGCCGAACGTTACTGAGCCTCACTAGCCCTCCCTAGTCACTCCCTAGGCACTCCATGAGACCCAAACCAGGGGTCACTAGGCCAAATTAGGCGCCCTAGCAATCGGCTACAGTACACCCGCCTCTCGACTGGCGTCAGGGCACCTGGCAGATTCTTTATCTACCCTTCAGGACTCACCGGGAAGCGAGTGTGCCTTGCTGCAGGGCCTTTCGTGAAGATTCAGCCCAATACCCACATGTTCCTGCTATCGAACATTCTACCTCGTCCACAGTCCCCATAGCCACAAGGGTTGGGGGGTTAGCGCCGTGGTGTCTGGACCCGTCATTTTCCAGACACTGCTCGCGCCGACGCGGTGACCGGCTCACGCGGCTCAAGTCAACGGAATGCCCATGCCGTTGACCCTGTTCTGACCACAAGACCCTGTTCTGACCCCAAGACCCTGTTCTACTGTACATTTGCCTTGCAACATGGACTTCCATCCGCCACTACTTTACCACTCGACGCATCTTTCCTCCTTCAAGTCCATCTCTGGGATGCTTTCACGAGTATATCTACAGTGCATACTCTGTCAACGATCCATCCGGCCGTGCATTCGGCAATGAAATCCGCCTGCTTCCCCCAGGCGTAACCTTAATCTGATACTCCCGTCGGCGCTCATAGTCGTCGTCTCAAGATATGCGGTCTCACCCTGTGGCCGCCTATACTCCACATCTTTGGGGGCTGGAAGGCCATCACACGGCGAGGGCTGGCTAGTATGCTCACATGGACGAATCTCGAAGGCAGCACTCTTATCTTCTGTCCGTGACTCAAGCTCAACGAGCAAGGAATCTGCCCAAAGATTTTGGTCTCTACCACACACATGCACTATCTGAAACCAGGAGCCTGTGCCTTACCAGCACCTCGCCTTACGGCTTGGTCGGAGAGAGACCGAGATGTACATAGTACCTCGCCAGACAATCTTTGCTCGGCAATTCTCTCTCCCATTCGCCTCGTCGCCTGGAGTGCAGGCTCTGGGCAACCACACATATAAGGTCGGCTGAATTTGGACATTTCAGTATCGCGTGGTGTGATAAGCCTACCTTTCATCCTTTTCTCGAGTATCCTCGTGCACTCACTGTGCAGTCATGCCCACCCGCGCAGAAGCAAAAGAACATATCAATTCATTCTGGACGAGACGTCACATCGCCAGAGATGCCATCGATATTGAGAATGACATCAATCTTCGTGACCTTTCCAATGGACTGAAAATGTGGTTCCACGCTTCAACGTCCCAAAGACTCCTGCTAACCAAATTTGCAGCCTTTCCGATGGCCTCTACGGTGACCTCACTCACTTTTTCTGGGAATTGCTCCAGAACGCGGATGACAGCAAATATCTTACAGTACCCCGCGTCGACTTCGTCCTGACCAGCCATTCTCTGACTTATGAGACCAACGAAATCGGCTTCACCAGGGGTGATGTGGAGTCGTTGTGTGCAGTGGGCTACAGTTCAAAGGCCGGTCAGAATGACACGATTGGGGAAAAGGGAATTGGCTTCAAGTCAATTTTCAAAGTTGCAGACGTCGTCACCATTCACTCAGGTGTATATTCTTTCGAACTGGGTACGCGACCTCCTCTCGGCAACGTCGGCATGGTTCTACCCATTTGGCTGGACAAAACACGAGACTTCCCAGGGACATCAATCACCCTGCAGTTCAAGCCCGACCTTGAGGTGTCCAAGTTGCGCCAGCACCTAGCCTCGTTTGATTTCACCTTCCTACTGTTTACCCGAAATATCAAAGTGATCAATTTGAAGGTCTTAGCTGGACAGCCGTTTGAGAAGCTTGGACGGCTCGAACACTTGACGCCTAACGGTGAAAGAATAGAGACAAGGATCGGCGGCCGTCCCGATGCGACGATGGACTATGTCATATTTCGACGCAAGTATCAGGGCATGCCTCCACGTCAACCTGGCGCTCAGGTTCAACCTGATGGCGATAAAACGACGATTGTGCTTGCTTTTCCACACCGCAATCACAAACCGCTTGCCGAAGGCCAGAAGACCTATGCATACCTACCTGTCAATTCCTTTGGATTTCAGGTAGGACCATTACCGCTCTTGTGAAACGATTCGATCCTAACAGTGGCGCAGTTTATTATCCATGCTGATTTTGTCTTGACAGCCAATCGAAAAGGTATTGATCGTGACCGAAGATGGAATATATTCCTCCAGAGGCGTTTGCCTGAAGCGCTCTGCTCTGCTTTTGGACAGTTGGCAACATCGGCGGAATCTCAGATGAGGTTTGGTTGGCCTGAATATTTGGGCTCTCTGAGGTTTATTCACGATTCGTTTATGAGAGAAGTTGCTGACTCCACTATCACACAACTGCGATCGAAGCCACTGGTTCGAACGGAGTTGCAAGATGGTGTTTTCATGGCGCCTCAGGATTGTCTGACTGCATCAGATGAGTTTCGTGATGCCACTGGCGGACTTCTTATCACCGAGGGCACATACGCACAGCGGGTGAGATCGAATGCCTACTCTGACAACTCGGCCACCATCCTCTCAAGGCTGGGTGTCACTCCCTTCAAAATCTCGCACTTCGTGGAGTTGCTGGCCCAATATATCTCAGCGCATATGGCAAGTTTCTCATCAAAGGCAAACGCATGGCACTCCCGCGTCGCGAGTCTTCTCTGCAATCATTTCTCGAATGGACAATATCAGTTCTATTCACCCGTATTCCAAGCCTTCAATGGTCTGCGGATCATCCCGCTGGATGACGGCTCATGGGCATCTGGTGCTTCTTGCGCAGCTAAAACGGTCTTTATGGATCAGGATCGCCGCATCGCCCTCCCCACTTGCCTCCACTTTTGCTTCGTTCAGGCGTCGGCCGCCGATGATCGTAACCGCAGACAACTCTACCGACTGCTGGGTGTCAAAACATGTGATGAGACAGAGATTTGCAAGATGATACTCGACTCCCATGCGACAATGGTAGCTTGGCCACCTTTGGAAATCCTTATCTCGCATGCGGTGTACATCTTTCGCGCTCGCTACCGACCTCAATATGGCCAATCACTCCGCCTGCGCCTCCTTGACTCCAAGCTTACTATTCGATACCGGGAGAGAGTCCATCTTCCTTTTGGGACACAAGGAAAGGCTCTTAGACGGCTTTTTGCAGACGACTTCTCTGGCATCATTTGGCTACATCCAGACTACGAAGATGGAGTAACGGAAGGCGAGAGACAAAACTGGTTCCAATTCTTATGCTCCGTAGATGACGTGTGCCGGTTGCCTCCTCTTCATTCAGGTGGACGACTCTCTGATGCAATGAGGCATATCCTGATGAGAAATGGATCAAAGGAATTTCTCTGGCTTCTGAAGACGCAATATTGTTCGGGCTACGGTAATATGTTTGGAGATTTGAACACCTGGGAAGCTCAAACACTCACAGTGGATATCAGCAACATTGGGGTAAGCACCGATCAAGGTGTGCAGAAACTGTGCGAGACGATATTGCCGTCTTTGTCGCCTGTCAGCCTAGGTCTTCTCCCTGTTTTACAGCTGATTGATCCACAAAACACGGACTGGGGATTCCTCCGCAAATTTGGAGTCCAGACTGAGCTCTCGCCGGATTATTTTGTGAAACAGCTCCGGGCTTTGAAAGAAAAAATGAACCAGGGACGAGTGCTAGCAATGGCTACAACTGTTTACAAAGCCATTGCTGCATATCCGGCCTTGGAAAGCTCAAAACTGTGAGTTCAACACTTTGGGGATGTGATAGCTGCTCACAGCGATGAACCAGGGCGAGTTTCCATACCGAAAGTTTGATATACGTCGACCCAGGCAGGTGGGTTTTGCCACAGCAGTGTGTCTGGAAGGCCTCATTCCCTTGCACGAGGGTGCCTGTTCTCTCCAGACTCTATCGTGGGTGTGACAATCTTTTCCAGGCCCTTTTGAAAGTAAGGGATGCAGGACTTGACGATTTAATCTCGGAGCTTGAAGACATGGAGTCAACACGAGAGCTTGACCGAACCAGGCTGTTACGCCAGAATATGTTGCCTGCTCTGGACTCCTTCCTGGGCAAAGCTTCCCTGTCAATGAATCAAAGACGACGACTGCTTCTGCTTCACATTTTTCCAGTTACTCAAGGTGAATCTAATGATCCTAACCAAGCTGCACAGTTACTCCGAGCCGAAGATACGTTCTGGATTGCGGACTTGAACTTTCTAAAATCAAAGTTCGAGGGATTCTTGCCATTGCTTGATGTGACTGGAAAACTCTTCAAATCATCAATACACAACGTCTTCAAGGAGTTGTCGATGGACTCGAAGCGTTTGTCTCTGAGCGTCCGGAAAGAACAGAACCAACCAAACCAAGGTGATATATCCGAAGCAGCGGATCCTGCGCTTAGCAATAGGCTCCGAAGGCAGAGTCGATACATCATTGGGTAAGTACTTTGTACTCTCCATGGCACAGATTCATGTCTGACGGGAGCAAGCATTGTGTGCCATGAAAACAAACTTAATCAGCCAGCCGACCAGGTGGCAGCAATGCTTAGAAACATAAGGGCTTTTCGGGTTCCAGACATAACTATCAGGCGATACGTTCTTGATGCCAGCACAAAGAGATACGGCCGCGACGAGAAGGGAGAGGTTCTCTTGCTGGACGCAGATGGAGAACTACATGTTAAGATCCGGCGTGATTCAGAGACCATGGACATCATCATCCCATTATCAGATCGTTTCGCAGAACGCTTTCAATTAGGGAACGCCAATCGCGAACTTCTTGTGAAAGTCCTCACAACTGAGAAAGTCGAGCAATTCATTGAAGACCTCGAAAGAGCAGGTATCAGGACAGATCCAACAACCGTCGTTGAAATTGTGGCTGAAGACAGCTTGGACGAAGATTCCGATGACGGTACACTTGCTGAAGATGCTAGTGACAACCTCGGATTGGCTTTCCAAAAATTACAGCTCGGCCAAGAGAGGACTGGTAGTGGTCCAGACGAAGAATCTTCGGAATCACAGCAACACAGGCCATCACAAACACCAAGCTCACAGGGACGACGAGTACGCAATGATGCAGCGCTCTCCTCGCCATTCTCATTGAGAAGACGGTCGGGCCAGGCTGCCTCCGGTGGGGCAAGATCAGATGCTATCGCTACAAATGGGGAGACTGCTACAGACGAGAATATTGCGCGCTTGACTGCAAGCCTGGTTGACGCAAAGCTGTCTGACACCACTCATGAGGTCTTCCGTAACTGGGTTACACCTCCTTCGGGAGTAGTGCCCAGCAAGTCTTCAGTGCCCGTCTTCGGCATGGCTACCGCCTTCGAATTCACTTTCAATTCACCTTCTCCCCAGGCTCTCGTGAACAACCCAGGTGCCAGCGGGAGCAGTTCATTGGGGCCAAATACGTCACCAACGTCACGCCATATTGCCGACAACTCGTCAGAGGCCCAAGCGGACTTGGATGCGCCACAATCTTCTCCGAACCATTTACACGGTGCATTTAAAACCCCAACAAAGGCGGTTCGACAGTCGAATCCTCCCTGGTCATCTGGACGACCGCCCACGAGCAGCTATGGTGGAAACAGTTTTGTCGCTCAGGAGTCCTCTGAAGCCGTACCACATGAGATTGGATTTGCTGGAGAACACCTGGTGAGTATTTACGACCACCCATGGCACTAAACCAGCTTTCTCACAGACAATGACTTAGGTATACAAGTTTCTGGAAGACAAGCTGTCACCATTTTTCACGCCAGAGAACTGGACTAGTAGAGCTCGAGCGAAAGCCTTTCCAAATCCATTCAGCGATGACTTTCGCGAGAAGGACTTTGCCGATTTCACCTACGTCGACACCGACGGACGCTTGCGTATGTATTTGAGCGAGCACGTCCCGACCTTTGAGAACCCAACCGGTCAGCGGAACAACATCACCTATCACTTGGAGGTCAAATCTACCCTGGGCAGCCTACACAACCCGGCATTCCTGAGTAATAACCAGATCTCCATGGCGAAGAAGTACTCAGGGCGATTTTCGACACCGGCCACCCAGACCGATGTGTACATCCTGGTTAGAGTCTACGGGCTTGGTTCGGACCCTCCTCAACCGCAGTTGTGCCTGTTTCCTGATCCTTGGAATCTTATCTGCCAGGATTCTCTGCTTATCGAAGGCGAAACTGGGATTTATGTGCGACCGAAAGTCGCCTGAGCGAATGTATTACGCGAAATAGATTGGGCAGGTGTAGTGCGAGCGGGAAGGACGGCGCATTTATGTCTAGGAAGGCTAGTATACAGCCGACCTTCTACAGTGTCTTCGAATGGATTAGGTAGAGATGCATCATAACCGGGCAAAAGAGAAAGCCATGTACCACTACGAATCTTCTTAAGGATTCCAACTCGAGTGAGGGCCCGAAACGGTCTATTTAGGATACCCTTGTGTAAAGTTACTCTGAGGTCGTCTTGATGAATATGGGGCTAGAACTAAAACGAGGAGTAAGAGGAAGCAGGGAGGGAGCTGAGGGCGTGCGGAGAGGGCGAAGAGACCGGAAGGGGAGCGAGAGGAAGGCGAAGAAAACGGAAGGGCGGCTAAGCACACCCTAAGTAAATACACTAGGGGCCTTATCTAGCCCCTTAATATCAGCCATACTTACCTCCCGGTTGGGCATCTATTTTTGACGGGCATTAGGGAACCTAGCAGATTCCCTGCCCTTACACTGCTGCCTTAATTTCCTTGTAACTTTGGGCCTACCGATAGGGTTCCGACGAGAAGCGGTCCTAGGAGGCAAAGCGGTAGGAGGCCTCAATAACGATGCGGATCAGGTCCAGAATGTCAAGACTGGTTCGAAGGCGTGAGTATTCACAGGCCCGGAGCAAACCACTCTCCCGCTCCCTCTCGCCCCCCAATTCTACCGCGTCGCCGGGCGAATGCTTGCTGAACAGGGGATGTCTGGATGCGCGTTTAGGGCGGTTAATAATCCAGGCATTTCGCAAAAGGCGAAGAATGAGGCCGAGAAGAAGCTGGATGCCATCGAGGATGGAGGGTAGGAGTAGAAGGAATTAAAGGATCGCCAGGGGAAATGGTGACTTCTCTCGTGGCGAGGACAGAAGAGATCGCAGGCTGTCTCGATCCCCCGAGTGGTACCAATTCAAAATGACCTTGAAATTCCAAAGATCGAGTATGCCATAGCTGTTGCGGCCCTAGTGTGTAGTGGCACTTGAGCAGAGGGAAAATCCCTTCTCTGAATCCGAGCCACAAACGCGCCTCTGGGGACTCCGAATTGCACGAATTCGACTTCCTTTATAAAAGGTGGATGGTCTCTGGTGCTGCCTGCCACCTCCTGTAGTACGCTCTATCCACTTCGTAGGCTTGGTGGCACAGTGTTCGGTTGTACGACCAGCCATAACCCACTCGTCGATAGTATATGGTCCAAGATTTGTGCGTTGGTTGCAGGACCAGAAAGTGCCGATACCTGGACTTATATCTCTGGCAGCAAGGACACATCCCCTCCAGCTCCCAGGCAGTCAGGAGGAAGACTCGGTCCGCGAGTTTCTCGCAAACACGATCTGGGATCATTGAACCCAGAAGTTGGCCATCACCGTCGTGAAGCCGGAGGTATCGACCTTGAAAGTCGGTGGATTTCCGATACCAATATGGCGCTTCTGCGCTACCAAAGGTGATATCGCGTGCTTCGCCGACAGTGGCGGGATGGAGGACGCCTCGCAGGACTAAGCTTGAGCAGTGCTTTGGAGCTGCGCTGAAAATGTCTGCATTTCCATAGACACATTTGGGGGGTGAGATGACGTCGTACTGGAGCTTGACCCAGTCCGCCTCACCGTTGCCCCGTCGGAGATGTGGATATTCCACAGCGCCGTCAGCAGCAATCCACGACCAAGTTGGTATTCCCTTGAGAAGACAGGCTCTTCGGTTCGATGGCGACGACAGGTCCTCTGCTTTCCGCGGAGGGTGCTTCAATACGGAAACCCAGAGTAAATTGCGCCCAATGCACCTCGTCCAACATCCAACGTGATATCGATCCGAGTAGAGCTGGGCAGATAGCCTTGCCAGTCCGGACAGGGCAAGAAGACGGTCTTGTCGTCTAGTCAACGACCGATGTGTATAGTTCTCTACCAGCTGAGCCCATAGATTGTGTTGCCGATGCTCGATGTTGCTCGGATCGAGCCGCTTAAGGATGTCGGTTTTCGGGGAGGTCCACCGGAACCAAGACGGAACGAAGGCTGAAAGGTCGGATCCATCTTCAGCTTGACAGACTTCTCCACATATCCAATATTGTTGGAATTCTCCAAAGTGAAGCCGGCGGCGTGAAACAAGCTGCTCCTGTAGAATCCATGCTCGTGTCGATAGAGGTGAGTGGACAACGTCGGATTGAAATAAATCTGATGCTCTTGCAGGCAGCGCAAGTTCGTACGGTGAATACCTCTTGACCAGGCTGGTCTGGACAGGACCGTTAGCAGTCACGATAGTCAAGGAAACGCCGGTTCTCCGCTGGAAACTTCCTTGCTGACGATTCGCGAGGAAGGAGTAGTCGTCGTTTTGGGCGCTGTCGCTGAAGAAAGAAATGGCTGCATTGCCAAATACCTTGAGCATCTGAACGCTTTCACTGGACCAGTCAGCCTCATCATCCTGGATGATACACAAAGAGTCAACCCAAAGATATGATAGCCCAAGTTCACTGGTGTAGGTGACAGCATCTTGTATAGTGTTGGGTAGCTCCAGCAATTCAAATCGCTGAAACCTCTTTTCAACGTTCGACCTTGTAGTTGCCCACGAGGGCGTCGGTCCTGAAACCCATCGATGACTGAGAGCTGTATATCTCCCTGTGTTTGGGCTTCCGGCCACAAGCCGAACGGTGCCTGTACGAGCTAGCAAAGAGACGTCGATCAACCGACTCGGAGGCTCATCAGCTTGTTCGGCAATCCGATTGCGGCATCGTATGTGATAAGTCTCGCAGCGGCGTAGCCACGTCCTTGTTGTTGCGATCGATCCAGCTGATCGGGCATTCTCCTCTGGAATTTTGCCGTACATCAGCCCATCGTACCTGGACGCATTTTTGACTGGCAGAACCATAAGCAATGTTCTAATAGCAGCGTGTTTGAAAACTTACAGTCGCTTGTGAAAATATCGACGCTGATGTCTTCCATCAGAAAGGCACTGCACTTGCCCATACAGCGTGCAAAGTTGAGTGACCGAAACGGCATGTCCTCTGGAGAGTTGCAGAAACAGCCACAGGATAGCTGTACCCTTAAGTAGGTGACGGCACCTCTTATATTCGGTGAGAGGCCTCTTCTCAGGATCACCTGGCAGATGCCGTTGTCGTTGTCAATATCGCGGTGGGCATCGAAACAAGAGAGGAAAAAGCGACAGCCCTCACATCGAACCGACGACTGTCCGAGCTCCTTTAGTGACTTTGCATGTAAAAAGCCACCGGGGGAGGACAGGTACTCGAGAGACAGAGAATCGCAGAGGGAACATGGGTGTGCGACCGTATCGATAGCGACACTGTTCCTCGCCCCCGGCAAACATCCTTTCGAACGGTTGAGCAAAAATTCGCCAAAGTACCAAGTGTTGAAAGCGTCGGGCACCGAAGAGAAGGCAGGAAGGGTTTCTCTGTGGCACGGACCGTCGCACTTCTCCCGGATCTTGCTCCACGTATCAAACCCAACTTTCTTTCGGAGGTAGTGAAGACATTGTGTGCCTGTGCTCCAGCACACTGGAGAGCAGGACTTCCCGCGGTCCAGCGAAGCACCGAAGGATAGGAGAATGTCGACGTGATCAACCCAACCTGAGTTGGCGGCACAGTAAAGCGGAGTACAAAATTCTTGGGCCAAGGCAGTGACATCAGCTCCATTCTGGAGCAAATCTAACGCGATTATGAACGCGACAGTGCCTTCGGGGCGCTCCCGGTCGCGTGTGGCATATCGTGAGGAGGTGTAAGCATAAAGAGTGTACCTCTCGGCAGCTCCAGGCCTGGACGTGAGTTGAGCACCGGGGGAATCGTGGCGTTGTAGGCTCAGGCCTCGCAATGCCAATTGATGGTTTTTCCATAGAAGAGAGTCTTCGGCACAACAAGCCAAGTGAAGTGGCGTCCATCCGATCTTATCGCGGGTGTCGATGTCCGGGTTTGTTGAGGCCAGCAGCTCTTTGACTTTGTCCGCATCCTGGCACCACACTGCCCAATGCAAATCCGTCCAGTCGCTGCGCGAGCCATGTTAGCATACGTTCGGGGAATGGGCCGGAAATACCTCACCTCGGTCTATACTGATCCATGTTACGAATGATCGACAGAGGTGGAGAGGGTGAAGAATGTTGGCGCTGCGCACATCGTGACTCGAAGTTGGCTCAGCCTCACCCTATAAGGGCTTAGCATTGCAGGCATTGTTGCCTAAGCCTCATCGGGTTTGTGCTCGGTTGACACCGATGCAGCTTTGTGCGATAGCTTGCCGACGATACCCAAGCATAATGGTCGAAGAGTGTATGCCGATGAAATGCGAAGTCGAAGGAAATTGTACCCTTGAGGGTAGATAATAAAAGCAGCACCACTCAGTGTCAGAAACGGTTAGACTGCCGTGCCGTCCGCGCGTCGATGTCTGTGCGATCTTCACTCACTTCGCCTGTGAATGACAAAATGCGGCATCTTGATGAGACAGACCACGGCTTGAGATGTACATGCATCGCTCAGGAGACCTCAGCTGGCCACAAATGGGAGAATTGGCACCCATGGGGCAGATTCGCATAATGGATGCGGATACGGGATTGTTGACTGCATGTGCTGGATCACACGACATTCCTTTTGCTCAACGATGAAATCCTATACAAAAAAAGCCTCGCACAGCCTCGTCGCCGTAGTTGTGCTATTCAGCTGGCAACTATCCAGCTAAATTCTCAGCTGTTGTCTCTCTTCACTGTTATGCCGACGGCATGACTGTCACTTATTCAGTACCATCCAGATAGGTATATATATCACATAGACACCTCGGGATCCAGGAGATCTTCAGAGCCATGAATACACTCATTTGACAACAAGAAGAGGAAAGGATAAAGAAAAAATATAATACTATTCAGCAATATAGTAGGGAATATACTAAGGCATCCTTTTAGGGATCTTACCTTTCGTTAGGGCCAAAACAAGCTATTATAGATGTACATAATCGGGTAAAGTTGCTATAATGCTACGTGTAAGTAATGTAGGCGTGTATTATACTGAACTGGGGCGAGGCTTCACAGCCAAGGGTGATGCCTCTCTGCGGCGGTAGGGATAGGTACAACTCACACTTAACACCCCAAAATAAGATGGATTGAATGCTTGATTGGTCTTCATTGTCCTGTGCCCTAAATGCCTGTCTAAAAATACTATTGAAAAGAAAAGAAAGAAAAGGCTCTCCACTTCATTGACCAATCAGAAGCCACCATCGCCTCCGTACAATGTACAGGCACGTGACCTGACTTCTCCCCATCACAATACAGAAAAGGCTACCTAATATTCAGGCTTAAGGTCATCTAAGGCCTTTTACGATCGGCTACAATAATACTATAGACTTCCCTCCCATCGCACGTGATCTCGCACAGCTTTTTGCTCGTTGACACCGAGCGCACTTCGACGCTCACCCGATCCACGCCGCTTTTAAACACCATTTACCTCCCACTCTCCTTCAACTCTCCTCACCATTACAGATCTGCTCAGGACACCCTCATCCCCCTTCGGTCACAGGATTCTGCAATCCGGAAATGCTTGGCTAATGTGATGAGTGAGGTGCCTGAAGGGACAATGGACTTCTTCAGGTGCTCCAGATTGCCAAGCACAATTCGACCTTCCCGCCATTATTGCGTCTGGGCGTTGTTTATTTCCCCTGCAGCCGAGGTGTTCCCGAAACCATCTTTTTGTGAAGTCCGTCCCTCGTTCGTACTACATACTTATCTCTGACACTACAGTAGCATCACTGTTTGTACTGGCGGTTCCTACTTGGCTGTGGAACTTCGACCCTGCTTGACTCGAAATGTGCTCGGGCGAAGTGGCACCTCGACGAGGATCTTGGGTACACGCTTTCCGACGAGTCAGACACATTCCACGGTGTCTGACTCGCCCCTCGTCTGTCTGAAAGTGGCACACGGCCTTTTCTCTGTCTGGTTTGTATCTTGTTGTGTAGGCCGCTGAATCTCTTCTCTCTTCGTCTGTCAACTCTTTGCGCTCAGGAAAGCCATACGTGCACATACTATCCACCGCCGTCTACTCGCTTGAGTCGACATCCCCCATCCATCATCTCCTTCCCTTCATGGGCGACTCTTCTGTTGGCTATGACATTCCCACGGAATGCTGGGGTGCAGTCGTCGTAAGAGATGTTGGCTTGTCTCAGTGCGCACGAGATATTGACGACGGTCCGAACAGAAAGACGAAGGCCCAAATTTCTACGTCGAGGTCGAAAAGGTCCCCGTACCAGAAGTCGGCAAGCATTGAGTATCCCCTGCGACACGATCAGGATTAGCTGACTGTCGCCTCCTCCCCCCTAGGCCCTAATGATGTCCTCATTAAGCTCAATGCGACCGGCATCTGCCTGAGCGACATTCACTACATGCTGAACGACTGGAACTTGCCCAAGATGTCCGACTTGGGCGTGAAGTGCGCCGGACACGAAGGCTCGGGAGTGATCGTCAAAGTTGGGGAGAACGTCAAGGGACTCAAAGTAGGCCAGCGGGCGGGCTTCAAGCCCATCCAAAATGTCTGTCACATATGCGAGCACTGCAAGTCTGGACGGGAACAATACTGTCTCCGGGCCGTCTTCACCGGAGGAGCATGCGATGGTAAGCACCACCAACCTCCTGCAAATGCTATGCAGTCAGGCTGATTGATAATAGGATCCTACAAGCAGTATGTCATCTCGCCGGACAGCTACACTACCGTAAGTCATGCATCACTGTCTTTTTTGGACAATCGTTGGCTAATCAAATTGGCACAGCTCATCCCCGATGTAGGTCCCAATGAATTAGGCCACTCTGGCTGAGGATAGACTGACCGAATGTAAGGGCGTCTCAGATTACGTCGCAGGCCCCGTCATGTGCTCTGCCTCGACAGTCTACACATCGATCAAAGAGTCAGGAATTAGACCCGGTCAATTCGCAGTATTCCCCGGCGGAGGTGGTGGGGTTGGAATCCAAGGTGTCCAACTGGCGGTTGCCATGGGTCTTCGAGCTGTAGTCATTGACACTGGTGACGAGCGAAGAAAGCTTGCGATGCAGTTGGGCGCCGAATATTTTGTGGATTTTCGAAAGGGGGATCCGGTCAAGGAAGTTGTCGAACTGACAGAAGGCGGCGCACACGCTGTTTTTGTCACCGCCGTCCAGTCGTACCCGATTTCTCTCGGCTATTTAGGGGTTCGAGCTGGTGGAAAAGTCATGTGGTCTGTAAAGCCCACCTCCATTGCTCGTTTTTCGCGAAAGAGTCAGGCTGAACCAAGATCTAGCATCGGTCTCCCTCCGCACGGAAAATACCACATAGACCTTGACCCCTCGACACTGGTATTTCGAGGTCAATCTATCGCGGGAACACTAGTGAGCAGCATGGCTGACATTGACGAGACACTCGATTTCGCTCGAAGAGGTAAATTCCCTCACGACCCGGTGAAAGGAACAGAGAGGCTGATGATAATCCAGGTAAGCTGCGTCTCGAGCCTACCGTGGTAGGATTAAGCAAGTTCAACGAAGCGGTCCAGAAGCTCAAGAACGGCCAAGTCGCAGGGTAAGTTCGACACCATCCTTGGATAATATATGCGAAGGCCAACGGCTAAAAAAAAGTGCAGTCGCATAGTGGTCGACTTCAACTTGCCGTGATGAATCGGCGGATTGATGTTGTAATGCATGCAGGACCAGGCAAGCGAAACCCCCAGAAAGATCATCATGTGGTCATGCAGAAGGATCCTTGTGCAGCCGGCGATACAAGAGGCTTGAGCGGGTCAAATTGCAATCGGGCATGGTTGGCTCCTCCAAGAAAACTGGAACAAAAAGGGGCGATGGGGCGCTTACAGAAAAGCTGGTGTAGATAATCTGGAGGAGGGCTGATTTTTCAAGAGACATTGACTAGAGACACCCTAGACATAGATACCGTTTGGAAGAAAGTATATCGATGGGCCTTCAGAAAGAAGCCACAGATCTCATGATGTTTATATTCCTCTCGAGAACGGGGACATCGTACCGCATCTCCGGATACTTTTCGAAAAATCCTGGCTTCATGGTCCAGTTCTCATAATTATACACGTATTGCAGGAAGACGGGGCTGAAATCGTGTCGATCGCGGAGATGGTCATAAACAAATATCTCCTTGTTGGAATAAGGCCAGAAGAAGGAGAAATTTTCGACGTATGCCGCAGAGAAGACACCCGTGGCCGTGTATTTTTCATGCTCAAAAATCATGCGATCGCGCATGCCGGGCCTGGAAGAAAGATAAGCTCACTGTTGGTGGGAGGGACATGAAAGGCGCCCAGAACAAAACTAATAGAACCGACCTCTGCAGCGAAATGGGGCAGCAGAAAGCTATTACGCCAGGACGTGAGACATACCATATCAGAAAATCGATAACGACGGGGTGGGCCAGTCGTTCCTGCGCAGGTCTGCGACTCAACACTCGGTCAGAACATCGAGGCACCCATCTTGGAACGGGGGGCCAAATCCCTCACCTAGGTCGCAAAAAGCCAGGGACTCGCCTGAGGTTCTCCGGCGCCGGATTCTCGCGATACTGGATCAAGGTCTGGCAGACGTACATCATGGCCATCCTTTGAGCCATTGATGTCCAAGTGCCAAAGATTCGCTGGTCGACCTCTCGCAAAGCATGCCACACGGGATGCTCAGCTTCACGGCCGACGTTCTGCCATCCCCATAGCATGGCTTGAAAGGCTGTCTGAAAATCCATGGTCGCCGCTGACTTGCCCCGCCTCTTTACCGAGTCCAGGGCCCTATTGTAGGCTGAGTTGCTAACATACCATTTTTCGGCGTCTGGAGCGATCCTTTTCGTGACCTCGAGATTGGTTGGCGGCAGTTGGGTGTTGAAGAGTGTCGGCTCGTAGGAACCCCAACCGCCGAAGCCTGTCTGGTCGAAAACGTCAAGGAGGTAGTCGTCGTTGTTGTTGTTGTGGTAGTAGTGGTGGTGGTGGTTGCGGTGGAGGTCGGAATCGAAATGGTCCACGCCGCCGCCCCAAGCTGCTGCTGTGGTGTCACGAGCAGAGACGGTGGTGACCCCGACTTCCAGGACCTGATCTAGGGGAATGCCTTCTGCAAAACCACTCTCCTTGCCAGCATCGTCTTCGAGAGCTCCCATTGTTGGAGCCACACAGGCCCCATACCAAGGAACAGACACGGCTACATGGGGACTAGAAGGTGTTATCGAGGTCGTTTCAGGGAGTTCGAATTCAAAGGGGTCACTCTCGGCAAGAGCAGCGCCGGCAAGCTCGATTTCGGGAATGAGAGCTGTGGCCGATTCGGATCTGGAAGTCTTCTCTTTGAGGCCGCTAGCCCAAGGCTTGAAGTCTGGTTTGGCGTCGGCGTCGACGTCGTTGCCTTCAGGAATGAGCACGACTTGGCTAATCATGGCTTGGATTTTGTCAAGCGTATACTGAAGCCGGTGGTTGTTCTTTCGCAGGTTTGCGATGGTCGACGTCAGTGAGGCTGTGCGGCTCGCATCATCGCCGGACTTGAGGCTGCTGAGAGCCTCTTCGAGCGCAGCAATCCGCTGTTTGGTCTTCTCGCGGGTAGCCCTTTGGGCCAGGCGATCCTGGATCTTTTTCCTCTCGGTCCGCTGCCGGGGCTTCTTCGTCCTTTTGTCGTTGGTGAGGCTGTTATCCGCCGTAGAATCCGTCATATGTGCGGCGCGCTCGTCAGGCAAGGTTAGGTTCAGTGTCTGCTGCACAGGAAGCTTGGTAGGCAGGCAGGAGAAGGTGGGAGATGACAGTCGGGGCCTGACTTGTCACGACAGAGTTACCGTCCAGCTGTGCAATTGGAGAAGAGGAAGAAACTGATACCGAGGAGCACGGAATCCCGTGCCGCTCAATTGGGGTTTGCGGCGGCTGTGGCGATAAAAAGCCTCCCGCAAAATGGCCGCGGCCTGTCACAGCCTGCACGAGCTTGATAGCATCCATGAGGCGGGGACACCAGGGGTTCGCCTATGTATTTGGCGTGAAGTTTTCTGGGGTAACCAACCAACACAAGGAGCGGTCACGCTTAGGAGCTTGGGGTCCCCATCCCGAGGGTTTCATTGCACCATCGGGTCGCGCTACCGGCCTAAGCAACACTAGGCCCCGGTGTCTGATCTGTCTGTGTCTGAGTCGACCATCTCCGGGGCCACTCTGGGGGCGCTCTCGGGATTGATGGGGAGGATGGAGAGAATGCATATCAAGAGCGTCTTCCCTTGCCATGATTGAATCCCAGTCAATCGCAGTCTTTGCTCCGCCGAGGCCATCATCTTCTTGTCTCGTCTGTCTCAACTCATTCCGCCACCGCAACCATGAAGTTGTTCCAAAGCCTCCGAGGCAGGAACCTGTACCTGTTGATGAAGCTTGTATGCGGTGCTTCGTTCATGATGTATGGCGTACGTAAACCCCATGCTGGTCTGTTGGCTGTGGTGACTCACTGTTGTGCGTGCAGTACGATGCTGGCGTGTTGGGCGGCGTCCTGCTCCATAAGCCCTTCATCGAGGCCATTGGGCTCGAGAACACTGGACAATACACCATTCCGATGATATCAAGTGCCTACAGTCTGGCTGCCTTTGTCACATCCGTCGTCATAGGCTTCTTTTCCTTCAAGCTGGGTCGCCGTGGCACGATCATCTTGGGAAACGTGGGCGCAATCATCGGCTCTGTTATCCAAGCCTCGTCGTACAGCATCGCCCAACTAATCGTCGGCAGATGCTGCACAGGCTTCGCCATCGGCTGCATCTCGTCGGCCGTCCCCATTTACCTTTCAGAGACTGGAGTGGATTCGGGGGATCGAGGTCCGGCAAATGCTCTGAACGCCATCATGTTGATCTCTGGTGTCCCGCTGGCCTACTGGATCGACTATGGCTTTACCAAGATGGATAACCAAGTCTCCTGGCGAGTCCCTGTCATCTTCCAGATCGTCTTCGCAATGATTGGCGGCGGGTCCATGCTGTTTCTTCCGGATACCCCGAGATGGTATTATGCTCAGAATCGCATCCCCGAGGGCGATGCAATCCTGGCGCGTCTTCATGACGTCCCCTCGACCGACGATCCTGATGTTCAACGCACCAGGCAGGAAATCCTGCTGGCCATTGAGTCCGAGTTGGAAGCCAGCGCCAGCTTGCATTGGCAGCAATTCATCACCTCCGGTCTCATCGACCACTCACCCCTGAAGATTGCAAGAAGATTGTGTATCTGCTTCTGGCTGCCCTTTATTCGTGAGTGGATGGGTAGCTCTCTGATGGCGTATTATAGTAAGTCTTTGATGCTCGTCTCGGCTCCGGTCAAGCTCCTCTGGTATTAATCTTGTGATCCAGGCTCCATTATCTTGTCCAACACTGGAGCGACTCCCACTTTGATTTCCGCCCTTGCCGGAGTTCAGAACATTATTTTTGCACTGGGCTGCGTACCTCTCTATTTCACCATCGAACGAGCTGGTCGCAGAAGCACCCTCCTTTACGGCGCCATGGCCATGACCCTCCTCCTCGTCATCTTCATCGCTTTGGTTGCCGTCCCCCAGACCGCATCTATCCGGTGGGCCTCGATTGCCATTTTGTGGCTCTTCCTCTTCATCATGGGCTATGCCTACGAAGGCGCGGTCTGGCTGTACTGCGCCGAGATTTCCCCGCTCGAATATCGCCACATTGGTGGTGCGGCGACGTCCGCTGGTGAATGGCTGGGAACTTTCCTGACCGTCTTTGTGGGACCTATTGGTTTCGACAACTGTGGGTGGCATTTCTGGTTCTGGGTGCTGAGCGGAAATCTAGTGGCCGTCGCCTTCGTATTCTTCTTGTGCCCAGAGACTGGTGGGAAGACCCTGGAACAAGTCGACAACTTGTTCACGACAGGTGGAATCGCGGCCGGCATCTCCAAAGCCCCTTACGGCGAGGAGCACTGGGTGGAGACATCCGAGGAGAAGGGGCCAGAGGCCAACACTACTACAGCAGTCAATTGATAGAGAAGTATGATATGCGCAGCGCCATTGGATGTTGGTCAAAGAAGACCGTAGGGTATCCAAAATTGATGGTATGCTTACCCTCAATAGAAGGGCTCCATCAGGCGGGCCTTCCAACCAATGCCGCCGCAGCATATGCATTAATATTTGCCTTGACGAAAGGGTCGTTCCGATATGTGCTTGCCGCCATAGAAAATGTGTGCGTGTGATTGAGAAAAAGCTAAAGATGACGGGTACTCCAAATTGCAGGACCGGCGCGAACAGAGAACAAAGTCAGATCTAATAGCGTCTGTTTAAATGGCAAACACCACGAATGAGCAGTCAATTAGTATGATGATTTGATCTTCGTTGGTCGCGAGATGCTTCTCAGCTGGCGGCTCTTTGCCAATGCGGTCATCTGTCAAAGACGGGCAGAATCTGCAGCTAGCTAAAAAGGTAACACGAGCACTTTGGCTCTGGAACACAGGCGTCGTGCCTTTCATTTCTCGCAATCTCAGTAACCGCCTCGACAGAGCTGTAGCCGACGCCTAGATGGGACCCCCCTGAGCCCGAACTGGCTTCTGAGAATAAGCATCAGGCAGCACTCCCTATAGCTCACTCAGTACTCTGGCATCCTCCCCCGTACTCCACCATACTCTACCGGGCCTCCTCTATTGCTCCGTCACGTGCCCGACTAAAGCAGCCTCGCTCCCTTTCCTAAACGAAAATGGTAAGGGATAAGGCACAGTTCGAGGCATATATAATCTATATACATATATATTTATATAGGGTGGTCAGCTGTCTTGGTACCCAAGTCATTGGCCAGATTTATCTATCACATAGGGATTCACGGAGGCACGTTCAATTCAGAATCTGGACATGTCTGATGGCGATCACACATTCCTTTCCGGCGACATCTACCCGTCTCCGCCCATCAATGACACCCCTCTGCGCCGCATGTTGACCCTCACCTGCGTTTGGCTGGCCCGACGTTTTCAGCACGGCTCGTTGTTGAGATTGAGCTCATGGATATGCGTCAAGCTTGGGAGCTTCCGAGGTCTTCCTAAAGCAAGAACGATGCAGTTCTTAGCTTCGAATACCTCGATACCAGTTCCGAAAGTCTACTGTTCGTTCCGCCGGAAAGGGATCACGTACATCGTGATGAAAGGCTCCGTGGAGAGACTCTATCGAGAACGTGGCCGAGACTCTCTCAAGCGTCAAGAGAAAAGATCATACTTCAGCTGAGACACATTGTTCAAGAGATGCGAAAATTGCCACCACCCAGCGCGAAAATATCGACAGTCATCTTACCATGAAGAACCCTCACTTATTATGTCGACCAACGTCTATATTATGAACTATAATTTAAGACTAGTTTAGGGGTTGGGCTTATTAGGCCCGTCCCGGCGGGAAGGACGACCGAGTACCCCATACGCTGGACAGGTCCATACGAATATAAATGAGTCCAGACAAGTCCGTATGAGTCCGCATGAGTCCATACGAGGCCATATGAGTCCGTATGAGTATTGTCAAGTTTATTTGGCCTGTGGACCTACGGACTTGGGGATTCACTAGTTAGCCAAAGTCGTTGGCGAAGGATGTTAGATCCCTATCACCCTGTAACCCTGAGCTCCTGTTGTTGCTGCTTCCGGTAAGCTATATAGAGTAAACTAGCACACATCATGCATTGATCCCATTGTTCAGACTCCGCCCAGCCCGCCAAAGCTCGATTTAATTGCCACCCTACCAATGGCCGCTCCCAAAGCCCATTTTGTGACTCAAATCCCCCCCAGAGATGAAGATATCGTGAAATTGGCAGAAGACTTGGTAAGGAAGTTCCCGGTTTTAGCATATATGGTATTGACGATGCCGAAAAGACAGGGATACACAATCTTTCCTTGGATGCGGAAGAGATTACAGTCCCAGCCGGAAAACTTGACACTTTCATTCCTTCCGATGTACGGGTCCTCCTGGTGCACTCAAGACACTCAAAAGGGGAAAGGGTTGCTGTCTTGAGCAATCCGGATCCCAAAGACATACATAATCTCCCAGACCTGGATGAGCTGGTAGGCCCAACGGAGATAGAAGGATACTGGTTCATGCCGATCAAAGCTGAGCAGATGGGGAGGTTAACGTTCGGCGCTGCTGCTCGATGCTTTCGAAACCGGCCGTCATGAAGCGTTCTTGAGGAGATAGTCGGAGAGTTGTATACCAAATTGAAATGTTACCACTTTCACCGATGGTGTCCCCTTTGTGGGGATTTTCAATCCAACAACGCGGGACTTTTCAGTCTTGACTTCTGCAATGAGTTCTTCGTTTTGAAGAAAGTCGGACAGAACCTCAAGTAAATATCGGAAGGTGACGCATATATTGGTCCGTGCTCCAACAACTCAGCGCCTGAGCCAGCACTCTGCTCATTTAGATCAGTTGCCTCGTGAGAAGAGCTTCGGTCCCAATTTCTACGATGACACTCGTTAGAGCAGATTCGTATGGGTCAATGTCAGCAGCTTCGATGGTCGGAATCTCGGGCTCAGTCGCTGTTGAATGGAGGGAATCTGTGAGCGTGGTATCCCAAGGTTGGTGACGTCTTCCACTTCGACATGGGACTTTTCCCATAACTCAACAATTTGCGAGCAGGTTCCGAATTGCCATCCTCATAGCCGGGAAATCATACCATGATCATGGCTGAGATCGCTGTACACCCATGGAATTTAGATCTTGTTTCAGATCGCTCATGGACTCGTACCGTCCCTGCCAACAACCCATGATTATGGAGCGGAAGCGTAGATTTCCCACGGATGGAAAGAGTCGTTGGGCGATACGAGTCCTTCACATATGATAGTTTCCCGTCCTGCGACATATGCTTCGTCTCGTTGTAGAACGGCGGTGCGCCTGTCTCGATTTCGAACACGGTACAGCCAAAAGCAAAGATATCAGTTGCCCGGCTAATAGGCAGATCCAGATGCTCTGGTGGTCGATAACCGTACTCGTTATAGCTCGCCAATGCTTCTTGGTCGTCAATATGAGAGCCACCGAAGTCAATCCAGATCGCGACATCGTCTTCGGAGATAATGACATTGGCAGCGTTGAGATCGGCGTGTATAACATTGTTATCAAGCACGTACTATACTGCAAACTATAGGTAAGCCCGCTGACTCATTTTTCGTGCCGTTCATTTGAGACGTCGTCCTCTTTCAGTATTTCTCGTAGATATCACCCCGCCTACAGAACAATTGCTCTGCCTTGGACATCAAGCAGTTCTACCACATTTGGATGCCTGCCCAGTCGCCGCAAGACGTTGCATTCCCGGATGAAATTCTCGTTATTGCCGCTGTATAGTTTGCAGCTCGATTGCCGGTGATGATTATTCTAGCAGTTGATCCCTGAATGTGCTTCGGCATTTCTCAAGTACCACGGTTAATTTATGTGTTGGCATAGAAGTGATGGACGAGTTTATAAGGAGATACAGAAGCGTGCTACTGGTTCCCAAGGGGGAATTCTTTTCTTACTGGAAAAGCTGAAAGAGGGTGAAGGAAACTCTGAGTCTCATTTGTTCCTGTTATGTTACAGTGGCGCAATGAGGCTCGCACGACCTCGTCGCACATGGAGGAGGTGCGTGTCTTAAAAACTACTTGGCTGAATCTAAGGTGTTCGCGAATCGAGGGAGAAGAGAGGATATAAACAGGCTTTCTGTGTTCCTACTCTCCCTTCGGAGGAGATTCCCGGGAGTGATTTATGGTAGCTGCCTCGACGAAGCCGGGTGGGCAGCAGTCGTTGGTGCCGCTGCGGCGACAGAATGACAAAGGGGAGTGAGGTCTGGTCTGGTAGAAAATCGGATGTGGCATGTATGTGTGTAGGTAGATCGGTAGGTAGAAGCTTGATGATGGTCAAGAAGAAGAGAGAGAGCCAGCAGAGCCTGACTGATTGTTGTTTGTTTGATCGACCTAGGGGTGTTGGCTCCTATATGATATATCCTTCGGGTTTGCATGTTCCAATTGTATCTATATCCTAAACCCTGACAACCATTCCTTATCTGAATATCCACAACAGCCCTGCCAGTGTTACGGCCGGACATTCCCCTCAAAATCACCCACTCCTCTTCGAAAGCCATGCTCGAATTCCCACCCAAAGGGACACCCCTTGGGATCCGCCACGCCAGCCTGACGCATTCGCTTGAGGATCCAGAGGTCCAACGCGCCAATCTTGTCTGCCATGATGACGAGGCTGTCGTCCAGAGGCGGTGGTCCCTGGCTGGCAGCTGTACCAGCACAGGGAATCTGCCCTTCCAACCGTGCCGCAAAGAAATGTCGCGCGTCGGCCCATCCCAGCTTCCAACCTTCCTCGTACAGCCAATGCTCGAATTTTTCTCGGGGACTATTGGCCGTCCAATAGTCAGTGTGTTCCTTGGTCGCGCGCCAACAGAGCGAGTTCTTCTTCTCGTCCGCCTGCGCAAGCCTGTGTTTCATCTCTCCCACCGTCAGCGCAAACTCCTTTGGGGGCACAATTTGTCCTGCGTCGCTGGATGCCTTGAAGCCCCATTCCCACCCGGGCATCCAATCCATTTTGAAGGTCCAGAACGCCGACCCGGACGCCCTGCTCTGCCACGTTTGGCTTTGGACATGTCCGAATTGCTTCATCAACTCGTCTTTCTGGTCGGGGGGCGCCTTGCTCCATGTCTGTGGCGCCAGGGCGAGGCTGTACTCGCCGACGAAGACCGCCACAGCCGCCTGATGGGAAAAGACATCTCCGACAAGAGTCGAATCGAGTTCCTGCAGCTCGGTCTTGACCTGTTCGATGATCTCGTAGGGGGAGCGCGACGTGTCCTTCTCGTCAAAGGTCCAATATTTGTGGGTATCCACAACTACCGGGCAGCTCTGCGTCCCTGGATTGTTGTATGCGCGCGTGAAACGAACGGCGCGACCGAGATCCCATCCATCGCTGAGATAGACGGGAAGGGACGGATCCAAAGCCGATATTTGTTGTATGACATGGTTGTACCACTCATACATCCCCGGCGGATCGATAATGGCTTCGTTGCACACTTGGAGTCCAACGACACCAGCCAGTTGGGGGTCCCGGAAGATCTCTTCCGCAATAAATACCAGACATCGGGTCGCAAGCCCAAGGTTGAACGGGTTGGCCCATAGCTCGGCCTTGCCGCTGCTGGTGCCAGAGTGTGTTTCGTGATTGGCTCCACCAGGGACTCCGTGTAGGTCGATGAGAACACCGATGCCGTGCTGGAAACATCGCGAGACGAGGCGCTTGACGGCGGACCATGCGTTGATATAGACTTGAGACGGTGCCATGGCGAAGGCGGTGTTGGCACAGAAGGCTGGGCCCAAGCTGAAATAGCCGATGGGCAAGCGAATGGCATTGCAGTGGGCCGAGCTGGCGAGCCAGTCGAGGTCCGAGTCGGTGAGGGCGTTGGCCCAGTGAGTCTCCCATTTCTGGCGGGTTGCATCAAGGCCACGGGCATTGATGGACCTGCTGAGTGAGTGAGGAACCAACAACGGAGAACAACGAGACTCACGCATTCACAGCGTCGAGCTCACTGCTCCCCGAGACCCCCTCGTCGTACATGCTCCCGAACATCCATTGCTCGAGGATGAAGATGCCGCCGAGATTGGTCCCGTGCTGGTAGCGATATTGAAGGATGTCTTTGGGGGAAGGTCGAGTCGCTTCGCGGTAGTAAATGGAACGCTGGACGTCGAAACCAGGTGTGGGGGCTGTAGGGAGTGCCTGGTGTGAGTGCCATACTTTCATTGAAGAGCAGGTGGAAGAGAAGGGGAGTGAAGTGAGAGAGCCAGTCAGTCCGTCAGGAGATCAACCTCGAACTGGCTATTGTACACACTTCAACTTTCTCCTGCTCAGCTGCAACAGCATCACATACTCTCGTTCTCATTCTCATCCTTCTTCCCATCCACCACGTCTCTAAAGTCGTTAAACGCCTTTTTGAACGCTTTCCTCATAATGGGGCTGTGAACTACTTTTGATGAAGCATGACATGAAAAAAAAAGGAATGCAAACCCACCTCCCCAAAAGAAAGAGGCTTAGCTGCGTAGGTAGCTAGGTAGGTAGGTACCTACCTCCTCTTCCGGCGGGCAGCATCCTTCGAGACAGACACTGGTGACACCCACTGCTTGGGTCGCTGCTGCGACGGAATTGGCCGGCGGTTGGATGTGACACGTCGTCGTCTCTTGGCTGTGGACACGCAACATGCAGTCAGAGTCCATTCAGACGCCATCGATCACAGCGGGCCAAGGTCCATATCTACGCGTTTTGCCTTTACGCCATTAGTCCGCGCGAGGAAGATCTCACGGAGCCTATCAATAAAAGGACCGAGACTGGGATACCAAGATTGGGATACCAAGGCTCTTTTCATCATTCCTCGAACGTTCATCTTATCCTACGACGCTCCAATCCAGCCTTGCATCGTCCTCGCAGACTTCGTCTAATGCTTTCACATCGACCAGTCACTGATCAACGAGGTTCTTGCTCATAAGGCACTGACAACGGTCCAATATACGTCCGTACCTCAGGACAAGACATACCTGGCTCTATCACCAGCCATCCTGTGTGCTGTAGCGTCCCGTCTTTGGAGCAGAAAACCACCCCCTGCATATCAACACCGTACACACCAGTGCTCGTCCACCCTGAAGACAATTGCGCCATGTATGTTCTCGAGATTGTGCACTCCTCAAAACCTTGGCCTTGTTCTCTTCGTCCAAAATAACCAAGAAAGGCCACCAAGCATTCCCGGTGATCACTTCATCAACAACTCCATCTGCTCTCTTCTCTTCGCACGCATGTACATGGACAGACTCTGCTGTGCTGCTGGGATGTCTTTGGCCTCGCCAATACCCAAGGGGTCCAGATCGTCCACCAGCGTCTCTAAAGGTTTTTTGATTGCACCATCAGAGCTCTCTTTCTCGGTTCCTCTGCCATCGTCCGTGTTCTGGTCCTGTTTTTGGCTTTCGTCTTTCTGCCCGTCTTGATCCCGACTGAGCTCCTGTGGCTTGATCGTGGGAGATTGATTCGGGCTCGCTGGTAGCGGGGCCGCTTGTGCTTGCTGGCCGTCCGGGAAATGGTGAATCATGACCGTGCTTTGGTCTGATGTGGAAAGAATATTCGCTGCTGCCGAGTCGTCCTTAACGGCTCGGAGACGGTCGCTCGTTTTCACATCGTCGTCACGGTCCTTCCTCATCATGAGCTCCCCCTGGGGAGCTTTGGCACCCCTCGATTCGGGTTTCGGCGATGAAGCGACGGGCACAGGCGTTCGGGATCTCGAAAATGATTCTTTCGGCATTGGCGAAGCCGCCCGGGATCCAGACCGCGATGCATCAAGAGCAGACCCTGCCAAGCCAGGAACCCTTGCCCTATCCGCCGTGGGCTCATACAACTTTGCGGAGAGAGAACCTGTCAGCCCGACACTAGCCTCACTCGTCTCCAGGCCGACAAGCACAGGGCTCCTAGCCCTAGAAACAGGTGCCGAAACAGAGGACGAGTAGTCAGCTTGTGACCCACCGGCGTCCGAGACCGATGTCCATAGCTCAGTCCCTGACCCTTCACCTGCACCATTAGTTTGCGGTTTAACGAGGGGTTGGGGCTTCGCGTTCATCTCTTCGTCCGTACGGCCAAAGAGTTCATTCCACCATCTCACCTCCTCCGGCTTGGGGAAGATGAGTCGTTCTTTGCCTCGAACGTTGTCGTCGATAAGTGGGTCGTATTTGGGGTTCAGAAACTCTTGTTTGCGGGCGAGGAAGTAATCCCAGACGCTTCGGGTGCGCTCACTGAGCCGAGCCTCTTTGCGTTCTTTTTCGTTGTCGCCGAGGAATGTCCCGTATTGGCAAGAGTACAGATGGAAGAGGAGCCGTCGAAGGAATCGCTCGGTGAACTCGAATCGGGTGGGATACTGGTACAGCATCTGATAGGTGGCATCCAGAAATTGGTGGAAGACTGGCGATGTCTCCTTGACCTTGGTGACCGGCTTCTCCTTCTCCTTCTTGGCAGCCCCAGACACGATCCGTCTTCCTGTTTGCGACTCCGAGTCATAGTTACCAGGCATGTCGGCATCCGAGTCAACATTGATCGACTCTCTCGACTCGTTGTTCTTGGTGTTGGAGAAGAACCCCTTCGCCGTCAAGAATGCGTTCTCGAACGTCGCCATGGCACCACTCTTCTCTTCTTTGCCATCCACATCCTCACTGCCTCTGCTGATCCGCTCGTTCTCAATCTGGAACCACTTCTCCGAGTTCAGAAATCCCGAACGGTGTTTGAACATGTGCCCGAAGCTCAGCCAATCTTTTTCCACCAGTATCATGAACCCTTCCATCGTCCGGTAATACGGGTCAAGACATATCTGGCTGAGAGATGACAGTTGACTTGTCCTATCCCAACCATCACTGCAGTGAATCAAGACGTGGCTGTGCTGTAACCCCACCTGTCGAGCGATCAGTCCCGAGCCGTCCAGAATAAGACCAATATGTTTCAGCCAATTGCTCTTCTGCAGCAACTCCTGGTTTGGCCCCAGGGGGGTCAGGTCGGAGTCCTTGAACGCATCGATGACTTTCTGGAGACTATCTCGCATAACATGAACATTGTCGATCCCCAGGTATGCTTTGGTGGCAAACTTGTAGTTGCTCATATCCTCGGAGCCCATGCCTTGTGTCTGCATGACCAGCGCATTGATGGTGGGGCGTGCATCCACGATCATGTTTCGCTGCTGCGCTCCATAAACCATGGGCCTTCTGTCCTCTGAGCCTTCCGGCGCATCATCATCTCCACGGAACCTGGAGATGATCGCATCTTCAACAGCCTCAGCGTCTGCCTGCGAGACTTCACTATCCAACACCACGGCGCAGTTGGTGTCTTTACTAGATCCAGAATCCTCCCTTTCCGGAGGCGGAGAGTTGTAAGCAGACAGTGGTCGCTCAGCCCTGGTCGTGTTGAAGATGGCCGCAACGAGCTTTTCATCCTGAATACTGCGGTTTCCTCGGACCCCGACAAGCGGCTGAGATGAGCGAGTGATAGAGCAATCGTTGACCGGGTGAAGATAGGTCAGAACCGGTATCCTGGCTCTAGACCGATATCGCCCTGCATAGTTCAGAGTGTTATCTGAGATATTGGCCGGGACGGCGAGGATGGCAGGGTATGTGGGAGAGAAGCTGTAGTCCTTGTTGATAGTGGAGATTCTCCAGTTTGTCTTCCGACTCTCGTCACCGACGCCCATTCTCCTCCACTCCCGCATGGGATCGTAAAGCGACCAGCCTTTGCCGCCCACATCTTTCTCGGGTCCTGTCGGATGATATGAGAATGCGTACAGTTTTTCGATCCCGCTCAACTTGCACGTCCAAGCCTTGATGCTGTCGTAGACATCCCTGGCTTTCCGATCATCGTTGAAGTAGAAGCAGTAAAATGTGAAATCGCGACAACGCAGGCGAATGGACGAGGGCTGTCTGGAGGCGGTGGGACTCGGCCGGAAGGTACAGAAGTGAATGATGGGATATGTTATCCAATTTTCGCGGGGTCGAGCCGGCTTGCCGTCGGCGGTGGGAGGAGCGGCGTGAACAAATATGAGATGATGAGGTGTCAGATGCAACGTTCCGTTGACCTGGATTCCTCGGCGTGAAAGGGTTACGTCGTCAACCTATGAAGGGATCCTTGTCAGAGTCTTGCGCGCCCAGATTTGTCGTAACTCCTGGGAAACAGATCATACAACCTTCGCTATGCGAGTGCGCTCCATGGCCATTTTGGCGTTGTGCTAGCAGGCGGCTGCGTCGCCAAACCACCATCAGCGGGGCTGCTGGGGCGACGACTAAGCGACGAGGGGACAAGGATCTACCCAATTTAATCTGTATAACTGAAAGACATATGGGAAAAAGAGACCGTCTAATGAAAGTAAAGTCCGGGGACGGAAGGACACAGTAAGGATGGAGTGATACGTAGCAGGGTCGAACAAACAAATCCACAATCGACGTCAGACATAAAAACGGCCGCCAACGTCTCCGCATTTCACTTAGCGCAGCCCCGTCAACAACACCAGCAACAATTCATTCATGGTAGGCTTGCCAGTTGGCCACTCGCTCGTTGTAGACACCTGCATCAAGACAATGGCATCTTACTACGTTTTCCCGACCACGACACAAAAGATCCTGTGATTTATGCATGTTTGATTCAACATCCAGAGAAGCGGACAGTGGGTGACTGTTCACTCAGGGGTGCAAGATACTATGTCTGCAGTCTTCCCATGCAATCGCAACGTATCCTGGACTGGGACCGTCACCTTTCAAATCCAAGCTATGAGCTTCCTCTCCGTGGCCCCTCTCAGCGGCAGTGTGAGATCCGAGCACTGCCTATCTCCTTTGCCGCAATTAAACCGCAATACAATCCATTCCTGTCGTGACTAGTTGTACAAATTGTTCGGAACTGACATTTCCCAACATCCCTTTCGTGGGGTTTTGAGGCCCCTTTTCATGCATGCTGACCATTATCTTCATGGTTCTGCTATCCTTTGGGCTTGCTCATGCCAGAAAAACGCCATGCTATGTTCAAAATGCTTTCAGAATGTCCATTCTATTTTAGACATCAATCCAAAATGAATAAGGCTGTGCCTTGCCCGCCTGTCCTGCATGCGTAGCTTTCACTCACAAGAAATCATCAATGTTCCGGAAAATCTCGGGCGCTTCCCCTTGTTGGTGCGGACTCCTGGGGTCAAACGGTGCTGGTATCTGGCCTGCCACCGGGTGTGATGATGCCGGTTGCTGCGATTGACGCGGGAGCAAGACTCCCCTGGTCACGTTCTTGCCATTAACATCGGGCATGGCAAGGTCTGCTGAAGTCGTGATTCCAAACGGGGACAACATAAATTCTGTGGCCCGCGGAGACAAGAGCGAGGGCCCGTCGGGTCCCTCCGCGGCGAGATCCATCCTGGGCGAGGTGGTCAAGATCCCTAATCTGGGCGTCTTGGAAGGGTTGGGTGACTGCTGGGGAGATGGTGTGTCGAACCGTTCACGGAACGGCAGTGGCCTCGGTGACACGCTCTGCGGAGGGCTTTGAGGACGTGAAGAATTACGCGCCTCAGCAGCCGGTTCGGGGGTCGATGTTTTCGGAGGTTCCAGCGACTGCCTTGCGATACTCCCCAGAATCTGGCTCAACTTGGCGGGCGTCGCTATTTGGTCATCCCGGAGAAACAGCGGTACAGGAGGAAGCACCTTTTCGAGTCTCAACGGCGGGGGAGCTTTCTCGTAAGAATCATAGAGAAAGGCATCCGTCTGAGCAGCAGCTCTCTCACCGAGCCATGAAGATTGCTTGGCAACCGGTGTGTCCATGATGGAAGAGTCCGAAGATTGTATCTTCCACCAGCTCGGCTTGGGATTGTTGCAGTGGTCCCCATAGACTCCTTTGACGACCTTTGACCGGAAGTCTGTCAACTGATAGATCAGGCTCATGTTGGGTCCCACCCATTCACTCCGTTGCTTCACCGCCATATACATCGAATGGAAATCCGGTTGGTACCCTTTATATAGGCCGTATGCGATCACCAAGGACGCCGAGCGACTGACTCCTAACTGGCAGTGTATTAGGACTTTTTTGCCCGCTTGTATTCTTTCATCAATTAGTCGACAGAGGCAATACAGATCCTCCAGTATTTCCGAATTATGGTCCCATGGCACATGCAAGTATTCAGGCTGCGGCAGCTGGACGAGAGAGTTCGGCCTGGGGGTGGTCGGCGTCGGGATTTCGTTAGGGCGAGGCCACTCCCAGGCCGACTTGAACGACAACTCCGAAATGGCAGTCTGCGGTTCCATCTCGGGCTTTGGTGGTCCCGCTTCAAAGGGATTTTTAATTTCCTTGGCAACATTGATGACCATGTCGAATTGGCTGGCCTCTTCCGCTGTTGGCTCCAGGTACAGGTAGACTCCGCTGTCGTATATCAGGACGGGGCCCTTTGGATAACCCTTTTCTTGAGTTTCTTGTGATCGCTGCGGGCGGAACTCGTCCTCCTCTTTCACCTCTGGGAGTTGAGCATTGGCCGACTGAGCCGAATTGCTTGATTCTGATCCAGAGCCGGAGAGAACAGTACCAGAGGCGGGTAAATGCAGGAACAGACCTCCTGGAGGAGGTTTCGTGGGGGAAGCCAGGGAGGCGAGGGCGGGTGAAGAAGCCATGTGATGTAATGTCGGTCTGGAGCTGGGTGTGGGAGGCACATCCAATGCTCGATTGAAAGTCACCTGTTGAAATCCAGGGGTCCTGATGGTCAGGTTGGTTGGCTTCTTCCGGCCTGTTCGAGGAGTGTCCTTCGATGGCGACGCGGGAGCAGAGAATGCATGGGACTCGAATCCATGGGCCGTCGAAGGGCGGGGTAGCACCACCGCGCTCATATTTAATGACAGGTTTTTGACATTCTTCGGGAGCTCTGGAACTAACGCAGTCTTCGTCGTTATGGGTGCAGCTGTGTTTTGTTTGCCTGGCGGTGCGGTTTGCTGTTGAGGAATAGCCGATTGTTCTGCTGCAGGTCTGACCATTATGTGCCGGAAGGGAGATACGGGAGCATTCGAGGTGGCTGACTCGGGAGATGAGGATGGTGAAGAGTCTGTTATCAAGGGAGAGTCAAAGGTTGAATTGGTGGTCGTAGGGGATGATTCTGTTGAGGCGGAGGTCATGGAGGTAATGCTATCGCGATGGTGTAGGCAGAGAGCGGAGTGCTGCCCAGTCGAGTCTAGGGGAGGATTTGCGTCGGTGACCAGAATCTGGGTATCACTCTCAGGTGTTGTCTCCGAGGCGGCCGTCAACTCTTCCATAGCCTTCAAGATGCTTGTATCGGGCTTTCCAACAACTGACATGAAGGACGGAAATGGTGTTGACATGATCGAGCCCACCTCGACCGGGGGCATATTCGTGTATTTGGTCGGGTAAAGAGGCGGTCGTCTCTTGTGGGAGGAGGCGGCGGGGATTTGGGAGGATTCGACGGGCCCTACTGGCAAAGCTGTCGAAGCTGAGCCATGGCGAACACGGCGGCGGATTGTACTCGTGACGTCTTGGTTGTTGTTGGCCAAGTCAAAAGACCTTTTGCGCTGATGATTGTTAGCAAGGCAGTCCATCGAGTCTCTCAACATGGTGACGAGCGGTGGTGACAAAGGCGCGTTGAAAGACCATGGCACCACCACATAAGTCTCACGGGGGTGGATGACGAGAAGAGGCAGGGCTCTGAGGATTTGGTACTGACGTACAATGGACAGTGGTCAAAGATGAGGTCTCAAAACAATCCAGAAGAGTTTAATGGTGTCCGGAACGGTTCGATCGCGGCGCAACAACGGCGAGGCATGCGACACAAAACAAAGGCGAGATGGATTCCCTGTCCCTGCTGCAGCAGGTCCCCTAGCTGTCCCTGAGAGGAGGGGAGGGCGGTGGTTGTGTGTGCTGGAGTCGGTCCTCCGCAGTTTCAGATTTCAGCGCGTATCCAAAGTGTGCGGCGCAGTCAGTCAGGTTTTCCTCGTTCGTCTCCTCCGTTCTCCGACAACGATGGCTCCACCAAAGTCACAGACTGTAATACGGATTTTGGACAGAGGGATTTCCTCGCGACTGACAGGCAACAGAATCCCTCCTCTTGCAAACAGCTATCGAGTGTATGCGCGACAGAAACCCCAGATAGATCTGATGCGACCGCCAGGTCAATAAAGGTAGATGTCCTGAAGGAGGGGTGAGGGCCAGAGACGATTAGTTGGTGTCAAGTCGGCGGCTTTTTCGTGCAAATCAAAGAGAACCCGAGCACCAGCGGCAAAGCGAGAGTGGACTCTGCGACAGGTTGAGGCTTGAAGTTGAGGGCTGGTGGACAAAGGGCAGGCGAGCAGGGTACCTCGTACTTGGTGGTTTCGAGCACCGAGTGGAACCCAGTGTCTGCGACCGACTGGCAAATGAGCAAGGACGAGGAGACTGCGGGATGGCGCAATATTGAACCGGGCCAGGTAGACGAGCCCACGAGGAAGCAGCTGGGAGTGGAGTGGTTTTGCGATCGATGGTCTGGACGGAGGAGTCGAGTACTACTACTAGGAGAGGATGTTCCCTTCAAGTTTTTGGATTGAAGGTGAACTGTACGGAGCACTCCCCAAGTACCACCAGAGTCAGAACTCGAGTCTGCCAGTCAGCGCCCACAACTCAACTTGTGGTGGTGCCTCCTTTAGGCGCTTGGATAATATTTGACCTTCTGGCACAAGAAGCGAATCACAATGAGCTTTGGTAGTCAGGGCAGTGTCGGGGGGGATGAAGGGGGCCAAAGGATCAGACGGCGATTGGTTTGGCGGCACCATGGGGGTTGCGGGAGCCACCAACCTGAAACGCAATGGCAGTCGCCTAGGCCACCAGACACCTCCCCAACAAGCCATTGGGCTTGATGAGGCCCCCCTCTTGCTTCTATTTCTGGCTCTGATCCGGGAAATTTGCCGCGCGCATCCACCTGCCCATTGTCCCAGCCAAGCACGGGGCACTCGCAAAGTCCCTCCCGCTCCAGAGGTGCCTAACACGTAATCTTAGTAGGAACGAAGGCACTCATACCGTGTCCATATCCCTACAACCAGAGCTCGATAATAGTATGTACCGAGTATATCCATCGACCCAGGCCCCTCAATTGCCCAATACTCTCTCAGAAACGATGCATGCTGACTCTTCTTGGTGCCAATAGTTGGATGCAATGTTCCCGAAGAAGGTCGCCGACGATCTAAAGAAAGCTCTCTGGCTGCATGCGCACCATCTCCCACCGTCCACCTCTTCGTTAGAGCCACAAAGGGAACAAAGAGAGGGGGGGAGAAATCCCAGGTCGAAGACAACGAAAGACCCCCTTCCCCCACCCAGTCGCGCATGAGACCTGCAAGATTGCACTCCGTTTCAGATTGCTACATGCCACCAGGGCTTCCCCATGAGGTCCGTGCGCCACTCCTTCGAGGCTGAAGGTGAAGGCTGAAGGCTGACTGTGTCCCTCTTCTCCCTCCATCGAAAGGACCCAGGCGTTCGCAGGTCGCAATGTTAAACGCCTGAGTTTAACAATAGAACTCTCTCGACTACCCTGTTTAGAAACTGCACCCTGACTCGCCTCCTACTGCCCCAGGTACCTGCAAATTTACATTACGACTCACATGTACCAAGCTTCTTATTCTCGGGCATTTTGATTTCATTCTTAGAACCAGCTGGTGAAGCCAACGGCTTTAGCCTGCAGGCCGCGTGCACGGCTACCGAACTAACATCAAACGACACCAAAACGTGGCATCACGTCCCTCGCAAGGAAGAGTGGCTCCGGGCTGAAAATAAGGCAGCGTCCGGGCGACAGTGTATCCAAAGGGTCTGGCGGTATCATCGCGTCCTGCATACTACCTGGTTGAATGAAGCTGGTACTTTGAAGCTCATTTTCATGCGAGAGCAGACACCTCTGCCTCGTACAGTTATCATTTTGTACGATCGAGTATTGTGGCTATCTTGCCGGTCATGGCTGGACCCCCATCCTGAAATAATCCATCCCGAGTCGAAGCTGCAATTGCTTGTTTGTGGTATGTTTCCTCTTTTTTTTCTGGCTAACCCATAACGCCGTCGACTTTTGCCGTCGTGGCTACCCTTTCCAGTTGTCTAATGTTTGCCGAGCCCCCCGAAACTGCCAGGACATTGACCGCCCAGTCTCTTCATGTGCCAGGTTGCCGGTGTGAAATCGGAATGGACAGTCAAAAAGAGAACGAAGAATGGTAGAGAGAGAAGATATCGCCGCCCATGGTGCCCCAAGCACCAACGCCTATTTCCCTCGCTCAAATACTAGCCGCTCCAGGTTGCCTTAAGATTTGTGTGCGTCCGACTTGTTCTTCAGGTACAACTCGCCAATCCCTGCCTTGGGTTTGTTGACCTTCTGTCTCGTATTCACAGCTGCCGAATAGTGGGAGAAGGAGAAGGATGACCAGTCTCGGTAGTCTCGAGTCGGCCTGGACACCTCGACCACCCCTCTGGTAAGTTTCTTTTGAGGTTTGTCATACGTGAAGATGTCTTCAAAGTCAAAGTCCTTAGAAGACAGGTCGAGAGCATCGAAGTTTGTCGAGGCCTTGTCCAACAATTCTCGCTCAACGTCCGACAGAGAAATGTCGAAGCTGGCGGTACGGGCATAGGGAACCAGCTGAACCTTGGGAGACAGGCGAGGCGAGATGGGAGTCGTGGGTTGTATAGATGCAGAGGACGACGTCGACGTCTTTCTCTCCATTGCCGACCGGCTGGTATCTGAATCAATTGACCCTGGGCTAGGTAGCGGCGACGACCCGGTGGTGTGTTTGGCGAAGCCTTCCATCCCCTAATGCCCAATTGGAACGTCACGGAGAAAGTGACTCCCGGGAGATATTCAGAATATCCCGGAACAAACTCGAGGGTCTTGAGACTGTCAAGAGTGTCAGGTTGGTGTGAAGTCGAGGCAGAACGTGGTATTTGGTTCGGCCCGGGGTTGTATGCTGGCTCGAATCGTAGACCGGCGGGATCAGTTGTACACAAGACAATGGACAGAGCCGAGCACGCGAAAAGGCGGCCGACCTTTGATGTCACTGGTGTTTCGTGTTGCCTGACACTTCTCCACAGGTACAGGATGCTCCAAACAAATGGCTTGTGCCTCACAGTCTTACGTGTGATGCCAGCAACTGCTTTGCCGAAAGGAAGGAATCGGACAGTCAAAACCACTTTTTTTTTCTTTCGTCGAACCTTGGGCTTGTCGGAGATGTCTCTGCAAACTTGCAGAATGGAGGAAATGCCTCGTCCCCTTATATCATTACACGCAAGAGGGGTGAATATGTGGACAAGGCCGAATAATGAGGACAAAGGAAGCCTGCCTTAGACACATGCCATCTCGATTGGTGATGGCGACATCCAAGGGACGAATTAGACTCCAGACTCACTCACCTTGTTCTTTCATTGCGGGCTTTTTTAAGGTGCTCAGTTGTCCTCCATTTTTGCCCTGATGGAGTCCGGCTTGACAATTGCTCAAGAGTCATCGTCGATGGCGTCTTGTCTGCCCTCGTGTGTGTTTTCCACCGCCTTCTGCCCCTCCGCTCGAGACAGGATAATGTCTGGATGCCTGTGCCAAGCGAGTCAATCCGGGCGCCAGAGCAAACGCAAGACTGCGGGTTTGTTGTGATATTTGTTAGTCACAATCCAACCTGGATGGCTGGGCAATTAGTGTGGCATGATGGTGGCCGGCTTCGGTGGCCCTGGTGGTGGCCACCGGAATGAAAATTTCATATGCACGTGGACGGGTTCGTTCATGATTCGTCCATGATGTGCCCAATGCTCGGAGCCATTGGACCTACTTATTGCTTCTCCAAATGCAGCCTTTTATTCCATTCTAGACACTTGTCATGGCTTATTGCCAATCGACCGTCTATGCACGGGCGCAGACCAGTGGTGAACGAGACGACTGTCAAGAAAGGGCTTCAAGAATTCGTTACAAAGAACAAGGCCACTGTAGAGTAGCCCAGTCTATTTTCGTTCCAGACCTCTCAAGAGAGCTGTCGCTTGCTGGATTCGGTGGAATCAACGGAGAAGGATGATGTTCCCGGCTTATCCATTGTACAAAATATGATACAATTTGGGGTGATGATGAGACATGGTCATCAGGGTTCAATGCTCTGTCCAGAACCTTGTCTTTCCAACGGCATCGGATTATCCAATTCTTGCCTCAATGGTGCAATATCTTTCGTTCCTCGTGCTTCTGTGGCATCTCTCACCGTTGCATTCCGCTCTGCTTTGGCGGCTCGAAGTCGACTGCTCACACTGCTGATCCTACTCGTAAATCCAAGACTCCTTCGTGTTCCTGAAGGCCGAATGGATACCTGGCTCTCTGGTGTGGCCTCGATCGGACTAGACGCAGCGGCGGGCACGATCGTTATTCGACCCCAAGGCTCCTTGGGTGTCACAGGAGTATGCTCTTGGGTACCCACATTGCTTGCGGTCGACGACGGGGCGGCGTACTTGCGTCTCGGGACCAGATGCGTACTGATGTGAGCAGGGAGCGGACTTCTGGTCACATTGGTCGCTTCAAGTGCTGCGGGGACGGGATGTTGAGGCATGGGGTGTTGGGCAGTATATTCTCTCGAGTACGCCGCTCGATCTCTTGCCATTTGGCGATACGTGCTCACTTCCGTCATGGCCCGGCTCACCGGCCTGACCGAAGGGCTACTTTCTTCGTCGTCTGTGGCGCCATCCATGTTGTACCCGGGAGTTCTCCTGCTACGTACCAAGGTCGAAGTCCGCCCGAGGCGGGACGATGAGGAGCTAGATATCTGGGGCAAGGCTGTAGGTGGTGTTTGAAACGTGTTCTCAGGGGACGTTGTCTGCGCGTTCAACGTGGCCCCGAGTGGTGCGCTGGTTCGTCGAGTCTCTAGGCGAGACTGGACACGAGACGCGACTGGAGGTCGGTCATTGGGCTCATTGCTGTACCTTCGGCTCCGCAGACCTGTAGAAGTCGGCGGAAATGCATCGCGACTACCGGGTCTCGTCACAGGCTGAGGAAACTGTTTGTGGTCTGCCAGGATTGCAATGGCCAATTCCGTCAAGGTCCTGCACATGCTTTCCGTGCGTCGACGGATCTGACGTTCCGAGACAGATGAGATACCGAGGGTGCTGGCAGCGCCGCTACGCCCCTCTGGATTCATCATCATGGACAACTGCAAGGCGTCTTGGGCTGTCGCTTGAAGCTTCTGATAAACGTCATTGCTGAGGACGGCTTTGGCATTACCAAGTGCCTCGTGGAGGTTCGGGTGGACGTTGGACGGAATTCCTTCGATGGCGGATTGCAATTGCGTCACGGCTGGTTTGTGTTTTGGTGAGGACGACATTGTAGTTGCCGCCGTCGTTGCCGTCTTCGGCCTCTCTGAAGTGGTCATTGCTGCAGCGGAAGATGGTGGGAGCTTCCCAGTAAGTTCGAGCTTTCTGATTCTGGATTTCAGATCATCCAGCTCGTCCCAAACCGTCGAAGGAGCGGTCGTAGAGATGGTTGACTCTGTGGCATTGTGATCGGGGACGCGGGGCCGATCAAGAAATGCAGAATCGGAAACCAAGCGGCTGTTTCGAGCTGTACTTGGTCGTGAAAACGTACGCACAGGTTCTGTATTGGTGTTGCTGTTTGAATTGGTCGTGGAATATCGTCTTGACAGGGCTCTTTGGGGTAAGTCCGCGGGATGAGTACTCTGTGTGTCGAGAGTCCCGTCTCGAATTGAGACTTCTTGGGTATACGTTCGCGAAAGCGCGCCCGGCACATGCTGCCCCAGAGAAGACCGCTTGCTGTAGTAATTCAGTGCCTCTGATCGACCAGCAACACTAGAAGTGTCGAATCGCTCCTGTATGGGAGAAGATTTGTAGCCGGTGGAGGGTCGTGTACTCGAAAAAAAAGGAAGTGAAACTCTCGACCGTCTCTTGTCGAGTTTCGATTGAACCTGACTGCCACGCGACGCGTCGGTCCTTGCAATATTCAAGAACAAATCCTCGCTCTTTTTCTCATCGCTACTGGAAGCTTTGCTGTCCTCTTCCGAAGGGATGGGTTTCAGTAACTGCAGTTCTGAGTTTTCCTTTTCTTGCAGATTGGTCTGAAGCACAGCTGGGCCCTGTTCCTTGCTCATGGTCGAGTGGGGGGTCAGCACACTCTGTGTGTCTGCGGTCTCCGGACTGGATACTTCCAGCGTGGTAGCCTCGTCAGCCGAAGAGTTGGTCGGGGATGGGGACTGGTCTGGTTTCACGGGCGACAGTCGCGCTGAAGCAGGTTCGGTGGTTGGGGTGGGTTCATTGGCCTTGGAAGGGGTTGGATCACGCGTGGTATCGTTTGTAGATCTCGTGGACGGATTACGATCCAGTCGGATGCGGTCCTGCGAGAGGGTTCGTTGAGTGCTGTAGGACGGAGGTGGCCCACAGATTGTCTCGACGCCGTAGCTGCTGTGTGAGGCAGGAGGTCTCTTTTGAGAAGGAGATCGCTGGAGCGTGTTAGAGTTTGTTCGACGCAAGGGGGTGGAAGGCTGGCTGATCCCGGAAGACGAAGAGGGACGATTATCGTTCGGGTCGTGGTCGAGGGAGATGTTGAAGGAGGGAACACTCAGGGTCTTTGAGATTCCTACTGGCTTGCGCATTCCAGGGGATGGCAGTGACACGGACGATGAGTCGGGATCTGGTGCATTGGAGGACAGTTTGGGTTTCTTGCGCAGCGGAGGCCGAAACAACGTCAAGTCATGGTTGACATCTGCAATGCGGGCCGGATAGAAATGCGGATAGGGAGGACGCGGTGGGAAATCGGCTGTTGTGCAGACATCAAGATCATGACGTGTCCCGCGTGCATCTAGTGTATAGTACGGCAGAGAATGATGATGGTGGTGAGCAGGAGCACAAAGTCTGGTGGTGGTCAAGGTGGAAGTCGACTCCTGGGTTGGGAGTGCCGGTGATGTTGAAGGTGAAAGTCTGATGGTGAGCGTGTCGTCCATGTGCCCTCGCTGAAGCTCATTTGATCCATGGATCCTCCAATCCTTGCTAGCCCCGTCTCGCTTATGGATGGTGAAATCCCCTATAACGGCCCTTTCAGCACTTGTTTCTCGTGGGCCATTTCTCCAGAGAGGGCACAGAATCTCCTCCGACTATGGGGGAGAGAGAAACTCGCAGCCGTTCTACGGGATAGCAACTTCTTAATCTATGGTGGAGGAAGGAATCTGGGCCCGTGAGCCCGTGAGATGCCTCATTCTCCCTCGTCTAGGTTGGTCCCCCAGCAACTAGCCAACCTTGGAAGATTTGTGATGGAAAGTGTGATATCTCAAAAGCTGCTGCGCTCAATGCAGCATGCCCTGGTGCCCGTGTCGCGTCTTTGTTGTGCTGTGGGAAAGGGGGTACAAGTTCGCCGCCCATGATTTGACCCGGCCAATGCTTGTCTAGGTCTGATCTCCCGCTCCAACGAGTACCAAAGCCTCAGGCACTGGCGCTATTTCCAGTTAAAGCAAAGCGCCAGCGACCGGCACTCCGGGCTGGCATGTTTGAGACTCACTAGGCTTAAACCACCCATCCCCAAGTGCCTCCCCAAACAGCCCCCTATTGATTAGGGTCTCCGCTTCTTCCCTGCAAGATCAAGATCATCACATCTCGTGGAGTGCAGACACCACTCAGGTTTTGTCCTCACTGATTTCGAAATCGTCACGATGTTATCGATCCATTCTTGAGAATTTCATTCTCATATGTCCCTGCTTCCGTTCTCTGTCCGTGCACGACGACAAGCAGAGCATCGACTCCATCGTTGCGGCAACGAGTACTCTCTTTCCCATGCTTGCAACGTGTTCTTCCTCGGTTGGGCTTCGGATATGCAAGCTGTGCAGTGAGGAAACTAATGCAAGGAACGAAGTTACTCGAAGCGGCCGCCCCTGCTTATCGCCACTTGGTTGATCCTTCGGGTTTGTCCTCAAGTGTGAGAAAGAGACTTGTCTACGAGAGAGAGAGATACTCTGAGGGTTGGAGAGAGACGCAAAAGACGGCGGAAAGCTGCTCCTCCGTCTAAAAAGGGAGATCGAGAGAGCTCCTGGTATATTGTGAAATGAGTCACTCGCGGCTGCCTGGTCTGGGCGCCGGGTCCGGACGCAGAGCTGGCGAAACCTCTTGAAGATTTGCTTGATATGCTCTCTCACTCGAACAAGCACATCGTTATCATCAAGTATGGCTACCCGACGGACGCGTATCGTTTGTATATCTGATACTCACAATCAGACCCCTCAGTTGCCCGCTGGGCACGTTCTTATTCATGCAGGCGACCTCACTAACCAAGGCACATATTCAGAGCTCCAGAAGACTGTTGACTGGATTAGAAAATCACCGTTTCAGATCAAAATTGTCGTCTGTGGAAATCACGATGTCACTTGCGATGTCCCCTTCTATCAAATGTACGGAGGCTATTTCCACAATAAGAGACGGGAAGATCCTCATCGCTGTCTCGACTTGCTCCGCGCCGATTCTTCGGTTATCTTCCTCAATCACGAGGCCAGGCAGGTTCGTATCGATCATGGTGCAGGCCTTGTGTCCGTGCTCAAGGTGTTTGGTTCCCCATACTCGCCGGCACATGGTTTTTGGGCCTTTGGTTACACGCCAGAAACCGCTCCTCAATTATGGGATCAGATCCCTCTAGATTCAGATATCGTGGTGACCCATACACCGGCCAAATTTCACTGCGACGAATGCGGAAAACGTGGCACAGCGGGGTGCGAACCCCTCCGACAGGCTCTGTGGAGGGTTCGCCCCAGGTTGTTCGTCTGTGGGCACATCCACGAGGCTTATGGTGTCGAAGCCATCACGTGGGATCTATCCTCTCCCAACCTCAAATACAAAGAGCAGAGCGTCCGAAGATGGGCGGACCCAGAGCCGGGTTCTAAGAAGCAATTCACCGTCGATTTGTCCTCGAGAGTGAAGTCCTTGGCTCTGCGCAATGACGGAAGCATTGGCAATCTGATACCGCCAAAACAACTGTCAAGGATCCGCGGTGTTGAAGTTGATGGAACCGTTGATGATGCCAGCACAGACCAGCAAGACAGAAGCACAACCTTCCCAGATGTCCCTTCGCCCCCACCGCCTCCCTTTCCTGACTTTGAAAAGGCTGAGAGACCAATTTCTACGATTGATTCTCCAAGCATCAGACATCTCGGAACTCGTAGTCAGGGTGGCCCAGCATCAAGCCTTAGGTCTGACCAAGAAGCGCTGTCTGGTCGAGAGGGAAGAGCGGAGACTTGTGTGGTCAATGCAGCTTACATGGGATCAAATTGGCCTCACAAGGGCGGCAAGAAGTTCCATAAGCCCATTGTGATCGATCTAGATTTGCCGGTAATGGATGAGAACCAGATCGACAAAGGCGTGCAAGAAGCGGAGTAGTTGGAGGCTATGGCTCTGTGGCAGCTCTCGACACAACTGGATCGTTTACGATGGCCTGGCTCTGTGGGAACCTGCCAATACCTGCCTGACGATTGGCAATACATTTCACCTTCCAACAGTTCAAACATTTGTTCCATTTCAAAGGGGGTGGGTTAGCAAGATTCGGGACAGGCAAAACCTTCGGTTCGAGACCTTCTATCTTTACGACCCGACAGCAGGATTTTATGGAGCAGGAGTCAGGAATCCTTGCTTTCGACATTTGGTGGCATCGAGAACGGCCAGTATGCTTTGCCACAGGCACAGTCTTAACTTTTGCAAAAACCCCCATCAAACCAGGCCGGCACAGATGCACCACACTCGTGGTGCCTGTGCCCTTGGGGACGAATCAGCTGCATCATGCAAGAGAACGGTAGGCAGCCGAAAGCAGTTTTGCCCCTGTAACCACATGAATCCTGTCATGGAACTGGTGCGGCCCTCGTTCCTGGCGCCCAACACTTGCCAGCACATCCTGTCCTGGTCACAATCTCACCTCGAGCAAAGTCTGACAGAGCAACTCCGTCTCGGAATTTGCCCACTTCCCACTCTCCTTGCTATCGGCTCTATCTTTGTTGACATGGCGTGGCTAAGTGCAGTGGGAGTCGAAACTTAGGAGACGGTGGACAGACCAAATGCCGCGGGTTGTTTCCAGACAGCACGGGACATGGGCTTTTAAATAGGACTCAACCAGGAACAGAAACAGATGCCTTCGAGGATCGTATAGTTCTTGAATCTTGAGACAAGATACACTATGTTTTTGTCTATAGCAAAAGAGGATAGCATCAAGGAATGCACACCTGCTCTTTCATCCGCAACTCGCGATCTGCCGCGAGACAAAATCCTATCGCTGTCCCAAAACCCCCAGCCGACATTGTTGGAGCGGCCTCCCAATCAGTAAGAGTACCATGGTTCCGTGTATATCAAAATATGAGCCATGCGCCGTAAGTTTGATATTCCCAATCCCTCTCTCGCTCGTATCGTCTTACATTACTGACTCTTGCCGAATCTCGTCTGGTGCCACGATCGGCTCCATACGAGGAATCATTCGTCCTCCTCCGCCCCTCTCGCCTCTGTGCTGGCGATGGCGATGCACTCGACCCTGTCTCTGTACCGGCAGCGACAGCGGCGGCCGCGGTCCCCCTCCTCCTGCCGCCGCTTCGCCAAGACGGCGGCAGGAGCGCTGGCGACGGCTGCTGAGGCGGGGGATACCACGGCATGGAGGAAAGGGGGATCTCAATTTCTCTGTCATCCTCCATGCTGCTGGGGCCCTGGCCCATGTTCGTGTGACGGTCGGTTTCCAGCCCGAGGGTCGAGGTGCTCCAGTTGAAGTCCTTCGTGTCTTGAAGCTGTAACTGCGAGAGGGCATGCTGCTCGTTTCTGTTCTTGTTGTTGCTGTTGCTCTTCTTCCTGCTGCCGGAGCAGGAGCACACCACGTCTGTCACTTTTCTCCAGAGGTGCTTCCCACCCCTGGATCGCGGCTGGGCGGCGGCTGGTGTCGCCCCGGTTTCTACTACCGTCGTCACCATCCTGACTGTTTTTGAACCGGTCCCTATCCGATTCGAGTTTCTCTCCTTGGGGCCTTTCGAAACAGACAAAGCAAGCCCGAGCCTTTAGAAGCCGGTGTACCACACAATCCCCACAGATCTTCCCTGGGGATAGGCGCTGAAGGCTCTACCGAGACCGTTGAGTGCCTTACGGCCCCAGCGACGTACTCGTTTTTCTTCTCTGATGGATTCACTCGACTCGGACGAAATCGAGGACGATCTCGTCGTGGAGGAACGGAAGAACTTGAGGGTCTTTGTCGAGGTGGACGATTGGGTCGTTGTCGACGCTTGGGTCGCTCGGCGTCGGGGCTGTGGTTTTGATTGTGGCTGAGCTGGGGTTTCTGGAATGGAAATGGGGCTGGTGTATGGTTGATGCTGTGGTGGGAGATGGGATGGGAAGGTGGGCATGAATGTCATTCTGTTTTTGGTCTTGCTGCGTGCCGTCGTAGCAGAGCTTTGATATCGCTGCTGCTTGGAACTCCTGGGAGACAGTCTTTCAGGGGAATTCCGGTAGACGGATTCTGCGATGAAGGGTGCTTGCATAGAAGTTCTTCAGACGCCAAAAATATGTATATTATATGATGTTTTCATCGATAGTTGAGTGCCACTTATTCGTTGGCGACCAGACCACCACCACTTTTGTGCCTCGTAACGTCGGGAAGAAGGGGGGACATAACGGGATCGAAGAAGCACAGAAAAACAGGAATCGAGCGCGCGACAGGTCTGACATTATATCCCTTGGAAAACGAGACTGAGTTCAGAATGACAAGCTGCCAAACTCACAGGGTGACATGTCAGTCAGGCCTCACCACTACCACCACTCAGACGCCCACGCTTTCATTCACGGCCGTTGGAGGGAAGATGGATGACAGGGGACGAGCGAGAACACCTATTCAGCAGGAGGGGATGCAGATCAAGCTTAGAGTGTGTTCTAGACAGGACACGCCCACCCTCTCTGCTCGATAGGAATGTCCCATGGGAGATGGTTGTTGTGGTTTGGTCGCTGAATTAGGAAAGGAGGTTAAAGCCTGGCGGGCTGATTCAGGAAGTGACATGGCAAGAATGAAGTAAGCAAATAATAACCTGACGTGAGACTCGAACGGGAATGTCGTGAAAGATTGCTTCCCCCAGTTTATGATAGGTTGAACGGAGAAATCCTTTTCGGGTCAGAGTTCTCAGCCGTTGGTCCAAGAGTAAGTTACGCTTGGGGCCAGAAACCGCTCTCGAGGAGTTTTGGGATACGTAGGAATAGTGGAACAAGATAAGCTAAAGGGTAACACGAATGCGTTGTTCGTAACCTAGACATATTTGCCATCGGTCCACGATCGTGAACGAGATGGTTTCCTCCCTTCGAAACCTGAAAAAGACATTCTCGGATAGGCCTCCAGAAGTACTGTAAGACGTCCTCTGGCTCTGACTAAACCGTTTTCCCCAACGCCGATCACCTTCCCTGTCCTGTCCCCTGAACGAAATGGATGTGATGGCATCGAATATATATTCCACCACTAAAGAGCTGAATATATGCTATGGATGCCTGATCGACCCCAAGTGAGAAATCATGTTGAAGTATCCTCGTACTCTCGTAAAACGTTCAGGCCTCCTCCAGAGACCATTCAAATCATAAGAGCCGTCAGCTCCAGTTGTCACACAGTTGCGAATGTCGCAGGGACACCTGGCACACATGGGGATCGTAAGGGTGTGCCGGATTGTGGTAAACTGCAGGGACGATGACGTTGTCCTGGGGGCAGTTCAAAATGATCCGAACTTGCACTTTTCAATGGGGATTCCCCGGTCCGAGAAGAAGCCTGCTTGCTTGATGTGCGTAGGCTTTCCTGTCTGCTCGTCAAATAGGTGAAAGCCGAAATTGGCCGCATGGGGCGGCGTGTAGAGGTGGAGCGATACGGCCACCTCATCATCGGAAGGGTTGGATATCTTGTGCAAACCAATCTTGTCTGAGATGTAGGTAACTTCGTTCTCGTGGTACGTTGATTCCTTGACGATTTGCGGTGGCGTCACGGCGCCATTCGAAGCTGCATTCTCAGTCAAGCAAGGTGGAACGGCGTACAGTGTTTCCTTGAGGCTGCCTTTGAGGATTTTCATCACACAATGGGCGTCTGCATGGTCGTGTATCGGACTGGATTTTCCTGGATTCCAGACAAGCACCAATAAGTTGGATTTGCCGTTCCCTTCGTCCACGAGGTTGCGAGTGTAGTTTCTGCTGGGATCGGCAAAGGCGTAATGGCGCCACTGCCTTTCCTGGGAAGTGTATTGTTCCATGAGGCGTATCAAGTCATTTTCGTCCACATCGTCAGAGTTGATCCCCGAAGAAGGGCCAAGGACATCAGAGAGAGCTCGAACGAGACGGTGAAACTCATCGCAGGGATCGATCAGATTGACTTGGCCATGGTGGGGGGAGGTATACGCTGGTTCGGACTTGAGCATGTATGGGCCAGCAGTGCTGATCGGCTGTTGGAATGACAGCATTTTGGGGGGAGCTTGTGAATACACAATGTGGAATTTGAAATATGAAGCAGACGTGGAAGATGGAGGGGTGGAAGGAAAAGGTAGGAAAGGAGAGATGAAGGAAGGATTTCGGCGAAGGAAGATGGACGAGGATAAATGCAAGGTGTGAGGGACGATCGGGGCGGTGTACGCATGAAGCTTGCCCTCTAGATAAGAATGCAGCGCTGCATGTAGAGGACTTGATAGCGTGTAAGAATGCAGCAGATTCACGTAGGTTTCTCCTTCCAGGTCCTGCTGTCTTGTCTCATGACTGGGGATTGGAGGAATCACAGCGAAAAGGGCGTCCCAGGGCAATGACCAAGTGTCTTCAAGACCACTCCGCACAGCCGGTCGTGGTCCGTTGAAGGGCGAACCTGTGACCTCGTATCCATCTTTTCCTTACCTGTCCAGGGACGGTGACTGGCAAGAGTGGGTGGTTCGGGCTCGTCGGGGATCAAAAGATTGGTCGTAGAGGAGGATGGAGATTGGTGGAAGGCCCGCCGAGCAGATTTAGAGTGGCGAGTCAAAGCCTAAACGAGAATGTGCGGCAGAAAACGCATGATTCTGCGTTATGAGCTTTGTAGAGACAGCGACGACGAGGGCGACGACGGTGACGATGACAAGGCTGGCAGACAAGGCTCTGATATATCCACTCTGGTCAGTTGAAAGAGCTAACAACCTCTTGAGAGCCAGATATTGGACTTCCTCTGAAGCCTGGTGAAGGGAAATTGTCCAGTCTCGAGGGTGAGCGATTGCGTGATCGAGCTCGCGCTCTGTGAGTGGCTGAAGCAGATGAGTGGCGAAGGGAAGAGTGACCTGCCTGTTTGGGGACTGGCCTCTGCGAGGTACGGAGGAGTGATGAGGTGCATACCGCAGTCTTTAAAGTCACGGGGGTGCGGGTGGCCCAGGTACGGTACGAGGTAGGTGAGAGCGAGTCCTTAGGCGTCGGAGCACCCAGCGAGCTAGGCATGCAGGTACTCCGTATTAGAGCCAGCGAGCCTGGTTACCTTAAGCGTAGTTAGGCTTGTATGTAGTAGGACCATCCAGGGGGCACTGCCAACACCCAGGGCGCGGCGGCACCAAGCCCGCCAATTCCATTACCTCATCGCCGCCTGCCCAACTGTTCGCCCGCTAACGTTCATCTGCGGGGCACCGTCCACACAATTTTTGTCTCGAACCGCCATGTGGTGGCGGTTGTACAAAGCCATTTCAACATCATCCTGCTGAATATTTGACGTCGCACAAACGGCGCAAAGGATTGTTGCACAGCGTCCTCCTGTTGTCCCGCCTCTACCCTCCTCCGATAGCTCTCATCCCGCGCCATCACCTACTGTGGAAATTCGTTCCCCCTAACCTCGCTGCCCAGCCGTCCTTCAACGCACCTGGTCTTGTCTCAGCCGCCGTCGATCACCTGCCTCATCTCATCCTGATCCCGGATCGGTAACTGCCCCCTTCGGACATTGCTTTTGAATAGCCCACGATGGCGACAACGGTGGACAAAATCAAGGAGATCGAGGCCGAAATGGCTCGGACCCAGAAGAACAAAGCCACTTCTTTTCATCTGGGCCAGCTCAAGGCGAAGTTGGCCAAACTGAAGAGGGAGCTCTTGACACCTTCATCGTCTGGTGGCGGCGGTGGCAGTGGGTTTGATGTTGCGAGAACTGGTGTCGCATCTGTTGGCTTTATCGGGTTCCCTTCGGTGGGAAAGTCCACCTTGATGAGTCGACTGACGGGCCAACATTCCGAAGCTGCTGCCTATGAGTTTACCACCCTCACCACGGTTCCTGGCCAAGTCATGTACAATGGTGCCGCCATTCAGATGCTCGACCTACCGGGAATCATCCAGGGGGCAAAAGACGGCAAGGGTCGCGGCCGTCAAGTCATTGCCGTCGCGAAGACCTGCCACCTCATCTTCATTGTTCTCGATGTAAACAAACCGTTGACGGATAAGCGCGTCATTGAATCGGAGCTGGAAGGGTTTGGCATCCGCATCAATAAGGAGCCCCCCAATATCGTCTTCAAGAAAAAGGACAAGGAGGGTCTGAACATCACGAGCACGGTTCCGCTGACGCATATTGACCACGACGAAATCAAAGCGGTCATGAACGAGTATCGCATCTCGTCGGCTGATATTGCCATCCGCTGCGACGCCACCATTGACGATTTGATAGACGTCCTGGAAGCCAAAAGCAGGAGTTACATCCCGGTCATATACGCGCTCAACAAGATTGATTCGATCACCATTGAAGAATTGGATTTGCTCTACCGCATCCCGAATGCAGTGCCCATCAGCTCCGAGCACGGGTGGAACATCGACGAGCTCTTGGAACAGATGTGGGAAAAGCTGCAACTGAAACGTATCTACACCAAACCAAAGGGGAAGCAGCCAGACTACTCTGCCCCCGTCGTATTGAGAAAAAACGCGTCGACCGTGGAAGACTTTGTAAGCTGAGACAATCATCCTGGGAAATTTCGGCCGCTAAACTCTTTTCTTAGTGCAATGCCATCCATAAGACAATCGTTGAGCAGTTCAAGCACGCGATTGTCTATGGCAGATCGGTCAAGCATCAGCCCCAGCGGGTAGGCCTTGCGCATGAACTGGCCGACGAGGATATCAGTAAGTCCAACAATGTCCCTGCCACAACGCCTGCTGCCTGTCATGCTGATACCGTTCCCCCAGTCACCATCATCAAAAAGTGATGCTGTTGTACTCTCCACTGGTTTCAGCTTGATAGCCCTGAACGCCTATCAAACTCACGAGAACGTGGCATTGGATGTTTGAGGCCGCCTCAAGGTTTGAGACCGTCGACCACGGACCCTATTTCCTTCCGCTCAATGAGGCTAGATGCATCAACCTTCCGCCATCCCCCCGTCTTCGGAGCGAGAACAACTGATCCCTTAGCTTTGGTCATTGATCAGCATCAGGGGCTAGGATTTCGTTGCCCAAATTGGTGGAAGAAAGCACCGTGCAGTGGCGAGAACAGTGGCCACCTCGTTCAAACCTTGCCTCAAGCGGCGCAGCTGGTGAGAACAGCCAGAAGAAAGTTTGCGCCCAACTCTCTGACACTGGCTATGGGCCTGATTTACAGTGCAGTGCTCCCATCTGTATGGGAAAACGTCTCCATGTACTCGGTAGTCAGGGACGCACATCGATGTACCTCGTACCTGGTTTAAACATGTGCCATGATCCACCTGCAAGTCGAGACTATTGGCAGTGGCAGGCTACGCTGAACTCCGTATATAAACTCCACCACGCGGCCGACGTCATGGGCAGAGGACCGTGCAGCACGTAAAAGCAGCCAGGTGGAAATCGCAGTCCGCCTCATCGTCGGCCAGTAACGACAATGCACCAAGAAGGGGATGTCGAATGAGGGCGCCCGGTTCAATTCCTCTTGAAACAATTTATTGATTAACGGCGGATGGAATGTCCCGATTGAGGATCCATGCATTTCAAGTGCGGAGAAGTTGCTCGAGCGTGGACGGTGTGGGCGACCAGGATCCATGCTGGAGGCTTGGGCTTGCTTGCCTGCCCTGGCATGAGGCCAACGGTCAATTCTCCGCCTTCACGCAGGCATTTCTGAGCACGAGCTGCACGGTCAGGCTGCAAATACGATCGCTCAATGGGGTTATTTGAAGAGGCGTTCCAGGGGTGTTTTTGCTGGTGGAGGGTCAGCGCTGCTTCTGATATGCAGACCGAAGTCCATCGGTGACCCGGCACTATATCTCCGTGGCCATTGACAAGGGTAGTCGCAGACTCGACTGCAGGAGAGAGGAGCTTTCGACAAGATGCATTGATGATCCAGGAAGTGGAAGTATGCCCCGTCAATGCAACTCTTGTTGTGTTCGCTCGTGTGGACACGCACTCAGCTGCTTCTGTGGTGAGAAGGGACATTGCTCGCTAAGTCGACAGAGTGCCTCGATGGCCAATTTCCATGCACCCTCCTCTTTTGCTACCCCTCCAAGTCAGAGCTCGATTTTGTCGATTGCCCTGACTGCCCCTGTCTAGTCGAGTGTCCGAGCTTCTTGCGGGGCTTGGGTCCCAATAACGAACCTGGTCGTGTTTGCTTCACCCATTGTCTTTTGCGATTTGGCCCTCCTGCTAAAAAGCGCCACGAACGCACACGGAGGCTTCCCGAGTCAGCCGTGCTTCAAAGTTTGAACAAGGACACGAGCACTGCGAGTTCGCCCGCGTACCGACCTGCTGCTTGAGGCCTCAGAGGTTGAAGGTTTCTTGCCTCTGGCTGTGTTTTCCATGCAACCTTGTTCCCATGCTAGGCGTGGAGCCCTTTTGAGATTGTGGAACTTGGAACAACACGGCGTGCTTTGTTTGTGGTAAACGACCAAGAACCCCCCTGGCAGTGCATGCGCCCATGACGTTGGGAGGCGGAGGGAGGAGAGGAGTCTTCAGGAATATCTCATGTAGACAACCAAGCATTCTGCGTCGAGGACAGAAGCAAATCAAGGCCATGTAGTCCAGGGAAGACAGTGAAGAGGATTTATTGTTACTGTGTTCTGTGCAGGAATGGATGGATGGATGGGACGGATCACAGGCAACCCCAATGGGTGTTGTCCATGGCGATATCTGGGGCAATAGAGTGACAGAAACTGCCACTCAACCACTCCAACAACCCAACCCCGTAAAACGTCATGTTCTTTTTCCAGCTCTTTGATCACTTCAGGCCTCAACCACAGATTGAACAGGAGCATCCAAGTTCTACGTCCACTAGACCTTGCAACCTATTACTCGCCTGCCAGATTGGGCTTCACGATCAAAGCCGGCAGTCTCAGAAAAATCTTCCCCATACCCACCGAGTGCTCCGTACTGTGGGCGCCTCCGTCCTATTTGTCCTTTGGCCTTTATCTTGCCGCCGAGTGCTTCCCTCCCACCAACCATGACGCCCGACACTCGTTTCCTGTGACTGTTGGCTCCTTCGTCATTTCTCCTGGGGGCCTCTGGCGCCGCCCATGTTCGGTCGACCATGCTCGCCCAAACCAGTTGCTTGCTGGCGCAGTTGACGTCGTGGAGTCCATGATCAGGGAAAAGAGGAGGAAACCACCGCTGGCTGGCTACAACCTCCACTCTACACCGGTCACGGAGAGTAATTGAGTCCTCCTTAGGGGCTCCCCGACCCTTCTCACTCGCCAAACTCCCTCCGTCACTCAAGTCCACGGACCCACGCCTGTTGCACAAGTGACATTTGGATTCGCCTACGGTGTCGTTGCCCCCACGGGTTGACCAGATCGATCATGCAATAATACACGCACTTCTCGACCACTGTACTCGTATTATAGACTGCCTGTCTTTACTGTATTTTACCGAATGACAGGGGTCGCCCAGGGAAAGGAGGACGCTGGGGCCCCTACGCCACGGGCAATAGTGAGGTCCAGTCCCCTCACGACTCACCCTTAACCAGACGGATGACCCCATGCGATTGTGCAGATGGACGATCCTATGGACCGCAGGGAATCACTTGCGGGCTTTGAGATCACCCGCGTCATGCTCGGTAACTAGCGGACCGTCCAGGAAGGCACGAGGCTTGCCGGAGCCTATAGCTTGCTGTGCAGGTCTTTGGGTCGACTCATTTGAGCAGCGGTGCTCGAGTCGCCCTTTTGGGCTCCGCTATAATTCGACGCCGCTGGGTTTCTTTGCGAGCAGCGTGGGGCTTATGAATCTCGAACTCGTCCTTGTATGGAGGAATGCATCAGAGGGACACAAAAGCACGACACGCCTAGCAGGATTGGCTGTACTTGGGTCGTCAGAGGGCGAGTCTGCATTTGTACAAATGGTGCTCCAAGGTATTCTGGTCCCTCCTCACTTCTCCGTCCCCAAACATCCCAGAACGAACACCCGATTTCTCCATACAACCGAATTCTCGACCTGCCTCCACACCTTGTCTGGCTCCTCGTCGCACGTCTCTGTTGTAACGGCGACGCAAAAGAATCCCGTCCTTCAGCTGAAGATCCCGACACTCCCCAAACCAGCGAATTTGTGCCGGCGGCGTTGACGCTACTGGGCACCTTACAGTGGCGTGGTCAAGGATTGAGAGAGCACCAAGGCGGGTCCAGGCGACAAGAAGGATTGGCAAGACGGTGCGCTATACCCTGGGCAAGCCCCAACGCATGCCCTGCCCATCCCTAAGCCTGCTTGCATGGTTCACCCACCCCCCCCTCCCCCCCTCTCAATGCCACACGCAATGCTCGTCTGCAGCGGTTGTGAGGGCCGTATCTTTACCGGGCTGCCGCTAACCTTCCCTAAGCCTTTGGTTATAGGCTCGCCTGCCGCCCTGAAGTTTTTAGTCCACCGCCTGCAGACGTGCGGATTGTGCTCGGAAGCCCTCCCACGGAACGTCCCCTCCCAAAGCATATCTAGACTTTTCTCTCAGTGGCAGTCCGAGGCATAGACGTTTCGAGTTGCGAGGGAAGAAACAGGGCCACCACGCCCTGGGGCAGCGTCACAAGCCCAACGAGGACAAAGCAATATCGAAAAACGGTCCATACAGCAACCCTGCCTCGAGCACCTGCGGCCCAAGCCTCACCAAAGAACGCCCCCTCGCGCCTTCAAAGCAAGCCCTGGTCGACTACTCTCTCCTCGAGGCCTGTCCGGGCCCCGGTCGAAAGCCAACCCCAGTCCGATATTACTCTTCGATTCGTCCAGCCCGACCTCGCCTGCACAGTGCAGAGACTGCTGGGCTTCACTATCAGGTGCTCCCCACACACACCCGCTTTCAGACGTTCCCTCTTTTAATCATATGCTCGTTCTTTCCCCTCGAGCTTGACCTCAGGTCCGCACACCTCACGCCGGTCGGTGTCTGAGCAACCCTCTGTACATTGGTCCTCTCCCAAGGTCTCAAGGCTCTGGGGTTGTGCAAGCCAGGCTTCTGGGACCGCTGGCTCCGTGCATCGTGTGACGGCTTATAGAGGATCAGTGGCATGCGTCGCCAAACCATATTGGCGCTCAAATCAGCATAGTACCACCAACATAATCGGATATCGATGCTGGTCCTATTGAACATGCCACCGGAGAATCAGGATTCGCGACATCCTGGCTATGGCCAGAATGGCTGGATAGGTGTCCCTGGCGGCGTGCCAAACGGCATTCCCAGCGGCTCCGCCAACAGTGTTCCAAACGGCGTGTCAAACGGTTATTCCTCCAGCCCTCGACCGACGATGTCACCAATGCAGGAGTTTCCGCAGTTCGAATACCACCACCAGCACCACCACCAGCATACCACGCCCATGCCAATGGAGCCGGCATATCCTGTACCACGACCCTCACCATTTGCGTCCTCGCATGCTCCAATGCCACCACCCTTGGTCGTGCCGACCCACGTTTTGTGGCCCAGTATGCTGGCTAGCCAACCCCAGGGGTCGTACCAGCCATCCACTCTACCGGCTCCAACAATGCAGACTCCCCTGTCGGCAGGGTCAACTTCTGATATAACACCAACCAGCGCCAAGACGAGCACATCTCGCCGCAAGTTGACGGACGAAGAGCGTCGTCAGATGTGCATTGAGGCCGAACAGAATCCGAATATGAAGCAGACCCAGATCGGAGGTATGTGTTTGTGCCCTGTTTCATCGTTCGTTCTGACTCTGTCCAGCGAAGTTTAACGTGGAGAGGAGGTATGCTCGACGCCCTTGTGCCGGTGGATTGTAGCCCGCAGACTAACAGGACGTAGTACGGTTTCGAAGATCCTGCGGCAGCGGGAGAAGTACATGAATCCGCAGCCGAAAGAGGAGAGTGTTAGTCCGATCAAGAAATCCAAAGCCAAGTTACCGGACTTTGAAAAAACCCTCACCAACTGGGTCAAGAATCAACAAAGGAAAGGCCACTCGGTCACGGATGAAGACCTTCGGAAGCAAGCTCAGGTATTCTCGTTTAGCAGGAGTGACCAAGCGGTAGTTTCAAGCACCGACTGGCTGGAGAGATTCAAGCGCAAGAATCGTCTCATTGCGCCCAAGGCCGATCCGGACTCGACGTTGCTGGATTCCAGCTCGACGTCAATGTCACAAACCCCTCTGGATGGCTCACCCGCGTCGTCCAATGGTCTGGTATCTCCTCCAATGTCCGCAATTGAGGAGCACGCCGAAGAGCCCATCAAGATTGAGACCACCGCGGACTTTTTTGACTTTGGAGACGAGAAATCCACCTTTGATCGTGAACTGACATCTGACTCTATCATGCCCCCCATGTCAGTGGAGATGGCAGGCGGCGACCAACATAGCGCAGGGCTACTCGAGGGCATGGACGAGGCGTTGGGGACATCTAACCGTCAAAGAAGCCAAACATACCCTCACGCTCCGAATTTCAGCATGGCTTCACGCCCTTCCTCGTCGGGTCAGAACCGACCTTCCCTCCCTGTGCGCTCCCTGACGGCGACCGCAGCAGGAGCGGTGACAGAGGAGCATCGGCCTACCGCCATTGATCCCCGGCAGATGATGAAAAGGCACAAGAGCGTTCCTGACATCCACTACCCTGAATCAGTGCGCTTCTCATCCATGCAGCCTCCGCCGTTGCCACGGTCCGCAGATACCTCACCTATCAGCAATCCGGTCTCACCTGCCGAAGAAGATATCATTCGAGCCTTGCACGCCACGAAAACATTGCTCGAACAGAACCCGGCGGTCGCTGAACCAGACGATTACCTGGCGATTGGGAAACTGATCACGAAAATCAAAGCACTTCGGCCAACCGCACCAATGCTCCCAGGAGGGATGCACCCGATCGACATCATGGACAGTCCTCGCATCTCCAAGAAGAGGACCATTCTCGGCATCTCGACCTAATTGCGGCGCGGCTCACACGGGTCACAGTGGGTCCGAGGGTTTCCTTTTTCATTGATACGATCCTTTTTGAAGTATCCGGCGCAGCTGCTTTTGCATTTAGCGTGCAAGAGACCACAATCATTTGTTTGACGAACAGTGCCCAGCATTGGCGGACGGGAAAACACAGACATGCAAGAGAATGACGAACATCTACCACCAGCGGATGCGCAGGGACAAAGCATCGCTCCAGGAGTCCCTTTTTTTCATATCCTTGGTCACGAGAAACAGCTTCGGACTTCCAGAGAGCAAGATGGCCTCTACGAGTTTCTCTCAGTTCGGGACGCGGCACCCGCCTACGATCGGTGACGACCACTTGACATTAGAAATCAGCCCCGAGGCCAAATCTCCTTATTCATTGTATGAAGGCATGTACATGTGGGAAGAAGGAAGAGCGTGCAAGCGAGCGACAGGATCACATTTATTGGAAGAGACTGGATCTGATCTCCTTTTTTTTTTCATTTCTCATCTCTCTCTCGGCCAGTACCATGGCTTTTATCCAGTCATGGATCATGTACCACAGTACATTTCAGAGGTGTATGATTTCTTTCTTTTTCTCTCTTTTTGCTTGGTATTGACAACGGAAACTAGGCCGTGGGTGCACCGTGGAGATGGCTGAGGGCGATGAGAAGGACGGTCGATACAGAGGGGGGCATCGGACCATGGATGTATAACTTTCTCTTCTTTCTCCCCTGTCTGGGGAACTCTTGAACCAGTAACTACGTTTTCTTGTGAACGCAGCAACGTGTAAACAGCAGACATGACAGATGTGCACATGATGAAGGGTTCATGTGGTGTATGGTGTACGGCTGGATGCTGAAGCATTGTGAATGGAGCAGCATCAGCGACAGTACAGCGAATATGTCGGGCTAGGATCATATACAGCGGCAGCGCAAGCTTTGGGAGGTTTTCTGAGATAGCAATGACAACCCACACCACGTCCAAAAGAACAAAGAACCATGCAGAAGCCCGTTCCTTTCCACATGCGACATGTCAAGGCGAGACATGTGCAGATCGCCGTCGATCACGAGAGATTCTTTGAATTAAACTGATGGAAGTGAGGCTAGCAAGGCCGACGGGGAGAAATCCATGGCAGGGATCAGTCTCGACTCTTGGGGGCAAGTGCCTTGCCGATCGCAGTGCACGTCGACGACCTCAGGGTAAGGCTCACCAGCCGTGCCTCAGCTCACCAGCTTTGTTCCTCCGTCCTCCTCCTCGACTCCTGTTGCAGTTACTGACCGAGAATGCACGAAGCATATCTTCTGCTCCTACGTGCCGCCCTTCATCAAAGCCAATCGAACGACGACGACGACGACGACAACGACGACTATTTCCATCCAAGATGCGCAGCTCTGCGGTGACTGAGGTGATTGAGGACGAGTTTCTATTACAGCACAGGATTGTGAAATGCGCCCATCCGGTCGTGGGACTATCAACGCCAATGGCGCTGGCTGGCTATGGTGGAATCCTGCGGCTGGACCTCTCTGCATCCGCTCTCCTTTCCTCTCTCCCTCTCTGCTTCCTGCCTCTTGAGACTCTCGTCCGGCAATCCTTGCTCTCCAGGACCGGGTTGTGTCTTTCTCTCCCCCCACGCTTCGTCTCTGACTCCGCCATCTATCTTCTTTCCTGTCGCCACCGCGGTCAGAAGACTACCGCAGGCGAGAACTTTTGACTTAGACCACAGAGCTACAGTCCGGCAAGGCATACTCCCTGTCTAAACTGGGAACGACAGGAAAAGAGTGTCGCATCGAGCACGCCGTGGGTCTTCGGCACGGGAGAAGCCCGTCTGTAACAGCGGTGCCAAAAGAAATGTCCACAATCTTGGTACCAATATCACAGTATCTTGGTACATCTGCTCGATGAATGGACCGTCTCTGGCCACTCATGAGGCTCGAAAATACGGTGAGCTCAGATTATTATTATTATTACCATTTCCAACAATGGAACTGCTGAAAAAAGGTCCCAGTCGAGCCAGAGGAGAATTGTCTCCATTTTCACATCCGCTATTGGGGGGACGTCGTTCCCGCTTACTAGACGGCAAACCCACCGGACGACGAATGAAGCTCCTTATAACGAAGATCGAGTGATGCTGCCTCCTCCCGAGTCAGGTGGAGATCCGGGGCCCAGAAAGAGCTGAGAAGTCGGACGATACATCAGCCTCCCAATTGCAGAGCTCAGTGGCCAAATGGCCCGCAAAGTCAAATTCTGGGGATGAGACATTGCCAATGGGATCAACACATTGGCTCGCAACGCCTAAACCACGGTCAGACTCGAAGAGCAGCAGCAACTTATCCCGGATGCTTGGTGGGCTCTGTTGCCAACTGTGACTTCTGGATCGACGTGGTCCTCACTTTTCACTCTCAAGGGCTACGAATCTAGCACAAGGTTTCTGAGCACCAGTGCATCCAAGCGCAAGGGGGAGGTGGTATACTTGGCTGCCTTAGGACAGGCTGACCTCAGAGACAGCAGGTTCACCAGACGACCCTGTGCCACGTCGAGACCTCATTCGCATTCATTCTATGGGCTCCTTTTCAAGCAGGCAAAGAAGTTATCGTTGGAGCACCGAAGCTTACAGAGCTGAGACGCTGTCTCTCGCCGGTCGCTGAAGTTGAGCGAACCAGGCAAACACACAGACTCGAGACGCTCTGCGAGGACCATGTCTTGAACCTGTCCTGGCCATTCCCAAGTTGCCACGTCCCCAAAAGCGACGTATGATGGACCTCCTCATGCTGGACCTTGACAGAACGTCAGATCCCGTGGTCCCAAGGGGAAAAGTGACTGTAAAGCACTCGGTTTGTTCAACTAAGTGTCAGAAGAGATGGAAATACAAATACACCTGCACAATGGTTGTTGTTTCCGACAAACCAGCCCTTCATTTCAACAACACGGTGGAAGTAAGCGTGTCAGCTTGGCCATGTCATTCAAAACCCTTCCTCTTGAATTGTCTCGAGTCCCTCTTGCACAGCTTTTTGTCTCTTTGCTTTTCCTCCTTCTTGAAGACGTCCTGACGAGTCTTTCCCGCCTTTTGCCCAGCATATTACAATGAAAACAAACTTCTGTATTTGAAGCTGTCTAGAGACGAGCCATCAGAGGGCCTGAGAATTGGTGGTAATGAAGAAAAGGGCGAGGCGGACGATTAGAAGACTCCACAAAGCGCGGAAGAAGCATATTACTCTGCTGCTCCCTGACAGACAGCCCTGAAAGGGTGAGAGAGAGAAAAACAGACACAGGCGGCGAAAAGAAACATGAGCATTCATTTCTCCACGGTCAGATTTCCAGCTTCAGAACAACTCAGAGAGGTAACCACAAGCAGGAAAAGAGATGCACGTCGGAATAGAACAGAGAGCAGTTGTTGTGTCAGGTCTCTCCTACCGGTCCGCTGATGTCTTAAGCCCTCCATTCCTCCCTGGAAAGGGGCGCAGTCAGCAGCTGCCCAAGTGGCTTTGGGGGGTTACAATAGGCCCCCCCTAGTTCCTCGTACTCGTGCGTAGGTAGTGGTAGGGTAGTGGGAACCTGGAGAGGGACGGGGATGGAAGGGGAAGGAGAGGGGAGTGAGTGTGTGGAGGAGGGTTGGGCATCTAGATCACTTACCTGCCTGCGCCCGGCCTCGGGTCTCTATCATATTGGGTTTCTTTCCCGGCCGCGTGCGCTGCCTATTCACTCGTTCGTGCCTTTAAAAACAAGCCAAAGCAAGAAGAAGAAGAAGAAGACGACGACACTCTTTCAGGCCTTGTTCGCCACGAAGAAACCTCAGCAAGTAGTTTGAGAGATAATGTGCTGAAAGGCAAGGGCGGTCGCCAAAACAAAGGAGGGACGTATACATATATATAGATGTATACACATCGCACCCTCTCACAGTAAAGAATTTGTCCCTGCTCGCTACAATCTGGCCTTTCTTCCCTTCTTCCGTTCCTTCCTGGTGCCTCGGATTTGTTTGTTTCTTGCCTTCAAGAAGCCCACTGGAGTTTCCCAGTTCCCCCGGAGTACAGTACAGTTCAGTTCCTGTCGAGGGACAGACAGTCTGATGAGAGTCCAAGACTTGTGTAGATCAGAAAAGGCCCTCCACGCGGGAAGGCGACAGCAGCAGGAGGGATGGAGGGATGGATGGATGCGGTGATGGAACAAGACGAGACGAGGCGAGAAGAGAAAGGTTGATGGGAGAAATGCCTTTCTTCTCCCTCAACAAGATCGCGGGAGAAGGGGAGGGTGGAAAGAGAGAGGTAGATAGATAGATCGCTTGCCTTTCTCTTTGTCTTCCTCTTTCTTCGGTCTTTCACATTCTTTTCATTCTCTTTCCGATTTCCCGCCTTTTCCTTTCCCTTTTTTGGGTTGGCATTCTTTCCCCCCTTTTTCTTTCGACTTTCTCTCTCTCTTTCTTCTTCTGCTGCTGTGTGTGATATCATGCCATTATTACTACCGCGATCCGGAGGCAGAGCCCGCGGGGAGGAGGGACGGACGGACGGACAAAGAGAGGGATAGATACTAAAGGAGACGAAAAAGCAGCCGGAGAGGACACAGAGGTCGGTTCGCAAAGAAAACTCATCCAGGCTTCTAAAGTCTCTGAGTAGAGAGACAGGCAGAAACTTATTTCTTTTTTCCACCCTTCCCCCGATTTGTCGGGCTTCTTCCACCCATTTTCTGCGTACGCGTGCGTGGGACCGGTGGATGGTAGGTAGGGGTGAGATGGGCACCCGGTGAAACAGGGCGAGGAGATTCCATATTCTTTTCTGCCTTCCGGCGTAAAGAGAGAAGGGAGATTTCGAAGGAACACGAATCTTGGAATCGAAGATAGATAGACAGAGGGAGAGAGAGGTGGTGTGTTCTCCCTTATACCTTGGTTTCTTCCTCTTTTCGTCCGAGTTCGAATGTCTTTATGTGTCTTTTGGCGCTGTCCCCGCTCTCTCGATCGGTTTTGCCTTTGGCATTTTGTCTCAGCCCAGAGAGACAATCCGTGCTTGCGGGTGTGCATGTATGTATAGACAGGTAGTAGGTACAGAGCTGGGGAGAAGAGCTGCTCACGAGGGAGTGAGCACAATGCAACATTCGGGAACCTGAGCCCGACGTACCGTACTCGTAGCACATCTGTATGTGGTGTGATCTCTTAGGAGCTCAACATGATCTTACACTGCGTACGACGATAGATGGCCTGGTCGGGTTCTCGTATAGGACGGAGGGGTTCGAACATGGGGTGGCCTCTTGTTGGATGGATGGGTTTAGCTCAACGAGGGAGCGGTAGACAGGAAGCCTCGTGCGTCCACCCCGTTGGGGGCTTGCACACGCACGGGAATCGTGGTCTTGGAATAAAGAGTAGAGAAGGAGGGAGTAATGACTGGAGCGTTCTTGGGCACGTCCCTGCGACTCGGGGTCGAAAAAGGCCGGCTCGATTACTTTCTACAGTCTCAGCTTAGCAAACATGGAGGGGATAAGTGGTCAAAGAGACTTCAATCCAGAGGCTAGAAACAACAGCAAGATTTGCACTTCCTCGTACCTGTACATGTTGGGCAGATTTGGAACATTGTCCCTCGTTTGGGACCTTGTCCTCGTCACTCCTCCCTACGTTGCAATCTCAATCTCCGTTAGTCCACTTCTCCGCCTTGTCACCCTCTCCAGACGGGCCCAAATCCACGCCTCTCTCAGCCAGAAGCTCAGACGGCGTCTTGTCCTTCATTTCTGGCACAAGCTTCAGGAGAACGTGTTCGAGAATGGCATAGATGAGGTACTTGTTCAATTCAGCATCGTCTGTCCACCCCAATAACCGTTCCTCGACCTCTATCCGCATTTCCATCTCCTCATCTTCAGCATTCTCGGCGTTTTGAACGGCGAAGAATCTCTTGCCCACAGGCTTAGGGATCAAAGACAGCATATCAGAAGCGGCCTTGGAGCGGATCTTTCGTGCTTCTTCTACAGACGGAGGAGGCGGCGGAGGTGGACCTAGAGTATTGTTGGGAAATATGAGGACTCGAATCTGTAGAAGGAGAGGCGGAATCAAGGCTGGCGAGAAGAGGCGTGTAGAGATTGTGTGATACAGGAAGCTGTACAAAGAAGATCAAGTTGTCAGCAAATGCCGCCCAGAAGCGTCAATTCCATCGAGGAAGAAAGAAAAGATGCAACATTGCGAATTGGAAGCAGTCCAGCATGCTGCCCGGCTGGCTCGACCAACTCTGCCAGAGTCGGTCGTTCCTGTCGCCAGTTGATCGTCGTCAGCCGGCGTTCACATGATCGCCCTGCCTTTGCGCTTCACTGAGGCGAGTATTCGGGAGATCGACCCGGCCGATCTCGACCACCCAAACACCACCATCACAACCTCAATGCTGCCCAATCTGCCTCATCGCCGCCCATCAATGCCCATCACTTGATACCCAAACACTTCTAAAACTATTCCAGGAGGTCCACGTGACTTGGACCTTGACGGTGTTACACTGCACCGGGTAGGACAAGGCGTCAGGATTCAGGAGGTGCACCGGACTGCGCCGAAAACCGCCCGCCGAGTCCGCGCATGGCACGTCGCGAGCATGTGTTCGCAGGACTGGCATTGGCGTCGTTGTTGGCGCAAACCAAGCGCAAAATAACTGGTGATCTAGGCCGGCAAGGAGCGTGGAAATGCCCGGAAAAGGTGCCCAATGCGTCCGGGCGCAGTAGTTCTAGCCCACGGCAAGGTGCAACAGAAGGACTTGAAATGATGCGCAAACCGCGAGTCGAGACTAGTGTTTCTGCAGGCAGTAATGCAGCAGATTCGAATGACCAGGAAACTAGGATCAAGGGTCGTCGAGTCTTCCCGCCCCGAATGATGCAGGACTCAGGGTGTGGTCCGCTGTGTGTCCACTGTTCAAAGCTGACCAGCGAGTGATTTCGAGTCTCGAAGCGCCACTTGCAAAGAAAATTAGGTTGGGGTGGAGTTTGCTGGGTGCAGAATATTGCAAAGAGGTTGCCCAAGCCGAAGTCGGTAAGTCTAAGGGTCTCTGGAACTGGAAACGACGCAGACTAGCCTCCCGTCGAAGTTCGCCTGGGGTCACACAGGAGCCCATCCGAACCGTTAACGATTGCAGGCCCGACGACACTGAAGGCCAGATAACGGTTAACCGTGGGGAGGTTGGGCTGACAGTGCGACCTGTTGGGCTGTAACGGCGTTGTGACGTAAAAAGAATATGGTTTCAAAGGAACCATTATCGCAATGCCTGAAGAACTCGATTGCCCTCGGCACGTGCCGAAGGAAGCCGACGACTACCGCTGAAGAAAGTGGGAGGCCGGACTGTATCAGGACTCGAAGTCGATTGTGGAAAAGCGCGGCGAGTAGGCCAATAGGCGGCGCCAACTGCCACTATTTCCAAAATGCCAGAGGAGCGAGGTGTTTCATTGGTAAGCGACTTCAAAAATGGCTCTTTCTGGTGAGAGTTGGCCTCAGTCAAGTCGGCAGCTTTGGACTTTGGGGGCCCGTCTGCTGATTCAGAGTCGAGACTAGTGATGAAGAAGTCGTAAGACAGCAGCAACTGGCCAAGGTCGGGTTCTGCCTGGAAGAGTTTGCAGGACATCAAGGCAAGTCGAGGGAGACATTGAGGGAAGAAGGGCGGGGCCGATCCATGTCGCCCTCCTTGTTCGAAAATTGGCACCATCTTTTCCAGGGAAGCGAGAAATTCCCAATAAATGCCGGGATTTCCATTGGCTGCAACAACTTATCTTTTTGCTGTTTTCGGTCGCCAGCCCCGAGGTGGTCGCTTCCTGAAGATCGTCACGATGGTCGATCACTCAAGATAGCTTTGTCGACATGGCGTTGGCGTACAGTTGGTCGACGAGCACGAGCGGGCGAACTCCACCAGCAAACAAGAGAGATGCAAGGGGGGATGGGCACCAGACCAACAACCAGGGAGAAACAAACCAGTTGAATTCGGCAAGGCGTGGGAGTCAAAGTCCGTCCAATCAGAGGTCGTACCGAGGAGTGTGACAGTACACAAGCGTGACCGTTATTACCGGTAACGGCTGGGATTGGCTGAATACCGGTATTGTCGCATTGGTCCACACCCTCCTGATTCACATCGGGGGATGACGAACAAGTGTACGGTATCCCGCACATGCTGATATCAAGGACCATTGGCTCGCAACCATTCCGATCCATCATATGACCATGCCTTCATGCAATTGTCCCAAGATAACACAAAGGATCAGAGGTTTACCGAAGCCTCTGGTGTAAGACAGATGGGGCAATGGGGAATGGGACTCAAGCGCGCGGGGCGAGGCTGAGAGCCAGAGGGCGAGGGAACAAGAAAAGGAGAACTGTGGCACTTACTTGTCGAGTGTGGAATTTGCAGCACCGTATTTGCCCGGACCAGCGGTCAACAAGTGCTGCCAAAACCCCAACGAGCTCGCCAGCCACGGCATGCGGATGGTCAAATCGAGCATGCTAGACATGCAGGAGAACACCCTGTAATTGATCACAGCACGGGGGGATCGATGATGAAGGCCCCATGCTTGCCGTGTCGACGGGGCCGGTTGCTGGTCTTTGGACGGCGGTGTTGTGGAGCCGGTGAAGAGATGCTGATGATGGCGGCTTCTCCGGGGTAAATGGTGCGCGTAAGCCAGGCCGACAAGAGTGAACCGCGTCAACTGGTATGCGATGAAGGCGTACTGAAGCAGTCTCCAGAACCACGCACTAAACGATGATTGGTGCCGGTCCGACGAATAACTCTCTTGAGATGCCGTATTGGCACTTAATAGGCCAAAGTGTTCCAGCCGGCTTTGGCGGCCGTCTTGTTGAAGGATTTTCTGGTCATCGCCGGCATTGGCAGGAGACGCATGTGTAGAAGGCGATGTCACTATCTCCACCACTTTTGAGACAGTCCCGTGCAGGAACCACGGCTGACAGAGTTTCTGCGCCACTGCCTGTCCGAGGATGAGGTCGGAGATGATATCGCTCACCAATGTTCTGAGACAAGCGTTTGCCAGGTCTTCGGTTGGTAGGAGGACCGCCAATGCCCCCTGAACAAGAAGTTGTCGGTGGGCAGACTCGTAGGCTTGTTGCTGCTCCGGTGGAAGGGAAGGGTCGAGGGCTGGATGTGGGTTCAGGGCGTGGTAGATTTGTCGGGGATTTTTGCCGTACTGCAGAGCAGCTTGAGCAGTAATGGCCGTCCTGTAGGCTGACAGAGAAAGAGACACGGTCAATATCGGGACGACACAACTTGGCTTCTCATGTTCTCCTGCTCACCAGCGATATGTCTCTCAACCAACACAGGTAACTCGTCTAGTATCAACTCCGTGATGTCCACCTGTCGTATCCTCTGTTCCAGTGCCCGACTGCAGTGAGCAATGATCTGAATGACCTCATCCACGAATGTTCGGTCTGGCGTGATCTTGGAGTACCACGAGTTGACAAAGTCCTTAATGACTATGGCAACCACGGCATACAGCTGGACATCTACCTCGTTGGAACTGGTAAGCGGCGGTAAGACACCATCGATTGGTGCTGGTGACGCCCTCCGATCCGATCCATGGCTTCCATCTGCCACCAACGTCCGTCTGATCAGGGACAAGGTCGCTCTTTCAGAGGCAGGGTCCGGAGCCGCAGCATCATGACGGGGCTTGGTGGTCGGGGGGGCACGAGAGGTGGACCGAGGGCCTGAAGGCGAGGTGACCTTGCTGTCAGCCGCAACAGTCAACTGAGAAGACTGAGCGGTGGAGGAAGCCTTCGTCGCTATGGTCGGAAAGGGTGGTCTTGAGGGAGAGGAGTTTGTGGTGGTCATGTCAGGAACATGGCGCGGAGGAGCATTGCGCAGGTCTTTTGTAGCCAACTGCCTCAGTGATGTTCCCGCTGGCCACGCTGGCAATGCAGGGGGCAGTAGAAGTTCGCTCACCGGTTTAGATCACTGAAGGGTGTCAAGAGGATGTGTCAACGTATGATTGGTGGATTGGGAATTGTCAAGGCTGCGAACGAGAAGGAGGTGGACGAGTAAAAGTGGGAGACAAATTGGAGGGACGGATGCGGGAAGGGTTCGGATGACCTTCCTGATCGGGCCCTATATCAATGGGAGAGAAGTTGGCGGCGACGTCGATGTCCGACGCTGTACTCGCCTTAAACCACTTGGGAGAAGAGATTTCTCATTCTGGGTCGCAAGATGGATGATGGTATGGCTTCCTCTGCCAGAGTCCCCGTTTGGCTCGATTGTGATCCCGGTAGGTCAACATCACCCTTCTAAACGGGCCACCCTTTTACTCATGGCCTCGCACAGGACATGACGTGAGTGATATTGGTCCATCCCTCTCAATGTGAAATGTCTCCATGTTCATAGCTCTTGCTACCCCATCAGGACGCCTATGCTCTCCTCCTTGCGGCTTATCACCAGTCCCTCAATCTCATCGGAGTTAGCACGGTGCACGGCAACGCACCGCTGTCGAAGTGTACGCTCAACGCCCTGAGTGTACTGGAAGCGATCGGGAAACCTGAAATCCCCGTCTTCCCCGGCTTGTCACGTCCATTCTGTCGTACCGCCCATACCGCTTCTGATATCCATGGCTCGAGCGGGCTGGGAGGGACAGACCTCCTTCCACAACCAACCCGCTTCCCCTTGACGCATTGCAGTGCCGTCCTAGAGATGCGCAGTGCACTTCTCTCTCAGCCTAAAGGCACGCCGTATGTAGTTGCGTCCGGGCCATTGACGAACGTTGCTATGCTCTTCACCCTCTTCCCAGAGGTGTCAGAACACATTGCAGGCCTCTCCATAATGGGGGGTGCGATTGGCGCCGACTTTACCCATGTCTCGGTACGTCTCCTCTGTGATCGGACTGCTGTTGTCAACGGCTGAGATTCCTCTATATCGTGGACCACCTGAGAATTGTGAGGCCGGGGCTTTTCGACGCAGGTGCTTCTTCACGGACAACGCTGACATCAGGATTTACCGCGAAGGTGGGCCAACCCTACCTAGATGCCACCGGCACCACTCATGCGAGGACTGGAAACCGCACGCCCTTTGCGGAGTTCAACATCTGGGCCGATCCGGAGTCTGCGCGTGCGGTCTTTCAAAACCCGCTGCTGAAATCGAAGACTACTCTCATTCCCCTGGACGTGACTCACCAAGCCTACGCGACACCCGAAATCCAGAGGATGCTATTGAACGGAATAAACGGGCCCACGAGGCTCAGGACAACGTTTAACGAGCTGCTCATGTTCTTTGCGCATACCTATGCCAAAGTATTTGGACTCACTGAAGGGCCGCCACTGCATGATCCGCTTGCAGTAGCTGTTTTGCTGGAACATGATCCAAACCCCGGCGTCAGAATCAACTTCGACGACAATGGTGGCGAAAGATGGGACGTCGATGTCATTTTGGAAGGGGAGCAGACTGGAAGGACAGTGGTAACAAAGTCGGTGAATGGCGAGGGCGTAAGAATTCCTAGGACACTCGATTTGCCCAAGTTTTGGCACACGTTGGAGGAATGTATGGCTAGGGCTGATGAGGTTACAGGGTACATGAAATGAACGGCCTATAGATGACCTTCAAAGGATGAATGAGACTGGATAGACGAGATCGATGGTATGTATATAGAGGTCGTTTAGACAGTGATTGATTTGGAGAGACACGTCGTCGACAAATCCACCTTACTAGTGTCTGTTCTTTCCTCCCCCATGCTATCAACAATCATGTGCTTTGATGATCCTTGCTGTCCCAGTGCCTTTCCAGTGGTTGCAAGAACATTCGCTTCCCAGGTCTGATCTCCGCTCCGTTAAAAACAAACCTCCACGAAGCCGTCGATACTGGCGTCCTCAACCGAAAACAGCCCTAGAAGCTCGGATGCAGCGTTACAATCTTCGCCATTCCCGGCTCATCCTCCATCGAATCCCTGACTTCCTGCGCCGCCTTTGCTTCCTGCGTCAGTCATTCAATCTTGACACGTCTCGTTTCCGCAAGACAGTGACCGAAGTCCCTCCATATTCTTTCGGCGCGGCGGTGAGAGCATAAATTGGGAAAGGCTTTTGGCGCGGGCCCGGAGGTCTTTGTGCTCTTCACCAGCTTTGCTCCAGGGTCCCTACTGAGAGGGCTTGATCCGACTTACCACATTGCCGTGTGAGGGCTGGTCGAAAAGGCGACTTCATGTTGGAGGTTCGAATCGATTCTTGACGAGGTGGCGAATGCTTAAAGTCTGTGGCGGGAGAGGTCGGCGGGCGATGAGAGGAAATGTTTGAAGAATAGGAAGACCTGTAAGAGCCCGCGCGAGTGTGTACTCTTTGCACGAGATCACACACTACACGCCCGAGTTTGTTCCAGCGTGGAGGCAGTAGTAAGCACTGTGTTCGTTTTGGAGTGAAGGCATTTGCACAGTTCACTGCCTCTGTGACATCGAGGTTGTCAAGGTTGTCAACGCTAGCCCTGGTTGCCGCTTTTGAACAGAGACTGTGAAGTTTTGAGGGAGCATTCGCGATCTGGGTCTAGGTGAGTCAGCCAGTCAGGATGGCTCCAGCTCCAGTTACTGTCGCCAGTGTTCTTGGTCCAGTTATCCAGGATATCGGTGACGTGCTTCTTGCATTTATTGTGAGAATGCCTCGGAGCTGACGATTTGGCCTCATCGTATGTGCTTGCGGAAAGTGTGCTCCGTATCATTTTAAACCAGCTGATGTTCCCCTGCCGAGGTTCGCCACCTGGAATATTGGGAATGTCAAGATTCTCGAGAAGTCTGAGGATCCTCAGACCAGTGATCCATAGCTCCCTTCTGGAGACAATGCTTGCCTTGGCAGACCTCGCGTCCCATTGTTTGTAGCCTTGCTTCACGCCGTTGATGAGAACTTCAACCACAGTTGACCGCAGGGTGCCGACGGCAAGCACCCACAGTGCTGAGATGTTGCTTGTCTTGGATTTCACTTGTATCGAACCGGCAGAACTTTGCTTTCGCCTCTCGAATGCGAAACGAGCAAAGTCTGGACGTAGAGGTTCAATGGTGAAGAAAACCCCAGCATCCTTCAGCGGCGACAAGCGTCCTTCGCGCCCAAATGCACGTTGGTAACTTACGGGATTGAACTGATCAGCATAGACCACGAACCTTTTGATGTACGCATTCGGAGTCTTCTCTACGAACAGGTCAGCCGGATAGGACAAGATACTGGTGACTTGTTTGACAGCGAGCTTGTCCGAGCAGGATTTGGAATCACTTCGCTCGGCGTCTGCCCGGGCGGGCTTTCGACGGACATGGCCCAGCAGAGAGAAATACCCTCGACCTTGCAGCACATTGACGGTATTGCTGTCGACGGACCACGGACTTGCATCGCCAGAAGGGAAGGATTCCATCAAAAGCTCCATTGAAGCATCACCACAGGGTGCCTCGGTGGTAAAGAAATGGATCGTCACATTTTCTTTCAATCTGAACGGGCAGCTTCGGCTCAGTCCAGCTTCGTCTTGTGGGGAGAACTCCACGTAGGGTGATGTATACATCGAATCACTCAGGATCGCTTCGATTTCCGAAAGTAGCCATCGATTGAATCCACGCAAAGCCAGAATCTCTGCATGCGAATCATGGACTACAAGACCCTTACATCTGGGCAGGGCAGAAGCTGACAGACACTTTGTTCCTGTGGCTAGTGAGACACAAGTCAGTGGTCCACTCTGTCCTTCTTGTGCCAGAACCACCGCCGCCATTGGCGTCCATTCAGCCGTGCCATCTGGGAGAGTGCGCGGTTTACATTTTGGAGGCAGAGAGTTGAATGTCGAGAGGGCAAGCTGTGCCACGCGTTCAGCTATGGAACTCATGGAGAGGCGGTGAAGGTAGGTTGCCGGAGTTGAGGCCTCTCCATGACTGTGCAGTAGTTGTCAAGCAGGAGCGATGAGAGCGACAACAGTCAGTATCAGTATATATACCCCTCGTACGAGGTACTCCGTACATATATCTCGTATACGAACGAGTGCCTAGAGCCTAGTGTGAAGTGAAATGAGAATATGAGAGCTTTTTCAGCGCTGCAATCTTACAGGCTGCAGCCCCACATGGCTAGTAGGCACATCACGTGGTCATATACACGGCCCAATCTGGAACCTGTTCGCCGTCATTGTTGTCGCCGTCATCGCCATCGCCATCTGCTTTTTCACCAGTACAGTGGCTTGGGGCCATGGCCACCTCGTATTCCTATTTGCATCTATCTCATCGTTGATTCGGCGGGATTGGTAGAACCAGCCTTTGTCATTGCGTCAGAAAAACAGTTCACCTCCTACAACGCCATCTTTTGGTGCCGTCGCTTGCCTCTTAAATATTCTCCCACATGACTTCGTCTCTGTTGTGGGTGGGTGCCTTTTTCGCCGCCAAAACATCCAGCAATTGGCACCGGGCGATCGCCGCCAGCAGCTGGACTTGGAGCCTGGAACCCACTGCAAAACTCACCAGTGACCGGTTAAATTAGCCTATTCGACCCGCGACTCTCGATTCTCTCTTTACCAAGCAACTCCGTATCTGCTCCGAAGGCTCGACTCTTGTCCACACGACACTGGAGCGCCCAGATCCATCTCCATCCTCATCCGGCCATTGTCCTATTCCTCCCCCTCTCAGCATTCAATCATGACGATCGTGCTTCCTGGGCGTTGAAGAGGCAACGAACGTGTGTCTGACAACCTAGCCACCCAGCTCCGTGGTGGCACATGGCCATTCAACCATCGTCATCATTATCACCTCTACCATCCAGACAGCGATCTACGCCGCACAAACACAGCAATTAAGGGTTCACCTTTCGAAATCAAAATACCCCGGCTCGCCTTTCCCCCCATTTTGGATTTTGGGGAGACGCCACGGGCGAATCCACTATTCGACCGCTTACCCGCTCTCACTTTCCCACATTTTCTCGTCCGGTCGGACCTCGCCATCAAACTACCTCCTTCTCACTGTCTTACCAACGTCGCCTTTCTTCAGCCTTGTCCTTTTGAGCTACAGACGCTGAGTCCATCCCATCCAGCCTGATATGTGCCTATGGTCACCTGCCCACACTAGCTCTTCATCTATCTGGCTCACTGTTTTGTAACCTCGGGTCTTCCCATTTCAGCCAGCCCAACAGGGCGGCGCGTTTGAAGCTGTCATCTCAGATCGAGGATATGCCGTTACCCATTATCCGGTTCTTTCCCACCTGCTCTGCATCATGACGAGTTCATCCAACAAACCCAGCCAGTCTCGAGGGGAGCTGCGAAGTAACCTGCTCTCCAGTTCGGGCTTCCTAATGTCTGATGCGCGTAATCCCCGCATCGACAATCTCCCTCAACATCAGTCCAATACATCCGCCTTCGACACGTCGTCTCCTGGTTCCATTGATTTCAATTTTCCCTTTGTCGGTAGTCCTCATGGTAGCAGCAACAGCGGCATCGATGCCCCGCCGGATATTCGACTGGGCCACAGCCAGGGCTTTCCTGGTCGAGGCTCCATGGTGGGATATGCCTCTGGCAAAATTCCCAGCCCCCAACATCGCGCCTCCTTAGCCAGCATTGATTCGGCTTTCGACCACGATCTTTTTGGCGCTGCCGCCTTAAGCCAATGGGCTCCCGGTTCCGGCAATCAGCCTCCCAGTAATGCAGACTCGTCACCTAGAAAAGCCCCGAGCACCACCGAACAGGAAAAAAAAGCACCGGGTGACGAGGAAAAGCCGCCGGCATGGAGCGAGCTCAAAACGAAGGCGGGCAAAGAGAGAAAACGACTTCCTCTCGCCTGTATTGCTTGTCGCCGAAAGAAGATCCGATGTTCCGGCGAAAAGCCGGCTTGCAAGCATTGTCTACGTGCTCGCATACCCTGCGTCTATAAAGTGACGACTAGAAAAGCTGCACCTCGGACGGATTATATGGCCATGTTAGACAAGCGCCTGAAAAGGATGGAAGACCGTGTGATCCGAGTCATCCCTAAGGACGAACTCCCAGATTTGAGCGGCACTGGCCGTGGTTCGGTACGGCCGCCTCTACCCGGTCAGGCGCTGAAGAAGGAGAAAGACCAGCCCAAGAAACGCTCCGCCGACGAGGCTTTCACACAAGAGCTCAATGACTGGAGAAGTTCACGAGAGAAAACCACTTTGCTCGACCCCAGCGCCGGATTGCGCAAACAGCGCGAAGGCGAGAACAAGCTCTTTATCGAAGGCTCTGAATCTCTCCCACCGCAGCACATCCAAGAACATCTCGCCGAGGTCTTTTTTGACTGCGTCTATGGTCAATCCTACCTCCTGTTGCATAAGCCCAGCTTCATGCGGAAACTGAAGGCCGGTACGATCCCGCCAGTCCTTATCTTGGCTGTCTGTGCGATTTCTGCGCGTTTCTCAACGCACCCGCAAGTGAGCACCGAACCGGCCTTCCTCCGTGGAGAGCAGTGGGCAACTCCTGCTAGACGGATCGTCGAGAAGCGTCACTACGAACCCAATATCACCATCCTCACGGCAATGCTGATGCTGGGTCTGCACTACTTTGGAACCTGTGAGGGCGGATTGTCGTGGTCATTTGGTGGCCAGGCCATGCGCATGGGCTACGCCTTACAACTGCACCGCGAACTCGACCATGATCCTTTGGGCCGAAACCAGATCGCCACAAACGAGAACAAGAAAGGCCCCAAGCCTCCCGAACTCTCCTTTACCGACCGAGAAATCCGCCGTCGAACAATGTGGGCCTGTTACCTGATGGACACATTCAACTCGTCCGGCACTGAACGCCCTTCTTTCCTGAATGAAGACTATTATCAAATCCAGTTGCCCATCAAAGAATCGCATTTTCAAATGGAGGTGCCTGGTCCTACGGAAGATCTATATGGCAATGTGCCCATGTCCAACAGCAAATCGTCACTCGACAGCAATGCAGGAGACGTCGCTGCGGAGGCAAAAGCGAACATGGGCGTCGCCGCGTACATCGTTCGTGCCGTGGTGCTCTGGAAGCGCATCGTCAAATACCTTAATCTGGGAGGCAAGGAAAAGGATCCGCATCCCATATGGGACCCATTATCTCAATTCGCAACCCTTCAACGCCAAATCTCCCAACTGAAATCGTCTCTCCCTGACGATATCACCTATACGCCGGAAAACTTCGCCACCCACGTCTCTGAACGTCTGGCGAACCAGTATCTCTTTCTTCATATCGTCCTAGCCCAAACTTCCCTCTTTCTCCACCGCTTTGCGATCCCTACGCAACCCAGCCATAGACCCCATCACCATTATTACACCCAACAAGGAATGCCCAAGGCGTTTCTCACATCATCCGCCAATATCGTCCTCGAATCCGCGTCGCTCATCAGCAAACTCATCGCCGATGCGACTGGCCACACTTTAACCGTTCCCTTCGCGGGGTATTGCGCATACGCTGCCGCGACAGTGCATGTCTGGGGAATATTTTCCAAGAACTCCGCTCTCGAACAGCAGAGCAAGGAGAATTTACGGCATAATTATAAGTACCTCACCAGGATGAAGCGATATTGGGGCATGTTTCACTACATGGCTGAGTCGGTCAAGGATATCTACCGCGCTTTCGCCGACTCCACACTCCGTCATGCCCAGGGCCGACCGGGGTCAAACGGCATCGCCAGCTCCGGCATGAGCATGTTGCGAAGGCACTCCTCCGCCACAGGAGGAAGTGGGACCCAGACGCCTATGGAGTTGGACCTGACCGCAACGCTCACGTCCACCACCAACCCGCCTTCTCGATCTGAGACACCGGCAGACCCCAACAAACCGAAGTCTGAACAAGACAAATCCAAGACCATGTTTCAATACGGCGATTGGTTTGATAAGTACCCGCATGGCGTTTCCGAGAGTGAATGGGAGAAGTCCCATCTAGAGTACCGCAGCGAACACGCCCAGGGTGGTGCCGAGGCCGTCATGTCTCAGAGAAGTGACCTGCAGTCGGTGGAAGAGTTTTTCGCGAGTTTGAGCCCGCCGTCCAAGGCTGATGATGGCAGCGGTGGCTTGGCTGGGAGAGGGAAGAAGATCCCCAGGAGAAGGGGGAAGAGTGTGGCGGAGAACAAGAAGGCGGAGAAAGAAGAGAAGGGAGATAAAGGTAAAGGCAACAACGCTTCGAGTTCTACTACGGCCACAGGCGCTAGAGCTGGTTCTTTGGCCCCGGAGCAGGACCCGCAAAGACGACCGTCGATGTCGCAACAGATGGCTGGACAGCGTCTCCCAACCACAAGCGCCGAGCTCAGTCTGAACCTCAACCTCAATCAACCGTTCGATCTCGCGAGCTTCGACATAACATCCCCATCGCTGTACCAGAACGCCCAATTCTCGGACCCTTACACTTATGGCGGCTCACCAACATCGCCACACTATAACAACCTCCATTTCATATCCACCCTGCCGGCCATTGATCGACAAATGGTCTTTGGGGCCGCATATGCCGGCATGGACCCCGCCGGCACCGCTGGCAACAATGGCAACCAAAATACATCCTCGGGACTCAACAACCTCAACTCTCCCTCCGTGGGGAACTATGCGAGCACAAATCCCTGGGACCAACTCGATATGACGACGTATGGATTCAGTGATCCGTTCGCGGGAGGAGGAACCGGGGGAATGGACACGAGTTCCTCGGCGTGGTTGTTACCATTCAATATCGAACCACCCAATTTCGGAGGCGGTGGCTTGGAGGAGTTTGGCAACAGCGCGTTGGATGGGATGGATCTGAGTGATCTTGGTCAAGGAGGTGATGACGTTGGCGGACCGTTTGGCGAGCAGAATTCAGGCAACACATGAAAGGACATCCTCACAGTCAACCACGCCAGTTGGGCGACCCGATCGTGGTGATATGGAGTGGTTGGACTGGGGCTGTTCCGTGGTTGCAGTGTACACAAATTTCGATTTGCTTGATGTAAGGACTCATCTATGCACAGCCAGGAGCATCGGCTGTATATATTTGCCAGAAGTCTCACAGGCTTTTTGAAGCATGATGAGGCAGATGAGCGAGGGCAAATGACACGTTTTTTTTGGCGGCCTTTTGATCAATCTTCCCACTCTTCATCGAGCTGGTCAATCAATCTGTTTTCGTCGTCCGGTGTGCGGCCACGTCCGTGTCCTCGTTCATCAGTGCCCACACGATGGTATCCACGTCGACCGGCGAACAGTTGAGTGACTCCTCCAGGCATCCTTTGGGTGCATGAGGAGAACAGGATAACAATGATATCCTATATATGCAATCGGAAAAAAAATGAGGTTAGCCGTGGGTGGTCAAGGCAATTCCGACTTCCAATCGTAATCTCTTCCTGTTGATGCATAGCGCTTTCGGCGTGGCCCCCCGGAAAAGGGCCTCTGTAGATCGCACAGTGTGTAAGGGAACATGACACGACCGAATGGATGAGCAGATACAAGGAGAGGGGAAAATACATACCGAAAAGAAGCCAAAGATCCCCGACCACATGGAATAATTCGGCAACTGTCTCCAACCTCGTTGATGCAGTACATTACGCTGATAAACGATACCTCCAATGAGATAGACCAGCAGAGCAATACCTGCGATCAGACCAAAGACTGCGCCCGGGCCCAGTGTGCCTTTTTCCCCGGACTGCGTCGTACCACCACACGCATAACGAGATCGGACTTCGAAAACATAGGTACAGTGGTCGGGAGAACCAAGGAAGGACACAGCAGGGCGGGTCGAGAGGAGCGGAGACGTGTCACAGATAAAAGATAGGAGGGTGGATTTGCGCCTGTTGTTGGCTTTATCCGCGACAAGGTCCGCGTCAATCGGGTTGCCGTCTTCATCGAGATCGGGACAGGGCGAACCCATGGTGTAATTGAGGACGAGCTTCTTGCCCCGAAAGAGAGGCTGATCGTTCTGTTGGCCGATGCTGTAAATGTCACCTCGGTAGTCCTTGTAGTAGGCTGAGATATTTTTCAGTCTGCTGGCGGGTATCCCTTCGACGTCTTCCAACTCCTCCACCACGGCGCCGCAGAAATTCATGGTGAAATTCGCAGGATAATCGTATCCTTTTGAATGGTATGATTCATTGCTGGCGACTTGGTACTTCGTGCCCTCGAGGGTCAATTGTAGAGGACGGAGATCGAAGAACGAGCCGGTCGAGGGAGAGTGGATGGTGCATGGCTTCGGAGGGGGTTTCGACTCGGTCGCGGCGAGACTGGAGGGTAACGATGAGAGGAAGAGGAGGAAAAATGATCTTGAGAGATACATGGCTGGTTGGTGGTATGAAAAGATTTGGGGGGGAATTGATCCTGGGCGATCTTAGGGAGATGGGAAAAAAGATCCTGAGTTGGGTAGGTAGTGATAACGCCGGCGCAATGCAAGTGAATGCTGCACTCGGTATGAACAGCCTAGTGCCTGTTGGTCGAGGGTGTTCTCAAAGGAAGAGTGAATGGTAGAAAGGAGGCAAAGGAGACCCTTTCAGCAGAACGGCAAGCGGCCTGAGAGATTATTTGCGGATGCAGGAGGACGAGGAGTAAGGGACGCGCAGCACGAGGCAAAATGCGTGTTCCTGGTTCCTGCGGAGCCCGTTATCGGCAATGCCACAATGCACAGTTCACACATGCATCAAGCCACCCCAACTGCCTGGCTGCAGTGCAGTTGCGATTACGCAGGACAACCGTTGTCATGATCTGGAAATCCTCCCATTTGCCCTCCGTTGAAGCTGCTTTCGTGGCTCGTTGACGCGACACGTAACGCGATGGGCATCCCCGGCTGCGCCCCTAATATGAGGAGGAGGATGATGATCTCATTCGGCTGCTTGACATCCCGGACACCTTGACTTTTTCTGCTGCATTCCCTTGTGTCGAGTACAATATGTACTGCGTGTACATGACATTCGTTTGACTCCCATTATCTGTGTCTCGCTCTCTTGAATCTCCCATCTGCGTTCTCTCCTTGTCCTTCGTTGCCTTTCCTGGAGATTGCTGGTGAAAAGCTGCTAGAATCGACCAACAATGGCCGTGAAACCAAAGACAGGGACGGCACCAGAGGAAAAGCACGGCTATGAATTTGGAGGACCGTGAGTTCCTGCAACCTGTGGCAGCCTTACGTGGCTTCTGCTAACGTCCTTGTAGCCTGGGGGCTGCTGGAATAATCTTCGGCCTGCCCGTCCTCATCTATGCGACCATCTTCCTCTGCAACGATGTCTCGGGCTGCCCTGCACCGGCCTTACTGGATCCGAGGACGTTGACCCTCGAGAAACTGAAGAAACAGACGCCATGGCCCGAGGACGGACTCTTGGGTCTGTTCGACTTGAATGTAACTCTATGGGTGCTGGCATATTACGCTCTCAGCGTGGCTCTACAATTGTTTCTGCCAGGTGAAGAGGTCGATGGTACAACGTTGGGCACAGGGGGACAGCACCACTACAAATTCAACGCCTTCAACTCGGCGGTTCTCATCCTTGCCGGTCTGGCCGCGGGTACTGCGATACAAGGGACCGACTTCGTGGTTTGGACCTTCATCTGGGACAATCTCCCGCAAATTGTGACGGCAAATCTCCTCGTTTCCTATGCCCAAGCAATCTATGTCTATCTGGCCTCCTTCAGTGTTCCTCACCCAGGTCAACCAAATCCCGAGAACAGGGAGCTCGCCAAAGGAGGGCACACGGGGAACATGCTATACGACTTTTTCATCGGTCGTGAGCTCAACCCACGTGTCACTGTCCCACGTTGGGTCCCCATTGCTGGCGGTCAAGTAATTGACATCAAGGTCTTCAACGAGATGAGACCGGGCTTGCTGGGTTGGGTGATTCTCGACCTCGCATTTATTGCGCATCAGTACAAGGTACATGGCTTCGTCAGCGATTCCATCATCCTCATCACGCTTTTCCAATCGCTATACGTCCTCGACGCTCTCTACATGGAGTCGGCGATTCTGACGACCATTGACGTGACAACCGACGGTTTTGGGTTTATGCTCGCTTTCGGCGACCTCACTTGGGTGCCATTCCTTTATAGTCTGCAAGCACGGTATCTGGCGGTTTATCCCTTGACGCTTGGAATCGGCGGCATCGCTGGTGTCCTGGGCGTCCAAGGCCTGGGGTACTACATATTTCGAGGCGCAAACAACGAGAAAAACCGATTCCGGACAAATCCCAACGACCCTCGGGTGTCACACCTCGAAACCATGACAACCGAGTCCGGTTCCAAGCTCCTGGTCACTGGATGGTGGGGTCGTGCCCGACACATCAATTACTTCGGCGACTGGATCATGTCCTGGAGCTACTCTCTCCCTACTGGCGTTGCGGGATACATCATCAACAAGTACCAAAATCCCGTCACCGGTAACGTAACCCGAGAGGTAGTGCAGGGTGATGCGCGTGGCTGGGGAATGATCTTTACATACTTTTATGTCATATATTTTGGCGTGCTCCTGGTGCATCGAGAAATGAGGGACGAAGAGAAGTGCAGGAAGAAGTATGGAAAAGACTGGGACCGCTACTGCCAGCGCGTCAGGTGGAGGATCATTCCGGGCATCTACTAGGGAAACGCAAAGATGCGCTCAAACCTTCCCGAAACACTTCCCACTCTCTCCAGTCGGCTCAAGCTTACCCCCTGTCTCTGTCCGTTTATGCCTATCTGCATTGAGCTCGTCCAAGTCCTTCAATCGGATAAAGCTCCCGTCACATCCAAGTCGAGCCTCCACTCATGTGCACTGTCGGAAGCCGGGGCAAGTCGATTCTCCTGTTGGAGAAGGGACGTCCTTTGTCGTATGCTGATCAATAAAAGCCAGAAGATCTAAGTGGGTGCTAAGTGCCTAAGGTCAGGCTGCGAGACTATTCTCCGATGTACAAATATTTGGCCTGGGCTCTCATCTTCAGGGGTATTCAGCTTGCTCCAACTCCCCTCTCGTATTCCGTGGTCAGGAGGACTTTCCACTCTGCAGTGGTCGCCACTCTTGGGAGTTACGGTCGCCTGTCGTGTCTGGCCACGAGGAGAGCTGCATGCATGGTTCACCTGGGGGCCGAGAACGACACGGCTGCCGGATCACACCGCTCCGCCAATACAGTAGCACAAACTTGGATCGGTTCGAAGCTCTGTTCTCCAATACAAGGGCTAGATCATGGAAGACTCCAGGTTTCCCAGGTTGGTCCTGTGGAACGCAGGCGAGAGAAAGGGACCATCACAGAATCTAACCACGAACAGACAATGGATTGGTCCAATGAGGAAAGCGTGGGGTAGGATATTCCCCAGATTTTGAGGACTGCTTGTCCCCGGATTCTGGACAAGGCTCTCTCCACTCTGCCACGAATTCTTGATATAGGAACGCCTCCAGCGGCCTGGGGTGATGTGCCAAAGCATTCCTGTCGCTGAACCGGCAGGATTACCACCTTCGAAGCAGTGCGAAAGGTATCAAGCAGCAATGGGGCTCGGTGTCCTCGAGGCGAATACTACTGCGCACGTTCCTGGAACTGTCCTTCTGGACCAGCGAGCTGCCCATTCTGAGCAGCAGACAGGTCGTCTCAAGCATGGCTCGGGACGAAACGCGCATATTGTTTTGGCACCACAGCCCTCCGAGGATCCGAATGATCCACTGAACTGGTCATTCTTCAAGAAGCATATCGTTCTCGCCATCATTTTCTTTGGGGTCATCATCCACGGTGTCGTACCGGTAGGCAGCAGCCAGGCGCTGAAACATGCGGTCTTGACTGACCAGCCGTGCAGGGACCGATTCTCAATGCTGGCATCATTCAAATCTCCCTGGATCTCAAACGCTCTCCGACCGATGTCGCCAAACTCTCGGGTTATTCTCTCCTCGCGACTGGAGCCATGGGCCCCTTTGCCTCTGCCTTGGGTCGGAAGTACGGGAAACGACCCATGTACGTGTTCTCATCCTTGATCGGCACCATTGGCATCATCGTCTCCGAAGTGGCGTCTGGTTACAACACGCTCCTGTCTGGTCGGGTTCTTCAAGGAATAGGCATCGCCGCATACGAGTCGCTTGCTGTGGCATCCATCGGCGACATGTTTTTCGTCCACGAGAGAGGCCCCCGAGTTGCCATTATCATCTTCCTGTTGGCTGCGATCTCTAACGGCATTTCCATTATTGCTGGCGTCATCACTTATCACCTGGGCTGGCATTATAATTTCCACATCTACATCCCTTTTGCGGCGCTCCAAACGATCCTGGTGATCTTGTACTGCCCTGAGACGATGTATCGACGAAAAGCCATCTACGAAATTGACACGGCGGGCTCCGAGGAAAACCTGGAGAAACTGGCAGGCGTAGAAGAACGAGCAGCACATCACTCGGAGGGCCATGTGGATAAAAATGCCGACCTGGAGAAGACAATAACCAACACCACCCAGACGTCGGTGGATTCTGTCCCCCCGCCAAAGACGTTCGTCCAACAACTTGCCCTCTACAACGGCACCTTTGTGGAAGACTCGGTCATCAAGATGGCGATTGCCTCTGTTGCCATCCTGCTCAACCTGGGAGCGCTCTATCAGGTGTTGATGACCGGAGTCATTATTGCCTGGTATGTGGCCGTGGCCATCTTGTCCGGTGTCATCTTCGCCTCCCCTCCCTACCTCATGTCCTCCGCCTCTGTCGGGTACATGTCAGCCGGGCCATTCATCGGCGGGTTGTTGGGGGCGGTCTTTTCATTTGTGGTCTCGGAGCCTTTGGTGAAGATGATGTCGCGTCGGAACAACGGGGTCTATGAACCGGAATTTGCGCTTCTCCCTGTCAGCCTCGGTGGCGTGTGCTCGGTTGCCGGTTTGGTTGGTTGGGCCTACGCGGTCAAGAACTTTGAGAACATCTACCTGATCTGCTTCATTTGGGGAGTGATTCTGTTTGGAATGACCATCATTGCCAGCTTTGCGACACAGTGGGCCCTCGACGCTTATCGCCAGAACAGCACAGAGCTGTTTATCATGAATATGTGAGTTCTCTTTGTTTTCTGCCTTGTTGCAATGTCTGTTGTGAGAAGGCCTGCTGACACGCGAGCGACAGGGTGTTCAAGAACTTCTTTTTCTACGGGTAGGTCACCTGCCCGTTCCCTCGCCCATGGTATTTCCCGAGACTGACTGTTCGACAGGCTCACAAACTACGTTATCAACTGGTATCTGGACCATGGCGCTGTCGAAATGGCGGGGACCATGGCCGGGATCACCGGGTTCTTGTGCGTGCTGGGTGTGCCGATGTACATCTTCGGTAAGAAGTACCGGTATTTCTGGCACAAGCATAACGCGCTGAAGTGGTTACACCTGGAAACGGACCACGCTGGGGCTGAAGGGGGAATGTGAGGACGGGGACGGGAACAGTCGAACGGATCCCAAAATGGACGTGTGTTGCTTCGCTCTGGACCTGATCATATTGCAACCCGGAAGACTCTGGGACGAGTTGAACACGATGAGCATGCAGAAACAAAGGGACTTTGCTCAAATATATTATTTCACTTCTTCTTCTTCCTCGTCTTCCTCGTCTGTTGTAACAGGCACATCTATCTCCCTCCCTCCAGCCTCTCAACTGCCCATTGACCTGGCCTATCCTACTCATTTGCCCTCCCACCCTTGGTTACGGCTCATTCTCGTACCCATCAATAAACTCCATCGTGAGGACATACTTGCCTTCCTTGACGAGCCTCTCTCTGCCATAGCGGACCACGCACTCAATGTCCTGCCGACAGTCCCAGTACATGCCGCGCAGCTCCTTGGCCTTGCCGGCGGCCAGGTACGCGCAGGTGGCGCCGCACAGCTCGGGCGGGTCCTTGAACAGGGCCTGGAAGTCGGTTCCGTGCTGTGTGAGCGACGGGTAGCGTTCGAGGAGGTCCATGCGGACTTCGGCTGTTTATTTTTTCAATTTTTTTCACAAGTCAGTCGGAGTTGTTCTTTCTTCCGTCAAAATCTCTCTCCCTCGATGAGAACTTACATTTCGCCATCGCCGTGGGCACGCCGCCCGGGTGCAGCGCGTACATCTGGATCCCGTCGCCCAGGCCGTCGAGCTCGATCTCCTCCTGCAAGGTGGACGTGGCGCGGGCGACGGCGGCCTTGGACGAGTTGTAGCCGATGGCAAAGGGGAAGTCCACGGTGGCGGCCCGCGACGCGATGTTGATGATGACGCCGGATTTGCGTTCGCGGAGTTGTGGGAGCAGAGCCCAGGTCGTGACCATTGCCTGTACATATTGTATATATGTATGGTGAGTGAGTGAGTGAGTGAGTGAATATGAATGAATGAATAAATCAATGTTGGTGTCGGATCATTCATCGTGACATCCCCTCTCATCTCATATTCTCCTGCTCCTCCTCATGAGAATAGATAGATAGATCGATCGACCCCTCCGTGTGATTGATCCATGTGATATACCATACTACAGTGCAGAAAGAAAGAACGAAAGAAAGGAAGAGAGAGAGGGAGAGACTTACGCTCTTGAAATTAATCTCGATAGTCCGCCAAAACTCCTCGAAACTCTCCATCCACTGCGGTCTCCCGGGCGATACACCGGCGTTGTTGACGAGGATACTGCGAGCATGTACGTGATCAAATGTCAGCCAGCCAGCCAGCCAGCCAGGAGCACAATGCACCCTTTTCTAGAATTGGAAGAAGACTCTCGAACTCGAACTCGAACTCGAACTCACTCGATCGGCCCCAGATCCTCCTCGGCCCGCTTCAAGACGGCTCTCAGTCCCTCCACGTCCGTGACATCGACGACATACGTCTTGACGGTGCCGCCGTGCGTCTCGCACCGGGCCTTGCTTTCGGCCAGTTCGTGCTCGAGCAGGTCGAGGATGGCGACGTTGGCGCCCGAGAGGGCCAGTTTCTCGGAGATGGCTCGTCCGATGCCTGATACGTCGGTCCAGATGTTCGTTGTTGGTCACCAGATCTCCTCACAAGAAGTGTATAGATATAGGCGGGTGGGTAGGGAAGTCTGGGGTCACTCCCGGCCCCCTTGCTGGAATGACAACTTGAAAGCGTCTCTCTTTACTTACCTCTGGCACCGCCCGTGACGAGAGCAACCTTGCCCTGATTCAGTCCCTTGAGCTTGTCGTCGGTGATGGGCCCGTACGGGGCGTGGTTCAGGGGGATGGACGAGATGCCGAACTTGGTTGGGTCCATGGATGCTGATGATGGTCCCGGGATTACCTCGAGAATTGGAAGTGATTATATAGGATGGACGTTGTTCGACTCGGGAAACTCTTGCTTTTGGTCAGTCGTATTTCAACCGAGCTTGTCATCCAAGACAAAGAAAGACCGGGAGGTATTCTATCAACTTTCTTGAAGCAGCCGGTCATCGTTCGTCTCCCATCGACAAATGAGGATGAACCCCACATCGTGTTGTCCATTCAAGATGGAAGCCATATGTGCCCTCCGCCCCCTCCTCAGGCCTCGAAGGGATCGACTATTACTACCGGGTAGGAGCAAACGGGCCCAGAAATGGCGGGGATAGAACAAATGCCGCGGAGTCTCTTCTTCCCTCCCTTTCTCCAACACGCTCAACACGGTCTGGACCAGCCTTGCGAGGTATCATGTGGAGAGACAGCCTCACACTCTTCGACACTTGAGCCTGAAGCATTGACACGTGGAAGACCAGAATAAGTCTGTCCCTGTGGATTCTGGTCCCCGTCACGATAGACCTCGTTGGCTTTCTTCTCTGACTATCTATCTATCTATCTATCCACCAGTCTCAAATCTCTCTACAATCGCGCCCGGAAATTCGACCTCTCCCCGACCTCCTTCTCCACCCACTCCTTCAGCACGTTCCTCATGATCTTCTGGTTCAGGTTCCGGGGGATCTCGTCTACGAACCGGACGCCCCCTCTCAGTCTCTTGTAGTTGCTCACCCGCGGGTTCAAGAAGTCGTGGATGTCCTTCTCGGTCGGCAGCCCCGACGCCTTGCCCTGTTCTGACCGCACGACGTACGCGCGCGGCAGGTCGTTGCCCTGTCCGTCGGGCACGCCGATGACCCCGACGTCGGCGATGCCCGGCAACTGCCCCAGGATGGACTCGACTTCGGTCGGACTGACCTGGAAGGATTTGTACTTGAGCAGTTCCTTCGACCGGCCCACAATGAACACCTTGCCGGCGCGGTTGAAGTACGCAATGTCCCCTGTGCGGAACCAGCCGTCGCTCGTGTAGGCAGCACGGGTGGCTTCGGGGTTGTTGAAGTACTCTTTAATGATGTTTGGTCCTGGCATTTGTGAGTGAGTGAGTGAGTGAGTGAGTGAGAGAAAAGGGACTTCCTGAAAAGCCTTCGCGTTACCTTTGACACACAATTCTCCCGGCTCGTCGTAGCCCAACTTCTTCCCCTCCGGACTGATGATTACGGCCTGGATATTGGGCAACAGCCGCCCCGAGCTGCCCTCCCTGTCAACTTCGGTGACATTCGGCTGCGACGCCGCCGTGACCGTCTCGGTCATGCCCCAGTTCACGCGCAACACGACCCCGTCGGGCAGCATCTCGTGGACTTTCAGCTGGAGCGGCAAGGGCAGGGGCGACGCCCCGCTCATGGCGAACCGGATGGACGCGAGATCGTCCCGCGTGCACTCCTGCACCACGCGGTTCCAGATGGCGGGCACAATGAAGCAAGCCGACAGCTGGAACTTCTTGATGCTGGCCATCAGCGTGGCGAAGTCGTACTTGGGAAACATGTACACCTGCATGCCACACTGCAGGCTCATCATGTTCTGCACGAAGATGCCCACGGCCACGGCGTTCTGCATCACGCCCGGCATGCGCAGGTAGACGCCTTCGGCCATGGCCTTTCGGGCGAAGTGATCGAAGTGGAAGGCCATCTGGCAGAGGTTGGCGACGATGTTGGCGTGCGTGATGACGACGCCTGGGTTGCGTCCGAAAAGGAATCAGTTTGATTCACGTCAGGGTGTAGTCAGGTGGTCTACTCACCTTTGGGGTCGCCGGTGGTGCCGCTGGAATAGACCAAACAAGCAGTCGTCTTTTCGAGGACAGCTGGATCCGTGACTTTCTGCCACTGCAGTTTCCTGTCGCTGATGATAGACCTCCCATTCACATCCACAATGTCCAGCTTGTCAGACATCATGATTACCAGCCGCACACCGTCAACCCCAGACTCTGCGATAGCTTCCTCGGCCGCCTGTCTCGTCTGGGGTGAACAGATCACGATCCTGGGACTACTCAGACGGATCTGCCGGGCCAACTCAAACGCCGTGGCGGTGACGGAACAGGTGGCGTGCACGCCGCCGGCACACAGCACGCCGAGGTTATTGGGGGCGACCATGACCTGGTTCTCGAGGTAGGAGAGGATGATATCCCTGTCGGAGCGGATGCCGAGATCGCGATAGCCCTGGCCGATGCGGTGCGTGAGGTCGCGGGCCCGGGCGAGCGTGACGTGGTTGCTGTTGGGCGAGGCCGGGTTGATCCATACGGGGTCGTCGTCCTTGAAGGGTGTGCGCGAGAAGAGGAAGGTGAGCAGGTCGACGCTGGGGATGGAGATGTGGTACTCGGACTCGAAGATCATGGTTTTTGACGCGGTGGAGGTTTCTTTTTGCCGGTGTCAATGACCTTTTGGGATGTACGTATATTATGTTGATATGCTGCTCGGGGCTTGGGGGTAGGTATTTCTAAGGAAGCTATGCTTATGAATGCATATATGTACTCAGATCAGACCAGAACAGAACAGAACAGGGCTGGGCTGGCTGGTTCCCATCGACCAATACAGGGAGGTAGGCAGAGAGAGATTCGAGACAACTTTCCAACTTGGGCATTGGATACTGACAACTCCCTCCTTCCCTCTCGACAGTACATAGGTAGGTAATGTGTATACATACATACATACATTCGTAATACCCCAGAAACTAACGAAAGATCGGGGAAATGTGGAGTAAACGAATGGGAAAGTGTGGGGCGATGCCGGTCTTGTCTATTTGGAGAAAGCGAGAGAGAGACGACAGAGACAAGAAGAGTATATGGCTATTTTCTCTCGGTGTGCAGATGGATCTCATTCAGCTCCTTTGGGAAGAGAAAAGAGGGTATGGGTACTATGTTGCAGAAGACGATATACAGCACACAACATACAACATACAGCCTCCTAGCACTCATGTATCCGTTCACCACTTGTTCTTAATCGAGCATCTCAACTTGATACAAAGCCGATTCAAGGCACAGGCTGAGGACTGAGGTTGCTAGTCTCCCTCCCTGCCAGCGTCCACAGAGGTTCAGAAGGCTATCGGGAGAGTGCCACGATGTCGTCTTCGTCGGACGCTCCGTTAAAAGGACTAAAAGGTGAGATAATCCCTCATGATAACAGGATTCGGCCTCAAGTACCATCATCATCATCATCATCATCATCATCATCATCATCATCATCATCATCATCATCATCATCATCATCGTCATTGTCGCCATTGCCATTACCATTCGACTAACTCTTCCACCTCCCCCGGCTATAGTCCTAGAACTGGGCGGCTTGGCCCCAAGTCCGTTTGCAGGGTGAGCAAAGGAGTGGCCAGAGAGACTCTTTCCCCCTTTTCCGCTGGGGCTTCAAACACCTTACCAAACCAATCAGACAAGTCCCCCCCTGACAGTGCAACGACACAGACTCATCCTCGCCGACTACGGCGCCGACGTGGTGCGCGTGGACCGGACATTCGCAGTCTTCGGCCCGCCGCGCGACACGCTGTGCCGACGCAAGCGGTCCGTGGTGGTGGACTTCAAGCAGGAGGCGTCGCGGCGGGCATTCCTCGAACTCGTCCAGGTCGCCGACGTGCTGATCGACCCGTACCGCCCGGGGGTGATGGATCGACTGGGCCTGGGCGCCGCGACGCTCCGGGCCCTCAACCCGCGCCTGATCTACGCGCACCTGTACGGCTTCCGGCCCGACGGTCTCTACGGCACCCGCGCCGGCCACGACATCAACTACCTCGCCGTGTCCGGGGCGCTGTCGCTCCTGGGCCGCCGGGACGAGAACCCCGCCCCGCCGGCCAACATCCTGGGCGACTTCGCGGGCGGCGGGTTGGTGTGCGTCGCGGGCATCCTGCTCGCGCTGCTGCGGCGCCAGACCACCGCGCGGGGCCAGGTCGTCACGGCCAACATGGTCGACGGCACCGCGTACCTGGCGACGTTCATGCGGCAGCAGCGCGGGCACGAGAACAACGACCGGCCCCGGGGCGAGAATCTGCTCGATGGCGCCGCGCCCTTCTACGAGGTGTACAAGACCCGAGACGACCGGTTTGTCGCTGTCGGCGCCCAGGAGCCGCAGTTCTACCGCAACCTGCTCGCGGGGCTGGGTGTGGAAGGTCACAAGAAAACCGTGATGGAGCAGCAGCAATGGGACCGGACGTCCTGGCCGCGCACAAAGGCGCTGTTCACGCGTCTCTTTCGGCAGAAGACACGTGACGAGTGGCGCAGCGTGTTCGACGGGGTGGACGCCTGCGTGACGCCCGTGCTGGACGTGGACGAGACCGAGCCGCCATTCCGCCCGCTCGTCGAGCTGAGTGAGTCGCCGAGCCTGGACGTCGCGGTGCAGGAGTCTTACCCGGAGTTGAAGAAGGGTGAGGGTGGGGAGGATGTCCTGCGCGAGTGGCTCCCCGACGAGGAGGTGCGGGCGTCTATGGATATAGATCCCTCGTCGAAGCTGCTTAGCATGAAGGAGAAGGAGAGGGAGAAGAGGCGGGAGGCGAAGTTATAAGATTAGATGTGGATAGAGAGGGAGAGAGAGAGATGGATGGATGAGTGTCCCAGACAGACTAGATGGGCTGAGCTGGCTATAGACCTGGCTATGCTGGAATAGTGGCTGGGCCCCACACTCTTTCTCTACCATAATCTCAGAAAAGCAAAAGTTCTTTAAGGCACGTTCTCCATCGTCAACCTGGTCTCGCCGTCATACGCACACAGCTCCTTGCGTGCCCGTGCCGCCTCGGAGCGGATGATCCTCTCAATGGCCGGGGAGCGGGGGATGAAGCGGGCCTTGAAGGGCTCCGGCCGCATGTTCTCGCTCTTGGTGTAGGCGAAGATGTCCAGTTTGACTTCCTGGCCCTGACAGAGACGACCATAAGTACGGACTCTCACCAACATCGAAGAGGGGGGAAGGGGGTTAGAGATGGAGGGTGTGCACCAGCGCTCAACGACTTACCTTCTCGTCCAGCCCCGGCTTAAAGTCAAACGCCCACAGCAGCGTCGCAATCGTCATGAACAGGCCCTGCTCGGCCAGCGGCTGGCCACTGCACTGTCGCCGACCCCAGCCAAAGGCATTGTGGCCCTGCTTGTTGGGGTACGGGCGCTCGAGCCCGCCCAAGAAACGCTCTGGCCGGAAGTTGTCGGGCTCAGGGAACTCCCGGGGATGTCGATGGATGGCCCACACGTTGCCGGTGATGGGTGTGCCCTTGGGGATGATGTAGCCGCGGTACTCGTCGTCTTGGATCGGGGCGTGCGGGATCCCGCCCAGGATGGTGACGGTCCGCCACCGCAGTGTCTCGTTGACGACGGCTTTGACGTACGGCAGCGATGGCTCGTCCGTCCACTCTGGAACGCGGTCCTGGCCCACCACTCGATCCAGCTCTTCTTGGGCCTTCTTCATCTTCTCTGGAAAGACGCACATGGCCAGAATGAACGAGATGATGGTCCCGCTGGTCGTGTCGACTCCGCCGCCGATGAGGTTGGAGGTGAGGCTGGATATCTCCTCGTCGGCAATGTGGCTCTGCTCTTGCTCACGGAAGAGGCGTTTGGCAAAGTTGTCTTCGGGGGCCCGGGCGCCTTCTTTGGACAGTGCAACGAAGTACCTGTAGAATCAGCCATTAGCCTGATAATATCGACCATGACGGAGTTTGTCTAATTTGCCTTTGCAGATGCTTTGCGAAGGTGAGGGTCTGGCGCGGCATCGGGTAGATCCAGTTGAGCCACTTGGGTAGGTTGGCCAGGAACGGGATCGACTCGACGATGAACAGGCCGGGGATGATGAGGTCGACTCCCTCCATGGCCTTGAGCGCCATTTGGGCCACGTAGTCGTTGATCTTGTCGATGCGGCGACCCCAGCCGATGATGGAGACGATCGAGCACGAGTACCTCTCGATGCTCATGACAAAGTCGTCTGGTTTGTCTAATAGATCGCGAACCAGAACCTTGGATTCATTGGCTTGAATGGCGCGCCATGGCCTGATGGCTTGTGAGCCAGTCGCGGAGTGCTGGCCGAGCATGAGTTCTATGGTTCGACCGGAAACAAACTCTGACATACCATGAGGCGACGATGAAGGCGCCATTTGTCCCCATACACGAGACACACCTGGTTGCTCTCCGTGGCATTAATCATGTCACCCATGGCGATCATATGCGGCCGGGAAGAGTAAATGTTTGCCCTCTTGTCGAGTAAATCGGAGATGGTCCAGATGTCGTTACACATGATGGTCGGCCGGTGGCCCTGCCAGATGGTGATCATGGGGTCCTTGTAGTACTCTGACCACTTCTCGAAGTCGATCCACGGCTTCACTTTGGGGATCTGGAAGAAGTTGCCAACGAGCGGCAGGGGGAACGGGCCAGGAGGCAGCTTCTGGCGAAGGCGTAGGACCCGGAGATAGTCAACAAGGATGAATATCACAGGCAGGAAGATGACACCTGCAAGTGAAATCCATACGAGGCTGGAGGCATCAATGCTCAGCTCCATTGAACCCCGAGCACCCGACAGATTCTGGAGGACACCCATATTGGTTGTCTGTGGTGTCGATGTCAACCCGGACTTGTCCTTGAGCAGCACAGCAGCAGAAAGGAAACCTCATATTCTTGTCCCCTTCAGTGCCGAACTATGAAGCAGCATAAGTAGAAACGGACACACAGGGTCCCACATGATACTGTGTCCTGCTCGCGGATCCGGCGAGACAGCGCACAGCAGACAACCCACATGGATTCTGTGAATTGTGAATCCTTCATGTGGAGAAGGGGGATACTTGACCCGTTGCGTTGGGCTCGTTTGTGGAGAGCTTTGTGGCTTGCGCGGGGGTCGTCGACGAGTCTCCAAGCATGACACAGCCGGGATCCGGGGTACCATCCGTCCTGTCATGGCCTAGAGCTGTCGGCACTTGTGTTGAGTGCGGCTTTTGGTGTTGCCCAGACTTGTTCGGGTATTGATATAAGGCGGTGGTGGTCTGGGAGACGTCGAACGGACGTCGATATCCCCTCTCTCTGGTCAAGCGAGCTCGTATAAATCCTTCGACTATATCATGGCAAAACTGCAAGGCGTCCTCTCCGCTTATGCTGCCACACTCTCACCAACCATTCTGATTGGGAGCTTGGTGGGCTTGTGGATCGTGTACAGTGTGTTTGTCGTCCTCCGAGATCCCCTGAGGTCGATCCCAGGCCCCTGGCTGGCCAGGTTCACCAGGCTGTGGTACTTGAGAGAAGTAGATTCTTCCCAATCCGAGATGTAGAAGGTCGATCCTGACAACTGACCAGGTGGCTCGGGGTCATTTCGAGAAGACGAATATTGCCCTTCACAAGAAATATGGTACTGAGGCCCAAACTTCTTCCGCCGCCAATCCCCAAGCTGACTCCTCGCCAGGACCCATTGTGCGCATTGCACCCAACTACTATTCCATTGACGACGCAGATGCCATCAAGACCATCTATGGCCACGGCACAAATTTTGTCAAGGGGAAATGGTACATAGCGTCCAATAACCCCAAAAACAAGCACCCGGATCTGTTCACCGACCTCAACCCTGAATCCCATGCCCTGAACAGACGCAATGTCGCCTCGCTCTATTCGATGACCAGTCTGGTCGCCATGGAGCCGAATGCTGTGGCGTGTGCCGACATCCTGGTGAGGAAACTCACCGAGTTTGCAGAGTCGCATACCCCTATCAACCTGCAAGTATGGCTACAATATTGTAAGTTTCGCCGAGCTCTCTCGGATATCTGAATGAATGCTCACTGTTGACGACAAATCAGACGCTTTTGACACCATCGCGCTCATCACTGTAGGTGAAGCTTCTGAGGCTCGCTCAACGCTACCCTCAAAGGCTGACATGTCTCCAGCTCAGCAAAAGATTTGGCTTCCTTGACAGCGGCAAAGACAACGGTAACATGATCGCTGCCCTGCACTCGTACCTCCTTTACCTCTCCAAAGTGGGCGTGTACCACGAATATCACTATTTCCTCAACTGGATTTTGTCGTTGTTGCCCAATGGCGGAATGCACTACATGGGTTCGTTCATGCAACAACAAGTCCTAGAAGGCCAAAAGCAAAAGTCCAAGAGCATTCTGGAGAAAGACGAGTCGAAGCCGACAGACGACTTTTTGACCAAGCTGTTGAGAATGCATGCCTTGCAGCCGGACAAGTTCCCCATGGAATCAGTGTTTTCGACGTGCGGGACAAATATTGGTGCCGGGTCGGATACCACGTCGGTCAGCCTGGCGGGCATCTTGTACCATCTGATAAAGTCACCTGCCACGTTGGAAAAGGTACGTTGGGGACTGGGTCGTACTGTTTCGACAGCCATCCGGAGTTTGGTCGCAGCTTGCTTGACAGCTGCCGACAAGTTCTGTCGGAGGTTATGAAGACGAAATGAGCTAACTCGGCGTAGCTGCGACACGAACTCGACCAGGCCATCGAAGAGCGCGGCTCAAGCGACATCATTTCCTTCCAAGAAGCCCAGAAGCTGCCCTATCTCCAAGCTGTCATCAAGGAAGGACTCCGCTGTCATCCAGCGACCGGTCTGCCCATGGTCCGCGTTGTTCCAAAAGGCGGTGCCAGAATGGCTGGGACGTATTTCCCGGAGAAGGTGAGACTCCCCGCCTCTGCCCATGATACTTGCGATAAGGACCATCTTCTAGCAGAAGTGCTGATTTTCGGGGGGGTAGACTGAGGTCGGCGTAAATAGCTGGGTCACACATGCCAACACGAGCATCTTTGGCCCAGACGCCGAAGAATTCAGACCTGAACGTTGGCTCGAGTCTCCAGAGAGAGCCTCGGAGATGAATCGGTATATTCTCACGGTAAGGAATTCGCTCAGTGAACCTCCACCTTCCCACTCGTGTTCTGATATCGCGCACATAGTTTGGAGCGGGATCTCGCACCTGCATTGGCAAAAACATCAGTCTTCTCGAAATCTCCATCTTGATCCCCGAGTTGGTGAGGAAGTTCGACTTCACCCTAGTGGATCCAAATAGGCCGCTGGAGATGGAAAATGTCTGGTTCGTCAAGCAAAAGAACCTGGACTGTTATGTGAGTTTGAGGAAGAACTCTTGAGACCCAGGATGGGTAGAAAGGGGTGCAATTGGACGTGGGTGGTCGTGCGGTAGCTGCTTTGGACGATGCTATCAGAAGCCATAAAACATTGCACAGCAGAAGCGAGTCTGGACTGCGTGGTAGGAACATTTGGCTCTGGCTCATCAAGCCCACCAGCTAGGATTCGTGTATAAGGAGTGCAGGTCAACGATCGCTCTCTCCAGAGCACTGACGGACAAATCAGTTCAAATTGACGGGCACTTGCTCGCCAGAGTCCACCAAGTCGATGGATCCATAGTTCTTACCTCATTCTGTCCTGAGCACTGGTGGTATTCTAGCGTCCCTTGGCTAGTCATGGTGCGAATAACAAACGACGGCGATGCACAGAGACAGACGCTCCTCTGCACCGCCTACGATGCATAGGTAGACCCGGCCCCGGACGAACTCTTTCACACCAGCTTGGGACTTCGAATATGCCGGACATTGGAAGTCTGAATACCCGATCTCCAACCGGTCTTCGAGAGTTGACGCTCTTCCGAAGCTACATGCTAGGAGCAATGTACCGATGCAGTTGATCAGCAAACAATCTCTTCCGACGTTGTCAGCGAGCACGCCTCTCGACCTTGGGGTCGGACATCAACAGTATCAACAGTATCAAACCTCGGATTTCGAGGTCTCGATGTTATCGTGCAATGGCAGCACCGTGCTTCTCCCGTGTACCTATCGGAATCTGAGGGCGCGTGAAGCTCGTTGCCTCGCGTAATTGACTCTGCGGCTGCCATTGGATTAGATGCCTACAGTCTGCTAATGCAAGGCAGAAAGGGCGTTCCGAGCACAGCTTCAGGATTCGGTGTGGGGGCATCGACGCCCAAAACCTCCGGGGGATGTCTTGAATTGACCGACTGGGAGAAAGAAGAAAGACCAGCTCCATTTTGCCGAAGTTGCGCTTTACCCATTCCGCTGTCGGATGTAGTCCCCCTTGAGCAGTGAGAACCAAAAGTTGCAACTTGGGTCGTCTGCAGGTACAAGCTGGAGTGCCTGAGGAAACGAGCGAGCCAGATGCTACAGCTGTTACCGGACCAGAAAAGCCTGCCCTGGCGTGCCTCGTTTGACGCCAGGACCGAAGCTGGCGAGCCTATCGGAAAAAGGCCGTGTAAGGTCTCAAAAGTTGCAACTTTTGGGTATCTCGGACTCCCCAAGTTATTCCTCGTACTCGGTTGGCGGACTGGCAGTATGAGCCGCGATCAAAGTTGTTGTCAGCGAGGTCGAGGAAGCGTCAAGTCAGTTTGAATGCTTGACAGGATCTGAGTGTCAATCCGACTCCGACTCAGTCTAAGCCATGTGTGTCCCACGGGCCGGGCGTCCTGTTGGCAGGGATTGGCCCCTGAGTCGAGGGCCGAACAGCTTGCTGGCCCATAGGTAGCCACTTGCACAGCCCTTTGGATGAGTTGACCATGTGCCTCTCGCAGCGACCAGGGTACCAGAAAGCATTCGAACAAAAGTTGCTGACACGGTTATATAGACCTGGGCTCCAATGCCTGAAGAAATGCTCATCGTCTCATCTCACTGCGACTATTAGTGACCAAAGAGACAGAGAACCAGTTCACAATATATATCACTTCTTCCACCTCTTGTCCAGCAAGTTTCCCTGCAGACCTGACGATCCCTTTTGGCCTTGAGCGGTTTCAGCCTTACAGAACGCCCTCAAACAAACTGAAGCACCCCGGGACTCCCCCTAAGGACACCGCCACGCCTAGAGCATCCACCATGGCCCTCAACGCGGACGTCACGGTGTCCATTGTTTTTGGCGTCTTCATGGCCATCATAGCCCTTGTGGGATTGTGGCAGGTGGCACACTACGCCGCACGCGGTCTTCGAAGTGAGTGCATTGCCACTGAAGTTGAAATCGGCTTCCGGTTAACCAGAGTGTACAGCCCACGACCCTCGAGTCAACAGCTTTGAATTGGAGGCGTAATGCGGATGACCTGTCCGCCATACCGGTTCAGGGAAAGTCATTGCCATCCATCTTCATCTGGCATCAATTGAGCCAAGGAGGCACGGTGGTGAAAGGAGCAATGGCGTCGAGGTGCCTGGAGATGTGCTGGGTTCAGTTATGCTTTTCGCCAAGGTCAGTGCCATTTGCCTGCACATAGAGGGTGGATGACCGCAAGACATCAACGACAAGGAGGTTTTTAATCCAACATGTTAGTCACCATATAGTGGAGAGGCGGAGCATTCCGAGCAGGTCGAAATAGCTCCAATGCAAGGCGATTCCAGGGACATTGTTCGAAACACAGGTAGAAGTCAGAAAGAAGTTCTTTGATTGGACATCTAATTGAACCTGTTAGATAAAATTAAGATAGACACTACCCATTTGATGTGTGTGATTCGTGACAAGGTCGTCAACATCAAGACATTTTCTCCATCTTGATGATTTTGTGTTCTTGCTCCCAAACTCCGGATCCCGCTCGGGGGTTCAACCCAAAGAAAATGCCTGTACAATGACCACCACTTCACTCGTATTTTTCCTCAATCTGCCTATCACCCGCCATCTCTTGCGCCCCGGACAGATCTGCTGTTTCTATGATCCGTACTCCTTGTCGTGAACGAAGCTGCCTCGGCTCCTTGTGCTCCTGCTCCTCCGGCCTCGGAATTTAAATCCACGTCGCGTGGAGGTTCTGGGCTCGCGGCGTGCCGATCCACCCATGCAGAAGAGAATGGTGCAGATGAAGAAGCAAGCAAAAGCAGCCCATTCGAATCCGAAGGCGTAATCGCCAATATCGGAGGATTGACCATTGTTTCGAAAGTTGTTGCGTCCTTTGACATATGCGGCACTGTCGAGTTGTTAGCACATTGGCGCATGGCCCACAACATGTGTCAACTCACGTCATGAGGGAGGCATTGATGGCCTGGAAAATCATGGCCACCATGGTCAAGAGACCACTGAGATAAGAGCCCAGTCGAGTGCACAAGGCCAGTAGGCCGGTGAACAGGGCGCAGACGCCGAAGAAGAGAGCCATGAGCATGAAAGCAAACATGAAGCGGGTCATGTAGAAGTAGTAGCCATGTTTATCGACAAAGTTTCGAGGTACGTTCACCGTGGTGTCAAAGGTCCGATGAGACGCAGGGTCAAGAGGGAATGCCGGGTGCACATCTGAGTAGTGTTGGTCGCCGCAGTGTGTGCGTCCGTTTCGCACGCCGCATACATTCCAGTATGACCATCTGGAGACGGGAGGAGCTCCAGGGATGTTTCTGGTGTCTGCCTGTAGAATATAGAACTTGTTGACAGGGCCATGATCAATTGCGCCCGCGAGGAGGATCAAGAACATGAACAGGAGGCCGCCTGCGAGGAGGAGTAGCGACACAAAACCGAAGAGACCATTTCCTAAGACGATGCAGTCAGTACCTCGGGATCGTCATGTGCGGGATGAAGCTTCGCTTACGGGACGCCATGGCGGCGCTGTGCTTGGGCGGTGGCTTGAGCTCGCAACAGTGTGCGCAGACAGGCGACGAGACAGGAAGATAGAGAAAGGCGACCTGAGGGTGCTGTTCGTAAGGTGGAGGAAGCTCTGAGAGCGGCAGAGGGAAACAGCGCGGGGTGCAATAAGTAGGTAGAGGTGGTGTGGGAGGAGTAGTTGCTCTTGTACTAATGCCGCCGTGGTAAGAGAGCTTGTGATGTAGGTCGGTATGCAGGCAGTACATGTAATGCGGTGTCTTGGATGAGGTCACCCAACCAAATTACTGACCACTCACTAGAGCTTGATCCTTCCCGTCCAAGTGACAGCCGACGGTAGATATACCGAGTAGCTTGGCTCCTACGCTCCTACTAGGTAAGCTGTGGAGAGCACCGGTGGCAACCCGGAGAGGGGACCACGATAGAGAAGGCAGGAAGCCAAACAGGGCCACGGGGACAGATGTATTGGAAAACTTAGAAACTTTCGAGGGAGGGGAGTACAGGCGGGTACAAGGGAGAATGACCTATCGATGACGCCCCCACCGCCCAATCCCGAGGGCTTCATGGGCTTCAGCTTTTGGCTTCCAGGCGTTTCCCGTGGGCTCTCGGGCTACCTTCTTGGGCCACACTAGCCATGACGCACCTCCGAGCAAGAAGGGGTAAGAGGCCCAACAGCTTGCAGCATGCAGCACAACAAACTCACCACGTCATCATACCCTGCTCCACTTAGGGCATGCACCATCCGTGATAGGTCTAGTTGCCGAGACCCCGGCCTCCAATAGCGCCCAACCCTAATCCTCGCCAAATCCTCCACCTGGCGAGCTGGAAAATCACCGGTTCGCGAGTCTTCGCAGTCTTCGCAGTCTCGATGCTGGTGATCCTTTGGCTCCATCACCTGATATTGATGCCAGCCTTGCCTCCTAAATATCTCATTATTGCCCTGCTTCTTCATGTTTTATTGAATGCTTCCTAGACTGACACTATTGAGATTCCCACCATGTCGACGTGGGTCTACCCTCCATTACCCCCTGACGAGCTTCGAAAAGCTGAGAATGAGTCTTTGGTATGGGTTGAACAGTGACAAATGTCCTCCTCCATCCTCATCCACTGACCGGATCCTAGAAACTTGAGCTTCAATGGCTGCTAGAATCGCTGCAACGCGCCTTGCCCACTCTCAAAGAAGCCTTGGAGGAATGCACTGTACTGCTGGCACCGAAAGAACCTGGGTCGACCTTGGTCTTGTCGTCCCTCAGATCTGAGAGCGTGAAGGGCTTCGTTACAAGGGTTGGCACCAAGCTTGTCAAAGGCGTACGCCTGCCACCACCCCCCAAATTCCCCGAACCTACCTGATCTGAAACCCGTCCTAGGACATCCATCTCCGGCTGACTACTCTGCCACCCAACACACCAAGAGGCACCACCACTTCTACGCCATCCACTCGCTTGATATTTCATTCCTCGTCGTCGTCCGCCGAAATTGTCCTTTCGCAACTGCTGGCAGTCAAGTCCTTGCTGAATGACTCTCTCGACATCATCGACGTGTCGAGGTGGACCGGCCAGTCGACGGATTCTTCCTTCATCTCTGGGCAATTGAAGCTGCTACACGACCACTTGCGTGAAGCCAAGTCCTGCTTGAAAGGTCCAGTGGCAGGAACCGATATCTCTTCAATCCCAGGAGCCGAATGGTGGACCCACAGCCCCGATGAAAACGTGTTCCAACCTCCGCTAGGGGAGAACCTGAGCTTGCATTTTACGATCCAGGACGCCAATCTGGTCCTTACTGTCCGAACTCTTGCCCCAACCTCCCCGGGTGGAACTCCCAGCACGCCTGCGGAGGGATCTTTTTCTCTCTCGGGACTCAACCTCCGGACGAGATTGCTGGGACTGGGTCCCAAGCCTCCAAGTCACGATGAAATGGGCGAGATTTATGAATGGCGTGGGCGGCAAGATGTAATTGTCCGTGAAAAGGTCCGAGTCGAGACGAGCGACCCCAGCTTGCTGAGTATTGCCGCCAAATTGAGTGCGCTGGAGCATGAGGTTGGCCGTTGGCGGATGAATCTCCGCATCATCCTGACGGGCACTACTGACGAGGAAGATTGAATACGAGCCTCGCCCTTCCCAACGAGAGTTTCGTTGCTTGTCTCGACCACTGCGAATCTCCCACAAGCTCGATTCGCCAGCCGACTCTGATCGTCACGACGAATGCTCCATACATGCATATCCGAAGCCGATAGTCCAGTGGAGTGTTTCCACGTGATCCGCAGTTTCGCTTGCGCCCAAAAGTCAAACCTGCAGCGCGACTTTGCCAGTTTTGGTCCTCAGGAGTTCTCGTGCTCCCCAACCATGCATCCACTGTGCCCGCGTCTTGCACTTCCACAACCTCAGCGTTTCCTTGCGACTCCGACCAAGGCGCATCCTCTTCCCGCTCAAACAATGGCTCGGAACACAAAGACGACAGTCTGTATTCGGCTCAGCTCTCGAGCATAAAGGCGAAGTGTGAAATGGCAGTCCAGACATCGATGAGGACAAAGAATGTTCTCCCGACAGCCCTTTGTTCTCGCATGTAATTTTACAACAAGACAGCTCGTCTGGTCGCGCATCGAATTGTGTCTTCGACAAAACCGCACTCCAAGAGCAACCCACGTGAGTGCATATATGACATGGCTTCCGAGATCGTCAATGGCGACATCTTCACCCTTGCAGATATAGATCAACACTACTCGCCAGGGCTGGACGCGCGACGGTTGAATTCTGCCAGTAGAATCAACACAGAAAGGTCAAACTCGAGCACAGAAATGCCGCGGGACGGCTTTGGTCACTTCGAAAACTCTTCTCGGGCTCAGCCTACAAGGCCACCTCATCTTCGACGTCGGATCACGATTGGTGGTTCGGCGCAGCGTGTAAAAGGCGACGAGCACAGTACTTGGCCGCTGGATGCAAGGAATCGTCCGGCCATTCGTCCCGCCGGAGATTCCGGTCTGCTGTCTGTGAAAAGTCATTACCCCCCGACCAGCTGGAGGCCCACGCCATCCACTCACGCCAGCATCTCAGATGTTGAGGAGAACGGGATGTCAGAAGGCAGTTCGAGTGGTGACATGGACGGCGGATACACGAAGTCGGATGCCGCTGTCAGCCTCGGAAAGCTGTGTCTCAACCCGACCTTCTCAACCAGCACAAGGACTTCCAACCCAGTGAGAGGTCCTCAATCCTCTTCCAACCAGACTTCTCCAGCTCGATCAAATTCTCGTCATCGTTACAGCATAACATTCTCCCGCTCCGCCGCCTCAGCAAATTCAGAAACCCTCCAAAACAGGGTGACGCGCGCCTCGGCTTCAAGTCGACGAGCTTCGTCTGGACCGGCCACCCTGCCAGATCCAGACACTGCTTACGCCCACACTTACTACTATACTGTCTGTGCCCACACGTCCCCCCCGATGTCGCGTCCCCTCAACGTGCAGCCGACACCTGTGCCCTACCGCAAAGGCCTTCTGGCGTACCCGCCGTTCCATCTCCGGGCTTACAGTGCTGATCCAGCAATTCCTCCTCCGACAATTTATGTGCTCGAGGGATCATGCTCCCACTGTGATATCACAGTGCGACGTGACGCCGAGTCGAGGGTGCTGGACAGGTACACTCATCAACTGGAAAACCTTTATATTCAATTGAATCTGCTGCAAAAGGACATCGCCATTGAAAGTTGCAATGTGTCACTCCCGGCAAGAAGCGACAATGCCATAACCACATTTTCGTTTCCATCGACACTGGAACTTAAGCCGGAGGCGACCCAAGCAATTCTCGAGATTGAAGATCGGCTGGACCAATTGATCAGAAAGCGCGATCAGGAAGTAAAACAGATTTGGAAAGGATATACGGCGAGGTGGGGTCCAGCAACGGTTGGCATTCACCGCGAAAACAAGTCTCGTGGCCGCAGTCGACCAGGAACTGCCGACACGCGAGGTAGTGTGTCCCAGGATACGGCGGGCTCAACGACGACCAGCTTCGGCGTCCCTTCTGATGATCGCAGTCCCGGACGAACTCACACAATGACCACATTGAGCACACATCCCACGATGCCACCCTCTCGTCTGAGCCGGAATAGGAGCTACGATACCCGACCACGCGCTAATTCTGTCGGCGGTCCACAGGAACGATACTCCCATGGGACGTACGGGGTTAGTGTCGACTCGTCAGTGGATGGCATCAGAGGACGGGGCCGGATGGTGGTTGATTGGATCCGGCCGGGGCAACAGGAAAGCAGGGGCAGGAGTATCGTTCAGGCGACCAGTCGGCCCAGCAGTCGGCACGTGCCAAATGCATCAAGATAAGGACAGTCCAGTCTTTGGAGATCTGCAGGATGTATATCTCTCCATCTTCTCACACGGCATGCATGCTTGGCTGAAAGGAGGTATAAAAGTTATTTGTTGCTTTGGCAGGCATTCTGAAGGCGGCATTTGCAAGGGAAGGGGAATCCCCCAAAGGAATGAATAAGTATCACGGCTAAACAAGTGGGTTTATTGGCACCCTGGAAGAACTTTTGCATGGTTCGGTGTGGATTGTATATACATGGGACACCAAGTAAAGAGGAAACGTGTACTCGGCCGCATTGCCGCCGATCTGGTGGATTGTTACGAGCAGTACACGAGACATGGGTGGCATTCATTATTGGCATACCGTGCTAGAAGGGACCAAGGAACGAGGAACAGCGCACGCACGCATCAGGCATCAAGCATCAAGAAGGAATCGGACAGCACATATATACATGTATCTATCTCTCGATCTAACGACCGATCCCGCAAATTGGCGACGACGACGACGACGACGACGACGGCAATAACGAAGTTCTTTTTCTCCCATTCTAGAGGCAGGATTTTTCTAAGCATTCCTCTTCTCTCCGCCCGCTGAGCTAAATACCTACCTACCTAAGTCATATATACACATATACATGTATACTCTGCTCTGTTCGGCACCCGCCGTGTATGTATGTATGTGTGTATAATATATACACATACATATTTTACGCACATACATATATACGGGCAGGCTCCATCCAAGAAGAGAAAGAGGACAAGAGAAGAGAAGAAAGAAAAAGAAAAAAGAAAGAAACGTACACTGGCAACGATTAACAAATAATCTAATATATATCTAATAGCTAGCTAGCTAGCTGGGCCTTTGCCTCGAATTATGTATATCTGGTCGCTCAAGCTCAAGCTACTACAACTTGGCCCGCCCCTCGTCGATGCGCCTCCAGCTCTCGGCGTCCAGTTCCTTGAACCGCTCCTCCTCAAGGTCCAGGTAATACTTCCGGGCGGTGGTGCCGGCCGCGGCCCAGTCGATGTTCTTGACCACCATCTTGGCGTGCTTGAAGGTGTCGCCCACGTCGACGAGCTCGCCGCGCACCATGACCAGCCGGGGCACGGCGTACCGCGGCACGCCTTTGCCTCTCAGCGCGTGGAACAGGCGGTCCATGAACACCTTCTCCCCGGCCAGAGCTTGCTTCTCGATGTCGCCGTTGCTGCGACCGCCGTCGACCGCTGTCGGATCGAGCACGATCAGCGCCGTGCCCACCTGTCCGTCGTACTTGGCCAGGCGCTTGCCGACTACCACGGCGTCCTTGACGCCCGGCAACTCGGAGATGAACGCCCTGACTTCACCGGCGGACACGTTCTCGCCCATCCAGCGGTACGTGTCGCCGATGCGGTCGACGAACCGCACCCAGTTGTCGGGGTCCTGGACCAGCAGATCCCCGCTGCGCTGGAACAGGTCGCCCTTCTCGAACACGTCGCGGAGGAATTTCTGCTCCGTGGCCGCCTCGTTGTTGTGGTAGTTCGTGTACGTCGCCAGGTTGTAGATGCGCGCGATGGCCTCGCCGGGCTCGCCCTTGGGGCACACGATACAGAAGCCGGTCTTGGGGTCGCGCACCGGCGACTCGGTGTCGTAGTCGAATCGGATGATGAATTGGTCCTTCTCCAGGATCTTCTTCCGCAGCGGACCCATGTACCCGACTTTTCCGGCCCCCGGCCGACCCTTGTGGTGTACGTTGTCGAACTTGACGAGCCCTTCGGTGGAGCGGTAGAACTCACGGACCTCGGGGACATTGAAGCGCTCTTGGAAGGCCACCCAGACGTCCTTCTGCAGGCCGTTGCCCGCGGCCACGATGACCTTGTGGTTCTGGTCGTACGGCCCCGGCGGCGTGGCGAGAAGGAAGCGACACAGTTCGCCCACGTAGAGAATCCTCGTGGCGCGCGATTCGTGCACGTCCTTCCAGAACCCCCTGGCCGAGAACTTCCGCGCGAAACAGAAACAGCCTCCCTGCCCCACGGAGTAGCACATGCCGGCGAAGAATGTGGTGCCATGGAAAAGGGGCATGCATGAATATATGCGGAGGCCCTTCAGGTATTTCTTGGGGTTGGCGGCGTCAGCGGAAGAGGTGCCTCCGACAGCACAGATGAGGCCGTTTTTGATGCTGCAGGCCTTGGGTTTGCCAGTGGTCCCGGACGTGTAGATCAGAGCGGCGACCGACGCGAGGGTTTTGGGTGGTGTCGGGGGTAACGACGAGGTTGATGTTCGGGATGGGTCTGGAAAGGGAAAGTCGATGACGGCCGCATTGTCGCTGGAGGGCGGTGGCGGTCGAAAAGAACCCAGGTTCAGCCTCACCGTCTTGACATCTCCGCCACCCATTGACTGCGCTGCCGATGCCGCGTACCCAGCCAGATCCGGGGTGCTGATAATGAGCTTTGATTTCGGAAGCTGCACACAGTGCAATAATGTGTCGTCCCTCAGTGCGTTGTTGATTAATGCCGGCGCGGCCCCCAACCTCGTCAGAGCATAGATGACAGCGACCATCTCGGGCGAGTTCGTCATGAATACAGCGACAATGTCGCCATCTTTGACACCCAGGCCCTCCTTCAAGCCGAGGGCGAGTTCATCGACCTGAGCCTTGAGTGCTCTGAAATTCCACGAGCGGCCCTCGAACCACAATGCGTCGGCATTTGGGTCGCAGAGCTCCAGCATGCGATATATGTGAGTTGACTGGGGGCCGAGTTTATCGATGTATTCGAACATACGCTTCGTGAAGGCTTTTTCATGGCGATAATTTTGGATATCCTTGCTGATGCCGATGCGTTGGTCGGCGTAGTAAAGCAGACCTGCCGCTGCGGCGGTGGATGCCGCGATGGTGGCCATCTACACAACGCCAAAGCTCCCAGTAGATGATTGACACTGGTGTTGTCTGTTGACAAAGAGAGATGTTGGATGAGCAGACAGAGCTGAAGCTAGGGGATCTTTTTCAGAAGGGATACCCCCAATACAAATTTCCTTCCCGTTAGAAGCTGCCGTGCCTCGGTCGCAGGGGTTGATGCTGATTCAATATACGAGTGCCGTAAGAGATGCCCACCTCGTCAGTTTTAGGCTGCCACAGCTGCTAACCAGAACCAGGAGCTCATGCGTCTCACGTTGGAGAGTGCTGGGCCAATGGACTCGAACGAGGCTGGAATAGTTCGACCCGGGAGGTACGGACGTAAAATTATTCTGCCTACTACCTGAGACGGTAGTTCGGAAAATTCGTCGACAATGAGGGCAAAACCGAACCAAGAATGGGCCGGATACCTCTCTCTAATTCTCCCCCAGACAAAACACGACGCGTTTCCCCGGGCCGAGAAAGAGTTGGAGAAAACCCACGTCAGCCTAGTGCGAATTGCTGAGCCAAGCAGGTGGCAGCCCCACGGGCGCCCAGGGAGATGCAGGAGGAGTGGGTAGTAGGAGACGAACGAGAAGAAGCGATGTGGCGTTGGAATAGAACAGGAGTGATATATTATATCAAGCTCGTTGGGGAGAGGGAGGGGGAGAGGAGAGGATCCCCCACAGTCAGGTAATATATATCTCTTTGGGACTGTTCCTGTGTTTCTCTCTTGTCTGATGCACATCTGAAGGGGGGCATTGAGGCACATTTACCGACTTCCCCCTTAACGACTCTGTCAGGGTCTAGAAGGGCACTTACTTGATATGTGGAGGTGGGGCCAGTGGGCGGCGGTTTGGCGGATTGTGACCTGTCCACAGTCAGTGGCAGAGAGTGTGCCCGTCGGCCGAATAGGTGTGACTTGAGCAGAGAAAGCGGCCATGGCATGGGGGGAATGTCACAAGGGGCGTGAGAGTGAATCTTTCTCTCTACTGTATGTAATATTGAAATATTTGTCTCCCGGAACAACTGCCGGATCTGAAAGTTCCGAAGATGCCGAGGCAACTTTCATGTTGACAGCGATTGCCGCTTTAAGCCACTCGAACTGTCACCGTTGGTGGCACCTGGTGGGAAAATATTACTTATCCCATAATCAGCTATTGTACAGTATATATCCCCTTGAGACAGGGTAATCTTAGCATCTTAGCATCTTAGCATTCCCGACTCCTTTGTTCTTTTTCTGGACCTGTAGCCTTGTCACATCCCGCACAATGGCCGCCCAAAGACGCCTCGACGCCATCGCCGGCCAACTCTCCGCCACATCCACCACCACCCACTCGCCGGGCCTGCAGAAGATCCTCGAGAAGAACCCCGACGACATTGTCATTACATGTGCCACGCGCACGCCGCTCACGAAAGCTCGAAAGGGCGGGCTCAAGGACACTCCGACCGACGAGCTGCTGATCCACGTCCTCAAGGCCATCAAGGACAAGTCCGGCATTAACCCAGAACTCGTCGAGGATGTCTGTGTGGGCAACGTCCTCCAACCCGCCCCGGGCTTCGTGGCCAGAAGCGCCGTCCTCGCTGCGGGATTCCCCGTCGGCACGGCCACGAGCATCGCTTCGAGATTCTGCTCGTCGGGCCTGCTGAGCATCCAGACGCTGGCCAGCTCGATCGCCATCGATGCCATCGACGTGGGCATCGCCGTCGGGATCGAGAGCATGTCGTCTAACCGCGACGCCCCGCCGCCGATGAGCGAGGCCATCATGTCCCACCCCATCGCCAAGGACAACGTCCAGCCCATGGGCTGGACGTCAGAGAACGTGGCCCGCGACTTCCACGTCACCCGGGAGATGCAGGACAAGTTCGCCGAGATGTCGCACAACCGCGCCGAACGGGCCCAGAGGGAAGGCTGGACCAAGGAGGAGATCAGCCCGGTCACGACCAAGTGGATCGACCCCAAGACGAAGGAGGTCAAGACGATCACGGTGGACAAGGACGACGGCATCCGGCCGGGCACCACGTACGAGGGCCTGGCGAAGATCCGGTCCGCCTTCCCGCAATGGGGCCCGACGACCACCGGCGGCAATGCGTCTCAGGTCACCGACGGCGCCGCGGCCGTGCTGATGATGAAGCGGTCGACGGCCCAGCGCCTCGGCCAGCCCATCATCGGGAAGTACGTCAAGAGCACGGTCGTCGGGCTGGAGCCGCGCATCATGGGCATCGGCCCGAGTCTGGCGATCCCCAAGGTCCTGAAGAAGACCGGCCTGACCAAGGACGACGTGGATCTCTTTGAGATTAACGAAGCATTTGCCTCGATGGTGAGTTTTCTTTCGTCCACACGTTCCCGCCCCTCTAGTTTCTGTCTCAAGCTCACTTGTGGTTCCACAAATTAGTATGTTTACTGTGTCAACGAACTCGGCCTGGATATCGACAAGGTCAATGTCCGAGGAGGTGCCATGTGAGTGTGAAACCCCCCCCCCCCCTCTCCCTCGCGACAGACTAACACACTGCCAGTGCCATCGGCCACCCCCTGGGCGCGACAGGCACGCGGCAAGTCGTGACGCTGCTGTCGGAGCTGAAGCGGCGCGGCCAAAAGGTTGGCGTCACGAGTATGTGCGTCGGCACGGGCATGGGCATGGCCGGAGTATTTGTCTCGGAAGCATAGCCAGTTAAACGAGTTCTTTGGAGAGATTTGTCTGTCTGGTTTTCTTTTGGACTTTTTAATAGTCGGCGCGCTGGCTGGCACAGATCCTGTTATATCAAGTACAGGACACAAGACGTACAAAGTGGATATATATATATATATATATCTCATATCCTAAGTCCATGGGGATCAAAATTCACGTCACGTCACGTCACGTCACGTCACGAGCATCGGCGCGTCAATTTTACGGTTCTCATGAAATGGGGCAAGCCAAAGGGAAAAGGAGAGAAGACGGAATGGGGCATGGGAATGGCATTGCCATGATCACGAGCTACCCCGATCGATGTTGTGGACAGACAGTGGTTCCCTTTCGAGTTCCCGTCTCTCCTGTATCATGACTGAAGTTTCTAGACGTGTGCGTGCGTGCCCCGTTCATAGCACTTTCTTCGGCGCGGCTCGACTCGGACCATCTCATCTCATCTCATCTCATCTCATGATCTGTCTGCTGGCTGCTGCTCCTAGTACCCAAGAACTTCACAAAGGTCTACTCCATTCCCCCCTCCCTTCCGCTGACTTTTATACTCCATTCCCAAAAACCTCACTTCTTCGCGGTCGGATCCGCATCGCCGTAGAACTGCTGTTTGTCCATTTGCATCTCGTCGTCGGCGACGCCAATGGTGGCGAAATACTGCCCACCCAACGCACCCCAGCCGCGTCATCAGCCCATTGCTTGCGATGATGATTGTTACAAAACGAAAAGAAGTGGCCCATCAGGGTGATGAGACAGTGAGAAAGCAACTTACGCCCATGGCTTTCCGATTCGCCTCGGGATTCATGGGCTGGCCCTGCTCGTTCATGGTGGCCAGCAGGCGGAAGTAGTTGATGTAGAAGGCCGGCGTGTACGTGTTGAAGAACTTGGCCTCTTGGTCGTAGGGATTGCTGAACGTGTGCGGCGACCGCGGCGGCACCGTCACGTAGTCGCCCAGCTTGGCGTCGACCGTCTGCCCGTTGAGTGCGTGGAACCGCAGCGTGCCCTGCGTGACGAGGAAGCTTTCGTCGTGCTGGTTGGAGACAGAACGGGGGGTTAGCTGAGGGGGGGAAGAGAGAGAGAGAGAGATAGATGGATGGACAGGTGGGTGTAGAGGAGGCGTATATACCATTTCGTGCCAGTGTGGAGGTGGACTTTAAGTCGTTATCAGTCTCAATGACCGCCATCGTGAGATTTCTTACCTACCCCGAAGTATGAGGAGGAACGGTGAACTCGGCACTGGTGGTTCGGACAGCGTTAAGACCATGGTTCTCTGATGGCCCCAGAGATTGTGTCGACTCTCACTCGGTCACTCACCTGCCAAGTCGGTCTGGGGGGGGAGAGCGCCATGTCAATTACCATGTTCCCGTCGTCAGCAGAATGCCTAGCCGGGTGTGCACTCACTATCTGCCGACAAGTGAGCAAGGTCAGGTCGCTCGCAAACGCAAGAACCGTGGCAAACAGAGACAACGAACCGGTTCTCGAGCCATCCTCCATGATTCGGATGGTGATGGTGCCAACCTTGAACGTCTCGCCCGCCTTTGCGGGGACAAAGTTGATGGGCACTGTCGGCGTCTCCATGACTGTTTGCAAAAAATGGTAGCGGCGCTGTCTGGAGCTGTAAGTATGTTAATGAACAGGGAGAGAGAGGTATCACTTTTGCAAGAACAAGTGTGTATGAGAGCGGCAGAGAGAAGCAGAGAGTGAAAAAGAGAAGAAAAGATCATCGGTCACAGATTCTCCCAGAAGCCGATGGCCGAATGAGGCCAACCACTTTCTCTCAACATGCCCAGCTACCGGAAACAGTCTACGCTCAAACTTGTATACACCTGGTACATACACCATCTGTCAGATGTCAGGAGATGACAACTCGCTAATCTCATCGTTTGGCTAGGCACATACATGTAATATATCCACAGTACGTCCAGTCTGCTCTAGGTTGGTATCCATTGTCTGTGATCCAGCATCCCCCAGCAGTCCCTAACAAGGCTCAATATTCTCTCCTGAATGGCCACAAACTCCCAATATCCTGTGCCCGATTGTCATGATTCCGCCTCTCCAACCCTTGCAAGCATCTCAGAAACATTACATGCGACCCTCAGATCTTGCCCAAGTACTGATCAAATATCTTCCTGATCTCCAGCGCACTCTTCTTCGGGTACCGTTTCTGGTCGTTCTCGTAGTCGACGTAGGTCACGCCAAAGCGAGTCTCGTACCCTTCAGCCCATTCGAAGTTACTGCGCATCCATGTATTAGCATCCACGGCTCGGCAATAGGAAGTGGCGGCACCTACTCCATGAGACTCCATGCCATGTATCCCCTACAGTCACATCCATCTTCCGCCACGGCCTCGGCCATGCTGGTGATGTAGCTCCGGAAATACTCGCACCGGAAATCATCCTCGAGGATCTCGTCCCGCGACAAGTCGTTCTCGCCTTTGATACTCGTGCCGTTCTCCGTCACGTAGATTTTCGGTCGTCCGTATCGGTCACTCAGCCACTTCATCAGTTTTCGGAACCCCGGCGCATGAGGCCGGAGCCAGAAACTTTGCGTCTCGGGTCCGATGCTGTTGCCATACTTGTCTTCGAAGAGGATCTCCAGATTCCCCGAGAAGTCGAGCGGATCGGCGGGACCTTCCTTGTGTTTGATGTAGTTGGCGCAGTAGTGATTCATCCCGTAGAAATCGTTGGAGCCCTTCATGAGCTCGCTTTCTTCTTCGCTGAACTTGGGCAGCCGGTCACCGAGCTGCTTGACCATCGATTCCGGATAGTGACCGAAGTACACGGGGTCGGCGAACCAGCAGATGGCGAACTCGATCTTGCGATCGCACGCTATCCGGTCCTGTTCGTCCTCGGGATCCCATGGCTCGGTCCAGTCGCCTGCATAATGTGAGATTGGTCCGCTCCAAACAGGAGACAGACAACTTACCGTTCAAGGTGATGCCAATCTCTCCTCCGTCCCGCGCCTTGAACTCTTCTCGGTAGATTTTGACCGCAGTGGCATGTGCCAGCAGGATGTGATGGCCAACTATCCAAGGTTCGGTAGATCCGTCGCCGTGGGCACTCCTCTTTCTGTCGCTGGAGCGACCGGGGGCGAATACACCGGCGTTGTATCCGAGGATCGCACTGCAGAATGGTTCGTTAAAGGTAATCCAGTGCTTGACCCGGCAGCCCATGGCCTCGAACATGACCCGTGCATAGTTGGCAAAGTCAGCAACGAACTCCTCCTTGTTCAAGAAGCCTCCGTAGCGCTTGTCGAGCTCGTCGGGCAGATCCCAGTGGAAAAGAGTGATGAAAGGCACAATGCCGGCCTCGAGCAGGTCATCGACGAATTTGACGTAGTATTGGAGCCCAGCCTCGTTGACCGGGTCATTGCGGCCACCTAAGGGGATGACCCGGGACCACGAGATGGAGAAACGATAGGCTCTGGCTCCAAGCTTCTTGAGCAGTTCGATATCCTGGGCGGTTCGGTGATACGAGTCACACGCAACATCTCCAGAGCTCCCGTCGGCAATCTTGCCGGGGATTTTGCAAAAGGTATCCCAAATTGAAGGGCCTCGGCCGTCTGCTGTAGCACCACCCTCAATCTGATATCTACACCAAGTTAGGATCAACATATGAATCGGTACAGGGGCCACCAACGCAGCAGTTGCAAAGCCCCAAAGAAAATCAGCAGGCAAACCCGCTCTCGGGGCAATGTCCTTGACCATCGCGGAAGGGACCGACGAGAATATCCAACGGAACAAATTAGATCCAAATAGACGGAGAAGCGAACCGAGTCGAGCCGAGCCGTGGGATGATGGATTGTCGTCTGTGTGTATCAAGTCGCGTGCATCGATCCTTTGTGTGACAGCACAGAGCAGAAAACCGTCGTTCCCTTGACCGGGACCATCCCTCCTATATTTGTAGGTGTCTACCTGGAGGACGGATGATCAAAACGCCATGGTTTATCCTGGTGGGAACCACCCTTTTTTTCCGCCTGCCAGAGTTGGGACGATGGAACGATCCACTGCATGGATGGGCGTTTCTACCGGATTGGTCGCGGACTGAGGCTTTCCGGCAAATGTCCTGTTGAACTTTGTGAGGTTTGGCTTCTGCTTGTTCGGCCTGCCGAACTTTAGCCTAACAGCCTGTAGTGTGCCCATCCATCCTCACGGTTGCTCTTCGGTTCGTTGCGACGTGGGACGTTGATCGGATTCGCCACACCTGGGTCTAGTGAGCCCCAAGTCAGTGTTCAGAAGGACGGTGGAGATAACAGGGACAACTCGGCCTTTCTGTACCTGATCCCGTCTCGTACCCCTCGTATTCAAAGGGGGAGAGAGAAAGAGAAGAGCACTGCCCGTGTCAGAATGTGCCTCGGTCACACACGGGGGAAATAGCGGGAGGAAGAATACTTCTGATTGTGAGTCTTGGGCACTTGCTCTGTGCTGACCATGGACAGATTGCACTGTCATCAATCATGCTGCAGATACAGCACAATCTGGTATACACAGTCCAGCATGCTCTCCTGTCCAGTTGTCGACCTACAGCTCCAGGAGAGCAGCTTACCGACGCCGAGAGAGCCTAAGACACCGTCGCATGAAGCCTTGCATTGAGCCATCCAGGAGGAGCCTCAAGCCCCAGGACATGCCTGTTCCAATAGAGCCCCCTGCAGAAGTATTCAAACAATGTACAAGGCCTTTTCGTCCCTACAACCAGGTCCTTATGCTGCCGAGAATCCTTCAGTCCGTCCCATGTGCCAGATCCCCGATGCTATAATCTTGTGCTAGTCCTGACAGGCAGTATATCCAGGACACCTCAATGTATAATAGTAGAAATTCACGGTCAATTCGCCCTAGCTCAGACCTTCGAATGCGTCTACCCAATGACCGCCGACAACTGCACGATGCTGTCCGGCACATCAGATATCCGTCTCATCTTCGCTCACGGGTTCCTTCATCCGCCAAGTGATGAACGCGGCTACCAGCGCCCCAAGCCCACCAATTCTCAGCGTCCATCCCACGCTGACATCGCCCGGCTCGTTTCGCGGCTTCTGAAGCAGCTTGAAGACGGCGCTGCTCATCAAGGTCGCCAGAATCTGCGGGGCGCTGATAGCCACGTTGTGGAGCCCGAGGATGATCCCAGCTTGGTCCTCCTGGTCTGCTTCTTTATCATCGATCTCGTCAAGGTCTTCTCCGTTCATGAGTCTCTGCCGTTGTCGCTTCCGCCTCGCCTCATCACGTCGAGAAATCTCGGCTGAGATCAATGCAAACGGTGCCCAAAGCGACAGTGACCATGATACACCGACCAGAGCAGTCATAATGGAAGCCGCCAGCGGTGTAGATATAAACACAGTACTCCACATGCACAGCGTGAAGAGAAGCTGAGACATGAGCCACGCTCGTCGCAGTGTTAACCCCGGAATTTGCAATCTATCCAACCATGGTCTCAAACCCCCAGAACTATGGTCTGACGATGTGCTCGCGACAGGGGTTGAGAGCGGCCGAGTGATGGACAGACCGGTATGGGACCGACTCGCTGCAGGGCGTTCGTTCCAAGGAAACTCTCGTGACCTCGTGCCGATAGGAGATGTCGGGGTGATGGGTCGCGTAAAATCTTCGGCATCCTCCGTCGCCTTAGCTTTGTACGTTGGCACGACCAAGAAAGGTAAGATGATATTGGACGCGAATGAGACGATAGCATAGGTAAGGAGCGCAAGTGTTCCAACTCGAGTAGCCTTGGCCCAAAACTTCTCTACTTCGTCATCCGAAAGACCAGGCTTCAGATGAGGATCGACGTACAGTTGACCAATGTAAGTCGTGATGTAGAAGAGGAAAGGAAACCAGCCCAACCAGTGAAAGAATTGTATTTCGCAGACCTTGCGAATTTGAGGCGGCAGTCGTTTGATGGAAGTGAAGACTTGTCTGAAAAAAGACAGCAACCCGCCTGATTCGTAGTCTGCCTTCGACGGAGGGTCGAGTTGCGGATTCCGCTCTTTGATGGCCAGGATGCTGATCAAGACAGTGGAACTGAGGGCTATGGATGCAAGAACAACCAGGACTTTGAATTGGGTGTTTCCAAAGAAGCGGAAATAACGGGGTAAATTCAGATATCCGAAAATATAGCCAAGCACGTTACCAACGCCTGTCATGCGTGACGCCCAGGCATTGGCCGACTCTTGTTGATGAGAGGGGGCGTTATCGACAATAAACGCACGGATCGCGGCTTGCACTGGTATACAGTCAGGTATAGCAAAGAAGTTGTCCCGGAACGCACTGACCGGTGTTAATGGAAAAGTCCAGACACCACATCATGATTGTGGCAAGAGCAATGGTCCCAGTCTTGTAGCCTCCGATATACTGAGCATTTGTGTCAAGGCCTCCAAGAACCCGGATAATGTCACGAGCGTATGCGAGAATCATTGAAGAAGCAACGGTGCCAAGCGTTCCCGCAATCATGAAGGGCTTCCTCTTGCCCCATGAGACTCGGCATCGGTCGCTCAAGATTCCGACATATGGTTGAACAAGGACGCCGGTCAAAGGCCCTGCAAGCCAAACAAACGCAAGCAGTGCTTTGCTCATCCCTAGAGAGAGGAGGTACGGTGACCCATTGGAGAGCTCGACAGACCAGACGATCTGAAGGCCTCCAATGCATAGGGTGAGTAAGACGAGGTACAGGGAATCTTTGGATTCCACTATAGACTCTTCATAGTCAATGGCCTCAGACATGGGTCGCCCGCCCGAGAGAAGGCCAGCCTCTGCCTGGCGCGGCTCCTGCGAATAGCGCCTCTGCTCACCAAGTGGATGCTCTGGAATGTCGTCATTATTCGAGGTTTTGCCGTCTCGAATCAGCGGTGAGCGCTCGCTGCTATCTGAGCTGTGATCACTACGGGTCATGAATATGTCGACCGTGATCCAGGAAGGAGTTCAATGTCTCGACAACGGTCGGAAAGGTTGTTGCGTAGAGGGCACGTGCTGAGCTCCGCGATGTCTTTCGATGGATATCTGAGGAGAGGCTTTCCAGTGGTGTCGTGGTTCAGGGTCACTCAAATCATTCTCGTCAAGGAGAGCCGCGAGCAGGAGAAGTCAAGAGAAGAGAAAGATTATGTCAAATAATAGATAATGTTGATGGAAAGGAGTCAAATGGTAAAAGGTCATGAAAATGAACCTGGATCATCAGATCAAGGTCATGCGAGGGGGCTGTTTTAACGGAACGGAAGAAGTTTGATCCGTCGGAATGAGCAGCTCTTTTGATTGGCTAACCGGCCGGGGCGATTTCGCATCGTCGAGCTGTCCCGATGCTGGCCGTTCAAGGCCTCACTGGCTGAAGGTTCAACCTGTCAAGGAAGCGCACGTCAGTCCTGTGCAGCCCAAAGACGCTCCAACACCAACAACTCCATCCAAGAAACCTCCATTGGACTTGTGGCACGAGCCTTGCCGCAGTCTGGCTCCTCGAGTGACGGCCGACCACGTAGAACGGCATTTCAGTGCCGACTCAAGGCGCAAACACCTACTCCTCGAATACAGCAAGTTGCGATCAACAACTCAATATGAAGCCGGTCGTGTCCGCCTTGAACGCATGGAGCTGGTCAGTCCCCTCCTTTTCTGGCGAGACATGTGTGATGGAGACTGCTAACCTTTCCACAGCACGGTTCTCTCCGTCTTTGCGATCGTCATCCTCTCAGTTATAGGGAGCCTGTTTGCGGTACGAGCCTGACCCGCCAGATGCGAAACAAAATCTCATAGGAAACTCATACTGATCGACTGGAACATGCAGAGGGATCACCACATGATGATGGGAATGGAAGAGGATCCTGAAGACGGCGGGGCTGTCGCGGCCTCTATATTTATTGCAGTGGCTGTATATGCTGTGAGTCTCCATCCGTTGGACTGCTATTTATGAGCTTCGTATTGACAAGAAGAGCAGGGCTTCCTGGTATTCTGCGGTTTTCAAGCTTGGCTGCATGTTCGAGCCAGTCGGCGGGGCGCTATATCACTATGATTTTACAGATTCTCTGAAACAAGGGAAATCAACCTGTTCAAGGAGCTAGGCATACTGACGGCGTAAGATTGGAGGTATCATGCGGGTTAGAGTCTCAACCGGATAACCCCTGTACGGGAGCTGGTCATTCAAGGCTCCCGGGGCAAGAGGTCATGTAGAATGTTATCACATGCGCTTTGCTCGCGGTGTCAAAAATACATGCACATATCCCCCTGAAGGCTCAATGCCTCTCCTTTCCGACCTCACTTAATCCGAACGCCTTCCTATCAGACCAGGTCCCGGTTGACGAACTGTGCATGCAACGACTTGCCCAACATAGCCGGGCTCCTCTCCACAACCACTCCAGCAGCTTCCAGTGCCGAGATCTTCGACTCGGCACCACCTTTTCCTCCACTAACGATAGCACCAGCATGTCCCATTCGGCGTCCTGGAGGGGCACTGATACCGGCGATAAAGCTGACCGCAGGCTTGTTCTTCTTGTTCTCGCTCTTTAGAAACTCCGCTGCGTCTTCCTCAGCGCTGCCTCCGATCTCGCCAATCATGATGATTCCTTCGGTCTCGTCGTCTTCCATGAAAACAGTGAGGCAGTCAATAAAGTTGGTGCCACTGAATGGATCACCACCAATACCCACGACCAAAGATTGTCCGAGACCTGCTTGGGTTGTTTGGTTGACCGCTTCGTATGTCAAGGTTCCTGATCTTGAGACGATTCCAACTCTTCCTCGTTTGTGGATGAAACCTGGCATGATGCCGATCTTACACTGGCCGGGCGCGATGATTCCAGGGCAGTTGGGGCCAACCAAACGGGTCTTGCTTTGGGTTTTTAGGGCGTCGGTGACTTTGAGCATGTCATGTTGAGGAATTCTGAGTTCGTCAGCAACGTAAAGGTCAGAATAAGAGTCGCCCTACCCTTCAGTAATGCAAACAACCAGCGGTATCTCGGCTTCAAGAGCTTCCATTATACCAGCTGCTGCTACCGGAGGCGGTACAAATATGACACTGGCAGTAGCTCCAGTCTCCTTTACTCCCTCGGAAACATTCTTGAAAACGGGTAGATCAAGATGCAAAGAACCAGCCTCTGTTTGCGATCAGTATGCTGTATCGCTGCGAAAAAGTCTGGGAGAGGCTCACTTTTCGGGTTCGTCCCACCTACAACCTTGGTTCCATACTCAATTGCCTGCTGAGCATGGAATGTGCCTTGCTTTCCCGTGAAGCCTTGATAGAGGACTTTGGTGTTGGCGTTGATTCTCAGGTTATTCCGCGTCTGGCTATAAGCAGAACTGGACGAGACGGTGGCATAGCTTCTTGACGTGGTGGTAGTCGCAGATCGCAGCGCCCGAGGAGCGCAGGTTTTGAAAGCCTGCATCTCTGGCGACGGCTGGAAGAGCAGGACTAAGGTCTGACTGAAAACCCGAAGATGGAGGAATTCGAGCGGGTGCGTCAATTGATTGATATCAGAGTTCCATCCTGCGGAGTAGGGAAGCTCCTGGGTGGCTACGTTGCCGAGTGTCATTTGAGCGCGTCATGGGAGTCATTTGAAATGAACGGTGAAGTATTCGACCTTCAACAGCATCAAGAGTCGACTTGCAACGACCAACGCAAGCACGCTTGACGTGGACAATTCGATGAATGGCTGGTGTCAATATCTGCCTTGGGGCCTCATTTGAGCTTCTACTACGTCGATATCTCTCCCAGCTCATAGAACTCGCCGTTAAAGGACTTTCACCATCAAACCGCACTGCAAGAATATTTCCTTCCGCCTCCCTGGCCCTGACAGGTTCAGGGGGACAATACTTTCCCTAAGAAGACACTGCCTGTGATGAGTGCTACTATAACAGTATGCGAAACATGCGTCATATTCTCTGGGGTGGTGAATGCCTGTTCTTGCATGGGCAGTACCACAAGAGATTGGGTTAAGCTGATTGATGAGATAAAGAAGACCGAAGCTGACCTCTCTGGGAAGCCACTTCAACAGCTGTGTTCTGCTCGGATGGACGCTCACAGCGCCATCGGGCAGCTGAGGCCACGATGGATCTAGCTAACCATGTCCCACGAAGACCTCCTTCTTATCTCTCGTTGACCACCCGAGAATGTCGACAAATGCCTGCCAACGCCAGATTTTCTGCCGTTATATTGTGTTGCACAATGCCCGCTAATCTCTCGTAGGGAATTCTGAGAGCCAGGCATTGCGCTCTTCCAGCTCTCCCCACTAGTCGAACACCAGAACGGCACATTGATCCTTTTAGCCCGCTAGGCGGACGAAACGGCTCTCTTGAGGTCCAGCTCATGCTGCTTCTGCCACTTCCGCGCATACCCAACGCCAAAACCGTGGTTGAAAACCTCTCGAATCTCCTCTAGAGACATGCCTTTGGTTTCCGCGAAGCAGAAGATCGAGAACAGGAACCCTAGAAAGCAGATGGCTGCATAGAAGCCGAACGCTCCGCTCGGGGTCAATCCTTTCATCATCGATAGGAAGGTCGAAGCAATGATAATATTCGTTCCCCAGCAGGTGACAGTCATGACCATGGTACCCATGGCACGTACCTCAAGCGGAAGACGCTCTGCTCCCATCCAGGAAACAGGAGCAACGCCAGTGCCGAAGAAGCCCACATAAAAGATGATTGTGACGAGTACCAAGATACCAGCCCAATTTACGCTGTTGGTCTCAAGGGTGAGATCCTTGGAGTTGATCGGAATGTAGTGGAAGGCAACGGCTGCGAGCACCAGAGCGAGAGACATGCCGAGCACGGTGAAGATGAGGATCCTCCGACGGCCAAAGCGGTCGACGATCACGAGGTTGATACAGCATCCCAGAAAATTGCATGCCCCGACCACAATGGACACGGCGACAGGCTTGTTGAAGCCGACAAGAGCGAATAGAGTGCCGCTGTAGTACCTGCAGGACAATCTTGTTAGGTGTATGCCACACAGCATATGAGAGAGGTCCGAGGCTTACATCAATGTGTTGAACCCGCATAGTTGGCTCACTCCCATCACGCAGCACGCGGTAAGCATGGCACGGAAGTTGGCGGGCACGACGTGCAGTTGTTTGTACGACCACCAGAGTGACTTGTGGGCCATCAGCTCAGTGGCTTGCTCCAGATCTTGCTGGATAGCTCGAATCTTGTCCTGACGCTGTTCTGAGGAAGAATGAGGATACAATCTCGCCAGCACTGTCTCAGCTTGCTCAAGCTTCCCGTGCGCTACCAGCTGCCGAGTGCTTTCCGGGCACCAAGGAAGGAACAAAGCGAGCGCAATGGCGGGAATCGCCCCGATAGCGACAACATATCGCCAGCCGCCAGACTTGACCTCGGCGAACCCAGCTCCGATACAGTACGCAATGAACTGGCCTCCTGTGATGTTGCAGGTTTGCATAGTGATCATGCGACCGCGATACTTGGCAGGGGCAATCTCAGATATATAGCTGTTGCCATGTCAGCTCGTCCTCAACGTGAGAGACGTGGGCTGAATTTGACTTCGAGTGCAAAGCAGGTTCCCAACGGAGGTCAAGACTTACAGAGGTACAACCATTGCGGCGCTTCCTGATTTGTTGTCAGCATTCGGTCATGGATGTCGGAGGACAGAGCTGTGGCGAGTCCTGTCACGGCGAATACATTTCCAGGAAGACTCACCGACACCTAGCCCAACAACGGCCCTTCCCACAGTCATTTGAGCGATGGTAAAAGCTGCGGCTTGAAGAATAGCGCCGACGACAAAGACTCCACAACCACAATATATTGAAATCTTGCGGCCATAGCGGTCAGCCGTCAAGCCAGCAAATATTGCGCCAATAAGAGCCCCTCCACTAGTGATCGATGTGATGAGTTCCTGCTCGCTTGACGATAAATTGTGCCCCAAGTCATCTCCAATTGTGACAAGGACACTGGAGATATACCCGGTGTCATATCCTGAGAAAGCCAGTGAGCAGGAATTTCAAACCTGACGAATAGTGAAGATCTATCATACCGAATAGGAAGCCGCCAACAGAGACACAAACTGCGATCAACCATACGACTCTGGAGGTTTGTGTATCTTCGATCGTGTTGAGAGCTGTGATCTCCTTCTCGAGAACATCCTCCTCATGAAGAGTAGTTTGGGCGCCCTTCTCGATCATCTCTTTCTCGTTCGCAGACATTGTTCTAATTGCAAAGGATCTGCTGAAGATGGTACATCCAAAGTCAAGACAGGTCTAGAGAATCCAACGGATCTCGAGACAAGGTTCGCCAGGAGCGTCGATGCAGGCGAAAGAAGTACAAGGACTCTGCGACCATGATTCCTTTATATCATTATCGAATATCTCCTCCAACTCGCGTGGCGTTCCCCACGGGGACTAAACGCGGCTTGTCGTCTGAACAAGTATATCCACATCTCAACAAAGGATTTTGTGGCATCAACTTCGACAATCGGCATACCGGCCTACGATTAGGGCAATGCTATTGGCAGGAACATATTCCGCTAGACCTACGGATGAAATTATGAAGCTTGTTTCGGGCGAAAGATTCCTCATATGACAACATCCCTCATCTGATGTAAAGGACCTGCCTGCATGACTAGTCGTTATGGTTTATATTGTTGTACTAACTCAAGCTATGCTACTGGCTGATTGTCGGTCGAACCTATGTCCAGCGAGACCTGTGGCCTAGGCCGATCTTCAAACATCTCTGGACCTCGGATGAAGGTGGTCACCCAAACCGATCGGCCGGACAGTGTTTCCTCGCCTCTCTGAATGGGACTTCACAAGACTTTACGGCATTGATACACTCAACCATAAAGAGGTTACCAGGAAAAGATCCACCCGGAGACTCGCCGCAGTGGAACTTCATTGCGAAAACTTGGTCATGGGGATTGAGGGCAGCCGATGCTTCCTCCGCAAATAGATTGACCCCAGTCCACCGGATAAGGGTCTGGTCCCGAAATATGGGGTCATGCATGACCGGCCGCCGTTTATTTGAAGCAAGTCTTCGCCGAAGTAGACTGCTAATTCTTGATGTCTCGCTGTGAAGGACGACAACCTCCGCCACGGAATATGAGTAACTATGCGCTCACAAGGATGGTGGGATTTCTCCCTGCTTCGCAAAACTGCAGCTAATGATATGATAGCCAGCGATGCCGTGAGAAGCATAGTAAATGTGAGTGGTATTCTACTGTGTGGTGGCTGGGACTTAAGCAGAACCCTAGGCATCATTGAGCATGGCATGCGCAGGTGTGAAAGCTGCGAGACCGCGGATGAGCCTTGCCTGCCGCCTCCCCGAAAACGAATTCGGCTGAAAGCTGTCCATTCCGTGATCGAACAACCCCGCTCTTCCGGACAGAGTGGCAGGGAGATATCTTTTGTTTACGGTGGTGATCATGTCTGGGTTGACTTCCGCACGCCTGGTGAGTCCCCTTACTGCTTGTCGTTTTCTTGCTCCGCATCAACGCTTGAGCTGACCCTAGTGTTCGAAGTCCAATTCGTACATGGTAACGACAATGACGAGGATTCAAGTGACGTTCAGTCTTCTGTTGCCATTGACGAAGATGAGGGAGCTTTCGCCCATCCCGTGAATGTGCACGTCGATGATGCAGAGACAGTTGGAGGTCCGATTATTGGAGCGGCAGTGGGCTCCTATGCGACCAAGAGGTCGTTGTCCTTTGGACGAACCAGCGCTTCTGGAACATCCCAGTTCGCTTCGTCTCCGACATATCTCGTCTCCCCAGTACAGCATCATTGTACCCCATCAAGCCAAATCCAGGTACTCTCACCCTCTACAAGTGCCGTTCTTTATGAGGCCAAGCCTCTTTGGCCATTGAACAACTTAGCAGAGGCTGAACTCCTCCGGCATTTTATAGACAATATCGGACCTCAACTGGACGTTACTGACCATGTGTGCCATTTCACAACGACTGTTCCGCAGAGAGCTGCCCATTGCCCCTTGCTGTTTTATGCCATTATTGCTGCCGCCTCCATCCATCGCAGTCGCGTTCAAGGACTACCAGACCAATTCTACGAAGAATATCAGGCAAAATGTATACGAATCTTGATTCGGTTTTTGGATGACCCTGACTATTCCCCCGATGAGAACTTCTTGGCAGCTATAGTCGTCCTGCGCAAGGGAGAAGAGATGTCAGGTAGGTGTTCGTTCGCTTTCATCCTCGTCCACTGCAGGACGTTGACCAGTGGTTGCAGATGAGGATCGCATGTGCCATCTGCTTGGCTCTTCTCGGGTCATTAATTCGGTTGGAGAGGTTGCTGCTAATGGGGGATTGGGAGAATCAGCTGCGTGGCTGGTGCTCAGACAAAGCATATACGTTTCATTGACAAGTAACACCCCTTTGAACGTCAACCTTGGCTGCTACAAAAGGTCGTCTGTCTTCCTCGGTCTCACGGACCACGCCTGGGCCAACAAAATCGTCTTCGTTTTCGCGGAGACTCTTGCATATTCAGCCAAAAGCAACGGACACGATCTTACCGATGTTGAGGATTGGCATACCCTGCAACACGCCGCCAAGCAGTGGTACCTCGACAAGCCCGACACTTTTCTGCCGGTCTTTGAGACTCCAATTGAAGAAGACGCACGGAACGAGCACACTACAAATGAGTTCCGAAATCCATTCCCAACGATATCGATGCTCCAAGCCCCTCATGTCATCGGGCTCATGTACTATCACCTGACCCTCATTCTGCTTGCTCTAAGCGACCCGACCAACACGGCTCGGTGGAGGGGTCTCGATAGCATACGGTTGTGGCGAGAAATGGAGCAAAAGGTCCGGGTTGATCTCAAGCGCTGCATTGGTCTCGCCATCAGCAATCCCCATGTAGTAGCAGCCAATTTTGAGGCTTCACACATCTTGTACGCATGTGGACATTGTCTCAATTCTCCCGGAGAGCAAGAAGCAGCTGTCGACTTTCTCCGCAGCGTTCGAGTCAAGCTCGGTTGGGGGATCGACCATATAATCGACCGCTTGAAAAGACATTGGGCTAGCATGCAGTGAAAAGAAGCCGCATTTCCGAGGGAGACCTTTCATCTGCTCACATCAAGGCGCTATACCATAATCCCTGCCTGTGTAGCCGGTCGATTTTGCCCGTACCCCTGACACCAGAGAATGTCATGGTTTGAGGCAATGAGTCTGTTATTAAACCTGGAAGCCGAAACAATTGTTCTTCCTTGGGATCAGCGACCGCCGAGTTCCGAGACGCTGTTTGAGGAAAGATCTACCCGCCCTCATACGCTCGTTGATTTCCTCATCCGATTGAGGGAAGAATTGTGCGGTCCCACTCCTCACAGAGTTCTCTTCTTGTCCTCTTTAAGCACCAAACGGAAGTCTGAGAAATGGAGCGGCAAACTGCAAAGGGTGGTGATGCCGCCCAGTTATCCAGCATTTGTTCCCCATTGATCCCAAGGATCCTATTGATCCCATTGTTGCCAGTTCAATCCACATGGACTGCGCTGCCCCTCATTGCAGTGCAACAAAATGGCATCAGCAGCCATTCACGGCAATATGGAGGCTGCCTTGGCTCTTGGAGGGAGAGAGATAAAGGTGAGAAGAAACGCTGAGCCGCGCTGCTGCTGCACCGCAGACGAGTCTTGAGTCTTGTAAGAGATTGAAATTGTTCACGCCCAAGTTCGTTCTACTGCTCCAGCTTGGCTCTTCGTGTTTGAGGATCGCCAGAATGGGGTTCTCGTCCCTTCCATATGCTGCTTTTCTGGTAGCGTCCTTGTTCGTTTACTTTGTTGCATGGCCGCTGGTAGGATATTTCCGCGACCCGAAAGGTATGCTACTGGATTTGATCTTTGATGTGTACATGGAGAGTGCACAGCTGACAACGGCACAGGATTGCGCAAATTCCCCAACATGTCGATGTTTTCAGGAGTCAGCTCCATTCCAATGATGATCCTGGCCCATACTGGTGCGAGGTCGACGCATCTGACGGAAATGCACAAGAAATATCCTGTGATCCGCGTTGCTCCCAATACTCTTTCATACGGGGACGTTAGAGCTATCAAGGATATATATGGCCACAACACTCCTTGCATCAAGGATCCTTCTTATGTCCTCTTTTCGGGCAGCCATTTTCACCTGGCCGATGTGATAGACCGCAACGACCATGGCCGTAAACGCAAAGTCCTGTCATCAGCATATGCGATCAAGAATCTCGAGCAATGGGAGCATAAAGTGGCTGACAAGATGAGCCGGGTCATTAAGCATTTCGATCAATGCTGTACTACGCCCCTGCAACAGAGCGAGAGAATGCCGGCCCCAGAAGACGTCAACCTGGATTTTCGCGCGTGGATGAACTTCTTCAGTCTTGACGCCATTTCCGATATAGGTCTTTCGGATCCGCTCGGCTTTCTCGACAAAGGTCATTCGCGCATGGTCGCTCGCCGGACAGATGGAACGCAGTATGAAGCGGACATGCGGGACTGCCTGTATAAAATGGCCCACAAACAGTCTCTTCTTATCTGGCCATATGCATGGTACCCGTTCCTTAACAAGATTGCCGATATAATCCCTTTCTATGGTCGAATGGGTGCCCTACATCGACAATGGGAGGGAATCCCGCTGGAACTCGCAGCTCGCCGCCTAGAGCGCTATCAACGAGGTGAGAAGCTTGACGACTTTTTCCAAGCACTTATGGAGGACAAGAGCTCTCGTCCGAACAATCTCGAATGGGGCGAGATAGTGGCTGAAGTCAGCATCATGCTGAACGCTGGATCGGTAACCACGGCCATCGCGATAACGAACGTGATGTTCCAACTGCTCAAGAATCCAGAGTGTCTACGCAAAGTCAGAGAAGAGATCGACGCTGCCCTAGACGCCGATGAGGATGAAGACAGCGAGTCTGCGCGGGGCTACTACGAAGACGGAGTCATTGCGTATGACCGGCTCAAACACCTGCCCTACCTCCGTGCTTGCCTTGACGAATCTCTCCGCCTGTTCCCTCCGACAGTACACGGATTGCTGCGACTGACGCCTCCAGAAGGCATGAGAATCGTGGATGATTTCATTGCAGGCGGAGTATCGGTGATGATGTCCGCCTTGACGGCTCACCGGGATCCTAACATCTTCCCTCAGCCGGAAAAGTACATCCCGGAGCGATGGCTGGGGGAATCGGGCAAGGCACTCCAACCGTATTTCCTGGCATTCAGTGCAGGGGCAAGAGGCTGTATTGGGCGCAACATCAGCTATTTGGAACAGACGGTGGCCATGGGGACATTGTTGAGAAGATACGACTTTGCCTTGAAAAGCCCTGACTGGGAGATCGAGAGGCTGGAGACGCTGAACTGGATTTTGGGTGAGATGCCAGTCAAGGTTTGGAGGAGGAAACGGGAGAAGCAACTTTGTGAATTGGACCTGCCAATGTAATCTGTAACGCGAGTCTAGTCCATGGGGAACAAATTTCTGAGAGGCTTGTAGACTGCCCAGCCTGGAGAGGCCTCATTTGAACGTGCCATGGTATATGTTAGAGCAGCAGTGAGGCGAGTATCTTGAACTGGTGCGTTCGATATCTCTACCTTCCCAGAAGCAGATTCGATTCCTCAGCTTGAACTTTTGTAAATATATTGGAAGCGATCGAAAAAGGAGTTTGCACCCTCGCGGAACAATGTTTGTCCGGATGCCAAGGCTGAATTGTATTCAAAGTGATATCTAATTTTCGAGCCTCGACGACATTTTTGAACGTTTTTGAGTCCCCAGGAGAGTCAACTTTCCTTAATTTGACGGCTCCGTGAACCGGAACTGCGACATGGCGACGGAGACGGTGCTCAGGACCAAAGTCAAGACCGGCAAGAATGAAAAACTCCCTCCAGAAAATGTCCGATTTATGCAAGCATGTAATGACATTGCACGGGCTCTCGTTCAAGAATATGAAGCCAGTCTGGATGAGACCAAGCCCAAGAAAGATGTCAACCTCAATCGACTGAGAGGTGATGTTGCCAAAAAGCACCGGCTAAGCACCCAGCCTCCCTTGACCGCGATTCTGGCGGCCGTTCCCCCAGAGTTCAAGAAACACCTTATGCCCAAGCTGATTGCGAAACCGGTAAGAACAGCCTCTGGGATTGCTGTGGTTGCCGTCATGTCAAAGCCGCATCGATGTCCGCACATTGCCTGGACTGGGCATGCTTGCGTCTACTGCCCAGGCGGTCCTGACTCCGACTTCGAATACTCGACCCAGTCTTACACAGGTTACGAGCCCACGTCCATGCGGGCTATCCGTGCGCGATATGATCCATTTGAACAGGCACGCGGGAGAGTCGATCAGATCAAGTCTCTCGGACATAGCGTGGACAAAGTCGAGTTCATCATCATGGGCGGAACATTCATGTCATTGCCGCAGGATTACCGAGATCACTTCGTCGCGCAATTACACAATGCATTATCGGGCTACCAGACCGATAATGTGGACGAGGCAGTCATGGCAGGAGAGATGTCCAGTATCAAGTGCGTTGGAATCACTATCGAAACAAGGCCCGACTTTGGACAGATCGACCACCTTTCTGACATGCTAAGATATGGCTGTACTCGACTTGAGCTTGGTGTCCAGTCTTTATATGAGGACGTGGCCCGAGACACCAACCGCGGTCACACGGTCGCTGCAGTTGTGGAGGCGTTCAAGTTTTGCAAAGATGCCGGATTCAAGGTTGTTTCGCATATGATGCCCGACTTACCTAACGTTGGTATGGAGCGCGATATCTTTCAGTTCCAGGAATATTTCGAGAACCCCGACTTCCGAACCGATGGCCTGAAGATCTACCCGACGCTCGTAATCCGTGGTACAGGACTTTACGAGTTGTGGCGCACAGGTCGGTTCAAGAATTATACCCCGAATGCCCTGGTGGACCTGGTTGCTAGAATTCTGGCGCTGGTTCCTCCTTGGACGAGGATTTACCGTGTACAGCGAGACATCCCCATGCCCTTGGTCACGTCTGGGGTCGAGAATGGCAATCTCCGGGAGCTTGCATTGTCGCGAATGAAGGATTTCGGCACGACATGTCGAGATGTTCGAACACGGGAAGTCGGCATCAACGAGGTGAAGAACAAGATTCGCCCGTCACAGGTGGAACTTGTGCGGAGGGACTACATGGCAAATGGTGGTTGGGAGACCTTCCTCGCCTACGAAGATCCCAAGCAAGATATCCTTATTGGCCTGCTGAGGTTGCGCAAATGCTCCGATACACACACATTTCGACCAGAGCTGACGGGGCAACCAACGAGCATTGTTCGCGAGCTTCATGTGTACGGTTTGGCAGTTCCTATCCACGGTCGCGAGAAGAGCAGGTTCCAGCACCAAGGCTATGGAACTCTGCTGATGAAAGAAGCCGAAAAAATTGCCCGGGACGAACATGGCAGCGAGAAACTCAGCGTCATCAGCGGCGTTGGCGTCAGGAGTTACTACAAACGTCTTGGATATACATTGGATGGCCCATATATGAGCAAGATGCTCAGTTTCGATGACGATGAACCCGAAGACTGAATGGACAGCGAGGTTGACTAGCCGGTACAAAAGCCCAGGTTTCAATTTCCTCCAGCAACATCTGCTCCAGGGACCTTCCCCCGCCCCCGAGACTGCAGGTAGTCTATTTTCAGGGCGAAATACGGCAGCCTCTTATTCAAACTCGCGGGTTGTTGCACGGAGCCCAGCGTCCGGTCCAGGCCACTAAGAGCACTGCTCTCACAGTCGAGTGGACGCTAACTAAGTCGATAATCGGTGGTGTTGGAAGCATACGGGAGAGATTGTATATGTCCGCGGCCCCCTTACGTTCCTCAAGGAACCCTTCGATCGGGAGGGATCATCTCTGGACTACTGCTTGATCGTCCTGGTACGTGTAACCCCGCGGAGTGAAACGAGGAGATATGTCGGACATGTATTTTCTACCGAGTGGCGTCCGATAAGCGATAAGCACAACGGAACAAATCACGTCATTCAGACTTTTTCTCTTTTCTCTCAAATTTCCCTCTTGGGAATTCTTGGGTCTTTGGTCTTTTTGGTCTTTTTGCCAACAGACATAATGAAGTGACGATCCACCATAATTCGTGTTTCCTTTCTCTCTCTCTTCTTTTTGCATGGCCATGGCGTCTTGGTATTATATTGCTTGACTTCTTAAAAGCCTCGTCGTCTCCCACGTACCCCCATTCCCCAACTGGCAGGGTGTCCCGCCATGTTTACACCGGCCTTGCTCACGGCGCATAACTGCGTCGGACACGTCCATCTGATCCTCGGTTCTGGACCTCTTGCTGCCGCACGGTGCACAAAATCCCTCGAGGTTGGCGCTCGACCGGTCGTTGTGTTCCCAGACACCGAGCAACCCCACTTCACGCTTGCTGCAGCCATTGAGCAGGGTCGAGTGTCCTGGATTCGACGGGACTTTGAAGAGCAGGACCTGAAGACATGGGGAAGAGAAGATGTAGACGGCTATGTGGACGCGGTGTTTGTCACTCTCCCGGTGAAAGACCCTCGCAGCTCTCAGGTGTCCAGCCTCTGCAAGCGCATGCGGATACCGGTCAATGTCGTGGATGCGCCAAATCTGTGCACCTTCACGCTCTTGTCGACGTACTCAGATGGCCCACTCCAAATTGGTATAACCACATCGGGCAACGGCTGCAAGCTGTCGTCGCGCATTCGACGTGAGATTGTGGCCACCCTGCCTCCCAAGTTTGGTGCTGCTGTCGAGAGACTTGGAACCGTGCGGAGACGGATATGGGCAGAGGACTACAAGTTGAACGCCTCGAATCCCGCAGAGGTACCCGATGCTGAAGGTGAAGATGAAGAAGCGGCGGCGCAGAAACACACCTTCAACTTATTGGTGAAGGAGGACGATCGGGATCCAGCTGTTTTGCGCACTCGTCGTATGAGATGGCTCTCGCAGATATGCGAGTACTGGCCCCTCAGTCGACTTGCTGCAGTCACCGACGCCGACGTGGCTACGATTCTGGAAGCCTACAGAACCACGGCTCAAACTCCCGCCCCTGGTGGTGACAATACCTCGAGTCTACTCCCGCCGCTACCTCATCGCAGAGGCACGATAACTTTGGCGGGATCCGGCCCGGGGCATCCCTCTCTGCTGACGATTGCCACCCGGACAGCCATCGAGACAGCCCATGTCATTTTGGCCGACAAGCTTGTTCCTGCTGAGATCCTAGCTCTCATCCCTCGGAGGACGCCTGTCCATATCGCCCGAAAGTTCCCCGGCAACGCGGACGCAGCACAGGAGGAGATGCTGCAGATGGGGCTCGAGGCCATTCAACAAGGGAAGGATGTGCTCCGACTGAAGCAAGGTGATCCTTATTTGTACGGTCGCGGCGCCGAAGAGGTGACGTTCTTTCGGGAGCGGGGGTTCGAGGTCAGGGTGATACCTGGCATCACGAGCGCCCTCTCGGCACCCTTATTCGCGGATGTCCCAATAACTCACCGAGCTGTTGCCGACCAAGTTGTCATCTGTACCGGCACCGGGAGAAAGGGAGCTGCGCCCGAACCACCATCGTACAGAAAGACCAAGACCGTGGTATTCCTGATGGCGCTGCACAGATTGGAGAGTCTGGTCAAAAGTCTGACGCAAGCTTCGGACGATCTGCACCGGGAAGCGACTGGACGAGTCCTCTGGCCCTCGAGCACACCGTGTGCAGTGGTTGAACGAGCTAGCTGTCCAGATCAGAGGGTGATCCGGTCGACTCTGCAGCATGTCTGTCAGGCCGTGGAGGAGGAAGGATCTCGACCACCGGGCTTGCTAGTGGTGGGCCATTCTTGCGAAGTCTTGTACAAGCCCGATCAAGACAAGAGATGGAGAGTTGAAGAAGGATATAGAGGTCTGGAAGCCAGCGGAGCCGCTGCTTCGGAGTTAGATATACTCAAAGCGTTGGGAAATGTGCCCTCGACGGAGATCAAGGAGCGGCCCAGGGTCGATGGGAACCCGCATCCTGCTCTGACGACGTGATGGAAGGAACTTGTTTTGTCTATATCTGTCAAAGCATCTTTTGGTCGGTAGAGAAGCTAGCGCGATTGGATAGACAAAAGAATAGCGAGATACATGTTTCCGGTGGGAGACGTGTTCGTTTTTCTCACTTCCTGACCGGCAGAAGGAATGTACCACAATATACCACAAAGCAAGAGGTTTCTATCTTCTAATTACCTCTGTATGAAACTGCATATGAGCACGAAGCTCTTATATAGCCGAAGTTTATCCTTGCCCCCTGTTTGGAGCATTGGCCTCACCGTCTCGAGCTGCTGAGCACAACTGAAGCTGGTTTCATTCCGTTCCGTAAGCTTCATCCTGCAATACACTGGCTGCATCAAGGCATGGTCCCGCTAGAGCGGCAACGGTAACCACAGGTATCTAACGTGGCCCAGAGCTCTCGGATTCACTACCTGTCCGTCTGCCCGGGTAGTGTTGTCTGGTTGAATCACACTGTGAGCAACATGTCACAGCCACAACCTGGCGTGATCCCCTATGGCTCCAGCATCATCCACTCCGAGCCCGTCGACATAGCCCGACCTATCAACCTCGACAACATCCGGGGCAAAACAATTGTCATCACGGGAGGTGCTTCGGGATTTGGTGCAGCCTGCTTCCGAGAATGGGCCTCTCACGGGGCCAACGTGATCATCGGGGACATCAACGAGAGAGCCGGTACCGAGCTGGTCGCCCAGGTGCGGCAGTCTACGGGGAACCAGAACCACCATTTCCTCCCTCTCGACGTGACGAGTTGGCCGAGCCAGGCTGCCTTCTTCAAACAAACCGCACGGCTGAGTCCTCATGGCGGGATCGACCATGTCATGGCGAACGCTGGCGTGGCCGACGCACCGGAGCAGCAGCTCTTTGAGGAGCCGCCGGACTATACGAAGATGGACGATAGCACTCCGCCCAGGCCGCCCATGCGGACGCTGGACATCAATCTCAATGGCGTGCTGTATACGACGCACTTGGCCATATCATATTTGTCCCGCAACCCGGGGAGCGAGAAGTGCCAGGCCGGTAAGCATTCAGGGACGCGAGATCGACACCTGATCCTCGTTTCCTCCATTGCTGGGCTGGCGGGCCTACCGGGACAGTCACTCTATACGGGAGCGAAACACGGTGTGGTGGGGGCGTTCCGGGCACTGAGACTCACGGTCCCTTTGACGAGTGGAGTCAGAGTAAACATGATCAACCCATGTGAGCCTACCTGAGCCTCGACGGTACAGTTACAAGGTGCACGCATTGCTAATTGCAGGGTATAGATTTCGTCGACACCCCGATTCTTGGGCCCCTCGGCGCTCTCGTCCTCGCGGGAGGCGGAATGGCCAAGATCGAATCGGTGGTCGATGCCACGACGCGCCTCGTGGCGGACCAAGGCATCATCGGCCGAGCACTCGTGATAGCCACCAAGACTGCTGAGAAAGATGCGAAGCTGATGGGCCTCGAGCGAGCCGTCGAGGATCAGGCGGTCTGGGACTGCTACGCGGACGACTTCGAGCAGACTGACCTATTTACGAGACGGATCATTGGGGTCACGAACCTGGTGACGCAGGCCCGGGGATGGGTGGGCATGTGGACGGATGTAGGGAATAACTTGTCCAAGAAGCTGTGGAGGGCATTAGGATACTGAGCAACTCGTATAGATATACTCGGTACATTATATAAATTACGCACAGACTCGAAAGAGAACTAAAGTAGACGTAGATAGAATAGTCTATCTATTCATCTATCTATCTATCTATCTAACGATATAAATTACGTTTAGAGGGGATCGAGATTCACCGTAGAATTATTATGTCAGCTGCACCGTGACGTTCTGTTGCATTTTCTCCTTTTCGCAAACATCGCTTTGGAGGCGGCGACAACCTCCCAATTCAAGTTCGACATCGTTAAAAGGGTCCCTCCTCATGTTGTGCAACCTGTATCTCCCGACCGACTAGTATCATTTCCTCCTTCCCAGCCTGTTTCGGGAGGTTTCCTCCGACCCAGCCAGCAACTACCCCCCTCCCCCCGTCCATGTAACAAGCCCTGGACGCTCTCGGCCTGTGCATGAATCTGGAAAACCAGCACCGGCACCCGAGCCATGTCCGCGGCATGATAAGGTCGCGGAAGTTACTCGCCCTGATCCTTCTCGTCGGCACCGCTGTACTCACGCTCTACCTCCTCCAAACCCCCGGGCAGATCCAGACCCTCGAGGAGTCGACGGCCTCGCTCTTCCAAGGCCACCATGCCCACGAAGAAAACCAGCCGCTGCTCCCAGCCAGCTCCCTGCTGCATCCCATCCACCAGCTAGTCACCCAGGGTGAAGGGGACTTTCAGACCGTGCGAGCCCGTCAGTCGCGGTCTCTCAGCGATGCCGTGGCCGAGTATCGTCGGCGGTACAAGCTGCCTCCGCCGCCGCACTTCGACAAGTGGTACAACTTTGCAAAGAAGCGGGGCGTCGAGCTCATTGACGAGTATGACACGATATACCACCAGTTGCTGCCATTCTGGGCCCTGGAGCCTGCGGTCATAAGAGAGAGGACAAGAGAAGCGATCGGGTTCGACAATGCCTTGATCGCGGTCATGATCCGGAATGGCAAGGTCACGAAGATCGAGGGGGGCGGGGACATGTACGAGTGGCACCGGGAGGCGACGCCCATCATGTTGAAGGATTTCATCAAATACCTGCCCGACATGGATTTGGCGTTTAACATCCACGACGAGCCTCGCGTGGTGTTGCAGCACGACGACCTTCTGCATCACGTCCAGGTGGCTAAAGATGAGAACATCCCTAAGGCCTACGGTGCCCAAAACTTGAAGAACGAATGGTCGCCCCGCGCCGAAGACCTGGGAGAAGGGATCCGGATCAAAGAGTACAAGACCACCCGCTTCAACCGCTTTGCCCATCAACCGACATGGAGCAATTCCCGAATCTCCTGCCCCGCGGACAGTGCGGCCCGTAACTGTCTCACGGATTCCTGTCCCGACAACATCACGGCCTACTCTGATCTGCCACTGGGCTTCATTCGGAATACCACCGCCTTCTCCGACATCTGCAACTCTCCCAGCATGGAGAAATCGTATGGCTTCTTCGACCGGCCCAACGCCTTCGATGTGACACACGACCTATTCCCCGTTTTCTCCCAGTCCAAAATCTCGTCCTTCCAAGATATTCTCTACCCCTCGCCCTGGTATTTCATGGGTCGCGTCAAATACGAGCCGGAACGGGACATGCCTTGGGAACAGAAGGTCCCCACGATGTACTGGCGAGGGAGCACGACCGGTGGCTTCTCCCGCGACGGCGGGTGGCGGAGACAACACCGTCAGCGATTCCTCACCAAGATCCAACCCCTCAACACGGCCAAGGTTCTCGAGTTGGACACGAACACATCGGCCGAAGATTCTCTGTGGCGCGAGAAGGTCATTTCCGCAGCCGACGTGGCCCATTATTTTGACGTCAAGTTCACGTACATTGGACAATGTGACCCCGGCGACTGTGACGCCCAACGAGAGTACTTTGGCACCGTGGAGCCGGTGAACATGTTTGACGCACTGGGGTCTCGCTACTTGCTTGACATCGATGGCAATGCCTTCTCGGGGCGTTATTACGCCTGGTTGTTGAGCAAGTCGCTGGTCTACAAACTCGCGGTGTTCCGCGAATGGCACGACGAATGGCTGCGGCCGTGGGTGCACTATATCCCCCTTGGGCTGATCGGGGACGAGTACGCGGAGAGTGTGCGGTACTTTGATCAAGAGGAGGCCGGCAAGGTGGAGGGAAAGAAGATCGCCGAGCAGGGAAGAAGCTGGGCGCAAAAGGTGCTCCGAAATGAGGATTTAGAGGTGTGGTATTTCCGGCTGTTGTTAGAGTGAGTTTGTTTCCCACCCCCCAATCGCTGGTGTCCTCTCTCGCTCTCTCGAAACTTCTGAAGACTGACTGACACGCTCGCACAGATACGGCCGCTTGATCGATGATAACCGATATAATATTGGCTTCAGCATCTCATGAGGAAATGGTTGTTCTAGGAACAACTGCTCCTGCTCTGGAAAAAAATTGGTTTTTGTATAGAAATGAAACCTTTTTGTCCACGACCGGGGTCACTGAACAGGAACGGGAAGAGGAGGGCGGGCCTGTCTGTCTGACCTTGAATGAAGAAGAAAAATATTGTAGAAGAAGGCAGCGATGAGCACCTATGGGCAGCGATGGGGAAACACATTGCCGATCCACCCCTGTGTTGTACTGTATCGTGTTGTATAAAATCACATCTACTTATACTATACTAAACTTATAACCATATGAACTACATACTACTATATGACACGGTATGGTCATTCTGAGTCGTCTTGACTTGTTGTGCGTCGTATAGTATAGTACAGTACAGTACAGTACAGTATAGTAAGGAGATTTACAGTGGATTACAGTGGTCGAGTATCCAGGATAGATTGGGAGGTTTGCTTGTATGTATATAGAGAGAGAGAGAGATGAAATCCCTGAACTGTCGGTGCCGCAGCTCCTTCTTCCTCTCTAGGAAAATGGTCGTGTTCTTGAACCGTCGCTCGTAGGACATGGGGGCTGCTGGGTACTATGATGGCAATAATACCGCTTTAGACGTCCAGAACTAGTGAAGCATTCGTCTGGTCTTCGATGTTGGTGTATGTGTCTCTGTCACACCACCAATGCTGACGTGCACCTAGTTAGTTAGAGTGTATAGGGAGTGAGATGATGAGTCTCTGCGGCACGTCCTGTTCATTTAGAAGACTTGGAGCTGGAGTCGGGCAGGAATTCGAATATCAAGGAAGTAGCACTTGTGCCGAGGACGCTTTTGTATGTATGGGAAAGCCACTCCTGCGGTCGGTGTGAATGCTCGTTCGATCCCGCAGAAAATTCGTGTTCTGGCCCTGACCTGGACACAAATGGCTAGGACTCTTCTCGTGTATTTCCCGCGACAAATGGGAAGAAAGTTTGAGACCCGAGTTCTTCTATATTTCCCGTCACCAGTGTGTCCGCCATGAGGGAAGAAGAACGTTAGCACATACCTCAGCATCCCAATCTCTCCTGGCGAGAACATCATCGGCAAGGGGTCATCCAAGGGATAGTTCAGCCATCGCTTGACGAAACATCGCAGGATAAGCCCATGTGCAACCTGGCCCGCCCTCAAAAAAGTCCGCATGGTGTCTGGGAGAATAGAACAGCGATGCTGGTCCTGAGGTGAATCGTACCAGCACAACATCAACCGGCCGCCCACCATTCATATATGGCGCCAGGATTTCCTTGATCTGTGCAACCAGGCGGTCTAGTCTCTCGGTCACCTGTTGTGGCGATCTGCTCAAAGAGGGACACCGATCAGCCGTTTTTTCATCCTCTGTCTTGCAAAGCCGATCCGACAAAAGTAGGACGTTGGTGAAGAAGCAACATACTCGCCGCCTTCACACCTGTCCCTTCAGATACTATACTTGCGGGTTTGGTCCAAGCCTTTGGCTTTCGCCGCCGAACAATATCCTCCGCCACCAAGCCCTCGTAGTCGCCGTACCCCCACTCGGCGAAGTCCTCTGTCAGGGCGACCTTTTCATCTGCGACTTCGGCACTGTCGTCACCGAAAAGGAGGCGGAAAGTCTGCTGTGCCCGCCTCCGTGGGCTAACCCGCACGTGAGCGACGCGGCCGGGGTCGATGAGCCTGCCTGGGCCGACGAGCTGCTTGGTAGTGCTCTCGACCTGACGTTCTCCCTCCGCCGTGAGTGGGATGTCCGTGATTGCCGTGTAGCGGCCATTCTTGGTCCATTCCGTCTCCCCTGAGGTTGTGCACGTGCCGCTCAATTTGTTTCTTTCTTTCCGGGTGCTAGAGATCCACCCGAGTTACTCACCGTGGCGTACAAGGAAGATGCTCGGGGTCGTGGCGTCTAGGTCCGACATGGCAGATGCTAGATCTTACACCAGTGGTCATCCCGTGGGGGGGGGACAGGCTGGTTGATCTGTGGCCTACGTATTATCACCGTGTGCGAAGGTAGCATTTGTCTGCTCGCTGATCAAAGGTCCAAAATCGTTGCGTTCTAGACTGCCCCCAATCGTCGAGGTCAATCTGCTCTCCCCAGTCGCAGAAACAGCAATTGACGCCGGGTGGCAGAGGGCCAGAATCCTGCGATACCGCAAGGAGCGACATTTGACGCAAAACGGATCATTTGCATGCATATTTCTATATCTGGGCAAAGGGTTGTGGTATAAAAGAAGCGTCACACTTCATCAAGGTCGGACACAGTACCTATCCAGTCCGAATGGCTCGACGCCATCAATCACATGGGCGCATAGGACGCGATGGGACGCAAGCACGCGGATGGTTTGAGCGAGTATTGCAGCTGGATCTGGGAATGATGTTTTCGGGCGACCCTTGCTCATTGTCTAGCACAAAAGTGTTTTGTTTGAGTGCAAGGGCGACCTAACGCAACACGGCATTCAAGGTCGCTGACCTCGTTCTTTAAGGTGTACACCCGTCCCGGCAGCTCACCCATATGCCGCAGTTTTGAAATGGCCTTGCCAATTCGGGCGGCCACTTCAGCGATTGCAATGATACTGGCAGTTTCGCTCACGAATGGATGGTCAGGAAGATAATAAACTCAGCCGCCGGCTTGTTAAGGGCTTTACACTTACTTGGGCGAGTGAGGCCCGAAAGGTGGCCGAAGCGGGGTCGGCCCGTCCACTAGCTCTCAACGTTCGGTGTCGGGTTCAATTCCCCTTGCCGCCCACGCACCAGTCACTAGACCCAGTGTTTAGCCCGGGCGGTGAACAACACATGAATAGGATTCGCGGAGTCGCGGCTCGAAAGCGATCTAACTTCAGAACCTTGCAAGTGTGGACCAGCTGGGCAACTATAGCAGAGGTATATATATATATATGTCTCTCTCTACCATCTCGGTGTATCTATCTCTCTGATCTGATCTGCCTTTACGACGCCTTTCTACGCCCACTCACTAGCTCACTCACTCACTCTACGGCGGACATCGTAATGAGAGATACTGTAGGAAGGAAGAACGAAGAACGAAGAACGAAGGCGACGACGATGAGGGTGAGGTCAAGCAGCAAGACGATAGTCGGCTCTGTTCTTCCTTCTTTTTTCTTGAAAGGGTCTCTTTGGGAATTTCTTCTCTATCTAGGTTCCTCTCTTCCACCGCACACTTGTGGCCAAAGGGGAACAACAACACAACAGCAGGTCCGGATTCGCAAACTCCAAATATCTAATTGATGATATCTGTAATTGCGTTCTCCTTCTTTTTTGCCCGTGCCCCTCTGCCTGTCTGTCCGTTTGGGCTCTTCTTGCCCCCGCCCCCTGCCCCAATGTGTCCAGTTCGTGTGGCCTCGCTGGTCTTCGTACAAATGCACCCGGTCACAGCCATGCCAGGCCGTGTCCACCATCCCGCCTTGCACAGGATCAGCCTCGTTGAGAAGCCTTCCTGCCTCCGTTTGGCCTTGCCCATAGCCTTCCATTGCACCAATCATGCATCTCGCCTTCCTCCAAAGATGGGAAACGTCCACTGCGACGGCCTCCGGCCCAGCTCATGCCCCATGTCCTCCTCACGCTCCATCCTGCGCTCGACATGTTCGACATGTTCGACAGGCTCATCCTCATCCTCATCCACATTAATCTCCCGCTCTTTCACCTCGACCTCCCTCTCGTCCTTCTGCTGGCGGAAGCACTACTGTCCGGTATCCATCCTCTCTCCCGACTGCTGGGCATAGACATTGTTCGTTCCACCCGCGGCCACAGTGGCAAAATACCTCACATCCACGTCTTCGTCATGTTGTAATTTCTCCAGATTTGACATGATCTGCGCAATCAACTCCTGCCCTTTAGGAGTCGGTTGTGGTGAGGAATTTGGTTGCTCTTCAACTTGTGGCAGCGTTCCTTCGGCGGGGATGCGGCGGAGCACGTCAATGAGGACTGCGTAAGATTTTGCAACATTGAAACGGATATTCGGGATGGGGTCGGAAACGAGACGGTCCATCATGGGCAGGACGCTTTCAGCTATGATGTCGAGGGTTATCACGGGTGCGAGGATCTGACATACAGCCATTAGCAAATCTGTCCGAAGGTGGAGCGGATGCCCAGAAAAAGGGAAGGCTCACCGTGATAGCAAAGCATGTCGTCATCCTATACAGATAATTTTGCTGTTGACTCATGGCGGTGACTTTGGGAATGATCGATCGGTTCGCCCATTCCACGCCAAAGACCTCCGTGAGCTTCTTGAGGTTCTGCGTTGCAGCGTCACGGATTGAGAACACTGTGTCGCCCAGCCAGCCCATGCACAGCGAACTTAATTGCTCGTCGAAGAATTTCATGCCCAACTGCTTCGCCAACAAGGGAATGTATTCAATAATGGCAAGGCGCACACGCCATTGCTTGTCTTCTGCAAGCTGAACGATGGCTGGCAGAAGAGACTGAGAAAGTAAATCGATACCGATAACGTTGTTGACCAGTTCGAGTTTGGAGATGATATGCAGTCTCACGTCGGGGAACTCGTCCTTGAGCATTTGGAGGAACATGGGAAGGAGATGGGAGATGGTTTCTTCTTTGCCGAGAATGGGAGCCAGTCCGCTGAGTTGGGTGCCGAGAGCGGCTCGAACATGCTGGTTGGGGTCAGATACGAGGTCTTCGATGGACGTCATGATTTCGTTCAGGAGAGTTTCTCGGTCAAGGAGACCACAGAAACCGGGGATTTGGCTGGCGATGGCTGTTCTGACTTCGGCCTCGCTATCTTTCAGAAGCTTCACAAACGCGGGAACGAGATCCCGGGTGACAACCTCGTCATTGACAGCCTTCGCAATCTTCTCGAATTTCTCTGCCACCATGTATCGTACCCTCCAGCTCTTGTCTTCGAATAAGCTTCTCAACGCGGTCAGGAGCACGCCGTGACTGGGCTGCTGCTCCTTGGGGATGACTTCTGCGATAGAGATGAGGACTTCGACCGTGAGCAGTCGGACACTATCCTGGTCATCGCTGGCCAGATGTTGGAACAGGGGGATCATCTCCTCGATCACTACTGCAACTGGCACCTCTTTCACGAACTTGGCCAGGTTGTTTGCGGATTGTCGTCGCACCATGGGTGTCTCATCGTGGACAAGGTGCCCAAATTGAGTTCGAAGAACTTGTTGGGAGGATGGGGACGCTTTTCGGTAAGGGGTTGTGTACAAGCCGGTCGCGGAAATCTTGGAGGTGAACCAGTCGGCCTTGGACAGGCGGATCGTGAGGGGGATGAAGTACTCTTCGACTTGCCGTTCTGACAGCTCATTGCAGATTTTATTTAGAGATTCGACGGCCTGTGGGTGTTAGACGACATATGGCCGTGCTCAGTGGAAATCTTTACACACCTTGTCCCGCACCAGGGGCTCCTCGATTGCAGCCAGATTCTCGAGCGGTGCAAGGAGCACGTGACCGTATTCGGGGCCTCCGACGTACTCGATGAAGTTTCCTAGTTCTTCAGCGAGTGCAGTAAGGACCTCATCCTCATCTTCCACGGAGTCTGTACCAGGATGTCAGTTCTATTCCCATGTTTTGGGGTGGTAAAAAGGCCGCACCGTCCAAAAATGGTATCAGTTCATCTCTTGTTCGTTCAGGGCCGAGGGCCAACGCAATGGTCGATAATCTGTGGATGGCGTTGAGGCGGAGAAGGACGTCGTCGTGCTGTTTATATGTCAGTCGGATACTGAGACATAGCGAGCGCCATGACAAGATCATCATACCTTCAGTTCGTCGATCAGCACGGCGATGGGATAGAGCTCGTCTGCATTATCTTGGCCCTCCATCTCGGCTGTATCTTGAGCAGTCTAGCAAGATTTCCAATATTGAGCTCGCCCTAGGGCCAGGGGCGTTTGGCAGGAAAATTGAGCAATCACTTCTGCTCGAAGTTCGGTGCAAAGTGGAGTGAACAAGTGGTGTTTGTAGCAGAGAGGGCCAGTTCACATTCTAGTGCATACTTGACTGAATAAAAGGCAGTCAGCTTCCACCCGTTCGCAAGATGTCAAGGGTTGTGCTTCGTGGCCTGATATGGGCAGGCTGCGCGGTTGACGGGGATGTTTGCGCCGTGGAGGGCAGAGGCTCGACTCACAACAAACCAAGAGACAGGGTAGATGCAGGTGTCACTGAACCGGTTGGGTTCGTCAAGATGGCCTCTTATCCACCAAATGGTCAATGTGGAAGCAGAGCGATACGTTGAGGCCAAACAAAGAGTATTGTTGCTTTGGAAAAGGTGGGATAATCAGGTTCAGTCAACGAGCTCCGTCATTCAAAGTGAACAGTTCGGGAGGTTTGTGGCTGAAGGGGCTGATTGATGCCAGATGCTGTGGCACAGGCACATTCCCTGCGGGCGCAGGTTGGCGTCCCAATGGCCCCGCCAAGACTCCCCCCAATATGACTCTTGCCTCTACAATCTTTTTTGATATTCTTTCACTTCGACTGAGCTGGGTCAACACATCTCTTCCGGCACTGGGATTGCAATTTCCCGGCCAGTCTTACCGTTCTTTGTTTCACGAGAATCTGGTCTACAGAATCCGAGTCGACTACCCCCAGCCTGTAAAGCAGTCTTCCTGACAGGCTCCTTGCCATGCCGACCATCACAGTGGACAAGGCTGCCCTCTTCCAGGCTCTGGGGAGGGACTATACGACTGAGGAATTCGACGAACTCTGTTTCGACTTTGGAATTGAGCTTGATGAAGACACCTCACTGACGGAACGACCGATTGTCAACGGCAAACAAGAGCCTCCTCAGTTAAAGATCGAGATTCCGGCCAACCGCTATGACATGTTGTGCTTTGAGGGCATTCAGCTCATGCTGAACATCTTCAATCACAGAGTGACGGCTCCTAAATATGCCCTCAAAGCGCCACCAAAGGGAGAAATTCAGACCATCACAGTTTCCAAGGATTGCGAGAGGATACGACCTTACGTTTCTGGGGCCATTTTGCGAAACATCAAATTCGACCAGGCTCGCTACGAGTCTTTCATTGACCTCCAAGACAAACTGCACCAAAATCTAGCGCGGCAGCGGACTCTAGTGTCGATCGGGACGCATGACCTCGATTCGATCAAGGGCCCATTCACCTACGAAGCCCTTCCTCCCAAGGACATCAAGTTTGTGCCGTTGAACCAGACCAAGGAATTGAATGGCGAAGAGCTCATGCAGTTCTACGAAAAGGACAAGCATCTGGGCCGCTACCTGCACATCATTAGAGACTCCCCCGTATACCCGGTCATCTACGACTCGAACCACAACGTCTGCTCCTTGCCGCCAATCATCAATGGTGATCTCAGTAAAATCACTCTTAACACCAGGAACGTCTTTATGGAGGTCACCGCCACGGACAAGACCAAGTTAGAGATCGTCATCAACATGATGGTTACCATGTTCTCTCAATACACCTCAGATCAATTCACCGTCGAACCCATCCAGATCATCTCCGAACATAACGGTCAATCAAGACAAGTCCCTGACCTTACACCTCGCTCCACAGTTGCTGAAGTCGACTATATCAATGCCTGCTGCGGTCTGTCGCTGTCGGCGCAAGAAATTTGCGATCTTTTGACCCGTATGTCCTACACGGCGCGCCCCTCAAAGTCGGACCGGAATCTTCTCGAAGTGGATGTTCCCCCTACACGCGCGGATGTCCTCCATCAAGCAGATATCATGGAAGATGTCTGCATCGCCTACGGCTTCAATAAGCTTCCTCGCGCGTTCCCTAAAGTTGGGGCCACCATCGCCGCACCGCTGGCAGTTAACAAACTCTCTGACATTCTGCGTCTCGAGGCCGCGATGGCGGGCTGGGCAGAGGTCCTTCCACTCATTCTCTGTTCGCATGATGAGAACTTTGCGTGGTTGAATCGCAAGGATGACGGCAAAACTGCTGTGCGGCTGGCAAATCCCAAAACGGCGGAATACCAAGTTGTCCGCACGACACTGCTGCCCGGCTTGCTGAAGACTATCCGGGAGAACAAACACCACTCTATTCCTATCAAGATATTCGAGGTCAGTGATGTTGCCTTTAAGGATAGTAGCTTGGAACGCAAGGCCCGTAATGAGCGACACTTTGCGGCCGCGTGGTACGGTAAAACCTCAGGCTTTGAGGTTGTTCACGGCCTCCTGGATCGCATCATGGCCATGCTCAAGACGGCCTTCATCACCCACGAGGAAGGACTCGAAATGCGTGGAGATGGAGCAGAGAACGGAAAGAAAATGGAATACTGGATCCAGGAACTGGACGACGCGACGTATTTCCCCGGCCACGGAGCCAGCATCCACGCGAGAATAGCCGGCAAAGAAGTTGTTATTGGGAGCTTTGGAATTCTACATCCAACGGTGTTGGAGAAGTTCGAGTTGAGATATCCGGTCAGTGCATTGGAGTTCAATGTGGAGGTGTTCTTGTAGTTAGAATGAAGAAGTCAGTGTCTGCTCGACACTCTCGAGGTAGAAAAAGCCCATGACTTGTTACTCTTTTTTCTTTTACATGCGTTCAAGGACTATGGTGCGGCCTATTCTTTTCGAAAACAAGCGCCCTGGGTCACATTTGCCATTTGCTCTTTGCACAACCATTCTTCTCCTTGCCGGCCATGCGCGAGGTACACGATGCAGATTCGCCCGAATTACCAGCTGCCAGTAGCTCCATTGTCGTCCATCGCCCAGACATCCACTCCGGCAGATTCGTAGACAGGTGGGCGAGGCGGCTCCGCAACAGCGGGAGCCAAGGGCCCTTCACCGGCACCATCATAAACAGCATGGCCTGCTGCCGCCGCCCCGACAGCCGCAACCGTAGAAGAAGCGTCAACATCTCGGGATTCCTACTCCTGGGCATATGGCTCCTCCCCACCAGCACCCTCCTGCTCCGCGTCAGCCGCCGCCCGGGCATCTTGCGCGGCCTGCTGGGCAGCCAGTGCCTTGGCACCGTAGTCTTGGCTCATGGGTTGCACGACAGGCTGTTCTTCCTTGGGTTCAATAATGGTGACGCTGTCGGGGAGAGACTTCTGGGGACCGGCCTTGCCTTCGGGGTCGGAGCCGCGCATGATCTTGACTTTGATGCCCAGAACGCCCTGGCGGAGGAGGACGTGTCGGGTTGCGGAATCGATAAAGTCGTTGACGGGTTGACCGGAGTGGATCATGAAGCCGTCCTGCACAATTGCCCAAGATCAGTATACCAGAATTGACTTTCAAAAGAGACCTGGCGTGATCTCTGGGTTGGTGGTTGTCTTACCGTGAACTTCATACTCTTTGCCCGAGCAGCTCTCAGCTTTCCACTGACCACGACCTCACAGCCCTTGGCACCGCTCTCCATAATGAACCGCAACACACCGTAGCAGGCCCGTCTCACGGCCAAGCCATTGAGCAACTTGTATCGGAGGGATTCGCACTGTGCGACGGCGGAGAGACCACGGTTTTGGACTTTTGCGGCATAGAGGGAGACGCTGTTCTCGGGGAACTTGAAGCGTTTTTGGATCAGGGAGGTGAGTTCGCGAATGCGTCGGCCTTGTTCGCCCAGGACTTCTTGGGTGTGTGTGGCGCGGATGACTGCAGAGAGAAAATGCCAGATTAGTTCCCATGTCCTGCTCGAGCTGTTTTGCTGTCCGTCACATCTTTCTGTATAGAGGGGATTGACGCAGAGAAGGAGAAACGTACTGATATCGGTGACGGTAGGGGTGACTCGAACCTCGACGCCAGAGTAACCTTCCTCAGCCAGCTCGCGCTGGAAGAACTCGTTCAGCTCGGCGTAGAAAACACCATCAGCGACGAACTTGCGACGCTTGCTGATAGCGCCTTGTTGGGTAGTCATGTTGGCGATCTGATCTCGACGAGCAAAGAGTTGATGTTGGCAAGTTCAAGTTCGCAGTCACAAATGCCTCTGAAATTCAATGTGGGGGGAGGATCTCAATTTCATGCCAAGACAGAATTTTGCAGCTGAGGAAGTGCGCTACGTGTGACGCCTCAGTACTCTGCAGAAGTCCGTGCTGTGGAGCATATAGACCAAGTGTGGTGACACTTCTCAACGTCCTCCCGACCCTTTCAACATGTCCCTTGCTCAGCTGATGTTCCCTTGCCATGTCATGAAGATGCGCAGAAGACAGTGCTTTCAAATGTGCTCCAAGGGAGCTAGCGGTCCATCTTGTATAGATTCATTTAACTACACACAGCCGAGGTGTTGCACTCGACTTGCTGTGTCCACGTCGTCGATATCATCTGCCTGACATGACAGCAGAAAACATAACACTCTCAATCTAAACTGAGACTATTCTAGGTTTAATTGATCGAAATCACACTGAGGCCTTCCATCGCTTCTGATATCTTACTAGGTCCTTCCCATCTACTTATTCTTGCCAAAGCTCAACAATCAGTGTATATTTGATCGAACAAACTGAAGTTCTGCTTGAAGCCCTGGAGTCCTCCTTGATGAAGAGTGGGGAGGGCGTAGCCTGGGAAATTGCACATGAGCCTGGAGAATCCTCTGAGATGCTGTGTCAGTCCTCGAGGTTGGGTTGAAAGGCTGTTTCATCTCTTTGATCTTGTATGATCAGGAATGAGATTCAGGTGCCCCCAAAGCTCACAACTGCCTTGTAGTGATGTACTCTGAGGCACACGAATAATCCCAAGACACTCAATACTTGCTGCTGGTGCGGACCAGCGGCCTTTGTACAGTTTCTTTCTCATGCTGCCGTTTTGTCGGCCGTCCTTGTCAATAGATACGCTGCCACCTTATCGCTGTCAGAGGCGATAACGATATCACAACTTTGAGGATGGGGTCGTCGCCTTGTCCCCACAGCCGCGCTCAACTCTTCTCATTTTCTGGTTACAAGAATTACGGGCAAGCATTGGCCCTTTGATGCCATCGTCAATGCTCGAGCTTAATTCAGCAACAGGCGAAACCCATCTTCTACTGATGCTCTGAAGGAAAAGACTCAATTCGTAATCTGCAAAGTGCTTCGCTGACCTCACATCTCTGGTGCCTGTTCCTTACCTCAGTGGCTGTTCAGACATAGAACTATGTTGACAGGTCTATATGCATATGGTGTCCGTGTGTCTTCCTTGCCAGAATTGTCTCCCATGTACTTGGGATGTCACCTTTGAACTGCAAGAAAGCTGTTTAGAGCGCCGAGGTGGCTCATGATCGTCTGCGGTACAGGTTTCTTTGCCACCACGCAACAGACAATGTCTCCATCAATTCTTGATGTCTCTGGTTCGGTCCTTGTGCTGCCGGATCCAATCTCTTTCCTTAATGATTGCTCAATTCTCTGCAGGCTTTCCCTGGATGTTGTTGCTAAGTTGAGTACACGAAGATGCCGATGAGAAGGCCACAAGCGGGACGTTTGGCTTAGTCGCTTGCAATTGAGGATATGCTTTGTTGCGTGATCAAAGATGCCAGAGTGGGTGTCTTGCAGCAGGCTGGAGTCGGACAGATCATTGAGCAAAGGTATCCGCTCAAAGCTGTCCTAAGGCGAGCAGAAAGTTGTTCTCGGACAGTGGCAATTGAGATGACAGTGGTGGGATGGTTTCTGGTAGACGTCTCCAGGGCTGAGATACTGAAATGAAATGTGATGCAAAGATCAATGTGGAAAGAGAGCACTGTGAGCTCACCTAGACTTTACCTTGAGCTGAGAAAGGACTCTGCGGATTAAGACAAAGCCTGGGCTGCGGCTTCCTTCTCCCCCTCTCGGTCTGCGCCCAGGCGAGCGACATCATTGCCATCCGTCACCGTCACCGTCACCACCACGACTAGGCCCTCGACGACGACGTCGTTCCATCCTTCAAGCGGCCAATCACCCGAGCGACGAATGCCGTGACGCTTTATCACAGATTGAATCCGCCAAGCTGATCTGGTGTGGCAGCGGCCTTTAAATATCTCCTTCCCCCATCCACGTTTTCAAAACTTTTCTCTTTCTCCTCCACCTTCCTCACCTCACCTTATCCATCGTTCTCTCCAGCTGTTCCAGTCGTGTTTACTAAAGGAAGTAAACATGGCTTCCTCCTTTGACACTGCTGAAGTGGCATCAGCTCCTGCTGACACCACGCCTGCCAACGGTGTTGAGCCAAGTGCTGGCCCGCCCAAGAACGAGGAAGCAATCAAACTCGCTCGCGAATCTGGCTGGGTGGAGCCGAAAGCAAACAACTACACCTCCCGTGCCCCTACCACCATTCTCAGCAGCAACCAGACTCAGTTGGAAGCTGTGCCCGAAGATGAAGCTGGAGCTGGCGCTGATGAGATTGCCGTCAGCAACCACGCAACCAGCAACTGGTCTCACGATGCAGCCAAATACGAATGGAAGGAGGAGTATGGTGATGTCGGTCCACGAGACGAAAGACTTGAGAAGGATCTCTTCCGCGGCGAACACATTAATCGCGCTGGCATCAAATTCGACAAGTAAGTACAATTCTCGCCTCATGATGAATTCCAGCTGACTGCTCCTCTCAGCCTCACCACTGTGAAAGTCACAGTGGAATCTGAGGCGCGTGTCAGTCCGGTCTCTAGCGTGAGTACTTCCTGTCCTTGCCGGGTTTCTCGAATCTTACATTTGTCCAGTTCAAGGACGCTGGCTTGCATCCGGTCATCTTGGAAAACATTGAGCTCTGTGGATACCGTCACACAACCCCCATTCAGGCATACACTCTTCCTGCGGTCTTGACAGGCCATGATATGATCGGTATTGCCCAGACCGGTAAGCTTCATCTTGGATATGCTCTCGTCTGGCTTGCGATTGACAGTATTGTAGGCTCTGGCAAAACTGCAGCTTTTCTGATCCCGACCATCTCCAAGTTGATGGGTAAGGTGAAGAAATTGGCTGCACCCAGACCCAATATCGGGCTGGGGTTTGATGTGTCCAGGGATCGGGTTCGCGCCGAACCCCTTATTCTTATCGTTGCCCCAACCCGCGAGTTATGCTGCCAAATCTTCGATGAGGCGCGTCGACTTTGCTATCGCTCGATGCTTCGTCCTTGTGTCGCGTATGGCGGTGCTCCGATCCGAGATCAGGCCGCTCAACTTCAACGTGGTTGCGATCTGCTGGTTGCATCCCCGGGCCGTCTTCTTGACTTCATGAGTCGCCCTGAGCTCTTGTCATTGGCCCGCGTCCGATACACGATCATTGACGAGGCTGATGAGATGCTCCATGATGACTGGGGTGTGGAGATGTCGAAGATCATGGGCGGTGGCGGTCAGCACCCTCCCGCCTACCCTTCCTGCTTCGCATGCTGACTTTGTTTAGATGCAAATACTGATGGTGATCATCGTTATCTCCTCTTCAGCGCGACTTTCCCCAAACGTGTGCGCAAACTTGCGGCCAAGTATCTTGCGTCTGATTATGTCCATGTCAGTGTCGGCAGAACCGGAAGCGTTCATGTCAACGTACAGCAGCAGGTATGTTCGAATCCCGTAGCTCGCATTGGGTTGCCGCTCACCCGCTTCAGATTCTATGGTGTGACAAAGATAAGAAGATGACAGCTCTTTATGACCTGTTGATTTCGATGCCGCCCTCGCGCACTTTGATCTTTGTCAAGTACAAGAAGACAGCGGACTTTGTCGATGACCATCTCTTCAACTTGGGTCTCCCATCGACCTCGATCCACTCTGATCGAACTCAGAGCGAACGAGAGGATGCCTTGCGTTCGTTCAAAGTTGGCCGGACGCCTATTCTCATCGCAACTGGTGTCACTGCCCGTGGTCTCGATGTTCGGTAAGCATAGGATGGTGCGTCAAAGGCGATTGGTATCACTAATGTTCTTCAGCAATGTCATGCACGTGATCAACTTCGACTTGCCATCTGCCGACCATGATGGTAAGACCGAGTATGTTCATCGCATTGGTAAGTCAGCTTAAACAGGATGCTACTCCCACTGCTAATCGCAACTAGGTCGTACCGCCAGGATCGGAAACGAAGGTCTTGCCACATCCTTCTACAACGAGGCCGACGAGGCTTTGGGTCCGTTTCTCACTAAGATCCTACTCGAAACCAACCAGGAAGTTCCTGAGTTCCTTGCGCATTTCAAACCCGAAGGAGGCAAATTGGACTTTGACGAAGAGGAAGAGGAAGAATTCGAAAACAATGCTGGTGATACATGGGGAGGTGGCGGCGGTGATTCTGGTGGCGGCGGCGATGCCTGGGGTGCGGGTGGTGATACCGATGCTGCCGGCGATGCTTGGGGCTCGTCCAACGACGCTACTGCACCTGCCAACGACAATTGGAATGAATCTAGCAACGCTGAAGTGGGTGGCGGGGGAGCGTGGTAAGCCGGACGCATGCTGAACAGCCTCACTGTCCTTTGACAATCGTGACCGCATTCATCTTCGCCATCGCTCGGAATGGGGTGCTACCACTTGGTGTCGGTATTCAAGAAACAAGAACGGAACCACGACAGTCCACATGGGATTGTTGAACTCGTCTCTGGGACTGGGATGGCTTGCATTCGAAAAGGACGAGTGAATGGTTGAGCCTCGCTAGTACAACCTTTCCACTGCCTGCAAGTCTGGTTGTGCGAGGAGCCTGCTTGGATCTTGAGCAACAAACCCCTGAAGACACAGCCAGAGAAAAACACAGATAACTAGCTGCATGAATGCTCAAAGGGTTTCAATCCATGGTCTAACATCCGATTGCCTTAGTGACCGTTAGACACCTCCATCAGCCCCGTGCCCATACCTTCTTTCTGGCCGCTCAGATCAGATGTTCGTATTCTGTAGCCGTCTTGAGGCAAGCCGTATCAGTGAAGTCAACTAGCACAAATTGGGCACTCTGAGGCGAGCCACTCGCCTAGAGGAGCGATGTGCCTCGTGTTGATGCTAGCCGGCGTCGACCGGACCGGGATGGCTTGCATCTGAGAGGACCAGAGTACGGAGGACGATTGTCGCGAGAGGACAAAACCAGGCCAGTCCGCAAAGCATAGCTCTTTAGGGTTAAGAATAAACCATCAACATGCTACTCTCCCAGGCAGGGAAATGCCATCCATCATCTGAGCTCATGGGCTTATCCAAATCCGACTGATTCCCCGGCTGGCAGCTGCTTATCAGCAGTCCAAGTAGTAGCCACCAACTAGCCACCAAACAGCCACAGCACCTGAGAAAGCTGGGTTCTTATCGGAAATTGTTATCCAGATGGGGTCTACAGAGATTGACATGATGATCACCTCTTTTTGTTGAGCCATTTAGGTTCAATCGTCTTTTCCTTCCTTTTTTTTCTTCCTTGTCTTTTTTTCTATCTCCAAGTAATCTTGCCTCGGAGGGGCACAACGTCAGGGGTGGAGACTTGGCAACTTGGGACGATGGCTGGAGATTTTTGAGGGGTTCCCGAAGTTTGTTTCTAGGTGGTCTGCTAGTGGGTTGTCAGGGCTCTAGGGTTGCTCTAGGCAGGCCCCCCTCGTTCTTTAGGTGCCTCTATCGAATCATCTGACGGATCTGGTGCTTGGAAGATATCTCCAATGGACATGTTCTCCAGACCGGGCCTAATCGAAGCCTCTTAGGTGGCACCGCTGGGCATGTTAATTCAAGCCTCAGCCGAAGTAGCCCGCCTAGTGCCTGATGAGGGGACTTGTCGATTGCCACATCCCCAGTTAAAGACAAGCAAAAGCCCAGGTGCAAATAAGCAGCAGGAAGCCCTTCCCCACCCGCCCACAGGCAAAAGCCATGCAAAGACCGGCCCCTCCCTGGTCAAGGTTGTCGCCCCCAGGCATCTTTAGGGCCCCTAGTTCCTTGTTGCGTACTGGTAGAGTAACACTCTTTCTCGTGGCGGGCTTGCTTGATCCATTCCCTCGTCCTTGTCGTCCACTCACATCCCACGCCATCGTATCTGACAAACTTCGTTCTGTCGAATCTGCCCAATCGAACCTCTGCCCCAGGGTCGGTATCGAAGACTCTTCTTCTTCCATCGGCCAGCGGGTCCAGTTGGCATCATGGCTACCTCATCAGACCTCCACCGCCATCGCCGAGGGTCCTTGTCCTTGCACCAATGCTACGATGCGCAGATCAAGCCTCACCAGCGCTCTCGGCACCGCAGAAAGCTAGCCTCCCTCGCTCCTCCTTCTTGTTCCCCAGTGCCTGTCGGGAAACTCTCTGTTTCTTATCCTCTCCAAACTTGACCTCATAACCCCATCGACATCTGTGCACTGAGCTGTTCCGCGATCCAATTCTAGCTCGTCGTTGGAAGTACCACTCGGGCTGTCACTCCTCCCACCTACCGCATCACCAACACTCTGCATAAGCAACCGATCTTCGACGTGGATGAAAGCGTGACCTTTTATTGCACCTGTGTCAAACGGGCTGTTCGCTACCGCAAGTGGCGCTGAGCTGAAATCAGTCGTTGTTGCAAACATACCCTCCACACTCTCTCTGGTCTACAAATACAACGAACTCCCACCTGTCTCGAGCGCGCAAGACCTGAACAAACGAAGACAAGTTGGACACATCACCCTCCGAATATGGCCAACAAGGAGATAAACGTAGGGCCCATTGATGAAGGCGCCTTGCGCAGACACAGCGTGGGCACCGTTGAGATTCAGGATGCTCAAGGTCGGCGCAGGACGGTCCAATTGGACGAGCTGAATGCGGCCGATAGAGCTCTCGCCGAGCAGTTCGGATACAAGCCGGTATGTGGAATGCGGATTGCCGTCATTGAGTAACAAGAACGAGGCTGTTCTAACACCCCAACAGGTCTTTAAGCGCGAATTTGGCTACCTCTCCACCTTTTCTTTCGCCGTCAGTATCTCGGGCCTCTTTTCCACCACGGCTACCACCTTCATCTACCCGCTCGAAGCTGGTGGCGCCGCCTCGGTCGTGTGGTGCTGGCTGATCTCTGGTGCTGGATGTATCTGTATTGCCTTTTCCGTCGCTGAACTGGTCTCCGCCTATCCAACCTGTGGTGGCCTATACTACACCGTTTCTCGACTGGCTCCCCAGGAATGGGTTCCCTCAATCAGTTGGGTGGTCGGATGGATCAATCTTTTGGGACAGGTCGCCGGGATTGCCTCGTCTGAGTACGGCGCCGCTCAACTTCTCCTCGCTGCAGTGTCCATCGGCCGCGACTTTCAATGGTTCCCCACCACCAACCAGACAGTCGGAGTCATGGCGGCGTTGACCGTGCTCTGTGGGCTGGTCAACTCTCTTTCGACCTATTGGATGGAGAAAATGACCAAGACCTATGTCATTTACCATTTTGGAGTCTTACTCGCCTGTGCGATCGCCCTCCTCGCCGTGACCGACAACAAGCACGACGCCAGTTATGTGTTCACTCATGTGGAGGGCAGTGCCGGTTGGACACCTATTGGATGGTCCTTCTTGTTCGGTTTCTTGTCAGTGTCGTGGACAATGACGGATTATGACGCTACGGCCCACATTACCGAGGAGTAAGTCATGCAAGCTCTGCCGGTTGTGAAAGAACCGTTCGCTGACTCCTTTTTCCCAGAATCAACGAGCCCGAGATCAAAGCCCCGTGGGCTATCTCGCTTGCGATGCTCTGCACCTACGTTTTCGGATGGCTCTTCAACATTGTCCTCTGCTTCTGCATGGGCGACCCGGCCGAAATCCTGGCCTCTCCGATCTACCAACCTGTGGCTCAAATCTTCTACAATTCTCTGGGCAAGGGCGCCAGCATCTTCTTCACCGTGTCGGCATTCCTCATTCTGCAGTTTGTCTGCTGGACGGCAACGCAGGCGTTGGCGCGGACCGTGTTTGCCTTCTCCCGCGATCGCCTCATTCCCTTCTCCAAGGTTTGGACGAAAATCAACCGCTGGACGGGGACGCCACTCTACGCGGTATGGATCAGCATCTTCTGGTGCATTGCCATCAACCTGATCGCTTTGGGCTCCTACATCGCGATTGCGGGCGTGTTCAATGTGTGCGCCATCGCTCTCGACTGGTCGTACGTTATCCCCATTGCCTGCAAGCTTCTCTTCGGCAAGTTCAAGCCTGGGCCATGGCACCTGGGTAAATTCTCCTTCTTTGTTAACTTATGGGCCTGTACATGGACGTTGTTTGTCTCCATCATCTTCCTCATGCCCACTATCCGACCTGTCACGGCCGATAACATGAACTACGCCGTTGTCTTCTTGGCGTTTATCTTGCTGTGCGCCATGCTCTACTGGTACATTAGCGGCAAGAAATTCTACCACGGCCCACTTATCGAGGCAGAGATCCACGACGCCGAAGTGGACAGCGCCAGCTCTGCGATCGAGCAGGATGAGAAGAAGGGTGATCTCCGTGACCGCACGGTCAACTCTGCTGATATTGCCTAACTTGAGGGTTGTCATGGTTGATGAAGGAAAATTTGCGATTGCGTGCTGTCGTTCGCTTGTTGTCTTGGAAAATACCGGGAGAGGCCTGTGACGGGGCTGTGCAGTGGGATGGATGGTTATGGTTAATGGTTCTCGTCCGTCCCAGATATCCCAGCAGCACATATTTTTGTTTATTTACGCAAAAGCCAACGATGATGCCCTGAAGAACATTTCGTATCTTGTTGCGTTCGCGTTGCTCCCAGTAAAATGTTCAGTGAAAGTTCACGTTGACAATACAACTGTTCTCGTTATGTACTGGACAGTAGAGCAGAACAAAGCTCTCATCCACGACTGCTGAAGCCAACCAATCAACCACCTGGCCTGTGCAAATGCAAGTTCTAAGTGCTCCACACAGTAATGTAAGTACGTTGGTCGATCGATGGATTGGTGGATGGACTGACAGAACGAAGAAGAAGAGAGTCGTCAGTGAGCGAGCTTAGTTTTTCTTTTTCCCTTTTCTTTTCCTCCCCCCACCCCGTCCCAAAAGGGAGCAAACGGCGCTATTGGGGTGGGAACCGCTGGATCCGTCCGAGACAGCAGCAGCAGCAGCAAATTCACGGAAACTTCTTCCGAATTCGTAATACATAATCGCGGTTGTATGTATGGATGTATGTATGTAGGTCACCGCGGCCTCCTCGTCCATGACGTTGAGCGTTTTCTCCATCTCTCTTTCTCTTCTCTCCGTGTATACATACATAGAACTTGATTGAGGGCTTTCCTTCCTTTTCTTTTTCTTAACTACACGAATTCGTCAATCGATCGATCTAAATATCGCATGCTCCTTACTTACTTACTTGCTATTCGGGACATGGGCTGTAGTACAAGCATAATAACAAAGTAAAGTATTGTTGCGACTGGGACTGTGACTGGGACTGGGACTTGGACGTGTCAATTCACCTCACCTCTGCTCCATTTGAAGCACAATACAGAATAATACCGGTGGAGTACTTCGGAGTTGGGTTTTTTTTCCTGTGACAAACAGACACACAGTCTCTCTTGGTGTCTGGTAAATTAAATCATCAAAACAAAACATGTAGGTATTCAGAAAAAAGGATCAAAAATACACGATAAAATGTCAAAAACTTTCAGTACCATGGTGGATTAAGGTAATGATGGTCGTGGTAACAGTGGTACCAGTGGTAAAAGTGTAGTTATATGTTATTTTTTCTCTCTTTCTTCCCCTTTTTCTCCACAGCCTTGTTTTCGCATACAGGGAGAGCGACTAACTCGCTCCACTCTCGACTCTCCTCTGTCTGTCTGTCTGTCTGTCTCTTTGAATCAACTCACTACTAACACCATTACCACTTGGTGATTCAATCCACAGCACCTCTCGCATCGACGGTGCTTGGCATGGAACGGAACAAGAGACTTACATCTCTGGTTGCCCTTGAGACTTTTCCCGATCGTCGCGATATCACAGCACTCGCTCGCATGTTGGGGATGATCTTCGTCTATCCTCTTTTTATTATTATTTCTATTTCTGGTTTGAAATACCATCCACCCCGTTGATTTATTGGTTTTTGGGAAAAGAAAAGGTGCTTGCTCGAGAGTCCCTGTTTTCAAAAATACAGCGCCTGACATCTGCGTTGTCGAGATACACAACTCGTATTGGCGACCCGTGTTGGTTGATGCTCCACCCTGCACTCCACCACATGGCCTGCTTGCTCTTGGCCCGGTACACCTCCACCTCGTGCGAAGTGGAAGAAGATGAACCACTGGCACCTCTGGTCACGCAATACACGTTGGGTACTGAAGCCAATGCAGATCACAGCCCAACAACAAGACACGTCCAGCGGCCGCCGGCTATAAGTAGGCAGCCTGCCTCCTGCTTTGGCCATCTTCCATCTGCCATTTGGTGTACACCTCAGGTTCATTCATTCCTTGCCTTCACTCTTTACCATTCTCACCTGTTGACCCTGTCCTACTCCATCTTCACCGGCCCGGAAGCCCTCTTCAGCCTCAAGCGTTGCCGTGCAGGAACGCCTCAGCCCCAACGACGGTCACTTGCTTCTTGCCAGTCAAACACACCCAGTGGCAGACGTTCTCTCCGCACTCGAGACATATTCAAGGGGAAGATTCAGTTCACGTAACTCACCCCGTGGATATCGATGCCGTGCTGGTGCTGGTTGGCCATCGCCACTTCTCTCTTGGCCCTGGCAGGCATCGTTGTGAGCACCTTGTACGCCTGTAAGTTGAACCAAGAGAGAAACACAATTCCGAGCAGATGGCAGCCGAAGGAGAGGCTAACTCGTCTTGTGGAACAGTTGGGGTCTTTTGAAGACTTTGTCTTCACCGTGGCCAAGATGCGTTTCGCCGCAGTCGCAACCGCCGTGGCCTTGTTCGTGATGGGCACCGGTCTCCTCCTTGTCTCTGCCTTGCCCACTCACATCAACGATGCGGGCATCCAACCATTCGCGGGGGAAGACTCTCCTTTCGCATGCCACGGTGTCCTGGAGCACACCCCTGCCCGTCCTGCCGTCTTGCTAGGCGATGCAGGAGGCTCATCTGAAGAGGACGCAGAAGCAACCACGCCAGAGCCTCACGATCCGGCCGTGGAGGTGACGGCTGGCTTCGGGTCCACGTGGCCGGACCACATCGACACTATCGAGAGCACGCCGGCAGTCGACATGGAGCTCACGCCTCCAGACGACATGGAAGCCGTCCCGAGCCCGCTGGTTGAGGCAGAGGGTCACGGCGATGGCTACGTGGGCCAGTCCGTTGTGTACAACAACTGCAACTTTGCCGTGCACAGCAACATCGTGCACGGACCTCGTCCTGGAGATGAAGGACCACCCGAGGAGATTTACTCAATCCTCCAATCCCAGGATTCACTCAAGCATCCCTTCGCCCACGATCCTCGGATGGGCGTCAGCTGGAAATTGTGGCGGACTGGCGTCGAGAACACGGCACCCGTCCAGTTCGAGTGGACCTGGCACGACTCTTTCCAGCGGACCTGGTACGATCTGAGCATGATCAACGCCGGAGAGGTCGGATGGCTCAACGAAGACGCTCACCAGGGCGAAGCCATCGTTGGCGACGAGGATGGGCTGGGCGCCTACGTCGGCAGGGTCGCCATCAAGCATGCCTTCACCGACGAGGGAATGACCCTGACCCCGGGTATCGTCCAGGGCAACTGTGTCCCGATACGCTGTGCGCCCGGCGAGGAGTACTGCACGGCCTCGTACAATGCACACAACGACTGGGGCCAGCAGCATGACTGTGGGGAGGCCGTCGACTTGAAGTTGACGCTGTGTGGTTGAGGAAGGGGCGTAGGGTGTGCGAACATCTTGCTGGTGGACTTGGGGAGGGACTGGCAGCGCACAAAAGTTTTTTCGTCTTTGCTTTTCTGGGTGCTTCGTGTTGAGGGCTTTGAGAGGGCTTGTTGAAGTGTGGCCCGGGTTCCGAGCAAAGAAAGACGTCTGCTGCAGCGAAGGCGTTCGGTTGGATGGATTAAGGAGTTGGATAGACAGGTTTGGGTGGTTGAATCCATAGACTTTGATCGCAATAGAGCCCATCATCCATGGGAATGAATCGCACGCTTGATCACTTCCTCCAACTTGTCATTGAATCGGCGCTTGACCTGCCGGGCCAGAGCATTGTCAAGACACACTCTTGGCCACAGGCACAAGACCGGAGGGCCACTTCTCCAGCTAGTCCATGCTCGTGTCCCTGGGAGGGAAGAACAGTTTGGCAGTTCAAAGTCATGGTCTCTCAACCCTCCTTCCCACCGGCCAGTTTCTTCCGGAAGACTTTCCTCTCCACCTCACGGATCTTCTCTTTTTCTTCCATTTCGCGCTCGATCTCACGAGTCCGCGCCTCCCTCTCGTCGAGCTTCTGCTTCAGCAGCGCCGCCGTCTCCTCGCGCATGCGGGCTATTATCTCCTCTTCCGTTTCCTTCTCGGCCGTTGTCACTGCTGTTGCTGCTGCTGAAAGAATCTGTGCCCGGAGCTTTTCGAACCCGTATTTTTGCAGCTCGGCTTCTGTGAACGGCTGCAGGGTTATGGGATTCGTGTTCGGCGCGCTGGTCAGGGCGGCGTCTGAAACCTTCACGGACGGGAGCGAGGGATGGATTGGCGTGGTCCGTAAGGGTGAGTCGAGGGGGACGGGCCCGCCAGTGGTTTTGGGAAGAGTAGAGGCTGCTGCAGAAGCTTCTGTCTTGGGGGCAGTGGGCGAAGTCATGATCAAGTCACCTTCACCATCTTGAGCAGGTTGGTGCGAGGTTGGATCAGAGGGTAGTCCTGCTGCAGTGTTGGAGGGCTGATCTGTACTTCCGTCGAGAACAGGAATGTTTGCCTGCACCGGGCGTGGCGACAGCACTTTTGGCGGATCTTCTGCCATTCAGAAATCTCACAGGCAAAGGGTGTTGAATAAGTTGCGAGTGCTGCGAATGATTTCGAGGTACTCCGTACAGAAGCGTGTTGTTCTTGCGACTCCACCTTTGAGTATATACTCTGCCGTATGTACGCTACGGTGAGGCACATATATGCTATGTGAAATACCGATGGTTTATCCCCACGTCTTCCATGAATGCTGCCTAAACCAAAAATGAATGAATGATTTTGCTTCAAACGCGCAACGTAACAAACTGTCCTATCCCGGGAATCCCGTTTGCAACCACATACACAACATACGGCCCAGGAGCCAGTTTGATCTTTTCAGGCATGCGTGCCTCAACCATCCGCCGACCGTCGCTCAAGGTCTCGGCGCCATTGTTCTCGAGGTACACCATTACCTGGCCCATGTGAACCGAGTGCGTGATGAAGCCCCCACTGTAGAGGATAATGTCCAGCGTCTCGACCTGCTCCTTTGTGCTGAATTCGATGCTAAATCTGGTCCCTCTGGCGAGGCTGTAAGTCGACAGGCCGATGTCGCGGGGTCTTCGATACGACTTGTCACCACGGAGATATGGCGGGGTCCAAATCTCAATTCTGAATTCGGTGGGAAAGGCCTTGTACTGGTTGTTCATTTCGACATGTGGCAGCGTGACCGGCATTTCATTTGGATTGCTTCCGGCGATGAGGACTGTTCCATCCAGGAGTAAGATGGCCACAGAGTGATAAAGTCTCGCAATCGTGGTTCTCCCAGATACAGTCCATCTATATGATCGCGGGTCATAGACAAGAGCCTCCAAGGCTGGGTCGCGGGCCAGGCCAAACCCTTGAGCACCAATGTGACAGCCGTTGATCCAGAGCACGGTGCCATCGAGAAGTAAGACAGCTTCTACCATTCCTCGAGGCCCTAGCATTCCAGTCATATGCCACTTTGGATTCTGGCTCATCGGTTTCAGCCGTCCGCAACTTGCTTCACACCGGCTGTCAATTGCTTGTGTTTGTCCGCCACCACAGATCATGATTTCAGGCTCATAGTTGTTCCCTGCGCTAAGAGGTAGCATGACGCTACCACCCGTGTTGGGATAGGTTCTGTGCATTCCGGGCATGGTGGGCATTTTCTTGATGGTTTCGTTGGCTGCTGCGTCAAAGATTTCTGAGGAAGTATCTGCAAAGATGAAGAGTGAGCCATCGGGCATTAGGTGCAGGAAGGGGTACATCTAGTACGGCATTGTGTTGACCAAGATGTCCATCGGTATATTTTGGCCGTCGCTGACACCATTCGCATCGAGGATTTCGTAGGTAGGGTTGTTGTTGCTGAAATTATATTGACTTTGTCCATTCAAGCTCCCTGCTGCCACAAAGATCTTGCCGTCTGCCAGAGTCTGTGCCGAGGCATACCATCTGTTGGAGGCCAGTTTATTCCCGGGCTCTTTCCATTGATAGTCACCGCCTTCATTTCCGATGTATCGGATCGCATCAAATCCGTCCTCGACTGTTGGATCGAGCCACAGCAAGGGAGCGTTGCCGCCAACAGTGACAAGCCGACCATCCGCCAGGAAGGTACCACCACAGCAAAAGGGGTTTGTCGCGACAGACAGTGGAGTAAGGTAGTGTGTGTCGGGGTCGTAGAGCGCGGAATATGCCCAACGGTTGTTCGGCAACCGCAGTTCTGAGTAGTCTTCAACTTTGTCCAGAAACACTACTTTGCCTGAAGGAGGTAAGACTGCAGCGTGCATCACAGGCACTCCGGAGAGTGCGATAACGCTGAAATAACTGTTACCGATGTCCATAGGTAAGATATTTGTGTATCGACCCGATGAGCCAGATGATGTGGGAAGAGTTCGTCATAAGAGTTTGGTCGAAGAATGATGGGAAGGCTGGAAGGAGCGCCTCATATTTCTCAATTGCTTTCGAAACGCAATCATCCTCCCTTCCAAATGCCCCAAAGACCGATCAAGTCGCCCATTCGATCCTTGACCACCTCAATTACCTGCTCCCCAGGCCTGTTCAGCCTCCCTCTTTCTTGGACTCGCCCGAAGCCGTCGTGCGCGACAACAATTCGATCGAGATTTGCCTCCAGTGTCCTCGCTAATGATTCATGTCCACAGTAAAGCCTCAAAGTCTCACCGTTAGAACCGGCAAACACCGACTCGAGTTGGATAGTCCCATGCATCCTCCTAGCTCTTGCTGCATCTTGATGCGACTGCGGGCCGTGGGCTACCCCAGCCTCAAGAGCAACGTCCACAAGGACAAGGACGTCTCTTGATATCCGTGAAATTTGCGTGATATTTCTCATCAGGTTCCCAAGCAACGCGTTGCTTTGAACGAGGCCACTCCGACGATGTGTGGCTGACACAGTCTGACCTAAGCCTTGGATCAAGACGATGTCTTTGGGCAGAGTGCATCTGCCAACGTCTGCTGTCACCGGCTCGTGGGTCGCATGGCTCCTTCGGAACAGATCTTGACTGATCTCCGCCAAGCTCTCTGCCAGTCCCGCGAGGTCAAAATACTGTAACAGTCGCACGGGTTTGAGAAGCTCGATCGCGGCTTGAGAATCAGAGATGATGTTTGCCAGAAGAACGTGGAGCATTGGAAGTGTTTGAGAGGTATGAGGAGTCACCAGGTATACGTTTGGCGCTGCATTTGAAGTCGCTTGGGCTCGCACCTGGGAGCTGAAGAGTGCTGCGGCAAGGGTGTGTAAAATCAATGATCTCTGGATCCTCGTGAGGTGGTCAGTTGTTCTTCGTCTGAGCTTCTGAGCCATGTTCTTAAAGGAGCGACCGAGCACTCACCTTTCTTCTCAGTGAACCATGCTCCTCTTTATCAGTTGATCCGATCCCAATGACATTCCCACCCCTCCATAGAGCGGCGAATGACCTGTCGAGGCCTTCGATTTGGATTCCAAGAGCAGGAGCGATTTCTTGCGGCTTCAAGGCATTTGGATGAGCACAGGCTCCCTCGACGTCGAGGAGCATTGATGCCCGAATGGGCTCGACGACGGTTGGAGCCATCGTGCGGAATCTGAGTCAGCCGGAAGAAAAGAGAAGATGAGCAAGGAGCCCCCATCGATTGAGCGGCGGTCTAAGCATAGGCTTCGAGATCTATGGAGACATAGAGACAGGAGATGGATATTGAAGAAGAAATGGATCCAAGTGTCGTTGTTCAAATGACATCTCTATCGTCATTTGAATTCTATGAATTGTACGGACTGGTGCCCCTCTCTCTTGTCGGGTTTGTATCTTGAAGAACAATTCAGATTCATTAACTTGATTGAGCTTTGACCATAGAGACAGTATCTCGTAGAAACTCTCGCGAGTCTAACTTGTAACAAACAACCAAACACAATAGAAACAACAGGAAACGCTCATTTTGCACAACTTATGGCCACATAAAGCCACTGCCCAGTAATGTACAATCCAGGATGTTCTCATTACTCCAACCCATCAATAAGGAGGCCGAATGAGCCGGCCGGTTCGGTTTTCCTTCTGCATATCCCCTGCTGCGTCTGCAATGGGAATAGGAATGGCCGCCAACAGTGACCCCAGATCGAACTTTTCATTTGGAGATGAGGATAGTGACGTCGGCCCCTTGCGGCTTGTTGGCCGGGAGGCCTTTCGAAGGCTTTGCTTCTCTCGCACTGGAGACGGCGAATATGCTTTGCTCGTGGTTTTTCGTGATTCAGGACTTTCTGGCACGCCTGGGGCTGCTGTATCCGGCGATGTCTCTGCTGGTCGCGCAGGCGAAGTATCACGGGGCCATGTACCCGGAAGGTTGAGGGTTGACGGGATCTTTGGCACGGGCGGCACTGTTGCATCCGTACGAGGATCGATTGTGACGCTCGGCAGCGTCGCTTGATCGTGGTATGTGACCTCTTTCTGGTCCCTTTGATCTGCCGTCTTCGCGTTGGTTGAGGATGATGTCTGCGGCCTAGGCGGACCGCTGACGAGAGCCTGGTCGTTCGGGCTACCACTAGCTGCTACGTCGAGGAAGGACGGGTTTCGATCGTCAGCATCATCCCAACTAAGCATGCTGCTGCTGCTTCCGCTGCTCGCCGTACTCCTTCGAGAACTTGCCTGCGGTCTCCGCAGCGGACTCTGTCGCCTCCCAGAAACGCCGTAGCCGGAGAGCGCTCTTTTCAAATCAGTAACCCTCACCGTGGAATCTCTGCTGGACGTGGTCGGGACCCTTGCAGGAGACCCGGTGGCACTCGCCCTTCGAACCTGGGTGAGGCTTCCTAATCCGCCAGTAAGACCGTATGTTGGGGTTGTGGTGCCATTCACAGCCCCTGTTGACTCTTTCCCATTCACCGAGCCAAACGGACGAGCAGCACCATTGAGACCGAGGTGTTGTTTGGGGATGGAAGATGCCCCAGTTCGAGATCCGGTCACAGATGCGGCACTCTCCTTCTCGACCGCAGCAATGCATGCTTCTCTGCTCCACCCTGCGGCCATCTCGTCCTTGACCTTTTGTGGAAGCTGGTCCTCTCTCGAGGGCTTCGGTTGAGGAGCGGCTCCGTAACCGTAGCCAAATCCAAGACTCGGAACCGAGAAAATTCTGCCAGGTGAGGATGGGGCAGAGGTTGGCGGCGTCAGCAAAGTGCTGTCATATGCAGATGCAATTTCCTCCACAATGTTTGCAATTGACAAGAACGGCTTGATGGTTTCGACGGCTTCTTCATTATAGAGCGGGGGCTTCTGATCCCCCTTCCGAAGATGTCTGATGTCCTCGACGGACAGGGCAGGAAATTTGACCCTTTCGAGCCAGATCCCAAAGCGTTTCCTCCTAGAGATCTCTGCGTTGATCTCCTGGCCGATTGGGCTTGTCTCAAAGTCAAAATTGTCCGCGATCGTCCACAGATAGCCATGCACCACACTCGCGACGTTGACTCGTCCAGACGTGGAGACGACCTCTCCATTAAGAGCTGTTTCCTGGAGTCTCAGGATCATGGGCAAGCCACTGCGAACCGCGTTGACGCCGAGACGTTCAACCAATTTGGTTAAGAGGAGGTAGAGAAGAAGCAGATTCGATTCGTTCTCAACATCCTCCAGGACGCTGTCGTAAACAGCGAGATGGAGTAGAGCAAGGAAGTTGGATCTCGTAGGTTTGTTTTCTTTGCGAGATGCGCTCGAGACCGCCCTCTTAGCCACGCCGTTCTCGCCCAGGTGTTTCTTAGACTGCGCTTGCTTTCGATTGCCGTCTCGGGGCAGAAGCATGTCGCTCTTGGTGGTTTCAAGCTTGAGCCAGGCCAGTAATGCGTCGACGTACGCAAATCTCACCTCATGGTCTTCATCCTTGAGAAGCCACTGGGTGCCTTCCCACACTTGCACCCCGACCCGTGCACGTGCTTCGATGGGTGCTCCTGTTGCGCTTCGTCTGCTATTGGCGCGGACCAAGATTTCTTTGATGACTCGGCAAGCAGCGACCCGCGCAGTTGCGAACGAGAAGAACGTAGAGGTGTTGGTGTCTTCGTGGATGTTCGCAGACTCCGCAATTGCTTTTGTTGCGGCTGCTGGGTCATTAATCGCCGCTGCCGATGTTGGGACGTCCGACTGTGGTGATGGTTTCAGCCGCGCAAGGATTGCTGTCAGCATGTCACTGATCTGGTCTGTGTAGTAGATGTGGTTGGAAAGGGAAGCGATGCATTTCTGCAACCTCTCCAGCAATTCTTGCCGGACGGGCGATGCGGTTAGCTCTTTAGAAGGCGTTCGGGACATTTTGTTTTCGGTCAAGATTGAGCCTGGATCGAATGCCTCCTTGGCTTCTCGATAGAAGCCGAGAGTGTCCTCTCGATGTGGCTGTGGCATACGAGCATTGGGTCCACCAAGCTGGAGGAGAACCAGCATGTGCTGAATGAATCCGAGCAGAACATCCATGACGCTCAATCCAATGAGATTGACAGGCGAACTGAGAAGCCAATCGATCATGGTCGTGAGGACCAGCTGTTTTTCCAGGACGCCTTCCGCCACGGGGCTTCTGACCAATGTTTCCATGGCGGTGACGACGATAATGAAACGATCTTGAACGGGCGTCCATCTCGCAATTGCTTCAAACAGAGACGTCGCCCAGTTGCCGGTTCTTGATGTTTCCGGGGTAACTTTGGGCGGGTTTTTCGAAGCAATGAACTTCAGGGTCAAAGCTGTTGCCAACCTCGTTTGACCTCTTGTACTTCCAATACCGACAGAGAAGATTTGTTTCAGGCATCTCAGTGCCAAGGCTCTAACCTCGTCTTCGGCGACCTTGTCCGCCCCTGCAGTGGTCTCCACGGCGGCAGCTGGATCGCCGTCAATGGTGTCGACGGTCGTGACGGTGGCAATACTCATGCGCCTCCTCCTAGCCGATTCATCGTCCATCCTCTCGCTTGTCTTTGCTCGCTGCTGCAATGTAGACAGGATGTTCTCTTCTTCTAGCGACATGTTCTCCAGAATCACCGGCATGACCAGGTTCAGTTGTCGACTAGAATCCACGGCCAAAGCGTCAGAGGCCACGACGGCCCGAATGGCCCGGAGCCCGATTCTCCGCCATCTCAGAGAGAGCGGGATGGAGTCGCCTTGTTTCTTATCGGAGGGTTTTGTTTTCAAGGCAAATCCCGCGTAGTGCTGCACCAGGGAGATATATTGCTGAGCCCGCTGCTGATCGGCCGTGAGCGAGGCGACATCCACATATTTACAGTATGCTTCAAATGTGGGAATCGAGTCTTCCACCATGTTCACGTCTTTCGACCGTAGGACCGAATCGAGGATGGTGAGAACGGATCTGGAATAAAGGGAGAGGTCGCGGGGCGCTTTCTCAATGATGGCAGCGAGGATCTGAAGGGTGACCTGGACATTGCTGGATCTCGATTAGCAACGATCGTGACAGAGACATTGGGATGCGCACCCGAGCCTTCCTTTCCAGACATCGCCGGCGTTCTTCTTCTCGAGGAATGCGCCGACCTTCTGCAGCTTGTTGCGACGAGTGGATGCATAATAAAGCAAGTAGCTGAGCTCGGAGGACATGGGCTTAACCTCCTGAACATTCTTCTGGTATTTGGGATAGCATTTCAGGACAAGGACCTGGTGTTTGGGGCGGCATTTCTGCTTCGCACTGTGAATAGGGTTGAGTAGGGAGCTCATGGCGACGGTGGCGGACGTCGGAGTGGGAGATTGACGGAGCTGTCATGGGGGGTTTGGACCAGATTGTCACGTTGTCACCGGATATCGCGTCGCATGATGGGACGGTGGGATGAACGTTGCAGGAGCATCTTGGTGAGACTGGGATGTGAACACAGAGACGGGGCCAGTCGACGCCAGGAAATCTTCTGCAAGATGACGACGAGGTTTGACGAGGTTTCCCCGAACGGCGTGGGAATTGGAAGGTCCACGGCCAGAGTGTTTGGTGTGTTTGCTCCACCAATATCTCAGAATGACCCGGATACGAGGAGCTCTCTCTCGCTACCGATTTCCTTGGAAGTTGTCCAGGTGGACTCAGTTTCCTCTCCACGTCCGGATATACCATTCCAGGCCATCTATGGATCATCTATTCCCGTTCTCCATCACCCGGACTGTGTTTCTCCCCGGATGATACCATCCCGTTGCTGCATAATCGCGAATGCTCTCTGAATGTCCTCTGCCCGCACGTGGTTTTGTGCAGCCACTGGGGATGAATTATGTATGCCACGGTAACTTCTCTCCGAATCTCCAGAGTCCAGACCCCTGCTCAAATGGAGTCAAACCCCAATTCCCATGTGGACGATGACCCCGGCTTGTGCCATTGACCGAGGGCAGGGCTAGACCATTGCACTCTACTTTGTCAATGATCTCTGATGAATAGATCTGGGGTATTCGGCTTATTTGTAAGTGGGAGAGCCATCGAATGACGTGCAACACCCCAAGCTTTCTTTGAAAAGGACGCTGTCGATATTATACATTGTACACACTCTACAGGAGACCGTGAGCAAGGTGACTTATTGGATGAGACCACCCACAGATCCAGCAAGTGTGGACACAGGATCCCTGTGAGGCAGCCTCTCGGTCCCAGATATGAGAACAGACATCCCTACTCGGCTTGAAGCTCTGGAATGCTGCTGTGGAGTGCTATGGGGACGGTGCCAACAACATTCATCTTGTCGCCAGCTTTGCAAGAAGCAGTGAGGCAAAGACGAGACTGAAGTCTGAACATACGATGGTTTGCATAGCGGTGCCTATTTCCTGCACCATGTCACAATCCTTTCCTGTCCTGAATGCCAATCAAACGATCATATTACCAAGCTTCATTGGGCGGTCATCTAATCTTGAGCCAAGATCAGAGTAACTGTCTGCTAAATGCAAGAGGAACGACATAATATCAAGCAGAGGTGAAGAGGACCAAACGGTAGCTGAACCCCATGAACCGTTCTTGCTACATCTGCATGGCAAGTCCAGTGTCCAGTCAATGTGATTTTATTGAAGGCTGTCAGATCTCACTGGCACTTTACAAACAATATCACTGTCACTTCTCTTGTTTGCTTGTTTGTTCTCACATGCGCCTCAGGTACCGATCATTAGCATATTGCCGGTCTATTTGCTCTTCTGAGTGACAGGATCAATCACCAACATGTCACCGGGCGTGAATATAAGTCAACATTCACGCCCCATCTTCACGTGTGCCTTCTACCTTCCTACTCCATGGTATAAATATCTCTCTCCCACAGCTTCAGAGACCTTGCTTTCTTCTCTTCTCTAACAACCGCTCAACAGCCTTGCTCTTGCTTGCAACAGTCAAACAATCGCCCTTACAATCAAAATTCACATCAACGTCAACGTCAACGTCAACACCACTGCAAGAGTCTTCGAGATGCAGTCCAAGATGATGCTCACTGTTGCTTCTGTCCTCGCTTTCTCGTCTGTCTCTCTTGCTGGGCTCATGCCAAAGTCTCCCAGTACGGATATCGCTATGAAGATCGGCTGTGTAAGTTCCACCTCTCCGGGACAGAGTTCCTATCTTTGCACTCTCAACACCTTGAAGCTGACACACAGATGTAGTATCCGACCGGAAATGCTGCCGACCCCGACACCGCCATGGCATGGGATCTCTCCACCTGCGATGGCCAGCTCAATGGTGACAACTGTCTTCGCTTCTGCACCTGGTGAGATTCCACGTCCGACAGTGAAATGTGTCAGCGGAAACTGACTTTACTTATACAGCAACGAGGAATCCCAGATTGTCTGTGACAGCAGTGCCATGGCTGGTTGCAACGACAAGCAGATGGCGGCTGGTTGCTCTGCCACTGGCAACAGCCACTGGTATTGCAGCTGCTGGCCCGCTAAGGCTTGAGTGGTGGACAAGAGCAAGGCTGTCTTTTGAGTGCTGGAATGGAGCACCTGGCTGCAAGAGAAAGCACTTCCCTTCGCAGCAGCTATGACGCCTTAACTAGATCTGCAATCTGCCAGAACTTTGGATGATTGCCAACACCGCCATCACCACCTTTGACAGAGTACATCGAAACAGAAATCGCCTTTCGAGACAGGTACAGCCTCCATGGTGAGATGCTGTAAGGGGCGTGCCTCTGAAAGTTTCTGGGGCGACGACAGGAGAAGAAAGGGAATTGCATGCAGTGGGTATGGGTTTTTGGAACGGACAGGTGGGAAAAGCTGCATCTGACAGCAATGCCATGAGCAGATCCGCCAGTATCAACAAATAGACCAACCCCATAACAATCAATCACACGAAAAAAAGAGGTTTTTGCTCACGCAATAATATAGCGAGTTCCTACGTTTCGGTTTCCCCTTGGGTTTCTTTCCATGGACACAACAATAATGTGGCCACCCATACATTCCCGCCCGGCACACACACATACAGATAGATGCATACCACAATCCCTCTCCACCCCTTTCACAGATCGAATCAAGCCTCCTGCGCATCCGTTACACCCTCAATGATGACCCAAAAGGTGCGGACCTTGTCGTGGTCGACGATCAACACATCCGCGCCCTTGACCTTGACATCCACCTCTCCGGAGCCCTCGTCCTGCGGCCCAAACCCCCAGGCGAGATAGACCATATCGTGGTTGCGCTGCACGCGGCCCACGGGCACGAACCTCCAGCCCGCGCGGGCGGCGAGCAGCTGCTCGGCCTTGGCATTGACGCCGTCGTGACCCGTGGCGACCGCGTCCGGCTCGTAGAAGGTTACGTCGGCGGTGTACGTCTCGAGGATGGCCGCGAGGCGCGACTCGGCGTCCCGGTTGCTGAACACCGAGAGCAGGTTGCTGTATGCTAGCTTGTGGGCGACCGCGGCGGAGACGGGCTCGGGGGGCATGGCTTTGAATAAGGTATTCGGTGTCGTCTGTTTTGTTTTGTTACGTTGAGAGAGGGAGCGGCAATGGGGAGGTGACGTTGGTTTATATATGTATGTATCTCTCTCTCTCTCTCTCTCTCTCTCTCTCTCTCTCTCTCTCTCTGTGGAGTAGGTCTGAATGCGATGGTTGAGCACGAAGCAACTCAGCATTCGCCAATTACCTGGTCAAACTGTTATTATATACAAACCACATCTTGGTACTCAGTGCTCGCCGGTCAACTTCCCCGGTGTAGATGTGTGCCTGAAGCCACGGGATTGCACAGTCCCGTCCGCCCGGACCAAGATCCCACGCGCGCATCCGGCAAGATGACAAGGAAACACAACACAATCAATCTCTCTGTTGATTGAGAGCGGTGGTGGGTAGGTTTACGCAAGAGCTTACATTAAGGCTCCACCATTCGGACGATGGACGCACGGACCATAATCAGCGCGTAAGCCAGTATATCGAAAAGGGACACAAAGCAGTTGATTAATTAGTTCTTGTCTTTACTAATCACAACGGACTGGACAGGTCACGCATAGGTGGTGGGTGACTCAAGAACTGTGAAGGCTGAGTCTATCGGGATACAGGACTTTTTTGTATTGTCCTCGAGCATGCCTCCTATCCGGAAATGCAAGCATGGTACTGGAGCTATTGGTACCCAGACCTTGTATCCAGACAAAATCCTACCCATGCCACTGTTCCAGCAAATTACTATAGTCCCCAATGACCAGCCCACAGTACAGACCACTTGAATTCCATCTCAACGGCCCTAAAACCGACTGACATCCCTCCCGAATACCTTGACAGCCACCCATTGCACCACGACAAGGAACTTGTTCCTCCAACTCAGCGTCATGGTGAGATAGGCGCCTCTCCAGATCAGGTACGCGGCCAACCCTTTGATGCCCTTCGCGGCACCACCACCCTTGCCGTCCCCGTTCCCGTTTCCTCCCTGGAGGATGGCCTTGGCTCCTCCGAGATATGTCAAGACCCCCATGTTCCTGAATGTGAAGCCTTGCTGTTTCCGAAACTCTTCGGGTGAAGGGTACTTGTTCAGCGTCTTCCCCAGCCAGAGGGCCTGCTGATTCGCGACTTGCGCCGTCGCCGGCAGGGCCCCAGACATCAATTTGCTGGTATCGCCTAATGCAAAAACGTCTTGCATGTACGCCTTGGGCTTCTCGTCTTCCTTCATGCCCTCGGCGCATTCTGTCGTAAGGTGCACCCGGAAGTGGTCATCGACCAAGATGACGCCGGTTTTGGCATCACGCTGGATGATCCACTGTCGTTGCATCGGGTCGGTCACTTTGCCCTGAGTGATTTGTGCCGACTCTGTCGGGAATCGACGCACATGATCGAGCGCTTTCATCACAAAGGGGTTGTTCATGTTTCCCGTGGACCACACGCACATGCCAATGCCGACGTCACCTTCTTCTTTGGTACGGATGGTGTAGACGCGTCCCTTGACTTGACTGTCCTGGTCCTGGCGAGCTTGTTCGTCGTTGGGGAACCCCTTCCGGAGCTCTTCGACATTGTGAGAGGTCTTAATTTCAATGTTCTGGCGTCGGTACTGTTTGACAGCGTAGTCGGCGAGTGAGGCATCGAACATGGGCAGGACTTTGGGGGCGACGTCGTAGAGACTGATGCGAACGAACTTCATCAGCTCCGGGTGGATTTTGGACAGGTCGTCTCTCAGCAAATCCGACAGGCACGCGGCGAATTCCATGCCCGTGGGACCACCACCCACCACCGCAAAGTGCAGGAGGTGCTTCTTGGTGTCTTCGGGGATGATAGGCAACCGTGCGAGTTCGAATAATTCCAAGATGCGACGACGGATGGCAACTGCATCCCTTACGTCTTTGAGGAACCATGCATTTTCTCTCACGCCCTTGGTGCCGAAGGTCTGACTATAGGTACCGACGGCAATGATCAATTTATCGTAGTGTATGGGGAACGTAGGAACTTGATCTGAGCCGGTCCCACCCATCTGCACCTGCTTTTCCCATGGCCCATGAGGGAAGACACCTTTTTTAGCGTACCCCCTGGCCGTCTGCTGTTCGTTCGGTTTCCTGGGGCCGGTCAATGCGTGACCAACGTCCGGATCGAGGACTGAGGGTTCAATGGTGACCGTCCTGTCCGCAAAGTTGACGTCGTCTGCCCAGCCCTGAATGTACTCTAAGCTACTCTTTTTCTTCCTCACAGACTCGAGCACGTTTCGGAATTCGAGGGTCCCCACGGTGGTGTCGTTGAGGAGAGGGGTGAAGACAAAGTAGGAGCGCGGGGAGACGATAACGACGCGGTATTTTCTCTTGTCCAGCTGTCGGCCTAGCACATAACCTGTTGATGCTGGGTAAGTACACCCCTGGGAGCAACAGTCGAAGACGAGACGGGTACAGTACCTGCCCAACCACTACCGAGAATCACCACCTTTTCTCTGGGATCATTCGAATCTATGTCTGCAACCTTGATGTCGACAGGCGTCGCGAACCTCCGTCTTTGCGAATAACTTCCAGAGACCTGACCAGACCGCAACCCAGCTTTTTGTGACCTGGACTCGCATATGGCAGCCCTAAGGTGCCTCTGCCATTTGGGGAGCATTGAACAACGCAGCGTGATGGGCTTCATAGTGTTGGCCTTGCTGGCATCCTGATGGTACAAACTTACCGGGGAGACAACGAAGTAAACTATTGCTCACGGCCACCTGAACGGATAGAATTGTCATACTGGGCGTGTTGGGGCCGCCATAGGTTGATATCAACAAACCCCCCCATGGATGAGCGGAGGTTACCTTGCGTCGAGGCCCCAGCAGGAAAAGGACATCTGCTTCCCCGAAAACAACTGCGGAGCGTACATCAATGGTATTTCCCTACGTCATTTTGACATCTCCTTTCTCCCAGGACGATCCGGATATGAAGGACGGGCCCTAGGGCAGTGACCAAAATCAAGGCGTACTGCGTAATGTGGCCGTCACCAAGTGTAGGACTGAAATGAAAGATAAAAAATGAGAGGCGCCGCCGGAGGCCGAAGTTGGTGTTGGCTCGCTGGCGGAACTCGCCAAGCTTCACTGGCTCACTAGGCGTCTCGTTCACCGAACAAAGGGGGTGGACAACACGGCTCACTAGGCTTGCCTGGGGCCCGCAACGGCGCCCCCAGCTGATAACCACCTGGGTGAAGTGTGCCTAATGGTCCCTAAGATGGAGTACCTGTCCTTACCCGTCGGCTTGGTGAGGCTCAACAAACTTATCTCCCTCTTAGATAAGATCCGGAACCCAACTCCCCCCAGCCTCCTGCTATCACCCCCTATTGCTCAGCCTCACTAGCCTCACCTGGCTGGTCAGGGGGAGATTGTCCCAACGTCCACCAGTGAAATCAATGATACTACGATGCAGCATTGGCCAACACCTCAAAGCTTTGTATGGCTGTTCTTGAAGCTCGTGTCATCATTTCATGTTAGCTTGCTGGACTGGACTGGTCAGACCTTGTCTTAGCCTCGAGTGCCGCGAAATAGCAACAAAGGCCGACAACAGTCCCTAACTCGACGTGCATATATACATGACGCCTATCCCGCCCAGATCTTTTTCCCATGCATTTCCATGACCAACGCCTCGCACACAATCTGTTGCTGGTTGCTGTGGCCGCAGCCATGATAATGACCAAGCTCTGTTTTGACACTCGTTTGACGCCGTGCTCCCAGGAAATTTCGGCGTGTGCCTAAGAATGGCCCCTAACCGAACACTGGCAGTAGCTCCGCCTCTGAATATACGCTCTCCGTTGTGACTCCACGCCCTGATACCATGCTGGAGAGAAAATGAGTGAGCCTTCGGGCGCTGATGACCCGTCTGAAGAAGTGAATGAGATAGTTTGTCCAACGAAATGAAATCCTGGCGTTCTGGCATCGACTCCTCATCTCTCCGACCTTTGCCAGGAGTTGAGATAGGCCATTAGTCCAACCCCGATGAGAACTACACCCAACATAGACACATACGGTGCTGACTGGGCAATGGCATCTGGATTGGCGCTTTTGTCCCGTAGAACTGTTGCCACGGCCCGCTCAAGATGCTCAGGTAGCCTCGGTGCGCGGACGTGGCCGTTTGCGTGTGCGACAGTCTTGATCAGGGACGTCGAGCTTGGCTCCTCTTCCTCCGCCCCAATCACCTCGGCGCTCTCATCATCCTGGGTACGTGATTGTTTTTCATGAGATTTCCTTGCAGATGATTCTGCTTTCTCATTCTCTTCTCGGATCTTGTCGATCATCTCGGCGAGGCTTTTCCGGGCATTGGCGGCATCGGCCTCCGCCGTCTCTGCGCGACGCTGAAATTGATCCACGTCTGCTTTTAGTCTCTGCATCTCCCCTAGAACTTGATCCAGGTTCTGCTGCAGAGTCTTCGTTCGCGCATCAAGCTCGCCGTCTGCGTCGGGTCTTGCCTCCTCCTCGACAGCTTTTGTGTCGTGGGTGGAATCTGTCGGTGTCTGTGATTCCTCTTCAACGGCTGAGACTGGTCGTGATGCCGCGTGTTGTTCGAGCTTCCGAGCTCGTTCCTCAGCATCCTCTCTGGCTGATCGCTCCTGCCTGAGCATATCTTCCAGTTGCTTTACTCGAGCTCCTTGAGAGTCGAGCTCCTTTTTTGCGATGGACAACGCCTCAATGAGAGACAACATTTGACTGTTCTGAGCATTTGTGGGAGAATGTGACGCGTTGTTGGTCTGTTTGGCGGTTTCCCCGCGTTTCAGGAGATTCGTGAACGATGTTGTGACGGGGCTTGGTTTCGAGGCGTCTGGCTTCTCTGGTAGCGGTTGTTGTGGTGGCGGCGCTGGGGGATCGGCGAAGCGGGCCATATGCTCCAGCTTGGGGGCCTTAGCACGGCCGTTAGACTGCCGTTGAGGAACATTTTCTTTTGATGAGGGTTGAGGCCGAGGAGCTTCGGCCCCAGGTGTCAACAACGAGTTCAGAAAAGCACCCGCCTGGTCAAGTTCCTCCGCCTGCTGTTTTGCTGCCCGCATCTCCAACTAGGTCTTAGTGTTAGTTTCTGGGGTTCTGAAGAGTCATATGTAGTGACTTACGGCGACTGTCTTGACCAGTTGTTCCACATTCAACGGCGTGGCACCCCACATATTCATTCGTTGCTGCGCAATTGAACTCATCTGGCCGCCTGCAACGCTTGAAGGTGCGGAAGCCCGTCCATTTGTTGCCGGTCCTCCGGGTCGGCTTCGACTGTGAAGCATCGGTGAGCTGACAGGCGATGGCAATAGCCCACCACCATGTGAGGGATCCAGGTCGCCGAAAGTCAGATCGAGCACGTTGTTGGTCGTCCCAGGCAGCCCCACATACTCGACCTTGGCTGAAACTTTGTGGTGGACAATGGTCTTTTGATCTTCACTCACGATATCAATGCCCAACTCTAAAGTGTCGTGTTGGCGGAGTTCATGGGGCTCAGATTCTCGATTTTCCGGCGAGAGTCGCTGTCCGTTGACAAACGTGCCGTTTGATGATTTGACGTCTCTGATAAACACTTTCCCCGTGCGGTCCGCCCACACTTCGGCATGTTGTCGTGACAGGACCTTAGAGTCGAAATATCCATTCACCGGAGTCGGGACAGTCTTTGCATTTGTTTGTCGGCCGATGCGAAGGACTTCTGGATAAAAGGGGAGATTGATTTGTTTCCTCTCGAAAGTGCCATTCATAGGCAACAGCGCCAAAATCGCCGCCGGCTCCCCCGCGACCGCTCCGTTGACGACTCTTGCCCCATTCATCTGGGCCGTAGGACTTTGATTGGGGAGCGCTGGCTGTACCGGACTCTTTCCTACCAACGAGTTTCCAATCGCTGTCTGAAGCGACCCATTTGCCCGGGCATTGGAGACACTCGCGGTCGATTCTGATTTAGAAACAGGCCAGAATCCTCCCCTTGCCTTTTTCTTTGCTCCATGGGCGGGTTCTGACGAGCTGTCATTCTGGGTGAGGGTGACCGTTGACCCAGACGAACTGGTGGATGAGAGTGATGAGGACGAATTGCTCCTCTGCACAGTCTTGCGCTGAGGTAAAAACATGCGAGACACTTCGTCAGTGCTCATCGCGGAAAACCCTCCTCCTGTGCCGCTTAGACCATTCCAATTAATCCTGGAGATATTTGGGAAGCTAGGGGGCGATGCCACAGCAGTCGTCATCGGGAGGTAAGAGGACGAGGAATCAGTCGTATCACTACGGTAGGTATTTTACACTCTCGCGAGGCTTCGTATCGGGGATATGTGGGAGGGAGAAGTGACAGGAACGGAGAAAAGCAGAGATTCGTCGTTGTGCCTGGCCGTCATGTGTCGGATCTCGAGGAGTTAGACGGGGTGGATCTGAGGTCTGAGATATTGTGTCAATCAACATGCCCATGCCACGACGTTTGGGCAGATTATTGAAAAGAGGATCATGATAGCATCTGGTTCGAGGACATACAGGGGATGTAGATCGAGTTCGGGAAGGAAAAGGGCTGCTCGCGTGCAGACGTCTGAATAGCGAGGGGTCTGACGGGCACAACTTGGGCCTGACCACTGAGCTCCGGCAGTTCAAAAGAGAGTCGAATTTAAAGTCGGGCAAGCGTGACAGTAGGTCAAAGGGATTCCGTTGCCATCGGGCAATTGATTGCAGGCGACGGGTGGCTGTCTGGGGTTGTTTCTGATGTTCACGAGGATGCGACTCGTGGTTCTGTAGCAGTTCAGATTGACGCTCTGGAACTTGTGGAAACTCTCCCCGAGCCAACGGCTCGACGGCTAGAGGAGGATCACGTGCTCAGCCCGGCCCGTGCTCGGCGGCAGTTCTATCCACTCCGATTGGCATCGACGGGGGCATCTATCGTCACGCCCACTACACCCTCACCTTACCTTCTCCAATTTGCTCTTTGTTTAGCAGCCATCCGTGTCACTGCTTTGTGCAAGAACTGTAAGGACAGCGAAAACAACAGCGGCAACATGCCTCCGATTCCGCCTTCCGCGCAACGTCATGGCCCGTCATGGATCGATAAAAGTATGTGGTCCGGCGTCGCATTCTGTTGCTCCGTCTGAAGCTAACCTTCGCAGTGAAAATGGGGATGTTGATGGGCGGAAGTCAGTCGAGCAATGACATCGGTACGATGGGAGATCACAGAAAGACTAACTGATTCACAGCTGTCGGAGGCATTATGGGCTTCATTTACGGTTTGTTGTGGTCGGCGCAATGGTCCAAGGGTTCCAAACTAATTGCAGTGTAAGGTACCGTAACGATCTTCCAATACGGTGCAGGCCAAGCTGGTGTAATGAGGACGCTGGGAAAATACATGCTAGGGTCGGGCTCAATGTTCGGGTGTGTATCGCCGTATTCCTCTGTACAGAATGGTTTTCTGACCGTACGGTTCGACAGGCTCTTCATGGGCATCGGAAGCATCATTCGTACGGATTCACCTCAGATGGCATCATCAGTATGGGCACGATCACAATACCCACCTCTTGTCCACCCCCGAAGACATCAATTGTCGACCAACTACCGGTGATTTCACCCTAGGGTAACAGGGAGAAGAGAGAGAAAGAGGATGCTGACGACTCATTGTACATACCCATAATGAAGGGAACTGGACTTGGAAAAGTTGATTGATCATGGACGAGAGCGATACCCATAACCGAAACAATAGTGCGAGGCCACCATTTCGCTATTCTGGCGACGGAACTGAGATGAATACCTACATTTGCTGGCTTGAGCTCTCACGACAGCCGCTGTCGCCAGCCAACGTCGGATGGCTACCCCTCGTTAATCGCGCCTCATTCTAAATCGATGTTAGAAGGCATCCAGTGCCGAATTCAGTTAAAAATGCTCACTTCTAATACCATTTCTTGGTCTCGGGCTATGTCCAGGCAGAGCCAATACTCGAGTTTTGAAGGACAGCGCTTCCTAGAGAGCTCCTGAGAAGACCATTGGATATAGTCTTCTCTGATATTGCACAACAGTTGTTGGTGTCTTTCGACAAAACTGACGTCCCGGCTGGGGACTTCAGAGGCAATAGCTCGAAACCGTCGCTGTACCCGTGGCAAGGCCGTCATTATTCAATCTTGAAACTCCACAGATGCTTGTAGATTGGCCTGTAAAAAGCATTGCTGCCACTCATTCAACCCGATATTAACACCCAAAGTAAGAAGAATATCTGGGAATCGTTAGCCACCCGGTCGAGACGCCTCTTTGGGGTCGTCGAACTCACCATGAGAACGCCAAACATTTTAGCAACCAGCCATCTATTCCCTTGTACCCGGTTCCAATATTTCAACAGCTCTCTCTGTGCGCCCTGCACGTTGTCCACCACATCCTCGGTGTTTGCATCGATTCGCTGCAGCATCTCCCCCTGTTCAGACACCATGGTTGCCAGTTGCCCGAAAATGCTCCCCAACTCGTTTATCGTCCTCTCGATGGCTTCGATGGCTTGTCCACGTTCTTGAATATACGTGTTGGTCGGCTGTGCTTCCTCCATTAACAGCAGTTGATGGTCGGACTGAGGAGCATTCTTCATGAGAGTTGAAGTGTTTGAAGGCTCAAGCGTTAGAAGGTCGGTTGTAGACGCCTGAGGAGTCTTTTGCCGACTACTTGGGCCCTGGTAGAGCGGTGATTGCGACCTTGAGTCGTCCAGATGGGGTTGCGATCTCGCCGACACAGACGACACGAAGTTCTCCGTCCTCGATCTGGACGCCTGGATATTTTTGGTGCGCACTTCCAAGACATCTTTAAAATTTGCGGCGACATCTGTGACTTTGTTTTGTAACATTAACACCACGGTTTTGTTGTGCTGCCCTTCTTGATCCGCCGACCGGGGTTGGGAAGCGGTTGGGTGCTGTGACTGCGTAAGCTGCTGCAGGGCAGATATTTGTGCATTTAGACCAGCCAGGTCTTGTTTGATAACGTATGTCAACTCTGCGATCTCGACAGGCCGGTCGTCGAAAATGGCTTTTCTCTTAGCGACTATTCCCTGTCAGCAGCTCTCTCGGACACATCGCCCACCCGGTTTCTCGACGTACGCTGCGCCAGTCTCTCCAACTTGCCCATAGTGGCAGTGATTCCTCTCCCAATCTGAGCCGCATTGCGAGCGAACTCTGACCTAGAGCCTCTTGAAGGGCCATTGGCGGCCCCATTTGCTTCTCTTCTTTGCGAATCGCTCAGGAGGGACTGTCGTTGTGGCCCGCCCTTGGTGGCGGTTTGCCGCTTCTGTGCCTGCGCAAGGATGGCGCGGAACTCGTTCGTCCGGTCCTGAATGCTCGTGGAAACCATGACCATCTATCTTTGGGTGTGATGTTGCATAAAAAAGGTACAGTCGTGAAACTCAGTGTTTGCAAGTTGAACAGTGCTGCAGTTACGCGGGAGAAAGTGGTTGTCGGATCATTCTAGGGCTGTAGTCTATGACATGAGGATCGTGGGAGATGGGCAGCAGGAGATATTATTACATGTGGCTCGGGAGCATCTCGTCCAGCCAGAAGTCTCAACGTAGTATGTACAAGTACCGTGAAATGTGAGAGACGAAATGAACTTCCTAGTCGTTCGTTGAGGAGCCGCAGCCGGAAACGTCCAGGTGTCTTTGCCGCCACAACGAACCACTGAACCACCCGCCACAAGAGGCTCGTCTTAGCCACAGCACCGATCGCAATCGTTGGTCTCGAAACGTGTTTCGCGTTGCACCGAACGCGATGAAGCGGAGAATAAGATGCGGCACTGCATGAAACTTGTTATTACAGAGTACGTGCCTGCAAGCCACATCCATCTTGTTTCGTCAACCACATTAGCCTGGCAGGCCGGTCTCCAGGGTCTCAGAAACGATACACTTCTCCCTTCCTACGCACATCGAGATCCCAGTCGCAGACCAGGTGTGGCGCAGTCTGTTCTCCCGGTGACGCATGGTCGGACCCTCCCACTGGCCGCCCAAATCAAGTCTCCAGTCTCTTATCCCGTTCGTAGGGCAGAGTGAGGAGAGCAACGCAACGAGACCATCCACCAGCATTGCGCGGCTTGACCCCCCGGTTCAGATCTCCTTCACATCCTGTTGTTCGCATATGTTCTGGCCATCCTTCTTTATCAATTGACAAATTACTCTGGTTCTTTTTCCGCCGATTTTGCGCAAATAGTCTATTGGTCTCCATCACTAGGGTGCGACAAACATTGCGGCGGGCATAATAATAATACAAGCAACTGGACAGCTCCTGTACACGTGGAAAGAATCAAATCATATGCTGTGGCAGAATAGCCTGCGAAATGTGTTACTACGTACCTTGACGATTCCCAACCTTCCCTCCTACGATTTTTTGAGCCGGGTCAATCGAGCCGCAGGCAGCTGCCCTGATGGCGACCTCCAACCCTTACGGTACTGGGAAATACAAGACCAATGTGGGAAGAGCGATCTCGAAGAAATGGAAAGATCTCCGCCAGGTCAATTATGAGGGCGATGACTGGGGAGACGATGAAGAGTTCGATGAGCCACAACCCGTGTCTGCGGACAACCCTCGACATCCTGCTTGGGCGGCTCAGTCCAACATGTCTCCGCCCAATCGCAGCTTTACCAATCCTTCCCCTCCTCAAGCCGGCCAGAGACCCTCGTTTGATCGCGGCGATGAGAGGAGATATGTCTCCTCCTCTGCTGGCTTTGAATCCGCATACCCTACAACTCAGCGTTCGCCTTTCCCCGAGCCTCAACACGATGACGACCACTCTGGGCCCTATTATGGGATGCAACCTCCTCTTCGTCTGAATACCCAGGCACCGAGTCCCATGCCTCCAGGCGGCTTCCGGCCAGGCTCAAGAGGCAGACAATATCCAGCATATGAAGATGTGCCTTTCTCAGCCCCAGGAAGTTTTCCGCAGCAGAATCTCCCTAGCTATAGTCGTCCTCCTTTTAATGACGTCCACCAGCGGCGTGAAAGTCCCATGAGGCCGGATAGTCGTTCTTCTAATGCGTCTCACCGACAATACCCTCCGCGCAAAGCGAGCTTGAGCCAACTGCCGCCTCAGCCAGATTTTATGCAACGCACCGAGTCTCCTGCGCGGTCTTCATCCCCAGGACCAGGCAATGGCACTGTCGCTGATGATCGTCCTCCACCTGTGTTTATTCGTCCGTCAGATATCTACAAGCGTATGCCTGAGGAAATGGAGAAAGTACGCAGATCACAAGAGTCATCCCGCCCAAGCATTGATTCAGGGTCAAACCCGCCCAGAGAAGGTTCTATCGGTGGCCGCTCGACTTCATCAGACCCTAAGGAACATACAGGTTCTATGCAGACGGCATTGGACGACGCGGACTCTACACGGCGCCTGAAACCTACTTTGGACACAGTACCTGAACGGAAGAGCGAGTATGGCTTCGAGAACTTGGTCAAGACACCAAGCGAGGAGAACAAACAACCACACGAGATGAAGACCGAGATTGACCCTGTGGGCGTATCCAGGCATGGTACTAATGCATCGTCGGTCTATACCGATCGTCCAGACCCAGTCTCTGCCTCGACTATCTCTCGTAATGTATCAATCACTGAGGGCCTTCCTGAAGCCGACCATCGCTTGCCAAATGCGAAGGAATCGTTTGGGCTGCCCCTCGTTCACAGAATGTCGGGATTCGACGTAGATCTCGGCGGGTTGGGGAAGTCGGTTCCGGAAGCCACAACCCAGGCATCGCAGCCATCCAGCGATGTACTACCACAGGAGACTTCGTCAAATAGCGGCCTTGACGATGATACTACTGACTCGAAAGGCCAGGGTTTGCCACAACAGCCGACCCTTGGCTATCGGTCAGTCGTCCAGCAAGCCTTTGATCACAGCCAGGACCACGCATCGTTTTCTCCCACCTCTACAATGGGAACCGTTGATCGTTCAAATAGTGCTTCTACAACAGATATTAGCCCCATCATAAGTCGGAGGCATGATCCAACTCCGACTCCCTCTACCATCCACACCGCACAGGCCACCATCCCCGAAGAGTCAGCACACTCGGAGTCGCGTCCGACATCCACCACAACGTTGAAGCCTGGTGACGTGGAGCCAGTTCGAGATGAAGCACTTTCTCCGCCACCCCCTATTCGGTCTGGCTATCGACGCGACGTGACTCCTCCAAGTCGAGATAATAGTCCTGCGAAGAGGCCTCGCGAGTTCGAACCTCAGGAACTCCCACAACCACACCATGGCTCACTTGTGGATGATGAGACTAAACAGTCTATAGCAGAGGAACCAGCTCGCGGTAGGATATTAGGTGATAAACCACTTCCTGCAGCTCCCACAAAGGCAACCAGTTCTGCGGACACAGGCAGCCCTTTACCTCTGTCGAGGTCAGACGCTCCATCAACAACTCAAGCGGACAATCCCACAGCCATACCAGAATCTGGTCTTGTCCGATCTGGTCTTACCATTCTAAATGCCCGACCTGCGCCATCAAGTGACAGCCAAGGGCGCCCAGCACCTCAAACACGACTAGAGAGTTTTCGTCCTTCCATTCCAGGGGGGTGGCAATCATATGCCTCGTCCGCAGGCTCAGCCACTCCTGGCACAAGCACGCCTTTACAAAGTCAGAAAAATGTTTTGTTACCTCAACCTCCTTTTACTCAGAGCCGAGTCGATAGCACTGAGAGCATACCTACCGCCCGTGCTCCCATAAACATCGCTTCTGATGGGGATGGTGTAACCCGAAAGGCTTTTGCCGCAGCTGCTTCCGCCGGTAGTGCACTAGCTGGAGCGTTGGCTGGCCATCGACTAACCGAACAAGCGCAAGAATCTGGCGAGTCGTCAGGAGAAGGGAGCCCAAATGAATGGGACGAGTCGAGCTCATCCAGCGACGAGGAGGCAGAGCCAGCGCCAGCGACATCTGAAACGCCGCCGGAGAGTCGGAGCAACAAACAAATGGCTGAGGAAAAACCAGAGAACTTGGGGACAAGAACACATCCCAGTCCACCAACCAGCCCGATTCGACCTCCATCTGTGGCAAGCTCAACGCCGTCATCCATTGACGCTTCTGCCGAGGCTGGAAAATCTCGTGAAAGCGTTGACTACATACCAGCCCCATTGCGCACTAGTCGACTGATCGACTCCTTGAGTTCTCGTCCGCGAATTCCTAGTGTCTCGATGCCCCAAGATACTCCTACTGAGAGTGACAATGAGCGATTACAACAAGAAATTGTCAAGAGTCTAACTCCAAAGTCTTCGAACTTAGAAGGGCAAGCTATAGAAGAAAGCAGCCTCCCGGACACAGTTCCCCAAGGGACCACAGATCAAACCGTCGCCGAACCAGAACCTGGATGTCAGAAACCAGCTTCCCTACAAGTCATCACACCCAGATCAATAGAAGCCACCATCTTGACCAAAGATGGACAATCGACCGGCACTGGTCAGCCACGAGTTGAGTCCACGACGATACCTTCACAGTCTTCCACTACATTTCCCCAGGGAGCAGCTATGTCCCAAAATGTAAACACGAATGTGGCGGACGCCGCCCAAACGGAGCCTCCCGTCGAACAGAGATTGCCAACGGCCAGCAAACCGTTCCTGAAACAACGTTTCTCCTGGGAGACAAGTAGCTCACAACCACCATCTGCATCAACACCTAAGCAGATGAGCCCGCCTTTTACGAGTTCTCCGGATACGATCATAGCCCAGATGCCCGGGGTATCTACCTCGGCTGGAAATACTCAGATAGGCGATGAGGGCGACCAGCCTCTAGCCAGGCAAGCAAGCCTGTCATCGGATGAGTCCGTCCAACCAGCGCCGGCCGCTAGAATCTCGACGACTGCTTCAGAGGTTCCCCAGTCTCCACGACAGCCTGGCGACGGACCACCAACTTTCCGTACTATCATGAACCTCAGTTCTCCGGCAGAACGTATCAAGGCATTTAACGAGAGTAGGCAGTTCTATGCCACGCCAAATGAGCAGCTGGAAAATTGGCTGTTGTCTATGAAGACCCCGGAAAACTCAGAGCTTTTTGCTGCGAACGGACGGGTCTCACAGGACACGGTCGAGAACACCCAAACCACACACAAGCCATCGCCCAGACGAATGTTGACAGAATCTGCTGGACACATGCAAGAGGATGGAAAGAGGCTAATGGCCGCTGCTGGACGATTTGGTGGCAAAGCGGGCACTGCCGCCAAAGGTCTTTTTGCGAAAGGAAAGGAGAAGATGCGTCATGCAAGCTCTGGCGAAAAGGTAGTCCGTTGATCTTCCCCCTTTTCTTATCTCACCTGTAATATTCTTTTTCCTTTGTGATGACGGGATGCGTGTGATGCTATGGCGGGAATTCAGTCCTTCAGGGACCCCAGAACCTGGCTCGGATACCTTCACGGCGTTTCTCCATGGGCACCTTCAAATAGTCATGAATGGAAAACCACTTTTTCAACATGTCAGTCTCTCCCGAGCGAGCCCTTGGTTGACATTTGAATTTAGGGCGCACTGGCCAGCCGACGAAAGTCAACTGGTCCTCTTCCGGACGAGCCCGAAGACGTTGCATCCCCTTCCCAGCCACGAGGTTCCACAGTCCTTGACCGCGCACCACAGATTCCACTAAGCATCACGCCGGCTTCTCCCATTGATTGGTTCTCGAATACCGAGCTCAAGAGGTCACGAACTAGTGATCTGGATCAGATCCTGCAGCCAGAAATATCAGCTTCCTCTGCTAATCCAGAAAGTCACACGAGCACCCGGCCACAGTTGGAGCACATCAAGGTGTTGCCCGAGGACGGCAGCAGGTCGTCTGGTGCTCCTGGCGTGCCTGTGCTTGCTCCTAGTCCCGCGATCTCGGCCTTGGATAGCGACCAAGAACATCACGAAGATGATGGCATGCCCAGTCGTTCAGTCAGCCAGTTGACCAGGCCTACTGATCAATCACCTATCGAATCTCCGCATCGAGCCATAGCAAGAAACAACAGCGAGAGAGAAAGCTCTCCAACCCAACCTCAGGCCATCGCTGTCCAGTCTCGTGGTTTGGCCCCGAATGCTCTCACCGCACCAAAACCTCTCACTGAGCACCACGACGGCTCAGCCTCCGATGCGCACTCCAGCGATAGGAGCCTACAAGTCCCACAGCTCCGACGACGATCTGTCATTTCAGATGTATCTAGTCCCAGCCCCAGTACTGGCCCTGGAGCGGAGCAACAATATGCGAGAAGGAGTGTGTCTCTATCACCCGCCGACGAAGTATCAGTTGATGCTATACCTGTTCAATTCAAAGAGCAGATGACCCAGTCCGAAAATCTACCTCCATCGACAGCAGCTGATACTGCAAGGAAGCAGCAATCCATGGACACAGAGGAGCGCCCAACGGAGCCTCTGACGGTCGCTGTTCCGTTGCCGACATCGCAAGATGAATCTCCTACTGGATCAGAATCGAAGCCACAGTCTGAAAACATAGAACCACACCCCACAGTCAAACCACCCGCCCAACAGCCGGCATCGCAGCATGAACACGACGGCGGAAACCCCTCGTCCCGTCAACATCGACCCTTTTCATTTGCCGGCATTGAAGGAATCGGTGCAATCCACCAAGCAGAGCAGACGCAGGAGCCAGATCTCAGCAGAATTCCGTCTCAGCCAATGAGTCCTATAAGTCAGGGCCTAAGCGGCGCGGGGCTCAGCAAGGAGATGTCACAAGTCAGTATCGAAGAAGTTACAGATCAGGCAAACGCGCCAGGGCAAAGACACTCGAGATCATACTCCAGACCTTTCGGCGTTGATCCGAATATAGGCAATCATCCTGCCATGCGTGCAACTGAGCCTGAGCAAACCCCCATGGATCGTGCTCAGATGTACTCTACTGAAAGTCCTTTGCCTAGTGCAAGGCGGCCTCAAGAAGAGCTTGATCGTCTGCGTCAGCAAAAAGGACAGCCACAGATTACCGCCGTGTACCCACACCAACCATCCGCGGAGGAGGAATATCGTATCCCAGGCCCGTATGTGCAGGAATATCGATCACCGAAACAAATATCTACACCCAGGAGCGGTCGAAGCAATGTTCAAGTGGTTGCCAGTGGAGGGCCATTACCCAGCGCGCTCAGGTCTCAGCAATACTCCAGCCAAATTACTCCCCAGCCTCATCCCGGACCGACCGCAAACGCCCCTGTGGAAAGACTGCAACGCCAGAGTTTCCAGGAGCAACCTTCTTACAAGACAGGCTCCACTGCTCATGTCGAATACGATATGCGGTCTGAAATGATTCCGCCTCGTCCTGGCGCTCCGTTGGTGCAGCAACATCTTCAATCAATTCGTCCATCGCCCGCTCCCGCTGCGCGTCCAGAATCTTTACAGCCAGTCACCACCGAGCCGCAAACGGAGCGGAAGAAGAGTTTGCTTGGAAAGCTCTTCGGCGCCGGCTCCCAATCGCGTTCAAAGCTCCAGAAACAAGCGCGAGTCGGAAGCCCAATTGACATTGCAGAAATCACACAGAAGGAGAAGCGTGGTAGCTTCTTGCGCCGGGTCGACAGTATGTCATCGGAGCAAGGCAACCGCCAGGACCAGCTTGGACAGCTCCCGCCGTCAAACATTCAGTCTCACTCTGCAAGGCGGCACTCTAGGGACGTTCTACGGGCTCCCACACCAGAGCCCAGCGAGAGACCTACAGAGGGCAAGAGGAAGAGATTCTCAGGGTTCGGAGGCAACTTATTCAAGAGCAGTAACAACACACGGGCTGCAACGGCATCCACTCCTTCCTCGCAGACACAAGCCTACGGGCAAAATACCACTTCTCAACGTGTTATCTCTCCCGACCCTTACTCTGCGCAAAGTCAGCGGGTCATGTCGCCGGAGCCGTATTCTGCACAAACTCCTTACGGCCAATATCCTGTTGGCCCGGGGGGCTACTTCCACCAAGGACCGGGACAGTCACAGTACCCTCAGTCTACCTACCCTTCAAGTCAATCTCAAACCCAACCATCTCAGTATGCAAAGGCTCCCTCTCCGTATCAGCACCAATCCGAACCCACCGGCTATCCATACCCAGGACAGACTGCTCAGTCGCCACCACCAGGTCCTCAACAAGCCGGGGGGTCGTATCCCTACATGAACCCGAACCAAAGTCGACCATCCGATCTCCGTATTGACACCAGCAGTGGAAACCGTAGCCAGTATTACGCGCCCGCTACTGCTCCGGCACAAGGCTACCCTAGACCGACCTCATTCGCGTCGGCTCCGTACAACCCGGACCCCAGTCCAGGGATGGCAAACAGGGACGGACCTACCTCCGCCCCTCCTGCACAACCTACACCTCCACCACAACAGGATCCCCGTACCCATGTTATCGACCTCCACAAACGATCACGCTCACCACGACTTGGACGTCCCGGCTCTGATGAATTAGACTCCAACCAACAACGGGGAATTCCGAATATTAGCGCTAACACCATGCTCGGTACATTCAGTTCCAAGAAAATCAGCCCCGTCGGCGGCATCGCGCGCCCGGACGACGATCAAGAAAGGCCCTTTGCGATCACAGTGCCAGGGCTCGAAGACGATGTCAATGAGCGGCGGAAGAAACAGCTTCTGCGGGAGCGGATCGAAGGTGGGACAGCAAGGAGTGCGACACCCGTCAGCATCGAATCTGGCGGCTATCCTGAACATGCCACCGCCAGTACAAGCCAGGGGCTGGAACGTAGCGTTTCAGTTCTAGGGGGCTCCAATAATCTAGTTTCTCCACGGGAAGCACGTCATTCGAGTGCGAGAGACAAGACCACCCCCGGAATAATTGCAGAGCTACCAGGATCAAAAGCAGAGGGGTATGAATCGGAAGAAGAGATTCCAATGAGTGCCACGGCGTACCCGGGACAGGAATGGATGCCGGTTTTTATTGGCGAGGACTGATCAAGAAGGAAGGGACTTTCGTCGCACTCAGCTACCGCGGCACAGTAGATACACAGGGCAAAACGACTGGTGTCTCCATTCCACTTGTGAAGTTTGTGGGACGGCTTTCATGTCAAACTGTTGTTTATGGACGCAGAAGGCTGTGATAGGTCCTGGACCGTGGCCGTTCGTCTTTTCTGGGTATATATATCGTTTCTTGTATTTTGCGTTCTGGGTATTGAGCGGTTAGCAAGCGGTCTCTCCTGGGGTTTCATTGGGACGAACTTTGATCCGAGAGTTTCAAGGACATAATACTACTTCTTACGTGAAGGCCGCGTCCTGTGTGAGATAAAGCTGAAGCGAAAGTTTGAGAGATTTTCATGTGGTACTGTATATGGTATTATTACCATTCTGTAAGGATCTATCACTGGGCCAGTGCTCAGGGCCAAAAGAAAAAGGTCATGCGTTCTCTCTGGCTAAATATGGAGATTCATCCACTCTTTCTCCCTCTCTCTCTCTTCAGCACTCTCATCAAGAATATGGGTTTGCGTGGATTGTGTATGCTGAGGATGAGTAGATTAGATAGGGCAGGCTGCCCGTTGAATGGGGAGATTCTCTGCACAGACTGACTTCCCTTCGATCTTTCGTGAGACCCAGACGTCCGAGTTACACTACTCAAGACAATCCATCCATATCTGCTGCTGCTTCGTGTCATCTTGGTTTCAGTCCGTCTAGACCCTGGGGCTTGGCCTGTGTTATCTAACCTCTTCCTTCCCCCCTCCCCCTTCTTTCCGGCCGCAGTCCGGGAGCAAAGTAATAGAGGCAAACACAAAACAACAACATGCCGAGCGGCGAGAATGAGTGCCCGGACGACGGCCGAACAACCTGATAGCGGAGGATACCTAATTAGTTAATGGCTCGGCCGGCAGCGGCAGGGTGTCGCTGGTCCCTCAGTTCAGTTCCCTTTTCTTTCTTCCTCGAAAAAATGAAAGATTTTTGTGGGGTTGGTTCGGAAAGGTTGTGTCAATGATGGCTTTCCTCTAGTCGAGCATGGATGAAGGTGAGAGGGGGGAGAAGGACATGGTCAGAAAACGCCGACATGTGGCTCGGAGATGACATTGCCTTCCGTTATCATTCTCGTTCTCGTGTTGTAGGAGGGAGGTCCTCGAGATCAAGTTGTCTTCATGTCGTCACCGATCTCCGTGATGGGGGAACAATTGGTGGGATTTGTCGATGCTTTTCGAGTTCATGTCGCTGCACACCGTCGCCTCCCTTCCCCACGGGCTTAAATCGAAGACATTGTTGCTGCCGCTGCTGCTGTTCTTGTCGTTGTTGTAGTTGTGATCCTCGTCGTCGGCAAGGGCGATGATCCCTGAGCAAGCAATCGCGCGTGAACCGAGCGATCCACGACGGTTCGCAAGGACTTTCTGATGATGCGGAGAAAGCGGGCGGTGTCGCCCTCCTTCTTCTTCTGCTGCGTAGTCACCTGGTCGATGCACATGGATGTGTGGCCGGCGGGCACTTCTCTGAAGACCTGGTCGCTGATACAGGCGCACATGGCGATGCCGAAAGCACAGGCCGCGACGGCGACGAGGCGCAGGAGCAAGTTGAGCATGATTTTTAATTTATCGCGATGAGAGATGAGCGAGCTGTGTACTGCTTCAACCAACAATCGAGAGGCGGCGGCGTCGTCGTCAACGGGAGTTCGTTGTTGTTCTTCTAGGGTGAGCGAGGTATACTCGGTATAATATATCCCCCCGGCTCAACATTTTGCCCGCAGGAGAAGACAGCCTCGTGAACCAATTGTAATATTCCTGCATGCACGGTGATGCAAGTCTGGTGGCATATTCAGATGATATCATCTGATGGGAAGAGGAGCAGGGTCCCCAGCAAGTACGAGGTAAAAGTGTGGATATAAGGCTGGGGGTGGCTGGAAGAAAGTTTCGTCCAAATAGACGCAAGTCAGAAGGTATATCTCGGACCTCACTGGGGACCGTGAATCGGTTTCGTCATGCTAATCGAAGTCCAAGCGTCTGATCAGATGAGAAAGGTCGAGCTGGCTGGTTCTAGACAACCTGCAGATTCGAGTCTTTCTCATTGGGAAAAAGGGGGTTGTGTGAAAGTAGATTGGTTCTCGGGCGCATTGACAACGGCGATGCTAGCAGATCACGAGGAAAGTGACCTGTTCAGGAACGAAACAAGGGATCCGACAGCTCCACGCCTAACGAGCTGAACGAATGTCATCGATAGTGTTTCCGTGTTGAAGGCAAATTTCTCCAGCCCTTTCGGTTTCAGCTGCCACATGAGCTCGGGAAGTTGGACCGTGCCCATGCATGAGCACAAGGTCAAGACAGACAAGGAGGACTGAAGAAAGCGGTGAAGCATCCAGTTCGGCAGGCTCAAGTGGTAAAACATCAGGAGGGCGTGTCGAAGTACAACAGAGAGAAGTCTGGAATTTCTTGATTACGTGTCCAGTCACGTAGAGACCAAGCGAATAAAAGGGCGACTGAAGTGATTTGCTTCACTCTGTCACAAGAGATCAGCCTCTACAGGATATGATCATGTCCCTTTTTCGATTGCTTCTTGATAAGCAAGTGACAATCCATTTTGGATGACCTTGTAGAGACTTACCTCAATGCTTGCTTGGGACGATGACTGTCCTGACATGCAAAATTCTTCTTTCGACGCATGTTCTTTGCATGATAACACCATGTGCCTCATCATTCCAGCATCTTGATGCCCATGCGTATAGCTCTAACATGCTGCTCCCTGAAGCATGCCTTTCCAAATTTCACCCAAGCTCTCCATGCCAGTGCCAATCGGTAGTGTGGAAATCACTTCTTAAAATGGCTCCCAAGACGACAATTGCTAGGGCCTTAAAAGGAGAGTTGGGAATATCCGATCCAGGTGCGCCTGGTCTTCTACCACGCCATCTGGTGTCGACAGGTCCATATCCTGGTGACAGCGCCCCTGTCGCCAACAGACATGGTTAGCCAGCTGTTGAAGCAGGATGCAGAATCTGCGATCGCTTCAACTTCTTTCTATCCTTCTTGGACAGCTTGTTTCCTCCAGGAATTTGGTCAACTGTTTTGTCTCTCTTTTCTTTTATTCTCCGAGCGTTGCCCCCAGATCCCCTTTTCCGCTTTTTGCCCTCCTGAGGCTGAGGCTGGGGCTGTTCGGTTGGGTCTGTAATGTCATCGTCGCCCTCAGAGTCGCTAACGAGACCCTCTTCCGACGAGTCCTCGACAGTCAACATGTCTGTGGCCATTCGGGCAACTTTGACCAGTCCGGCAGCCACATCCGATGGACTGTCCGGGTTCGCATTTACCTCAGCTTTGGCCTTCATAGCAGATTCAAGTGCTTTCAACTTTTTATTCGCGAGGACTCTCTCGCGAGCCTCCCGCTCGGCGCGTTGTAGATCGTATTTATCGTTTCCGGCCTGGAGGAGTTTAGCTTTTCACTGAGAGCGCATCGTTCACATAGTGGTCTACCAGAGCATGCTTGATGAATCTTCCGGCGGCATCTTTGTCCAGCGCGAGAGTCGGCCGCGAAGTCTGCGGCGTTTCCTCGCTTTGCTTGATCTTTTCAAAATACTGCTTGACTCGTGTCAATTCCTTGAAGACAGGGTGTTCCTTTGCCTGGACGCCATGAAGTTTGAGGTAGGAGAATATCAAAGACTCGATCGAGTAGACAAGGAGGACATGGAGTTTTGCACGGTCGAGCAAGGGCAGCTTTTTCGTGGTGGCAGCAAGATCGCCATGAAGGAGTGGTTCGAGATTCTCTTCAAGGTCCTCCAGATTATCCTGCAACTCGTCGACGAGTTGGATGACTGCCTTGGTATCCATCTTGTCGCGCTGGGGAAGGAGAAGTTGCACCGACAGGGCGTTGGAAGTTTGAGAAAATGGCGTGGCTGTCGCAGTCTCAAGTCGCAGTCACAGCAAATTGGGGAAGAAAGTCGAGATTCTTTCCCCGCATCAACTTGCGCGATTGACTACATTCTTTCTCCGACTGCGGACACCCTCGACCAGCTCAATTGCTCAGCCCTCATTCGCACCACTGTTCCTTATCTCTGTGCTCACCAGTCGTATCACGATGGCTACGGCATCTTGACCTCGGGCAAGTCAATTCCGGCGGGTAGAATTGTTATAACTTGGACAGCTACCCCGATCTCCTTCTCTGAATTCTATCTCAAACCAACCCTCAAGCTGTCGCCACGACTTCTTCTTCGCCCACTACCCAGGGCAGTGCACACATGGCCAAAGGCTGTGAGCACAGGCTTCTTGCCGCAGAGCACTCTTCATCTTAATCAACCGCCTCGCCGGCTCAGAAGCATGGCAGAGTCTCGCTCCTGGTGGAGGGATTCCCCCTCGCCTGGTCCTTCTGAAGACGCTTATACATTCGAGTCCAAACCACTGGAAGTATCTGCGTTGCCAGACCCGGACAATGAACAGCTGTTGACCAGACGCGTCCATATTCTCGGCCTCGGGAGTATCGGAACCTTGGCCGCCCATTCTTTGAGATGTTTGCCCAATCCTCCTCCGATCACTCTAATGATTCACCGGCAAGAGCAATATGAAGTATTCAAAAGAGGTGGCCGTACTATCAATCTGATAAACAAGCAGAACGAGACCAATGACGAGCAAACGGGATACGATGTTGACCTGTTCGCCGGCTATGGAGAGGACGGCAAGGCGCGATGGGACTTTATTCCTGACAGGCGTTGGGACCAACCACAGACCAATCCTGTGGAGGAAGGAGAAGAGATGCCATCCGGCGAGCTTTACATCTATGCCTTGATCGTTGCCGTCAAGGGTCCGACCACGGTTGCTGCCCTCCGCTCTGTCAAACACCGTGTCAACGCAAAGACAACGATCTGCTTCATGCAGAATGGGCTTGGCCAGATTGATGAACTCAATCAAGAGGTCTTCACCGATCCTGAGACACGCCCGACCTACATGTTGGGAATTGTGTCCCACGGCGCATACATGTCGCAGCCTTGTACAGTCGTCCACGCTGGCTACGGCTCAATAGCTCTAGGCATCTGTCGAGATACCGATCGGTTCCCGCTCCCTCCAAAGGCACCAGTGCGGCACCTGTGGGAGTTGTCGGAAGAAGAGAGGAAGAAGCACCATCCAACCGACAAAGAACTCTTTGCGAACCTCTCTTCGCGTTATCTCCTGCGTACTTTGACCAGGTCGCCGGTCCTGGCATGCGCGCCATTTCCATACTTGGATTTACTGCAACTGCAGCTCGAGAAGCTTTCCTCCAATTGCGTCTTGAACCCTCTCACTGCCCTCCTCGATGTCCCCAACGGAGCCCTGCTCAATAACGAGGAGTTATTACCTGCCCAAAGGCTTCTTCTGGCCGAGATATCTCTCGTCATCCGGGGTCTTCCTGAGCTGGAAGGTATCCCCAATGTCCAGCACCGGTTCTCCTCCAAGCGACTTGAGCAGCTGTTCACGGGCGTGACGCAGCGGACGGCGCAGAATTCGAGCAGCATGCGGGAAGACCTCCGCCATGGCAAGAAACCAGAGGTCGACTACATCAACGGCTACATCATCAAGCGGGGCGAGCAACAAGGCATTAAGTGTGCCGTAAACTTCATGCTCATGCAGCTGATCAAAGGCAAGAGTTTCTTGAGGACGGGCGCAGGTCTGCCCTATGCCACAACACAGATCCAGAGCGAGGTCGATCCGCATCGTCCCGATTCAGTCACCATCACTGACAACAGCACTCCGCGGAGAGACGGCATGGAGTGACGATTCTGTCGGTGCTCGCTGGCTGCGGAACAAGCATCACCTCAATGCGCACACCACTCCACTGTAACTCGCGCACGTGCTGAGAGATAGAGTTACGGATGACATCGTTTCAATGCTTGGGCAGATAGCTTGTTTTCCTGAAGCAGAAACACAGCAGGTCCACGTTCTATTCCGGTCCACGACTGACACCTTACTCGAATGCCATATTGAACTGCGGTCTCGGTGCCCTGGCACTCGTGACCAAATTAAAGTGTCCAGAGAAATTAATCCACCTGGCTGGGGAAGCTTGACCGATCCTTGTGGGAGATCAATGGGTCTAGAAGAACGAAAGCTGCAAGAGGATTACCGAATCCAGCACCCCCAGGCGACGATGTCTCGCGGAAACCAGGTTCGCCGCTGGGGCATGAACTATGACTCGAACATTGTATCAAACCATGGCCGTTTGATCCAGACCAGGCCAGCCTAGTGAGCCAGGCACTCGGTGCCCATCCGGCCAGTCAATGAGTGGCTGAAGGGAAAGGCTAACTCTTTGAGCGACGGACGGGCTTCTTGTTAGTCCAAGGCTGGGGCGAGGTTGGTCTAGGCCAAAAATACGTCGACTAACCTGGAAGGGGGCTGACGCCTCTCCTAGCTTCAAACCTCAGTGGCTGAGATAAACGAGAAGGAGGCGCTATCGATGAACCTAAATCCGCCAATCCCCATCCATTATCGGTTCTACTGCAGGGGCAAAGGTCGATCTTGGCGCTATCCGCGAAACGAAAACTTGCTGTCACCTGGTCTTGCCCTGCGAGCTTGAGCTACGAGCTAGGCTGGTAGGGGGTCCCCACCGCGAGAAGCGGCGTGCATCTTCGTCGCATGATCCCGGTCAACCCAAATGAGGCCAAACCTGGACTTGTGGCGGGAGGTGGACCAGCTGTGACGGACAGTCCCCCCAAAGTTTGCGACGCTTTGGCTGCCGAAGCTGGAGCTGGAGCTGGAGTGGTGGGAGTCTTTGCTGTCGTCGAGGCTGAGGCCGGAGGCGATGCATGATCTCAGACGACACGGCTGGCTTACGGGACTGATCCTTAGACCAGTCCAAGCACCCCTCCGCGCCAAACTTTTCCTGGGCTGGTCAATGGCTTCTATGTGTATATAACAATCGCCTCTCCCTCCTCTCGGTCCAGTCTATCATCTAGATCAACAGGCCAATCACTCGTTACGTCCTGTACAGAAGTTTGCTCAACTCTCGTTGCAGACACAACTCCACAACTCGATTACATTCGTTCTTTTGCACAAAGACATCCGTGCACCATATCACCATGCGCTCGTTCACTATCGCCGCCGCTGCCGCCCTCATCTCCTCGGCGTATGCCTCTCCATGGACCATGGGAGGCCTCTGGGGAGGAAAATTTGACCCAGCCAAGTGCTTGACTCAGCCTTCTGTTGACACCCTCGTCACTGGTTTTGGGCAACTCATCTCCAACTACACCGACGCCCTGGCCGAGACGATATTGGCTGACAACCTTACCGACTTCTCTGACTCGATCAACTCTCTGATCGGCCAGCCAGTCGGTGGTGCCACCTTTCCCAGCAAGGCAGCTTTTGAGGCGGGTCAGGGTTCTCAACCTCCGGTCCCATTCCAGCTCATTGCCATTGAGGCCTACAACTGCGACACCATCTCCCTGCGATGGATCGCCGGTCTCCAACCTCAGCCGGTCAAGGGCATCACGGTCCTGAAAGCATCCAACAGCCAGGGTCAAAAGGATACATGGCAGATCAGCACCATCTACACCGAATTCAACAGCATTGCGTGGTTGGAGGATATCGGTGGCAATGTGACCTACCCCAGCCACTAAATTCCCCCCTGGGCCTTCACTTTTGATACCCATTTGACCTTTGGGCGGAGGGGCATAGCGTTGGCGCCGGGCAAATGATAACATGGATGGGGCATTTCGCGCTACTGAGATTTTTCAGCAGCCTGGCTGGCACACGACATCAATGGAGGGTGGTACGACAGGAGATCCTGAGCATATATTGGATCTTGTGAGACGTTACGCGGCATCAATCCGACCTCTGACCCCTGAACCTACAACAGAAATGGACTTTTTAATGGCTTTCAGTACATAGCAATAATACAAGAGTGTTTCCCGCGAGACATGATGACAGAGTCTCTCATCTCCTGAACGACGCTGGTGATCGCAACCGGCAGTCGGTCTGCAGGTTATTTCGCTTAAGCCACCTTCCCGAGTCCCGGATAAGGCTCTGGAATCTGTCCGGCGTAGTGAAGCACACGACCCAAAGGTTGTTCAACTTCTCCCACCTGCAACGGCTCGTCAAACACTTGTTTGGCGTCTCCTGGGATTAGTTTAGTGATCCTCCACCCTCATCTGAAGGATTGCGACTTCGAAATGAGAACGGGAATATACTGCCGATGGGAGTCCCTTCTTTCTCCCAGCAGGAAGCAAAAGGAAGATCCTCCTTTTTGGGCGTGTCTGGTATGTCATTGTGGCTGGGTCCCGCCGACGATCTGCGTGATACGCATGTTTTATTATTGATATTGACGTTACTGGCCACCCAACAAGGAGGAGAGATCATCACTCCGATCACCATTTCGACCAGCCACGCAGTATGGCAATCAGTCACTTTCTCTGCTGTACGAGGCACTGATGGATCACTCACAATCACGCCCCGGCCCGTCGGCACTTTTGCGGCAGTTCGAACTACTCAGCGAGCTACTTCGTAACTTATCCTCTTGTTCGTCGTTTAGCGATGAAACCGCTGCCGTCTCGCACCCCATCATCCAGCCTATCTTCTCCCGCACCGGCGACGGGCAAGGATTGCTTCTGGAAATTGCGCCGGGGGCCAAGATACCATCCCCGGATTTTCTTTCGTCTTTTCCAGGAAAGCCCCCTGGTCCCTGAACCACCCAGGCCCCGGCCCCTTGGCTCCAACGGTTCTACCAAAAAGCTTGCTTGCCGCGCAGACTTGCGGCCAAATCACACGGCGAACGCATGGCTAGGCACGAGGCCATCTTGACGCTGGTCTGTCGTAGTCCATACTACTGCGTAGCACATATGCCGGACTGCTCTGTGTGTCGGTCCAGTGCAACTTTACGAGCCCGACTTCATCTCGCTTTCATATCATCCTCCATCTTCTTCCGAGCACCCCATAACTCAACTTGTACTGGGCGGCTGGATTGATTGCTGCGCAATGCGCATAGTCTCGATAAGGAAAAGCCAGATGGAGAGAGAGCCAGCAAGAGAGAAGCGATTACCAAGTTTTCTACTCGCACCATCCTCCACTCCTCCCACAAGTATCCACATCGTTGAATTACTCGTGCACCTCGCCTTGGTGCAGGTGTACCTCGCACTACGAGGTACTGCTTCCTCGGTACTCGCAAATTGATAGCTGCGTAACCACAGACAGTGCCCGACGCCGGAGACCATTTCCTTCTGCATTTCAAGGCACATCAAGGTCTGAACCTACTGGCACGCCTGTTTGAGCTTGGTAATTACTCGGGGTCTCAAGCTTTGCTGGCGGCGGGACGGCCAGGAAGGAAATTCAAAATAAAGGGTGTGTGAAGATCCTTTACCAGGGCCCCAAGGAGTCTTCCCAACCATTCCTCCTCCCTCCTGGCTCCAGTGTTCCCTGCCGCTCATCACTCGTGTAATCCCAATAATGATCCAGGAAAATCACTTGCGTGTCATGGCAAGCAAGGCTCCATGATCCGAGGAATGAGCATAGGTATGTACCTCGTACCAAGGAAGGCCATTTGCGTAGGTGGTCCAGAATATCGATATCCGGTGAGTGCTCTCAGCTACGATACATCCATCCATCTATTCTCCTTCAAAGTCGCCCAGCACACACTTCCCACGCAGTCGCCGAGAGTTCCAGAATCAAAGGAACACCGGCCGATGTTTATGCCATCACGGGCGATTGCTAGCTAGTTGCTGATGCCCTAACGACTCTCGCGGGTCTGATTATTATGCCCATGTTTGAAGTGAACAAATTCCCTCGCTCCTACTCAAGTGGACGAAAAGGGAGCATTTGGTATACCTGAATGTCATCTTACATTCTCACCAATACCCACTCCTCGTCTTGCCAGATCCTTCTCTCGCATCCTTTCTCAATCCTCGAAATTTCTCGAACTCCTCGTCTCGTCTCGGGAGGATTATCGGCTCCGCTCTCTGCTCTCTGCTCTGTGAGAGGCGCGGTGGTGTTTTTGATTTCATGTATATCCTGCTAATGATTACTTTGTGTTATTATTTGGCCACACACTACAGAAATTGCACACGGAGAAAGTAAGACGCCCACGCTTTCATCGATCGATCCATCCATCCATTCGCTGGCTCGATAAGAAGGCAAACCCGTTCTCCAACAGACGCCATAAGCCTCCTCCTCCATCGCCACCGCCACTCATCCTTTGAAGAATATGAGTCGGATCCAGAGATTCGGGTTTGAGTGGGTTATCGCCGGCAGCAACAACAGCAGCACAAGGACGAAGAGGGGAGAGGAAGCGGAACAGGACTGATTATTGGGACCAGTCTGTAGAGACCCGAGACAAGACGGAATCCTTCCCTTCGATCAACCCTTCGTTGGATGACATACATTCTCAGCATCTCGTGATTGCGGATGCGCGGTCAGACAACAAAAGTCAATCCGTCTTGTCTTGTCCAGGTCTAGGATGCTTGACTTCTCTTTCAAAGTCCAAGCGACCGACTCCTTGCCTCACCTCACCTAACCTTTTCCCTTTTGCCTTGTTTCTGTTCTCTGGACTGTGCTTTTCTTTCTGTCTGGATGGTCTCGTGCTCAAATGCTTTTGTGATTCTGCTGGACCTGAATCAGATGGTCTCTGCAGCTAGGAATTCATATAAGCTATAATGTAAGCAGGCACGAAGCGGCGGATGAGTCCAACGCGCGAGGGAGATATATCGACAAGCCACCACGTGCACTGACTGGGCATGCATGCTGTTCTCTCCCTTTTTTACCACTTTCCCACAGCCCATCCCTCCTTCCAAAGAAGGCTCGGATCTCATAGTGAACTCAGGGCGCACGAAAGCACGAAAGAACGAGAGCCGCAGTGCCGCGTCTGGAGGACATTACCCACCGAGTCAAGGAGTCGAGAAAGAATGCGCGGTCCGTTCGTGACGGCCAGCCTGAGCCGGCCTGCCTGGTAGGCACAGACCAGCAGGACGAAAATGAAAACCATGCATGCAAGTGAGGGGGTTCGAAGCCGCACGGGCCCTACAGTCTGGAACATGACCTCTCTGGCTTCGTGGGGTTGGTTCCCCGGCACGTGCAGGAGAAGGGAAGAAACGAGTGCACATGCATACATACATCCATACATCCCTGACAGTGCAGTTCGGGTCTGGGCGAACAAAGGGTGTATGTACTACGGTATGTCACATGAGGCCAAGGACAGCGGATCAAAGACTCGGACCATCCTGTTGATCGTGGCAAGAGGGATCGAGGATGGAAGGGAAAAAAACCACCGATCGAGGTAATAATAGTACGCACGACAAGACAAACCGGGGGAAATACGATATAGGCAGGATGCTCCGTTGGTATGCAGGTGTCGATCCCGACAGTGTCTATTTTCTTGATCGTTTTGCAAGCAGTGACGCCAGGATCGCGCCGAAAGCTTTCTGGAAATTATTCGGGATACTCTCTCTGAGTTTACATGCAGGTTCGAGTTGAGACAACAAGGATCGGACTTGGTCACTACAGTAGCTGGTGTTGCTCGCATTAGAGTAGGCCCATTGCCGCCCCGTGGTTGATAGACTGGACATCCCTATGCCCATTGACGCCGATTCAGCCGCTAAAGACTTGCTAATTTCACAATTCACCGCGTGCGTTCGTCGAGAATACCTTTCTCCCTAACCCTTAAATCACCCAGTCACTCAGTCTCTCGCTCACTCGAGCCACCATCATCATTATCGTCGTCGTTGTCGTCATCACATTCATGTCCCGTGTCTCATCTCCCATCCCGGAGGGAGAACAAACGAATCTCCAGCCGCTATTCCATCGTTCGATCAGCCCGTGATGATAATCGTTCACACATGATGCAGGAGAAGATGGATGCTACAGTAGGTGCGTTGTGTTTGAGCGGTGCCCGTCCGTCGTGAGAAAGCCGACGCGCCGCTCCGCTCCGCTCCAGGTCCATTGTACGAGACACATCCCGGCCCGACCCCCTCCCTTTCTTTTCAACGAACTCTCGTCCGCTTGCTCGGATTGTCGAAAAAGAATTCTTTCGAAAGATTTTAGGAAAACAACAATAAACCGAAATAAGTTTTCCGCGGTGATCCCGACAACGGAGACCGTCGGCACGAGTTCCCCCGGGCTTGCTTCTTTTTGTCCTGAACATTGTCCTGCGCGTCTCTTCTCGGCTAGTGGACAATAAATATCAGATATCAGATACAAGTTCGAACGCTTTCCATCAATAGTCGTCCCTGGCCCCGAGAAGTCGCTTGACCAGCTTCCCGACAACCCCGAGTCTGAGTTTCTTCTTCTTCTGCGCCTCCCTCGACGGCTCTGACGTCGTGGTATTGGCGCGTTTCCTCTTGCCTGTGGAAGGTGGCGTAAGAGGGATCACGGTGTCTCGAGGTGGTGGCGCCGGTGTTGATGATGTATCGTTTGCCTTGATGTTTTTAGCTCTGTTGTTCACTATCTGCGGTGACGTCTTTGTCTGAGGCATCATTCTGGATTGGCTCGGGGGCGAGAACTTTGTAGTCCTGGGCCTTTTCCGCAGTCTGGACGAGAGCCGTGGTAGACTCTTCTCGTCCCTCGCCGAGAAAGCGGTACTTGGAGGGCTGTGGCAGGGTTGTTTCTGATGGCGTCCAATCCAGGCATTGGTTTCATCTGCTTCACGACGTTGTGCATGAGGAACATTCCGAGTGGTATTTTTGTGTGGGGGCAAATTGATTCTCTTGCGTACGTGGGCCTCCGAGATGAAGCGTTCGGCGGCACGAAGATCCGACAAACTTTTCTTGATGCGCCTGAGCGGCGAGTAGTAGCGTTTGCGGCCATCCTCGTCGTCCCAGTCGATGTAAGACACTTCTTGAGGCCTAGGCATATGGGTCGGGACAGGAGCTAAATCTGAGTTTGGCAAATGCTGCGGTGGCGGGAAGTTGGAGCCACGCGAGAGATCGGTGGGCTGATGAGCACAATAAAGCTGATAGTCCTGACACAGAGGAGGCTTGGGTAGCGGCGGGTTGATGTTGCAGATGCCAGAATAAACATTGGCCTCATACATCCTCTTGGGAGGGACCATGGCACTATCAGAGTCCTGCGGCAGAAAACGCGCAAAGTGGTCCTGAGGGGAGCCGGCAGCCGTGCAGGGAGAGCCTTCGGATATGGCAAACGATGAGCGAGAACGATGTGAATTTGTCAGGGATGGCACAGGGGTGATTGGACTTGTTGGGGGCGACGATAGAGTCTCGTATTCTAGTGAAATATCTCCTAGCTGCGCAGTTACTTGCTTCAGCAGTCCGCTCTTCGCTGTCGATGTCGAGTTTGCGTTCATGCTCTGGAAGGTGGATAGCGTTGGTGATATCAACCGACATTCAACCTTGGTGGTGTCTGTTAGCGGTCGATTCAGTTGTGGTGCCGGGGGAAGTAGACTTGGGGGACGAAGGTGAGACTGTTCAGTGAGCCAGTTACCATGTTCGCTTGTCGAGGTGGCGGAAGGGCGTTTGCGATCGGTCGTGGTGCGAATATTGTAGTCGTTTGCGTGTGTGCTGAGGAACGTTTGGGATGGGTTCGAAGACCACGGCGCCAACATCTCCTCAGGATATAGTGATGCAGATGGCACACGGTGGAAGAATAGTGGATAGGAAGAAGCAGGATCCGAGACGTCGTAGAGCATAGAGCAGGAAGGACGTCCATCAGAGTCATCCCTTCTACATGTGTAATGTGGAATGGGAGGAGATTCGCCTTTCGCCAGTGGAGACATATTCTGGGATTCGTGTGGTATACAACGGTGGGTGTAGAGCATTCCTTCAAAGAATCCCAGGTGTCACGCAGAGAGATTACAAACAGTCCAAGCATTCAATTCATCTTTCGGACAAAAGACCCAGGAGCTCCTAGGTTGACAAATGGATTCGGATTCGGGTTGGATGAATGAGCGGATTTATGGGATTGTGTTGATACTTGTGCGTGTTGTGGTGGTGTCGCAAAAGATGATCCGGGCTGGGCGGTTTCTGCATTGGCCAACGGAAGCTCAGACGCTGGTTTGAAGGAGAAGTCGCCTGGATCTTGGAGGCTGTCACGATGCCCGGCAAGCCATGTAGGTCACGACCTCACGAGACCTAGACGATACCGGTCCGGATACCCAGAGCAGGACCTCGACGTGGATAGCAGCAAGACAGGACCTTCTTGGTGCAATATGCCATGGAGAAGTGTGGCCAGATCCTCGTCAGTAGCCCAGACTGTGGCCGTGCACCGATCACAAGAACAGGGGGTCCGAGCTGGATGTGAAAAGATGGGTCCGGAGCGGTTAGGGTGAGCTGCCTTTCATGGAGAATTCATGCAAGGTGCTGGCCAAGGCTCTACTCATCGTTGTAGGTTTAGGAAGGGAGACATGTCGGATTTGTAGTCAGACCGAGGGCGATGTGCTTTCAATCACATCCGTTTCTCTTTGTCGGCAAGCCGCCTTCTCAGAATGATATGCTCGGCAGCCCCAACCGTCGACATTTGTGCCATCAATAATGCAGATTGAGGATGGGGAAGGGGAGGGGCCAGATCAACGCAAGGGATGACAGCCTCATCAGTCTAGGCACGCAATCCGTCACCACACACCGTCAGGTGCGATAGAGACTCCACCAGCGACATTCCCCGGATGGACAGCAACGGTCCTTTTGTCCAAGTATGTGATCTTGAAAGCTTTGGGAGGAGGAGTTGGAAAACTAAGCCAGTGTTTGCTTCTGGCAGAATTCCAAACTGCTTTCCCTCAACCTGGGCCCACGAGGGCGAGTGCCAAGTTGCTTGTTACCAATAGCAAACGTGACGGCTGTACGTCAATCAATATGGCTGAGCTTGTGAAGGACAGAATTCCCACCTGATTTCCCCCAGGAGAACTAGCAGCACACCTTTATGCACACACATCAATCTCACTGGGATCATGACGGGTCGCAAAAATAGTACTCTGTGTATACCGGGGCGTTGACTACCCGACATTGGTATCCGCCAAACAGCTAAAGTTGACGGCAAGGAGACCCTGCGTCCAAACAGAAGATAACCGAACGGCAGCCGTGCAGCGGGAATCGGCTGCCCTATGCACACAATCAAGAGTTTACGCAGTAAGCTTCGCTGATCTCGAAGCGAACGGACCGACAAACAGGATCAACAGCGAGAGAGGTAGGTGCTCAGCCTCAGAGTGGCGACAAATATCAGGGCAGCAAGTACCCTACCTAATATTGTGGCTTTCGCTTCTGCCCAGGGTTTAGTGAGGCTTGCAAGCCTCTCGGTTCCCAGGAGTGGTGATTTGTTCAGGGAGATGGGATGACGAGCCAATCCCCTTCTCAAGACAGGAGTTGACAGATCAAGCAGCACCTTTGTCCCCTGGTTCCTGGACGAAATGGACTGAGATGGATGGTGGGGCAGAAAATGAGGTCTTTCATTCTGTCCAGCTCTTGATTCCAATCTCTTTTTTTTTATTTCCAAGACTCGAGGAGGTCTGTCGAAAATAGGCGGTGGCAGAGCGAAGAGAACATTCGGGGCGGTGACCAAGCAGCTGAAACCGTGGCTCGCAAGACCAGGGGTTGATGGGTTGATGGCGGTGGCCGTGGATGGGATGACGATGCTGCCAGCTCATCGCTCCACATCGGGGTCTCGATACTTCTGCGAAGCTTGCGCCCAGCCTCTCCAATATCGCACCACGGCCTCACTCACCGAGTTTCCCACAACCGTTGGATGCCCGAGCAAGGAAAATACGGGATCATGGCAAACACGTTGTCGAGGATCGTCCCAGGCTGTTCTTCAAGCGTCCAATCCCGACAGATGGCCCTGGACCGCCGGTAGCAATCCGCACTCCGTGTTTGTTCTCCCGCCGTTTTACAGTTGGTCTCTTGCGACCGACCAGCTCCAAATCTGAACGTAGGACTCCTGGTGAATATCAGCAGCAGCTCTCCATAGTAACATCAAGTTCTCAGGAGGCGCTCATGCTGAGTTCAGAGCTGAAATTTCACTGACTGCGCTCACAGCTGCGCCCATTGATTTTGGCGCAACCACCACCTACACCACCACAGTCGAACAGATTTCACTGCTGGAGCGAGGCCATCCCTTTGATGTCTCGACTGAGTAATAAATTGCCTCACTATACTCACGGGGCCCGAGACGCGACTTTGCCGCACTTGTGGACACGCGACTCTACATGGGAAGCTGAAGGCCCAACCTCCATGATTTTAGAGATTGACCAGCCACCAGCACAACCACACACACTTCTTCCATCTCACCACGCCAATGCCAATGCCTCCGTTACAGTTACTGTTCAACCCTGCTTAGCCCTTCCCCTACTACCCTCAGAGCTTCTACCACCGTCTCCCATACCCTTGCGCTTCAGGCACAGTCCCCAAATTGTCCCAGGATCCCTCCTCCCTCGTCCAGCAACCAGCAGTCGAAGTGTCGCTCCCCCATCAACCCGCCTTTGACGACCTTTACGAGTACTACGACCCGGAACGAGATCCCACACCCCAACGCCAGCAACAAATAACCACTCCCACCTCGCAGAGACGTCCTCAGTCGGCGCAGTCCAGCGGTGCCCGGTCGCTACGAAGAACCCCAAGACTACAAGAGCGACGGGTGACAACACGGTCTCCTCTACGTGCTAGACGATCTCAGCCTCTCTCTACAACACCACCAGTCCAGTTTGACGAGTCCGGTTCTACCACCCCGAGCTTCTTCCAGCGACTAGTCTCGGACGACGTCTATCGGCCTCGGAGGAGCCTCCACGTCTCTCGCCATACTCACGACGCCATCTTGTTTGCCCTGGAAGCCATCAGAAGAGGTGATGGTGTTCACGCGCAGCCATTAACTGCCGATCCACTCGAAGAAGAGGCTCGAATGTCAGATTTGGTGAGGGGCACTGCGCCCGGTACCGCTGCTGTATCGAGCCGAACTCAGAATGGCGGAGCAACTCGTGCGGCCGCGGCTGCTGGCACTGGACCGACACCCAGCGAGCCTCCTCGATATCGCACCCCTACCGATGTCATGCGAGACCGCCGGGCACGGGAAGCTCGGAGAGCCGAGGAAGCGGCGGCGAGGTTACGTCAAGAGGAGGAGGCTCGAAGACTACAAGAAGAACAAGTTGTTGGCGTTGGGGACGATACCGCACGAAGACCGGCGGCCAGGCCCAGTGCCCAGCCTCAAATCTACAATATAGGCGGAGCCATCCCTCAGCCTACTGGCCCGACGTCGCGGCGGCAAGAGAACATACCTCCCGCTCAACCCAGCTCCTCTAGGACGGCCGCGAGGGCTCCCGACCCTGTTGCAAGAGAACCCAGGATCTCTGCAGCCACACAGCGAAATCGGACGGAAGCCTATGAGCAGCTCAGCATTCCTGCACCGGCTAAACCGGCGGAACAGGTGCCACGACCCAGTCAACCACCACAACCACAACCCCGGACCCAAACTGTTCCCCAATCTGGCTCTCAACCGGTGCAACAGCCGGCTGCTCAAGTTGCTGCCGCGGCGGCTCGAAGCCGCTTCCCCAATGCATTTGAACGCTGGGAAGATCTATCTGCCCGTTGGGAGGGCATTGTGTCATCTTTTATCCATCGCATGGAAAACAATGCTGATGAATTGGCTGGGAAGCCCCTTGATCGGCAAATGGCCCGACAGATTGACGACTTGTCTCGGGCAGGCGCAAATCTGTTTCACGCGGTGGTCGAACTGCAGCGTCTTCGAGCATCGTCCGAGCGAAAGTTCCAGCGCTGGTTCTTCGAAACCCGGCATGAGCAGGAGCAGGCACAGGAAAGGCAGGCTGAGCTCGAGCGTCAGCTACGTGCTGAGAGGGAAGCTCGAACGCTCAGTTCCACCTCGATCGAGCAGGTGCGCGCAGAAAGAACCAGAGCAGAGGAGCTGGTAAAAGAGATGCGCCGCGAACTACAAATTAGCAAGGAAGAAGCTCGCCGTGCCTGGGAAGAACTGGGCCGACGGGAGCAGGAAGAACGTGAGAGGACCATTGCACTAAGGAGCGGAGAGCCCACCCTCATTGGCGGCGTCCAGGTGGTACCGATGCAAGGTCTGCCGAGTCGGCAGGTGAGCACGGCTCAACGTCCACAAACGAGAGACGGGCCAACCGGTGGTGCAGGGCCAACAACCATGTCTGGACAGCAACCACAACAGCGACCTCACTCTCGTCAAACAACAACGACGTCTCTCGACTCGCCTGGCGAGGAAAGCCGGCAGTTCACATTTCGTCCCGACACGGGTAACTCGTCAAACATCACCGACCCGTTCACAGAATCATCCCGGCAGCGTGAACAACAAACCCAACTGCGTCGTGAGCCCGATACACAATTTTACACTACCCCTCCCCGACCCACACAGGCTGCGACAAGTGGTGCTGCAATTGCTGCTGCTCGTGCTGCAGCATCCGGAGGGCAATCGCCCGGGAGGACCCCTGGTGAGTCGAGGTACCAGCCGACTGCCACCACCGATGCCCAAATGTCCGGTGCTTTGCCTACGCCAGTTCGTCAGGGTACTGGAGGGACAGAACAGTCATTTATGCCCTCCAACGCGTCCCTAGCACCATCCGAGGAGGAATACCATATCAACCCCGATGGCAGCTATACCCGGGACTCGCAAGGCCGTCGCATCCCTTATCGCCAACCACTTGGACTTGGAACGTCAGGGTTGGCTGGAGAAATTAGCGATGATGAAGGTGAAATACCGGAAGGAATATCAGAGGACGACGACGATCATGCTGCCGACGCTGAGCGAGAGAGATTGTACGCCGCACAGTATAGGCAACCCCAGTCTTCGCAACAGCCACCGACCACGTCCGGCGGTATTCCTCGTACAACGAGCGGCGCCCTTCCACCCATTCCGCAAGGTCGAACACTGGATCCTCCATCGTCGCCCTATGAAGGACAAGGCTACGATCCAAGCGTGCCACCCGCAGTAACCCAAGCCATGACGGGCTGGGAGAGCTTGCAGACCCGCGGCCACCAGCATCCGACCAGGCTGAGCGATATCATTGAAGAGCAGACTGCGAGGACGAGTCCTAGCCGGACAAGCTACGTTAGTGGTTCAGGTGTTCTCCCCGGCGACCACGGAAATGGCACTGGACCTACCGGAACAGGGAACGGCGGTGGAAATTCCTCCTCCCGGCGCTGACGAGCGTAAGAAATCTCGTACTATTTCGCACGAAGAAAAGACATAAACAATCCAGGGTCGGCAACTGTTTTATTAACGCCACTGGCTATGCCATCAACCTATCGCTCGTCTCAAACAACAGTCTGCACTTTCTCTACTTTACAGGAAATTCTTGTCATCTCCAGGGCTGCAAAAAAGCCAAACAAAAAAAAGGGTCTTGAAGACCGCTAATTAATGGGTGGCTCTTTTTTACGCTCGATGTACAACACACAGTACAATACGGATTTAATGATTGCACATACAGAAGCCCGACCTAATTGAGCGGGTTGGTTGATTGATTCTAATCCTCCGGAGATGCAGCACCTGACTTGGCCCAGCTTGTGTTCCACCATGGGGGAAGCTATCGAGAAAGGGTCTACGGATGTGGAAGGGGCCACGGAAAAAGAGCCCAACGTGCGACCACTTTCAGGGAATCGGACGACGGGCTCGCCGCGTAAGGGAGGAGAAAGAGCGCGAGAATTTCCCGATGTCCTAGATTTCAAATTGCCAGTGTCGAGGAAAGAACAGCTTCCAAAAGAGAGAGAGAGAGAGAGAGAGAGATAGTGGCAAAGAGGTTCAAACGGGATAAAGAAGGAAAATAAGGATGGAACCCGGAACTTCTCGTTCCTCCTGTTCCTTCTAGTCGCTTTCAATTTTTTATGGTTCATATACTCAGATTCGGGCTGTTTTCATAGCAAGCGAAGGCGCAATGAGCGAGTCGTCGTGTCACGGTCTCAATAAAATACTGTCGAAGCTTTAGCTGTGGTTTTATGACGCTCTTGGAACAAATGCTTTTTCCAGAGCGCAGAGAATACAGAGACATTTCCAACACTTTCATTTCGGCCTTGCGTTCAGCTGACACTCATTCTCACCGTGTTTGTCTTCAGAGTACAGGTCCCTGATCCAATCCATCTGGGGCTGCTCATTGACATCAGCTATTCCTTCCACACGTCTCCCGTGGTTGCACTGGTATCCAAGTGTGCAGCAATGTTCTGGTTCATCTCACTTGTTCATGGCTGATCGCATGCCGAATTCGCACAGAAAGCTGTTGTCATCGACCGGATACTCATAAGTTCTTACCGCGCCGTAGTTGTACAGTTTGTGATCCGTCATTACTGCATCGAACCCATTCATATCGCCACCACAGTTGACTCATTTAGGACGACGTTGTTCCCGACGAAGGACTCCACGCGCTTGGGTTGGACTGAATGTACGGTTGTGTGACACACCAACAAGTCAGTTGGAACGGATGGAAAAGTGCCGGAGTTGGATCACCACCATCGTTGAAACATGACATGGCCGCACATGCTTCCACAGTCATCTTTGCATTGTACAGATTTGGTTCAATCAAGGCCCGGGCGTCTAGCGTTTCGCCTGCATCTTTGAACATGCAGCCGCAATACCCATCGGTGCCCTTGATCATGTTCATATGGTAGAAAGGGCAGGCCCCGTCACATTGAACACTCCAGATTTGTCGTCTTTGGGGTTGGACATAAGCAATGTTGTTGTCAAGGCTACGTTTGCCGGCTCCTTGAGATACGACGGTCAGGGTCAAAGCCGTACTCTGGGTCGTATTCATTTGGTCGATGTCTGAGACAATATTGTTTCCGAGGACTGAGTAGACGCTGCCATCACTGAGTTTCTGGATCCACCAGATGACGATGTGTGGATCATACATGTTCATAGCGATGCATTGACAATCAGGAGCCACCGTTTGGGGCTGTCCTTGGCCTTGGTTCACGACCAGAGGAACCAAGGCAAGGTTAGGCTGAGGATCGACCAGGCCGATTGTGCCACAGGGTAAGGAAGTGCTACAGTTGACGATGAGCGTGGTTGGTACTGGACCATCCAATTGCAAGTAGATCTGGATGACGCCGTCTCGCAGGTAGGGGACAATAGAGCTAACTTTTGCCGTGTCTTGAGGCTGAACACTCAAGGATTGCTGCAACAAGGCGGGGGTGATGTCTTGGTTCGGCGGAGGGATGAACGTCGGGACCGCGGTGTCGATAGCTGGTGTTGGACTCGTTTGTGTCTGTCGTCGGCGCAGGTCGTTCACTGGCTGTTGATATCTTTCTGGGAGTGAATCATACACTTCATTCGCCTTGTTGTGCCAGTCTTCCATTGTGCCGCAGTAACACGAATCGGTCATCACAGAGTAGAACGGTTCTTTTCCACCTTCACATTCCAAAACACCGCAGGGTTGAGAGAACTGAACACAGGTTGATTAGCCATGGTCACGCAGCTGAGGTGTATCTGGAATCTGAACTCACGGGAGTGCTTGACCATGCTGGACACGAACAACAGAACGACGACAAATTGAACATTGCTTCTCCAAAGAAGCATCTTTTTGACAAGCACAGTTGGTCGAGAATTGCAGATACCCGGCTTTGCACAACATCAAGCGTGTTGTCCATCCTCGTTGGAGCCGCAGCTGACATCCCAACAAGCCACATGGCGATGACGAGAACTGCAGGAGTCATTTCAACGGCTAGCCTCACAGGTTTCATCACAGTCTTCGGATAGGAGGGAGGAATAATGATAAAGATGAAGAGGCTTAGATGGGTAGGACGGGACAGGGAGAGATAGGAAGACACACGAGGTAGAAAATGCACGACCAGTCACTGAGAAGACAAATGGGATTGGGACTGCCGGACCTCGTACACTGGTCAGTACCGCACCTACCTGGCCATGGAGTCTTCACTACGGAAGCAGTGATTGCCATCCAAATACTGTACCCAGCAGGAGCCCTGTCCACCTAGAGAGCGACACAAGGGCATCTTTTAGTAGATATGAGGTAGTAGATATGAGGAAAGTTGAGCTCCATGTCAGTGAAATCAATTGAACGATAAATCTCACCACTTTAATCGGCATCTGCGAGGCTGACCGGCACGTGACTGGAAATCAGAGTTCACGTGGCGTAGGATCGGCATCATCTTTTTTCCGATGTGGAGCAGCGGTGGGAATCTTGGCAAACGGCCCTAACGCCCAAGGTGGGTGTCTCAGTGTCTACGTCAAAACACCACCCACCGTCTGCGCTGTTGTCTCTACAAGTACAAGCCCTTGGGCAGCCACTACAGCACTCGCTTCCTTCGGCTGGTACCGTGTACACCACTCGCTGGCCCTGAATGACTACAAGATTCGCCTAATCCAAGTTTTGCTGCCGCTTTCGTGATGTGTTTCACTCTGGTTGCTCAAATCCTGTTGCAGGAGGCTGGGAATCTACAGCGGTCTCTGCCCGCTCCCACCAACCACCTCACTATCGTCCACAAGCACCACCAGCTCCATCCCAGCCTCACCTTCAACGCTTTCTTCATAATTCTCCGACTGCCTCATTAACCTTTCTCCCTTGCTTTCTTCCCATGTCGTCAACGTGCGTCTACTGATTTTCCGCGTCTTTTTTGGGTTTTGCGCATCTTTTGCTTGTAACAACCCGCCCAAAGTAATGAACTTGGTCACTGATCCCGACGCTCACATCCAGACAGTCAAGCGAACCACTCCTCAATATATCAAGTCCGACTCTCTCAAGTCGTCTTCGGCCACGAACGAATACTTTTCTGACTATGCCTCCGAAGTCGCCAGCCGAAAGTCAGACGATTCCAAAGCCAGCTATGAGACGCCTCCTTCACGTATCTCTACGCCTGTACCAGTACAGCACCACCCGATCGATTCGGAGATGACGCTTCCCTCAAGGCCCGGCGCCATCCAGCCGGCTCCTTTGGTTATTCGACACAGCCAACCCGCGGGCGCACCAACAACGGTGCGGTTGTTGTCTAGTTTCGACGAGTTGAGCCCTCCGACTCCCGGAGTGGACGATACACCATACATTCGATTTGCCATCGAGCAGTTGACAAGAGATGAGGATGTCATTGGCCGTGGCAGGGATAGTACGCTTCCCGCACCAAATGTGCCTCTTCCAGCATCTATGCCTCCTATCGAGGCTGAATTCGACGAAAGCCTGCGTGCCGCAACACCCTCTCCTCCTCCACCGACTCCCCCTCCGCAGCCTGTCTCGCCCCAACCGTCCTCTCGTCCTCCCTCACAAACAGGCCTCCAAGAGGTCATGATCCCAGTTGATCTTTCGAAGGACCTTCGTATGCGACTCGGCTTTGTACCGCTACCTTTAAGACTGCCCATTCTCGGACTATTCCTCCTCCTATGCCTTTTAATGATCGCTGCTCTCATATTTGGCCTGGTCTTTGCAGGCACGAATCACGCACTCTTCAACTATGATGGGAACACGACGCCGCGCTATTTTGTCTTCCAGTACCTACCACAACTGGTTGGCATACTCCTGATTCTGTGGCTTTTTGTGATCGAAGCCGCTGTGTACAGATCCCTCCCTTACTACTGCATGGGCCCAGGTCGTCGCAATCACTGGGTTTTGCAAAATATGCGAATTCTACCGGCAAACTATCTCCTGCCCGATCTCACTTTCTTCCGGAACGGCGAGAGCCTGCTGGGTGTGACATTCTTAGCCTTTTGGCTGATGAGTTTTACTGTCCCGCTTCTTGCATGCGTGTTCCAGACGCAATGGATCACAGATGATGGGCCGGCGCGTTTCCGATGGACGACTGTCAGAGGCGTCGGCTGGACTCTAGTGGCGCTATATGCCCTTCTATGCCTTGGAATCTTGTATTGCGCTGTTCGCTTTCGACGACGCAATTCCAACTTGCTCTGGGATCCCTCCTCTCTGGCGGATCTGATTTGTTTGTTCCGGAGGTCAAACGTGGGTCCGGATTTCGAGCAAAGCGAGATATCACCACAACCGAATGTGCAGATCCCGCCTAGGAATCTGCGCCTGGGTTTCTTCACCACTTCTGAACGACCGGAAGTATTTCATGGAATAGGGGAGGAGTACGCACCTGTCAAACGCCTATCATTCCTGCCCGAGAAGCCGAAAGCTGCCCATGTTCCAACCGAGCAGGGTGATCTTGAAGCACAACGGCATTCTTATGGCTCTGCGTTCGCCCGCAACATCCATTCGCCATTTGTCCGATACCGCTGGACGCCTTGGTTCCTCCGCGACTCACTTGTATTGGCATGGATTGTGGCAGCTATCTTGCTAGTCATCGCCTTTTTAGTCGTCAGCTTTGTGAACAAGGCGGTCGAAGATGGCTTCCGCCCTCTCCTCCCATCCGTGACGGATTCGAGTGGCTTCTCACCAGCCAACTTTCTCTACAGCTTCTTGCCATCACTCTTCGGCATGGTGCTGTTCCTCGCCTGGCAGCCGGTTGACATGTACTACAGAGCAGTGCAGCCGTTTCGCAATCTCTCCCAGCCTACTGGTGCAACTGCGAAAAACTCGCTTCTGCTCGCATACCCTTCCTATGGACATGTACGAGTCATACTCCGGGCCCTGATCAATCGCGATTATAAGGTTGCATATATTACCTTCATCTCGCTCCTCTCGCTTTCTATTCCGGTGCTGGCCGGTGGAGTGTTCACGGCAGTATTCTTCTCCGCAGACAGTCAAGTCAGGATTGTCGCCAGCATGCCTGGGTACATTGCATTGTGTGTGCTGGTCACTATCTATGCACTATCGTACTTGATCATCTGGCCGACCAGGAAGCGATATTTGCCGCACAGTATCAACACGATTGCGGCACTCCTGAGTTGGCTATATGCTAGCCCATTGCTCGGCGATGTCGCCCTGCAGAACATTGGAACCAAAGCTGACTTGGCCGAGAGATTGACAGGGCCAACTGCGACTCCAACTCCATTGACTGGTGACGCCGTAATCGACGAGAAAGGTCGTCGATCACGGCGTGCTGTCCGCCGTCTGGCGCAGGACGCTGGGATGAGATATGCCTTCGGAATCTTCGTCGGTCGTGACGGCAAAGAGCACCTTGGCATCGACCGCTTGCAAAGGCCGGGTAGTCGAGAAATGCTGGTTGTGTCGACTTCGCGCTGAACCTCAAGGTTTGGCCGCAGCGGACGACGAGTCGGACGCGATGATATGAATTGATGGTGATGTACAGTACGACGGACACGCAGATTCTGATTCTGATGATATAATCTTCACACTACGACCTTTAATGCTTGAACATGATGGGTTCGACGCATTTGCGCGAACAAAGTGCACAAAAGTACCTTTTGCGATATATTCGCGACGGCTCACCGCCGCCCACAGCTGGGATGATGGAATATTACAGAGGAGGTTAGATGGGAGAACGAAGACATGCCGGTTCACACCACAGATGCCTGTACAGATACAAATATGATACCCGAACCTGATACTTCAAGGGTCATTCCTCCAGATCAAGTTCTTTTCTACCGTGTGCCAACTTCGTTCCGTTGTTTGCAATTTCCTTGCTGTGCGCTTCCATTTTACTAACTTCGTGTTTCTTTGCCTGCATAGATTACCTGTGATTTGTTGCTCTCTACGCCGTTGCATCAGAGGGAACAGGTGTACGCATATCTTGCGAAAAGTCTTAGGCAACTGTGTCGTGGCAGGTGGGAGTAGGGTGCAGCTGAGACAGCAATGACCTGTTATACTTTGGGAAAGGCAATGACTCTTCATCCGAATTACCAGTCTATGTCCGCCTTGCATTTGAATGAGAGGCAGTAGCTGAGAGAGCAGCAACTCCTAATCAGCCACCGTCACTCAACAAGTCCTCGTCAACGCTTGGAAGCGGCTGCTGCCATAATAAACTCGACCACCTGCCGACCCCATGCTTCTTCCTTGAGAATGCCCGTCCCCAGGCCCAAGACCGGGCTGATGTGGTTGTGGCCCTCCATCTTGAGGACTGTCAAGTTGTTGGCGACGGCGTCCGTCTCAACCCACTCCTTGATGAAGTCATTCTTCGGGGTCAGAATCTCGTTCTCTGGATCAAGTGCCCCGTAAAGCACCATGACCGGAACTCCATTCAGATCCCCAATCGATCCGTCTTTTTTGCACGCTCTTAGCAGCCCCAGCGGCGACCGGTTGAAGACGTCTTCCCCGAAGTATGCTTGAAGAACTTGTGCTCGTTCTGCCACGGCCTGACCGAAGTGGAATGGGGCGGCCAGGAATATGACGCCCTTCAGATTCAATGCTGGAGCATGTCCCATGAACAATTTCTGACGATGTCCGCGAAATTGGGAAGCAAGGAGATAGGTTCCCAAATGCACGCCTCCAGCGGAGTTGCCCATGATGTAAACATTTGTTGGGCTTGATGTGCCAGAGCCCATATGCTCTTTGACCCAATCAATGACCAGCTCCAGGTCCTCGCCTCCAGAAGGGAACTTCGCATCGTGGGAGATGAGTCGGTAATCCGGAATGACCACCTTGACTCCCAGGTGTTCCGCGAAGAAATGGCCCACATTGGCATACACCAGCCCCTCGGGGAAATTCACGTTGATCTTATCGCCTCGGACGAGTCCTCCGCCATACAGAAATATGAAGACAGCATTGCCAATCTTGGATTGCGTTGTCGTCGCGGGGGTGTAGACATCCAACTGCTGTCGTGGATGCTCGCCGTAACTGAAGGTCTGACGTGGGGTTGACTGGATAGTCTCGGCTTGCCTGAGCAATAAAGGCGTGTATAGCTGGTACGTGGGCAACAAGACTTGAGCAATTCCTTTGCCGAGTTCTGAGAGGTTCTCCATCGTAGTCCCAATGATTGCAGCGTCAGTGATGGCGACGACGAGATGTTCTTGTGTGTCTATCAATGCTCGTCGGTCATTGTCAAGTATTGTTGGTGACCATCGGTAGATACAGAAGCCCAACTACCGATCGCTCGACCCGTACCCACACTCAACCACTCGCTGTTCCCCTCGTCTTGTGTGACGTCCGGGTGAACATTGGTTGTGTTTGCGTTGGTTTTTCCAACGCGCGGGAAAGCATGAGAGTTACCCTGTCACCTTTACAAGAACAACCGACAGTGCCGCTATCCGGGCAACAGATCAAGGAAGGCTTCCTACATATGTGCCTTGTTGTCTAGATGACCACAGCTATGCAAGGTGGCTTAACACCTGAGCAAGCCGATGTCCAGGGATTCAAAGACATTTTGAATGTCACGATTGTGGGGGCGGGGCTAGCAGGTCTGGCCGCCGCCATCTCCTGTGCTCTAGCAGGACACACTATCACAGTATTCGAGGCAGCCAAAGAACTGGCCGAGATTGGTGCGGGACTCCAAATCACCCCCAACGCCTCGAAGTTGTTGCAACAATGGGGCCTGGAAGATGCGGTTAAAGCCTGTGCTGCCGTCCCGACCGTTCTGGCTGTGCACCGATACACGGACGGCAAGATGCTGGCCGAAGAAAGGGGCTTTGACAAGAACCTTCAGCGGAAATACGGTCTCCCGTTCTTTGACATCCACCGAGTTGATCTGCAGAGGATATTGTACCACAAGGCTGTCTCGTTGGGAGTGGACGTGCAGCTTGATTGTCGAGTGTCCCGGGTTGAGCGCACGACAACAGGGCCAAAACTGATCTTCACATCTGGTCGAGAAATTCAGAGCGACCTGGTCGTGGGCGCCGACGGGTTGTGGTCAAAGTGCAGAGAGAGCATGTTGAACACAGCGGACCAACCACTACCGACTGGAGACTTGGCCTACAGGATTGTCCTGCACCTTGACAAGATCACCGATCCCGAATTGAGGGAATGGATCGCCAACCCGCAGGTTCACTTCTGGATCGGCCCCTATTCACACGCTGTGGCATACTCGATCAGATGTGGCACCATGTACAACATCGTGCTGCTGTGCCCGGATGATCTCCCACAGGGACTCTCACGAACGACGGGCTCGGTCGACGAGATGCGGGCTCTCTTTGCCGGGTGGGACCCCATCCTCACTCGGTTCCTCGAGCAGGTCGAGCAGGTCGACAAGTGGAAGCTGATGCACCGCGAGGAGCTGGCGTCGTGGACGAACACGGAGAAGAACTTCGTCCTGCTCGGCGACTCCTGCCACCCCATGCTCCCGTACCTGGCACAGGGAGCGAATTCGTCCATCGAGGACGGTGGCGTCCTAGGGAGACTGCTGTCGTACGTCACATCCAGAGAGCACTTGTCGTGGGCGATCACACTGTACGAGTGTCTTCGCAAGCCGCGCAGCGAGAGGATCGCCCGCGAGACGTTCCATCAGAGAGAGGCATTTCATATGCCTGACGGTCCTGAACAGCAACGACGGGACAAGGTATTTGAATCTGAATTGGGTCGAGAGATATCGAGCAAATTTCCGAGCCGTTGGTAAGCCGGTTCCTTGTTTTGACTTTGGGCGTAAGAATGAGATGGTACTGATATTGGACCGTAGGACTTGTCCAGAGGTACAGCCCTGGCTTTTCGGTTACGATGCGTATCAAGAAGCGGACGAGGCGGTGAAATCAATGCCATATCGGGCCAAGTCAAGCTTGTCATGACTGGAATTGTCTCGGGAGCCTCGATAACGGTGTACACCGGTAATTGAAGACATGAGTGGCTCCAGCGAGGAGCATCTTTTCAGAGCCTGTTTTCAGGATTTATTATCCCATGTGAAATATCATCCGGAGTTCTCACTTTGGATAGATAATGTTCCTCGATTCTGTCAGTCAGCGTTCCAGGTGAGTTCGAGCCTCCGGGTTTCCGATGCGTGCTGCCACGAGCACAACCTGCCCTGCTAGATTTTGCAGCATTCACGATACGAGATATAGAGATCGACATCGCTCGATACGATTCTCACATCAAGCAGCTACCACTCACCCAGGTGAGACGACGTCGATAAATTGATGGGCTTTTGCTGAGATTCAACCTTTCGAAGTGAATTGGAGAGGGAGTGGACAATGATTCGACGGTAGGCTAGGCCGGGAGGCTGAGCATTTATCTTCAACTTCTCCCCATGACACTTGCTGCATGAGTGAGCATTAAAACATGCACCACAATCTGTTCTGTTATTGTGCCGTACTTTCATTGAGACAATGACTGGATCAAGGATGTGTCGTTGTCATACACTGAGATATCTGAGGGAGTGGGGGACTGCTTACTCACTCCTGCTATTTATCGAGCCTGATTCCCGCGCCTAGACCATGAGCACAGAACCGAGAGAAAATGGACGAAAGCAACAAGCAAAAATGGCAGACTAATTAAATCCCACGGCTGTGTTCTATACTACTGTAGACACCACTCACCCATGCACCCTCATTCCGTCGGCTGTCCCAAGAAAACGCCAAGCCCACTCTGCTAAACCACCCTCCCCCCCGTCAGGGGGAGACACATATTAACCCAAGCATTAGGTTGATAATGGCAGAACGCTATACTTCCATTACCAAAGGACTTCGTCAATCATCGATACCGTAGGGGCTGGTCAGGAATGGCCATGCACATTCTTGAAGCCCTCCCGGGGGGGGGGGGGGGCGCGGTAGTAAGTTTCTCGAATATAACCATCAATCCTGATCCGCGCAAGACCGCCTCCGAATTCCCGAATTCTGCCGTGAGAATCGGGAGTCTGGTCGTCGGCAGGGATGAAAATCAATGGCTGTAATTATAGGTTCCTTGCTGTCCCCCCTGATGATAGGGATCGTAGCTCTCTCCATCTTCGTAGCCTTCTTCGGCTTCTTCACCCTCCTCACCCTCCTCGTCGTAGTAGTCGTCATCATCCTCTCCAGCATTGGCGCTCCCATAATTGGCGCTCCCGTAGGCGGCACTGGGCGAGTTGAGATAGCCACCAGTGGTTGAACTGGGATTGCCACCAGTAGTCGTGTTTGCGTAACCTCCGGTGGGCGAAGTTTGATAGCCCACGTTGGTGCCGTAGGGATCGGCATTGCTCTGAGTTCCCTCTGGATATTCTTCTTCCTCATCGGGTGGTGCATACCCTTCCTGGGTTGGATCCTGAGTTGAGGCCTGAGCTGGATCCTGATATTGGGTTGGATCTTGATATTGGGTTGGATCTTGATATTGGGTTGGATCTTGATATTGGGTTGGATCCTGAGTTGAGGTTTGAGATGGAACTTGGTATGGTTGATTTGGATCCTGAGTTGAGGCTTGAGTTGGATCCTGATATGGTTGGTTTGGATCCTGAGTTGAGGCTTGAGTTGGATCCTGATATGGTTGGTTTGGATCCTGAGTTGAGGCTTGAGTTGGATCCTGATATTGGCTTGGATCTTGATATTGGGTTGGATCCTGAGTTGAGGTTTGAGATGGAATTTGGTATGGTTGGTTTGGATCCTGAGTTGACGTTTGAGTTGGATCCTGATATTGGCTTGGATCCTGATATTGGCTTGGATCTTGGTATTGGCTTGGATCTTGGTATTGGCTTGGATTCTGGTACGTCCCATAAGGGTCTGTCTGACCATATGGATTTTGCTGACCGTATCCCGTGATGGTGGGGATCAGGGCTTGTGGAAGGCCACTCTGCACGATCTGGTTAATACCATCGAGCCAAGTAGTTGCACCGCTCTGTTGCGGATAGGTGGGCTGCGGGCTGTAGATTGGCTCTTGCTGCCACGGAGTCTCTTGGCCAAAGGGATTAGATGCCGGTGCTGGATTGGAGGGAGGAGGTTCCTGTGGTGTTTCCTGGGGAACGTTTCCATGGGTTTCATTAGGGACACCAGATCCAGGAGCTGGTTCCTGTGGTGTGTCCTGGGGAACGTTTCCATGGGTTTCATTGGGGACACCAGATCCAGGAGTAGGTTCCTGTGGTATGCCCTGGGGAACGTTTCCATGGGTTTCATTGGGGACACTGGATCCAGGAGCTGGTTCCGGTGGTTCCTCTACTCCTGGGTGATTGGCAGCGGGTGGCGATTGAGTACTCGGTCCGTTAGGATGGCTACCAGATTCGCCTGAGGGTTCAGGCGGTAGCTCTTCGTGAGGAGGCACAGGGAGATTATTGACCGGCTGAGGAAAAGTTACTGGCTCAGGAAACGTTACTGGCTCTGCAGGAGGGTGGGATGGAGTTGTGCCAGAGGGAGCAGGTGGCGCCCCTGTGGAAGGGCCTGCCGGTTCAGGAGGAGGTGAAGGTGGTTTCGGAGGAGGTGAAGGTGGTTTCGGAGGAGGTGAAGGTGGTTTCGGAGGAGGTGAAGGTGGTTTTGGAGGAGGTGAAGGTGGTTTCGGAGGAGGTGAAGGTGGCTTTGGCTCAGAATGGCCACCAGAAGGCTCTGGCTCAGGCTCAGAGACATGGGGCTTCGCCTTGGGTAAGTGAATACCCCTGGCCATTGCGGTGCGCTGATTCAGGTGGTGAGGGAACGGCCAAGTTGTTATCTGGTTATTCTGTGGATGGTTACCTTGTCTCCCCCAGGAAATTTAAGTGTTCGTACACTACGTTATATATTGATTACTCCCCGTGACTACTGGTGATGGAAACTAGGGTATGAGCGATCCAGCGACGAGAGGCCTCCAGTCGGCCGCTCTCACCATCCTTTAGAACGCGCGTCGTAGAAGCGTTTGGGGTCGCAGTTTGAAAATTTCTACTTCCGGACAAGGACTTGTTCTATTTAAGTGAAGTGAGCACTGGTCAAGTTCGAACATGTGATGGTGGTGGTGGTGGTGGTGGTGGTGGTGGTAGAAAGGCAGACTCCTTGAAATAGCGACAGCAACGCAATCTGCCTTTCCGCTGAGAACATGGCTGAAGTTCTTTCCCATATCCGTCTTGGGAAAGAAAACGTGCCCGGAAATGGACGTGGCGGGGTGTTGGGAGGCTTGACGCAAGAGGGCGCGATATGACAGATAAAAGTAAGCACGGGCAAAAATCGAAGTAAATTACGGGGTATTTTCATAACACTGCCCACGACGAAAGCTGATTGGTGGCCTTGTCACTACGGCCCTATCCAAAACGAGCATATCACTTGTGGAGCCAGCCCCTTTGATCCACTCCTTCTTCCCACCTGAAGGGGCCAATGAGTGCTACCCTTGTTCTCGCTGGACTGCTGCGCTTGCTTTGTGCATAGTGCTTATATCGCCGCAACCAGGATTTACCACTTCTTATGGGATGACTGACAGGGGCGATGCTGTTGCGGCGGTAAGTCATAGGCGAACCCTGTAATCAACACCTCAGCTTCTTCCGTCCAGCAATGTACTTGGTTTCGATTGCGGAGCACAAGCTGATGGGCACGCAGCTCCATTTTTACCCCTCGTGGCATGCCTGCGGCCCGCGCTGCCCCTTGAAATGCGGTCTCTTCGATGGAACAGCCACAATCCTGTTATAGAATTCTGGCTGTGAGATTGACGCTTTTACTTAGTGCGGTATTTGTTACAACTCTACAAGAGGAGTTACTATTTTTGTGTAATATTATTGATTGAGAGGAGGATGGTATAAAGTGCTAAAGTTCTCCTTGGCAACTGGGCAGATCCAGAGCAGGAGCATAGGCCATCACTTCGAAGCATATCTTTTCAAGCCCTCAATTTCGATAATTAAGCTAGCTACAAACTGCCTGTTTATACTTCTTTCACTCGGTCCTTGGCATTATCAAAATCTTCACAATGGCTTTGCACCACATTGAAAGCCTCGCCGACCAGGGATTCCATGATCTGGGGCATGGTCTTCATGATCTCGGCGACGCCGCTGAAGACGGCTTGGAGGATGGCGCACATGCCGTTGAACACGGCATTCATGAGGGCGCTGAGGCCGTTGAAGGTGCCTTCGATGAGTATGAAGAGGGCTATGATGAGGGATGCGACGACGATGGGCACCATCATCACTATGATGAACAAGGAGACGATGGTCAATGGCACCATGGACATGATGGTCAGGGTCATGATGATTATGACGACGGCAGCTGGGACTCGCACGACGGTAGCCATAGCCATAACCAACATGACGATGGTTCGCATCATAGCTGGGATCAAAGCGGTCATGGTCATGACAATGGTAGCTGCCACATGAACCATCAGCACGACGACAGCTGCCATCAAGAGAGCCATGATGGTAGCAGCCACAAAGATCAACAACATGATGAGAGCTGCCATCAACAACAGAGCCATGGCGATAGCTGTCAGCAAAACCATCAACACGACCAAAGCTGCCATCAACAACAGAGCCATGGCAATAGCTGTCAACAAAACCATCAACACGACCAGAGCTGCCACAGCAAGGACAACAGTCATCAACAGCAGCACCAAGATAGCTCGTGCCATGACATGTAACTCTGTTGCATCCCAGTGAAGATGCTTGACCACAGTTGCTGTCCAGGATGGTGGTGGGAAGTATTCTGCTGTGGTTATTGTTGTTGTTGTTGTTGTTGTTGTTGTTGCTGTTGTTGCTACTGCGAGAGGGGTTTCCTTGTGCAGGAAAGGCGAGCGGAATGTTAGTGCTTTTGGAACACCGACTCATCGTTTTACAAAATTGAAAGTATTGAATCTATTCCTGTTGCTAAGCCCGAGTCTTAACTCTTCCGCGAGATTTCTTGAGTTTCTACCCAACTTTAGAGCTCCTGGCTGGATACCATACTACTACTCGCGGGAAAGTTAGTTGCTCCCTTGTTCTCAATATGAAGAGCATTTGTTTCTCTTCAGCGAGACCTGCAAGAAATCGACCATAGCGAGGATTACATAGTAGAAGAGTATCCTCTACATGTGCTCATGCATACTTTTGGTCATGTCAGCGATCAGAGAGAACGAGATATAAACCCAACCTTCTACCATGTCGTCCGGCGTTGGATCCTGGTTCCACAAACGAGCAAGCTTTCAGTGCCCAGAAAGCTTAGAAGTACCTAGCCCTCAAACAGAGCACCGGCCCGATTCACATGCTCCTTGACACGAAAATCTTAGCCAAACAAGCTCCAATGTCAGATTATGGGGTTGTCTTGGTGGCAAAAGTCGGCCTGATATCTATGTACAGCGCCGGCCGAGGGTTTGTAATAGCTAGAACAGGACTTGAAGTATCTGAGGGGTAACGCTCTTTCATGCCAGCTCCAAAGCGGCCTGGTGGAAGTATGTGATAGAGTATACAGTGTAGAGGACCTAAGATAACGTCAAGCTGAAATTCCACGCCAGGACACATCACTTCCATCATTCCGCCTTCTTGCATGATGGCGTGGAGCACGCTGCAGGACGGCGGTGCGTCTGACTGCTGCTCAGAGCTGAGCACACGAAGTGGCAATGATCTAAGCAACCTTCCCGATATAGTTGGGAGGGTGTATGCCCCCACCTGTGAAAATGACTGTAAATGACAAGATAGCCAGCCAGCCTGGTGGGTCGACCGCTTTGCACAGCTCTACCTTCCCGAGGGCTGGGCAAAGAGGACGGACGGAGTCTTAAGTTAGTAGGATGGTGGAGAGCGTCCCGTACCGATTGCTTTTGGTTCGCCATTCTCAACAATCTGAGAAGATGGCCACCTGCTGTAGAGGGGCTACGCTATTCAAGGCTGTAGGGCCATCCGCGTACTAAAATTGGCTGGGCTCAGCCTCCGGTGCTAGGTGCACCACCACACAAGAAGCCGCCATACTGCGTGGGTGTATCCAGGAATAAGAATAAAATTCACCATCACTGTCCTTATTGCAGTCTCACTACCATCAAGTTCACTCGTTAACATAGCAACTCTGTGCTTTTGCGTCAATCCTTGTATTTTCCTAGCTCGAATCTGGCGACTTTCCTTTGACTTTCTAGTCCACACATTCCCTCAAAATGAATTCAGTATCAAGCACAGGAGGGGGGATGGGCTCCGGAATGTCGCAGTACTGGAAAAAGAACATAGCGGGCAAGTCACAACCCGACATCTTCTTGATTAAAGACATACTAATGGTTGGGCAGACAGTGTCTGGCTCCGTCTTTTTGTGTATCTGCTGGCCGCCCTGGCAATTTTGTTTCAAGGTCAGTATACCATTTGAAACCCTTCTGATTCAAGGACATCTTATTGACGGACTGGCCGCAGCTCTTGTTATTCTAGGCGATGTTCCTGGGGCTCAAGGAGCTGGTAGTGGTACATCGGGGTACTATCTTTTACAATTCAATTCTGTGGATGGATTGGCAACAACCCGGCTCCGCGTCGGCTATACAGGTTAGCGATACTTCGGTGCAAGAGTGAGAGAATATGTGGCTGACCATACTCTAGCTATGTGCTGCCAACTCTCAGGAGGGCCCGAGCACTGCGCCATCACCGTCGGCAAAGATCACACATCAAGCATCCGGTATCTGTCCATTGGCTCAAACAACATTTACGACTTCGAGGCCTTGCCTGCGAATCAAACGCTCAATCCGATCCTGTTTGATGTGGCGGCATCGCTGCAAAACGATGTCTTCATTGTTTTCCCTGCAATTCCCGGCATGTTCCTGGCCCTCGGGATTATCTGTTTCGCCTTCTACGGCGCCCTGAACAAGCCGTGGGTTGGCCCGGCATCTTCTTGGAGACAGTCGCAACGGAACCGGAGACTCGACATCTTGCGGATCGTCATCATTGTGCTCATCGGGCTTTCAGTCGTCTTCGCTTTCGCCGCAGCTGTGTCGAATTCACAGATGTTCGCAGCAGTCCAACTCGCCACAAGCCACAATGAAGAAGCGCCGGGGGTCTTCCAGGTCTCAAAGGGCAGTGCAGCGCTCGCGCTGCATTGGCTGGCGGTGATTTGGACTCTGGGCTTCCTGATCGGCATTATCCAGACACATGTCGAAATCAGCGCCGTCAAGATCAAGGTGAACCCCGGCGACACAGCCGGCACCACGGGAGGCAACCAATTCCAGGCCAACGGCAGCACAATCGAGAGAGCTTCGCTCCTGAAGGATGCAGAACCCATGGCGATGAACCCAGCTGGTCTGGCTCCACAGGTTCCCAACCCCAATTCGACCAACGCACCTGGTGGATCAATGGGCATGGGAGCGCGAGGAGGGATGAGAGGCGGCGCTCGTGGTGGCGCTGCAATGCGGGGCAGAGGTGGTGCGGCGCCCAGAGGACGAGGCATGTAAGAATGCGTATATGGAACGACGGTGTTATCGTGTCTTTTCGGTGGGGATTTCTCAGGTCAGCGGTTCCGACGGTCGGAAAAGTGCAAGTTCCTTGGCTCAGCTTCAACAAAGAACGGAAGCTTTTTACATGCTTCGAAACAGACAGTATATCGAAGCCTATTTTCTCCACAGCGTGTTTCTTTTCCTCCTAGTTGTAGCCCTGAAGGAGCCGCACAAAGATTGCAAGCACAGCAACTACGATGTGCACTTGCGAATTTCCGACTTCAAGGGAAGACCACCATTCCGAGCTTCAGCCGCGTGCCGGGATTCTAATCTGTCAGCAAGACCCTATTTTATTACAGCCTTGCATTCACAGCTTGCCGAACATGGTAAAGAATCTCACACTTGCCTTGTAGGGATATACAATCAGCAACCGCGCTCAGCCAAATGCCTTTTGCCAGTCATTCCAGGAGCATGCTGATAGATCTGGGCCTGACGTTGACTTAGGAGGAATGCTTGTCGTGCGAACCGCAAGCTAAGCGGAAAGCTTGTTGGGAATACCCGTCCGTTGAATACCAAGCACTCGCAGATGACTAGGAAAGTTACTCTCCGGAGTGATTGGACCAATGTTAGAGGGGTGGTCAGATTGCACAGAAGACATTACTTTACCCATGGGGATGGGAGCAACCCAAAGTCCCGCGGTGGCATTGTTGTAAATGTCAGATGTGGACTTTGGACTGGTGTGTCGACAGAACCTCTCGTACCTCGTACAGAGTAATGTGTGGCATTCCCAACTGGATCGGTTATTTTGATGGATCCTGTGGGTAGGAGCTGTTGGTAGCACGAACTCTGCACCCTAACAGTCCTGACCGCCCAGGATTTTCCCCTGTAAGAACAGTGGGGCGCTAGCCTAATGTAAGTAATCAAAAAAGCCAAAAACGGAGCATTACCCCCGTCACTAGCCGTATCAGGTAAGGTCACTGACAGGTTGATCGTGATTACGGGGCAAAGATACGCGATGTTGGGGGTTAGCGTTGCTTTCTTGTGATCGAGGCTTGGGTGAGCTTATGGTCGATGCTTATACACTACATGAGACCGCCATAAGATCCTTCTCCAGTCACATGTGAGCATTACTCCGTCTGCAAATCTCGAATGTAACTCTGTTTCGAGTAGTCGCCTAGCCGCTATCCTGGATCGAGAAGGTGTCGGGCTCTGGGCTGGGGATGTTTGCCACATCCAGTTGTTTCCGTTTCCTGCAAATCCGATCGGTGAAGTTTGGACCTTGGGACCCCGACAAGGCGAAAATATGCGCCTCACCGAGTATGTTCGCTCCGCCTTTTTGCAGCCCGAAGAGAACAAAATTATCTTTCCGAAAGAAAGACGGTGGAAGACACCAAGAACTGGAGGCCTTATTTGTACTTCCTCTCCATACGAGAACCCTCGGCCCATCTCATCCTGCAGAGCACGGGAATTCGCCGGTCATTTATCGTAATACGAAAAGTCATGTCTTGAAGCCGCACACATGTGAGATAAAAATTTTCAGCTATTAACAAGGCCTCCAGTAGTAAAACACAAGCCCGTCTTTATATGGCCGGTCCATTGACGGAATAACTCCAAATCCCAACGGCTGACCTTATCTAAATTCTTCGCCGTACCCGTAATACTCATCGTCCCGCGGATCCACCAACATTCGCCTGGAAGAGAATGCATCCCAATAGTTCGAATCCGGGGTCTGCATGTAGTACGCCCCCGGTCTTCGTTTGAGCATCATAGGCATAGGCATAGGCATCACAGAAGGCATGTCATAGGCGTCCTGTTGTCTCAGCCGAGTATGCGTCCGACGGCCAGGTCCAACACAAAGGGTGATGGCTGTTGTCAAAGTTGAGACGAAAAGGAGGGCGACCGCGATCCAGATCAGTGCGAGGAACACACTTCCTTGCTGTGCAGATACGCCAATCTCCTCCCCATTAGCATTCACACCGTTGACAACGATTGTAATTATAGCTGTTGCGAGACTTGCGGTAATCATCAGAGTCAATAAAGCAATCTAGAATCATGATCAGCAACCTGTTGCGCAGAAGCCAGAGTCTCAATTGGTGAGGTAACATACCACAGAGGTGATGAGAATAAGTTTAACTGGAGTTCTGCTAGCGGAAAACAGAGTCCAGACCGCCGCGAGTGATTCCAGGATCAGGCAGGAAAGTCCAATGAGATAGAACACAATCATTGCCGAACCAGCAGACTGTACGTAGACGAATGCACTGGTGATACCGTTTGGCCAGTCGAGGTCGTCAAAAGAAATGTCCTCTCCAAGAGCATCACCGAGGCGCTTCATGGCCGACTCCATGATGGTAACAAGGTCAAAGCGCCGCGAGAGTGACGGCGTTTCGCAATGCAAGATGACAGGACTCGCATTGTCGTCTTGGTACGACGGGAGGTATTTACCCTCACAATAGTTGATGGCATAGACGGAATAGTACTCGCTGATATCAAGTTGAGCAAAGGACACTTCGAGAGTTCCATTGATCACGGCGGTCCCATTTATCGTGAGCGTGCCATTCACAAATTCGACACAGTTGCATCCGTTGCCGGTACCGTTGTTGAAGTTTGTATGTGCTATTTGTGATACGTTTAGCTGGTTCAGGTCAGTTGGCTTCATGGAAACGAGAAGGCGGAAGTAGTAGTTTGGACTCACATTAAACAAATCGACGTTAGGTAGTGTTGTTGATGTGTATCCCCCCAGGAACGTTATGAAGGTCAAAGCTGTGGCAGCGAGGGCCGATAGCAGCGTCAACAACGGGGAGACTCTCATGGTCAGCCCAGTAGGAGGCGTACCCAAGTTTGTTGGTGACGGACAGCGGGAATATACCGATCGGTTTCAGGTCTGTAAAGAGTGACTGAAGGTGCAAGGAAACGCCGCAAATTTTCTCGTAAAGAGTGACTGGTCTGCAAGAGAGTGTGAGCAATGCGGGAAAAATAGACAAGAGTGCATACAAGGATGATTCAACTTAAGAGACGTGGGATGCATGCAATATGCCCTAGAAGGCCCTGGGCTATGTAGCGAAGAGGAAGAAGAGTATGACCTGTGTACAGCCATGATGGCTACGGGGGCCCAGCGACGGCCCGGTATAGCTGAGTCCACTTCGCTTTGCCGCAGAGGGGCTAAAGGCTTATTGCCACACAAAGCCTTTCACACCCCGCTTCACCCAAAAATACATCCTGCAGCTGGTAATTAGTATGGTAAGACTCCTGATTTAACCTTACCCTCTTTCTCCAGTCAGATCGCATTACGATAGACGCCGCCGTTTCTAAAAGGGTTGCAACACTGCGCCTGCTTGCGGCAATGACCGAATTTCCAAGAGCTTGCGCCACATATACCCCTCGATGGCGCTTTCAGTTATAGGTGCCATTAGCTGTAGCCCAGCTCTAGCACGCGAGTGTTCTGTGAAGTTGAGCTGCAGTTGGAGCACTTGGGATAGGCTCCTTCCTGACACCGGTCCACGGATTGTACATCAATGAGAATATGCACTAGATCAATCGAAGGAATTGAAGGAATCAGAAGACAGTGACTTTCAACGCCTTTAGAGCGCTATGATGAACACTCTTGCGCTCTGGCATCTGCTTAACCATTTTTCTTTTCATACGCTAGTTATTTCCCCGGCGGTTAAAGTACATTACACAATCACCAATGCTGATGATCTGAGGATAATTCCAACATAATATCTTTGATACCTGAGCTTGTAAACGAGAGTGTTGCCTTTTGAGGGCACTTTAGAGACAGTACAGCATTTTCGTAAACATGAACAAAATGTAATATTTAATTTCCCGTGACCCTAGAACAAACATCCCGTGACACGAAACATCCACCTGTCGTTCCCGATTTCCTGACGACCTAGGGCCGCCCAGGTGATGGAGCTAGAAACCCTATATCTTTTCCTCTCGTCGCATCATATCCCGCTATGGGCGAGTTGCCGGCAGCTGACGAAGGTCTGTTCAGGTTGGCGATGGGAAATTTGGGACTCTGAGGTATTTGTCGTAAGCTTGACGGGGCAACGGGCGTGGTCGGCCGCGAGCGTGCTCTCGGCCTAGCCGGGCTTTTCCAAAAAAGATTGTGGAAGAAAGACTCGGTCGGAGTCGGAGTGCGAGCAGACTTGGTGGATTGCGAATCAATGGGCTTCACGCTCAGGCTGCGGGTGCGGTTGATGTCCAGGGCCCGAGAGACAGTGGGCAAGCCCGAGTGTGAAGGTGTGCTTGAGAGAAGAAGTGAAAGAGGTGCAGTATCTAGCGATGTGGGAGATTCAGGATGTACTGGATGTATTGAGCGTGGTGGAAGTGCAGGTGTTAACGACAGCGGCAATATTTCCCTCGAGGTGTGATGGTCTTCGACATGATCGTGGGAATGATGGGTTTCAGTGACAGTCCTGGCACCAGCATTAGACGACCATTGATCAAACATGACTGCTATTCCCCACCTTACCAGGAGTTGCTCCCATAGTAGCCGTGCTGTCGTTGAACGGACTGATCGTGCATTGCTCCTTCTGTGTACAGGTGATTTCCGCTTCGAGAATATCCTTGGTCGTAGCTGTTGTGGTGATATCCACTGTACTCACTGCCGGTGCCGTAGTATGTTTCAGAGCCAGGGTAGTTGTGGTAGCCGTTCATGTACTCCTGGCTGTTGCCGTAGTTGTTGTTGTAGTTGTGGTTATAGTACTCTGGCGACTCATCGTACCAGTAATCATCCTCCCAGTAAGATTCGTCGTAGTCGTAGTCCTCCCCTCCATACTCCTCGTCCCATCCGCTGTAGTCATGGTAATCATCGTAGTAGTAGTCGTGGTGGTAATAGTCGTAGTCCATTGTGACCGAGAATAGAAGGTGCTGTTGAGCAAAGGAGTGACTTGGTTTGGAAAATGGAAGAAATGCTTGGAGTGGTGGTAAAGTTCTGCGTCTTCAATGACGTATCCGAATGGCTGCTCTCTCTTAGAGGTTCAATTCACAAAGAAATGAGTGACTATTATGCAAAGTTGAAGGCTCGGTATAGGGCTATTCAACCCTTGAGAGGTTGTGATCTATTTTCTACTGGCAAGGACTGTGGCTGTTGGAGCGACAGGATCGAGACATCTAAACCCATTGTGGCGAAGGACCACTGCCAAGGTCCAAGGATGCGTGCCACAAGGTAGCGGATCTGGGCTGCTTTGTCTACTCTCAGCCTAGGTGCCGGTTACCACATTCGAACCCCTCCAATATTAGTGATAATATTAGGTGGGAAATGAAACGCCTCCATAAATAAATGGGGCTGGGGACAGGTCATTTTAAGATTACGGATAAGCTTTGCTCCGACGGCGGTGGCCTTGCGCTACTTCGGGCTTAGCTTGTCAGTATGATCTTATCACCAAACTCCTACAAATCAAATTGGGACTAGTGCATCGGGCAAGTAGGCTGTTATAAGGCTGGCCGTCATTCATGTCATTACATATAATTTCGAGAATCCACCCTGAGCTGTGGCAGGGGTGTGAAATGCTTACTTGCCAGTATGGGTTACCGTACCTCTATAGCGAATAGCACCGGGTTTCTCAACACCCAGCCACGCCATTCGAGACCCGCAGTTCCTGCTTGCTAATGCCAAAGCCCATCTGACTTACCTCGTACTGATGGTCGGCGCCCGAAGTCTAGCTGGTGCCCAAACGTTGGGCGAGTTGCTGGCGGAAATCGGGGCAACCATCCAGTCAGGCTCGAAACGCAATTCTCGATGTGATCTGCTGAAGCCGTACTTTGAATGCTAAGAAGACTTTGTAATTGGTGGTGCTATATACACATATTTGTACTATTTGTACCCAGCTTTAACGCCAACGTCGGCCCCAGACCGTGTCTGACTCAATAGGTGACAGGTAGAGGAAAGGGTTTGGCCTGTGTCCAGACACCTCCCTCTCGTATTGCTGACTGAGGGGGTTAAAATGAAGGTCAGTGCGGTTGGGTGAGAACGGCGACCGGATGGTGTCGTCCTCTCCACACGCCTCATCTTCCCATTCATCCTCATCAAACTCAACTGTATCAGCCCTAGTTCCAAAGCCGAATCTATCGGCGCGCCTGTTGGTGGGAGTCTCAGCTCCTCGGCCGTCCCTGTCGGTCTCTGTTTGCTCCTCTATTCTCGCGAGGCCTGGCCGGTATGGCACGTACTGTCTCTGCTGGGGTGGACTGCTCACAGAGCGTGGGACCTCATTATATTCCGGGGGAGTGTCCTCTATTACGTCTTGGATGGGGAGAGGAGTATCTTCTGTTGTTTCGTGGGAAGGGAGAGGATCTTCTTCGTAAAATGGGAGATCCTCTGTTATGTCGTAGGGAGGGAGAGATTCTTCCGAGGTGTCGTGGAAAGGAAGGCTTTCATCTGGATGAGGCTGTTGTACCTGCGTTTCTTCTGGTTGATACTCCGGAAGGATGTCATCATCGTCCCGAGGTACTTGCTCTTCCGAATATGTGTGATCGTCTTGAGGATGAAGCTCTTCCTCTTCGTAGTATTCTTCGTCCAATTCGTCAAGGATGGCTTCATCGACGACCTCCTGAATTTGGTCATCTGAGTACAGTCCGTAATCCCACTCCTCGTGCCACTCACCTCCTGCTCCGCCTGCGCCTTGCTGATACTGATAGGGGTCTCCCTCCTGCTCCCAGTCGTTGTACGTCCCATCCGCTTCTGGATCGTAGTATTCGTTGCCGTATTGTTGGTCTTCAGGATATACATCTCCCACGTAGCTGTTGCCGTTGGTGCCATCGTAAGCTCCGGCCGCATAGGTCATTTGGGCAGGATCGCCAGCCCTGGTTGCATACGCCTCGTTGCTATAACCAGATGGATCGACTCCAGTGTAGTCTTCGTAGGGTTCTTCACCATGGCCGCCAGCACCATGTTCAGGTTCGTTATATGCCCCAGACATGTACGGGCCCTCGTAATAGCTCTCAGGCTCTCCTGAGGCATCATACTCAGCAGGGTCATATTCATCGTAGCCATTCTCGTATTGGTATTGTTCGTCCTCATACTCGAGGTCTTTCTCCTCCCCAGTGTAGTTCCTTTCTTGATCCAAGGTGTGTTCGCCATATGGGTCGTCGTACGCTTCCTCTTCATAATAATCGTAGCCATTTTCATCCTGTTCGGGATGTTGCTCTTGTTCTTGTTCTTGTTCTTGTTCCTGCTCTTCTTTCTGCTTTTGGTGCTTTGGCTGCGGGCCTTGATTTCCCTCCTTCTTGTTGAGAATGTATTCCGTCAGATGTTTCACGACTCGAGATCTGTCACCGCTGGCAACGGCGTCAAGAAGGAGCGCGTATTCTTGAATTTCATCGCGCCACTCCTCGTCTGGCATTGCTCATTCTGTTAGATCTAATGGATGGACATATTTTCGCTATCATGCATATCAGCAGGGAGGAGCCTTGCCCTGTGGTAAGAGGGCTCTTACGCTGCGATTCTGTTGGTAGGGTAGAGAAATGCTCACGTGAAGGTCAAATGCGTGTGAATAAAATTGGATACCTAGGCAATTCGGTATAATAAGCCTAAGAAATAGCTGTACAATATTCCATCATCGCCTCAAAGGTCAATATACAAGTGCGGAGATTTGGATTACACTCTGTCCCTCGGCCTCGTTTGCCGAGAAATTGGCAGATTGTAGTGAAACACAATAAAGGCCCGGCTGCCAAGTCAGTAAGCGCATCCTCAATAATAGAGTGGAAATAGAACATCGAAAGGCCACAGCCCTCATCACCCCCTTGTCCTCAAAATAGCTGGTAGCACAGCCTAGATACAACTGACCATCAGATAGCGAGTTGGAAACATCCTTGAGACCCACAATAATACGCTATTACTGTGGGGCAATTCAAAAATATGGGTCATGTTCTGACAGCCACTACTCGAGGCGGTATTCCTCCTGGGGCCGAACACACTCTACATTTCCAGGATGTAGAACCCCATCCTGTGTCGGGCCCATCTGACTGAGGCTTTGAAGTACTCAGGGCGGCTTGGCTCGCTGCGGAGAAGAAGTCATTAGCACATCTCAAGCTAAAATTGGTTACCGCCTTGCCCCCCATTCAGCAAAAGCAACAACGTGGCTGATGGCGGGAGACGGCCCGCTTCAGAAACTATCTCAACTATAAGGATTCGAGGACCTCGTGGTTGTCAATTCTTCCTCCCATATTCGTCAACAACAATCTTCTCTTGCGCCTAATCTTCCTTGATCATAACAACTCAAACCACGAACGAAGCTCGAATAATTACTCTTCTACATTCTCACTATAATCCCATCTGATCAAAATGGCCGAATTCTTGCCGGCTTTGGGTCTTTTTGGCGGCGGCGATTCCAACAGCAATACCAACACTGCAGATGCCTCCTCCTCAGCTGATTCGTCGAACCAAAACTCAGCTACCGGCGGCTCTGGAGGCTCTGGAGGCGCTGGAGGAACTGGAACTGGTGGCACTTCCAACGCAGCCGGGGGAGCTGGTGGAACTGGTGGCACTTCCAATGCAGCTGGAGGAGCAGGTGGCACTTCCAATGCCGCTGGAGGCCAGAGCAGCAGCAGCGGAAACTCCATTGGGTCGGTCTCAGGTGAGTTGGTTTTGTCTTTGGACATTTCCCACGCCATCATTGCTAACAGGAAATAACAGGGGGAACTACTACTGGCAACAGCGTCAGTGGTATCACAAGCGACAGCTCAGGCGGCAACACCTCACTAGGCCCCGTCTCAGGCGGGGATGCCGAAGGTGGAGAAGGCGGTGATGCTCAAGGCGGAACTGCCAGCGTCGGGCCTATCCAGGGTGGCAACACCAGCCTCGGAGGGGTTGATGGTGGAAACGCGGACGTCAACGACGAGTTCAACCCGTCATTCAACCCGACCATCTCGGTCAACCTGGAAGGGCTTGGTTGCTACGGTGGGCAAGGGATGATGAACGAGCAACACATGGGAAACTACGGCCAGCAAAACCCGTACGGTGGCGTCCAGCAGCAGCAGTACGGAGCGGTGCACCAGCAACAGCAGTACGGAGCGGTGCACCAGCAGTACGGTAGCGGCCAGCAGCAACCGTATGGTGGATCAGAGGAGTACGGCGAAGACGAGTATGAGCACAACCCACAAGGGGAGGAAGATGAATATGCCCAAAATGGCGAGGAAGAAGATTACTACGATCCACACGGCGCCAGTGCAGTCTCCGCGGCTTCCGCAGTCCACCCCAGCATGCAACCTGGACAAGAAGAAGGCGAAGGCGAGTACCCCTATGGCTATGACGGAGCGGAGGAAGAAGGGGAAGGATATGAGCCATCCTATGGACAGCAGCAGCCGGTGTACTAAAGAGAGGGGAGAGAGAGGAGTCTGTCTTGATGATGATGTACGCACACTCGCTGCCATATCGCTTGTTCGTGCTTCAGCGGTTGATTATCTGGCTGTGATTTAGATGGGCTGGCGACGCGAGGGCGTCGGTGTTTTGTTTGACCTGAAAGCTTTTGGAATGTTCTCATTCCCGGGAATTGGAAAATCTGAGATTACTGTTCCTATATTATGAACTTCTTCCTCGATGCTCCAGAAATATGGTGTTAAAAGCTGTAACCTTGTGAATGACTTCGTGGCTGCGTATTGAATACTGCGCGGGGGCTATCCAATGCTCTGCCCTACCGCAAGCGGTGGATCATAGGACCGACTGCGCTCTCTCCTCGGGTTTAAAACATGCCGAATATCATTGTAATAGTCAAGATATCATTACTACCGCTTCGCCAACTCTCCCAAGCCTCCAACCTGTTCATCCCGAGCATTAGTCGCGAAGCTCTAATTTACCCCATGTTTCCACCACGGAGTCGAAAGACTCTTGCGGATCAGGGGGCTCCTGCCACCAAGGTTTCCATTCTCGACGACACAATTGGCTGTCGGGCGACCTCGAAGGCCTTACTCACGAAATGCTCAGTCACTTGCCCCTCGAAAAGATACCCGCCACAGGCCCTCGATTTCGACAGGGCTGCCAAAAAGCTAGCTTGGAGACGAGGCACCCCGGTCAGACACTAAAGAAAGCGCTTTGTAGCTACCTCAGGAGAATCATTCTGCCAGAGAATACCAAACGGAGAGAGACGAACGATATTTGATGACGATACAGAGTCCACCACTCGAGGAAGAAGCTTGCTTGCTTAAAGTATGGGATTGTGTCAAGTGGATCGCAACTCGCCCGGTGTGGTAGCCTGGTCTGGAGTGTGTCGATACACCAATTTGCCAGCCTTTCGTTACAAGCTTCAACCGGGGGGACTTGAATCTACTGTGACTATCCCAGAACCGAGGAGCGGGGGTGTTGCAGCATCCGGCCTAACGATGGCTTCCCACCCTTGTTGAATGCGTACGCAGCGTATCTCCATGCTGGGAAACCTCTTGTCCTCGGGATATTGGAAACCCTCAGCTCCGCAAAATCCCCAGACCCCGTACATGATCAAATTGGGCTCGACTGGACCATGGTATTAAAAGCCACTCATTCCTCCCTTTGAAGATGGAATCAGTCGACCTACTCCGAAGCACTTCAGATCCACGATTCTTGTTTGCTAGCTAGTCAACATGTTCGGACTGAACAGGTTTCAACTATTTTGTCTTGCGTACATCACATTTGGATCTGCTTTCTATGGCTACGACTCCGGTGCGTCTAACCTTACATACATGCTGTACTATTCGTCGAAAACTGTACTCCTGACAACGACTCCATAGGCATTACCACCTCCGTGCTCGGCTACTCGAGCTTCCTGGCCTATTTCAACCTCAATGCGAACACGATCGGTGCTTTCAACTCGGCGTACTATGCCGCATGTGCTCTGGGCAATCTCGCCAACTGGTACCTGCCTGACAGATTCGGACGAATACGAACTATCCAGTTCGCCTGTATCCTGAACGTCCCAGCCATCGTGTTGCAAACCGCCGCCGTCAATTACGGCATGTTCGTGGCCGGCAGAGTCATCGGCGGGATTGCTTGTGGCATTGTGTATGCATTATGTCCAGGTTCGTGCAGCAGCAACCATTTTCTCTTGAGACCACGTCTGTTTCTGACCTCGTCCTCATCTGCCAGTCTACGCCAGCGAGATCGCACCGCCGCACATCCGAGGCCGAATCGGCATGATCTACGCCATGAACGTCTCTCTTGGTTACGCCGTCACGGAATGGATCGGCCTGGGATTCTATTTCATTAAAGGGGACGCCTCGTGGCGGGTCCTGTTCGGTCTCCAGGCAGTCCCTACCATATTGATGGGTGTCTTCTCCTTCTGGATGCCGCGCTCGCCGCGCTGGCTCGTCATGAAAGGCCATCACGAAGAAGCCAAGACGGTCCTGAAGCGCATCCACGGCGGCTTGCACCACGACGACACCTTCTACGAACGCGAGTTCCACCAGATCAAGGCGCAGATCCAACTCGACCAGGACGAGCAGCTCGGGCTCAAGGACATCTTCACGAAGCCGTCCTACCGCAAGCGGGTCCTGCTGGTCATGAACTTCTTCCTCTTCCAGCAGCTCACGGGCATCATCCCCCTGCAGAACTATCAGGTCTTCATCTACCAGATCTGCGGGTTCGACGCCGTCATGTCTCTGGTGCTCGTGGGCATCTGGGGCACCGTCGTCTGCATCGCCGTGGCGACCATGTCGCCGTGGTTCGACCGCATTGGTCGCCGGGCGTCGGTCTTCTTGGCCTTCAGCTTCATCATCCCCGGCGCCCTGCTCATTGTCATCATGTGGGCGCGATTCGAAGCTGGTGGCAGCAAGGACCTGGGAGTTGCCAAGGGCATTATCTTCGGCATGTTCTTCCTCGTGTGGGGGTACGGTGGTATTCTCAACACTTTCGCTCCCTGTGTGAGTTCAATCCTCTCTTGTCCTTGCGCCTCCGCTCCTCCTCGCTTATTTTTTATTAAAAACTCTTTCCTCGAATATACTTATTCTAACAAGAAAATCCCGTATCACCAGTACTCCTCGGAGATCATGCCCACGTGCATCCGCGCCGCGGGCGTGGCGTGCGGATACGCCACGTTCAACTGCATCGTCATCCTGCTCGTACAGGTCACCCCGCTGGCGCTGGAGCACATCTCGTGGAAGTACTTCCTGATCTTCGTTGTCTGTGACTTGATCTTCATCGTCACCTTCTACTTCTTCTACCCGGAGACCAAGAACAAGACGGTAAGTAGGTTGTCTTTCTCCGACTTTCTCTCTCTCTCTCTCTCTCTGTCTCTCTCTATGTTCCCCACGCATATCTATCTATTCCCCCCCGGTTAGAAAATGTGGTGGGTGGTGCGACGGGGAATTGATTGGTTTAGAATACTAACGTTGCATCCCTGCCGGTCTCTCTGGGGCACAGCTCGAGGAAATCGAGGCCATCTTCGGCGACCGCATCGCCGAGACGTTCGAGGAGGCCGGCCAGCGCTTCCAGGAAGAAAAGGAGAAGACGCACGTGGTGGAGCACAGGGAGGTATAAAAGCAGAAAACCAGAAAAAAAGGCATGCATGCACGCATGGCTGGTCAGGGTCAAGGTCAAGGTCAAGGTCGAGGAGGAGGAAAAGAAAAAGAAACCGAAACCATCATTTCTCCGTACGTGGGTGGAGTAAGATACAGTATGTCCAAGAAGGCCACGAAGGTCCACAGACAAACAAACAATGCAGTTTTGCAAGGTCCGAGGAAGTATCTTCCTGCCCTACCGTCCCGCCCCCCTCCCGGCCTGGAAAATGTGGTCTCGATGTACTGTACTGTAGCTCTTCTTTCTCAGCATCACACCGAGACGATGAAGCGGAACACACGAAAGGAGAGAGAGAGCAAGGGGAGGAGAGAAGAGCAACCAATCTCCGGTGAGACATTTAGCAACGGTTCATCTTGCAAGATCATTCAATGCCCCTGCCAACGCCACTCATAGCTTAGGATTTTCAATATGCTCTTTTAGATGACGTTCTCTATATTGACCGTATTGTATGCTTCTATAAGATGTGGTGACCGATTATTTTCGCACAGCCTGTCGGGCCAGGCAGGGTGTAGCTTCTCTCCTATCACCCGGACCCCTTTTCGTGTGACTCCTAACTCTAGATGGTTTGGCTGAAGAAGCTATATTTTTCAAAGTCTACGAGCCTCCGCAGAGACCGGGCACTTGGCTCGCGCCCACTCCAACCAACCCATCGATGTACGACAGAAATGTCTGGACGGGGATCAATTCCATCAGGCCGAGACTCGGGTTCGAGCTCCGGAGCACCTGGCCGCCCCATAGCACGCGCAGATAGTGACAGCCCTGGCGGGAGTAGAGCTCAAACACGACCTCGGAGCCCATGCCGGGCCAGACCATGACGTCGACCTGCAGGATGCTGAGCAGGCGGGACAGGGACCCGTCGTGCGCGACGTTGTGCGTGTAGATGACGGGAGACGTGCGGTTGATGGCGTCGCGGAGATTCTGTGCAAGCTCGGCCATGTAGATGCCGTAGCTCGCCGTGGACGCGGGCAGCGACGAGGGACTGTCGCGGTAGATGAACGAGTACTCGTATTGGCCTCTCCGGAAGACGGCATCGGCGTCCGCCTCGGTGATGCAATTCGACGCGTTGCCCATCTGGCACGGCAGGGGCTTTTGGTGACACAGGCGCGCGGAGAGGTTGTCAAAGTAGTGATCGAACCAGTTGTGCCAGCCGGGATCGCTGCTGTTGACGCCGCTCACGGAATCCAGCTTTTCAAACAGCGACACCGAGTCGTTGAGGTGCAGCGTCCAGTTCGCAGCGTCACTGCCCACACCGTACGCGGCATAGAGGTCGCTGGCTGTAGAGCATGTGTAGGCCGGCTCCAGGCTGTCGACACTGTCGGGCTGGATGAGCACGGAGATGGGGGCGTTCCGACGTCCAGAATACTCGCCCTCGACGATTTGACCGGCAACTTGGGAGGTGATGACATTGTTCGTGACGCGGTACTTGACGAGCGAGGAGTTATAGGATGAAGGCAGAAAGCCAAGCAAGTCATGATACACCCCGAAGAGATCGCGACCGTGTTGGCGAGAGTCGTTCAAACCCGAGCCCGAGATTTGCGGAAATTGGCACGTTCCATTGAACCCCTGTGGAGCCAAGGGGTTGGACGGAGAGGTGTAGACTTGCCAGTGGACCTGAGCGGAGGATCCATCTGGTTCTGGGGCGCCGTAGAAGAACAGAGCCTCGTCGTCACAATTCCAGGCATAGGATTCGCGGGGGAACGTGTTGGAAGCGTACGGGGTGCGCTTGTGGTGACGGTGAATCTACAATGTGGTCAGTCCTGGCTGCTTGGTTCCAAGTCGCCCAGGCCTCGAGATCGACCTACAATCTCCACATATTCCAACGTGTATCCCTGGTCCACGCGGGGATATTCTTGACGACGAGTGTGTGGCATGTTGCACCAGTTGTACGTGCTGTAGGTGACCGAAGCTGGGGTGATGGAAGAGTTGAAGATGAAGCCATTGATCCCCGTGCCATTGACGACGAAGGTCAGGTTATTGACATTGGTGGCATTGGGAGGATGCCACGTCAAGTCGACGGAGGTCGTCGATGGGGAGGAGCAGTTAGCCTGAGCCACCACCCGATGGGCGACGGTGCCGAACAGCAGCACGTCGCGAAGTCGCACAAACATGATGTTCTCGTAGATCTGGGACGTGAAGGTGTTGAAGCAGGTCAAGAGGTCGGTGAGGAGGCCTGTGAAGATGGAAACAGGTTGCTGAGACGGGTGCATGATTCGGGGGGTGGGACATGGTCATGGATGTTGTCGGTGACTGTTGGGCGGCTTACTGCTGCATCATTGGCAGTCTTTCGCGCCCGTCGTGAGGATATGGTATGGTGTCGGTGGTGGACGAGGTTGCAATCGCTTTTCACGCGAGAAGGACGCCATGGTCATGATACAAGGCTGGTCATGGGAGTTTGATTGGTCGGCGCTGATGAGGTCGGGAAACGTGCACCAGAGGCGAGCAATGAGAGGCCTCGATGGCGTCCACTCCACCGACGGAAGCCCTAGGCTTGATGGAGAAAAGAGTCTTGCTGTATTAATGAATGAATGAATGATGTTGGAGATGGGATGGATGGGATGGAGTCGTTGGTGGCGTTGTGGTGGTTTTCGCTCATCCTCGGGAGGCCTCAATGAAGCTGCGGGGTAATTGTGTGCGGATTTCCTCAATAGGGACACATAACCACATATTAACTCGGTCCACAGTATGACGGCCAAGGTCGAGAACAAACAGCATCATCCTGTCGGTGACAACACCTTTCATCTTACATCTCTCCATCTCTCCATCTCTCCTATTTACTAGCTAGGTGAGCTCGTCGTCTTCACACTTCAACCACTCCCACCACTCCCACCGCCACCACCGAGCCTCAAAGGTAACCAACACCATGTCGTATCAAACCAATCTCTTCATCAACGGCGAGGTAAGACCCGTTCCCCCTCTCCACCCCCCCGTTTGACTCCATCTCACCAAGTCAGTACGTCCCCTCGTCGTCGGGAGAGACTCTGTCCATCTACAACCCCAACGATGACACCCTAGTCACCGACAAAGTCCAAGTGGCGTCCGAGGCCGACGTCGACAAGGCCGTCGCTGCCGCCAAAGCCGCCTTCCCTGGCTGGTCCTCGACGCCCGGTGCAAAGCGGGCTTCCATCATGCTCAAGTTTGCTGATCTCCTGGACGCCAACGCCGAACGCCTCGGGAAACTCGAGACGCTCTGCATGGGTCAACCCATCACGCTGGCCAAAGGCTTTGTTCACGGCCCCGCCGCAGTTTGGCGCTATTACGCCGGCTACGCCGGCAAGATTGCAGGCGAAAGCTACCCTCCCGAGGGAGACGGCTCCTATAAGATCGTCGCCTATGAGCCGCTGGGTGTCTGTGCCGGTATTGCGGCTTGGAACGGCACTCACGCCCTCGCTGCCTGGAAAATGGCGGCTGCTCTCGCGGCGGGAAACACCTTTGTCTTCAAGCCCTCGGAGAAATCGCCGCTGGGTGCCGCACTCTATGGAGAACTGATCAATGAAGCTGGCTTCCCTCCGGGCGTGATCAACATCGTGATCGGTGCCGCGCCGGTGGGTGCCATGCTGGCTTCTCACATGAACATTGCCAAGATTGCCTTCACTGGCTCCGCTGCCGGAGGTCGAGCAGTCCAGATCGCGGCCGCCAAATCCAACATGAAATACGTCTCCCTGGAGTTAGGTGGCAAATCTCCCGCGTTAATCTTCGATGATGCCGACTTGGACAATGCTCTCCTACATAACTCCGCGGGCTTTTTGCGGAACTCTGGACAAGTCTGCTTTGCCTCATCCAGAGTTCTCGTCCAGGAAGGTATTGCCCCCAAGTTTATTGAAGGAATCAAGAAGGCTTTTGAAAACGAGGCAAAGAAAATGGGAAACCCTTCTTTGGCCGAAACTGCATATGGCCCCTTGGCGGACAAGAAGCAGTTCGAGCGCGTCATGGGATTCCTCAAAGACGGCAAAGCTGAGGGCGTTGAAGTCTTGACCGGAGGTGAGAGACTGGGCGATAAAGGCACCTTTGTGAAACCGACTGTACTTCTCAACCCCGATGTCCGGAGCCGTGTCTTTACCGACGAGATATTTGGACCTGTGATCGCTGTCAAGACATTTAAGACTGAGGAGGATGCGATCGCCATGGCTAACGATACCACTTATGGTCTTGGATGTGAGTCACAACCTCCCTGAAAACGATGAACAAGTGCTAACAATCGCAGCCTCTGTTTTCACAGCCGATATTGCTCGAGCATTGCGCGTGGCGTCCAAGCTTGAGGCTGGAAACGTGGGAATTAACCAGGCATATAAGACCACTCCACAGACGCCGTTCGGTGGATATAAGCAATCCGGCCAAGGAAGGGAGAGCGGGCACGACGGCCTCAAAGGGTACTTGCAAGCCAAGACGATCGTGATAAACATGGAGACGCCGAAGAAAGCATGAAAACCGCCCGCACACTCATATCTTGTCCGGCTCTGGGACGACTAAACGACCCCTATCATTAGTTAGGTTAGCTAGGCAGGAAAACAAAAATGCACATTTCTTGCTGCCTTGAGAAATCACAAAGAATGGTACAATATCTCTGCACCTCCGTTGCTCGACGGTAGCCGTTATTACCTTTGTCCAGACCCTTACCAGCATTGTTGGACGTTGAGTAGATGTGGCGAGGACTGTCACGACTGTCACGTGGATCGGTATAAGCAAGCCCATGCGAAATGCCGTGCCCGCATATCGACTCAGAATACGTCAAAGGCATACTCTTGCCCGGTCTTCACCTCTGGAGGGAGTAGTGTCGGCCTAAGAACCCAAAAGACATAACCAAAAAGAGCAACATTCTTCCTGTTTGGGAGTGAACACCTCGCATCCTCTTTGTTGCCTGTGAGAAACGCCCTGGTTACCAGGCATCATGTGTGCAGGAATGCCGCAAGCTAACGTTGTTGACTCTCGACGGCGATTGGGATGGCTCAAGCCATCTCCGGCAAGAAGGAATGCCGCGGCAAGGGAGGGGGCATCTCCCAATCCACAAGGCGTGAGATCCGGATGACGCAGTCGAGATCCTGGCAGGGTCAAACGAGTTTACCCAACGCCTGGATAGTGAGTTGGTAGATTGAGATCGAAAAACAAAAGCCAAAGATCCGTTGCGTAGTGAAATGCGATGACGGGCGGACAAGATCGACTAGCTATTTAGATGGGTTCCATAAGGATGCCAGCGATGTCTCCTGTCTTGTAGCTGTTGACCTGACACAAGAAGCTATGCATTCAGCATTTACTGCAATGCTGGAACGCAAGAATCGATAGCCGCTTGCCGGACGTCCCGCCCGAGCACGGCGTGGCCTACAAACACCTAAATGCCGTGCCCAGACTTTGGCAAGAAAATGGTTCCTCCTGAAAGGTCTGCGGATTGAACCGAGTACTTTTGGTAGAACGGAGAGGGATGCAGCTCTGGCGGAGATCGACTGGTACCACGGTCAAACCAAGTGGAAATGGCTTGATAGTGAGTATCAGCAAGATCTGCTCGGCTTTGATGCCGTCAAAGACGCAGAAGAAGCATTTGAGAAATGGCGTGCCGAGCAGGACACAGCAAGATCCTAGAGGGCCTAGGTTTTCTGAGCGCCGTGGGAGGTAGAAGCTGTCGGCGAACGTGTTCTGACGACGTTGTGGCCTTGATCAAGGGCCAGCCTCTTCTCAGGAGGTGCTATATGAGAAGTTGTGGGAAGAAGTCCAGCTTCGGCCCCCGATGCTGCCCCCTTGAGCACAGTGGTTGAAAGCCGCTTCGGAAAATCAATGCTCCGGCGTGGCAGTTTGACCAACCGAAAAGAGCTCCATCTCCATCTCCGTCTCCACCATCCCAGTGCCTCACAACATCTACCGTTCCATCTCAACGTCATCTTCCACCTGTTTTGCGTAGTGGTGACGATCATACTCAATCTGCCGGAAAAGCACACCGTATAGATCCAATATGTCATGGGCCGCTGTCCGATCTCGAGAACAGTAAGGCTGTTGTTGTGTTATTTCTCCATATAAATTAACAGCAAAGTGAGTTTGGGAGCTTCCGGTATACAGCGAACAAGTGCTCTTCACTTTGGACCTTGAGATATTACTGTAATTGTTTCCGGACCTATTTACTTTACTTGCCCCCTTTCCCAAATGAGTGATCCTCGCATCCCCAGGCTCTACCACCGCAGCACTCCTCACTGGCAACAGGAACAGCGCAACTCCTTCTGGTCACTGAATGAGGGCCAAGTGGCCCCCTTCAATACCCGGCCCGATAAACTCGAAGCCCGTGCCGAAGAGTCTCTCTCCGTCAATGGACGACTGTATGCCCAGAGCAATGCGGGCAACAGCTGGACGCACCTGGCCAACCGCCAGGCTTTTTTCCGTCACCGACTAATCCCCCATCAGCTCGTGGACGTCAATGAACGAGACACCACCACGACGCTGTTTGGCCACAAGATCTCGGCTCCCATTGGATTTGCCCCCGTCGGTATCAACAAGATCTACCACCCCAAAGGCGAGCTGCCCGTTGCCAAAGTGGCCGGCCAGCTTCGCTTGCCGTATGCTCTGAGCACGGCGGGATCGAGCACGATCGAAGACGTCGCTGCTTCGAACGACGCGGGTCGCCAGATGCCCGATGCCGTACACGTCCAAGGCGCCGACAATAATTCCCCTGTGCGATTCTTCCAGCTCTATCTGCCCCACGACGACGAGCTAGCCGTCTCCCTGCTGAGGAGAGCGGTCGACAATGGCTTTACTGCATGTATCCTCACGACCGACACTTGGCAACTGGGCTGGCGGCACGACGATGTCGCGACCTCCAATTACGCCTTCTACCGGGGCATCGGTGCGGATCTAGGACTCGCGGACCCAGTGTTCCAGAAACGCCTGCAGGAAGCCGGCATCGACCCAGAGAAGCAGCCCGAGGAGGCCGGCGCCATGTGGATCGACAATGTCTGGCACGGACGGGCCTTTAGCTGGGAGAAGATCCCCTGGGTGATGAAGAAGTGGAAGGAGTTGAGTGGCGGCAAGCCGTTTTGTATCAAGGGGTAAGTGTCTCCGTGTGTGTGTATGCAAGCAATTAGGTGCCCCCACCCCTCCTTCGTCAGATTGAACCAGCGTCTAACGTTGATATCTTGTTTGCCGCTGCCCCCAGTATCCAATCCGTCGCCGACGCCCAACACTGCGTGGACCTGGGCGTGGACGGCATCGTCGTGTCCAACCACGCGGGCCGCCAAGTCGACGGCGCCATCGCCAGCCTCGACGCCCTGGAGAACATCATCAACGCGGGCATCGGCGAGAAACTGACCGTCATGTTCGACTCGGGCGTGCGCGGCGCCGCGGACGTCATCAAGGCGTTGTGTCTGGGCGCTCAGTTCGTCTGGGTCGGGCGCATGTGGATCTATGGGCTGAGGTACGTTTTATTGGATTTTTAGTTACCCTTCTTGTTACTGCTATTACTGCTCCCACTACCACTACCATTGGCTGCCAAAATCTACCACCCCTTCCCCCCTCCCCGTTGGAAGCCATACTTACAGTGTCGGTTGTATTACAACAGCATCATGGGCGAAGAAGGCGTCCGCCACGTCATGAAGAGCCTCCTCGCCGAATTCGACATCTCCATGCTCACGGCCGGGGTGCGCAACATCGGGGAGATGCAGAGGGACCGTCTCGAAAGCTACTCCAAAGGATATACGTTGATCGCGGAGAAAGCCAAGCTGTGAACATATGTAATAATGGGTGGTGGGTGGTGTTGGCACGGGCAACTGTGAGACGTGTTGGAATCAAGGGTGGAGAGTAATCCAGTGGAACGGCCTCTCGAAGCTCGGCTCGTTAAAATGTGATAGATATTCTGTCACCTTCTTGGGGCCAAGGTGTCTTCATTGTCCCTCACTATATCTGTCCAGCCGTGGATTCAACTCCAGATGCGTAGAGGGCCGCTGGCTGTACGGATTCAAGTCGTAATACGTACTGTTGAAGCCATCGAACCGCTGCGTCTCCGTCCTGTTAGCCCACACAGTCTTAGCTCCGTGCTCCATCACAGGCTCGGTTTCATACCCCCTCGCCCTGAGGTCTCTCCGTAGAAGCGTACCTCAACGGCATTTTGGGCGGTCCTGGTTCCAGTCCTCGAGCCAGGCTAAACCCCCCCTTCCTGGCGAGTGGATGTGCTCCAGAAGGGAGCCCTTCGGTCTTGCTCAGTAGCAGTCCCTGCCTTCCTTCATGCCAGCATTAATAGGGTCGTATTTTCCTCCATGAGATCAGGTCACAAAATCTAAAAATCGCTTCCGTGAAGCCATATCCAAAATCAACATCGCAAGGGTCCCAGCGGTGCCCCAGATAACTCGTCGTTCGTTCAATCTTTCCAGTCCCACACCTGTTTCAAGAAGGAGCTCATGCTGACCTTCTTGGCCTTCATCTCGACCATCCACGGGTGCTCGAGCATTCGCCACGGTGTGGCGCGTCGAGGGGGTTCCTTCTCCAGACAGCACTCGATGAAGTACTTGAACATGTCGCTCCACTTGATGCCGTTCTCGGGCTCGTCTTTTAATTTCGGTATCGGCTGGGCAACAATATATGTGAGCAGATCAATCAGGCCAGCACGAGGCTGCATTTCCGTCCCATCGGCAGGGAAAGGGAAGCGGTGCTGAGCGACTTCCAGTAACGTCACACCCAAAGACCACACGTCGGAGGTGATGGTGTAAGATTGCCCTTGTATCCTTTCGGGAGCCATGTAGTATGAGGTGCCAATGAAAGTATTGGCGTCACCTTTGGTACCGAATTCCCCGGAAACACCGAAGTCGCAGAGCTTGACCTGCCCATTGCGGCAGAGGAGGATGTTGGAGGGCTTGATATCTACATTGCATCATGTTAATCAGTGCCGCCATGAAACGCGAGTGTCGTGGTTCTGGAGCTTACCTCTGTGTATGATCTTTCTGCTGTTGAGATAGGTGAGACCGTGCAACACGCCTTCTGCGATCTTGCCCAGGACCTTCTCTCCGGTTCGGCCGCCCAGTTTCTTGACCTCACGGTAGACGCTGTCCAGGCTACCACCCTCGCAGAATTCCATTGCTATTGATATCGTGCTCGAGGATTTGTCCATGAAAGCGCCATAGTATTGGCAGATGTATTCGGAGGTGCAGTTCTTGTTGAATTTGAGTTCACGCAGGATCTGCTTTTTCACGTCTGGGTCGGGGCTGGTGGTGATAATCTGCGCAATGTATCAACATGGGAGACCAGAATTCCATCCCACGCTGGTGGCTGGACATACCTTGAGTGCGAAAATCGTCTTGCCGCCTTCCAGCATACACCGTGTCACCGCCCCTCCTGCCCCTTCGCCCAAAGAACCCAGTTCGATGATTTTCTTCTGTTCACTCGCCGCACCCCAGCCTTCGTCGTCCAAGTCTTCCACGTCTAGCGGTCGGCCCTTCTCGATTGCGAGTTTCTCAAAGTCCACAGACAATCCACCCATACTTGATTCTCGTTCCATCGAAGTCCCACCGATGCTGGCCTCCGAGTAGATCGAACTTATCGCGGAGGAAGGGTCAGGTGTCCCTCCCTGTCTGCCGTGCATGGCGAAGGAGAGGGCCGAGTATGTGGACGACGAAGCAGAACCGGGCACGCTGGCGGCGTGGAAACTATCCCCCCTTGGCCTGCTGATGGCTTCATTTCCTGTGACTGCAGATATATTCAATGGTTGTATCTGTGGTCTTAGATTGGTTCCTCCTTCTTGTACTGAGCCCAGACTTCCCATCGGTGTTGCCAGAGATAGTTTTGGTGGCCCTTTCGCTCCAGATGCGGCGAGACTGAAGCGTGGGACTTCAGGAGCCGGTTCTCCTTCTCCGCCCACAGGTCGTTGGTTGGGTGACGGAGGGATGCCCAGTGTCAGACGAGGGGTCCGGCTACCGCTTGAGCTTCGAGCACCAGGAACAGGAGGCCGAAGAAGCGGCACCGGGGAAGACATGGTTCGTTATTGGGTCGCGCTCAGATTCGGGTGTGAAGGATGATGATGTGCGGGAAACAGCAGAGCTTTCGTGAGCACTGTCAGAATTTCCTGTATGTTTTGTACAGCGTTCTCTTTCTATAAGCAGACTCGACCAATTTCGAGTACGAGTTCGGAGGCAAGAGGGGTTATTGAAGTGGTCGTGGCGGAATCCTGCAGCGGGTGGGAGGCGAATGGGTCGTGTGCTTTTGCCCGTTGCACGACGGTGCAGTCGAGGTTCAGACGCGGGCGCAGGGCTCAGATTGTGCCTTGCCAACCGGGTGCCTCTTGGATGGTAACACTGGAGCGGAGGTGATAATGTAGTGCCCCAAGCTGCCCGGCTCAATGATGGCAAGTCAAGGCTGGGTTACGGGCGACTTGCTGTGTAGAAGATATGGTGTTATTACTGCGTGAGAGGCATCACGCGCGTTGGAGGTTTGGAAAAAGTACAAAGTAAACGGAAGTGCATTCAGTTTTGCTGACTGCCCACGCCAGCCAGAACCAGACCAGACCCTTGAGGCCACGAGGACGACAGGGTCGACGTCAAGTGTGGTTTGCCGGACGAGGGAGGGCTCACTAGGCCAAGTCACCCCCGGTTTGGCGAGGGTGGATTGCTGATCTGCAACGGGCGGTTACCTGAAACGCCAGAGAACGAGATACACAAGGCCAACGCGGCAGAGTAGTTGGGTTGGACAATGTCGCCTGTTGCAGACAGGTTTGAACTGCAGGCCTCGCAATCTGCCTCGTAGAGGTTCATGCTATGATACAAGTGACTAAATGGACGAGGTAATCTTTGGCATGTCATCCAGGGCACGCACACACACGCACAGCTGTCCGAATCTCTCTTTTCAGCTGTCCCTTTCGGGCATGTCTCGACTGGCCTCCATCTGACAGTATGCAGCTCCCGGGCCTAGAAGCAGGTCCCCTACGTCGCCCCTCGTCCCTGCTATCATCGCTGGAAGGGGGCGTTACGGACCCCGTTCTTCCAACCTCCATCATTGGATTGGCCGTCGAGACACACTTGAGATACCAGGGGTGTCCGAAGCGCCTGGGGGGAGAAGGATGCTGGGGTGGTGGTGGTGGCAGCTGCAGCGTTCGGGCATCAGCAGGAACTTTGACACGACCTCATTTGAGCCCCGGTTAGCCTATGGTGAGAGGAGCGGCCGTTGATTCTCATACCGCCCCTCGGAAGCTGACTTGTCTCATCCCCGCCTGTCAGAGGCTGTGAACATGCGGTGACCAATCTACCGAGTCACTCGCCTCAAGCAAATCAACATTGCAAGTCAGGTGGGGATTTCTGATCGATGTCTCCTACGACTAACAAATATTACGAACTGAAAGTCCCTACATCATTAAGCGAGCTTTGCACGAAAAAAGTTTTCTTGGTAGGGTTGATTCATTCGAATTAGGGAGAGATGAGGCCCGTCCGTCCTGGGGTCTGATACGCTCCATTCTTTTCGACTGGCATGAGTTGTGTTATGTGGTTACGTGGATGCTCAACAGATATCCTTCTCTCCGGCACCAACCAGGTGGTCCCTGGGCTACGTGTTTGGTCGTCTCCTCTAGATAAGCCACGGACAACCCATTTCGAGGAGCGTCTCCACCGCCGCTATTTGCCCACCCAGTGTCTATCTTTCCTTCGCTTCGGAGAGTCCAGCCTCGGACAGTACGGCTGCGGTGTTGAGGCTCAAAATGAGGGGGGAAACGGGTGAGTTCATTTGTGAGTCGGAAATCGATTTGCATTGGTGTCGGGTAGTTGCAGAACATTAAACAAGGATCGGTGGTTGGAGCTCGTCACGATCAAGCTCGAGATCAGGTCATCATTCGTCAAAAAAAATTCTCGCGCCCCAGGCGAGAGGTAAGGTATCATAGCTTCGTCAATGTCGCTTTGCGCAAGACACCATCTATCCGACGCCGAAGAAGGAAAAAACAATGCCGTATGCTTTTTAGTCGAACTGTCATGTCGTCGAGTCTGGAGGCGGGACATATGTAGACGCGGGATGTCAAGGAGCGTGGGGAAAGAGTTGTCGTTCGAGAAAAGAGGCCCGGACGGTGGCAGTATCGACACCTCAATCAGACGAGACCTGCTGTCGGCGGCCCTTCTCTGCCTCGAGGTTTTCGTAGAGGAGGTACAAGGCACGTTCGTTGGCACTGGCGCTTCCCATGATGGTGAACATTCTCTCGCCGGTGTCGTCGTGTGGTGCTTTTGCGATGGAAATGCGGGCCCCCGAGCTCTTGCGGATCTCACTGATCTTCGCTCCTCCTCTTCCAATGATACAGCCGACCATATCGGCGGGGATGCTGATATTCTGGGTTTGGACTTCTTCTCCGTCCTCGGTGACAATGGGAATACCACCACCTCGTGGCCCGTCGGCGCTGCGATTATACGTCCGTGTCTCCCTAAAATCCGCGCCGTTACCGGTACGATTGTAGGACCGTCCGCCACCAAAGGTGCCAGCTGACATCCCACCACTCCCAACCGCCGGCGGGAGAGGACCAGACCCAACTTGGACCCGGATGGCCGGATTGTAAAGAACGGTCCCGGTGCCACGCTGCCAGTCGTCGACCAAGCATTTGCCAATCTCCCAAACCGCCTTGTCGATCCCTTCGGGCGTGCCCTGGACCTCGACTATGCGCTCGGTGGATTGTGGTAACATCTCTTTCTGGGCCACCATGCGGACTCCCGACACGTCCTGGATATGCTTGATCTTCAATCCTTGGCGGCCGATAATGGTGCCCATCTGGTTATGGGAAATGAGAAGACGGATGGCTGAACGGAGGGGGTTAGCGAAGACCGAACAAGAAGGATAGAAAGAGAATGCTTACGATGTGTGCCATTATTCTGGATAACGCCACCCATGCCCATCTGGGGTGCACCTTCGAGAAGGCCCTTGGCCACGAGCGCATATGCCTTGGCGATGCCAGACAGAGGACCAGTGACTGTCAAGACGCGCTCGTGAACACCTTGGACAACTTTGCTGACACCGGCTTTCACACCAGTCTCTTCTCGTAAATCAGCAACATTCTTTCCCGCTTTGCCGATGATGACACCAGCTTCCTTGGTTGATACGATAGCACGTAGTGTCAATTGGGATTGCGCGTATTCCTCTTCGGTCTTCGGAGTGTCGTTCTGTGGATCTCCAACATTAAGATGGGACAGAGAATCGGCGACACCAGGGTCGTCGACATGGTTTGCCGATGCCACAGACTCAGCAGAGGCCATGGTGACGTCAATCGGAAGGGGTGTCGGGGTGGAAGATGATGGCGAATTTACTCGAGGCACGGCCGGACGTGTGGTGGGCCGACTGCGGGTTGAGCAGCTGCGAGCTGCGAGGTCCAACTAAGCAGGTGGGAAGGTGAGCCTAGACGCGGTGCACCGCGGGGATAGAGGGAGGATAGAGGAGAAGAGAAGAGAGGAGTACGACGAGGTGTGAGGATAGAGGGGATGGGGTAGAGAAGAGGGTGAGGACGAGGTGAGGTGTGAGGTGCGAGGCAAAGAGTGATTCGAGATGTGGTGGTGGTGGTGTAGAGGGATGCAGCAAGTTTTCAGAGAAACAAACGAAATAGTGGAAAAACTGAGGTGACAGAAGCACGACTCTTCAGCAGGCGAATGTGTAGTGGCAGCCACCCCAAGCTGGTGGCATTATTGGTGGCAGTAGTGAACAGAGCAGTGAGGAGGGGGGCCCCCCGGTCTCCCCCTCTTATAGGCCAGCCAGCCACTGGCACGGCAACAGCAGCTAGAGCTCGCAGCTCCAAGCCTTCGGGGTTGTGCCTTCCCGTTGGTGTGCCGTTATTATTAGCGAGGCTGGTGGGCTGGTGGGCGTGTGGCTCTCCCCGTTTGCAGCCTCAACGCCATGCCTTTACCAACCCGTGCAAAGTATTTCCATCCATCTTAAGCAAAAGCAGTGGACTACCTCCTTCCTGACAATCAAACACAGCAGACCATGCCCGCAGGCTGTGGGAGAGGGGGGGGTCAACTTATATTTACAAGCTGTTTCGAGGCCCTTGTATAGGCTACTCGCCCTCTCAGATCTGGTCACGCCGCCTTCCGCCCCAACAGACCGCCAGACTGAAACGGAGAAACTTGTGCCAGCCTCCTTGACGATTAACACCTACTGTCCCAAGCTTCGTGGATGCTAGTCTCACAGCCATATGCGGGGGGAAGGCTCCTCTGACCCACCAGGACGCATGCAGCCACGATATCAATACATAATAGCCGTTGTGCCTGAAATCTGGTTGACCTGGGGAACATGGGCAACCCTGGAAAGGCTCAAAGGTTGAGATCCAGTCTGCATTAGCCAGAACTATTCCAGGAACTACAATATCTTGTGAGCCCTGGTGTATTCAGAGACAGAAGGGAGCTATGGCTTCCTCCTGACCGCTCATTTGTCCGCCTCAAACACCACCTTTTGAACTCTCATGTTGTTGAACTCGTCGTACCACTTGGCCGCTTCCGAAAGAGGCTTGATGTTGTCAGTCAGGAAGTCCAGCTGGTCCTGTTTCTTCTCCAGAACGGCCAAGGCCTCTTCGAAGAGGCTGCGAACCGGACATCTGCCCATCTGAATCCTCAAGTTCTTCGCGTACGCCTGGTTGCCGTTCCATGGAATCTCGCCGTTGTGAACCCCGATGCTAGAAATGTTGCCCCACGGCCTCAGGAGTTCAAAGGCCAAGGCCAACGCACTGCTTTGGCCGACCAGCTCGATTGCCGTGTCTGCTCCCCTTCCCTCCGAGAGCTCCAACACACGCTTCTTCAACCCCTCCTTGTCGGTTTGGTAGTTCCACGGTTCCGCGCCGAGCTTTCGAGCCTGCTCTAAACGAGCCTCCACGCCGTCGATGGCGAGGATAGCCTTGGGTTTGAACTCGAGTGCGCAGACAAGCGAACATAGACCAACTGGTCCACAGCCAATGAGGAGGACGACGCTCTGCGATATCACTTCCTGGTCCAGCCCCCGGAAAGCGTTGGCAGCGGCAAAATACCCAGTCGGAAAGATGTCGGCCATCAGCACAAGCTTATTCTCCTGAATACTTGGGGGCGCCTTGATGACGGTGCTGTCCGCCTGCGGGATTCGACAATATTCTGCTTGCCCGCCGTCGAGCGTCGCCGATCCGAACAGTTGGCTCTTCTCGCAACGCGATGAGAATCCTCTCTTACAGTAGAAGCATTCTCCGCAGTTGGTGGTAAAGGGCGTGACGATCTTATCGCCCTTTTTCACCGATTTGACGTCGGAACCCGTCTCGACAACCTCTCCGGTAAACTCATGGCCCATGATGAAGCCAGTGCCCGAAGGCTGGTGGCCTCGAAAGACATGAAGTTCACTGTTCATTCCTCAATACAGGCAAGGACGGGTGAGAGTGGATACATAACATACCTTCCACAAAGCGCAGAGTACCTGACTTTGACAATGATGTCCTTGGGATCTTGGATTTTGGGAATGGGTCTATCCTCAATCGCAATTTGCAGCTTGCCCTTGAATACAACGGCCTTCATCGTCTCCTCTGAAGTCATGATGCGACGTGCTTTGGTCGAGGCTTCTTTCCTTCTTCGATGTTTCTTGAGTTGTGGAGCTTTCGTGACTGGCAAAGCACGACGACAATCTGTGAAGGTTTTATGCCCGGTTTATATGATGGGCCAAGACTGTTGTGAAGTGTGTCGCATAGATCCTGCGGCTTTGGTCGGAGAAGCATATTGTCATTGATTTACGGATCACGAACAGATTGTATATTCCCGCCCCGGCGGTTTGCACGGCGGGGGAATAGAGTGAGTGGATGCAGCACAGGTGGGCTGACACGCACCAGCGGACATTCTAGCACCCGGTGGACCAGCCATCCGTGGTAGTTTGGTAGACCTCTGGATCTCGTCGAGTATTAGAGACTCTGGCCACCCCAATGCAAGCAGCATCTGCCTTGCAAATGACTTGGGCACGGCTGGCTAAATGGTTGGACAGAGGGAAAGCTTGGACAGCGGAAGAGTAAACTGCTCGAGCACCAGAAACACGCATCCGAGGGGAGGGTTGAAAACAGCTTCCCAACGCGCAACCCGTATGGCATTCTGTCCGACAGGGATCGATTTCCTCCACCACCGAGGGGACAAGTTCCGCCGGAAGGGGGTTTCATTTCTTCTCCAGAGCCGCTGCTTCAGTGATTTGCAGTGCGACGGGCTTCAATGTCGAGAATAAAGAAGGTGGGAAGTCGGCGGGATTGCCCGATCACCACGACTTCGTCCCACATGTGGATGGAGCAGCGCGGAGCAGCGCAGCGGTATCGCTCGTTCATTGCTCTAGTCATTATTCTTTATACCAAAACCCAAAAAGACCCCAGCTGGTGTTTCCATGTTCGAACTGACAACGTGTTCGATGCCAACGGTGCCGTCAAGGCCCAAATACCAGAGAAACGCCAATGCCTCCCGATTCCCCCCACCCTTCCCTTGAGGTGACCCCGGATGCTCCCTTGAATGAATGACCCGGTGTTGCTTTCAAGTCACGGTGCAAAGCAACTCGCTTTCCAAGATGAATTTCCCCTCCTTGTACTTTTCAGCCGCCTCATATGCCTTATCATATTTCCAACCCACCGTCTCATCGCACTGCTTGCACTTGATATCCCGCACGATGTGTCTCCCCGTGGTCATATTGCGTTCCATGGCCTCGGCCTGCTTGATGTTGACGACGTTGGAGAACAGGAAGGCTTTTCCATGCTGGCCTCGGAAATTTCGCGATATGATATCGTCAAAGTCGGCAAGGTGTGTCTTGCAGTTCTAGAGGGCCCCAATGACCGCCTCCCGTTAGCAGCGCGAGGGAAACAGGAAGGAGGAGGGGTATAACAAGGAGGATATGGTATGGGTATAGAATATACCTTGCAGCCAAATATCTTCGCAGAATTGAGGTAGACGTTGTACGCAAGACCCATTTTGTTCAGAAACCGTCTGTCTCTAGCCACAACTTCAGTGCTGCCGTCGAAGCCAGAGAGTGTTGATCCGCGTCTCCGCCACCAGGCTGCAGTGCAGTCTCTCTTTTATTTGCCGACTCCTCCTCGTCTTTGTTCTTCCCACGCCGCTGTGGGTTTAGGGTGCCTGAGACAACTCTTCTTGTACTCCTAGGTAGAGCAATGAATCTATCGAGAGCTCGTGACCGACGAAGGAAAATAAAATGGTCGAGTGGACGTCGTCGGCAGGGGAGTGGGAGCCGCAGGAAACGCTACGATCACCGACCCGAGTGGCTCGTGACTCTTTTAAAGGAACTGAACCGTGTGACCGAAGAGTTTGAGAAACCCGCCGCGGGGTTGAAGGTTGCCTTGAATCTCTCTGTATAGCCCCAAGTACCTTGGTCAGGATGGTGTAGCTCACAAACAAAGGATCGAAGCCGCGATGTTTGGGTGGAAGATGGGCATCGGCGTTGGGGTTTAGAAAGTCGTGCGGCTTGTACCGCGATCCCTAATTACGACTTAACACTCGAGTCCCTGAGCCTTCGGTCTAGCCCCACTACTCCCTTGCCTAGGCCGGCGTTGTGATCGTCGACTATATGTCTTAGATTTTGTAAGTAAGTAACAGTTCTCTGAAGCTTGGGAGAATGAGAGTTGTAGCGGTATATCCTCTGAGCAAGCCCCCTTCCTATTTGCTATGTTTGCACAATGCTGTTCGATATGTGTGTGTGTCACCAGAGCATTCACTCCCCAATCCTACATACTGCAAAGCCCCGGGTTCTCGGACTTTGGCGTTGGGGAAAATCGTTTATCGATAGCGGCTGAACTTCGGCTAGTAGGGAATGGCAAAGAGGAAGCATGCACAGCATGGTGTCGTTGCATGGAGTGGCATTGCTGTGTAGAAAAGGGATTCACATTTTGAAGTCATCAAGGTATATATACCAAGGAGGTCAAAGTAGTGGCATTGTTTGTGTCGCCGACCGTTGCCAGCAACAACATTACTTCTGGTATTTGGTTGTTCGCCATGACAGTGATTGTTTTCACGAAGATGTGTGGCTCGTCAGATGTTGCGATCTGGGCGTCTGTCTTCCGAGCAAAGTAGCCATCATGGATCGTTGCAGCCTTGGCCCGGCAACGAACGTGACAATGTTCGGTGCTGTAAGAGAGCTGAGTGCCAATGGCAAGCAAGAAAACAAAGAGCACGTTCCCAATGCAGGCAGGCAGAGCGAGGAAAATGCAGCTGCCGGTATATCTTTCACTTTCTCGTCACCTTCTGATCAACAACCTATTCTCATTGTGCTTGAAAACACCCTCCGTCTGTTTGAAGACTTCTTTGCCTCTTCATGTTGTAGGAGCCTTATTATCTTGCTAGAGTATTCAGCCCGCATGGCTTGGGTGCTCTCTCGCAGTGTCTGCGATGTGCTCTCTGAGCATACGATGGTGTGGTCACTCCCTGATGGAGACTGTTGGTTTTGTCCCTTCCCAAAGTCCGAACGGTCCTCGGTGCAGAGCGATACAAGAAGCCAGTCTACCTCCTCGACCTCTTCGTCGCAGCATGAGCAGGAATGGGAGCAACGAGATGTCAAGGTCGATCTGAGTGAGGTTTGGTTTCCAGAAATGGTTTGCCCATTGCTATCCATGGCCCTAAGGCTTCGATCTGATGTCAAATTAGTCTCAATCTACCAATTCAAGCCTCAAGGCATTGTCGCCCTTCGAATCCCTTCCACCTTGCGTCCTAAGCTGCATCTTCTGGAACATCACCTGCAAAGCGAACATGATCAGCCTCGCACTCACCTCCAAGGCCATGGCTGCTCACGTTGCGCCGCATATCAAACATGCTGAATGGACATGTCCCTGTGACCACGAGACCTACATCGCATTGATGTCAAGGCTTGTACCCTGGATGCCCCAAAACCTTCTCTTCTGCCATCACTGCCTCCGATACCGTCCGGCAATTAACTTCAACTCTCCCGCAGCCTGGTCGTCGAACGAGCCGGAAGTGTATGCTTGGTCTGGTGTGACCACCGCGAGAGACACGGGGTATGCTGAAAGCCAAAAGCAGGAACGAGAATATCTCTTCAAAGGCATGTCACCTCGGGTCTGTTTCGACTGCCACAGAACGATGGGTTCCAGCAACCACGGTCGAGTCAACAGTCCTTGCCCGTGCGGCGACGAACCCGCGTTGGATTTCAGCTGTGACGGGTGCGAGGCTTTCCAGTGGGCAGAAGGACAGATGAGGGCAAAGTCCGCCAGGTACGAGCTGGATGAGCCGTGCTCCGCTGACACCGGGCCCTGCCACATCTGGGATCAAGATGAGTGTTGCGCGTGATAGATCGGTTGGGGCATCCGAGACAGGTACACCAGTGAGACAAAGTTCCTGCTTAACGGTGTCCGAGCATGTTCTTGTACGAATACCAGAAGTCGACACAATCCTTGTGGCCCCAGTGTTCAACCCAGAACTCACCGAAAATGTCGTCCGCGTCAATGTCAACATCGCCTAATCTTTCCGTCCGCTTCAAGCCGCAGAGCGCGCATTGTTTTGACGGGTCACGACGGTTTGTCTGTTCCAATCTCTTGATGGAAGGAGAGGCAGACAATTTCATCCGCAATGGAGGTACTTCGGCTTGAGCAAGGATGCTGTTGAATTCATGGAGGTAGCTTGACCAATCACGAATCATTTCTTGGGTGTCTCGTTCTTCTTTGGTGGTTTCGCTCTTGTTCAGTGCTGCTAGTTTCATTCCACCACTCTTTCCTGACTGACCAATCCTCACACTCTGGGCCAAGACGGTATCCCTCTTCCACCGGAGGGTTCTGCCCGCAACTATGCGGCTGGAAACTCGAAAGGCAACCAGCACTTTCGATGCCAGTTCCGATTTTGACACCACACTGTCCGCATTGCTTTGGTGAATGAACTTAAAGACAGATGAGAGCAGCTGCAGTAGTGACGACGGCGGCGGGACATTGCTCGGCCTCTCGGATGCCAGTGTGTCTAAACTGGGTTGGGGTGCGATCTCTGCAGTCGTGCTTTTCGTTGGCACAGGTTCCTTGGAATGAGCCTGCTGCATTGGGCCACACACATTGTCTTCGACAGGCTCCCATTCATCATCGGACGGCTGAGCGGTCACTTCTGGGATTGATTGAGGTGGAGGCTGAGTCTCAGTCTCTTCGAAGTCACCCCAGTCATCGTCCCACGGAGGTTGCACGCTGGCTGCTGTGCCTTTCGAGCCACTCTGAATACGCCGGACGCCTGGACTCGTGGAGGCTTTGATTTCCGGATGCATTGGTTTGTTAAGCACGCCAAAGGCGTCCGGAGAGTCGAGATCTAAAGGTTCCCGGCTGACCGCCTCGGAAGACATGGGTGGCTGGTGCATCAAAGAGTTATCCTGCCTAATGGTATTGTTCAAATCATTCGCAGAGCCTCCTGCAGTCTCAAAGTCGCCAAATTCGTCTCCGGAGTCGGCTTGTTCGGCGTCAAAGAGGACATCCCTCCCACCCGTATCTCGGTGCCACAGGGGCGAAGAGACATTTTGTTGCTGGGTGGCTTGAACACCTCCTGTAGTCGGAGTCGAGCTCTGAATGTTGGCGACGTCTGTGCCGTGGGCAGAGATCGCCGAATACGGCTTTATATTAGTCTTCTCATCTGGCTTTGGTGGCGGGTCTTCCTCCACAAACGCTGCATACAAATCGGCAGACATTGTGGACTGATTAAATGGCGAACCAGAGTCAAGGACCCTTGTACAGCTCGTCAGCGGTACCAATACAGGCTGTGGCCAGCCCAGAAAGACAGGAAGCAGAGAGCTTTCGGCACGGTTGGTGGTAGAGATCCTGCTAGTAAATCCGTCCATTTGGAGTCGAAGATGACGCCGCCCTATGCTTCCCGGCATGCCTCTTTCACCCCGCGACAAACGACGCAGGATTCAACGGGGCCAAATCCACTCTCGGTAAACGGTGTAGCACTGGATCGATGCAAACGGCTTGAAACCCCCAGATATTCTACTTCTCTTGTAGGTAGATAATTGTTGGCTTTACGACCGATCTAATCGTAGAGTGAGCGGCGAGCACCGCAGAGTCCCTAAAGCGGCAGCAATGCCAAGCATTCAAACGTCTCCCTTGCAAGGCCGAAGCCACGGACAATGTTCCGGCCCGTCCTGAACCTGCCCTCTACTCTATTCTACACGTCACGTCTTCTTTGGACATGACTGGTGGTCATGCGAACCTTTGCAGATATACGGTAAGAATGATATACTGGCGATTGTGAAGGTACTCACTTTTCGTCCTAGGCGTCGGTGGGCGTCGCTGTTCGGCACTTCGATCGGAGTCGACTTGAGACAGGCTGTACGAGATGGTGAAGGCTTCGATCCATGTGAGGATGGATTGCGATCCGTTTCTTGGAAGGTTTCTAACTGGCGTAACCCCCCGCCAAAAATCCTATGCCAACATGAATCTGGCAGGCTTTTCTTCTTTACGGACCGTTGAGCCAGGGTTCCTGGTGCAAGAAGTTGGCCGAGTCTCGGTCCGCATACGTCTCTCTTCGAGACCATTTCTTGCGTTTCATAGAACACCCCAATGATCTACACTCCTCTGCAGATCCCTTGGCGGACGACGAAAATGTATGTGGCTGCGTTCCCTTGGAAATACTTCACGAGTCTGACGTCTGACGAAGCAAAGTCTCCCTGGGCAAGTCTACGGCAGGATGAGATCAGTAGGGAGGAGATATTCCAGGATGTAACTCGATGCATGCAGGACAACTACTTTTTCCGTGAACCCACCACCCAGAAGAGACTGCTCGACATCCTCTTCATCTACGCAAAGCTGAATCCGGACATCGGCTACCGACAGGGCATGCATGAACTGTTGGCGCCTATCGTCTGGGTTGTCCAACAAGATGCCGTGGATCTAAGTGCCGTTCCAGATGTCGACAAGAATGCGGAAGGCATGGACTTCATGACCGAGGTGCTGGACGGCAAATTCGTGGAGCACGACTCATTCAGCCTGTTCTGCGCATTGATGCAAACAGCGAAGGCATTCTACGAAGTTGGGGAAAACCGCGACGCGGCCCCCATCATCGCAAGAAGCAAAAGAATCCACGACGACATCCTGAGTGCCATCGATCCGGAACTGGCCCTCCACTTACATGTGCTCGGCATTCTTCCCCAGATCTATTCTATGTGAGTCGCCCTCCTAACATCGCGCGGAATCACATCCCTGACAGCATGCAGCCGTTGGATTCGGCTACTATTTGGGCGGGAGTTCGACTTCAAGGACGTCCTCAGGGTATGGGATGTTCTATTTGCCGAGAACTTGAGGTCTGACATCGTCGATCTCACCTGCGTTGCAATGCTGTTGAGATCTCGTTGGGCACTGATCGAAGCAGACTACACCGCAGCTATCACCGCACTGACTCATTACTCTCTGCCCAACTCCACCGCAGACCCCCGGTCCCTGGTCAGAGATGCTGTCTTTCTGGACAAGAACCGAGACAGCGAGGCTGGAGCAATGATAATCCAGCGATATTCTGGCAGGTGGCCGAAGCGGACCGAAGCTCCGAGTAGTCGAAGTTCATCGGCTATGAGAGCAACTGGGGCCTCTCAGCAGCGGCAGTCACCAAGCGCATCTCCAGGGCGGTTCGCCTCTCCACAGAGACAACTCGAGGGGCTGTTCCGAGAAGTTACAGGTAATCTGCACAAACGCACCGAGGGGTGGGACGTTTCGAAGGCCGTTAGAAGCGCAGTTGGTGAAGTCCGACGTAATATGAACCACTACCAGTCATCACACCCTCGACATTCTAGCCTTGATACACCTCCGTTGCTAGGTCCGGAGCGGAGAAATCCAGAAGGGGAAGCTGAAGGCATAGCGCAGAATTTGAAACAAAAAGTGGAATTATTGCAGGAAAGGAATGTGGTGCTGGGCAAAATGCTGGATGATGCTTTGGAGTCGTTGAGAGCAATCAAGTTGACATCTCCTTCCGGAGCTGGAGAGGCAGAACATGACCTCAATGTCTGTCTCGCCAAGATCCAATTTGTCTCGGTCTATCTGTCCAATCCAGACATTCCTATCCCGAGGGAACAGCAGTTCCAGGATGCAAAAAACTCGACCGACACAAGCTCTGCACCCGCCAGCAAGTCGGACAGAGTTAGCCCGACCAAAGCAGGCACTACACCTGTACCCACGTCAGACACGGCTGGTCAGGGAGAACAGGACAAAGACGATGACACGAAACCCAAGCCACACTCCTCAGAGCCAGCCCAAGATCCCCCGGGCGGAAAGGGGGATGGTGGAGCTACAAACAAGGCGTTGTCACGGCCCTCGCTGATGGATTCATCATTTTCGTTTATGCTTGGCGAAAATCGACACCGGTCCAGCTTTGTTAGTTCTGTTGCCGACTTACCAGAGCATAGAAGGGAAAGTGAGTCAAGGACTAGACCCAAGAAGAAGGCAGCCGAGCTCAAGACGCAGCAGGAGCGGGGGGACTCTGTGAGTGAGGACGAGGGCTTTACCTTGACCAAGATCCAAGGCGGGCAAGGCTGAAGTGAAGAGCAAACGCTAATGCAGGACACGATCGAGGACTGTGTAACATGAGTTGTAGGGGCAATGCGTTGCAGATAGAAGGGTCCATCCGCTACGAGCTGGGTGCTTCCACAAGTGATTACCGACATCTTTTCTTCACCTCTGTCTTTTCGTAGTCTTCTAAACCCAATTATTTTTGGGGCACCCAACGGCTCCAACCTGGTAAGGACGGGACCAACAAGCGGCGGTTTTGGTCTTCGGGATTGCCATGAATGCTTCTCATGCTTCCGGGTAGTGGTGCTTGCAAATAGTACATTATGTGTCAAGGCATGACGATCAAAAGATATGCTGTGTCAGAACGTGGCCAGCTCAATCATCCCGCAGCAGGTGTCTTCATATAATAATATGGGACTGGCAGTTTGGTTCTTGTGGGCCAGAACCCTTCATTGGTGATGGTTAAGATCGTTGGGGTGTTTTGGTTAGATGGTTAGGGCCGGCCGGGCATGAGGCTGCCCAGATCTCTCGGCAAACAACGCCCACGAAAGAGGCGCCCCCCCCGCCAGTCGGAACTTCCTTTCGAGCGGCCCCCAGTCAATGAGAGAGGCACGTTATTCAAAGCGAAAGAGCTTAGGCCAATTGGGCGGACCAATCGCCACCGATGGCACAGCTGCGCCTACAATACAGCGCAGCTCGAACACGACTGACCTTTCCCACAAGTCTCCTCCCAACTCGCGAACCTGCATAATAGCCGATGACCTCTTGATCGACGATTCTTCTTTCCTGTCCAGGCGATCGCCACAGACTTAGCAACCTCACCCTCAAATCCCGAGTGTCTTTGAACCCCGTTGCTGTCCGTCTTTGCCGTTCCGGCCTTGCTCCCCTCAAAAAAGTTCTCAACTGCAATCTCGGAGACGGTGAACTGTTTTTGTGCAACTCGTCTTCGTCACTCGATTGTCCACTCCTCGCCGTCCACATCCGCTGAGAGAATGTATCCCTTCAACCCGGCTCTGTGATACTGGCATTGGATCGGTCGGCCAGGCGGGCAGACGACGAATCAAAAGTGCCAATAATCAGCATGACACGAAATGGATTGGGTATTCACGGTATGCATTGGGCCCCAAGGCTCTGCTGGGAGGATCCTGGCGGGAGACTCGCAAACTTGTTTGAGCAAACCAACCTGGCTGAGACGAGTATTGACGTGTGTGCGAAGGAGACACCACCCCGCCTCTTTCCCCCCTCCTCGCCGTACCGTCGACAGGCATGGGGGGAGACCAGTCACTGCGAATCCCCAAGAACAAGAGTACCGGGAATCTATACCCCGTCAAGTACGATGCACCCTCATATACACAGAGGACACGGTTCTCCTTTGATGCGGGGACCGCTCAAGAGATGAACAACCTGAAACGGTAGGTGTCTATGATGTCCGTGAAGATTGGAGGTTTGACAAATAACTAGGGCGGCTCGTGTCGACCATGATGGCTTGGGCAGATCTGGCTTGCGACGGATCAGACGACAAGGGCCGTCACTACGGACACCTACGCTGATTCTAGAAGCGGGGGAGTTCGTCGCTCCTGTGCTTTACCACTCGAAGACCGCACCGATCTCAGGCTCGTCCAGCAGGTCCGTCTCCACCGGGCACATGATGAGCGGACCATCTTCTCCTGTGATCGAGGATCTTCATCGCTTTCCGTCCGAATCTCTCCACTCATTCTCCTTTGCCAAACAGTCGGAAGAGATCCTGCACAGCAGACAAAACATTCTCCAGAAGTCAATTGACTTCGTGAGAGACCGTTCGTCCTGGGCGGCAAACCCAGCGCTGGCCCACGCGCAAGCACGAGTCAGTGGAGATCCAGAGCTCCAGGGCATGATGGACCTGCTCAAGAAGGCCAATATCATCCCCATCGACACAAGCAACAGCAGATCCAAGGCTGTCCCGCTGGGGCCACTCACGGGTCCAGCTCGCACCGACGGACGCAATGTTTTCGAAAAGAGCTTCAGCCAGGAGCTAGAGAATGCAGAACACGCGATTGCGAGCCCCGATCCCGAGGAAGAAATGGATAGACGAAAATACTCCATAGACGAAGACGTGTCGCCGAACGAGCCTGGTCTTGAAATGCAGATACCACCGACCAGATCAGGTTCGATAGACGCGCCACGCCGGACTGGACTGAAGAGAACTTACACCGATCTGCACTCTGTATCCCTCCAACAGAAGCTGATAGAGGCTCTCGCGCAGCCATACTCAGCCGATGACAACAATGGTGTACAGAGTGCCGTCTACACATCTGCCATAACGGGTGTTCCTGCCACGCCTACCTCGTCCGTTCATACTCACAGCAGTAAGTGGTCGCCTGCCCACCAGGCTGTCTTCCGCACAACAGCAGACGCTCCCTGGACGATTCTGGCAGCCAATGATCTAGCATGCCTGATTTTTGGGGTTACACGAGCCGAGCTCCGGTCTTTGAGTATCCTTGGAATCATTCAGGAAGAAAGAAGGCAATGGTTGGAGACGAGACTGTCGCGACCTGAAGAAGTTCAGGAACCGAAGTCCCCGCCCCCTCCAAAAAGTGAAGCGAGGAGTACTAGCCTCTCATTGGTAGGGTCAAGAAGTGGTATTACAGCTCGACTACTTAGTAAAGCTCCCTCTCGAGCTAACAAAACTTCAGAAAGAGCAAGGACGGACGATGGCTCTGGCGGCCACTACAGCCCCAAGCCTAAGAACCACCCGTCAAACAAATCTAGGGGCGTCCTGCTTTGTGGGGACATCGTGCCCATACAGAGACGAGATGGCAGCAAGGGTGCTGCTAGTTTCTGGGTCATGGAGAAACGTGGTGGTCTCATCTGGGTGATCGAAGAGATCACCGAAGATGTCGCCTACCTCGATATTGACCAGTCGGGCAAGGTGAAAAGCGCCCATGGTGAACTTGTTGCTATTTGGGGCCGATCTGACCTTGACGGTACACCCCTCAAGTCTCTCCTTCCAAAATTCCCCTTGGATGCATTGGAATCCCTCGACAAGCATTACATAGGGTATTTTGCGGCGGAAACCGCTGAACATGTCCAGGTTCCGACCACAGTGGAAGTGTCGCCTACAGGAGATCAGCTCCGAGTCTCCAGTTTGCCTCACATAGCCGGGGTCATGGTCTTAGACCCAGAGACCCTCAAAATCACGAGCTCGAACAGCATTTTCTCAGCGGCTCTCTTTGGCTACCCGAAGCTCGATGGCTTGCATATCGCCAATCTGATCCCCAGCTTTGAGGATGTTTTGAGTATTTTGAAGCAGGATGACGGGGTCGATCTGGTCGATGGGATTGTCGTCCCTGAACACAGCTTTCGTCAGGCTAGGACCATTCTTTCGCTCCGAGAAGGCAAAGAAAACCCTGCCCACATATTCTTGCGGCCGTGCGGTGTCCCTGCCAAACATCGAGATGGATCGGACATCATGGTTGATATTCAGATGAGAGTCATTCGCAGTGAGACCGTCTTTCCCATGTCCGACGAGGCAGTGATCGAGGAAAAGGATGAGCACCGGGCGGAATCAAGTGTTGCCGTGGCAGAGCTCGTCTACGCCCTCTGGATCATCTATTCCCGCAATATTCATGGGGTGGGAGTAGGAGGCCCGGCCGAACACGGCCTCTCGGCGCAGGAACGCCCTCTGTCGCCACCATCGCAACCAGAACCTCCGCAAACGCTTCCCTCCCCGCCCCCCGTGCCTTCGGACCGATCTGGAGACAGCTCTCAGCTGTCGCTTGTGGCTGATCAATCCGATGAGACAGAATCTGTCACCATGGACGAGCCGCTTGAGCATCCGCCTCCTCACATGACATATATTTCTCACAAGAAAAAGACCATTGATGATTTTATAATATTAGAAGAGATGGGCTCCGGCGCGTACGGTCAAGTCAAGCTTGTCAGGTATAAAAAGGGCCAGTCGAGGAAGATGGTTCTGAAGTATGTGACCAAAAAGCGCATCCTGGTCGACACCTGGACCAGAGACCGCAGGTTGGGCACCGTCCCGTTGGAGATCCACGTCCTAGATTACCTTCGTCGAGATGGCCTCCGACATCCCAACATCGTGGAGATGATTGACTTCTTCGAGGATGACATCAATTATTACATTGAAATGCTCCCTCACGGTATTCCGGGCATGGATTTGTTCGACTATATCGAGCTGAGGACGAACATGACCGAGGCCGAGAGTCGGAACATCTTTCGCCAGGTGGTAGACGCCATCCACCATCTTCACACCAAAGCTCTTGTGGTGCATCGAGACATCAAGGACGAGAATGTTGTTTTGGATGGCGAAGGACGAATCAAATTGATCGACTTTGGCAGCGCGGCGTACATCAAAAATGGACCATTCGACGTGTTTGTGGGAACTATAGGTAAGTTGCACCGGAGATCCGTGGGGTGTTTACCTCTTTTAACATGTGTAGACTATGCCGCTCCAGAAGTTCTCCATGGGAAGCCCTATAGCGGCAAAGAACAAGACGTGTGGGCATTGGGGATTTTGTTATACACCATTGCATATAAAGAAAGTGAGTCCAACCTCCCTCTTCTTTATCGAAGCAAGACTGACATCTCGCCAGATCCCTTCTATAATTTAGGTGAGCGCCGTCACGGGCGAGCCGAGTTGCATACAGACTGACTTGTGGCAGACGAAATCCTCGACCACCCGCTGCGGGTACCGTTCTTGCCATTTTCTGAAGAGTGCCTAGAGCTCATTCGCAAGATGTTGGACCGAGATGTGGACAGACGTATCACTATTGAAGAAGTGCTTGACGATCCATGGCTTGAAGATGACGATGATGATTGAAATGACTGGGTTGATCTTTGGGAACTTTTATGTGCTATATATGCTAAATCAACAGACTTACGGCCAAAAGAAAAAAAGAATGATTGTGGTGAATCTTTGCTGGCCGAGAACAACCCTTTCGACGATTGGACCAGCGAGTTTTGGAGGCTTGGAGTTTTGAGTGGTTGAGATGTGTCAGTACGAGTGGATTTGCCGAGCACGAGCAACAATAGCAGACGTTCCGGGCACAGGGGTCCAATGCTCGGGGCACGAAGGGCCGCGCCTTGATGCGCTGAGGTTACAGTCCGGTCGAGAACTCGCTTCGCAGGACAATGGAAGCACGGGCGGCATGGCGCGCATATTGGATATGGAGGTCCGAGGCCGTGCCTCGCATGGATGCAGCAACGATCGATTGTCAACCCCAACCACCCCGACTTGTGGAGAGGACTTATGCAGTCGAGTTCCACCGTTCAGTCTGGAGGATGTTTGTCCCCTCGGCAGGTACCTTTTGGACTAGAAAATTTTCAGAAACGGTGTGGGACCCTTGACCTCGTTTTTCTCCAGATTCCGTCCTTAGTTCTCGTGTGCTTCTTGGGATTGAGCCTTTTGCAGGGCCGGCACGGTATAGTCTGTAAATTCCCCTGCCCGTCCACATTCTGAGGGTCTGCAGCGCCCTTGTGGGTCTGTAAGCAGAATAGTAGGACTTGGTGGTCTCAGGGGCGACGACGAAAGTCCGTTCAGGGTCCGGAGTACATGCAGGCAGGGCATTCTGCCGAATTTCAAGAGCTGGAGAAAGAGAGTACTACTGCGGGGATATAGCGTTAGAGAAGACGGAGGGAAGTCTGTTGGGTATGGCTTCGCCGAAACTCTGGGGCTCCTCCAGTTCCCCTTGCCAATGGGCGGCGCGACCAAGGTGCCGCCGAAAGAAGGACATTAAATCCCCAGGGGGGGAGACCGTGAACCGACCACCTAATAACGATTAGCAAAAGCCATGTTCGGCTTTACTCCGAGAAACACGCGAGCGGCGGTAGGTGAGTGGTGCTCTGGGGAACTGCCGTGCGGTTCAGCCCTCAGCTTGCTTGTTTGTCTTTCTGACGACTGAAGGTCGGCAGGAAAAGAGGGAGAGATTGTATTTCCTCGGTTCGGAAAAGGGTCCCGAATCAGCGAATTCGATGTCGAACATTGTCGTCACAGAGGTTATCGGAGTGAACAAAATCAAGGCACAGGCAAGGTCAATCATGGACAGATTCGTCCCCTGGGCGGTGGACGCGCATGCCATGTGACGATTTGGCAAACCGAGATACCGCATAGGCCTACTCCAGGGAGGAGGCAAAGGGGGTGATCATACCCTTTCACGATCACTAGAGACAACCCACCCCTGCAGGCCACGGTGAGCAGGGACCGGCAAACCCCCTGCTATTACAAGGCCAGTCAGTCGTGGTTTTCTCACCTTCGAGAACGGAGGTTCACCCACGGTGGCATATGAACCCCAACGAACTCCGGCTAACCTAAGACGATTCGGAATCTCGCAGAGATGGCAAAGGGCCTGGACCCTGCTTCCATCTGCACGTCTCAGCTAGAGGCGGAACCACGAACCAAAGTAGCCGAGTCGAGTCGAGGTTCGGCCGCATTTGGGCGAGTGGCATGGGATGGCGAGATGGGTGGCCACGAGGCAAGGACGCAGGCTCGATGGGTTCTTCTTCGGTTAAGCGGCCAGGATCCGCAGTGACTTTGTCCTAGTCTCTCTGGGCTGAAAACACCGCCCTCTTTCTTCCTGTCTCCACAACACGCAGCCAGCGAAAGTTGTCGGCAGATCTCTGTGGGGGAGGAGAAAAACGGGCGGGTGTCGAAGTTGCAACTTGGGTCTATGTCCGTTGGTCGGCGGCGGCTGCGTGGACGGGCCACTAGACGATAATGCAACGGCATCTGATGGTCGAGGACAGCCCAACTCCCTGGATGGCAAAAACTCCCAAGGGAGGAATGAGTCGAACTACTACTTCCTGGGAGCCAGGACGATGACACCTTGAGAGCCTAGGATGAGGAAAAGGATCAGCAGAGCATTCCTCCTTGGATTTCACATGCATGAAGTCTCACCACACAGTGACACCCCCATACACATGGCGTTCTGTACCACGTTATCTTGAACAGAGCCCTGCAGGGTCGTCAGATGGACAAGTAAGTGCAAGTGCAAGAGCATGAGGGCATGTCCGATGACGGACCAGTGGTCGCCAAAGCGGGATGGTAGGCTCGGTGCAGAGTGTGTACTCGGTACAAAGTCGAGTGTGTGGTGGGAGTACCTGGACCTTGTCCATTGGGGGGAGGTCGCTAGCTAATTTAGCTGGACCCTTGGCACTGATACGGGCTCACCAGGCCTGGCCAGCCTATCGATAACGCCGATAAGCCAAATCTGACCGTTTTTTCCCAACACCCACGTACAGCCCCACCAAGCGAGGCAGTTCACAGGTGGCATCGGACACTGCCTCGTGTGCTCTGCTCGTCTGCATCTTCCTCCGTCCCTAGGTACCTCTAAGGGTGCCAGTGTCTCATTTAGCTGGGCTTGCCTCTCCGTGCTTTTGACTTGTCGTGGTTCGCCGTCCCTTAGGTGGCTACCCCGTTTGCCCTTGCCCTTGCCTGTACCCGTCCCTGTTTGTCCTCTGTTTGCTGTTTGCTCTCCGTTTGCCGCCCCCCTCTTCTCCCCCCTCTTCTCCTCCTAAGCCCACCTGGGTGCCACCCGTATCGCCTGATGGAGTCCCTTCCCGTCTCCTTCACCGGACAAAGATGACACCCACTTCGCTACCACTAGTGAGGTATCCATGCGACTATCAGCTGCACCTGTATGTCCGCGCGCCCATCACCAGCATCAATTGCGTGTTCCTTGTCTCGGCTCGGCCTCTTAGAAGCCTGAATTGATCCCCTGGCCTAATCTCCATCTTGTTGACACTTCTCTTTATCCTGGCTCCCCCCAGTCGCCTGACCTCACTGTCGTGCGCTCAGTTCTTTGTAAATGGACTGAACTGACTGCTTCTCGCTCTCGACTCGTCGTTTCTTTGCCTCGACGAGTACGGTTGCTGGCCAACTCGACTCTACGGCTTGAAACAGAAATCCCTTTGATGGGGGCATGCGGGGCTGCATCTTTTCTCGGTTGCCCTGCTTTGATTTGATCGACATTCCATCACACAGTGTTGGCCGACGCTGCATTCGCATTTGATCCTGCAAATCAGTTCCTACTTCTGACGTTGGGTGGTCTGAGACTCCCACTTACATCATGGAGCAGCAGCAGTCAATTACTGCAGCCATACCCAGCACCGTCACTTTCTCTTCCTCCTCCCAACATCGACAAACCGATTCTCCGAGGCCAATGACTCCGTCGAGCCCTCTCATGGAGGCCCAGACGGCCTTTGACCAGCCCGTCAAGCTCAAAGGTCGACACAGACTGCTCCAAGGCCTGCAACGCATGTCTTCCTCTCCGTCTCTCGCCAAGTTAGGTCGAAACCGCTCGAGTGAGAAGGTATACAAGTCCGGCCAGAAAGCCTCCATCTCCTGCGTCTCTCTGAACTCTCCGCCGTCGACATACTCGTTATCTCCCCACGTATCCTACGCTTTATCCAATGGCTTCTCGACTGCGCCCACGACCCCCGGTTCGCCCTGTAGCCAGCAGTCCTACTTCGAGACCAACGCCAGACTCCGACCGTTAGACCCTAATGAGATCACCACGGTCCCCGTGCCAGCCGATATCCGTACCTCGAAACCTCTCTCCGTTCCATTACCCGAAATCTCAGAAAAACCATTTCCTCGACGACCCAACTTCAACTTTTGGAAAGACCTGCCATATGAGATAAGAGTCTACATTCTGGGTTTCCTATCCCCGAAAGAGATCATCCGGGTCTCTGCAGTATCCCAGCAGTGGCACGATATGTGCTTCGATGGGCAGTTATGGACAAGTCTCGACTGCCAGACATACTATCAACAAATCACATCGGACGCCTTGATTAAAATCATGCTCAAAGCCGGTGCTTTCGTCAAGAACCTCAATCTCCGGGGATGTGTGCAACTGCGGGATCAGTGGCTGAGTCTTGGGACGAGAATGACCAACCAAGAGTGCCGGAACCTGGAGAACTTCAGCATCGAAGGCTGTAAAATTGAGCGGTCGTCCATCCATTTCTTCCTGCTCCGGAATCCGAGACTACTCCATATCAATATGCCCAGCATGCAAAACATCAACAATGCAACCATGAAAATTATTGCGACCCATTGCCCGCAGCTCGAGCTGCTTAACATCGACTGGTGCTCACAAATTGACACCAAAGGTCTCAAGAAGGTCATCCAATCGTGTCCAAATCTCACCGATCTGCGGGCCAGCGAGGTTCGAGGGCTGGACGACAACGAGTTCATGCTCGAGTTGTTCCAGCGCAATTCCCTGGAGAGATTGATCCTCCAGCATTGTGACAGTTTGACCGATGAGGCTTTGAAGATCATGATCCACGGCATCGACCCGGAGCGAGACGTTTTGACCGACCGACCCGCAGTGCCTCCGCGACGGTTACGACATTTGGATATTTCACGGTGCCGAAGTCTCACCGACCGAGGTCTCCAAGCTCTTGCGTACAACGTACCGTATTTGGAGGGCCTCCGGACGTGCCAGAACACGGCCTTGACGGATGATGCCTTCGAAGAGCTCCTGCAGTCCACACACCGTTTGACACACTTGGAGGTGGAAGAGGTTGATTCTCTGACGAATGCAACTCTGATCAATCTTTCAAAGTCCAAGGCTGCAAAGACATTGGAGCATCTGAGCATCTCCTACTGTGAACAGATTGGAGATATTGGCGTGCTGCCTCTTCTCAAGGCCTGCCCTCACATCAAGTCTCTGTGTTTGGACAACACCAGAATCTCTGACCTGGTGCTCATGGAGGCCTCCGAACAAGTCCGAAAACGGGGTAGCACCACCAAGAAGTCACAACGGCCCGCAAAGGGCCTTGAGCTGGTTGCGTTTGACTGCGCCAACGTCACCTGGGCGGGCGTCCGCGAGATTCTGCAGGGGAACGGCCGCGTCATGCAGGGTCGGAAGAAGTCAGTGGTGCAGACTTTCAACGGGGAGGATGAGTTTGGTGAGAAACAGGAGATTCGGAAGACTGTTGAGATCCAAACCCTGCTTTACCCGACCGAAATCATCCATCTCAAGGCCTTCTATGGCTGGCAACAAACGGTAGAGGAGCATTACAAACGATGCGTCACCGGTCGCTGGGGCGCAGCTGCTCGTTTAGAACAAAAATGGGCTGAGTGGATGGTCGCCAGCGAAGAGGTCGGCGGCGTTGGCCATGGCTGGAGTTCGAGACGCCGACGGCGGCGGGCTCGCGAGGCCGAGTACCGTGTTAGAGATGACGAAGATGGTGCCACACATGATACTGGGACGGGAGAAGACGATGGCAGTGGTCAGGAATTCGCAGCTGGCCGCCCACCCAGAGGAGGGCGACGACGCGCCAGGAGTGGCGGTTGTGTGGTGATGTGAGCCCTTTCGCGTCTCGCCTTTGCAAGATGTTGATTCCTCCTTTTTTTTTTATATAAAGTTGATGTATTTCAGAGGAAGGTGGCGTATGGGGTGAATCTGTGCTGCTATACACATATTTGGAGCTGGGACATCTTGGATATTCGGTCATGGCCAGGACGTTCTGGCGCAGGCATGTTTCTGCTGCTCTATGGTTGAGAGGTGTTGTTCCAGCGTTTTTATCATCATCGTTTGCGGTGTTCCAACCGTTATGTCTGCTGCCCAATGATGATGATGATGTATGTATGTATGTATGTGTGACCATTGTGTCATCTGTTGAAAGAGGGAACAGCCCTGTTCATCATCGCAGCTAGCTGCCTCTTCTTCTTCATATACAGACCGCTCAATCGATCTGACGAGATTTGCGAGAAGTGTTGACGACTTAGACTTGACTTGACTTCACTGTCTGTCCTGCTGCTCTTGTTCTGCCAAATTTGTCAGTTCCCTAGCAAAGTGAGTAAGTCTGTTCGAGCCTGAAAAATTGAGAAACTGCGACGCGTCGGAAAAGTAAGGAGGGAGGGAAAGGAATCCATCTACTTGGGAACGGGTCAGGTCAGGTCAAGTGTCCCTCAATTCCGTAAAGCTATCTGTTCTTTGTGTCTATTTTCTTCGACACGCGGCCCCACCACAAACTTCCCACCACCCATCCCTCCCATCATCAAGACGGGAGGGAGGGAGAGAAGGGGTTTGCGGTGTCCAGCCAGGAAAGCCCTTTCGGCGCAATCTGGACAGGATGAAAGGGCGATAACTACCTGACCTCTCCACACCAGCACATACAAAGGCCAACCGACGCCCAGCCCAGGGGAGCAGCAAATTTTCCATCTATCCAGCAAGCAAGCAGCAGCAGCAGCACCGGCAAGGTTTCGAGATGGTTGATCCGGCCGAGTAAGGAGAGTGTGAGGGCGGAGAGAAGAGGAGGGGTAAGGAGAGGAGCCAGTATGGCTGTTGTTGTCGTGGCGGTGGTGGTGGTGGTGTCGGTGGTGGTATTTATGGTTGTGGTTGTTGCGGTTGTGGTTGCTGCTGCTGCTGCTGCTGCTGCTGTTGTTGTTGTAGTTGTTGCTGTTGTTGCAGCTGTTGCTGCAGCTGCCTCTGCTGCTGCCAGTAATCCTGGCGAACCTGCGCCATCGTCTGCGCCGGATCCCCTGGGCGATGGACGACGAATCTGTCCCAACAACCACGACCGTCGTTGAGGGCGCCGGCTGGCCCAGTGACCACAAACCCCGGGTTCCGCCCAAACTCGTCCAGCAGCTTGTTCTCTAGGTCCTTCGGACCAGAGAAAAACCCCAGATCGAACCAGGACAGTGTCCCGTTGGCCTGGGTCAACTCCACCTCCCACATCCACGACTCCGGAGCCTGCCGGATCGGGTTCCCCGCCGCGTCGCGTTTCACGCGGATCCGAGCAATTCTGAGCGGCGCCCCACCCACGAGAATGGGTTGCTGGCCCGCCCTGACGACGAGGTTCGAGATGTATTCGAGCTCGTCGCCGTCACGGACGAAGAATTGCTCCGGCCGCTTGGCCATGTGGAAGAACTTCCACACGGTGGCGCGGGCGGGTCTATCGACAACACAGAAACGTTAGCGATGACTTCGACCACATGACCAACAGTGAATGAGATGTGAGTTAGAGGGCAGGGCAGTGTGTGTGTATGAGATCAGAAGACGACGAGGCTTGTCCACAGCGGCGGTCAGGTGATCAAGCATAGTGTAGAGAGGGGCATGACATGAGGGACCGACCATCGCCATTGTTTATGAGTATCTGTGTTGCCATGTTGTTTTTCACTGTTCCGGACAAGTGATCTTTCCCTTGGAGAGGGTGTTCATGAGGAGAGGAAGAGGTGAAGGGGGCAGGTAGCCCTTGTGAGGCACCGTAGAGGCAAGAGAGTTGTGAGGAAAAGGCAGGGATAAACTCTTTGGTGTTGGTGTTGTTGTTGTCGCTTCTTTCTTTTGATGGAGACACGTCTAAACACTGGGGATGGGGAAGAAGCGAACAAATGAGAGATGAACTTACACAGTCGGCATCTTGTTGGATTTGGAAAAGTGTCAAATTTTGTGTTGTTAAAGCGGCGACGGCTTGTCGCGATGGTGTCGAGGTGGTTAAGGGCGATTGTGAGTGTCGGATAAGTTGCTGAAAAGAGAGAAGAATTAAAGCGGCGAGAAGTCGAGTTTTGTGCACAAAATCACGCCAAGGTTGTCACATCCCGTTTAGGTTAACGCCAAACACACACTCTAAAGTGGCAAGGAGTTTGCTTGGCATCGTGTCACTTGAATTTATCTCTTATTGTCACAGACTATTATACTATACTACACATGTGAATGGCTGTACTGCATTTAATATATTAACCAAGGCTCCCATTCAAACCAGGACATATAGGCTACACATGGTGCTCAACCCCAGGATCATGCTGCCCCAGAACGCGGCGTTGTTGAGCACCCATCGTCCTCGAACCAGTTTGCTCCTTTGCAGTGCGACGATCGGCAGCTGGAGCATCATGGCAATGAAGCCGTAGCCTCGTAGTTTCTTGGTGATGCAGCCCATGATCAGCTCATGGCCGAGCGCGCTGACCAGGAAGGTGATGGTCATTGCCACGGGCGTCGAAAAGTACGTCTTGGACGAGAAGAAGACGTGACGGCGCAGGAAGTGGTAGACCGGGATGTTCCACTCGCGGCTGAATTCGAGCCAGTCGCTGGAATTCCACCAGTCCGAGTAGAAATGGCGGTCGGCGAAGCAAGTGATCTCGGCGAAGGCGCCCAGGATGTACTCCCAGATCACCAAGAAGACCAGGAGAAAGGTGATCATGAAGGGGAATAGCATCAGGCTGGTGGTCTCAGCCAAGATCAAGCCCTTTTCGGAGAGCGACGTGGTCAGACGAAGCCGGGCCGCCGAGTCGGCCAGGACCGGCATGATGAATTCCTCGCTGATGGTGATCATCAAAAAGATGCAGCCGAAGACGGCGAGGGTCTTGTAGAAGAGATCATCCCAGCGGATCTTGGGTGTCCGTGGGTACTCCAGCTCGTAGCAAAGAGTCGGGCAGAGGACGTAGTCGAGGTAATTGGACAGCCTGAGATTTTGAGGGTAGGTGACTTGTCCCAGGGGAGAGGTCAACTCGGTCGCCAAATCACGCCGGAGCTGGGCCAGATCCTGCTCGTCTTCCTTCTCTGACTCGGAACTCTCCGAGTCCATCTGGCGCAAGCGCGAGGGAGAGCCGGGATATTTGACGGCCTTGCCCCGGTCTGCCGTTTCTGGCTTGTCGAGGTCTCGCAGCCGGTGCTCGGTCTCGCTCAAGTGGCCGTTATAGAAGGCGTAGGAATGCATTTTCATCAGGAAGGTCAGGGTGTGCAGCGCGAAAAAGACCTGCGCCGTCCAGGTCCAGCTCAGCAAGAAGGGCCAGCTCACCCACAGTGCCAACCACAGTGCTTGGAACATGCCCTGTATCCAAATCCCCGCTCTTCGCCATCGCAGGACGCCGTTCGTGCCCCGGACCATTTTTTGGATGGGCAAACTCAACGCGGTGCTGGCCACCATGGCAGCATCGCTGAGGCCCAGTGAAATGACGTTTCGGGACAAGAGAGCATATACTTCGACTCGCAGTGGATGACCCGTCTCTTTGATGTTTCTCAGACACGTCGTGATCACCATGATGGTCAGACTGATCCAGAAGAGGACGAAGAAGCCCCGGAAGTCGCGGTACTCGCTCCGCGCGTCGAAGTAGGAAACCCGAGACACGTAGTCGATCGTATAGAACAAGCGGTGCTTCGCCTGGGCACGAGCCGCTTTTCGGGCGGTGGAAAGGGACTGTACAGAAGGCGGTGCATCTTGAGGAACGGGCGTGGACCGGCCACTATCATGTCAATTGTCAGCCATCCCATCACAGGTGTTTTTGGAAGATTGGAAGGAAGACATGCCTCGAGATGCTCGACGAAACATCAGCAAAGCCATTCAGACCCTGCCCAGAAGCACGTAAGGCCTCCGGCAACGCCCTGGTCGGTCGTGGCCGCAAGATGTTTCGCTCTTGACTCGTGGAACGAGGCAACGCCATGGCGGGGTACGTAATTCAAAAAGGAACCATAGAAGAGAAGAAGGAAAAAAGGTACACGATATGCTAATGATACTGCGCGACAGGAGGAAAGCAGGCATCCATGATTCCGGATGCAAAATCCAAGAGGAAACCTGAACTGGGGGTGCTAGAGGCAAGATTGGATTTCTCGGACACCCTGAATCCGAATGCGCAGACTGACCTTTTCGTGATTGTCCCTAATCTCTACCGAAAATGGAGCAATCAGCACTACTATTAACACCCTTGAGAACGGTCAGCCTCGGCGTCCGTCATGTTACGGGCCCACCGATTGGGTCACTGTCGCCAACCACCTGGTGTTTGTGGGCGAGGGTCCGCCGTTGACCTCTCGTGATAATAATTGTGACGCCAGCGTTGACTCCGTAGTATTCCTACTGGGTGGCGGGAAATGTTGTCAGGACTTCGACGTGGACATGAGATATGAATACGTATATCTATGCACAAAAACAACCACAGCCCCAATCAGAAGCTCGACACACCTCCAGCAGCAGCTGCTGCTTCTACCATTGTGGAATTCCTTTGGATCCAATTCCATCACAGGCAAGACGACAGAAGGCCTCTTCAGCCGCGATTTCTTGGTTGCCATCGTCCCTCCGAGCGGGATAGATCATCTGTCCAGCTCGTTGCTCTTCCTCCATGTGCTTGTGGAGCACATCTCTCACCAGATTCTTGAAGTAGATGACGCCCTTTTCGTTGTGTGGGTGCAGTGGTCCCTTGACATAGGTGTCCATGTTGAGGTTGCGCTGCACAGCGTTGCACAGCTCGAGATCCTCCCGTTCGACTTGCTTGAAGAAGGGATTCATGGTGTCAAAGTCTTGATCGGTGCATGATTTGTGCCGATAGACCTCATATTCCAGCTTCAGCGAAGTGGCGGATTTGGGAGCGAACCGAGTCAGATAAGTAATTCCATCGCTATAGGTCTCCGTGTCAGTGTATGTCAGGTGAGTGAGTGCGAGAGAGATCACGTCAACGCCCACTCACGAGATCAATATGGCAGCATTGGGGAAGAAGTAAGTGGGCTGCACTCCATACTTGTGTTCCACGCTGTCCAGAGGCTCCGAGTAGTGCTCAATCCACCCTTTGATGCCCTTGACGTCGTACGTATCGAGTTTCGTGGTTGCCAGAATGCCTGGATGTGCAGTCGTGCAGTGGTAACACTTGAGTACGTGGTCAGCTTGGAGTTGGTTGAACCGGGGACCGACCTGATCTACCTCGTTATAGTTGTCCACCATGGCCTTCCAATTGTACTCCCCCTCCAGCTCCCACGCGTGGTCGAATGTAAAGTCATCCATGGAGAAGTCTTTCTGGCGTGGCTGCTCGTCGACCTTCTGAAAATGGTCTTCCCAAGCAATCGTGGGCGGGTTAGCAGCATCGAGGTTGACCCAGACGAAGCCGAGTCTGTCAATGCGCAGATGGACACTATACAGAGAATATTGAGATTTGTCAAAGTTGTCCACCGTTTCGAAGCGCGGTGCCTTTGCGAGATTGCCCGAGAGGCCATAAGACCATCCTGATAGGCGTCGTCGATCAGCCGTCGATGTAGTTGCAAGAGAGGATATGCTGTGTGCTATGCACGACTGTCGGCTTACATACCGTGATACTTGCACGCCAAAATACTCGCTCTTCCTCCCTGACCACTCTGCTTTTCAATGACGGGATACGCTCTATGTCGACAAATATTCAGGAAAGCCTTCAGATCATTCTGTCGGTCGCGGATGACGAAGAACTTGTAGCCGGCAATCTCAAAATTCACAAATTCCCCGACCTCTCTGAATCGCAGCGAATGGGAAACACAGAGCCACTGTTTGGAAAATATCCCCCGTTTTTCCAGTTCGTACATCCCCTCTTCGCGGTACCAGGATGCCGGAAGGGTGTTGCTGGTCGGGCCATGAGTGCTCACGCCGTTCGTTGTGCCATTCATCCTGAAACACTTATCGAGCTCTGCTGGTCAAAGTTCAAGCGAAAGTGGTGTACATCATTTCTACCACAAACATGGGTTTTCCAGACATAGAATAGCAGCGGCGGTGGGTATCCCGGCCGTCTTGATCAATGCTATACCCGGGCCGTAGGTCGCTATCAGCTTGCATGATAGGCGAGTAGCTGCACCCAATGCCTCTCGGCTTGAGCTTTCCTGTGGTCGAAGGTTGGATCATCATCAAGGAAGTTCGCTTCAAATTGAGTAAAGCGTAAGGAGTATTCGGCCAATGACACATGCAGCGATTATCACTGGCCCGAGTGTTGGATGGGGAAGGAAGATCGGTTGGAGTACACAAAATATACAAACTGTGTTAGAAGTACACAGCACAAATCATCATTTTTTGAGGTCTGTCGAAGTTCCTGTGGGAATAGAAGCCCGATTTGGGAAAAGGGCATGCGTAGCAGAATAAACAACAAAAGGGGTCGGTAAGAAAGCAAGAAAAGGAGGCGGACCAAACTCACGAGGAGTCACTGTTGGACATTGCGCGGGAGGCGTTCCATCATTCATCGAGACCGATACTAGCAAATACGTCTCATTGGATGTCATCCTACCTCATCCAGTCGATATCAAGCTCCGCTTTGTATTCACCCTCGTCATCGATGCTGCTGAGAACAGTTTCTTCTCCCGTCCATGTGGTTGGCGTGCCGTGACGCATACTTGACAGGCTTCCCGGCTTCTCACTTCCGTTGACACTGCCCGCTCTCATCATCCGCGCAGACTCACTGGACTGATGTTCTTTCCACCATTTTCCGCTCTCTTCAATGACCTTCTCTTCCCACTGCGGGACGGGTCCAATGACTTCCACATCCTTCTGACCGGCCTTGAGCACATCCCGACAGGGCAAGGACATGGTCATGTTTTCCTCGTTGTGACCACCAGTCAAGTCTTTCAGCTTCTCTTCGCTGGCAGCATAGACCAGCCGTCCAATATTGCTCCAGTACAATGTCCCTGTACACATCGCGCATGGTTCCCAAGTCGACACCAGTGTGCACGCAGCAAGGTATTTCTGTGAGAAGTGGATGGTAGCTAGCCGGGCAAGCTCTGTCTCTGCATGTTGCACGTGAGAGATGGAAAAGTGTGTCAGTAGGACTGTGGTGTTGTCAGGGCCCAGAAGCAAGGCTGCAAAAGGCCGCTTCTCGTGCAGTGTGGTGGCAGTATTTTGAAGATCCAAACATGATTTCAGCGCAGCGTCAATTTGTTCTTGGGTCAAGGATGTGCGAGTCGGCTCGGATGTGGGAATGTTGGAGCGGGAGGTAGGTGGTATTTTGGGCGTGGAGGGGTTTGCTGGCGAGCTTGTTGATGATGCAGGCGTGAATGGAGGATTGGTGGTTACGATTGGATTAGCATTGTTTGTCCGACTGCTTTGAATCGAGGATCCCGAGGGTGTGATGGACGGCGCTGGAGCCGGAGGAGGTTTTCGATGGATAGAGCCCGGTGCTGGACTTTTGATATTGGCAAAGCCTGCGGTGGATTTGAGATATGACTGATAACTCATTGCGGAGAGGATGGAGAAGAACCCAACCTATGAGGAGAAGCTGACAGCTTAGGACAAATGTCGAGTGACATGTGCAGCCTCCAGAACGCTGTACCACAGGTCACTTTATTCGGCTCTTTATTGGAGAAGTGATTCTAAAGCACAAGTGCGCATTATTGGTAGCAAGAAGGCGGGTTTTTCATTATTATTATTATTTCAGAAGGAGCGTAGCGGTCCAGTGGAGTGCCCACGCCAATTGCGCCACATGTTTTCAACAGCCGAGAGAAACTGTGGAGGGGCCACGGGGCCCTGCTGGACTCGGTACGAAGAGCCTGTTGATTTGTTGGTTTAATAGGTGAACTGGCCTAAACAGACTGTTCCTGGCGCTAGCGATTCCGCCCTTGTGCCTCTGAGATTCGTCTCGTAATATCCCAAGGGTTGCGACCCTCAATTGGTCGACACTCGTCGTTGGAAGTGGTATTTTCCTGCGATGCTGCATCATTCTCAATCAGAAGACGAGAAGATCAATCTTGTGGTGTTCAGCTCCATATCTCTGGCGAATGCTGTCGTTATTGAGCAGGGCGAGCATGGGTCGAAAAATTTGGCCGTTGGTGAAGATACTGCTATTTTTCGCGTCTCGATAAGAACCATCCACCACAATCCGTTGTAGCCCCTCCGTCTTCATTGCACCTGCTTCCAGCAACTGATTCAACCTCCCCGGGGTGCCCATGGCAATCGTGACTTTGTACTGCCGTAGAAACTCCGCATTCATCTCGAGTTTCATGTGTTTCGCGATAAATTTACCGACTTTGCAATCTTCGGACTTGAACACTTGCAACTGTCGCGCGAGATCTGCTGTCCGCATGCCAGATATCGTCAACACAAGGGTATGTGGCGTCGCAACCTCATCGCAGGTAGAAAGAGCCTCTTTGCTGCCAGCTGAAAATCGCTCGAGAAAGTCTGGCAGGTTCTCAGCGACCCGGTCTCGGTCATAACTTGTGGTGTCGAGGAAAGCCTTCGTAGGCAGGTATCGGTCCTCCAGTTCGATGGTACTGCTCTCTGGGAACCACTTTAGTATGTACTTCGCGAAGTGATCAGAGAGAAGGGCAGGATCAGCCACGGCGGCTGGGGATAGTGACTCTTCCGATTTGTTGGCGGGAACATATCGTCTCGCCAAATGACGAGGGTTGCTATCATCGGACTCGCTGAGCTTTCGCTTCTCCCCACGCTCGCCGGTAGCCACTTGTTTCTGTCCCCTTTCGCTGGGATTCACTTGTTTCGTCCCACGCCCTCTTCGAGCCCAGTGTATTGTACGCGGCATCCTGGGATTGTAGTCGAGTCTCAAGAGACACAAGGATGGCTTCGGCTGCGCTGGAGATTCGCGGAGTGTGCCAAACAAGATAAAATAAAATAACTCTAGGCGTGGTGTCAATAAATAAAATAACTCTAGGCCTGGTGTCAATAAATAAAATAACTCTAGGCCTGGTGTCAATAAATAAAATAACTCGAGGCCTGGTGTCGATCTCCCCGCATTCCGCAGGCCTGAGCCTTGGCGGAATGTGGACTGAATAAACAACTATGTACGAGGTATATCCGGCCATTGGTGCTCCCCAAGCTCGCAATTGCGCGCATGATGGTATATGGACACGCTTCAATATCGGAATACACCCGACATGGCCTTGTCCGAGGGCCGTATTTCTGTCCAGACTCTGCCATCCTTACTAATCTACTTGGCGTCATTCTGCGATTAATGACACCATAATATAGATCGAGTATACTAACAAACATCTACATATAGACAGGTTATGTTCACGCCAGGCAACAAGTTCTGGATCTTCTTCTCAACGGAAAATCTAACTTCTTTTGAATATTCTCTTACGACATGGGCGGCTTCAGGGATAAGCTTGAAAATCAGAGGATCGTAGTGGTTGGAGGAAGCACAGGGTAAGCCAAAATATAATGTTCCATTGGATTGTCTAATAGCCCATAACTTGGTTTGATACATGGTAGGATTGGCTTCGGGGCCGCAGCAGCGCTTCTTGATGTCGGTGCCCACGTAACCATCATTTCATCCTCTCCAGCAAAATTGGAATCTGCATTGCAAAAGCTGGCGTCTCCAAATGCCAAGGGGATTGTGGCCGACGTTCGTGATGAGGCAGCCTTCACAGAAACGCTTCGATCACTGGCCCCTGTCGACCACCTTGTCTTCTCGGCCGTTGACAACATTATTCGAGGCAAGTTAGAGGACCAGAACCTCGATGATGCAAAGCATCTCTTTGGAGTAAAGTTCTGGGGCGCGGTCATCACTGGAAAAGGTACGCGCACACAGACAGTTGTCAAACACGAGCGCAACCGGTCACTCACCAGACATAGTACTTCTGAAGTACGATATTGTTCGAAGGGGAGGTTCTTTGACTCTCACATCAGGGACAGCGGGCATCAAGCCTGGCAAAAACGCTGCCATTGGCGCAGCCTTGAACGGCGGGGTCCTCTCTCTCACCAAAGGTCTCGCAGCAGACCTCGCAGAGAAGAAGATCCGCGTGAATACAGTGGTGCCGGGCTTGGTGAAAACGCCCCTGTGGGATAAGCAAGGCAAAACGCCTGCGGAACAGGAGGAAATCTTCAACAAAGCCAGCCAAAACCTCCCGGTAGGATTTGTTGCCACTCCTGAGCATATCGCTGAGGCGTACGTCTACGCCATTCGCGCAGATTACTCCACGGGGAAGTTGATAGAGATTGGTGAGCGCCCCAGGCCTATCTTCGTTGCTGTGCTGATTTGTTCCAGATGGCGGTGTCCTGCTATAGATCTGAAACCACACAGCAAATAGAATGGAATGCTCACTGAACAAACCAAGCTTCCTGCGAATCAAATTGTTTGAAAACCTACCAAAGATTCCTCCATTGCTGGATCACTGACGTGTCGGAGGCCCTGGAGTCTGTGACCATGAAGATTGCGCAAGCAGTGGTTCAGGATCGACTGCAACCAACACGTGTCTCCCCTGACTCAGTTGAAATTGAATTTCCCAGACAGTGGCTGCCATAAGCAACACGTACATGCTGCTAACGAGCTTCGACAGTGGGAAATAGCAACACCGACTCCGAGCCTCATTTGTTCGAGATAAGTGGTACTTCTGACCTTGTCGAACCAGGGCGACGGCTTAGTTTCGTGGACTGGTCTTCTTTCCTCATCCTCATCGTCAACCGAAGCAACATGGCAATGTCAACTCATCAGGAGCGAGGAGCAGCCTCACCTTCTCTACTCACCTGTCCCATTGGGACAACTTCCTGCTATACTTTCAACGGAGCATACTGTTATAATGCAACTGCTGGAGACATTTGCTGTGCCGACGGCAGCGGTGAGCAACCCTCCTTGCTTTGGAAGTGTCGTGACTGAGGATCTCTTGGTAGGAGTCTGTTCCGGTGGTTTCAAATGCGGTGTTGGTGTTGCCGCCAATCGATGCTGTCTACCGGTATGTCGATGCCATGGTCCCCTCGCCCAAAGCTCACCGAACCAGGGTCAAACCACAGAACAATGTGCACATAGTCCTGTCGTCGATGTGGCGACCACTGTGAATGCGATCCCAGACCCTACAGCAGCTTTACGCACCTCCAATTCCAGACAATCACGAGGCTGTATTTCGACCATCTGGACTGCACTGCTTTTCTGTGCTTTTCTCTTGCCGGCGTCCTGGGACGTCTGACAAACTTGATGTTTTGTGGCTTTTGGTGACGGCCTTCAAGGAGCCAGCAGGAAAGATCGGAGGCGTCAAGGAATTATTCAAGAAACAAACAATGATTTCGCAAATGGAATTGGGGCACCTGAAGGATAGTCGCAACGAGAGTTTTCAGATATTGGTTGGTACGACACCAGGCTATTGCAACGCTGTGCGACTGTTTCGAAGAAAGGTCTTGTTCACTACTCTTTCATGTCGCATCAGGAGGATGTTACAGTAGCAATAACAGTCGCAATTACAGTACGTTCGGAACAGGCTGCGGCCTCTGTTCGGCTTTGGCGGGGCTCCCTAGGCTAGTGAGGCCTTGGGGGGGCACCCAGACACCGCCGAGGGCTTCAACTTCGCCATTATTTTGAACCAGTATTCAAGCATTGATCCGACGACTAAAAATCTCGACCGAGGTCCGCACCAACTGGAATATCCGTGACAAGCAGCGATCGCTCTCTAGGTGACTTATCTGTTGGATACACTTGTTGAATGACTTCGGCCGATCGGCTTCTTGCCATGACCATGCACATATATGCCCACGGTGACTGCAAAAGGATCGGTCGCCGATAATTTATCCATCCCACGTGCATCGCCAAACAGTCACACGACGCAGTTGACTGCTCCATCGCATGGGTTGAAACGAACACCGGTCTCGACCCTCTGTTTTCACCATGCCGGCACTAGAAGAGACGGTGGCGGACGATGAACACCAAGACAGTTCTGCGATCGCCGAGGGTGAAGGCTCTGGTCGCCATCTGCGTGTCCCTCCAAACCCAGCCTCAGTGAAGATCAATGTCGAAGGCGCCTTCATTGTCGACGACGAGATGAACCTCCGTAATGGAAATGGAAATGGGAATGGCAATGCCAGTGAGCATGAACACGTCCACTGGGAACACAAGGACATCCGTCTCCCACATCACACCGATGTGGTGAGCCATGTTGCGCTCGATGTAGGTCACCTATACGACGTCTTCCTCCGGCTCCCACTGTCTGACTCTGACCCTAGATTGGCGGCTCTCTGGCGAAGCTGGTTTACTTTTCCCGCGAGCCGGGCTCAACGCACGGCGGTGGACGACTGAATTTCCTCAACTTCGAGACGGACCGGATCGATTTGTGCATTGATTTTATCCAAGAGCTAAAGAAGACGCAGTCCAAGCTCAATGGGTCGACGCCGCAGGAACTGTGTGTCATGGCAACAGGAGGTGGTGCATACAAGTTCTACAATCGGATGAAGGAGTTGCTCCACGTCGATGTCGTTCAAGAGGACGAAATGGAGTGTCTCATCATTGGTTAGGAAATTCCAGGAGAAGCTTTTGTACAAGATGGCTGACAGGGTTTCATACAGGGCTGGACTTCTTCATCACGGAAATCCCGCGGGAGGTGTTCACGTACAGTGAAGAGGAGCCGATGCAGTTCGCCGAGGCCCGTGCAGACATCTACCCATACCTCTTGGTCAATATTGGATCGGGTGTGTCGATGGTCAAGGTCTCGGGGCCTCGAGAATTTCAGCGCGTGGGTGGGACGTCTCTAGGGGGCGGCACATTTTGGGGGATCCTGTCCCTTCTCACCGGAGCGCGTACCTTTGACGAGATGCTCCGTCTGGCCGACATGGGCGACAACAGCGGCGTCGATATGCTGGTGGGTGATATTTACGGTGGAGGATACAGCAAAATTGGGCTTAAAAGCACCACTATTGCGAGCACGTTTGGAAAAGTGTTTCGCATGAAGCGGATGGCCGAAAGGCACGCGGAAGATGGCGAGGGCTTGTTCAACGGTGATGGTCATGGCGACGACCACGACATGTTACGAGGGTTCAAAACCGAAGACATGGCCAGAAGTTTACTGTACGCCATCTCGAACAACATTGGTCAGATCGCATACCTCCAGTCAGAGAAGCACAACCTCCAGCATATTTACTTTGGGGGGTCTTTCATCCGAGGCCATCCTCAGACGATGAACACCCTTTCCTACGCCATCAAATTCTGGTCCAAAGGCGAGAAGCAAGCTTACTTCCTGCGGCACGAAGGATACCTCGGCGCTGTGGGAGCATTCCTCAAGCGACAACCGAAGAACTGGGGTCGACGCAACAGTTTCGAGGATATCAGACTCGGTAAAGTGTTGTCGAGGGAATAGTGTGGATGTTCATGTTTCGACAAAAGCTCTTACTTTGGACGGCATGCGCCTGCTTCGTTCGAAAGGTCCCATTGACTTGGATCATCGGACCAAGAGCCTGTCTAGACCTTCAACATCCGGGGTATTTGGGAATGATCCGGACGGAGGTTCTGCGGCGCAATAAGTGTCTTTGTTCCGCCAACAGCGGATTATAAACGGGCAACAGCTTGCCAGATACCAGAACATACATGCGGCAAGTAAGGGCTACCTCGCAGGCCTGGTCTTGTGCCAGGCTGGAGATCAGATGTCCCAACCACAGGATAACTAGCTCCCCAGAAGGTTGTCCATTGCATCACTATTGCCTGGAATGGACTTTTCGACAGAACCTTTTGGTGAGGCTGGAGGAAGTTTCCATGCGGGAGAAACTCTTTAATGGGCCGGAAGTGACGCAACACAGCACATTTATTACCTCGTACATAGCGGGAAGTTCCAGCAATGTCTCTATTTCGTCCTTCAGCAGCATAATCGAAAGAAGACGCACAAGAAGTCACGGCAAGGAAATCCCGTAGGGAACCTCCAATGCTCCAGCCATTACTGCATGGTCATTCTCTATCAGGAGGGCTAGCAGCAGAAGCACGAATCACAAGCCTGGAGATGATAGTGGTTGCCAGCAGTGCGCGGCAGCAATAACCAAGGAAAATTCTCCGGGGGTGGATGCTCCCTCAATAGGCGATGCCGGTTGGTTGCCCCTCGAGAGTCGCGCCCCCTTTGGTGCCCCTCGGATGGTGCCTGACGTCAAATGGTTTTGCTCGCTCTCACCCCGATGGTGCCTTGTGCCTCTCTCATCCGGCTTTCGCATGAGACTTGCCTGTCAACAATAATATGGCGGTTATCCAGCCTCCCTCCGCTCGTTTATATCTTACGTTCGCTCTTTTCTGCTGTCGCACTTGACGGCTCCCGTGTCTGTGAGGTCAATACTTTCTCTTCAACCTTTTGTTGTTTCTGGCCCCGTCGTTCACCCAACTACCACCCCCATCAAACCCTTGTTCGGTCATCTGCCGCGAAACACTCGAGCAAGCGGATGGGTTCGGCATTGCGAGATACGACAAGCAAGCCGTAGACAACACCACAACTGCTTCATTTTCAGTTCACAGTCATCAAGGATTTGTTCGCAAGGGCGTTCTCGGGCAATTTGCCGCCTCTCAATGGTCTGCGCCCCTCCTCCACCGAATGCTGCGACTTTCAATTGACGCATTGACAGGCTCCATTCGTGTCGCTCGCATCTGCTCTCTTTCCCGCAACCCCCGCTCTCGTACCTCGTCAGGCTACAACGACCGTTATAACGCAACCCTCGACGTCGTGTTCAGGACAATACTCGGGGGGAACCCTCGCGGGCGCCATTATCGGGACTTTCTTTGGGACGCTTCTATTGATGTTTCTTTTCAATTCACTACAAGCGGGAAATTTCGGCAATCGACGTGAAGAAGTTATCGTGGAGCGGAAGCGAAGGCGCAGAAGTCGAAGTGGCAGCTCGTCGGGAGTGCGGCGCCCGAGCAGAGTCTACTCTGGATAGGAACGAGTTCGAAGTGTCACGGGGTTTCAAGATGAGGAGACAGGCGGGACACGACTTGTACGATAAACGATCGTGGAATGATGGCGGATTGAGTGACACGACTCTAGGGACACGTTTGCATCGCATCTGATGGGTTCTGGGTTTACGACGAAGTTGATGGAGACCGGAGCTATGAGTTTCTGGGCGAAGGAGTTGCGATGCGAATCTAGCGAAACACCTTTCCATCATCTGTACGAAGGGACTGAGATGCTCGGAGTGCAGCCGTATGTGCGATGGTGCTATACGGCAGGAATCCTGTTGACTTTACTCAGTTACGACGGGTTTCTGGACATGATGATCGAAGGAACGGTGCTTTAAACGTGCAGACTATGAGATGATATTCTCTATTTCATTGAGGCAGATGGCCGAGTACTTCGTACAGTCTGCATTGCTATGTGTTCGTAAGGCGGCTGTTGGAAGAATCCTTCCCGGTGGCTGTTTGTTTACTTCGTGCCCCGTTGTGCCCATATTCCGGACTCGCTTGACCTGCTCCTCCCGTCACACCGGTCTGGTCATCTGCCCGGCTGCGGACTTCCACCGTGCCCAGTTTCCAGCCTTTGAAGCTGTTCATGTGAGTGTGTCTAGGGAATCTTCGTTCTTCTCAGCAGTTGTGTGTTTCGGAAGGGTTTTGTATCAAGACTGTCTCCCACAAAGCATTCCGAGATCGACCGTCAACTTCCTGCTGTAGCACAAGTAGTGAGACTCACCCGCAGACACGCGAGCACGGCGACATGGCTGTCAAGGCAGTGATACCATTCCTTGTGGGAATGATGCTGCTCACGGGGTGCGCCAACACCCTTCTGACCAAGTTTCAAGACCAACAATGTGTACGGGGCTGCGAGAGCAAGAATCCAAAGGACCACAAGACATTTGAACAACCGGTCATCCAAACGCAAGTTCCACACTCCGGACAGATCGAGTCGGTGATTGCTAACCTGCACAGAGTCCAAATGTTTATTGGTGAGATGGGATGTTGGGTGGTGATGTTGGGCTTCTATCTGCATCGCTACATCTCCCTGCGCTCGAAAGATGCACCGCTCCTCCACCGATCCGTCGACGCCGAGGAAGAACAGGACGAGGAGCAGGAGGAGGATGATGATACCGTTCGACCCGCTACTTCACGCGATGCAACGGACCCAGCCCTGAAACCACTTCTTCCAAATGCGGACGACCGAGCTCATCTGGAGGGATGGAAGGTGGTTCTGTTGGGCCTCCCAGCATGCTGCGATATCGCCGGCACGACCTTGATGAACGTCGGATTGCTGTTTGTGGCGGCCTCTATATACCAGATGACCCGAGGGGCGCTGGTTCTGTTTGTCGGACTATTCAGTGTCCTGTTCTTGAAGAGAAAGCTCTACCTGTACCATTGGGTTTCCCTCGTTATTGTGGTTCTGGGCGTTGCCTTGGTCGGATTAGCTGGGGCCATTTCCTCTGGGGACAAGAACTCTTCTGCACCCAAGGAGGGTAGCGCCGAACTGGTTCGGCACACGATCCTTGCTGCGAGAGAGGTTATCGTGAGTGCGGTGGACCCAAGCGTTCTACGCACTGTCCTGGGTATTTTCCTCATCGCCTTCGCCCAAATCTTCACCGCCACACAGTTCTGCCTCGAGGAATGGATTCTGGAACACTACGCCCTTGAACCACTGAAGGTTGTCGCTTGGGAGGGCTTTTTTGGGTTTATCGTCACCGTTGCGATTCAGGTCATTCTGCATTTGGCGGTCGGCATCACAAAAGCTGGCAAGTACGGATACTTTGATGCCGAGGAAGGCTATCGTCAAGTGTTCAACAACCGTGCAATCGGCATTTCAAGTCTTGCGATCATGGTCTCCATTGGCGGGTTCAACTTCTTCGGCCTCTCAGTCACTCGAAGTATCTCCGCCACCTCCCGATCTATAATTGACACCTGTCGAACGCTCTTCATTTGGATTGTCTCGCTCGGGCTGGGATGGGAGTCCTTCAAATGGCTTCAGGTGGCTGGGTTTGCCTTGGTGAGTTCACAAACCGTCCACTTCAAGCCGGGAAAGTGCTGACAGCTGCTACAGCTAGTGTATGGGACATTTATGTTTAACGACCTTGTCAGGCCGCCGATCAAAGCCCTGCTGCCTCAAAGGCGAGAGGGCGAACGCGAGGAACTTTTGCCAGAAGACCCAGTGGAACATATATAGAGTGTGGCCCATCCGAGAAGCGTGTTGGTCCCCCTTCACATCGATGTATCTTTCCCCAGATCATAACGGATCGATGCACTGGACTTTTGTGTATCTTTTGACAAGGCCATCTCTCATCATACAGCTGCGCAGCAATCTGCTGCGGTCCCTCTCGGTATAGATGGGTGCCCCGAGATGAGCCTTTTAATGTCTTGTCAAACGACAGAGCATCAGCCTTCTCGTCTCGGACCGGATCCGAGTAATCAGAAAGCGAGTCTCCTGGCAATAGCTTCCCGTTCACTACCTGGAGAATGGCAATTTCCGAGTGACAGCTCTCGGCGGTGGATTTGGAAACTTGGTGTCCAGATTTTGTACCCCTTCGCCGGTGCTGTCATGTAAGGCATGACAATTAAAAGGCTGCGTTTGCCCTTTCGAATTTCAATGTCATGCCATGCAGTGTGACAAACCTCCTGCCATTCACACGTCTGCCATTGTCGTGGTGTGCTCCCTGGAGCCGGGTCAAAGCAAGGGATGAATCGCTGCACTTCCAAGGTGGCCGGGCCAGACTTTCTGCAAGGGCGAACGTTTCTGTGCGACGCAGGATCTGATACTCGACGATCATGTAAGGGTGAGGTGCAAGAACCGGCAGCTCGCGTCTCGCAGACGCATCGACCGCCATTGGCAGTTGGATTTGCAACACGCGTAGAAGGGAGCAACTGTCTTTCCCCTGAATATATGTCTCATCTTATCCTTCGAGGAAGAGCCACTCCCACCGTCTACTTATTCGAGCTCGCACAGACATTATGGAACAATCGATCTCTCCTCAGGCTCTCGACGCATCGACTCAATATCGAGGTCAACCCTCATCGCTCAGTTCCACCCACTGTTTGAGGGAGGGACAGGTGACACCTCCCCCAACGCCTGTCCAGGCTTCTTCTCATAACGCATCACGATCGCAACTGTCACGGCTGCTCCGCCGGTACAAGCCCGCTAAATTGGAGCAGAGCAGATTACTTCGACCCAGGCTCCGAATCGCCACTACATATCCCTACGTGCCAACCCCAGAGACACCCTTTCCTTCACTGCTGCCCGAATCTCCTTCTGTTTGGGACGACGATTGCCCTCTCACGACATTGCCTTCTCCCGGGCTGCGCAGGATGTCGGCGAGCTATCACGACCTGCGTGCTCTGGCTCGGAAGCAGGTCCCTTCTCGCCCAGTCAGCCCTTTACTCCCAAGCCCTATTGTAGGAGCGCCTCAGAAAGAAAGCCAACCATATTTTCGATTCCACAACCCGCGAGAGCGTTTGCCCACGCCGGTTCTGAGCGACGATTCGTTAGACAGCCTGCATATTTTGTCGTACTACTGTGACGAGCAAGACCAAGCAAGCCACTCGGGACATGGGACGCTCGAAGACGACAATCTCAGCACCGCGTCGGAGTCCACGCCGGTCACTCCGCGTGATGACGACGAGTATCGGGGGACTTTGTGTTCGGACGAGTCTGGGTGGTTGGCCAACACCACATCGCACCAAGAGCGAATGCGACGGTTTAAAGCTCGCTATTATCAAGTCGTCCAGCATCCTTGCACGTCTGTTGACACAGGAGACAACGAGGATGGAGTGGTACACATTCCTACGCTTTTCTTTCAGCTCTCCGAGTTCACGCACTAACTGCATCTCAGATGATCGCCACAGTTCTTGTTGGACCGGGCAAGCCGAGACTCGTTCACATTCAGCGCCCTCCCTCGAGTTCATCGAGGACCGAGTCGCCCGTTGAAGGCACGTGTGCTCCGTCGACACCACAGAAAATCCCTCTTGAAGTCTCCGCGTTCAGCCCGTACGACACTCCTTGTGATGTGCCTCAAGACGAATCCCACAGTTCAGACAGCATCTGTGGTCGCATCTCTGAAGCCTCGCCTCCCTTGCCTGGGTTCGTTTCCCAGCCTACGACCTTTGCAATGCGCAGCAGGACCGGCGGACCGAAAATCCGTGAGTGCGATGGCGTTGACAAACGTCTCCGTAAATTGACCGATCCATTTATGACGTCGCCGCGGAGGACGCGAAGCGACCGATCGTTCCGCACGCTCGAGAAGCGGTGGGCGGTTTGGGACACATTGGACGTGGACTCGCCCTCCGTCTCCGAACCGTCGCCGTCCACCAAGAGCGCGAAATGGTCCCGGTGCCGCAAGTTGGAGAGGGCTCTCAACGCGGTCACGGTCGCCATCGAGGAGTTCCCCGACGGCATGCTCTGTCTCGACTCGCCGGCAGTGATGGAGCTGCGGAACCCCCACATCTCAGATTCCACCTACATCGAGACGCTGCGCCGCATCTTTCCCGCGGCGTCCTCGCTGCTCATTTCGGCCATTACGGCCTGGGTCATCGTCGACCTCCAGTTCTCGCGCCTGAAAGACCAAATCGTGCCCATGGAGCGCTACTGGGCCCAGGCCGCCGCCTCCAACGAGAGCCTGCACCGCATCCCCGAGAAGGCGCGAGAAATGCTGGGCATCGGATTCCCGGAAGAGACGTCCCTCCGCCTCAACGAGTATGCGCTGAGAAAGAGGGTGATGGCCATGCAGGCGGGGATCGGTGTCATCGGGCAAAGGCTGATTGAAGGGCTGAGAGGGTCGTGGGACGAGGATATCTGGCGATCCCTGAAGGTCTTGGTGGAGGTCATCGAGGCGAGTCCGCCGCGGTGGCCATGATGGCTGGCAGGGCAGATGTTTATCGAAGATTTCTTCACTGAGCTTGTGTGTCGATACCAGTGATGCAGCGAATTCATTTCATTTCATTCTTGACGATAGATATCCCACAGTCTTGTTTTTCTTTTCCTCTGTTTCCCTTTTTCTTTCTTTCTTTCTTTTGTCCCCCCCCCTTTTTTTTTGGCTCTTACCTCAATGCCAACCGAACATTCAACCCGGTCTGATTCAACACCCAGGCATTACTGACCTCCCACTCCCGGCCGGGGTCGTCCAGCTCGACGTGGAACTTCATCAGCAGCGCCGGCACCAGCTTGTGCAGCTCGAGCATAGCGATGTTCTTGCCCAGACACGACCTCTTGCCGGCGCCGAACGCGAGGAGGCTGTGCTCCATGTTCTTGGTCGCCTGTTCCTGCGCGCTCAGCCACCGCGCGGGGTTCCAGGTCTCGGCGTCGGCGCCGAACACGCGCGTGCTGCGGTGGAAGACCCACGGGTTGATGCCCACCACCGTGCCCGCGGGGAGAAACGTCTGTGAGCCGTCGTCGTGGTGCAACGTCAACCCGTCCTTCGGCACGACGCGCTCGAGCGGCAACGATAGCGCTGGGTTCATGCGCAGGCCCTCCTTCACCACGGCGCACAGATACGGCAGTCCGTGCTGGGTCTCGGTCCAGGTCGGGGACGGGCGCGAGATTTTTCGCGCCGCGGCCGCCGCGTCCAGCTCCGCAGTCAACCGCGCCAGCGACGCCGGGTTCTTGAGCAGGTGGTAGAAGATGGCCCGGAGGGTCGAGGCGATCGTGTCGCTGCCCGCGTTGATGTTCATCTGTTGAGAATTTCACAGAGAGGGTTAGTCGCGGGGAGGGAGAGAAAGAGAAAGAGAAGCGATGATGAGGATGGTTGGAGGGGAAGGAAAGGAGCAAAAGAAGAAGGGGTGTTTCGGGAGTGTTTTGTGTGAGTAAGTGTAGGTGATCAACTTACAAACAAGTTCGACAGAATCTGAGCGTCGGTCAACGTCTCCTCTTCATCTCCATTTCCCTTTTCGTCGTCGGCGGTGGTAGTGGTGCCCTCTTTCCTCCTGGTCTTCAAGAACCGGCTGAGGAAGTCGGGTCTGTTCAACAACTCCTCATCATCATCGTCCGCCTTGGTGTCCTCCAACTGTCCCAACCGCTCCTTGAGCAGCCTCTGCGCGAACAACAGGATGGGCGAACTGACGCTCTTGCGGAAATACTTGACGTACAGGGGGTTCTTGCCCAGCACGGCCTCGTCCAGCCAGGGCATCTGGCCGAGCACGCTGAAGTAGGAGAAGTTGGCGCCGATGGCGGCGATGATGTTGTCCACGTCGGTGCCCGACTCGATGAACCCCAGGCGCCGGCTGAAGGTCAGCTCGCCGATCACGTCGAAGGCGAAGAACTGCAGGTAGCGGCCCAGGTCGAGCACGCGTCCGGGCCTCGAATTATCCCTCTTGTTCGGAGGTGATGATGACGAGAACGACGCAAATTCCTGCTCCAGCGTCTGCAGGAACACGTCCGTCGTGCGGTCCACGAGCTCCTCGTACTCGACCAGCGTGCTCAGCGAGTATGCGTGGGCGATCATCCGCTTCGACCGGGCGTGCTGACTCTCGTCGGTCATGGCCACCAGGCTGGCGGCGCGTCGCCCGTTGACGATGTTCTGGAAGCAGCTGTAGAAGTCGGATTTCACCAAACCCTTGCCGATGCCGTAGATCTGGGGGATGTAGTTCTGCGACCCCGTCACGGAGACGCACGTGGGCCCCAGGCGGACGAGGTTCCCGTACCGCTTGTGCAGGGCGAGGTGTTGTTCGTGGGCATGGCGGTTGTACACAAGCAGGAGACGGTAGAGGTTCGTGAGACGGGCTGCGAAGGGCCCAGGGATGGAGGACAGAGAAAAGTAGTCTTTGAACAGGTATATGATCAAGAAGATGGGGGCAGCGTAGATCAGGAGGGGAAGTAGCATGGCTGATGGATTGGCTCCTGGAAAGGTTTACGGCGGACGGGTTGAACGTACAGCAGTAAACTGAACTCCAAAAGTCAGCAGCAACACATCTCGAGTGCTAGCTAGCTTGTTACAACTAGTTCTTTACCGGCAAAGATAGATATAATAACTCGAGAGCTGGGAGAGTGAGTGAGTGACCGTGGAAACTTTTCGCGGTCCAGGTCGATGTCCTCGGCCTTCTTCCGCTCGGACAAGAAGTATGGGAGGCAAACAGGCCAAGTCACTCAGGAACAGCGCGACAACTGATCTAGAAGAAAGAGTCTTGTTGGAGATTCTTTTTTTAGGGTGGAAGCTTGCGGGTTGCAACTATTGTTTCGGGGCGGAACAGTTTCCGTGCCGGCGACTCGAGGTCGCCGCCCACATTCGGTCCATCACAACATTTACGACGCATGGGTGGTCGATGTCTGGACGAGATTCCCTGTGATCGCTGCCGTGGCATCCGCAAAGCTTTCAGATGTCGAAGCTCAGTTCGAGTTGAGAATAGCTTTCGCCTTGTCGTCAGACCGTGGGCGAAGACATTTACCACGTGTATAGCGGATGTATTTCGGCTGACATTGTAGGTGCAATCCTTCTGCCCGCACAAGAGCATACAATGAAGTATTCCCGCACTTCACGGCTCCGTCCAGTCGACCTGTTCCGTCACTGGTGCGCCGCCCCCATCCTTGGTGTACGAGATTTTCAAACGTAGACGGAGTTTTGGGGGAAGGGCCTAATCGAGCCATCAGTTAGAGAGATCATGAGATAGATTACGAAAAAACTTACCCCTGTTGCCGCAACAACCTTCATGCCCTGAGTAGCCTCGTCACCGGGTCCCAGTGTACTTTTATTGATCGCTTGCAAGGTCAACTTTTGACTCTTCGGAACTGCAGCCTGCAAGCCGACATTCGACATTTGTTCGAAAGCGGAAGTATTTTTGAACCTTGCAATGGCTTGTAATGCGGAACCACTTCTGGATACTTGAATCGCAACGGACAGACCGTTCTTGTTGTAGGCAGGGTGTAATGCTGGTCCTCCCGGCGCAGGGCTGGCGGGTTTGGGGGTTCCATTGCCGAACAGGTCCATGATGGCATTCGCGTTGGCGGATGGTGCAGGGCTTTTTGTTTGTGGTGGGGGACTTGAAACCGAGCTGCCGCCTCCGAGGATATCTGCTAACAGATCTGCTGTCTGTTGTTGGCCGTTCAGTGTGGCGCTGGTGTCCACAGCAGGCACGTCCGATCCGCCCATGAGATCAAGAAGCATGTCGGATTCTGTCGTCTTGGCCACTTTGACATTTGTTTTCGCTTTCAGAGTCTTTCTCTTGTCCTTCGCAGGCGTGGTGGACTGGCCGAGAACCCGCTGCTCCTCTTTGATTTCTGGTGGCGGCATTTTCTCCAGCACACCTCTTCGGATCGAGTCGTAGCCGAACATGTTGCTATATTCAACGGCCCTCTGCTGGATCTCTATGCTCAGATCGGCTGTTCTGGAATTCATGAGGCGCCGTATCCGTTCAATTTGTGACTGATCAGACATCCTCGTCGTCAGCTTCATGGCAGAAGTGATGATGTATTCGGTCACCACTTGATTCGCATATGTCGAGTTGAGTATTGTCGTGTACAGGTCGACAATGTCGGCTTCCTTGATTTCCTTGACTAGCTCTTCCTCTTCATATGATCCACCACGAAGGAGCGCGTCGCCGTATTCGCCAATGACCCAAACAGCAGCCAGAGTCAGAGCCTCTTGTGTGATGTCGGATTTCAGAGCCGCGTACAACTTCTGAACTGCATAAGTTTGCTGATCGGGCGAGGTGGCGATGAGGCGAATGAAAGACGACAGGATCTGTTCCTTGACGTAGTTTCCGGCCAGCTTGACAACCCGCAGCATCGTATCGATATGCCAACGTTTGTTAGGGGCGAATCGATCTGCCGCAATGCCAATCTGCGTCGTCATCACGGGTTTGAACTCGGTATCGGCGACTTCCAGAAAAGCCAGCAATTCTCGTATGAGCACCCGCACATTATCTTCCCGAATCAAGGTGAAACTGAGATCCAACGCCCGTCGTCGGATGGAGATGTCCGGATCTCTCAGGCATTCCAGTATCGTATTTCGATGCCGTTGAACAGCGTTGGGCTCAATGGCAACCACCTTAATCAACGTGTTGAGGGCGACATATCGAATGTTGTTGTCCTTGTTGGCCAAGAATTTGCCTAGGATGTTGACGCCCAGCACCCTCAGACCTGAATCGGCTTCAATGTCTAAGATAGTGAGGACCGCCTCATACAGTATGGCATTCCCAACATTCTTGGAGGACTCGGTGTTGGTGGCGACTTGTGCCAGAATATCGTTGATCTGCTCGCTGGTCGCCGGGTCCCCCCGCCCCAGCACTCGGAAAAGACGCAGGATCTTGACCTGTAGGAACGGGTCTGTGATCCCGGAAACGTCATGTTCAGGCGTGTATCCCGAGCTCGTCAGACTCTTCAAGGTGCGGACCAAGTGTGGAACTACTGGCCGGAACATTTCGACTATGCCTTCTTCACCACCCTCTGCCTCATCCGCCTCGCACATGCTGGTTATCAGGGTCAATCCACATAGGAGAACTCCATGGTTTCTATCCTGTAACAGCACCTTGGCCTTTTCGAGGAAATGTTCTTGCAGGTCTGGGACTTTCCGGCATATTCGCATGGCGCACAGCGCGGCCTTTCGACGTATGTAGGGGTTAGCGGTAGATATCAGCGTCTCGATTTCGGGAAACAAGTCCCTCGACATTTCGATCGAGGCAATGTTGCCCAAGGTGCAGAGAGCCAGCCCAACGACATATTGGTTCGAGTGATTGAGGTCGCTATGGATGATCAGCAAGACTTCTGCGAGGAGCAACGTGCGCACACATACTTTTTCAACGAGTTCGTAACCAAGGTGAGGACTTCTTGATTCTCGTCTAAGAGCAGCATCGTCCCCAGATATCCCAGTCTTTTGTCTGCAAACCTGGGAGAGGCCAAGAGTTTCAGGCACTCTATCTGGCCGAAATGTGTGCGCTCCCCCAGCGTGAACAGGTATAACAACTTGGCGACATTATTCCTCCTACTTCATGTCAGAAACGTCCCCTTCTCATAGAGCGATTGTAATGAGCGACCTGATGTTGGAGTCTCCGCTCTCCTCTCGAAAGCTGGCTCGGATTGCGGCACTTTCTTTTTGGACGACGGCACGCTCGTCTGCGATGGTCTTGGAGGCTCGCACGTTGCGGATGAATTGCTTGACTTGAATACATATCAGTATGCCTCGAGCAGCGCAGACAGTACAGAGGACGACTGACGGGAAGTCATGGTGGCCTGCTGACCCAGAGTTGGGGGTCGTCCAACGAAGTTCAAACTTTCATGGATTCTGGCACGGTCGTATTGACCCTCTGGGTAGACTTTGGACTGAGCCGGCGAGGGAGGATGGTAAGTATACTGGGATGTCTGCGACCGTTGACAATGCCAAAGCCTTTAATGTCATTTCAGGAACAACTCATGCATGCGCAGAAGTGTCCTTCAATGGCGGCCAATCGGGACCCGTGTCATGCCAAGAACCGGAGCTAACCTGCCCCTTGGGTATCTCCGGATGGAGGACACACATATTACAGAGAAATGTATGCTATATCAACGACACCATTAAAGTTGGGAAGCAATGCAGCGTTGAGCTTCTCTACTCGGTCAACGCTCGTTTCCTATCCTTCTTGATCTTCCTCCGCCAACCTGTCACGTCCTTGCCACTCTCGACATCGCGAAGAGCCTCCATTCGCGCCTCGGCCACATCCTTCAAGGTCCGGCCTCTCACAACACGCGTCTCGATGTTCACTCCTTCTTCGGTCCATTCTTCCATCTTACTGCCAATGTACTCTTCAATGGCGAGAACCAGAGAGACATCTCTCTGTCCAACAAATGTGATGCTCGTACCTTTCCTACCCGCTCTGGCTGTACGTCCAACTCGATGAACGTAATCTACCGGATTTCGGGGGACGTCAAAGTTGACCACGAAGTTGACCTCGGGAATATCGAGACCTCTTGATGCCACGTCTGTACTTATGAGAATCCGCGACTTCTGAGCGCGAAAGTCGGACAGATTCCTGTTTCGCTGGATCTGGGGGAGTTCGGAATGGAGTGCCGTCACGGGATGGGAGAGTTGGAGGAGGGTACGGTGAAGAATATCAGCGGTGCTGGTACGGTTCACAAAGACCATGATGCTAGGCTCAGGGACCTTCGTGAACGAAGGAACAGACAGAAGCACGTGAAGAAAGGCGTCCTTATGAGTCATGGGAATCTGGAGGTATGTTTGTGTGAGCGACGCCGGGACAAGGCTGGAGGAAAGAGAGGCATCCGAGAGGTCTGCAATTTCCGAGACGAAAACAGGAGGCCGGTCTGGCGGGCGTGGTAATTCCTTCAGTGCTCGAACTTCTGGCGTTATTGTCGCGGTAAAGAGCAGGGTTAACCGTGCCGAAGGTGGAGGGAGGGCAGATAGGCAGGTGTTGAGATCTGGAAGCATGGAGCCTGGTCCAGAGGCAAGCAGGCGGTCGGCTTCGTCGAGAACCATCACTCTCGCGCGAGATAGCCCGATGATGGTTTCTTTGCCCGAGCTGAGAATGTGGTCTGCTAGTCTTCCTGGTGTTGCCACGACGATGTGTGGTCGTTTGGCGAGAGCGACCGCTTGGGGTCGCATATCACTTCCTCCTGTTATCAATACCGTCTTGAGATTCTGCGGCGCTCCTAGAGCTTGAAACTGCTCGTAAATCTGCAGAGCCAGCTCCCTCGTTGGTGTGAGGATGACGGCGTAGATACCGAATGGATCCTCTGCCCATTTTTGTAATATAGGGACCGCAAAGGCCACCGTTTTTCCAGTACCCGTTCTCGAGCCTCCAATACAATCTCTTCCCTTGAGAATTTCAGGTATGCAGGTGCGTTGAATCTCGGTAGGATGTGATATGGCCATCGCAGCCAGGGAATGTATCAGCCAGGGTGCCACAGCAAGCGACTGGAAGCTACCAGAGGTTGCAGGGACAGAAGGTGGTGCCGCCGACAGTGATCCATTTTCCTGTGGAGGTATGCTCTTTTTCACTCTGGATATTGGAGCAGGCTGGATCACAGTGCTTGGAGTACTACCACTCTCTTGTGAGATGCGTCTGCGCTTTGGAGGAGGATTTCGAAACTCGTCTGCGCTGCTAGAATCGTCGGTCGCAGAAGCCATGGCGGAGGGCATAGCGAAGTGCCTGTTCGAAATAATTTTCGTGGAAGCGGAGAAGCAGATGTCATTCATGGCAGGATTTCCTGTTTGGGATTAGCGTGCATGTGACACTCGTATTCGGCCAGAAACGCTGCAAAAGGTTGAAGCCTCTCCTGAGACAGGCGATATGTACGAGGAACATAGTCCTCATCCCCCACTACAGCGTCATGATGGCCCCTAAGTGTGGCTGTTAACCTGCCGAGAGGGGAATATGCTTCCAAGAGTAGAGAGGCTGGACAGCATTATCACTGATGCCTGTCGGACTTTTGCCGGACTGCTTCGAAGAGCTGAGCTTGGAGCTTTCCATCTATCAAGTGGGCTATGCTCAGGCAGAAATGCAATCTTCGAGACATGCAATCATACGTCGAGCTTCGGATATGATTACTGACATTGAGCTTTCCCCCGGGAGGTTTTCGGGGCGGAAACTCAACCATAGCCTCCTTTTCCCCCCACAATGCAGCCACTTACGAGCCAAATGCATTCTCCACTAGTCGCAGGAAATACTGTCGCCTGGAACCCAGGGCGAAGAAACAATTTTTTATGTGCAGAGTTATCAAGGCGGATGTTTCCGACAAGTGTGATCTGGAGAACGTGCCGCTTCTTGGCCGATTCTAGAGCACTGTTCTCCAGCTATGGGCAAAGGAAAGAAGCTCGCTCGCTCCCCTCCAGCCTTACCTCCGCCTTTATACATTCCAAACAGTCCTATTCAAACAGACAATGCTGCTGTTGCTGACGAACCTGATTCTCCGCTCCCTGATGCCTTGTTGGATGATACCACCAGCATTCTCGACGACGGGCGCGTCTCTCTCAACCTCGACTCAAAACTTGCCCAGGTCTTTGCGAAACTTATTGAGGCCTCCGAGGATGAAGAAGATGGCTTTGAACCCCCACCGGCATACTCAACCCTCTCGGAAATAGACTCCTGGAAACTGCCTCTGAATGTTGTGATCCAGATTGTCGGTAGTCGTGGGGATGTTCAGCCATTTGTTGCCCTCGGGCAAGAGCTGCAGCGTCATGGGCATAGAGTGCGTCTGGCAACTCACGGCGTCTTCAGGGAGTTTGTTGAGGGTGCAGGGCTGGAGTTCTACTCGGTGGGAGGCGACCCTGCTGAACTGATGGCGGTACTGTGGTGTGATCACACTTGCTTGACCTTGGGCTAATTGATTGTCTAGTACATGGTCAAGAATCCCGGCCTGCTTCCTCGCATGAAGGCTCTCCGAGAAGGAGATGTGAGCAAGAATAGGCAGATGATTCGAGAGATCCTCGAAGGTTGTTGGGCTTCATGCATTTTACCTACAGATAGCGGAGATCCATTCGTTGCCAACGCCATCATCGCCAACCCTCCATCTTTTGCCCACATTCATTGTGCTCAAGCACTAGGGATTCCGCTCCACATCATGTTCACCATGCCATGGAGCCCGACTCGTGCATTCCCCCACCCTCTCGCGAACATCAGGAACAGCAGCACCGATCCGAAGCTAGCAAACTACATCTCCTACGGCATGGTCCAATTATTGACCTGGAATGGGTAAGACAGGCCTGCTCTCTCGACGATGCTCTGCTAATTGCCTCCGAGGATCGCCGACATTGTACAGAGTTGGAGAAAATCAATTGACCTGGAACCCATCCCAAGGTCTGAAGCTCCTTTCCTCATGGAGACTCTCCAAGTTCCTCACACCTACTGCTGGTCGCCCGCGTTAGCCCCGAAGCCCAAAGACTGGGGAAAGCATATCGGTCAAGGCTTCCCGCTCCGCGTACGGGGTTTTTTTTCTAACAAGTGATGCAGACGTCTGCGGTTTTCTACTTCGAGATCCCGCACCCTACACCGTCCCGGCCGACCTCGACGAATTTCTGAAATCGGGTCCGATCCCCATCTACATTGGCTTTGGTAGCATCGTGATTGAAAACCCCGGAAGACTCCTTCAGATATTGCTTTCTGCGGTCAAGGAATGTGGTGTCCGTGCTATCATTTCGAAAGGCTGGGCCAACCTAGAAGGCGAAGCTGTTGATGATAACGTCTTCTTTCTTGGGGAATGTCCTCATGGTAAGTGGAAACCCGATACAATGTTGTGCCACCTCTATTGCTAAACAAGTAGAGTGGTTGTTTCAACAAGTTTCTATGGTGGTTCACCACGGCGGAGCCGGGACCACCGCCTGCGGGCTGAGGAATGGCCGCCCAACCGTCATTGTGCCATTCTTCGGAGAGTATGCTGCCATTCCAATCCATGCCTTGGTCGTTGCTGATGACCTGTAGTCAACCGTTCTGGGGCAACGTGGTAGCTGCCTCACAAGCCGGACCACCTCCCATTCCCCACAAGAAATTGAACAGCAAGAATCTGAGCGACTCCATCCGCTTTTGCTTACGTGAACAGACCCGGGAAGCTGCGAAGGTGGTGGCTGACAAAATGGCTGAGGAGATGGGAGTCAAAGCAGCGGTTCACTCATTTCATCGTCATTTACCAGTTAATGACATGGGTTGTGATCTGATCAAGGGACTGCCCGCCACATGGGTGTACAGGAGGTCGAAAACCCCTCTCAAGATATCTGGGGCTGCGGCTGAAATCTTGATCCAAGCTCAGAAGATCAGGTCCGACGATCTTCGGTTGTACAGACCAAAACCGTTCACCATCGAGAACCGTCGATGGGACTTCCTTACTGGCTCTCTCGCCGTCTCGATGGAAGTCTCATACGATATTCTGGCCGCTTTCAGCGGGTTTTGGAGAAACCCGCGCGCGATCCGCAAGCAGAAAGACAAAGACCGTGAACTGTGGCGCGCCTCATCTCATCGAAGCGCGGCTGGGACGGAGAATGATCCGGGAGAAGGTTCAAGCAGACAAGTTGCGAGGATGGTGGGGGCCTCTGCCATGAGTATATCTCATCTTACCGGAATAGTGATAAAAGGAGGCCTGGTCGACGTCCCAGTGGCCGTTGCTGAAGGCTTGCGGAATACGCCGAAGCTCTACGGCCAAGAAGTGCCTGATCATGCCGCCGTCACTGACTGGAAGAGTGGCCTCACAGTTGCCGGGACAAATTTTGTTCACCAGATGGCCCAGGGGCTGACAGATTTTGCGGTGCAGCCAGCAAAGGGTCTGGCGAAAGAAGGGGTGTTTGGCTTTGGGAAAGGCGTTGGCAAGGGGCTATTGCAGACTGTGACGAAACCCACATCAGGTAAGTTTGGTGGCCCCTTGTATGATGATAACCGCCTGATGATTTCCTCGTTGAAGCATGCATGGGCTTGATCGGCTACACGGGCCAGGGGCTTTACAAGTCAGTGTATGCTCTGGTGCATTCGAAGACCAAAAGATCGGTGGCCTCCGCCCAGCGCGTGCAGGATAAGTATTTCATCCGTGCGATCGGTATGGACATAAGCACTGGCCCAGTGGTGGCCGAATTTGACCGGCTCAGTCAACGGCGGCTTAAACCTGAGCTCGGCAGTTCCAGTGGGGGCTTCACGTCGAGGGGTGTGTCTAGGACACCCAGTTTTGTTTCGACCCATTCGCAGCCGCCGTCTATTGCACCAGCCGTCCTGACCGACGACCAAGCAACAGCTTACCCATATAACCCGCCGTCCGAAGACCCAATGCCGTCGCCGCAACGTCGCTGAACGATGGAAGGTTTGGCAGGCAATGCTTAATTGAGCTGTATAACAACTTGGATTGGACGGCAAGACATCAAGAACCCCTGACAAGCCTCTAACAACGGTAATTGTTAGCACCACCCGTCAACCATTCACGCGTCGGATCAGAGCCAGTACCGCAGCTCGCCGGTCAAGAGCATTACAGCGGGAGAGAAACCATCAAATGATTACAAAACATGGAGTTAGTGCAACTGTCAGCGACGTACAGGTCTGACCGGTCATACAACCAAACTCCGAAGTATGCTCAGCGCCATTTCAGCAGCGGCAGCCCAGTGTTGTCACGAATCCCTTGGCTGGATTGCTATATAATTTCTAGAAAACCGTGCTCGCTCTCTTTGTTTGCAATGTCATCAGGTCTGTCAAAATGTCGCCGACTCCGGAAAAACCTGTCAAGGTCGTGTTCGGTCCGTATGGTCCGCTCCTGTCAAACCAATCCAGTTCTGATAAATAACGTTCAGGTGCCATGACCTTTGGACGTCCCGGGGTTGAACAAGCTCGCGTCAATGACTTACAGGTTGCTGGTTCAATGCTAGACCTCTTCCGATCTCATGGCCACAATGAAATCGACACAGCCCAGTTCTATGGCCTTGGTTCATCGGAGGAGTATTTGGGTATGCTTAAATGGGCAGACCGAGGGCTGGCGATGGCCACCAAGTTCTATCCCACGGCAAATATTGTCGACCCTAACGCGCCAGGAGGGAAGGGCACGACGCACTGTCCGGAGCATCTCAGAGAGAACCTGTTGAAGTCCCTCAAGGCGCTCCAAACCGAAAAGATTGATCTCTGGTATCTCCACGGCCCGGATCGGACCACGCCGTACGAAGTCACCCTCCGCGAGGTCAACAACCTCCACAAGGAGGGATACTTCACGCGGTTTGGGATCAGCAACTACATGTCCTGGGAGGTGGCTCAAATCTGCGAGATCTGCCGGCGGAATGGCTGGATCCAGCCCACGGTGTACCAAGGCCTTTACAACGCCATCCACCGGAGTGTGGAGCAAGAGTTATTTCCCTGTCTGCGATACTACGGCATCAGTTTCTACGCATACAACCCCTTGGCCGGCGGCTACTTAACGGACCGGTACCGTCGCGATATCCCAAACGAAGAGGTCGAAAAGGGGACTCGCTTCGACCCGACCACTTTCCAGGGCAAGGCGTACCGAGGTCGGTATTGGAACGACGGGGCGTTTGAAGCCTTGCGTATCCTCCGAGAAGCAATCAAAGGCCACGATCTGACGGAGGCCGAGTGTGCTTTCCGGTGGTCGATGCACCACTCCCTACTCCGGGGCGACAAAGGCGACGCGATCATCATCGGTGCGAGCAGCATCAAGCAGCTGGAAGAGAACCTCAAGTGTCTCGAGAAAGGACCTCTGCCGGAAAGCATTGTCAAGGCCTTCAATCAAGGGTGGGAAAGGACTCGAGCCACGAGTTGGAAATACTGGCATTGATCGATAAAGGTAGCGTGGTCATTCGAGTAGCTATGGCAAAAACCAGAGATTCTGTGTTTTCTGGCACAATTTTTTTACATGGCTCCCATGGGCGCTCACACACGCTCTCTCCCCCTTGCGCGTATTCTTGAATGAATGCTTCTTCTTGGTCGATCACGCCTTCGAGGTCTCAACCCGTACTTTCTCTATGACCACAGCCAAGTCTTTCTCGGCTCTTTCCCACATTCCTCGGACTTGACTCGCTCTCCCTTCTCTTGGCACAAACCGCGCCTCAAACTTGACCGGCCTCGAATTAAAACCCTGAGTGAAGGCGAACGGGTCGACCTCGCACTTCTGCCGCAGGCCCCCGACCACCTTGTACTCATGCTCGATGTCGAACGTCCACAGGATCCGGGCGACGTTGATGAAGAGGCTGTTCTTCGCGATGTGTTGGCCCGTACACACTCTGCGTCCGAATCCGAAGGCGGCCAGGGGCAGGCTTGGGTCGTCGATCCAGCGGTCAGGATTGAAGGTGTACGCGTCCTGGTAGACATTCTCGTCCAGGTGGATCGCCCAATGGTTCCCTATGACCGTCGCGCCGGCGGGGATATCGTATCCCATGTACTCATCGTCCTGGATCACGGCGTGGGGGATACCGCCGGCGGAGACTGGGCGCCACCGCAGTGTCTCTTTGACGATGGCATCGATATAAGGCAGGCGATCTTTGTCTTCGAATGTTGGGAAGTGGGAAGATCCGAGGGCGGAGTCAAGCTCGGCCTGCCCCTTTCTCATGACGTCGGGGTACAGAAGCATCGCCAGTGTGAAGACTTCCAGGGCCATGGTTGTCGTATCACTCCCGGCCTCGTAGAGAATGCCGACATCGTAGGCAAGTTCCTTCTGCGACATGGCTTGGCCTTCCTTCATCGCTTGAGCCTGTTTCGACCAGTTCCAGTGCGTGGACGCTTTCCCTTGGATCAAATTATTTATGAAAAGGTTGGCTTCGAAACCGTGTAACCTATCAGCATAACGCTTCCAGGGGGCCAGAAAGGAAGGAAGGCAGTTTAATGCCGGTAGCGCATCCACGAGCCACGTCCCGACCCTGGCGGCGTACAGAAAGTTCTCCATGACCTGATCGATCCCTTCGACTTCTGGTTCGTCACCTCTAGTCATCCGCTTGCCGTATGCTAACGCAAAGATCAAGCTTGACGAGTAGCGGTGGAATCGATCGGAGAAGTCGGCTGCTGGGTCGAGGAGCTCGTGGATGAGTTGGAGACTCTCGAGCTCCTGAAGGGGGCGATAGCTCTGTGAGATGCGGACATTGAGAAAGGCGCCCTGGAGTCTTTGATGGTTACGCCATTTTTGCCCGTATGGCATGAGCAATGTCCTGTAGCCCTTACTCACGCAATCTCCACCCATGACAACGTGAGGTCGAGAGCTGTAGATGTTGCTCCGCTTGTCGAGGAGGTCGTGAGCGGCTTCATACGTGCCCAGCATGATCACGGTGTTGAGACCGTATTGGAGACGGTATATTGGTCCATACTGCTTGGTCCACGTCTGGTACGTTCTCCATGGGTAAAGTGCTGGCGCCTGGTGTAGGTTACCGATGATAGGTAGCCGTGGTGGTCCAGGAGGGAGCTTCCTTCTCTTGCCATAGATCAGCGAGTGGACCACCCAAATGATACAAACGACAACGAGGAGCAAGGCGGTGGTAGGATTGAATATCTTCATGACTGTAACTGACTTTGTTGCTGTTCTACATCAATCATGAGTTGGAAATGTCTAGCGAGGCAGAATAAATACTGCTTTTGAACATATTCTCCTCGTATTCGACACGTCTAACTTCTACTGATGGCCTGAAGTAATATGATGGTCCCGCCTAAAGAAAAAGGTTGCTTTGTAAAGAGTGCGGGTTGATCCCGCGCAGAAAATCAGCAAGACGAGATGGTGATCATAAACGACATGTTGGAGTAAGAGGCCCCCCCAGCGTATAGGATTGCGTATTGTTCACGCCTGCTTGCTTTGTGGTTTGCTGCAGAGCGAGGGGACTTACTGTGGTTGATCCGGTGGGACAATATCTGTCTCTATATTTCCCCACAATTATACGGGACATTTGGCGGGGAGGGGGCTCAGTTACGCAGTGTCCAGAGGCATGTATATCCAACTTCGCATCAGACCTGTCGTCACATACCCTCCTTGTTTCGAGTCAAAGAGGATCATTTGCCAAACCGCGCCTTCTGGACGAGATTGGTTTTGACCAAGATGGAAGCACGGTTGAACCGAGTTTTGGTTTGGAATAGAGAGGGAGATGAGCAGAAGACAATGGTTGTTAGGAACCACAAATATTTTGGTCCCCTTCTTGGGCCGCCCTTTCGACCATCCCTGGGCTCAAGTCTAAATATGTGTACAAAGTCGATTACAATCGAGAACGCAAAAGGCATTCTGTCAGAAAGGTAGGGACAGGGTGAAAGTGATCCAAGATGTCTCGGTCTGACCACGGCTGTCGAGTATCACCTAGAGTAGCACAAGTCAAGAACGCCCTGAACAATACCGATCTGGCGACGCATCAGTCATGTTCCTGGAGCAAACAATGCATCTCTGGTCAGATTGGGTTTATTGGGTTCAGGCCGGAAGTGTGCCTGCCACATCATAACAAAGCCTGACGGATGAGCACAGAAGAAGTCGCGGCGAGCGTCAAAGTCGCTTTCGAAGAGGAGTTCAGGGAGCACCAACGAGGCTGAGGTTCGTCAAAGGCTTCAAGGCTCGAAGTCCGCATTCTCATATAGCTAGAGGAGGCAATCCCCCATCTTGCAAAGAGTATAATTGTGCATTTGTGGTAAGTACGTCGTTTCTAAGCACCAATACTGCTATACTGGAAAACAAAAATTGTCACCTGTGCTGTGGCATGCGGCATAACTGCCCGGGGTGCCCACCTGGTATGCCCTCACATCCCCAATCTTCGAAAAGGGCTAAGTTTCCGTGGTATGGGGTAAACATTGGTGAGAGAGTCATTTCAGCAAGTTTGGTTGGTCACGCGTGTACAATACCATATCCTGGAGTCCTTATGGTGCGGGGGCTTCGGCACAGGGTTTCTTCCCGACCATGTTTTGGTCGTCTTTCCAAACAATTAAATCTGTCTGCTATCATCGTCGAGGTGCAACATCACTTGAGATCCTGTCACTTAATTTTGGAGTGGGTTAGCCAATTGTCGAGTCAAGAAGCCCCCAGCCACAGGGGATAGAAGATGAGCTGCCTCTCGGAAAAATTGGCTGAGCGGGAAGCCTCTGGCACCCCAATTCGAGTCGGGGTCATCGGAGCCGGGAAGTTTGGGTCAATGTTGTAGGTCTATCGATCCGTTCGTGGGAGGAGGAGTGGCAGACGAGAACAGAGCGAGCGAGAAGAATATACCGTCGCCATGCTCAGAACAGAATTCGGCTGACCGGTGGCTATTCTATTTGTCGATATCAAGCATTTCTCAAGTTCATCACTCACCAGGGATGAAGCTCGCAGGCGTGTGCGATCTCAACACGGCTCGTGTCTATGACGCTTTCAAACGAACGCATTATCCAGAAGACGGAATCGACATGACTAGAACGATGAGCTTGGCAGAAGGCATCAAGGCCGGTAAGACGGTTGTGACGACTGAATCTGCAGCTCTTATCGCGCACCCCGACATCGACGTCATCCTCGAGGTCACAGGAAACCCCGCGGCAGGTGTGCGCCACGCCCTCCTGTGCTGCGAGCACAAGAAGCACATCGTGATGATCAACGTCGAAGCCGACGTTCTCGCCGGGCCACTCTTGGTCAGGAAGGCGAAAGAGGCCGGTATCATTTACTCCATGGCATATGGCGACCAGCCCGCCCTGATATCGGAGCTGGTGGACTGGGCCAGAACCTGTGGATTCGACGTGGTGTGTGCCGGCAAAGGCACCAAGTATCTCCCGGACTATAAGTACTCCACCCCCGACACCGTGTGGGGTCTGTACGGATTCACACCAGAGCAGGTGGCGAGGGATAGTCTGAATCCTCAGATGTTCAACTCGTTTCTCGATGGGACCAAGTCCAGCTTGGAGATGGCGGCGGTGGCGAACGGCACGGGGCTGGCTTGTCCGACAAAGGGGTTAAGTTTCACCCCATGCGGATACCACGACATGGCCAAGGTCTTGAAGCCCGTCTCCGAAGGTGGAGTCTGCGAGAAGTCGGGTATAGTGGACGTTGTGTCGTCTTTGGAACGCAACGGGAAGCAAGTATTTAAAGATGCGAGGTTCGGGGTGTACGTGGTAGTCAAGGGTAAGTGTCGTCCCATCCAAGACAGTGTTGCAATATTGGTTCGTTAGGCTACTCACACATTTGTGAATCACAGCTCCCAGTGATTATCAAAAGGAGTGCTTTCAGCAGTACGGCCTTGAGACAGACCCCTCAGGATACTACGCAACACAGTACAAACCATTCCACTTTATCGGTCTCGAAGTTGGTTATTCCGTGGCAAGCATCATGAGTCGCGGTGAACCAACGGGCCAGACTAAGACATTTGCAGGTGATGTCGTTGCTACAGCAAAGCGAGACCTCAGCGCGGGAGAAATACTGGACGGCGAAGGCGGGTACACCGTCGTCGGGACGTTGATGCCGGCACAAGCATCTCTGGAAATGGGAGGTCTACCAATCGGGCTGGCCCACGGCGTGAAGCTGAAGAATGATATCAAGAAGGATCAATGTCTCAGCTGGGGAGACGTCGAGTTTTCGGACACATCGCAGGTGGTGGCGATCAGGAGAGAAATGGAAGCAATCTACCGTGAAGAGTTTGCGGCAAAGGCACTAAAGCAAAAGGTTATCCATTAATCCGTTGATCAGACCAGCAACTCCTTCAGGTCCCTGCTCCTCAGATAGTCCTCAAAGCTCATGGTCTCCGGCGGTGGGTTTCTCAGGCCCTTTGGTTCGATATAATCCTTCACTTCACACATGTAAGGATATTCGGCCAGATAAGCGGCGCCGTCGACCACCTCTTCCTTCAAGCCTGTCATGCGGCAGAGGAGCGGCACGGTGAGCTCAATGAAATAAGCCCTCCGGCCCGTGACCTTCTCCCACGTCTTCATGCCCTCTTCGAGCCCAATCCACCAATCAACTGCCAACAGCTTTGTCCCTGCTGGTTCGTCCTCCACCAGACAACGCACATACCCACCAGTCGACATGTGCGGTATAAAGACCGGAATCTTCATCGACATCCTCGCCGGAAGAGCCATGAGATATTGGCCCCAACCCTGGGACCGCTTCTTTTCTTTGGACTTCTCTTGGTGCCCTGGAGGAGGAGGAGTGGGCAGAAATCGCACCAGAAACGGGAGTTTCGAGACCAGCCACACGATCCACGGTGTGCCAAATGGCACCCTGTGCGGGTACAACAACGGATTGTCGGAATATGAAGACGCATAGATATAACTCGTCTTCGCTGCCAGCTGGGGCAGCTCTGCAGAGATATACGCCACGACCACGCCCTTGGTCTCGAAATGGTGGCAGCGAGCGTACTTGCCCCCGGAGGCGATCTTCATCGAGCCGAAGGCCGAGTACACGAATTTCTCAAGCTCGGGGATCTGCGACGCTGCCGTGGCCGCGTTCTTGCCCCAGCTGATCTCGCTGTTGTACGCCAATTGCGAGGCCTCGTCGTCGCTCTTCCCGGCGGCCAGGGCGCCCCTATACACTTCCCAGTAGTTGGTGTTCACGAAGATGGCATGGGCCGACGAGAACCCCGAGACCAGGCTCGGTACGGAGGAGAGGTCGGCTTGTATGATTTCCGCGCCGAGGGCAGCAAGTGTCCTTATTGAACATCAGTACCCAGTCAATCCAGATAATGCAGGAGAGTTCCATTGCAGAGCGCATGTTCAAGCCAGTCTGAACTTTATGAGAATAGAAGAATGACATAGATACTAACCTGGCAGCTTCAGACGAAGGATTGCGCGTGAGGCAGCGGACATGCCATCGTGAGGACGGGGGAGCCGAGAGGAAAGTGCGTGCAACGCTGCCGCCTTGTCTCCCTGTTGCGCCAACGATGGCGATGGTTTTCCTCTCGTGTGCTGGCATTGTTCCTTCTAAGGAGGATTTGTATGGAAAGCTGGCACTGGTTGCAAAGCCTTACTCACGAGTGGATTCTCATGAAATTCTGACAAGTACATCTCAAGGCACAGGAATATATACTTCCTCCTCGTCATGAAGTTGTCCCGAATCGTCCTGCTCCATTTTGATGCCTGCATTCCGATTGGGCGAAAAACGTAAGCAGGCATGGTGGAGACCGAGCTAACCCTAAAACTAACGATCCACTCTCACGCTAATCTAATACAGCTTAGCTCATTCACTCGCGTGCTCTCGGCGCTCACGTGCGACTCACCCCGGGCGTGCCGCTTTTAGAACCACTCCCTCCCCTCTAACCTCACACTCACGTGGCGCTCACCTTCACACTCACCCTTCATCCTGAACCTGCTCTACCGCATGCAGCGCGTCGCCCGTTCCGTCTTTGGCGCCTTTTCGACTTTCGACCACTTTCTCGTCCCCTCGCTTGGACCGACCCCAAAGAAGGCTCCAGTCGACTTAACGAATTTCCATCCAGTTCTGCCGGATGGTTACGATCGGACGAGAAATCCCAGATCATTTGCTCGATGTTTTTAGCCCAGCCGGGACTCTCTTCCGGCGACTTAACGGTCATCCTCACCAATATCGTAACAACCAGCGGTCACTTAAAGTCCGCTACTCGTTCAAAAACTCCATTTAACGAAGTATAATCACGGCTGCGTGGAGGAAACTGGCGTCGACAGCCACCCTACGTCGTTCTTCGCAAACCCTTTCTATCACCCCATTATAGTTTGAAGTCGTTCCCTCTGCGCCACATCAACCCAGTAGGTATTATGTTCACCTTTGTCGGAGACTTCCCATATTGTATTAACCAATGTGAGGATCTTCTTGACCTTGTTCAAGGGTAGAATGTGAGAGTACGCCGACAAGCGTGAACTAGTGAAGCGCCGCGCACGAGCTATCTCAATGGATGCATGATCACATACTGTCCGCAACCCCCCAGACTGGAATTTGGCTTTCAAAACTGCTGATGGATAGCGAAGCTCACTTGACGCTGTAACCAAAAGGAATGGCTGCATACTCCGTGTGTGAGATTCAAAGGGGATGTCCCGGAGAAGGCCGAGGATGTGCAACCCCAGCTTGGTGAGCCATACGTTCTGCTCTTCAGCTGTGGGATTTTTGGATGCGGGTCTTGAATGCAAGAGTTCGTCTTTGTCCCAAGGATTATATCGCTCGGCCAAAAGATCTGGAAATACGCGGTACAGCTGGAGGAGACCGGCACAACGATATGCTTCGTCCATCTTCTGGAGATGCGACACAGAAGTTTTCTCATCACCCGGCTCCATGACCGTCGAGCTATCTGCAGATTTATGGCTCAAGAGCCGTCGTTCCAGCAGCCGCGCCTTTTTGATCGACTTATGGAAGAATTCGAGATCCTGTTCGGTCCAAAATACAAGTCTGGAGATGCGTTTGCGATATCGAAACACCACCAACCCCACGTCAGTGAGAATGCGGATGACATCACGCGATATGCCGCTGAATGGATGGGGCAATGTTGGGGATGGGAGAAGGATCGACTGTGGGCCTGCGTAATTCGTGGTAGGTTGCTCAATCCGGTCGTCCAAGTCATCAATATTAGTCAAAAACGAGAGAAGCATTGCCCAATACTCCAGACTCCCTTCAAAGAAGGACCAGATGGAGGAAGAGTCGTCTACCTCCAGGTTGCGTCGGGCCAGAACGGTGCGGACCGCTTTGAAATGGTCGACCCCGAGGTTCAGTGGATCAAACCAACATGCCCCATGGCCCAGCAGCAGCATTGACAAGACGACATCTGCCTGCGTAGACGGGCCAGGTCTCTTCAAGCTGCTCTGCACGAGTTGCAAAGCCTGCGCCCGTTCTCGTCTGCCCACCGCTACCAGATACGGCAAGTCTTTTGCCAGGCATGCCGCCGCCATGCTCTGCATCGTATGATATAACATCCCCGACGATTGAAAGTTGTTTTCGGTGATTATTCTCATGATATTATGGTTGCTATCCCAGGCACAGAATAGCGCGATCACCTCACGAAAAAAGTAGTCTGAGAGTGCCGAAGGAAGATTGAAAATATGCTGGGAAAGACCCACCGTAGCATTCTGCTGGTGTTGGTTCTGGCTCGAGAAAGGCTCGTCTTCTGGTTCATTGACATGGGAACGGGCGTCCACCGGGCTCGGCAATTTCGAGACTCGACTTTGTCTCCCATCCCACGCTTCCAGGTCAAAGTCGGATACGGCAATATCCACCAAGTCCGTCAACTGAAAAGCCTGTTGGTTCAAATCAGACACAGGATCACCCCCAGCTCGCAAAACCAGGCTTCCGGTCTGATCCCAGGTGCACATCTCGTAAAGAGGGAACGACCTTTGATTCGTCGCGCCCAGATAGCCCGTGGCAACGGAGTGGTCAGACATCGCTGTCGTGCTAAACGCTTCGCAGGGCTCCCCAGGCCTAGTCCAAGGAGGCATATTCGAGCAATCGGCAGCGGGGTAAGCTTCAAAAGATTGTGGAGCTTGTGACAAAGTGGCCGTGTTCGTCTTCTGATGGTTGATGGTGGTATATGTGGCTAAGGCCTCCGGTGCTACCGTTGTTGTCGGTGGCCCGCCCACACTGTTGTCAGGAAGGGGCATTGAAGGTGCTGCATGCGACAGACTTCTTTTCCATCGATCTGGTTGGTGCTTGAGTGACCATCTTACATTTAACATGTACCCAGGACATTGATAACCCTTATTTAGGCAGCGAAGGCAGCCGGGCTGCTCTTCACCACATTTAATCTATGAGGTGTCAGTGAGCCAATACGTCAATTTCCTCAAAGAACCAAGGCTGTTGATTGATCAAACAAGCAGAGGCACAACTTTTGACTAGGAGAGGAGACTGACCCGTTTTGACTTGCAACGCAAGCAGCCAGATCGCGATTTGGAATGAAATGATTTGGAGTTCATGATCAATCGACCTCGGCCATCCACTCTGGAAGTTTGGCCAGGACTTATATTGCACCTGGGAAAGATGCTGAGACTGGGGCTAGTTCTGAATCTTGGAAAAACACTTGACAAGATTTCGCAATTCTCTAACCTCTGAACAGTTCCTTAGAATTCCTAAAGTAAAGCACTGTTCAATTCCACAAAGTCATGATAGGCTGGAGTTGGCACCAATGATAGTCACACGGTTTACAATTTTCAAAATCAATCCACTCGCGGGCCGAGAAACTTGGTGGGGAAATGAGATTCCTTGTATGGACGTCAATAACGGCACACTATCAGCGTCAGATTTGCGATCATCTTGCTCTGGGGGATGGTACATGGCTCAAGTTGAGCAGACGCAAGACTGAGAGACAACAGAGGTGCAGTGGCTGCTCCTGCGGATCAGATCAGTTCCCCCAATCGTGCCGGAGTCTCAGCGGCAGATGGTTACTACATTGAGTAGGTCTGAACGGCAGACCCACTCCATGATAACCCCATGGGCTTCACGGCTGGGCTAGTCGCGACGAGGCTGGCCGATACTTCCGGAGGATGGCCGGGGTTTTGGTCAACAGATATCTTATCTATGTACGAACGAATGTAGAGGCAAGTGGCTCAGATAGTTCATGCCCTCTTCGCAGGTGTCAAACTGGGAAGCTTACCAGTTAACTCCGATTTCATTTACAAGAGATAATTTAGAGCAATACTTTGTCAACAAGCGGTCCAGCCGAAATGGCCAGATAGTACTCCGACTCGTGTATCACGGAACCTGTAGAATTCTGGACATTTGGCAGGCGTTTCATCTCCTCACGCTCAATAGCAACGTGGTGTTGGCTATTATTCAGGGCTGGTTTCTTGGAAAGATCGCAGAGTGACTTGAGCCTCTTCTTTGGGGTTCTTCTTTCTACCAGCAACCTTCACTATCTTTCTCTATGTGGCACCATTTACCATTTGGCTTTGCCACGGGATATGCTGGGTGCGTGATTGGATGGTTCCTAGTCTTGACGCCGAAATCTAATAATTTGAGGCGATAAACTATGTCCACTCTGCCTCCTGACGTGCCACATTTGTTTTGGCATCAGACCATACCACATCGTCCGCCATTCCATCTTGACATCTTCGCTCTTTCAACTTTCATGGTGCATACCTGAATCCAGGAACTCCTTCCAAGATAACACCTTTTTCATCAGCTTCGCGATTCTTCTTCGCAAGCCTCAAGCTCACTGCCATCGTTCCAAAAAGGTATACCAGTTGCATCCCGATCGTGGCCCACATCCCAGGCATATATCTAGGCTTGTCTTGAGCGCGAAAAATTGTAGATCCTATCACTCCGCCAATGGCACCAGCTGCAATGGTAGCCGCAGCCACGACACCCTTCTTTTGCGGCAACGCTGTTTGATTCTGGGCATATGCCAAAGTTCCGGGAACATTTGCTTGAGTACCAAAGACTGCAAGGAATGTGCCGAAAAGGCGAACACCAGGAGGTTTGGCGTATAAAACTATCAGAAGGCCAGTGATACTGTTATTAGTTAGCATCATTCATGATGGTTTGGAAACAGCCTTTCCGTCGGCGGGGCTCTCTTCACACTCACCCAATTGCAGAATGTGAACATAAAAACCTGCGTCTCATTAGCAATCTCATGCTTTTAGGTCGCAAAGTATACTGACGGCCATCGGAGCTTAGACTTGTCAGAGAGCCACGCCGACGCAATAGTCATGATCACTGTGAACAGCTGAATTGAAACAACGGATTAGCATGCGTCTCGCGATCCCAACAGCTGCTTCTCAACATGACCGTGGCAAAAACAGCTTACATATGGTGGGCTGGTGAGAACTTGAGCCAAGACGTATTTGAAGCCCAATCCTTGATTTAGAATGATTGGTATAAAATAAGCCAACGAGTAAACGGATGATGCTGTAATGATGTATTGTAAACAACTGGAAAGAACACATCAGTTATCGACTTATCTCACATGATTCATCCACTTACTAGAATCCAAGCTTCCAATCTAGAAGCATTCTCATCGCCTGCCGTATAGTTGGGTGCTCGTATTCGTGGCCCGATCGCTCATTTGCGATCCGTGTCATTGCAATGTGACGCTCGCGCTCGTTGAGCCAGAGGGCGCGTTCTGGAACTTTCAAGTGTTAGCCGTACACTTTAGCCTGAATGGAGAGCGTTAGATACATTCGCCGAGTAGTAGTGGACCCAAGAGTCCGCAGACGACAGTAACGATGCCTTCAACGATGAAAATCCATCTCCAACCTGCAATCAGGTTAGTTTAGCGGGTGAGGTCCTTCAGCATTCATCCAACCTTCTTGATATTGACCGCTACCAACGCGAATCAGGGATAGGCCATATGCAAGCTGAGACTGGTCAGAGAGCACGAATAGGTACAAGGTAAGGGCTCAATCATACAATTCCACCGAAAGCGGACGCCAGGAGCGACGCCATGTAGAAAAATGACAGCCTTTTGCCCATTTCGAAAGTTTTGTACCATGAAGATATGAGAAATATGGCACCCGGAAACACTGCGCAGGTAAGTAAGATGACCAGGACGAGAACAAATCAGTTGTTGTCTTACAGCCGCCTTCAAAAATTCCAAGAAGCAGTCGCAGAGCGGTCAGAGATATCCATGATTTAACGAAACCCGAGAACAGGACGCAAAGCCCCCAGCAGGTGATCAAGAAGCTTAGCCACCACCTGGCTCCGATGTGTCGGATGATCTAGACATTAGCAAAGTTTGCCATGCTAGAAAGCCGATGACTTACCAAGTTACTTGGTATTTCAGAGAAAGCGTATGTACTGAAGAATGCCAACAATGCGACCGAGTAGCGATTACCTATAACCTGTATAAGCTCTGCAGTATTGGAAACATCTTCTTCTTGTCGTTACCTATACCAAGTCCCAAGTCCTCCGACATGCCAGCAATGTAAGCTGCTGAGATGTTGTTGCGATCGAGGAGGGACAGTCCGTAGATAAGCGCAATATATGGCATAACATGCAGATCGATTTTGCGCCTGCTCTCTGTCAGTCATACTTCCCAGGGGACTTGTAAACAGTCTCTGTCCGTACATTACTTTCCTCTCCTCTTCAGGAGTCCAATCGTCCTCCGAAATAGTTGTTACTTTTGGAGATTTGTCTTCATTTGTGAGAACGATCTCATTTTTATTCTCCAGACTGACGATGTGTGCCATTGTGTCTGCTAATATTGAACTCAATATTATACTATAGGCAAAATGTAGATTGAGGCGGACAAGAGAGAAAAAGTATCTAAGTGTTGTGACAACAGCGTAGCTATACTATGTAATCTCAACCAATCTTGAAATACGGCTTAAGGACATTAATTCGGAGTTCTGCTAAATCCTATCAACCTGGAGATAATCGAGTGCACGAGATAACCGGTAAGGTATCAGCCACGGGTCATATCGTGTATCCCTTTTCTAACAATTCAACTTCTAGCGCCGGATTAACCTACTACAATAAGACCCTTGGTTGCCCCTTCGCTTGTTGAATTACAATTAGTGCCACCAGCATCGGCTGGTCGGTTGAAGGGCCGTGTGAACTTCTCTAAAGAGCAACTCTAAACTTCATCTCGGCTCTGGTGTCGCCGCTACTTGGCTGGATTGGTGGTGAAAATAGCGGTTGATAGACGACGTTGTGGTGGTTCGGAGATTCTCCGAATTCAACTATCTCAAAGTTACGAAGTCTGCCTGCCGATCTTCCGGAGAGAGGCGGCGCATATCAGTCCCAGCAAACGGCTGAACGTCAACACAAGAGAGTGAGTCCGCACCTACCACTTTCGGTCACGGGAGTTCCACAGTTGTGCTAGAGTAGGTTATAAGAATTCGACGACTTCTTACAGGCACCCCTTGATGTCCGATATGTCCTTTCATACCCAACAGCACCAGGAAAGTCCTAATATGGCGAGCGCAGTTCCGTTCAGCTGGCCCACGCCGACAGAAGGCGATTTCGTCATAAAGGACTTCCAATTCAATTGTGGCTCGACTTTACACGAGCTGAGATACCACTACAGAACCCTGGGGAAACTTCGTAAAGATGCTAAGGGCCATGCCGAAAACGCAGTCCTGATCATGCACGGCACAACGAGATCTGGACAACAATTTCTCACCGATACCTTCGCAGGAGAGCTTTTCGGGCCAGGCCAGCTACTCGATATTGAAAAGTACTACATCGTCTTACGTGATGCTATCGGCCATGGTCAATCGAGTAAGCCATCAGACGGGCTTCACGCCAGGTTCCCAAAATACGGCTACAATGACGTTGTGCGAGCTGACCATTTGCTCCTTACTGAGCATCTCGGTGTCGACCACCTCCGTCTTGTCATGGGCACATCTATGGGCGGTATGCACACCTGGCTATGGTCCGGGACCTTTCCTGACTTCATGGACGCTTCCATGGCCCTGGCATGTCTGCCCCATCAAATATCTGGCCGCAATCGAGTACTCCGCAAGATCCTAATCGACTCGATACGGACTGACCCGGAATTCCAGAATGGAGATTATACCAAACAGCCACATGGCTTGAAAGCTGCAATAGGTGTCTTTCTTCTCGGCGTTTCAGCACCACTATATTGGCAAAGTGAAGCACCGACTCTCCAATCTGCTGATGCTTACCTCGAAATGCGACTGGCACGTGAACTTGAGATAGCAGATGCGAATAACATGGTTTTCGCGTTTGAAGCCTCATGGGATTATGATCCACGACCACTGTTGAAGAACATCAAAGCACCATTCATGGCATGGAATACAGCAGACGACCAGCTTTGTCCTCCAGAGCTGCAGATACTTGAGCGAGAAATCCAGAATGTCTCCCAAGGAAAAGCAGTTACTTTGCCTATCACCGAAGCCACAAGGGGGCATAGCTCCTACAACTTTGCAAGCTTGTTCAAGGACTATCTCCAGGAAATCTTACACACGAGTGCTTGACGAAAAGATCGGCTATCATTGAGAGCTGTCACGGCAGCCTTATGAAAATCAGGGTGCCTTTTGCCTCAGCATAGCTAATGGGAAATACGAGTGTCAGGGAGGAAGTCCTATGTGCTTAGAGATGACTGGTTGGGTGGGCCAAAGGGCCTCTTGTCAGCCTCCGAAGCCTCTTAGTCGCGACTCTAGAGCTCGATATCATCTCTCTCTAATAGTAGCAATGCCTAGACTAAACTATAGCTATGCGTAGATCGCAAATCTGACCTGTAATGAAGCCTTGCTCCGTCTTAGACGTTTTAGCATAGGTTTGTGCCGAGAATTCAAATGAGAGACTGTGTTGACGTTATGATAGCAGCTATCTCGATACCTAGAGCGATAATAGTTCCCTTCCCATTGGCCTATAGTGCGAGATCGTGCAGCTTTTGGACTCACTGGAGCGAGTCCACAGTCTGCGTTGGACTAACCCGAATGCTTTACGAATTGATTGACAAGTAATTCGGCATTTTCGTCATTGAGAATAAGCGGCCTTGTGGGACCTACTCCCTTGTTGACATTAGAGAACCCGCCTGACAAATATAAGTAGCTCATACAAGCTGTAGTGAACGAAAAGTTCCTAGTCCTTTGTCCTTCAACTTCACACTGGGTATTTGGCTACTTTTATTCGTCCTACTGCGTTAGTAACTGTCTCGCGACCAACTTGCCGACCAATTCGACGACCACACTTATCGCAACTCTCAACCTACCCTTGATAGCTCATCTGTATTTATCATGTCTACTTCTCCAGAAGGCATATACGATATTGGGATTGTTGACCCGGGCATCCCTGTTGAGAACCCAACTCAATCGTACTGGCTGTCAGAGCCCGGGGAAATCAGCAAGTTGCGATCTCCATGGACTGATGTCGCCGACATGGTCATAATTGGGTCCGGAATAACGGCAGTCAGTCTCTGTTCAACTTTGCTTTTGCATCAACCAGATCTTAGAATCGTCGTTGTCGAGTCTCGAGATCTGTGCTCAGGTGCAACAGGTCGTAATGGAGGCCATTGCAAGGCTATGAGCCCTGGCGTCTGGTTTGAGCGCAAGGAAAGTCTGGGGATCCGCGAAGCTATCCGAGTAATGGAATTCGAACATAGCCATGTTGATGAGATAAAGGCGACTGTTGAGAAATATCAAGTCGAGTGCGACCTCAACCTCCTCGAGGGGCTTGATGTTTACCATGATATGCCAACTCTCAGCAGGGCGATCTGTGCGCTCGAGGATATGCAAAAAAATACCCCCAGTCTGGCAGCCAAGTATACATTATACACTGATCGAGCTGAGCTGAGCTCCAGAAATCTCTCGGAGCATGTGGTGGGTGCGATTGGAATGGCCGCGGCTTCCTTATGGCCTTACAAGCTCGTCATCTCCCTCTTCGAGAGGCTGATCGCCAAGCACAAGCTCCTGGTTCAAACGAATACCACAGTTACAGCAGTTATCGATGACGACAGAGAGACTACGCTGTTGTGCAAACTGACCGAGGAGCCATCCGAGCGAGCCATGTACTGCATGCCACAAACGCCTGGTTGAGCCATCTGATACCGGAGCTTCAGCCATTCATGTCGCCCGTTCGTGCCAACGTTCAGCGTCAAGTGCCAATGAATGGATCATTGTGCGCCGTAAAGAACTCATATTGGCTCCGACATGCCGAAAAGGAATACGACTATCTGATCCGAAGACCTGACGGAGCATATATTGTGGGAAGGGCCAACACCGGGCGCAGAGCAAGCAGTGACGATCGAAAAAAGGATCTTCAGCCTCACGCACACCTCCGTGGTGCTCTTCCCTTGATCTTCAACTTCGGGACAGAGAACCTAGAGATCACTCATGCCTGGAGTGGCATTGTTGCTTTTACGCAAGATGGGATGCCTTTTGTTGGACGCCTACCATTCCCTCATAAACGCCACCAGTGGGTATGTGGAGCTTACCAAGGAATCGGCATGGTTAGGGCATTTCGCTCTGCTCAGATGCTATCATATCTGATCCTGGGTCAAAAGTTGCCGGATGAGTATCCCAAGTCGATGCTTCTGCCATCTAACCGTGTCCGAAGCCTGGAAGGGTCTGTAGGCACTCCTCTTCCCAGCAGACTATAGTGCTCTGGAGGACAGCTTTAACGGAGATTGGGCACAAGGGAGAATTGGCTTATTAAATATTGCAATGAATCCTCCGTCATCAAGATTGCAGGTGTACGAGATGGATATGATATATACTATAGGTGGGAGGCGCCTCCGCTGATCACACCTCCGAAATATCGAACGCTACTTTCGAACGCCTGATACGTCCATTAGAAGAAGAACCTAGCGCGTCTGGGTCCCTCCGTCGGCAGGTACTGTATATGCAGCCAATCACCGTCGGCCTACGGGGGGCTCTACGGGGCTATAGAGTCGGCGTCGCACCATCGTCCTAAACGGAGGTGAGCTCGGGGTATTAGATTTTACTTATCTTGGCGGCTAATGAGGCTTAATTCAACCCCGTCTCCGAGGACTCGACCACACTGAGCTTTTCGCTCTCCCGTCGGCGACCAACAAGAAAAGAATCCCGCCACAGGGCGCTTCAGAATGCACTGCACGGACTTGCCATCGGCTCCGTGCCGCAAGCGCGAAGCCGGACAAAATGAGCGGCTCAAGGGCGCCATCACAGAGGCACGCCGCCAGCAGAATCGGCGGGCACAAAGAGCTTTCCGTGAGTTCTCTTCCTAGGTGATGAGCTGAAGCCTGACCTCTTGCAAGGAGAGCGGCGGCGGACGAAGAAACAGCCCCCGCCCAGCACTACGCCTAGGCTACTTGCACCCTGTCCACGTGAAGCCCGAGGGGATATCACTATAACCTCCTCCAAGACAGAAATCTTGGACCGGCTCCGGAGCGCTACGCACCCAGAACCTCTCACACCCAGCAGCTCGCATCAGGCACTCAGGGGCCGCACGCATGATCGGCAATATCCCGGTTCCCGCAGCACCACAGACGTGCCCTTCACATTTTCTTGCCCGCAGACATTACTCCCGACGCACCAGTCTTTCATCTCCAAACGCAGCACGCCCTTTACCGAGCTCTTGGACCTCGTGAGAGATAGCCCGAGGGCTGCACTCTGGCCTCACGGAGTCACTACTACCATAGCCGCGTGCTTGTTCAATGCCCGCGCTCTCGGAATCGACCTTGAACGGGTCATGGATCCGCACTACATGTCACCGTTCTATCAAGCTTCGCTCTCACCGACATTGCTGTCCTCAGGATCGTCAATTCAGCCAACAAACCACAGCAATACATCGGCCTCTGATGTCCCGTTAGCGATCCCCGTCCCCTTACGCCCGTGCTCCGCTCAGGTCATCTTTCCCCACCACGTCTGCCTCGACATGCTCCCACTCCCGAGGCTGAGGGAGACGGCCGTGATGCTGGATGTCCGTTCTCAGCAAGGAAGAGAAGTAAGTGGAGCAGCATCAGCAGCCCAGGAGCTGAAGCAAGACGTCTACCTCCGGCAGGGCGTCCGGTTCCGAGGGACGGGCGAGCTCATTGGAGGCGAGTACGTCATGTATGACCATGACAGCGACCGACACTGCGGCCACCCGTGGGAAAGGGGCAGTTGGGCGGTGGCGCCGTGGTTTACGAGGAAATGGTTACTGTTTGTCGGAGATCATATCTGACGAATACGAGGTGCATCTCCTTCGTGAGCCCGACCCAGGGGTCACTCGGCTTGGGTTCCAGCGCCTGCTTCGCAGCGATTGACACGTTCGAGCTGGTCAGCTTGAATGGCTGGGTGACTTTGCCGGTACTCTGCACCTTGCTGGCGGAGTCTGCGGCGCCCTTGCTACCACCGCTCCCCAGAGAACCGAGAGCCCCCGCGACAAGTGCGCCAGGTCAAAAATCTCTTGGCCGCGCCCTCGAACAAATCGTGGTGTTTGCCGTAGAAGACGTTGTCGACCCCGCGGTCGGCGGCCTTGTTGAGCACGGACGCCACGCCACCGGCTGCTGCTTCGACGGCGAGTCGGGCAGGTGTGTCTTCTGGGCTTAAAATGCCTCGAAACCCCATTTTCAGGGTTATCCGAGGCAGCTTCGCCTCTGAGCCTGGTCCTTCTGATGGTTTCCAGCTGACCGTCCCGTCGGCTTTGAGGTCCGCGAGATATGTCTTGAGTGACAACTGATTGGTGTTCCGTTCATCTCGGACACATGCAAGGTCAGCTAAGCATCGACCACTAATGTCCATGGTGAACATTGCTACAGTGTCGGTGATCGCCGGCAGTTTGATGGGTGCTGTCTGAGGCACAGCCTTGAAAAAGTCTTTTTCGAGACTCCCCCGCTTTGTGTATCCAAAAGTTGCTGGTAGCAAGTTGACCTTATCAAAGGAGCTCTCGGTGACTGTTATGAGCCGCGAATCACCCGTAGATGGTGAAGTGTCGTATACCAAGCTGTATGATAGGTGGGTCTGGGATTCATTTCCTGAGGCGACCTACGCGGATGGCATTCAACAGCGAATCCCATGTGTATCTGTACCCTTGAACTGTCTGAACGACCGGATGAGGCGGCGCCGAGTATTCGAATGTGACAATTCGACTGCCAAGATATTGAGGAACTCGGCGCCAACCAGAGTATACTTGGGTTTGAAGCGGTCATAACTGCTGGTTCCCAACATCACGACCGATAGTAGCCTGGTAGTCGGCCATGGCTTAGTAGCTCGACCTTCGCCTTTGCAGGAGGACTTGTTCGCTGGGGATATAATTCTGTAGGAGCAGCCTGGTTATAGCTCCCCTGGTGTTGGATTGAACAGCTACTACGGACCCCATTTCGGTCTGATCTGGCCACGGATGTAGGTGTCTTTGTCATATGCACGCCTGAACTGGCGTTTTAAGGTTGGCGGCTTCAGCTTGACTGGAAACTGCGTCCATAGAACCGGCTCGATCATTCGCTTGAGATCAGGAGGCCTACTTGTAATACTGAGTACTCGAACACGCACGAGATGCCCTTGTACTCGGTACTGCATATGCCTCGGGCTAGAGTATCCCGAAGCTAGGCTCGAACCAGCTTAGAGAGAAGAGCGTCAGTTTCATGGATTAAGGTTCTTCCGAATATCCGACATTACTAATTCAATTGGGACTTTTCTTCTTTGTCCCTCTTAGAAAGTCCTTTAGGCGCTGCGGTCCGACAACGCAAAGCAGACAATCCCGATACCTATGAGTAACCCCGCTGCAGGAGCAATACAACATGTGGTGGATCTTATGCTAGCATCTTCGATATTGCCCCTGACACTTCCCCTCAGCGGAGCGGTTGTGTACCATTATTAAGTCGGTATTATTGCCCGAGGATCTCGATGACGAAAGAATGTGACCTACAGATATAAAAGCCTTGTGCCCTACCATTGAACTTCTTTCTAATATTGATATATAAATTTCAAGTCTACCCCCTATTGTTTTAGCTCTACTATACACTGTCTCAGTTCAGCCTTGCCAGATATCTAATCCCCACGACCGATGGCAACCTCTGGCAAATCCGTCTTTCTCATCGGCCCCGGTTTCATTGGCCGGGAAGTCCTCGATCTGCTTCTCGCTGAGAAATATGCCGTGACAACCCTGACCCGCCGCGAGAATTACGCGGCCGAGCTCCAACAGAGCGGTGCAAAGACCGTGCTCGGCAGCCTGGATGACCGAGACACCATCATCAAGCAGACCGTCGCCAGTGACATTGTCATCCACACTGCCACGGCAGACCATCTGCCATCAGTCGAGGCCGTCATTGCAGGCATTGAGGAACGCGCCGGCCAAGGAAAACAGACCATCTTCATTCACACGAGCGGCACTTCGCTGCTCAGCGACGACGCCAAGGGCGAATACAAGTCCGATAAGATCTTCTACGATGACAAGCCCGAGGACATCGATGCGCTCCCCGACAGCGCCTCACATCGCTTGATCGACCTCGCCATCGTCCGCGGCCGTCAGAGACTCGGAAATAAGGCGAAAATGGTCATTATGATCCCGCCGTTGATCTACGGCGCCAACCCCAAATACAAGCGTCTCTCCATCCAATTGCCGACCTTGACTCGATTTGCCCTGAAACACGGGTATGCAGGCTACGTGGGCAAGGGTGCATCTGTCTGGTCCGAGATCCACGTCGTGGATCTGGCCCGGGGCTACCTTACACTTTTACACTGGCTCGAACAAACCGACGCTTCCAAGGTGCTCGAAAATCCTTACTTTTTCTGCGAGAACGGACGAGAGTTCGCCTGGAAAGATGCCGTGGCACAGATTGCCAAAGCCTTGCACGCTGCCGGGCGGCTTAAGTCGCCAGAACCCAAGTCGATCCCGGAGAGTGATTTTGACGACCTCTTTGGCAAGTATACAGCGTGGGTGGTTGGATCAAACTCGAGAAGTAGGGCGAACCGGCTGAGGGCGCTAGGATGGGAGCCCAAGGAGAAGGACCTGATGGCATCTTTAGTGGAGGACGAGGTTCCGCTTCTGTGTCAAGAGACGGGCGAGTTTCGTGGGTATGCTGGTGTGGCGGCTTCTGGGGGATCATAGTTCGTTATGAGGTTGGAAAACACCAAATACTATAGTAATGGTTGAAACCTAGCCATACTGTACATCACATCACTTTGTCCCCGCGCTCAATGAATAGTAGCAAATCCAACGTACGACCCAAACGGGAAAGGTCGCACACCTCGGCTATGTTTCCGTTTCCGTAAGTGCGGAGAGCTGCACACGCACTGCGTCATATTCGATGTTGCTGTCGTGTGTCTCAAGAAGTGGTTGGTACACAAACTCGAAGATAAAGATAAGGAGGATCGTCCTCTCTGATCTTCCTTGACACAATCACCCTGGCTTCTCTGGCACATCTGTTTCCCTCCGGACAATGACCACGTCTACAGAGAGATAATGCTGAAAACAGCACTTCGGCGACGGGCTCTGCCCATCTCATTTGTCCAGCGAAGATGGGCAACGCAGAAGACGGAAGAACCGTTTCCTCCCGATATCGACGAGTGGTCACATCCCCCGTCGAATGCCACCATCTCAGATGAGGAGATACAGAGGCTAGCGGCGCTACCTCGCCGGCCTCTGACCCTAGCAGATCTCGTCAGGTACATAGGCTTCGCTCGGCCAACTCGTCGTGGATGACTTCTGACTCCCACCACTGACAGACATGGCAAACCCCCCTTACGAGACTCTGCTCTGCTCTCCTCGGCCAACTTCACCTTGTCCCTCCTCCCGGCTCGCCTTGCACACCGCATCCAAGCTCTGCGAAACCTGCCTTTCATCGTGGTGTCCAACCCCAACGTGTCGAAGATATACAACAACTACCTCCACTCTCTCTCTACCCTGGAACCCTTCTACAAGAAACCCATCGAGACCATTGAAGAGGAGATGAAGTTTACCGAGGCCATGGCCGATCTTGTGCGGACACACTCCAACACCATCCCAGTCCTTGCTCAGGGATTTCTCCAATGCAGAAAATACGTGGACGCGGCAGAAGTCACGCGATTCCTCGACCAACATCTCCGCGCACGGATAGGGACCAGACTCGTCGCCGAACAACACCTGGCCCTCCACATGGCTTCGACGGGTGACGCAGCCAAGCAGAAACCCGACCCGACCCACGTCGGTGTCATCGACCTCGCGCTCCGTCCCGCCGACATCGTCCGCCGGTGTGAGGGCTTCGTCAACGAGGTCTGTGAGTACAAATACGGGGTTCGGCCCTCTTTGATCATCAATGGAGATCAAGATGCAGAATTTGCACACATCCCCATGCACCTGGAATACATTATCACGGAACTGTTGAAGAATGCATTCCGCGCCACGATTGAGAATGGCAATGAGAGGGAGCCCGTTGAAGTCACGATTGCCTCTGCTCCGGACGTACAGACCACGAAGCTGGAATCGTTGAAGAAGCTGTCGGTGAGCAAAGAGAATGCGTATGATTTCTCCCAGGAAGGCCTGGACGAGTACTGCGCTTCAGATGACGACCACATTGTCGGTTCTCTCAACTCTGCCGCCCCGTACATCACCCTGCGCATCCGTGATCGGGGCGGAGGCATCTCACCGGAAGCTTTGCCCAATATCTGGTCATATAGCTTCACCACGTTCAACAACGAAGAAGCCGCGGCGGCCGCCAATGCCGGCGGCAGTGACGGGTCTGACGGTCTCAATGCGATCTCCAACAGTGGGACGAATCAGTCTTCCATCGCCGGGTTGGGGTATGGGCTACCCCTGGGACGTGCTTATGCCGAGTACTTTGGCGGGGGAATCGCCGTGCAGAGCATGTACGGTTGGGGCACGGATGTGTACCTGACGTTGCAGGGTATTGGGAACACGAAGGCACTGAAAGACGCGCCCAACGGTCTCGAGGAGTTGGAGAAGGAGATGAGCGATTAGGGGATTGGGTCAGCAAGCAGCTCCGACGTGGTTTACCGCATCGCTTGCTCCAGGTCTTTACAATTATTTGCCGGCCATGCCTCTGGCGGCAAGGGATCTATGTGTTGGTGATCAAGTAAAGACCGCATGCAGCTTGCCCGAGGCTCTATCCGCCAACCGTTCCTGCATGGGGAGGCCATACATCTCCCTGGCCCAGCGACAACAGATCTTCCTGGTGTCCTTGGGATCTATAATCTCTTCCACGTTGAAGCAGTTCGCCGTCCGCACCGGGTTCATCAACCGGATGTACTCGTCCTCCAGTTCCTTGTACCGCCTCTTCCACCCCTCTTCGCCCTCTTTTTCGCGGATCGTGTTCAGCTCGTGACGGTGGCCGACCTCGATGCCGCCGTCGAGTGGCAAGGACCCCCAATTTCCGGATGGCCACACGATCCGCATCCACGGTTCGCGGCTGTCGAGCATGATGCCGCCGGCGACGCCGTACGCGCGACGAGTCACCACGTTGAAGATCGGGGTGGTGGTGCTGTAGTAGGCTTTGCCGAGCTCGACGCCCCATTTCATGGTGGCGGAACGTTCGGCGACGGTGCCGATGGCGTAGCCAGCTAGGGGAGAGCAGAGAATACGTCAGCACAAAAAGAGGACAGTCAACATGGGTATGTAGAAGCAAGAGACGACGCGGATGTGTATATATATATATGAGCGTGTGCCAGGAGTCGATCCATGAGGCTGGAAAATAAAGGGGAGATGAGTAAAGAATACTTACGGACGTCCACAAACTGCACGATGGGCAAATTGAACACGTCGCAAAACTTCAACATCTTCATCAACTTCTGACTCCCCATGGCGTCCAAGGCACCGGAGTTGACTTCACAGTTCATACTCAGAATGCCGACGGGTCTCCCCCCGAGACGCGCCAGGCCCGTGATGCCGGTCCGGCCCCAAAGGGCGCCGATCTCGAACCACGATCCGCGGTCGACGACCGAGAGGATGATGGTGTAGGGGTTGTACATGCGGGCCTTCTTGCGGGGCACGATGCTGCGCAGGCTCAAGTCTTCGCGGTCGACGGGGTCGCTGGCGGGAATCGTCGGCGGGGGCTGGAACTGTCCGCACTGTGGCAGGTAGGCCAGCACGGTGCGGATCTGGTCGAAGCACTCCTGCTCGTTGGCGGCCAGGTTGTCGATAGTGCCGTTGGTGCAGTGCACGAGGGGCCCGCCCAGGTCGGCGAAGCTGAGCCCCTCCTCGAACGTGGCGCCCTCGACCACCTTGGGCCCGGCGTTGAACAGCGCGCCGATGTCGCCGGCCATGACGCTGAAGTGGGTGGACACGACGCGGGCAGCCCCCAGGCCGATGGCCGGGCCCAGCACCGCCCCTAGGTTCGGGATGCCCATGTTCAGTTGGCGGATCACGGTCGACAGCACCGTCACGTGCGGCATGTACGAGTATCCCTGCGTCATGATGGTCGACACCGATCCGCCCCCCGACGACCCGTCGACCAGCTTGACCACGGGCACCTTGAGCCGCAGCGCCAGCTTCTCGCCGTACAGGGTCTTGATCGACACGGACCCGTCGGCGTGGCCCGAGCGGATGGCAAAGTCGTCGGACGTCAGGTATATCTGGCGCTTGATGCCCGTGCGCGGGCACGTCACCCGCCCGAAGCCCTGCGGGTTGTTGCTGGGGATGAAGGCCGCCACGTGCTCGGCCTGCGGGTTGTGCGCGTCCTTCTCCCAGGTGACGGTGCCGGTGACGGACCCGACCTCGCGCCACGTGTCCGGGTCGAGGAGGGTGGCGATGCGTTCGCGCGACCACAGCTTCCCGGACGTCTTTTGCCGGATGTACCCGCGCGACGACGTGTCGGGCGTCGTGGCGATGCGGCGCAGCGTCGCCACGTGGCCGAGGATGTCGCTGTAGTCGGCAGGCAGATCGGCGGCGGCGGATTTGGGGGAGTTTTTGGATTTGCGCGTCCGTCTTGTGTTCGGTTGTGGTTGTGGTTCAGAGGATGGGGCCGGGGAGATCTGGGAGGTCAGTTGGTGGAGACGGCTGGAGGCTGTCGAGTTGAACTGTGGTTGGGAAGACACTGGGTCCTCTGATGGAGGTAGATGGCCTGTTCCGGACCCGGGAGCACGGGGGTTTTGGGGTTCAGACGAAATAGATCGTGCCTGGCCGTACACAGGGTCGTTGGCGATGGTGTTGTCTGTCCTTGATTGAGACGAGACTGGGTCATCTGCCGTCTGGACCTGGCCAGCTGGCAGTCCCTGTGCTGGTGGACTTGGCGATGCAGACACAGGTTGGGCATAGACGGGGTCACTGAGTGTACCGCCCCTGCTGCTGCGAGACTGAGAATATACAGGGTCGTCTGCTGCCGACACCGTACCCTGTCCCGGGCCGGGGGCTGGAGATTTTGGAGTTGAGGGAGCTGCTTGGGGCTGGCCGTAGACCGGATCATTAACGGTCGTGTTCTCTGTTCTCGACTGGGATGAGACCGGGTCATCTACCGTCTGGACCCGACCAGCTCCTAATCCCTGCGTTGCCCGACCTGGGGATGCAGCAGCGGAGACAGGCTGTGCATAGACGGGGTCACTGAGCGTGCCTCCTCTCACACCCCGAGATTGCGAATACACCGGGTCGTCTGCCGCCGAGATCTTGCCCTGTCCTGGAGCCGGTGCTGGAGAACCGGGCACCGACGAAGCTGCTCGAGGCTGGCCGTATACCGGGTCATTGATCTGGCTTTGCCCTGCGGCGTCGACTTGCGAATAGACCGGATCGTCTTTCCGGGGCCCAGTTCCCGAGCTGGACTTTTTAGAGCCCATAGTTGCTGAACCTATCTGTCGAGTCGTAACGATTTGTTTTTCAACTTCAGCTCCAATGTCCAACTTTCCCTTCGTCGGCTTCTGTGCTCGCCCGATGCTGTGCCGGGGTCGTTCGTCTGGTAGTGAGTGATGTGTGTATACGAACTCGTACACGGGCTACCGGTTTCTGGGTGTAGAAAGAGCAAGATATCCTTCTTCTCTCTGATTTTGACCATGTGAAAATGAGCAAGGGATTATCCGTTCTTTCTTTGAACCCAACTACTACAGTAAACAGCTGTAGTAACCGAGTTAATTAATGTGAATTGTCAGCCTTTTCCCCTTTTTTCTCTCCCCGGCTTTTTTCTTTCGGGGGGGTCAATCCAAAACGGTCCAAAAAGCCGAAAGAAGAAGAAGATGAAGAAGTCTCAAAAGAACCTCGACAGACAGACAGACAGGAGTGTGTGAACGAATAATGCCTAGGTCCGTGGTCCGTGGTCCATGGCCGTACTGAGTAGTGGGTGGTTGTCTGGGGAAAGCTAATCCCTCGTTCGTCGGTTTCTCCCCCCACAAACGTCACAAATCCGGAGAACAGCCTCGGTTCATTTCGTCGCCCCGATGTTGGAGTAACAGGGGAGAGCTCAGCTGCTTGAGGATATCCGAGAACAAGGCCTAGGGCAAGGCCAAGGGCTAGGGTGAGGGACGTGAGAGAATTGTCCCCCGTGAGAAGGGTACTTACTTACTGCTCGAGATATTGTGTGTTGTTGTGTCGTGTCAAGTGGTGGTGCTATATGAGCATTCGATCTTTTCCATTTCGGGCATGTGAACGAGAAAGAAGAAGAGAAGAAGAAGAAGAAGCAGAAACAGAAGAAAGGTCGTGAATGACTCGTGATAGAGCTCTGCTGCACGTTCAAGACCGAAAGACCGAAAGACCGAGACTGGGATAGATCGAGAGATAGAAAGAATCAAAGAAAAGAAAGAAGGGAAGAACAGCACAGGCATCGATCTACCCATCCATCCACCCACTCTTCAACATCAATATGCCACCTCCGCAACGCCCCTTCTCACGCATCCTCGTCGCCAACCGCGGCGAGATCGCCATTCGGATCCTCCAGTCGTGCCATGAACTGCCCGATCCCCCGACCACGTTCGCCATCTACACCGACAGCGACTCGACGCACGTCTCGCTGGGCCGGCCTCACCACGCCATTAAAGCCGCCCACGGTCCCGCGTCGTACACGAACATCGACTACCTGATCGGCCTGGTGCGCGACAACCACATCGACGCCGTGCACCCGGGCTACGGCTTTCTGAGCGAGAGCGCCGAGTTTGCACGCCGCATGTGGGCCGAGGCCCGCTGCGTGGTCGTCGGGCCGGGCTGGGAGGTGCTCGAGCGGACCGGCGACAAGTTGATGGCCAAGGCCCTGGCTGCAGAGTGTGGCGTGCCCGTCCTCACGGCCATGGAGAGCCCGACCGGCCGCGTGGAGGATGTCCGGCGCTTTGCCGCGACCGTCGGGTACCCGTTGATGATCAAGGCCGTGGACGGCGGCGGCGGTCGGGGCATTCGCCTGGTCAAGGGCGAAGACGCCCTGGATAGTGCGGTGCAGCGCTGCGTCGCCGAGTCGCCCAGTCGTCTGGTGTTTGCCGAACAGGCCGCCGTCGAGGGCTACAAGCACATCGAGGTGCAGATCGTGGGCGACGGCCGCGGCGGTGTCACGCACCTGTGGGAACGGGACTGCAGCGTGCAGCGCCGGTTCCAGAAGATCGTCGAGGTGGCGCCGGCGCCCGTGTCGGGACAGGCCCGGACGGCGGTCGTCGCCCAGGTCATCGACTCCGCCGTGCGCATGGCCGCCCGCCTGCAGTACCTGGGCCTGGGCACCTGGGAGTACCTGGTTAACGTGCAGCAGCGCAAGTTCTTCTTCCTCGAAATCAACCCGCGCCTGCAGGTCGAACACACCATCACCGAATGCATCACGGGCGTCGACCTGGTCAAGCAGCAACTGCTCCTCGCTCAAGGACGGCCAAGCACCGCGGATCTCAGGCTGGGAGAGTTGCGGGCGGCCGACACAGTCCCCCCCGCGGCCTCCATCCAGCTGCGCCTCTGCGCCGAAGACCCCCTCGCCGGCTTCTCCCTGAGCATCGGCAAGGTCAGCGACGTGCAGTTCCCGTCCGGCAACGGCGTGCGGGTCGACAGCCACCTGTCGCGCGGCGGAGTGGTCGGGTCCGACTTTGACAACATGATGGCCAAGATCATCGTCACGGCGTCGACCTGGGCCGAGTGCGTGTCCAAGGCGCGGCGCGCCCTGGAAGAGACCAAAGTCGTCGGTGTCAAGACGAACCTCAACCTCCTCAAGGCCATCCTGACCGACAGCACCTTTGCCGCCGGCGCCGCGGACACCAGCTGGCTGGAGCAGAACCTCGACCGCCTCGTGCCCGTGGGAGAACAGCTCGGCAGCGCCACCGAACAACGAGACACCTCTCTTCCCAGCCTCTCCCTGTCCAGCACCGCCCCGGGCTCTGCCGTCGGTGGTGCATCGACGCTCTTCCGCAAAGGCGACGCCTGGACGCTGGTGCTGGAGAACCCCAGCGAGAAATCCTCGAGCGGCATCAAGCCCCCGGCGCACCACCTCGCCATCTCGCGGGTTACGCGCAACGAGTTCCCCACGGCGCTCGTCGCCGACATCTCGTACACGGTGCCGGGGTCGACGCCGCGCGCGTACAAGATGACCATGACCAGCACGACGTCCTCGGCGGGCGCGGCGGCTTCGACGCACCGACGCGGCGACCCGAGCCGGAACACGCACATCGTGCTCCCCATGAGCGGGAAGCTGGTCGAGGTGCTCGTGGACGTGGGCGACGAGGTGCGCGAGAACGACGTCATCGCCTTCGTCAAGCAGATGAAGATGGAGCTGGAGGTCCGCTCGCCCCGCGCCGGCAGGGTCAAGTGGGTGATTGAGATGGAGAACGAGGAGGAAGGGGACGACGTCGCCGAGGGGACGTTGCTGGTCGAGTTGGAGGACGAGGAGCAGAGCCAGGCAAAGAAGCCTGAGGTCCGGTCGATGTTGTGATGAGCTGGGCGAAATAAGGGTGATAGAATAGGGGGGTTTATGTTTTAACCAAGACAGGACATAGAAGAAGAAGGAGGAGGAGAGAGGAAGCATAGTCATTACGTCTCGTCTCCAACGTTGGACCAGACGAATACATACTCCCAGCCACACACACAAAAGAAGCAATTAAAACATCCCACAACTTACTTCTTTCCTGTATCGCTCTCGGAGCACAAAGGCAACCCAACGTATACATACCCATACCCAAAAAAGCCTTATCTCCGCAAGAACTCTTCCACCTCAAACCCAACCCTCCTCTTGGCCTTCTCCCAGTTTTCCATCTCCTTGGCCTGTTGCGGCCCCATCGGGGTCTTGGTGGCTGCTGCTCCCTTTCCGTCTTCACCAGCGGCTGCCAACGAAGCATGCGATCCGGCGATACCCGTCTTGACGATCACCGCCCGAGCATCTTGTAACCGGATCTCGACCCCCGTTCCTCCGGTGTGGGATTGTGACGAAGCCACGCTGGAGATTCTGTCCCGCGCCACAGGATGATTGCCCTGCACGGGTGTCTGCTTGACCACATCCCCACCGTCCGCAGGCTCTTCATCCACTCCTCTGATGATAATGGTGATGTCTGGGCCAACGCTCCCGCGCCACAGCGTGGCAAACCACTGCCAGTGAGCGGGCGGCGAGAAGCCGTCACCGATAGGCATACTGATGGAGCTCGCGTCGACGGTGGTCAGTTGAAAATGTGGAACGATGGCAATAGGGATGACGCCGCCATAAGGGGTACACGAGGTGGGCGAACTGGCGGTGGTCGGTGCCAGTGGCTGAACGGTTGCTGGTCGGGGGACCGAAGATGCTGGTAAGGGGGGTGGAACGAGCGACAGCGGATAAGAGGTCGAGGCGGCTGGGGGCGGAGGTGTCGTGGGCGGCGGGGGAATGCGCTTCGAGTTCAGGGGACGTGGGAAGGTCGGCAGCGGCGGTGTGGCTCGCGAGTCCGACCCGGTCAACTCCTTGCTGGCCCACAAGCCGGGTGTACTGTGACTCCTCCCTTTGTGGCCGACCGGATAGACGAAAGGCGAGTGGATGGACATATCGGCGGCTTTGCTGATAGTCCGGGGTGAAATGGCCGAGTCAAGCTGATCTGTCTTCTGTTCTTCTGTCGCACGAGATGCGTCGGATGCGGTCCCCGACTGCTGGTGATCGTCCGCTTCAGTCATGCGATGGTCCTCGTCTTGGGAATCGAGGACAATGGGAGATAACTGCGTCCCTGTCCTCGGCTTGGAAGAAATGTAGTCGACCATATCCTTGTTGATTTTGTGCCACTGACTCATGATGTCCAAGTACGCGTCGGGTGTCATGCCTCTCTTCCTTCCTTCACCCAGGCTGGTCTTTGCATCACGCATGGTAGAGTATGGATCCGGACCTCCAAAGATCCTCACGGCGAACTTGCCCTCCTTCTCCAACTGTTCGGCGAGAGAGTTGGTCATGCTGTCGACGCTGGCTGCGTCCATGCCCTCGACGGCGATAATGGCCCCTCGAACTTCTGGTTTTGGCGACGTGAGACCGGGTGCCGCCAATGGACCGGAGATCTGCGAGAGAACTTTGATTTTGTTCAAGATCGGGATGGACATAATCATAGCCTCGACGCCGGAGCTCTGAGATTGCGTGGACGGCGTCTTAACCGGAGTCTGCGTCACCAGGGTCTCTATGGGAGGCAAAGCGACGCTCGATCGATTTCTCTGGTGGGAAGGAGGTGGTGGTGGTCGAATTGGCTGCAGCTGCGGTGGGCGAGGGTATGCGGCTCGAGGAGGCGACACCATCTGCGGATTGGCGACCTGCACATGTTGGAGGGCAATCTGTTGAGGGCGCTGCAGGGTCTCTTGACGGGCATAGACACCGCCGGTGGTGGGAGAATGGGCATAAGAGTATGATGCGTCCGGGTACACCTCACGAGCAGGCACATAGACACCGGGGCCGTTGAATCGCCGCCTCTTTGCATCCTGTGACTCTGCAGAAGGGGGAGTCGGCAATGTTTGCGAGGGAGGAGGGACGGCGTAGACCAATCGAGGGTCGACTCGCTGGAAAGTGACATGTTCAGGCGACAGAGCGGGCTGTCCGTGGATTCTCGCGCCTGGCGGTGCCGCACTGACGACGTACCCCCGTTTCGCAGGGACCGTAACAGCCATCGTTGGTCGAGTGGCAGACGTCGGCGGCGGAGTATAGACAGGAGCCGGGTTGCTGTAATAGTTCATTGGCTTTCCTCCACACTTGGGGCACGACTCTTGGGTTTCGGTGGACGAAGGGCCAGATAGAGAGGACTGGTTGCTAACCCGGCCGCTGCGTCGTGGATGGTAACGATAACCGGGATACTGTCGTTGATGGCGAGTTTTCTCTTCCTAAAGAACGTGAGAAGTCAGGGCAAACAAAGGTCTTTGTGTGTGTGATAATCGCGGAAATCTTTATCTCGACGTACTTCCGCAAGCAGATTCCATTCCTCTTTGGCCTCGGCGGACAGACCACGCCATTGTTCGCCAATGATCTTTGATACTTCCGGATTCGGAATCCCGGGATTCTGTGCGATGATACTGGATTGCTGATGTTGACGGAACAAAATAAAGGCTGCCGCAGCGTCAGCATCCCTGCATCCAGGAGAAATGAACAGGGGGGAAACGATATTCTCACAGTTGCGAGGTCTGGGAATCTTGGGACTCGCGGGGCACAAGCAGATATGCTCCCGGGAATGGGTACTTTTGCTCACGGCAGGCTGGATTTCCATGTCCAGAGACCGGCCTCGGCGAGAGGGCGAGATGGACCCAGAGTCACCATTGGCCGTTTTCCGAGGTTGTTCTATATCCTCTTCACGGACAGCGGTAGCAGGATGACTTGAACGTTCAGGAAGCTGGACCGTGGCCCCATCTTGACGAGCAGCACGGCCGGTGGGAGACCGGTCACGAAATAAATGATGCTGGGCGAGGGATGAGCCACGTCGCAATGCCAGGTTATGCCCAGTAGGAGGCTTGGGTAGCAGACGATACCATGCTGGCTGGTTGGGGAGGTGATGGTCACTGGCAGCAGAAGTCATAGCGCAAATAAAGGAATTCTTTGTACTCTGACCATCCAAATTCTTTTCAGGGGTGGAAGTGCGCGAGTGGCAGGGAGAGGAGGAGGGCCACGGGTCTTTGTAGAGCATCAAAGAGAACGTCTGCCATCCTCGCCTCACCTTCTTTCGTGGCTCTTTGTCCTGGGTATGGCATCTCTGACGCGATGCATCGTCAGGAGTCACGGCCATGAGCGATGAGTGAACATGCGAGGCTGGCGACAGGAGGGGTGGTCTTGGTTTGCTTTGTTCCCAGGCGAACGCAACGCGGCAAAATGCGGTACCAATCACCGTGCACCCGAAACAATAAGCTGTGGAATGTAGAGAAGACAAAGAATGAGTTCATTGCTGCCGTCGTCAAGGTGGAGCCCTCTGGAGGTCTTAGGAACGTGGGAGGGCTGGCCGTCCAGTTGCCCGTTGCACAGCTCGTGTTTGATCGGTGCTTCAGGTGCTTGAGGTGCTCAGATTGTCGTCGACTGAGGAGGAGGGAGTGAAAATCTTAGCCGGCCTGGTTCACAATCGGCTGGAATGCCCACGGGTAGTACCCTGGAGACGGCAGTGAACTGTGAAGCTGTCAGTCACTTGAAATTGACCGTTGAGACAAGTCGAAAGCAGCCTGAAGAACATCATGCCCCTGAAGACAGACACCATGGATGGTCACGGACAGCAAGAGGCTACCAGCGGAGGAGGACGAGCAGGATGATGATGATTATGATAATGGGCGATGGGCCAATTGGTCGTCAAAACAGGACTGCCAGTGGACAGGCTGAGGTGAGTCGACTTTGCTTGTTTGTATCAATCCGACGGGACCGGCGGCCGAGGGCCAGTGGGGGAGGCACGGCACTCATGGCGAATTTCATCCTCATCATGACGGTTAGGACAAGAGTAATTAATGTTCGAAAATGAGAATTGGGGCGAGGTGGTCGAGTGGTAGAGTGGTAGAGTAGGTGTCTGAGGTGAAACGAACTTCCCTGCGCTTCCCGCAGGTTTCATATATTTCGTGACTCGTACTCATACACTCATCCTAATCATCATCATTTTGTTCTACCATCCAATGCTCCTACCATGCCATTCCTGCCAAACGAGTTCCCATGCGACGACTTAGAAAACTCCCTTCTCTTCATCCCCCCAAACACCACACCCCCTGTTTCACCCAGCAAAGACACGGACGATACAGTCCACGCAGCCCGTGGCAATGACACAGCGAATCTTGCCTCCTCCCCCACTGTCATCCTTCTTAACAGCAGTGCCTACGCCATTGGTCTCTCCGTTCATGCTTGGTTGGGTGGGAATGTCTGGAGCCCACCGGATACTGGTGATGAAATGTTGGTGCGCATCCTCCAGAACCTTGACACATTTACACTCCTGCGAGAGGTCCCAACATCGGATCGTTTTGTCGTCAGAGATGGAGATCAGATACCGGCCAGCAGGGTGGAAGACCAGCCCCCGGACCCAGTTATCATGTCCCACCAAAGTCTTGTGGCATGTTCCCCGATTGTCCCAAATCTTGATGATCTTGTCTCTTCCTCCCGTCGCGAGAAACTCTCCGCTGCTACTAGCGGGAGGCGGTTTCTTGTAGCCGGCGATGGTAGAGAGATGAGCGTAGGACGAGCTGGGAGCAAAGGCGACACACTCCACCACGTGTTCATGGCCCAGGAAGGTGATCTTGACCTCGCCCGAGTTGGCATCCCACAACCGTGGTATCTGATCATTGCCGGCACTCAGCAACCATCTGCCATCGATCGAGGGGACCACTGCCCGAACCCAATCGCTGTGACCCTTGAGTGTTTTCAGGCAATAACCCGTCGTGACATCCCATATCCGAAGTGTTTTATCTCTTGATGCAGATACCAACGTGTTGCCTGACAGAGGGGCGCCAGCCGCACCCGAAGGAATGAACCGGATAGAAGAGATGGAGTGGTCGTGGCCCGGTAGCGTCCGTATGTTCTTGTATTCATCACTGGGATCCCACAACCGGATAGTGAGGTCGCTGCTGCAGCTGGCCAGAAGCGTGCCTCCTCTGGGACCACCAAAGTCGACATCCAGCACTGCCTTCGTGTGACCTTTGAGTGTCCGTTCAAGCTCTCCCAATTCCCAGTCCCAGATCTTGATCGTAGAGTCATCCGAAGCCGAAGCGAGAGAGGAGAAGATCGGATGGAATGCAACGGCCGTGACAGGATCCCGGTGACCTTGAAGGCTGTGGAGGGCAGGGGCTCGGGGTAACCAGGTCTGGGGGTCGGTCTTTCGGCTGGAGAGGGGTGTAGCAGTCTCGATCTCTTGTTGAAGGGCGGCATTCTTGGCTTCTAGGTCCATGATCTTTTTCTGGAGGCGCACAACTGAAGTCCATTTCTTCTCCAACAGGGTCTCATACTTTTTGGCCGTCACATCGTCAAATGTGTCGGTCAGATTCGTTTCACGTCGCAGGGTATTTGCACTTTCGGTCAGGCCAATCGAGAGCAAGTAGGCGACCATGGACTTGTGTCTAGGAAGAGCAGTGTCAGTGTCAAGGCGCGGGCAAATCGATGGCACGAGACCCTACAGTTCCTCTGCTTGACGAGAAGTCAGGAGCTGGCTCATTGTGGAAATGTCTGGGCTCGGTGCCCCTTGTCCAATGTCTCCAACACCCCTAGATCTTCATGCGATAGCCAGAACAGCACCTTGAAATGAAAAATGGTCCACAAATTCCGTGAAGTATTGGGTGTGTAGATCTCCTTGTCGTGGGTGGGAGGCGATTGTCCATCCACCCGCAGCCACCGTCAACAGCTTCTGTGGCAATGCCAGCTCTGCGTAGAAATGAAGAAGGATGAGGACGTGGTGCTGGTACCCAGAGAACGGGCAGCCGACAAAGACACAATGAAGGATCGAGAAGGCAGAAAGTGTGCAGGGAGACCAGCCTGGTCGTGTGTGTCGTGTGTAAAAGTGCGGCGTCTGTCGTCTGTAGTGTGTAGGTGTGTAGTGAGTCGATTGTGTTGTCATAGGCACAAGCCAATGTTTATTATGTCGCAAACTTCACCCCATCTGCATCTCCAACAACCCACGCAATACTTTTCCCACGCCTAACTGCCTGCGATATCTGGCATATACTCGATCCCACTGTGTCGCATCTCGTGACGTCCCCTACAACAGGCCTTTGACGCGTCGCATACCTTCGAGCTCCCTGGTGGGCATTTGCAGACGCCCTCAGATTACAGTCGCGCCTGCAGTGTCGTTAAGAAGGCCACCGGACTGTATGACACCCACACAACGATAACAATAGGTGAGTGCCTGTCCATCCGAGTCGTCATGTTCCTGGACAATCTGCTCTGGGCACTTTCGCATGGATGCCCTTGACTGATGTTTTCCGATAGCCCGTTTGCGCGTCCCAGGAGAAAGAAACCTTTCCCCAACTTCTTCTCGCGGCTACGGCTGTTCTCCCCTCCTACGATGGCTGATCAAGAGGAAGACTTCTCCCAACTGCCGCTGGTGGATCGGTTCGTGCACAAGAATTGGAAAGCGCGCAAGGGAGGATATAAGGCCGCTATCAAAGTGTTTGAACTCACGCCCGACGAGTCAGACCCCGCCTTTCGACCATTTTTACAAGACCCGAGCCTCTGGAAGTCGGCGGCTGGGGATTCGAATGTTGCCGCTCAGCAAGAAGGACTCGCGGCTCTGTGCGCATTTCTCAAATATGGTGGCCAACAAGCCGCCGTCAAGTCTCGGAACTATGCACTGCAGCCGATCTACGAGAAGGGGTTGGCATCGACAAGACCTCAGGCCAAAGCCAGTGCCCTGGAAGCCCTGCTGCTCTATGTCGAGCTTGACAAGTCTGATCCCGTGATTGAAGAGCTATTGCCCGCCCTCTCCAACAAGCAGCCCAAGATCGTTGCAGCAACTCTGAATGCACTCACCTCTATTTTCCACAACTACGGCGTTAAGATCGTCGAACCCAAGTCTGTTCTGAAAGCTTTACCCAAGGTCTTTGGTCATGCGGATAAGAATGTGAGAGCAGAAGCGCAGAATCTCGCGGTCGAACTCTATCGGTGGCTCAAAGAGGCCATCAAGGTCGTATTCTGGAGCGAACTGAAGCCAGTGCAGCAACAAGACTTGGAAAAGTTGTTTGAAAAAGTCAAGGAAGAGCCGCCGCCGAAGCAGGAACGCCTTACGAGGTCGCAGCAAGCCGCCCTCGCGACAGCAGCTCCAGCAGCCAGCGGTGCGGACGATGAGTACGGGGAAGTGGCTGAAGAAGCAGAAGAGGAAGCCGAATTGAATGCATTTGACTTTGCAGAACCGGTCGATGTCTATCCGAATATCCCCTCCAATTTCCAGGAAATGGTCAGCTCGACGAAGTGGAAGGAACGCAAAGACGCTCTTGATGCACTCTTCAATGTCCTGAACCACCCCAGAATAAAAGAGGCACCATTCGACGATCTAGTCCGGGCGTGCGCAAAGTGTATGAAGGACGCCAACATCGCTGTGGTGACGGTGGCGGCGAACTGCGTTGAAAAGTTGGCATTAGGTCTTAGGAAGTCCTTTGCCAGATACAGATCGACCATCATGTCGCCAATGATGGAGAGGTTCAAAGAAAAGAAGCAGTCTGTGGCAGATGCCCTGGGAGCTGCTCTGGACGCCGTCTTTGCTGCAACATCTCTTAGCGAATGCCTTGAGGAGATTTTGGGCTTCCTACCCAACAAAAACCCCAACGTCAAAGCCGAAACGATAAAGTTCCTCGTCAGATGCTTGCGGACAACCCGAGACGTGCCTTCCAAAGAGGAACAAAAACGCATGGCCGACGCAGCCACGAAACTTTTGACTGAGTCCACCGAAAATATCAGATCTGGCGGCGCTGAAATTCTTGGGACGCTTATGAAGATTATTGGTGAGCGAGCCATGACTCCCTATCTAGATGGACTGGACGACATTCGAAAATCTAAGATCAAGGAGTACTTCGATGCTGCCGAAGTCAAAGCCAAAGAGAAGCCGAAGCCTGCTCCAGCTCCCGCTAAAGCGACCTCTGCCGTTGGCAAGAAAGTGGTGGGAGGTTCGAAGAAACCTGCACCTGGCACGAGAAAAGCTGCACCTGCGCCGGTCGAAGAAGCTACGCCTCTGGCACCCAAACCTACGGCAAAAGCTCTTCCTAAACCAGGGGGACTGGCGCGACCGGGCTTAGCGCAGCCTGCCGGCCTGAAACTCGGCGGGCTCAAGAAACCTGCACCTGGTGGCCTTTCAGTTGGTGTTGGAAGCCCACAGAGACGAGTCATCTCCCCACCAGTGAGCACAGATGGCGACGAAGAGACGACAGCAGCAGTACCGTCTCCATCCAAGTTTGGCATGGGCCGGGGCGGACTTGCTGGCCGACCCTTATCCAGACCGGCAGCTGCTCCACTGTCGCCCCCATCGACAGCACAACCCTCAAACGCCCTTTCAGTGGTAGAGCGAGCAGAGCTAGAAGAACTCCGCGCCGAAAAGGAACGACTGACAGCCTTGACTGACAGTCTTCGCAGCAGCAACGCCAAACTCACCGCCGAAATATCAGAACTTCAGAACCAAAACGCACAGCTGATTGAGGATCATACGCGTGATGTTCTACAGATAAAAGCTAAGGAGACACAACTTGTCCGGGCGAGAAGCGAATGTGATGTTCTAAAAGCGGAGATGGAAAGTGTCAGGAAAGAAAGCGAGCGTTATAAGCGAGAGGTGTCTCGACTCGGCCGTGAGAGCATTGGTCGAGAACGAGAGGACTTGATTCGCAGCCGAGCACTGGACGAAACCTCCAGCTTTGGCAGCGACAGCGGAGCGGGAGCCATATATGAAGACCCTTCATTGAGCAACCGATATCCGACAAACGGAAATGTTCATCCACCGAGGCCCACCAGCACAGCTTTGCATCGGACCGGAAGTTCTGCAAGCACACAAAGTGGACGTGCACAATCGCAATCCAACGGCGCGAAAGCGAGGCCGCAGAGCGGATTTACGTCTCACGGTAATCGTCTCGATCTCAGTCCCAGCGAAGAGAAGGAAAACAACGGGCTGGGGATCGACCCGCTCGGTGCGACGAGGAGAAAGATCAGTCCGCCCTTGATGTCTCACGGAACCAGTGGGAGGTCTAGCCCACAGCGACCTGGTCATACACCTGCATACTCTATGAGCCGAGAAGCTAGTGACTCTGGTCTCTCGGCAGGGCCCGGATCTAGAGAGTCTGGGAACAGACCGGAGGAGAATTGGAAACGGGCGGCGGAAGTGACGAGCCAGTTGAAAGCGAGGATTGAAGCTATGAAGGTAAGTGGACCTCTCCTTGTTCTCTCAACCTTAATGTGCGTTTGTGCCTGAAGCTGACATTGATGTTTTTTAGGCACGACAACAAGGCTTGTCACGGCATTGAACCGAGCTCTCGTGGGTAATTGAAACGGGTTTACTTAGGCTATTAGGAGCACTGCATTGACGATGGAGCAAGCGAGCGGTCCCTTTATTGATTTCCCATTGGGCTTTTTGGTTGATATGCCACGTGAAGACAGAGGATGGCAACCCCGTGGGGAAGTGAACTTTTGGAAATCTGGGTTGTTTGATGTACAGCGCGTAGTTCATCGGTCATTGCATTGCCCTGCGATGGACGGCCAAGTATTTTTGGAGTCGACCACCAAGGGCTTCATCCGATAATTTGCGCTGCACCCTTTGAACCTGAGAACTGGCAGTCGGAGACCGACTCGACCTGGCACTGTTGTATTAATGAAGCCGTCCTTCCCCTGGAAAGACGGAGTGGAGCCCGAACCGGCACCAACAACTAATACCGGGGGAGCATGGACCATCGGGTTTGACTTTTGTCATAATATCTACCTGCCCAGTCTGTAGACTTACCGCGAAGAGACAAGACAGAGACGAAGACGGAGACGGAGACGGAGAGCGTGTCCTGCAGCGCTAGCTAGCGCCCATCCACACTGACGTTGAATTCTCAAACAGCCCGTAGAGAGGAAGGAAGTGCATTTAGGTTAAGGGGGGATAGAAACAAGAAAGAGATAGACGAGGGAGAAGAAGGAGGACACGCACGGAGGGAAACGGAAAGAAGAAGAAAAAGCAAGATGTTGAGAAGAGCAAGGAGTGATATCACTACCGTCCATCCATCCAAGGACAGCGAGCTGAGCGAGGAGAACAAGGAGAACAAGGAGGAGGAGGACGACGACGAAGGCTTGCGCATGCATGCATGCATGTTTGCATGTCCGAATTTTCTTTTCTTTGTGTCTTCATCACAGTATCTGAATTCCTCAAGAGAGCGAGTGACCGAGCCGCCATATTGTGTGCATGTGACCATGATGCGTGCGTGACCTTGAACTTGATGAACCATGAAATCATGATCATGATTGGGCGCCTGCCTCGGGGTTGTGCACGCAAGCAAACAACACACGACACGCACTTTGACAGATACATAGGTTTGTTTGTACCTAGCGAACTAGAGCTCGGTAGGCGGTTATCGACAGAGAGTCAAAAGGTGTGGCGGCTCCTGCATCAAACCCTGGCTGGCTCCTTGCATGAGAACTGTTCGGCCATATGGAAGCTCGCAGGAAAATAAAGGCTTTGTTTGGCAACCACAGTTCTGGTCTCCGGTGTTGATCTCTCGTTTCAAAACGCGTTGTTGGTCAGCTGTGATGCCCACTCTTCTTTTCTTTTCTCAATATCCCATCTAGCATGAATGTCCTGGCACAACTTGGGTGCAATCGTGAAGGCCATTACTTTCACACACAAGTCGCATGTATTTTTGAAACTTCCCAAGGTGCGGAAAGAACAGCAGAGCAAAAAGAGGGGGAGCGAATCAAGTGGCTTAGATCTTGATGGCACTCTCGATCGCCTTCCTCTTCTTCTCCGTACGTGCAACGGCCTTGACACCCATGATGCCACCACCCCAGTGTCTCCGGTGCTCCTCGTACTTGTTGGCGTAGCCCTCGTTGATGGTGTTGACCAGCTTGGACAACTCTGACTTATCCTCGCCCTTGACTTCCGTCAGGGCCAGTACGGCGGCGGTCTTCTTGTGGACCACGGTGCCGAGACGGGCTTTGCCCTTGATGATGGCGTAGGGAACACCCATCTTTCGGCAGAGAGCAGGAAGGAAGACAACAAGCTCGATGGGATCGACGTCATTCGGGATCAGGACCAGCGAGGCTTTCTTGGCTTCGATGAGACCGACGACGTGGTTGAGGCCGTATTTGACCGTGTAGGGTTTCTATTGTGACCAATGAGTATTCGGATAATTCAACAGTGAGTCTGGAGTACACACCTTGCTCACGTCCTCCTTCTTCTTTCCCTCTTGCACAGCGGTGGCCTCCTGGTGCAGTCTCTCTTTCTTCTGGACCTTGGTTTCAGGGCGGTACTTGTTCAAGAGCTTGAAGCATTGCGCCGCGGTGTTCCGGTCGAGAGTGTTCTGAAACTGAGCAATCGCAGGGGGAACCTTGAGGCGCATGTTCAAAATCTTCTTCTGGCGTTGCAGGCGGATGTACTCTGGCCATCTATCCTTCTGTCAGATCTCCTCCAAGTGTAGTAGACATATCCACAAGGTGTTCGTACTTGACCATGCGAGAGAGGTTGCGCTTAGGCTGGACATCTTGACCAATGCCGAAGTTTCGGGGACGCTTCTCGAGGAGAGGGTTCTACGACGCCACAGGTCAGCAAGTCAACTCAGTCCGCTTCTTACCAATGGCACAGTCCACGATCTCGCAGACAATGAAGGGTTTAGAGAACAAGAATGAGAGTAGGTACGTACCTTGGCAGCCTTTTTGTTAGCACCGGCCTTTCCTTGCGGAAAAGGCGCAGGCGCGGGTTTCTTCCCCTTGGGTGGCTGTCATTGAGCAAAGAAAACGTCAGTAAACATCCTCCCACTGACATGAATGTTTTCTTTAAACTCTAAGGAGAAGAAGGGACGCTCAAGCAGTGGCTGGCTGCATCTGAGATTCTTCTTCTCCAGCCGAACTCATCACCGAGAATCGAGCAAGGAGACACAGAAAGCGTGGAAATCCATTGACCGAGTCCCTCAGCAGGGGGCCAGGATACAGGATCGTTTTCCATGCTCAAAATGTCCCCAGGCAAATTCTGGCGGAAAATATCTTCGCACATCGAGCAGGGTGCCCCGTCCACCGAGGGCGAACCCCAGAGCGCGGGCGGTAGGACGGCTGAGGAAGTGAGAGACGATGGTTTAGCTTACCATTTTGTCGACTGAGGGAGCGAAGTTTGACTTGCAAGAAGTACAACGCAAGAAGTGGTTTGAGGGAGGAAGTGTAAATCACAGTCTCAATCAATGAAAAAATGTGGAAGTTCGACGTGCGGGCTGTCCAAAAGAGGAAAGGTCCAGTCTTGGCAGTGGTCCTCGGCTTGGCAAAAGACGATTGGCCACGGTCGTGGCTGCAACATGAGACTCGGGATGCACCAATATTTACAGGTAGACGAGAAAGGCAAATGAACAGACGGGTGGAACCAACACGGAGCAGTCATGGCATGATACTTTTATCAACTAAGCTAAAGGTGATCTATCTATGCATATGGTCTCCAGTGACGCTCCCGACCAAGAATCCGAGATCTGCACATCTCAGCCCAGGCCCAGGTCACCATCAGTATGGGGTGCCATCCATGGTGGTCGTCATAGTGCTGTCAATTTTGCGAGTGTCTTTGCACCAGCCCGAACCCTACAACATCTTATGGTGGTGCTCTGTAGACCTCTTGAGTCGCTCTGAGAAAGGCATCCAGTCGCAGAAATGCCACGCATATCACTGCCCAACCTTGTTCACCATTAACAACCCGTTCCAGGCACGTTTTTGCCTTCCCTCATATCATACCGAGCAAGCCCCCCGATCACGCGAAACCGAAATAATCAGCGCCGAGATTAATTGCCGTCATCAAGTTGTTCTTGAGAGTATCATAGTCATCGTAAGCGGGCAAATCAAGCTGGTTGAAACAAGTGTGGCTCGTTGGCAGGCGAGATTGACTCGGATCCCTGTGGCAAATTTCGTTAGTATCTGTGTAGAGGTGCCAGAAGGTATTTGGCAGACTTACTTGTGTATACTAAACAAAGTATTGCCTTGCATTCCTTCAAGATCCTTGAAGCCATTGAGAGGGACTTTGCTGGTGCCAGTGACGAATTGTAACAACTTCGCTCGTTCTTCATTACTCATTCCGCGAACAATGCGCCAGAACCACGTAACTTGAGGGCTGTTCGCAGTGTAGTTGTGATATTCGGTATGGGCTCTCCAGTCGTCCACATCAATCTCTGGCAGCCCAGAGATGAGCAATTCGAGTTCTTGCTCATCGAAGATCGCGATGAGTTCTGCGGGGATGATGTCGTGGAAACCCTTGACGAAATTCTCGAGCTGGTCTTTCACCGAGGTTGTGAGGCGATAGCGAACCTGAGCGTTGACGTAGTCTCTCTTGTTCTCCTCCGTCACTGGGATATTTCGGCCATTTGGAATGAGATCCACGATCTTCTCCTCGCCAAATTGCTCCTCAACCACAGAAAAGTCTTCTGTAATGACGTCGGTGATGTCGTTCTCCAGGATCCAAACCAAGCTCTTGTAGTAGTCAAGGTCCATAGACTCAAGATCTTTCAGATTGGGTTCCTTTCCGAGAAGCCGCTTGTAAACAGCCCGACTGAAATGGCAGTCAAGGACGCGTCCCTCGTGTAAGGCCTTTCCGATGATGCGACCGATGAACTTGAAGTAGAGAAGGTGTTCACCATTGATCCAACTCAGAGGGTTGGGGTGGAATGTGGTGCGGTCGGCTGCCACAGGCTGCCACAATGCCCAATCCGGATTGAACATGCCTCGTGCAAGAACTTGAAACCATTCTCTAGTGACACCACCTGCATCAACGCCTTCTTCGCCGTTGAAACGAATATTGAGTTTACCATATTTCATTTCCTCGGCGGACTTGAAGTACAAGGCCTTGTAAGAATCCAGGAAAACTTGACTGCGGCGGACGTTGAGCTGGAGAGGAGGTTGAATATGACGTTGCTGGTGCAGTCTAGAATGAATCTGCTTGGTGAAGTAGGCTCGCTTGTTGTCAAAATCGAGGACTTTGGGGTTCTTTACCAAGAGGCTGAAGCTTCCATTTCCTTGCATCAGCTTGGGAGACTGACGAATGATGTCATTGAGAATCTTCCGATGTTCAGTGGTGAAGTTGAAGAATAATTCCTGAAGGTCGTCCATGGCTTCTGGTGCAGGACTTCCAGGCACCTGTTCTCTGATTTGACGGGCTAGAACCGAATCTTTGAGAGAGGTGTTCTTACAGACCACCATCAAGGATTCGATGAGGGGAAGTAGTATTGTAGCAAAGCTGGTAATGTTGTCCTTATCGCGAGCGGTTGTCAAACATTCACTCAACTTGTCCCATAGCGGCCGCAGCGCGAGGCTTTCGTACGAGGATGTGAGGATACTCTTTGCAACGGTGTTTCCTTCATGTTCCTCATTCTCGGCCTTGGGCGCAGACAGATAGTCTAATGCCTGGAGAACGCGCAAGAGCTTGACTTGATCAGAGCCACCGTGTGAAAATTTTGTTGAAGAGAGCACATGGAGGTCTGTGATCGACTGCGCCTCTTTGAGCTGCGGAATCAGCTCCTCTAGGTCTTTGCAGATGGATTCTGAAAGTTCTCTAATGTGATGAATCAACTCTTTGCTGAACACCGCGGAGGTGCCGGGAACATACGAGAGACTCGACAGCGTCTCCAGGGTAGAGTGGAAAGTGTCGCTATTGCATTCTGGAGCAACGAAGATGCTCACAACAAGTTTCAAGTTGTGTTCTGAGATCTCGGGGGGTTCGAAAGCCTTCTTGGGCTTTGCCCCATCGGTAGTTGACTCTTCATTGCTGGCGTCGGCGTTGTCATTCGTCCCCGTCTCGGCTGGCTCAGATTGTTGAGCCGCACTTGCAGAAGCCTCACTCTCTTCGTTGGTAGCAGAGTGTACCGGGGCGTCTTGAATCTCAACATCGGCCTGTTGTTGAGCTGGTTGGGCTACTTCAACAGTGGCACTAGCAGAAGCCTCTTCTGTACCTCCGCCCTGAGGTTTGGTCGGCTTCTCCTCATCAGTAGCTTTCTCTTTATCCTTCTTCAATAGATTCGGCAAAGGCAATGTTACAGCAGACAAGAGTTCAGCAAGTGATTGAAGACAAGATGAGCTTTCCACAATCAATTTCCGGTCGAGAAGGCTAATCAAGTCGTTGATGGGATATCTGACTTCCTTGACATCCTTGGCCTTTCCTTTACCTTTCCTTGAGGCTAGACCAGCGTCGCTTTCGCGGAGAAAAATGATTCGGCTGTTATAGATGGTCTGGCAAAGCTGCTTCAAGGCAGAAAGACACTGCTGCACGACCACAAGAGGAGTAACCTCATCGCTGATGGTACTTGCAGCCTGCATTGAAAGCGTGCGCTTAAGTGGCTGAGGTGTTTTCTGTCCAACGGTCGCCTTCGCCCTTAACGATAGATTGGCAAGACTGCGCTCGACAGCCGTTACATCCGTTGAGCCTTCTTTCAGAATGAGGAGGAGAAGATTGACAACTTCTGATCGAGTTTGTCGATTTCCGCAGATATTGCGGAGGATAGCCCACAAATTTGTGCGGAGCGAGCCTTGTTGGGGCAGAAACATAAGGCGCAACAGAGTTGCAACCCCAGACTTGTCAACCATTTGAATAATCTGCCGCTTGCCATCGCGGTGACCTGCATCATCGCCCGAACGGTCTTCACGAGCGCCTGCATCGGTCCTGACATACTGATACAGACGTCTGGCATGTGCCCGACCTTCTTCAGCGTGACGGGGATCAAGCTGCCGCAAAACCTCGGGTGGTTGTTCTGCAAGTATTACACGACGGAAAGCAGGGTCGAGAGTAGCCAAGAAGTTATCGCTGTCCATTTCTTCGGCCTGGGCGTTTCCGCCATTTGCTGCAGCTTGTCTGCGTGCTTCCTCACGCTCGCGTCGACGTTGTGCGTGAGCTTCTTGTTGCCGTATCTCTTCTCGGATTTCTTCCGGTAGAGCGTTGAGGAAATCTGGATCAATGCCAGACGTGCTCGTCCCTTCTTGACGAGCTTCTTCACGCCGGGTAGCATACTGCTGCATGATGACCTCTTCGCGGAGTTCCTCTGGTAGTGCTTCCAAATACTCGATATCGATCGCCAGCCCCGTTATGTCGATCTGCCGGCCTCTAATGGTGGTGAAAACGCGAGGTTGCGAGTCAGTTGCTGTTGAAGTCGAGGCTGCATTATCAGTGGTCTCTTGCGCAGTTATTCCATCTGTATCTTGTACGTCCTCCATCGGAACTGTGTCGCCGTCTTCATGCTCATCTTCGTCCTCCTGGGATCCAGCCTCGGCGGCTGCTGCGGCCTCAGCTTCAGCCTCGACCCGTAGACGCTCTTCTTCGCGCTCCTCGGCTTCTTTCTTTTGACGATGTTCTTCCACTTGCATTTTTTCCATTTCTTCACGTTGTGCCTGGCGTTCCTGTTCTCGCTTACGTCTGGCTTCTTTCTCCTCCTGTTGAGCAAATGGAACCATAACCGACATGAGCCAAATTTGGACACGCTGGATCTTTTCCACGTAGGTAGTACCATAGAGAAGCCGCACTTCTTCTTGCCACCGTTGCATGGTGGGCAAGGGAATAAAGTTGTTTCCGCGCTGGGAGTCGTCGCGGGAAACGTGACGGTGATGGCGTGAATCCCACCCAGCCGGTGGCCAGGGGTCTCGGAAGTCTGTAAGAGGCCCAGGAATGCGGACTTGGACTCGGCCACTACCCAGCTCGCCACGCTGAAGAGCCGAGAAGATGGCATCAAGTACCGCACCGTGCCCGCCTATTCCGTGCGCACCCATGGTGTGGATAGTAGCCTGAAGAGGGGGGCCAGGCACGCCTGGGAGCATCTCAAGCCCAGGTGGAAGTATAATGCTGGCACCACCCAAGTGTTCTGTTCTTTGTCGTGGTTCTGGCTGAGGTCTTCGTAACAGAGGGTTTGTACCATCATCGCTGGGCCTAACATGGCCCGCCATACGTCCCGAGCGGCCAGATGGATTGAGATCGTCGCGGGTTTCAACCCGCCTATTCAGGCGACTCCAGACAGAGCCACCAAGCGGACGATGTCGGCGCATAAGGGGCGGATGGTCCCATGTCAGTTGGCGGTGCTGCTCGATGAAGTCACGGGCACCGCCAGCTAGGAAGTGGTCAATGTCGCCATACTCCATCCCGTCCATCTCATCCATCTCATCGCCGTCTTCGTCATCCTCTTCGTCATCCTCTTCGTCCTCGTCCTCATCCTCGTCCACATCCTCTGCTGGGAACATTCCCATTAGAGGAGGTGGAACAATATTTGGATCTACCGTAGGACGAGATCGAATGGCAGTCCTGGGAGGCCGGACTGGATTGTCGCCTTGTACTATTCCTCTCATTGGAGCATCAAGGTCGTGGTCGCCCAAAACCCGAAGAAGATTGCTAAGAACACCTGCTGACGCGGGCGTGCCATTGTCACCATCCTGTTCAGCAGTAATAGGCATCATGCCAGGGTAGAGGTCTGCGATGCGATGTCGTTCCTCAGCACTTTCTGTATCATCGCCGTCGTCGTCTTCGTCCTCGTCTTCCCATGCTCCTTCTTCGTCTTCTGGCCCTTCATTGAGACTGTTGTTCTCATCGTCTCCATTGATTTCACCAGCGTCTTCGTCTTCACCAATCTCGAAGTCTTCTCCGTCTTCGTCCTCGTCGTCATCGTCGTCGTCTTCGTCGGACTGGTCATCGTCGTCGTCGTCGTCGTCTTCATCAACGTCCGAGTCGACATCCATGTGAGGATCATTGACTACGAATTCAATATCCATCGGTACATCACCCGGAAGGCCCTCTATTTCACCATCTGGCCCCATTTCACCTTCTTCATCGCTGACTGCTTCGTCATCGTTTCCGCCTGCAACAAGAGCGTCGTCGTACTCCATTTCATCCTCGTACGCCTCGTCATACATCTCTTCATCCTCATCTTCTTCATCCGTCGCAGAGTCGGACCCAGGATCCCGATTAGGATCCAGTAAGCCGAGGGCGGAGTTTCGGAAAAGGTCAGGGGTCTCTTCCCGCTCTTCGTCGACATCTGAAACGGAAGAGGCAGATGAGATCACGTCGTCAGCAGCCGTGTTCCAAGCCACGGAGTTCAAAAGATCAGGTGAGGTGACGCTGAGTTGGGTAGCCAATTGGGTGAGCTCCTGTAACGGACGCAGGATGAACTTGATCACTCTCTTGGAGCCAGGGTATGCGAGGTCGATCTCTGTGAGTGAACTGGTCAAGACCGAGATGAGGTTCTTCTCGAACATCATCCGAGCAAGCACCTTGTATGAAGTATTCCAGGAGCCAGCGGAGCCATCGGGGACGGCGGGTTTTGTCAAGAGACGATGGAACATGTCGGAGAGACACAACAATCGACTGTACTTCATCTGAAGAGATTCGTTCGACGAGATTGCATCCTTGTACGCTTTGATGGCGTGCTCAAGGACAAAGCGGCGCACAAATGTAAGGTCTGGTTCATTGTCAATATCCTCGATATGCGACTGCGTCACGTATCTTTGATGATTAGAGGCAGTCATGCCCGCTTCCCCTGTCTTGGAACATAGGGCCACGATAACCCGGATGGCCCAGTCACTAGTGTGCAATTTCTTCTTGAATTGGAGCGAATCATCCTTGTCAACATAGCAAGACGGAATCAGTCCGTTGAGGAAGTAGTTGAGAATTCCAGAACGGGGCTTCGACGGCGTGACTGCCATTGGGTCGGCCTTGCGAGAGAAGTTGATAAATTCGATCTTGGTACGGTTGTAAGAGTGAAGAAGCTCGGTCAAGTTGTACATCAAGAAGCATCGGTAGGAGAAGATTGGGTGCTCCTCAGGTTTGAACTTCGTTTTCTCTGGCTTCGGCTGCATACCGTCAACGACAGGCCGCTCAGACGAATCTGCTGTGGCGGTCCGTTGATCTGGATTTGATGTTCCGTTTACAGTTGAACTCGCTGGAGCCACAACTGGGATTTCCTTGTCTTCGACGTCCTTGTAATTCAATAATTCCGACAGGATGAAGTGGATGACTCCATCCGGGTGCTCCACAACTGGAGGCTTCAGTTCGGGTGCCTTACCTTTGCTACCGTCTTCCATGGGATCTTGAGAGGCCTCGACACTGGCTGTTGGTTGCGTAGGGTCGATTCTGTTTTCGTCGTGTGTCTGATCTTTAACACCCTCCTCACCTTGGTTATGTAGCTTGGGCTCATCGGTCCCTTTCAAAACCAGAGGGGCCACACCCCCAGCGTGTGGCTGCCATGAAGACAATTTGACAACCTCATTTGTCGTTTCGACAAACATAGATGGCGAGCGTAACACAAGGTGGTACAATTCTCGAACGTAGCTATTGGTATCTGGTTGTCGCGTCGCAGTGCGAGAGTTGAAAAGAACTCTGATCTCGCTGCGCATGATTTGTTTCAAGGTTGCATCATCTTCGATAATATGTCGTAGAATGAGCATAAAACAACTCTGCAATCGATGCCCCACTCCATTGGTAAGCTGCTTAACCATGAGGAAGAGTCTCTGGAGGTTTCGCTTCTCAGCTAGTCTGCTAGCAATTTCTCGGGTTCTCGTGAGGCCAACTAGAACTCGAGTAATGGCCAAAGCCATACTTTTGTCCTTGCCGACGCGCGGAAGGAGGTTCACGAGTCCATCGAAGAGTTTATGTTTATCTTCCATGCTGATCACAGAAACCGACGTAAGCACAGCTTTCGTGACAGAATCAACGTCCGTGGGTGGTTCCCACCGGACCTGTGCAGGCTCACAATCCTTGGAGAGCATCTTCTCAACAATCAACAAGATGGGGGCCACCCATGGGAAAGAGGCTTCATCAGTCCGGCCATCTGACACTGGAAGATTCAAGAACGAAAGGAGGCCCTCGAATGAGTCTTGGAATATACCGAGTGCCTCTTTGAATACTTCCCCGTCCTGGATAATGAGAGCAACCAGATGCGCTGCAGCGGCGATCTTTTTCCCCCGTGTTTCGTCGAATTCGTTTTCTCCTTGCATGGACAATAATGAGCTGGTGAGAAGATCCACCGTCGTTCTCCAATATTCAGTAGCTTGGTCTTCGCTCAACTTCTTTGTTGCACTGACCATGAGGTCGGAAAGCTCAAAAGTTAAATTCGGGTGATTCTCGAGAATATTATTGCACCGCTCTGCGAGATCCTCTCTAATAAGTGCCCGCTGTGCGTTGATTGATTGAACAGAGTAGGAATGTGGTAAATCCGGCTCTGGAGAATGCGGGGCCTCTCGTTCAGGCTCACTGTCGTTGTTGAGGAGATTGCTGATGTCCATTGCAGAAGAAACACTCGTCGCAGGATGATCCGCAGGTCGTGACGTGGTGGCAGTCTGATTAGAGGCGGTGACATCTTCCATTTCGTTGTCTTCCATAGCTTGATTCACGTTTGGAGGCAGAGTGTGGACCGCCCCTAGTGAATTCCAGCCATAAATAGTCTGTCGCACAGAGGGAAGCATATTGTGATCCGCCCCTGGTGAATTCCAACCCGAAGATGAGTGCGAGTTTGTTGGCGGAGTCGCAACACCAGGCATATTACCAGGAGCGGCTGTGGGATCAGTATCTCTACCAGGGACCGGTAGTCGTCGCCGGCGAGGATTTGCCAAAAGTGCTCGGCAGTACTCTTCTGCTGGCGTGTAGATATTTGGTCCTTGGGCATTCGACCGGTACAGAGCCTCACGAACAAGTTCTTCATTATAGCCCTTCTCCTTCAGAATGTTGATCTTCGATGGGTCAAACTCCAGTCTTCTCGGCGCAAACGGTGCCAGGGTAGGATGACTAGTATCAGTCTGAACTGCTTCCGCCTCAAGGTCACCAGTGAACACGTGCTTCAGGATCGAGACCAGCCTCTGCACGACGTCTTTGGATGCTTGATCCGCGTATTCACTCGCCCAGATCAAACGCGTTAGCGGGAGCGCTTCCATCCGGAGGTTGAGTAGTGCTTGAGCTGGAATGAAGTAGCATGGTCTGAGAGGGTCAGGAGTCTTCATGTTATTCGACTGTGCCGACTCGATTATGTACTTCGAATCCGTAAATTCCTCCAGGATGTCGAGACAGATTTTGAGACCTGTGTTTGCTGAAAAGATGGCATGCTCGACCTTGCATGACTTCAATTTGTCGAAGAAGTCCGTGCCGATCTCTGTCAGAGCCTTGATACCCCCAGCCTTGCGGAATGCTTCAACAACGAACCCTTGACGGGCTGGGTGTGTTGGAATGGGTCCTGACGGCGAATTACTATCGTCGTAGAAGCTTCGCCGGACATTGTCTAGGGCGATCACAAGGTAAGTAAAGCGGGGTTCAGTATCCTCCGCGTCCCCGTTTGGCGTCGTCTTCGGATGGAGAAAGTATGGTTTAAGTTGGGTCAGATAGGCTGACGCGAGTGCATTTGCGACCAAGGACGCCTTCTGTTTGGCAAAGTTGTCTGCGCGACGCCGGCCAACGATGTTGCGGCCAAGTCGACACAGAAAGTCTGTGATAGCATCAGGAGTCTCAATCAACAGAAAGCGCAGAGTTTGAACATTCTTGAAAAATGGCGTCTGTTGATCCTGACTGAGTGTGGCGGGATCTGGCACGGAGACTGCTGTACCATCTCCATTTTCAGGTGTCGACTGGTCAGGTTGGCGAGAGGTGATGTCACGAACATTGAAGAGCCTGTCTACTTCCTCGTCACCAGTTGAAAATTGTTCAGGTCGTGTTGCTGAAATCCAGGATTCAGGGATCGAGCGCTGTAGCGCAACATCCTCGCGATAGCAGGCCGCTGAGATAGCCCCCATCATTTCGGCAACCTCGGCAAAAACATCCTCCAGGTTCACCACACCGAACAGGAAGTTCTGCATATGTCTCTGGTTATAGACCGGGTGGTTGAAGATCTCACTTAAAACCTGAGCAAGACAAAAGACGGCCATCAGGCTTCTGACTATGCGAGTCCCCTTCATCTCCACCTCAGACAGTTGGGGAGCGAGGCCCTTTCCCGTACCCCCGGTGCCTGGCGCAGCTTTGACTAGAGGGCCAAAATAGCAAGACCAATCGTTGGGTTGACATTGGCTGAAGTGCTTGAGCTCTGAACAAGCGAACCGTGCTCGGTCGACAAGAGCTGGGAGGACGACGTGCGGCTTGGTCTCTGCCATCATGTGAACAGTCGCGGCCAGTTCCTGTAACATACCTCCGTGTCTTTCGAAAGGTTGGGTTGCAACCGGCAGGCTGGGTAATGTGATGAAGTCCAACACAAGATCGCACCCACCGTGCTCCAGGAAACCAGTGCAATGAGCCTGGTGCTCGAAGAAAGTCATCAAGAACCCAATCGCAGGTCTAACATAATCACTCGCCGTCAGCCCATGGTCATCTTCATCACTTGGCGTTCCGGCAACATTGCTTGGGGGAAGTATCTCATCTTCCAGAATCAGTTTGTCGCCATTCGGCAGTTCAATCTTTCTGACAGACCAAGGTATGTCGGCAGCTGTTGAGACCGGCGGCAGAATCTCCAATGAAAGAGCCTCGACTCCACCACAGGGGACAAGCTCATCCTCTACACCAAGCCACAGCTTTACTCCTGCGCCAAAGTTGACGGAGAATGACCTCCCTATATGCCGCACACGACCAAGCATGATCATCACCGCGCTCAAAACCGAAGTACGCAGGTTTGGGTGGTGTCTGACGAGCTCATCGAACGTGGAACCGAGCATTGCCAGGATATTTGCATCATTGAGCACCTTGACATGTGGGGGTGACTCGAAGATCTCGAAGAACTTTTCCAGAGCACCAGAAGATTTGAATAAGTCGAAGCCAGCATTCGTGAGACAAATGGCGCCAAAGGCCTGGGATACACTGACAATTGCATCCACAACAGGTGGAATGCCTTGTGGCCGATTTTCAGGAACCGACGATATAGACTTTGACCGCTTCTGGTTCGCTGGACTTTCTGGGAGATGCGGTGACGGATTGACAGTGTTGAGGATGCTCTGAATGATACCTGCTTCGGATATCACTGTGTAGCTTGTTGGCTCATTGTGGAGAAATCCACAGATCGCCTTAATGACTTCGCTCCATGTATGCGCACCAAAAGCGGTCAGGTGATCAAGAATAAGTCGGAAGGCACGGAGCAAAGCTTGGGAATCGACCAGACTTCTCAAGACTCGATCAGCCTGTTGACCCTGATGACCGCTGATGTCATTGATCATATCAACGATGGATCGAATTATTTGCTGATGCGTGTATGGAATGTCATATTCCACAGCACGCGTCTTGTACTGTGCTGGTATCCCTTCGCCAGCATTGACCAGATCCCAAGCACTTGTCACAAGGCTACTCAAGAGGTTACAAACGGCCTCGAAAGCATTGTTGCTCCATAAGGTCGCCAAGCCATCTTTGAAATGATGGAAGAAGGTTTTGATGAAGTCCAGCATCCGCGTGTGCACCCTCGTGGCCTTTGACGTTGTAAGATTGAAACCGGAGAGGTACAAGGTGACAAAGCTTGAAGGGATGACCGCTTCGCTGGAGCGTCCGTGGTGTCCAGACGCCTCAATGAGCGTCCTAGGCAAGCAGAAGATTGCCTCTCTCCAATCGTCACCAGACACGTTGTCAGTATCGTCGTTGTCATTAGCAATGTCGTTCAAGCCTTTCTGGGTCAACTGAGCAAGGAGTCCTTGACTTGATCCTGCACCCAACGCCGCGTGGATCTCGGAAGCAAAAGATTTGGTGCGTGCTAGGACAGACATCGTCTCCATGGCCAAAGTTTGAAGATAGAGCGAGACGCTGATGTGGCTTTTCTTGGTCTCATGGAGAAGTCCAACAACCTGCTGGATGAATTCCTGGGGTTTCTCGACCGAGAACAGTTTCTGCGTGAGGTCCGGTTCGACAAAGACATTGGCCAAACTGGCAATAGCCAAGAGTCGCACCGCCAATAGCTCCTTCCGCGTCTTCGAGGAGGTGATCAAAGCATAGGCGACACGAAGCTGATGCAGCAGCTCGTATCGAACCTTTGGCGGCATATCGTCGGCCAGGTGGTCGTGCAATATCGCCTCAATGGTGGTGGCTGAAAGGTCGGAGGGAGAAAATTCGAGAATCCTCAAGTTTTTACTCGCTTCACCTGGTGCATGGACAACTCTACTACTGCCAATCTCGTTAGAGGAGCCGTTGGTATTCGTCGTATCGAGTCCCATCGATGCCGGGCGAGTGCGTGTAGGCGTAGGTGGGGGCTCTGATGATTGTGATGCTTCAACAGAGCGAGACTCGTGTTCCGAACTTGAGGTTTCCCACCAGACTCTAACGGGCTGAGCCCATGCAGACAAATCTCGATCAAGTCCAGTTGATGAAGATTTCCCGCGGTCACCCTGTGGTGGGATTTCCTTGCAAAGAGACCGGAAGTCATTTGGATTGAATGCAGTCGAGCCGCGCCTCGATTTGCCGCCGCTGTGCTGGATTTTCTCTCTGGACTTGGTCTTGACTGGAGACGGTGGTCCACGCTTGGGGTTTGTTGGGAGCGGTCCAAACGGCGCAGCCAGTCTCAAGATGCGCTCATGATCGAAATCAAGAAATTTCGGCGAATGAGGAGGGCGAGTGCTCCCGTACCGCTGTGCCACGAGAAAGGTGATTTGCAGAGTGGAGTGCAGTAGCGACAGTGAAGTGGTATGTAACAAATCATTCAAGCGGTCTGTGCTATTGTAGACAAGTCGATTCACACAGTTTTCCACCAGAAGCTTGGAAAATGCCAGGATAGCCTCGACCAGTTCTCTGTCGCCTTCTGGGCCAAATCCTCGCTCTTTTAGACCCTGCTCATTGATCCCAGGGCTCCCCTCAAGTACCAGTGACGAGCCGAACGGTATGGTCTGCGGACCTTTGTCCAGGCCATATCTTGAATTGAACGACTGGAGGATGCTGTCAAATCGATCGAGAGCATCGATCCAGTTGAAGAGATCGCCACGGGGAAAGGCCCATCTGGGTGACCAGTGGTTGAAGACAGCGGGAATATCAGCCAAAGGGATGGTGCAAACCTGCTTGACTAAATCTGATACCGCCGGGGACTGTGGGCCGTCATGTTAGCAGTGTCCGCAGCAAGGCCGAAGAAGACGGAACAGACTCACCAACGACACCTTGTGCTTCTCCTGCGGCCTCTTCGTAACCTTCCCCATCTTCACTAGGCCCCGTGAATCGGCACCATAGGCAGCATTAGAGGAGTGAGGTTGTGTTCAGCCCACCGAGGAGCAGTGGCCAAACGATAGACAAAGTTCACGATCTAGAGCAGACAGGATTTGCTGAGGGAGCAATGACAGACGGGCGGAGGGGGTTTCGTGAATCCAGAAAAGGGGAGGAAGGGAGATAGTTGTTCTGAGTCGGCCGGGGAGTTTCGCTGCGAAAGAGTGAGGTTTTGCGGCGGAAGACTGAGTGTTCCGAATGATGAGGCCGCGATCACCTGCGCCCGTACGCAGCTCCGGACTCAAGGTGGGAGATGAAGTCAGGGATGTAATTAACGGGTAAAAGTGGTAGTGTACAGGAAGAGAGGATACAACAGGTGGAAACAAAGGAGTGAGGATTTGTAGTAAGGCAGGCCTCAACTGGAGTTGATGGAGAGATGAAGAAACTGAAACTTGTCTCTTCTCTTGTGGCGTGGATTCTTTTGTGCTGCGCTTCACTGCCTGCTGGGTTCTGGCAAGTGAAAGATGGTTTGGGGCTACTTGACTTTTTGACGCGCTTGGGCCTGGAGACTCTAGTGGGAAATGACGTGCCCTTTCCCCTCGGGTACTAGCCGCATCTTGTAATGGGCTGGGTCTTCCGGGGGGAATGAGGAGGGGCGATTAGGCGCCGAGCGCGCCCAGTCAGGCTCTCCAACCTTCGGAGAGATTGCAGCGAACGTCTTTTGATCATTACTACCTCGTACAAATATATCCAACCTCTGCCTCGATCCAAACATTGACATCAAGTCATCCTCACTCATCCTTCCCATTTGATGGTCAAGGATGCTGGGTACGATTGCACCATACTCTCTTCGACATTTAGGTAATTCACCACGTCGCCCTCGGTCAGTCGCCTGAGCTGGCCCGTTGGCCCTACAGCTCTACCCAACTTTTTAAGTCCGCAGAGGACGGACATGGTAGATCCCAACGTTGCAAGACTCAGTCGAGCTCCAAGAGATACCTCAGCACCAAATGGGGTAAGCGGATCTTCGGACTGGCTTGGACCAGCACCAGATAGCCCGGTGCTGTCACGGTTCGCCGCAGTCTGTCATCGACTCTTAGCACAAAGCATTTTCAGGAAGCAAACCCAACTTACCCTGTCTGTGTCACAGAGAATACGCTGCCCCGCAGATACGTGGATCTGTTCGCTGCCATCAATTACGGTTTGTGGTGATGTGGCCTCTCTGAATATGGGCGTCGATGGCTGTAGCCTGCAGATTTCGCGAAAGTAGGACTGAACCTTGGTTGATGACGAGCCCTCTTGTTCCAGCATCTGCTTCAGTTCTCCGATATCCATCTTCTTATCATTCTGGCCGAGAACGTTGTCAAGAACCTCGGCAAAGACGCGCGACTGATTGACAAAAACCCAAGCTGCTAGCGGGAGAAGTTGAGACCACACGATGTCGGTGGGGGATAGTCCACTCTTCGAGACTTCTTGAAGCACCTGCGCCCCAAGGCTCCGAAGCTCCACAGGCGAGTGTGAGTGTAAACTGAAGTTACCCTTGATGCCGTTTCCTACATCTTCCTGCAGTCGTGCTGCGAGCTGCAAAATCGCCTTTTGTTTCTTTTTGACGATAGCAAACCGCCGCGCAGGATGCTCCACATGTGCACAGCCATATATGGCGGAAAGAAGGGAAATAACATCCTGTTCGTCAAATTTCTCGTGAGACTTCCCCCTCGCCTGCAGCGGGAGAAGGAATAGATTCGCAGCGAACTGCGCATGAGCAATGTTCAAAACGTCCCTAACGATATCGACCTGGTGACAGCCTGCAAGCTGATACTCATTCGTCTGGAGTAGAATCGTGATTACGTCCTTGTAGAAGATCTCCGCGGCGGCCGGCAGTCCTTCACTTTGAAGCAGCTTGTGGGCAACAATCGATTCTCTTCCCGGATTTTGCTGAAGCACCGGACCAGAGAAGAGTTGCACATTCCATGGTGAGCGGAAGCCAGACTCACTGCCTGTGACAGTCCTGCAGGCTTCGGCAGAGCGAACTGCTCGGGTCGCAGGAAGGTTAGTTGGCTTGTCAAAGTCGTACAGATCAGCCTTTTTCAACTTGGTCAAGATGGCCTTGTTTTCATCTGGCACTACCAGCGGGTAGTGTGCATACACTGAGTTCTGTCGATAGCTGTTTGGCAACGCAGTCAGCACCAATTTGTAAAACACACAGCCGCTGTTGATGGCAAGGTCATAATCCGCCTGCTTGAATCCCCAGTTTGTTAGATTGGCTGGGGTATAGTCAATGGTGTAGAAACGGTCACCTCGAACCAGAGCAACTGCGTCCGAGAGGATCGCTCGTGAGGTTGTGAAGTTTGTACACAAGCCGCTGCCGGGGAGTTTCGGCTCCTTGGCTGCCTCGACTACTATGCCGGGGTATATTTCAACATTGTCTGGATGACCGTAGAGCCGACGCAGCTGCTCAGCGATGAAGGGGTCGGGATTGATATCTTCAAATTTCTTGTGAGGTTCAAGCTTGAAGTATTCTCGAAACTCATTCAGACTTGCGAGATTCCAAGACCGACTTTGAATGATTCCCAGCACTTCCACGTTCTTGAGGACCTCAGGCACGTGGACAGCTCCATAGCTACCCGCGACGTCCGAGACAGATGCAGTCCAGATATCTGCCAATTCCTCGTCAGGATACTTATCGTCGGGTTGGCGCCTCAGCCCGGCGAAATCTCTCTTGAGGGGATCTGGGCTTAATTTCTTGGCCCATTCATTGAGTGCGCCCAGGAATTGGCCCATGGACAGCGAGGATTGATGCCCGAATAGTTTGGTGTAAGCCTCCTTGGTCCACTGTTCGTCCCTTTCAGAGACGCATGAGTGCCACCGGTAGACAAGGTTGAACTCGGCCGAGACAGAATTGCCAGTCGCTTCCGGAATCTTGTGGCCAAAAATGGCATTTCCTTCTTCAGATCTCGGGTCGAGGTTCCACAACGAGTCTACCCGGTTCAGGTTCAAGATCGTCCTCACGTAGTCCTTCAGGATGATGTTGACATAGAGCCCCGTAGTGATCAGCTTGGCCGTCTGGAACAACGCTTCGTCATAAAGCTTTTCGGCATTGGGCGGCCTTGGCTTTCCCTGTGGATTGAGAATCCTAGAGAAGCGGCCATTCTCGTCGATGCGAGCAAGATTCTCTGCTACATGATTGTGAAAGCGATTGAACATTATGAGGAGGACACCGACGCCAGGAGGAAATCCAAGAATCCGCATGTCTGAGAAACAATCAGGTTTCAGTTTCCCCTCACACATAGTTCGGACACCCTCCTGTTCTTTCTCTGAATTGCCGTAGAGAGGAGCCAGATCCAGGTATGAGGAAGTATCTGAGATGCTGTAGTCGTCATGGTTTGTGTGAAAAATGTCGTGAATGATGATCGAGGCCACATAAAAGAGTACGCTCGATATCTTGTTTGGATGTGGCCTGAACTTCTTGCGAGCCAGAAGGCTATCAAAGATGACTCCAGGGTCTGGCCGGGCAACGGGCTGCATCAGTCTGGGACGGACTGTTCGCGCGTAGGGCTGTTTTGCAGCCCCAAGATGCGGCCAGAGAATATTGTTGTTGGTTCCGTCCGCCTTGCGATAAATGTAATCGGCTCCCAAATATGACTGAGGCGGATGTTTCAGGTCTGTCCACAGCTGGTTCAGGAACGCATTGGTAAGAGTAGCGCTGGTTCTGCTGGAGATGGGAAGGTCCGCCACCAGCTGGATAATTCGTTCCATAAGATACGTCTTGTCGTCGATAGGTTCGCCATCAATTTGCTGTAGGGCGACATCTTTGATAGTCCTGAGGTTCCTTAAGTCGAAAGTCTTCAGCACATCCAAGATACGATCCGATCTTCTCGTTTCACTTGTCGATCGGGAGCTGCTGGAGTCGCTCGTACGGGGTCGTTCTTGGACGACTGGTGTCTTGTCAGGCTGAGACTCACGGGCTGACTTATTTCCTACATCCTTTGAGTTACTTTCAGAGCTTTCAGGGATGCATAGCATACCCTTTAGTTTTGAAAAACTCAACGGCATGTTCGAGTCCCCACCCTTTAGAGTCTCAGACGAGAAGGACCACCAGCAACAGAGCTATTACGGCTCAACGATATCGGAAGTAAGGCTGAGTGGACAGTTGCAGAACATTTACCAGGTCACCAGCAACCCACTCACCGCGTCTCATTGCAGGAGAGGAGGTCGACGATCAAAACGTGGTGAGAAAACAGCACTTATAATGATACTACCCACCTATAGCAATACTCCGTACTCGTACTCATCCTCTCAATCTCAGCCAGCCCCTGTACGGCTGAATGAGCTGGAGGAGAACTAAAGGGACCAGGAAGGCGCCACAAGAAGAATAGCGCCGAATTGAGCACCAGGGCCCCTCAAAAGGGGAAAGCGGGGCCACAATAGGGGGATCTGTCCAATGAGTGGCTGCCTTGATCCCCCAAAGCTCCGAACTCTAAGAAGCCCGTTATTTTTCATGGACTGCCACTCTGCCACCAACACAGCCGCAATAATTCGCAGCTACGTTCACCTTGTGATTGTGATTCGATAGCACCTTACCTTGTCCTCTTGAACTCGCTTCTTCCCCGCATCTATTGTCCTCGCTTGTCGACTTTGGTGCCCTCAAAGTCTCGTGTTCCTCAGCCGCCGAAGTCAGCCAGACAATATGGCGTCGAAGCCCATCACACTGCAAATACGCCCACGAGGTAGGCAAACCTGGCTGAAACCAAGACCTGCCGAGAAGCACGTCCCCCTTGACAGTCTCCCTGCTCACACCTCTACAGGAAAACCCATAAGATCCCTACCGGAGTCCATCGACCTGAAACCCGACGCCTCCACATCCGAGTTGTACTCCGAACTTGCACGCAGGACCAAATACTCGATCCACCAGCTGCGCGTGACCAAGGGCTCCGATGGCACTGTCGTGGTCAATTCTAAAGATACGTCGGTACACCAGATCGGTCTACGTGAGCAGAGTACGGTCTATGTAAAAGATCTGGGGACACAAGTGGCATGGCGGACAGTCTTCTTGGTCGAGTATTTTGGCCCGATCCTGATACATCCATTGATGCTGGCTCTCCGACCGTACATTTACCCATCCGCTACTAAGGAGGCGTCTCAGCTGCAACAAACGCTCTGTATATTGATATGCTTGCACTTCGTCAAGCGGGAGCTGGAGACCTTGTTTGTCCACCGCTTCTCGGCTGCTACTATGCCCCTCCGCAACATCTTCAAGAACAGTTTCCATTACTGGATTCTTTCTGGCCTCATGATCGCAGCTTTCATCTATTCCCCTTACTCCGCGGCAGCACAAGAGCCGAACCCACTGCTCTTCTATCCTGGATTGGTTATCTTCGCCCTGGGGGAATTGGGCAATCTTCAAACACATCTCACACTGAAAGGGCTCCGGAGCGCAGGAGGGACCGAACGTGGCATCCCCCAGGGGTTCTTGTTCAACCTCGTTACCTGCCCCAATTATATGACGGAGACCATCTCTTGGATTGGGGTTTACCTTCTCAGTGGCCTGAGCTGGGGAGTACTCATCTTTCTTATCGTCTCCGTCGTTCAAATGGGGCAATGGGCAGCAAAGAAGGAGCGAAGATATCGCAAGGAGTTTGGTGACAAATACAAGAAGAAGAAGTTCACCATGCTTCCGGGCATTTGGTAAAGTCTGATGCGTGGGACCAATGTACCTTGAGGATAGAAGAGATCCGCGCAAGATCGAAGCTGTAATGGACTGAGTCACGATCGGGCCTGGCGACAGCTACTTCTGAAGTTACGAAACTTGGACCGGCATGCTGTGTCGTGCGGCACAAAGAGAATGTATTAATGTATAGTAACGCCAAAACAAAGTGAACCTCGATGCCTAAGGTCTAGGCACCCATAGGTATTCTAATAATATGATTAACTAAGACCCTAGTAGCACATGCCTCGAACACATGGTACGTGGCCATATTAGGCGGACGGGGCTGGCTTTGGAGAATGCGGAGCTAGACCTCCTGGGGAACTTGCGTTGTCTGCTACGGGCCTCGTCTTTCACCATGTCCACCTCGACGAAAGCAATGTGAGCGTGAACAATGGTCTGTCGGCAGCCTCTTGAGACCTGATCTCCCGATCTGCCCTGAGGCAGGCAGCTCATAATGCACTTCGCCTTGCCCCCCCGCAAAACATCCCATCCTCCTCCCTACGTCCGAAACAGCAACTTGACTGCGGCATCCCAGAAACGGCGAAAGCAATTCCAACTCGCTGCTTACTTCGTGCTGGGAGTATTGACGTTGTATCTCGTCATCCGATTTGTTCTTTCACTCGATTTGATACGAGGGTCCAACGATGGCGTCGCTTCAATTGAAGGGCCCCAGGATATTGTTCTCGTCACGGTGTTCGACAACGAGACCATGAGCGAGGACTATGTGCGGATCATAAAGACAAATCGAGAGGACTATGCCAGGAGACATGGTAGTAGCGCAGTTTATAAGAGATCCTGGGCCAGGGTAAACTGATTGCGATCCAGGATACAAGAACTTCTACACCGACACGATGGCGTATTCCGACCTTGTTGACCCTTCTCCGCTCTCCTGGTCGATGATACCAGCACTACGGCACGCTTTGACAGAGCATGCCACGAGCACCTTTTTCTGGTACTTGTCCGCCGATGCGTTCATAACGAATCCCTCGGCGTCCCTCGAATCCCACGTCCTCCAACCCCTCGAGTCGCTCATGCTCAAAGACATTCCTGTCGTTCCGCCAGACTCGGTCATTCATACATTCTCACACCTGACGCCCGCCCGCACGCATCTCGTTCTGTCGCAAGATATGGATAACCTAGCCCATACTTCATTCATCCTCCGCAACACCCCCTTCAGCACACAAACGCCCGATAATTGGGCCCATTTCTTCTTGGATGCTTGGTTTGATCCCTTATACCGCGCCTATGCATTCCAAAAAGCAGAGAACCACGCCCTCGAGCACCTGGTCCAATGGCACCCCACGGTCCTGGCCAAGTTGGTGCTGGTCGAGCAACGCCGGATCAATTCCTACAACTACGCCACACCCCCCGCGAAAGACCCGTTGACGGGGCTCACCCGCACCCACGACAGCATGTGGCAGGAGGGGGACTTGGTGGTCAATTTGAAAGGATGCCGAGAAAGCGACAGGCGCGACTGCGAAGACGAAATGAGATACTACTTCGCCAAGTGGGAGAAAGAAGTGGAAAAGCTGGACGGGAAGAGGCCAGTGCATGTAGTTGGTCCTCGGAAACCGGAGGCCACTAAAGATGAGAAGAAGACGAAGGCCGACGGAGTCAGATCTGTGAGAAGATGAGAATGCATTCCCGGGCGGCATTCTCCATATTGACGGCTATCAGGAGTTACTTTCTGTGGCAGCCCATTTTAGGGCTGAAACTGTATCCAACGAGGCATGGCGGCGCTAGAAGACCATTTGTATAACAGATTCATTGATGCAACAGGCGCAAGATCGGGACATGACGAGCAAGGCCACGGAAAATTTCGGGACAACCAGATCGGCCAACAGAACCAATGGAGCGATATCTGCTTTTTGAGAATCATACAATTCGGGTACGCTTCCCAACGTTCCGACTCGTCTATTGACTTCCTCCTTTCCGTGTCCGGCTTCAGGCGAGGTCTCCTCTTTCAGCTCGCAGTTTGTCATACCTCAACACTGCTCCAAGCAGGACCTGGGCACCAATGGCGCTGTAGGATCGTCAGTCAGCTGGCACACGATAGCAAAGTGAAGACGATCGACTCACCAGTCTTCCGGGCTGCAATATTCCTGTGGGTTATGGCTGATTCCGTCCTTGGTGACGGTGAAGATCATGCTTGTTGGACAACGACGGTTGGTGTAACAACTATCGTGGCCGGCGCCGCTGATCATATACTTCCACAGTTGTCCGTCGTCGGCAGTCATGGGGAGGTCCTCACACACCTCCTTCGCGCTCGCTTCGACGGCAGCAATACAATCCGCATGAAAGTTGACTGCCGGGCTATCCACCAATTCCTTCCATTCCACTTTGCAACCCTTCTCGCTCTCTTTTTCTGCAATCCTGGCAAATTCTGATCGGCACTTTTGTTCGATCTCGGAGAGCTTGGCGTCCTCAGTGTGGCGAATGTCCAGAGTGAAGGTGACCGTGTGAGCCATGGTGTTGATCGACCCAGGTTGCTGATTTAGGATGCCGGTTGTCGCCAGGCCTCCAAGCTTCTTTGCAATGGTGTTGGATTCGACAATCAGCTTCGCAGCGCACAGCATGGAGTCCATTCTCGCCTGGAAAGGAGTGGTTCCGGCATGAGTATCTCTCCCCTTTACGGTAATTTCAAACCATTTGAATGCTTGCACACCTGCGACGATTAGCTTGCGGCTCTGCCAGCCAGGTTCAGCCGTAACTGACCTTTGACGATCCCGACTCTCCGTTTCTCTGCCTCCAGGATGGGTCCTTGCTCGATGTGAACTTCGAAGTGGGCCGCTATGGGAAACGCTTTGTAAGATGCTGGCTGTGACCCAAGATATCCGATCCGTTCCAGTTCTTGCTTCATTGTCTTCCGGTGTCCATCTTCTCCCGGCGACACCTCGGGCAGGTTCCATGCCGTTTCCAAAGGAACAGCCTCAGCCCAGACGCCAGATGACACAGCCATCATGGGAAAGCGTGCTCCCTCTTCGTTGGTCCAGTTCACCACTCCGATACTCCCCTCAGTCTCAACATTGTTTTCGTGCAACACCTTTAGGACTTCCAAGCCAGCATTGACGCCCAAGATGCCATCATATCTCCCGCCAGTCGGTTGAGTGTCGAGATGTGAGCCCATCATTATCGGAGGCGCTTTGGAGTTCTTGCCTGGCCTCACCGCGAACATGTTCCCCATCTGATCAATACTTGTCTTGCAATTCAAGGACTTGGCGACACCCATGAACCAGTCCCGCACTTCTTTATCCGCGTCATTGAGACTCAGCCTTGCCATGCCAGTCTCGACCGGATCACTGATTCAACACACTGCGTCAGAACTGCTTTCCTGTAGGGGGGATGCACACGTACTCTCCATATCGATGGGCAGCACCATACTCGCAGCCAGTATGGATGGCATCCATCAACCGCGATTGGTTGACTTTCAGGCTAGAAATGTCATGCTTTGATCGCGTGCCATTGACGCCGTTGACGGCCATCTTTCTGGTTTTCCGGTCCTTCAGCCACCTGCTAGAGCTTGACGGGTTGAACGAGGCGAAGGATCTCGATGCAGGAGATATCAGAGTCAGTCGCAGTCCCAGATTCCGGCTGAGGTCCAAACAAGGTGTGACCAGGGACATGGGCAAAATTAATTATATATCGTACAACATTCCCTGGAGGCACCGTGTTCTTTTTCTTTTCTTTCGTCGGACGACCTCGGTGGCTCATGACCGGATTCATCTTTCGGACTGATACGAGGACGAGACAGCAAAGGGTCACAGGAGTTGTCCGCTCGTGGGTTTGCCGCGGTCAGAATGCGTCTGGCTTCTCCCTCTTCCTAGATGGAGATGACCGATAACGGCCGTTTGCTGCCATATAGAACTAAATATTACGTCTCAACTATCTCGTTTCCGATTACCTAGTAGTGCAATGCCATCGGATCCTTCACCCCGCATTTGGGCATATTATATTGTGTGTATAACCCGACACGCGCATGGCCCAGGGAGATGTAGTATACTCAGGTCCCCACTTGGCATGGGTTATTAGCTTAGCTAGGCACTTCCGGGGATGGGTGAAGAGCGTGAGAGCTTCCCTGTAATATGTACCGAGTAATACTGTAAAAGCCACCTCCTGGCAGCCTCATTAGCCTCACCAGCCCCTAGCCTGCCGCCTAAGGTCACTGCGTAGGTATGCTCAGCCATAATATTATTATTACTCCGTTCACAATATCCAGCACACGCCATTCCCCCCCAGGTATTATGCCACTGAACAAAAGACTACAAACATTCTATTCCTAGCATCTCAAACATCAGGGATGATATGAGTGAATTTCTGTCACTTCGTCGCACCCTCAGAGGTGGATCACAAGTTCATGACAATCACAGAGAAGAAAATCGATTGGCGTCACTCTGTGAAGAAGCTACCGCACCACCTTTTCGTCCCTTTTCCTTCACCTCCTGGTAACCATTGTGATCTCTTCTATATTGTTTCCTTCATGCTGTTCCACGCAAACATCCTTCACTTCTTTTCTTCCCCGTCTTTTTCATTTTGACATCAATAGACAGAGGTTTGAGACTTATTTTCGTTTTCTTCTCTGCAAGATTTTCTAGGGCCTGGGACGTTCCACAACATTGCCATCTGTGCGCCCTTTTTTCCGTTAGCGACATATGCCAAGTCGGACACAACATGGAACCTGATGAGACCACGGTGAGCCAGGATGTCATCGACGAGAGAACCCAGACGTCTACGCCTCCATTGCGGATGGGTATGGGAGACATCGCCACAGCCGAAGACGTTTTCCGCAACCACCGCCGCCTGGTCGATTGGGTCCTTGAGAATGATGGTTACTTGCACCCGCACGCTCAGATCGCTTTCAGCTCGCGTAAGGGGTACCATGGTGTTGTCGCTGACGGGCAATCTCTCGTGAGCGGAACCCGTGTCGCCAGTTGCCCGATGCCAATCACATTGTCGGTGCTCAATGCTTTCGACATCGCCCCGTTCTCGAATCATGGCACGAGCTTCCCCACACCTTTCCTGTACAATCTGTCCACAAACCCTGAGCCTCTGCAAGCTTTCTTTCTGATGGAGCAACTGATCCTCGGAGACAAGTCTTGGTGGGCTCCCTACATTGCTACATTGCCGAGCGTGGAAGACGTCACCGCGATGCAATTTGAGGAGGAAGCGGATCTCATCTGGCTGGAGGGAACCAATCTCAAAAGCGGGCTCTCGACGCAAGCTGCCAAATGGAAGGGCATGTATCTACGAGGCTCGACACATTTGAGGGAACTGGGCTGGCCCAGCGCGCTGAACGGGTCCTATACATGGTACGACGCCAGCATATACCCTTTCCTTCTGGCCCATCATCACTCACACAAGACTTAGGCCTCGCTTCCGCTGGGCGGCTACAGTGTTCGGCAGCCGCTCTTTCACCTCACAGGTGCTTGATGCAACCCTTCCGGCAGATCTTGCGACCATTCACCGCCGACAACATCCGTACGACCTGGTCAAGCTCTTTGGAGACCATTTCGGCGTGCTACTACCACTCCTTGATCTCCTCAACCACAAGCCCGCCGCCCAGGTCGAATGGCAAGCCCACTACCATTTTGTCGGGCTCCAGATCCTCGAACCCTATGAATCGGGGCAAGAGCTTTACAACAACTACGGCCCCCGGGACAACGAGGGTCTTCTTCTGGCATACGGGTTCACCATCCAACACAACCCGTTCGATCACTTTGTCGTCAGCATCAAACCGCCGCCTGACTCGCCTTTAGACGTGGCTCGCCGGACCTGGAAACAGGACATCAGATCGGACCCTGAAAGAAGATGTTTCCTCTTCAACCACAAACATCCCGAGTCGACATCCGCACTGTCACTGGAGTCGTCGCTCTTCTCGTTCGACCTGTTGGACAGTATTTCGATTCTGTGCGCCAACGACCGTGAGATGCAGAGCATGATGACTGAAAACCGATCGTTGATGAGCTCCTGTCTTACCGACGAGCCCCGTTTCCAAGACCGCCGCATTATCCTGGCGACCTTGAGCCAACTCCTGAGAGAATGCACTGCTCGCGCCGAGAGACTGAGAAACACAGACCCCCGTCAAACAATTCACGGTTGGAAGGCTGCTAATTCGAAACAACACAACGCCTTGATCTACCGAGAAAGTCAGCTGGAGATCGTTGAAACAGCGGTTGCACTCTGCGAATTCGTGCTGAAATGCGCCATTCGTGGAACCACCGCCGCCGAACAGATGTCGACCAGTGTACGAGACCATGTCTCATCTTCTGCATTGGCGAATTTGAAGGTTCTGAGTAAACGCCACGTTCGGCTTACTCGGCCGTGTGAGCTGCTCAGTCTGGATGACCTGATCGAGATGATCCCCAACCCAGCACGTGTCCGAAAATGCTTGCTTAACTTGAGCCAACAATACCAAGGCAACGCGGATGTCCAGGGGCCACTAGACTTCCTCAAAGGTCAACTTGCGGTCACTCTCTCCGCGCTTTACAGTGAATATGCTCACGGCGTCAGGCTTCCGCACAGAATCACAGAATGGGTCAAGCAGTTGATCACATGGTATCCACCGGATAGTGACTCCTGGGGCTATGTACCGACTCCTGGCCCTTGGGCGCCCGGAGAAGAACCCCCGGCCGGACTGATGGACCTTCTTGCCGCCCGAGCTGCCCTCTCTCCGACGATCGCAGTGGAGTCGAGCGTCAAGCGATGGCTGAGACCCGAGAGGATCTGCTGGGGATGGAATGTCATGGAGGAAGAGAAAGTGATTGTCCCGTCATATCTTTGCGACGCAGCCTCCAAGGAAGCGAGAGATGACATATCATACCTGATCTACTGGCAGCTGTACTAGGGACATTTGCGTGAGGGTCGTCCCAGCACTTGTCGAGTTGACAACATTACTCTGAGGTCTGCATTATGATTATTCCCAGACTTTGGCATTTTGGATCAAGCAAAGGCTTTTACATGAATTGGGGCAATCAATACTTGGTGACTTTCTGCATTGTCATATGTCACGTGTATGTAGATGCCATAAGCATACGAAAAGCCCCCGAGGTATTGCCGCACCAAAGGCATCTATGACGAGGACAGCTTCCGACCAATCAGCGGAGCTCAATATCGAAGACTTCCAACATTGATTTCGTCGTTGACGCCTCTCCCTCTCCACGTCCGACGTCCTCTGCTTCCTCCCCTCCCCTTCCCCTTCCCGCCGCACTCTCGTTGGAGTGTATCCCTCGTCCTCATATCGTCCCAACCATGATTGTCCGGTCCTCTGCCGCGAGAAGCGTGGCCCGCGCGGCATCCAACACCGCTTCACGGTCGACCGCCGCCGCCGCCTCCTCCACCCTCCAATCCCGCCGCACCTACGCCACCGTTCAAGAAGGACAGCCTCAACAACGACGCTACGGCGGCCTGAAGGACCAGGACCGGATATTCCAGAACCTCTACGGCCACCATGGCACAGACCTGAAGAGCGCCATGAAATACGGCGACTGGTACAAGACCAAGGAGATTCTGCTGAAGGGCCATGACTGGTTGATCAACGAGATCAAAGCTTCGGGGCTGAGAGGAAGAGGTGGTGCGGGCTTTCCGAGTGGGTTGAAATTTGTATGTCCTTGGGAGAGAACGTGATGGAGCAAGACAGGACTAACCGAGGCATGATAGTCATTTATGAACTTCAAGGGTTGGGAGAACGACAAGAAGCCGCGCTACCTGGTGGTCAACGCCGATGAGGGCGAGCCGGGGACGTGCAAAGATCGAGAAATCATGCGCAAAGATCCTCATAAACTCGTCGAGGGGTGCCTGGTGGTCGGCCGCGCCATGAACGCCACCGCAGCGTATATCTACATTCGAGGCGAATTCTACCACGAAGCCACTGTTCTCCAGCGCGCCATCCAAGAGGCATACAAGGAAGGATTGATCGGCAAGAATGCCTGCGGTACCGGATACGACTTTGACGTCTATTTACACCGAGGCATGGGCGCATATGTGTGCGGAGAGGAGACGTCACTCATCGAGTCGCTCGAGGGCAAGGCTGGAAAGCCTCGTCTCAAGCCTCCCTTCCCTGCAGCTGTCGGTCTTTTTGGATGCCCATCAACCGTCACGAACGTCGAAACAGTGGCAGTCTGCCCTACCATCGTCCGACGGGGGGCGAAATGGTTCGCCAGCTTTGGGCGTGAGCGCAACCAGGGCACCAAACTGTTCTGCATTTCTGGGCACGTCAACAACCCGTGCACCGTCGAGGAAGAGATGTCGATTCCTCTACGGGAATTGATCGAGAAACACTGTGGCGGTGTCCGTGGTGGTTGGGACAACTTGCAAGCCATCATCCCTGGAGGCTCGTCGACGCCGATCTTGCCCAAACATGTCTGCGACGATCAATTGATGGACTTTGACGCCCTGAAGGACAGCCAGTCCGGCCTGGGCACGGCGGCGGTGATTGTGATGGATAAATCAGCCGATGTGGTAAGGATGATTGCCCGACTGAGTGCTTTCTACAGGCACGAGAGCTGCGGGCAGTGCACGCCCTGTCGAGAGGGAAGTGCGTGGACAGCCAAGATTATGGAGAGATTCGAAAAGGGCCAGGCGAGAGCGAGAGAGATTGATATGATGCAGGAAATCACCAAACAGGTTGAGGGACACAGTATTTGCGGTCAGTATTTTTCTCCCCGCCATTTGTGCCTCTACAGACATGGACTCTAATCACTTGTGTTGCAGCTTTGGGCGAAGCCTTTGCATGGCCTGTGCAAGGTCTCATTCGCCATTTCCGACCCCAGCTCGAAGCACGCATCAAGGAATACTCACAGGCAGCCGGTGGGGAGGCTCTGGCGGGTGGATGGGAACCTGATGCTGCGAAGAAGGGGTTACTGATTGCGCCTGGACAGTAAATCATACTGCCAGATGAAGCCTCGAGGAGGAAGTTTTCACGGTCGAGTTTCTGGTATTGATCTTGGTATCTATCTGAGCTGCACAAGCTCCGCCTGTCACGCATTATGGGCGTTTTCTCGCATTGCGCCCGAGAGAAGACGTGGAATAAAATTGTATATATATTTCATGCCACGTACTGTCCGTTTGAACTTGCTGTTGATCTTTTCCCTCCCCGTTCCACCGCTTACTTCACAAGCCCGGTGCAGATGTGACATTGTCTGAACTTGGATAGAGTCTCCGCTCACCCAACTCCGGCCAAGCTCCGCGTCAGTCATCCGGCCCGATTGGAGATAATGATGGCCGGCGGCAAAGATCTTTTCCGCACAGCATTTGGTGTCGGAGTTTGATTCTTCAGACCAACATTGCAGGCGGATGAATCAATCGTCTCCTGTTTGCTCTTATGGATCAAGGCAACGGACGCAGGTCCAGGCCTCAGGGACCGAATCATGCTGCCCTATCAGCTTTTCCTGGAATGGTTCCTTAAAATGCTTTGGACAGCTGCAGCCCCAGGTGCTCTATCGACTCACTAGTCTCCTATTGACCAGACCAGTATCTTCCAAACTCATACGCGAGGAGCAAAGAGTCTCAATCTCTCACTGGGAAAGAAAAGAAGAAGAAAAGCCTGTCATGGGTTCACGATTCATGATTCCCACCATGGCTTCCCAGTCGCTGGGCCGAGCACGTTACCACGGGCTGGCCCACAAACTCGAGCTCTGCGAGCAGTACGGGTTCGAGGCCATCGAACTCTTCTTCGAGGACCTCGAGGTCGTGGCCCAGTCCTTACCTGTGTCCCATGCGGCCCTGAAGCCGCCAGGTTCCTCCTTCGCCGACTCGACCACCGTCCAAGAACGACAACTGGCGGCCGCCGCGTACATCCACGACCTCTGCGTCCTGCACCACCTGGAAATCCTCTGTCTGCAGCCATTCATGCACTACGAAGGGCGGCTGGACGCCGAGTCCCACGACGAGGCCATCCGACGCCTGCATTTCTGGGTCCGGCTCGCCCACCGCCTCGGCACGGACCTGATCCAGATCCCGTCCAGCTTCCTCCCTGCGTCACAGTGTACGGGGGACCGTGACCGCATCGTGGCGGATCTGAGACAAGTGGCGGACATCGGACTGCAGAGCGAGCCTCCCATTCGTTTCGCCTACGAAGCTCTCGCGTGGGGGACACACGTCGATACCTGGGATGCGGCGTGGTCGATTGTGCAGGACGTCGACCGACCCAACTTTGGGACTTGTATCGACACATTCAATCTGGCGGGTCGCATCTTTGCCGACCCGGCGTCACCGTCCGGCCTGACCCCCACGGCCTCCGAAGACATCCAGCAGGCGCTGTCGAAGCTGCGGACCGAGCTGCCCCGGGCGTTGGAGAAGGTGTTCTACGTCGAGGTGTGTGACGGCGAGCGCCTGGCCACGCCCTTGCGCGCCGGGCACGCGTGGTACGACCCGCAGCAACCGGCGCGCATGTCCTGGTCCCGCAACGCCCGGCTCTTCCCCTTCGAGGAGCACGGGTACCTGCCTGCCCTGGAGATCCTGGAGGCCGTGTGCGATGCCGGCTACACGGGCCACGTCTCTTTCGAACTGTTCTCGCGCACAGCGAACCGGCCGGACGCCGAGGTGCCCGAGCAACACGCCCAGAGGGCAGCCGTGGCGTGGAAGAAACTGGTCGAGTACATGGGCTGGAGCAGCGAACGGCAGCAGCAGCAGCAACAACAAAAACAACAGACGGGTACAAAGTCGGAAGACCTCTTGCTGGGTGATCATCGTCGTCGGTACGTGTCTTGGTGTTCTCCGTTGTCGTCGTCGTCGTCGTCGTTGTTGTTGTTGAACGTGCAGACAGCGAGATAACTGACATTCACTTCTTTTCTCTCAGGGTCAGCATCTCCAGCGCCACCGATTCACCTTCCGTCGTCTCGGATGACTCGCCGTCTTCGAGCCCTCGGCTGTAACAGCAGGAGGAACAGACATGCATGGTCGTCAAGAGATGGATGGATGGATGGATGGACGGACGGACGGATTGCCGTGGACTGTTGCATTCTTGATACATATATGCACACGCAGTGACGGGGTTTGATTGACTTGGTATGGCATGGCATGGCTTGAGGACGAATTTCTTTTATCTTGGGGACCCACGACGCCATCCCGATAGCTATCTCTCACTCTTGTGTTCTTGTTGAGATACCCTTCCTTGAGATGATATGAGATGATTTGATATATAGACATCTAGAGATATAGATATAGAAGGTGTACGTGGTAGACATGAATGAATGATCTTGCGCTGCTCTAGTGAGCGATGCTTCTTCTTCGTCGTCATCGTCGTCTTCTTCGTCTTCTTCTTCACCCCCAACTCAAGCTCCCGGCCTCGAATAGTCCAATCTCCTACTCTCCTCCAGACCTCCCTCACACACCTCTCCTGGCCCTGCCGCGCTGTCTCGCCATCGGGCCCGTCACTGGCCGGTCGAATGGCGAGATACAGCCGGCCCCCCAGTTTGGCGTCGACGATCTCAGCCGTCGTGGTGGTGGTGGTGGTGGTGGCCGTCGTCTCCCAGTCTTCCGGTGGATTCGCCGTGGTGACCAGCCCGCCGGCCTCCTTCAGCAGACATATGCCCGCCGCAACGTCCCACTCCCAGCACCCGCCCTCCCACCAGATGTCGAAGCTACCCATGGCCGTGTACGCGAGGTCCAGCGTCGCGCTGCCGAGACTGCGCACGCCGTGGACCATGCCGCCCCGGCCACCTCGGCCGCTGAGTTCGGACGCCATGGTGACGAAGCTGTCGACCTTGCGGTGCAGGTTGCCGTCCGGGATGTCGCGGCGGTCCTTGCCCCATTCGCAGGCGAAGACGCATTTCGCGGGGGCGTCGCGGGGGATGGGTCCGACGCCCTGCCGGCCCAGGAGCGGCAGACGGGTGGTCTCGTTCAGCCAGGCGCCGCGGCCCCGACACGCCGAGAACAACTGGCCCAGCAGCGGCGCGTAGACCACGCCGACCACGGGCTCCTGGCCGTCCACCACCAACGCGATGCTCACGCAGAACATGCCGAAGCCGTGCGTGAAGTTGACCGTGCCGTCCAGCGGGTCGACCACCCACGTCGGCCGGTCCGGGCGCACGAGGTATTCCTTGGACGAACCCTGCGAGTACGTCTCCTCGCCGACGAAGCCGTGCGACGGGTACCGCTGCGTGATGGCGGCGTGGATGAAGGCCTCGACCTCGGTGTCGGTGGCGGTCACGATGTCGACGGCGTTGAGTTTTTCGTGAAGGACGAGTTCTTCCACCGGCTGGTCATCGTTGTTGTCGGTCTTCGCCTCGTCCTTGTCATCGCCATCTCCATCTCCGTCCCGTCGTCGCCGCTGCAGACGACTCAAAAGAATCTGTCCGGCGTCTTTGCCCAGCTGGATGGCAAAGGTGTAGATGTCGGCCAGCTCTGCGTCGGAGATGGTGTGCTGCTGCTGCTGCTGCTGCTCCTGCTGCTGCCGCTCCTGCTGCTGCCGCTCCTGCTGCTGCCGCCTCGTATCTGCAGACATGGTATGTATGGTGTCCTGTCGCAAACGGAGAGACGGGGAGGACGACCACCGAACTTACCACGTCCTCGTCTGAGTCCGACTGCCGGTACAATGCACGCAGCCCAAGAACTCACAGTCCTGGCTCTGATCTGCGCTGATCTCGCCCGGCTTGGGGGAGTGGAAGGATTCGAGGAGTCGGGCGTCGTTGGTTGGTCGGCTATTGCCGGTGTTCGTTTTCATTCGCCGACCTCGGAGGCCACCAGCATGTAACATCCATCATATTACCGGATCTCATCCTGCCCCTTTTCTCTTGGATGGTGGAAGTGCAAGTTGTGTTTTCTCCGGACAAGTTCTCTGCCGGCTGACGAGCGAATGCTCTTCTCTCCCCTCACCCATCCCTCCCATCCCTACCATCCCTTTCCTTTCCCTTCCCTATTCAGGCGATTCCCGGATCTCATTGATATACACCGTGCTCATATCATTAGCCCGTCGGATCGCGGATTTCTGGGGTCGAAAGTGGAGAAAATACAGCAACTTGTTCCAACGCTCCTTTGCTTAACCCTTTAATGCTGAAGATGGGTCAGGGAGACAACTTCGACGCTCCAGGAGAGATCTAGGAGAAATCGAGTCTAATTACCATTATCATTTTGCACATATTCCACGTTTCGTGGATTAGCCAGTCTAAAGCTGGGTCTACAGGGGATTGTATACGCCACTCTCACCTCCTCCTCCTCCTCGTCAATCGGGAAGAGACCATACCTTGCACTACAACTCACGCAAACAAAAACTCATATCCAGCACACCCTACCACGCATCTTCTTCTCTGCATTTACCTTGTTCTTAAAACCCTTTCCCCCGTCCTTCTCCAAAGAAAAAATGTCCTCCCGACCCCAGAGGAAACTCCTGCTCATCAACGGCCCCAACCTCAACCTGCTGGGCACGCGCGAACCGCACATCTACGGCTCGACGACGCTCAGCGACGTGGTGAGCACGACCGTGTCGCGGGGCCGGGAGCTGGGCATCGACGTGGTGCCCTTCCAGTCGAACCACGAGGGCATGATTGTCGACTTTATCCAGTCGCATTTCACGCCGCCGCCTGCACCGTCCACCCCGACAACTGCCGGTCCGAGTAGTGACGACCACAAAGGCGAGACGTCCCACCCTCCGCCGTCTGCAACCGCGAAACGAACACGCGTCGGCGTCATCCTCAACCCGGCGGCGTTCACACACACCAGCGTGGCGATCCGCGACGCGCTGCTCGCCACCGCCCTGCCGTTTCTCGAGGTGCACATTTCCAACGTCCACGCCCGCGAGCCCTGGCGCAGCCACTCGTACTTCTCCGACAAGGCCGTCGGCGTGATCATGGGGCTGGGCGTGTATGGGTACCGCGCCGCCCTGGAGTTTTGGGCGCAGCGGTGGGACGCGGAGGATGAGAAGGACGGGTAGACGGAGGAGGAGGAGGAGGAGGATGCGAGGCGGTCGGGAAGGAGGACGAAAGCAGCATATGCAACGTAGTCAGGGAGGAGAACAAAAAAGTTCTGGATTCCCTGAATTCAGGCCAGGAAGTGCCTGGAGTGATGAGACATTCTTCCCGATACCTTACCTACCTTACCGCCTTGTACGACGAGGACATTCATACATCTTTCTACCTACCGAATACGTCGAAACAATTCCCCCAAGTCCAAGTCGAGGGGAGGATCCATGGGTTGGTCAGCCACAAGAGGCGAGTCGAGTTGAGTCAAGCTTCTCAACTCGTTCGTTTCAGCTTCGTCACGAGGATATATACAGGAAGGAGGTAGACATGCTGTATGTACATGTACAATATCACCTTCATCTCCCCTCTCTAGCAGCCTCTCTAGCATAGATAAGACACCACCGCTACCACCATTTCGTCTCGTCCATCCAGCTTCCGAGTTCGTGACCAGACATTGATGTTAGATCTATTATTGATGAAGAAAAGGCTGAGAAATAAGAACAAATCGTGTCTATTATTACCGACGCTTGAATTTGCGTGCAGACAACGACATATAATTAGAAAAGGGGAGAGGGAGAGAGAGACCCCATTCCATCGTAAAATGACCGAGATATGTAGTTCATCCAAAGCTGATGACATCCTTCGGACAATGATAGCATTGCCTTTTTCTCTCTTCTACTGCCATTTCGCAGCACTCGCGCTCGCAACCCGGACCATATGATGCTTCTCTTTCCTTTCTCGTATGCAATCTACACCTTCTCCACCACGACCTCGCGTTCCTCGACATCCTCCTTCTCCCCACCGCCGATACCGACACCATTCCGTCGGAAGTCCTGGTCCTCGGCGCGAATCTGGAGGAGCAGCGCCTTGTGCGCGCGTCTCGCCGGGTATTCGCGGCTGAACAGCCGGTCCATGGCCTCGAGCGGGATGCCCTTGGTTTCAGGCACCAGGAAAAACACAAAGACCGCGGCGCAGAGCATCAGGGATGCAAAAAACATGAACACGCCGTAGGACATCGAGGCGAACATTTGAGGGGTAAAGCGAGCAATGATAAAATTCCAGAACCAATTGTTTGCCGCCGCAAATGCTTGCGCGAGAGTTCGGACGTTCTGGTCGAACATCTCAGAGTTCAAAACCCACGGCGTCCCGTTCCACGACGGGGTGTACGTGACGGTCCATAGATAGAAGAAGGCCATGGCGGAGATGCCACCCGATGAGAGCGTCGCGCTGGGATGGTCGGCAGGTTTTGCAACGGCGATATAGCCGCCGATGTACCACATGCAGAGAGACCCGGCGACCGCGCCGTACATGAGAAGCGCGCGGCGACCGAGTTTATCGATGAGAACGAAGAGCCAGAACAAAGTAACGACAGTCTTAATGACTCCGAAGATACCGGTGGTCAGGAGAGAGGTGTTGGTGCCGGTAACACCAATGGACTCGAAAACTTTGGGGGAGTAGTAGTTAATCGCGTTGATTCCCGTGCCGTTCTGCCACAGGAAGAGGGAACCGCCAAGGAGGAAGCGGTAGGTGACCTTGCGATCCGTAAAGACTGCTCGGAACGGTTGCCAGAAGCCAAGGCCGACGGTAGAGCGTTGGACTTCAATGGCGTTGTCGACGAGGAAGATCTCTTCCTGCATGTAGATATGATCGGCCGGAAGGTTTCGCAGCCAGCACAAGTTCTTGATCCCTTCTTCACGACGTCCGCGGGAGAAGAGCCATCGGGGAGATTCTTTGATGACCCACGCACCGGCGAACAAGAGTCCAGCCGGGATGAGCTGGATGGCAAACGGAATGATCCATTGTTCGTGCGAGGGCGCCATCGTCTCGGAGACGCCATAGTTGATCCAGAACCCCACGAGTCCTCCTATCTGCCATGACATCTCGTAGAGTCCAACCAGCCGGCCACGGATGGCGGGAGGAGCGACTTCAGAGCAATAGATGGGCGAGAGGTTTGATGCTCCTCCCACTCCGATCCCGGCTAGCACACGGCCGCCGTAGATAAGACCCAACCCACGAGCTCCATTAGCTCCCAGCATCATTCCAGCTCCGAGGACGAAGACAGCGGCAAAAATGATCAGCCCAATTCGACGCCCAAGGAAATGGCCCGCAGGATAGGCAAAAAAGGCGCCGAAAAAGGCACCGGCTTGATAGCAAGAAACAATGTTGGCGGAAAGGAGGTTGACCGCCGATGTGGAGAGGTCGTCGAAGTGGAATTCGTCTTTGAACGACTTCAAGGCAAGAGTGCCCCCAATGAACGCGGAGTCGTACCCGATCATCATGGCAGCGGATGCAGCCACCGCTGCGGAAAAGTAGACTCTCCAGTTATAGACATTCTTGGGAGTAGGTCGGTCTTCGACGAGCTGAAGGAGACCCATGTTGATAGTTGTTGCAGCTGATTCGAAAGCGTCCAAAGAATTCTGCTCTGAGTAGCGGACGGAGGAGTCTGGGGAAGCAGGAGAAGGAGCGGAGTATAAGTATACAAAGGGTCAAAGGGAAACCAGTGTGAGATTCGACTGTCTCAAAACCTGTTGGATGCTTACGGCTGCCAAATACGAGCACCGGAGAAGAGTTTTCTCCACGACGACGTGAAGGTGGGCTCTCCACCCGGGGTTCTCAATTGAGTGAGCACTTCTGCTCATCGTTTATGATTGCCGCTTCTATTAACAGGGGTCAGCCTTTAGATGTGGAGTAACGGTGCATGGCCGGTCGGCGTTTGACTAGGTCATGGGCGGGTCGAGAGGCGACTTGGCGGGAAAGACTTTATCCCTCAAGTATTTTGCCTCTTCGCTGAAACTTTTCTCGCAGGCTGCGGGGAATGATCCGAAATGGGTTGCTGACATTGTCGGATTTGTCTTGCTATTGCGTCGGATATGGACGACGCGGTGTATTTCGGACTGAGCGTCAATATCGAGACTTGTTGACGGAGGAGAGTACCCCCCGTTGTTCTGGTGGCGTCTTGTGTTGAACAACTTCTCGAAAGGTGACCAACAGCCCACGAGAGCGTCGAGTGGACTGGTATTTTCTCTGTCCCAAGAACATCAATTCAAACCAGCTTCAAATGCGAGGCACCTCTTTTCGGTCAATACTTCGCGATGGCACAATTTGCACCTCCAGATACCTCGTCCCTTGAACGTGTCGCTTACCTTGTTGGATATCCCATAGCCCATTCCAAATCACCCTCACTGCATCATGCCGTTTATTCGGCGGTTGGAAAAAAATGGGGCCAAATGCTCTGCGAAACGACCGACCTCGAAGGTTTCTTGACGTATCTGAAGAGTGACCAAAAATGCATGGGAAGCGGTGTGACCATGCCGTTCAAAGTGGCCGTCATCCCCTATCTCGATGAACTTACAGACGAAGGGAAAGCGATTGGAGCCGTGAACACGATTGTTTTCAAGACGGATCCAGACGGATCAAGGATATATACTGGCACAAACACCGACTGTCTGGGGATCCGGGATGCGTTCCTTACGAACGTAGAAGGCTCTCCCTACCGAGGGAGGCCCGGTCTCGTCGTTGGAGGTGGCGGCACCTGCAGAGCGGCCGTTTATGCACTCCAGAGATTCATGGGTTGCTCGCCTGTATACATCATCAACCGTGATGCTACTGAAGTGGAGGCCGTCCTCCAGGAATGTCGAGCTCGAGGGGCCGGAGATAACCTGATATACGTGTCCACGACGGACCAAGCCACAACACTCCCCTCACCCGGAGCAATAGTCAGCGCAGTCCCGGATTTCACCCCTGTGTCAGAGACAGAGAAGACGGTCAGAGAGATTCTCTCTATATTCTTGAGTGGAGACGAGAAGGGTGCTTTGTTGGAAATGTGTTATCATCCCTCCCCTGACACTGAAATATCCAGGCTTGCTCAGCAATCAGGCTGGCAGGTCATCGGCGGTATTGAAGCCATGATAGGACAAGGACTTGCACAAGCAAGTCTGTGGAGTGGCATTCACATCGACAGCAGGCTTCGTGATGTGGCCCGAAAAGAGGTGCAGAGACAGATGACAAACGCACACTGAAGGGAAAAGCACCAATGTACTGTAGCTTGTACTCATGTCTGAAGTTGCATTTCATCGAGTGTATTTGTGGGCAATAACGGGAAGAAGCGGATACACCCTGCTGTTCATGTAAAGAACTCTTCTCCATCAACCACATAGGAGGCGTTCTTGCGAATTGACGCATGGGCGGCTTCTACCATACATCGCTTTGGCGCTTTCCTTCCAGTCATTGATTCGAACTGGCCGACTGCTTGCTCAATCAGGGCTTCGATCCCGTCAACCACAACCCATGGTCTCTGTGTCAGCTCTCGAAATAATTTGATCTGCCTGATCAGTGGTGTCTCTTTTGTCATGTATGCCATTTCAACAACGACCCCACCACTTGGTGATTGCATCCACTGTTCTGGCATCTCGAGGTCCGCGCCTGGATTACCATCGAGGAGCTCTCGCGTGACACATGACACCACAATCGTCGGAGGTGCGAAATCTGCAGGCCAGGGGTCTGTGGTGTGCTCGATGACTTTGACTGGTTCCGCGATCGTTACGTTTTTCTGAGATTGTGCCCAGCCATTAAAGTGGCGAGCCAGAGCTCGGGTATTTGAGACGGTTCTGTTGTATACAAATATGTGCTTGCAGCCTATCTGCAACATAGCGTATACCGCAGCTCTGGCCATGCCTCCAGCACCAATCACGAGGCTGGTGGTCTTGGGCTGGATTGCATTGCGTGGGGAGAGGCTTCTACTGACACAGTTCATGATGCCTATAAAATCAGTATTCTCCCCGAACCAGCCGATGATTTTCCCCGCGCGATTCCTCAGCTGGGCTTGTATGCCCAGCGAAGGTGTGAGACCCGCAGCGTGTTGGCGGAGAGGAATCAGTGTGTTCACGGCTCCTATAGCTTTGGCGTGTCCGCTGAGCGCCTGCATTTGAGTAACAAGCCTGACTTTGTAGGGTTGCACCACACTCAAGCCGCCCAAGGTGTCATCCTTTGCAAGCACTTCGATATCCGTCCAAGTCGTAATATGTCTCGTGCTGTATCGATGTTTCAGGCCAAGGAGATTATAGGCTGCATTGTGCATTGCCGGTGACAAAGATCCCGAGACGTTGGCTCCGACGATATAGAATTGAAGAGAATCGAAGACGTAACTATCGAATAGAGCGCTGATCATCTGCTTGGAAGACAGCAAAGGCCAGAAGATGTGAACACGGTTCGCTTCAGTTTCGGGCAGACTGGGATGAGTCACCGTTGTGAGTACAGGGTTCATGATTTGTGATGTCCGACCCAGGAATCCGACATTGTAGACTATTGCAATAAGTCGAGGTCCGGGAAGGTCTTTCAGTTGTTGGGCGAACCATCTCGCCGCGTCGTTCTCCTCGCGAGATGTCGGAACCTTGAGAATACGGACCATATCAAACTTGGAATCAAGTGCTCTGTTGTACATGTTCCTCAATGCCGTGTCCTTCCAGCCATTTCCATTGGAGACGTAGTGGATGTAGTTGCCAACTAGTTTGGTGTAGCCCTTGATGACTCTAAGACGTTCAATCTGGCTGGGATCCAGGTCAAGATCAACAGAGATGTACTGTACTCCTAATCGAAGTCCGTGCAATAGAACCGCCACATACGTCTCCGTGGCCTGGGAGTTAGATAGGTTGCGACTGGCTGACATGAGAATAGGTATGTCCAACGCTCTCCTCGCGGTCGCCACCATCTTGCTCAGCACTCTTGTCATGCCCGAACACCACTGGTCAACATATATCTCCAAGATATCGCCGCCGGCTTCAAGGGCGCCAAAATCCACTCGTCCGTCGGCGAAGTCTGAGGCTCTTATGAGAAGTGCATGAGTGTAGGGCCGCAGTTCCACGGGACCATCCAGGCAGAAAGGAGATACCAAGGTCGGGTCACCCAAGGAGGAACCGGTGATGAAACGAACAAAAGACGAAAAATCGGCCTGGGCGTTTCTGAGTTTGAAGGAGTAGTTGGGAGACGCGCGGTCTGCCATCTCAACATCGGCAGAGCCGTGCATAGAATCATCTTCCAGGTTATAAAACTCGAAATTCGAGCATTTCCGATGGGTCAAGTTACCATGCTCAAGCAACTTGGCAGCCCGATCGTCCAGGTTGAGAATTGCCTTGATCTGATCCATATCCCTGAGCACGAAGACCACTGGGTTGGTCTGGCTGAAGCGTTTCAAGTAGTCCTGGAGTCCGCTTGTGAGGCTGCCGAGGCCACAGTCAATTACGCATCGGTACTTATTGTCCTCCAGCATTCGCTTAGAAGTCTCAATGTCCTGCCGATGGAACTGCTCACTACCGTGGATTTTGAGGTAGTCTTGTCTCGAAACCCCGTTGACGGTCTGGAAATAATGGTCTTCGGTGACGAATCGCCGTCCGAGAGCAGTGGCCGCAATGAGACCCAAGGATCGCTTTCCAGAGGCTCTGATTCCAACCAGAACAAGCGAAGCCTCGGGGTGGAAGAGGCGTCCTGATGCAGAGCCATCTGGAAGTGGTGTTTTCACAAGTCTACTTGGGGTTTGCGAGATCGACTCGTCCTGAACAGCATCGAGCAGATGCTGGACCGACGATGCTCGACAGGTGACTGAACGAGGCGAGGCTGTACCAGAGATTGAAGGTCGAGACTGGCCGTGTTGAGAAGCTGTGGTGATTGGATCCCCTGCAAGTTGACTCGGTCTGCGGTGGGATTCCATGGTCGCCGCTCATCTTTGGTCAACCTCACTCATATGGAGAGAGTCTCGCTTGGCCGTACACTTCTGTCTGGTATTCCAATGGTCATGTTGCACCTCGTCTCAGAAGATGCAAAGAAACGGCTGTATCAAAAGCCTTGGACCAGGAAGACAGGGAACATAATTAGAATGATGGGTGCACCTCTTGTGTACCTAGCGACGTATGTAAGTTGGTAGCTAAAGTCTTGGGCTGTTCTGGCTCTCACCTAGCTCTCTCACCTACTGTAGGTGGCCCTTGGGTGGCTCTTAGGTGGCTCTGGGTGGCTCTGGAGTTGATCAATGATTAAGTAATTAGTTAGTGTGCGCTTTTCCCGCCCCGCCTGCAGCTCAAGTGCTCTATGTGCCCGATCAACGCCAGTCAAGCCAACTACTAACTCACCGAAACGTTTCGCAGACTACTGTAGGTATCAGCAGGGTGGCTTCCCTCACGACGCTCTCATGAAGAGGCATCCCTGATTCTAGTGTCTCCCCGGCTGCATCCCGCTGACAGAGCACCCTTCCCCTCTGAACATGGCTGTCGCACACCTACCTCGTTGTGATGGATTCACCTAGTACGGACGTGGAGAGACGACGGACTCGGACGAGCGACCAAGAAGACGCTTCCAAACGATCTCGAGCCCGCGTTTCACGCGCCTGCACACGCTGTCGAGCCCGCAAAGATAAGTGCGATGCAAAGCAACCAGAGTGCTCAAATTGTCTCAATGCTGGGCAACCATGTCTGTACGTGGCCGCGAACAAGAAGAGAGGGCTCCCGGAGGGATATGTCCGCGGGCTGGAGAAGTTATGGGCTGTCATGTTACGGAAGGTGCACGGACTAGATGATACTGTGCAGCTGGTGGTCAACCAGAATGAGGAAGAGCTGGTACGGATATGGAACCATCAGAAGTTTGGGGACGAGCTTCACACGGCATGGAAAGAGTCCAAGGTGCTTACAGAGTTGGAAAAGCTCTTATCCCGCCTCGAGCACGCCCCCTCGATCCACCACAAGCGTAAACGCGACAGCGAAGACGGCAATGAACCGGCACAGCCTCTGAGTGATGCTCAAAGCGATAGACCTGTGCTCACACCAGATTTCAAGGTCATTGAGATGTCAGAGAGCCACGAGCCGGTGAGCCATCCAAGCATACAAGATCTGGGGCCTGACTTGGGAGAGTGTCTACTTCAGAACCGACCCGGCACTCCAAAGGCTGAACAAGAGCCTCTTCCATCTTCGGCCTCGCGCCTCTTGGATCAGTATTTCACCTTCACCCACTGTTGGTTTCCCATCCTGGACAGGCCTGCTACCCTCCGTAAATTTTACGAACACACCATGCCTCACAAACGACGTCCTCTCGACACGGCTGATCTTTCCTGTATGTGGGCGATTTGTGCGTACTCCCACCAACAGACCGGACATCTTTGGTCGGCGCCCCACACGACACCTGGCCAAAGTGTTGCTGAGATGCGTTCTCTGGCGAGGAAGCTGATACCCACCGACAGCGGCCCTTTCTCGTTTGGTCACGTTCAGGCTTTATTGTTGCTGGTCCTACTTGACATTGGCACTGGTGACTGGACGTCCGCCTGGATGCTGGTGGGCTCTGCTATACGGGCTCTGCTCCTCTCCTCGGGGCTGGAAGTGGCCCCGTCCAAGCCACTGACGGGTCTATATCCTGACTCTGGTATCAACAGGCCCGAAAGCGCTGCCGGGTTTGGACCCGTACCCGCTGGTTTCAAGCAGAAGAGCTGGCAGGCCGTCCTACAAGGCTGTTTTGTCTTGGAAACCATCATCGCGATCCGTTTGAAGAAGCTACCTCATCTTCAGAGTGGTCATTTGAGTCCTTCTAAGCTTCTCGAGGAAGACGGACACGAAGAGTGGGAACCGTGGAAAGCAGCAGCTGGCCATGATGGCGCCGAGTCTAGAGAACCGGCTTTCGTGATAAGTTGCTTCAACCGACTGACCGAGCTCTGTATGATTGCCAGTGATGTATTTTGCACCAAAAGCTCCCAGATGACCGGCGGAATGCCAATAAGCCAGCATGTTACATCACGACTGGGTTCGCTGAGCGAGAAGTATCCTTTCGCAGTCTCGGACGTCACCCGACGCCCACCACATCAGATGATTTTACAGACATGTCACTTTGCAGTTCAAGCGATCAATTCTCAGTCGAACGGCATGGTTCAGCCAGGACCCAGGTGGAACTTCATTGAGAGCCTGGAGCTGTTTGAACATTCATGGAACCTTTTCGACGAATGCGGCGTTCCATCCATCCTCATACCACTGTTCCATCTGACCAGTCCAGGCGCCAATTCTTCTGCATCGCCCTTTGGCGGTCATGATTTACTTCTGGAAAAGTTCGACAAGGTTCGGTCGAGGTTGGCCACCATCTGGCCAGGAGCAGAATCAGTGAACGACGGCAGTACGCGGATGGCACCAACAGGTCATTCGAACCAAAACTCAGTGCTGCGATCCAGCAGTGTCTTGCAGACGCCACCAATGTACAACAGTCTTGCGCCCGGTCCAAGCAGCCGCAGAGATCTGGGGTCGCGGGGAGCTGACGCTCGGGAGCCGATTTTCTTTCCATATCAGGACATAGCTCATTATGCAAATGCACCAGGGGAGGACCAGCCGACTGGATCGACCTCTGTGGATTACGGTGCTATGAGTATTGACTTGCCGGAAGATGGCAACGGGGTGAGCCACGGCCCCGGGTTGTTGGCCCAAAAAGCCAACTTTTCAGGGCTCGCGACATCTCCGAGCTTTGACGGAGACGAGATCGATGCCCTGTTCCACGAAATGGCTCAACTAGATACAACTCAATGGACGGTTGACAGGACCCAGGGACTCAGGGACTTTGGGTTCGCGGACGACACAACCTTCGAAGCCTTTTGTAATGATCCCGACCGCTTGATGCTGTCGGATGCGTATATGGGTCCTGTTTTTAATAGCCAAGGCAACATCCCACGCGGAGGCCAAGCTGGAGTATTGAGCAATAACGGCTCGCGGATTGGAAACATGAGTTTTGACGATATATTCCGATGAGGGTCGAAAAAGCTCAACCCTGTCTCTTTGAGCATCACGTATTCCAAGTATTGTCTCCAGACAACTTTTAAACTTGCTTCCATCTTCTTTGTACAGCGAAAATCCCCATGTAATACTGTATTTGTGGCTTTAGCCGCAGCCTTGTAATTACTCGATACTGTTGCTGTATCGTCTCGTCGCCGAAGTTTTGCCGGGAACTCATTCCACTTTTGCTCAATGCGCCCATACAGTTTTCCTTCATCTGCGTCTCTCGGTCTCGACAGCTCTGGGTTCATGGTCAGAGCTCTAGATCCTTGTCCTTCATCCTAATCTCTCAGCAAGCGTGTCCTGTCCTACTGGCGAGGCTATTTCAAAACCTCTCCCTCGTTCTCTGCATATACCCTAGCGAATCCCAGACAAGATGCCTCCCCGTGGTTCCTCGACAGCAATCAACCCAGTCCGCCTACAGACTGTGTCGCGGTTAAAGATCAGACATCCAGACAAGCAGGAGCCGAATCCGTGTCTAGGACCCATGACTGCCATGTTGAGTACGTCTCTGCCTGTTGCTTGTGTCTCGGGAATGAAGGGAGCTTCTCGATGATGTGCAGCGAAAGCGCGTTGTGTCTACAAATCCGACAGAAGAGCCAGAGGGATGATGGGCTACAGGCGAAGCATACTGATGTGATTCTTTTCAGACTGTTGGGCCGCGGGCGCCGCCTCAGGAGGCTGTGGACACCTCGAGAAAGCTCTACGAGAGTGCATGGATGCACCAGTACGTCTGCCCATATTCCAACCTGCTGAATTGCTTCCACGACGCAGCCGTACAGCTGACTGACTCATGCGCTGCCAGAAACCCCAACCGAAAGGCAAATCTACGATAAACCACCATCTTGGCCGATTATATCCATTGATCTCGGGACCGAAGAAAAAGAAGACTTGAGAGGACCACCTCATATGGTGGGACAACGCTGCGATGAGCCCTCTGTCAACTCTTGAAAAACGCTTTTTTAGGAGCCTGAGAGAATGTCGTCACGGGGCTTGGGCACAATCATGCCGAGAGTTAGAGGAGGATCACCCTCTCCCAGAGTGTACATATACAGGTTCTTAAGAACGTGGAGGCAAGGTGGGCCGTCCGTTCTTGAGGAGTTGTGATAGACAAACCAATTTGACTACAGGCTTGGTCAAAAGACGGAGCATATGAGCATAGCGTGGAAGGGACTGGGTCGGACACCGTCGACTATTTCCGCATGGCAGATCTGGCTATAGAGGAGGGCGAACACCGTCGGTGGAAACAAAAATCGGCAAGCAGAGTGTGTGGGGATATCAATGATGTCTTGAGCCAATGCATCGAGAAGACATCTCAAAAGGCTGTACAACACCAAGAATGAGACGATACTGTAGACAACAATGCGAAAACTGGTGGCCTCTCCCTCGATCAGCGTATTCTACATGATAACTAACTAACATTGTCGAGTTCGATCCACCCCAAACTTCAGAGCGAACTCGAACAGTGCTACGGCAAAAAGTCACCCTCTTCTCACCTGCATCGAAAGACTGAGGCTAGCCCAGACCCAAAGGGCGATACGGCTGTGTCCCAGCTTCTTCCACTCACATTCTCCCATCGGCCGCCAAGTTCGTCCTGCATCAGCCAGTCGCTATCCTGATCTAGGCAGCCAACCTGCTATCGTCCTCGACAGGGGCTAATGGCTATGTGCTGGCAGGGATGGCCCGATACTCATCATCCCAAACGACCATGTCTAGGGCTGGTCTTTTTGCCTCTAACATCGTTGTCATTGGTCCCCCTCAAACTACCAAAAGGCCCTCGCTAGACGTGGGACGAGAGACAGCCTGATGCTGCGCCCCGTTGCCTTGATACGGCTCAAAGAGGGGTTGATGGCTCACACTCACTCGGGATATCTGCTTTGGAGAAGTCGATATATGCTGAACATGGTCAGACGTCCGTACACCTGATACCTCCCGTGGCCTATATTCGATGTGAGTGAACAGATGTCTCCTTGCCTGTGGCTGTGGGAAATATGGCGAGTACAGCCAACATGGTCAATTCCCACAGGCGCTCCCCTCAGCCTTGCGAAAACAGGGAAGTATCTCAGAAACTCTGTACGAAATGCGCTTCATTGGACCTGGAGAGGGTGTTTTCCCTTTCTCAGAGACACACCACACCCATCACCATGATCAGGCTCAAGAAGGGCTATGAGCCATCATGCCCCCTTTGCCGATTCCTGGAACAGATCGCGCAGAACAGCCCGCAGTGGCCGACACCTGTCCTGACCTTTTTACTGGCATATCATGTGTGTATTGGCTGTGGTGTCTCCATGTTTGACTGTCCGCACCCGAACGTGGTCTTTGCAGCTGTCGGGACGGATCGAGAGTTGCCATTAGCCAAGCTGGTAAAACGGTCCGAGAAGGTCGAAAAGCGTCAGCTCATCTGCACTTCCACCTCTCACCTGCAAGACGCTGGACTCATATTACCCATGCACCAGGACGCTGTCCATACCCGTTTGCAAGGGCAACAAATAGACGCCAATTCCATCAACTTGGGGGCGGTAAGTAGATGGCTGGCGACCTGCAAAAGACTTCACCCCCAGTGCTCACAACCCTGCGCCAGTGCTGGAGCCTATCCACGGTGGTTGTTCGACTGTCATGACAGGAGACTTGTCCGCAATTACGGGATCGTCGACTACACGGCTCTGAGCTATGTGTGGGGGCCAGCCTTGTCCGCTTCATGTCCAGGGGGGAGTCACGAACCCAACGATGACCTCGCTTCGCTACCACAGGTTGTTGAGGACGCTATCACGATCACCAAAGCCCTCGAATTTCGGTATCTCTGGGTGGACCGGCTTTGCATTCGGCACAATAACAACCACGAGTTCCACCGCGAACTGAAGAACATGGCCTCACTGTACCGTGCGGCGCAGCTGACCATCGTCGCTCTCCACGGGGAAAGTGCAGACGACGGTCTACCAGGCGTCAGCACTGTCCGTCGTGATGTACAGCCGTGTCTTGAACTCGGGAGCTGCCGGTTGATCTCCACCATGGGTTCGCTGGAGTCGGCGAGGAATCGGTCAAAATACATAACACGAGCATGGACTTACCAAGAGGAAGTCTCATCAAGGCGGCGACTGTACTTTACACACCAGCAATTGTACTTTAAGTGCATGACATCGTCGACCTGCGAGACCATTGCCGCTCATAGCTCGCTTGAAAGGCTCTTTGTCGAGCCGAACGCCACGTACTTTGGCGGTGCTAAGCCCGAGCTGGGCGAGCTTAACACGGCCTGGGAGCATATCTCCCAAGTCTCGGGAAGAAGTCTCACGTATGAGTCGGACAGGCTGAATGCTGTTCTTGGTCTTCTCGAAGAACCCCCCCTGTTTGAAGGGGCGTCCCGCGTCCGACAAGTATTTGGCATGCCTATTCCTCCGGGCAGACGATGGCGGGACGACATGCTTTCACCCGAGGCACTCTTTGCTCTCACACTTCTGTGGACGAGGCGTCATACTGACAGCCGACAACCTTGCTTTCCGAGTTGGTCCTGGGTGGGCTGGAGCGGCAGCAAGGTCACCCCCCACTTCCCCGGACAACGTTCTTCGGACCTCTCCTGGTCAAACGACGTGGAGATATCACTGCAATCATGCGAGAGAGGGGAACTGGTCCGGCTGGATGACCTTTCGAGATTTGCCGACGCCACGATCGACGAAATGCCGCGGGTTCTCCGCGTCCGGAGTCGCGGCTGTCGACTTCGCAACCTGATTTTCAATCCGTCCTCCACCCACCGCGTCCGGGCCAACTTCGTGTGCGGATTGACGGAACGATCCGTGCCCATAGACACGGAGTTGTGCTCGGACGACGCGCTCCGACGCCTGGAGAGCTGCAGCCAGGTCCTGGCGTTGGATTTGGTGGACCGCTCGAAAGGACACGATCTCGACCACTCCGCTCCTCTGCTGGTGGTGGCGGCGGCGGCGCCGCGGTACGGAAACATCAAGCTCTTTGAGCGTGTGGGGACCATACGCCTGTCGGCGCTTCTGTCACTCATCTACCTGGACCGGCTGAGAGTGGACCACTTTTTGTCCAAATGGGAAACGGTGACCGTGCAGATAGGATGACGAGGACATCAGATATTGTCGTGATTACGAAGAGAGGCTACTGACGAGCTATCTGGCTGGGCGAAGGTCACACGTGGCGCCCGCCCCCTTCAAACAGTGGTGGTTCTTCCAGAAGACAAGACCAACCAAGAACAGCATTCAACCTGTCCGCCTCATCCTTTAGACTTCTTCTTGAGACCCTTGGGAAATATGCTCCCCAAGCTGTGTCAAGTGGTCGACAACCTTGGCCGTGTCTAGTGTCCCAGACACGGGTAACGCACGCCGGCAGGCCAGGTACATATGCGGGGACGGAACCTCGACCATCTATCTATCTGTCTGTTCCTGGTGGGAAGTGGGGCACGGCACGCCGAGGACGAGACGGACAGACAGACACACAAACAGACGGACAGAAAAGCCTTAGCCTCAGCCTCAGATCCCGGTTCCAGGCTCAAAAAGGGCATAGGGACACAAGCAAGCAAGCAAGCAAGCAAGCAAGCAAGCATTATACCAGGCAGATGGCGCTGTTGGATACCAGGGATTATGATTCAGAACCAGCCAGCCCGTCTCAGCAGGACACGCTAGCGATCTATATTCCTCATATGTGTCGTAGAGATAGATAGATGTCTTATGGGTATAGCGGTGTTTAGGTAGTGATGCGGACGAACCGCCGTGCGCGTCCTGGGCGTCCCGTCCAAGGCAGGGAAGGGTACCAACCAGGAGGGTAGGCCCGCAGGGCAGGCAGGCAAGCAGGCAGAGCTGTTCAGAGGATATTTATTCTAGGAGGGGACAGCCTAAAGAAAACGGGAATATACATACATATCACAGTATGTCAAGGCAAATCAAGTCTATCAGATTAACTATCCCCGTGCAAGACGCTATACATACGTACGTACTATGTAACTCACAAAACCAAAAGCTCTTACATATTTCGTTGCATCCCTTCTCTTTTCTTTTCTTCTCTTCTCTTCTCTTATTTCGTTCCTCGTCTCGCCGAAGTGTCCGAGATGACCTGGACGAGCCTCAGTGCGTACGTGAACATACATTCAAATCTCCCTAAGTTGCACGGTTCATATTTATTTCCCGTCTTGTTCCCCAGTATTTAAGGTCAATCAATCAATCAATCAACGAGTCCATTAAATCAATCCATGTGCATGTATGTAATAGATATTGTTACAGTAAGCCAGCCCGTCCGGGAAATGCAACCCAATCCTTCCGTTAAGCTTCAGACATCCAGCATGGGTTCAGATCATATATGATATGGTGATGATGATGATGGTGATGATATGATATGATTGAAATCAATCCATAAACAATCCCGGGACGCCGTCGCTCATGCTGTTTTTCCCCCTGGCATTTTTTTTCGTCGCTCCCCGTGCTGCGTGGCTTCAATTGCATGAAAATGCAGGAATTGCTTCGTCATCGTGTTGTACGTATCAGGTCGTGTTGTCGTCTCATGGGTAAAGCAACGAAAAGGGTACAAACGCCTCGCTGTGCTGTACCTCGCGGCCCATGCGCCGTGTGCCATGAACCTGAACCTGAACTTGAAAAAATAAAGGAGAGGATAACCAAGAACCACCACCGCCGCCAACAGCAACAACAACAACAACAAAAAGAACACGAGGATTAGGCCTCAATAAACGCCCATCGAGGGAAAAATGCAATGCCACCACGCTATGAAACCCTGGACAGAAGAAAAGACAGAGAGAGACACAAAGTCAACAAAAGCAAAGAATCTGAGGTGAGGCGCCGCCTCATGACCTCTTGAACATGAAATACCCATACATGCCGCCGACGTCCTGCTCGACCATGGGGATCTTCCGCATGCCCCACCAGCGGGCGCCCATCTTCCAGGTGCGGGCGCCGTTGTCGACCACGACGGAGCCTGCAGCGGGAAGTGGCTGGCGTACGTACCACCCGCGGCGGCCGAGCTCTTTGACCACCCACTCCAGCTTGCCGCGGTCCCGCACGTGCGCCGTGCGGCGCTTGATCTCCTGCAGCACGTCGCCGCCGAGCTCGATGACCTCAAGCGGGAGCGTGTCCTTGTCCGTGAGGGAGGATGGGGAGTACGAGAGCGAGAGCTGTGTGACGGAGGGAATTGCCGTCAGGTCGAGGTAGCGCAGGGTGCTGCGGTGCTGCTGGCGAGACGGTGATGATGTGTCATGATTGTCCATGACGTGGTCCTCGTCTTCCGAAGACGCGGACGACGGAGAAGGTTTGAAGAGGCGGATGATGTCGCTGCCGAGGCTGAGGTCGGCCCCACGGAGACCGAGTTCTTCCAGATGCGTGGCGAGACGTCTTAGCGCGGGAACATGTGACGGCCTAATCTTTGCTCCACCTAGGTTGAGGGATTTGAGACTTGACGGCAACGACTTTAGTAGGCGAGTGACGTCGTCTTCGGCGAGCAGTCTGTGCCGCGATGGGTCAGCCGCCAGGTTCAGGTAGACGACATTGCCTCGGACGGCGAGATGTGTGGTGAGGAATTTGACCACGCCCGACCCTGTGAGACGCGTGCAGCGCTCGATGTTCAGGTGTGTGATCCTGGCAGTCGCCGGGATGGACAGAAGGGCCTTGTCGTTGATGAGGGTGTGGGCGACATCCAGGTGGGTCAGATTCGTCAGGAGCGGGAGGAGTGATTCGAAAACAGGCTCTTGCAGCGTGGTACATTCATGCAACGAAAGGCGCTTCAGGCTTCGGAGCGGCGTGGAGAGCTGTTTCGTGACGGTGGTGAAGGCCTCTGCAAACGGCCGAGAAGAGCAGGCGCAAAAGTCCATCGCCTGCATGAGAGGCATGTTGAACAGCTTGGCGATGATGTTGACGTCAAGTTCCTCGTCGACATGCTCGTGGACCAAGAATGCTTGCAGGTTCGGCATGACATCTAGACATGCGTTGAGGGTCTCGGGCTTCAAGAACGGGGTTTGGTTGCGCGTGCTGCGAGCGCTGCCGAAGCCCATGTTGGAGTAGTGAGAAAAGTCCAGCCACTGCACCAATTCTCCGAGCTGGGGCGTGGTCTTGAGACTCCGCATCAGTTTGGCGAAGGCTCTCGATTGCGGGATCGAGACGTGTCGGTACAACACCCGGACGGCAGCCGCCTGGACGGTCTTGGACACGAGGGAGCAGCTTGCCAGATCCACATGAGGACGCGCATAGGGGTCTGCCGTGTGATCAACCGTCACGTAGGACAGGATGAGTTCGAGGATTTCCTCGGGCATAGCCTCCAGATACGCAACCCCCTCCTTGCGGGCGATGTCCGACACTTGCGAGAGCGTCTCGTCCGAGTCGTCGACGATGGCCGTGTCTGCGCCCGTGCGATCGAACTCGTCGCTCAGGCGAATGGAATCTCTGACCTTCTCTCGCCATACCTCAAGGCTGAAATCGGCGGGGCGGGGGTGCACGCGCGTGATCTCCTTGGCGAAGGGGAGGTTGAACAACTTCTGCGCCGCCCTCCGCTTCTCCAGCTCGTCGAGGATCTTTTCCAGCTTTCTCGGGTTGTTCCGAGCATATCCCTCCAGCCTTGTCCGGACATGGTCTTCGTGGGAGCCGCTGAAATGATATGAGCACAGGCCTTTGGTCTTACACCACTGGCTGCAGGGCCACGCGATCCACTCAAGTTCCTCGAGGTCCTGGGATGACAGGGACGACCCAAACGACTGGGGGAGGCCATCATCTATGGGCAAAGGTGTGGTCAGCGTCGGGACGCCATATCCGGTGGTGGTTGCAAGCACGTACCTGTTTCTTCTTTGACGGACGCGTAGGAGAACTTTCTGGAAGCTGTCATTTCGTCGGGCGGTTCGATGAGATGGTGACGATGAGCTTTGAATAACAACAGTTCCTCAGGCCTGTTGTGATGCTGGGGAGTCGTAGTAGCAGTAGTAGCAGGATATTTGTGGTCTGGGCATGGGCCACGGTCTGGAAAGTCGGAAGGCAACATGATTCAACCGTGAGCCGCGTCTTATGAATCCCTTTCTAAATTTTACCAGATGACCGACCCAAAGAATGCAAAGTTGTCCAAGCGAACTCCACCGGCAACCCGCAAGGAAAAGATGCAGGGAAAAACACACACACAAGAAGGTGTTAGGAACAACCAACAAGTTAGGAAAATATTATGAAAAATGGGGGTAATAGAAACATGGGAGAGGGAGGTCAGGGATAGGAAGTTCTGTGTCATTGCTTTTCAAGCACCCGATGGACGCGCGACATTGGCAGGACGGGAGCATAACTGTGAGTAATGCGTACCACCGGTCTGCAGAGGCTTGACTTAGCGACTAAGCAGTTAACGGCAGCTGTGAATCACTCTCTGGCCACGGATGAGTGGACTTTGTTGTTCTTGGCCTCGTGCCCAGCATGAAAGAGGGCGGCGGCCAGACTTCCGAAAGCATGAAAGAAGGGATATTCACGGATGTCCGTCACATGAGACGGAGGCAAAAAGGGAATGCCGGCTCTGTGGAGGTCAGGTGGCTGGAAATGTACGTGGCGTTGAAAGGAATGCTGACAAGGAGATGGCTCCCAAGGACGCAAAGCAGCGTCCACCTCACATTCTTTCCGGGGGGATGACGATGATGACTTGACGCCACGAGGGGGAAAAAGTGGCCAGCAGAGCAAGATGTGAAAGCGAGTCGTGAATAACGTGTTGTCAACAGGAGGTTGAGATTACGTAGGAGGAAGAGTTTTTCGCGCCTACAAATGGCCGGAGCGCACAAAATCTGGGGTAATAGCGCACAAATGGCGGCTTGGCAGCTGGCGGCGAGCCACTCACGTGCGGCATCAAAGTTTTTCACGCCTGGCTCCGCCCCTGGAGTGGCCTCAACGGAAGGACGCCTCCCAGTCCGCAATTGCCTCGACTCCTGACGCAATAGTATTCATGTGGAAGGAACCATTTCTCATGACAAACATGTACAACCTCAACATGTCAATCATCCGTTGCTCTTCTCCGCAACTATGCCGCATCGGTGGTGGTGGCTGCCACCATCTCCTCGGCCGCAGCCCCGGACTCCAGATGGGAAATATGTGTCTCGAAAGAGGACACCAGGGTAATAACAACATAAAGACGGTGAAGGATCGAGACCCGGCGAGACGCCAAAATAAATGAGGCCAACTCATCCATCCACTCGTGCTTCGACCCATCCCCCCTGGGTCACATCGAACCTCTTCAGCACCTCACCAGTGTTTGTTCGCGACGCAAAAGGTGACTTCAAACTCAACGCCTCAAAGTCGGCCCTCTCAATCCCCGGAGTCCTGCCTCTACCCCGCAAAGACTCTCCGTTTCGCACTCGTTCGCACAGCGTTTTGAGCACTCCTCCTAGCCACTCAAAGTCCCTGAGTTCCAGATAGATTTGACCCGAAATTCGAGTCCAGAGTTTGCCGTCGTATTCGTAGATGGCCACGAATGTGTTGTACTCGTCCACCAGGATCTTTTCCATCCAGGCGATATGGGTGGCCACGTCTGCTTCCTGGATGATGATCGGGCCTGCAGAATGGAGGCTGGGAGAATTGAGAGGCGAATTGGAACGTCTGGGTTCGCCAAGATTCCCTCCTGAGCCCGCAGAAGATGATCGGAGCTGGGCAGCAACGCTGGGGCTAGGGAACCCATACGACGACTGTCGAAACGCGGGAGACAGCCCACCTGCGCTTCCGGCTCCACCGGGTCCCATGCTGAGGCTTCCCCGAGAATAGGCGCCGATGATAGTGATTGGCAGGAGCACGTTGGCCATGGCACAGTCCCTGAGGCCGCCCGCCCAACCGATACGTCCGCCGTCCCGTTTATCACGGGCTTCGTAGCTTCCCATGGTGCGCAACCCGTATCCCGCGTCCAAGTCGTCCATAACTTCAGTTCCGAGAAGCATAGCCAGGAGGTCGGCGCCCCTTTGAGCGATGTCCCGGATGTAGTTGTAGATGGCCTCCTCACCGCCGCAAAGATTTTGCCGGAAGTTGAGGGCTGCCGGGACACAATAGTAAGGCGTGTTGTCAGCAGTCGCCACGAATTGGAAGAGATTGACAAAGTCTGATTTGTCGCTGGGGGGGAGAGGATTCCGAATGGACGAGGAGGCCTGGGGCACAAAGCCATGTGAGGTCGGAAACGTGGTTCGAATGAGGTGTTGATTACGCTTGGGCACGTGGAAGACGGCGCAGCCTCGTGGGGTAAATAGCCACCTGTAACATGTCAGGCATCGCAAACCAGCCTGTCATGGCGAAGACGCCATGCCGAGTCCACTTACTTGTGGCAGTTGCTGACGAAAAAGTCGGCGTCGAGCTGGGACAAATTCAGGGGTATCTGGCCAACCCCGTGGGCCCCATCGATCAAACTAAGAATACCATATTCTTTGCACATTCTGGTGATCCTTTCGAACGGGAACCGCACACCGGGCAAAGACACGATGGTCTCAAAGACACAAACCTTGGGATTCAGCCCATCGTACAGTACTCGCGATATAGTTTGAGACAGGGCATTGAGGATCTCGGAATGCGTGCAAGGGAGTGAGTAGGCAAAGTCTTGCCCATGTCCGACCTTGCGAAGTTGGAGTTGCGGGTTCGTCTCGACAATGGAAGCCAACGTCTTCTCAATTGCTCCGTAGATAGTATCGAAATAGATGATGCAGTCCTTCTCCTTGTACTGGAGATTACGCAAAACGGTATTGACACCTGCAGGATTAGACATGTTGATTGAAAGGTCCAATGTTCTGGTGCACCTACCCGAAGTGGCGTTCTGGACAAAAACACACTCGTCCGTGGGGACGTTGAGGAGCTTTGCTATCCGCTCCCTCGATTTGTCCAGCAGATCAATATATTGATACCGTAGGAATTTATCTGGGGCTGCCTCGGCCAATTTCTGATACCCACGCAGCGCATTGCGGACCGGAAGTGAGTAACTACCGAACGATCCTACCGAGTTTCAATTAGATCCTGTTGATCCCATATGAGATACTAGGCAGGACGACGTTCAGACGAACAGCGTGATGGCCAGACCGATGAAGCAGCGGGGGCTTGGCATCCTGGAGGAGAACCTTCTGCAGGGGAAGCGGTGTGGATGAGCATACCGTGATTCAAGTTGTTATATTTGGGATCAAATAGGAATTGAGCCTTGAAGCCGTGACCGAACTCCGTGACCTCACCGAACGAGCCCATATTGGCTAGCGATCGAAAAACCGAGAGCGAGATACTGTTTGTAGGGTTGAGGGCGCATAAGGGAGCAACAAGTCCAAAATAGGGGGGAAGGAGGGTGAGTAATGAAGCTTCCGGAAATGAGTCCGTGCCCCTCTCAGGGATTTTCAATCCACCTCAAACCCTTTATCTGGGGGTGCCAGCAACAGAGTATATGGCGGTACCAAAAAGACAAACTGACAGAGTGGAAGCAGTCGTCGTCGGTGCCAATGTGGCAGTACCGTTGCGTGACTCAGTCCAAGTCGAGCTGAAACCCTGAATTTTGAACCGGGTACGAGATTTCATGGGGGGCCAAAGGGCGCGTCCGGGGCAGGAATAGCAGTAGTAAAGCCACATCGCTGCAGAGCCAAGGGCTTCGATCGGGTCTTGTTTGACCAGGGCGCCTGTGCAGTCCGGGCGGTACTGGCCACTGAACAAACAACCTTCAACGCTTGGGAGCGCACACAAGAGTTTTTGTGAGGGAGACAGGGACCCATCTCGAGCCCCTTGGGTTGTGGCTGGGTGGTTTCATTGAGCTGTTCGGGGTGCGACGAGCCAATCATGGACACGTTTCTCTGGCGTTAGGCCTCTCTGTGATCCTTCGTTTGATGGAGCCTCGGCCTGCTAGTCCGACGGCAGCAACAAAAAGCCACGACGATCGCGGGTCCGGCGAGCCAACTATTCCGTCTCAGGCGTGCCTTCTTTTTGCACCCCAAAATATTCGAGGAGCTGAAGACGATTGGGATGGACAGGATGAAGGATGGAGGACGGTGAAATGAGATTGATGACAGGGTCAGATTAAAGCTGACTTGCCATTTGGGAGGAATATATACTATTCAGCCAGGGAATGAGTTGTGATCCTTCTTCTCCAGCTCCTTCTGCTAGCGAGTTGTCTCTTGTCCGGGGGGAACCACGTGCCTGGGCCTCGCCGCTGATCGGAGAAACTGATTTTCCGGATTCAAGAGAACCTTGTTATTCAGGCTGCCTTTGATTGGTTCATACAATGTACCGAATAATGGCTCCCGGCTTTACAACGGCGGAAATGACTTCATACCTCGGTCTAAGGGGTAGTAAGCCAGGAAAACCCCCCCTTCCACCAGTTAAACCCCCATCATCACAGGCTTCGAGCGAGGCAGATCGGTAACAGCTCCGCATTGTGTGAATTCGATGTTCTCGATATAGTGCGTGAAGCTGGCTATAGATTGCGAGTAGAACACCGACTTCGAATCGACGCGAGATATTGCCGAACTTGGATTTCTAAGCCGGACGCATTGATTTGGGCCAATTGACGGAATCGTCTATAAAGAAAATTCGGTGGCATTGTTGTTGCTTGACAACATTCTGGAAAGACTAACGAGACTTCGTGCTTGGAAATTTCTGTGCCACGACAATCCTCCACACCATGCCGAAAGCAATCTCCATATCAAAGGTCGACGGCAAGCCCGGACAGGTCTACTACCCGCTGTCACTGGACGAAGTTCCCAAGCCGTCGCCCAAGGGAAAAGAAGTCCTTATCAAGATCCATGCGGCTGCATTGAACCACCGCGATCTTTTCATCCGCCAACACTTGTATCCGGGCACAGCGTTTGGCGTTCCTCTCCTGGCCGATGGGTGCGGGACAGTCGTGGCTGTTGGCAGCGAAGCCAATCCGAGCTGGAGAGGCAAGCGGGTGGTCGTGAATCCGGGGACGGGCTGGAAGGACAGCCTGGAGGGGCCTGAGGACAAGGGCGGATACAAGATTCTGGGAGGAACAAAGACGAATGCAAATGGCACCCTCCAAGAGTACATGTGCATTGACGAAGGAGAACTCGAAGAGGCCCCGGAGCATCTCTCCTCGACTGAAGCCGCGGCTTTTATCCTCACCGGTCTTACCGCATGGCGGGCAGTAATGGTCAAGTGCGGCGAGAAGAACCTCAAGCCGGGCAAGAACATCTTGATTACAGGTATCGGCGGTGGAGTGGCGTTGATGGCTCTGGAGTATGCCAGAGCCGCGGGTGCCAATGTCTGGGTCAGCAGCGGCAGCGAAGACAAGATCAGGAAGGCGGTCGCTTTGGGAGCAAAGGGAGGAATCAACTACAAGGAACAAGGCTGGGATAAGAAACTACAGGGCATGTTGCCGGCAGAGAACAAACAGTTGGATGCCATCGTCGACGGTGCGGGTGGGGATGTTGTTTCTGTCGGTGCCAGGCTGCTCAAGGTATGACCAGCTCCCAGCCAATTTCCTTCACATCCAGTACTGACATCTCCTCTAGCCTGGTGGTGTGATCTCTGTTTATGGCATGACAATAGGCCCCAAGATGCCTTTCCTCATGCAAGCCGTTTTGAAGAACATTGAGGTCAAGGGCTCAACCATGGGATCCCGAAAAGAGTTCAAAGACATGGTGGACTTCATCAAAGCCAAGAAGGTCAAGCCAGTCGTGTCGCGGGTCGTCCAAGGCTTTGACCTGGACGCCATCAATGGCTTGTTTGAGGAAATGAAGAGAGGGAGCCAGTTCGGCAAGTTGGTGATTGAGATTTCCAAAGAAGGCGCCGATAGCAAACTGTGAATATTATTAGCAGCGATTCAGACACCAAAATTAGCCCTTGAATCCACAGACAGGGACACCAACTATTGGACTGTCTCCTCCAATGATGACCGTACCTTGTTGTCGGCAGAGCAATCATGAGCGATTGGTGTTTCGATCTGTATAGATCGCCCTGTGTTTATCGCACCCGGTTCATTGCTATTTTTACCATTCATGCAAGAAGCCTTTGCGCAAGCGACCTTGTCGTGGCCAGACAATGGATTGTCGTGCCGAAGAAGGGGAAATCGAGTTGGTTGGTTCCGAAGGACCGGGGATCAACAATGTCTTCTGTTCACAGGGTAATAGGCAACATGCATGTCCTGCAGGTCCCGTGCGACCCTGCAGCGCCGACCCAGAGATGAGGACCAATGCACAGTCGATCTGGTCAAGTGGTTTGACGTGGCTTTCCTTGCAAACCACTGGATTTTCGCGGCACGGGGGGAGGCGGTCAAGATGGGTGATGAATTAGGGAGCACAAGAAAAGGCACAACCGTCCTCCTGGGGACACGGGATTCGTCATTCGGCCCGGTTATAGACCTCTGTGCTGCAGTTAGGTACCACTTGGCGCAACGAGTGGTCTGGAGATGGCCAGCATGTTGCTGTGCTTGATTTCCAGCAATCCTGAAATGGCACAAACAGAACCGGCAGCACTTGACAACGCCGATGCCCGATAGGCAGACAGCACCCAAATGTGAAAAGCAGATCAACGACGGCAATCGACTCATCGAGGTCGAACTGACTTTGAAACAGGTGCCCAGCGCGAAGATCATCCATTCGATCGTCTGGCTGATCAAATCGGCGGATTCTGCGCCTCAAACCGCCGCAAAGGGCGCCTGCCAGCCCTTGGGGGCCGAGCCAGCGGTCCAGAGAGTCTGGATGTTTGAGAAGCAAACGGTCCGGTGTAGTCATGAGCGTATCTTTCGGTCGAGTAGCACTTATCATCCCAACGGTCCGTGTCTGGAGGAGGCTCCATTCCTAGATTCGGGGATCATTGTGCACCGGCAGACCCTGGCGGAGCCACAACCCAAGTGGTATATCATGATAGGCCACCGTGAAGACATCTCATTCGCTCGCATCGACACGGCCTCTTTGCCCATCACAAGTTCTGGCAAAAGAGCTCACTCTGTAACGATGCCTCTGCAAGGGGAAAAGGACTCTGCGTAAGCGAGCCAGACAGAAAGGCCCGATAAAAATAGAAACGGGAGATCCCACCCAATGCCGAGAATGCCTAACGCTATTGGCAATTCACAGCCTCACAAATATTTTTCTCGCACTGACTGTTTTGATTGACGCGTCTTCCATGATCACGCGCCGTCGATACGGTGGACCGCATTGGAAAAGTGGTTGGTCAGCAATGCAGCCCAGAAGTTGAGATGACAATGAGTCGGTCACGGTCACGTAAAAGTCAGCCCATCCGAAGTTGAGCGGAGCGATATGATGGGGAGGATGGCAAACAGAGCGACGGAGGCCAGCGGAAATGTCGATGGCGAAACAGATCCAGTACCTCGTATATTCAGGCCTCTTGTTAGAATGGATCCACGATGCGGTCGATAATCTCAACGGCGCTCACTAACACAACATGACAAGTAAGTGGGGACCTTGCCTCTTTGGGCGCCCACGATGGAGCGGGACATTCTCTCACGACGACGTCGCAAGCAGTTGGTGGAGTCTCGATCCGGCATGGACCGGCCGGAGGATGAGCAGATGTCAGAATTTTGGTATTGTACGAGTAAGGCTGCTGAGCAGACAGTGGCAGCAGGAGATATCTCCTGGCCCCCCCACTGACTGTCGAGCAGCCTGAGCCCTCAGGCCTCAATTACTCGTACCAGCCAAGTACTGCCACACAGTCATGTAACGGCAGCATCTCGTGCAAGTTGCACGGGGTTTAGACCGCGCCGCATCCGCCCCTGGCTGCTGCACGAGGGTTCGGTGGGCTTGGAGGACGACGCCGGCGATGAACGGCCGAAGTTCCCCAGACTCGAGTCAGTATCATAGTGAACACCGGCTTGTGAGCTTGCTAGTCATGGCGGCCACGGAGTTGCACGACCATGAATGCTGTTTCCAACCTCGCTTAAGCTGCAGTCGAGGGTCGGGAAAAGGAAGGTAGTCCAGCTGAAAGCTGTGGCCGTGCAACCAGGGTATGCAGTACAGTATGCAAGCACAGCGAGAAGTTTTCCCTTGACAATCCGGGATTTGGTTTTCAGGATGGGGCCAGATTTTAGGGAGGTCCTGCATGAGCTGGAACGACCCTTTCCAGAGCGGCTGCCCGGCGAGAACCGGCGCAATGAAAGACCACAGAAACAAACGAGCAGCAGGCCTAGGATAAATTGTTCGGGGAAGGTATGTAGATGGACAGTGCTGTGGATTGTGGCAGTGTCCTCTAGCAGTGGCGAACCCTTCGAGCTGTGGTGACCAGTCGACGATGACCAAGTACAAGCAATCACCGACTGGTGCCGAGGATCAAGACTTGCGAGTTGCGACCCCAAACGAACAGTGCGAAGAAGGAAAGGTACCCCGTCCCGGGTAGTATGGATGTGATTCCTACCTATACTCATGGAGATGCTTTGCCCACAACGTGAAACACTGGACAGAGATGCCAGAGCAGAAGCGATATCGAGAAACCCCTCAAGCCAATAGGCACAGGTCGCTTCGTGACGTTTGAGAAAGAACACCTCCGCAACCGGCCAATGCTGCGACGGGCGAGCTGGAAGAGGGCGTGTCGCTGGAGGCAGGAGGCAAAAGGCCAGCACGAGGCGAGCAGAGGCCAGCCTGCGACGAGGACTAGAACTCGTCGGTTGGGCGGTTGGTGCTCTATCTTTAGAAGACGGGGGGCCACCAACAACAGCTAGCAGGGGGCAACTCATGCGGAGATGTGGGCCTCAGGGGCAAGGATAGGCATGTAAGGGCTTGCTAAGGGCACCTAAAAGCCCGCGAGTTAGTACTGCGTAAGGGGCAACAGGCTCAGGGCTAGGTCTAGGGGAAGAAGGGCCTTCAGGGAGACCTACGCACCAGTGGTATCAAAGTGTCCCCCCTCTAGCTCTCCAGGGTTTAGGCTGGACGATAGGGACGTGATAGGACCGGCGGGTTGAGCAGGGTGGGCAAAGGGTGACCTCATCCCTTCGACCTCTGCCCACAACTGCTGCAGGCTTCAGGGAGCAATTCCCCATTTCTGTGCCTTTCTGTGCCCCTCTCTTTCCTGCTTCGGCTTCTTTTTACCCATCCGATTGCGGCTGTGCAAGCCTCACATCCACCCTCCAGCAATGCTTGTTCTTTGGCTGCCACGCTTTTCTCGCTCACGACTTTTTCCCCCTTGGCCTTCAGGGTGGTGATCCCTCTGAGCGGCCCTGGTGGATCTGTCTTTTTGGCCCGGTTGGTTGGCCGTTTCCTTTCCGCCATGATCCCTGACGTCCAGCTTGTCATCGCATCGGTTCGTACACACACAAACACACACATGGTACCAGTACGCGGTACACAAAGAGCAGAAGAGCAAAAAGAAAAAACACCACCGAGACTGATGTCCACCATGGCCGCCCAGGTGCCGGGAACACACACATCCACGGACTCTCTCTGCGTGCTGCGCATCTGCACCTCGCAACGAGGTTACCAGCCCACCCCGCCTCTGCTTTCCTCATGTCTCCCTCATCTTTTTGGACAACCTGGGCATGGTAACGAGTCCAAAAGAAGGGTTAGCAGTTTGAAGTGCCTCGTACATACTACAGTAGGAGCCGAAGTCGATGACTGTAACCGTGGCCATGGTTGTGACCATGACCTGGATGGCCTGCGGCTGGTGACGACAACGTGATGGCCTCTTCAACAACCCACAACTCGCAACTCTCTTTGTCACAGAAAGGCGACGTTGAGATCAAAGGCATGAGACTTTGTGGGTGAGAATGATGAGCAGACGCTATCCAGTACATCACTCCACGGTCTGGTGTTCTTGTACGGAGTACGACTCCTTGTCAGGAAGTGATGGGTGTTCCGTCCTGACTGCTGGCTCATTGATCCGTGATCGAAACCTTGGGCCGTGTCAGCCACTCACCATTCGTCCTTCCGGCAGGTCTCCGCTTTTGGTGCTAATCCTGTCCTTTTCGCTCTTCTCTTCCTTTTCCCTCGTCGCCTCGCATCCCTCGAAGGGGGGAAAAAGGGACGAGTAGCAGCAGGAGAAAGTGCGTGCCGTCGTGTCCATCCTCCAATGCGCCATCCACCCTTACCTGGCACGCCCTGGGCCCCATATCCACCTGGACTAACCTGCTAACCTGCTAACCCGCCCAGTGCCCATCACTCACCCCCCCGGTAAGCCCCTCTGCCCACCACCTCCACCACACACACTCCCTGCATCGATTTTTTCCACACTGACCTCTTGCGCTTCTCCATCAGCCCACTAGTCGCTCACTGCCACCGAACCTGCCTCAACTCGCGCACAGAAACCTCTCCCGTTGACTGGCCGAGCACTTCTGCGTGACCTGATTGATCCGTCTTTTTGCCATCCTCGCCTTTCGCGGCTTTTCACTGCCTCTACCTCTTAGGCCTGTCTCCTGCTGAGTCGAGGCCGATATAGCCTTTAGATCCCCCCCTCCTGGTCCTCGGCTCCTCTTCTTCCATTTCCGCTCCACTTGCTTCATCATCCTTTCCTCCCTCACCACCTTCGCTCAACCAAGTTTTCTGGCTCTGTTCGCAGACCATACTTTCGTTTACTTACGACTTGAACACACACACTCGCTTTTCACGACTTCGAATATCCCCTCGTTGGACATCAATCGCTCACGTCCTTCGTTCTTCGAACTAGTTCGCTGAAAAGCCTCGCCCCTCAAAATAAGACCGTTGCCGAATCCCTGCGAATCGGCCAACCTCTCAATTTGGCACCAGGACAAAACCCCCTTCGCTCGATTGTGGAACAAGAGATCTGTCGATATTTACTCAACTTCATCCCGTGTCCAATTTGTTGTTGGGACATTCGTGGACATTCGTGAGCTTGTCTGGTGCGTTGTTCATTGCACGCAAAAAAGGTTGAAAAACCGGGGGCAACTTCACATCCCACGACCCGTTCGGTGCGCAACCACCCGTGTGGTGACGACTTAACGGGGGAAACTCGATCGGATAGACCCGTCATAAGACTGTGCAAAGGGAAGACCACTTTCAGGTTCCCTTGCTGCTGGTTCAACTTGAAATCCGGCCTCCTGGGTAAGTGTACTGTTGGTTGCTCACAGTCATTCGTTACCATCAACCTTGGGATCCCTTCGGGCACGTCAAGGATGACTAGACCCACGACAACTCCTTGCTTGCACTGCATGTCCTTGCCTGAGTGTTTGATTATCTCGCAGTTTTCTCTCTCCCTGGATTCTTGAATGTCTCACTGACGCTCGCCAACAACAGGTTGTTTCTTGCCGCTGGTAAAAAGCGCCCTTGGAAGACTTCCTAGATATTTGCCACAACTCACCTCGATTTACCCTGACAAAGAGGTAAGAATCCCTTGCAACGGAAGATCCTGGTAACTGGATTTCCATCTGGTCTGGCGATAGTTCGGCTGATCAGTGTTGATAGTTCGTTCCACCTGGTTGGGATTCTTTGTTCTCAAGATTAAATCTGCCTCAGCTTCCCGACCTCCAAACCTCTTTGGGAACGTCGAGCTCTCGGTTTCATCACAAATCGCCCAAGCTGGCAACGTCGGCCTAGATCGCATCTCATCTTCATCGGTGCCCTCAGCCAGCCGCCAACTCCTGTCCTCCAGGAGTCCCAAATCAGCTTCTCAAATTCTTCGCCCCAACTTCGAATGTACCCCTGGAGAACGTCGACATTGACCCTCCAGACATTCGAAGCTCGATAGCATTTTGCATCAGTCGTTCGCTTTAATTCGAGGCACCATTTAGCCTCACACCACACTCGTTTAGCACACAGTCGCTCGCTTAGTGATTTTTTTGTTTTCAAGAAATTTGCCAAAATACCGTCAAGCTGGCGTCCATAACTTTCAACCACTTTCAGGTGAGTCCAATCTTGCGTGCCCCCCTGCCCTTGTCTTAGCCTTCATCATCACGGCGTTGGGTCCCTCCTCCCAGACTGATTCAAATAACTGACCTGTTCTCAGTCTTTCCCAGACTTTCGTACTCCATTCATAGTCGACGACTCGTATGATCCTGCAGTCTTTGCTGGAGAGCATTTTGCGAATCAGTTCCAGGACGGCTTCGAGGCCAAACCTGGTCAGCTCTTCTCCATGTCTGGCTATGATGGAACGGGTCAAGCAGGGCTCATGAGTATGTGAACCGCCATTCGTAGACAGGGATGAATTACTCACTGACTTACTTTGCAGAGTTTCAACCTCCTGCCATCGACAATCCGGTGTACTACGGCAGTTTTCCTCCTACCCCGTACGATCATCACCCTCTTCTCCAACCTGGGAACCCCCAGGAAGCCGACTTCCAGTATCTCGCTGGAAGCGAATATGCCTCTGAGAAGAGCATTGTGCAAGGCAGAGCCCCTTCCGTGGAGTTTCGAGACCAGAGAGATGGGGACGTGAGGGTGGCCAGTGCGCACCACCAACGTATCCCCTCATCTCAGAGTTTTCACACGCTTCCCCGCAAACGCAAGGCTTCGACTGAGGACGAGTACGACCTCCCGGCTCAGAAGAAAGTCGTGCTTGCTCAAGTCCACGTCCAAGATCCCAACGGCGATTACTATGACCTGAGCGGTCAAACATCCCCCTATTCTCCCTTCGTGCCGACGCCAACCGGAAGCACTGGCCTTCCTGCTTGCATTAGCCATGGCGCGTCCCCTCGACCCTCTGGTCACCACTATTCGACCTCAACTGCGTCCCAGGTCTCTCTGGCTGCTCCTTCGCCCCATACGCCTGCGTTCAGCCCCTCGTTCACCACGGTCAAGAGCGAGCAGAGTCCGGCAGCGCCCATGACACCTATTCCCCGTCCAACAACAAGCTCGCCTTTGAAATCGTCAGTTCCCAAGCTGGTCCGTACATCCACCATGCAGCAGTCACCAACGGCTCCCTGCGCGACGATTGCCATTGGACAGACCCAGACCTTTAACCCGTATACCTTGTCCACCCTTAAAGCCAATCTTAAACTCAAAGGTGACTTGGACACCATGAAACAAGATTGGACCGCCGAGGAGAAGGAAGCTCGCCGGCGCCTTGTGGTGTTTGAACGAGACCAATCCGGCAGCACTATTACTGCAAATTTCAAGGCAGTCGCCCCCCAAGATCGCCAGGCCAGCAGCATTTGCATCAGCTGCATCTGGTGGAAAGAGAAGAACGAGTTCTTCGTCACCTCGGTCGACACCATCTATCTTCTTGAAGCTCTCGTCGGCGTTCGTTTCACTGTCGAGGAGAAGAACCGCATTCGTCGCAATCTCGAAGGCTTTCGCCCTCTGACTGTCTCCAAGGCTCGATCCGACAGCGAGGACTTCTTCAAAGTTATCATGGGCTTTCCTCATCCAAAGCCACGCAACATTGAGAAGGACGTCAAGGTCTTCCCATGGAAGATCCTCGCCACCGCATTGAAGAAGATTATTTCCAAGTACTCTGCAAGCTACTCTTCGACTGCGGCTCCGCTCCTCACGCCCGCTTCTTCCATCTACAGCGGCGAAGGCCTGTCCGAATATCAGTATCCCTCTTCCCCCCATCCAGAATACATGGCTGTCGCGGGATACCCGATGAATTCTGAAATGGGTTACCTTCCCCCAGCCGTCCAGATGCGCATGCCTGGACCTGTCGTCACTGGACCACCCGAGTTACAGTTGCAGATGCCCGAGTACGTCCCTGCGTACGACGTCAACGGCCAGTACATTTATCAGAATGGAGTTCCAGTCACCCAAGCGACGATGGGTATGCCGGCCCACCCCATGACTGCTCCAGTTACGCGCATGCCCACATGGGAATATGCCAGCTTCGTCAATGACAGCCCGGTCACCATGGCACCGCAAAGTGCACCGCCTACGGCTTACCCCCGCGGACCCATGGCTGAAGCTACCGACTTCATGTCCCATGTGCACTACCAACAACACTGAACGAGCGCCCACTAATCTTTTCAAATATTTCCTTTCTTGACTGTCCTTAGTATTATTCTTTGTGCATGGCACGGGAACCCACAATACGCACACGGGACGACATTTCCTTTCATGTCATTGGCGTCTTTGGAATATCACGGAAACAATTTGGGATGGAGAGGTTGAATGAGTCATGTATACACAAAACCTCCTTGTACACCAGCACGAGCATGTTTTGCATAGCGATTGACACTTTGCGGAGGTTGGGTTGGGGATGTGTTTGCCTATGCTAACAGACTCTGAGAGTCGGACAGTTATGGCTGCCGACGTTGGTGATAATAACAGAAAGAGACACTGGGAGGAGGCTTCACAAGGAGGGTCTGACGGACATGGACTGAGGGTTAACGTTCGTGTATATGATTTGATGAAAGCATAGACTTAGTCATGGCAAACGGCCTAACGCGAGCTGCTAACGCGCAGAAAACACATGATCCATTGTTCTTGACTTTGCTGTTTGTACTGGAATCTGATCTTCTCTTTAACGAAGTGCTCACGTGTGAAATGCTTAAAGAGGGTAAGTGTGCCGGACGCGACTAAGCCATATCCGTCACCATAAACATCGCCAGTCACGCAAAGAAGATAGGCGGCCCATTGCGCAAAACACACAGCCAACTCACTCGGCATCTGCACGGCGAGCGAGAGGCGTTCCTGCTCTCTGCCGCCGATTGTCTATGAGCCAGAAATTGCATTGCTTTATCATCTGTCGGTATCCAGACCACCTACTGACCGGTCGGGGCTCTGGCACAATCGCAATCAGCAGAGACCGACATCTCGTCATGGCTTCGGCAGTGGCTGTTGACACCCTCCCACGACAACCTCATACCCTGAGCGAAGATCCATCGACAGCTTTCTTGAGCTCGTCCTGTTCGAAGTCACCTCGGCGATCACCCGACTTCGCCAACTCTTCGACGCCGCTGCCAGAACCAGACACGGAAAACAAGTCCTCAAGTCCTCCGCGGTGCTACACGTTTACCCCTCAGCACGTCAAATCCTTACCTAGAGCGTGGGAAAGACGGCCAGCGACGCCGTTCGTTGCGCGAAACGACACACAGAAGATATGGAAACGCGTCCCATTGGGTGTCATCGGGACCAATATCGGGAAGAACTGGAGGAAGGAAACCAAGAGATTGAGTACACGACCGGTCAAGAAATTGAGGATTGCTCATCTCGGCGAAGAAGAGGAGAAAGAGAATGTTGACTACGTTGCGTCTAGATGGGACGAGGATGGCATGACGACACCCAGTCCAAAACGAAAGGCATTGGAATGTGGGGCCGTCGCAGACCGTGAACGGGGGCTGGATGATCGCATCGAAGACGACGAGGACAGCGGACCTCCAGAGCACGGCACGGCGTCACCTATCCTCGGAAGCCATGACAAGGCAGAGAGCTGGATGGAGGGCGAAGGCGTCGGTATTGAAACCGTGCCTTCAACTGTCTCAGACATCTTCGATGCTTCTCTGGAGGCAGTGGCTTTGCCTCAAGTTCTTTCGCCGACCACTCAGCCGCCGCATGTCTCCTCTACTTTTTCGCTTCAGCCTGTAACGATACAATCTGTATCACATATACCTATGACGCCTCTCGATGGGGATACCACCTCTTGTGGAGTTCGAGAGCAGGATTCGCCGTCATCTTCAATACCTGTCTCGAGTGATCGCAGCACGATGGAATCCATTGACAACCCTCCTGATCACGATGACACGGCTTTCCTGCACGACTTCCTGTCTCGAGCCCGCGCTCGGAAAGCTGCCAAAGAACAAGGCCTCGGGGACATTTTGGCACAGACGGGGGAGACGGCGGCAGAAACTGCGAATTCGTTGGTCGAAGAGTCCCGGTTTTGTCACATTGAAGATGTAACCAGTCTCTCCGTCCCCGTGGTCGACGAAGAGAAAACACCAACGAACCTGCCTGCCGCTCCAGAGCCTGAGATCAGCATGTCTCCTCGGCGAAGCTCTCGACTGGTCACCCGACTCCCGAGACTTCAGAAACCTGTCACCAGCTTGCCGAACAACGTTCCCCTCAAGCGACTAAGCGGCACCGAGTTTATTGCCGCAAATCACGAAGCTCAATCCATGGCAGTGGCCACCCGCACAAACACTAAGAGTAATAAAAGTGGCGCGGTCTCGGCAAAGGTCAGGCTGATACAATTGAATGCTGAGCTAAAAGCCAGACAGTCTTCGGCAGCGGAGGGTGTTAAAGAACCAAACCCAGAGACTTTATCGAAGAAGAAGAACAACAAGAAAAAGGAAGTGACATGGGCCGAGAAGCTTGCGACTTTCCAGGAGGAACGAGATGCCGAAGGCTCTGGTGATGAAACAGGAGAGGAACGAAATGAGCAGAGCACATCGGACAACAACTCTGAGGCGGAGAGGGGAAGCAAGGCAGCCGCCGAGAAGCCACATTCGCTCCTTCAACACCAAAATCGAGGCATCAAAAAGGTGCGCAAGCTGAGGAAATTGACCGCCGGGAGCGTGAATGGGACGCCGGCACCGAAGAAGACAACCAACATTCCTCTGCCCGTGGGACCGAATTCCAACTTTTTGTCTGCGAAGGTCGCTGGAATGGTTATGCCAGTAGAGAGTGACCTCGAAGATCAGAAGAACACGGTTCAGACGAGAACGAGGACAAGGACAAGGATTTCCAAGATCGTCTGAGGCAGAGTTGCATCATGGTGATTGTCCTGTGCATCCGCGCACGAGACCTTGCTCCAGGCCATGGCTTGAAGAGGACGAAACTGCAATATTATCAATCTAACATGTTTGATTCTTTGAAATCACAAACGCGCTGTGCCGTGGGTCTAGAGGAGGTGTTGAATCAATCCCTTTTGATGCAGATGAGCAGGAGTTAGGCACTCAACAGGACGAATTCTCGCTGTGTTGTGATGGCTCGCGTGAGCCCATATATCCCGGTCTATGCACTACAAGTCTCTTCTACGACGGAGATCATTCGAACAAGGGCCCGCCAACAGGCTGTGAAATAGTTCGTCCGATGCCCGTCCGCGCAATTGGTGGTGGTGTGTATCGGACGCCGCCTGATGGGCCGGCGTTAAGGCTTGCAATATCCCGGATCCACCTCTGTATATCTGTCCAACAGCACGGGATGCGAGAGCACGGAGTCAGCTGTAAAGAGGACTCGCTCGCGCCACTCCGTCCCGACCTTGTACTCGATAAGTAAGTACTACGAACCCACCAGCCGTGGCCCGGTCGGCGCCAGCGCTAAACCGCATCCATCGGAAAGGGTATAGATCCGTCCTCTATGAATATCTGGCTGATGTTCTGACGGTTGTTAAAGTCGTTAGTGAGCCCGAAAAGTTGAAGGTTTCTCTTTCTTCATAATCGACGACCATTTCCCTTCCCCTTCCTTTCTGCTTCCCCCACCCTCTCATCTGTCGGAGTTAGGGTGCCTACGCGGTGTTTATGTCTGTATTTACGAGGGTGCACGCTCGTCGTGCATACAGGCGTTTTTGTTGTCCCCGTCGTCGTCGCCGTGGGGCCCGTACGTACGTGCGCAAGAGCAAGTGAGATCTCGTCCTTGGGGCCATGGGGGATCTTCGATCTTCGATCCTGGCTGCCAAATTTCCCGTCCAGTCATCAAGTCAGTTATTCAAACACGCAGGTAGGCAGTCATTCAGACGAGACAGAAAGCTATTCGAGGCCCGGGCCAGCGTCCGTGGACGGATGGATGAAGTGCCGAAATAAGGTATGTGGAGCTACGCGATACGACGAGATGGGGTGGGACGAGACGGAGTCGGGACAATTACTTGGGTACGGGACTGGCGGTGGTGATGACACGCAGACTGGTAGCCGGACAGGGAGGCCCAGGGAGAAGTAAGGCCAGGGACGGCTGACAGGTATAAAGCTCCTCCCTCTCTCGCCTTCTATCTTTGTCACAAGAAGGGGCAAACGACATCGGAGTAAAAGCAGGGAAATCGAGACAATCCATCTCAAACACCGTGGTACACACACACCCCCCCCCCTCCTCCCTCATATATCCATACAGCAATAGCCACCAACAATGTCGTCCATCCCGCCCACCCACCGCGCCCTGCGCCAGGACATCTACGCCCAGCCCCCAACGGTGCAACAGATCCCCACGCCCCAACCGACCCCCGGGTCTGCGGTGCTACGCGTGCTCACGGCCTCGGTGATCAGCTACACCAAGGACATCTACAACGGGGTGCGGCAGTACCCGTACCCGACGCCGCTGACACTGGGGCAGACGGCCCTGGCTCGTGTAGTGGCGCCGGGACCGGACGCGACGACACTGAACGTCGGGGATCTGTGCTTGCTGGACGTGACGATCCGTGGGCGCGACGACGTCGGCCGCGCCGCGGGGGCTACCTTCCTCAGCGCCATCGCGGCAGGCGGCACCCCGGCCGCGGCCAAGCTGTTCCGCGACGCCTGGCGCGACGGCACCTACGCCGAGTACGTGCGCTGGCCGCTGGAGAACTGTTTCGTGCTCGATGAACAAAAGCTTGTCACCAAGCTTGGCTATCGGCGGGAAGACCTGATGTTCATCCCCAAGATGATGGTCGCCTACGGCGGGCTGGGACCCTTGTGCACCGACCTCAAGCCAGGCGAGACCGTCGTCGTCAGCCCCGCGACCGGTGGGTTCGGATCTGCGGCTGTGCACCTGTGTCTGGAGCTGGGCGCGGGCAGAGTTATATGCATGGGGAGAAACCAGGACATTCTGGCGCAGCTGAAGAATGCGACCGCCCCGGAGAAGAGGGCGAGGGTTGAAACCATCCCTCTCACCGGGGACTGGGAGACTGACTTGAAGGCGCTGAAGGGCCTAGGCGGCGTGATCGACGTCTTCTTCGACATTTCGCCACCTGCGGCCGCAGACTCCCAGCACCTCAAGGCCGGGGTGCACGCCCTGAGACACGGCGGCAGGATGTGCCTAATGGGTGGAGGGAACCACGACGTGGCCCTACCGCATGGCATGTTGATGCGCAAGGACATCACCGTCAAGGGCAAGTGGATGTACGAACCTACCGACGTGAAGCGCCTGATCGGCCTCGTGGAGTCTGGCGTCGTCAAGCTGCACAGAGACGCCGACAGTGTCAATCCGCCCGGGTCGAAGGTGGTGGCCAAGTTCAAGCTGGAGGAGTGGGAACAGGCGTTCGACACGGCGGAGAAGCAGGGCAAGAGTGGAGGTATTATCGTGATGGAGCCGTGATGACCACCGTGCAAGTATGGCATCGAAGTTCCTGTCCTGGTTTGATTTTTCTTGACACTGGATGGCTGGAAGCGTTGGGCTTCTGATAAGCACGCTCGTTCAATTCTTCGAGTATCGCGGTTCAAGATAACCCACTTGTCAGCTATGTTCTGGCCTCTTGAAATCGAGTTTTGTATTTCTCAACCTCTTTGTTGCACCAGCCACCGTAGTCTCCCACCCATCATGCACCAAGGACTATGGGCGTTTCCAGGCCAGCCTTGTCCTGACCTCTCAGCCTGCTTTGGATTTGGCTTCGGTATCTTGTAGCATGGAATTCCGTATACGGACACAGAGGATACGACCAGGCCTGGGAGAATGACGGAAAGGGGGAGCTAGGGAGATGACTTGCCATACTCCAGGCCCTCATACATGTACCTAGCAAGGCCGGGGAGCCCTTGTGAATGCCACTAACCCAATATGGCTGTCTACTGGTGGGGACATCATACCAAACAAGGAGTGCCGAGTATCCGGTTCAAACTTCAAAATCTCCAGACTCAGCTATAATTTATATCGATCCAATTCCCAAAGATGTAATTCTCATAGATCCGACTCTCATCGATCCGACTCCCGTTGACCCAATTCTCACCTATAACATTCTCCAACTGACTCTCTGAAATGAATATAGATCTGGCGTTCATTTGAGCTGATTGATGACGAAGGTTGTGTATGCGCCGGTGAGGCTGATATCCTTCTCAGGGTCGTACCGCTCGAGGGTCTCAAGAGGTCCGTATTTTTCACACAAGTACAGCATCTCATTGTAGGCACTGTGCAAGTTATTGGGTCGGGCGCCATTGAAGTTGGGAGGGATTACTCACATTTGCCTCGACTTACTCCCTGGATGGCCGGCTGAGTCGGTCAAATAGGGGTGTATACTGTACAGTCGATTACGGTCGTCTCACTCTTCGGCGGGGTCTGAGGCTGGGATATGTTGTCGGTACAAATCCATGTATGTGGAATTCGCCTTCAGCTAAGGCCCGAGCGGTTTTCCCCATCGCGCACTGCTCGAAACCAATGAGTCGTGAAGAAATGTCACACGGGGTGACTTGCCTTTAGGAAATACCTCTTAGACTTTCCTCCAGGTAGAATGGTCGAGACCTTTGCCGTCTTTGTCCAGGCCGAGATACCACTAGTCTCTGCAGACACCACCTTGGTTCCTGGAGGCATGACTAGTATTTGCATATCAGTGTCAGCCGGATCAATTGTACGTAGCAAGATATTCCTACCTCTTGTGACGGCTTTATGGACGGGAAAATTCCCCTCGACGCCATCTTCCCACTCAGACGAGTCTCCAATGACTCCCGTCTGGAATTGATCCAGACAAGCCATCGGTCAATGGCCAGGCAGAATCGATGAGTGGTTTGACAGACGATCCCTCAATTTAAACCAGAGAAGAAACCAGGAGCGCGTCTCCCGCCAATGTCGAGGCGACCGAGCAGCATATTTAAATGTCGACAGAAGAAAATTACATAGAACTGACGTGGTACGCGTGGCGAGAGGGTCCAGTGCCAAAAAATGTGAGCCGGAGAGATACATAACTACACCCCTTGCATACGGGCAGACGCTGAAGCAGCCATCTGTTCCAGTGATCCTTTTGAATCGGACGATTCAGCCAGGGGCTGTGATTGGTGGTGGCAACCTCAATCTTGAATAAGAGTTTCACCTCCCGGTAATGGCTCTCTGATGATGAAGGCTTCTGATAGGTGTAGTAGATGGTAAAGGTGATGTTTGGCTGAATCAATTGCTGTAGGCGGGCGAGCTACTAGTGGGTCATAGTTGCCCTTGTCAACGCCTAACACCACGCATCCCTCCGTATCTATTCGTACTCCTGCTCCTGCACCTACAGCCACCTTTAGATTGCTTGCCTCTATCCGTAGATAGAAATGTGCCCTGTCGCGCTCCAGCCGCGCCCTCTAAAGCAGATAGAGTGGCTTGGCATTGACGACTCTGTTGAATGAGCTGCTTCCGTTGCTGTACTGCAAGTTCAATCCAGTCTGCCATTGTGAGCAATGAGCGCCATGATACCAGGAGCATCAGATAACTCACTTCTGATTGCTAGTTCCGAGGGAGATTTGGCTTCAGAAGGAAGTCCAGTGATGAAGATCGCCTCTCGAGGTTTCAACGGAATGAATCGCAGTCCCAAAGTCCAAACTCAAGCCCACCTGGACTACCTCGAAATGACTCCACAACCCATACACGAATTGCAGATCAGCATCAAGAACAAGGGACTTCTGCCCTGTTAAAACCTCCAAACGAGGACGATGACAGTTCAACGAGTCGCAGCCGCTCACGGAGGAATAGCGAAGTCGACCCAGGGCCACTTGGACTGAGTGTGGTATACACTCCCGAGCATGGGAACAAAGTGGATATTGTCTTCATACATGGACTCGGAGGGACAAGTCGTCTGACGTGGTCAAAAGACAAAGACCCAGAGCGATTCTGGCCGTTGAAATTTCTCTCCGTGGAACCCGATATACGTGAAGCGAGGATACTGATATTTGGATACAATGCCAATTTTCTCACAGCAAGCAGTGTCAGCAGCTCCGTGTTGGATTTTGCGAAAGACTTGCTATTCAATCTCAAGTATGCCGTCAGATCCCTTTTATCTTTGTTGTTCACAGCATGGGAGGGCTGATTATCAAGGAGGTGAGGATAACCATGATTGTGTATTCGTTGCTCACTATCCACCAGGCGTATATACAAGGTCAAAATGACCCAGAATATGAATCAATCGTCAAGGCTATCTCCGCAATCACTTTTCTCGCCACTCCACATCGTGGGACAAACCTCGCCGATGTCCTGAAACGGATCCTGCAATCAAGCATCAAACAAGTCCAGCTGCCGAGAAGTGCTACAGAGTTAAATACTTGTAAGCAGCCTAAAGCGGTAATGGCGACTATTCACCGGCCAATCAGAGGCACAAAGACAAACATACCAGCAAGGTAAGGTTCCACTAACGAAGCGAACCAAACCAGACGGGAATACGGGTATACGGAGTACTTAAGGCAAAGATACTCTACCAGGCGTATCTCGCGACTTATCTACTGGGTAAAAGCGCGGCCTACCGACTATCCAGGATGAAGTCTGGGAGTCTTGAGCGAAAGGAATGCCATACTGAATCCATCGCCCCGGAATGCTGCTTCAAGGACTGGCATTTCCAAACACCGCATTGACATTCTGTCAATCTTCGGCGTCCCACCGCGTTTTTCTTTCTCAGAGAAGAGGACGATCCGGAGAACGATCTAGCAGTCGTTTCGAGGACGTAGAGTGCTTAGATCAACAAACAAGGACTCAAGTAGGTGCGAGTGCTCATGGCGCAGACATGACCATCCCTTTCTGATGCATGCCGATAGCTCACCACGAATAGTTTCAAAAGCTCTCCCCTCTACACGAGAACCTGAGATCATGGCTGCCGAAAAGGCGAACACCAACCCGGAAATTGAAGCAGTCGTGCGCTACTCGGTCTTTACTACCTCTGAAAGATGGTGTATTGTCGCACTTGTTTTGTATGCTGCCTGGGTTTTCGACCTTGAGCAGCTTTATCTACTACCCAGCCTTACATGCACTCTCTCAGGCCTTGTCTGTGTCCGTTAGCAAGATCAACTTGACAATCACAACTTACATGGCCGTTGCTACGATCGCCCCGACGCTTGTAGGCAGCACGGCTGATGTGCTAGGTCGAAGGCCAATATACATGGTCGCTTTGACTTTGTATCTTGGTGCGACATTGTTTATTGACATCTACAAGTTGGATCAGTGGCAGGCAGGCCTCATATACCTCCCATTCGGCCTTGGTGGAACGATTTCGACTTTCTTTTCCGGCTCGCTGTTGGACAATGCCTACCGCCAAACGAGAACAAAACGAGGTCTGAGCACAGACAAAGTGGCCGGCGATGACCTGGACAACTTCGCGATCGAGAAGGCGCGCCTCAGTGTTATATGGATCCCCATGCTCGTGACCATCTGCTCGGTGCTCGCTTTTGGCTGGGTCTTGGACTATCACCAGGTCAGCATCTGGCACATGCCTTCCGCCCTCAGCCTCGCGAACTAAAACACACTCCTAGCACATTGCAATCCCACTATGTCTACAATTCATTGCGGGGTTATGTATGCAACTCGACTTCAGCGTAAGGTCCCTCCTGATGAGGGGGCGAATCAACTCCGAGCTAACTCAAGAAACCTGATAAGATCTACAATACACTCCTGGTAGATAAGAACCATCGCACGCCCGCCGCCGCTCAGGCTGCTAGTAACATCGTACGCTGTACGATGGCAGCAATTGCGGTATCTTTTCTGCAGGACCTGATAGACGCCGTGGGAATCGGATGGACGTTCACGTTCTTGGCCGGCCTCTGCCTGGTGGCTCTTTGCCTCTTTGCGCTTGACCATTGGAAGGGCACGGCATTGAGACAGCGACGCATGTCTCCACTGACTAGTTCGAGCACATGATCAGAGCTGAGGAGGTAGTCACAGCTTGCGACGCGACCGGTAGATCCTGGGGCAAAGCGACCCAAAACACCTGTACAAGGTGTGACCCTGAACGTTTCCAGCTCCTCTATGTCGAAGAGGGAGGCCATGAGCGTTCCCGCGGTCGAGACCTTGCTGGAAAATGATGGGATTCCCGCCAGGGCCCATAAGAGCTGACTGGGTTGCACCAAAGTTCCCGTCTTCGCATGGACTCAAGCCCATCTGGCGATCAAGTCGCGCCGAGGACCTCCGCCGGGTGCAGTATAGGCATACATAGACAAGGTAGTTACCTGAGGGAATGGTGGCGTTCAGAAGGCGATGGAACGGATGAGCAGGGAAAATGTATCGGTCCCGCCTAGTGGAAGCCACAGGGCAGATCGAAGCAGCGAGGGCGCGGGAGAGCCTCGTCCAGATCTGACTTTCCCCAGATCCATTCGTAGCATTAGATGAAGTTTGTGACCGAGTCCATCTGGGGGCAACGAAGAATTGGGGATCTAGTAGTAGTCGTTGAGTTGGAAGGTTGCGACCGTTGATGGAAGGCGAAGCTTTCGACAGAGCGCTAGTAGTCTTGGCAATGAGTTTATTCTGGAGTTAGCTGAAGCTGTGTGGCTGTTGATCGCTGTTCCTCGACTTGTCAATACACAGCTCCCGACGACGGGCAAACCACTCACTCTGTTGAGCTTCTCGACTATGTGTAAAGTTTCCCTGGTATCGCAGCTCCTATCCTTCTATCCTTCTTGCACCGAATCCCCAATTAATTACTTCCCGTTCCATTTGACCTCTTCTCACTTGGCTAGTCTCATTTATTCCTGGTAGCGTTTGCATGCACTCCCTACCCAGGTATCAGTAGTGCATAGCCGTGTCACGCTCGTATAACCGGCGCTCGAACCAGCATGGAGTAAGTAGCCCGGGCGAATAAGGGCTTTCTGGGCCCACGGGAGCAGATCGAGGCTGAGAAGGGACAACGACCCTTCGATTTTTTTTTGTCTCAAATTACCTCCAAGAAGGTACAATTCTGAGGCAAATCCATTCAAGATGCCAGGTCTGGGACTTTCTGTATCCGCAGTAGTCGGAAGGAAGGACTGGCTTCCAAACCTAGTGAAAATAGCCACTTCATCTGGGTATCAACGCCTTCGGAAACGTTGGCAGCCTTGATGTCTAAAGGTTCCAGCAAGATTCATCCCCACCAGCATATGAGAATATCGACAGTCAAAGAGAACAGGAAGGCTGCATCCGTCCATGATACGACTGTTGCAGCGGCCATCCCATCCCCATGTGCGACTTGCGGACTCCAGGCTATGACACCGGGTTGTTGAACAGATAACTCACGCTTTCACCATTGTGCGTCCGCCTAATGGCCTCCGCCAGGACAGGGGCAATATCAATAAACTCCAGCCTGCATCCTTTTTGGCCCTCGGGTACCTTAAGAGCTTCGAGTTTGTCCTCACTGACCGGCACAGTGTTTGTCATGACCAACCGACTCAGCGCCGAATTCCTCAGAGTCTCCACGGCTTTCCCTGACAAGATTCCATGAGTGACCAGCGCGACCACATCTTTCGCACCATGTTTGATCAGCGTATCGGCGGCCTTTGCAAGCGTGCCACATGTATCTGCCATATCGTCCACCACGATGGCAACTTTGTCTTTCACCGTGCCGACCAGTGTCATGCGTGAGACTTCATTAGGTCGCGATCGTTCTTTGTGGATCAAAGCGAACGGCAAATCGAGTTTGTCGGCCATGGAAGTAGCTCTCTTCGCTCCCCCGGCGTCGGGGCTCACAATGACGCACTCCTGCCGGGGACCGTTCATCTCCAACCCCGTCTCGCTGGCATGCATGAGGTTCTCTCGAATCCATTTCACACTGTTGGGCTCGGCGTAGAGGTTATCCACGGGGACGTTGAAGAAGCCTTGAATCTGCGAAGCGTGCAAGTCCATCGTAATCACATGGTTACAACCCGCGGTTTGGAGCATGTTTGCCATGAGCTTTGCCGTGATAGGAGCCCGCGACTTGTCCTTTTTGTCTTGTCTCGCATATGGGAAGTTCGGGAGGATCGCAGTGACACGACGAGCGGAAGCAGTCTTGCAGGCGTTGCAGATGATGAGAAGTTCCATGAGGCCGTCGTTGATGTCGTTCGGACGGGTAGATTGGAGGATGAAGACTATTTCACCAAGAATTAGGCAGCTGTAGACAAACCCGCGTGCAGACAGAGGATATGAATTGACAAAGAATCACGTTGGCGCGGTAAAAGGGATGTTATACCATCTTCGTCTCTGACCGATTCACCGATCGTGACACTAGTCTCTTGGTTCGAGTATTGTAATACCATGATCTTGACGAGCTCGATGCCTAGCCTGAGACATGCGCGACCAAGAGTCAGCAGCTTGTTCACGTAATAAGTGAACCCGATCATGCGTCCTGAGGGGCCATGGGAGGCAGCAAGTACCTTTTCGCGACAGCATGCGCCAGCTCGGGGTGACTGTTGCCCGTCAAGAGCTTGATGGAGTTTGACGCCATGACTTCAGAGAAGTTTTGATGAGATGCGATCACCGAAGAGGCATTCTGGAGGGCGGCAGCAAGAGCAAGAGGAACATTTGGGTCTGGCATAGGTTAAAAGTTATTTAAGCTGAACCGAAAAATTTCACGGGTATAGATTCCCCGCGACACTGACTCAGGCGAGGACGCCCGCACAACGCTCTAGGTGGCGGGGCACTTTGGGTAGGCAATTTACAGTGCAGTCACTGGTCTGCTACTCTCATGCAGGCCTGGCGCTGAACTTTCGCAAAGACTCGAGGTGAAGCACGTCCTTGTACCTGGTTCTGCCGGGCATGAAATGCCATGGAAAAGAAATGAAAGGCACCTAGAGAGGAAGGTAGTGCTGGTGCAAAGTAATCAATCGGGTTCAATCTTTGCTTTTGGCAAGTCGGGCCACTTTTCACCTGATCTATGTCTCCCATGCCACAAGGGTTTCGATATTTGACCCTCCATCAATATCCGTGACACCACACCACAGTCCGCATTCAGCACTCTCCATTCCCGGTTCCCCTTGCCCCTCTCCCACTTCATCTTGAAGGACTTGAGCCGTTGAGTGGCATTCTGTGCCTTTTGACGACCCAGCACCGTCACATCAGAACTTGTCTCCAATATGCTCGGGTGACATCCTTCAGCTTCCATGGGGAGGGAGACGCAGTATGCATGAACCTATTGTGGAAACGGCATCTGTTTGGAACGTTTTGCGAGCCTACTCCTTCCTCATCGAGGATGCACGTCTCTTCCTCAACTCGGTTCTCTTCTCACGCTCTTCGTGCACACGCTTGGCCAGCAACTGAGCATACTCGTTCGCAGCATCTTTGGCAGCCTCGGCGCGTCTTCTTTTGAGGGCGATGCGGTGTCTCTTGTGTTGCATGCGTTGGGGAGTGACAAGTCTCTGGATCTTGGGGGCCTTGGTGTACGGCTTGGCGCCTTCTTTCTTAGGGACGACTTCGCGACGGATGACAAATTTCCTGTAGAATAATGGTGTTGGCAACTGGCGGTGTCGACCTAGATGGTTTGTATCGAGGCACATACCTGACATCATCTTGCTTGCTCAAGCCAAAGAACCTTCGGATCTTGGTGGCTCGCTTGGGACCCAGGCGCTTGGGGTTGACCACGTCGGTGAGACCCGGAATCTCGCCATCGCCTTGCTTGACGATGGAAAGAGCGAGGACGGCGAGATCTTGGCCAACAATGCAGCCGCGGACAGACTTGCGCTTGCGTTCTCCGGTTCGTCGAGGTCGGTAGCAGGAGTGGCCATCGGCGAGGAGGAGCTTGACACGAGTAGGGAGCATCTGTTATGACCAAGTCTCAGCGAAGATTCTTCATCAACATTCGCTGGCGCTTTCACCAAGCTAAGGGACGGCGGCACGTACGACACCCTGCTTCATGGGAAAGCCTTGCTTGTCATTACCACCGGTGATGCGGAAGATCTGTTTCGCACAAAATTTGTCATTATTAATTCATGCGCTGTGTTCAGGAACAAGGATGACAAGATGATCATACATAGCCCTTCCATTCGTCTCCCAAACTGTCGCCTGGGACTTCGTTGCCCATGCGCTTCTCCATGAAGACGCGCAGCTTGCGGTCATCTTCGACTTCGATCAATTTCTGCGACCCGTTGGCCGGGTACGAGATATTCAACTTCATATTGTCGGCGGTTTGCTGATCAGGGCTGTCAAGACTGAGGAGAGCCTTGACAGTTACCAGCAGTTGAGGATTGTCGAAGGTGAAGAAAGTGTTGGCTGTGAACACTCGAGTGCAAGTTCAATCAACGCAGGATAATTTCCTCTGTGCGATTTCTTGCCAAGCCCCAGTGCACTATTCCACAAAAGTATTAGCTCACATCAAAAACAATTCAGGGCGCACAATCTCCATGCCAGACTCAGATCTGCTCACTGTCTTCCTCTAAATATTCGATTATGATAGGATCATCTTGACCATTGTGGCATCCGCGTAGTCCAGATTTGTACGGAGTACTTGATCTATATAGCCACACCATTTGGCTGGCCGGCTGCATTCCCATTCCGCAGCTTTTCGAGTTCCAAATACCTTTTCTCCGCCTCTTCGATCGTTCTAATATTCGCTCCTAGCTTGTTCATCGTCTCGATCCATTCATCCTCTTCGACACTATCAAAGACAATACCTCCGCCGGCTTGCAAGTATGCAACTCCGTCCTTCACCACCATCGTGCGTAACGCAATGCAGGTATCCATCGCCCCCTCGTCTTCAATCTTGGATCCGTCGAGTGACACGCGGGAAAAGCCAAAATACCCGACCGCACCAGCATAGACGCCTCGTTTCTCCTGCTCTAGTTCTGCAATGAGCTCCATAGCCTTTACCTTGGGCGCGCCCGACACTGTGCCCGCAGGGAAAATGCTTCGGAAAGCAGTAAAGCGATTCTCGCCCTCTCTGAGTACGCCTGAGACTTGACTGACCAGATGCTGGACGTGACTGAATCGCTCCACGACCATGAGTCGGTCAACGCGAGTCGACAAAGGGTCACAGACGCGGTTGATGTCGTTCCTGGCCAGGTCGACCAGCATGACATGCTCAGCACGGTCTTTAATGCTGTTGCTCAGCTCCTCGGCCAACCGCTCGTCTTCTTCTGGCGACTGGCCTCGTTTAACGGTGCCGGCGATGGGATGGGTTATGATCCGACCGGCCTCTTCTTTCACAAGGAGTTCTGGCGATGCGCCCACAATGCTGAAATCCTCGCAGTCGATGTAGAACAGGTACGGCGACGGGTTGACCGTTCGTAAATGCCGATAGATGTTGAAGGGATGGAGCGTCGTGGGTCGGGATATCCGATGTGAAGGCACGGCCTGAATGATGTCTCCTTTACACACATGCTTCTTAAGCCGTGTAACGTGGGCTTCATATCCTGTCTTGCCGAAATTTGATTTTGAAGGCTGGTCGAGGGCTATGGGCGGTTGGTATGGTAGAGGTATGTGTTCCGCCTGCAGGAGGGAAATCGTTCTGTGCAGTGTTCCGCATGCTTTCTCATACGCCGTCTGCAGATCTGTGGCGGACCCGGATGATGGGACCCGTAGATATGTAATGACCTTGCAGACGTTGAAGAAATGATCGAAGGCCACTATTGTGTCGTAGAGCATGAAGAAACTCTCGGGCAGTTTCAAGACATCTTTCATAGGTCGAGCCGTCTTGGGCTCGAAGTATCGGACACAGTCATAGCCAACATACCCAATAACTCCTCCAGTCAAGGGCGGCAGTCGGAGGGAGGGTACACTGGCGACTCTGTACTGTGCAAGCTCTTGTTCGAGTCGAGGAAGAGGATCTTCTTCCGGTCCATGGCCCGGGCCTGATTTAATGACTTTGAGGGGATTCGCTCCGACAAAACTGTATCGCCCGATTGTCCCAGTCGTTGCCGCACTTTCATAGAGAAACGAGAGTTTGGAACCCTCTGATACTTTTAGATATGCTTGTGTGGGTGTAAAAAGGTCTGCGGGGATCTGGGCGCATAGCGGCACAAGATTCGGAGGGAATTTGGAGGTTCTTGATTTGGAGAGGATAGAGGATACCTCCTCGAGGGAAGGTTGGACTTTTTCCTGGCGCCTGTGAGCTATGATTCAAAGTAGGTGCAGTCGTGTGAGCAAGAAATTCCTCATACCATGGAGGAAGTCACCAGAGGTAGCGGGATATTACGGGGTGTGACTCGAATAACGGGGCATGTCGGTTCAAAGCCGTTAGACCTTCGAGTTCGCCGTTTGCGAGAAGTTGTTCCTCTGGAGACGATGCTTTTTATAACAGAGACCGGAGACGAGGAGTAGTACGGAGTAGTAAGGAAGAGGGTCACTGAATAGAGTCACCGCCGTCGTTTGGTTTTGGAGCAAGGATGAATTCGGCACATCCTCGGCAGTAGCGAAGCAGCAGGTCCTCATGCCCTCTCACGTGCCTCTGCCACATTCCAGGACCCAATCACTTCTTACTTGCCAGCCACTTGAACACCAGCCACGATCAATGGCGGCACATGCGCATTTTGGACATCCGCTCAAGTTGGCAGGCTGCGTTCATTCTTTGAACTCTTAACAATACTAGGAGAAAGGTTTGAATTGAACTCGGAGGTCTATTAACACAGTTCGCACATGTCACTTAACCACAAAGTATCCTCAACATCGCACAGGTATGTCGCTCGGCGACAATCAGTCTGACGGCGCAGCCACTGCTTCGCCAACCCGGCCTAGTTCAGCCTGGACCAACAACTCCCTGTTCACCGATTCCGCCATCAGTATGAGAACCCGGTCACCAGCTCCTCTCGAGAAAGAATCAAGTCCTTTGCAGCCCGACGAAACACTTGATGAATCCGCGATTGCGGACCGCCTCAATGGCTTGGTCTCTGAAATTTGGGCCTGCGAGCAGGATGGATCGATTCGAGGCGAGAAGAGACGGAGGATTGAAAAAGCCATGGACGAGATCGAAGCAGCATTAGAGGAGGATGAAGAGAGCGATTCCGAGACAATGCATCAAAGCCAATCCGTGCCCTCGCCACTGCTCCATGGGGCTGGTGCCTCGGAGGCAGACCTTGAACTTATCCAGGCACACTTGTCGTCCACGGTCGAATCGATGCGCATGAGGCAGCAGGAGCAACGACATCTGCACCAATTGACCGTGGAAAAGCTCGAGGCGATCGCGCAGCGGTGTATCCAACAAGAACGGCGCGTGCGAGAGTTCGCCGAAGAGATAGTCAGCCTCAAGAAGCAGAATCGCACCCTGACCCAGCAGAATCAGAGTCTCAACATCCATCTGAGTGAGATCCAATCCGAGTCGGCCAAGAAAGAGACGGCGGTCAAGGCCATGTCGAGCGCGGTATCCGGTCTAGAAGGATGGATTAATGGTTCTCCAACAGCAGACCGAACTCCTCATTCCCGGAGGATTGTTACCAGAGGCCGAGGCAGATTTCGTGGCCGGTACTATGTTGAGGAGCCAGTCGACAACCGGGGGTATTATGGTCTCGATGGCGCTTCCGACGCAAAGGCTTTACAGGAGGGTGTCACAGCGTGGCTTAGAGGTTTCCGCGATGTGGAAGAGGAGTTGAGATCGTCAGAGACCGCGGCTCGGTTCGCTCCAGCGAAGGATTTCAGAACTATCCGAGACGACAGCGATAATGAATGGGGTGATTTTGAGACAGCCACTGGAGCATGATTAATAAGTGTCCAGCGGTTATTGGCATTGCCCAACCTTTGGATCAGTTCCCGTCTCATTGCATCCATGTGTACCTTCCGTTATACACCGGTCTCATTTGTGTGTGAGCATGGCGTTTGATTATCCAGGATCGCGCCAGCAACTATTGGAGATGCTCCAATATCCGGGACGTTGATGGTCATACATATTAGTAGTACATCAATTTTTTTCAAATCCAGTCGATGATGGTTAGGACGAGGATGCTGACTTTCACCGTTGAAAATCAATGAGAGCAACCTGAATATGTCAGTCGGGTACGAATGGGATGAGCTGTTTAAGCTTAGGCTTACCTGGGATCCAAGGCCAAAAGCGAGGATCTTGCTCTGGCCATCCCATTTCAATGCATGATCAGAACTCGTTTGAATCGTATCGCCGTTAAGACTGGAAACACCACCGGTGCTCATCATGTCATCATCTTTCAGCTGCGAACCTCTCCATAGACTCTGTTCGTCCTTCCATGTTGCCATCAGATTGTGGCTATGTTCAGCATTCCAGACACGAGCGGCATCGTAGCTGGCCCCTGCTAAGCAGAAGCCATCGGGAGAATACGACAGCGCCATAATAGGCGAGCCATGTCCTATGATGAGTTTGCACACCGACGTGATGGAATTGTTTTCCCCGTCGTACTGCCAGACTTTGATCGTCCCGTCCATGGAGGAAGTGGCAAACTCTTGCTTCCACGAGATATTGAACGTGCTGGCTAAGCGAGGTCGAAGTTCGAGGCCCGTGATATGTGAATCATGCGCCCCTCTTTTGAAAATGTTCTGCGCCGGCATCCACAGAGCACCAGTCTCGGCAGACGCTGCAACCAATATGGCGTCTCTTTCCCCGTGCCAGGCGCATCTGATAAAGGTCCACGAGTCGCCCTCACTAGGATCCGAGATCCACTTGTGTTCAATCCCGATGTCTGTAAAGGCCCGACAATAGTAGACGACATTCTTGCCGGCAGCGCAGATAATGCCATTGCCGTCAAAAAATGCGCTGTCTACATCAACCAGGATCTCAGGAACAAGGACCGTTGATGGTTCGGCAAGCCCGGATAATCTGGATAGATCCCATAGAAGAATGGAAGAGCCACCGGCCTGAGAAGGATCCGTGGTGTCGGAACCATAGGGAGCGACTCCAAGCAACCGGGAGCCTTGTCGATGCCACAGGAGCGAGGTAATGGCCCTTTGCGATGCCGGTAGGGCCTCGAGCATAGAGAGTTCTTGGCCGTCGAATAAATGTATCTGGCCAGAGTGGTCGCTGTAGGTTGCGACTGCAAGCAATTCCCCGTTCGGCTCCCAAGCCATCGCACTTACCAGTTTCCCATCTCCCGTTTCCAGTAGCTCTTGGAAGCGAGGTGGTCCAATGGCATCCGAGGCTCGGTCGGCGGCGTTCCAGAACCCGCAGACGTTATCCCCCATTGCTGTTAGCAGTTGGTCATTCCCGGGACGCCATGCAAGATGGGTAAGGGAATTGGATATCTCAGGGCCAGTAGCAGAGGGTATTTGAAGGATGGTGGTAGATGCGCTCAGGTTTGCAACTTTTGCGGGAGCAACTTGGATACCGATGCTCTGCCCTGTGGCTAGAGTATGAACAGTCGGTAGCACAAGCTCGATATGTGTTTCGTGATTGTGGTGGTCTGCGGCTAGTGATTCTTCGTCAATGTCCATACGCTCATCGCCCTTGATGCCGTTAATAAGAGGGCCATTGTCATCGCCTCCAAGCTCGGTGGCAGACGGGGATCTGGCATCAACAAGAGGGGCGAGGTGGCCATTCGGCATATCCACGTCCATCGCGGATGCATGAACGTGTCGGTTTGCAGATGCTGAGGGTTTGCGCGCCACGCTTCCATTTCGTTCTGAACTGGGTGCTGTTTTGCGGCCTCGTTTGAGCGCCGGCTGTGCAGCCAAGGCTTCCTGAAGACCGTTTGTAATGCCATCCCGAGGCTGTCTTCGGGAGTCCGTGATAGAATCATTGGGCGAAGGTGCTGACACGACAGGTTCATCGGGCACTTCTCGAGGGGGTTTCTCGCTTTCGGGCCCAAAGAAGAACATGGACGGATTGAGCTGTTTCGAGGGTCGGCCATTCTAGATTGGGGTTAGCGGTTGCACAATTCCCACTCGCAGGTCAGTGGGTTAGGATACCTCATCGATTGTGAGTGATAAGTGGTGATAGCGAAGACCCTTTTGCACCAGAGAAACCAGCGCGTGGCCCTTGACACATTTCGCAAATGGGAGGCTCTCTGCGTCGACATTCCAATCGCGTTGAAGCTTGACAGCAGCCTCGGCGTAGCCTATTACAACTGGTTTAGTGCTTTGCAGCCAGCGGTGGATCCCGGAACGCGGCCCTACCTGATTCCTGAAGATATCTGCGAAAATTCGTCAGTACTGCTCTGAGCACCCTATAACATGAGAGGGGACCAGACGCGCTCACCTCCATATCAGATAATTCAGTTGGTCCGAACTCAATGGAGGTGGCTTTGCGCTGAACGTTGATGCAGCATCGGTCTCCATGCCGACATTCCGCTGGAATTGCAGCGTGCCACTGAGTCGTTTCTTGGTGTCCAAGTCCGGAGGGGCGTTGGTCGGGGCAAATCGCAGTTCACAGTAAGGTGTCCTGAGATGCTGAATCAATTGGGCAATGGGCACTGTAGAAAGGGAACGATGCGCAAGATGATATAGCTCGTCGTCCCCAATGTGGTTGGATTGCGAAGACAATGGCGATGAATTACCGGTGGGCGAAAATGAGATGGGAAGCTATTAGTCGGGTGAATCAATAATGAGGAAACAAGGTATTAAGATGCTTGACACGGGTCCCGGACGTGACAATTGTACAGACTTGAAGGCGAAAAGCAGTTGAAGACGCCCGGATGGCTGACGGCGATTTGAGGACGTGTTTTGACCAGGTGCTCGGGGAAAAGTGGTGATGGAGATGGAGTTTTGCGATGGACGGAATGGCAAGGTTGTCACTTTGTCACTTGTGAGAACCGAAGAACAGGCTGCTAGCCTGCTAGGACGGCCTAGGCTGGATGTGCGGCAGCAGTTGGGGGAGCTCGTCTAGCCATTTGGGGCCCAGTAGCACCACCGCGTTAGTGGGTTTCGGCGGAGGGGCCAAGCACGGCATCCCTGGCATCCACCTGCAACCCCCAGGCACTCCCCGCCTAGAACCAATCAATCACCTGCAGCTGGCTGTTCAAGTTTCAGGTGTGCAAAACTCCCGAACTGCTGCACCTGGGTCGACGCAGCACCTCGAGGACTCGCAGCTTACTCGTGGATCGACGTTAAGTGACTCGGTGCGCCACATCATCTTCATCGGCCAGCCAGCATCTCTCGTGACCCAAACCACAGCCCGTGGTGCGACTGTCCCGAGTAGAGAGGGTTGGTCATGGGAGACAGACTTCATTAACCGATATGACAGCTGTCGACCACGACCTTCGACAACCACCGCTCTTGAATATTTATCTTCCGGTGTTGTTCCTGTATTATCCAGTATTCTTCGTGTGGTCCAAGCCCAAGAAAATTCAGCCACCTCCCCGTACGTGCCCGTTACAGTTAGCATTACCTGCGCGCTGCTCGGAAGCGGCTAGACAACTTCCCCCAGGCCCCTGCAGGCTGCTGCCGCAAATCTCTCCGGCTCAATCAACTTTTGGGCATCGTGCTCCTGCAAAACACCCTACTCTGTGCTCTCGATATCACCACTGCGCTGCCACGGTCATCAGGATCGCTGTCTTTCTCTGGCAGCGCCGGGATGTGATTGAGGCCTTCAGTTCCAGCGCAATGGCAATCCGCATCAACCTTCCTCCCGTCACTCGGGTCCTGCTTGGGGTTCTTGTGGCCTTATCCTTCCTCTACAACATTGCTCGATGGAGGCTGTCGACAGACAATGCTAGTGTTGGCGACCCGACAAGCGCAACTCCGTCCGTACGACCCATCGTCCCGTATCTAGCCCTGGTTCCTTCACAATGTATCTGGTACCCTTGGACGTTTCTCAGCGCAACCTTTGTCGAGCAAAATATCCTTACCCTCCTGATCAATGGCATCAACATTTTCTTCGGTGGAAAATACCTTGAAAGAGCATGGGGAACTCAGGGTTTTGTCTACGTTATCCTGATCTCATCTATTATACCCAACTTCTTAATGGCCCCAACCTACATCGTCTGGGCCGCTATGACCGGCAATCCTGAAAGAGCCATGACTCCGATAACTGGTGGCATTGCGACACAAGCAGCATTCCTGGTTGCTTTCAAGCAGCTTGTCCCCGAGCACACCGTCAGCATATACAAGGGCATGATCAAGATGCGCGTCAAGCATTTCCCGGCTGTTTTCCTCGTCCTAAACACCCTGTCCGGCCTGATTATTGGTACCGATGTCGGTCTCTTCCTTGCTTGGTACGGGTTGATCACCACTTGGACGTACCTCCGCTTCTACAAGCGCCAGCCTGATCTATCAGGAACGGGATTCGATGGCCGGGGCTTAAAGGGCGATGCCAGCGAAACATTTGCCTTTGCGACGTTCTTTCCTGATGCCGTCCAACCGCCGATTGCCGCGTTCTGCAACCAGATCTATATTTTGTTGTGCAATCTGAAGATTTGCACGCCTTTCTCCGAGGAAGAAATTGCGACTGGAAATGAACAGGCTGCAGCACGAGGGGAAGCAGGCCTGCCGAGTTTCAACAAACACGCGCGCGGAGCACGGGGTATGAGCAAACGGGAAGAGGCAGAACGACGGCGCGCTCTGGCCCTCAAGGCGTTAGACGAACGGCTCAATGCTGCGGCCAGTCGAGCCCCCGTTCAGCCAACCACGACGAGTGCGCCCGACTTGCCCAAAGGACAGGAGATGCTCGGACAAACCGACTATCGCCCGGATGAATGACTTTTTTCTTGTGATTGGCTGCCCTTGGCGGAAATTAGATATATAATTCTTTCTGGCAAGAACCCTGATTCCCTCTCCTCCCGAGTGTACCAGCATGTTGGAATGCCATAGACCAACTCTGCACTTTTTGCAATTCTGCACCTCCAACGAAAAGAGGGCGTTAAAAGCCCACTTCCGGTTTAAGCCATTCGATATTGTGTCCTGCGAGGACGGCGACCTCCGAGCCGCTGATTACCATGCATGCGATTTCTGCCACTCGACACTGTTGCGACTGGTGACTCTGGTTGTAACCTCGCATCCCACGACTCCCACCTTCGTTATCTGATCTGCAATCAGTCGTGCACGCGACCAGCTGCCTTTTTCGTATGTACCTTCGAACTCAGCACAGTGCTACCCTGTGGATTACTTGGTGCTGAGAGCCCTCCAACTGTTTTCCTGTTTCTGCTCCAAGCCCGACCCACGGTATGTAAGTGCCTGGACTACGCTCTCCGACTGGTCAAAAGCTCCTGCTCTCTCCCCCGGACAGCATCCGCTTTGTGGAGAGCACGATGGATGTCTGCAGATGCAAGATCGATTTGTGAAGATATCCTGCCGACATGGTCTAGGGAAGAGAACGACGTCAGCGCTACTGCAGACTGGCTGAAGCTCTGTAAGTTGTCCTATAAGCTCGGTCTTGTCCTTCCGGCTGTAAAGCTTGACAGAGCTTGTGGTTGCGCCATCACTGCTGCCTCCTGTTTCCTTTACCTTTTGGTCAAAGACTCTATTGGAAAATGGCTTCGATCAAGTCTGTTGCGTTCGTCGTGTCTCTGGCGAGCACGGTGCAAGCCTCTCTCTACGGTGAAAGCAATCTGAACCACACTTGTATCCTTGGTAAGTGGATGTCTGCTTTCGACCTATACCCGAGCTTTTGCTCTTGTCTTCCCACAATTGCTGGAAGTCTCACGAATTTCATCTGCCAGAGCCTGCTATCCTCTCCTGTTCTCCAAAAGCCACTCTTGGTCAGGTCGACAGCTGTTGCACGGAGACCTTTGGCGGCCTCTTGCTTTCCACGCAGTTTTGGAACACCTACACAGGTCTCGAAGCTCAAGGCCAAAAGCTACCACCCAATGCTTTCACACTTCATGGACTTTGGCCAGACGAGTGCAATTCCAGCTATACGCAATATTGCGATTTGACGCGGCAATTTGATCCTGCGCCTTCACCAAATACCACGAATGGTCTGCCTGACGGCACCGTAATACCTGCTTACACTGGGCCCAACATTGGCACGTTTCTCGAGCCCTTTGGACGATACGACTTACTGGCTTGGATGAACAAGTTTTGGATCAATCAAGGCGGCCCAAACTACGATTTCTGGGGCCACGAATTCTCCAAACACGCCACCTGCTACTCGACGTTTGACGTGCCTTGCTACGGCCCCGAGTATGTCGAACATGAAGAAGTGCTAGACTTCTTCCAGACGGCAATTAAGTATTATATGAGATTGCCGACATGGGAGTGGTTGAACGAGGCGAAGATCCTTCCCAGTAATAGCACGACCTATTCGTTGAGTGACATTCAGGGTCAGCTGGCGAAGAAGCATGGTGCGATCCCATACGTCGGGTGTACAGGACCAAAGTACAATACGACCGCAAAAGGAATGGCAGCAAATAGTACCGACAGCGGCGGCACCGTCCTTAGCGAAGTCTGGTATTACATGCATGTGAGTAGCTTTTCCAGGACATGGCTGCATGGCCTCCAGGATGGGCCTTTGTGAGAACTACTGCTCTGGGCTGATCATGGCTAACGGTTACCGCACGTGTCCAGGTCGTCGGACGCCCTCAGGATGGCAATTCCGTCCCGGTCAATGCTTCGAGCCCCAATACCAGCTGTGCGAAGGCCAAAGGCGCCATACACTACTATGAGCCGACGCCGGGCTCGGTGCAGGGAAGCTAGACGCGTTCTCTCGTATCCGTGCTGCGAGCCAGGGATCTCTGCCATGAGATTGTGTACGGTGGGAACCAGACAAGGGGATTGTACATAGTAAAGCCTGGACCGGGGCTAGCAAAAGCGAATAAGGCCCAGGCAGAAGACATATGACGAATACCTAGGGGCTCAGATCTAAATACCTCCCTCGCCTCGACGGGGAAATCGAAGTATGTTCTTCATGCCTACAGTTCGTACTGCCGTGTAATCATTGTTCTATTCATCTTGAATTATGGCAGTCACCGAGCTGGCACGACTCCGTCTGCAGGATGGCACGGAAGCCTCGTCGGCATCTCTCCATGCCAACCTCGCCAGAGCCAAGAACGTCATGGAAGAGGCCAGTGGGTTTGAATTCTGGTATTACCATTGCGTGGAAGAGCCGAATGTCATCTTCATCCTAGGATCGTGGCCCTCTGTCGACTTCCATATGCACGAATTCATTCCGAGCCCGCAGAATCAAGAACTGCTCGCTCTGCTCAAAGATCAGGTCACGGTGGAATGGATGTTCCACCTGGACATTGACCAACGCACACATCCACTGCCTCTCAACCACGACGTCCTCTCAATTGACCGATACATCGTCGAAGATGATAGCAAGGAGCAATTCAAAACTACATTCGAAGACAACAAACCTTCGTTGGAGTCATACGTGGGGGAATCAGGCCGGCTTACCTGGGGATGGCGCCTCGACAAAGGGTACGATCCATCAAGCAAAAACGAGAAACCAAAGGAGCAGTTCGTTCTCTTGATCGGCTGGGATAGCGTGGAGCAACACCTGGGGTTCGCCAATATGGAAGAATTCCAGAAACACAGTCAGATCAGGAACGACAGGGAGGAGGGTTCGGATATCAAACATGCGAGATTGATGCATGTTGGAGAGATGCGCCAGTGAAAGACGAAGTTAGTCTAGCTGGTGTGCAAGATCATTGTTGTCAGCGCTTTGTATTTTTCCAGCCGCGGCATCGTGAGGAAAGGCGCAGTCGGTGGTCGATTTTCTGCGAGGCATTTTTTTAAAATGGGAACATCAACATTGTTGCTTCGGGTCGGTCGGTTCATCGCTGACATCCAAGCGAGAAGCTTGACAGGGGCGACACCTGCAGTTCCAGTGGCAGCACAGACGTAGCGAGAGGGGTGAGTGGTTAATGAAAGTAAACGTAGACGAGAGGGGACTCACACTAACCGGGCGACGCTATCTGTCACATGGACCTTGTCCCCCCTCCTCTTCCTTGTCAATGCGGTGGTGATGGTGGTAGTGGTGGTGGTGGTGGTGGTGATGATAATAATATTCATATCGTGCCCCTCTGACTCCGTCTAAGTTTCTCACAAAGCATTTTGTACCTGACCTGAAAAGAAAGAAACGCACGATCAAGGAATCAATTGCATATCCAGTGGATCTCGTCCTCCTTCCTCAGCCACTGCCTTGTTCATACCGGCACCAAACTGCGCCACGCCATCATTTCCCTCCACCTCGCAAGCACTCACTAGCCAGGTCTAGGCGATAATCCATCATCGTCAGCAGCCTCCAGCTTCCGTCAGGTCCCAGCGTCCCCTGCGGAGCTGCAAAACAGCATCCCTAAGGCAGCCTTCGATCCAGAGTTTTTGTGGGCTTTGCGGGCGCTTGCCTCGCCGCCCACCTGACGTTAACAGCCCTTACCTAACCACTGACTTTAAGGCTTCTCCGGACGTTCACCCTAGCCATCCGTCAACCTGGCATTCTTCGCTTCACCTCTTCTTTACCAAAACATCCCAACTGTGCGCACAGTGACCGATCGAACCGGCCGCAGCTATTCGGTCACTGAGACGCCTCTCCGCTCGTTTCGGGATCAGCCTTCTCGTCGCAGTACCGTTGTCGGAGTTTCCAACGAACTTAGCCAGGATTCCCGCAGCCAGCGGTCTCCTGAGAACATCTACAGAGGTTCGACGCTTCAAACTGCGCCTATCTACAGAAAGGGAGGAAGCATGTCGAAAGTTGTGAGAAGCGTCAAAAATGTCACGAAGGGATATAGCCCCGTCCAGATCAAGGTGCGAAATGGTAGGTGTTTCGCCTCCATTGGCTTTCGTTCCCATGCTGAATCAATGAAAAAAAACAGCTACCTCCAACGATCCGTGGGGTCCGACGGGCACGGACATGGCTGAGATCGCAGCCCTCACCTTCAACAAGTAAGATCCGGCTGACGAAACGGTTGATGCCTGTGCTGACGCCGCCTTCGCAGCCCGAGTGACTTCTACGAGATCATGGACATGCTCGATAAGCGGCTGAACGATAAGGGCAAGAATTGGCGGCATGTGCTGAAGTCATTGAAGGTCCTTGACTACTGTCTGCATGAGGGTTCAGAATTGGTGGTCACCTGGGCTCGAAAGAACATTTACATCATCAAGACATTGCGAGAGTTCCAATACATTGATGAAGATCAAAAAGACGTGGGTCAGAACGGTGAGCACTTGCCCATTATCGACCAGAATCGCAGATGCTAATAGATGCAGTCCGCACATCGGCTAAGGAATTGACCTCACTCATTCTGGACGAAGACCGCCTTCGCAGCGAACGCTCCGACCGGAAGTTGTGGAAAACTCGTGTCACGGGAATTGACGAACATGCGCCTCAGGCTATAGCTGGCCCTGCGCAGCCGCGACGCAGCCGGACTCAGCACAATCATGCAGATGACCTCGCCGCCGAAGAGCGAAGTCAACTCGACCGCGCAATATATGAGAGCAAATTGCTTGCTGAAGAGGAGGCGCGCAAGCGTCGGCAAGCCCAGGACGAAAGCGATCCAGATGTGCTCAGTGCAATGCAGCTCAGTCTGGAGGAGGCGGATCTACATGCTCGGCAACTTCAGGAGCAAAATGCGGCTTTGCTTTTTGATGACACGCCTGCACCTCCGCCAGCGCAGAGCCAGCCAACTGGACACAATCAGGGCTACCAGCAACAGCCCGCCGTGGATTGGTTTGGCAACCCACTTCAACAGCAGCCACAAAGCACCGGGTTCTTGAACAATCAGTATTCCCAACCACAACAGACAGGCTACCAAACCGGCTTTGCCAACGGCTTTCAACCTGCGCAACCAACTGGTTACGACCAATTTGGCCAACAGCCTTTCTTGCAGCAGCAGAACACCATCCAACCCCAGCAGACTGCCTTTCAGACCAATAACCCTTATGGTGTGCAGCCTTCTGGTGACTTGTTCGGCGTACAAGCACCTCAGCAACCTAACCTCCAGGCGGGAACCAACAATCCTTGGGCATCTCCCTCATCCCAAGTCCCTGATGCCTTAAAACCTTTGCCCACCGGGTCAAACAATCCCTTTGCACAAAGACCACCACAGTCATCTCCCTCGCCCTTCGCACGGCCGAGCACTCAGCCTTCGCTGGGCACTCTATTCGAGTCGCAGCCAACTGTGCAATTTACGCAGCCTTCCCAGCCCAACCCAATCGCGAATTACTCGGCTCCGCAGCCGAGTTTTCAACAACAGCAGAAGCCCGTCAATCCGCAGCATGCCAGGCTCAATGCCTTGCTGGCTTCTGGGGAGGGACAGGATACATTTGGGAACACGGGCGATCTGCGTATTCCTGCTCAACATACTGCGCCGGGGACATTCGTCAACTCGGCCGGACAAGGTCTCGATCGCCTCCGCGCTGCTCAGACCGGCACCAATCCATTCTTTTCAGCACAAGCTACTGGATTCGGCCAGGCACAAGGAGGATTTGGCCAACAAATGCCGGCCCAAACCGGGCCAGTCGGTGGGTTTTCGGGTGGATATGGCCAGCAGAACAGTAATCCCTTTGGAGCTCGACCAGTTGGGCAGCAGGGGGGAAGTCTGATTGACTTGTAGACCTGGGAGGACGGACAGCGATTGGGTTGACATTTTGGAGGGGTCTGGCTAAGAGATGGGATACCTTTTGCACACCGGTCATGATACGAAATTGTTCGCTCCTAAACTATCGTTTATATATACGATGTATTGCTTGACAGGAGATTATCATTAGGGCTCGAGGACTGCCTCTCTGTTCCCATCGGTGAACCATCATTTGACCTGAAATTGCACTACTTGGGACTTTCCTCCCGACACCCCAACTTGTCACAAAGCTGAAGCATATTGTGCTACATATATGATATATCCAGGACCGAAGTAACAAGTACGGAGCTCCCTCAACCATGCTCGTATAGAGAGGGGCACGTCCTCTGTATTATTTTTACTAATGGAAGCCGACAATCCGCAAGAGGAAAAGCCCCTCGACCTCCCCAGCGCCAAAATTCCCAATGCGGACGGAAGGCGCGACAGGGTTTGATTGCTTTCGCGGGCCTTAATGACGCCTGCGTTTCCCTTCTGTTTCCACCCTCGCACCCTCCTTCTCGCGTTTTTCGTCGATTCCTCCACACTCCTCGTGGTTTTGTCCTTGTTTGCTGCATCTGGCCATCGTCAAGTGCGTCCGTTCTTTACCAATTCGCTAGTCTTGACCTCCTTTTGCCAATATTTGCGGAGCAAACAATACCCAACGCAATACACCGTTCGCACGTTTTGGACCGCCATCAAGTTCGCCGACAGAAACTGCGGACGACCGTCGATCCCGCCGATGCGCTCGTCTTTCTGCTCGGTAGCCTGCCTGGCGACACTCTTTTCCTCCTCTCTCGCGCTCGAATTCACCTCCCCAAGCTCCGATTCGCAAATAGACCCGAGCAAGAGTGTGGTCATTTCATGGTCTGTCAGTTACACAGACCCGTCGACTATTGACCTCAAACTCAGCAACTCTGATCTGGGCACGGATCTGACTATTGCAACGGGGGTCGTTTCATACACTGGCTCCTACACTGTGCCAGCTGGCACCATACAAGGTTCGGGGTCTGGCTATGAGATAGTGGCTGTTGGAAACGGGGACAATCTTGCCCAGATCACGGGGTTGACATTTGGTAGCAAAGGTGGCAATGGGCCGGTGACCTTGGTCACGACAGCCACCGTCATTCCAACCCCAGCTGCTTCCACTACCTCAGGTGGACATGATGGCACAGACAGCAACGTCCCAACGGCAACGATCAACTCGGTCGGGGTTATTACCCTGTCCGGAACAGTGACTGGAAGTAAAGCAACGACGTCGGCAACCAATTCCCGCACTGAGAGCAGCTTTGCGACTAGCACAACGAGCAGAGCAAGCAGCGAGTCGAATGGCGCTGTTGCGCCAAGTGCTGGGAGCACAAACACCGCCAATGGCCAGAAACGACGGGGTGGTGAACTCGTCCTCGGTGCTGCCGGTCTGTTGGCTGGAGTCGTTGCGCTGTTAGCATGACACTAATATATCTACACTTTCTTGTCTATGTCCCTGCATATGTTTCCCATGTATTTCCACATGCAGCGACGATTCGGGCCTAGGCGGCCCTGAATGAAAGCACATTCTACGAGCCCAAGACCCATATATATACACATGTGAACCGCTTCGCAGCCAGCTGCTGACGAGGCACAGAGACCGGGCGTCGGGATCGCGAAGATGGCCAAGGTAAGAAGCAAGAATGCCTCCTCAGTTTGAATGCTTTGGCCTAGTTCGATTTTCCTGGCCACCCACTTCAGCTTTGTGAATAGATTCTGTTTAGCTGTTCAATATCAAGGATTAGCAATGGCGACAACATATTGCGGGCTCTTCTGGTCTCAAGTGTCGTGGGTAAAGATCCTCGATATAATCAACGAAGTTGATATGGTAGATGTCCTGTGGGTATTTCGGCCGCAGGAAATTGATGGGTTTCTCGTTAGGACACAAGAAGGCGGTGCCAGCGCCAATCACCTTCCACCAGCCTTCCCGCAACTCCTCGGGGCTTTCATGACCTGCAGACTCTCCTTCGCACGACGCTTGAGCGTTTGCGACTGGGGAGTACCTTGTTGAATATGTGAAAGCAGTGCCGGTTCGTCTGTTGCTGGCACACGACTGTTCGTCCTGGGCAGACGACTGCTTCACATGGATAAACCTGCGGTGGTTATTTTCTGCAAGGCTGAAAGGCGTCATGTTTCACCTAAACATGCACAGCCTCAAAAGGTCGCCTTCTGAAACTCTCGGGCGAGACGCTCAAGAATGCTGGCCAAAGGATCATGCCATACCCATTTCCATTCTTCAGCCTCTATCTCTCTGCTATGTCCTGAGGATAGATCGTCTTCCCTATGCCTTGCTCCCTTCCAGTGACAAACAGGAACAGAGAGTTGCATATTGTGCATCCAGAACGCACGTGTCATCATGGCAGGTCCTCTCGCTCTGCGATCAGGTACCCCTAATCGATCTAGTCGCGGCACTGTCAACAAGCAATGGCAGCCACGAACAAGGGGACCTTCAGTGGAAGCATGGGAACGGGTAAAGCCGTTCATAATGCGATACTACGTTGAGGAGGGATTAAATCAGGATGAAATACTCAATCTTTTGTCCAAGAAACATGGGCATGATGTGAAGTTAGTTTACAACAACTAAAGTCACTGCTGAAACTGACGCTGTGCCAGATTGAACATGCTAAAGACGAGGCTGAGGCAGTGGAATATGAAGAAGAATTACACAAAGGCAGAGAAACAGGCAGCAGCGAAGGAGCTGAAGCGGCGCTCCGACCTCGGGCTGGAATCTCCTGTCGAAGTAAAAATTGACGGGAGACACCCGTCTTGGGACCGTGTATATCGCCAGTGCCGAAACGACGCGGAGTACACATCTCCCTGGCTGCAAAAGAATACGGAGTGGCGTGCCCTCGTCTCACGTCTTTGTCTGAAAACGTGTCCTACCGACCACTTCCTCGAATTGACGTTGAGAGACGTCTCAACATATTGGGGCATAATTATTGTCGGACAGGAAAAGAAGCCGGAAACGAAAAGCTACGAACCTCAGGCCCTGAGAATTGGCTTTCTCGGTGGACTGGAACTCATCAAGAAGGGCCGTGACAAGCAGGGATGGCGCGAGATCCACACTACGTGTGGCAAAGTCATCAATGTCTTCCGGTCACGAGAGCCTGATCTTCTGGCGGAGCTCTTCTCCCTCTTCTCAGCGAGGAGTTGGACTGTCCATCCTCAATTGCTGTCGGCAATCGCCAAATATGTCCTCAACGTGTCGCGTGATCTTGTGGGATCCGAGCACCCTCTGAGCCATATCTTGCGTATGTTTGTCGCCTTACTTGCCGAGGACAGTCTGGAAGCGTTCGGTATTGTGCCGGAGTTAGCGCTGAAAGTCATGTTAGATCTGGTTGAACAAGAAAGGGAGGTGAAGATCGCGTCTTTCTACATCCGGTCTCTGGAAGTGAGTCTCATGGACAAGATCAATGGGCGGCTCGGACAACACGCCGTCCGACAGCTGGTGCAGGCCAAATTCTCGCACTATAGAGCAACGCTCGGCGAGCGGAACCAGTATACGCTGTCGATGCTTTCCGACATTGCGCAAATGCACCTATGCGACGCTCGGGGGTTCGATCCCCGAGAGAATGGACATGAAAAGGAAGCATCGGAACGCAAGGCTGAAAAGATCCTGCTCAAGATTGTGCGCCAGGGCGAGAAGTTTCCAGACGACCTTTCCCGGGTTGGCTCTTACCTGCTCGCCGCGCGAGATCTTGCTCGTCTCTACTTTTCAAAGCAAGACTTTCAGAATGCACATAGGTACTACGGTCTGGCGGTACTCTGGTCTGCCCGGAAACTCGGCCCATTTCACTCGTTCACCTCTCTGGTGGTGGATGACTACGAAGCTTTGCAGAAGCTGGTGGGACTTGGTCTCGTAGACATCAAACCTGAAGAAGAAGAGCATGACCGTCAGTTGACTTGCAACCAGGAGAACCAACCAGGACAAGATTCTCAGGATTTTGTTCTCGAGGCCGCCACATCCACCCAATTTGCGGGCGGCCCAGAGTTCACCCCCATCACCCTCCCTGGGAATGAATCCAGCTCGCAAGGGGTCGGCAATGTCCTTCCTGCGAGCACGAACGAGGACTGCGAGGGTGCGCATAATGAAAATGCACTGCTCCTAGAGTCCGTCTTTGAGTTGCACAGCCCGAGTGCGGATCTGTTTATCCAGGCTCCGGAGGACTCTTACGTGTGGACGCCCGGCACCCCGGCACCTGGTGGTTCACAAGGAATTGTCGCTGACATGGCATTTGATGAACCTGCTACTTCATCCAGACAGGGTCCGCCCATCTTTTTTCAAGACAACCCGCCCGAGTTCAACTTAGACATGGACAACATGGACAACATGGATCCATTTCTGGACTGGCAGTCGAGCCAGAATGTTGACGGCGTTTCATAATTGGCACAGAGAGAATGATATCCTCATCCGAAATGTCGAAGTGTTGAATTTGGCTTTCGGGACGAGGCTGGGTTCCCCTGTCCCCCCGCAACTTAGACTTTTGCTTGGCCACCACCACTTTCAGATAAGTCTGCGAGGCAGTTAACTACACGACGGCCGTATTGCACCATGTCGCCCGGGAGATCATGGAAAAACTGTCGCAGCAAGGTGCACGCACTGTTCGCGGGCATTTGGTCCCGCGAGAGGGCGAGCTAGTCCCGTTGTGGAAATAGTTCTTGGCATCCACTTTCCGCTCTATCACTCCCGCTCTGCCTCTTCCTCAAACCCTTCTCCGTTATCCTCGGTCCTTTTCTTCAGCCCCCGTAAGCCGGAAACACTTTAAAGGGGGGCGAGAATGTCAGCCTCCCCTTGTCATTGGGGCGCTTCCACCGCTCGTTGCCGGCCGTTGTGTGTCCTCATGGAGACCTGATCACTGACACCGCTCCATCATGATTGGCTGTGACAAAAGTCGTTATGCCAGAAGCCGACGAACCAGGATGGCTTGTTGGTTTCGCCGCAGCCTCACGAGTCATCAATCGTCTAACTTGATTGAGCATGGTTGTCTTTCCTCATTAACACCTTCTGGTCGAGTGTCCGGCTGATCAAGAGCCGCATATATTCCCACGCAGGTTCCGGGTTGTCTCTGGACCTCGAGTTATTTCTTCAATTCCCATGCAAGACTAGCTTCTTGTGAATTATCTTTTGCCGCATCTCTTGCTACTTTTTGGCGTCTTTCACCCGTCGCAGATCCCGATCAGGCTGAAGTCCCGTCCACGGGTGTTTCCCCCCATTGCACCAGTGGCTCTCCGATCACATGGCGCCTACGAAGCCCAAGCAGTCCCGAAAGCGGGCTCCAAGAAAAGCAGAGTGGGACCGCATCAGCGAATCGTTCCATCAATTGTATATCCGCCAGAAGCTTCCTCTGTCCAAGGTGGCTACGATACTTAAGCATGAGCACAACTTCGAAGCAGGGTATGCAACAACCCCATAGACCACAGTGCCTGCTAATCTTATAAGAATCTCCATGTACAAAACCCGTATCAAACAGGTGGGGACAAAAAAGAACTTCAGAAAGGAAGAATTGGCCGCCGTTGCAGAGTTACTCGAAACCTTTGTGCAGGCTGGGTTGAGAACGCCAATCGCCGTTGTTGATGGTCGGCCAGTTCCGACACATCGCGTCAAGCGCCGTTTCAGCTCCTTGCTTTCTCACAACAAATCGCGGGACTCGACGACCGCCACGCTGTTTCCAGAGACGACCTCTCTGCGCGGTCTTGAAAGCTCCCAAAGTCGGGACCACGAGGCAGAAGCTGGGCGCCGTCGCCGAGGAGTGACTATGCCAAAGATCATCTTGAAGCAGTCTGAAGACATGCACGAGCTTGAGATGGCGATGATCCAAATCAACAATTACTACGCTTGGCGACTTCGGCAAAGTGACGAATACTTCCTACAACAGGGTGCCGACTCGAGCTTATCAACTCTCCACCATTTCTTCAATGCGGTGAATTATCTCAGATATGGTCTTGACAATGGCCCGCTACGTCCCAGCCAGAATTGGATGTATATCCGCCATCGCGCATCGATAATGCTACAGCAACAACATCCCAGATTGCCCGATACTTTACTACTTGACTACGCCAAGAGCTATCGTACTCACGTCCAACCCCTAATAAGGGGTGTGTATTCGTATCTTCTCAGTCAAGCCAGAAGCGTTCTCCGAGACAGACATCCCATATCGATGATTCTAAAAGTGCTCCAAAGCCATGAGACACAGCAAAGATCAACATCACTGCTATTGAAAATGATATGCGACGTTGTCCGGAGAGAAGAGGGTTGTCATTCCGAGCTGGCCTTCGAGCTCGAATATGATAGAGCCAAGGCCCTAGACGTCCATGGGGACTTCATGACATCCATGACATGCTGGCACAGTTTGCTGCAGCGAAGTGTGGACGCATGGGGCGAGAAGGCTGAGTGCAGTAGAAGAATTCTGTACCGGATTGGGTATGTTCATTTTGAACACGGCCTCGACTGCCAGGCAAAAAAAGCTTGGTTAGATGTTTTGAGGCTAGATGATGCCTATGTCCAAGGTAGCAACGACATAGGATCGTCGTCCGTTTCTGCCACCAGAGGCCTCGGATGGATTTGTGAGACGGCACAAGACTTTTCAGGAGCAGAGGAGTGGTATCTCAAAGCGTATAATGCTTCTTGTCACATCTTGCCCCCGAAGGACGCCTTCACGTTGCTAATTTTGCAGGAACTCGACCGGATGCGCGCAAGACTGAGGGAGGGCGAGGAGCTGTCCGAGATCGATGATGCAGGTAATGAAGATGTCCTTGAGGAGCTTCAACATGAAATCTCGCTCCTGCACTTGCAACATGAAGAATCAGAGAACCTCAAGTCCCACGCTGAGCCATGGAACGAGTGGGACGATGATGTTCCCGGTGCGAAGGACAACAACACTTCACAGAGTCGTGAATCCTTGGAGGAAGCTGTTTCGCCAATTGACAAGACTCTCGGTGGGGATGACCACCGGAGCGACCAAGTTGAATTCACAGACTCCAATTGCAGCACATCTTGTGTTCCAGGACTAATCTGGGACGACACAAATGACCTCGGATCCTCGACGAAGTATGAGTACTCAGCACACGCACAGCCTTTGCAAACTCTTCTGCCATGCGGACCTTTTGAAGCGTTTGGCGAGGATGGAATGGGTTTGATGCCGACTTCTTGGATCGATGCGTGCGGACTGGATAACGAAGCCCTACCAGCATTCCTACCTGAGGAACCTACTCTCCCATCGTCACTGCCAGCAAGTGGGAAATATTCTCACACCGCGTTAACATACATTGGGACTCTGCCCACAATCAACGACGACCCCGAGTTTCAAGAATTCGATACCGCTAGGAATAGCAGGGTTGGCTTTGAAAATACTCACCCAATGATGCTCGACTCTGACTACCAACGATTCGCCTGCACCGGAAGAAGTACCGGTGACAATCGTAACGTTGACCCCATGGAGCTCGAGCGGGAGTACCAAGAATCCGACATTGTCAGGGACACGTGCGATGACATCGCCATTGGCCCGACGACCTACGACCCCAACGGCGACTTCGTCAACACCTTCGACCTGAGCTTTCTTGACGATGTCGACCTGCAAGCATGCCAGGCGATCCAAGGCCAGGAGCTGCACGAGGAGCAAGATTTTTTAGTATGGTGAAAAAAGGGAGGACACTGACGGGCTTTGAAAAAGGGACTTCGGGGATTTGCGACACAGGGCTAGTACATCTTGAGCGACGCAAATTAAAGGGAAGTAAGGAAGGATGGATGGATGGAAAACGGGTTGTGTCGGATGAAGAGACGTTAGATGAGAAAAATTAACGGTGACGCTGAATGGGCGATGTTTTCAGGACTGCTGGATTGCCACAGCGGTGAAAGGGAGTCAGGATTTCTGCCACCAATGTACGGAGGCTTTGTTCTCTACCTACCGACTACAGGAGTATATCTCTCTCTCTCTCTCTGAATCTTATTCATTGTGGACAAATGACACCGATATCTAATACATATATATATATCCCACAACCACCACTCCCCCTCCCCCTTGTCGAATGATTGAATCTAGACGTTCTTCTTTCCTCTTCTGGACATCTTCCATAACCTCCCTGTCTGTCTGTCTGTCTATCTTCTCTTAGACCCATCCATATCCATCTATCTATCTGACTATCCATCCATCGGAGGACCTCCCGCTCCACACGACCCCGTCTCTCCATCTTTACACGCCCTGGAATCCGACCTGTGTGTTCTGTTCTCTGTGGTGGTCCTGCCCTGCCCTTGCCTTGGTCGGGCGAAGACTGCACATGCATATCCCACTCAACTCAACTGCAGACACACGGTGTATACACTACATACCACCAAGTGAAGTAAAAGAAAGAAAGTAGAGTAATGCAGCCAGCACCCCTTCTCACGCGAGCGACCAGAACATCGACCGATATGCGCGCGTGTCCGTTTTCCTACTGCTGGCGACCGCCTCTTCGTGTTCTTCGTCTTTTCTGGGGTGGAGATCGGAGACGCATTGTGACTGGGCTCTGTCGGTCGGGGTGAGAGCTGGTTGTCGTCCTGGTCTGGTATTGAGTTTGGTTGGGGAAACAGGACCTCTCGACATGGCTGAGCGAGGCCGAAGCTTCCGTCTTTGAGGATAGAGAGACAATGCTGCTCAGGTGGTTCCCGCCGGGACGTGTGGATGGAGCTGGACTGGTATGCTGTGGCATTGGGTCCGAATCGAGATGTCGATGTTGATGTCGATGTTCATAACGATGTTGCTGTCTGCGACACCCATGGTTTCACACGGCATTGATGAGGGGTCCATCACATAAAGTCATCCATCCTGAGACTTGGAAAGCATGGCTGTGAAGATAGAGCATGTCGGCTCCTTTCTTCCATCATGCAAGTCCGACAGACACTCGTGAATGCCACCACATCGAAGCTCGCCAAAACCCAATGCGAGGTGATTTTCATTTCCTCCCCTCCACATACGTCCATGCACCACCCAATCTCTCCCCCAGAGAGTCTTGCCCTGCCTGGCCTGGCCTGGCCCTTGCTTCACATTCCCAAACCAACCCATCCCACCATGGATGGCATCAGTCTCATCAAATGCATTATTTTTTCACCGCTTCATCTTCCACTCATACTCGACGGGCAGATCCATGCCCACGCGCCGGGCCGTCAACCGCACCCGCTCCTCTTCGTCCATGCCCATGCCCGGGTTATACCGATGCAGCAGCGTGCCGTACATGCGCTGGGCGCGCAGGTACATGACGAACTGCTCGAGCTCCTGCAGGCGGGCGACTTGCTTGTGGGGTTCCGCATTGGCGGCGGGGGTCGGGGACGTGCCGTGGGAAGAGTTGTCCGCCTGCTGCTGTTGCTGGATCGAAGATAGGTGCGTGCGGATCGAGGCGTGGATGGGCGACCGCGGCAGCGTGTGCCGTGGTTGTGGCGTCGGAGGGAGTTCACGCAGGAGACGCCGGTACAGCGTGCGCAGGGACGGGGTGCTCGCCGAAGAAGACATGGTGGTGTTGTAGTAGGAGATGGAAGAAAGAGACGGATTGATTGAAGGTCTCAGGACTCAGGACTCAGGATTGAACGGGGAAGAAGTTGGAAAAGCCCCCAACTGGAGTAATTTATTTTCTTCGCGGTAAAAGACACCGAGATTTCATCCATACGCCGCTTTTACGAGGTACGAGGTAGATATACAGTATACCACCAGTATCCATTCATACTTCCACTCACTTCCGGCATCAATCGAACACGGCGAGGTGAGGAGAAAACATAGCTGTTGTATGTGTTTTCAAGATACCCATACCCTCTCGTGTTATCGACTCGGGCCCAGAGTCTACTCTCACCACTCCGGCCTCCAGAACCAACCACAACCCATCCGGCTTACTGCTCGTTCAGCCACTTGTACACAACCCGCAAGTCCTTGCCAGCATATCTCGGGTCAGCTGCCACTTCTCCCAGTGTCTTCAGCGTCTCAACCGCAACCACGGGTCTCGCACCCACCATCTTGGCCAGCTGCACGCCCAGCGTCAGATCCTTCTGGCCAAGTTCTATCCGGAAACCGCCGTTGTAGTCATTGCTCGCGGCGCCGCCGGGCGTTATGCCAGGCACGGGGTTGTTCTTGAGCGTGATCCAGCTCATGCCGCTGCTGGAGTTGACCGTGTCGATCAGGTCCTCCATGTTGAGGTTCAGCTTCGCCCCGATGTTCAGCGCCTCGCTGGCCACCAGCACGTTGTTGATGGACATGTAGTTGTTGATGGTCTTGAACGCCGTGCCCGTCCCCACGGCGCCGCACCGCCGCACGCTGCTGCCCATGTGCTCGAGTAGCGGCTGGATCTGGGGGAATACGGGCTCGTCGCACCCGACCATGATGGTTAGTGTGCCGGCTTTGGCGCCGAGTGGCCCCCCAGAGATGGGGCTGTCCACGAACGTGAGCCCGCTCTGAGACGAGGCGTCCCGGACTTTGTTGACGATATCGAGGCTCATCGTGCCGCACTCCATGGCGATCTTGGCCTGAGAAGGATCTGCTTGCTTGACGCCAGCGAGGACTCCGGTTGATGGATCGAGGTAGACGCTGTTGCAGGCGGCGTCATTGGGCAGGACTGTGATGATCGTGTTCTAAGCCAGTTCTCAATTTAGGTATCTCATGCGTTGGACGTCGAGACTAATACTTACGGCCTTCTGGATGGCTTCGCACCCGTTGGCCGCCACGACCACCGGGCCCACGTCTTTCATTTGCTCCTGGAACTTGGATATTGCAGCCTGAGACACATCGCCGACTACAAGAGTCATGGTCTTGGGCATTTTAGTGCGTAAGTTGACGGCCATATTGTAGCCCATCACACCGAGCCCTGGCCTTCGTTGGCAACGTGTACATCTAGAGTTGAGGAAAGGGGATGCTTGCCTATGAAGGCGATGGCGTTCTCTGGCGACGCCATATTGACCTTTGATCTTCTCTGTCGTGACTGTTCTCGGTGTCTTTCCACACGTATTCTATCCAGACCTTTGACTCCTTTTCCCTGTTCCAGGCCGTGGACCGCAAGTATGTCCTATGACAGAGCACACAATCTTGGATGTGGTCAGGTATCGTATGTCGAGAGAGAAGCTGCTCGACTGTGGATCTGGTCTCCAACCCCAAAGAAGGCCATTTGTCTCTTCATCCCCATATTTCTGGCGTCAGCCAGCGACGTCGGGGTATCTTGCCCTGAGCGAAGTTTCGGCGTGAGGAGAGATTGCTGGTACACGGCCAGTGTGTTTCTCCGCATATCGTAGGCAGGGTTACCCTCGGCTTGGGGGCGTCAAGGGAAACTCATCCACAACGGGGTTTGCTCCAAGGCATTGGAGACCCAACACCATCTTGTAGGCATAGGGGAGATGTCAGGCTTCCTGATCCGTATCCCAACGTCCACATACAGCCTTGGCATGTTTGGAGGATATCCAGCCTCGTGGCAACGACACCACCGCAGCCAAATTGTTGAATAAACGGCTTATTGAGCGATTGCCAAAGTTGGTGCCTTCCTTTGAACGATATCACTAATACCACATCAAATAGCAACCCTTCCCAAGACCTTCGATGCCATTCCTACACAAAATAATCCAAGTCCGTTGCCGTGTCTGGCTTCTGCATAGTCTATCGGCTACGCCGGCTCCATGAGGGTCGCCGAGTAGAGCGCCATTCTGGATGCCCGTACCCGCGATCTTTGCCGGACGTGTTCAACCGCCACCGTTCGTCCCATCCGCCTTCCCTTCGCCCGTGGCTGTCTATATCACCGCTCACTGAATCGTCCATCAAGTCCGTTTGCTTCCTCAGGAGGACGGGATCCGTACTTTCTTTGCCTTCTCTAGGCCTCTCATAGCATGAAAAGTTCAATATGTGATCTTGAAGGATCTCATTCTTCTCGTCTTGCAGGACATTAGCTTTTGAATCACCAATACCAGAAATTCTGTGAGCATTGCGAAAGTCATCGGTGGAAATAAAGTCGAGTTGTAGTACATGGTTCTCTATCCCAGCAAAGATCGTGGGCGAGCTTGATGAAGGGCTTGAGAGAGAGTAAACGCTACCACGGTAGCGCTGAGAGCGTTTGCGAGGATGGCGGGGGAGTGGTTCCCATAGTCGTTCACCAATGTTGACTGTGGGGGTGAGAAAGATGTTGATATCCCTCTGCGGCGTCGGGCGCTTGATCGTCTGGGGTGGTCGTGGTCGGGCATCTAGATACGAGTAGGCCCTGGCTCCCGGCATGCGAAGATCAAAGGACTTCAGGCAGCCGTTCTGATGGCTGCCGGCGAAGAAGCGTTCGTGTCCCACGGGGAGAAGAGAAATAATCTGCCCGTCGTCCACAGGATCAATGTACTCCGCCACTGATCTCCGAGGAACTCGAATATCATAGAGCCGAGCGACACCATCAGTCCAGCCAGAGAGGAACAAGGGCTGAGTGCGGCTTCCCACATCATCTAGCCGCGCAATGGTATTGGCGCTATGGCGGCCCAGCCCCGGATAGCCAGGTTCAATAAAAGACATTGATGCAGCAACTGGTGTCGAGGAGAGACCACTAGGGGTAATGTCATAGATGTTGATCGGTGCACGCTCGCGACCTTCGAGGAACTGGTTGGCAATTGCAATCGTGTTCTCGGACAGAAACTTGACACATCGCATGCGTGATCGAAGGTTATTCCTCGCTTGCACCTTACTGGAGCTCGAGGGCCGCACAGCTCGGTCTGGACTATGCACCGCATAGAGGTTGATGCTGCTGTCTCCACAGGCTGCAAGGATTGGCTCAGCACTCTGGCTGACATCTAAACAGGTAAACTCATCGGGGAGATTCGTATAGCGAGCCTTTTGCGTGAAGACGTCGGGCTGAGAGGTGGTCTCGACGGTGACGACCTCGCCGTTGGCTCTTTGAAGGATGATTGTCTCGCCCCCCGAATTTTGGTGCTGATGGGGTCGCAAGATCCTGACGTCGAGAATGTCTAGTTCTTGTCTGTGATCTTCTGGGACTTTGAAGGAGCTCCAAGTCGTTACACTGTTGTGGATAGTTCGAAGCTGCAGTCTCCCCGCCGCCCCCCATGCAAGTACTTCCTTTCGGTCTGCCCACGACCCTCCCTGCCATGTCTCATAGCTGTCGATGGCCGGTCGATAACCTACCGGAAAACCAGGGGCCAGTTGGGGTGGGTAGTCGCTATTGTCAGTTGGTGGGCAGCATTCTCTGGCGATGAATGCCCGGCGGTCCCATGCCCGTGACCGCGACGTCAAGGTGCGCGCGACATCTTGCCAATATGGTGGTGTATTGATGGTTGGAAAGGCTCTTTGCACAAATGTTCGGAAAACACCATGGTCGTCTGCTGAAACAATAGCATGGATCTTGTGGTTTGCGAGCGAGAGGTTGGCGATCGATGAAGCGGTAGGCAGGTAGCCAATGATCTGTTCTATCACCTCGACAGGTAGGTCTTGAAACATTGGATGAGGTGGTTCTATTTCGTGAAGACCGAGTACCTCAGCATCAGCAGAAGATTTCTTGATGTTTTGTAGGAGGAGGAGAGAGGCAAGTTGCCTCCTGGTTTCGCCATCAACATCGACAAAATCGAAATCCGCCTCTCAACACAGACCAGCCAATTGACGTCATGCTTGGCAAACTGAGCGCCGACGTCAATTCTCCGCGAATCAGCTTCGGCCTGATTTTCACTTCACGTCTGTCGCGCTTCACGAATTATCATCAATCGCGATCGGGCTTTCATCCTGCTTGGGCAAGAGACGCTCGGGCGTGTCGATCCCGCGTCTTTCTTCTTTGTCGTTCTTCGGTAGCAATATGGCCTGGGATGGCTACCATCAAGGCCATCGAGCCCAAGTCAGTCCACCAGATCCAATCTGGGCAGGTCATCGTTGACCTGTGTTCCGTGGTCAAAGAACTCGTGGAGAACAGCCTCGATGCAGGTGCTACTGCTGTGGAAGTCCGCTTCAAAAACCATGGCTTGGACTCAATCGAAGTACAAGACAATGGCTCCGGCATTGCTCCAGCCAACTACGAGACTCTCGCCCTGAAGCACTACACGTCCAAACTATCCAGCTTCGATGACCTCTCCCGTCTGCAGACATTTGGCTTTCGGGGAGAAGCTCTCTCTTCGCTCTGCGCTCTTTCCAAGTTTTCAGTCGTAACCGCACAAGCGGATGAAGCGCCCAAGGGCAAACGGCTCGATTTTGATTCTTTGGGCAAGCTCAAATCTGTCACGATCATTGCCGCGCAGAGAGGCACTATAGCCAGCGTTGAGAATCTTTTCGAGAGTCTCCCTGTCCGGCGCAAAGAGCTGACCAAGAATATCAAACGGGAGTATGGAAAAGTCCTGGGCTTGCTTCAGGCCTACGCTTGTATCGGCGTCAATGTTAAATTTACCGTCAAGAATGCCATGCCGAAAGGCAAGAGCATGACGGTCTTTTCTACAAAAGGCAATGCCACAACCCGGGAGAATATTGCAAATGTCTACGGAGCTAAGACGCTAAGTGCATTGGTTGCCGTGGACCTCGAGCTTGATTATCAGCCCACATTGACCCAACTGGCCCGCAAAGGAAAGCGTAGCACGATACGTGTCAAGGGCCACATTTCAAAGCCGGTGTTTGGGGAAGGCCGGCAGACGCCTGATCGACAGTTGTTTTTCGTCAATGGTAGGCCATGTGGTTTACCCCAAATCGCAAAGGCCATCAATGAAGTATACAAGGCTTTTAATGTCTCACAGTCACCTTTTATATTGGCGGACCTTCAAATGGACACCAACGCGTATGACGTGAATGTATCGCCTGACAAACGCACAATATTGATCCACGACTCGGCGTCGCTTGTGGAGAATCTGAAGACTGCACTGAATGAAATGTTTGATCAGCAAGATCAAACAGTGCCTCAATCTCAACTGGCCGCGCCTAAGCTGCCTGCTTTCCAGAAACTGAGCTTCCTGCGCCAGACGTCCTCAAGCAGTCCCGAAAACGCAAGTCAACAAACCTCGTTTTCGGAGACCACAAATCCTATCAGCGACCAAGACGAGGACGGATCTGAAGAGAAGCAGTCCTCGAAGGCATCGTTGAAGGATGGCTTGCAAAGATTTTCCCGGACGACAGAGAAGGCGGGACCGAGCCGGAAATCGCAATCAATAACGAAGAGCCCACCAGAAAGACGTACAGAACAAGAAGCAGTTGAAGAGATGGCTTGGCACGATACAGCAAGTGAAGGGGCTACTGAAGAAGACGATGTCCAAGAAAGGATCGAGACCCAGGCAAAATCCCAACAGTTCCCAGCCGAGGAAGAGCCTTCCCAGTTTGATCCAGTCAAGATACATGTCAGCGAATTTAACGCGAGATTGGCTGAAGCCCAGCCCAGATTGAAGGACCATTCCGCCATACGCCCGGACCCTACACAGCGATCCCCACAGATCAAAGCCGTTGTGCAGTCAAGAAATGGCGAGGAAAAAGGGCTTGTGCACAACGCATTTGACCGCATAAGGCCGAAGAGGATGCCAGCAGAAGTCGCTTCTGTCACGATCGGAGACCGGACCATCACCACAGTCCTAGGCAGTCAATTTTCCAAGCCGCAGGAGAAGCGCGATGTCCCTAGCAGCCTGAGTGGCACTCGCAATGCCCAAAAGCGGACGAAAAGTCCTGGCACTGTGCAGTTCTCTCAACAATTACGCAGGTTTGGTGCTCAAGAGTCGGAAATGCTCGACGAAGGGGAAGATGATGGTGATGAACAGGCTGAGACGGAAGATGTCGACATTAACAGCGAGGAGGATGAGAAATCTCACAGTGAAGACGAATCCAAGTCGGACGAGCAGAGCCTCGGGAATGACGAGGACGTGGCCGAGAACGAAGTGGATGCCGCGCCAGACATGGAAGAGGAATCGGACACAGACTATGTTGACGACGAAGAGAAGAAAAGGATTGAAGAAGCTAGAGTTGCCGAGCTTATCCTAGCCGCCGAAGCAAGCTCAGCACTTCCAACGAAAGCGAATCTGCAACGAGCAACCAGAGCTCTGGCAGGAGGACGGGCCAAGGAGACCACAACGAATTTGTTAGCGACAATTGAGTTGTCGGTTCCGACCGTGTCCCGACAACTGCGCGACTACATTGAATTGGTAGAGGACAACATGAGGCACGGATCTTCGCAAGCTGACGGACTTGACGACGGTACTGCCCAGGACCCGGAGGCACGACTTTCACTGACCGTGTCGAAGCCGGACTTTGCGAGAATGAAGATTGTTGGGCAGTTCAATCTTGGTTTCGTTCTGGCGGTGCGACCCGCCAAGCTGGAATCCGACGACGAGGCCCAAACCACTCAGGATGAACTGTTCATCATCGACCAGCACGCATCAGACGAAAAATACAACTTTGAAAGACTACAGGCCGAGACTGTCGTGGGCAACCAACGGCTCGTCCGCCCGGTAACACTCGACTTGACAGCCGTGGAAGAAGAAATTGTGCTGGAGAACAACCAGGCTCTGGAGAAGAACGGGTTCCTCGTAGAGGTAGACACGAGCGGCGAACGAATGGTGGGACGACGTTGCCGTCTCGTCAGCCTGCCACTCAGCAAAGAAGTTGTCTTTGGCATGAAAGACCTAGAGGAGCTCATCCAGCTATTAGCCGATACGCCAGGACGCAGGGATTCTGATATCCCTCGACCTAGCAAAGTGAGGAAAATGTTCGCCATGCGAGCCTGTCGATCGAGCATCATGATCGGCAAGACACTATCCAAGAAGCAGATGGAGAGGGTTGTGACAAACATGGGGACCATCGACAAGCCCTGGAACTGCCCGCACGGACGGCCGACGATGCGACATCTGTGCAGTCTGGACTCGCTGCAGCCGTGGCGTGAGGGCGAAGATGGACACGAGGATGCAGTCAGTTTGGGGGTGGCGTTGCACAGATTTGCAGCGGAGGAGTAGGGAGAGGGTGGTAGTAAGTAGCAAGAGGTCGGGCCATCTTATACTGTCCATCTGTGGATTTTCAATATCAATGGAGCGGATCAAGGGGACCATGCGTGCGTATGGATCATGTCCGAGTTTTCCCTTCTGGCCGGTTACCGATGTTTGCCCGTGGTGTTTTTCTCCCAAGGTACCTCGTAATTAATTTCGACACGATGATGTGATGTGCCTCGGCTCACCGGACACAGGCACAATTCTTCCTGTTCAGCGCAAGTCGCAGTCTCGGTCTCTCCCTTTCGCAACCCGTCAAAGCCGTCAACGCTCCAGCGGACCATCTGGCTTCGCCGCGGCAATTCCTCATTCTTTTCTCGCCTCGTGCATCGGCATCGTGCATCGTCCAATGCTCTCCGGGTCCCCTCCGATCTAAAAACTGCGCGTCACCTTCAATCGTTCGCTCTATCCAGCCATAGACTTTTTCTTTGCTGCTCTTCCCTTAACTCTTTGGTGACCTTGTCTTCTTGGGGATGTTTCCCACACTGCCTCGACTAGGAGCACAATCAACTCTTCGTGCCATCCCCCGTGCTTCTCCAACGTCGGCTGCCCTCAAGGTCAGTGATCATCATCTGTTGCTGTCGGTTGACGTCAGGTGGGGGAGACTGACACGCTCACAGTCCTTTGCCATGGCGCCCACAAACAAGCGGAAGGCTTCGAACAGACCTCAATTCTGGGTGACGGAGGGTGAGTTGACCCTGCAAACACCCGGCGAACAGAGCAACTGGTTGACACATGTGCATGGCTACAGAATACCGAGAAGATCTCTCCAAAGGCCCCATGCTGCGGTTCGAGGAATCTCTCCCCAGACTGCCCGTCCCTTCCCTCGAGGAGACCTCCGCCCGCTACTTGAAAAGCCTCCACCCTCTCCTGACCAAGGAGGAGTATGCTGCCTCCGAAAGGGCCGTGGCGGCCTTCAACAAGCCGGGAGGGATCGGCCAGAAGCTGCAAGAGAGGTTAATCGCAAGAGCACAGGATCCCCAGGTCAAGAACTGGATCATTGACTGGTGGAACGAGGCGGCCTACCTGGGCTACCGTGACCCGGTGGTGCCGTATGTCTCGTACTTCTACTCCTTCCGCGATGACCGCCGAAGAAGAAACCCGGCCAAACGTGCTGCGGCCATCACCACCGCGGCTCTGGAGTTTAAGAGACAGGTCGACGACAAGACTCTGGAGCCCGAGTACATGCGGAAGAAGCCCATGGCCATGAGCAGCTACCAATACATGTTCAACACCTCCCGGGTGGCCGCCCTTCCGGTCGATTACCCCATCCAATATCCCGCCGAAGGCCACGAGCACATCATTGTCATGCGAAACAACCAGTTCTGGAAGGTCCAGACCCACGTGTCTGGCAGACAGCTCAACACGTCCGAGCTCGAGCTCCAGTTCAACAAGGTCTACAAGAATGCCCAGATGGCCGACCCCATTGGTGCCATCACCTCTTTCCCCCGCGACCAGGGCGCAAAAGCCCGCGAAAACCTCCTGGCCGCATCTCCCTTGAACGCCGAAGTCCTGAAAGAGATCGAGTCCTCCTCATTCTTCGTGTGCTTGGATTCCAGCATGCCCGTCACCCTCGAGGAACGCGCTCACGTCTACTGGCACGGCGACGGCTCGAACCGCTGGTACGACAAGCCCATCCAATTCATCGTCAACGATAACGGCACCGCCGGCTTCATGGGCGAGCACTCGATGATGGATGGTACGCCGACCCACCGTCTTTGCGACACGGTCAACGCCCTCATCACCCACAATAAACTCGACTTTGATAACCCGTCCGTCCGGTCCGACCTGCCCGACCCCGTGGCCTTGAGGTTTGAAACCTCGGCCGCCGTGCTTGACGACCTGGCCAGCGCACAGGCGCAGTTCCGTCAAGTCATCGCTTCCCACGACCTCCGCGTGCAAGCATACCAGGGCTACGGAAAGGGACTGATCAAAAAGTTCAAATGCTCTCCGGACGCGTACGTGCAGATGGTCATCCAGCTGGCGTACCACAAGATGTACGGCAAGAACCGACCCACCTACGAGTCCGCCGCAACACGCAAGTACCAGCAGGGCCGCACCGAAACCACTCGCACCGTCTCTGACGAGAGCGTGGCGTTCTGCAACGCCATGGCCGACCCCTCGATCTCCCGCGAGGAGTCCGAACGGCTCTTCCGCGCCGCCGTTCAGGCGCATGTGAAATATACTGCCGATGCAAGTGACGGGTATGGCGTGGACCGTCATCTGTTCGGATTGAAGAAACTCATCCAGCCCGGCGAGGAGACACCCGAGGTCTTTACCGATCCCGCATACACCTACTCGAGCACCTGGTATATTTCGAGCAGTCAGTTGAGTTCCGAGTACTTTAACGGCTACGGATGGAGTCAAGTTGTGGACCAAGGATGGGGCATTGCTTATATGATCAATGAGAACAGGTATGTTGGCGCTTTCGTCCCGTTTTTGCCCCTCTCCCTCTATCGTCCATCCGCTCGTTAGTGGTCGCATATCTTCTGACAAACCACCTGCAGTCTACAATTCAACATTGTCTCCAAGAAACTCGGTTGTGAACGGATGAGCTTCTACCTCAATGAAGCCGCCAACGACATCCGGGACATGCTCCTCCCCAGCATGGAGACGCCCAAGGCCAAGCTGTAAATGGCGGTCCGGCACGATTGATTTTATGCAAATTTCCTATGTTTGACGACGGGCGCGTGACAGCCACCGCATCGGTCGACGCCGCCTGGTCTGGCGCCAGCATTCAAGAGAGCACGAAATGCATGGATGGACCACGACCAGGTAGGAGAATATCCTGGTGTGCAGAGGCAGAGCATCGAAGAGCGACGACACTCTCCGCCAGCAGCATGTATCAGACGTGTGGGACGGAGCGTGGACGGGGGATAGATCTCTCCATCATCTTGTGTGTTTGTGTGTGTTTCTTTCCTGATGGGCCTGTTCCCGGCACTCATCAACCATAAGTCATTTGCTTTCTCCCTTTTTGTACTGGGCAGCACAGTGCACATATTTACCATGGGGACGAGAGGTTCCGCGGAGCAAGACATCAAGTGACGATGTGTCAGGGAGGGAGGGAGGGAAGGAGGAAAGGCAATCAATGTACGATACCCAGTGATATTGCCCGTTTATTTTGCAGTTTGCCAGGGATATCATCTATATTACATTGCAAGCTATGCAGCCGACGTCCCAGATTCACCTGTTCATCCCTCCACCCCAGACCCGGCCGCCGCGCATCAGAACCACCTCTTCCTGGCCGTCCGAGTCGTAGCGTTTGACCACGTCGACGCCTTCGAGTCCTGCTTCGCGTGCGGCGTGGTTCCAGAGGATCTGCTTGATGCGGCCTCTCAAGTTCGCCGCGGAGGCAATCGACTCTGGCTGGCTAACAGCATGTCGTTCTCCCCCGACCCCTGTCTCTTGATCGGTGACTTCTTCCATCATGACCCAGACCAGCCCACGAGTCGACCGGCTCATACTGTCGACCACGCCTTTGGTTGCTGGCCTCGTACCCACCAGGACACCAATGGCCGGGCCGACCATTAAGCTCGACTGTCGCGGCTCGTCTTCGCTGCTGCTCCCCGAGTCTCCATCTTCTTTCGCTGAACCCTCCATCGTGGCCTTAGAGTACACCATATTGACCAACGCTGCACTTCTAGTCGCCCTGACGGCCCCGTCCAACTCCCTGACCAAGTTTGGCCCGATCCTCGCATGCCTGCCCGCCAGCCGCTTACACTGGACGAGGACCTGGAGGCGGAGGGTGTCGACGGCATCCCCTAATTCTTCGATGCCCGGAGACTCACGCCAATGTCTCGTAGTCGTAATGTCATCCCTCTTCTTCTTGTCCTTCTCCTTCTCCTTCCATCCGTCAGAGCGTGACAGGGCCGGCACCTCCCAGATACCCGCGAGGTCGACGCCGCGATCGCCCCGGCCGCCCACACGGTGCAGACGGAAGCCGTACGGCCGGAGGGTGTCCTGCGCGAGGTACTCGTAGGTAGTGCCGGCATAGACCGTGCTGCTGGGTGACAGGCCCGTGCGCAGGGCGTGAGCGTGGAAGGAGTCCAGCGAGCTGTGCGGGGAGAACGGGTCCAAGAGAGAGGAAGCTTGTGGGGTAGAAGGAGAGGGCGGCGGTGCCATCACCGTCTTCTTCTTCTTCTTCTTCTTATTCTCATGACCCGGTACCGAGTGCGAGAGCCATCTGATCGCGTCTCGACGGGCGGTTGGGCCACGCAAGCATCGAGGACGCAGGGCCAGGCCACGTCTTGGAGTGACGGAGCAGGGAAGAAGGTTGCTGGACGTCGTCACACGTCGGAGGAGTTGTGAAGTGATTGTCCTGCCATATTTGCGGCTGCTGCTGCCCCAGGAGGAGTATGAAAAGGAGGAGGAGCAGCTACCCAGCATACAGTCTACATTCCTCAGGGGGTTTGAGGGGTTTCAAGAAGAAATCTGGTCCGTGAGTAGAGAAAGAAGTGCGAACCGAGTTTATGCAGTCGCATGTATGCATCAAGTTCAATGCAAAGACGCCTCACCAGTTCGGGACGCGATGCCTTGCTGCTTCAACGGAGACGTTGGGGAAGATGGTGAACCTGAAGTCTCCGCAAGCCCGCCGCTTTAGTAGGTGGCTTCCTTGGTACCTCTCCTCCTTCACACTCTGTCATAACACTTGCCATTTGGGGGACTGGCTGTAAGAGACTCTCTCCCGCATAAAGAGTGTCCCTGGTATTTCTTACCCGTCTACGAAAACCCAAGATTATGGATTCGACCGAGTTTGGCTAAAGATCACGATAAGTGATTCGAGGAGGACGACACCTACGACGACAACTACGGCGACGGCGACGACGAATCAAAGCCTCGATGCAACGCGTGTCAAAAGGATCTAATCTGAAACTCGTATCGCGGAAACATTGAAAGGCTGTGGCTACATAACAATAGTAGTACTGAACAGACACGGCCTGAAGCTTGATGTCAGCAGAGCCGAATACGCCGCCACCACTACCGACACCACAGCTGCCCTTTCGAACTGAAACTCTTTATGGACGCTGGTACGGGTTGGAGGTCGCTTCTCCGCTTCCGGTCCTGTCCAGACCTGAGCTGACTCCATACATAAGCACCACTGTGTCGCCATGCGATGGGGAGTGTGTTACAGCACTCGATACCTTGATGCAACGTACCCCTTCCCCCCCCTCCTCCTCGGCACTTTACTGATGATTTGTACAACCTGGTAGGTCGGTCGGTCGGTACAGGTTCGATAAGTAACCACATAACAAGTTTAAGCGCGCGAGCCTGAATGCATAATGTAGTCAGCACAACACGAACTTCGCACGTAAACCACTCAACGACGTGTCAAGGTAGGCCTGATCAGGCAGGCTCAGCTCGTATTTCGGAGTTTAAAAAAAACTATCAGGGGAAGGTAGATATGCTGATGGGTTGCTTGCTCGCTACCTACTACTGGCTGATAACTGGGAGCTGAAAAAAGAAGGTGATATTGAGCTTGAGCTTGAGCTTGAGCTTGTGAAGTGTGTGTGTGTGCCTCGCGAGTATATATATGTGACCACCCTAACAGAACGATGGGAGGGGGTTGTCTGTTCCCGTCTTCTCACACACACATACACACGGCTCATCTCGAGGAACACGCACGACTTTATCTCGAAATTCAAACCCCGGTACATTCGTCCCAGTTCTAAGCCACAGCAGCATACCCAGGCCAAGTCCACCCAAGTCAACCCAAGCCAACCTGAACCTGACCATGGCCTCTTCCACGCCCCCGACGCTCAAACACGTCCTCAACCTCAACCTGACGCCGACGGTGGTGCTGGACGCCGGCGCCACGCCGCGCGGGCGGATCAGCTGGGTCGAAACGCCGTCGGGCGAACTGACGACGCCGACGGGGGAGAAGATCGCCACCGTCCTCCCTGGGGGTGGCGACTACTGCACGCGGCACGTGGACGATCTGATGCTGGAGGTTGACCTGCGCGTGGTGGCGCAGACGGAGCCGGACCCGAGCACGGGCGCTTCCACGCTGTTCAAGTTCCAGAGCGTCGGCTACGACAAGCTGATCAAGCCGATCATGGGCGCCCTCGACGGGGATAGTGCAGCCGCCGCCGCCGCCGCCGCGCCGCCAGAGGGAGGAGAGATGCCCTCGGCCCTGTACGGCACCGAGGTGCTCTGGTGCAACACCTCCAGCAAGGAGTACTGGTGGATGAACTTTGCCGTGTTGGTCGCCAAGGTCGCGCTGGTCCTGGGGCCCAAGGGCGTCGAAAAGGTCGAGTATGCCATCTATCAGGTCGTCGTGTAAAGGTCCATCCGCAGGGAGAGAGAGAGAGAGAAGGGGGGTTGAGAGTTTACTATATTCGCGACGCTGGGGAGAGAGAGGAGGCAGAGACACGGGTGTGCTATATGCCTCACGAACGTGATATACAGGACGCATGTATCTAGCATAGATATGTACGAGGTAAGGCGACGAACAAGACTCCATCTATGACTATCTTTCAGTGAGCCACTCCTCTCAGCTACGACCTGCCGGTACCCTCTTAAGCATGGGGTTCATAATATATCCAGGCGAACACGAATATAGCGTTAGTGCTTATAGCCAAACCACATCCCGTGCTGACGGAGACAGAGTCAAGTATAACTTGGTAAGAATCGTTGTATCAGTCCGTCGTCGCATCGGGAGCGACTGACTTGTACCTATCTATACCAGACATCCAGCACATAGATACCCAGCTACGTAACCAACCGTTGACCATCGGCGGAACCACCATGGAGGCCGTAGCCATCATCGTAACCCATGCCCCTCACCATGCCCCGACGCCCTCAAATCCATTTGCTTTTTGCTGTCATTTAGAGATACATGTCTCCCAACCCGTTGCAGCTACGTACATCAGTCATAAAAACTTCGCGTTTTAAATCTTTTCTCCTTTTCGCGTGAGATTCAATAAGGGCCGTCCGTTCAGCCGTTCATTCATCCACCCATCCGTGTATAGATACATGAATACACAAACATATAAAGCCGAGAGAGGGTGTGAGGCGCGGGACGGGGTATGCTGCTGTCGACAACAACGATGCGTGACCTCCCGGCTTCGAAGTAATACCCACACTTCGAGCTTGTCGCCGATTAGTGCTGGAGTGTAGAGGTCTGACTGTCTTCCGACGTCGCTCGTGAATGTGTGGCCAGGATGTGGATTGACCTGGGCCGTTGGAACTCGAGCAGTTCCGTAATTGTGCCGGTGGGCTCTTTCTCGAACGACAGTGGCAAGTCTACATGCAACGATGGTAGACTGGCCGTTCGCTCGTAGAGTGTTCGTTCCTCGGTAATCTGACTTCGGGTAAGAGCCTCCGTGGTTGTCCCCACCGATGTCGACCTAGGCCTAGGTCCCGCCGTCGACGCACGCCAGGACTTGCTGCGCAAGTCAACAGAGAGCATCCTGACCCTCCGGTAGCCCATGCATAGTCTCGCCTTGAGTGCACCAGCACAAGCGGCGCAAATCCCGATGTGGTTCTCCACGCATGCCCAGATGAAGACCAATGCATAATTTTCTGTTTGAAGTTGGACACGTTTTTGTCAGCCAGATGCCAATGATTCGTACCCCTTCTGAGATGACAGGGTTTTCCAAAGAATGGATGTTGGGAGGTCTGAGAAAAGCGGGGTCGGCGAGGAGGAGGATAGCATACCTGAGAGATTAGGAGAAGTGGCAATATCATGGACGGCGACGAGTCGAAAGATGCTGGCCAAGATGACGCTGGTTGTAGAAAAGCACGTCAGTACTACTGTCCTTCAACAGAAATCAAAGAAAGGTGCCACATACACGAAGCAGATTGCAAACAACGCATATAGGCTCCATCGGTGTTCACGAAGTGTTTCAACCTTCCACAGCAATACCATTGGTATCAAGTACATGACCACGTCGTTGGCAATCATGAAGCTCGCATTGAAGTAGAAGTAAGCCAACAAGTTGATGCACTTCCCCTTCTCAGGTCCGTTGGCCGGTTCGTGGTATTGGCGCCACGCATAATTCAAGGGCACGCATTGCAGCAAGATGACCAAGACAGAGCTGAGGCCAAAAGTGACTGCAGACAACTGCATGAAGTGGATGAAGTATCTCTGAGCACGGCTTTGTGCCAGGCCGTAATAGAACGTCAACCATGCATGCTTGACGAACATGTTGCACAAGAAGTAAGGAGGGAGGGCCGCAACGATGAGCTATTTTCGTGTCAGCGCCCGTGACAGGAAGGACACCGATGGGAAAAGGAGGACTCGCCTTCTGCAGACTCTCCCTCTGGAGGAACTCGATAGGGGTAATGGAAGCTCCAAGCCCTTTGGCCGCGGCTGTAACGCACATCAATCACCATAACAACATACCTTCAGTTCGTTTCTTCTTACCTGCACAAACAATGGATGTCATGACGAGAGCAAAGAACTGCGTCGAGATAAGTAACAGTTTCAAAGGCTGAAGGGGTCTATCCTACCGCGCTCAATACCAAGAACCCTGCGAAAGGTCAGTCAGTCACCGTCGATGAACCAGCCGCCTGCCTTTCTGCGACGAACTCACATTTGCTAGCGGTCAATCGCCCAACGGTCGCCAATTGCCTTTCCAACTCAAACGATACTGAGACGATTGTCGAAACGGCAAGCACAAGGCTTGTAGCCACGAGGACGGCGTCCTTTGATTCCAACATGTTTGAAAGTGCTGCAAGTCGCCGTGCAAAGGTAACCTCAGAAAAAGGCGTAAACCTATCCGAATACCCAAGGGGTGTCAAACACCCGATATATAGAACACACTCGCAACTTTCCGTGCACCACAGCCCCGTTGCCCTGGCTTTCGTAATATTTTCATGGGTCCAAATGGCATTCCTTGCCACCTGTGTCCGTGGCGAGGTCTGTAGAACAAGCTCGCACCAGAATCGTATAAGTCCAACATGTCAGTTTGCAGGCTAGCGAAGTACCGCAGATGTCTCCGGCCAATGGCCACTTTGGAGGGAGCTTCCGAAACCTGGGTTTGCAAGGGCTCGATTTCAGAGTTCAAAACTGTTTGCTCTCCCCCGCCTATCCTCATGAGGTGGGAAGGGTGGAGTGAGCGACCTGTCAAGTCGGAAATACGGCGTTTCCGTGCCGTTCGAGCCATGGGAAGCTGTCTCAAGCATACAGGCCTGGCTGGAATAGGTCGAGATGGGCCCAGTGGAACTTCAGATGCCATGTACTCGTACGTCTGCACCTGGTCGCTCATGTTAGTCTTTGGCTGAGAGTTTTGATTGTGGTCCAACCCGTTCTTGCGCACCGGCACGGAAGGGCGCTCCCAAGCCCCCGGCGAGCAATTAGCTAGGCCCACCGTAGAGTGGCGCATACACTGTCAGTAGGAATCAAAAAATTGACCGCTGTCAAAGTCGAAAGTAAGGGATGGTACAGGAGGTTCGGCGTGTTGGTGCCGTTTGTCGCTCTCCCAATAGGCCACTGACAAGTCTCGGGATGCCCGGTCTGAGAATGGACAGTCTACCAGAGAAAAAAGAGATAGCTAGAAGCACGAGGTCCAGCTTCTACGGGCACGATTGAGGTTCTGGACGATGCCAAGGACAATGGAGTTGCGAGGAAACAGTCCAGCGAATGCCGGATGAGCATTCCGAGGAAGGTTTAAAAACCAAGATGGAAATTAGAGCCTAGCCTTGGATCGCGAGCTTATGGGGGCGTTAAGTGTGGCGGCGGCCAGGAGTGGGTGCGAAGCCCAGGATGAAAGGACGTAGTGCTTTGACTTTTTCAAACATTGCGTGGATCAGGTTGAGAGGATTCACTATTGAAAAGGGGCTGGAATGCAAGATCTGTGAAAGGTACAAGACTCTGACAATCAGCTGTGAAACAGGGTCACTCTGCGATCTGACTGGCGACCAGCATGCAAGTTTGTGAGTCGATCTCTGTGGGCGATACGCAGTACGGCAGGCCTGGGGGTGCCGCACTGACGTTATCTCAACGGAGAGGAAAGAAACTCAAGCGAGGTTGCAACCAAGGCAAGCTGGGTAACAACATGTGGGCTATTGTCTGTCTGCTGCTCCAGGGTCCTTCCATGTCCATGTGTGATGTGCTAAGATCTGCTTCACTCACATCTGCGTGAGGGGCGGCCACAAAGGTTTGGTGGATTCAGCCAGTTGGAAGTTGAGAGTGTGCCCTGTCAGTTGTGCTGCACTCCCTTGAAAAGCTGGAAACTGCATGGCCTTTGCCAATCTCGCGAACAGCAGTTGACATTTCTGTTATAAGTGGACGCTCATCTGTCCCTACCTCCCGGAAATCTTGGCCGGATCGGATTCGAGCCCACTAAATGAGCTAGTGAGCTTTGAGGGACGCTCTCCCAGTGGTGGCCTTGCTCTAAACCCTGGTAGTGCGTGTTAGCTCTGGCACAGAATTCAGGGCTGGTGCTTCAGAGCCGATGCATTATTGCATTGTTTGCAACCACTCGCCACAATCGAGGCCTTTGATCTCTTATACTCTATCCCAGAAGGGCCCCCCAGCTAGGGTCGAAAATGGGGAAGCCAGAAAGTTGTGGGCTGGGCCGCGAAAAACCTTCTAGTCCATCGGCTTCGGGTATATCGTCAAAGCTTGCCATCCGAACTTGATACCCTTCTGAGATCGACGCAACTGGGCTTGGGAAGACCGCTGCATGACTCGTTGAAGCTCCCTCATTCCATGCTGTCCATGATTGGTTGTCGAAGCCGGAATTCTCCGTGGTTCGAGGAACCTTTTTGAGCTGCTGTAATATTGAGTTGCCATAGAACCGAGGAGCGGTGTTATTCGCAACCGCCATTTCTCTCATGAACGCGGCCACTTCTTCAACTGAATCTAGGTATTTTGTCGGATCTTGAAGGGTGGAGCCGAATAGTTGGCAAGCCTGGATTTGGTAGAGACAGCAGAAGGCTATCAGCGCATACCCAAAGTCGGCCATGTATCGGATATTCTCGCGTCTCAGAGGCGGTATATCCAGGAGACATCGAGAACAAGCATGAGCAGCTTCCACGGATTTTACCAGGGACTCTCTGGCAACCTGAGCCAGGATGCGGTGAGATGCAGTATGTGCATCAAGAGCTGATCTTGCCTTTTCAAGTATATACCGGGTGCCGAAAGTGCTGATGCAGAAGCGAGTACTTTGAAAGTGGAAATCCACGGCTCCATTTCTGGACACATCCACATTCGAAATGGTCATATGGGATTCTCCACGGAGACCCCATCGCTGACCCCAGACCTCCAGGGCGCCCTCCATATCTTCCAAAACTGCTAGCACTTCCTCAATATTCATGGTGCCAGAAGGCTTACACCACCATTCTGCCAGGCCAGGAGCACTTCGGCCTGCTTGTTGCCACAGCATGTAGAGATCGACCTCGGCGAGGATACGAGTCACCCGTGCTGGTTTTGGCACATCTCTCAGCAAGTCGACGGCTGAGCTGATGGTACTGTCTTCTCTGATACTCGGAGGCGTGCGCGTCATTAAAGAGAAATGATGAGACATGGTCACGAGCCAAAGCCAGTAGACGTATCTCTGAAAGGCTGGCGACTTTGATATCTCTGTTGGATCCTGCTGAAGCTGAACCTTTAGCCCGTCGATAGACCGGTGTAGCCCGACTCGCAGCGCAAACGCTTCGATAGAATACTTCAGAATCCAATGGTTAAGGAATCCCAAAGACTGAGGAACGCCTGCGGAATGAAAGGCGTCTACGGCTGGGCGATACGCATACAGGATCGCAAAGGCCTGCAGTTGCGTCCACACAGTGTTTTCATCCTCCGCCAGGGGCCCGCTGGTGGCCCTGAAGAACTCTGAGATCGACCAGACAAGTTGTTCGCGAACACTGGCACTTCCAGGGATAAACTGTGATGCAACGAAACTTGCACAGTAGGCGAGTGGCCGTCTGTGCTTCACCACATATAGTGAGTCCCTGAGGTCTGTGTCGTCAATAACAGGCACATAATACAGAATCTTCTCTCGAAAACTGCCACCAGGTGGGTTGATCAGTGCTCTTTCCTCACAATCCTGGATGATGCTTACAATTCAATGAGCTCCACTAAAATGTTGTCGGGTATGTCAGTCGGATTCCTTCTGGACGATGCCTGGAGGCTGACGGCATTGTCGTCTAGTTCAGGCTGGGGCTGGGGCTGGGGCTCTGGCGGCAACGGTTGCTGGGGTGCCACCGAGTCAAGCACGTCCAAGGGGGACGAGGAGTAGACTGATGGCAAGCTGGGTGAGCCATTTTGGTCCGGGCGTGAAGTGCTCGCAGGAGACACACGTCCGCCTCTGTAAGAAGGGCTTTGAAGCGCATATGCTGGAGACGATGCTGGATGAACCACGGGTGAGCGCAGTACTGAGCTGATGGCAGCATCAATCTTAATCTGGCTGTCCCGCCGGTGTAGAACGTCAGAAGGTGAGGATGAGACTGGTAGCGGCCTCTTTCGTAGAGATTGGGCTGACTGCTGTTGTCCCCTCCGAGAGGCATGAACGACGCAATTTCGACCGGTTTTGGAGCATCGGGCGCATGGTGGGTTCTCAGCTCCTATGCAGCGCATCTGCAGGCGTCAAGTCAGCTCTTGAGTGGTTTAGGGGTCGTTCATTGCTGTGACTTTTCACCTTCAGCCGCCGACACGCGGAGCATGCCACAGGCGCAGAGCCCAGTAGTGGCTTTTGTGGAAGCGGTGCAGTCGTCGCCATCGTGCCCGACGCAGCGATGTGGAACTCAAGGGGCTGTTGCAGAGTTTCATCTGACTCTATCCAGAGTAATTAAGGTGAAGAACGGTGGCTGGAGATGCTTTATAAGACGATTCTCCGGTTTAGTAAAGACAAGGTGGCGAGTGTTGGTGTACACACAGTACTGTATGTGCGGAGTAGCTACGTACGAGGAGTTAGTTAAGCTGGCTGGGGCCAAGGGCACCTCATGGGTGGCCGCCTCTATTACCTAAGTACCTAAGATGTGAGATTAATAGGGTGTTGTCAGTTAAGAGGAGGTCTAAAACTCGACCACTAACATGCCTAACGAGCCCCCCCTGCTTCCTACAATTAGTCACCCCTACTGTATGTTTGGTACCCAAATCATCATTGGTCGCCAGCAGAGACAATCACACCCTCGGACCTGGCCCAGCACTACAGCGACGGCCAGACCTTGTCCTGTCCTCTCCACTCTCCTCCCAACCATCGAGCACGGAGGCGATCCTCTTGACCAACTTCGAGTCCTTTGCCCAAAAGCCTCAAGCGAGCAGCCTGTCCAGGAACTAGATCGACACCGTTGTCCTCCCACTTGGTATCCGGATCATCAGCGATTTGTACCAGGAGGCCTTTGATGGGCAAATTGGCTGTCGCCTCCACCACGATTTCGGTCTCGTTTCTTACAACCCTCAAAATAAGATTCCTGGCCTTCGCTTGAAAGGGAACCTCCTTCAGCGGTTCGTGAAAATTGATGTGGTGGGCCAGTATCTTTGGAGAGATCCCAAGCTTCGAAGCACTGTGAGAGGCTCCATGCCCATCTGATCGGGACTCGACCAGTCGAACTGCAAAGACCACATCTTCGAAATTTGAGCCTTTTCCAGAAGACTTGAAGCGCAAAGGGGCGAAAGCTTTCAGGTCTAGCCTTCCGAGCTCCGTACTTTGGTTCATCTTCAGAGTGAAAGCCTCAAGCATCAGATGGTGGAAAACGGGCTTGCCTGTCACGACGCTCCATCCGTCAACGTGGACATCGACCTTGACGTTTGATAGCATCATATTGACAGCCCATACCTCCAGATGATCCGTCCTGTTATCTTGCTTGACTCTTGCTATGCCGGTGGTTATGCTCGCACATTCACGCTTGACTGCCCAGTATGCCATCTTTGGTCGAAGATAGTAATCCGCAATAGCCCAGGATATCACGGGCCAACAGTCATTGAGTTGCCAAACAAGAGCTCCACCACAGTACTCCTTGCCAGGGCCCTGCCAGAGCCGTCGCCAGGATCGATACGCCGCAGACAGCGCCTCGGACTGGATCAGCTGGGTCGAGTAGACGTACGCGGGAAGAGATCCGGTCTCGAACTTGATGTTCTCATGCCCGTAGTGCGCCATTCTGTCGCTGCCATCTTCCATTTTATTGTGCCATTTCAGATACTCATTCTCCAGTATGTCGCCACTCGCATGCGGGCGGTATCCTGGTGGAAAGAATTCTTTGACAGTGTCGAGGCCGGGCAGTGCTTGCATACCGAACTCACTGACGAATCTACCAGCGAGTCTGGGAAAGTCTTGGTATGGAAACATTTCCAAATGCCACACGTGCCACTGGTGTATATCACCGACCTCTTGGGAATTGGCCATGGCACCACCGAAAGGAGATCCGGGCCAATATGGAGTGCCTGGAGTCAGATCTTCGCAAATGGCCGGAAGCATATGCTCATAGAAATACCGCGCAGGAAATTTCGATTCGAGAATCTTGCCGAGGTCCTTTTCGCTCGAGTCGTATTCCAGCTGCCTGAGCACCGGGATGATATAGTCCTCGTTGTTCCCACACCACAACACAATAGAGGGGTGATGTCTCAATCGACGGACGTTCTGCTCCGCTTCGACCGCGACGCGATTTCGCATTTGCACATGTGCTGGAAAGTTGCCGCAAGCGAACATGAAATCTTGCCAGACGAGGACGCCCATCTGGTCACAAGCATCATAAAATGATTCGTGCTCGTACACGCCGCCGCCCCATACCCGAATCATAACTTGGTTGGAATCGCGAGCCAGCTTAACCCAGTCTCTGTATCTCTGTGGAGAGACACGAGTCAGGAATGAGTCTGCCGGGATCCAGCACGAGCCAGCAGCAAAGATCGGGACGTTGTTGATCCTGAAGAAAAAAGTGCTGCCTCCCTGGTCGGGTAGTGGATGTTGGACCATTTCCACTTTCCGGATTCCAAAAGGTTTGCGCATGTTATCCACGACGCTCGATCCAGAACCCTGAGACTGGTACAAAGAAACACTAGCTTCATACAAATTTGCTTCTCCTAGAGTGAAAGGCCACCAAAGGTCGGGGTTCTGTACGTGAAAAACTGCCCGTGCGATGTGTTGCTCGACATGTACCGTCTGAGATTGCTGAATGACACCCTCGCGGCGGAGTTTGACTTCGGCTTGACTGGCAGGACCGTCAATTGCAACCACAACTTGCAGCTCTGCATACTGCAGATCAGGACCTAAATTTGTGTGAATTGAGATGTCTGATATACGTGCTGAGTACAGGTCCAGGTATATTGGCTTCCAAGGCCCACAGCACATCAATTTCGGGCCCCAATCCCAACCCTGCGTTCTTGTGTCAGCCAAAGAACCATGCCCGTAGAAATAGGAGGGATTCGAGCCGAAGAGTACTTACATAGTGGTACTGTGCTTTCCTCGTTGCCAGGCGTGCCCTACCGGCGTTGAAGGTGAACCAGTCATGACTCGGATGCTGGAGAACCTCCTCGTCGCCAACGCGTTCTGCGTTTTCGAAGACGATTTGCAAACACTGGGCTGTAAAACTGCCATTCTCCTTCACAAGCATGTCCTCCGAGATTTCGACTCTATGAGACACGAACATGTTGTCGGACTTGAGAATGTCTCGACCGTTGAGCTTAACGGTGGCGAAGGTATCGAGTCCTTCGAACACGAGGGCAGCATGGGGGTCTGGCGCCCCCACTGCATCTTCAGGCACTTCGAAGTTTCGTTCGTACACCCAGGTCTGCTCTCCAACCCATTGCACAGCTTCCTCATTTTTCCCATTGAAGGGGTCTGGGATGACTCCATTAGCCAGCAAATCCAGATGAATTTCTGTCGGAAGCGGTCTGCTCGGTTGCCATGAGGTCAGTTGGGAAGATGTTGAGGAAGAGAGAGCTTTGTATCTCCAGCCATTTTCCAAAAGCAGAGACTTTCGAAGTTTTGCCATACTCTGGTGTCGTGCTGTACTTGTCGCAGATTTCTGAGCCAGCGCCTTTCCCTGACAGAAACCATACACAAGTATTAAGGGCTTCCATTTCGCGGACTTTTCAGAGCCTTTCGGCTTAGATGTTCCTTGTCCAAACCTAGCCGCAAATTCTCAATAACACATTCAGTGTGCCCTCGGAGACAAGAAATCCGACAATTTCAGGTTTTCGCGGAATTTGGGACGCCAGACGCCGCGGAGAGGTAAGGTCAGAGCAGCATCAATCACCACCCATGGGACTGACCACCATAGGATTTAGGACTAGCGCCTCACCCTTACGCAACCTCGGTCACCGGACGTACATATCATGGCGTTTTCTAGCGGGAGGCGATCTCCCCCGGAGTTGGTAACCAGGATCACGGGGCACATTGCAGCTCGGGCAGCGGACAGCCAGCGAGCTTCCCCCTTGGCCGGTTAAGTGAGTGATGTGCAGCAAAACGGTATCAGAAGAGAAGGAAGAGATGAAGAAAGGGGCAAATCCCGATACACTATTCCTCTTCTAGATTTTCCACTTTCCTGATGGGGTAGTTATCCAGTCAGCGTCACTCTTCCACACATTGTCCCGTTCCCAGGCTGGACAACGCCCTGTCTGCTGCACTCAGAATACCTGGCTCTTTGCAATCTCGAGATCTGGCTCCGGTGAGCGGTGCCCGGCGACTATTTGCCACGGCGTTCGCCCATGTTTCTCTCCTATCACTTTCCCAAGAAAGAAAACGTCCACCCTGTGATTTGCCTCTGCCAAACTGGCCCATGAAACACATGTTTGGCGCCTCGGTTCTTCTGAGAAACCACCCTCTCCAGTCGATGCCTATCACTTGCCTTCAGCACGACTTGAGAGTTGAAATGCGGGGCCCCGGTCGGCGGTCTGTGGAGGAAAGAAGTGAACCAGATGGCTGTCTGGACTTCGGTTGGTCGAAGCTGGTTCACTACGAATATTAATCCAATGTCCCTGCAGCTCTTCAAAGGGCCATCTGGGCTGCTCAGAGTCAACTTTTGAGAGAGGTTGCATACCTTCTCTGGGGATACCTCGACAGATAAAAAGCTTAGCTGCACATTCCCACTCATCGCGAGCAGTATCTCCCTTTTCTCATCCTGTTGTCATTATCAAGGGCGAAACCCAGACCATCAAGTCTTAATCAACGCCATGGCTACCAAAACGGAGGCTGATACGGTCGAGAATGCTTCGGTCGACGTGGTTGAAAACGTCGACCTGAAGCCACGCACTCGAGATGTTGACGATGCCTTGAGATTTGCTACCGAGAGCGAAACGATTACGTGGACGGAGGCAGAGGAGAAAAAGGTCGTGAGGAAGATCGACGCCGTTATACTGTTGTTGGTAAGATGGGGCACCTCTGGAGCACTCATTATCAATGCTCAACCTGGCTGACTCGCGACTTTCTCGCAGCTCTTCGTTGGCTCGATCGTCTCATATGCAGACACACAAGCCTATGGCTTCGCCGCTTTGTTTGGATTGGTTAAGGATCTCAAATTGTTTGTTTTGAAGTTGGTTGGAGGCCAGCCGGTGATCGAAACCTCAAAATACCAGCTTTCTGCAAGCATTGCTACACTGGGCGCAGTGGCTGTGAGAGTATCTCAGGCTGGAAATGCGCAAAAGCTTACGACATTGTACAGGGCCAATATCCGCTCCTCCTGATAGCACAGTATCTTCCAGTGGGCAAGTTCTTCGGAGCACTGATAACATACATCGGCATGACAGCGATCCTGGTCATCGTCTGTACAGATTTTGCGGGAATAACCGCGCTTCGGTCAGAGAATTATGAGGGAATACATCTGAGTTTGTCTGACGGATTGACAGGTTCTTTACCGGCTTCGCCGTGGCAACTCAGCCGCTGTCTATCATCATTACATCCATGTGGTATGGCTTTTCTGAACTACATTAGGATAGCTTGGCTAAGCACTTCAATGCAGGTGGAAGAACAAAGAGCAACCGCTCCGCGCGGGCATTTACATTTCAGGCACAGCAATCGGCTCCTTGGTGGGACAAGGTATCGACTTCGGCGCAGTAAAGATCGGTGGTACCTATGCCAGCAGCCCCTGGAAATGGATCTACGTGATCCTTGGCTCCGTGACGATGGGGTATGGCGTCCTTGCAACGCTCATCTTCCCGGCCACGCCGATGAAAGCATGGTTCCTTACGGCGAGGGAGAAAGAGATCGCAGTGCGCAGACTCGCCCAGAACAACACGGGTATTCAGACCCGCAAATTCAAATGGAAGCAGGTCAAGGAGGCTTTTATGGATCCTCAATTATACATCTATGGAATTTACAGCTTCACATTCGCCTTTGTCAACAACGCGATTGGAAGGTAAGCCATTAGACGCCCTCTGTATCTTTCTGTGATTGAGTTCCTCATCCGCTGACATTGTGTTGTTTTTTCCAGCTTCGGTGGCTTCCTGGTGTCGTCCTTCGGATACTCGAACTCGAGAGCCCTCGTTCTCTCCATGCCTGCGAGTGCGGTGGCCATTGTTTGCATGGTCTCATCAGGCGTGCTGGGGACAGTATTTCCGCGGAGACGGATTCTGATCGCTATGCTCTACCTCCTGCCCAGCATGGCGGGCAACATTCTTCTTTGGAAGAGCGACCGCTCCAACAAGGGAGCACTTCTAACCGGGCTGTATATTGTAAGTTGCCCTCCCTGAACATTGGACAGAGCCGTGGCACCTGACTATTCACCCAGTCAACCACCCTGTATGGGGCATTGGTGCAACAATTCGCGCTCCTCTCTTCCAACATCGCCGGCCACACGAAGAAGACCGTCACCAACGCGACGATCTTCGTGCTCGCCAATCTGGGCGGATTCTCTGGGCCGTGGGCTTACAAGGGCGATGAAGCTGCGCGTGGGTATCCGACGGGGCAGATCACGACGCTGAGTTTGCTCTGCGTGAGTCAGGGGGTGTTTGCTCTGCTTTGGTGAGTTTCCCGAACTTACTAGCGTTGTATTGCACTACAGTCCCAGGAGTCCTCGTACACCACAAAATCCCATTTGCTGACCCACCATCCCCTCCTGGGGAACACGATACAGGCTCTACTATCTCCGATGCAACAAGAAGAAAGCTCCGCTGAGGGAAGAGCACCCGGAGTTAATCACAGATCCGAGCATCGCATTCGCGGACATGACTGACCAGGTCAATCCGGTGTTTCAATATATGTGCTAAAGTGCTCCCTCCTTTCAACATTTCTCCACACATAAGGGATTAGAAACGAGATGGAAAAGAGAGGAGACTTTTTTGGCTGTCAATGAGGGCTAATATAGCAAAGGAAGGCAAAAGACAGAAACACATGAGTTGAGGATCCAGCAATGTCTGGAAGAGCAATTGAAAATTCCCGTTGGAAATGTTGACCGGACTCGCGTGCGGTTCTGCGTGTGGTATAAGGATATGCTCCCCATGAAGCATGTAGTCCACATATACACACATACTTCATACTTGTATGTCCGGTTCCTTGCCGATAAGGCGGTTGGCCAGACGCTTTCCGAGAACGAGAATTGATGGGGTGCTTTAATGAAACTCGTCTCGTCGTCTCCTAGACTCCATAGACAGATAAGATTTTTGGCGACTTCTCCTATAGCCAGCCCCTCCGGTGTACAAGCGGGAACAACCATTTCCCTGCCACTGTCCTCCCTCCCACGAAGACTACTACCCCGCTATCCACATTCATCTCGTGTCTCCATCCGCCTCACTCCATCCATCCACCACCTTAGAGTAGTCATATGGCTTATGGGAAAGAGATATGAATACTTGTGAAAGATGAACAAACACAAGCTGGTAAAGGAAGCGGTGGGTGGGATGCTCGGTATGTCCGGGTCCGGTTTCGGTGCCAGACCGGTCACCGTACTTACATACATGTAGTACAGAGGACAGCCTAGCCAAATAAGGTTAGTGAGTATGGGACCAGCACTCTCTGACGAATCATATTGCCACAAGCAGGGAAGATCCGGCTGCCAAGACCCGGACGAGGCTGAATATCCCTTCAGGCGCCGAGAGAGAGAGTTCGAACCTCACTTCCTCTATCACACGCTCCCGTGTTATGATCCCACCTCGGCATGGGATCCCCGCGTCAGCACCCGTTGGCTTGCGAAGGACGTAGATCTCTATTGAATAACGCTGCTAGTTCGCTACAGCGGTCCTAGATATATCTCCGCTCGGGTGGTCAGGAAAAAGAAAGAAGGAAAGAAACAAGACGCCATCCGCCCACCTGTTTTGTATACCCTTGCCCCCCACTAATGTACGTCTCTCCCCGACCTGCGAGTTATTGTCATCCTCATAAGGCCCTTCCTGCCACGTGAATGTACAGGAGACGGGGCCAGACCTGGAGCAGAATGCGGCCCTTTTTGCGACCCCCGTCTCGGGTCCGAAGCGTTGTGTGAGAGCGCCGTCGCGGTTGCAGTTTTGGGGAGGGGGATGATTCCGGAAGTGAGTTTTCCACCTCTGACTTGGATCAGAAGATAGCTGTGACATGTTGTTATGGTATGTCATAACAACAACCCACGATGTGATGAGTGCCTAGGTCTTTCATTGTGCTGGTCGTCGGCATTATTAAAGAAGGGACTCGAACCGCCTTTCTCACGTGTGGGAAAAAAGAAGAGCCTAGCCAGAGGAAAAGAACTGTCTAGGTTTCACGTTGCATGCCTTCACAGAGTCGGCAGCTCGGACCGGTTGAAGTATAATATTAAGTCTACCACCAACCCCTATACTCTCAGCTACCCGCTGTAGAGCGTACCTCTATTCATACCGTACCGTACCAAGGCCCCAAAATCACCAGTCGAAAAAATGGGGAAGAGCAGCATCCCCCTCGCTCGCCGCTCGCAGGCCGTTGACACCTTCGCCAGCGCCGAACACGGTACCATCACCCTTCCGAACCCGTACGACTGGCTTGAAGACAACAGCAGCCCCGAGACGGCGGCGTTCGTTGAGGCCCAGAATGCCGCCTTCGCAGAGTACATTGACGACAGTAGCGACGAGAGCCTGGGCAAAGCGAAGCAGCACCTGGCTTCGGGATTGATGGCCATGACCGGGTTGACCGCGGTGGTAAGCGTGCCGCAGGTTATCGGGGAGAGTTATGTTTTTAGAGTGCAGGGTCGAGGCAAGGAGTTTGCGGTGTCCTACCGAGTTCCCAAATCTAGTCTCAGCTGCAGTGATGGGGAGGCTCGGGATAGCAATGGCCATGTCTCAGGCCCGGAGACGGACGAGCCGGAAGTGTTCCTCGACGAGGGCGAGAAGAAAGCCGTGCTCACGGCCTCGTCGTCCAGCCGCAGCGGGAAGTACTGGGCGTTCACGACCAGCGACGCCGGCTCCGACTGGGGCGTCATCCGCGTCAAGGATGTCGCGAGCGGACAGATTCTGAGCGACGAAATCCGCGGGACCCGGCTCACAAGCAAACCCTCGTCGGTGATCCCGTGGCTGGGCGACCGGGGTTTCTTCTACCCATATCATCCGGACGGAGGACAGAGCAGCGGGGGGAAGGAAGGAGTCGTCGGTGCGGCTCAACTGCGCTTCCACGAGATCGGTCGTCCACAGGAGGAAGACGAGATCATCTATGACGATGCCGAACATCCAGGCTACAATTTCAGAGCGGTGGTCGCTCAGGACCACAGGACTGTCTTTCTGGAGATCTATGACCGGGGCAGAGGTTGCCAGGTACGGTCGGCGGTGATAGAGAGCGATGTACCGGACAAGGGCGCTGCAGAGAGAGGTAGGCTCGGACTGAGGTTCGACGGTGTGTTGACGACGCAGTCCAATGCAGAGTGGGAGTGAGTCTTTTCCGACCTCTCACTCTCTCTCTCTCTTTCGTTATCGGCACAAAAAATATCCTCGCAGGATGTATGCTCCCTCTCGCTGACTTGTTCTCTAGGTACGTCGGCACTCTTCCTGAGGACACGGATACTGGCCACAGACATCTGTTCTGGACCAACGCCGACAACGGTAAGGTGATGCTGTACCACCCACAAGCGGGAACCGTGGAGGAAGTCGTGGCGCCCAACAGCCAGCAGACCCTCCGACAGGCACGGATGCTCTCGGGCGGCAAGATCCTGGTCGTGCGCTCGATCGACGTGCGGGACCAGGTCCAGATCTTCTCGTCTTCGACCACCGGCCGCGGCCAACATCTGAAAACGCTGGACGACGTCCCCCTGTGGACCATCCTGGACGCGTCGTACGACCCCACGACCGGAACGATATTCCTCGTCGAGTCGTCCTTTTGCTATCCTCCTCGCGTCTGGTATGCTCGCGGGGCAGGAGATGGACTGGAGGACATGTCGTCCTTCCGGCCCGTCGAGCTGTTCCCGCAGAGCAGCAGCAGCAGCAGCAGCAACAAGGATTCCCTCACCTGGAGCGCGGCGGCACCGCCTTCGCAGCAGCTCTCGACTAAGCAGATCTTCTACCCCTCCCTCGACGGGACGAGAGTCCCCATGTTCCTCACGTCCGCCGACCCCGAGTCCATCCACCCGGACGACCCCGTCCTGCTGTACCTGTACGGCGGGTTCGGGATCTCAGTCATCCCGCACTTCCGGCCCGACTTCGTGGCCTTCCTGCAGTCGTTCCGGGGCGTGCTCGCGGTCGCCAACGTCCGCGGCGGCGGCGAGTACGGCCAGGCATGGTACCAGGCGGCGTGCAGGGAGCGGCGGCAGAACCTCTTCGACGACATCAAAGCCGGGGCGGCGCATCTCCGCGCCCAGTACGGCAGTCGCACGATCATCCTCATGGGCGAGAGCATGGGCGGGCTGAACTGCGCGACGGCCATGGTGCAGCAGCCCGACCTGTTCGACGCCGTGGTCCTCACCGCGGGGGTTCTGGACATCCTGCACCGCCAGAAGTTGGCGCGCAGCGACCGCGGGGCCCAGGACGTCGGCGACGTGCACAACCCGGTCGACTTCGACGTGGTGTACAAGTGGTCGCCGCTGGACAAGGTGCGGCCTGGGGTGCGGTATCCGCCCGTGCTGCTGACGGCCGGGGACAAAGACGACTTCGTGAGCTTCTCGCACAGCTGCAAGATGGCGGCGGCGCTGCAGTATGCTGAGAATGAATCGGCGGGTGAGGACGGAGGGGTGCCGACGACGGCGAAGGCGACGTTTCTGAGGATCGTCAAGGATCTGGGCCACAGCGCCAATATCTCTGCAAAGCAAAGGGCGGCAATCGGCCTGGAGAGGTGGCTCTGGGTGAAAAAGACGCTGGGGCTCGCGATGCATGGACGACGGTAAAGGACCTGGGGTTCCATATATAGGTGCTCCGTACAGTACATGATCCGGCACCGCCGTCCTCTCTTTACAAGGTCCAGGAGGTGTGTCTCTGGGCATGGATTGCGAGGAAGAAGTGGGCGAAGGCGATAAGCAGCCGTATACGAGGTACTCGGTATATAGAAACCGTCCTTGAGGTACGAGGTGTTTCGTTCCATCCATGTGCTACATACTGTTCGAGCTTTTGGTCCAGGTTTTGCATATAACTACACAATGCCCGAGTATATCCCAAAGCCGCCGTCTGTAGGAACCGGGGGCCCGAAGGGGTTGAGGGCCCTCGGTTTTTCTTTCCATTCACATTCACGTTGTAAATAGATAGTATGTAAACATCACATCACTTCTCAGCCTGGCGCCCGCAGACCACCACCTCCATCTTCACTTACCACCAGGTCCGGTACAAAACCAGTCCCCACTCAAACTGCAAAAATGTCACGCATATCATGTTTCTCTTTCCAAATTCTCTCACACAAAGACCCCCTACCCACGACTAGGGCGAAGATGGAACCGACGACCAAAACTCAGTCCAGGTCCTGTCTGGTACAAACTAGCACCGGGCTAGAAGGCATCAGGACCTCGATTCGAACCTCGCTCCGAGCACAAACCTCAAGTCGAATAAATAAATCATCTAGGGTCTGCCAGGTCGAACCAACAACCGAGTTGGGGGCAGCAGGCCCTCGATTCCGAACCACCCTTCCTCCTCCCGGGACTCAACTTATAAAAATTCGTAGTATAACCGGCCGAGAAAAACCAACCCGAAAGGGCGAGTTTCGCTTAGCACGAACCAGAGTTGAGCTGCTTCGTTGTTAAGTTTTTGCCATTTTTGAGGGTCGACGACTGTGGGATTCGAACTTGGGTTTAGCTAGTAACAACAATCATTTTACCGCCCTTCACTTCCCTCTAATACTCTTGGTCCTAGTCCTCCTCCCATTCGCCGCAATTTTGACGTTGGCTCTTGCGCTGATGGCCATCTTGTGAATCCGTGCTCGCTTCTCCCACGCAGAGCTCCGACCCTCAGCAACCCCCAACAGCTCCTTCGCGACACGCTCCGCCAATTTGTCTTCTCTTCTCCCTTCCGCGGCCGTCAATATCCATTGAATCGCTGTCCTTCTCCGCTGACGAAGGCGTAGGGGAACGGGAATGGGCATGGAGGCACCACCACCCAGGAGACCTCTTTGCTGGCGGATTTTGACAAGAGGGGCGACGGAATCGATGATGGCGGTCAGGTAGGCGACTGGTGTGAGAGGGAGAGACTGCAAGGGCAAAGGGCTGATGAGGTCTTTGTTGGTGGGAGGGGCAGACGACGTTCGCAAGGCATCGAGGATGAACTGCATATTCTGTGCGCGACGCTTCTTAGCATATGTTGATCTGCGGACCGTAACGACAGAGTCATCTCTTTACCTTCTGCGCCCGACCCAATTTGCCATCCCTCATCAGACTCCGTGTCACCTGCTCCACAACAGGATCGTATCTTCTCTTGAAGTTGACTGCTTTGCCCAGCGGCTTCAGATCCGGTAGGCCAAACTTGTGCCCGAAGCCCGCCTCCGGGTATTCCAGGCCCACGACTCGTGTATCCTGAAACTGAACCAAGCCATCTAATGACCCTCCGCCCAAGCTTGGAACGGCTTCCAACCCAGCGGCATTCCTCCTGGTCGCGGTCGAAAAGGAACGGGTGCCCGAGGGGGCCTTCTGGTTGCTGCTGGCCGAGTCCGGCTTGAGGGCTTGTTTCAAGACTTGCGGCGCTTTGTCTTGGGCGTCTTTATCGCGCTGGAAGATCTACACAGACATCACCACAACGACATGTCAGCCACCACATTTCGAGACTGCAACTGAACCTTATGGGGGCAACTCCAGCAGTCCATTAGAAGTTGGCACCCACCTCCTGCACTGGCGTCCCCTGTTCCACGTCCGGAGGCGTATTCCCCATCGACTTGTCAATTGCCACAGCTTCTTCTGTCACATGAGGTAACTGGTCCATCGTGGGACCTTTTGCCTGGGGGTGGAGTGGTGTCTTTTTGGGGGACTGGTCCTTGGACGCTGCATCATCGCTCGCTGCGCGCTGTTGCAGGAGACCGGGAGTAGGAGCAAGTCTTTTCTGGGGCACCGTAGGTTTCGTCCTGAACGGCACTGCGCGGGCTGTAAAGAGGGATAATCGAGGCGCCATGGTTCCTGCTGCTCGAATTGCGTATTGAATGATGGCAAAGTTTTGGAGAGTCAGTTCTCGCCCGTGGCTTTGAAGCGGAGACTGAAAGCTCAATGCTCAATGCCCAGCTTTGCCGTTCTGAGCAGGAATAATCGCCGCTTTACACAAGATAGATGTGCAGGTGTTCTTGAATGAGACTTGGACAAACAGGCACAACATGCCGGATTTTGATTGTCTTTATGGTTATCCGTGGTGTTGTCAAGGTAATCATATACATATGAGAGGCTGAAACCCTACACATTCCCCAAGCCGAACCGAGCAAATTTTGGTGCAAACTGGGGTATCAAGTGAACCTCCAAGTCCACAGGAGCATGATTTGTTTCCTTTTCATCCAAACGCCATATGATCAATCCCTGCTCTGTTCAGGTTGAACCTTTGTTGCTGGAAACCCCGAAAAGAACCGAAATGTGACGACTGTTCCTTGTCGTCCTGGTGCCGCCGCTTTGTGCCCCCCCAGAGCTGCGTCCTTTGGCGGCATCTCATAGAAAAGTTGTCCACAAATGAAAATACAATCGAGAAGAGAAACGGGGCAGGATTCTGTGATATATCCTCCTCCTCCTCCTCATATCCCGAACTTGGAGATCGATGATGTCGCGTCCTTTCACGCACCACCGCTCCCGCCGCCAAAGATCTTCCCCAAGTCCAAGCCGGAGCCCGCATCGTCCGGCAAGACGTAGAACGCCAATGCAATGATGAAATACATGCCCAGGCAGAGCAATCCTTCGAGGTAGTTCGACTTGCCGTCCTGAATCAGGAGCACCACGACCAGTGAAGCCAAAAAGAAGCTGACTGTCTCAAAGGTCTCAAAGTGCAGCGTCATGTTTTTATCCATGATCCAGCCCAACACCACCAGGAAAGGAGTGACGAAGAGGGCGATTTGCAGACTAGATCCAATGGCAACGCCAATGGCCAAGTCCATCTTGTTCTTCCACGCGACGATCACCGCTGTGACGTGCTCGGCGGCGTTTCCGACAATGGGAATTAAGATCAGACCGATAAAGGTCTTACTAATGTGCGCTTCTTCGACAATGGCGTCAATGCTGTCGACCAGATATTCGGCACAGATGGCGACAAGAAGCGTGATGACCACCAAGACAATGCCGGCAGCCCACGGACCGAGAAGCTGAGCTTCTTCGCCATCTGCCCCTTGCGCTTCGGCGTCGTCAAACAGGCTGGCATGTGATTTGAGCTGGAAGTACAGGTAAGCGACGTAGATGAGCAGAAGAATGATCGCCGTTCCGCGCGACAGAATCATGATGTTATCGTCCTGTGCCTTGTTGTTGGACATGACAGCGTACAAGGTGGCAGGAATGATCAATGACGAGGTGGCCACCGTCATGAGCGATGACATGGTCGATGCCACCGTGGAATTGAAGCTCTGTTCGGGGTATCTGATGCCGCCAGCGAAAAAGCAGCAGCCCAGGACGAGGAGGATGTTGGACAAGATACTGCCCAGCATGCTCGCTTGGACAATGCGGATCTCGTCCTTTTGGAGAGCGATGATGCTCACCTGTTTCCAGCATTAGCACTTGGTTCGAGTTTCGATGTGGCCGTAATGTGCTTACAATCAACTCCACGGCATTTCCAAACGTCGCATTCAAGAGCCCTCCAATTGTCTGGCCCAAGGGAACAGCGAGCTCTTCCGTCGCAAAAGCGAGAAGAGATGCCAGGGGGATGATGGCAATAAAATTGAAAACGAATTGGAGCGCAGGGGCCCACTTCAACACGCCCGCCAGGATGCCTATCGGCACAAACACCAAGAAGACATTGACGTAGTTGGTCTTAAGAATCTCCCAGGTCAAGTGTAGCACTAAGAAAGGGTATTTGATCCAGACATTTTCATGCTTGTGGTACGGTGTCCCTGAGTCGGTGGTGGTGATCCGCGACAGGAGCCCTGTTCGTTCGGTTGGGTCTGCGCGGCCGTTGATGCCGCCGTCTTCAGGCATGATATGGATATCGTCGCGGGAAGGGTGCGCGGTTTGAGAGAAATGTCTGCGGAGAGTGCTCGCAGCTAGAGATGACTCCCGCAACGACGCCATAGCAGGCGCCAGATCCTCAAGTTAGCCAATACTGTACTGGGTTGTCTGGTGCAGGAGAATGAATGCGACCAAAAGTAACAGGAGGAGATACCAGACATAAAGCTATGTGCTGTGGTGGGAAGGGAGATGGTGTAATATACTATAGCACATGCACGTACCCATTCGATATCTTGGAGGGCAGAAATATCTACCACCAAGACAGCGCCGAGTAGAGAAGAAAAACCCTGTTGAGCAGCGTACTGTAGCCGGGCAAACAAAGGGTGAAAAGAGCTTCCCCTACTGCCCGGGGCAGGATACGCAGGAAGCTCTAATGCTTCTGGGTCTCCCTCTGATGTACCCGCCCGATGGACTTGGCAAAGGGGAGGCGCTGCGGACGAGTGATTTTGCGTGCTGTCTGGTGTGGCGGGGAGGGGGAAGAAGCAGAAGGCAGAAGGGACAAGAAATGCCTCCGAGATGGAATTCGAATAGTTCCAGCGGGTGCGTGGTGAGAGAAGGAAGTGCGATACGTTTGTGAAGCGAAGGACAGGTGCGCTGCCCACCTGCAGTCCGGCCATCAACCCATCACATCACTCAGCATCAGGACACTAACTTGCACAGCCACACTTGGCCTTTCCTCTTGACTTTCCTGACTCCGCGATCGACCTCTCATCTCAGCCATTCAATCCTTCCAGCAGGGGCCCTAAGCTTTCGGAACAATCCCCATCATCCGTCTTAGAGGCCTTCCGGAAACAGCGACAAAGAACAGCACTCGAGAGTTACAAACGTGTCACAGGGAAGAAAGAAAACAGAGAAAAGATGCGGGGAATGAAAGAGAGAGGGAACAATCATGCAGGGGATATATCCCACAAGACTTTCCTGGCACAAGTCCTCCCTCCCACGACGCGAGACTCGACGTGACCAGCGGCAGGCTAGCCAAAGCCTACCGAACAAGGGCCGCCGCGGCTATAGAAACAACGGGGTTCGACCCTATCACAAGTCGGCGACTTCTACGGTGCCACTCGTTTAGCGAACGTATCTATTTCTCAGATCAGATTACCAGACATACAGTAATATCTCGTACTCCGTTCCCGGCACAAATTCGCTCAAGCTGCCTGGCCATAAGCCCCAGCCTCAAAGAAACCGGTCTGTCCTCGTCGCCGTCGCCATCGCCATGGCCAACTCAGCCGGAACCCATTTCTTTCGCATCACGAGCTACGGGGATCGTCGTCATAGACGTTACTTAGCCTCATCTTGGTCCCCTGGTGCCTGATCAGGCTCTATCGGTCTTTGGAGCTAGAGTCACCCGCTCCACAGGTCAATTCCCATGTAATTCTCCGTTTTGGAATTGTGAGACGTCTTCGACAGGGGCCCTGCATATACCGCATATGGCGTACGGAGTAAATAATATTCTTGGGGGACTTATATTCACAAAGGGGCATACTCCTGATGGCCCCCAGTTACCAAAACAAACTTCCTCATCGTACTATACAGATTCCGTCAACTCGGACCCCGAACTCCAGGTTTCCATCTTCCATATCAGCGACCTTGAAGGGGTCAACTTTGGAGCCCAAGTGATACTGCTGCATGGGCGCTTTTGGTTGAGGAATATAGCCGGGACGAGCCACGATCCTTGCCCTTCTAAGCAAGTCGTCCTTCATTTCATTCCACTGCTCAAGCTCCTCTTTTTGCTGGAGTACTTGGTACAATGTGGTGTCGGTTTGTGCTCGCCAGCAAGACGTCTTTCCCGCCGCATCTTGGCTGATGACAGTTGGACGCTTGAGTTTGACAGGCTTCGCGGTCTTCGCCAGGTCCATCAAACTCGCAAACACGTCTTTCAATCCGGTGCGCAACTGTTCGGTCTTGGCATCCCTGGTCGATGCTTGCTTGAGATGGTTGGGATCAAGCCATTCATGTTCAACAGCTCTTCGTACTGAATCGCCCACGGGTATCATAAGTTGTCGATTCTCGGATTTCAGAAAGCGTACCGCTGACTGTAGACTGATGATCTCCAGCCTGAGCTGATCGACCTCCGCCTTGAGGCGTAGCGACGCTGACTCGTCCGCAGGCCCAAGCGGGAGACCCTGCCCGTCTGCCATTCGCTTATGCTTGATTGCCTCAAGTTCCATCTTTTGACTCTCATGAGACTCGAGGAGCGCCTGATACTCTGTCTGGAGGCGTTGTAGGTTTTCAACGGCCAAAGTATTCTCCGTACGAAGCTTGGTGATTTCTTCTTTCATTTCTTTCACGCCATCATCCTTAGCCTTGGTCTCCTTGGCCCTGGATTCTAGTAATTCGACCTTGACTTGCTGTTCCTCGAGCTCCTTGTCCTTTTCGCTGATCTTGATGATCTGCTCTTGGATTTTCAGCCTCAAACGAGTCATCTCCTCCTGCAAGTCTTGTGACAGAGCCTTTTGTGCCTTGACTTCACGGGCACGAGCCGTCCAGGGTGCCGGGAATTTCTCGAACTCAATGGCGCAAGATATATCTGCTGACTTGGCGTTGAGGTCGTCGATCTTTCCTTGCAGGACTTGCAATTGCTCGAATAAAATCTCGAAGACATCATCTGAAGCAGCTCCTTGTGCCTCATTCTGTTGTTGCTCGACAGATGCCGCCGCAGTCATAAGAGCGATGACCCGCGAATACGAAAGCGCTTCATCCGTCTCCATCTTGTTAAGCTCCTCGAACACCGACTCTCCAACTTTTTGCGTTAGATGAGCCAAAGCTTCAGCGCACAACTCAGCTTCGGTGAATTTACTCCACATGGACTCGCCCAGGCACATTGACCGCGTCCAGAGATCGCTCAACGCATGCATTACCTTGCCAGAAACATATTTGATCGTTCTAGCCTTGATACCGAGCTGGTCCATTTTCTTTTCAAATAGTGCAGAGTCTTCGTCGTCGTCATTTGGCGGCCCTAACTTGGCTTGCACAGCTTTGCTCAAGATCTGAGTTTCACTGGCAATGTTTTCTGTATAATTCTCAACCATCGCGATGGATGAGTTCATCTCCATTGCTTTGGCTTCGTGAGTGTCCGGAAGAAACTTCTCAGACATGTCAACCAGAATGTCGGCCATACGTTGGAGGTATTGGGCACCATCATGACCGAGTTCATCCCGGCGCAAGGCCTCCACCCAGCTCGTCATTGCCTGCTCCACCGGCTCCAGCTCGAACGGAGCGCCAGCGTATCTCATGAAGTCGTCTGTGGAACATGTTGACAGATGTTGCACGAATCTTTCGCAGAGATTGGCAATGAAATTCATCCTTTCCATGACAGCAAATACTGCCATAGGACTTTCATGGAGCTCGGCCCTGTCGCGCATTCGCTCCGCCAGTATGACTTTGCACAGCTGCGCCTTTGACCGGATTCTTTTGAAACATAAAAGAGCCTGGATGGGTTTCTTGTCGACGTCGAACGTGTCTGGAATAAAGTGCTGCACGATTTCCAAATGTAGGCTAGCTTGCTCTGCGCGCATCCTCCCAAGCTCGAGATCAATGGCCTTCAGTTGAGTTTTGGCCGCCGAGTTCTGCAGCTTGAGATTGAGATCCATCATAGCTCTGGACTTGCTACTCATCTCGTTCGCCTCGAGTTCGCTGATCTCGCGTGACCGCCGGAGCTCGTCAATATCACCCTGCAGACCCTGCACAACATCTCGGAATTTGGTTAGTGTATACTCCAGGTCCTCGATTGTCTTTTCCTGCTCGGCAGCTTGTCGATATCTGTCGTGTAGCATGGCTTCGCTTTCGTCCAACTGATAGTGTAGCCGCTTCTCCTCTTCGACATGAAATGCCTCGAGCTCGTCTGCCACTTGGATGTGTTCTTCGAGATCCTGAACCTGCCTCTTCAGCTGCTCGATCACGGTTCGATTCTGGTCACGCTCTTGGCCCAGGGTGTCCAACATCTCGTCATTCGCCTCCGCAGCCTCTAGCTGTTCTCTGAGATGTTGGTTCGTCTCTTCCGCCCTGCTGAGCTTCGCTGCAACTTCTTCATATTTTGAGGATGTCAGCTCAAGCTCGTCAATGGTCTCATGGAGCTCCTTGATCTCGTTCTTCAAGTCACCCTCATTTTGCTGCGTCACGTCTCTTAACATGACTAGTGCCTGACGTAGCCTCTCCGTCTCACGTTCCATCTGAAGCCAGCCTGCGCTGGCCTTCTCCTCAGGACTCATGATTGACGCTAATTCCCGGTTCTCTTCTCTCAGAATTTCAGCCTCGAGCTCCAGCTCTTCGTGCTTGAGCTTCAGGGCCTCCAGTTCACTCTCAAACATGTCAGCACGCTCTTCAGCCATCTCTTTGTCAAGTGTCGCAAGCTCTAGTTCCGAGTCGTGTTCGGCACTACGGTCTGGCACCTGGGCAGCACGAGACTCTGCGTCGTCATACTTGGCTTTGAGTTCTTGAATTTCTTGTTGGTTGTTTTTGAGCTTTTTCTGCAAAGTTTGAATAATTCCTTCGTAGCGTGTCGCTTGGTTTTGAAGTTCCTGCACGCTGTGTATCTGAGCTTGGTCCTCTTGTCTCTGCTTTTGCAGAGTCCGAACTTTCGTTTCCAATGCCTTGATGACCTGTGCCTGTCGTGATCTGTCTTCGGCGGGAGAACTAAACCCGTTCCGTTGACCGGCCAGCGGCTGCGAACGGGAGGTGGCAGCCGATGAAACTCTTGCTTCGATATCTGATGGCTCCTGAGCCCCTGCTTCTTCTGCCACTGGCGAAGCAGTCGGAGTTGGTCGCTCTTCCATGATCGGAGGTGCTTGTTTCGCATCGACGCTATTGGATATAGGCTCGCTCTTCTCGGTTCGAGAGAGCGCTTTGGGTGTCATAGATAACCTGGAAGTGGCCATAGAAGGGCGTGGCTGCATTGAGGAAGGCCTAGGTGCCGGGGGTTTGACCGGACCACCTATGGATTGTCTACTCGTCGAGGCGCTCGGCCTGTGTATTGAAGCCGGGGGGGCCATTGCAGATTTCCCAGCCAAACTGAGCCTTGATTTTGTACTCGAATCAGACGTTCGCGCGGTAGTCGCCGGAGTACCTGTTCGTGGAGTAGAGGTGGATGAACTGACGGAAGACGGGGCAGGCTTCGTAGGAGACTTGATCGGAGACTGGCGACGATAAGTTAGCCAGAAACACGTGCATGCTAGGGGATGTCTTACAGATGCCTTCATGGACCTTGAGCCTGTAGTTGTGCCGGAACCAGCGCTCATCAAACTCTGCCTCTTCCTTGCAACGTCCGGAGCAACTATGCTCGAGGGTCTCGACTTCGCCGTCGATCCATTGGATGTGGATGTTCCATTGGGCTTTACACCGGGAGTGGTTTGACTGAGGATTCTGACAGCCGATTCTTTGCGGACGAAGATGCCATGGCCGGGAGCGCAGTTGAAGTATCGCTCCCCTTTAACGGAACCATCATTCTTGCCTGAGTCATCGGCCAGTTCGAGGCCCAGCCACTCTCCCGAGGCAACGTGAATATGCCCTATGTAGCGGACAGTGCCTTGCTTGCCGTCCTGTGTCTCGATTCGGAGTCCAACCTTGACGCTGAGATCTGCCATTTTTGGCATCTAGTTGCTTGCCCGAGAGTTGCATGACAGGGAGTCGATGTCGACGAGAGACATGGGAAGGATGCTGCCCACCAGGTTGAGCCAGTGTATGGGGTTGCAGGATGTAAGGACAACATCAATGTTTGCCTGCAGTACAGACTGGGAAACGTGAGCAAAAGTGGTTTGACGCGACTTGGAAGCCCACAAGGGTCGCGCCGCACGGAGACAGTTGAGGAGCCGTTGTGACTGCAACCACGTGACCGTCTTCCAGAAATAGTCCCCTGGTCCCCCTTCTTAACAAATCACTACGAGGTACTCGGTACTCGTGCTAATGTCAGGGGTTGGCTCGCCATCCAGTCTTGCTCGTCCACATGGCTACACGTACACGATCCAAGGATCACGGGCGTCGGAATCTTGTGGAAGATGCATTTTACTCTAGATAGCTTTCTGGGGTATATCTCTTTTTTGAACTTCAACAATCCATGCAGCTGCAGCAATTTGACGGTCTGCATGGCTTCAATCGGGACCACTTGCAACCACCACCATGTATGTAAATCGTGTAGGGTATCTTGGAAACACAAGAAACCTAACAAGCATCTGTCAGACACGGAGAAGAAGTACAAGTAAGTCGTCTTTTTGCAAGTCCAGCTTCATGAAAACAACAAAATTGCAACTCGTTGCTTGGGTTCCATAACAAGCGGTAATCCAAAACTGTCAGCGCCCTCCTCCTTCTCTTCTTGACTTTTTCGTTGTAGCATCAAAGGGTATCTCGCTAGACATAATGGCAGATAATCATAACTGCATATCGATGTCGGGGTATCATTGGTCATTCACTTTTTCTGATCAACTCAGACTTCTCCAAAGCCTAGCGTAAAGGAAGATTCAAATTGCTGGAAGGTCCATTCGAACTGCCCAGGATCTGGTTGTGATGATGTGGCCCGATTGGAGCCGGGTATGAAGAAAACGAATGTGATGTTGGTGGCCTGCCCGAGTCGAAGCTTGCACGAGGCTCGTGCTTGGGAGTTCGATCTCCGGAGATGCTGCCACCCGTGCCAAAGGGGAATTTGTCTTCTCGGAAACGTGATGGCCAGCCACCACTTATGGAAGAATTGGAAATTTCTTCTTCGGGGAGGTTGACGCCGCTGTCGTTCCAAAAGTTTCTGTATCCGCTCTCCCGACTCTCCATGGAGATCAAAGATGCCTTGCTCGCGTTAGAAGACGCATGCTTGAAGAATGTCCCCGGAGAATTGTTCTGATTTTTGCGGCTCATAAAAGATGAAAACGACGAGATGCTGCCTGGCTTGCGGAGACGGTCAAACAAAGAGGCCCGCTCAGACACCGATGTATTCTCTCCATCTGCGAAGCTCGATCGGGTCGGAGAATCTGTCGAGTGCAGGGATGGCGCATTTTGTAACAGCTTGGATTCAAAGAAGGGCAGTGAATCCTCGAAGGAGTCGGATTTCGGGCGTGGAATGGCCCCCTTCACCGTGGTGGCGTCCAGCCCATGTGGCACAAGTTGTGATATGAGGTAGTCAATAGCGTCCTTGAGGCCACCCGCATTGTTTCGCGTGTAGGTGAGAACCAGTCGTCCTTCGGAGGGTCCGACAATGCGCTCCACAGACGCAGTCGCTGATTTCGGTAGGGTACTAAACTCCGGGTTCGCGTGCACGTCTACTTCGTACTGGTTCCTGAACTTCTGGCGGAGGTCATTGAAAAATTCCGGACTGCTGAAGAAGGCCTCAAGCTCGTCTGACTTCTGGAACGCAATCTCGTGGCTTTCTGGAACCATTCCCAGGAACGCGTCGACCGCCTGAGGAACTTGATATTCTGGGCCGGAAATGGTGACCACGTCACTGGCTTGTTCGGTGTTTGGGAAGTCAATCTTGCAATTCCATTTCTTCTCCAGCTCCTCAATTTCAGGCAGCCGGGCAATCAGTTCGCGATGGTAGAGTCTATTGATCACCACGGTCTCGGAGACGAACTCGGCGTCCTAAATTCAATCATCTGATAAGGACATGGATGCATCGCTCAGGGGATCATCTTCGCTTACTGCTTTCTCCACCATGTCCATAATCTCCTGCTTCACCAAGTCCAAACTCTGCGCATTGCGTGCTGGTGTGCGGCAGATGACATTGTCAACTTTGATGTCATCATCATCCTTACCCACTCCTCCGCGGTCCATTGCGTTGGAGAATTTCACGAAAACAGAATACTTCTTCATAATGCGTTGGATGTGTTGACCACCAATTCCAATGATGCGCTTGTGGTATTGGTCAGGAACATGGAATGAAATTGATGCCGGCATCTCTTGCTCCACAAGATCCAAACCATTCTTAGTCGCCTCGTACTGACTGCCAACGACGTCAATGTAGAAGTTGTACTCGTTGAAACCATCGAAGATGATTTGGACATTGCCTGCGGTGACGGTTAACTTGCGTCAAGCCTAGTTATGAAGAAGGGTTCGTACTCTGCCCCATGATCTTGTTAATCTTGCCGTTCTTCTTGCCACTCACGAACTCTTTGTGCTCGTTTGCCAACTCGATCTTCACGCGCATTTGATACGGAGTTCGCTTCACGAAAGGAATCTGGTTAATGACCATCATTGCAGCTTTGACCGCGTCGTCAGAGCCGTTGATGGTGAATGTGAATTTCTCGAAACTGATATCTGCGCCAGAATTTGTGCAAATGTCGCTCAGCATGATCCGAATGTCTTCGGGGGACGGGGCACGTAGTGAGGGGCCTTGCGAGGGATCTGGCATCATGATCCACCATGAAGCGCTGAAGAACTGGCCAGCCTGTCCAGCGATCGTCAGTTACTCGTGCCAGACAATTGGGAAGCCGGGTGAAATACAAGTGCCATGATCTCCTTGACCGTTCTCTCGACATGGAGAACTTCGGTCCCTTGCACCCGAACAAGCCCTCGCTGGCTCCCAAGCTGTGGAAAAAGGATGTGAGAACCGTTCGTCTCCATGATTTTCCGCACCTTATCCAGCCGGTCGAGGAGGATGTTGTCGATCTTGCTTGCAGACACCACGGCATCTTTGGAGTAGAGTTTGATTCCCATGACCAGCTCTTTCAGCTTCTGCTTTGCCTGATTGATACGTTCTTGTGTCTCTCCTGTGATGAAGACCTCATCCGCAGCTCGGCGCGTTGCGTGAGGGGGCACGTAACCGAAAACTCCGGGAAACGGTGGAGGGAAGTAGATTGCAGTCTTCGTGGCCGATTCGATCATCTTGATGTTCTTGCCGGTACGGCCTGACACCAGAGTGTGCATCGATACCTCGAGTTTGATCACATCAATTTTGTGCTTGAGCTGTCCATGTGTCAGTCAGAATCCAACGCATGACCCGTATGGGGGATTTACGATCTGGTCAATCATCATCAGTGCCCGGGTCTTCGCATGTTCCACACTTTCCATATCGCCAAAAATGTGGACTCGATATCGCTGATCCAGCCCGCTGTCAACACCGTTGCCGTAAGAGGCGCTGGCCGCAGACGACTCGCCATTACGAGGCTTGAGAAGGAAAATATCGGTTCCGGTATATTTGGCACAAAGGTCAATGTGGCTCAGAACACTGGAGCGAATTCCAGTCTCTGCACCGTCCAAGATCAAGGCCGGGTCGATGTCGACAATTGCAGAGCGCTTGTGCCCGTCAGTGGCCACCCTCTGGAAGGAAGGATGAAAGGGGGGTCGGATGCTTCATACCATCATAATAGGGGTCTCGTTCAGTATTTTCGATCTCATTTTGTAGACCAAGTCCCCGTCGCCTGATATGCAGACGTTTGTTACCAGGCCTTGAGATTTTCGATGTAAGGCAGGACCAGCCTTCGGCTCGGACGACGTGACTGTCGCTTGGATGTGGCCTCCACTCTGATCACTGATGTATGCACACAAAGAGCGTAGCCTCTCCTCATTTTGCACATGCACAGGCAATTTGTGAATAGGCGTGCCTTCGGGAGTACCCGCTGGGAACGTCCATCGTTGGAAAGCACCAGGGCTCGAGTGGAGGATCTCGTCGGGGTTCGGGCCAGCAAGGCTCGAGGAGAAGGGGACGTTGAAAGAAAGGTTGACCGAGGTGGCTTCGGACGCCGGTTGGGACACGATTCCTGGAGAGCCTTGTGGACGTCTCAGTGGTTGCGGCGTCGACATGTCCTGGTGGAATCGGGACATGCCAAACGCTGCAGGAGTCATCCGTTCCCAGCCATGACGGGCCTGGCCAGTGAAGTTGCTGATCTTGTGCATCTTCAGCTCGGGATGACTCCCCAGGTCATCGACGTTCGGAAGGGAGTGGGAAGGGACAGAGGAGCTATGGTTGTTGCATCGAGAAGGATCTGGAGCACAGAGTGAGGTCTGGAGAGGGAGATGTGGAAGTTCGGCGAGATAGGGTCACGAAAGGGAGATGTTTGGTGGTCGACGTTTCACCGGAGTTCGAAGGTGAAGTCGAAATGATGGAGAGTAGTTGCGGTTGAAAGTCGTAACTTGGAGTGGACTGTGCGTGGCAGCCAGGTTTAGTTGGACCACTGGCACACACACTGCCACTGGCGGGAGTCTAGCGGTTCGCCGCACAACTCACGCATCCATGCACACGGAGGGGTCCCCAAGCAGGGCCAGGTGGAACAGTTTACCCCTTCTGAAAGGCCAGGAACTTAGGGCCCGGCCCATGAGATGCCCCCGTAAGCTCACATAACTATGCCACAAGTAACCAGATAGGGTGAGCTTGACCGGCCCAACTGCGGTTGCCAGAGGCCGTAGGTGCCTAGGCTGTGCATAAGGAAGATGACGAATGGGGAGCGAAGGCGCTGCAGAACGCATGGTGCATCGCTCCGCCCCCACGTCCACCCACCCTCGTAAGAAAATCAAGGCCCGATAAACCTTACCCAGGAGAAGCAGCCACGGCATACGAAGTACCCGTTACCGAAGCTCTTTCTTCCACATGACCGATCTCACGATGGACACCGGGCTCCCATAAGAAAATATGTATATATCGCGTGAAATGCCAGTTGTGCTTGTACCTCATACATATATATATCCTGGAAACACTGACCTGGACAAAGCTGCCTTCTCCTCTCTACGAGTACGGCTAGTAAAACAGGGGGGTATCTCCAAATAATGCACGTCCGGTTGTAACGCCCAGAACTCCGTCATTTTTGTTGATAGGCGCCGTCTATCGGGCGCTACTCCTTTTGCCCCGCAGCTGTCCCATCGAATTCCTTGAGCTTGCGTGACAGCAAGCCATGTCCGGCCTCGACTGGAATGGAAGTGAAGCCTTGTGCCACGCAAGAACCATTGGAAGCAGGCCATGGTACTGGCGAACTTCGCGACGATGTTGAAGGCCGAAAGCCGGGAGTGGGAGAAACAGTTCGCTCAAGTCCAGATAACTCGTCCTTCACCGGCGACGCTTGCCCCGCCGCAGTCGAGTCACGATCGAACGTCGAGGTTGCCGCCAGGTTGAATGAAGTAGGGGATGAACTTCCCGGTTGCATGAAAAGGGTGTCCGTGCTGCTTGAACGAACATCATCGTGCAGCTTATCAAAATCAGGGGTCGCAGGTGGCTGCAATTGAGCAGACAGCTTCTCATCTGTCAGGCTCAAGCTTCGCGAATGCGGCCCCACTGCAGGTTTGTAGGCAGTGAATTTCGGCTCCGGCAGTTGCACTTCATTCCGGAGCTTCTCCTTGTCATCTGGGACGCGGTTGGCAAAGACCACGCGAATATTGTCGTAGAGATAGAATCGACCCTTTCCGGTACAGCAGAATTTGAGGTGGATGAGATAGCGAAGGATATCCTTTGTACTCAGAGGATCTCGGGCCGCTAGGGCAGCTTGTTTCTCCAGGATTCCGGCTTCGAGGATCGGACCAGAGGAGTAACTGCGCTGTCGAACAAATGTCTTTGTGCCAGGAAGCATGCCTTCCAGATCATAAGGGACCAAAAATAGTTTAACGGCGGTCTTGTTGGGATTCTTGATAATGAGCTGCAGTTGCCCTTTCTGCGGTACCCGGTATGCTCCACCGGAAGGTACTTTGGAGGGCACTGAAGTATTTTCCTTCCTTTCTCGTGCTTCTTTGGCCAAAGCCCTGCCAATAGCCGTATTCTCGGGCTTTGTGATTTCATCCGCAAATGTATCAGGATCAAGGTTGGCTTGAGACCGTCGTGTGCGGCGGCGTGGGTCTTCTGGCGTTTTCAAATTATGTTCTAGGTCGATGTTGCCAACGTAAGGGCTTGGGTTATCGTCTGAGATTGATCTGGACGTACTTGCCGATGGATAATTATAGAAGACCGCCCCAAACGGTATGGTTACATGTGCCGGGCATTTCAGGCTGGCTGGGCAGTTACCTTTTCCCATGACTCCAATTTGCGCCACAAAGTCGAGAGGCTTCGACGGCGGAGTAGACATTCTGCCTCGAAGAATCGACTCCTCGAAAGAGCCGACCATCGATGCCCGATGCCGTGGAGAGCCGTCAGCTGCCAACGAAGGTCGACGTTGTCTCAGCCAAGGAGGGACCTGAGGGACTATAGCTGCTTGATACGTGAAAGAGCTCAACGAACGACGTGGCCGGTGTCCGAGGGGGAAGCCTGAGCCATCGCGATACGGCGATTGCACGTATGGTAACGGGCGGCTGAAGTTCGGCGTAGAAGCATCTGGAGGCGAGATGTGTAGAGATTCAAAGGCGTTGGGAGGCATTGTTCTCCTCCTTGCTGATTTTCCTATTTCGGCTTTCTGGGGATCTTTCGGCGAGAAATCCAGTGTAGGGTTGTTTGTCGAGTGAACGAGGGGACTCGTGGGGATTCTCATGACGAAACTTGATGACAAGCTGCTTCCCATCGAAGGGGCACGCGACCTTCTGAGTATATCCGAGGGAGAACTCTGCTGCGACTTGAGACTCAGAATCGGAGAGGTTCCTCCCTGCCAGAATGGAGTGGACTCATCATACTCGGGTCGAAAATCCGGCCTCCGTGGCGTGGAAAGAGGTGTATGCTCCTGTGGAGTTCGCATTGCTCTCTCCCAAAAGTCCGCAAGATATTCGCCCGTATGTAAGGGGGACATGGAGCGGCGTAAAGCATCCGCTGCAGATAGTGGAAAGGGTCTTGTTTCCCCCTCCTCCGTGCCCACTCGAGCCCTTGTGCTCTGCTCCGGTGGCACATCAAACCTTGGTGAGACTACGGGAGACTGTGAAGGGACGTTCTGATCAGCAGTAACTTCGGCACATATAGCCTCCAACCCAGGTTTAGGAACCCATGTTGTCCGCTGTCCCCGTTTGATGCACTGAATCAGCTCCTCTCTGTCACTTGTCCGGATAGGTATCTCATTCTTTCCCCCGTGCTCCTCTCGTTTGAAGGCACCATATTCCTCCGAGCTCGGGGCCTGCTCGAACGGAAACTGTTCCTCATCGTTATCCTCGTACCGTGGTGTGCTGTACCGAGCCATATTTGTATCTGTACACACTTTTCTTTTTTTGGCAGGCGGTTCTGGAAATGCCTCACGCTCCCAAACAAAGGGCATGCTCCCCTCCCGCAGAGCACAAACGCTTGACGACACAGACTCGAAGTGATAGGCCGCCAAGAAGAGCCTCAACTGGAAAGAATGGAGAGGTGGAGAACATCACGACCGGACCGTAGAGGCCAGGGGAAACAACGATACTTGAGGTTATTGTTGCATGGCCGATCGGTTGAGGAGATTGTTGGCGGTGGACGTGGCGACGTAGACGCAGGACTGGAGACTCCTGGGATGCAGTCTTGATACAGGCGGGTGACAGGGATTGAAACGCTACAACTCAAGGTCAACTCGTGAACAGAAACAGCAACAGAGTAGAGCTAGGAACAAGTACGAGGGTCGGGAAAGAGTGGTTTGAAGTGCCTTTGCCTGGTGCCAGGTTGGGAGGTACAAGACTCGACCGCAGGCCGGAGATGGTGGAGTGATTGAGTCATCCGGGCACACCCACGACATGATCACGTTGGGCGCCAAGGGAGGAGAGGCCCGCCTTTGTGCCAGCGGCTGCAGTATTAGTTGATCGTCCACCCCACCCTGGTGACCCCGTTGTTATCATTGTCCACTGACTCGGAGTTACTCTCTGTGCCTCAGGCGCCAACTCCGTGTTCGAAGTGCACAATTGAATGCTACATTTACGAAGGACACGTTTACGGTACCATATTTTGCTGCGTGGCACAACACAGACAGTGTGATCCTTAAAGGGGTGCGTGCCCAACCCATGTGTCATGTGCCATTGGCACTGATGGATCCGAAAGGACGTGGTGGGTACCTCGTGTATTGTAGCTATTGTAGCTACCTCTGAGCACGCTGCATCCTAGCCGTAGGAGGGGTATCAATGGTGCGCCAGTCTCACTTGCCGACGGAACATCGCACGTCGGAATGTTAGCCAAAGCTACGATGTATGGCCTGGGGTGCTTCGGTGAATTGTATCGATCGAGGCTCAGAGGACCAGCAAAGCCACCCACCCACCGCCCCCCCAAAATGATTTGCGGCAGCCTTTCCACAGTCTGAAGGTGGCAGACCATGATTCTTCGTTCCGCTTCGAAAATTCAGAATTTTGGCGCACCTGAGGCAATACTACCTCTAAAAGATAATTTGATCCAGCTCAGAAGAGGTAGAGAGCATATGTTGGATGAGGAAAGGGCGTGTGATGTCCGTAAGAGTCGCCAATTCTCCAAAGGTGAATAGAGATAAGGGGATATCGTAAAGAGGCATATCCTGATTCTCTTTGCTGTAGTGGATGTTGGTGTATGGGGATAGAAGCTGCATAGGCCTACTAATAAGGAGCGGAATTTGATGTGAAGTTCGCCGACCCCACAATTTGTTCCAGTTTATTTTCCAGCAGCCTCCAACCCCAAGGCAAAACACCCTCTACCACTTTTTGCTACGCCTGTATTTCTTTGCTCTTTTAGTACTCAAAGACAGAGAATCGATTGATGGTTATGGGTGTCAAGCGAGCCAACGAGGACTCATTTGCCGGCGCAAAGGAGCCAGACAAGAAGAAACGCAAAGGATTCTCTGTTGGACCAGCCAATCTTCCTGATGGCACCTACAGGCGCAAAGGTATTTCTCACCCGATATTGTGTAGTCTTCTGTTCACACTTGCTAGCACAAAAAATCAAAAACGACCTTATCCAAAAAGCGAAGGTGAAGAAGGCTTACGCAAAAGTCAAGGCCCAAGAGGAGGCTGCACGAATTGCACAAATCGCGACGCAGTCTCATGCCGAAACCGACCTGACCGATGTCGCTCCCGAAGGTGCTGCCGCAAGCCTTGAGTTACATCCGGACCGACAGGCAATGCTCGAGAGACCAGAGGCGGGCGACAGACAGATGCAGGTGCACGGGGATAATGCTCAAAAGCAGGGTGCAAACTTCTACAACCAGTCGAGGAAGCGCCCTGCGAAGCAGTCACGGTACAAGAAAGAAATTGAGCTTGGAGCTCAACACAAAGCAAAATTTGCAGCAAAGAGGAAAGCGAAAGAGGCTCGTGAAAAGGAGCACAAAGCCATGGCAAAGGCTAAAAGACCTGGTAAAGATGGAAAAATGAAGCTCGGGCGCCAGGGCACCGTGTTGCTGAATCGAGTTCGGAGAATGACTGAGGAGGGCAAGATATGAAGCGAGTTTTCAGCTACCGCCTCCAGAAAAAAAGACTTGCGATGTTCTTTAAAAAGACCGACTACTCACATGAGGCTAAACTGCTAAAGACTGGTCCAGTCCGTGAATTCTTAACCGTCACAAAGACTGCTGTGGATAATGGATACCCTCAGAACAGGTTTCAATGGAATACTCTGCAAAGACTAACTTATAATGCACGCATTGTGACAGGGCGGGCTAACAGGACAAAGGCCATTCCACGACGATCAAAGGTCAATACTTCAAAGAACGGTTTCTATGTTATTACGTCTTCGACCTTCGACGGTCCCTCAATTTCTCGATTTGCACTTCTCTCATCAATCTATCAACAGCACACTCGACACATTCGCAAAAAGTACTCACTTACTGGTCTCTTCCGGCCCCCATTCCTTACAAAGTGTTCAGGTATGCCCCCAGTCAGGAACACAACGCCCAAATCGGCATCTGAATGCCATGACTGCGGTTATGACTGTGGTGATTTCTGCAGAAAGACGGGCATTGCCGCAACTGACCAAGACCAGGCAACCGTCCAATTTACTATGCTGGAAAAGACTCGTGCATACGACCATTTCTCTCAAATATGCGCGCACAACGGAAAGATGCCGAACCCGCTAGGCGAGCAGGCCCGTCCTGGCCACATGAGGCATTGGGAAGAATTGGTCGATTTCTGCGCTCCCGAAAAGGCAGCTCGCGTTCGGTTTGCTATGCTTATAGGTTGTCTTCACGCTCACTGTGATTCCGCAAAACGTGGCAGTGCACTCTTGGAATCACATCTCGTCCGTTGGGCTTTGCATCACATGGGGAGTCCGATGTCTGGCTTCCTTCAGTGGTCACTTGCTCGAGAAGAAGGCCCACCAGAATGCTGGACGATCGATATCCTTGAGGAGCATCTGGTCCTCTGGAGCAATATATTCGAAAGCGGGCCAGCAAAACGCTACGAGGAACATGTCATACGCTTGAAGGCATCGCTGCATCCGAATCAAAACCCCATGAATGGGCCTAGTATTGCACATGCCTTTTTCTCCGATTCCAAACACAGGCGACGGGCATATCTGCTATGGAAAGTGTTTTCACACAAACATTTTGAATATCTGGCCGAATCATATCAGCCCAATGATGTGGAAATGACAGACGCGGCGTACCAACCGCAAATGGATCCACGCGGAGACGTAACGATGTATGCAGCTTGATGGTCTCCAAATTGGACTTTGGCTCAATCGAGCAGGTTTTTCCATTGTCTAAAAAAGGATAGTCTGGGTTGGATTGTCCAGGTAAGTCATTGATAATTGCTTTTTGGACAAGTGTAAGTATAGTCCCTTTTTACATCATTTCTCATTCTCCACTCGATTAGTCGTTGTTTGGCTATCTGTTTGTTTTGATACGCCTATGGAGCTCACCATCTGGGATTCTTTCTCGCCAGCTGAGATCCGGGATTGTGCAGTCCTGTCGCAAAATTGCTGATAAGATTTCCTTCAATGGTCGTTAGGCGGCATAAGAGAAGAGAAACACCTGATGTGACCAAGGCCAAGGTAAGGATTCATCTCTCATTAAATGAATACATCGAATTCTGGTCTGTTTTCTGCACTCTGACTTCGTCGCCACCCTTTCTGCCGCAAGGTGTAACGCATAGTGTACGTGAGTAGTATGGAGCAAGACGGTGACTTCTACTTTATATCATTAAACGACATTCTATGTTCTACCCTAACTCAAAGAGTCCCCCATCTGCTCTTACAAAGGACCACGGGATTACGCATTCACATGGTATCGAGACGCTCGAACCTTCGGCGCGGACATGTACACATGTAGACAAGCCTAACGTGAGGCTGCTGGAGAAGGGGGACGGCGTCATGTTTTTCCGCTTCCGCAATACATCCTTGGCGTTCTTCGCGGCGCGTCCACTCGAAGGGGCTTCCCAATTTGCGACGGCACCTTCATGAAAACAAGCTAAAGCTATTCCGTCTGAGGGGCAGAGCAGACACATGTTTCGCGACTCAATGACAGACATCTGAGCTCACTCGTCTCGTGCACCAAGCCCCGACCGCAATGGCAACTACGTTGACGTCGAGAGACGAGCCCAAAGCGGCAGAATACGCTGGAGGTATGAATCGGCATTCCCATTCGGTAGCTGACCTGTCTTTGGTCACATCATTCTTGCTGCCTGCTAACATTGAGAGAATGAACAGATGAGGTCTCCGCCTTGGTGCTCGACCCAGGCTACTCCAGCGTGCGCGCCGGCTTTGCAGGCGAAGATACTCCCAAGTCGATTGTTCCTACGTTCTATGCCGCGACCGGTTCAGATCGATTTTTCGGGGATCATGTGATTGACGTGCCTCGCGAAGATGTCGAGATCAAGAATCCCATGGGAAGAGACGGCATCGTGGAAGACTGGGATGCGGCCGAAGCGCTATGGAAGTTTTCTTTCGCGCACAAACTGACAGGAGTGCGCCCGAATCGTGCGCTTCAAGAGTGGCTCAACGACCCCAAGTCAGTGCCAGATCTCCAAAAGGCATTGGCAGATGCGGTAGACACGGAGCGGTGCCTAGAAGATCACCCCCTCTTCATGACTGAGCCTTCATGGAATCCTACAAAAGCCCGAGAAAAGTGCGTGGAGATTGCGCTGGAGTCCTGGGCCGCGCCAGCATTCTACCTTGGTCGGGCCGGCGTGATGGGTGCTTTTGCCGCAGGTAGACCTACCGCGCTGGTGCTCGATTTCGGCGCGTCTCAGTTTTCAGTCACACCGGTGCATGATGGCATGATTTTGAAGAAGGGTATTATGCGATCGAACATCGGAGGCAACTTCCTATCGTCGCAGGTGCGCAACATGCTCGAAGCCAACGAACCAGATCCGATTACCATCACACCACATTATCTTGTCCAATCGAAACAGCCCGTGGATGCTGGACAGCCTGCCAATGCGGTTTTGAAACAATTTCCAGAGGGGTTCCAACCGCCGAGACCCTCGTTTCGACGCTACCAGGAGGAGAAAGTGATTCTGGAATTCAAGGAGATTGCACTACAGGCATGGACAAATCCCAACACGCCGTTCCGAGGACAAGGCGAAATAATCGCCCGGGAGCAACAATACGCCCATCCCTTTGAATTCCCGGACGGGTACAACCAGACGTTTTCGTCTGAACGATTCAGATTGGTGGAGTCAATATTCGACCCGCAGTGCTACTATGGACCCCCGTCCGACTCCGAAGAAGCTCAACTGTATCCGGCGCCCGATGCTCAGGGCACAGTGACAGGGTTAGTCAAGGCCAGCCTTAACCAAGTGGACGTGGACATTCGACCGTTTTTGCTTGGCAATGTGGTCCTGACGGGAGCAGGATCACTCATCCGAGGGTTACCAGACCGGATCCAGCAGGAGCTGAGCAAGCTATATCCCAGCACACGGGTGCGTATCCAAGCATCAGGAATGCCCGTGGAACGTAAATTCGGAAGCTGGATCGGAGGCAGCATCGTGGCCAGTCTGGGCACCTTCCATCAAATGTGGATATCCAAAAAGGAGTATGAAGAGCATGGGGCCAGCATTGTGGAAAAGCGCTGCAAGTGAGAAGGGGGTAACAGGACATGCAGAAGGACAGGTCTACGATGCTGATCCGGGTTGGGCCCACCCAACGAAAGCGTCCAGGTGCATGAATCTACTGATTCAGGCTCGGAGAATTAGATTTTGCAACGTGCTGAGCAAATGACTCGGGAAGTTCACAGCGCAAGATGGGATCACGCGGGATGTAACGATTGCGGAAATGCCGTGGAAGCGAGGTCAGGGGATCACACCAGTCGGCAAGCGTGGGGGGGATGTGCAAAGCTTGCTTTAGTGAGCGGCTCCGATAGCTGAGAGCATGCCAGCGTTCTGGGAGAGCGGGTGAACGGCACATGATAGACGAGAACGAGGGCAGGCACAATGGTTCAGGCACCAAACGGGGGGGTTCGGCGATGTGTCCAGGGCGAGGGAATTGGGAACCAAACTGGGTTGAGCCAACCGGATGATGAAGCGAGGGCGGTGAAGGGGGGAAACAATGTCGGCACTGCTGTCGAGAACGCAGATGGATAGGCACTCAAGAAGCGAACCGAACAAAGCAACTGGGCCAGAGAGGGCGTGGAGGGGCGATTGTGTAACCTGTCAGCATGTGAGGCACATGCACTACCTGCAGGCCTGTCTGCACCTGAACCAGAAACTCGGGTCGCCGATGGAAACAAAAATGTAGCTAATTCAGATGATCCGGAGATGGTCCGCACCATGAAGCAACGGCAGTGCCAGGTGGGCGAGGGAGAGGGGCATGAGTCCGGGTCTGTTGACACCTACAACTACCAGGCCGGTACCTAGGGGAGCTACCTACATAGGCATGGGTCATAGTAGCCTATTGCTGGGCACTTTGTAGCAAGAAAGTAGTTAACATACACACAAGTAGGTGAGTTGTTAGGTGGAAAGCGGGGGGAAGGAGCCAGCAGGGCAAGTGTGACTTCATTAGCACTACCACCAGGTTTGTCATTAGTTGACTCCCTAATGCCGTAGGGAACCAGTGGTCCACTACCCAGTGTCGATGCGGTATCACCTCGTACGGAGTGCCTGTCCCTGGGTCCCGGGGCATGGAGCAAGGGGCCAGGGTGATTACTAGGGAGCTACCTGTATGGTTACCGGTCCTGATACTGGGCTAGGCGGTGCCAATTGCGCAACTGATAACCACTTTTTCCAGTCAAGTCTCATGTGATGTCTCCCCATCCCTCCTACAGACCTACCTAATATGGACGCTCGGGGTACCTGTACGAGGTACTGCGCCCGCAGCTTTAACTAATTAGCTAGCCGTTTGGTTGGCCCAACGGCTTCTCGGTGTGCATGGCTGCAAATCATCCTTTGCCGGGTTTCTCATCTTCGACCTGTATGGCCTTGTTCCCTGCCACTTGTCACTGTCATACTCTCTCGTCCCATCTCCACACTTTTTTTCTTCCTCACTTTGTGGATACTTCAGCACATTCCCTTGGTGCCGGGCTCGCGGGCTCAACAGGCTCACGGCCTCACGGCACCCTCAGACAATTGGCCAGGCCTCGACTCTGGAAGTTGTGGAACTCGACTCCTGCATGGTCTGGTCTGGGTCGGTTTTACCTGTTCATCCGCCTCCAACTCCAAGTTGGTATACTTGCTGGCTCTGTTGCTGCCAACCGGTATTAAACCAATGCGTTCTTAACCACCGACACCCCGCCGTCCTCTACTTCTCACTTTCATTCTTCGTCTGCTCTCTATCCCTCCTTTTGACAGCCTTTGCTTTCAGGTTAGCCTATATGTCCAGACTCGTCCAGTCACTCGCCAGATAATACCTCCCCAACCGGGAGCGCCCAGGCCGTCTTCTCCCCGGCTTCCACCACTTCCATGCCGTCAAAAAGTTTCCTCTAGAGCTTGTTACCGCCCAGCCTACTGCACGGTATCCCTAAACTAAGTTGCCACTTGGGCCGTCGGGTTCCATCATCTGCTCTTGGGTCCATCTGCAGCCACTTCGAACACCCCCCGTGGATACGAGGTCCTTCTCACCATCCCCCTCCCCCCCCTCCATCGCTCTCACGTTTTCTGACCAACCTTATTCGAAACGACAAAGTTTGGAATCATCATTGCCAGCTTCTGACGACACCTAGTCAGGTGTATTAAGGTTCTCCTCTTTTGGGCCTATGGCTGGTTGGCAGGGTCATTTCAACTCGTACCTCGCACCATCATGTCGTCTTCGGCCACCCCAGTACCGTCGACTACCCCCATTCAAACCATGGATTCACCTTTAGTACCAGACTCCGAGTCGACTCATTCCTCGGACGAGGGTGCTCACTACGATACCCGTTCCTTGACTGCCAGTATCACCGATTATCCGATTCATTGGGGTCGAAGATACCATCGATATAAGGAAGGCGCATATCTATTCCCCAACGACGAGAACGAACAAGTGCGCCTCGATGAGCAGAACGAAATCCTCAACCGACTCCATGGCCGCTTGTTCTTCGCTCCTCTGGACCCAGATATTGTTCAAACGGTCCTCGACATAGGCACGGGCACGTAAGTTCTTCGCGAATTTTCCCTGGTTGAATGCCGCAAGCAATTCATGCTCCACTCATCTTCTGCACGCTGCTAATGATCTGCCAGCGGGATTTGGCCGATTCAACTTGCCGATTCCAACGCGCTACCCAATGCCACCATCACAGGCGTGGACCTTTCAGCGGTCCAACCTGACGATGTGCCCTCCAACGTCTACTTTGAGATCCAAGACTGTGCCGAGAAGGACTGGGTACGGCCACCTGGAAGTGTCGACTATTGCCACGTTCGCTTCATGGCTGGATCGCTCACCTCGTACGAAGATTTGATCCAGACGACGAGGAAATATCTTCGTCCCGGTACCGGATGGTTGGAATGTCACGAAATTCATCCCCAGCCTGTATCAGACGACAACACTATTCCTGAAGGTTGGGCCATGAAGGCCTGGGAAGAGCACCTTGACTATGCGGCCACCAAAGCTCTCAAACCACCCCGACCGGTTCGAGTTGCCCCAGACATCAAGACCTGGATGGAAGAACAAGGCTACGTGGATATTCACGAGCACATCTCCAAGATTCCTCTGGGTCCCTGGCCGAGAGATCCGCGCCTCAAGAATATTGGTGGGTGGTGGCTTGCTAATTGGCTCGCTGGATTACAAGGCTTTACGTATAAACTGTTCAGCGCCGACGGGCTAAGGTGGTCCCGGGATGAGATCGAGGTGCATCTGGCCGATGTCCGTAAAGCAGCCCTCATGAAGTCAGTTCATTCCTATCAACGGCATTATGTGGTATATGGACGAAGGCCGTCTAAGGAAGAGGAGCAAGTTTTGAACCTGTACGGTCATGGGTGACTAGAAACGAGAGACCTGGTTACTCTGATTGCTTCAGCAGCTGGAAAACAAATTCTCTCCGAGCGGTGTGGCACACCAGTCCTGTCAAACACCATGAGGGTGAGTGCATCTCGGGAACACGACGGTCAATCAGCACCAGAGAACTGTCCGTGCGTCAAACTTGCACGGTACACGAGTCGTACTGCCTGAACATCACGGATGCCGTCAAGAATTTCGGCACTGTTGTGCTATCGTGGGCTGCTGTCACAAAGCTTTAGCTGCTATTTGGCCCAATCCTACTCCGGATCTCGTGGCTACGTCCATTGGGGGACAAGGTTACGACGTGGTTGCCTGCTCAGGATGACGGATTGGAGGATCCAGGTTCCGTTTGAACATCCATCCGTCTCCTTCCAGAGGCTGTGTTTGCACACCGAACATCAACGGTCTATGTACAGGGAAAGGTTGATTTGGGATCAATACCGAAGACTTGTATCGGGAGAAGAGAAAAATCCCGGGGATCGTGACATACAAAGAACATTGTCCCTTTCATCGCGAATCGTGCTCGATGCTGTGTCTTGCTCTCGAGTACTCATCAAAGTCTCGTTGCTTTCTGGTCGGCCGCAATCTGGTTCATGGAACACTGGCCACAGTCATGGCACAGGAAGGCCCCATCCAAGGCTCCACCAACTGGAGAGCAGCCGCTCTTTTCACTACTGACTGTTTCTTCGGGGCTTGGGAGGTTGTTCCATCCCTTTAGCGGTCAACAAGAATCCACGTTTCCCTTGGGCAGCGGTGCATGCATGCTACGAGGTGGCTGGGTGGGTACCGATCGACCTCAGTCGGACACCCGCACGAGGATGGTGATTGATCCCTGTCGGCGGTGGTGCCTGCCCGTCGGCTTCCGCGTCGCATCCACGCGAGCCGGCATGTTTGTTGGGAAACATTGTACGGTCACCAGGAGGGGGCCAACAAGGACGGTGTAGGGGAGACTTCTATGGGGTTGGGGGGGGATCAACCCTAGTTACTGCGCAGGAAGGTACTCGTTGCTCGTAGTTTGTACGTGCATCGCCAAGCACCCACCCGTGTCTTTGGGCTGTCCACACCATGACCAAATTCAGCAGGGATTGCAGATCTCGGAGGCAGTCAACACTACTACCAACATCCACCACCACACTGACTTGAGAGTGTCCTTTGTTCTCCTCCTATTTCCGCTTCCATCCAACCCCTTTTGGTTGCCCACCGTTTTGCTTTGATGTCTGTGCGTCTGGTGCTGCTCCTTACGTACAGACCCTATCGGCCCAGCCAGCACATACATCTTTCCTTGGTCCAGCCTGCACACTCTACTCGTCCTGGTTCTCTGCCCTGCCTGCCTGCCTTCCTGCCTCGGGATAAATCTGGCTATACGTCTCCACTACTTGTGTATGCTACGAATTCGATCCCTGAGAGCCTTCGATACTCCATGCAAGAGTATATACATTCTCGGGTAAGACAGCCCCCTACGGTGGAGACATACATATCTGCAGGCAAGACTGGGATGGGCAAGAGCCAGGAAGTGAGGGGACAAGAGAGGATTTCAGTGAGTGAGTGAGTGGGTGGGTGGGTGCGAGAATCTAGTCCAGTACTCTGACCCTTTCTTCCCTCCCTATCTTATCCCCGCCTCCTCCAGGACGCGGAGATCCCTTTTCCTCCCTCCATTGTCTACATATGTCGTCGGTGGCTCCTCAACCGACTCTCCTCTCCTCATTCACCTGGGCTCTTTCGCTAACTAGCCAAACTTACACGGCTATTCCCCGGGGGGCCTCTTTCTGGGTGAGGGATTATGGGCTCACTCACACACGCAGTGCACATGTGTTATGCTCGACATGGCTACAGACGAGGAGGAGGGCGATGGTGGGGGAGCTAGTCGAGGCGAAGCGAGCCCGGAGCGGAGGCCCGGGCGCAGCTCCCAACCGTTCCAAGTTCCAACGTCGACTATGTTTGAGGGACCAGGATAAGAACAAGTTCTGGCGAAGAAGAAGAGGAGGAGGAGACGCGGGGAAGGTAAGTAGAAGAAGAAGAAGAGGAAGGGGAAGAGGAAGAAGTCAATTTGGGGTTTATTGATTACATATCCTACGATCTTCCTCTTGTTCGTGGCACGTACGTATGTGGTGTCCTATTCCATGCTATCCCTCTCTGCTTGGAACTGTTAACGGTTGCTGCTACTCCACTATTTCTCTGATACCCATACTCCAAGAGAGTGGAAGAGGGAGGGAGAGAGATTACGTGTGTTTGTGTGTGTGTGGAAGGAAGATCCGGTTTGAACAAGGAGGGGAGGAAGTGCCAGGAAGACGAAGAGAATGAAAAGATATCAATACGCCTGCTTCCGTCCTCTCTCGTCTCCTTGGGACGGCGTTCTCTTCCGCAACCCTTCTCTTTTCCTTTCCTATGCTTCGGTCTTCGGTCTTCCATTTCTCAATCCTGCCTTACAGGCCTCTCTCTTCCTTCCCCCCCCCCCCCTGGCTCGTTGTATGTGTGTGTGCTCAGGCTCAAAAGCTCCGAAAGGATTCTCCCTGCATATGTCTGTCGATGTCGGGGGGCGTGTTTGTACACACCGAGTACGAGGTACTCCGTACATATACTCAGTTTCAAATAGTCCCTTTCCCCAGTACGTTATATTACGTCCTACGCCAATCGAACCAACCCTGCCTGCCACCCACCCCCTGCCTTCAAAGCATCGGATGAGCTATCCGTCGTTCCTCGGCCAAAATCCGACAATAGCTGCGTACTGTAGTGGTAGCGTGGGTGGTGGTGTTGTGCAGCATGGTGGCGGATAGGCTGGGCTGGAGCTGGGATGGGCTGGGATGGGAGTGTTTGAAGTGTTAACCCTAGTGAACCTAGTGAACCTTGAGTAGTGTAGTAGTGTCCCGCATAGCGTCCCGCCGTATACTAGGTGTATACACACAGTATCCTCGTTCCTTCTCGTAACGTGTCTGATAGAGAGAGAGGGGGGGTGGGGAGTGAACGGGTTGCAAGGCATACATACAGTATTATATGCCTGAATAACAAAAGGGGGATCCAGGCATCTTTGAAAAACTTGAAACAGCCTTCTTCTCCTTCCTCGTATGCGGGACCCAGGGCAGGCCACTAGGCAGGCAAGCAAGCAAGCTATTTAGCGACTCGGCCGGAAGAAGTATGTACATAAGCAGTCACCCTCGAGCAAGGACCTATCGTCGAACGGTATTATGAGTAATAAAGGGATATCTATCCTCCTCTCTTTCTTCGCTTTTACGAGGACCGAGTGTCTTAGTACGTACGACGAGGTACTACGGAGTACATCCCTCCCTCGCTCCCTCCCTCGCTCCCTCCATCCTCACTCTATCATCTATCCTCTATCCCCCACAAGACCTTGACCGTCCCTCCCTTTCATCCCGTCCGTATCCGCTTTCTAGGATAAAGAGGGTAGTCCTCCGTCTTCCGAGGCAATCTCACACACACACACACACAAGTCCTCGCATGTACAGCGACATGTCCAGGGTTTCGGGCCTCCGAGATCCCCAGATCCGCGAATCCTTCGACGACGCCACGCTGCGAGGCCAGAGACTCCAGATAGCCTCGTCGGCCAATGGGAAACCACATGGCGGCGCCGTCGCTGAGCCGGGCCGTTGAGCTAGACTTGTTACATGGAAAACTGGAATAACGGAAGTACCTCGTACTCGGGAGCATCTCACCTGTGATGAGACTGCATACCTGGACTCGTAAGACACAGGAAAGACCACCGACAGCGACATGAGACAATAGCTTTGGGGTTGGTCGCCCTATTACATTACGGCATCGCCTGGAGACAATAGCTCCAAGGGTCTTGCTCTGGCTTCTCACTATCTGCTTCTCCCCGTCTCTGCCTCTCTGCCTCTTTCAGCACCCCACAACCTGCCTTCATCCAGCTCTTGGCTGGGTGGACAAACAAGCATTGGATATCAAGTCATGTCCCCGTCCTTCAAACATACGCCAAAAGCGCCATGCACTATGTGTCCCCATATCCGCCCCGAAAATGACACGAAAGAAACTCTCAATCGCCTACAAGGCGAAATTAGTAAGGAATGCTCCTTGCCCGCCCGTTCTATGAACAAAAATAGCGTGCTTTTTGGGAGACTGAGCAGAGTCAATCCACTCAGACCTCCATCCCACTTCAAATGGAAGAGATAACGCCGGCTCGAGTCAGCAGTCGTCAACTAAGAAAATCATGGGTATCATGGCATCGTCATCATCTCTTTTTGTGGGGGGATCGTGCCCTCCGTTGTGTTCTGTGCCCATTGTTCATACCGCCGGGACTCCAGGTTTCGATGCGAGATTGCCCAAGAGAGCTTCTGGAGGCACCCGATGGATGTTCGAATGTTTGTCCGTGTAAGGCACACTGGGAACGCTCTTGTACCCAGCGCGCTTTCTTTGGATGTAGTTCAGGATGATGCCGATTAATATTATCAGGAAGATGGTGCCTAATGCGGCACAGAGCGCGACAAGAATGACTATCCCTAGGGAATGGCCACCTCCTGTTCAAGAGTCAGTCATGATCGTTTCGGATAGAGCCAGAGTTACTCACCACTTGATCTGAGGACGTTAGTATGAGAGGAGAACACCTGGCTTATGCTGCCAGGGCTTCCGTCCGCGGTCGAAGCTAATATGAACGGTTCCACGTGAGTGCCATTGAACAATGCTGCGGCTGCGTTTCCGAAACCAGTGATCTCCAATTGACCCGTCACGAGTAAAGCATAGTCGTTGTCGAGGTACTGGGTCGACCCATGGTCCTTAGTCAAAGGCATGATCTGTAGACCTCGAATGGTGGTGCCACGGCCAAAGGCATTTACGACCGGTCTCACATCGTTCCCGTCGATCTCGACCAAGAATGTCGAGCCGTTATTGGCCGTACCTGCTAGCCACATGTTATTCGCGTCGGTGGTGGCAGGGCAGAATGCCGTGACTGGTCCAGGAATGCCGGTGATATCATAAACAGACCATGTTTGACTGTGAGTGTTGTAGTTCGCCAGGGAGGTCTGATTGCCTTGGACCAGGAGATCGCCAGCAGCCAGAAGATCTGAACCGCTCCTCCAGAACAGAGACGACACCGTGCCTTGCAATCCACTCCCGACGGTATTCCACTGACTCGTGGAGGTGTCATACATGCAAACGACGGGGCAGGAGAGATCTTGGGATGTCCGGTCAAACGCCCCGCCCACATACACCGCTGTTGTACCTGACTGTGGAGCTATGGCATTGACTACCACGTTGTTGTCCCCCTGCAAGGATGCTGGCTGGATTCCTCGATACGCCGCGGCGCTCATGTCGTACAGAACCAGACCGTTGATGGCAGTATTCTCGACCCGTCCAGAAATGGTGCCACCAGCGAAGAGAATGTTGTCTGACAGGGCGAGGGCAAGGACGGTTGAACTGGCATCCAGACCTGCGGGGGGTCCCGTCACTTGGTTGTTATTGGAACCATTCAAGAACATGAGATTTTGGATGGCCGATCCACTGGTCGCAGTAGCAGTAAAGTGTCCTCCCATAACGGTCACATTTTGTCCATTGCCGGTATAATAGAGCCCTGTGATGACGCCCGTGACATTCTGCATAGCTTGGACAGCACGTTTCTTTGTGTTAGACTGAGCATCACTCGGCGTAATATCGATGGGCAACCGTGAAAGTGCGACCTGACCACCGGATTGAGACTGAAGGCCGGCAGCGCCACTAATGGCCAGTCCGAGGGAGTTGATGGTTCCAGCCCCGAGCCATGTCTGGTTCGGCAGAAATGTCGCAGCATACAGCCGACCTACTAAAGCCTCCTTGGGAACGTCGAGATTCGCCAGCCAGCCACGCTTGGATGGAACCCAGATGGCCAAGCCGTCCACCCGAGACACCGGCGTAGAATCAGACGCGAGAATCCGTGTGAAAGAGCCGCTGAAGGCGATCACAGTCTCTGGACCATCACTTTGGGAGATGTTAAGTTGCATGGGTTCAACAGCTTCCACTGGCCCATCGAGCCCAGCACCCAGCGGAACCCATACATTCTTTGAGTATTGATACGCAGCCACGTTGCTCAGCCCATCGACGTTGCTCTGAGCAGTGTTGGTGAAATTACCTCCCACATACAAGAAGTCATCCAAGCTGTGCATGTCAGTCACAGCCGCGTTCAGACCACCGTCGGGCAAAGAAGTAGCATTGTTGTTGTGGAAAGCCATGATATTCTCAAAAACATCGTCCGAGAACCGGCCCGCTGCGTACAAAGTGTCATCGCGGGTTGCCAGTGCCAAAATATTCGCATTTGGTTTAAGTGTGGTGCCGGCGTTGTTGATGGCAGATTTGGAGAAGTCAGCGGTGGCATAGTCGATGGTGTGGTTGTTGGGATCATAGTCGAACAGGCCATTTAAACCTCCTGTTGTCGAGGTGAAGCCGAACTTGATGCGTGATGCGACAACCAATTGTGCAGCCTGTTGTCCTGATGGCCTAAGTGTCACGGACGGTCGAAAAGATGTGGTGGTGGCATCTACGTGTCCTTGGTACACAATGTCGTACTTATCAAAGTCGTTTGTTTGGAAGATCGTGGTGCCGAAAGACTGTTTTCCGTCCTCCGTCAGGCTGCCAGTGACATTAACAATGGCGCGGGCTGAACAGGAGCTATCTTGCAGACAGCCAGGGGTATAGACAATGACGGAGTAGTTCCCACTCTCCTGTACGTCGGGTTCGAAAACGATGAGCGTGGTATCAACAGTTGTGGGACCGACCACGACTGTAAGATAGTCGGACACACTTTCTCTCGACGGAGTCGTATACCAAGGCCCTGTCGCGGTTGCTTCGGATCGAATTCCGGTGGTTTCACAGGTAGGTTCATTGAAGGCCTCAATGGCGTAGGAGAAGATGTCGGTTTGAAACAGTTCGATCCCCCCGAGGCCACCTCCGTTACCGTACCAAGCTGAGATATCAATGGTGAAGCTGTTCATCCCAACCAGGTTAACGAAATAGAAGTCTTGATACGGCTGCGACGCGTTGTACTCTGCCAGCGGACATGTTGACGAGCAGGAAGTGAGTTCTCCAGTCGTGGGATCCGTAGTAGTCAAGTTGAGGATGCCATCGAGCGGGTGTGCTGTGAATCGCCACGTCTTTGTACCCTTTCCACTTTGACTCGTCTGCCACAGTCGGAGCTTGGTGGGCTCGAAACCGAACGCCAAATCTGCGCGCCAGCTACCGGGAGTATTATCGGCCAGCAAAAAGTCGGATGAGCCATCCGAGCTATTCGATGGGCAAACAATATTCTTCGGATTTCCCAAGCCTGCTGTGCTCGCGTTCCCTTTTGCGGTGAGGTTGGCGGTCGAGAGGTTGATCACCTGGGATTCGGGATGCTTCAAGGAATTGGAAGATATATTGCCCAAACCGGTGAAAGAACCTCCAAAGATGATGTGGCCGTTGGGAGCTTTGGCAATGGAGCTGACCGGGCCATCGAAACCCGCAAAAGGCAAGCTGGACCAGCCACTCGCCGCCCATCCAATTGCATTTGTCGAGTTACCCGCATCAAAAGCACCACCAACGTACAGCATTGAATTATCTTCGTCACAATAGAGCGCCGAGACTGTTCCTTGCACCCCGCCGATCGCCTGTATCTCCAGCGTGGTTGCGTTCATCCATGCTAGAGACCGCGCTGCAACTCCTCCGACACTGGTGAAATTTCCTCCGACCACGATTCCCATGAGTGTGTTATTGACCACCAAAGGACAGAGTGCTTCGATGCTTGCGTCGGTGGAGGACAGAATATTGAACGCCCCGTTTGGGAGCCGGGACAATATCGACTGCGTGCCATTGCCATTAAATCCTTCTTGTTGCCCAATTGACGTGTAAAGAGAAATTGCGTCGAAGTCGCCGGCGAGAGTGACCTGTCCAAGAGACTTGATGTCGAGATTAGGCGGAGGAACAGACTGCGAGACTGCATGCGCCGTAAGGAATAGGAGAGCGGTCGCCACCTTGGAGCGAAACCGTGACAGCAGATGCATGATGTAATGCGATCTGTGCCTGCGCCTTACCGACGTCGAGACGGAGGGAGGAGGTGCTACAGCGGTGATATTCGTAGAGGCATGCTCAGTCGGTGGTGACGACGCGGGACCGCAGGCTCGGTGGTAGAGAGCTTCTAATTCTGGGATCTCGGGGTTGGGGGTCGTCGAGTGTAGACGAGCGCGATGGATTTAAGCTGATGACGGGAGACGACACGCGTTGGACAGGACTGAGAAGGAGCAGGGATGGATTGAAACCGGAGTGGTGTTCTGGCAGTGGAGCTGTGAATTAAGAGGGTGTGTTGATGTTTTTTCCAGAGCCGAAACCCAAACCCAAACCCTAGGGATGGTAGCTGTGGAGGGGAATATGCGAAAAAAAGGACGACGGGTAGGAAAGGAGCGACAGTCGTGAACTTGAGGACGTGGTGGTGCACGAGGTTGTGCAGGGAATTGGAAGGTCAAGATGAAGATCCTTGGAAAAGAAGCTGCCAGTGACGAAAGGAGATTGTCCGTAGCGGGAAAAGTGAACAATAGGATGCGCAAAGCAATTGAGAGGAGATATTGGAGGTGCGACGGGGCAAGCCACAAAGCCCACGGACGAGTCGGTGGTAGGCTCCAGGGCTGGGAAGGTTCTGGGCAGCACAACAAGCCCAAGTGGGGGTGCCGTCGTGGGCTTGGGAGCCACCTGCACAAGTGCGACTCAGCAGAGGCCCGAGAGTGGTCAATCTGCACGACAGGCCCAGGGCGCCCCAGGAACAGTCCGCAAGAAGCTTTTGGGCCACCTTCGGTTGCTGCAGAGTCGGATGTCCCAAATGCCCGGCGTCACCCAGTCACCCAGTCAGGCCCCGTCACCACCGTGGAATGCCTGCAACCCACCGAGGCCGCCTGTAAGCTGCCTCCAAGCTCCTCCATCCATGTCCGCAGCCTCAATCTGGGTCCCAAATTGCTGCCGCCAATGGCGGCACAGAAACTCGCATCAACAGCCATCTTCTCCGATCGACTGGACAACAGAACGGCCACAGAATCTTCTACCCTTCTCGAATGAAATCACCAGAGATGGCTGCGGCCGTGCACTTGTCAGATTTGTTTGTGTACGAGAGGGCCAACACCCTTCCAGCCCATGCGAAGACCACCCAAGATGTCCAGCTCTGACCGGACCCTCTGCCACAACTCAAAATCTGACGCCGCGGCAGTGCAATTTCCCCCAAAGGAGCGTACGCAGTTGGGTGGCCTCTCCCTACGCTTGCAGAGGAGGGACCGAGTCTTCCTGGATACAAGTGCAATTTGATTTGACCTCCGGGCGGAGTGACACTGTGCAAAAAGATTCCGTTGCCTACGTAATCGTTGCCATCGAACGATCGAAACCAACATTGAGCGAGTTTCTCATACACACACAGAAAAACCAGGAACTGTGACATTCGGTTGTTGGAACATGGTCGTCATCAGTCAGGGAACCCCATGCATGCTTCAACGCCTCGGACTTCAAGTGCTGCGGCGAAGCAGGCACCGTATTCCGTGGCTGCGGGCAACTCGCTCTGCTGCTCCCCAGCCTCTCCTTATACCATACAAGCATTCACCGCCTGACACATGCCGAAGGGATATTAGAGCACCAAGGGAAGACACGTGCACACGTGATACTGAAACATCCCCATTTGGTGCTCCGTGATCCGTGATCGACACCCGTGTTTCGAACACATCGATACCTTGGATCCTAGCAATAATAATACAACCGGCAACAGTTTCATCATTCACGTCGCTGCCGCTTGACCACCCTTTTCCTCGATGTCGTGGTTACTTCTTCAATGTGCATCACTGTCTTGGACTCATCCTGCTCAGGCTCCCGCTTGAGGTATACCCGTTGCGCGGTCCTCTTCTTTACAACCTCCTGCTGCTCATCATCTCCCGTCTCTCCTTGGTCCCCTTCTCCTTTCTCGACTTTGACTTCCACTCTTGTCGTAAGTCTCTCGGCAAAAACCCTTAAGTCCGCTGTGAAGAGCACACTGTGCGCCCACCCAGCTTCTTTGCCCCATAACTTCCGGAAATGGTTCGCGACCTCATCGTATGTCCCCTTCGTCATACTGCTGTTTTTCCTCTTTCCCAGTCTGTAGTCCCTTTGCGCAATCTGCCAAACGTGTGTATCTATGGGCACTGCCTCTCCCCAACCCAACCCCATCAGACACACACAATCAGCAACTTTGGGTCCCACGCCTTGCAACTCCAGGAGGCTCTCATGTGCCTGACGATAGCCGTCGCGGCCTTCAGGTTTCATTTCGCCAGCAGGTGAGGGCTTGGTGGTGCCGTAGGCGGGAGACTCGGGGTTGCGAAGGGTATCCAGCCAGCCCACTTCTCGATCCCCGGCGATGATCTTGGCCGTCTGATATATGTATTTTGCACGATAGCCGAAACCCAGCTCTCTGAGATGGCTCTCAACGTTCTTGCCCGTCAGCGCTGACGGCTCGGGGAAGTCATGGTACGGTCTACCCTCCAGTGTGCCAATGTATGTCCCGTAGTGTGTGCACAGCTTGTCCACCATCTGCGATATTCGTTTGATGTTGTTATTGCTGCTGCAAATAAAACCAACCAACGCTTCCCAAGCGTCCTGCTGCAGAATCCTCACGCCCGTGAACATGGGCGCCTTCTTGCGGAAGTTGGCGTCCGACGCCGACCATTGAGCGTAGAGGGTCTCCAGATTCGGCTCCAGGTTGAGGTAGTGCTGGATCAGGGACCCGGTATCGTCGTCGCCCTCCATTACGGTACTTGAGCACTCATCTGCCACTGTGGTCGGTGGGATGGACGAAGGAGGGGTCATCGGCGCTTCAGGGGTCGGGGCTGCAGTTGCAGATGCAGGCCATATCGAGCGGTACTGAATGTGCGATTCGTTGGGCTGAGACAATTGGACAATGCGACCGCGGAGTGTACATGCCCAAGTCTGGTCGTCGCATTCACGCCAGCGGAAGGACTGCCCGCAGCGAAGGGTGGTGGCGAGGCACAGTTCGTTAATGAGGACGGGCAGCTTGCGCCATTCGCTGATTCGGGCCATGTCGAGGACTATGGCCGGCAGGGTTGGTGCTTGACAGAGAACACGGTACAACTGCGAGTTGTCCCTGCTCAGAATTGGATTTAATCCCTGAAAGACCTTTCGTAGACCAAAAGAGGCTCCGTAATCGGTACCTGGCGCTTTAAGCAAAACGCGACCGCGGACGCGCCCCGCGTCACCCACACGGCATTGGCTGAGGGACTCCATTCATTATTACATCCCGCGCTTGGCCTGCTTAAGCATCATTCTTGGTAGAGGTTTGTGTCTGCTTTTACACTATGTTGACGTTTCCTTGCCAATATCCCAGGACCCTTCTAAGAGCTAGCCCTGTGGACTCACATCTCTGAGGAGAAGATCCATCCACGTTGAAAGTAGTTTGCAAAAGAAGACCGCCTGAAAGGCCCCTGTTCGCTCAGATATAATCTTGCTCTTTTCCCTGTACACGAAAGTCACTAATGATCGAGCCTCTTTTCGGGCGGAGATCGCCCAAAGCTGGCAGCAGCGTCCCGGCCAGCGACAACAGCTTCTCCGTGAATAACAACATTGTCATCGAGGATGGAGTTGCTGAAAACAAGGTATTCGTGTCGGCCTTTCCAAAGCCAGTATACGCCGCCAAAGACCACCACCCCCGCGAGGATGACAATCGCCCAGTTCATGTTCGCTATCTCACCCACGACGGGAACGTACTGCGGGAAGACATAGAACAGAACCACGATGATACTCCAGAGCAGACCCGTAATATTGACAGCGTAGCCCCATCGGCCGAGGTCGAAGTACGGTCGCGGTGGCAGGTGGTGACGGCCTCGCAGAACCACACACAGAATCGGTACGCAGTAAGACACCTGCAACGCGACGCCACCTCCCGAAATGATGGCATAAAAAGCCAGCGAACTGCCCAGTACGAGGAGGCCGGTCAGGAGATTTAACACGATAAACGCCATCATCGCACGGAGGGGCATCTGGAATCGTTTGTTGACTTGGGCAAAATAGTCCGAATAGGGGAAGGCTCTGTCGCGAGCCATCGACCATGCGAGACGAGAACCGGCAGTGTTCATGTTGACAATGATCAGGTACTGTTCACGTCAGCTGTTTTGTGACCGGTCAAGCAATCGGGAGTGAGCCACGCACATTCAGGCCCATCATCATGATAGCAACCCATATTCCTCCACCGTAGGTCGAGTTCAGCACATCCATAAACCATTCCTGAAGACTCGTTAGTTCATTGGTAGAATAGCTCCGTGGCCGTGGACCTTACTACATAGGAGGAGGTGGCTTCGAGGTAATTTTCCCAGTTGGGGCCTACGGTATAGCACATCACGATGGCCGACAGCCAGGCAGTAACACCAGCCCAAACCATGGACCACACCATGACTCTCTGTTTCCCGGTCAGTAATCTTGAGTCTGAGCGTCCAATCGATCACTTACAGGAGCATCACGTGAAGCATTTTTCATTTCTTCGACCAAGTGCATCACACCATCGCTTCCGTAGAGACCGTAGATGGGAACGTACATGCTCAGGATAAAGACCCAACCCTTGGAGGTCCAGCCTGAGGTGTTGAGAAACTCTGTGAAGACAAATTTGGAGCTATTCTTGTCGGCCAGGACGAGAAAAACGATTGTCCAGATGAGCGCGTTTGAGATGTTGAAGAATGCACCGAAGATTTGCAAGGCCGGAAGATATCTTGGGAGTAAATTCGACAGTGCAGGGGCAACAAGGAAACCCGTATAGATGAGCCAGGTCATGTAAGGCTACGGATGATTTAGCAGGGACAACGCTGACTGGAACAATCCAGAGACTCTCACCTTCCAGTCGACATCTGGATGTATGATCTCCACGAGAGCCCCCACGATTTCTGCACTGTTTAAGGCGCAGGAGCTGGCTGTGGATATTTCTCCTACCAGAACACACCAGCCGACTAGGTACGATAGAAAGCGCCGTGAACTCTCCGGGGCAACAACCTAAAAGTGTCAAAGTCCCATCGTCTGTCCCAAAGGCACCCACGCGTACCTGGGTATAGAATTGTTGGCCTCCCGCCGTAGGCCAGATGGAGCAGTATTCAGCTAGGGATGCCATCACTAGAAGTTGTCCGATCGTGACCACCACGCTGTATGGTGCATTCGTTAGAGGGGCGCTTCCGCAAACAAGCCCTGAGACCTCTACTCACGTTCCCCAGACAAGACAGACCGGTCCACCAAGGGTAAAGATGTAATAGAACATGACAATGTTGCAACTCCACGAGCATAAAATGGTGGTCTGATATGCCATCACTGCCCAAGCACTTGTTAGCCTCGACAGTGCCAAACTGAGATTTCTTTACGAGACTCACAGCTCCAGAAATTGTATGTTCGCTTCAGCTCCGGCTTGTGGCCGAGGCTGATGAGTCTACTCTCATCATTGCTCAGGCCGACTGAATCGTCTTTGATCGTGTCCATTTCGGCGAAACAACCACGGTTTGAAGCTCTAAAAAGCGAAGCACTGGACGCTGGACGCAGGAAGAAGGCGGAAGGGTGTGAATCAATTCATGGAATCGAGCACAATGTGTCGTCCCTTTGCCGTAGGGATAGTCGACCCAGCTTTTGTATCCGAATTTCAACTTGAGTGACCATGGACGTCCAAAGGCTGAAGTTTAAAGAAGTTCCCGGACACGTGGGATTTGTCCTCTCACTCTCACTCCACCGCGGTTATTCTCCTTTTTGCCACCAAAGAGAGTCTAGCTGCACGCGCTTATCACGGCTCGCTATCTTTCCAGGGAGTCCCTGATGGCGTAGAGGCGTCAAACGATAAGAGGGGCTCGAAGAGAGTGAACGGGGAGCATGATAACATATGTAGGATATGGAGAACGGTCTGATGGATCTTGGGGGGTCGACGGCTTCTTGCTGGGTGCGGATCGAAGGCCCCGTTCACCCAAAGAGGTTGGTTTCCAACGGCCAGGTCCTTGTCGCCCCCATCAACGACAGGCTGGGCAAATCATTGCCGGCACCATGATCAAGAAGGAATCTTAAACGAACGGGAACAGCCGGACATTTCTCTCGTCAATATCCCCTTCCAGCTCTAGGCTTGATTGCTCTCCGCTTCCCGCGTTGCTCCTAGCTGCAGAGATGATAAGCGTCAGCTGCGGTACAACAAAAATGGAGTACCACATCGAACAGAACAAGAAGTCTCTGGAAGGACAACGAGACGGAAAGACGGATCTATAGCCACCTTTCCCCAGATCTCGGTGGGTATCATCGGGTCACTGACTTTCAGTATGTTTTTCCGATCCGGAGTATAGGGATTCCATCTGTAGCACGAGAGGAGGGATGTTCTAGCAAACAACACCCACTTACCAGGGGGTTTCAAGTCGAAAATACGTACGTATTCAATACAGTACGAAGAACCTAGATCTCGTGATGGCACTTTTGATGATAAAACTGGCCAGATGTGCGGGGTGTTTTCGATAAAGAGGCACTGAGAGGCTGGATTGACGCCGGAGTCATGGGCTCGTTGGTCCGTGTCACGTGTTGAAGTCCCCCCAGCAAATGTTCCAGCCGCAACCGATAAGCTCTCTGCAAACCTCATACTCAACCCCCTTCATTCAGTCTGGATTGGTTCTTGCCGAATGCCTATGCTGTTCGGACACGCCATGAGGCGAAATGCCCCTTCCATCCCTCCCATCTGATAATTCAACATGAGCAGTGACATTGCCTGTAAGCCCTGGTAACTGCCGAGACCTTGCCATGAATACCATTCCCAGCGACGAGGCGAAGACTGCCAGTCAGGCTCCAGGTTCGAGCCCGCCCGGCATCGGGCCACAAGGTGCATATTTGCAGTTTTTCTGACCCTGAGTCGGAGGAGAACGTGGAAGTTGCCAATCAGGAGGCTGACTGTTACAAAGACTGTCCAACCTGTGTCAGAAGACGAATCCGCTGCGATCGATCACTTCCCAAATGCTTCAAATGCTCGAAGAAAGGATTAGTTTGCCCCGGTTATGGCCCTCGACTGAGGTGGGCCAATGGTATCGCCGTTCGTGGACACCTCAAAGGCCGCACCACACCCCATATCGACAAACCGCTGTCTAAACCCAGCAGCACTGCTTCCAAGGACTCAAGTTCTCCCAATTCGGTCAAATCCCCGGAACAGAACAGCAACCTCCGACCTGCCCCGTTTACGGACCCTTTAGAGACCACGTTTCCCGGCTTCCCAAACCCGGCCATCAGGGCGCGACTCCTGGATCACTATGACAAACAGATTGCGGGCTTGATGGTGTGGATAGACTCCGAGAGGAACGAATACCGCCGGCTGGTCCTTCCCTTAGCCGATCAGCAACCCGTGCTTCTCCTCGCCATTCTGGCTATCTCTGCCCAGCACCTTGCTGTCACCACGGGCAAGGAATTGAGCTTTCCCGCTCGCGCCCGTGATGCTGCCGTCAACATGATATCAACACAGATTCGGCAGGTGACCGGCCAGATGGACGCAGGGTCTGACCTGGGCAGTCAAATAGACCCAGATACCGCAGTGTGGATGCTCGCCTCAATGCTCACTCTGGCTAACTATGAAATGACAGAGACAGAGACTGGCGCGGCGGCAGCAGACTCGCACCGCCAAGCTGCAAGAACGTTGGTGAACCTCCTCGCGACCACAAACCGGGAGAACAGCCCTCTTTTTCACTTTCTCCGTAACCAGCTTTCCATATATGACATCTTGGCCTGCACCACGATTTTCGGACCTCTGAGCACTGTGGAGGTAATCCTTCCGGCCCCCGAACATTCGAATTTGATCTTTTCCGAATTCCTATCTCTCTTGCACAGAGTAACAGTATGGTCACGCGAACAGCATGAAAGGAAGGCATCTGGAGAGTTCAACCTTGCCGATCTCCCAATCACCTCTGCTGATGCACGCGCCGGTTTCGAGCAGGCCCGAGGGTCTACTCTAATGGCAGCCGGTGTCCTCGAACTACCACGAGACGCCAGGCGTCGGGATTTTATACGAATCGTCGATATATACCACCATGCCGCACTCCTGTACACTTACCGAGTCCTCTTCCATTGCCAAGTGGAACCGGTTGAGGTCGACACCTCCACTATGGTCTTGTTTGAGCGTTTGAATCAGCTCGAGGACAAGTCGTCATGCCGGCAAAACTTGCCATGGCCCGTTTTTATTGCAGGCACCGAATGCTGCGAGGATCCCGAGCGCCAGGCGTTTGTAGCAAGAATGTACGCAGACATCGCTCAAGATATGGGGTTCAAGTACTACCTCGGGATCCTTCACTTTTTGCAAGATCTGTGGTCAAGCAAGGGCACCACTTGGACCGAGTTGGCACGACAATACGAAGCAAGCGGGAAAAAAATCGTTGCTGTTTGAGGATGATGCTGTGAGTGTGTTGATGATGCAAACGACTCAGCTTTGGTGGCCTCGATTTCCTCTCGTCGTATCGTGTCGGCGACCCAACAATGCGCCACCGGTTGAGCTCTTGCACTGCTGGTGAATTCCGACTCTTGCAGGCTGGTGTGGGAAGATAGCAGGCGAAGGTGTCCTGTTAAGATGTGTTGAGACGTCGCGGGCACCTGGGAAGAGCATCAGTTGTTCTGCAAGGTTGGTGGCTTGTCCACCCGCACGCCATATCCACACCATGCACACAGAGAGGTATGTTGACCGGGTATGCAACTTCTCTTATTCTGGTTAGTGAGTTGACTCCGTCCACCTACTCTCCGAGAACTGACCAAGTTGGCAGCAAACTCGAGAACTATACTTTAGGCTCACGGCTGGCCGGACCAAACCCGGATTAACGTATTCATATGATTTCTGCATCTGCCGACGCTGTAGCAACCTCCTCGTCCATCCCGAGCAGGCCAGTCTTCCTCCAAATATCACTCTACGACGTTCTGGTTGGGAGCACAGCGATTGGTCTCGCATGCATATGATAACGTACGAGCCTCTCAACAAACTCTTAGCCTTCGCCTACAAGAACGGGGATTCTCTTCGGTCATCAGCGACGATCATGTCCACACCGAGCTGGTGCCTGTGTTGGATGAGACAGCCTTCGGCTCGAACATCACAACTCGTTCAACGACGCTCTTGATCCGAATGTCAGAGTTACGATACCTTCGTCCCATGGATCAAGCCGCTCGATCTGTCAGCTATGGACTTAGTCTGCACAGGGATTTCAAAATGAAGCTTCGAGCTGGTCCTCAGGTATCTCCCAATCCGCAAATCTCAGTGGAGGCACCCAGATTGGGGGTAGGAAGCACTCCAGAGTGTGCATGAGTGCCACAGACCCGGAAGGTTTGGACCACTACCTCCCAATCTACCTTGGTCCATTCTATCTTGCATCGTGTGCAGGCTGTCGTCTGCTTAGGCTGATATTACCCTGTAAGATTGCGGGAAGATCCATCGCACCGCCATCTGGTGCGGGTTTTACCCTGTTCAAAAGTACCTTTGGGGTCCGTGCCTTGTTTGAGCCCTGCAAGGCCCATTCTTCAATATCTGGACTGTCTTCTCCATCCGATATCGAAGGATCGAACAGGCTGTTGGGGTGGCAGAGGCAGGAATCAAGCCGTAAGACTGTATGAGGTCTTAAAATTTGGGGGGGAGGTCCATCTCTGCGGCTCCTATCAACGCCTATTTCCATAACATAATTTATATATCCATCCTGATGAAGGATTGGCCCAATCATATGCGAGGGGGTAAGATGCGACACTAGCCCCCAAACAGGCGTTCGGTAGAGAAATAACGTCAACCAAGGCCCGACACGAAGGTGGACTGCCTGCGGTGCGAGTTGTGTTACAGGCGCTCGCCACCTTCTGTATTGGGCATCTGATGAGAGAGCTCAAGGCTAGGACAGTCAGACTCTCGAACAGGCTGTTGGTCGAAACCGGGCGTTGTCTTCCTAGTTTGGTATCGTTCTCGAACGCCTCCCTACCTCCGGCCTCGTTCGCTCGTTATCAACACTCCACAGCTCGCAAGACGAGAGCCGAGCGCGATATTCTGTCAACGTGCGAGTCCAGAGGAGGTGGGACGGATGGAAGCAAAACGGACACATCGGTCGACAAGTGCCCCTTGACTAACTTGAAATCCGACCGGTGACTACAGGACGGCAACTTTCCTGAACGCATTCCTTTCGTTTGATCTTTATCAGAATCACCAAGAAGTGCGTGCCCCGCCTTTCGATATAAGCTCAACAACCCACACTCGTTGTGATCTGGCTACTACTTCAGTGCTTCTCACGGCCTTCCCATCTTCAGGAGATCAGCTTGCCTCCAAAGATGGTCTTGGATAGAATTCTGCATCAGCCCCCCGTCATGCATCCTCGGAGACGGCAGGACGTCACTCACAAAAATGTCAATCAGCTCTTTAGGACTCGAAGTTTCCAAGACGCCGTGGCCGCACGCCTAGCGGAGTCGGTTAAGATACCAACCATCACATATGATGGGATGGGCCACGTTAAGGAAGATCCTCGATGGGAGGTCTTCTCTCAGTTTTCCGACTACCTGAAGAAGGCATTTCCGAAAGTGTGAGCACGTCTTCGCGATCGCACTGCTCTATGTTCTGACTGCTTGTTCTAGATATGAAGAACTTACGGTTGAAACAGTCAACGAGCATGGCCTGTTATATACATGGCATGGTTCACACGATGCTATGAAACCCCTCTTGTTCATGGCACATTCAGACGTGAGTTCGGCACATTGCACTGCTTGAGAATATCTTCGTTTAACGTGGCGCAGGTGGTTCCCGCAGGGGAGTCAACCTCTGAAGAATGGACTTATCCACCTTTCTCGGGCCACTATGACGGGGAGTATATCTGGGGTCGAGGCTCTGAGGACGACAAATCGAACCTCATCGCAATGTTGACAGCAATCGATTGTTTACTCGCATGCGATTTCATACCACGTCGGACGGTGATACTCTCAGTCGGCTTCGATGAGGAGGGTGGAGCCGAACAGAGTTATGGCGCCAGGTGTCTCGCCGAGATACTGTTAGACAGATATGGGAAAGATGGTATCGAAATGATTGTCTGTCGATTCCACAGCCACGCTGGACCATTGCTGACCTCGAGTAACAGTTCGACGAGGGTATCGCAGGCATTGAGAATCGTTTTGGGACCGACTTCGCCCTGCCTGCAACAGCTGAAAAGGGGTATATCGATGTCACTGTGACTGTCGATGTTCCCGGCGGACACTCCTCTACACCTCCTGACCACACAGCCAGTTCGTCTCCCGATTTCCTCTTACAGTGTGGAATGTTCTGACTGAGGGATAGTCGGCTTTTTGGCTCAGATAATTCGTTTGATCGAAGACCACCCATTCAAATCACAGCTGATTCGAAACAATCCGACTCTGACTTACCTTCGACAAGCCGCCTTGTATTCCAAACACATGCCTGATGATCTGCGAGAAGCGATTCTCGGCGCCCAGAGCTCGAAGAAGCTTCTCGAATATATGGAGAACGACCGTGAGAGACGTGCCATGATCAGAACATCCACGGCAGTTGATGTGATTCAAGGTGGTGACAAAGGTACGCGTGACATCACATGATGGGCTTCGACAATGTTGGAACAGTTATATATGTCGTTGATAGCGGGGCTAATTGATCCCACAGTGAACTCGCTCCCAGAAAATGCCAGCATCCTCGTCAATCATCGCATCGCAATTCAGGATTCGGTCCAGGCTGTGAAAGACCATTATCTTCATCTCCTAGCACCTTGGGCCCAAGAACGAGGGTTCAAGCTTCACGCTTTCGGTGCTAAGGCTCAGGATGGCCACAACATTTCGATGCGACCGGGTAGCAACACTACCGAGTGTGGTGACCTCACTCTCTCAGCACATTATGAGCTGGAATCGTCACCTGTTTCATCTACAGAGGATGCTCGATTTAGGATACTGGCAGGCACCATCAAAGGCGTCTTTGGGAATGACGTAGTCGTAGCGCCAGAACTGTTGACTGGTAAGTCGACTTGATGCGTGAGGTAGTACGTTGCTCGATGACATGCTGAGAACCGCAGGCAACACCGATACCAGGTACTATTGGGATCTTTCGCCACAGATATACCGCATGTCTCCCTGGCGAGCGAGTCATGACCCCCGAGGGACCCGGATGCACACGGTGGATGAGCGAATGCCCATCAAAGGCCTCATGGAAATGGTACACTTTTACCATGAATTCATCCGAGTCGTGGACGAAGTCCACGTCGAAGATCACTCGCCTGTTTGCAACCAGCCTCGACACGGGAGCGCCATGTGAGCTGCCCCATGCAAAGCTTGTGTGCGTCAAATGAACAGATGCTTTCTGCATCTACTCTGCCGCCGGCAAACGTCGCAAAGTGTTGTAAAACCCGGGACCAAGTGAGCCGGAATTCCCTCGATTCAAAGCAGATCGCCGCTGCAGCACTCCATCAAACAGATTTGATAACTGGGACAACACGTTGTCAACAAGGTTGCAAATGCAGGTCGAGAAGATGTGCCCCGAGATGAGGTAAACCCGACACCCGATTTCCGAGCGCTTATACGCACTTGCGCTCCGGAGGACTTTTGATCAAATGCAATGCATGTGCTCGGAATCGTTGGCTGGCAGAATTAAGGAGAATTCTTTCAGCACAGGCCATCCGAGCGAGCGAACAGCAGCAGAGGACCATCGACGGGTCAGACCTCGCTTCACTTGCTGCGTCGCCGCGTTCTCCAAACTTTTTCTTCGATGAAAACTCTGTCCGATGCCTCTTGGAGGTTATAGAGTTCGAAGGACAATTTCGAGACGGAGCATGCGCCGCGATTTATCGGTTCGCGCCTGTTCCGAATCTGATACGCCGGCGCCGCTCCATTCAGACCAGGGCGGATATGATGCAAGTACTAACATATCGACGAGCAAGGCAGCTTAGAAGCCGCCACCTTGCATCAGGCTTCATTTTTTCTGCTCATCTTTCGTCTCCTATCTGTTTCAGTTCCGGCATAGGGGTATCCCAAACATCACTTTTGGGTATACAAACAGCGTTGGATACAGCCGCCTTCTTCGAGCCATTGCTTACCCGCGGCCCTACGATCGAGGTATTTCAGTCCTTCGACTTCTGAGGTCGTGCTATAGCGACGAAACTAACTATTCAGGACAATTGGCTTTCAGATATCGAGACAAAGGGACTCTTTAAAGACTCACGATCAAGGACCTGACCCTCGGTGTTGCCACTGCCTCCGAGTCGTCAACGAACTATCCTTACAACGGTACCATCGGAATTGAAACATAACCCTTTCCAGCTGATAATGCTACGTCTTTATTTTACGGTCTCTAAGACAGCAATCTTGTGGAAGAAGGTCGTTTTATTCGCCCATTGCTCGGCAGTCCTTCTCTAGCGTTCTTTTTAGACAGAAATTGATCACAATCTCAACGATAGGATTGGGTCTCACCGACAGGGAAGGCATTGCCATCAAACTCAACGTCCGGTTGCTCTGAATCTGGTTCCTGCAGAGGCAGCGGTGGTGGAATTCCTTCCTCAACCAACTCCGCTGCTGGTCTGCGCTGTCCCGTCTATTTGATCTGCGGCGTTGTAAAGCGGAAGCGGACTCTGCGGCACATGGAATCTGTGTTCTGTCGAAACAAACAAGACGGAATGGCTTCCTTGCGGCTGAGATGCCTGTGCAAGCGGGAACATGGAGATGGAAGGGTTTTACCCAAATCTTTGAGGCATACCGCCCCCCGCAACCCCCGGTTTTGCCTTCCTTGATCAGCCCATGGCGTTTAGTGAACAGCTCCTTTGAGACATCCATATGTCAGGGTAGGTGTATATACATTGCTGCCTCAAGGGTACAGTGATAATAAATAATGAGCAATGCAACGACGTGCAGATTTTGGCATCATTGGACACCTGGACCTCCAGTCCTTGGGCGACGCGACGGACCTTTATCCCAGTTCGACTAGTTATCCCTGGATGCATAAGACTCAGTCACGCTCAATACAAAGCTATTGATTAGTTGGGCCTGCTGAGCGGCGGGGATCCCGCAAAATGTCATCCGGAAGGGACAATGGAGAGTGTGGTTACTCCAGACTCCTCGTATTCGTACTACTCTGTACAGAGCTAGGGGGGTTGCCAGGCTATACTTATCCATGTTGGAGGGATGCGAAGGGGGCGCGGAAACTCGGGATTGCAGGGAATTTTGACAGCCAACGAAGGTGCCTTGAACATTGATGAGGTGATGGGCTACTGGACCTAGTTAATGCAGTAACATTATTATTATTAGTTGTAATAATGCTGGATCTAACTAAAGAACTATCTGGTGGGTTGGAGGGCTGTTGTTCGGGTGGGCCTATCCATACTCCTGCACTGTGTGTAAGTAGGTATAGTATATTGTATATACTTCCTGGTTCCGTTTCGTCTGCTTCATTCACCCACAGTGTCTAGAGGACTTGTTGCCACGACGGATGTGCTCTTATAAAGCCAACCACCATACCTTAGGCCCTGCTGGTACATAACCAAGGTAGGGACCATTCAGTGGAACATCAGACGCAAGCTCTGCCCTTTATGGAGCCTGGGTGGCCCGTCCTCGTGCCCATCGCCCCATCCCCCAATTGCGCCCACCAATTGCGGACGCTGGGGGCGTCCCCTCAGCGTCACCAGCGTCGTATTTCTCGAAATTCAGCCCATCCTCTTTCGCCCAGATGCAACGCCTACCACCACCACCAGAAATGCTGTCCTTGCGTGCCTTGTCATGGAAATAACGTCGACTGGTCACATACCAAGGCGCCAGGGTTCCAGCCCCCCTCCTACTCCCACACTCCATGCATGCGTGAGTGACCCTGATAGGTGTTGGTGTGATGGTGCCCCGGATCTCCCTCCCTTTTCGCATTCTTGAACGAAGGGGTATAAGTTCGCCATTCCTCGCGGGGTCTGTGCGAAGAAAAGCCCGCCTCATTTTCTAAAAAAGCTTGTTGTTGCTTAAGAGCGTACGTTTCTTATACTCAACACCTCATACTTGTAACCCATCTTTGTGGCGCTGAGCACTCCCTATCGTTGCTCCAATCATCACCTAGGCGCCCAAAAACCACACTGAACGGCTCCTTGTCCAGAGGAGATCCCCCTCCTGAGCCCTCCTCGAATCTTCAGCTTCCGAGCAAAGAACAAAACCATGGTGAACAACTCGGTTGTTGTACCCGTAGCGGTGCTGGCCTCGTTGTGTGTGGCCATGTTCCTCTTCATCTGGTGGTGGTTCCCACGCCACTACAAGAAGGGCGTCGAACAGGACATGAACATCATGGATTCCGAACGGGCAGAACGGGAGGGAATTCATTCCGATATGGGCCAGGTGCAGCTTGGGGAGGACGGCTTGCCTCGGAAGAAGACCCTCGAAGAACACATTGCCATCGCCAGAGAACAGATCAGACGAGGCGGTCACAACCCATCGACAACGCCATACTAAGACTGGCTCCCGAATGAGAGCCTTGCTTCGTCTGAGATTCATTCCTATGGAGACGGGAAGGACGCTGATAAAACATTGAGGATACCACGTGTGTTTATGGATGCAAACCCGGCTCGGGGCATGTAGGAACCAGAACGGTCCTTCAGCTTAAGGCGGTCGGAGGTGGTTTTCAAACCGCTGGGAAACATGTTCTCTGGCGTATGGGCTTGTATAGGATGCAAGCAATCAATCATGCTGCTGCTGTTGTTTACCGGCCTGCCAACTTTCATGCAGGGGTTTTCTGCAACAAATTCATTGTCCCCTTGGTGTCTTCTAAAGTAGACCAGTGGCCTTTGATGGCCACAGGTGTTCTTACACGGTCTAATCAGGTGATGTGTCTGTTACTGACCTCTCACACCGGCTTTCTGAGGGGAATACTGCTGTCTGATGGTCACCCCGTCCCGCCAAAACTAGGGATGCAAGCAAGGTGCAATGTAGAATGACAATGGCCGATGCCGCGTTCCTGATTGCACTGCTCGCGGTAACTATATTCAAGCCCTTCTGCCCTTAGCCTGCCTCGTTTTCTCGTGATCTCTTCCACTATATTCGTCCCTGTAGCATTTGTGGAGGAACTCTTATTAAAAGCGGCACTACTCAGACTCCATTTCGAGCCTAGCTTTGCCCAGCCCCTTAACGCTTATATGACCCTTTCCAGTAACTGGGCCACGCTAATTATGTCAGTATCCGTGACCCGCCAAGACAAATGCAGCGTCGAAAAAGTTGCAGGTTTTCCGAACTGTGAAGCGAGGCCTTGTGCAGCTGCGTCTTTTCTGTCCTGCGACGATTGAATCTCTACATCCAGTGTCTCGTTGACAATTACAAGACCTGAATCACTGCCTGACCATCTCTAGTCCCCACTGATCCAGCAGTCTTCTGCAACTTGGCTGCGCAGCGGTAGATTCAAGCCATTACTCCCATCTTCCCTCGCGACCATGAACGGGGACAATTACTCCTCGAGAGGTGCCTTAGCCCTCTTGTCCTCTGCATTTGACAGTTGCTGACCTCTTCAGATACCGGCCGCTCTAGGGAGCACCACGTACGTTATCCTGGCCCCTTGCGATGCCGTAGTGGTATTCACTGACTTTGGGCATCAGGGTTCACGGTACGACCGAGACGAACGCAGAGACCGCGACCGGGAAAGGAATCGGGATCGCGGCGAGCGGCGACGTTCGAGGTCTCCGCATCACCGTTCATCGCGACGCGAATTTGAAGCAGACTCTTATTCCTCGAGTCGAGACTACCGAGCGCGCGAAAGGGAGGACCGACATGGCTCGAGACGAGAAGATCGGGATTGGGACAGAGACAGAGGCCCGAGACGCCGGGACGACGACAGGCCACCCAGGAGGGACCGCGACTTGTTTGATGATCGCAGGGGAGGCAATCGCGACCGCGATCGCACCGGACGAGAAGACCGCGATGAGTTCGCTGCTCAAGCCCGAGGCCGCAAGAACAGCCCTCCTCCCAAAAAGAGGGAGCCCACTCCCGACCTTACAGATGTCGTGCCAATATTGGAGCGCAAGAGGCGGATGACGCAGTGGGATATTAAACCGCCTGGCTACGAGAATGTCACCGCCGAGCAAGCAAAGATGTCGGGCATGTTCCCACTGCCAGGCGCCCCTCGCCAACAGCAGATGGACCCGAGCCGGCTACAAGCCTTCATGAATCAACCCGCTGGCAGCGCGAATGCGACGGCGTTACGACCTTCCAATGCGCGCCAGTCAAGGCGATTGTTCGTCCACAATCTCCCGGCGTCCGTCACCGAGGAAAGCCTGGTGGCCTTCTTCAACCTTCAGCTGAATGGTCTGAATGTCATCAAGGGCAATGATCCATGTACACAAGCAAATATTTCTGAAGACAGGAGCTTCGCGCTGGTGGAGTTTAAAAACCCTTCCGATGCGACAGTGGCGCTGGCTTTGGATGGAATCACAATGGAAGAGCACCACTCAGAGCTGAACGGCAATGGGACAGCGGCTCCCAAGGGCCTGGAGATTCGACGACCCAAGGATTATATCGTCCCATCTGCGGACGCAGATGCATACACAGATGGCGAGATATCAACGGAGGTCCCCGACACTGCGAATAAACTAGCCATCACCAATCTGCCGCCATTTTTGACGGACGACCAAGTAGTTGAGTTGCTAAAAGCATTCGGAGAACTGAGAGCCTTTGTTCTCGTGCGGGACGCCGATGCGCAGGAATCAAGAGTAAGTTACACTGGCCCTGGCTCTCGATACTACTTCTTAACCGATACCCAGGGCATCGCTTTCTGTGAATATTCAGACCCATCTGTCGCTGCCGTGGCAATTGAGGGCCTCAACGGCATGGACCTAGCCGGAAACGCCATAAAAGTCACCCGTGCCAGTATTGGATACACACAAGCTGCCGGGCTTGAGATGGGCGTTAACGCCATGTCCATGTTTGCCGGAACCACTGCTGAAAACTTGGAGGACGGACGGGTCCTCCAGCTGTTGAATATGGTGACGCCCGAAGAACTTATCGATAATGATGATTATGAAGGTGAGAAAATCAGGACACAGCAGCATACCCCTTTGTTACTTGGCTTCTCCCCTATGTTCTTAAGGTGTTGAGCGCTAACCAAGCCTTTCCGGCGTGATAGAAATCTGCGAAGATGTAATGGAAGAATGCCAGAAGTACGGCAAGATCCTGGCTATGAAGATTCCGCGCCCGTCTATGGGCAGTCGGCAATCGGCCGGCGTGGGCAAGATCTTTATCAAGTACGAGGAACCCGAGTCTGCGAAGAAGGCCCTACAAGCACTTGCCGGACGCAAGTTTGCTGACAGGACTGTTGTAACTACGTATTTCGACGAGGTATGTGTCGCTCACCGTGCAATTTGTGTTCTGCTATCTTCCAAGGCGCACCAACCAGTACTGACTGACTGTGACTTTGCAGGCGAGTTTCGATGTCAATGCTTGGTGATCATGCCATGGACCGAACCAACATGAGAGAACCACAAGGGAACAGCTCGACGTATTCGTCTGCAACCTTCTACCTCGATCGGTAGCTTCTGCGGCCGGGCACATTCAACCCTTCCTGTCTTCACAGAGTCATTGGGACAGTTCAGGGGTTGATGAACAGGCAACCGACCCTGAGATGCCGTTGCTAATATTGCCATTGTGGGAATTCTCCTTGAAGTGTTCTGGGCCTCCTCGTCCGGCTGCGCTGGAGGAATCCCCAGCGGACGGCGGATTGGTCGGTCGGTTGGTTGGTCGGTCGGCATTGGCTTTGTGTCCAACAGGGGTGGGTAACCGGGACCCCGGTGGAGGATGTTCTTTTTTGTCTTTGGAACACTGATTCACACGCACGCTGGAACTGGGGCAAATGGTGGAGGGGAAAAAAAAGGGAGCGGCAACGCCGTCGTCGTCAGGAACACTGACAGGGTCTACCGACGCATGAGCCATTGGATCGACTTCGGGTTCCCAAGCAATCAATCGGTCGGTTGGTCGGTCTGATCAGGCTATATCAGACCGGTTCAGATCAGATCACCTCGCATCCCTCTTCTTCACGTTGGTTTCGGTCCCTTCCCGAACTGTACTTTAGAACCCGACCCGCCAAAAAAAAAGGGGAATTCCCACCTGGGTGCTTCATTGTTCTTGTTCTTGTTCTTCTTGTTGTTGTTATATATCAATACAATCAATTGATCAATCAATCAATCGGTCATTAAGTCAATGAATACCTTATACTAGTGGAATGAATGATTGATTGATTGGTATTTAACTCTCCTTTTGAGTCGTAGGGAAGAGCATGGGGAAGGAATCTCATATCGTCTTTTACTTCTGCCCTGCTCGCGCACATAAGAGTAGGGTGGGAGGAAGAATTGTAGTCGGAGTAAGAACCCATCCATCTACCTGCCATCTACCTACTTACCTACCTCCCTACCTCCCTATCCAGGTATATACCTCGCCCACATCTCAACGGGACTGAATCCGCCATCCCACCTGCCTGAACAGCTCTTGGACCGGTGTGATGCAAACCACTTCTAGCTATCCCGCCATGCGCTGTTCGTTTTAGCTTCCGTCTTGACGTTCAGGGCATGTTTGGTTCTTCTTGACCGCCGTGGCGTTTCCTTGCGTCCGCGTGCTGGATGCAGCATTGTTCTATCCCTAGCTGCCTGCTGTGCACGAAGAAAGGACGACTAAACACCTCCTCCAGAGGGTGTACCCGTTCAGTCATCATCAAAAATCAACTTGGTGATCTTGCCCACCGCAATCGTCTGCCCTTGGTCTCTCAGTGTGAACCGTCCCAGTTGTGGATAGTCCTCGAACCTCTCCACGCAAATCTTGCCTGCACCGCTTGTAACCTGCAATCTCGCAATGATGTTCTGGCCCTTCGCAGCGAATGGAGGCGGTTTCTTGCTCTTGCGTCCTGTCTTTGGTTCGAGTTTGTGGAGCAGCGCTGCAAAGGTGACTTCTTCCGTTGCGGCATGCACGTGGATGACGCAGTTGAAGCCGGCAGAAAGGATGGATTTCAGTTCCACAATGTTGATCTGTGCCTCAAACTCCCGGACGCAGTGGACGAGACGCTTCGGCGAGCAGAGCACGAAGCCCGGCTGGATGTCTTCTTCCTCGATGCCTCGTAAGCGCATGCGCACTTGGTCACCGCATGTGGCGAAAGGAACTTCATCTTCCGTCTCGCCATAGAGGGCTGCAATGCCAACTTCCTCGCGGTTCGGCATCATGATCAAAGTGGAGCTTTTCTGAACCACGCCGGCTTCAATACGACCTTCGATCATGGTGCCCATGTCTCTGTATTTGGCGCCGATGGGCATCATGAAGGGCGCATTGATGTTGCGCTGGATTTTGGCCATGCCGTCCAAGAATTCCAGGAGGGAGGGGCCCGTATACCAATTTGCGACGCTGGAAGGAATTCGGTCTTTGACGTTGATCCCCGTTTGTGCCGAGATGGGCATGAAGGTAGAATCCAAGCCGATTCGCTTTTTTAGATATGGTTTAAGTTTGCCGACGATCTCGTCGTATCGCTCCTTAGACCATTCCACCGTAGGATCGTCCATCTTGTTCACTACCACGACCAGCTCTTTGGCGCCGGTGGTCTTGATCAGCATGGCGTGCTCTTGTGTCTGTCCACCCTTTTCGAACCCCGTTTCGAATTCTCCCTTTCGAGCAGAGATAACCAGAATTGCCACATCTGCCTGAGCCGCACCACTCAACATGTTTGGCACGTACGTTTTGTGACCCGGGGCATCGAGGATGGTGTATCTTCGTTTCTCGGTTTCGAAGAAGCCTCGGCCAACTTCGACCGTCTTTCCCTTGGCTCTTTCTTCTTTGTTCAAGTCCAATACCCACGAAATGTACCAGGTTTCTCGCCCTGCATCTTTGGCGTCCCGCTTATACTTCTCCAGCGTACGCTCATCAACCATGCCTGTCTGAATGAGCACCTGCCCACCGAGTGTGGATTTCCCAGCATCGACGTGGCCAATGAAAATGATGTTGACGTGTTCCTTCCCATACATCTCCTGCAAGACCGATGCGTCCACGTCGGCCGTTTGCGACTGTGCGACTTCATCGGCATTTCGTTGCTTTTTGGCATCTGCTGGTGTTGGGGAAGACTTCCCTGATGACGGGGCAGGAGATGTCTTCCCGCTCACTTTTTCACCGGTTTTCTCGACGGCTTTTGCCGCAGTAACTTTGGATCCGGCTTCAGCTTTTGAAGAGGTCGGTTCGTCCTTGGTGGTGGGGGAGGCGGGTTTCTTAGGGGAAGCGGACGCTGAGGTTGGGACACCGATCGATAGGACCTTTGCTTTCGGAGGAGCCGCAGCAGCTGGTTGTGGTTTGGGTGCAGGAGCATCAGGGGTCGCTTGAGCCTTGGTTGCTGGAGCGGGTGCCTGTTGGGGTACTGGGGCAGACGCAGGCTGGGTGTCTGATCTCTTCGCAATGCTTATGGGAGCGCCTTGTCGGGGCTGAAAGCCGCCAGGTGTCTGATTGTAAGCGGCAAACTGGCCGCTGTTATAGCCCTGGTTGTAGCTTTGCTGCTGCTGCTGCTGGGGCTGCTGTTGTTGATATTGAGGATACTGGTTGTATTGCTGGCCATATTGAGGGTATTGGTTGTAGCCCTGCTGTTGTCCGTATCCGTAGTTTTGAATGCCATTCTGTTGGTATGGCAGTCCCGGTTGGAAGGTAGCAGCACCAGGCTGAAAAGATGCGGCTCCAGGCCTGAAAGTGTTGGCATTCATGCTCATATTCTGTGTCCTCTTTGAAAGGTCTTCCTCCTGCGCCGCAGCGTCTTCCCAGGAATCAAAATTGCCCGACATTTTCGAAAGTGCCTCACGATACGACTGAAAGGGTTCGGAAAAGCGCTTCTGGAGAAGAGAAGGAGCGTAATATTGCAGGCAGTGGGTCAGAAACAAGTCGAGATCAAGGACTGGACCTGGAGAAACAGACTGCGGACTGCGTTCACACTTGGAGGGGCAGTTTTTGGGGACAGAAATTTCCTTGGCAATCGCTGGGCTGCAATGATTTCATCGGCGGCGAGACTGTAGTCAGTCTCGCGTCGCACAGGTTCAAAAACAACAATGATTGATTTTCTAATTATCAAGCCGTAAGGAGAATTAGGTATGTACAATATGCAATTTGCTCTGAGAGGATCTCGTGCACCAAACTGAGTGCTTTCTGCTTGTGTCACGTTTCCTACAGTAGGCAGAAAGAACGTGCCACGGCCAACCGTCCTGTCCGTTAGGTGTTGTGCTTCCCTTTCGTTCTGCTTGACACTGTCCTCTGTCCTTTATCCCCAGCAAATTGGCGTTTGGCGGGACCCTTTTGTTCTTGACTCTGCGAAAAATGGACATCTTCCTGGGGAAAGTGACCCAGCAGGCTATGAACTATGCCATCCGTTCCGGAGTCACCATCACGGCATCCTACGCCATCAGGCAATCAGCCAAACTACTCAACAACACACCCAAAAGCAACGTCCGAGATGAGTTGTACGCGTTGCAACAACGACTGCAGCATAAAATACGCATAGTCTCTCCAGCAATCGACATGATTGAGCTGATTGCAGCGCGAGGAAACACGTCTCTGGAATCTGCTGTGGCCCTTACCAAGGAGCTGCGTCTGGAGATACAGTCTCTAGGACAACGACTCGCCAAAGCGGCGGATGCTTCTGAGCAAGCTTTCAGGAAGACCAGCAAACTCAGCAGCCAGGCGAGAGTTCAGAACGAGGCAGAGTTGACCTTGATCGTCAAGGACATCAAAAAACTGCTCGAGAGGATTGAAGATGCCGTTCCTTTGATCAATCTCGCCATCACTACTTCAGGTGCAAGCCTGTCAACATCACTACCTCAATCTGTCTCCCCCTCACGACTGCTACAAGCCAGCACTTTCCTCACGGCAGGCGATACTCAGTATTCCCTCTCACCAAGTCAGGCTGTGCAAATCGGCCCAACCTTCACTCTGACTGTTTACATGCTCTTTGCTGGCCATGATCGACCCCAGAATGAGGAAGAAATCCGAGAAACAACTTGGAAGGAGGTCCTTCATAAAGCAAAAGTCAAGCTCCGACGTATTCCCCTCGACGTCGTGCTTGGGACCGGATCTGGATCTGATGCCATTCCTTCCGCCGAAATCTCCACCTTCTCAGCAGTGCCAAACACAGACACTGGCTTGCCTGGCTCGGCACCAAGCATCCGCGCAGATGCGCGAGCGGATGAATACGCCTACCAAATGGTGATCATTGAAGACTTTGACGACGACCGTGTTCACGACTTTGAAGACGACCAGGCTCGCCCGGGCCCGTTTGACGATGTCAGACTCGCTGGGATCCGGGAGATCATCCCCGTGCACGAGATTTCTAAGATATTCTATGCGGATACGAGCAAGGTCTTGAACATTGGCACTGACGCGGAGAGTAATCACCCGGTCTTATTGTTGAAGCGAGACCTGCACGCCATCCCACCAAGACGGATGGCGGAGAGGGAAGGCCCGCTGGGGATTGCAGAAACTGGTGAAGACGGGGAGCAACTCCAAGACCTCCTAGTAGAGGCACAGGAGAAGCTGCAGGAAGAGCAATATCTCGAAGACCATATCGAGGATCCCTGGCGCTTTCCACCGTCACTCGACCCCGAATGGATCGCATTCGAGGTGTACACCGAATCTGAACCAAGCGATACTGAATCCGACATTGAAGGAGAATCCGCCGACAACACCCGTACCAAGGACGATTGCCCGCCTCAACTCACGGACGCAATGGCAAACATGCACGTTACACCGTCCGCCCAGCCTCCACCACAATCTACTGCCCCCCCGTGGGCCAATTCCATCCGGACGTCTTTGTCGCTGCTCGAACTCCTTCTCCGCCTCACCTCCCTACAACAGTTCCAACAGCAGTCGCACCTCTCAATCACCGACGAACTGCTCACCTTCTTCCTGGAAGAGAGCGCGTCGACGGGCGCAGGAGGTGACGAGAGGTACCGGCAGGCGCTGAGGGCCGATGCGAGGCGACGGGTCGGGTGGGATCCGTACGACGAAAGCCCCGTCAAGAGGAGGGGCGAAGACTACCAGTATCAGAGCGGGTTCTACGAGGGCAGCACGGGTCTGAGGAGTCCGCCGAGCGCGAACGCGCGCAGTGCCTCTGGAGATGGGCCATGGGTGATGAGTCCGCCGAGAAGTGCGGGTGAAAATGTCAATGGACGTCGACCGGTCGCAACAATGTCGCCCAGCCCGTCACCTGTGCCCTCGCTGTCGCCGATACAGACCCCTGGAAAGGCCGGAAGGGCTGGGTGGCTGAGGAGAGACGGCGGCGATGGAAGTAGGAAAGGGAGTCCACTTCGCCCGCAGACCGCAATCACGGACGAGGGGATCGGGACGAGTCCTGCGAGTGCAACGAACATGGCTTGATGGGGTGGACTATCTCTTCTTCTCCCTCGACGAGAGGACCACTGCGAACAGAGTTTCGGGGCACGGGGAAGCAAATTCACGGGTGCTTGTGAAAGGGAGTCGGAATGGAAAGAAGTGGTGCCTCCTAGTATCCAGTCCGAACGCTGTAGAACAACGCGCAACATCGCTGAAGACAATGCAATTGCATAGTTCATACGGAACTTTTAGCCTCTTCTGATCCCCGTTAGGTCTAAGTATTCTGCTGCTACATAATCCTCTTGTCGGCATCCTAGCACGGAATTCTGCCATCTGAAGAGGTTGCTTTGTTCTTGGACGCGGGTCGGTCGCGCTGTTGCTGATTAGGGGCTGTTTGCGTGTCGCAACGCTATGTACCCTTCCTTTCAGTAAACATGCCTGATTACTGCGGTGCTGCATGAGACCAACCGCTTTGGCGCGTGTTTGATGCCCAGTTCAGACATCTCTCATCGAGCACATGAGCCTGCCGCACTACGAGCGGATATTGCGTCCCCTTGGTTTGTCAGGAGCGAAGGATGGTGTGCCAAGTTTGGTCTGAACAGGCCCTCTTCAGCTCATCTGACTCCCATCGATGCTCTGATCTGCATGATCTGCGCCCTCTCTGTCGGAGAAAATGAATCGATTGTCCTTTGATCCATAGCGAGGACCTGTTGAATCATCTCTTGAGCAGACAGTTGTTGAGCAGGGGGCTGTTGGGGTGGTTGTTGCTGCATCGTCGCCGGCGGATATTGCTGAGGAGGTCTGGGAGGCATCTGACCGGGAACGATGGACGGTGGAAAGCCAGGGTATTGCTGAGGAGTGGCCTGTGGTGGAGGGATGCTGGCCGGCTGCGGTTGTTTCGCCGCTTGTTCGACGACTTGTGCCAGCACTTTGGGATCCACGAGATTCATCAAAATTAGGGCCTGGAATATGGCATAGGCGAGTTGTGGGGCGGTCCTGAGGAGCGAGATGGCTCTTGTAGGGTCTGAGATGGCCAGCCCCTTCATCTGAGTGAGGACATCGAGCAGTTGCGGCGGCGGGAGTGTAGCAAGGGTCTGGGAAATGGCATCGGTTGCTCTGAGATTGGGGGGAAGATCGGTACCTGGAGGCAGCGGAGGGAGGGCGTTGGCCCCAGTCTGTTGGTGTCCGTCCACCACAGGACCGGCAGTCTGCTCGTAGTTTGTCGGGACAGAATCTTTCTCGTTGTTGTGAGGCCAGTCGACCCGGATCTTACGTCCATCGATCTCGAAATCGTTCAAGTTCCTAACTGCGCTGGCCGCCTGGTCCGCGTCCTGGAAGTCTGCAAAGCCGAATCCTTTCGATTTTCCCGTGTCGGGGTTGGTCATTAACCTGAACTTGACAACCGTACCGACTTGACTGAGAATCTTGACAATGTTCTCCTCACTCAGATCTAAAGAGAGTTAGTCGTTTGAAAGGCGCCAAAGACGACTGTAGAAGACTCACTGAAGGGAATATTGCCCACAAAGACGCTGCGACTTTGTCCGGGAGCCATTTTCAGTTGCTGCACGCAGATCGAGAGTATCCGAGAGAGTTTCTCAGTAGCGACAGCAAAGGAGTTGAAGGGTGTGCAAATAATGGGTGACTCGAGGTATAGTGGCTGGTACATAACACGCATTCCGTCTGCGCAACAAGTTAAAAGCGGCGCCAAGCTCTATGCTTCTCCGCAGTTCGAAAACGGAAAGCTTGACTTTGATGGGATCATCATCGACGTTGCCTACCAGCTCCGTCCCTGAGAGACAACCCTACTCACCAGTTTGCGTTCCTAACAAAGGCGCAAAGATGTCCTACGACCCAAGAGAACACTTTCAGCAGATCCAGCGGACGCTACAACAGCGCCGTGGTCAAGGCTTCGGCGGTCTTCCTGGAGGCGGCGCTGCGGGTAGAGGTATCTTTGCTTTGATCAGTCTTGGGGTTGCTGGTGTCGTCCTGTCAAATTCTCTGTTCAACGGTAATTCTTTGGCAATTCGTGGGCATGAATGTGTTCTGACGAGATCCAGTCGAGGGTGGTCACCGCGCCATCAAGTACACCAGAGTATCCGGAGTTTCGAAGGAAATCTACAATGAAGGTAAGAGAACAGTTGCTCTTCCACGTTGGGGGATCGCTGACGTGGAACAGGCACCCACATCCGAATACCTTGGTTTGAGACACCCATCGACTACGACGTTCGAGCGAAGCCGCGAAATGTTGCCTCCCTGACGGGAACAAAAGATTTACAAATGGTCAACATCACTTGCCGTGTGCTCTCGCGGCCTCGCATCGAAGCGCTACCTCAAATTTACCGGACGCTGGGAACAGACTATGACGAGCGTGTTCTTCCCTCGATTGTGAACGAGGTTCTGAAAAGTGTGGTTGCGCAGTTCAATGCGAGCCAGCTCATCACCCAGAGAGAGAATGTGGCGAGGTTGGTCAGGGACAACCTCACGAGGAGAGCAGCGCGGTTCAACATCATGCTGGATGACGTTTCCTTGACACACCTCTCCTTCTCTCCGGAGTTCACTGCCGCGGTTGAAGCCAAGCAAGTTGCTCAACAGGAGGCACAGCGGGCTGCTTTCGTGGTGGACAAGGCGAGGCAGGAGAAGCAAGCAACTGTTGTCCGAGCACAGGGTGAAGCCAGATCCGCGGAATTGATTGGCGACGCCATCAAGAAGAGCAGAAGTTATGTCGAACTCCGACAGATCGAGAACGCTCGTAACATTGCACAGATTCTACAAGAAGCTGGTGGGAAGAACAAGCTCTATCTTGATGCAGAGGGTCTTGGACTTAACGTCCATGCCGGAGAGGAGCCTGCTTCGAAGAAATGAGACGACGGTCGCGCTTCCAGAGAAGCTGCTCTCCCGCCGACAACCCTTATTGTATTCTGCATATTACAGAGGAACAGCTTTTGAGGGCAAATGTAACAATTCTTCACTCGTGCTGTTTCCGCTTTTGATATCTTCTATACTCGAGTCATGCCCATGGCTTCGACGCTCCCAATCAAGTAGTGGCTTCGTAGTTATATAACCTTCCGTCCTTTTATTCGCACTTTCTTTGTCGTAGATAAAGGGCGACAGCCTGGCATTCCTCGATAGTGCCACAACATCGGTACGCTGGTAATCATTGGCACACGACGACGTCCATCAGCAGAGTCGCCCTGGGGATTCGTTCAGCGGCGGGTGCAATGTGACCTTCTAGAGATTGTAGTTGTGCTGGTGATTTTCGGTTGATTTGCTTGCCTCACTGTCAACAGGGACCACGATTGACTCGAGCACTTCGCCCAAGTTACCACCTCTTGTATGACATCTATTCTTCCAGCTCTTGCAAAGGGACGCAGTGCGATAAGAGCCGCGTCTCGGCATGTCCTGCGGTATGTCTTCTGTCAAAATGTCACTGTAGCGGAGTGTCCTGATGATTCGGCTCAGATTCGACCCTAGCTCGTTCCGATCGATTCAGTCTGTATACCCGTCAGCAGCTCGGCGCATGGCCCTAGTTCGACATGCGAAGAAGATTTGCAGTAGCACCACAAACCGCAAGAATGTAGAATTCTCTCCTGACGCCAAGGGCAGGCCCGTCCACATCCCACGACGCACGGTCGCCAATAGAAGAGTTGGACACACGAGGACACATGGCTGCGACCGACTCACAGGTTCTCCTCGGGCTTGGACTGCCCCTCGAGTCCGCTTCTCAGACTTCTTGCGTTGAAACTGCTCCTCCCTTAGCTCGACACTTTTGACTAGCACCGCACAACCCCTGCCAGCATCATCACCATGTTCTGAGTCAAGAACTTAGCAATCCTACGCCCACCATCTCTCGTCGAGCCTGGCTTGACCCGAGAGATGGTGGGCGCTCATTTTTTTTGATCTGGTGTGCAGCCACCACTCTCATCGACCACCTCTGGAACTCCTCTCAGCCATCGGCCACCATCTCGACGCCTGGTTTTCCTGAGAGACATGAGGGAGCACAGGCAGTCTTTGACCTGAGCTGCGGTAAGCAGTCTCGTCGACCACGTCTGAAACTTATACCAGGCATCGATCTCCGATTGTCTCGACACCAGCTTGCCTGAGGCTCCCTTCGAAAACAGTCGCCTAGGACATGAAGAAGCGCTCGCTTCTTTGACCTGGTCTGCTGCAACTATTCTCATCGGTCATCTCTGGACCTCATCCCAACGATAGCCGATGGTCTTGATGCTCATCTCGATGCTCATCTCGACACACATCTCGATGCTCAGTTTCCCTTCGACCACGTTCGAGGAAAACTGCCAGTAGCGAGGCAAATGAGATGTATATATATGTATGACATAACGACTCAACGACTCTTCCGCAGTAAGTCATACTGCTCAGAATACCTTGGATGTCAGTTCCCTCAGCTCATGCCACTCACAGGTCCATTGTCAACCCAAATCCAGGCGACGGCGCAGGTGTTCTCGGCAGCACTGCCAAGGGACCCACATCAAGCACAACGTCTGTCCGCACCACCGCAGGAACAACAACTGCAGCAACACCACCAGGTCGTCGACTTCGTCGAGCTCTCTTTTCGACAGCCTAGTGACCTCAGCACTCTAGTCTCGATCAGGCGTGCAGGCCGTCGATCGCGCTTCGGTCCGCTTTTGGTGCTTCTACCACAATCAACATCCCGCAAGCAGCATGATAGGCGTTGAGCAATTACAGAATTCCCATACAGCACCACACTGTGCTGCAATGCGGGCGAAGCTTCCTGGTCCCCTAGTTCTTGGGACTCGGACTGAACTGGGGCTGGTCGTCGCAACAACAAGCATGGCGCAGTCAGCGGAACCCGGTTGGGTTCGATGTCGAGCAAACCCACAGTCCTTTGCACAGGTGTCTTGGCCACCATGAAGGGCTCTCTGCTGGGGACAAAGCAACCTCGCCTAGGACCTGCCTCTTGATGACCAGTGGCCTTGTTATGATGAAGTGTCTCCTCTTGATGACAAGCAAGTCAACCTATTCGGCTGTTTGCTCCTGTCACTGCTGACAACGATGGTTGGCTTTGGGTGCATACATGTGCTGCCGGCCAGCCTTTGTGCAAACTCAACAACATCATGGTTGCCATTCTCGTCGACACGGTGCTTTCTGCCTACTGAAATGGTTATCACAAAGGCTCTGGAGTGCAAGGGAATTGACTCAGCTATGGGGACATCCTGCATATGCTCATCCCTTTGCAGCCTGGCAAGATAAAAAGAAGAAGAACCTCAGCCGGGGAGTTTGCGCCACAAAGACGTGTTTGTGTTGAAGACCAGATGGATTAAACGGTCTAAGGTCATGTTATTCACCAGCAGCGCCGAGAGAAAGCAATCATCTCGATGCTTGGCCGACAAACTGCGTCTCCGGGGCGGAGCGTAGAGCACGAAGCACGACCCACGATCCTGTTTATTTTCCAAAATTCGCTCTTCATCTCTTCAGACTCAGTCATCTCAGACACCATCCAAACGACACCGTCATCAACGCTCTACCTTTGGGATATCTTAACCTTCTTGACCATCATCTTGGAAAGACTTCCCCCCCTGAGGGCGAGAACGTTGGCCACTTGTTCCTACATTGCGGTGCCTCACGGTCCAAGTCTCCTGCTGACAAGGCAAAACCTTTACGAGACCCCACTGCCTCAGGGCACAACAAGCAACGGAGGCCAGCAAGACATTCGGCAACAGTGAAGTCCTCTGGCCCAGAACTCTCTCACTACCTTCGCCTGTTCTTACAGAGCGGTCCATCTCGTGTAGCCCAGCTACCACACCCTGCCACAAGCACTACTGGACTGTAAGTTGCTTCTGAACCGAACTGATTTTCTCCAAACTAACACATGTGGTTGCTGCATAGGTCTTCCAACACCAGGCATCTCACGTACACACCTCCAAGCCCGCCAAACTGTCAAGCGTGACCTGTACTGCTGAATCTCCAGTGCAGGTTTTCCAGACGTGTTTCAATCCAAAGTGCACACTTGCCCTTCAAAATTTGACACTGTGTTGCAAGTCCCTCAAGACTAGGCTCCAAGTAATAGGCCAGAGGAAGAATTAGCAAGAGCGGCGGCGCATGAACAACATGGATCCTCATAACTCTCGCGACAACAACATCGGCCAGCATGCCCAAGATCAAGCTCTTGACACCTTACGGCCAAGCAGCAATGTGGACATTCCAAACGCCATCGACCAGGATGATGTCTCTAACAATTTGCCCGTGCCAGCTCCTGCACAGTCCGCAAAGGGATCTCCTATCAGCAGATCTGAGTCACCAGAAGCACGCACAAAACAGACAGATGCTAAGCCACATTCTCAAGGACTAAAAGTGCCTCCCGGTAGAACCATCCACTACAGCACGGAGACCCAGACGTACAGGGTTGGGATTAAATTCGACGACAGCGCTTCAAGCAAATCTCGGACCTCAAAAAAGCGAGTCTACGAAAAGCTCAACTTGGCACCCCTGGACTCAGCGAACAATTCAACGGCGCAAGGTACTCCTAAGACAGAAAGCCAAAAGCCGGGTCAAATCGAACTTGAACTGCTTCGAAGCGCCTGTATTCCTGATGGCGAAGAATTACCCGATGATCCTATTGTGCAGGCTCTCGCACGTGATCCGGCCGCTGTGAATTCTCTGCCAACCGGAGAACAAGACGTACAAAGCCAAGCAGCGAAGGAAGATGACTCCGATGCTCAGCAGAAGGAGAGTTCATCCGGCAGAGGGAAGTATCTTGACGCCACCGTCCCGCCTTTGTCGGATATCTACCGCATTTTCGACCTTATCACTCAACATGCTGTTGGTGAGGGTCTGCTCGATGCATGTGCACCCTTCGGAGATGGCGGCATCAGAGTGCTCACTATGTGCTCCGGCACAGAGAGCCCGTTCGTCGCTATGGACCTTGTTCGGAAGTGTTTGTCTTCACAAGGGAACGGCGGTAGATTCAAGTATCAGCAGCTTGGGAGTGCCGAGATCGAGCCTTTCAAACAAGCATTCATCGAAAGGAACTTCAGTCCGCCCGTAATTTTTCGGGACGTCACGGAGTTCGGTCCCCATGCGCAAAACCCAGAAAACGAAGACTACCTGCCAGTCACGGCCTACGGAGCACGCTACAGACCTCCCAGCGATGTCCATATCTTGATTGCCGGTTCATCATGCGTCGACTACTCCGCTTTGAACAATGCTAAGGGCGAGTGGAAAGGGCAACGCGGCGAGGGAGAGTCCGCAAGGACTATGGATGGCATCGGTGCATACGCAAAGATGTACAAACCAACCATTCTCATCGTTGAAAATGTCGAGAACGCTCCGTGGAACGAGATCAAGAGCTTTTGGCGCAAGAAAGGGTACGAATCTGTGATCGTGAAACTGGATACCGCCGATTACTATCTTCCACAAACCCGGAATAGAGGCTACCTGCTCGGCATACACATAGAGCGAGCCGAAGAAATGGGATTCGACATTGAAAAAGCTCATAAGGAATGGGTCACGCTGATGGCCGGGTTTCAACGCCGCGCTTCATCCTCGTATAGTGACTTCATCTTCCGCCATAACGATCCGGGTCTACAGCTTGCCAAGCACGCTGGCGATGACAGCAGCAGCAAATCAAAGGGAGGCTCGACAGCCTGGACCAATTGTCGAAAGCGGCATATTACCGCTCGCGTGCACGATGGCCTCGGGGTGGGCACTCCCTTCACAAAACGCCGCGGAAACACCAAACCAAAACTCGATGATTATGCCGACCAAAGCTGGGCGCTTCGTCAAAGCAAGAGAGTTCTGGATGTTCTTGATATCCATCAGCTCTATAACGTTGCGGTAAGAGATTTTGATATGAGATACAAGCACAGAAATATCAACGTCTCCCAGAATATCGACCGGGACACAGATCGTCGCCAGTGGGGTATTGTTGGATGCATTACACCGAGCGGATGCCTGTTTGACACCCGACGAGGTGCTCCGTTATCTGGACTAGAGATACTCTCCTTGCAAGGATTCCCAAACAGAGAACTGGACCTAGGAAAGCACACTTCAAAGCAGCTTCAAGACTTGGCTGGAAATGCAATGTCGACCACAGTCATCGGAGCAGCAATACTAAGTGCTATCATTGCATGTCACAAAACTTCCGGACAAGATTCCAGCATATTCCCGGCTTACATCGACCAGGAAATGAGCAAACCACAACTCGGTTCTCCTCGAGAAGTGAACATTGGGAAAACCTTGGAAACGGAGATTGAAAAGGAAAATCTGGAAGACATCGTCGAAACGTGGTCGGGTGCTTACAATAAAGAGTCTTTGGGCGAGATCGTCCGTCTTGCTGTGGATCTCCAACCGCTGTGTCTTTGCGAGGGACTTCATCGACGTAGCAGACACGGGCTATTGTTTTGTCCAGAATGCTACTACACATGCTGCAAGGGCTGTAACAGAGACACGCATGGGCAGCAGAAATTGAGCCACCTGGCGGATCCACAAGCAGACCGACCCGTTGCGAACACATTTGTGAGGTATTTGACTAAACTGCTCCCTCCCGTCATCCAAAATCGACGTCCGGACGATCAACCACAGCTTTTCAACAGTGAAATCTTCAAGTCAGCGAGGCATCGAATCTTGGAAGCTCTTCAAAGTAGGGTCCAATTCCACGAGATCAGATTTGAGAGCTCTTGGAAGGCTGTGTACGAGTCCCCGAGTTGCCGTCTGGAGCTCGAATTCGTCCAGAAGCGCTATATGTGTGATCCTTGTCTATCCCACGAGCAATCAAACAAGCCGCAACTCCATCTCGATGCCACGCCCCAGTGGCTGCTATTCGCTAAAGCTCCGGAAGATGAGCCTGCAAACAGCGCCATACGAAATTTGTTTCGATATCCTGTGGCCAGAATGCAGCCTCATGCAAACCTCTTCGACGGCGAGTGGAAGTATTGGAACGGGTACTCAAAAGATTTCAAGCTTCATATCATTGGCAAAGGTGCGCAAGTCAAGTCATGGGAGCAGAATCTAGGCATCGAAGCCAAGCCGTTTGCCCAGCTAAACGCCTTCTCAACTCTCCAAGTCAGTCCTTCGAGTGCTCCCCAACAGGAACAATGCTCGGTTTTTGATGGAGTCGTTGGAGAATACAAGCTGCTCCAGGGATGTCCCGCTCCCAACGGCACTTTGCATCGAAGAGTAGCCCCGTCGTCTTCCGAAGCACCAACATTTTTGTTTCTGCAATCTGGTCCTCTGAGTGATCCGTACCTTGATCGTGTGGTGTTCTCAACTCAACCATCTCGACGAGATCTGAAAGACGACAGCACGGCCCTTGTCAGCCTCGACGCTTCTTGGAGACCTGTTGCTACAATCGAATTAGCCAAGGGTATGGATATCGACTGTGAGGTGGTGAGTCAATGGTCAGCCTGTCAAGGGCAGGTTATGGAGATACCAGATGACGAAAACACCATTCGTAGGTGGTGTCTGGCTTCAGGAATGAGTCCAAACTTCGCCAAGGACTGCACACAGAGTCAGTCAACTATCTTGCTCCTGGACTTGAGCTTTGATATAAATGCTGTCCAGAGAATACAGTATCGCCGAGACCTTCGCATTGATCTAGAACGGGAACCTGAAGCATTGAGCGAGTTTGCATGGATTCTGTCCCATGCAACCAATATCCCTCTACTTAGCAAGGGTTGGCAGCCGATTAATGATCTCGAAATTGCTACGTGCACCGACTGCTACCCTTCGGCACCCTCACTCAGATGGATTGCGAAAGATACCAAGGGCAAAACCCCACCGAAAATTGTCGCCGTTGAGAGTCCACTCGAGGCTGCGAAATATGAGCGCCTCCTGAAAATGAGACCCAAGCCAGCAATGGCACTCTTGCAAATGATCGACGACAGAGTCATGCTGAAAGTCGTGGCAAATGTCAAAACCATGGCACATCGCGCAATCACACAGCTATTGCGTCCCGACCAGCCCACCCCCACCCTCAAATCTCTGGAATGGCGGATAGATTCTTATGACCGCTTTGCACCTCCGCAAGACTTTGCCACTCTGCAGCTTTTGTCCAACGAGCAAGACCACGTCGATCCACAAATAGACATCGACTTACGTCTAAAGCGCCAACTGTGGCCCACACAATCTCGCGCCCTTGCTTGGATGTATTCTCAAGAAAACAACCCGCCAGAATGGGACGAAGTATCTTTGGTCGAGTCTTGCCTGCCTGCAGTAGGATGGAGACTTGAAACAAAAGCTCTCCTGCCGAATCCTCAAGTCCGCGGTGGCATTATCGCCGACGATGTAGGGGCTGGCAAAACCACCACCTCTCTTGCCTTGGTCGAGTTAGACTATCAACGGTCTGCGACAGCATTCAACAGTGACTCTCAATTGACAAAATTCCACTCTGACGCTACATTGATACTGGTACCCAGAAATATTGTCAAGCAATGGGCGTCTGAGATCGCTAATACTTTAAGATGGGAACAGCTCGACAGCAGCCGTCGCAAGCGCCCGACTACAGGCCCATATTATATTGTCGTCGACACTGTTAAGAAATTACAGACTTATTCTCATGAGGAAATCTGCTCGGCGAGACTTATCCTGGCTCCTTGGGACATGTTCCAAGACAAAAGCTACCTGGACTTTTTGCGTAAGATCGCTTGCTCTCCGTGCTTCCCGGGGGAGCCTGGTCGGGCTTTCCAAGAGTGGCTAAGCGTAGCCATGTCAAACCTGGGCTCGTGCGTTGAAGGTATGGTAGAGGACGATGCCCAGTTCTGGAGCAAGTGGGCTGAAGTCAAATCGAGAACCGCGGCGGAAGCCAGGTACGAGCCATTTCATGGATTTGCATCTCGCGCTGCCAACAGAGCAATTGCCAAAGCAGATCGTGAAGCAAAGAAAAAGAAGGCAGCAGAAGCCATCAGCGATGAGGATGACAACGTCGCAGCTGAGGAAGGCTCAGGCCATGCACCCACATCCAAAAATCCTGAATCCCGGCCAGATACTGATGCAAACACCAATGACCATCACGACGAAGTCTCAGAAGGTGAGGATCAGGAGAAGAAACAAGCTCCTTCGAAACAGCGTCAAAAGGTCGTTGCAAAATCCGCCACTAAGGAACCAGTGATGGCAGTTGATGAAACCCTCTGCAAGGAACTGGATGCCTTCGAAAAGAATGGCAAAATTCCGGTCCTCCTGCACATGTTCGCATTTCGGAGACTTATTGTGGATGAATTCACCTATGTCCACGGCCAGACATTGCTGGCTCTTCTACAACTTAACGCATCTGCAAGATGGCTGCTTTCCGGCACACCGCCTATTCACGATTATGACAACGTCAATACAATGGCCAAATTGTTGGGTACGCAGATTGCAGCGTACGATGAGAAAGAAGGCAAGTTTGAATTTGGACAAGATCGGTCAAAAATGATCAGAGGCAAAAGTGACGCACAAGTATTCCACTCATATCAAGACATCGCTTCACCGGCATACAAGAGACAGGTATATGGACTTGCACAAGAGTTTGCGTCAAAATTCATTCGAAAAAACGAGATTTCGAAACGAGGTCTCGTAAGACAAAGAAACCTCTACCAATTTCGACCCACTCCTTCCGAGCTTATCACATATTCGGACGTCAGCCAACTCGCTATGGATCCAGATCGGACTTTCAACAAAAAGGTCACGAAAGCGAACATCACAGATGATCTGGAAGAACCCGAATTTGTCCATATGCTGACGAACTTAGTCGAGCAAGCGAGCGGGCCGGTCGAAGCTCAGTTGTGCTCGAGTGTAATGCTTGAAAAAGTCCAAAGTATTATGCTCGAATCAAACGGCCAAAGTGAGTCGGACGTCTTGGAGACCCTCATCGACGTCGAGGTGCAGAGATTGACCAGTTTACTCAACGAACAAAGAGAGTTTGTTCTGCGCCGATCTCGACAAGTTTTGCAAGTCCTACAAGAACTCGCCTTCCTCAAAGACTCGGTGGTAGAATCTTCGTCAGCAAGTTTTGCCAGTTTCATGCAGAACGCCGCCAATGGCACCTTGGCCGACACCGAGGCCGTCGAGATTGTGAAGCTCCTCCTCGACTACTCGCAGGAGAACCCTTCGGCGCCCAGTCGTCTTCTTTCAAAGGCTGGCGGGGCCTCATTCAGTCTGGATGAGGTCAAGGTGGCCGCCGTCGGCGAGAAAGAAGTCGACTTGCGGATGGCCAGGGTGTCGAACCACCTGGAAATTCTCCTGCGAGGACTCCGTCGACTGCGTTTTCTGGGTGTCGCCGTGCGCTCCTTCGAGAGCACTTCGCCTCCGGGCGAATGTTCGACATGCGGCGGGATGCCGTTACACAAGGAAGGTCTGTCGGTCGCAACCCAATGCGGCCACCTCCTGTGCGAACAGTGTCTCTCGGAGGAGTGCTGTGAGTTCGGGTTGACTGGAGACGTCATTCCAGTCGACCGCTTCGAACTCCACGCGACCTCGGGGCCTCCCGTCTCGGTGACGGGAGCCAGAATGCGGCTCGCCGTGGCCCTCATCATGAAGGCCACCCAGGAAGGGGACTCGGTCCTGGTTTTTGCCCAGTTCGAGGGCATGAAGAACGCTTTCATCAGGGCGTGCCGCGCGGCGGAAATTGTTTGCCACGATGGTTACCAAGGCGCTGATGCGCGGGCGGCTGTGGAGACTTTCCAGCGGCTGAAGGAGCCTGGAGTCCTTGTTCTCAAGGTCGACAGCCCGGACGCTGCAGGTTGGAACCTCCAGCTCGCCAACCATGTCATCTTTCTGGCGCCTCTTGAGGCGGGCGAGGAGGAGCGGAAGGCCACCATGGCCCAGGCTATTGGTCGGTCATGGCGACCGGGTCAGAAGAAGGTCGTTCATGTCCATCTTCTGACCGCCATGACCACCATCGAGCCTGGCATGGTGGTCTGGGAGAATGAGTAGGGGGTGCACGCAGGGGTGAGGGGGAGGCCGGGTTGGGTGGTTGGTTTGGTGTGGGCTCTGTGCGAACGTCCCGGTGGAGGGCAGGCGGAGGGATAGGGCAGTGGCAGGGATGGAGGTAGTAAAGGAAGGAGGAGAGTGGGAGGGGTGGAAGGGCACGAAGGAGAGACGAAGTGGAGACAGAGGCCGAAGCAGTGCCTTTTTCTTTCTTGTTTTGATGAAATGAGAAGTGAACAAAGCAAGATCAAACAGTCTTCAAGTGTCTGTCGTGCGCTGAGTGCATCGTTTGTTACAGTCCTGTTGTGCATTTGTGAATCGTGTCGGCGTCCCGTTCCATCATGCTGTGCTGCTAACGCCACACCGTTGTGTCCATAATCGGACGCTGCATGAGCCAGGGAAATGAGGGATCGGCACAGCAGTCGCTGACAGGCCATCCGTGCCCTGGTGAGTTCTTGTTATGACTGGGGACGACTACTCTACACGTGTCCTGTTGACTACATCACCTCGGTATGTCACATTCGTCCTCCGCTGACATCGCCCAGGCGACGACTTGGTGCGTCCATCCGCCAGTGATGGATCTCTCTGGTACACCAGCTTCGTCCTCCAAACCCATCGTCATGGGAACGTTGTGAGATGAATTCGTCCTCCTCCCATATCGCCATAGGTGAATGGCATGAGGTATGACTCTTCTGCAGCTATCGCCCTGGACAAGTCGGAAGTCGACATGTTGCTCCCATTGACACAACGACCATGTGCTATTCGATATAATGTATTCGTCCGCCTTCGAGATCGTTACGAGCAGAACCTAGGCCATCCTCTGCACACACAACAACAGATTATGACTGCCCTCCGTCCACAAAAAATAATGGCCGTATTGATTTGCAGTTCTCTACTCACATCATTACGCTCCTTACCCTGAGTTGCACTCACCCTGTGCTCATATATTGCTCATACGGCTGTGGAACACTGGGTGTGTCGTATCCATCCACGGCTGACACTGTTATGTAACATTTCATACGACACCTTCGTCGTTCTCTCATACTGCGATGGTCCGGCTGGTGGGCCAAGGGTCGAACGTTATGCTGATATTTTCAGGTTTCTCCACCCCGAACGGCCGGAATGTGAAGTCTGTCCATCTACCTGTCCATCCAGGTGCCTCTCAGTCTCTGGGTGACGACTACACCCAACAGTACTTCTATGAATACCGTTACAAAGGTATGACTGTGCTCATGATGGTCAATTTCATTGCGTATGAAGCCTTTTTCTTGTGAATGATATCACTTCTCCAACCTGCCCCTGGTGTCAGGGATGTATGATGGCTTCCTCTGGCCCCGTTCTGCCCGTTGTGGATCTTCGCTGTTAGGCAGCCCCTGAAATTGACTCAGCCTCGTACGGCCGCATTGGGCAGGTCACATGACCACAAGAGTTGATGGGGCCTGGTCAGCGAAATTCCCCCCTAACGCTTACACTTTCACAATGAGTTTCAGTGGATGGGAACACACACGCCCCGGATTTTGAGATATTCATTGAGCCAAAACTCCGATCTCTACTCCGGAACCTCTCTTCATCCTCATCTTGGTCCGACGGTTGAGCTCCGCGCATGAACGCCTTGGCGGTTTCTGTGGACGTTCTTGCGGAAACACCACCCGTTTGAGTTGGCGTTGTGAGGCTCTTCTGCTTTCGGTTTCAATCTCACTTATTATGGACGGCACAGATGGGATGTGACCTGGCTATCAGTGCTGTTGTTGTTTCACACCCGCATGCTTCAGCATCCCGTCACTCTCCTTTCTACCCCTGCGATTTCGGGTACATATCGGCTATAATCAAGAATCCAAGGTTTCTTTTCCCTTTGTTTTCCCCCTAGGGCACCCCTGAATTTGCTTTGAGCATACTTGTATTATGTATCGAACCTTCTCACTCCAAGAGGAGGCTGCCTCGAGAGGCGTCGCGAGGAAGGAGATCGTCGCCCCCTTTTCTCGAGCAACCTGTCGATGGGCTATAGAAATCACGATTCTCGACGGAATTATCGCTCGATCGACTCCACAGCACGCCAGATTGATCTTGCACTAGCCGGACAGGATCCAAGGCGATGCCACAGATGGCGAAGTGCAACAATTCTGCTGGGGGCCCAACACCAAATTTAGATCCCAATCTGAATTCCGCCATGCAATAATTCTGCATGCATGGCCGGGGGCCAATTTGCAGCACTCAGATCTCTCGACTTTGGTTGTCATGACCTCCAACTCCACGTGTTTCCACCAACAACGATGCGGTCGTTTTTCGGCGATGGTGCTCATCTCAAGTTTCCTTCGCTCTCCGACCGGTACCTTGTCCCCTCGCCCTTCCCCCGTACACCCGTATGACTACCACAAGAAAAACGGAAGGAGTAGGAGCAGTGTATACATCATCAAGGCGAATCAGGCTCAGGCGTCGGTGGGTTCGTGGAAAGGGCGAAGAATGCACCAAAAACGGAGTCCGAAATTGTATGGTTGACTGGGGCGGACTCCGCTTGATGCGCCACACGCACCATTGGATCTCAGTATTAGGCCCTCCCCTGGATGTCTCGCTACATTACATGGTTATTCAGTCAACCTTTGGACTCCAGCTGAGGCTGAGAAACGATAAGACAGATACACAAGCGTCACGATAGTCGCCACAAAACCACTTAATTATTGCGGCAGACAGATTTAGATACGATATACGACAAGAGACCCATTTTGTGCGACCTGGGCCATGATGGTCGTCGCGTGCCCCCTTTCTGATCTACGGCGGCCAGGAAATTTTTTGTTGGATACTCGTTGGCGCTGTTTTTCCATCCGCCCGGAGGGATCTTTGGGGTGCGGCATGCATTAGGACTACGGCGAGTGACCTCGGGGTATTTGCAGGGGCACGGTTCTGATGGCAACGTCCCGACGTCACTTGCCCGGGCTCAACAAAGACCATCGACAGATTTTCTCGCAGAGAGGCAGCACCGAAAATTTTTGTTGGAGTTGGGGGACGGGGATGGGGAGTGGGCTTCGGGTTTGACTGGCGGGACAAACAAGCGGGAAGAGCTGGTGTGGACCGCCGAATAGGCCTGCCGGGGGCGCCTCAGCGAATAGATCGGCAGTAGTGGCGAGCCTAAGCTGCCCCAGCGCCCAATCACCCTCCAGAGATTTCCGGTTGGCCCTGCTCGGCGATTCATCCGTGGTTGCTGCACTACTCCCAACATTGATGGCCCGGAGGAAAATAGGTCCCTCCCAGGTCGAGGAGCTTAAGGCGTTGTTTGGCTGCGGCCCGCCTAGAGATCCAACTAGACCCCGTTGTGTAGCAGCCGCTAGCATCCAACAGCCCCAAAACAGCGTCAGGGACACATCTCAGCAACGTCGTTACTCTAATATACCCTGCGCCTTCGTGTTGTCTCTCCCACCAACACACTGCTCTACAGTTCCCTCCCTTCACCCATTACTGACTTCTATTTCTTCTCTCCTCCCTCCTCCTTCTCTTCATTGACAAGACCTTTCTCGCCCTCTTTTCACTCCTTACATTCACCTGCGGCAGTATAGACTTTGGGCAATCCACATTGGGACATCGGTAATATTGGCGTAATTCCGGTCTCCTTTTTTTTGGTCCCCAGGTCCTACCACGGTCATCTCTTCGCCTCCTTTCTCGACCGTGATCTATCTTCTTGCCTGCGTTGCCTCGATTGCATGAGATAGACCATTCCCTTCAACCAACATGGCTCCCGCCGTGAACGGTGTTAATGGCACCAAACCCCTTACCAACGGAACGCCCAGCTCGTGGCAAGCAAAACACAAGGTGGCAGATCACTTCATTGGAGGCAACAGACTAGGGAATGCTCCCCCGAGTAAAGTCAAGGACTTTGTTCAGGAGAACGACGGACACACCGTCATTACTTCAGTAAGTGGAATTCCAGGAGAGGGAAATTGGTGTGTCTGTGCGCACCCGCACGCTAACATGACTTGAACCCAGGTGCTCATTGCAAACAACGGTATTGCAGCAGTCAAGGAAATCCGCTCGGTACGAAAATGGGCCTACGAGGTGTTTGGCGACGAGCGGGCCATCCAGTTCACTGTGATGGCTACGCCGGAAGATCTGCAGGCAAACGCAGACTACATCCGCATGGCTGATCAATACGTCGAGGTATGCGAGACCCGAGGAAATTTAGGAAGAACAAGAGGAGCAGCATATTGACAAATTTGACAATAGGTGCCCGGCGGCACAAATAACAACAATTATGCCAACGTTGAGCTGATTGTTGATATTGCCGAACGGATGAACGTCCACGCCGTCTGGGCTGGCTGGGGTCACGCCTCAGAAAACCCAAAATTGCCCGAGTCTCTGGCGGCTTCGCCCAAGAAGATCGTCTTCATTGGTCCTCCTGGGTCAGCAATGCGATCCCTGGGTGACAAAATTTCCTCCACAATCGTCGCACAGCACGCAAAGGTACCCTGTATTCCCTGGTCAGGAGAGGGCGTTGACGAGGTTGAAATTGACAAAGACGGCATTGTCACCGTAAGAGACGACGTCTACGAGAAGGGCTGCGTTCACTCTGCAGAAGAAGGCTTGGAAGCCGCACGCAAGATTGGCTTCCCTGTGATGGTCAAAGCATCCGAGGGTGGTGGTGGCAAAGGCATCCGAAAAGTCGACGACGAGTCAAATTTCGTGGAGCTGTACAACGCTGCCGCAAATGAAATTCCCGGATCTCCCATCTTCATTATGAAGCTGGCAGGAAATGCTCGACACTTGGAAGTGCAATTGCTGGCTGATCAATACGGCAACAACATCTCAATCTTCGGCAGAGATTGCTCCGTCCAGCGGAGACATCAGAAGATTATTGAGGAGGCTCCCGTCACCATCGCCAGCCAAGATACTTTCCGGAACATGGAGGCTGCCGCCGTCCGTCTCGGTGAGCTGGTCGGCTACGTCTCCGCTGGTACGGTGGAATACCTCTATTCGCACGCAGACGACAAATTCTACTTCCTGGAGCTGAATCCCCGTCT